CAGGAACGTGTATGGGTTCATCTAAGGTACCACCTACAACTTCTGTCTCGACTACTGGGTATGATGTATCCTCTGCAGCCGGGTACTGGTTTACAGGAGCCGCTGCCGAGCCTATTGGGTTCCTTTCCGGTTGGCTTGAATTTACTAGTTTCATTCTGTCGACACCATACATCAGTGTCGTCTCTACAAAACCCGGCGAATGGCACACGAACGCAAGAGCTACAACACTCGACGAGTCATTCATTACGTATCTAGCACAAGACCCAGTAGCCCTCTCCGCGTTCCCGAAGATCAAGAGTTGTTCTGCGGTCTCAGGCGCAGGTGCGCCAGGCGTTCATGTTCAGGTCTCGTTCCTGACCGCTTCGAGTGCCGTAACGAGTACTACGAATGCGCTGTTGATCAACAAGGCTACCACAACATCAGCAGTTCCAGCTAGCAACATTCCTCCAATTGGTCCTATAAGCACTACCCCGTCAACTGTTCAAGTCACCGAAGCCACTCAGACTCAATCAAACCAGCCTCACGATCAAACATCTGGTCAGCCATCTGATCAGCCATCCGGCCAGACTTCTGAACAGCCATCTGGACAACCATCTAATCAACCTTCCGCTCAGCCAAAGCCCCTACCTTCCACTACTCCACAGAAAGCGTCAGAAGAGCCTATTTCGCCGTCGCAAGGTCAGACCGAGTCTCCAACAACCTCCAAAATCTCACAAAATGAACCTGTCCAGCAGCCTACATTCACCTCTGACAATTCACCTGAACCGATCACACAAAAGACTTCTGCAGATTTTCCTGCAGTTCCAGTACAATCATCCAATGATCCAGTGTCCAATGGAGGCCAACCTACAGCTGAGTCTGGGGACAAAGCTTCAAGTCTGCCAGAACCAGAATCTGTGGATTCGCAAGGTGCTTCTCAGGGAACTTCTAAGGTTGGTACTATCCAAAACACGGGAACACAAGCGATTGTGATCGGCACGTCGCCCGCTGAGACTTCTCAGAGCTATCCACTAGTCGTGATAGGTGATATCACGGCGTCGCCTGCGTCCTCTGAGGGATATATTGTGGAAAGTCAGACACTTGTTCCTGGAAACTCTGCCATCGAGATTTCAGGCACGACGTATTCTCTGCAAGTGTCCGGCGGCACTGCTGTTGTTAACGGACAGGGTGTTCAGATATCGACTCTAGCATCCGCTCTCGAAACAGCTGCGCCAATTGTGTTGGGCGACTCGACGGGTCAACCCGTGTCATCTGGCGCTTATGTTGTGGCGGATCAGACCCTCAGTCGTGGTGGATCAGCCGTTGAGGTAGCTGGTACTACTTACTCACTGGAGCCATCTGGAGACAGAGTCGTTGTCAATGGAGAGGCAACGCCAATCTCTGCCCTACAGGTAACTCCGCAGCCAGCAACAGTCGTGATCGGTGATGTGACGGCTGCCCCTGAGTCATCTGGAGCTTACTATGTCGTTGCCGGACAGACGCTCTCTCCCGAAGCTTCAGCGATAGAGGTCTCCGGTGTAACCTATTCTCTGCCAAGGTCCGGAGCGAACATCGTGATCAACGGAGCTACCTCTTACGCGAACGCTTATTCTCTGGCTGCTTCTGGAAACACTGTGTATATCGATGGAACACCGACTGCGATTCAGACTGCGGCTCCTGCTGCGCCTCTTAACGGAGCTACTTCCATCGCTAATGCACTGAACACACCTCCGCCTGTGGTGTTCGGTAGCATCACTGCTGCATCGTTTATAGGTGGCGGCTATATCGTGTCAAGCCAGATTTTGAGTCCAGGAGGTATTGTCCAGGTCTCAGGAACTATTTATTCTCTGGGTGCTTCTGGAAATACTGTGTTCATCGACGGAAAGCCAACTGCAATCCAAACCGTGGCGTCTCTTACCGGAGCCACTTCTCTCGCAGATGCAGTGACTACTCCTTCGCCTGTGGTCTTTGGCAGTGTTACCGCTACTCCTTTTGTCGCAGGAGGCTATATCTTGGCGACCCAAGTCTTGAGCCCTGGAGGCACTGCTGTCGAGGTGTCGGGCACGGCATACTCTTTAGCCGAGTCTGGAAACACTGTTTTCATTGACGGAAAACCAACTACAGTACAAACTGTGACTGCTGCCGCTGCACCTCTCACAGTCGGATCGCAGATCTTTACTGCGGTGGCTGCTTCCAGAACACCGTTAGTCGTAGAGTCACAGACACTTATGCCAGGTGGCTCTGCTATCACGGTCAGTGGCACAACATACAGCCTTCCTGCCTCAGGGATAGGCAATATAGTCGTGAATGCCCAGACAACCAGTCTAGCACAAGCATCTGGTGTCGCAGTCCTCACAGCTAACTCACAACAGCTCTCTTTTACGCCACTAAACTCTGGTATAGTGGTAGCTTCACAAACACTTTATCCTGGTGAAGCCATCACCACCAATGGCGAAACACTGAGTTTAGCGAGTAGCGGAGGTGTCGTGGTTGTCAAGTCAGGACAGAGCACGACCACGGAAGGATTGGGTGATTATATTTGGCAGGGTATTGATGCTTCGACTTCGGCATCTATAACAGACTCTGCTTCTGGCTCGAGCAGGATGAGTAGTTCGGCCACGATGAGTGGCTCGAGGTCGTTGGTCAGTACTGCCACTACGAGCAGATCGACTGGAAGTGAAGCTTCAGGCTCAGGTGCGGCTGCTACGACCAGTGCCAGTTGGGCTAATCAAATAGAAGTGGGAGTCGTGGGTTGGATATCGATTTGCTTTGCATTGGCTCTGCTAGCCATATAATGGAGAGGAACTAGAAACAGGTGGAATAGTAGCAGACTCAATCCATATCACAATCCACTACTGAGATTTTGATCGTTGACAGTGCTAATGAAAGCTGTCAAAGAACTGGAGTTATGTAATATCTGTCCGGTTCCACCCATCAAAGTGTTTCAAATCCACTCGAGTCATTGTCAGGCCGTTCACCCAAAGCAAAGCTGGCGCCTAATACTCAGGCCAGATACACTTCGACACGGAAAATCACGCACTGTATTCAGTCCATTTCCTCGTAAGTCTAGTTTGGGGAAAAACCCTCCTTCAGTCATGGAGATATTCTTTGGTATATTTCGGCTGCTTGCATGGTGCTCAACCGCCTTGTGCAAATATACCCTGTTACCCGAGAACACACCGCCACTACGCGATTACGATCTTTAAAGACTGTCATGATCTCACAACTACTCTCGCTCAAATGATATACGTTGATGTTGCAAGCTACGAAAACGTACAGTTGCTCTCTGAGAGGCAACATGCCATGGAGATACTGTTGTAGTTCTTCTCGTGGAAACTAATTCCTTCTAGAAGGTACTGCACATTTTTGTAGTTACAGTGTGACAGTCTTTAGCACTCGGGGAAAGTAATTCTATGTTCTGGAAACTCACCCTTCTGGTGGTGCATCGTGATAGTACAGACTATTGTAGTTCATGCCTATCAACTTGGGAAACAGTACCGAGGTGCTCGACTCGAGGAAACCTATATCCCAGATCGCCTTGAATAGATATTGCCGGAGCTGCGTACTGTTCGTGGCAAGAGCAATCGTAGCCGAACTGGGAACAATGGTGGTACGAAATGCATCAATGTAGATGTTCTCAGCTTCGGGAAGCCTTGATAAGAAGCTGGTCACGTCGTCGTTGGTGACAAATTTGTCGAGAATCAACTCTCCTGAAAGCGTTATTGAGCGCAGTTTGTGTAGTCTTCCGATGGCAAGTAACTCTCCGCGGGATATGCTTCTCTCAGGTCCGAGAACGGAGATATGGACATCCCTCAATTCTGTAATTTCGCCAATGGTTTGGAAGACTTTGTGATTTGTATCGCCAGGCAGTAGATCAACCCTGAGCTTTCTCAAAGTTGTCAAGGTTGGCAATAGCTTCACAGCGGCGCACCAATCCATCTTGGATTCGAGATGGTGGGCATCTTGGAAGATTCTGTTGGGCCACGATCGTTCGCAGGCCAGATCAATCATTTCGGATGTGATGGATTTGTGCATGCGTAGTTCAAGAAGCAGCAAACTTGCCAAGTGAACAAAGACCTCATCGGTCATGGTATCATCGGCCATGCCACTTAGATCCAAGTTTCGTAGCTTTGAAAAGCTTCTCAAGTAGGCGTCAAAGCCATGAAAAGGGAGACGGCCGTCGCGGTTCGAGTAACTCACACAAAACCTGCGAAGATTTGGACAACACTCTGGAAGTTGCCTCAAGTACTTTTCGGCTCCTCTTTGATGACTGTACAATCGGAAATCTTCAAGACTCGGGACCAGGTGATGGTTAAGGTCGGCATTATCTTCAGTAAGCCATGGGTCAAATCGTTTGAGCTTCGGAAAGTCTAGATGTCTGATGAGGCACTGTGTTTTGAGACAGCTCTGCATGTCCATCCGCCAGGATCAGATTCTATCCGCATAGTATTGGCGTCGATTTCTGGGAATAGAGCTCAGACGTTGTGATCCGTTCACCATTACAGTGTGCCATAGCACATCCAGACCTTCTTCGGCCCAGATTTTATTGACTCGACTAGCAGCGAGGAGGGCTCTGCGCTCGTGCTCCAGATGTTCAAGTACCTCACGCAAGATCTCCGGGATGTTGAGTGCATGAGGTGTCTGATTGCTCATGATGGCGGGTTGGTTGCACGAAGTACTGTGAGGAGGTACTGTAGAAAGTCAAGTTCAAATAGCGACGCGCAGCCTATAAAAGCACATTTTAGGATTAAGGTTGTAGTCAAAGAGGTTTGAGCACATTCTGTCATTCCAAAGATACTACTTGCTCAATCAGGATTATCGTGTGATGCTTCAGCACAAGGTGAGGTTGAACCTTTCACAAGCATCGGAGGTGCATGCCGAGGAAGCTGCTTCCCCACCATTCATCACTTCAACGTATCTCACAATCCGACACCTCAAACAATTCACTCTAAGCGCCACCAGCAATCATCTCTCCAACTTCGAACTCACTGTCCCAACCATTACAACAAACAACAAAAGACATGTCTTCGAACGCAACACCAACCACGACAACCGCACCACCTCTAAACCCAACACCCACAACAACACAACCACCCCTCCCACCAGCCCAAACCTTTGACATCCTCCCACCNCTCCACGCCCTTCTCTCACGCCTAGAGCCCTCTCTAAATGTCTATACTCCGGACACCTCTGCCGCTCTACCACCAAACAATGCTCCTCACACCCCCGTCACCTCTGCCTCTGCACTCCCCAGCTCAGCACCTCAGCAACTAGACTACAAAGATGCGGCCGTGGCTGCGCAATTCTTGAGGAGTAGGATTAGGAAGGCGTTGGCTGATCTGGGTGGATTGGCGGATATGCATAGAGGTGTTGAAGAGCAGGAGGAAGAAATCAAGAGCTTAGAGGATAAGATCAAGAGACAGAGGGAGGTGTTGGCTAGATTGGCGGTTTTGGCAGAGGAGAACAGTTGAAGAGGAGGTTGAATGAGAGGCACACAATCTACGGAACGCATAACGACGCTTGCGACTGCGACAGTGCATGTCGCGCATACACGTTTGAGCCGATATCCAAAGCCGAGATGGCTATGCTCCAACAACCACTCTCGCAATCTGCGAAACGCGAACACTGCTTCGTAACTCCGATCGATTGCCCGGCACCGCGCAAGCCACCGAGCTATCTGCAAGGCCCAACGAGGACTCGAACAACCACACGACACACAACATACCCATGTCAACCATCTGATGCCAAAGAGCTTATGCCACAGAAGCCGTTCGCACCAGGTGCCTGGAGCCTACCAGGAACTGTTGTACCAGGAGGAAGCTTTCAGATCACATGCGCACGAACCACGAACACAAATTGAAAGAGACAAAGACACAATCATCAAGGGATAAGAGAAGTAGATTCGGAAAACCAAAACGCTAAAGTCTATTTTCATCATAAGGGGAGAAGCCAATTAAGTTATTCGTTAATAATATTCACATGAGAAGCCCATTTTGTGTGCGGTCTGGAATCCTGCTAGGCTCCCTGGACCTTTGCGTTTCTGCGCTCGGCTGCCGATGCAGTGAGCTTGAGTGCCTCGGGAGCGTCCTCCTTGGGCATGTACATCTCGACGAACTGCAGGTAAGGAGCGGCGTTGAAGTTGTCGTCGGCCATGAGCTGGTCGAGCTCCTCGCGTGTCTTGACGGTGTAAGTCTTGTACTCGCCCTCCTTTGCGCCGAAAGCGGGTACCAAATCCTTGTACTTCCACTCCTGGACGTCGTTGTATTCGGCGTTCATGCCGTGGATCATGCGCTCGATAGTGTAGCCATCGTTTTGAATAAGGAAGATGATGGGCTTCAACTTGCGGCGGATCATGGTCGAGACCTCCTGAGCGGTCAACTGGAATGAACCATCGCCAGTGAGCAGGATAGTGCGGTGCTTCTCGCCCTTCTCCTCTTCGAGCTCCTTGGCAGCCAATGCAGCACCCTGGCAAGAACCAGTGGCGTAACCGATGGAGCCCCACAGGACCTGAGAAATGAGTTGGACTCTGGCAGGGAAGCGAGTCTCCCAGATACCAAAGTTGGCAGTACCGGTCTCAGTGAGGACAATGTCCTGCTCGCGCAGCCACTGGCCAAGACGAGGCCAGAAGTACTTCTGTGTGATGACCTGTGTGTTTTCCTGGCTGCTTGTGCGGTTGGTGGGCTTGGGACCAGCCTCGACATTCAACTTGCCCATTTTGTCGACGACCTTGCGGAGGACACCGTTCATACGAACACCAGGGTATTGTGAGTAGCGGACTTGGATGAAGTTGGAGTGGAAGTCAATGGTGGTCAATTGACTCTGGCGGAATGTGAAGCCTGCGGTGTTGAAGTCTGACTTGATGGCACCAATGCTGAGGACAAGATCAGAGCTCTCGACACGGTCGCGAACACCCTCGTTTGAGCCATCACCAGCGTACACACCACCGTAGTTGGGAAGAGTCTCGTCGACGCATCCCTTACCAAGGGGAGCAACAAATGTGGGCAAGCCAGACTTGACGACCAAGTCATGTGTCTCCTTCTGGGCGCGGTGTCGGATAGCACAACCATCGACCAGGATAACAGGGTTCTTTGCTGCATGCAGGTACTTCAGGACAACATCGACGACGTAGTCTTCTTGCTCTTCGGGGTTGGCAGAGTATGCCAGATCGATGGGTTGAGCGAGTCTCTCACCCTCAATCATGTCCTCGACAATGTCACAAGGCAGACCGATGTAGACGGGGCGTGATTGGATGTAACATTCGCGAATGACGTGGTCAATCTCGGCGGCAGCAGTGTTGGGGTCCTTGAGGTTGGCGACGGCGCAGGAAACCGGGCGGAACATGTCGATGAAGACGTCGTAGTTGCCATTGCCGAGAGTGTGGTGGAGCAAAAGGCCATCTTTCTGTGCTGTCGTTGAGGGCGTACCGACAACGTGAACGATCGGGACGTATTCTGAGTAGGCGCCGGCAATAGCGTTGATGGCCGAGAGCTCACCAACACCAAAGGTGGTAACAAGGGCGGACAAGCCCTTAATTCTTGCATATCCGTNCTGGAAAATAAGATGTTAGCTTGTGCTGCGCGAGATTCATTCAACCAACTTACCAGCAGCGTAACCAGCGTTGAGCTCGTTGCAGTTGCCGACCCATTTCAGGCCAGCCTTCTCCAGGTAGTCGAGGGCGACCAGGTTGTAGTCACCAGGAAGACCGTGAACAGAGCTAACGCCACATTGCTTCAGACGAGCAAAGAGGTACTCGGTGATGGTGATGGGCTTCTTGAGCGAACTTGTACGGATGTCTTGAGAAGCCATGGTGGGGAGGGGTGTGGATGATTCTAGGATCTCAGAAGAGGATGGGAAGAGAAAAAGGAGGCTCTATATTCGGGAGCTCCGGTTGGTTTATATTTGTATTGCTACTTTCATAGGAAGCTCAAACCGCTGAACTGCTCCCTGGAATACCCTGGGAGCTCTTGCCCGACAACGAGTATGACGACGCAGCTCGGAACCTCATGGATAGGCCCGACCAACAAGTGTCACCCCATCACCAGAACCTCGCCATCTTCTCTGCGGCCCTACTCGCGAGTGCGACCGGCTCCGTTTCTGTTCGACTCGATCGCCATGTTTCCAGATCCATTGTCCACGAGAGACTCAAGACAATTCGCATTATACAGCATGCCATCTCTCGGAGAACGCTCCACAATAAAAGAATTGGGGACCTTGATGACATCGTCTTTGATCATCCGAAGCTTGGGCCTCCAAAACTGAGCGAGTCAAGCCATAGCTTCGGCTGCTCCCGAACCTGCGAACCTCCTTCCTCTCGCCATCACGCGTTTGCCGACACGATGGCTACACCACTGATATAAAAACTCTCTTGGATCGTAACGTGGTATTCCAGCCTACTTGCATGTTTATCTGTTGGCCCCAACAGCAGTAGCGTGTGTCATATGTTCCGTATCGCATATTTTGATTTACCATCTTCCTAGTGTTCACGATACTCGGACTTGTCTCTAGCAGTAACGCGTCTATTCGCTCGAGATGGGGACGCCTAGTTACCTTCTCCGGTCTCTACCGAGTGTTGGGCATAACGCACTGGTTGCCTCTCCTTTGCCTCCAATCCAACTCACCGAACAGCTGGACCCGTGTTGTAAGCTGTTTGAAACCGCCGCATCGACGATAATGTTTAGGATCTGATAAGATCTCAGACCACTACTGCCTATGCAATTGTCAATCGAACCATACCTACATCTTAGCCTCGGACCATTAATCAGGAAGCACATGTGCTTTCATGAGACCACTTCTTTGCACTTCGCAATCATCATTGATCACCCAGCCTAACAAGCACCGCTCTCCGATACCAAATTTTACCATGCTAGTGACACCTTGAACATGGTGCATTAGCAACCCGACATCGAAAAAGCAAACAGTTGTTGGAACACAGCAGAAAAGAATGAAGCTTTCTATTAGACAAAAGAGTAGTCTTTAAAGCACGCCGAGATTGCTAACCTCACCGCTTTCCTCACGCGGTTGGCCGCCAATAACGTAGCTGGCACGCCAACGCATACGAACAGCACTTCCTTTGCCCGGAGCGACGCCTTGTAAGCGGATAGCTTGCTTAATTCCGTCGATCTGGTTTGGTGACAGGTTGCGACCGGATTGTGGTTGAAGTTGCAGGGAGAATGCCTTNNGAAGACAAAAAATGTTAGTTTGCTAGATATCAAAGAGGGTTTGGCTGAGGCTTGAGCATACCTTTGTTACTGCGAGTTGGAGGGTAAAATCGCTAACGGGCTGAGGGGTCTTGTTGGATATCCTGGCGTCAATGGCTAGGTAGTCGTTTGCACCCGCCGGCCGTGAGACGTTAAAGACAGCTCTCACGGTGGAGTCAATGACAGTAACGGTGTTGGACTGGGGTTGCTGTGGTTGAGTAGGCAGGGCAGACGAAAATGTCCACTCGTCATCCCCACCCAAAAGTGATGCAGCTGATTGCGGGACTGCGGCTGATGCTGCAGGCTTGACAGATTGCTGGAATTGGAATGGTGATGCGGTGCGCGAGTTGCCGGATAGAGCAGCGAATGGGTCTGCCGCCTTTTGTTGTTGTTGGGGTTGTTGGAAGGAGTTTGATGCAGGAGCGGAGGAAGCAGTCATGCCGAAGGGATCATAGTTGGCTCTGGATGCTTGAGGTTGAGCAGGAGGAGCAATGGCAGCAGGTGCAGGAGTTGGCTGTGAACTCGAGGGACCTGCAAGATCGGCCAGACCATTGTTGGGTGAGCCGAGAGTCAAGGCACCACCAGAACCATAAGTAGAATCGCCCATTGACAGGCCAAGCAAGTCGTCTTCCAACGCATTACCCTTGGACTGTGGAGCTGCCTGAGAAGGCTGGGACTGAGCAGGCTGGGCGGCTTCTTCGTCTTCTGGACCACCAAAGTCGATAAGAGACAACTCGTTGTTAGGTCCGCTCTTGACACCGGCACCGCTGATACCAAGAGTGCCAGCAGCGATTCTGTTGGCACCCTCGAGATCGCCCTTCTTGATGAGCTTGTATCTTTCGCTTGTACGATGAATACTATCGTTGATCTCGAACAGCTTTGCGACAGCCTCGTGGTCCTCGGACTCTTCCTCGCACATTTTCTGGATCTTGGGGTGTGCGCTGGCCAAGGCATTTGCAAGTTNCCTTATTTCGTCAGTATCAATTCCCGACATGAAGCAGCCAATGCTACTCACCTCGAAGACATCGCCCTCCTTGATCTCGTCGCCTGGCTTATAGCCCTGCAACATTTCCTCTAGCAGCCTTGCCTTTTGCTGAATCTTGCCAACCTCCTCGGCAGCCTTTGCACGGTAGTCGGTCTTGCGGCGAGTGTCAAAGCCGGCCATGATCTTCATGAGCTTGTTGGCCTCTTGCAAGTCATGAGGGGTACCTCTGCGGATGAGCTCCTGCAGTTTTGCTGACTGAGCGGCGCGTTCCTCCTCCTCCATCTCTTCGGCTGATCTAAGATCGTTGGTGGGATTGAGCACGGCGGCATCTTCCTTCTTGACCTCGGGGAAAGTGTAGCCCTTGTAGCTCAGCAGACGGTGCATGTCGCGGATGAAGCCCAGATCCTCTCTGTACTTTGAGGTGACGCAGATGGTGGAGCGCCATTCTTCGATAAGCTCGAGGATGCGGTTCTGGACACGAGTGACGCGCATGGGAGGACGCTCGGGGAAGCGACGGACGAGCTCGTTGAGGAAGTCCTTTGTGCTGACTTGGAGATGGAAAGCATAGCCGCAGTTCTTTACACAGATGTCGAGCAGTGTCAAGGCGAGCATAGAGACATTGGGGTTGCGGTGGTTGACGTATTGAACAATGGCGACGGCGGCTTCGCGCGGAGCGTTTCCCTTCTTAGCATTGATCAAGTCGGCTATCTCGAGGTTCAGAGCCAGGTTTGGCTCGAAGTTTTGCGGGTCGCAGGCATTNNGTCTGAAGACACTCGTTAGACGACAGACTCTCTCGATGTGGTAGGAGGTAGACAGACGAATGTAGCGCTGCAGCGGGGTTTGGGGAGCAGGTCCCTCGTGAACCCAGCGGTCCCGGGCCGCGTATCTAGCTGATGCTGCCTCCACGATGGGCGATTTTGGAGGTGGAAGGTATTGGGAAGTGAAGGTCTGTTGGGCGTGTGTGAGACAGGAAAGGGAAATGTCGTAAAGATAGCTTATCGAGTGCAGGCCGCTGAGCGGTATGCACCACGTCGAGGTGTACGGAGAAGCTTCTTGGCGGGCCCCGACCTTGACGTAATCGCCTGACTCGCGTCGATTTTCCTATCCATCTCGAAATTTGCCTGCCCCTCATCTCGTCATCTACCCCCTTCGAGTCCATTCTCGCAACTCATCTGGAATCCATCTCGTTGCCTGTGCTACACTTGTACATATTTTACCCACATATCGACACCAGGACGACACATCACAGCCATCATGGTCCGCCACAAGAAGGACATGTCCAACAAGGGCAAGCGCTACCCAAACAGCCGCTCTGCTCGTCCTCTGCCTCCAGCTCGTGGCGAGGAAGGAGAGGTCGATCCTGCTGCCTCTAAGCGTCCTCCGTACAAGGCCGCCGCCTGGGATCTCGGCCACTGTGACGCCAAACGATGCAGCGGCAAACGCCTGATGCGTCTGGGCCTCATGCGCGAACTGCATGTCGGTCAGAAGTTTGCTGGCATTGTCGTTTCGCCCAATGCAAAGACCATCATCTCGCCTGCCGACGCCCCTCTCCTCGAGCAGTACGGTGCTGCTGTTGTCGAAGCCAGTTGGAAGCGTATCCAAGAAGTCCCCTTTGGCAAGATCGGAGGCCCTCACCAACGACTTCTCCCCTACCTCATCGCCGCAAACCCTACAAACTATGGAAAACCCTGGAGGATGAACTGTGTTGAAGCTCTTGCTGCCTGTTTCTACATTTGTGGAAAGAAAGAGTGGGCCGAGCACATTCTCAGCACCTTCAGCTACGGCCAGGCTTTCCTTGACATCAACGAAGCTGTCCTGAAGAGATATGCCGCCTGTGAGGACGAGGCTGGTATCAAAAAGGCCGAAGAGGCTTGGTTGGAGAAGATCGAGAACGAATACACTCAGGATCGTGCCGAGAGAGAGGCCAATGAGGACGACGCATGGAGAGGAGGCAATTTGAACCGCACTCGTATGCTCGACGAGTCTGACGAAGAGGGCAGTGACGAGGAGAGCGATGGTGAAGAGAGTGAAGACAAAGACGAGGAGGATGAAGATGACGAGGAGGAAGACGACCACGATCCTTATGGCATGCCGCCTTCGGATGACGACGAGGAGGAAATGGCTGAGCTCCGCCGACGTGTGCTTGCCTCAAAGCCTTTCCAGAATCCTGCTCCTCCCGTTTCAGACGACAAGCCGCAACCAGGTCGCATTGCACAGACCGAACCTAAGCCTCTACAAGATTCCGACGACGAGTCAGGTTCAGATGTTGGTGATGCCGAGGATGACGACTTCGACAACATCATGAGTGCAACACCCGTGTTGGACCGCTCAGGAATTGCAAGGAAGCAAAAACAAAAGGCACAGGATCAGATCAGTGCTCGTTTTTCGAGGACTGTGATTGATGCACCTTCAAAGTGGCCTCCAAGCGCTTGAGCAGCTTTCTCATAATTTAATCAAATATATAATGCATCCAGCAAATGCTGTCGATTTTACGTACCTACTGCAAGAACAATACTTGGCATGCCTTCTGATGTTGTTCTGTGCTCGTCCGTTCCTGTCCATGCTGCTGTAAACAAGACCTGATCTTGGTCAGGTTGGCACCAGTCGTGCACATGGCAGCCAAACCAAATGCCGACCGTTCACTCCATTGCCGACAATGTGGAGCCCCAAGCAAAGTTTCCGTGCTGCTCCGGCTTTTCTCCAGCTCTTTCGACATCATCCTCTCCACCATGACCACAGTGTGCCTCGACGCGGGGATCCTTACTGCAACCATGGGGCAGCGATCAGCAAGCAGAATGGAAATTTCTATGGTGATCGATGCAACCTGATGCTGAACCCTTGCTGCTGAATGAGTATATGTAGAGGGCTGTGTCTCGCCGTTTGTGTTGTAAGTACATCTCATTCTCCATTTCAAGATTATGTACGCCTCTCTTCTTGCGGCACTCAGTGTGCCGGCACTTGCAGTTGCCCGAACTGTCGTCACCGTCCCCGAACGTGTCTGTATCGTCGAGCCTTGTGCAAATGGCGGTGACTCGGCTCCAGCCATCATCGAAGCCTTCGAAAAATGCGGCCACAACGAGGAGCCCTCACGAGGAAAGGTCGTCTTCCGCAATGAAACCTACAACATTCATAGTGTCATGAACACCACTGGTCTGAAGAATGTCGACGTGGACCTCAATGGACTGTTGCTTTGGGATACCAATATTCCATACTGGCTCAACCACTCTCTCCCTGTTGGCTACCAAAACCAATCGTCTGCTTGGTTGTTTGGTGGAGAGAATATCAATTGGGATGGTCACGGTCAGGCTACCCTCAACGGTTCAGGACAAGTTTGGTATACCTTTGTCAACGGAACCAACAACTAGTAAGTGTTCATACATAATATCCTCTCTCCTACAGCGACACATAGTGTTGGTATGCTAGAAAGATGCACAATTGCTTTCTTGACAGAGAAGTGGCCATTGAGATGCCTGAATACGACGTTCTCTCGATGTTCTATACCCTGTTGTGGAAAGCTTCGTGCATTTTCATAGCTGTACTGTAACTGCCTATCGCTCACGGGAATGCGTTGTCGACACGCGTACTAACCTTGGTATAGTCCCGGAAGACCTCATCAGATCACCATCACCGGAACCAAGGATAGCACTTTCTTGGGTACCCGATTCGTAGACTCGCAGATGTGGACAATGACTGTCATCCACAGCGAGAACGTTCTTCTCGAAGACATCTACGTGAACAGCACCGGAAGCGAGCCCGTTGGCTTCGACTTCTCTTCTCTCAACACCGATGGCAAGTCAGGTACCAGCTCTCACACCAGGATCATGCTAACGATACTCTCGCTTTGTAGGTGCTGACACTGTTTACGCAAACAACATCACCTTCCGTCGTTGGAGCGTCACAAACGGAGACGATTCTATCGCCTTGAAGGCCAACAGCACCAATATCCTTATTGAAGATTGTGACTTCTACACTGGTCTCGGCGTTGCAATCGGCAGTATCGGCCAATATAACAACACCTTCGAGATCATCGAGAACGTCACTGCTCGCGACATTCGCTCCTACAACATGAGATATGGCGCCTATGTCAAAACCTGTTTGTGCCATCATGCCCCTTTCAACGAGACAACTTGCTGACTTGCTTAGGGACCGGTATTGCGACTGGTTATGCCCCGAACGGCGGCGGAGGCGGACTCGGGTATGCTGCCAACATTACATTCTCCGACTTCGTCTTGCACAATAACACTGGTATCTATGCGGTGACTCAATGCACCTCCTACAATGGAGTGAGTGGAGGATGCGACAGTAGCAAGTTCAACCTCCGCGACATTCGTCTGCAAAACTGGACTGGAACTGCTGTCAGCGATGTTGTCAGTGCTATCCAGTGCTCGGCTGCATCTCCTTGCACTGGCCAGGAGATTATCGGTATTGATATTCTCGACACTGTCAACGGTACTGCTCCGAGCCAGTACTTGTGTGACAATGTGTCATCTGTCGGGTTCAACTGCACTGGTCCCACATGGGAGGAGAACAGCAGGTAGACATGTTTATCACTATATAGTAAGCCAAGAGCATACTTCTCTACCCAACTCAGATCTTCGATGATGACGAGGATATAATCTTACCCCTTTCTTGTCCTTCTTATGTGCTAAGGACTGTTATAGTGTAGTCTTGAAAATGCACAATACCTTTTAGGATAAAGTAATGTCTAAGGAGAGATATCATCTCGAGTTATCTCTGTAGACATATGTCTGTTTTGGTAAGTCACTGCATTTTCATAGCATACTATAGCACTATTTGTTGGTGGGAGAGGAAACCAGTATCTAGCTCTCCTTGGTGCTGTTTACTCGAGCATCTCTTCGTACTGCTCGTCAAACATGCCCCTGACGCTCATGGGTCTCGACTGGTGAGGTTAGCGGACTATCTCTCTGCTCAGCCCGTCTGCTCGTGCTGCACAAACTCTCTTCACTTCCGTCGAGCCTACTTGATCTCAAAAGTCTTCTGCTCCTCCAACGAATTACATATGGTCTAGTGGTCAAGCATTACCTCACTGCAACACCAGCTAATCCAATTCGGCAGTCACTAACATCTTCTTTCACCAACTGATCAGCATATAATTTCACAGCAACTTTCAATTGGTCTCAGATGCAGGTGCCCTTGAGAATTGTAGGGGTCGAGTCAAACTTCTGAGGCTGGAGGATGTTGGGAAGGGGAGGTGGAGGAGGATATCAAAACGCTTAACAACAATGACTTTGAAAGGTAAGCAAGAAACTTCCGACCATCAGACCAGTGGTTTCTTTTTGCTGGTAGAGATGAGATCAATCCTGACCATGTGCTAGGGTCTGCTACTATTGCACTCTCACATCACGTACAGTGCGATGCGTACACTACGGAAAGGCACAGTCGCTTCCTAGATTGGACAAGTGACCAAAGAGAGTTGAGAATGTGGCTTCCCTCGACGGACATCGTCCTGTTTCTCAAGACCATTGTGCATCTCTATAGCTACGGTGTAAACTACTTCGGCACAGGAGAGGACAGGGAAGAATGAGTTCACATATGTGTTAGAGTCTGAAAGTGAGTGTTCGAAGTTGCCGCTTCGAGACTTAGATGCTGGTCCGTCACGACTGCCTCGAGCAAACACCAAAACATCTGCGCAGCGCATCAACAAACGAGGTTACTCGACTTCCTTTGTCTTCAGACATTCCATCACACTAAATCAACCACACAACACCTTCACTTCCCATAGACTTCTGCGCCAACCCGCCTCTTTAGTGCCTTGCAGACCCAACTACCTCTCTCAGACACGGACGCCTCTTCACCAATCAGCTTTTCAATCTCATCGCTATCATCACGCACGCTCGCTGCGCGGCAAAACAATCACACCACAGTCAGCCTTCAACGTCGATGCCACCCTCAGCATGGAGAAACTTCCTCTCGAACTGAAGCAGCACATCTGCAGCTTCCTTCATGCAAGTCCTAATTTGCTCAAACCCATTCACCTGGTCTCGAAGCAATTCGCGTCTGCGGCTGCACCTTTTCTGCTGCCACGCATCTTTCTCTTGAACCATCCGGACAGTTGTGATGAGGTCTAGGAAATCATCGAGCATCCAGTGTTCAGCAAGTATGCCACTACCCTTGTTGTAGACGTCAATAGACTAAAACATCACAACAACCTCGAGCATTGGATCGATGACCATGAAGAGATGCAAAACGCATATCCTGATTGGTGGGAATTCAAATCTCAGGACATCGAATACGATGAAGATGGCGATCCAATTCTCACNCACTTTTTTTCTCACGCTAGTTGGAGCAAAGCGACTGAGGACTTCAATCGAGCTCTGGAGGATACCACTCGATCGATCAAAGAACGGTCTCACATATACTGGAGAATGCAGACATACTTTGCAGTGCACGTTCAATCGGACGCTGATTTCAAGTCTCGTTTCTGAAAAACGGTAGCAGACGCCTTCGAAACGTGTCCAAGCCTTACCAACTTGGTTATCGCGCCACCACATCATTTTGGAGCAACCACACGAAGGAGGAACAGGGTGTTCAATGCCTGCTTTGCCACTCACAACTCGTTTGTAGCACCTGAGGACCACATACCGCCCGAATTTGGTCTGAAAGACATACTGCAAGCTACAAAGAATTCCAAAGGCGGCCTCAACTCTCTGGCCATTGTGGACTTCCCAATCGACTGTACCGCTTCCATGATCGCAAGCTTACATCCATTCGAAAGCCTGAAGCACATCCGTATTGGTTACAATCGAGTCGATTGTAACCCCACCGCTTTTGGCTTCCATTGCCAACAAGTTCTCTATGCGGCACGATCTCTGGAGACCTTTTGGATAGAGATGCCACCTCGTAGGCTCGACGAGTATGATGCAGGTGGCTTGCTACAAGCGATCAACTCTGAACACTTTCGTGACATCTTGCTCGACAATGCTGTTGTTTCAGAAGATTCCATGGTCAGCTTTTTGCTCCGCCATGCCGATTCGTTGCAGCAGCTGGATTTGGGCGTGACCGTAAGCCCTGAAACTTGGGTCTCGACATGAACTCGTGTTTCTGAGCGACTTTGACTTGTCAGGAGGTTCGCAATTCGCTTAGCGTAGGGGAGGCGGTGATGGGACGTCAACGAACAAGAAGCGGACGGGTAAGACTATAGCTGTCGGCAGGCATCAAAGAGGAGGAAACATACGACAAGTCTGGACAGAACAGTCCAGATTAGCTAACACAAACAGTTAGCTAGACATCAAATAAGCTTCTCCTTCGTGTATGCTAAACAATGTCACAATATCACGAATCAACACTCTCCCATAGTGAAACATAGCGACTTTTAGATCTGCAAAACGCATAAATGCTTTCCAAAAAGCAGCATGACCATGGAGATATCCTGGTAAAGCGGCTTCTCCATGGTCACGACGCTTTTCTGAAAAGTTTCATGCGTTTCTACAGCTACAGCTACAGTTCTTGATACGCTGGAAGGATGCGATTTGAGGGTTCCAATTGACCTCGAGAGTCAGGGAAAATGGTCTATGCGAGTGGAAGATGTTCACAAAAGGATCTAGGTTACAAAACACATGGACGAGCAAAGTATTATCCATGACGTACTCCAAGATAAATCTCGTGAATGTACAGTGACTTGATTATCAGTCATGAGACATTGCCTATGTCGGGAACTCAAGATTCGACAAGAAGGGATGTTCAGCAAGATTCTCCCAGAACCCAAGGTCAAAGTCCCAAGCCTCCAGATTCAAGTTCGAAGCCCAAGGTCCCATCTGTCCCGGCGCTGCATCCTGGTGAGTGTTGATCTGACCATTGGGATGGTGATCATGTCTCTCCTCCGAATCGAGGAAGTTCTCGATAGTCTGCGCGGCTCTGGTGAGCAAAGCAAAATTCGGCTCACGTGGATGTGATAATGCGCCGATTTGTATCTCGGCCACGAGGATTCTTAGATTCTGCAGGACTTTGGCGCGCGACAAGCCGCCGAAGTGGTAGGGGTTGCGTTGCTCGAGGATAGCGAGCAATATGATGCCTGAGGCTGGTAGGCCATAAAGGATGACCTTCCACACAAGACCACTTCCAGAGTTCGCAAGGCGATCGCGAGCTAGAACGGCTTGAACTACTAAAGTGAGCATCTCATGTGCTATCTGAATCATCTCGTCGTCTGGTTGAGCCAAACTGTTCAGCAAGATAAATCGCAATAGGAAGCGGATGTGTATGTGGTCCAGCCGAGCGCTAATGAGAAAGTCGCGCTCGAATGGGCTCCTTCTGTAGTCATTCAAACAACCAACGTCGTAGCGCATGTGTGTGGGTAGCTGCTGCCATTGTGCTTCAGCTTTGGCATAGATGACACTCGCTCGTTGAACGCAGTGTTCGCGATTCTTTTCGATAAACAGCTCCAAAATTTCCTCTTTGAGTAGCGCACATAGAGCCGCCCAACTACATCCTGCTCTGTAATCAATCTTGATCTCGTTTGCTTGTCCAACACTTTCAGTGCCAGGAGCAGACGCGTTAATCTCGAATGAGTCCAAGGCAATTGGTATTCGGAAATGACAAAATCTTCGACTCAGACGTGGTGGTCGACCAAGAAAGATGGAGACTTCTTTGTCGTCCGTGTATATGCGTGCGAATGCACTCTGCCGTAGTTCAACCAGGAAATTTGGAATCCTGGATCTGGTCTCGACCCGTTCGTGGTAACCAAGAGCAAGCATGGAGGCGATGACATCTCCGAGCCTTCGCCATGAGCTGTAACTCTGATCTCCATCGACGAACGTGTGCACAATGAAGTTTTCGTATTGAAAAGCAAGCTGAAGGTCATTCAGACAGTCGAGTGATAAACAGACTTCCAGAGCGTGGTCGCTCAATCGAGTAGCCAGTTTTCGAAGTCTGAATTTGTCTTCGTCCGACTTGTACAAAGTTGGAAAGAACGGAACATCATTCGTGGCTCTGACCACTGCAGAAAGAAAGATACCCAAGGTTTCTAAGCGAGCATTGTTTCCAGAAAATTGAGCTGCATATGCACCAAAAGTTGTCTCAGGACCAAAAAGTAACGGGCTCTGTGAATTTCGAGTCAAGTGTTCCATGCAAGTGTCTGTTGGCTGTCCAGAATTGAGAGCTTCATCCATGCTATCCACACACGAATCTAACAAAGACTCGGCATGCGAGAGACTGATACCCTTGGCAAGCCAGAATGATACCAGATCTTTGAGGGTACTCAACGGATACTCTTCCAGAAGCAGCTTTATCAATGATGTTCCTTGTCGACACGCGATATCATCATTATCAAGCAATGCAGGCACGGAAACTCCAGCTGGTACAGAGTCAGGTTCCGGCTGAGCGGTTCCCGGTTCATGATGTCGAGGAGAAATGTGACTAAAAATTGCAGCAGAACTCAATGAGCCTTGAAACCCTGGATTTGGATAAGGTCGAATGGTTGGCGTCGCTGCTGCCGTCGGAGGTGGTTCGGATTCTCGAGACTNGACTGCCATTGCTATCAAATCATCAACAACCACACCAAAAAGTCGCGAAGTCTCTGCAATTCTGTACCGTGAAATATTCGTCCTAGGCGAAGGACCTAAATCTGTTCGTCTTCTTTTGAATGGAGATATTCGATACTCGCAGGCGTCGGCTCTGTTAGCACCCAAGCATCGAGTGCATACCGGTCGGACATGATCACAGGCCAACTTCGACCTCCTACAAGGCTCACAAGCCGCCTCACGAGGTGGCATAACTTCCTGATGCGAGTCGTGTTTTTTCCTTCTGCTATGGGTTGGTCGGAGTAAGGAAATGCCACATCACTCCGAATCGATAGCAGTCTTCGGCGCGTTCGGCTGGAAGCGGCTTGGCAAGATCGATGAGGGGTGTGGGGACGCCTCGGTCGTTGCTGCCCCGCTTACTCCGACGACAACGACATATCATGGTTTCTGAGCATACGTCTCACTAGTTGTCTTCTGTTGACAAGCATTCACATCGGAGTTCAACTTCTAATCCCATCGTGTAGAGTCACTTGACGTGAGTCCGTTCTCAAATCATTGGATCCGAAACCACCTCAACAATGTCTTCAACGTCACAGGATACCATTACACTCGCCGATTATGTCTTCGCAAGACTCCATCAACTTGGCATTCGGTCAGTCTTCGGAGTTCCTGGCGACTACAACCTTCGACTGCTGGATTTTGTTGAGCCTGCGGGCTTGCACTGGGTTGGCAACTGCAATGAGTTGAACTCTGCATATGCCGCTGATGCCTACGCCAGAATCCATGGCGTGAGTGCACTGATCACTACGTTTGGTGTTGGAGAGTTGTCGGCAGTCAATGGCATTGCTGGTGCATACGCAGAAAAAGCCCCCATTATCTCCATTGTTGGTACCCCAGCCAGAGCTACTCAAGAGGCTCGTACCAACGTGCATCATACATTCGCCGATGGTGACTTCAATCGCTTTGCCGCAATGCATACACATGTGACAGTCGCCCAGACAAATCTCCTGGATCCTCGCACCGCCCTGGAACAGTTTGATGTGACTGTACAACAGGCCCTGATCCACAGTCGCCCGGTTTATATCCAACTACCAGCCGACATGGTGGACGTGAAGGTGTCTGCGGCCGGTCTGACGTCCAAGATCTCCCTGCCTCCAATTTCGCATGGCGATAACGAATCGAAGGTCTCTGGCCGCATCATTGAGATGATGCATTCTGCCAAGAAGCCTCTGATATTCGTGGATGGTGAGAGCAGATGCTTAGACATCCTTGACGAGGTCAACGAATTTGTCAAGACTACAGGATGGCCTGTATGGACATCGCCATTTGGTAAAGGTTTGGTAAACGAGCATCTTGAGAGCTTTCAAGGTATCTATAATGCCGATTTGGGTAGCGAAAGCGCAAAGACCTATTTCGAATCAGCAGATCTTGCTCTGGTATTTGGTCCTCACTTTAGCAGCACCAACACCGCCTTGTTCTCGACTATCCCGAAGCAAGCAAACTCGGTCTCATTCTCCGAACGTCATGTCAAGATTGGATCCGAGATCACTCGTGATGTTTCGAACAAGAAACTCGTAGCATTGTTGCTGCAGCAGCTGGATCGTAGCAAGATATCGAAGGCTGAGAGTCCCTCGAAGCCAAGTCAAACACGCCCATCTGTCGAATCATCTGGCTTGCTCACGCAGAAAGACTTCTATCGTTTCGTTAATCCTATGCTCAAGCCCGGCGATATCGTCATGGGCGAAACGGGTACCGCCTCTCATGGCAGCCGTGATCTTGTGCTCCCAGCCGGAAGCTATTATTTCACCGCTGTTACGTGGTTGAGTATTGGATACATGCTACCAGCCGCGCTGGGTGCTGCGATCGCTCAAGTGAGTTGTTTTTTGTGTCGACCTTTGGTTCGGTAGACGAGTTCTGACTTTTGTGTGATTCAGCGCGACTCGGAGAACTGGAGAAAGAGGTCAGGCAGCAAAGATGCTTCCGAAGATCGAGTGGTCTTATTCATTGGCGACGGAAGTCTGCAGATGACTGTACAAGAGATCAGCACCATGATCAGAGAAGAGTTGAATATCGTCATTGTAGTCATCAACAACGACGGCTACACTATCGAGCGTGTCATACATGGTCGCAAACAAGCATACAACGATATTGCATCTTGGAGATATCTGCAAGCTCTGAACATGTTCGGCGCCACCGAAGACGAAGTCGAGACCAACACTTTCTCTGCACGAACTTGGGGTGAACTAGAGGCAGTGATAGGATCAGGTTTGCTCACAAACGGCAAAGGTGTCAGAATGCTCGAGGTTTTCATGGAACGCGAGGATGCACAGGGCTTCTTGTTGAAGCTTCTGAACAACCAAAAAGCTCGTGAGTCATCCAAGATGTGAGCAGGGCAGAAGCTACAAATACAGCAAGAACTACGGACTAGAGAAATGGTTTAGGGTGGCAGGCCAAGGTACCATCACAAGACGAGGCTATGAGGTATTGTTACAAGGCAATAATCGTCACGGGACGTGTTGACGATTTGGTACTACATTGATTCTCCTTATATTCCGACTGCTTTTTCCCACCTCAAATCCTGCGAACTCGCGCTGAACGCATCTCTGTGTTCCAAAACATTTACCAATTCTTGATATTGTTGTCAATTCTTAAGGCCGTAAGTAGTCCGTGTCACGTCGGCTTCCAGCTTCCCTATCGGATTGAGTTCTGCTGTAAGTCGTTCCACCCGCCACGGCTTCCGATTGCTTCGTTATCTGCACTAAGCAATCATGAGACGCAAGGGGTTTAATGCTAAACGTAATGGCTTACTCCGAAGGAACGAAGCACCAAACTTTCATACTCCGAACTGTCCGACTACACCATCGAGATATCACCTATATCTATACTGCTCTTTCTCCGACTTCCACTCAATAATACATTATTTCTAATTGACAATCTCAATTCAGTCTTGTTCAGCTCACCAGTTGTGTCAGAAGAATATCAATTATTATACTACATTTCCTCTTGGATAATCTTCTGTTCCATCAATCCATGTCATTGAAGCCCATAATGTTATCCCAAGCAATTGCCAACTACACCTCACACCGGAGCACCTCCGACCCTCTACCCTCCGGTCCTGCTCCATTCACTTCCTCCGAATTCTTCAAACTATGTCGACCAGGCACAAAGCCTAAAGCCAAGAACTGGGACCACCACCTCAGCACCGAATGTCGCAACCGCCTACCCTCAAACCTGAAAGCCTCAGCCAGCAGTGTAAAACCTGGTCCAGACGGCGCCTCCATCATCCCTCAGCGGCAAATCAGTCTAGGTGCCGGAAGACCCATCCCAGAGTACTTTCCCTGGGACTCGCTGGAGCTTTCTGGCAAACAGTCTCGAGGGGCTGCTGTTGATGAGGCAGTGGTTATGCCGTGTATGAGGGGAGAACAAGATTTTGACTTTGCGGTTGCGTTGAACTATGGATATGCTGCTGGGTCGCCGCAGCTGTTGAGATTCATCACTGAACATATTGAGATGATACATGATCCGCCGTATGATGACTGGGAGACTTGTTTGACGAGTGGCACTACTTCTGCTATGGACACCGTGTTCCGCATGTTTTGCGATCGGGGAGACTGGATCATTACTGAGGAGTATTCTTATCCTGGAGCTATTGAGGCTGTTACGCCGCTGGGCATTAACATTCTGGGTATCAAGATGGATGGTCAGGGTCTCATACCGGAAGATCTGGAGGCTAAGCTGCGCTCTTGGGATCCAGCTAGAGGACGCAAGCCATCTGTAATGTACATCGTTCCTTGCGGTCAGAACCCTACAGGAGCCACACAATCGGCAGAGAGACGAAGGAAGATCTATCAGGTTGCCGAGGAGCACGACTTATACATCATCGAGGACGACCCATACTACTTCCTGAAGCTGCACTCCAGGTCGGAGTCTGGAGAAGACAAGCAAATGCCGGTCGATGAGTACCTTCGGCAGCTGCCTCCATCGTATCTATCCATGGACGTCTCCGGTCGCGTCGTCCGTCTGGATGCCACATCAAAGATTCTCGCGCCTGGACTCAGATGTGCATGGATGACATGCTGCTCTCAGATTGCCGAAAAATACATGAACTACACCGAAGTGGGTAGTGTGGCTCCTTCTGGATTCTCTCAAGTGGCCATGTACAAGCTTCTGGACGTCACTTGGGGTCATGAGGGCTTCATCCGCTGGCTAGCATTCTTGTCTCACCAATACCGCCAACGAAGAGATGCGTTGGTCTTGGCATGCGAGAAGTACCTTCCTCCTGATCTCTTTACCTGGGTCGTTCCTGAGGCTGGCATGTTCCTCTGGCTCCATCTTCAATCGCCGACCCCACGTATCTCGTGCTCGTCTTGCTCGGACTGTTCGATTGAGAAGGAGAAGACTGCTCTGTTGGATCTTGAGGAGAGAATCTACAATCGCTCCATGGAGAAGGGAGTTGTAATTAGCAAGGGAAGCTGGTTTGCGGCTGAACCTGACCAGCTGAAGGGTGTCAAGCTTCGTCTGACATTCGCTACTGCACCTCTGGACAGCTTTGACTGGGCAGTCAAGCAATTCGCAGACGCAGTAAGAAGCGAGCTTTGAAGGTCTTAGAATATTTGTCTCGAATGTATCAACGCTCACTGTTCTTCCTATTCTTTCTACACAACTCTTTGTTGGACTTTGATAGTGATCTTCATGCATTGAAATGTTTTGAGACGGCTGAAAGACAGTTCAACCTCAACCAGTCTTCAGCAACACGTAATGCAAGTTTCTTCGGTTTGTCTCTGGCCGCATGCCCTTGGGCTTTGGAACATCAACCTGCAGCAAGAACAACGGATGATGCGAAGATGCACGCATCGTCATAGCCGCTGCAATACCGCCTGTCGTCAAATATCCGCTTCCTCCTTTTTCTCCACGAGTAGTCGTGCCTGTGGGTCCAGATGCCGCGACGATTCCTCGCTTCTTCACAGAAGGACTTTTGGGCATACCTTGTCGTTTGGAGGGGCTGGCTGACGGTGTTGCTGTTGCGCGTTGGGAGCGATGATGTGGTGGTGTTGAAGCAGAGATTTCATGGTGTTGCCTAGNGGAAATCGTGTGCTTGTGGCGACGGCGCGGTACTTTGTTGGGTTTTCTGGATGGCATGACGAGTGTCGAGTATAGATGATATACTGGTGTTGTGATAGGTGACGGATGAAGGAGTCAATGGATGCAGTGGGAAGGTCGTGGATACCAGAATGATGGCAGAAGTGTTGCGTGAAGACCAATTTAACTATGAGCATCAGGAGGCAGGAGCGACCCAAGCATGAGTTCACCTACGAGGCTCTATTTGCTTTCCGAGCGACTTGCTCACCGACACCTGCCTCGGTATCAGCGTTCTTATCAGGCTGCGACACGGCTTCCTTGACGCTTTTCTGCAGACCAACACTAGCTGTACTGTTGTGCTTTGCATTACTCAATATGCTCTCTCCAGCATCCATACTTGATGGTTCTTCCATCAACACCTTGCCAGTAAACACTCCACTGGCCGAGCTAGGTGATAAAATTGGCGCATTGTTTGAAGATGTAGAAAGGCGAGGAGAGTACGGCTCATGACTTCTTGTGGGTCCCAGACCACGATGAACTTCGGTCGACTCGCGTCTTTTGGAAGGACGTATGGTGCTGTCGGTACTTTGTTTCTTCGGAGCACCGCCACCACCTACCCAGGTCGCACCATCACCTTCACCTTGGTTTAGGTGTAAAAATCTCTGGACCTTAGCTGCGTAACCCTCCTCTTCATCGTCGTCATCGTCACTGCCCTCGAAATAGATGTCGTCCCATACAGCAGAACCTTGTGGGTTGAGTTTGTGCTTGACGGCACCGCTGGTACTCTCTTGGAGAGGTTTCAATTCATCCCGGTCTTCGCGCATGTCGGATGCACGTCTTGTAAGAGGCTTTTGCTCGTTCTGTCCTTTGACCTCTTCACCAGCCTCGTGATCGGCTTGTGAGTAATCTTTGGCACGATCGATAGCTGGTTCGTCTTCGTCTCTAGTGGTTGCGGTAAAGTTGTCTCCGAAATGCGTGTCGCACAGATGCTTGACCACGGGCCAGCCATAGGCATTCGCAAACATTCTTCGCACAATCATGTTGTTGTGTGCATCAGGCTCAAGGCGCACCAAGACTTTCCGCCAGGATAGATCTTTGTGGTATGCTCGGGCAATCTTCTCTTCCACTTTCATATTTCCCATGTCAATCGAAGCCGCGTCATCGCGAGACTGAGATGTTCTGAACGATGCAGAGTCCGAAGAGAATGAACGCCCAAGTCTACTGGGACGCTTCATTGGAGGCGGCGGAATGTCTTCGGGGTGATAGATTCTGTCGTGGAATATGGTACGATCGCGAGATGCTGGGTCGATGAGCCAGGTTGTCGATGGAATAGGAGGGTGAAGAATATCGCTGGCTGCCTCGAAAATAGAGGTACTTGGAGGTGCTTGTGCATCAGGATTGGAATTCATTGATCCTCCGCGTGTTGCTCCTGGACNGCTTGCTTGGCCTCATTGTCGGATTGTCTGTTGTACCTCTGCTGTTCCGACGAGCTCTTTGGTGGATCTCTTCGCNNCCAGTTGATCTTCATGTTCATCGTTGGCTTTCACGTCAACAGTTTGACCGCGACGCACTGCCTTGATGGTTTTTGAAGACTGACGCTCGGGTGAAGGTCCTGGACGGAAGAAGCTGAAAACACTGTTCAAGAGGCCGCCACTTTGGTTTTGGTTTGCCGCACTCGTCGAAGGCTCGGCACTTCCACGGTCCTGCGTTTTCAAGAATTGACCCGCTGTTGGCTCCGTAGCGAGAGTTGTGGAGTCTCTATTGTCGTCTCTTGTCGCTTCCGATGGTGGTTGAGGCACATCATCGCCTTGTTTTCCCGTTGGTGTATCGGCACCAGAGCCTTCATCTTCGGTGCCAGCAGCGCTTCCTACACCATTATTCTTGAGTGCTTTAGGCAGCGCATTGGCGCCAGTAAGCTCAGCCCATCCAAACTCGGCCAATGTACCTATCAAACCGTTCTCGCGGCGTGCCTTATCCACCTTACCAAGACCACCCCAATCGAGGAACAGTAGACAACTAGTCCGCAGCGGTACGATACCATCATTGACAACGTTTGAATACACAGTTCTGTTGCGGAACATGCGTAGGACCGTATGAGCAGGGCCCGTGGGGAGGATACGCAAAAGAGGCTTAGCTCCTGGATCTTCTTGGTGCTCTTCTTTTGTACCGGCTCCAAATCCTCCCATCATGGCGTTCCAACCAGATTTCGCAATATTGGGAGCCCGCCAAGTCAAGCCGAGATCTTGACCAGTACGTCCAACAAGGCCAAAGTCCAGGGCAAACTTTACATACATAGGGTTTTCGTTGCTCAGTCCAAGCATGGGAGAAGCCATACAGATGAAATTGATTGGGTGAACCTGTTCGAAGAAATGCGGCGCATGCTTCTGGATATAAGCAACTGCATATGTTTGGATCAGACCACCCAGACTATGCCCGATGAAACTGATACTAGTAAAGGTATAAGGAAGCTCGTCAGCACCGCTGTCGTCATGGTGAATGCTGCTTCCTTGGTGTGCAGGCTCGCCATCTCTGGCATTCTTAGTGGCCTGAGACTTGAACTGATCCGTAAAGGACCTCGTCATGGATTTTTTGACTGGTTGGAAGGGCTGGTCGGGATAAGTGAAGTTCAGGACGAATTTTGCCAAACGCTTGCCGAGGTATTGAATGCCTTNTTCGGTCTTGATAGCATTGCCACTGAAGCCACGCACAATGACTTGCTCTTCGTCTTCGTCACCGTCATCATCGAGATCTTCTTGGCCCCCTGAAAGAGGTGCTGTAGTGGCTTCTTCATTGGGCTTGTCATCAGTTGACGGATCTGGCTGTTCTGACGACGAGGCAGATTTGTTTTGCGATTTCTTGTAGGCAGCCTTTCTGTTCCTTGCATCGATTCTCGCCTGTCTGACCGTAGCATCTATACTCTCCTTCATGTAAAGCATATCGGCACCAATGTTGCTGTGTAGGCCATGGGTAAGAACGACCAGATGTATCTTCTTTTTCTTCTTGAGAGGTTCCTCCTTGGCTTCTTCGGTGCTGGTCTTCGTTTCCTTGGACTTGCGGACCGAGTCTTTTGAGGATCGAGGACGTTTCTGGGCATCGTTGAAAGGGAGGGCGGGCTTGTCCCAGAGTGCTTGAGTGTCCTCGACGACAAGCTTGACAGCGCGCGAATAGAGACCTTTTTGTTGGCCAACATTGTCCCTACGTTTGTCCTTTTGATGATCGTGTATTTGACCAGGACTACCATGGCCGTGGCTAGCGACGGCTGCAAATCCGAGGTCTAAGCTTCTCTCGTCCCGACCGACCAAGAGCTCGAAATGAACGGCGGCCGTGTTGGAAAACAGGATCTGAGAAGCGATCTCGATTACCCATGTAGCACTTGGCGGACCTTTCTTGTCGTCTCGATGGGCATCTTGCGAGGCACGGTTTTGACGACCGGATGCGAAGGTGTTGCCCGTCTCTCGGATGTTCTCGGGAACAGTCAGCTTGGTAGACCAGCTCGAGCCTGCCTTGAGCAGTGGTTCAAAGTCCGGCACGCCCTCCTNTTGCGGGTCCTCGACTTTGTGGTTGGGATTGAATGAGGCGGGATACGAGGCGACGTGCAAGTTGTAGGGACCATGAAGGTAGGCGGCACGTAGGGGGATGGCCGAAGTGTTCTTGATCTTGAGGTGCAGATGCGAAGGGCTGGGCAGGATTCGATCGTTGCTCGGGGTGTAGGTCAAGGTGAATCNTACAGGATGGTCAGAAGCTGCACCTCGGCGCGTTGATGTTCTTGGTCGCATGACATACCGCACCACCTCTCCTACCTTGACGCTGCCGGCTTGATGGACGAGCAGCATCCTCGTCGCGTCACCACTAACAAGTGCTGTCTGCAGTTGAGGCCTCGAGCCTTTGATTTTGCGATGGTTCTATCCAAAGTGTGCACCTGACCATCGACTTATGATGCAATTGTCTGGCCCATGGCTTTGTTTGTGTAGAAGAGATACTAGCTGAGGACAAGACGTGCGATGCACAATTCTACGTCTAGACGGATGACAAAGGAGATGGTTTTCTCATCTGGCATCGTCATAGTCGCAACCGTCACCTTCAAATGTTTTGATCCGGAGGCCGGTGACGCTTTGGCTGCTCTGCCTGCACAGCCACACCAATCTCCCGTCATCCGTTCTTGAATACCGACAACTGGACTACCAGACTATCACCCAGGACATGATCTCCGGCTGATCTACGGACCCATTGCGTGAAGCTCTGCGACGTCTGTAGTTGGGAGACGAACGTGAAACGAATTGAGATGTTGCACCTGCTCTCTTCTACGTAAGGTCGTGCGAGGTTTGTAGCGCCGCATCTGTCACAAGCTAGTGCATGATATGATGACGGTATCGGGATATACAAAACATGTAAAGCTTCCTTGCACCTGTCCAGGCGCTCAGAAGTATCGTGTCTCGAAGGCTCTTCTTCGTGTTTGGTATGATGTTTTGAAGCAGGAACACGGATCGGAAACAGAAGGAACGGGCGCCAAGAGCAACGATAACAGATAAAGAAGTGAACTACCCCACCTTGAGTGGGTTTCGAAGGCATCATCAGAGGTTATATGTATACGGCCTCAGTACGCAGACTTGTGTTGAAGTCAATCTCGGTGCCTAGCAGAGCCGTCGTGGCCGTTACGAGCAAAAAAAGACAGGTAGTCGTGTCTCAGCTGGCCTGAGCTATTCATCATCCTTCCTATCCTCTGATCAAGCGTCCTTTCCTTCTTTCTATCGATACATCACCTAAGCTTCGCGGCAACAAGTCGACCACCAGCCATCCGCCATGTTTGGTTTCGTAGCTGATATACTCACGTACGAGAAGCAGCTTCTCATCCTGATGGTCCTCACTAACGCTCTCACAGTNTCGGTGACCTCGATCCTCTTTCCCATCTTCGCATCGTACAAGGCGCTGCGCAGCTCAGACCCAGCGCAGCTAGCGCCATGGCTCATGTACTGGACCACCCTCTCACTCGCCCTCGCCGCTGAATCCTTCCTCTATCCTATCCTCAGCTGGGTACCCTTCTACTCGTGGATCCGTCTCGGCGCTCACCTCTACCTCGTGCTGCCCGGCCAGCAAGGCAGCGTCTTTGTCTACCAGAAATACATTCACCCCTTCCTCTACGAGCACGAGCGCGAAATCGACCGCTTCATCACCAACAGCCATGAGAAAGCAAAAGCAGCCGGTCTGCAATACCTCAAGCAAGGTCTCGAGTGGGTCAAAGTTAACCTCCTCGGTCTGCAACCTCGTCGTCCCACTCCTCCCGCTAGCAGACAGGTGAGCTACAGCCAAGCTCTGTACAACCGCTTCGTCATGCCCTCTGCTCGTCCCGAAGGATACAGCGGTCCTGGAACCTCGCAATCTGCCCCCGGTGCTAACGACTTGTTCTCCATGCTCGGCAATGTGATGGCTCAAGCTGCAGGTCCCGGCGGCGCAAATCGTTCTCGTGATGCACAAGCCGAAGACCTCAGCGCCAGCGGCAACCTCGTGCCCCCGCACATGTCTGGCGACGAACGCAACGCCTACATTTCCACACAAAAAGACCGCCTGCGCACTCTTCTCCAGGCCTTTGACAACGAAGCCTCTCGCGAACACACTCCCGTCTCTTCTCCACCTTATCCCACCGACGATGGTCCCGGCCCAAACTTCCAAGACTACCTCAAACCTGTTGCTGAAGGCTTGCTCAACAGAAGCAAAAGTGAGGCTGAGTTTGAGGATCTGGGATATGAGCACGTGCCTACAGGAAGCAACAAGCCCAGCCCTAGACTTCACGACAGAAGCGGTAGTTGGAGCAAGTGGGTCTGGGGCAACTATGGCGAAAAGGACTCTGCTGCTGGTCAGAAGAAGAATGATTGATCTTGCTCATTTGAGTGAGCTGGATGCCCTGGGCAGGTAGGTGTTCGTCGTAACGGCTGGTGTTAGGAACAGGATGGGACGGGTTGGGCGGATTGGCATTTTATCTCGGTTATCTTCTGTGGCTCTTTGTTTTCCTTCGATACTCTATGTGTTCTTTCCTATAAAACAAGACATCAGTTCGTCCATGGAATCTCAGGTCACGAGACCTATCAAGGCATGGAAGAGAATGGAGATGCTTTGTATCGTGAGCGCTATGTATGATGAGAGAAGAGAAACAGAAGTCATCATGTAAAAGTACAAGATTCGGAAGAAACATGGCAGCTTCCCCCCTTCAACTGGTGGGTTTCATGTTCTCGAGGTCGTTTTCGCGATTGTCCGCTCTTGCTTCGTCGAGCATCTTGTCTATGCCGCGTTCCTTGAGTGCGCGCTGTAGAAAAAATTCCGTCTCAGTTTTGATCATCAGAATAGTTGTATTCAATAGGACAAATGAGAAAAGGAAGAGAAGAGATAGAGAAAGGAAAACAGTACTCACACTGAGACATTGTTTGTACTTTGCGAATAGAGGTTCGCATTCATCTGATGTCGCTGTGCCGCGGAGGTATTCTGTTTGAACAACATTAGCGGCCATATACTTTTTTCTCGTAACTCTCAGATATCTTCAGAGACCGAACTTCTTCTGCTTGTTTTTGCTGACTCTTCCGAGCATAAGAACAGCATAGAGACCAAGGACATCAGAGTATACAGACCCATGAAACAAGGAGAATACGAAAGAGAAAACAAGACTCAAGGAATACGCAGAATCAAGAACAGACCCAGCAAAGATGAAGAAACAACAAAATCTTGCACTTACTCTCGCTATACCATTTCAAAAACAGCTGTCGTAACGCCTGTTCAAAACACATGTAAGCCAACAAGTTCCTATCCCAATACTTCACGAATTCTCCCCATCAAATTGACCGAGTTTAGTCCTAACCAGAGAAAAGAACTTACTCCTTGACTTCATTGCACTCCGGCGCCAGCGATGCCGACATGTTTTTCCTTTCTTGTGGATTTTGATGCTGCCCTCGAAGTGCTCGTGGGTTCTAGTAGCTCCGTTCCGGGTAGAAGTTCAATGCAAAATTCGACTTGAAGGTTGGAACAATGGTGTTGCTAACAGTTGTTGCCTTGAAGATGATGCTGGAATTTAGAGATGGAGGAAGAAGGCGTGGTCGCATTAGAAAGATGTGGCGTTGAAGCTGTGGCGCTTGTCACTGCGCCACATTCGAGCATCTGGTCGTGTGAGATCAATCGCTCTGGATGAAAATGTTGAAGCATCCGGCTCTGGGCATTTCTACAAGGAATACGACACGTATAGTACCTGACTTTTCAGAGAATAATATGTAGAGGATAGCATTGAGTTGCCGTTCTCATCTTGTCCGTTACGACTGAATCACATAGGTCAGAGACAGAGGGTTTCGTATAGGGAAGAGGAAAACGTAGATGGTCTATGTCCGTGTAATTCATCAAACTCTACACATCAGTCGAGAGGAAGCTCGTTTGACCCGAACTCATGCTTAACATCCTTTTCCTTCTTGCGTGTCGAATCAAGCCCTCTCCCAAAAACTGAAAAATGAAAACGCCTAGCTTTGATCGTAACACAAAAGGTATTGTGACACCCCAGCCCCCAAACGTTCTGCCCTTTTTGAAGGAAAAGAGATATGAGGTATCGTGAAGAGAGGAATTGAAAAACTTTTGCTGCTTTTTTTGTTTCTGCTGCTGGTTTTATCTTTTTCGCTCCTTCTCGATTTACCTGGCAACGGCAGCACTGAGGACCTGGGTGCGGAAGAAACCGCCCTTGGTTCTCTCAATGACCTGCTGGTACACTGACTGTGGTGGGTGGTTCATAACGACGGTGCCCTCCTTGTAGTCAATCTTGGCGTCGACACGGGTGTCACGGATCAGGTTGACGATCCACTTCTCACCCTCATCCTCGGACAAACCAAGACGCTTGGAAAGGTCCCTGCAGGATAAAGTCAGTATGAAAGGTCGTAAACAAGTAATTGGTCAGAAATGCACGTACTTGATGTCTATTCTCTGGTGGATCTTGCAGTATGACTCTGAAATGAGATGTCTGGCGGCATCCTTGAATGCTTCGCTGGTAGCGACAAGGAAGAAGTCGCTGCGCAAGATCTCGTCGGCCTCGCCGAGCTTCTTCTGAGCCTCCTCAAAGTCAAAGTCGACGTAGAGAGCCTTGACGAACTCGCAGACGGGGTCGCTGTACTCGTAGGTCTCTTGTCTGACAATGCGGATCAAGTCCTTGAGCTGCTTCTGGTATGAGTTCTGGCCGTTCTTACCGGCGGGGCGGTTGCGGTTGGTGATGACAGCAGCGGCGAGGTAGCGCAGGATCCAGGGGCAGGCGGTCTGAATGGTGTTGATGTATGTGGNGGAGAAGAAGAGGTCGGTGAGCTGGTCGCGAGCGGGCTCGTAGTTGAAGAAGGGGAAGAGCGACCAGTGGATCAACCAGCTGCGGTGCTCGAGTTGGGCCAAGGGGTTGCTGAACAGGCGTGTGTCGATGTTCTCGCGGACCTTTTGCACCTCCTCCATGGCGGACTCCCAGTTGGTGGTAAGAATGTCCGAGGCGAGTTTACCCCATGTTGCTGCTGAGACCTTGTCGTTGTCGGTGCTCTGCGAAATGTGTTAGTTTGTGGCTAGCGTTGAGGACTTGGGCAGAGTCGCGGCGTACAANNGAATACGGAACTGGTAGAGCAGCTCAGAGGCGCTGTTGTAATCGCCGCAGCTGTACTGGAACTGGCCAAACTCGTACAAAGCGTCGACCATCTGGTCGGTCACACCGTGGTTCTCCTTGAGGTAGTTCAAGTTCTGGACCTTGTCAGAGCGCAGGTTGTTGACGACTTCGGTATCGGCCAGCAGGTCCTGGATCTTGGAGCACTCGTCCTGCAGCTGCTCGCGCTTCTTGAGAACCTCGTCGCGCTTTTGAACGTATTCCTCCGGGCGCTCGTCCAGGTTGTTGATCTTGGCGAAGAGGTCGCCGACAAAGTCGGTCATGTTGGTGTGCTTGAGCAGCTCAAACTTGAGCTTGGTGTGCTCGAGCGAAGGCTCGTCGACATCTTCCTGGTCCTCGAGGAATTGCAGCAGGGNGAAGACGAGATGGCGGTCGAGGTGGGGGATCAGAGTAGGCAGGATCGATTGCTGCTTGACAGCGTCGGTGGAGGCGGCCATGGTTGTGATTGCGCGAGGCGATTTGGGTGGACGACGAGGTGTGAAGTGACGCTGGTCGCTGGCTTGTCGTCGCTGCCACTTTGGCGAATTTCTCGTTGCATTTCGAACCACCGAACCTCCGCACTTGTGCACACTCTGTGCACCCTTTATGCACAGCTCTTGGCAAACCCGACATGCAGCAGCAAGTCGCAACAGAAAAGTTGCCCTCCAGAGACATCGATACACCATATCCCACCACAACCATGTCGTTCTTGCAACCCGTCATGCCTTCACTACGCCTTCTGGCAGTCCCACGCTCAGTCGTCGTGCGCCAATGTCTGCGCTTTTCGACATCCACAATTCGATCAGGTATGTGTCTTGCTCATTTCTCGTATCCCAGACATGTCACTAACAGTTATACAGACGTCTACACTCCTCCCTCGGTGGACCCCAACCTCGTCGCCTCGCGCACCGCTTCTCCCTCATACCCTCCTACTTCGCTCAAGTCCATCCCGCGGCCCCTCACATCACACGCCTCACACCGCACCTCGCAACCAACAAAGATCCGCAACTACCCCGACCGTCAACTCCAAAAGGACATTCCTGTCTCCGAGGCACCTGCTCTGCCAGAGTCAGAAATCGCTCCCAACCTCCCCTACTTCGTCACCAGGACACCATCCAACGAGCTGCCTATCTATACCCTGAGGAAACGCGGCGGCAACATGAAATTGACCCGCGTCAAGAAGATTGACGGAAATATTGATGTTCTGCGCGATGCTCTGCAGATCGAACTCGGTGTCCCGGATGCCGAGTGTGTTATCAACAGACTCACAAACCATGTCATGATCAAGGGCTGGCACAAGCCGCGGATAGAGGCTTTCCTCAAGGCCCGTAACTTCTAAGCACCTGCGGAGCGCCTTTTTCTCTTATGCTTCTCTTGTATACCATTGTATCATATCAACATTTGCACTGTCGTCTTGTGCTTACTGGATATCCTTGTATCGGGGCGTTTGAGACGCGTGTAGCAATCTCTCGTGGACATGGTCTTGACGATGAATGTTTGTCACATTGCACAAGACTCGTCTACGCAAAGGTTTATGTCTGACGACCGGCCGAACTGGTGCAGCTCTGAATGAGCTACGGCAAGTACGGCTCAAGCACCCTCCTTGCAAGTCTTCATTCAGAATTACACCTGATTTGGAAGAGAGCGCGTTTGCTATTCGCTTGCAATCAGATCAGGGTTCGGGAAAGAGTAATGGAGCCATCTAGTCTGTGTACAATGAATGTAGAAGTTGCGCCATGTCGGCTCTGAGGGGAATACCAAGCCTTGATACGGCTTCCAAAAAACGCCTCGCTATGCCTACCCTATGCCTTTGCTTCGATGTCATGGTCGTGATTGATATAAACAATGAAAGTATTCGTCTACTGCTCCGTATCCTCCACGTCCTCTACAGTCACTGCTCTGCCTTTACCCTTGTCGACTGCTTTGGGCTGCTCCTCAGAGTCTGTCTGCTGGATGCTGCTTTCATCTTCGACGTTGTCGACACCGTCAAAATTCCAGCTTGAGCTTTCTCCCCATCCATTAGGTCGAGTCGGCAGCGGGCTGGAATCTGATTGGGCTGGAACTTCCGACAAGGTCTCCACAGTGGCTTCTGTGGGAACATTCTCAGATGGATCACTTTCGTTGTTGATGCTTAGAACCTCTGGCTGCTGTTCGACCTGATTTGATGAACAAGGACCCTGCGAAGGCAACAACGAAGGAAACTCTTGGTTGTGACTAGAGGGTTCCACCTCTGGTACTACCTCTTGAGAATTGTCGCTCTGCTCGGTCGGTACATTGGCAGCGGTAGTTTCCATGATGTTCGAAGTCATTAGTTCTTCCGTCTGTTCTTGTTCAGCTGGGATGTCCGTTGCGGGGACTGTGATTGTAGGTGTAGGTACGGGAGACTGTGTTTGTGTCTGTGGCATGGCTCCTCCAAGCTGTGAAGTGCCTTCGACTCTATTAAGAGGCGCAATGGTCCAACCTTCAGGTATCACAAGACCAGGCGGCAGTCCTTCATGTCCTTGTGTCATTGGTGCTTGTCCAGGACCAGGTTGGAATACTTGTGGTGGCGCAAAACCAGCGCCAGGGGCCATCATGTTAGGACTTGGGAAGATGTTAGGTGTCGCAGACCTTGCGCCAGCTGAAAGACTAGGAATACCATTACCGGCCTGGTTGTTGCTGTAATGTGCGCGGAGTCTTGCCAATTCTGACTCCAAGGCACGGACAGTCGCAAGCTGGGCTTGCTCGATCTGTAAGCGGCGGGATTCCTGCATCAGACGCTCTTCGATCTGTAGAAGTTGCAACTGAGTGCTCGCTCCAGCCAATCCTCCCATTCCAGATGTCGCTGCCGGTGTCGCTGCCGGTGTCGCTGCTCCAGTGGCATTACCATCATCCTGTGCTCGCCTTTGATTTAGAGCTTCTCGCACGCGATTCGCAGGTCCATTGTAGACACCGATGCGTATCGGACCAAGATTGAGCATACGCAGTCGGGGTTGAGCTGGACGATTTCCGTTGGCATTGCCCGCGTCACCAGCTGGAGGGTTGACTCCTTGTTGCGCACCTCCGTTAGCACCACCGTTTGCGTTCTGGTTGCCGGCTCCTGTACCATCAGTAGCAGAAGTTCCAGCAGGAATGACAGGGCGGCGACAAGTTGGGCAGGCTTGCTGTCGTTCGAGCCAAGCTTTGAGGCAGCGCAAATGAAGGATGTGGCCACATGGTAGTTTCTTCGCGCGCATCCCCTCGTTCATAAGACTGGATCTAGGTGCTTGTCCTGCAGCATCGGGTTGCCCCCATGGTACCATAACTTCTCTGCAAACGATGCAAGTGTTGTCATTGGTCAGTTCTTCACTGGTGGCATCTGGGTATCGGCTGTTCATGTTTTGAGTGGCCTTGCGGTAGTTGTTGTAGTCGTTGACGCGCTTGACGAACGATGCAGCGGTCAGATATACGTCGCGAATGATGTGCATAGGCAGTCCCATGAAGGTCAAAGATATTCCAANAAAGACGGTATAAACAATGAGCTTGATAAAGTCTGTNNAGGTTGTTAGCTTTGAAGACGCAGACTGAAGCAAGAACGACCGACCTGTAGCAAGCTCGAGGCCAAACAACCATCGACGCTTTTCTTCCCATCCCGGCACATCGATCTCGTTTTCATCCACATCTTCTTCGCTAGGCAGAGGAGGCAGACTCTCGGGGTCGGTTGACTCCTCGCGCTCTCGCTCCAGTTGTTCTCTTTCTGCGCGGATCTCTGCTCTCCTCTCGTCCATTTTGGCTTTTGTTTGTTGCTTCAACACACGTGCTTCTGTCAGAGCCAGGGCGTAGCGTAGGAGGGTGAATAAAGAAAAGATCAGAAGAATGGCGAATTCGAAGGTGAAGATGACCATCATGCCAGGTCGAGGATCGTCCTTGACGGTAGCGATGCAGTATCTCAGCATGGCGGCGCTGAAGGCGGTGGATACGAGCAGCGATGAAGCAAGACGTGCGTGGAAGAGGCGGGGGTTCTGTGGCGGTTGTTGCTCAAGAATATCGACGCGGCCCTCGCCAATCCAACTCCAGACCTTGCCAGCCAGCAGGAGAACAAAGACGGNCAGCATCCAACCTCCGACCTCATCCCTAAGCGAGGGCATGGCCAGTAGCGTGTCGAGGACGGCATACCAGGCCTTCTCGGAGAGATGCTCGATTTCGATAGGACGGAGGGGGCCATAGAAGAGACGCTGGAGACCGTAAATGAAGCTGCAGGCAGCAACCAGGGCGAGGTTGGTGAGGANTCTGGGTGGTGACGGAGTTAGCGGCGTCTGGCTGGCATAGCAGGGGCATTTGCTCACAAGGACACAGGCATTGCTCTGCGACAGGTAGACGGTGGCCGAATAGAAGTTGGGCCGCTGGTGGAAAGCCTTCAGTAGAGCACCGGCTGCCACCAGCGCAGAGGTTCCAGCATAGGCAGCGAGCCTCATTGTGTCTTGTCGTCTGGATGGTCGAGCATACACATGCACATGCGAACACGTAAACGTCCTGGATGGAAACAACGCCAACATCCGATGCCGACGGGAACGTCACAGGGTCTGTGCGCACCTTCCCCACACTCTCCTGCAATCTCGGTCCGAGTCGGTCATGCCCTCTGAATCTTTACGACCAGCCTCTTCTTTTTGGGAAGCAGGGCACACGATGCTTCACCTCAACCCTGTCGACAAATGCCACCTGTCCTCCTCCACCGTCACGATCGAGGCAGCTGTCATGCAACATCACACGGCTACAGCATGAACGTCGGCTGGCTCGCGAACCACCACAGTTCGCAGCAATCGTCCCTGCAAATCTCAGCCGCGAGCCAACGTGGCAGATCAACCTGAATATCGCTCTCGATGCGGGGGCACCCATGCCTTCTTGTCCCGCAGTTCGCTACCTTCTCCAAGCCTCGAACTCTATCACCAACGAACGAGCTACGACCATCCACGTCTCCATCGTAGCATGTCCAAGCGCCGTACCTGTTCGTCTTCTCGGGAATTGAGTGTCGGCTATCCCATCCTCGCTGCTTGACTAATTGCTGCGCGATATTCGAAGAAGCTTGAGCAGTGGCAGCACCACTTGATGACTTACGAATAATCATTTTTCTTCTGCAAAGCTCCACCAATTTTCCTTAACCTAAACCGAGCTTATCGCAATATTAGCAGATCTACGCATTACCACATAGCCCCTACTAGAAAGGCCTCCCATGCTCTCGCGCAACTCATGTAAACTTGTCGGCTCTCTTCGTTTCTACTGACCGCTGCTCAAGGATAGATATCATCCGACAGAAAACCGCTCGTTTGCCATAGGACCATAGCTTCACCGGTGTGGGGCCCCAGACGTGACAGACGGCCATCTCTGTCGGTCCGACACTCTTGGTGGCTTGATGCCTTTGCGATCGGCGTCATATCCTTGTTGGAACGCCTAGAATCTGTTCTGGAGCAACTCAATTCTTGACTTTCTTCAAGTTTCTTGCCTTCTTTCCCCAATCGAGCCCCAGATCTTATGGAACCTGGAGATATATAAACCTACAAGTCTCGCCTCACAATATCTTTCATCAAGCAAGTCCTTCCATCCTCCTCCCGCTTCTACTCATCTCTATACTCCTCCATAATGAAGGGTTCTCTTGCTCTTGCTAGCCTAATGGGCGCAACTGCCCTTGGCCAGAGCTTGACTACTTCCATGATCGAGTCTATGGGCAACAACACACTCTTCACCAGATGGCGTCCTCAGAACCATTTCATCGCACCAGCGGGCTGGATGAACGACCCATGTGGTCTCATGTATGATCCTACTGAGGATCTATACCACGCCTTNTATCAATGGCACCCCGAGCACATCAACTGGGGTAACATCTCCTGGGGCCATGCCACGTCGAAAGATATGATCTCTTGGACAGACGTTGGTGGCTGGCAGGGCAGAGATGCTCTGGCAATGGGACCCTCTGGTAACGGCAGCTACAACGGCCTTGGTATCTTCTCTGGTACTGCTCAGCCTGTCAACTTGACTGGCGGTATTGATGGAACTCTCCTCATTTTCTACACCTCTGTTTCCAAGCTTCCCACCTCCTGGTCCATTCCTTACCAGAACGGAACCGAGAGCCAGAGCTTGGCTATGTCTACCGATGGCGGCAAGACATGGCAGCAGTACGAGAACAACCCTGTCATTCAGGGGCCTCCCGGAGGCTGGAACATTACTGGTTTCCGTGATCCATTCTTCGAGCCTTTGCCCGCCCTCGATGCCATTCTTGGTCGTGAACCTTCTTACTACGCTGTTTTCGGAAGCGGCATCAAGGGTGTCGGTCCTCGCATGCCCCTCTGGGCCGCACCTGCATCAGACCTGACCAATTGGACTTTCCTAGGCTCCCTCTTTGAGCCTACCAGCAACAGTTCTCTTGGTTCAGTGCTCTCTACCGGCTCGTACGGCTACAACTTCGAGGTCTCTGGTTTCTTCACTCTCCCTGACGAGGACGGCCACCTGCACTACTTTGTTAACATGGGATCTGAAGGCGGCAATGTCTCCTTCCATGAGTCTGCCCACTGGGCTCTCTGGAATGAAGGCCATGTTACCCGTCGTGCAAATGGCTCTGCTCAGTTCACTCCTATTTCTGGTGGTGCTGGCGATTGGGGTCTCCTCTATGCTCTTTCCAGCTTCAACGACACCAAGAACGACCGTCGCGTTCAGTACGGATGGGCACCTGAAGACATCACCGGCGACGGTGGTATTTTCTCTGCTAACCAGCAAGGTTTCCAAGGTGCTCTTTCTCTTCCTCGTGAACTCTTTGTCCACACTGTGAAGAACGTTGTGAACGTGGATGGTATGGTTACCGAGTTGGGCAACTCTTACCTCGCTCAAAACCTCGATGGCAGCTTTACAGCTCAGACTCTTGGTGTTAGACCCCTTGACGATGTTGTCGTCGGTCTCCGCAATGGCTCGACTCAGCACTCGTGGCCCGGTCGTACTTACAACGGCAGCCACGCTCTTGTTGCAAACGGCAGTGCTCACATGGAACTCAGTGCCGTCGTTTCTAGCGCTACTGGTCCTTGCGGTGTAAGAATCGGCATGAGTCCCGATGGTCGCGAATACACCACAATCTACTACGAGCCAGCCAACAACACTGTTGTCGTTGACCGTAGCCACTCTTCCCTTATTGATGGCTTCGCCAACTCTTCCGTCATTGGCTACTTCCACCCTTACACCACTCAGGGCGAGTATGGCAATGCTACACAGGAGCCTCTCGCGTGGGACATCTTCGTCGATGGCTCCCTGGTTGAGGTTTACATCAACGAACGTTTTGCTCTCACAACCAGAATCTACCCCAGCATGGAGAGCAGCACCGGAGCCGGTGTCTACGTTCCTAGCGGATCATCTGCCACTTTCGACAGCATTGACATGTGGTCATCTCTGTACAATGTCTTCCCCGAGAGACCTTTGAACTCCTCAAGCCAGCTTGTCTGGGATACTGTTGAGCAGACCAACAACCGCACTTGGTGGACTGGCAACTAGGTCGAAGTCGGTAGAATGTTTTCGTTCGTGTAAACAAAACTTGTTTAATGTGTAAAATCAAAAATCATATAGATGTATATAAACCACACATATTTGGGCCCAACAGCCCACAATCCAACTGTATCTGTTTGCTGTACTTTGGTGACAGGTCTACGCAATAACGTATGACTGGCCTTATCTCAGTGTTAGTTTCAGATGGCACGATGGGACACTGTGCCGTACTTCGATATCTCTCGTGGCATTCTCTATTCCAAGCATGCCCTAACAAAACTCCGCTCGGGCCTTGGATCGTGATAGAGGTGATGTCTTCGGACCGACAAAGCAAGCCAAGAGCAAAAGACATCCACATTTCCCCAAGCCACCCCGAGTTTCCCGAACTCAGACCCCACTTTCACCCACAAGTGCCGTCACTCGATCCTGGAGACGATGTTTTCCGGAAGGTCTCAGTAAGCAAAATCGGCCCTTCTCTTGCATCAATATTGGCATCTCGCGGCATCGGTCATGGCAGATATCGTGTGACGGTGATCTCTTTACCCGCCATGCGAGCAATGACCGTACGGCCCGTATCCAGCACTCTGAGGTCTGGAAGAATGAGGGCCCAGCATGGTAGGATCTACAAGATGCCAACATAAATAGAGGGCAGATCGCCTTGAGAAGAGGTAGGGACCCAACCATCACAATGCCTCGTGCTTCATCCATCTTGTCTTCGCTGCTCTATTTGGGCTCTGTGTTTGCACAGGATGCTTCCACTACATCGTCTACAGTGCCAACAGGGACGCCCGTTCCCGGCAACTATGACGGTGCTTTGAGACCGCAATTACATTTCTCACCTCCCAAGGGCTTTATGGTATGTCCATATTCTTTATTTCTGAGATAGATGGTTTACTGATTAGGCTGTTTANNGAATGATCCAAATGGTCTCTTCGTTGATGCCGATGGTCTTTACCACGTTTACTATCAATGTCCGGTCCTTTCATCACGACAATCATGAAGCCAATGCTAACACTTCATAGACAACCCAACAGCAGATGTAGCAGGAAACCAGCATTGGGGTCACGCAACAACGACTGATGGTTACACCTTCGAAAATCAGCCTATTGCGCTTTTCCCTCCAAACAACGAAACGTTCGTGTTCAGTGGCTCGGCAGTGGTTGATGCAAACAACACCAGTGGCTACTTCCCAGGCCAGGATAATGGCGTGGTTGCCGTCTACACTTTGTCCAACAACACGTCCCAGAACCAGAACGTCGCATTTTCCAAGGATGGCGGTTACACTTTCGAGCCTTATGAGGGCAATCCGGTTATTGATATTGGCTCGACTCAATTCCGTGATCCTCAGGTGATTATCAACACTGACCAAGATCTCGCTCACTCCAACTAATTGAGCAATAGNGTCTTTTGGCATTCTGGAACCCAAAGCTGGGTTATGATTACCGTCTATGCCGCCGAATTCACTGTCGGCATTTATACCTCACCCAATCTCACAATGTGGGAACATGCCTCCAACTTTAGCCATCACGGCTTGCTAGGCATTCAATACGAATGCCCTAATCTGGTTGAGATGCCCGTAGAGGACTCAGACGAGACGATGTGGCTTATGTTCATTTCCATCAACCCCGGCGCCCCTCTTGGAGGCTCCATCTCCCAGTACTTCCCTGGCTTCTTCAACGGCACACACTTCGAGGCCGTTGATCCTGTCGCTCGCATCTCCGACTTTGCCAAGGACAACTATGCCGGTCAATTCTTCTCTGGTATCCCTGGCACGGAGAAGCGTCTCAGTATGGACTGGGCCAGCAATTGGCAATACACCAACGATGTCCCTACCGCGAACGAAGGCTGGCGAAGCTCCATGACAGTCTTCCGCCAGAACCATCTGAAGAAACTGCCTAACATCGGTTGGGATCTTGTCAGCTATCCTTTCAACATCAGCTCGCAGTTCTCGCAGGTCCTTGCTTCCAACTCTTCGTTGGGTAACAACAGCATCTTGCTTGACTATAGCGATGTACCATCGGATGCACTTTATTTCGAAGCCAATATCACTGGTCTGACCCCCAACACTTTGGCTGGAACCCTGAACTTCACATTTACCTCGTCCGTGAGTGGTGAGAACGTCCAGGGCGGCACTGTTCCTGGCGGCGCCACCTGGTTGTCTCGAAGAAACACGAACTGGGGTGCTGATAACCCTTACTTCACCGACAAGTTCTCTGCCAATGGCGTCTACAGTGGTAGCGAGAATGGCACCTGGACTCTTAGCGGTATTCTTGATCGTACTATCCTTGAGCTGTTTGTCAATGGGGGCGAGCAGAGCGGTACCATGACATTCTTCCCTGATTACCCTCTTGACACTCTCAGGATCGGAGCCAGTGATATTCCTGAAGGCGCTGGTGTCAGTGTTGCTGTTTGGGGTTTGAAAGATGCGTGGGCTAGTCAGGCAAACAGCAAGGGCCTTGTTGTAGGCAACACTACGACTACAGCATAATAAGTCATCGAACTGAAATCTCTGCTTCGAAGTTGACAAAGATCCGCTGCAAATGCTCAAGCGTGTGACACATATGACTATATGAATGAAGATTTTTGAGGGATCAGTGCAGTGTTCGTCGAGAGCCGACATCTCGTAAACTCTCTTTGGTTACATCTCTAATTTGGAAGCTTCTGTAACTCTCTTCAGTCTGAGTGTCGCTCTATGGTTGTGAGAGGAGATAGGAGATTACAGACTTTTGCACGTGTCAAGGATGTGAAAGCGCAAAACATCACCAACGAAAATTGAACCCTAACCCTTCGATTATCATGGAAATTTATGATCAAAATAACAGCACATGGCAGTCACCCACACCCCTCAAATCAACCCCATCAAGATCACCACATTATTCGTAGCCAATACCAGGAGGATGGCACTGGTGCAAAAAAGAAATGAAAAGAACAATGCCGGAGCAAAACGTATTGGTCCGTCAGTTAGCAATTGGTAGCTGGGCTGAGAACCCCTATAAGACCCCGGAAACCTAGGCTTGTATTAGTGTCGTGGCTGATCAGACCACTACACTAAACTGCCATCCTCGATTTATTACACTTGTTGCTGGAATAAGAGAGTATATAATGGTTGGATGGGACAAGTGTCACATGCTGACACATTTCGCGTGTTTACACTTGTTCTCAGATACTCTTATCGCTGGACAGGGCGTCATTGCTAATGGTGATATACAGAGAGTGTGAGGTCCGAGTTTATGATGATACATATCGCATCGGCATCTTTTCGATTTTGGCTTTTGTCATGTCCACTGTCCACGATGACCACGCACTTCCTCTTCTCCGGACTCTCTCCTCGCGCGATAAGCGTCTATCATTCACTTGACAGAGGGAATTACTGGCAACAGCTTGGTTCATTCTCGATTCACATCTCTCATCTCGCCGATTGTATCAATGGCAGTCATCTTTCTGACTCCATGGCGTTCTTCCTTGGGACCTAGATAACCCCTTTTCTTGTGTTTGTTCTCCGTATGATACCCTTGATCGTCATCACTGAAACTTGAACTCGCCAAAGTAGGCGCAGAGAGCNNCTAGAAAAGTCAGTAGAGTACTATGCAGCAACAGCTTCTCGCGACTTACCTTGCTTGACCCGTTTGTGCAGTAGTGCACGACTTCAAGCTTCTTATCATCAGGGGCATATTTAGCCAGCTGATTCAGATCGGAGCTTCGGGGCAAGAAGAGCACGAAATCTGGAACATAGGCTGAGAATCTGTCGTAGATGTGCTTGAGGTTGTATGGTTGCATGGTGCTGAGATCGAAAATGTTGTCATCGCTGTACTGAGGACCNNTGTGAAGGGGTATCAGCATATGCATCACGAAGATGACCAGGTACAAAGAAGACATACCTCCCCAGGGCGGACTGGCAAACACGATGGCATCCTTGGCCAACGACTTCAGCCGCTTCTTGAGGACGTCGAAACAGTCGCCCTCGATCCACCAGATCTTGGATGCTACGCCGTATACCTCGGCGTTATGACGTGCACAGGCTAGCGTTGCAGAGTCTTTCTCGATGGCGAAGACCTGTTTGAAGCGACCAGAGAGGGCGAAGGCGATGGCGTTGCCGCCGGCACCAGCAAAGGCATCTATTATGATGGACTTTGATTCGGGCCCGCCAGTCTTGATATGATCAGCTATACGACTGTAGGCAGTGTCAGTGTTCAGAGCTTCAGAAAAGTGGGAAGGGAAGATGTACTTGGCTATCGGCTCGGGGGTTACACCGAACCAGACATCGTCGGTCATCCAGATGCCCTCATCGTAACGAGACCAGATGTCGTAGCGTTGATGCCAATATCTCTTGACTTGTCAGTATCTGTTTTGCCCAAAATTTGTGATGACTGACTTTTGAATGTTCTCGGGCATTTCTGACGACTCGTCGTAGTGATGTACGCCTTCTGGCATCAACCCATCCGTGTCACTCATATTTTTTCGACTCGAATTGGCTGTCTACGCGTCTTGTCCTGGGTTTGTATCGATGCCTCGGCTTGTGCTTGTTGATGTGATACCAAGTGAGTTGATTATTTACAAAGTTTTGAACTGCTCGGAAGAGAAAATTGATCAACCAGTATTCGGGAAAATAATTGCGGACGGCGTGTTAGAAGACGTCTAACTACTCGAGCAGATGATCGTTCAATAGGTGATGGTCGGTGCTGCCGTTTGTATCGTGAATGTGACCTCGTTGTTGCTGATGCTGAGAAAGAGCACATGGCCGGCGCAACAGAGGTTGACGTTGCAAACGGCAAGATTTGCCGGGATGGAAGCTGCGCCTATGACCCTGTTTCTATCCTGTCTTCCATCTTCACTTCCTTCATCGATCCATAAAGACACGACAACAACCACGATCCGACCTGATGATACTTTGAATTGTACCTTGGTCACGCTTCTCTAAGACTGTCTGTTTTTAATTTGACTGCTACGATACTCGGCTGCCTAAGGTTTTGCCACTGTTCACCACAAACAACATGTCGAACATGAACAAAGTGCTCGGGTTTGAACGCATCAACGAACGCGTGAAAAGACCGAATGCCCTCCTCAACTTCATCAAGCCACTGGAAGGACCAGACAAAGCCTTAGCGCAAGACTTTCTCGAAAGAGTCGCCGCCATCTGCTACCCGATCATGAAAGAGAACCACATCGTTGTCATGGCCCTTGAAGAGTATCCACCCAATCCCGAGTTCATTGGCCGCAACTTCAACGCCGGAGAAGTAATTCAGTTGGTCCTCAAGGCTCCTCACACCAATCAATGGCTACCTTTCAAACATGTCCAAATGGTCATGATGCACGAACTTGCACACTGCAAACAGATGAACCACTCACGCGCATTCTGGAAGGTCAGAAACGCTTATGCCGATGAGCTGAAGGTCCTCTGGGACAAAGCGTACACCGGCGAAGGGCTGTGGGGCAAAGGACAGTCTCTCATCACAGGAAATTACATGACCAACCACATGCCCGAGGCTGCCAATGCACCGGCAAGCTTGTGTGGTGGCACATTCAGATCCTCGGGTGGTCGAAAGAGAAGGCGGAAAGAGGATGTATCCAAGATCACCTATGCTGAACGTCAGCAACGTCGGATTGCAAAGAAGTTTGGTGTCAATGGTGTCGCCTTGGGTGACGATGAAGGTATAAGAGCCAAGCTCGAGGCTGGCCAGAAGGGCGGGAAGCCTGCCGTCAAACCGAGAGTGGCAGGCAGCAAACGAGGAAGAGAACTCCGGGCTGCTGCAGCATTGGCACGCTTCGAGAATGTGAAGAGGGAGACTGTCAAGGCCGAGCCCAAACCAGAAACAATCAGTGACGACGATTACGAGACCGACTCTGACTACGAGTACACGACTTTCGAGAGGACTATGAATCCTGAAGATGGCAACATGGTCAGAGTCTGCGAGAACGAAAATTCAGAGGATAAAGATGCGCAACGAGAATTCGACGAGTTGCGCGAAATTGACCAAGCCATGCCGAAGCTACAAATCAGATTTTCCGCCCAGCCGTCCGCTAAAGGAAAAAACAGACAGACGATTCCTTCGGACGATGCTTCGACGGAGAGTGACGATGACCAAGATCTGGACGCGCCACGCAACTTCATCAAACCACCGACCAGGACCCAGCCAATCCCAGATGACCTGTCTACAGACAGCGAAGATGACATACAAGACGGCACGTCCATCGTTCAGGAGAGAAACAAGCAGAAAGAGACAAGTCTTCCCAAAAAGCCGTCACCACCGAAAAAGCAATTCGAGCAAAACAGCAAGACGTCCAACCCGCAGCCAGTCGACATTAAGGATGACTCGACCGCGAGCGAAAACGAGACGACCAGCGCGCCAAAGGAGTCATCAGTGCCGTCTTCACCAGCCACAATTATGGGCACCGAGCCAGGCACGACCATCTCCTCGAGCAAGCCCAAAGAACGTCCACCACCAGTTCCTTCCTCTAGCTGTAAGATCTGCTCGCTCGAGAATGAACCCAGAGCAGCACTATGTGCGGCTTGCTCCCATGTGCTCAATCCAGCCCTCATGCCCAACTGCTGGAAGTGCACGAGCACGGGATGTCAGAGTGTCGGATACGTCAATCCAGGCGACTATGGTGTCTGTGGACTTTGTGGATCGACGAAGCCGAGGTGAAAGATGGTGTATGCAAGAGTTACATGACGAAGCAACGCAGGGAAGCGGATGTGTCGAGAAGAGGGCTCGTATGATCAGCTGCTATTGCTTCCATAAACAAAAAGCTTATTATCCTTTTCCATAATTCCTACCTACCTATCTAATGCATGACACAACAAAATGTCCAACAAAAGTAACAACATGAGAGACAAACCACAAGGAAAGGGGGTCTTTTGCATTAAAACACGCCAAACAAGAGTGGTATCGAAGGACAAAAAGAGGCTTGCGACGAAACAAGCAACACAAGACGGGAGTACTACATAACAGAAAAAAGAGAACAAAAGAAAACACGACTCGCTTGTGCAGAACCACGCTATGAGGGGATATAAGAGTGAGGTAAGAAAAAAAGAAGATAACAACAAGCCCCAGAGATTCAAAACAAACAACAACCAAGAAAAAGCGCAGGCAGATTTTTTGTGTTTCACAACTTGCAGGCCAACACGTGAGCAGGCAAAGAAGAAATCTAGAGAGCAGAGACCCTTGTCCTCAATGCTTCCACCTCGTCTTCGTTGACTCCATTGGTTTGGGATGGTGGTAGAGGTAGTGCCTTGTCGAGACTATATCTATCGTCTTTGGGTGGTGTAGGCGGTCTGTCTCGTTGATCGCGCAGGCTGTACTTGTCGTCCTTTGGCGGTGTCAGCGGACGGCTGAAGTTGTTGACACCACGGCCGTGATGCTCAAACTCGATGGATCGCTTAGAGGAAGGGGNGCCGTCGGTTTTCGGAGGCGTGGGTGGCGGTACCTCGCCGAGGTTTTGACTGGCAAGGTCGGGCTTTCGTGTAGCGACCTGACTACTGCTGTTACGGCCATTGAAAGACTCCTTGGAGTGCTGGGGCGTGATTGTGCGGGTAGGTGTCCTCGAGGAGGGGCTGCCATTTTCTGCAGCCTCGCCGATGACAGGCAGCGTGATCATGTTCTCGTTCTCGGCATGCGGGCTTCTAACAGCGCCGATAGCGCGGTCTGGAATGTCGTCCTCATTGACGCCACGGTGTCTACTCTTTTCTGCCTGCTTCTCTGCCTTGCGCATAACCGTCTCAGTGCCGGCAGGGTTCTGGTCGGGAGACCTAAGGATATTGACACCAGAGAGCTTGGGGTCATTAAGAGTGCCCTCGATGTTGCGAATAGCCAGATTGAGCCTATCACTACCCTGCTCAAGATTTTGTTCTTTTTCTGCCTCGGCACGTTCGCGTGTCTTGGTGACGCCTGAGATAAACCTGATGAAGCGATCACCGTAACGTTCTGGTGGTATGGCAGAAATCTGTGACTCTGGAGACGAGAGACCTTTCCAGAAGTGTTCGAAGCGTTTGATCATAGAGTANNCTGTAGCAAGTCAGTGTACGCTTCAGTTTGCGTGAGCTAATTGACTTACATGTGTCAAGCAATCAATGATTCCGAGGTAGTAGATCTCTTCTCCAGCCATGTTGTTTTCGTGGGTTGCCCTAAAACCGCCGTCGTCACTGTAGAAGTAAGACTGCTTTCTATGGCCCCCGGCCATTTCGTCAGGCATCTTGTCCAAGCTTTGACCCATCGGTATGGGCTTTTCGTTCTTAATGAGCTCTCGCAATTCCTGTGCCTTTCGTGCGTTTTCAAGCTTGCTAGGCGTCCGCATCAGCATGTTCGGCGGTTGGTCTTCAGGTTTATGGCCTCCGGGTTGGAAGACCTGCAGTGTCTTGTCTCGTAGGTTGTCTTCGTTGCCTCGCTGCAAATCGTGGATGCCGACCAACATCGAGTAGTCCATAATCTTCAATTTTTGAAGGAGAGCGACATCTTTCTGCATCTGTTCCACAAAAGCATCCTTCTTGGTTGGGCCAAATTCTAGATGGAGATTTCGTCGTAGCCAGTTCAGATCCTTAAGTGTAGCCCTCGGGTTCTTCTCCAGTTCTTCCTCCTTGAAGTCTCTTCCAATGGTACTTCCTTTCAAGTCGAATGTCCGGTGAATGTCCCGATGAGGTGGGAATAAGTTGTTCATGACGACGAAGTGAATCTTTCTCCCGTAAGGAATCTTAACTCTGTGGAGACCGTAGAATTGACTGAGAAGTGTGTTGGGATTCTCCTGAACGTGTGAATAATAGTCTCTGAGGATTTTGCGGAGGAATTTGTGTTCGGCGTGATGGATGGTTTTGATGATATATTTATAGTCGCGCGAGAAATAGAAGAAGCTGCCGGATTTGCCAGGGGAGCCAAGTTCAGATAGGATATACTTCGAAGTCAGAGAGACAAGATAATCAGCAGGGTCCAGACCGAAGTTGTGGCGAAGATGACGGAAGACCCAGGGGGCGTAGTCCTTGAACTTGAAGTCGTACTTGGCCGAGGGAGTGAGTTCGTTGCCGGTGATATCGAATGAGAACTTGTGCTTTGCGTCAAAATCGGCGTCGGTCAGGTCCCTGTCGATCTTTGCATTTGTCCTCGACACGCAGAATCGAATGCCAGTAAGCATGTTGTATGCAGTCACCCAGTTGACGTGGTTCTGATCGACTTTGGTGCCAACAACAACGCGTTCGTCGTCCTCGTCTCGCTTTCGCTTGCTTGCTCTCTNTTGCTTGATATGCTCGGCCCATCGTGCAGCATCGTCGTCTTGTACGACCTCATCGAGATGTGCGTCTGATTGAATTGAGCGTGTTCCACGGCGGACAAGTTGGGAAGAACCCCTTCTTCTACTAGGAGTGGTAGGCGAGAAACGACCGGTGGCAGATACGACATTTCCATCATGAGTAGAGGGTGCTTGGCTGTCGCGAGAAGTGCGGCCAGCCACACTAGGGACTTCAAGGGTATGTCGGTGAACCAATCGACCTGGAGGTTGGGACGAGACGGAGGCCATGGACGAAGATGTGTGAGAGAAGGCCGGAGGGGAAGAGGCACGATGTGTCGAATGAGGTACGCGGAGCATACCATCGGTGGTAGAAGGACCAGCCTCACTCACGGGTGGTAGCACGGGGCTTGGCATCGTCTGGAGGGGCAGAGCAGATGAGGTTGGCGAGACGTCTTCGGGTACGGCGAGAGCGTGCTGGGATGGGTTCGGTGATCGAGCGACTCCGTTGGGTTTGTGTGCAAAGTAGCCGTCGTCCTCTTTCGGAAGCGAAGACACGTCGACCGATCGGATGTCATTGTCACTTTTTGATGATAGCATCGAGGGCATGCTTCCCTTGGACGAGATGGTCCGCCCGCGTGTGCTGTGCGACTCGGACGACCTTCCGTTAGGCAGGGATGGTATAGCGCTGTCTGCTCCGTGCTGCAAGCCATTAGGCAGACCAGGCGTCGGCTTGGGCCATGCTCCGGGCAGAGAATCAACGGCGGGGGTTTGTTGTTGTGTCGGGACTGCTGGCGATAAGGATTTGGNGGAGAAAGAATTGTGGAGGTCGCGGTCGTCGGGCAGGAATGATGGCATGTCGACCTTTTTCATCAAGTAGACGGCATTGAGCGGGGACGTGACCTTGCTCAATGTGTCCCCCTCTGGGACATTCAAGCGCGCGGATTGGGCCAGCGTTGCTGATGCGTCGAGCACAAGGGCGGTCGGGCGGTCGGGCGGTCGGGGAATGTGGTCGACGGAGGGCTGTAAGAAGGCGGCTGAGAATGGGTCTCGTCGATGTCGAGAGGTGGAAGAATCGTCGAGGGTCGCGGCATGCACACAACAGGCAGCGAGACGAAGTGCCAGACGACGTTGGTGTGCGAGACGATGGCGCGCGTTCAGACAAGGCCGGCCCTGCTTAAGCTTCTTGGCTGCACACGCTCAGCCCTACGCACCCTCGCAACCTTCGTATAGCACCGTCGGCCCAAACAACTTCCGACTGCTTGTTGCTGCTAATTTCATTTGCGACCCCGAGCGCCGACACAACACTTTCGCCCGTCCTCTATCGATCACGAGTGTCGTCATTCTCAATTAATACACATCATGAGCAGAATGAAAAGGAAGCAACGTGTTTGCAATAAAATACTAATGTCGTATGTGTCTGCCGCTGCTGGTGAAATAAAACAGCAACTGATCGTGAATCAATCAATCCCAAACGCCTCCCTGCCTGACCTTTGAACAGAACCCCTTGCAAAGCAAAATCATCTCGTAACAGTCCCAGTGTTGGTATCTCGTCAAGTGCTCCTTCGCCCGTATCGCTGCACCGGACGCCCTATCAATCACGCCCGTCAGAGGACCCTTTGTCCGTCATAACAGTAGAAGAAATCATCCAGTTGCCCCTTTAGGCGGCCTTCTTCTTGGGTGTCGCCTTCTTGGGGGCGGCCTTCTTCTTGCTGGCAGCTGCCTTGGTGGCGGGTGCTGAGGGTGCGGTGCTCTTGGTGATACGGCCTGACTTGGTCTTTCCGAGAACAACAGGAGCCTTGTCCTCCACAGCGGGTGCCTGCACTCAGATCAGTAAAAGATACAGCAACATAGGCGAGTAGACGTACGGGAGCACTCTTTCTGACCTTGGACACGTTGGCCTTGGTCTTGGTCGCTTTGGCAGGTGCGGCGGCCTTCTTGGTGGCAGCAGCCTTCTTGGGTGCAACCTTGGTGGCGGTCTTCTTGGGTGCAGCAGCCTTCTTAGCAGGGGCCTCTTTTGCAGCAGTCTGGTCTACATCAGCATGAGGATCTCGAGAAACACGTCAACTCCAACTTACGGTCTTCTTGGCCTTAGCGGCAGTCTTGGGTGCAGCCTTGGTGGTCTTGGTCTCGGTCTTCTTGGTCTCTGCCTTCTTTGCGGCGGGAGGAGAACCGGCCTTTGCCTTGGCGATCTTCACAGGTCCAGAAGCACCTGTATCTAGTCAGAATCGTGTCGAACCAGTGTAGGTCCTGTCTNNTCCAGTCCCTGAGAAGGAGTTGCTTACCCTTGGGGCGCTCGAAAACGCCAGACTCGCTACCCTTGGCGAGAGCACGGTTGAATTGGGTAGTGAAGGCGGCCTCAGTCACGCTGGAGAGGTTGTTGTTGGCCTGAACGTATTTCTTGAGAGCTTGACGGCTATAGGCAGACACGGGTCAGTAAAGAGCATATAACGCGACGAGGATTGATTGCAACGCGACTGACCTGCTTCCTTGACGGTCCTTGAGCTATTTCTCGAAAAGAACGCGTCAGTAATGGTCCATAGAGAAGAGACGAGCAGCACCGGGTCCTGGACAAGACTACGCGCATCGTCGCGAATCTGCCAGTCTCGACCGCACGCGTGGACGACGTGATATACTGACATTGATAATAGCTTCCTTGATCATTTCTGTAGAACATAATCAGCATACATTCGCGACACAGGCCAAACAAACGCGACGGCGACGCGACAAGTCTGTGAGCTTGCACATACCTTGGTAGCTAGCATGGACAGGCTCCTTGGCGGCAGCCTTCTTGGGGGCAGCGGCGGCTTTCTTGGGAGGCATTTTGTTATGTGATCGTTGTTACTAGATAATTGAGCTGGTTTCGAGGATTCCAATGATGGGTCGAACGCGTGGAATCGAAGTTGGGTCTTGTGTTTATGGTAGCGTGATGGAAGTCGAGGGTGGAGATGCGAGGTGCGGGGCCCAAGCGGTTATGAATGCGGCGGACTTAGGCGTGATTTTGGCTCTGGAGTAGACACCAGTGATCCAAGAGGAACTTGCTGTCCACGAAGTCGCTCTTTCCTGTTTATCTTTCTGAACCAATACACTGCTACATGAGTTATTATTCTTGCATATAACCCCGGTTCTGGCATACCATATTCGTTCGTTCGACCCATAGAGGCCCAAATGTCAAGATCATGAATTAGACCCGCTAGACCATCTTCGGACTACATGGCTCTCTGATTCCAGACCAGATCTCAGCAACCAGACGGGTCGTTTCCTCTCCCGCATGATCGCTTTTCTGGACAGTCATGATGTCGGCCTAGACCGGTCTCGAGTCGTCGATTGGACCTCACTGGTTATACATATCATCAAGCGTTGTTGTCGAGTCTCGTTTGTAAGCATGGTTCCTCGAAAGAAGCTCAAGCTCGAGATCTCTCCATATGGTCCGTGCATTCAAGCGACGTCCTGTTCTGGTGATCCATCGACCCGAGGCTTGAGAGCTGACACCAGTCGCGTTGTTTGATTCATGCAAAAGTGTATCGTTCTCTACGGCTTTCGAGAGGAAAATCCATCGGACTAGAGCTATCAAGATGCAAGGTCTCGTGTCTTCTGAGAGCCGTGTTTCAAAAGACTGTTCAGCGGACAACCTTCCAAATTGAAATGTCCCGCGCATGAGAACTCACAATGTTGCGTACAGAGGTAGGTGCAGTCTGAGGTATTCTTATACTCCCAGGCAATCTTGTGCATCCCAGTACAAAATCTGTGGTCTATGTTTTTGCCAGGCTGCGCTTGTTTTTCGCTCAGTTCTGCTTTGTTTTCAAGATATTTTTGCATGTGTCTTGTCGTGTTGGATAGAAGGTTTGGCCAATGATTTGGTATACTGAACATGCCATACGACAAGATGACAGTCATGCTCTTCATTTAATTTTACATGATGTTTTGCTTTTGAGATCGTCGTTACCTGCTGGCAGAACTTGTCTACCTTCTGGGCATGCCTCTTCCTCTGCCGCGCATCGCCCTTTGGGCAGCACCAGGGGNGAGTTGTTGGCCAGGAGCCTGAGGAGCCTGAGATTCTTGGTTCTCTGTTCAATTCGTCAGCATGTTTTTGCAAGCTTTACAGGCTGACTGTTGCTTACTGATGGTCTCGTCAACGCTCAAGATCAAGCAACTGGCCTCTGTAGCGGCTTGAATGGCGTTGATCTTGACGAGACTGGGCTCCCACACAAAGGCGGCCATGTTGTCTCTGACACCCTCGTTCTGAANATCGACACCAGCCCAGAGGCTACCCTTTCTGTGCTCAACACGCAGTCTGTTCAAAATGTCGGTAGCGTCGAAACCAGCATTGTCGCAAAGCTGTCTGGGAATGACCTCGAGTGCCTTGGCGAAGGCCTTGATGATGCTTTGCTGCTTGTGAGGAATCTTGCTGTCGGCGTAGGTGTGAAGGTATTTGCTAATCTCCATTTCGCAAGCACCGCCACCAGCAACAATGCTCTGGTTCTTGATGGCGCGCTTGACGATCATGATAGCATCGTGCAGACTGCGCTCGACTTCGGCAATGAATTGTTCAGCACCGCCACGGAGGACAAGGGTGCAAGTCTTTGCGCCAGGGCAACCCTCGAAGAAGTTGAATCTTTCTCCACCAATCTGGCGCTCCTCGAAGGTCTCGCAGGTACCGAGGTGGGATTCATGAATGTCGGAGCAGGTAGATTGGATTGAGGCGCCGGTAGACTGGCAAACACGCTCCATGTCGTCTGAGGCCACGCGACCAGCACAGAAGATGTCGCGGTCGGCAAAGTANNCCTTATCAAGAGTCAGTATGTGTGTTTTTCGATGAGTGAGCAGATCAACATACTGTGTTGCAAGATCACCAATGGGCAGCTTGCTGAGAACAATCTTTGCGCCGGTCTTGAAGAGAGCCTCCATCTTGTTGTAGATAATTTGCCACTCGGCATCGACAATGGCCTGGTATTCCGACACTTGCTCGACACGAACCTCGGCGTTATCCTTCTCGCTCTTGAGTTCAAGCTCGACGTTCAAGCAGACAATCTTGGGGTTCTTGAAGGCCTTGGGCTGTTGCTCAAAACCGGCGTAGGAGAAAGTCTTCTTGAATGCGACACCGTTCACAAACAGAGAATCTTGCAGAGCACCACCAGTGATCTTCTTGATACCGATCAGTCTGTTGTTGAGGTCATTTTGGTCGAGTGAGAGAACGGCATCGACAACCACNNTGTAGGCCATGTTAGCAGACGTCTGCGAGGGCGCACAGATTGGCGACATACTCTTTGTGAAGAAGTCGGCATTGCGGTGGATCAGCTTGCTGCTCATCGAGGTTGCGGCGAGTTTCCGCAGAGTCTCTCTCTGGTTGTTCTCCTGTGTGTTGACGGCAATCTCCTTGATCTTATTGACGGCCATGGTGCTTGCTCTTCGCAGACCCTTGATGATGGTCTGACTGCTGACACCGTGCTCGACGTGCTCCTTGATCTCCTTGAGAATCTCTCCGGCCAAAACAACAACTGATGTGGTTCCGTCTCCAACTTCGGCGTCTTGCGAGCGGGCAATGTCGGTCAGGATACGGGCGGCGGGGTGGACAATGTCGAGCAACTTCATGACGGTGGCACCGTCGTTGGTAATGGTCTGCTTGCCATTCTCGTCGACGAGCAAGAGATCACCTCCGTAAGGGCCCAGGGTAGACTTGATGGTTGACTGGACGGCGAGACAGGCGTTGATGTTGGAAACGATCTGACCGCGACCCTGCGACTGGTCGGTGCCTGGGTTTGGCTAGTTAGCTGGTTGCTGCGCGCCAAAAGATACAGGGTGAAGCGCACCCTCTCTGAGGACAACAATAGTCGGTGTTTGACCACCGAATGACATTTTGCTGTGATTTCCTGAGGTCCGAATGGAGTTCTGTGTATGTCCGAATTACTCCTGGGATCAAGTATGTACACAAAAGGGCGAATGGATTGGTTGGTTATGGAGATTATGCGGTCTTGGTCGTCTCTGTCTGGCAACTTTTCGATGGTCCGAGCTTGCGGCCATCGTCAACTTTCGAGAGCTTCAGACGGACGTTTCCTTTCACATGCAACAAGATCTCCGTCCCGACAATTTCAACTTCTGCAGTCGCTTCGACATCTTGATGTGGTGTCTGGTTTACCTAGTTCGATCCTCCTAGAAAGTCGTAGTGACGAAGACCTTCCTTATGCTCTGACCGTTCCATACGTGTAGCCAGAAATGAGGATGGCAACACGGCGGCTCCAGAATGAAACAAACTTGACCTGTTGAGAACAACATCCAGGTGGTGGACTTGTGTTTGTCCGCATCTCCACCGGCCAGCTTGGCCGAGATAGCATGCGTTGACTCTCTAAACACAAGAGAGTCCAGCTGTTGACTTCGAGACTCCACTTGCTCACTTCACATTGTTCCTTTGTTTTGATTGTCAACATGTCTTCCTTCTCAGCTCCTTCGTTCTATTTGTCGCCATCCAAGGCCGCATTGCAGTTACAGTATGTTGGCAAGAACCTCAGAGAGGTTCCAACTCCTGCAGCTGTCTTGGACCTTGCTCCGATTAGGAGAAATTGCAAGGCAATGCTCGAGGCGACCAAAGCTCTTGGACTTGGTTTCCGTGCGCACGTAAAAACGCATAAGGTCTGTCATGATGTACGGTCCATTCCAAGTCAAACAACTAATGTTTGCCAAAAGACTACCGAGCTCACTCGACACCAAATGGGCCACGACTCCAAAGATATAAGATTGATTGCTTCTACTGTCTCGGAGATTGAAAACCTTGTACCATATTTGCTTGAACGCAAGTCTCAAGGCGCGAGCATTAATGCGAGTCTCTCTACACCACATTCGTCGACATATCTGACCTGTATANNGATTCTATATGGCTTACCCGTTGCTGTTTCTCACATACCACGTCTTGCAGCCGTTGTACGCGTACTGGGCGAGGGAAGCGTCGGACTCTTCGTTGATCATCCTCGGCAAATAGAACATCTTGCAAGCCTGGACGATTGTAGTTGGCCAGGTCCCGTTCCTGTCCTCATCAAGATCGCTGCTCCAGTCGCACGAGCTGGGCTGCGTCCCGAATCTACCAGCATCGAACCTTTGGTACAAGCTATTGCACAGACGCCAAAAGTCCACTTGGTTGGAGCCTACGCTCACATGGGTGAGAGCTACGGATCCAGCAGTCCACAAGAGGCCCTTGAGTTTCTCATGAACGAGATCAGAGATGCTAAGGTAGGAGCAGACCAGATTACGCAGGCTCTGCCAAAGAGATCAACAGGCAAGCTAACGATCTCGCTTGGCGCAACTCCGACCGCTACAGCTGTCCAAAACGCCCTTGTCGAGACCGATTGGAACCAGAAGTTCCGAGCCTATATCGAAGAAGTTCAATCAACATATCACGTCGAAATACACGCTGGTGTCTACCCTGTACTGGACATGCAACAGCTTGCAACACGCGCTCGTCCGATAAATGCTGACGGCAAACCGTTACTTTCTACGGAAAACATAAGTTTGCGCGTCTTAGTCGAAGTCGCAAGCACGTACGATGAGAGAGAGAAACCGGAGGCATTGATAGCCGCCGGCTCAATAGTGCTCGCTCGAGAGCCGTGCAAAAGTTATCCAGGATGGGGAGTGGTAACACCCTGGACAGACAGTCCAGCTCCTGTCGAAACTTCTTCAGTATATGATCCCGAGGGCTCCAAAACGGGCTGGATCGTTGGACGTATTAGCCAAGAGCATGGAAACCTCACTTGGGAGGGACCAACAGCCGGCATACGCGAACTCAAGATCGCCGAAAAGGTGATGATATGGCCTAATCACGCTTGCATGGCTGGGCCGAACTTCGGGTACTACCTTGTGGTTGATGGCGAGAATTCTGATCCTGACAAGATTGTGGATGTCTGGCCTCGCTGGCGTGGATGGTAATTTATGTATACTGCTCAACACTGTATAAAAGGTTTATGCAGGCTTGGCGAAGCTCCTCACGCGTTTCTGGTCAGATTCTGCCTCCTTCCTCGAACATCCCACCACAGATCGAAGTGATTCCTCTGTTCGAGGCGGTCTATTGTGTACGACCAGTATAAAGATGCTTCGGCTGTATGATCAAACAGATCATGCCGCAAAGTTCATTTCTCTCAACTCAATGCTGTGACTCGCGTAGAGGGTCTGAGGCATCTGACACGATACGCGACTAAGGCCTGTTCTTTGAAAGTACTGAGGCAATATGACAGAGCCATCGATCAAGAAAATGTGAATTGACCTCAGTAGCAGGCTGGGTGATCAGCTGTGCCTCGAGAATGGGTTTGCTGGATGGTCGTCAAATACGGGTTTGAAGTCTCCTAGCGATGAGACTGCTCAGTTGGAAGGAGCTCTTCATTGAATCTGCTAATTTGGACGACAGCTCCTTCCTGGAGGCTTCAAACAGCGACTTAGCGTCGTCAGCGGTTGCGACTGCCAATGTTCGCCGACTCCAGTCTGTTAACCATCGGCTTCGTAAGTCGTGTTCCTCTGCAATAGTGCAATACCCTCATTCCTTTGCTTCCATTCTCTCGTCAGACCGCCCTCGCTCAAGGACTCTGGATAAGATACCATATCTGGTTGCCCGTACGATGGCTTTATTGAGCCGGCAGCAATCATTCGATGGCCGCACCAGCCGTGCGTCCACTGCCTCTGTACAATCCAAAACACTCGCGCCTCAAACTATTCAAGGCTCTGGCGACATACTGAACGCCGCTGCTCCTGGAGTGCTTTCTATGCTCAAGACCTCGACCGACGTTGGAGACGTAGGTGAATTCTCGCACAACACGGGTCGTCTTCCAGCTGCTCTTCGCCCAACTCATCAACGGAGAAACAACCCTTCTCGTCTCTCGAACTCATCGAACCACTCTGCCTACACTTACAACACTGGCCACAGCCGTGTTCCTTCTCATGGATCCAGGAAAGCTTCCAACGCCCATAATCCTCAGGGATGGGACGCCGTTTCAGCTATGTTTGGCGGTACAGGAAATGGCACAGGTGTTAGACATGGATCTATGGTCAGCCTCCAGACACTCGCAACAATGCCACCATACGACAACAGAGCACCTCCAATGCCTCGAGGTCCCCCAAGATCATCGCCCTACGGACCTACATATGCTCAGGACGGCCGCTCCTATTCCTTGACTCAGTCCCACCATGCCCCTTCGCTCAAACCAGCCAAGTCTGTGACAAGTCTTAGAAGCCAGGGAGGCGGACAGTTCCAGCCTCCGCGTCCCCCATTCGCGTATCCCCCAAGACACAAGCGTCCTGGTTTCCGGACTCCTTCTCCAGCCCTGAGCGACTACACTGGCGGTACATACCAAGCCTCTTACAACCAAGTCCATCCATTTGAGACTGATCAGAAGTATCCAGGCGAGCAGTCCTCGACTTACTACGGTCCTAACGAACCCACGTATTATCTTCATCCCGCTCAACCCCAAGAGTCATATCAGGTCCCCCATCANGGCCGAAGCTACGGTCCAGCGGCTGGCAGAGGCATGCATCGGCCCAACATGCCAATGTACAATGGCGACTATCCCTATGGCGTACCGCCTGGACCAAGATTTACGAACCAGCAGCAGCCCACGATGCCCTTTCCCATGCAGCACAACTTCCAGGAGCCCCACTACTACGGTCAATACGGCCCTCCGGTCCATGCTTTACCTTCGCTAGGGTATGGATCAACATCAAGAGTGGGTACTCCAGGATTGGACGCTATGCCATCGTCTTCGAGACAGGGCTCCTCATCTCCACGATCGTTGAATCCACCCACACCCAGAGATACGACTACGGTTCAGGCCATGGTTGACCCGACTGTCGCTCAGCCCGCGCTCAGCGAGCTTCCAGAAGAGCACTCTGAGTACAAGAGTGTCCAGAGCTATCTCAGATATACAGAGCAATCCACTATGTACGAACTCGACGCTTCTCAACCTGCTGCTGTCGAACTCGAAGCAGATACGCCTACTGCAAAACGAACTGGACTGGTGCAGCGCATCAGGAACTTGCTCGAAGATCGTGCTGCAAGTCAAGAACATCTATCATCTAGTCAAAACCAATCTCAGCAGGACGTCTCGAAACTCGTCGTCCCACAGCCATTCCAGAGTCTAAGACAAGAGCCTGTCGAGCTGTCGGCCAGCAAACGATCATCTGTGCACGAACCTGTTGAGCTTGATGTTCCTCCCAGAATCACAAGACAGTTGATACAAGCCAACACTGCACCCTCGTCCTCCGAACATAACACAACAACGTCGCTTGCCCCTGAGGAAACGGTTAAAGCAACCCACGACCATAAAATCAGTGAGAGACCTCCAACATCCCCCAGAGAAGATTCAGACAAGGGCCTCGGTGACGAAAAGACTGGTCATGGACTGTTCTTCAACTATTCGGACAACCAAACATCTGTTTCTTCCTCGCAACCCAATGGCGCTGGATTTGGTGTGCAAATTACGCTTTCGGGGCCACTTTCTTCGTCTGATACCACCGATCAACTTATGATGAAAGTCGACGACAGGACGAAGCAACTCAGTGAAGACCTACAGAGTGGTTGTGTCAGTCCGTTACGCCCTGATGAAAGAGTGGCCAGAGATTCGATTGTCAGTCCTATGGCTACTCAGACTCTGCATATCACCGCCGTCCAAGAGCAACCCAAGGTTCCGGACCTGCAGACCAAGACCACAGAAGTCCCACCACCTGATCGCTTATCGAGACAGACTTTCGATACCACAGAGATGACTTCTGGTCTATCTTTGCCGACAGGACCGTGTCAAACTTTCGAAGCCAGTCCGTCGTCAAACCATGTCACAGATGTTGCTATCAAATTCTCCATACCACGCTCATCGGACCACGGCAGAGCTCAACTGGTACACCTCAGCAATCTGTCTGATACCCCTGCTCGAACTTCGATGGAAATCAAGAAGGCTCGTTCTGCTGAGGACAACAGCTTGCAGAGTGCTTCTCTATCGAGCATCGAGAAGGTGGCTCCACTTCGCATTAGAAGGATGGAAAGCTTCTTACCTGTCGCCACGGGTGCTGGAGGGACAGACCTTTCTTCATTCATCCGTCGCTCATTTCCTCGCAAGCGATCGATGTGGACCACTGCGCAACCTGATCCCAACAGGTCATCTTGCGATTCGACAACCGATCTCGGAACGGTGATGTTCAAGACACGCCCTGGCTATCTGCCTGATCTCAACGAAGATTCCAAGGAAGATATAAGCACCAGAAATACCAAGACTTCATATGCCGGCTTGAGGCTCTCCAACACGCCTTCGTTACGTCTCAAGTCTTCCCGTGATGCTGTAAGACATTCGGAAGAAACGACTCAGCAAAGTTATCTGTCACCTCGTCCTCCGAGAATGTCGCTCTCAGAGTTGAGAGAGATTCCTTCTCTGAACTTCAGCCGAATGGATCTTTTCGACAAGCTGAACGAAGAACTTGAAACACATATATCTCGATCATCAAAGTCTTTGGCCGGGGTCAGAGGAGAGAGAAGGTCCGGCACTCGTCGCTCCCCGCTCCAGCAACCAGCATCGACTGACCACATACGTGAGAGATACACGAGCTTCTTTACCAACCCTGAAAACTCCGAGCTACTTGAACACTCCGATGTTGAAGCCTTCGGTACGCGTGATCCATCTCAAGCACATCAAGAGAAGAACCAGAACGATGCAGACACTGTGTCCAACAAGTCNTTTGCTCGGTCAGTCAGACCAATGTCTACAGAACAGATGTTGGGCATGGCTTCAGAGGTCAGCCGTCTACCTGTACCTTCCGTAGCCGCTCTCTCAGAACGCTTGTCGACGCTGCTGCCTACTATCAAACACCTGCATATCGACTGCGCTCCTATAGACCAGACGGTAATGAATGACGCCATTGATAGAATCCATCATCTTGGACAGCCTGGAGGTGATGCTGCTCCACTTCTGAGGTCCTCAACAGGCCTTCATCAGCTAGCCGCTATCGCAGACAACATTGCAACAAACGGCACTCATGACTATGCCTTCCTCGAAGTTCAGAAGAGCGGCCGGCTAATGAAAGAGCTACCTCCGTTGCCAGAGGATAGCGAAAAGTTCTCGCTGAGCGATTCTGGTCTTGACCGTAACACTACACTCATCACTGAGGGTGTAACAAGCACTTCTGAGCTTGGGCCGCCGAAACCTGTCCTACTTCGTGGAAAATCTCTCAGTGTCATCAACAACAAAAACGAGGACTTGCATCCTGGATTTGCCTCCAGACATTCTCTTCTACTATCAACACAGAACACGAGACCTTGGAATCTTGACGAGAACTACCCTTGGTGCGGCAACAGCCCTGGCATCAAAATCAACTTTCCTACGCCAGTGCTTCGTCGTCACTCTTCTCCACCTAAGCTCGTTCACAGACAAAGCCGAGAGTCCATCAAGACCAAAAGTGAAACAGAGGAGACTCTGGATCCAGACAGTACTCTCCCTTCCTCACCTATGGTCTCGAACAGCGAGACCGTCACTCCTACTGTTTTGACCCTCCACGATCGCAAGTCGTCCAANAAATCTCTGATCGGATCTTTGTCTCGCCGCATTGGATTGAGCACACGCGTGCAATCTGGGGCCATTGCTCGAGAAGGTGCCCTTGCCGGAAGAGCAAGTCCCGGCGACAGATATCCATCCACTAGCTTGCAATCACCGCAAACAATGAACATAGAAGACGTGCGGTCTTTCTTCTCGGACTCGACAGAAGAAGAACATGATGGTGAGCAACGTGGTTCATTCCGCAAGCAAAACACATCATTCCGGGATAAATCATCGAAAGCACCAAATGGACATTTTTCTGCCCCTTACACACAGTCATTGGACGTTCACCGAGGCCGTTCTCTGGACCAGTACGGACGACCTTCGAACGTTCGTACAACCGGCTCACTCTTCGACGACCGCTTCACCGAACCTATGATGCCTCAGAACTACGATGGCATGGTCGGTATGGGTCGAGTTGAGTTTCGTGTGAAGCGTGTCGCTGAACGCTTGAGACATATCTGGTTGAAGGGCGGCGAAATGATTCGTTCCCTCAACCAGCGCCGTCGCCAGGCCAAGAGACAACACAGGGAAAGGGATACTGAGTTCGACAATNNTGAGCTTGCGGACAGCCTTTACTCTCGTGATTGATGATGTGCACGAGTTTGACGGCTGAGGTTGGGCAGAAAATTGGGATGCATTGATGTTCATTTTTGAAGTTTACATTGCTATACAGTGCATGGTAGGAGATGGTTTGAAGACACCGAGAAGCGCTTTATGACACCATGAACGAGCAGAACAGTAATGACTGGAATGGTGTTACAGCATGGATACATAGCAGTTCCAGTATGAAAATGGACATCTCAGAAATCAGGTGTGATGGATAAGATGTAGCTTGACGTGATACCGTTTCGGCAATGGCAAGAGAATATCTGCCGACTTTGTTAGGTATTGCACTGGCGTGGGTGATACTTCGGGATGGTGAGGTTTCTCAGGTTCGACTTTAGTGAAAAGCGTCATAGTTAATAACGTGTGCATGTCAGGCAGAAGCCAAATTCTCTCTGGGAACGCATGCACGGTGCACGGGTCTCGCACAGGCTCTACTTGCCAATTTTCTCGTTCGTAAGGGTGCGAGAGAAGTGTAGGACAGATGGTTTCGGAAGAGGAGATGAATGGAACCAGTGGACGCTGTAAGATCGTCCGAGGGGAGATCGTCCGAGGGGCTGGGACAGTATTTGGGTTATCTTTCGACACTCGTTTAACCTTTTCTTTACTTCTCCAGCACAGCTGGGTGACAGTGAGGAGAACACAGTACCGCGGAGCATCTCATTGTGAAGATTTGATTGCTGGGGAAGACACGATATCTACAGGGATATGTATACACGTGCTATCTTTCTTGTGTCTTGACTTCTAAGGTGGATCGCTAACTGGAGGGAATAAGATAAGAGTTCAATTGACAAAGGCTTGTATAGAAGTATGTATACTACTCGAGTACTCTCCACGCAAAGGGAAGAAGATGTCGATCCGAGAAGAGGTGGATGCACATGGAGAGGGGGGCATGACATGACGTTGGCGATAGAGTTGAAATTCGCTAGACACAGACCACAGAGCCCCCTGGAGTTTTCTCCGTTGACCCATCTGAGACTTGTTCGAGTTATACACTATTCGTCGTTGGTACATAACAACAGAGAAAAAGGCAGTGGCCAGGGCGTCGTTGCAAGGGGAAACTGGCAGACGCTCAGTGTCGGAGCCTCGGACAGATCTGTTAGAACGTAGACCAGGGTTTTTGTGTGTTGTAATATGAGTTCTTCCGACCGCTTTACCTGTTTCTGCGATAGTGCAAAAGGCTCTCCTTCGGCGCTGGTGTTTGTTGCAGCAAAAGAAGGTATAAAAGGTTCGATGTGGCGCGTTTAGCCATTGTGGGTTCCCCTAATTCGTAAAAGTAGCGTGTGCAGAGCGGTTTTGCTGCACAGATCGAGCTCCATCACCAACTTCCTAATATGCCTTGGTTGTGACGGATGTTTTGTTGACTTGGAAATTTGGGTGTACCCCACGCACACACGGACGAAGGTATGGGCTAGGAAATTTGTCCAGGGATCGTCGTCGTTGGAGCATGGAGACAGAGGGGGAGAGACACGCGGCCAGCTGCCAATGCGTGCCATGCAGTAACCCAAAACGTGGTGTAGTTACAAACAGGTGGAGTCTGCTGCCATGTGAGGTGGTCCCCAAAGACACAAGCCGAGGCGAGAACCGAAGACGATCATGACGATCTCCCTTCTAGTGTCCGCGGACGATCTTGACGTCACTTCCCTCTCTACTTCAGGCCAATGTTTATGTTAATAGAGCTGGTTCTTGCTTGCTCGCTCGACTACGGAGACAAGCTGTTATTCAATAGATGAGTAGCGCGTTGACCGTTAGGCACTTGTGCAATGTGTTTGGTAAGTATGCATGAAGGATAGGAGGTGACAGTGATGTTGACATGGTATGGTTCTAGAGCTTGCGATCTGCAATCATAGTCGATAGTCCGCGCGCTCAGAGCCTTGGTTTCTGATGAGATGGTATCAAATACGGCCAAGTCAGCGAAGTACAAAAATAAGGATGACTTGGTCAGCTGTTCCTCTGGAAGGAAGATCGCCGGTAGACAACACGCATCACGATAGGCACTTTGCTGTGCGACATGATGGACTATTCTGCTCTCGGGCCGGCCGAAACTTGACCATTGCCCTAGACCCTTGAGCCATCTCAAACTTCAATTCTTGAAGATTTGTCGGTGTATGGGGTAGACTTTGTGTTCCTTGCTTGGATGCTGTAACTATGCCAACGTCACCAGAAAAAAAGTTGTGGTCTTATGAATGGCTCGAGATTTAGAAAGGACGAATTTAGACTTGCGTTCTCTCGCTTCTTGAAGGCCGTTGGGGGCAGCTAACGGTATGCTTAAAGAGAGTCGGTGTCGGTGGCGTCCGACTATTAGAAACACCTAGGGCATAATTCAGCGAGGAGACCAACACATTTTACATGGATCGATCTTGTCTCCCTTGTCGCTGTGATGGTCTCCACACACACATACATATGGGATGTCTGTCGCATCCTCAACAACGTCTCTTGCGCCGGATGGAAAAAGTCAATTACCAGTTACTTTCGGCAGCAGTTGAGGGAAGATGCGGCAATGAGAAATTGTCAACAACAAGACCACCATCGTTGGATCGGTATGGCTTGCCATAGGAGGCTGAGACAACTTCTCTGAGATCGGATAGCGGATATCATGTTTTATGAGTTCCGCAAGGGGCATGTTTGATGCAAGTGCAGCCGACTGAACGTGTCCAGGAGAAGAAGATATGCATACCTTAATCAAGATTTAAGTTCCTAAAGAGAAAATTGCTTGCTATCATGACAAAGCAGTCGTAACTTCCAGATTATGTGCAAACCGTCTTCACGGGTCGACTACGAACCTCAGACCAAAGGCTTTAAAGTACGTGATCAAAAGAGAGATCCGTGAACAATTCATGATATAGAACTATGATGTACATGGCAACCCTTCCTCTCTGACTTTTCGGAAGTGTCGCTACTTAGTGTCGAACCACGTGCGATAAGGGCGATCACTCCTTCCATCCACGATAGATGATCTTGCTTCCGTAGGTCTGCCCCTTCTTCAGGAGAACCATCTTCTTCCACTCGTCGTTGTTTCCAGCATCAATGTAACGGCTGGGCTCGACGCAGAAGCCAGCACGAGCACCGCGTGCTGGTGCGCCATCCACAGCCGGGATGTCGATGTACTTGCCAGTGTAGAACTGGAAGGCGGGCTCGGTGCTGAGCGCCTCGAAGTGAAGCTTTGTGGTGGGGTGGTAGAACGAGCACAGCTTGCGCATAGTCTCGGATCTTGTGTCAAGGGGTACGTTTGAAGCATCAGTGTTGATGACGAAGCAGTGATCGATATCGGGATCAACGGCACCTAGTGTGAAGGCCTTCTCGGCTTCGACACCAGGGAAAGCTTTGATTTCGCCAGTCGGAATGTCTGTATCGTCCACAACCATGAACTGGTCGGTCATAAGAGTTGCTTCTGTGCCTTCGATGGTGTCTTGTCCAGAGATGTTGAAGTAGCTGTNGGATTTTCGTCAATTCATCGGTCTTGACAAGCGCAAGTTGGAGACTCACCTGTGGTTGGTAACCGAAACTAACGTCTCATCGACCTCGTCGCCGACAAGCTCAACCTCGTACTCGATCTCGAGTTGCGTCTTCTCCACACCACTATCGTTCTTCTTGCTTGCGATATACCAAACACGAAGCTCCACAGTTCCAGGGTAACCCTCCTCACCGTCCTTGCTGAGGTATGTGAACTGAACGGCTTCTGTTCCACCNNCCCTGTTGACAGGGGTAGGTCCATCGAACGTTCTCTTTCNCCAGCCAGCTGGACCTCCGTGAAGGCCGTTGGGTCCGTTGTTTGCTGTAAGTTGGTACGATTTTCCATTCAAGTTCTGGATCTTGGCATCCTTGATACGGTTTGCGACGCGTCCAATCGTCTCGCCAAAGTAGGCCGAATTCTTGGTCTTGTAAGGCTCCGCGGTAGGGAAACCTTGGACGATGTTGTGCCCCGCAACGCGGAACTCTTGGATGATGGCGCCCTGCGGCAAGAATGTGAATGCGTCTTCGGCTGACATTTTGCTGTGTTGATGGAGATGTGAGGAGAGAGTGAGAAAAGAAAGACTCGAAGCGACACGTGTGGACAATAATATCTTGCAACCACGGTTAAACAGGATTCTTGCCTCATCACACAGCCTGACAGCTATTAGGCGGGGTGAGTTTCTGGTGGGGGCTCGAGTGGAGGGGTACTCGAGCCACTCTTTAGCCTAATTCTCCATGTCACGTACTCTACAACCCCACGTGAAAACTTCCTTTGACAGTGGATGCATGATAGTTATCTATCAATTCGACAGGACAAGCGAGAGGAAAGGATGGAAAGTAAGTTTGCTATTGACAAGTGCTGTTGCGCGACACAGTTGCTGCCAAGGTGGTTGGTCTGCAGGACTTAAATCAGGAAGTGTGGCTCACCAGCAAGGATGCGCATCTGTGATACGGCACGGCTTTTGTTTGTGCGAGCATTGGCAACAAACTCCACTCTTTCTCGGTAACAAGCCCGTATTAGCTACACGCGTACGAGGCACCTCTCATACGGCAGCGAATAAGGCGCTGGAATCAACCTTCGTTCATGCTTGGAGATTCAAAAGCGGTTCATGGCCACAGCATAATGATGTTCCCATGATCAGTGGAGGAAAAGCAAGGCGATAAGGAAGAATGGACCGACGATTGATCATCGATCTGCATGTGTCGGATATAATCCATTAAATCCGTCCACGTCAAATTCATCAAGTTAGCTCCGAGGAACGATTTATCGATGACAGCTGCTGCCGCAGCCACCATATTGTTTTGATTGTGATGCCCTCCTCGATGAAGACATGCGCTTTTTTTTTTCAATCGAAACGATCTATGCAAGGCAGCAGCAGACCAACAACTACAACACTGCAAGTCTCCGCGTGTGGCTGTGCACTCGACGGCCTCGCACTCCTAAACAACGGACACAGGTCCGCTGAACCACAGATGGCAATATGGTCATCCTTGCGTCGCTTGTCTGTAGAATAATTTCCATGTGAACAATGTAGATATGACATCCAATCTTGTGATATAGATCTGAACGATCGTCTAGTTGAACATCTAGATATCATACACCGTCTCGCCAATACATAGTTTTGTGCCGAGAACCAAGTCCAAAACTCCTCATGTGCGCCGTCGCCCGCTCTTATTCGCAGCCCAACACCATACCCCTGTCAATTCGCTCACTAGCGAATAGAAACTCCAACGCCTCAAGGAAGCTCGCAAATGAAAATTGCATGACATGTTGATCGTGACCTGTGAGATGCTTTAATGGACATCTCAACCGTAAATCCGTTTGTGGTTTGAGCCGCACATGGTGACCAATCCAGAAAAAGGCGATAATTAGAGTAATAAAGATACATTGCTGACGTCCAAATCACGTCGACACTTGAACGAATTTGCTGAAATCGACTTCCATTGGTTCGTTCATCCAATCCTGAGCGTTGAAGGCTCCGAATCCTTGTGCCGGTGTGGCATAATTTGAATTGCCGAAAGGCATCATGTTGTCATATTCTAGTTGAGGTTCAAATGCGTTTCCATATGCGATTGCGGCTTGGAAGCCATCCTGTAGTGTTGGCACCTGCATTGCCGCTTGCGATCGCATAAGATCGGCAGCTGATAACCCGCGGAGTGTGAACTGTTCCTGCCAGGATGGCACAAGATAGTCATCGTTGTTGACGGCTTCATTATGAAGCGGTGAAGGCTTAATCGGCGAACGTAGTTGTGACATCTTGGATACTGGGCTGTGGGAAACTGGTGATGGCGAAGCACTCTGGTGGAATGTGAATTTCTCATCGAAGACTGGCGCTGTATTGGTCGGTATCGGTGTGCTGTGTACACTCGAACGAGAAGATGTGCGAGCATGCTTGCGAGGAAGACTGTGATCTGATTCATAGCCGCTGGAGTTTCTTCTGACCATGAAAGAAGCGCCCTCTGAGATCAATCTTTGCTGTAGTTTCTGGCAATCCTCTTCGAAATGCTCGTGCTCGCCGCTGCCATCATTCTTGGGTTCCAAAAGATCCAGTCTTGCGAGGATATCGTGTGTAAGAGGTTGTCCGCTAGCTTCAGATAATGGTTTTCCAGGCCAGACATTTGCATCGACAAGACGACGGTATGTTTCTTGGAGACCAGCGACCAGTTGTGCTTGTTGTTGCTCGAGCATCTCTACGTNATCTACACAGAGTTAGTTCTGTGTAAAGATTGCTGGAAGACGAGACACGAACCCTTTGGGGTAGATCTTGTCATGAGACTTCTTTCTCTCGCCGAAGACGCAGATAGCGTTGTCAGCCTTGCATCTAGTGCATGGATGACTGCCATCGCACTTTGACTTCTTGAGACGACATCTATCACAGGCCTTGCCGACACGCTTTCTTATGCTGTCTGTCGAATCCGNAGAAGNAGTCCTGCGGACAGCTGCTGGTGGCATGGTGTATGGGATGGGTAGTATTATGTCAATGGTGTTGTAGGGGAGAGAGATGATGACTAGGTTGGAGTGAGACACAGATCAAGCCAAGGAGCGGCTTCTAGATATATTCCTAGTCGGTCAAATATGGTCGGGGCTTGACATAAAACGCGGGTTCTGCCTGCGTGACGTGGGAACGCATCAAATATATGTATGTGAAGGATGGGTCACCAAGCGTTGGCAGGAATACATGATGACGCTATCTCATTGGAGGCCACATGGTGAACGCCTGTTAAAATTGTATGGCCTGACTAATTGTCAAACTGTTTCAGTCCGCGGAGGCAGGATTTAGATTGACGCCGATTGCTTGGTCAGACTCGAGATCATGATGGAAACAAGCTCAAGGACAAATTCGGCCGATGGATCGGAACCGGGAGCATTAGAAAAGCGAGGACAGAACCCGCCGAGTCATGCAACGGCGGGCTAACGATATATACGGCCGAAGCTTGTCACCATTGATTTAAAGGTGCAGCAGCACCTTCGATCCCAGGGCTGTCGACCTTCCGAGGCAATCGTTCGCGATACTCAAATTCTGAAATCCTTCTTGCTGTTTCTTGCTCGGAGTTTGAATCATACCTCGCAGAACCGGTGAACGTCATTGCGCGATGCACTTGGACGGTCGCGACAAGGCGCTGTGAAGGCAGCAGGCAGCAAAGTTCCATGTACGAGTACATACAGGGATCTTGTCATCTTCGTGGCTCATCAGCATCCTCCAGAACTCGAAGCATGTTTGGCTTGTCGGTCGTGGGGCACTGCTCTGCTTTCATGGCATGCCAAGCACCTGTAGCCCTGCCAATCCTGGTCTGTACCTGCGGTCTTGCTGTCATATGATTCGACACCTTGTCGTCGCGTGTCGCATTTAAGCCTTTGCTGCGTCTCAGCTTACAATCGAGAATCCGAGCATCTGTTGATGCTGGCGAAAAATGGCCGGTCTCGTATCCATACATGTTGTCGCCGTATACGAACTGGATTTGATGCTACACTCGGTTGTGACTCCCGTTTTGCTCCCCAGGAACCTTCCATAGCGTGCTTGTCAAAAACGTAAGCCACCGAGTTTCTGCAGAAGGACCACTCGGATTAGATACGAGATGCTGTCTCGGGCTCCGGCTTGCTCAACTTCCGAAAGTGCTTTGGAAAATGACGAACATCCGCACCCGCAAACCCGTTGTCCCAGAGTTGGAAGAGTTCGAGAATCAACTTGGATGAAAATCAGAGGCGTTCGAAGGGTCGTGGAGGAACGCATCGCCCGTTTCTCTAATCCATTTCTGACAACGATCGTCTAATAGTTGCCTTCTTCAAAGTTGTAGGCTGCCATAGCGGACCCTGGTTTGCTCCGCTCGGTCGCGTTCGTCTCCGAGAAGGATCATGCAAACTCAGCTCCCATCAGGGTGTAATGTTGCGAGGGCGTTTTTGCCTACCCACACCCTCTTTGATGCCGACTTTCCATGGTTCAGACCGAGTCCCGAGTTGCGGCACTCGGCTTTGATAAGGTAGCAAGGAATGATGGAATTCTGCAAACATGCTCCGACAGTTCGGTCCAGTGTGTATTCTGATTGGCCAAAACGCCGAACTCATACCATAAACGAGAACATATCTTGAGATCCAAAGGCGCATCGAGCCGAACGTTCGTGCTCAAGTTTTTTTGCTAATCTCAATGAACGTGAATAATGAAAGCCACAGAGAAAGCACAGAATGCATGGACTGACTGTTGCACCTGCTCGCCTGTTTCGTGCGCACCAAGATCCATCCAGCACTTTACCTGAGGCTCTCGAAATCGAAGACTCAAACAAATTGTATTGTGTTGCCGAATACCGAAGAGCTGACACCACCATTCATGTGAGCATCTCATGGCTCCACGGTGGCTCCATGAAGCCACGGGAAACACACGCAACCCTCTGATAGTTCGTTGGATTCGCTTATAGGCGAGATCGTCCCGCGCGATCTAGATGGCTTTCTGCATCCAGATGTTCAAAATTCAATCGCATCTACAGACTACTTGCCTCGGATCAGGTATATTCAAGTACTGTACATGTACAGCTCAACCCTCACGCATTCTGACGTGGACTGTGGTCCCTGTCGGCCCATTGCACACATCGTAACTTTGGGCCTCGAGACTATTCGGAGTACCTTCGCGTTCTATCGAATGGACCTCTTCTTTTTAATTTACTTCATCTTGCAAATCCATGAAACACATAGTTGCCTTAACGGTCTATATTTAAGTATCAAGTCAACCCTACCTCTCCCCCTAACCGAGTTTATACCGAAAGAGTTGACCAATTTCCACGCAAGGTCCCCTTTATAGAAGACAAGACAGGCCAGAAGGAATGTGGGCTTAACCATACATCAAAGCAGTTGTGATACTGTCATAATACTCCTTTGAGTTACTGTGTCTCCTCGAGTCTTGAATAACTTCCTGTTTTTGGATAAGCTTGGTTGCTGTTGGTATGACCCTGCTCTTCGATCATCATGATCTAAACAATCCCACAGTCTTGCGTAAAGAGATTCCTTGGGCAGGAAGGAGCTTCTGTAACACTCAAATACTGATGCAAGGAAGTTACCTTACGTTTTGTTGGCAAGGTGGTGTTGTGGAGGGTGATTTGAGTATAGGTCAAAATTCCACCGGAGCATCAAGGCATACTCCGTAGATCTGACGTCGCTTTGACCAGGGTATACGTCTTGACAGCAACGACATAGAGCCCGAATTTCATCCAGTCACGCAGTAATCATGCACACACCAACATCAGATCAAGAGATAAAGAAATCATCGTTCTGGTAGTCTATCTGCTATCATCACCAAAATCCCCGTTCTTTCATGCCATAGTGCTCTCATCCAATACATCTTCCAGCAAGGACCACCTGCACGATTCCACATCTGGCACGCTCATACTATACGTAGCTTCGTATGAATACATGCTCAACTGGCTGAAGAAAGGCTGCAACACACTGCGCANAAAGTCGTCTCTGGCCATCGCTTTCGTGTCTGCGCCGTCCATAGTTGAACCTCTCAAGAACAGTCCTCTGGTACCTGCTTCGTTGGTCGAATTGTTGCTCGTGGTTGGTAGTGCGAAGGCCGAATGTTCAGAGTTTTCCATGCCCAAGGCTTCGGCTGCTTCGTCGGTCAGGGCGACTGGGTTGAGGTCGACGGGTCGGTATACGGCATCGATAGTGTCGGTAATGTAAAGCCACTCGTGCAGTTGAAATTCGTCGGGTGATAGAGTAGTCAGCAGATCGAGAAGCTTGCAGGCTTGCAACAGCGAGAGGTTGCTGTATATATCCTGGTCGTGACCGCCGGGCAGACATGCAGTGATCGCCTTCTGCAAGTTTGCGTTAAGAACGGGCCAGACAGCAGACAGATGAATCGGCGAAAAGGAGAGCATCATCGCCCGGAAGACCATAAAAACTTCCGCTCTTGTGGTAGATGACGGTGATGAAGAGGAGTCGGCTGTGCACAGGTCGACGAGCTTGTCCAAGATTTGCATTAGATTACCCACGAAAGTGTCTTGCTCGCAGGCCAGCATGAGAAGCATTGTCTTTCGTAGAGTGAGCTGCGTCCTTCGATCGGCTTCGAGGCGTGCTGCATTAGCACCGACGCCGAACATAATACCAGCTGTTGAGGGAGCGGTGATCCTGGACAGAAGCTCAGNGAGACGATCCTTGTCACTGAGCGCCCACTTGCGCAGCACGGGATACCACCCGTCGTGCATCAATTCTGCAGAGCATGTCAACAGTCGAGGGTTGTTGAATGCATCTGCGATGTCTTTCTTCCATTGCTTGGAGGTAGGCCCTTGCTGGGCGACATGCTCGAAGAGCTTCAATAGATCCTTGGTAATGTTTTCAGGGAACGCCTTCGCGTGGAACGCTGGCGTCATGACATTGCTCGATATGGTGTTCACAGCACTCTGAACTCTGTCGTTACTTTGCAAAACGATCGAGAGTCTTGGCGTAACATAGAGAAGGCTGTGGATGAGATCATTAGCTCCAGTAGGAAGTTGCGACCCAGCCGCTGGAGTCTCAAGAGTGTTCGCAAGTGGCCGTGCAGTGAACGTTGCGGTCAGCAAACGGAGGAAAATGTCGCCTAGTTCGCGGCGCATTTTACGCAGTTCACCAAAGTTTGTGTTGTCAATCTTCTCGGCGAGCAAGACTGTAAACTCAAGGAGAGATGGCAATATCTGTCTATGAGGCAGTGGATTTGAGAGTACATCTCTCAGGAAGATCATACATTCGCTCCAAATCTCATCGGTGGCATCGTCTTCGATTGCGCGTGCATAGCTTAGCAAGAAGGCGGCCACTTCAGCCGTGGACAGATCAGACGTTAGACTCGACCTACGTCCGATATCCAAAGCATCGATGTTTGTCCGACTGTAAAGGGCATTGATGATAACTGGCACTGTGCTCTTGGGTCGGGATCCATCCAAGACCAGTAGCAAATCAAAGACAGCTGCAGACTCGATCTCCTTGGAAGGCTTCGGTCGAGACCATATCAAAGCTAATGTCTCGAGACACTCCAACTCTTCAGCCGCGAATAGATTCTCGAGGATTTTTCTCGTACGATTTCTCAACTTCAATGCATTCAACGAAATTGTTGCTGCACAAGTAGCGTCTGACCGGCCACTTTCATTACTCGCCCATGCCCAAATAGAGAAGCAAATTCGGATAGCGTCTTGGAATGACAATATCATGGTGAGTCTGCTGTTTATGCGGCTAGTCTTGCTTGGAGGTACATGTTGTCCATCCTGCGCAAAAACGCCAGAGATATTACCAAAGAAACCTTGCGATGGCTCGGGAGACTTCGGTACAGGGCTAACAACTTCTTCACTCTGAAACTGGCGATGGACATGGGCAAGGACGAGCTCAAGTCCATGTAGCAGTGCTGATAGTGTTGAGATAGGCACGGACTCAATTCTTTCATGTGTCGAGTGCGAAATGTGCTTCACATATCGGAAAGCAGTTGAAACTTGCTTACATATACACTCGACAAGTGGCAGCAAGTTCGCAAAGACAGCATCTGCATAAAGAGGCAAGACTTGATCGAGAAAATCGACCCAATGTTCGAGGAACAGGCGACTCGAAGGTGACGACAGACCGGTACGGAGACAGCTCAGAAGCTCCGGTGGTGGCGTAGAAATTGTTGGTTGTGGTATTTTCTCTGGAACTTCTATAGTAAGCGAAGGTCGGTGAGAGGCGAGTGGACTTCGAGGTGGCGCAAGCGTGCTTTGCATTGGTGCTGCTTGTAGTCTGAGAGCCCTAGATATCGTTTCGAGGTAGACCGTCTGGAGCGCTCTGATCGGACCTTTGAGAGCCTTGCTCAGCGTACCGATCAGTGCATCATCGATGTCCATCTGTTTCAAGACGGATGGATCAGGACATTCAAGTAGTGTCTGAAGTATAGTCAACGACGCATGCTGTAGAGTTTGGGGAGCCGAGTGTCCTTGCAAAGCAAGAGTCTTTAAACAGATCCTTGATAGAAACTCAATGGCACCAGTTTTCGAGATTCCAGTCCGTGGGGTGCTCGAAAAGTCGAATTGGAGATTTGAGAGAGTAAGCCACATGTGCTCGTTGGGATCGCGTAAGAGATTTCGCAAGTGCTGAAGACAGAAGTAGACACCGTCCAGGCTTTGCTCAGCGTTTCTTCGTGTTCGGTGCCGAGCTTCCTTCTTCCCTGCTTCGTGAGCGAAGCTGTCCATGTCCTNTTGTAGCTTAGAACATATGATGTAGAAAACTCTGTCGAGACTAGACAGACTTTGTAGCCATGAACGGACAACGTCAGCTGCGCCTGTGCCCTCAGCATTCAAAGAGTCCAAGAGTAATAGCAGAGGTCTTGTCAAAACTCTCTCTGGGTCGACATCACCACCAAGCTCGCCTGTGGCAGGCATGACGCTAGGCCTGCGAGACAAAGGCCTTCCGGAGCCTTCTGATCTTAGGTTAAAGCTCTGCATGGTATGCTCCCAAAGCACCGTAAATCTGGAGGCTATCTCTGGACCGTCTACCTCTGATTGATCACTCACGAGTAAGGCCAGCCGGGCTTCAACCTGATGTTCGGCTTTAGTCAAGCTTTCCAGCTGCCATATCAATCTTACTGCCTCAACATGATACTTTGGTCTGAATGGTGAGAGATGATGCCAGATACCGTTGAGAACGTTGGTCTGAAGATTCATGATCTGTCCATGACTGAAGTACTGTGACTGATTTCCGGCAACACTGGCAACTACCACTGACATAATCGAGCTGATGACTAAGAAGGATGATTGCTCGGTAGAAGAGTCTTGTAGAAGGCTCTCTTGATCAAGTGCTTGTCTGAACGTGTCGTAGATATCTGCATCGCGGAAGGCTTGGGAGTTGGGTGTCTTGGTAATGATGCTAACGAAACAATCTGTGATCAGACCCAGCTGGTTCGTGAAAGTGTTCGTAGTCAAAGCCAATTTCAAAACTTCAACGACACTTTGTAGCATGTATTCGGCAGTTCCTCGTCGATCGTGCGTCTCGATATCTGTGATGTTGTCTTCGAAGTCCTCTCTGATGTACTGTTGCGTTAGTGACTTGATCACTGACGAGCCGCTTCCCGATTCCCAAACAGGTTGACGAGGACCATCTTTTCCGTCTTGCTCAAAGGCACGTGGAGGCAGAAGACGTAACAACCTTTGCGCGAAGCTCAACACAAGGATCATGAAGCGTTCTGATCCAACCTGTTTCTCACTCAAGATGGAAGCAAGATGGGAAAGAAGGATAAGGAGAGTGTTTGGAATGTGCCGCAGAAGCATCTCTTCATCACGCACATCGAACCGATCAATGACGAAATGGAGAAATTCTAGACCACGCAACGACTCTTTTTCGGCAGATTGTAGCAGGTCGAAAGAAGACAGCAGCACACTGATGAGGCGTGACCATATCAAACTACTCTCAACACCATCGAAGAAAAGGCTGGCACTGCGAATGACTTCTTCAACTTGCGCCGGTGAACTGGCTTGGCTGTACTCATATGCATTTTGAAGAGCGGGAAGTAGAACTTTTGGCACGATCAACCCGCCAACTTCCCAGCGGTCCATCAGAGACAGACATACACGGAAAGGCTTGGCACGGCCGGTTGGATGGGTACTTTGCTGACCAAGCATATTGATGATGCTCTTCTCGAGAGATGCTGCACCATGCTTCTGAAAATACAGAGCCTGTTTTTGGGAAACATTACCACGTGAGTCTGTAGGCGAGANGGGTGCACCATCTTCAGCCTCTGAAGCTGTGGGATCAGGACCGAGGAACCATGACCACAACCTACGATTCAGACTCATGTCTCTCCTCAATACACAATTTGCGGCAGCAGTGGTGATCAGTACCATGTCTTTGGATCGGACGTGATTGCGGAAGACAGGTGAGTGGAGAGGCAAGTGTGTAACGAGCAGATCAAGAAAGCCACGCTGCACGAGAATGTGCGAATCTTGAAGACCGGCAGCGAAGCAACGTACAAGCAGGCCAGGCTCAGGGTTGATGGCAGCTTGGGCAGCCAGAGGAAGAGCGCGGTCTTCGACCTGGGACGAGTCCAGGGATGTGTCGGACGGGGTAAAATTGGGAAGCTTACGGGTCAGGAAAGCCAGAGCACCTTGCCTGCGAGAAGGATTCGTGATTACAGCGAGGAAGAAGCACTGCCAGAAGTAGCCATCTCTTCCTTCGGCATCCGAACCATCTTCGATATCGCGAGAAGAAGTCTTTCGCAAAACATCGAGAATACGGAAAGCTCTGTCAAAGTCCTCACTTGTCTCATCTTCGATACCGGGTAGCAATGACAGAATCAGAGACTTTGTGGCAGGGCGGATGTGTTCAGAATCTAGCTTCAAGATGTGATCCTCGATGACTGAGTAGAAGATTGGTCGGACGGACAGAGATGCGAAGGACAAGACGGGAACTAAGCCAGGCAGGTACACGTGGAGAGTGTGACCAAGCGACGGCGGAGGGAGGAAGGAGAAGATGGTGGCATAGACGTCGAGAGCTTTCTGGTGAACACCAGAGGGCAGAGCAGGATTAAGGCACTGTGCCAGACGCAGAGCGACAGCGTGGGCGTGCGGGAGGTATTCAAGGCTCGGAGGAGGAGGGTGGAGGGCCTTGAGTAGGCGGGCTAGAAAGGCAATGTAGTCAGCCCATTCTTGCTGGGCGCTGTCGAAGGACGACAGGGCACGCTCTATGGCAGTGGCATAGCGACGAGTCGTCTTGTCTTTTGCGCGACAGCTGCTCGCACAGGCAGTCAGTGACAAAGGCTCCAAGACAGGAGGCACGCAAACGCACATACCGTCCTCGACCCGGCGAGGAGCACGGAGAGCGGGCGAGGAGCGTCCCGTACTCAGCGGCGACACGGAGCGCCGGCCATCACCGGGTTCAAATGGCATCTTCGACCAAAAACATGCAAGTTGACACGATAATGGATGATATTGTTGCTGGTTGCTGTATAGCTCGCGCTTGGCGTGGGGGAGACGTGGCTGCTTCAGGTACGCGTTTGGTATTTCTATTTTGGACGAGCATCCACCATCTCCGCGTCGATCAGGTATGGCAGCAGATGGGTTGTATGGCCCACTATCCTTTCAATCCGTAGTCCTGAAAAGAATCTCGAAGACTCGGAGCAAGAATTGGACTTGTTTGTGGTGCAATACAGGTAGGCATGCACCGACGACCTAATCGGGAGAAGGAGCGTCCGAGTGTTGTCACAGCTGTCGAGGCAGGCACGCACGTCACCGGCTTGTCGTGACAGAGCGACGAAATTAACAAAAAGCAGTGTTCACCAGCTGCCAAATTACGAAACCGACTAGGCAAAGAATTTCGACTTCTCCACTGCCATGCAGCATTCGTCCAACTCTCCCTCCCCTACTCGCTCTCANATCCCCTCTCCTCCCCTACGCGACCACGACTCCTCGGCCATCGATACCCGCGACACCAGCCCGTCACCCGTCACCAAAGAAGATCCTCGACGCAAAGACAGTGGCAGCGACAAGAACGAAGCCAGCTTTTTCCACCACATCACATACCCCGTCTCCTACACCATCAGCGGCCTCCTGCGCCGCCTCAGCGCAGACGAAGCTCCCACACCCCTCGCTCGTGCCTTGTCAGCAAACTACAACGGCGCCATGACTCCCTCGGCCACCTTCTTCGACGCTCCCAAACGCCGTCTCTCGCCATTCCAGCCCCCGCCCTTGACCCCCTTGACTCTCCTTGGCTACAGAGAGAGCACTCCACTTGCTAGCCGTCTGTTGGAAAAGGCTCTGGCCGAAGAGATCCGCTTGCTTATGCCGCCACGAGTCCAGCTCGTGGATGAATGGAAGCTGATCTACTCGTTGGAACAGAATGGAACCTCGTTGGGTAGCTTGTATAGCTTGAGCGACGAATACAGAGGCAAGAGGGGTGGCTTTGTCTTGGTAGTCAGAGATGCCAGCCAAGGGGTCAGTCGGAACACCTCCAACATTTCTCATGCCAGAACTGACAATACCCTATAGGTCTTCGGCGCATACCTTTCCGACCCTCCGCAGCCTCATCCCCATTATTACGGCACTGGCGAGTGCTTCTTGTGGAGCGCTTTCCGCCTACCTTCTCTACCCGACCTCTCATCATTGCCCCCACCCCCATCTGCCGACACTACACACATGCAGCGTAGCACAACAATCGCCACAGCCACCAAAAAGCCTTCCCTGGCTCCGTCGTCAACAAGTGGTACTTCGACACCCGACAGGGTACGTTTCAAGGCTTTCCCTTACACTGGCGAGAACGATTACACAATCTTCTGTCAGCAGGCATTCCTGAGTGTTGGTGGCGGTGATGGCCACTATGGACTGTGGCTAGACAACAACTTGGCCAGAGGCATAAGTTCGCCCTGTCCAACCTTTGGCAATGCGCGTCTGAGCGACGAGGGCGAGAAGTTTGGCATACTCGGTGTCGAGTTGTGGTACATTGGCTCTTAATCAGGAACACTTCTCTGTTGTTGTTGTTATGTGGTATCCTTGCCGTGTACAACTTACAGAAAATCTCCTATCCAAGCAGATCGGCAAGTTTGGCGCAGTTCATCTTGGACCATATGCTCTTGAGCAACCGAGCCTGCACATGATGAAGGCTACATCATGACGAGTGATCTCATGCAACATTTCGCGACCTGAGGCATTGGACACCCTTGAAGGAACAAGCTGTCGTTGCATCGCAGACTTGCACGCAGATCGAAACAACCAAGACATCTGCCCTGATGAAACATTGTCGTATGGCATACACAGCTTGCCCAGTTCTGGTAACAATGACCTATTTTACCCATCTGGAAAACATCCACCAAGGTAGAAGAAGGGTCGAGCTGTTTCGGTCCACGAGTCTAATGATGCACACGGCATGGTTGTTCCACCGTTGATTTGTACACACTCAAGATTGCCAAGCGTATTCCTTTCTGTTTTATTAATCACGATATGCAGAACCAGACGTGAGGCAACCTGGACTGTCTTCTGAGAAGATGCAGATGCAAGGTGATAGGACATGACTGAGAGCACTCTACGGAGCCGGTTGCAAGATGTTCTCGACCTTGGATGCGTCTCATGGAATCGATAAACAGGTATCAATCAGAGTCACAGGTGGCCTGATTTGGAAAGAACTAAGCTGGATGGGTGCAGGGCTGGGCGCTGCAACGGTCTTTATCTCGACTTCCAACGGTCTTCCACCCAATCCAATTCACTTGGAGTGCATGGCTTACTGAAACGCTCTGCCTTTATTGACGGCGTACGGTACATCATCGCCTTGCCGGTAACGGTGAAAATGGTTCCTCGTATACTGCCGACGAAAAGGTCTTTGCAAAACATAACAATCAAATATTCTGTCAGATAGAATCTGCGGTCCCTCTGTTCGCGACATTCAAGCTATACCACGATCCACGTCTGTTCTATTAATTACAAGAACTCAGCCATACCTAGCAGGAAGTAGCGATGCGCGCGCCGGACATTCTCTTCTCGCTCGCAGCCGCCGGCATCGTTGCTGGCTCACCTCTGGACTTCCAAGAGCGTGCTGCCAACACGTGTACAATCAAAAGTATTCAGTCTGTCGTAACCAAACTGAGTCCTTCTGTGGCCACTCCTTATTGCCAGTCTCTTCTCAAGATTTCGACGCAGACTGTAATCAAAACTGTCAAACCCGCCTTCCCTTCGAAACATGTCGTGACAGCGACTGTGTCCAANAAAGTCACGTCAACCAAGTANTGTTGAATGATACAGAATGTAAAAGGAAATGAACAATTAACAGCTCGCAGGACAGTTACCAAGAATATCACGGCTACGACATCGAGCTCATTCAATGCATCGGACACAAGGATCAAAAAGAGTACAAGCACGTCCAGCAACAAAAGCAGCACTTCTTCCAAAATCGGCAGCAGTAAAACTGTCAGTAGCCTTTCAGCTTCGCAATCTTCGACCTCATCGCGACCTTTTGTGAAACCCTCGAAAGTCAGCAACCCATTTTCATCGAGCACAATCAAATCGAGTTCATCAAGCAGTGTCCGCTCAACCTCGACATCACCTTCCAGCAGCAGCATCAGAAGCTCCACATTGAGCTCATCAAGCAGTACTCGACCTACTTTGACGTTATCTTCCAGCAGCATCAAAACTTCTACATTGAGCTCATCAAGCAATGTTCGCTCAACTTCAACATCACTTTCCCGCAGCACCAGAAGTTCTACATCAAGCTCGTCGAGCAGTATCCGTTCTACTTCGTCTTCGTTGGCCAGCAAGCCAGCCACAAGCTCTTCAAGCACCAAGTCTATGTCTAGCTCGAGCACCAAGTCAACTTCCAGCTCGAGCAGTTCATCGGGCGGAAGCTTGCGCACCAACGCCATCATGGCCACAGTCCCGGATTCTGTCTCTACATCGGAGAATGCTTCAACATCTGCTTTCGAGACTGCTTCAACCTCGTCAAGCACCTCATCTTCGTCTTCGTCCGTTGAGTCTGCGTCAACGTCGAGCAGCAGCGGATTACCTCCGTCCGTTTATTCAGCTAATCCTACTGCCTCGACAAACGGGACCTTCTTTGCGAACCAGACATCTGTACGCACTGCATCATCCACAGGATTCGCTGACCTCTCGTCGACCTCTGCAACAGCAAGTTCCGGGATGAGGGAGCGTGACTTGGAGGAGCGCGGGAATGCAGCGACTTCGAACAAGAAGACGACGAGCGTCAAGAAAACAACATCGACGAAGGCACCCAGCACCACCAAGAAGCAGCAAATCGTAAAGAAGGCTACCAGTAGCCAAAAATCATCGAGCACAAAGAAAGCCAGCACAAGCGTCAAGCCGAGCAGCATCAAGAAGGTAGTGACTACTAGCAAGAAAGCCAGTACTACGTTGAAGCCTGTGTCTACATCAAAGACACCGAGTGTCCCCATCAACAAGGGTCAGCCTGCGCAGTTCAATGGGCTCAACAACGCACAACAATCAAGCATCTGTAGCTGCTTGCACGTACCTACTTCAACGGTCACCAGAAGCATCTTTGTGGACACGTTCACCACTGTCACATCGACAGTAACGGCTGTACAGACTCTTGTCAGTTCAAANGACGACAACAGCACACCACACTGTAAGTCAACAAAATCACGAAGTGATCATCTCTGCAAATTAGCTAACAAATGTGGGCAGACGACTGCAACGCCCAATCTCTTCTACTTGCAAGTTTCGAGCAAGAGCAAGACATCGATCGACGGAAAGTTCGCGACACTGCCAGGAGGAAACGAACTTCTCGGATTCACAGCAAGCAAAGCAGGAGGCAGCGAATTCNNTTTTTTTGCGTCGGGCGATCTGCTCGTAGAATCACGATCGAACTGGTTGGCCAATGTCGAGGAGGGAGATTGGGCGACGTCCTTCTGGATGAATTCGGTCGATCGCATGTACCAGGTGAATGCGGTACCACTGGCTTGTCGTAACCANGGCGGAGTGCTCTCGTGCAAGAGTGGCGACCTCGAGCAGCTGTATTGGTGCACAGTTTGGGGGACAACATCGCTGGTTCTTGGACCTTCAACCTACGACAACGCGCTGTGCAAGCCCGTGTCGCTCAACATTGTGGCGGCCTGAGTGACATTTCTTGGCCAGAGAAACAGATAGCGATATGATATAATGTTAATTTGATTGAAAGAAGCATATGAACGATGAAGATTGTGGTCGGCAGTCGGGGAGGGAGGTGCGGAGAGAGCTTCTCCATGTTTCGCAGATCCCGAGTGGTCATCACCCGAGCACCATCACCATCCGTCTTCGCATCACAAAGCCGAGAACCAAGCAAAGTCGCTGTCGCAAGCACCCAGGATCCTCGAATACCACCCAAGCAGCTCACACACATCTCACAAGCACACAATGGCCTCACGCGCAATGTCGATGCCGGCCCGCCGCCTGGCCGCCAGCCTCTCCACTCCCGCCATGACCCGTCGCAGTTTCCAGAGCTCAGCACGCCTGCTCGAGGTGCCGGCAGGAGCCATGCCCGTCCGCAAGCCCGTCGGTGCCTTCCGTGGAGGGTACGAAACACATGCATCTTCTTCTCTCGCTCTGTTCCGTCTTCCGGCATCCCGGCCAAAGCCCGTCGCGTGACTTGACTGACATGTGCTCATACAGNNTATCCTTGGATTCCTCACTGGAGCCGTCTTGAGCGGAGGAGCTCTGTACTACTATGTCATTGACGAGTACCGCGTCTCCAACGAGCTGTTGACCGAGGACATCTACGTGAGTTTGCCGGTTGCTTGCGCCGACAAGAGCAATCAAGACTAACTGCTCTGTGAACCCAGNGCCCTGCAATCCGCCGTCTCACGCATAGAGGGCTACGTCAAGTCGCTCGAGGAAAAGGTCCGCAAGTAAACCGCCCTCTGCTCTCCATATTCGCCAACCGATCCTTTCGCATCTTTTCCATCTCTCGCTACTCAACCAGAATGTCCGCTCCGAGACTCGCTCCCCATCGACGCCTTCTCCTTTCCAAGCATTTGATCGAAGCTCTCCCCAGCATTATCCGTGTTTCTCTTTCTTCGAACCGCCCGACTAGCAACACACATCTCACGTCCTCGTCTCCTTGTCTCTTTGCTCTCCATTATCTTTGTATAACGAAAAGATATCCCAACCTCGAATGCAAAAATACCCACGTTCAATTGAATCAAAGCCAGCACGACTTCTCAAGTACCTGACGAACAGAAAGAGCTATGGAAACATATTTGACTTGACGGAGGGGTGACACACTATCGCGCGGCTGAGAGAGACTTGTCTTGCGTCCTTGTGCCATTGTCGTCCTTTGCTACGGTGGAGGGCGTTTGCCAGGACATGAGGGCCTGTGTGTTCTGCTCAGCGCGCTCCCTTCTCTCTTCTGCTCGGACATGGCCTCTCGTTTGCCAGTGATCATGCGCCTCAGCTCTACTAGCCCCTTCTGTTGCCTCTTCCTCTTGTCTCTTATCCACGGCTTTGCACTCCACTCAAGTGACACTTCTGTAACCCCTCTCCACAAGACCCTCCAGCCTCCCGTAAGTCTTTCATGTGCCATCTCTCTCGCTCTCCGTGTTACTTATTTCTGCTCTGCTCCTGTGAACAATTATGGATAGTCGTCTCCTCTTGTTACTTGGGGAAAGGAGGACTTTCGGACCGCTCAGCTCATGTCTCTGACGTTTTTTCTCACCTGTGTCCTTGTGCCTTCTCTCCTGCCACACGACTTCTGCGTCAAGCTTGTTCTGTCGGCTATTGTCTTGTGAGTATTCATCTCGTCGTTGGACTATCTTTTCGAGCGCTCAAGCGAGAAGTCCAGATGTCATTTATTTCCTATTGAGAAAAGTCAGTTTCTGGCAGCTTTCTTATCTTCTCTGTCTTGTCAGTTCTCATTACAATCTCGAGTCAAATCATCATGGTCACAATCAAGAGGAGGAAACATTGCGTGAAAGTCATAGTTTGCTTTCGATTCAGAAGAGTTAATCAAGCTATTACTACAAGAATGTCATGGCTCTCGATTCGTTCCTAAGAAAAGAAACCTGAGATCGTGAGAGATGTGCAAGAGGAAAGAATGGATGGAAAAGGCCCCCAATGAGCTCGCCGGCTCAGCTAACCAGGTCCAAATTTACTCCGGACTGGCGCATCTAGATGTACCACATGCCAGGGTTCATGGTGGCAGGGTTGGCCATGGCAAGAAGAGGGGNGAAGACAGGATCCTCGGAACCAGTGTTGCTGGGACCTTGAACAGTGGACTGCTGGTCGACCTCAACGCCGAAGCCCTTGCTGTGGTGAGCACCGCGCAGAGAGGCAATGTGGGCATAGTAGACGGCAGGGAAGATCGACACAGGAGTGGTAGCACGGATGTACTGGTATGAGTGCTCGTAGATCAGTGTCTGGATCTTGTCGTTGGGCCACTGAGGCTCGTTGAGCAGGACGTTGTAGTGAACGGGACGAGCTGTGCCCTTGATGGCCGCATGGGCGCAAAGGTAGAAGTCGTTCTCGTAGGGCTGAGTAACTCCAGTCTCAACGAGAGTGCCGGGAAGGGCGTTGTTGTTCTTGTCGCCACCGCTCTGGGGGAAGAAGCGGACGTGGTGGCGCTTGGAGGCAATGACGACCAAGAACTTGGGAGAGCTGTTGAACACCTTAAGGAAAGCCTTCTTCATAGCAGCCACTTCCTGGTCAATGACTTGAGCGAACTGGCCCTCGGAGACACCGTCACGGAAGTAGAGGACAGTGGCAGGAGCTCTGCCCTGGCCAACCTTGTTGACCCAGCCGTTCTTGATAAGCGACATGATGTGCCTCTCGATGTTCTCGTCGGTGATCATCTCGACACGGTAACCGTTGGTCTCGACCGCAGCAGCGTAACGAGTGCCCTGGAGGTTCATCGAGACAGTCATGGCGGCCATGGAGGGGCCCTTCAGACCAGGAGCAGAGTGAGAAACATCGGCGCCAATAACGACGGTGGTGTTGTCGAGGATACCCTTGACGGTCTGCTGCGTGAAGGCGGTGTTGGTGAAGCCGCCCAATTTGGCATTGAACTTCATCAATACGTTCGAGATGTACTGAGGCTGAGCCTTCTGAACGTGGGCGTACTGGACGCACTGAGAAGGAATGCCGAGCTTGCATTCGCAGAATCTCTTGATCTTGCCGTAGACGAAGCTGTTCTTGTCCATCAGGATGAACATAAGAATTTGTGGTCTCAACTTGTGCTTGTTGCCGGCGACAGTAAAGGCCTCCTGCGCAAAGCTAGCAGGATCGGGGCTTGAGGGGTAGTGGATAGCAGGGGTCTGGTAGGCAGGGGNGAGTGATGCGCCGTGAACACCGTAGGATTGGGCGAAGCTCTTGACGAATCTCTCGATAGCAGCCTTGTCAACCTGGAATCTGCCAGGCACCACGCAGACACCCCAGGTTCCGTTCAAAACGGCGGGAGGAGGGATGGATGCGAACTTCTTGCCCTTCAGGTCCCAACGACCACTGGTTCTGGGGTCGGCCTGAGCAGCACTGCCGGTGCCACCAAATTGCAGCTTGGGGTTGGTCAACAGGCGAGCCTTAGCGACAATGGGCTGCTGCTGGATGGACATGCCATAATGGGCGAGGGAGGGGTCCGTGGACCAGTTGATCATGTTGATACCGGCCGAGATGGCAGTCCAGCGGTCCCTAGGAGGAGTGACAGCCTTCTTGATCATGTTGGAAGTCTGGACCTCATCAAGCTTGAAGGTGTAACGCTGGTTTTCCTTGATCTTGAGAAGCTCCAAGGGAAGAATGGCCTTCTTGGTCATCTGAACGACAGGCCAGCCAGGATACTGCAGTCTGATGTTGTGGGTTTGCTGGAAGTAGTCCTTGACAGACTTCTTGCTACCGTCCTTGAAGCTCAATAGGTGAGACGAGTCTGATCTCAAGAAGGAGTCGATCACATAGTCATCAATGGCGCCCTTGCGGTGACCGGCGAAAACGCGAAGCTTCTTCAGACGACGAAGATCGTACCACTTGTTGTTGTTAGGCGCGAGCAAGCGCTGGATCTCGGCCTCATCTCTGAGTCTCGTAACAGCGACGACGGCTCTCGAGAGGGGACCAGGCGACCAGAAGGTCCCGTTGGCGACGTCGGCGTTGACGACCAGACGGTTACCACCAGGGTGGTGGGCAATGCGCAAAGACTGATAGACACCAGTGGTGTGTTCGACGTGACCACCCAGTGAGGTGCGTTGAGAAGCGGCGGCGAAGAAGGAGCGCTTGATTGAGATGAACTTGTTCGAGGGGCTCTCGCGCATGATGTGATCCAGCACAGTGATGGCTTGGAGGATCTTCTTGTCGTAAGCGGCCTGGTTGTTGAGGTAGGCGGTCAATGTCGTGAAGTCAATGACCGCAGTAAGCCCGAGGATGACGCGGTGCACATCAGTACCGCCAGGACGAGCCTTGTGACCAGCCTCATCGTCGAGATTGACGTTGAAACGGATCTCAGTCTCCTTCTTCTCGCTGCTCCAGGCGAGAGTCTGGCCGTCAAAGATCCAACCAGCGCCGAGGTGCTTTCTAGTAGCCTGGCTGTTCCACACGGCCTTGATCAAGCCACGCTTCTCAGCGCCAGTGCCAACCATGACCTGGTACTGGTAAATAGGCTTGACGGGCAGAGCAGTGACGGCGAAAGCGTTCAACTGAATGTTGACCTCTCTGCCGAGCTTTGAAGCAGGCTGACGGCCTTGGAAGGCGTTGCGTGCACCGCGAGCGTCAGACCACATGCCAGCGCCGAGGTCGATGTTCTTGACATTGTTGGAAATGCCTTCGATCAACTGAGGAGCGGGTCCAGTGGGGACGGGGTCACGGTTGCCATCAAAGCGAGCAAGGGACAAGTGAGCACTCGACTGAGTGGCCGAGGGAGCGCCACGAGACTGGCCCTCACGCTGGGCGTTACGCTTGCTGGAGCTGAGCATGTTGATGGTGTTGACTGAGTTGATCGGGTTAGATGGAAATCTTGCTTTGACTGAAGCGCAGAGATCGTTAGTAGATTGTTGGAGAGGTGGCTCGAGATGAAGAGTAGATGAGATGATGATAGATGATGATAGATGTTGAAGAAGGTGGATGAGTGTTGGGAGTGTCGAAAGAAGAGTGGAGTGGATGGAAGAGGAAGAGGTTGGTGGTGGAAGGGGGACGGTTTATATAGACAGTGGAAGGTGTTGTTTGCTACATGTGAAGATGAGAGGTGAGAAGGAGGGAGTGATGAATGGAATAGTGATCTGGAAGGAAGCAAACATACCTAACTGATAGCTGAGATAGTGGTTGGAAGAAGGAAGGAGGGTTGACTGAAGCTTCGGATTGGTAAGTAACAAGCTCCGAAGTGGCAGGCAGCAAGCTCTGACTGAATGAGAAGCGGAGTGATGATTGCTCGGACGAGGAAGGTGGACAGAAAGAGGGATGTGATGACTGAACGGTTGATAGCAATCGATGGCGTGGAAGGCAATGAGGAAGGTGCTTGTGATGGAAGATCTTTCTGTGAGAGTTTGGCTGAGATGCAAGACGAAGAGGTGGAGAAAGTTGAAAGCGGGAAGAGGAAAGCAACAAATAACGTACCAAAAGTAGTGAAAGCAATGCTTGAGGCAGGAGCCAGGTAGTTGTGATGTTTGTTAAAGATGAGCTGTGGTGGTGGTGATTAGATGGATGGGAGAGCAAGCACGAGTGTTTGCGCGCAAGCAAAGACTTACCAAGCAACGGAGCAAGGCGCACTCGGTGATGATGAAAGACCGTCGGTGAGATCTGCGGTGAAGAGATGACTTGGGGGTGAAGAAAGGAAAGGATGAGCTTGAGGAAGAGCAAAGGGTTTTGTGGTTGAGCAAGCAGGCTACAAGAAAGGTGGATGCCGGTGTATACAAACGCAAGCAATTGAGGAAAAAGAGCTTGCTTCGTGGGAAGCCGAGAAGCTAGCAACAAACAGATACCGTCTCGCGCTCAGTGCAGGACGGTGCAGAAGATGCGAAGAAGTTGCGACGAGACTTGGAGCGAGTGCAAACCGTGGATGCTGCCTTCCCTGCGTCGAGAACACCAAGCAAGCCAGCATGCATCTTCTTTGCGTCCCTTACTGCAGGAAACAGCGTCACCGATGAGTCCACAGTCTTACCTGCCCTTATTAACTTGATCCCGAACACTGATACGGAGAGCCTCAAGGCAGCAACCCAACGAAGTCAATGCCTGACGCTTCGAGCCATGCAACAGACTCAATGCCCAAAATCCAAGAGCAACTTGTTTCCACAGTCCAGACCTGCTCGAGCGATCAGGTAACACAGGACCCACCGAGCACAAGACCTTCGCAGCTGGCAAAAAGAGACGGTCAACAGATCCAAGCAAGATAAGCATCAAGTTTGTCAGACCAAACCACAGTTCGGCATCAGCATCACGCTTTCGGCGCGTGGCAGCACATAGCTGCCGGGTACGTACGCTGCATACTCCAAGAGGAGAGAAAGAGATGCATCAGAAACGATTGGTCATCTGCAGGTTCTTGGTGTTCGGCTTGTTTGCAGAAACGGTCACGACGGACACCGGTGAAGCCCATCTGAGGCTTCACGAGCTTGCCTCGGCAGCCCAGTATAGCTCCAGCAAACGAGCATCGTACGAGTCTGGGCAACAGGAGAGCGACTGTTCGCTGCGTGATGTATGGGCAAAAGCAAGAGAGCTGTACGTTGATCGTCGGCAAGGAAAAAGTGGAGAGCTGCATGGCGTTGCCGAACCACTGTGTCTGCGCAGAGCCGCTGCCGGCAAGCGACAAGTCGTTTCATTTCTCGCTCATGCGGCGGCAGCATGGTCAAATGAGTTTTGAAGTTCCATAGATCAGTGTGTGCAAGTTCGTCAAATTTGTCCCTGTTCTTCGTTTATATATTACAGTTAGCAGTATGGGTGTGAAGCAGCCAAAGGTAAGCAGCCATGTGCTCCACTCTGCTCCAAGTCCATCTTGCAGTATAAGAAACCAAATGAACGCCCAGATGCTCCCTGCAATGCAATATCCCGCAGCCCACATTCTATCGTTGATCGACGAGTCGTCTTTTGCATGTCATGTACGCTTCCGCCTGGCAGTCTAAGTTACTGCATTCGTATAGCGAGCACGGTTTCCAAAAGTTCCATGGAAGGATTGCTCAACTTCAGCGGCCGTAGTTGTAGCCACCTCCGTACCCGCCACCCTGCACCATGGCTCTGCTGGGATCAATGCCTCTGATCAGGGCAACCATGCTCTCGGGGTTCAGTCTCGCCTGAGCGGGATATGTGGAAGCATTGGGGATCATGCTGAGAAGCAGAGTGATGTCCCTAGGAAGAGGCTTGGGTGGTGGGGCAACCACCTGTGAGCCGTAGCCCTCTGCACGCTGTCGTTGTTGTTGGCGACGACCTGCAGCGCCCTTGAGCGGAGACTCGCCGCGGGCGAGCTTGCGTGCAGGTTGTTCGGCATCAGAGTCTGCATTGTCGAGCGGGCGCTTGGGTGACTGTACATAGCCGGTGACGACAGACAGGACGGCAGGGTTGGGCACTGGCTCAACCTCCGTGGTGGGCATAGCCGATTCTGAGCCCTTGGACCTTGTCTGAACATTGGGACTGATAATTGTGCGGACCGTGCAAGGGTCGAAGGTGGGAATTCTGAAGCGGTGGCCGAAGCGGACAAGAGAAGGGTCTTCGGGGAAGAGGTCGGCCATGCGCTTCTCAAGCTTGGTGATTTGTGCAAGTTCGCCATAGTTGGACTCGTACTCGTGGATAAAGAGGAAGAGAGCCTTGGTTTTGGCGACGTTCTCCGGTTTGGCCGAGAGCTTGGAAACAGTAGTCTCAAAGACAGCACGAGCGTCTGCATAAATCAGTACGAGGCAAATAGTCGAGGGAATAAAAGGCTTACTTGTAACATCGTTAGTCGCAATCAGGTGTTTGAGGTATTCCATGGCAAAGAGCTCGTCCTCGGGGAACAACTTCATGCCACGTTCGAAGATCTTGGTTGCTGCGGGGTCTTTGTAACAGTGGTACTCGATAAGTGCGGTAGCCACATAGACATCGCTGGTGATACGACCTCTCTTTCTCGCAAGAGCAAAGACGTTTCTGAGACCTCCTACGGGCGCATCAGGCTTGCCCTTTCCTTGGATACGACGCATCGCACGCATCAGAGCAATCCAGACGAAGGATAATGTTTTGGAGACGGTTTTGATTTGGACTGCAGTGTTCTTCTGGACCTCGTCGACCTGTCTCTTTTCCTCAGCTTCTCTAGAGTTTGCGGCAGGTCTATCCTTCGAGTCGTCCTCGTCGTCATCATCTCTGGCTTCAGGAGTGGGTTCGCGAGACAGCGGAAGTAGGGACTCGTAGTATTCCTTGATCTGGGCAATAGCCTTGGGCTCACGCGCCTTGATCTTGTCGATCAGAGCGTACAAAGCGTTTAAACAGTTGTCGTAGGGCTCCTTGACGGCGTCACCGCGGCGGACGAGGCTCTCCTCGCCGTCTTCGACAGGCATGGTCTGCTCAATGCGGTCGGCGCGAGTAAAAGCAAGTAGGCAGCTCTCGGGGTTGGCGGCAGCACCTTGGGTGAGGAAGTCGTTGGCCTCGGTCTCCATGTCGTTGTCGAAACAGAACTCGGCAGCGTCGTACCAGATTTGGGGCCAGAAGTGAAGAGCCATGGTAGCTTGTCTGTAAACATAGAGAACACGGTCGCGGTAGGCCTTGATGTCCTCCTCTTTCAAAACAAGCGGATCCTCTTTTTCCCATTCGACCCAGTTTTGCCAGATGGTGACTTGCTGTTGATAGTCGTCATCGCCCTCGCAGCCAGGTGCAGGGGGCAGAGTCGGGACAGTTCTGCGCTTCAGGTCCTGAGTGATCTTCTGGAGAATGTTGTACGAGGTGCGGGCGGTCATGTAAGCGGGCGACTTTTCCTGGAGGAATTTGCGGCCCTGTAAGAATGTTAGCAGAGTGTCATCAGAGTATGCATATCGGTGACTTACCGTCATCTTGTTGAGACCCATCTCGAACGAATCGTACTCCTTCCACAAGCTGGTGGTAGCCTGCATGGGAACAGTAATGGCACGCTGGTAAGCCTTGCGCAAGATGTCCATCTTCTGGGCGTCCTGCCAGCCGTTGCCACCAGGATTACCGGGACCCGACTTAATAAAGTTGATATAGTCCTGCCACATGCTGCCAGAGTCCTTGTCGTTGCCGATCAGGTTGAGGGCGAAATCGTACGCCTGAGTAATGGTCTGGCGAGCCTGGCCTGTCGTGTCGGTCATGACATTGTTGCGACGTCTGATGTAGTCGAGGTAGATGCCCCAGAGCTGCACGTTGTAGTTCTTGAGGAGAGCCATATTGAAGATGTTCTCCAAGCGAAGGAAGTCGTCCTGGTCTTGCTCCATGAGGGCGTAGGCGACCCATTGTTCGGCNNCTCGAGGCTCGTTAGCTGGAATTGGTAGAAGGATAGAAGGAGAGAAACTTACAGCAGTCGGAAAGACGTCGAAGAAGCGGTCGTAGACGTTACGAGCATCGTCGAGCTTGTTCTTGGATCTGTGCAGAGCAATCAAGTCAAGCCAAGCATCAACATCACCCTTGGGATCATCGGCGATCCTGTCCTCCAACTGACCAACACGGTCCTGAGGCAAGCGGGGCTTTGACTGGGCAGCAGAAGATGAAGAAGAGATTTGAGCAGAAGGAACAGGAGCATTGGACTGCGGCAGGGCCTGGGCTTGGACAGAAGCACCTTGTGTGGGAAGAGCAGAAGGGGCATGGTCTTGTTCAAGTAGATCAGTAGGAGGAGGGTTATATACGGCTTGTACATTCTGTTGCTGCTGCACAGGAGTCTGAGCGAGCGAACCGTTTGTGCCCGTGCCTTGGTCTTGCTCTTCCTCGTCTTCGTCATCGTCCTCTTCAATGAAGCCACCAATCGTCTTTGGCTTCTCCAAGGTCGCGGCCTCGGACATGCGCGAGGCAGTACGGGATGGGATCTGGGAGGGCGGCTGGGACTGGACAGCGGCGGGCTGGGGGTGGCCTCAGGCTGAGGCTGGTCGGGCATGAAGCTAGAAGGGTCATAGTCTTCGTCGTCCTCTTCTTCCTCTTCCTGGTCCTGGAGGGCGGTCTGTTCGGCGGGGTCGTAAGAGGCAGGGTCGTACTCTTGAGCGCTCATCGAGGCGAGGAAAGCGTCTTCACCACTCATGTCGGCCATGATGGCGACGATACGCGAGCGAGGGGATGGATGACGCGCGGGGAAGAGACGGATCGAGTGTCGTGTGCACAAAGGGGACTTTGGCGAGTTCAGGCGGGTATACGAAGGGTCGAGAAGAATCTAGCACGAGAAGGAGGAAGAACACACGAGCAAACAGGCGACCGAATGGATGAGGAGAGATGCGACAGTGAGATGATGGAGATGTGAAGTTTGGACGACTTTTGCGCTGCGCACGACGCCAGAGCTCCGAGGCTGCTCTGCTCGCGCTAAGAGAGTTAGCGCCGGGCTTACCCGCACTTGCATTGGTGACATCAAAGGCAGCCGCATACGCTGTCTTTGAGGGCATTGTCTCCCCTGTTCATGTCGACTCTTCACGCTCGAGCGGCTTGCATCCTCGGACCTTCTCCTGTCGCAACATGAATCCGACAATCACCCTTCCGAGGAACAACTCGAACGCCTCGTCCTTTGGCCCCGTACCTTCATCATCACGGCGGAAAGATGGCCGCGTCCGCATGCCTCGATTCTTCAGACGCCTATTCAAATTCCCGCAGATGGACTTCGAGATGGCCGTCTGGGAGATGACAAGCCTGATCATCGCTCCCAAGAAGGTCTTCCGCCAGGTCTACTACCACAAACAGACCCGCAACACATGGCACAGGGCAGACCCTTCCTTCACCTACCTGCTCTCCTTCTTCCTACTCCTGACTGCCCTGTCCTGGGGTCTGGCCTACGCCGACGGCTTCTCCAAAACATTACGCATCACCCTTGTCTTCATCTTCGGCCACTTCCTCCTCACCTCGCTACTTGTTTCCACCGCCGCCTACTTCCTCGTCGGAAAGCTACTCGGTCCTGGTGTCAAGGGTCTACCGGGCAGGAACAAAAGAGCTGGCTTGTTTGGCCCACCAGGGAACGATGCTGTCGAGCAACTCGAGTTCGGATACTGTTTTGACGTCTCCATCCGTGCCTTCTTCCCAGTCTGGGTCTGGCTGTACGTCGTCCAGTTCCTGCTCATGCCCGTAATCTCGCGTGACTACTGGGTTTCGCTCTTCTTTGGCAATCTCTTGTATCTGGTCGCATTCGGCTACTATTTTGTCGTCACCTTCCTCGGCTACAATGCTCTCCCCTTCCTACACCACACCCAGCTACTATTGACCCCCGTCGTGGCCTTTGCCATCTTCTGGATTGTCAGCTTGTTTGGTCTAAACTTGCCAAAACACTTTGCTCCTGTTCTATGGGCTGGTGCCGACTTGCGCAAGTCTGTATGATTCCAACCGTGTACACTTTAATAAAAGCTTTCTCTTCTTCTCTCGAAGACAGGTCATCTTCATATTGTCTTGTGATAACTTCTCTCCTCGCATCTATTGTTTATGCTAAATATATATATACAGTAAAAAGTCCAGAGTCGAGGGTGATGTCTACAAAAACAAAGAAACCCCGCTGTACATGCCATGCTTTTGTCCATTTACATATGCACAAAATGTGACCTCCTGTCCAAATACTCTTACACATCACCTATATTGTTTCTCAGAGCGGCAGAGTGCGCTTCTGCGTCCTCTCCTCAAAGGTCTGGATCATGTCGCCGACTTCGAAGCCTTCCCAGCCTTCGAAGCCCATGCCGCACTCTGTGCCTCTGCGCATCTCTTGAACGTCCTTCTTGACGTTCTTAAGACTGGTCACGATACNCTGTTTTCTCAAGTCAGTAAATGCCCTCTGAGATACAAAGTGGAAGAAGAAAGGAAAAACAAACTTACCATCATACACCCTATCCTCACCCCTGGTAACTCTGACCCGCGATCCTCTGGCCACAACACCGTTTCTGACCTTCAAACCAGCAATCTTCATCTTCTTGCGTCCGCCAACGCCAATCTCGAAACTCATGGCTACTTCAGCTTCACCAGTGACTTTTTGGATCTTTTGCGGTGGCAGTTTTTCCTCGAGTACGGCACGCACATCATCGACGATGCGATAGATGACGTTTTGCTCGAGGATCTTGATGCCCTTGCGTTCGGCACGGCCAGCACTGTCGGGGTCGTGGGGTAGGTTGAACGAAATGATATGGCCACCTGCCGCATCAGCGTGCTCAATGTCGAATTCAGAGACTGGGCCCACAGAGGCGCGCAGTAGTTTTGGCGAACAGAGAGGGTTGGTCATTTGGAGCAGGTAAGCAGACACAGCTTCCACGCTACCACTGACATCGGCCTTGATAATAAAAGGCACGGTTTGATGTCCAGGAGTCTCGTTCTCATCGGCATCGAGCGCGACTTTGCGGCTTGCTGCTGGCGCCTCGACTTCGGTGCCACCGGCTCGTGCTGCTTTCTCGGCTGCCTTTTCGGCGGCGGCGGCTTCTTTGGTCAAGTCACGCTGGACTTGCTGTTCGCGACGTTGGATGTTGATTTTTTCCATGTCTTCGGCCATGCGAATGCGCTCTTCCTTTTCGTCGCGGAAAGAGACGACATCGGCGGCTTTTTGCTCGTTGGGTGCTTGCAGGACTTCGTCGCCTGCGTCGGGTTGATCGCGCCAGCCGTCTACCTCGATGGGTGTACCGGGACCGGCAGACATCTGGGTCACACCTGCTTCATTGCGGAGACTGCGGACACGAGCCCAGGTCTTGCCTGCTACGATGATGGTTCCGGGCTTCAAGGTACCGCGGCGGACAAGCACAGTAGCTACACGGCCTTGGGGCTTGGTCGTGGCTTCGATGACCCAGCCCTCGACTTGACCCTCAGTGTCGGCGCGGTGATCCAGAATCTCGGAAAGAGTGACTGCTGCATCTTCGAGCTCGTCGATACCTTGACCAGTCTTACCACTGACAGGCACGACTTGAGTGTCGCCACCAAAGTCTTCGATCTCGACTCCATGGCGAGCTAGGTCTTGCTTGACGCGGTCTACATTGGCTTCTTCCTTGTCAATCTTGTTGACTGCGACGATGATGGGCACATGTGCGGACTGGGCGTGCTTGATGGCTTCGATGGTCTGCGGCTTGACCGAGTCGTCAGCTGCAACAACCAAAATGATAATGTCAGTCACAGTGGCACCACGCTTGCGCATCTCGAGGAAAGCTGCGTGGCCAGGTGTATCGAGGAAGGTAATGGTCTTGCCGCTGGAAAGAGCAACGCTGAAGGCACCAATATGTTGTGTGATACCTCCGTGCTCGGAAGCTGCGATCGAAGACTTGCGGAGATAGTCGAGGATGGTCGTCTTTCCATGATCGACGTGTCCCATGATGGCAACAACAGGAGGTCTGACAGGCAAGAACTCTTTGTCTTCAGGTGCAGGCTCAGGTAGTGCCTTGAGGTCACGCTCCTCGGCCTCTGCCTCCTCCTGAGCACCGAGAGTAGGATCGAAGTTGTATTCCATAGCAATCAAACCTGCCTCCTCGGCACCAAGAATGTGGTCGTGCGATGTGTTTTCGAAGCCAAGTTCCTCCATCTTCTCGGCCATCTCTTGGTAGGTGACGTTTGTCAGTTGTGCAAGTTTCGACACGCTGACGAACTCCGGCAGGTTGATGGGAGTCATGGCCTCTGCACGTCTTGCTTGTCTGGCAGCTTGACGCGCAGCCTCCTTCGCTGCCTTGTCCTTCTTTGCTTGGCGGGCTTTCTTGCGTTCATCGCGGTTGTTGCGCATGGCACCATAATTGCCTTCCACATCATCATCGTCGTCGAAGCGGCTGCGGCGACCTCTGCGAGGCTTGTCATCGTCCTCTGCGTCGTCTACTTCATCATCGAAGCGACTGCGGCGTCCCTTGACGGGTGCGGCTTTGGGCGCATCAGCCTCATCATCTTCCTCAACGAAACGAGATGCTCTACGAGCATTGCGCTCCGCCAGTCTTCTAGCTGCTTCGATTTCAGCAGGGTCTAGTTCTTGAGCTTCTGCTGAGGCTTCTTCGGTTGCCGGAGATCCGTGTGCAGCGGCCATGTCTCTTCCAGCGCTCCTGATCTCCCTGGGTTCTCTGGGTCGTCGTTCGTCTCTGTCGGCTCGTGTTGCGTTGCGATCGGGTCGCTCACCACGAACAGGCTTCTGACCTGGAGCTCTTTCAACCCAGCCAGGTTTGGGTGGATTGGGGCAGTTGCGGAAACCATGCCCTGGCTGATTACATCTGACACAAGTCATACCAGGGCGGGCGCGATCGGCCGGTCTATTCTCGACATTTAGAGACTCGATGTTGAAACCGCCGAATTTCGGTCGCCTTTGTCTGTACTCTTCAAATCTTGCATCGATGTCTCCTGCAGATATGGGTGCGAATCTTGCGTTGCCTCCATTGTTGCTCTCCCGCTCTTGTTGCCTCGATTGTGGTTGATCGTTCTGCTGCGTGGAAGACTGTCTTCTCGACTTCAGGATGTTCCAGTTCTGAGCGTTCTCGAATGGTGTCTCGTCTGGCTCATCGCGGCTATTGACCATAGTAGTAGAGAAACGGGTTCCGCGAGAACGTTCTTCTTCAATCTTTTTGGCCTGCTCCTGCTGAACGCGCATTCTTGATTCTTCAACGAGTGCACGTCGTGTCTGTTGTTCTTGCTCCCCAAACAAAGGATCCATTGGGGATGACGCAAATGTTTGCGGTGACTTATTCTTGCGAGCCAATAATGCTTCGAGCATCCTCTCCTCCTCTTGCGATAGCCCACCGGCCTCNNGGCTGACATCTCTGATGCGGACTGGCGCAGTTCTTCTCTCCGCTGGTTATTCATACTTTCTTCCTGCCATTTTCTGCGAGTATTATCTACGCTGGTTTCGGGCTTTTTGGAAAGTTTTGGNTGCCTCAAATACCGGACTGTGAGGCGCATATCGTATCTTGAGCGGCGGAGCGGGAACTGGTTCGATTGCTTTCCTTGCCTGCTCCAGATCAGCCGAAAAGATATCTTCGTACTCGTCCGAAGGTCGCGACGGTTCTGAGAAGGGGTCCTCAGAGGGTTGTGATGTTGGAACGGAACTTGGTGGCGGAGCAGTTGGCTGGGGAGCTGCAGTGGCGGACATCCAGGACGGAGGTTTTACTGCAGGCTTCGAAGGAGTATTCGACTCGGACTTGAAGTGGGGCCTCGGAGCAGGCTTGTTGTTCCACGTCAATTGCTCTGTTGCTAGTGTATCCAGACTAGGCATGGTATCTTCTGACCCCAGCTCAAGACCCTTCGGCGAACGTCGCATCCTTACTTCGTCACTGTTGCGTCCATCACGCTGGTCGCGCTGAGCAGTCTGAACGCGATTCAAGGGGCGGTTGGCGGCCGTGTCGACTGCTCGAGCCGAGGCGATTGCTCGAGCTGAGGCAGGCGTCTGTCTCTGGGTGTGCTGGTTTGGCTTCTGCTGTCTCTGCTGCTGTCTCTGGTCTGCCGATATGACTTTCTGCGGCCGAGGTTGTTGCGATTGCTGGTTCGGCTGTCGTGGCTGCTGCGATTGTTTTGACTGATTCTGTGGTGCCTGTGAACCCTTCCTTTGCGCATTTCCAAACATCCTCTGGGCAGCGAGCTTGTCGCTCAGTTCTTCCTGCTGCTTACGACGAGCAGCGTCTTGTTCTTCTCCCTCTGNGCGTTTCGCCGCTTGCAGGGCCTTTTGAGCTTCCATGGCGGCATCAGGGAGTTCGAACGAGGAGAAAGGGTCGTTGGGATCCTGGTTCCGTGTGGCAGTCGAATGGAACCCATTGCTACGGGTTATACTCGTTTGGAGGGCGTGAGGGTTGATGCGACCAGCGCAGAAGCTGCAGAGACTTTGGCTCGAGGACACCTGTATACCACGATTAGTCTGGTTTCTCATATATACGATTATGCATTCTTGCCCTCAATAGCTTGGACCTGCGCATCCTGTGTGAATTTGCCTCTACAGGTTGTATGGAGTTGTTGACGCTGTCTAGAAAACTTCTTGGAGCACATGCAATTGCGGGCGTCGACTCCCCGAACTCACTCCGCCTATTTTGCTCTTAACTCCGTACTCGATATGCATCATCAGAAAATCACATGGGCACAAGACATACGAAACATCACTTGAGCACGGTAAACAGAGATCGAGTATCATGCCGAAGGAGCAATCGTGTCGAAAGCTACCAAATGCTATGCACATAACTCCGGAAAACGTCCTAGTATCCTGCTCAGAAAGCCATGCTTCGGCGACCCTTCTGCTTCGTCAAGTCATAAAAGCAATAGATGCCCTTTACTTCTTCTTGTTGCCGCGGTTCTTCTTGGCCGCAGCGGCTGCTCTCTGTCTCTCCATTCTCGCGAGCTGGTCGGCCTTTTCCTTCTCGTGCTCTTCCTTCTCGGCCTTCTCAGCTGCCTTACGTGCCGACTCTTCCTCTCTGCGTTGTCTGACCAGTTGCAGTCTCTCCATGTCGTTTCTGGCCTGCTCCGTCTTGCCCTCGGCGTGCAACTTTTCGTATCTCTGCTTGGCCTGCACGGCTTGCAGTGCCTCGCGCTCTCTTCTGGACAACTGCGACATGTCGGTGGGCTTGGTGGGCTTCTTCTTGGGTGCCTCGTCGTCGGATCCAGCGACTACGGGCTTTGCGGCCATCTTTGCGGCTTTGGCGGTGTGGTTGGGGTTTGCGGGCATGTCATCGTCGTCGTCTGATGATTCCGACTCGCTTCCTGAGGGCATGTCTCCGACCTGGACGGGTCCCTTCTTCTTTGCGATGGCTGCGGCCTTGCGTGCCTTGGCTGCCTCGCGTCTTTGCTCACGGGTCATCTCCTGCTCGGCGGGCTTGGGTGCCTCCTCCTCGCTCGACTCCTCCTCTGAAGATGACTCCTCCTCGGAAGACGACTTGTCTGAGTCTGATGCCCACATGCTCTTCTCAGCGCCCTCGGCGTCAATGGGACGGAGATCTCTGCTGAAATGCTTGCCGCCTGTGGAACCGAGTCAGTCGTGTCACTTATCAACAGGAAGACGACTTTGCTCACCACCTCGCTTGGGCTTCATGAACTTGCCGCCTCTACCTCTAGTAGACATGATTGCAGTTGTGAAGCTTGTGGATTTGTGGGTGTTTCTGTGTTGACCTTGCGGTGTAGATTCCGAAGTTGCTGGTGGACTTCCTTTATTGTCTAAGTTGCGAAAGAAGTCGCGACAAGAGTTCGTTCTGTTATGGTATTGACGAAGCAAAATTACTCTAAGCGCTGGCCTGGGCTGACCTTCACTTGACTCCCGACTGGAATTTGCTGACCCGCAGTCATCGTCCTTGGCGCAATCCTTGGCGAGCGCGCTCGAGGTATAAAACTCAGTCCTCCCCTTGACCCTCTTTGCCAAAATTACATAAACTGATTTCCCTTTATTCACCAACGCCGTGCTGTTCTCTGTTGCGAGCGAGGGGGAAAAAGGGAATAGATTGACATTCGTCTGCTTACCCCGAAATCTTCAGACTCAATGAGGATCAAGGAAATATTTGGATGAGACAGAAAATTCTGCAACTGCGCTTCTTTGCAAGGAAGGTGCGCCACGATGCATATCTGCTCGTGGTTTGTGATGGCTGTTGCCAGCTAAGCACTACCTATCCTTACCATCTGCTGCTCTGCTTCTGCCATCTGCTGTTATGATATCCTGTCTGCTGCCACAATTCTGCGTCCAGGCTTGTCTGTTCCCATAGCTTTGAGGCTGCTCCTTTGGAGTAGCTTGTCGTCTGCTCTTGCTGTGTGTCTGCTCTCACGATCATGGCCGATGCTTTGGTTCGACTTTGCTTCTGCTCTCCACATCGGTCATCTTCTACCGGTCTGCTTCTATGGTCTCAAGACCCTCTTGCCAGTCTATGACCCAGCAAGTTTGATATGCTCGAAGTCTGCAGTCAAATGCTGCATGCAGAATGTCTCACTGGAACTTCTCGAAGTTTGAATTGAATTGTGCATTTTGATGGCTACCTATTCTTCTTGCCACGGGCTGGGAGATGCATGGGGTAGTCTATTTACGGGTTCGACCAAGGAGGAGCAAAGGGTTGAGACTGGCTCTTCCTCCCCGTGTGCTAAAGAGGAACGCGAGTAGTTATAAAAATGCATAGTGGTATCAAAAAACTAGGCAGTGTCCACTGAGAGTCAACATCTCAAATGCTCTCCTTGGCCACTGCCGTGTTCCGAAAACCTTTGTGCATTTTTATAGTGTACCTCTCGCTGTATACTGTTGTAGGAGAGTGACACGAACTTAGCAAAAGGTTTATAGACTCTTGAGCCGATTGGCAAAAGGATGTCGCAGCCGTGAATCGAACACGGGGCTCGTGCATGGCAAGCACGAATTTTACCACTAAACCACTGCGACTTTGATGAATCAAGCTCGAGATTGCACATTTATAATTTCTTTTGTCAATACCAACACTTCTCACTGCACTGGCAAGACTCCACCAATAGCGCTGGGTACTTCTTCCAGGCTTTTGACAATTGCTGTTGGTTTTCCAAGATCGCCCTCAATCATCGCATCCTGCCATCCATTGCCTGCCCTGTCCACCCAGCAGGCTTGCATGCCTACCGCGCGAGCACCTGTGATGTCGAATGGATTGCCACTGATCAACCACATGCTCGCCATATCCTCTTTGCTGTTGGGATCCTTGCCGACCGCTTTAGCCAGGTGAGCGTATGACTCTGGTGTAGGTTTGAATCGCTTGGGCTCCTCGACAACAACAATATCCTTGAAGGTAGATGCGTGCTTCGAAAGATCCGGCGACTTGTTGACTGAATTTGAAACCATTGTGTTGGTGCCATTGGAGAAGACCACAGGGTAGAAGTCACTGCGTTTCGCGATAGCCTCGAGGGCTGGAGCCACATCGGGGAAGATGGAGAGCGAGTCGTAAGCCTTCATCAGATCATCAACGTCCTTCTGCTCCAGTGAGACGGAAGATTCGGCCAATGCATGCCGCAACGAGCGCAGTGTAACTTTGCTAAAGTCCTCGTATTGATCTGTGAGGTTGCGTTAGTGTAACCACCGGGTTAGGTCTTGATAGACTGCATACTNCATGCTGTTTAAACGCCAGGTGTATTCTAACTGGTACTTGCGCCATGTTGTTGCAATCGTCTGGGCCTTTTCTTGTCCAAAGTGTGAAGCGAGCTTCTTAGCAATGGATTCGGTCGAGAGAAGTGTGCCGTAGGCGTCAAAGGCCAAAATAGTCTTGGTTTCACCACCCATTGTCAGTATGATCGAAAGTCAGAAGAGAAGAGTTGAGGAGATAGAGTAGAAGCTGGAATAAAATCGTTCTTGGTGTGTTCACGAAGTATGACGCTGATGGCAGTCAGGAAAGGGCCTCGGATGATGCAATGGAGGGGCAGCTCTCTCCATTTCTCCGCCCTCTCTCGAACCTTTGTCAACTCTTGACCTCAAGCGATACCATACGAACATGAGACATCCATCTCTGTATTAACGCTGCAGAATTGACGGAGCCAAAGTAGAAGCACAAATATCCGATGGTCTTCTCGTATGGTGTCGCGCAACATCAAGCCACCACGGTATGGCGTCGTCGGACGAAAATACTTGAAGAAGAGGCGCTATGTTGGTATGTAGAAAGAAAGATGTAACCTGAAGCAATTCTGCTCTTTCCATTTTCGAGGGAGCATTCGTCGGAGCAGTGCAATGCAGAGGAAAAGGTAGGTGCGACTATGGATAAGTGCATACCTGTCGAATGTACGCGGCCTACAACTTGCAACCAACTTCATTGATACCTACGCATGTCCATTGACGCCTCTACTTAACTCGAACCATAGCTCTTCGCTCTTCCCTTTTCTATTGCTATCCTATACTCAGTCGCTCGTCCACCTTGATTGCCATTCTATCAAGGTTCCTCCACCATACCTCTACTACACCGATTGCAGCCTCTTGCTTTCTACACCCTAGGATCCCGTATATCGGCTAAGGAGCCATTGTCTGTCATGAATACATACCGCAGATCAAGAAGAGACAGTGTCACAACCGCACCTCCTACCACTTTCGACATCGGACCTCGACGATCTGTTGAAGAGGACAAGCCGGACGATGGTGGTAAGTTCGGACTTTTACGAGGTGTGGATGTGGAACTAAACATGATAGGCGAATGGGATGAATTGCAGAGATTCGTCAGCTCACCAAGCGCTCCAACAACGCCCCGGACCAAGAGGAAGATACATTTCATCGAGCCCTCGCCTGATGATATTGCTCCACGAAGGTCCAACACGGCTCCTCCTGGCCTCCGGATTGCATCAACGACAAATCTGGATCGAGAGCCAACTGTTTCGAGGGAGCCAGACTCTGAAGAGATACAACCTGATCTGATCTCGTTCGAGGAACCCGAGGAAGCGCCTTCCAAAGCAAGCGAAGATCTGGGCGAAGTTTCTCTCAACAGCCAAGAAAGGGATCAAGACTTCTACGACATGGAGGTGGAAATGGAAATCTACAATGATGATTCCACTCCAACCGAAGACCTCCCGCTGGTATCTCAAGACGAGAATGACGACGCAGACGATGCGAAGGACCCCATCTTCTCGCTGAGGCATGCCAAATCACATTCGATCTCAGGTACTTCGACAATCCCTCAGGAAAGATCAACTTCGGCCAAGTTCTACCGCACATCATCGGCATCAGGGCTCTACTCCAAGCCAGCTTATAGCCCGATCATCAAAGCACACGTCGCTGGCAGTCCCATACGTTTCGACTTTTGCACAACGCCTGTTGGCAACAACGATGATAGCGAGCGACTTGGGGATATTCCGCGATTGTCCCGAAGCCAGACTGGAAGCTTTGTGTCTGGCAACAGCGCATCCTCAACAACATGGGACGACATAGTCACGGCCAGTGCTGATGAAAGGTCGGGCCCGCCGAGCGATGCTTCCAGCTCAGGTGGAAACACGAGAAGCTCGTCAGGACTCAGAAGTGAAATTGCCTTGGAAACAATCAGAAGGAAGCTCTCCACCATGTCACGCTCGAGGAAAGCCAACGTGAAGCACAGCAGAATGCGAAGCCCGGAGCCTATATCTAGCCCCGATGATGTTCCAGCTGTGCCACCTAACACCCGTGCAACAAGCGACACCCCAAAGAAGGGACATGGAGGACATTCAGCCAAACACAGTCGTTCGGATGGCTCATCGCCCCTTCCAACGCCGGCCGCGATGGTTCGAAGTGAGCCGCAATCCCCAACACAAAGCGCCCGAGTATCGCCTCGCCTCAAGCCAGCCTTGAAACATGCCGGTCCCAGCGTGCCTACTGGTGTAAGTACTATGTACGATCGATCTGTACCATCACATAAGGATAGTCTCGAGCTTGTACGCCACCGCATGGGCGAAGAATGGCTGACGGTGGACCCTCAGCTCTCTTGCACGCGGGACTCGATTGTTCTGGCTAAACAAAGATGGGAGAGATATCCTAGATCGCATGCTGTTATTGACGAACAAAGCAGACACACCAAATATGGAGGTCTCAGTACTATCATGGACGCCAGTCCACCAGACCACAAGGCATACTGGGCTGCCAGACGTGAACAGCTGGCAAAGCAGAAAGAGGTGGACTGGCAACGTGAGATTGGAGGACATCCAGAGAACGACCATGACTGTCCTATTTGCGAAGTGGAGAGACCCCGAACCAAGAGACTGGCGAGCTTGCGAGCAGGTTGAAGTTTGTAGGCATGTTTGATAGAATCACCTAAGCCTCGGTGAACGAGTATGTGTACATTGACTTTTCCCCTTTGTAACGCCCTTTTGATTCCTGTGACATTGGCACCTGCTGTTACGCTCGACGACGCCTGGGTGTACCCCGTGTTGGTCGCGGCACCTAGTCCACTTCGACGCCCATCTTCTTCAGATCTGCACGAGCAATTTCGATCTCGGCCATGAGCTCCTTGTGAGCCTCTGGGACGTCGTGGAAGGTCATGACATTGTAGCCGAGCTTGCCCAGGAGGTATGCGCCGAAAGAGATGAGGGCCCAGAAGGGGAGCTGAATACTACAGTCAGAATTACGCGGATCGTGGTTGTCTGCTTCAGGGTGAAGAAAGCGTACGTAGGGAATGAGGTCCTCCTGAATCTTTGCCGGCAAGGGGATCAAGCCAAGGAAGAGAGCCAGGTAGAGNNCTGTGTTCAATCGCATCAGTCGTCTGCACACGACCAACTAAGTAGCCAAACATACGGAGGAGACGAGAAGGAAGATGGAGATGGTTTGCGTGGCCCTTGTCATTTTGGCTGTCTGTGTGTTTGTATAGACTCGAAGAAGGGGAAAGTCAACGTTGCTGTTGTCGCTCTCTCGACAAGCTCCCTCGATCAGCTGAAAGTCCGGGGTCCAATGCGCGCCCTGAATTTGTCTTGGCGTTGGTTTGGCACTCCTAATTTCAGATCAATCACCTCCTCTCTTTTGATTCTTGGATATACGTTGTTATCGTCCCATCAAGTCCAGAAGTCGGAGCGATGTCTGAGTTCGAGTGGGCTCAGTCTGTGTTGGATGCTGATGAGCGTCCCAGCTTGAGCAACATTGCAAAAGCACTCCAGATTCTCGCCGATTCCAGTGCCGACCCTGTCTTGAGATCACGCATGCAAGATGTCTCATTTCAGCAGTTACTTTCGTTGTTTTCTGGTCTTGCTGTGAGTAGCGAGCAAGGTTCTTCCGATCCAACGCTATGGAGAAACTTGCTTCGCTGCATCGGCAACATGATCGCCGACAATGGTAAGAGGAGGACACAAGAGTATAGAGAAAAAGATGCTGATTGTTCTGTTCTTACTGTAAANGACACTCGTAGATCTGAGATAATTGCGGATCCAACATATTTGAAGACCTTGAACTCATTCTTGACATCCACTTCGACATCTGCTAAAGCCACAATGTTGGCAGACACCACGACCAAAGTCCTCTTCAATCTGTGCACTGACTACAGTAAGTCTAGCGGTCATTCAAGGCAGGTCTCAAAGTGTTGATTTTTCTAGCTNCCTGCTCAAGAAGAGTGTTTCCTGCAAAACATCCATCAATCTTTGGTCTACTGTCTCGACACGCGACTTTCTACTGAGGACGTTGACTGGAGTCTGGCTTTGGATCTCACGTGTATGATCGTGGAACACAAGCAAAAATTAAAACCATCAGCCGACTACCCAGACTTCGACGTCAACGCACCGCGATTGCTGAGACTGCCTCTTGCGGAGGTCGATGCAACAGCTTTCCTCGATGCCTTGACGCTAGTCGCTGCTCATCTTCTAGATAAGAACTTTGTTCATGCTCTCGTGGAGCACAAGCAAATCGAACATGTCTGGAAACTGCTTAAACGTACCGAACACAGAATGCTCAGCGACCGCGAAACAGAAGACGAGGAAGACTACGATGAAAATCAATATCTGCAGTTCCAGCTCGTACTCTCACAGGGACTGGCAGACATGACCGCCTTACCGCTCTACAACGAAAAGTACACCACAAACGATGCCTTTATACAATCTCTCTACTCGCAAACCATCCCCACATCAGCAGATCCTACCTCACGATCACCTATTGCGCCCGCAGCCTGCCTGATCCTAGGAAACCTCATTATCTCCGACGAGGCAGCCATCTCACTGGCCCCTCACGTACCCATAAAAGGCATTTTCGGCGAGCTTGGTCGATCCAACGACTCTGCCTTCCTCAATGCGGCTTCAGGATTATTACGCCATCTTGCAACACCGATGCACAACCGCGAACGCTACTTTGCAGATGCCGACTACTTACAATCAACCAGACACCTCTACACAGACATCTCACTAGAGCAAGTTCAGATGGGTGGTCTTGCACTCACACGTCAAATACTCGCAAACATGAAATCGAGACTAGTGGCAGTACTGTCTGACGCAAACAGCGACTTCCTTGCCACAATACTTACTACCTACCAAAACACTACTTCCACATCGGTCAAACTGGAGATGTCGAGGCTTGGCGTCAGTTTCTTCCGCACTCTGCAAGCATCTTCGGCCACGGTGTCAGAGATAGAGAGCGGCGAGGAAGAAGCCACAAAGGCACTATTCGACACACCGGTCAACACACCCTCAATCCTCGATCCACTTATCTTCAGCATCAAGCATGCAGCCGAACCTGGCATCATCGCTATCCAAGCGGAAGCATGGCTCGGTCTGAATCTTGCTGCTCGTCTCNNACCTCATGGTGCAAGCAAAGTCGGCGATGCTTTCTCTGAGGACGAGAACCTGTTCACGCTATTCAGCTCAAGATTGGGTGGACAAGTTTCGCAAACTGCAGATGGTGAAGAGGCGAAAGACTCACGTCCAGAGTGGCTGAAGGAGAAAGAGAGGGATAATGCTGTTCTGCTGGCTGCTGAGTTGATCAAGGCTGAAGCTGTGAATGAAAGTGTCAAGGAGAAATTCAGAACTGCATTGCGTGAGAGGGAAATTCGCGTCGGATAACTACATCCTAAGAACAAACACAAAGTTCCATGAGTACATCAGCCTCCACGTCCTCGCTGTTTCGTTCATTAGCATGGAAAATATATCAACCATCGATATCTTCTCGCTTCATCAGATACAATCATCAACTGGTTGCTTGTTACATTTGCAAACCAAGCACCTTCGAACATATTCACAACAAGAATCATGTCAACCCAAACAACCGGCCACTGCCTCTGTGGAAAAGTCTAGGTAAGTTCATGCATACAGTGTCATTTCTCTTAATCTCTCTAATGACAACACAGATCACTGTATCCTCCAAACCACTCACTTCCTTCGCATTTCTTTGCTGCAACTGCAGAAGACACATCCCTACCTGACTCTCTTCTTCAAAAAGTCACTCCTGGGTATACAGTGACTGTATCGGTTCCGGCGCTTTTGGGTAGGCTCATTTATGAATGCATCTCGACGACGCACAGAAAGTCATCGTCCGCATCGTTATCAAAAACTTCGAGTGCCGGCAACTCGTCGAACACAGCCCCTCGAAAGGTCAACCACTGGAGGCCCATATTGGACAGCGACTCGCACCAGATGGTTCCACATATCACTGCACTGTTCCCGTCCTCACCTGTCAGCGTATGCCAACTTCGGGAGAAAGCTGATGGAGAATGTACCTTCCATTCTACAGCTTAGGTGACTTTGATCACCTGACCGATTGCCACAGTGTCAAAGAACCTCTGCCAGAAGCATTCCTGTGGTTCATCTTCCTTCGTCTGGCCAAGGCCACTTTCGCCATGGATGAAGTGACACGGACGAGTGAATCCGGTTCAGTGATCATTCATAACGACATCAAGCCGGACAATATCTTCCTAGGTCATCCTGGTTCGATGGGTGAAGACCTGGATTTTGGAGACTTTGGTATATCAGTTATAGCCTCCAAGTTCAACCAGGAGTCTGGCGGCGGCCCACCGGAGTGGTATTCTCCCGAGAAGGCTATTTACAAGGAGGAAGGCTTGTATATGTATTCACACACGGTAAGTCATCTTCAGTCAGAATCTCCGTGATTTCCAGCCACTGATTTGTCCTATTACTAGAAAATATGGCAACTGGGTCTTGTCATGTTGTGCGTAATGGCCGCAGATACATCCCACGATGAGACCATATCACAGATCGAGGAAGGGAGGCAGAGTCTCTTCGAAAAAGCAGAATCTGCTGGTTATAGTTTGGAACTGCGAGATCTTATCGATGTGTGTCTCGATGAAGCTCCTTCCGAGCGACCGACACCTCGAGAGCTTGTATCAATCATCGAGGACTACATAGGTGTTCACACCAGGAACATGCGGCGATGGGGTACCAAAAGCTGAGTCACGAGTAAGCACAACGCAAGCCCACAGTTGAATGAAAACGACACTCTGCAACGCAGGTTCACCCTCAGCGCAAAGCGAATGAAGCTTGGAAGAACATTAAATTCCCTCGATGCCCTCCCCGAAGACCATGGATTTGTGCTAGAAGACGAGTATAAGCTAAAGTATCATAAGGAAGACGAGGGATTTGATATCGAGACATTCTCCAATACACCTTACCCGGATCCTACAAAGTTCTTGTCGCTGGAAGAGATCGAGATNCAGCCCCAGGACCAAGAAACGAGAGTTTGAGCAGTAGACAAAGAAAACGTGGCCGAGGACTCGGATCTCACTCGATGCTCGCCATCCTCCCGGGAACGACTTCCCTTTCTCCACATCATTGATTGGCTCAAAAGAGACTCTCCACATAACTGGATCGTCGTTGTCGCGACTGGAAATGTCATCAATATTGATGTAAGCTGATTGCGCCAATGCATAGATGAAGCGTCGTCGATCCTTGAACTTCTCTTTCCAGATACATCAATCGGATGACTCCAAGACACAGAAGACAAGATCAAGCGCTCTTTGCTAGACTGGTTGGCCGTTTAGAATCGCAGTGCTGTGACTATGGCCGTGATAAACCTGCATACGCTCTTCAGGAGACCCTTAGTATCAGGTGGCCCACGATCTAGAACTATATATCATTGCTAAGTTCGGAAGGCGAATCTCATGTCCGAATTTCACAAATGTGTTCAGTCTCCTTCAGTCAAGACACCAACAAGCCTCTCCAAAACTTCCAGAGAAAGCACACTAGCTTCAGCTACCTCAGCCGCCGCCCTCTCTCGACTCAACCCTGCATCATCATGCTCAGGAGCATAATCTGGCACATGCACAGAAGTACCACAATCAACTCCATGTTTCTTGTAACCGACTCTCGGTTCCCCATGTCCACATCTCCACCTGACAATCGCGCAGTATTCCGTATAACAGCAAGAGTCATTCCACTCCAAAGCACAATGAAACACTAGACTCCCTATATGAGGCAGAAGGGCGATCAACTCGGGCTTTGCGATAAAATCTTGCCAAGAATAGTCCTTCTCCGAGCTATCGTCCAGCTTTGGCCACGCTGGCGGGTTGAAAGTGTAGTTTATAAGTACTCTCTCGCTGTCAGGACACTCCTGACAGTCGGGCCAAGCATCGATATATAATCGGAGATGAGATAACACAATGGGTCTGCATGTATCGTATANGTTTTTGGAGACCTGCAGTATTGGATGGTGTAGAGATCGTTGTTCCTCGTCGGAGAACAATGCGTGGAAGATGAGGAGTTGGATTTCCGTGGGAAGGGACAAAAGAGTAGGCCTCATGGCAACGAAAGTCATCTTTCTGATGTACAGCTTTGTGGTTGTGTGCAGAAGAGAGGAAAGTGATATCGATATGTTCGTCTCGCGACTATGAGTCATGATTGAGTTTGTGGTGTTTGCGGTGAGCTTTTCAGATCACTGTCGGTCCGACAGGGGACGTCCCGTTCGTATTACTACTAAATTCGGAAAGAAGATCGAAACTCGCTAGGACGTGGGATGTATAGGGTACCGAGAGCGGCAGGTGTTACATGCGTCAAGTGTAAAAGATGGCAGGAACGCGTAGCCGGACGTTGGAGCACTGAAGTATTGTTACCACGGATTCAGCAAACTGCAACAGCAAGCACCAACTCGGTATCGGAAAATTATTCCTTCCGCATGCTTCGAAGCTTCGAGTGAGTGTACATGATCATTCTGTCAGGTGTTTTTGTTAAATACTTTTGTCAAACAATATCTTTGTTGATCACTCTTAACATCTTTGCTAAACTTTTGTTAAGCATTGCTAAATTGTCTTTACTAGCTGTCTTTAATGACTAACATAGTCAAACTTTTTCGTTAAACTTCATGTTAAACATTCTCTGAATACTTCTACAAACTCCTACCAGACCCATAGACTTAGACCAAACACGTCACCGCATTATACCTTCCACTACTTAATAGTAGCAATTGAATCTGGTCTAGTCTTATATGCATCATTAAGGCGAGCAGTCCGGATGACAGATGCTTGCAGTATGGATTATTTACTAGTAAGGTGGAGTTACTAAAGCCGGAGATCGAATTCTTTGGTAGAGATAGAGTTGTTTGGGTACCTAAAAGGGGCAAGGATGTCAAGGAGACGGCCTGGATGCTTTGATTCAAAATGAATTGCTACGGGTTTGGAGAGTCAGATGCATCGAAAGCAAGAAAGTAAGCAATCACCAGCAGCAAGATAGTTGGAAGCAAAAATCGAAACAGCAAAAACCAGAGCTTGAGCTCGTAAGGGAAACCCATCCCTGGATTTCCTTGATTTTAGTCACCAGATGTCGGTCATCTGGGAGGCATGAATTAAGACGTACAAGGCAGGGACGTGTTTTATCACGAATCGTGAGTGTACAAGCCGTTACAGCAACAAAAGCAAACTCACTTCAATACATGTTCACTGTCGAAGGTTAGGGGTTCGAACTGGAGGCTGAGAGATTCTGATTGTCTCGAGTTGCTTTCCGCATTTTGTCATGCTTTAGCTTGGTCATATCTTCATCTTCGTCTTTAAACACGCATCTCATCTCTAGGGACAGTTAGAAAGTTGACTATAGAAATGCATAGTATTGTTTGTGATTCAGAGTGCACCAGGGAAAGAGTTGACTTGGTCAAGATTATCAAGGTTGATTTGATTCTATACATTTCAGGGGCCAATTCAGGGGCCAGGTAACATACTATATACCATCTCATCTCCAACGTAACGCTAAAAATCGGCTATAAAAAGACATAAACTTGTTCGAAACAGAGACGGCACCGCAGAGAGCGATGACAGTCAAATTTTAGTAACTTGCGCAACATCAGTTGCTGGGCTCAAGGACTGCAAGACGAAGCCCTTCCATGAGTTCGAGCAGGTTCTCTACCAATGGTGGCGCTGACCTCGATGGCCTTCCATTTAACTTAAACACGTCCATGAGCACGCCCATTACTCCAGCAGGATCGGACAACAGGACATGTGTGGCACTCGGATCTCCAACGGCCTTTTTGATGGCAGCTTGTCCTTTGTTCAGGTTGATGAACCTTTGTGCGCCATTGCCATCGGCTTCGTCAAGCATCGTGATACTTTCGCCACGTCTGGCAGATGCGTTACTCATGGAGTCGAGAGCAGATTCCGTGAGCGCGGCGTTTGAGATGACACCATACGACCACAAAGCCAGACCAGCCTGATACAATACAATCGCATGAAAGTCGCGCAGGCACCCGGTGGGTATCTTTCTGGCAGCTGCCACGATCTGAGCCGCATGATAGACACCTTGACGAGCGCTTGACGACTTGGCCCACTCCTGCAACAAAGGGAACACTCTTCTAGCTTCCGAATGCCCTTCGGCTCCAGCGAAGAGATGCATCTCTTCAAGAGAGATATGCAGATGCATATGCAGCAGTTCCAAGGACAGAGTCATGGTAGTATTGGCATGAGAGCTCATCTTGACGCAATCGAGCAGCTTTGTCAACTCTGTCAGACGGGATGACAGAAGCAATTTCGAATTGCTCCATGAGCTGGCATGACCCCTGCTGATAGAGCACATTTGCCGGTACTCCCAGATGAGCCGCCACGCGGCACTGAGCAATGCTTGGCTCGCGGTTGTTTCATCAAACATATCGTGTCCCTCGCCCAGGAGCTCAACATCCTGCAAGAGGTCGGTGAGAGATGGCTCTCTCTGTTTGTGTTCGTCCAGAGACATGTATATCTGCTTCCACTTCTCTGCTGTTGCTGCAAGCCACAGGCTCTCTGCTTCTGGTAGGGGTAGTCCGAGCTCTGCGTACGAGATAAGTGGATTCGTGAACAGCGCGATCGACTGACGGGTGTCGTACTCGAATAGGTAGAAGACCAGCCTCTTCCGCATTTCCTGTTTGGCCCAAGCGTGCCATTTGTCTTCGAGGGCCTTGCCTACGTCCGTAGCATACGGGACTATGGTTTCGTATGCGGATCTGCGGAACCAGCCGCGACGGCGGCACATGGTGAGATATGGCTGGAGGAAGCTCTCTGCAATTTCCATCTTGCGTGAGTTGCCGCTCCACAAGCCAGAACTCAGGCCTATGCCGAGCGAGGTCACGCACTCGACGTCGCCGATGAGTGTGTTGTCTCTTTCAATATTTTGAGGCACTCCAACGCGAACAACTTCCATCAGCGCAAATCCCATCTTTCTCAAACTGATATCAGGGGCTAGAGTTGCGCCCCCTACGACCATTGCCGCTATCAGCTCTGGCCTCGCATTGTTCGGTCGAAACGTTGGCAGATGGATCATTCGGTTCGATATTGCGGTCTTTGATGATAGAAAGTACTGCAATAGGCTGTCCAAAAGCTCAAGCGACGGAAATGACTGCATGGTCTTCTGAAGTGTATCCACGTTCGACGAAGACATGAACAGCGCCATGATACGATCGCGCATGGTATATGAGAGCATTTCGGACGTCACTCTCCGCTGAACCGGCAGTCGCTTACTGGTATCGCCGCTAGGCAGAGAAATATTTTGCTGATCATTCATGCCACGGTCTTGCGTCACAGGGCGAAAGCGCCATGTGGAAGACTTCTGAAGCGACTCAACACCAAGAGCTGACGGGGGCTCACTAGTAGAGCCAGGTACAGACCGGTTCGTCTCAGGGGTCTCAACAAAGGAGGCAAACGGTATCTCATGGTTGTAGCCATCAAGGAAATTGAGATCAAGGTCGTTGAGTTCAAGGTCGGTATTGGCACCAAAGTCGAAGACGTTCCGGGGGTCCATGTNCCCTGGTATGTGCTCTCCTGGTGCAGCCTGTCGAGGAAAAGGATCTCCGCCAATGATACTCTGCAGGAAGTCATGCAAGAAACCTCCGTCATGGTCATTTGCAGGTACTGATACGTGACCTGTTATTCAGGGGTATGATTAGCATGTTTCTCAAGCGAAGAGTGGTGCATTTCAGCAACCATCGCAATGCAGAGTGCTGTTCAAGATCTGGAGAGCTCCACTGAGAGCCTGGTTTTTCGCGAGCTCTCAATGGATGCTGTTCAATCTTGAACAAGTCTTTGCATTGTGATGGAGGTTCGATTCCATGAGACAAGATTGGAGATAACCCTAGGATTGTTGACTTGTGCTGTCTGCACCCTCTCACCGTGTGCGAGAGTGCGCAATGCACATAGCTATAATAACGCACAATACTGTTAGAGAACAAGACAACATCCACCGAATAGCGATACCATATCCACTCTCCTTGGGCATATCGCAGAGTTCGAAAACAATTGTGCATTTTCATAGTTGACACAGCGCTCTCTATCGTTGTAGGAGGAGGATGCATATAGGGAGAGGAGATTTTATACATACCTGGAGTCTGTTGGGTCAGCGACGGATCTAGCATCTGTTCGTCATTTGTCGTTATGTTGATCATAGGCTGCTCTATTGGAGCCTGATAGGGTCTAGGGGGCTCCATGAAAGAAGTAGATAGACCCCTGTCGTCGCGACCGGTACTGTTGTGGTCCATCGAGGGATTCATGGATGGCATGTCAGATGGCATGACGATTGATTCGCTTGCAAATGCCAAAAGGTCTCGAGCAACCGCCTCCTTGCTAGGGGGTGGTGGGGAGGTCTGATAGACACAGGTGATCCGTTTTTTGTTGCATCTCGTACATGGCTTCTGTTCGTCGCAGCGGATGTGAAGTTCGGCGCAGGCTTCGCATGCTTTGCTTACACGGCCTTGACGATTGGGTGCTGGTGTGTTTGCTGATTGCTCTCCTCGAGCCTCATGGCCAGCCACATGTCGCTTCAGGAGATCGCTAATATATTGTCAGTCCTGCGTTGCATGCGAGACAACCACCCCATATGCTAAAAGCCTTTTACTCCCGCTCTCCACTCAGAGCGAAGTGTACACTATAGAAATGCACAGTCGTTTTGAGAAAAGAGACTAGTCCAGAGAGAGTGCACCAGACCACGACTCTCAGTGGAGGCTGCCATATTCTCAATGATACTGTGCACTTCTATAGCTACGATACGACAGTATTCAGCACAAGAGGAGGACATAAGTCACTTACGCTCTAGCAAAGCTCTTGTTGCATGTCTGACAAAGGTAAGGCTTCTCCTACGGACAAGACGTTAGTACCACCCCATACGGCCGAGAGCCTAGAGGAAAGACTGACTTTGGTATGCAGACGAACATGTCTTGCAAGATGATCAACGCGTGAATAGCTCTTTCTACAGTCACCACATTGGAACAGCTTGGATGACTCCTGGGGGGTCTCTGAAGCTTCCTCCCGTGGGTGTTTACCCAGTACTGAAGGCGGGGAAGCGTTCTCCATCGGTTGGAAGTCGTAATCGCAACAAGCAGGAGATATCATGTCACACGGCAGGCAGGTGGATGTGGAGATAAAAAGAGATGCCCGACTCACGACCTCGGGCGACCAGCTCGTTCCCTCGTCCTTCCCGATCGGTTGCTCGGTCTTTGCTGTGGGTCTGCTGATCCTGCGGAAGCGACGTTGCGGGTTCGTGGCGTTTCACTGGGTCTCGTTCCTTCCTCCACTCTTCCCGCTCCACATTCCCATGTAGCGTCTGGCAATCATGCCCCCCGCACCCGATGCCGAATGCTTGTACATCCATGTACTTTGTAGATTATTATCGTCTCGATTTGTACCCAAGCTGCTCCTTTGCTCGATCCACTGCACATTACTGACATACACAAGAAGAATATCACAATGGGTATGTTTTTTTTTTTTTTTTGCAAAGAAGCTGCTGAAGTGTGGCTAACAAGGGCAGGTTTAACACCAGTTCACTTTTTCAGTCACGGCTCGACCATGATGTTGGGCGAGGAGTCTACCAGTGCTGATTACTGGAAGAAGTGCGGCGATGAGGCTTTGGCACATGGCATTAAAGGTGTAATCATGATGGTAAGCACTATATCGCTCAAATATTGCATTTTATATACTTACAAACTCAGNGGAGCACATTGGGATGCCCGAGGCGACAAGATCATGGTCTCAGCAAACCCCAAGCCAAACAAGAGTCCTGTAGCATATGTCCACCCTTCGAAATATATCGACTACGAACTCAAGCCGGACCTGCCTACCTCCGATCGCGTACTAGACTTGCTACTCAAGGCAGGCTTCAACGCAGAAAAGGACGATAAGTTCGACTGGATCCACGACACATTCCTGATTCTGATCCGAATGTTCCCAAATGGCTGCCCTCCTACCACAATTGTCAGCATGAACGCATACTACGACCCTCACTACCACATGAAAGTTGGATCATCATTGCGATCGTTGAGAAAGGAGGGCTACCTCATTGTTGGCACTGGAGGTGCCGTCCACAACCTCTACCGCAACGTTTGGTGGCCCATGGTCCAGCACAGAGACAATTTTGCCCAAGTCGCTCCTCCAGAGAAGTCTCTCTTGGAGTTCAGACAGGCCGTGGAAGATGTCATGACACAAAACCAGGGCCCTGCTCTACGCAGAGCCATGACGCGGTTGATGAAGCACTACCATTACCGCGAAGCTCACGGCACAGACGATCACTTTATGGCAGCATGCTTCTGTGCTGGTGCTGCGGGTGACTGGGAAGATTTGGAAGAGCAGGGTGGTGTTCTGGGTGCAGAGACATGGGAGCTCCAGAACATGTGCAACTCACAGTTCACAATTGGAAACTGGCAAGGAAGCAGGAGCGTACGCGCTGCGGCTTGAAGATATGGCTATATGTGGAGTCCGATTTAGTTTTATGATATCCTGAGTTCAGCAATTGATACTGCTTTCATTCAAATGTTGAATGTTTCTCCTACTTCTGGTAGATCTTGTCCTTGTCGCAGAAGCAAAATGGCCGTAGCCTCCAACTCCTAACTTTCAGTCGATCGAAGCAGGAGATCAATCTAGAAGCACAACTTGACAGGTCCTTTCCTTCCCTGCGATTCTCTCCGAATCATAATTGGTCAAATTCTACAGAGATCACTTCTGAGATGCGCTTTGCTTTTAACGAACTAAAATTTTAGGGAGGGAAATCCACGCTGTCAATACGCTCAATCTGACATATCTATTTACATCCAATCATGTTCTTGTCCAGATGACATCTATCCTTCTTTGGGAGGAATGATGGGAAGAGTGACAAAGTTGACAAACTTGTCACTGAAATGGACAAAGTTTGTACCCTTAAGCTTCTCCTCGGATCGATCAACTGAGTCGTTGTGGCCGAAGATGCCAGAGCCCTGGGTGTCACCACTCGAAACCTCGAAGATGATCTTGCCGCCCTTGTCGACCACGACATTGGTAGGCCAGACTTCGATGTCGACGGGGTATACCTCTCCTGGAAGGACAGGCAGCTTATCGGTGCTGAAGTAGTCTCTGTGGGGAAGATAAGGACGGTGCTTGTAGTGCTCAGGGTTTGTCTTGCGCATAGACACACGAAGCCAGCCCTTGCAGAGCGGTACTGGGTCTCCAGCAGTTCCTGTGTAGAAGACCTCCTTGCCCTCAGGAGAGATGTGTCTAAGAGTCACGAAAAGATCGATGTCGGTGGGTGTAGGTCCAGTGGTATCAGGAGTTAGGGAGACGTTGAGACGGGCTGTGATATGACCAGTGATCTCCGTCTCCTTCTCGAAAGCAGGAGTGGTGAATTGCATCACCTCAGGCTTCTCGAGCGTGCCCAGAGCCTTGTAGCCGAGCTTGGCCTTCCCTGAGGGAGTAGATGTGACGATCTCCTTCTCGGGTGTGAGATAGTAGTTTGTATATTGTGTTCTGGCAATTGGCCACTCGTTCTCCTGTCTCCTGGGGTATGTCTGCTCTGCTTTGGCGTCGTTGAAGCCAACGTCTCCCTTACGGAGGACAATGTCTACCATGGGGACTTTGCCCTTGGTAGCCCAACCGACTCGATCTTCGCCCTTGAGGAAGGCGTCGAGGAAGCTGCGTTGGATCTCGACCTCCTCGTTGTAGTAGAAGGGGAGATCATGACGACCAGTGATGCAGCGGAGATACTTGAACTCGGAACCGGCGTGGGTGAATCCCTCGATGTTTCCGCGAAGGTGGAGTAGGATACCTCCCCAGTTGGCAACTGAGAGGAGCGGAACCTTGATGTCGCCCATGTCGTATTCTTTCGAAGCGTAGTAGGAGTCGTCGCGGTAGCTNNACAGGAGGTTAGTTTGTATCCGATAACTTGTTCAACCTTGGCCGACTTACTAGTTGTTCTGATTGTCAATGTTCTGGTCTTGTCTGTTGGCAGCTCTTTCCTCATCCGAGAGGTCGCCCTCAATTGTGTCTGGACCCCAGTTGCTTGCCTTGCGGCCCGGTCGTCCATATTGGTTGGTGATAATTTGGCGGTTCCACCAGAATCTGATGAACTGGTTGGACAAGATACCACCATGACGGCAACGGTCTCTGTAGTAGTCCGACATACCCTCCCAAGGAACGATGGCCGACAAACCCTTAGGGTTTCTTGCAGCCACACGCCATTGAGATCCGGCAAAGTAACTGATACCCAGAAGGCCAACCTTGCCAGACGACCACTCTTGCTCTGCAGCCCACTCAACTACATCGAAGAAAGCTTCTGAGGTACCTCTTGACATGGTGTCAAGCAGACCAGGGGATTGGCCAAGTCCACGCTCGTCAGCACGAACAACTGCGTATCCATTCTTGGTCCAGAAGGCAGGGTCAGGAGTCTCCCATGCCGAGTGCTCTGACTTATGCTCGGGGTTGACTTCTGAGTAGCTCTTCGCGTGGAAGTCGGCGTACGGGATGTCCTTTCCGTANNTCTATCTGCTGTTAGCTCTTGCCTATACAGAAGATTTCAGTCTCTGTACTCACGGTCCGTAGGTAATCAGAACAGGTACTTTCTCCGAAGTCTTTGGTCGGTAAACATTGACACGAACCAAGCCTTCGCTCGACCTCAGGGTCACGGTGGCATTTTGCTCGAACACATAATCGAAGGACTTGTCGTCCACAGTGTGGAGTTCTTGAATCTTGTTAGGCATAGTGACAATGACAATGACAGAAAAATAGAAGGAAGGGTCTATGTACCTTGGCTACGAAAAGTAGAAGCTTACCTTTTGTTCAACAACAGTCACGTCTGCTGGTGCATGTCTCGGTAGCGGGGTTGCGAAAGATTGCGGCAACCGGGGAAGTCCTCCACCCCGGGACATGTTCTCTCGATTCTTGCACACGAGAACATGTGGAGGAGCGATCCACCCGTGTGGATCGTGCTATACAATTGTTTGCGGGGTGCTACAGCGGCTATGGATAGTCAATCATCCGAGATGAGGAGGGAATCTATCCACTTTCCAGTCTAAAGAGCTCTCTTCAATCTCTTTGCTCAACTCAAATACTACCAATAATCACTGATTCTCTCGTCTCCTCACATCTGTCACATCACATCCAAAATGGCCCACAAAGGAGAGCTTCCCTCTTACCAGAGACTTATTACTGGACACAACAAAGATGGCAAAGCTGTTTTCGCAAAGATCGATGAGACTGGTCCCTGGGATGGCAGCATCAACGGTGGCACTGTCGGCTTCTCTCTCGGCTACACAACCTCGACCACGCCGGTAGACATGACCGACGACAAGGATATTGCACAGTACAAGGAGTACTTGGTTTCACCACCCGGTCTCGTCAACAAGCAAGGATCGGTCCTCCGTTTTGTGGTACGTGTCTACGGACCAGCCTCTCAACTACAACATGCTAACCAGCTCAGNGATTGTCCTCCTGGCTCTACGTCCCCTATGCACCGCACTGTCTCACTTGATTATGGTGTTGTGATCTACGGAGAGATGGAGTTGGTCCTCGACAGTGGCGAGACCAGAGTCATGAAGGTCGGAGATGTTGCAGTGCAAAGAGGAACCAACCACGCATGGAGAAACACAAGCGATACAAAGTGGGCTCGTATGATGTATGTCCTCCAGCCTTCGCTTCCTATCACTATCAACGGAAAGCCATTGGACGAGGATCTTGGCCCTATGGAAGGTGTTCGCAGCTCATCTTAGACAATACGCGTAACAAGTCATCAGAGATATTTGTCGCTTCGCAAATTCTGATCATGAAAAAGGTTTATTGTAGCGTAGCACCAGCAATCTAGAAATGCATAAACGATCGAGACATTGTATCAAACATCTGAATAACAGAAGAGGGCCAATTGAACATGGTTAGATAAAAGAGTCAATTGGACATGGTTATGAAGCTCCAAACGCCGGTTATCATGTTTCCAACACGACAAGCAGATCCACCTAGTGTTCTCCTCCAACCTGCCAACGGAAGTATGTGTTGTTCAGCTTTCCTCCAGTGGCTCTCCACAGTCTGTTTGTCGCCTACACACATGTTAGTATACCAGGTTTCTCCTGCTCGGAAGGATTTCCCCTTACCGATGTGAGCACGATTCCGTTAAACATGTTCCAAATGAAAGCTCTCTCGATGCCGTTTTGTGTGGTATCGCGGTAAGCAAAGTCGAGATCGTAGTCAACAGGGCGGTAGTCTGGAACTCGGCGGAAGGTGTCTTCCCAGTCTGCTGNGTTGTTGCCGGCACCTTGCGGTGCAGGTCGAGAGTTTGGAGCCTCTGAGACGTCGTTCTCCTCGCCGCTGTGTTGCAAGTCGTAGTCGGCTAGCGTCCTGCCTAGCGAGTAGACTGTTCGATTCTCGGTGAGTGTGACGGACATTGTTGTGGATGTGTCTGGCGACGACTATGAGGGTTGGTATGCGATTTGGCGAGAGGAACCGGAGGTAGACAGAATGATCAGAAGTAAGTCTTCAGCCTGAGAGCTTCGGATGCCGGATCTACGACAGAAAGTCTGGATCAAGGCAACACAATGGGGTCCCCACACTCCGTAGTATAATCTCCTCCAAGTACCCGGAACCGGTGTGGACAACCCGGTATGGCGCCCGGTATGGGCGTTGCATCAAACATGTGATTCTGATCCGCGCCATGGTTGCACGGAACACGGAATTAGTATAGTTGCTGCTGTTGGCTTCGGAGCAAATATCTCCTGTGTATCTCACACTCCTCGTTCTCACCATATTTTGTATACTATACCTTCCAAAATGTCGAACAGACCATTCGCACAGCTACAGGCCGCTGCCATCGATGGCAGAACCAGGACTGTCTTCTACCGTCAAACTCAACTGGAGAAGTTGCACAAGAACCTGGTCTCAAATGCTTCCGAGGTTGTAGATGCGATTGTCGCAGATGCTGGTCTTAGCAGAACAGAAGCACAGATCGAGTACTCGCTTGCTCTTACAACGGTTAGAGAGCGCTTTGCAGAGCTCGAGCCGAAGAAAGAGCTCGAAAACGAGTACGCTGTTGCGCGTGGAGAAGACGCCGGTAGCTTGCGCCTTGGATACGGCACTGTATACATCAAGGCTTCAGCGGACCACACTCCGTTCTACTCTGCTATTGCGGCCTTTGAGCGCAGCGATTGCTGCTGGCAACTGCGTGGTCTTGCAGGTACGTGGTTTTGCATCCTCCCCGTGTGCTAAAGTATGTGATGGGAGTAGCTATAGAAATGCACAGTGATATCAAGAAACAAGGCAGTATCCACTGAGAGCCGACTTTTGGCGGCTCTCTTCGGCTACTCCTCTGCTTCGGAGAAGGACTGTACAGTTCTATAGCGTACACTTGGCTCTACGCTTCCTGTGAGAAAGGTGGAGTTCCAGACTTTAGCACACGGGGAGGATGTAGTGTAACGATGAAGAGCGTTCGCTGACAAGAAATCTAGGTCGAGAACAGCCTTCGCAGCCTCCCAACCATCCTCCGTAACACGCTCAAGTCTGCCCTAGACAACGATACATTCGATATCGCACAACAACCTGTACAAGACGCAGCTTTCTTGAACAGCTGCTTGCAAGTGGTCCAAGATGGATCAGTCGATGGTGCTCCTGCGCTGAACCAGCTCGTCTCCAAAGCTGGATCAATAACAGCAGCGATCGTGGACAGGACAGCAAACTTTGACGAGACTGCAAAGGCTCTTTTGAATGCTCGCTTCTCATACAATGGCAAATCGCCGTACGCTCCGGACATCATCTTCATCAACGAGTTCTCCAAGAAGGACTTNTTGCAGGCACTTCTGAAACACTCCGTATCCTTCGACGAAGTGGTAGAAAGGGAGAAGTCGCCAACCCGAAGAGGTGGTCGCGAGAATGGCATCAGAGACTTGATCTCCAGCCTTCAAAAGGACGGGAGTGGGCGTGTTATTGCACAGGAGCCGAACCGCGCAATCCTAGAATTGAGCAAGAGGTGAGTAGTATCGCAGGAGTTGTGGTGGATGAGAAGCTGACACTCGAGTGCNAGGAGTACAAGCCTGCTCAAGACCAAGATCAGCGAGCCTGTTCTGCTCGTACATGCCGTCAAGAGTCTTGACGATGCCATCGACTTCATCAACAACAATGGCAACGAGCTGTTGGCTGCATACCACTTTGGCGAGAATGCCCAATGCAAATACCTCAGCCAGTTTGTCGCATCGCAAGTGTCTTATGTCAACCACATCCCAGCGGAACTTCTCGGTCAGGCTTACCTGCACTTACCAAAAACGCAAATCAAGACTAACAAACGTCTCNNAGTCGGTCCTGCCTTCCCAGTCGGCCACCCCATAACTTCAACACGCTACCCAACCGCCCTCTTCACCCGCCCAACGCCCGCCTTCGTCAACAACACAACACAGTCAAAGGCCGTAGAGTCTGCACTGAACGGCGCTTCCAAGTCGGAAAAGTCAGCCGCAGTGCAAACACTGTACCGTCAAGCCGTATCGGATCTGCCTTCTGCACACAAGCGACCAAAGCAGACGCGTGCAGCGTTTGGTTTCTTCGAGCAGTCCATGCTGTTGAACCTCGGCTTCGTGCTGCTGTCGACGGGCGCCACCATTGCAGCGACTGTGATTCTTGGAAAGCGTGCAAGAGCTTATTACTCTCATTGATGATGGATCGTTGTGTTGTGCTATTGTAGGGTGTCAGATAGTGTGTTTTTCGCGACCGACTCCCGGTGAAATATTCCCATTCCCAATCTTTTTGCAAGCGAAGCAGTGTTGTCAAGTTTCTTTCTGTGCCCTCGCCATCAATGTGTTTTGCTTCCCAGCCACATTAAACATAAATCATAGCCAATTCATACATGTATGCGCAAGAAGATATCTCGTAATAAGGGCCTTGAAAAGTAACACCATGACAGAACCACACAATCCGCCTCCAAAATGCCTCTCATCGAGAAATCGTACGTGGGCAAAAACAACAGCCAAGATCACAACCATTAAACCCAAACCCACAGATATCCCGCCATCATGAGCGCAATCAAAAGCTCTTCTCTCCCCAAGACTTCCTTCTTGGTCTTCTATTCCTCAATCGTGGATGGCAAGATGTGGTGCCCCGATTGCGTTGACGTCGAGCCTTCCGTTCGCGAAGCCTTTGACAGCGCCGAGAAGCCCGAGGCCATGCTCTTCTACGTGGGCAAGAAAGAGGAATGGCGCACACCCGAAAACGTCGCCCGTGTTGACTGGAACGTCCGTAGCATCCCTACCATTATCAAGCTGGATGAGGGTAAGGAGACCGCCCGTGTGACAGAGACCGAAATCCTGGATAGCAGCAAGTGGCAGGCTTTCCTCAAGAACTAGTTGCATCGACATCGATGACGCGAGATGAAAACTAAAACGTGTAAGTTTTGTTATCGAAAGAACTTGCTCAGATTCTGTTTACATAACGCGCGTTCCTATCTCATGAAATGACCATTAAAACATCGAATATCTGCACGCCGGCGAGATCATTCACTCCTGGCATATCCCTTCATCACAAGATGGCTGGTCGCAATTCTCATTCTCTTGCCGAACAACCAAACGGGTACGGTTGTCAGACTGAACACTCCCATCAGCAGAGCAAAGATACCGAAGGGAAGCGCAGGCCCTGCAGTCTCGACCCAACTGCCGACGAAGAAGGTCCAGGCAAAACTGATGACGGCACGGAAAGTGACAACCATGAGGAAACAATCAGCACTCCAAGCACCATAACTTTCGATGAGGTAATTGAAGCCGATTGAAGGCACTTGCATAAGACCGAAGGCAACCATGCCGTTACCGAACTCAAGACCAATCCAAGCCTTTGGTGTCGCTGCCTTGGCTGAGAAACCGAAGCAGATGGCACCGGCCGTGGCAATGAGGAGGGCGGGGAACATGAGAGGAAGACGTGCCTCAGATTCACTGAAACCGTGTCGTTCCCGCTTGGCCTGACGCTTGACAATGAAGTCTGCAGTGAAGTAGGTGTAAATTGCACCAAGTACAGTGCCGACCAGACCACCGACGTTGATCAGGCCGACTGAGCCGCCCCACAGGTAGGGTGGCTGAGCGAGTATCTGTGGTGCAACAGTCGAGATGGTAACGATCAAGCCGACAAGACCGGCGTAATGCAACATGACCATCCATGTACCAGGGAAGAGGAGCGTGGTGTATGGGGTGATACAACGCTTGAAGAAGCCAGGTCGGTACATGCCAATCTTAAGGCTTCTGGCAAAGGTGTACTCAGGGAAGACAGTAGAGGTGACGGTCTCAACTCTGGCCATCTCGGCCTTCTCGCCGATAGGTGAGTCGTTGTCGTAGCCTTCGGGACGGACGATAGCCATGGCTGCCTCACGGTCGAAGAGGGTTTCGGGGACGAAGAAAAAGCTCAAGAGCAGAATAGCGCCCGACAGGATGGCTGAGATATACATGGTCCATCTCCAGCCCATCGAGGCGGTGATGTAGCCACCAATGAGGCCACCGATCAGAGAACCGGAAGCGAGGAAGATGGTATAGATGGCCTGAATATGGTCAACTCAACGTGTCTTTCTTGTGATACATGGCTGACTTACCATAGCACGACCTCTCTGGTGGACAAAGAAGATCTGGCCGACTACATCGGGGGCAAGGGTATCAGCTGCACCACCGCCAATGCCTTGGAAGAGTCTGGCAGCGAGCAGACTGTTGTATGATTTGGCTTCACCAGCCCAGATCGACGTGGCACAAAGGATGGCAAGGCAGATAAGGATGACAGGACGGCGTCCAANAGGCTAATATACCATCAGCGAGCGTACAGAGTGTTGCCCGGTTTAGTACTTACTGTTTCCAAGAGGCACCCACCAGATGTTTGATGCACCAAGGAACAAGTTGTTGATGGCGATGAGATGGGTCAGCTTGCTGAACGGCAGGACGCCAGTAGGTGGTCCCCGCTCGTGGAAGGTCGCAAAGGCCGTAATCAACGTCGGCAGAGCGCTGCTGATGATCGAACTTGAGACATTCGTGACGAAGGCGTATAGACTCATTAACGCTAAGATCATGATTTTTCGTGAGTTTGAGAAGTTGAGAGGATCTGCTGGATCCGGTGATGGTCTGTACGCGTTGTCAGAGGATGGGGTTCTGGAGACATCGATGATCACTCTATATTCAACGTACTCTGGGTTCAAGTGGATATGGTTCTCTTCGACTTCATGATGGCCTGTGTTTGTTCTGACGAGTTCTCTGTNCTGTTGTCGATGGTCAGTAATGTTGTCGTTATCATGTCTATCAGTCCGCCACTCACCCATCAACGTGACAGTGCCAGGAGGCGCCATCTCGTTGAGTTCCTGCTTGTCCAACGAGAAGGCATGTCTGAACTGAGTCATGATGAGTAGTATGCCTCAATTGGCAATGTAGTGTAGGAGCGATATTGCTACGAAGGAAGGACGTATCGAGATGGAGATGCTTGCGGAGAAGGAGCATGGGTTTTATCAAGCGTCTGCTGCCCTGCTAGCCCAATTCTATTCAATGCTAACCAATCAGAGATTGCAAATCTGCTTCCACCGGCAGTGCGTTTCATGCCCACTTCCCAAGAACGGTCTGTGAGTTAGGGCAGAGAGTTCTTCTCCACATTCTTAGCATGCCCCCACAGCTTCTTGGGTAGATTTTGGCGAGATCCGAAGATTGCTGACCTCTCATTGGTCCATCGTTGATGATCGTTGCAGGTCTCGCCCTTGACGCTGCGCGGGGAAGTGTGGAGAGAAATCGTGGAGTTGGAGAGACACCTTCCCATATGTTTCAGTATGTAACGTGTGTAACCATCGATGTCCATCATACTATTAAGCAACAGAGTGTTACCCATTAAGAAGCGTGACGTTAGGCTGTCTCTGGTCATATCTCTGGTTTGGAAGCCTTTGTGTCTTCTCATAGCCCAAGAGTCGCTCTATGCCTCTGCAGAAGAATGAGCGTTAGAGACTTTTGCACACGGGAAGAGACGCTCGTCCCAGAAAGACAGGAAGAGAGGGCTTCGTAATCGTGCCCTAGCCACCGGATGAGAAGATGCCGATATACGTGAATAAGGTTTATTGATGCTTTGTAGAATAGACTCTAGAGTCGATGATATGCGGTCCCGGCGACCTCGAGGACGAGCGCTCTCGGCACTTGATGATCCATACTACTCGCTGGCCCATGTCTCTGTAGAGAGAGCTGGTAGTAGTTCTGCTCGGCATTCACCAAAACCAACACCCTCGCCGCACTTTCCTGTGAATTGTACAACAACTCCATCTGCTAGGTAACCACGTTGCACAGCTGGCGGAGGAAGGTTGTGCTCGAGCATGCATCCACGCCCATCTTCAGAATCCTCTGACACTGTACCGCAGGCGAGCAGATCTCCAGCTTGGAAGCCACAACCTGCGCTGCCCTGGTGTGCCAATAGCTGCTCGAAAGACCATGCCAGGACACTACTGTTTGCGGCACAAGCACGAGTCACATCGTTCTCTGGAGATTGAACAAAAACAGAGAGGTCGATAGACAGGCCTCGATCATCCTTCTCCACAGCAAGGTGGGGAGGCAAAGTATGTTTCCAGCCGGGCCCACTGACGCGGAACGGCTCCATTGCGTCGTATGTGATGATCCAGGGTGACAGTGTTGTACCAGAGTTCTTTGAGTTCAAGGGACCGAGCGGAATCATCTCCAATATCTGGATGTCGCGGGCTGTTGGTGGGTCAGCTTTTGTGGCATCTTGCCTTGCCTAGCGAGACTCACCACTCCAATCATTCAACATGACAAAGCCAAAGATGTGCTCGCCAGCATTGTTCGCTGTAACAGTTTGGCCGTACGGGACTGGCTTGCCTATCACGGCAGACAGCTCCATCTCATAGTCCATCCTGCGACTGGGCCCATAGACGATCTTCCTGTTCTCTCCTTTCATTGCTGCCATGTGGTCTTCCCAGAACTGGCCGATTGGTCTTCTCACAGGAGTCCCGGAGATCTTGATGCTTGAGCATCTACCAGCATAACNCTGTTCATTATGAGTACGAGACATCCAAGTGTGAAAATTGGCAAGCTTACCTGGAGGAATGAATCCCCAAGAGGGAGGAAGTCCCCTCCTTCCTGTCGCAGCATGACCAGCATTGAGGTTGTGGTACTCTGAACACGAGAAGTCTGTAAAGTCTGCGGCCGATACTGGAAGATGCATCTGGCACTTCGAGACATCCTCGGTGCTGCTTTCAGGCAACTTGCTCTCCTTGAGAATCTTCTGAATCGCAGAGCGAACAAGTCTATGAGCAGGTCTACCCAGAGATGCGAATGCGTTCAATGTTGGTTGTGAGAATATGCCATTGGGCAGGCTTTGCAGTTCACAATCAGATTGCACCAGATCTGCAAGAAAGACGACCTTGTTCTCGATACGTGTGACTGCTTGTGGTGATGTATGTTTGTCCGAGGACGCAATTCCAAAAGGTATGTTTTCGATGCCAAAATGGCTGCCAAAGTCGGTTTGCAGAGACGTCATTGTGTGTGTTTGTAAACAGTAGATGAACTTTGGGCCAGCAAGACTTGTGGTAGTGATGAGTCTGTACAGAAATATCTCCGGAACGGCTCCAAGACCCGACACATGTTTGCGGTGCTCTATTATTATCTGGTGACAATCCTTCTTGGAACAAACCCCGCTATCTCCCCCGAACTGGCCCCCGGATGTTCTGATGTGGAGGACCCGGGATGTGGGCGACCTTACAACAACTGTTATTTTCCAGGGTCCAGGCTTGAAATTGTATCACACGGAATGTCTTTTAGGCCGAGTCCGGATAACTGCTGTGGATCAAGGAGGGTGGTGACTATTTCTGTAGGAGCGGCATCCATCTTCCCTTTGTGATTTTCCAAAGACCAAACCTTGCCTAGAAAGAAATACTATCTCTCAAAGATGGCACTTAACGTTTTGATCGTAGGAGCTGGAATCGGTGGCCTGGTATGTTGCAACGAATTATGCTTGAGTCGCAAACCCGATCTGACAACTAAATGTAGNATGGCTGCGATTGCTCTTCGGGAGCAAGGACACGATGTGACTCTCCTCGAATCCTCCCGATTCAGCAACGAGACTGGAGCAGCTATCCACATGGCTCCAAACGCAAACGGCTTACTCAAGCGTTATGGGGTTGACATCGAGAAGGTCGGCGCAAACGAATGCAGCAGGATCGCACAGTACCATGCCGAGTCAGGAAAGGCACTTTTCCAGGTCGATCTTACAATGCCAAACAAGCAGTGGCAGCACAAGTGGCTGTTGGTGCATCGGGCTCACTTGCACACTGCCTTGAGGGAAAGAGCTATCGGAAATGAGGGCAAAGGCAAGCCTGCTACACTCAGGCTCGCGAGCAAAGTCGCTTCGGTAGACCCCGAAAAGGCAGAGGTAACCCTGGAGAGCGGCGAGAAGGTATCTGGTGATGTTCTCCTTGGAGCTGACGGCGTTCACGTAAGTGCTACAATTGATAAAGGCAAGTAGTTTCAAGCTGATATGATTTCANNGTCATTGTGTCGTAAAGCACTGGACCTCGAGGATGCGGAGAAGTACACGCCTTTTGACTGCGGTCACAGTGCTTACCGCTTCTTGGTGCCGAAAGAGGATGTCATGGCTGATCCCTCCTGCCGTGAGTTTGTCGAGCAAGAAGGTATGCTCTGCATGATCGTTGGTGAAGACCGCAGAGTCGTGGTGTATCCTTGTGTTGACAACAAGCTCATGAATTTCCTTCTGGTAAGCACTATCGTTCAGAATTCGAGAGCTTCTTCTGACTTTGGTTCGTTCTAGATCCACCCCAGCAGCGAATCACGCTCAGACGATGCCGGATGGAATCAACAAGGTGACAAGAAGCGCATGCTAGAGAGTGGCGCCAGCTTGGCTCCCCAAGTTCGTGCTCTTTTGGAGAAAGCCCCTGAAGACAGCTTGAAGGTTTGGACTTTGCTGGACATGGCGGTGCTCCCTACATGGATCAAGGGTAGCATGGCATTGCTAGGTGATGCCGCTCATCCATTCTTGCCTCATCAAGCCCAAGGTGGTGGTCAAGCTATGGAAGACGCAGTCTCACTAGCAGCCATCTTGCCTTATGGCACCGCAAAGGAAGACATCCCAGAGAGATTGAGACTGTATGAACAGTGCAGACGCGAACGCGCGAACAGAATCCAGGACGGTACCAGATTGAGTGGAACGTCTCAAAAGGAGCTCGCCAAGATGGGCAAGAAATACGATGGTCAGTATCTGCCGTAATGCGGTCTCAGTGGTTCTCTTGCTGATATTAGTTTTATTAGCTTTCGCTTTCACCAACTACAACTTNNCGGGCACGACGAATGGGACTTCTCNAAAAATGCTCTGAACAAGCATCTCCAGTCCAAACAGCCATACCGGTTCCGTCAGCCAGTGTCGTTCGGCCCTAGCCCTGGTCCACGCCAGCCCCTCAACGCTCAGCTGGATGTGCACTCGATGGCAAAGCAGAACCAAACGATAGCTTCGATTCGTTTCAAGACATCAAGGACCTATCTTCAGAACCTGTTCCCCAGCTCTTCGTTCTCTTTCATGTCTCCAGCAACAGTTGTAGAAGCCTCTATCGTGTGTTGCTCGCTGCGCAACATGACATGGCTGGGTAATACAGGATACGACCACTGCGGCCTCTACATCCACGGAGTGAAGTACACCAAGAAAGACGGCGAAATCCTTCAAGGAACTTTCCTACCGATCTTGTTCGAGAATTTGACCGACCCCATCATTACTGGTCGCGAAGAGCTTGCCGCACCTAAATTAGGATGCGATATCGATGTTTCGTCTTCTGGCGACTCTCGCAGTGTACGCATGAGTTGGCGCGGAACCACTTTCGCAGAGCTTGAATGGAACGGTCTTCACGCAAAGCCCCAAACAAATGGCACNGAACGGCGTGAATGGCACTCACGCAAAGCCTCCTGGTCCACCTGGTCCACCTGGTCCCCCGGGCCTCCAATGCCCAAGATCGAAGACAACGGCTTGTTCATGTATCGCTACGTGCCAGCTGTGGGTGAGCCAGGAAAGGCAGATGCCGAGTATGCTGTCTTTGATGAGTACGAGAAGAAGGAACCATCGTCTACAGAGGCTCAGCAAGAAGTGCAAGACCAGACAACCAAGGCGGCAACTATCAAGTTCTCGCCTGGTGATTGGAACTCGCTACCGACTCTTCACCACATTGCTCAGGGCCTCGCAGATGTACCCATTTACGGCATCGTAGAGGCTACCGTGAAGGAGGTGCCATCAGTAGGCGATGTTAGAGGAGCAAGGAGGATTGAATAGATTCAAGGGCAAGGTCCAGCTCGTGACATTTTTCTTTGCGGTTCAGCGATGTGTTTTTGGAGTTGCAATCATGTTGGTAGTTATGCAGATTGTCGTACACTGTCAAGTTTGTTACAAGACATGAGACTTGTCCAACCCTGCGTGAGAGGGTCTTGCTGTTCCATAGGTGGAGCTCCGTGGACTATCGAGATTGGATGTCGACATATCATTTCGCCAAGTATATCATGATTGGCAAATGTCGGTTGTTTCTGCCTTTTCGGGTGTGAGCTTCTGTCGGAGCGACGACGCGGCTCGAGCTCCATAGAGATATTGTGCTCCTGGCTGCTAGGGCAGATACATATTGCGGGACGACATTTTGTTCATGTCTTTGTGAGGTTGTCTGCAGTCATGACTCTGTTGGCGCCGCAACACACACACACACACACACACACACACACACTGGAAAGAAGGTAGAGCCGCGAACGAAGGCAAAACGGTTACAGGGCACGTTTGACATTCAAGTTGGCGTTCTGGACCCAAAATGGCTTCCTAGTGCAAAGCATAGATGACGCCTACAAGTCTTCTCCGCGAGCCGAAGTTTTACCTGTAGGTGTCGGCGAATAGGCAGCTCTGTTGCGACCAGATACCTGACCACGAATCGATGTTGCAATGTCATGAAAGCCCTCACAGGAACGCCTTGAGGTTCTTTCCTTGTTTCGGTCGGTATAACAGCGAAGCTCCTGCAGTTTCTGCTTCGTATGTTGGTCTTTTGGAAGTAGCCAAAGCTGCTGCCGAGGCGTGAGTACGAGGGTTCCAGGGTCGCAAAAGTTCGATCCCCAGGCTCGATCGCTCCGTAAAACGCATTCAGTAGCGGAGCAGCAACTCAAACGAGAACCAATGACCGCTAAAGTCGAGTTGGGGAAATTGCCTGGTTGGTCGATAGCGCGACTAATCCTGTTGTTTCGTCCACTCGACTCGTGCATGTCATGAAGGCCCTGGTCGCCTCCGCCGCTGCTTCCGCCTTCCGGATATGTTGACTTTCTGAACCAATTTGACCATGTCATCTCGTGCTTGTGTCCCACCACCACTTTCTTATCTCTCCCCTCTCGCTGTCTTCGTTCGCTAAGAGACCCCTGTCTTTGTACGATTATTGACCGCGTGCGCAAAGGAGCTGGTCTTTGATAGGTCCCCAGTTCGATTCATTTCTCGCACAAACACCGGAGTGGTCTCGACGTCATTCAGCAGCAAAGACCCTTGGACATATTTCACGTACCGAAAGTCCGACGCACCTCTGCACCTCTATCCGGCACGCAAAGAGGGCTTAGATACGAGTAGTAAGAAGCTGCGCTAGATGGAAAAGTGGCTCGTTTGCACACACAGCACATGAATCTGCTGGACGACACTATCAGGACCTCGTCTATGCCCGACGGCGAGGCCCGTCTGCCAGCCTTTATGGAAATCGATGAACTTGCCATGGACAGGCAGCGAGCCTCCGCTCTGACCGCACACCAAGATGCACGCGCCCTCATCCGCCTGATCCAGTGCCCCCAGTGCTCCAAGCCTTACACCAGCCCCGTCACCCTACCCTGCGGCAACTCGCTATGCCGCGCCTGTCTACCTCAGACCTACCGCCGTGAGGGCGTCTCGTACCCCGACACTCCCGGAAGACAACGCGGCTTCCTCTGCTCTTACACCGAATGCTCCGAAGAGCATGTCCTGGCAGACTGCAGCATCGACGTCACCCTCTCAAAGCTCATGGAAGCCATCGCCGATCTCGTCCGCGGACACATCCAACTCGCCGGTGATAGACAGACATATATGGAAGAGGTGGTGAAACAAGACGAGGTGTTGGGAACAATCACATCCGTAGATCTGGACAAGGACAGCCCTCGATGCTGGACCATGCCCGGAGCTCGTTTGGTGGCTACATACAATCTCGCTGGTACCGGCATTCTCGGATACAAGACTGAGGTCACGTACACCGACTTGCCCGAAACAGAACAGGCTGCGCAAGAAACAGATCAAGGGCTGCTGGTGCAACTGCTCGATACAGCACAGAAAGAGGTCGACTGCCAAGTCTGCTACAACATCATGTTTGACCCTGTCACAACGGCTTGCGGACATACGCTCTGTCGCAAATGTCTGGCTCGCACGCTTGATCACTCGACCCACTGCCCTGTCTGCCGCCGCTCTGTCATCACCCCACCTTCACTTCTCAGATACCCGAGCAACAAGACTTTGGTCAGTCTGCTCGAGGGGCTCGTTCCAGAAATCGTCTCTGCTCGCGCTGAAGCTGCCGCTCTGGAGGACGCCATTGCTCTCCCAGATTTCGAAACTCCTTTGTTCGTCTGCACCCTCGGTTTCNNCCCCGGTTGTCCATCTTTTCTACGCGTCTTCGAGCCAAGGTATCGACTCATGATCAGACGCGCTATGGAAGGAAATCGACAATTCGGTATGGTCACATACAATCGCCATGGAGTACCCCAAGAAGGACTAGGCAACACACAGTTTCTCGCCTACGGCGTCATGCTTTACATTGAGAATGTGCAGATGCTTCCCGACGGCCAGAGTATTGTCGAAACCAAAGGCATGTACCGTTTCCGTGTCAAACAGTATGGCACTCTGGACGGTTACACGGTGGGCAGAGTTGAACGTGTCGAAGACGTTTCACTACAGGAAGAAGAACGTTTAGAGGCCGAGGAAACATCACAGCCCCCTGCTGCCGAGAACGATATCGAGGGTCAAGTCAGCAGGATGTCAACCCGAGAACTTCTCATGCTCGGACTCGATTTTATCCTTGTCATGCAAGGTCGAAGCGCACCTTGGCTACACCAACGCATTCTAGAGGCTTACGGCGGCCCGCCGGACGACGCCGCCCTTTTCCCTTTCTGGTTCGCCAGCATCCTTCCTATCAGCGAGGACTGGAAGTATCATTTGATGCAGACGACAAGTGTACGATCAAGACTCAAGATCACAGCTCTTTGGGTCAGGCACATGCAGACACAGCGATGGTACCAGAGCAACGCATGTACAGTCTTATGACTGCTCACGCATCTCGCGTTGCGTTTTGGAGCTCCCATCTTCATCCTTGTTATTGCAGTCCGAAATTTTGTGCGCGATGCCTGAAAGAGGATTTCCTCATTTCAGAACAACCAGAAAACACGCCTTTTGAAGCGCTCTCTTTTTGAGCATTCTTCTTTATATGTTTTTGTTTTCTTTGTACATCAGGTTTTTTCTGCACCTGGCTTTATTTCCGTCTTATTTTTTCTCTTGTTGCTTGTTTTCCACAGCGGTCATGATATATCCAGAGCTATCAGGCTCATCACCGCCAGGCGTCATGGGGCAGGATATATATGGACAATGGATGGTTTTTGTTTGCTGCTTGAGAGAGGGAATTGTACATTGCACGTCAAAATTATGGTCGAGAAGGGTACTTCGAATTTTTATCTCGTTTCACGAACAGCATTCTCTCGTGATCGACCCGTACCTATGTTGCTGTATGTACGGTATATGCAACTAGTAAGGATGACTCTGATCGTCTCTGCTGTCCATGTTCCGCTCAAGGCGGTAGCTGGACAGACTATGCATAGATACTTGATGGGAAGCCCTGCCCAAGATATGCATGTGTGTTCTGCTCGGAGTGCTGAGGGAATGCAGGAGCATAGATTGGTATGAGACGAGCTTGTTGATATGCTTAGCAGGACTCATTGCAGTACAGTGAACAGCCGTGTCTTGAGCGGTATGATGAGTGTTGCGAGAAGTTTTATTATGTGTATATTGAGACATAAATTCGTGGTTTACTTTCCATCTCCACCACCCATGACGACCTGGACGAGCAAGAACAGACCGATGGCCCACCAGTACCTGTCAAACGGTTAGCAGGAAGTTCTCAAGAGGCTACATAGCAAGGGGAGACTGACTTNTTGCAAGAAGGACTTCTCGGGTTCTTTCTCTTCGGATTCTCCTTGTTGGTTCACGACGATGGGCTTATCAAAGGCGACTTGTGGTCCCTGACGCAGCGGCACAATCTCGACTGCGAGCGTGCTATCGGTAGACTTTGCAGTTGCGGTGCTGAAGCCAACATGCCAGACATCTCCGGTCGAATCGACGTACAGGCGTAGGGAAGGCTTCTTTGTCGCATGGAAATTGGCTCCTGAAGTTGATACGCCGACCCAGTCACCGGCGCGGTGGACGCCTACTCGTACGGGCTCATCTGATTGGGCTACCGGTGCAGTATATGAGTCTACTGTGGCATTGAGGGCGGGCCAGGAGTAGGAAACTTTGGCGAAGGGGAGCGGTGATGATGCTGATGAGGGCCAGGCGAAGACGTCGGTGGTGCGGAGGGAGTCTGTGGTGGTTGCGGCGATGGCAGAAGTAGCGCACAGCAGGGCTGCCAGCAGGTTGGTTGCTCCTGTGAGACGCATTTTGTTCTGGTCTGGTATGTCCGGATATCGTGTCTTGTCTGGCTGTTGACAACGGTATGGGCATGTTCGACCTTGGAGCTTCGACGCCGCCAAGACAAGAGCAGCCGCAATGTTCGGAGGAAAGTGGCCCGAGTCTGGAAGGAACTGGACCCTGACATTCTCCACGTCACTTTCAATCCAATGGGGAAAGCTCTCTCAGCCATCATTCTCCGAGGCCGCTGCAGCTCTTGTTGATGGATATGTTGTTGAGACGAATGATGGGTCTACGGAGGCCAGTCTCTCATGCAGTGGCACCATACCTCAATGCCTTAAAGGTCCAGAGGAGCTAGCTAAGCAGGTGCAAATGGACCGACGAGAATGGTGCATTTAACCAGCGGCGTCCTGCTTGTCGACCAAAACATCCGGAGGCAAGCACAGGCTTCCCCGAGTCTCCTCGTTTTCTCCACTCCAGCGTCATCACGATCGACATCCCCAAGCTCCCCAGAGATAAGTGCCACGCCTTCAAGACCTTTATCCGTTCGCTCGGCATTTCAGACGGATTGATCTTCTTCTTTCTCTTACTCTCTTCAATCTCCCTTTCCTCCCTCTACTACACTCAATTGGCACCAGTCCAGTGATTAGAGACCCACACAGCTCAACCAATACTCCTACTCGAATTTCAACTCACCTCCCAACACTACTTGATCTTTGACCAAAGCAACCACACCCAGCATGTCTTTAATGCTCCTTCCGCCAGCCTTACAGGCAGGCTTCTCGACAGCAGTCGAGGCAGATGTCTGTCGACCCTCACAACGAGCTCCACCCCGTCCAGGACCACTACATTGGCATTGATGTCGGTACCGGCAGTGCTCGCGCCTGTATCATGAACGACAAGGGTGACATTGTCGGTCTTGCCAGTGAGAACATTGGCCTCTGGCAGCCCGAGACTGGCTACTACGTGAGTCTTCTGCAATCTCACCACAAGTATTCGTGCTTACGCTCAAGCAGNGAACAATCCACCACAGACATCTGGAGATGCATCTGCAACTCGGTACAGCGTGCCATGAACCAGCACGGCATCGACGGCTCTACCATCCGCGGTATCGGTTTCGATGCCACCTGCTCGCTCACCGTCTTCTCCAACGACACGGACGAGCCCATCTCCGTCACTGGCCCCAAGTTCGACAATGCCGATGGCAACGACCGCAACGTCATTCTATGGCTCGACCACAGACCCGTCGAGGAGACTGACAAGATCAACGCCACAAACCACAACCTGCTCCGCTACGTTGGTGGCAAGATGAGCATCGAGATGGAGATGCCAAAGGTTCTTTGGCTCAAGAACCACATGCCCAAGGAGCTCTTCGACCGCTGCAGATTCTACGACTTGACTGATGCCCTTACCCACATTGCCACTGGCAACGACGACCGCAGCTTCTGCAGTGTCGTCTGCAAGCAAGGCTTCGTGCCAGTAGGCGTTGACGGCAGTGTCAAGGGTTGGCAAGAAGACTTCCTCAAGGAGATTGGTCTCGAGGACCTGTGCGAAGACAACTTCAAGCGCCTGGGCGGTGTAGATGGGGTGGTAATTACCTGACCTCTATTGTTTCCAATAGTCCAAAGACTGACCCGATTCGCANNGAGCGGAAAGTACCACACGGCTGGTGACAAGATTGGCACTCTTTGCGAAAAGGCTGCTGCTGACCTCGGTCTTCCTCCTGGTATCGCTGTCGGTGCTGGTGTCATCGATGCCTACGCTGGTTGGATTGGTACCGTCGGAGCCAAGGTCCGCTTGCCAAACGGAAACCTCCAATCTGGTGCAGACAAGAACGATGTCTCGCAAGCCTTCACTCGCTTGGCCGCCGTCGCCGGAACTTCGACCTGCCACTTGGCCATGTCTGAAAAGCCCGTCTTTGTCGAAGGTGTCTGGGGACCATACCGCGATGTTCTCATCCCAGACTACTGGATGGCAGAGGGTGGTCAGTCGGCAACTGGCGAGCTGCTGAAGCACGTCCTCGAGACCCATCCAGCCTTCCAACAGGCCATGAGTGTCGCCGAGACGTTCAACGCAAACATCTACGATTACCTCAACGAACATCTTAACGAGATGATGGCAAAGGAAGACGCTCCCACAATCTCATACCTTGGCCGTCACTTCTTCTTCTACGGCGATCTGTTCGGTAACCGCAGTCCTATCGCTGACCCCAACATGAAGGGAAGTGTGATTGGCTTGTCGAGTGACCGCAGCTTGGACGGTCTGGCACTCTACTACTACGCCACTATGGAGTTTATCGCATTGCAGACCAAGCAGATCATCCAGCGCATGAACGACTCGGGCCATGTCATCAACTCCATCTTCATGTCGGGAAGCCAGTGCCAGAACGGCATTCTCATGGACCTCATGGCCACTGCTTGCGAGATGCCCGTTGTCATTCCCAGATATGTGCACGCAGCCGTCGTCCACGGTGCAGCCATGCTCGGAGCCAAGGCAGCTTCGGCCGACGGCGAGGGCAAGACCGAGCCCCTGTGGGATATCATGGACCGTATGAGCAAGCCCGGTAAAGTCGTGCTTCCCGGCAGGGACCAGAACGAGAAGAAGCTTCTCGAGGCAAAGTACAAGGTCTTCCTCATGCAGTGCGAGCAGCAGCGTGAGATTCGTCGCGACATTGACGAGGCTGTCAGTGGCTGGAAATAGAAAACGATGTATGGTTTCTCTTATGACGACGAATCTCAGCCTCCCGGATCGGAAATGTTGATCTGTGGATCAAAAATGCTTGAAGAATGATGTTTTGCTACTATAGATACGCGATAATGGATGAGATATGATTGTACTTGAATCTCGGTTGAACATACAATGTGGGGCGTTGTATTATGTACGAGTTGACGTGATGCAAGATGCTCATTGCGCATGCTCTCTACTTCTTTTCCTCGGCAACGTCCTCCTTGACTTTAGCATCGCCTCTAGCAGGTCTTTCGCCAAAAATGGTCGTACCAACTCTAACCTCTGTACTCCCCTGTCTGATGGCAGCCTCAAAGTCCGAGCTCATACCCATACTCAACTCCAACTTGTCAGCCTCAATGCCCAACTGGCTAGCCACGTCATCTCTACACTTTCTCAATGCCTCAAAGTCTTCATTTTCCGTTTCTTTGGTGGTAGCTTTCGATCTCGCAATCGCACCGATGGTCATCAAACCACCCAACTCTAGATGCGGGCAATTATCCAAGATGTGTTTGCAAAGCGTCACTGCATCCTTTGGCTCCACACCAGATTTCTCTTCTTCCCCTGAAGTATTGATCTGCACCAAAACCCTCAGTTTCTTTCCCTGTACCTCGTCTTCAAGTTTTGCTCTTCCCTTTTCCAGGCCGTCGGCTTTTTTGGCACTGTCGACGCTGCTCACGGAAAACAGGTTTGGGATGCTTTCGGCCAAAGGACGACATTTGTTTGTTTGGAGGGCGCCGATGAAATGCCAGTTTATTGTTTTTGGCAGTAAGGCGGCTTTTTCGGTGAGTTCTTGGGAGTAGTTTTCGCCGAAATGGGTGTGGCTAGAGGGAGCATTGTGGAGGGCGAGAATGTCGTTTGCGGGTTTTAGTTTTGAGACGGCGATGAGGCGGACCTGTGTTGAGTGGGGTGTTAGTGGTAGTTGAGAGAGAGGGAAAGGGGAGAAAGGCATACATTGTTTCCTGCNTGCGTTTGCGGATTTAACCTGGGAGAGGACGTGGCTGAGGTTTTCGGAGAGGTGCCTTGCGCGGGTGGGGTTGATTTGCATTTCTTCTGATGCGGAGGACATTTGAGATTGGTTGGATTGAGGAGATTGAGCAGAGTCTTAGTTAGAGATGATGTTGTGGTTCGTCGGAAGGTGTGAGTGAAGATGTCGAGGGAGTGTTTCTGGCAAGAGCTCTCTCCAGTCAATGACGATGTCCTCAGAGCCTCGGTTAAAGTTGCTTGGTGCGGAATCTACTCCATTGCAGTGTCACCATGGCTTGGGAATATCTTCTCAATTGCCATGCCACTGTAATGCGTACTGCGCCAGCAAGCTCGGGGAGGTAGCAATGAATCTCGTGTCCATTGTGGTATGCTTGATTCGTGTTGTATTTGTTCAAGATAGTTTGCACAACTAATCTCATCAGTTCACCTGGTATCTTTGTTGAGCTTTCAAAGTTCGAAGCATGATGCGCAAAAATCATGAATATCTACCTTGTTTTTGCAAGATCACCTTTCATACTATTAGAACCAATATAATGGTACTTGGAGCATATATGGAAGAGATAACAACTCAATCAGTAGCGTAGAGCGCTTGATAGAGGCATATTCTTCCTGACAGCCCTTGTCAGTGGTGCGACCCTGCTCCCAGCCACCTTAGGACAACTCTTCTGATTGCAGGATGGACTTTTTCTAGACAGCTATATATCGTGATTCAGCACTGCACATGTATATGTTCTCTTTAAGAGTTTACATTATATTGGCTATGTATTTGAGAGTCTATGTTTTCAGATGTCGTAATAAGAGCGGAGCATAAGTCACGAAGAAGTTCGCGACACAAGTAGCCTCTTGAAGCAGGTACTCTTCCCTTTTCGCAGAAGGCACAGCTACTGGCGCTTGATTGTCTTGCGTCGCATCAATGGCATTGCGTGTCAGAAGTAAGAGTTCATCAATTAACTCTTCGTCAGCATTGAGTACAAGACCACACATCCATCTTAACAGTCTCTGCACCAGCTTCTCTGCCGGGACATTCCAATTGCGAATCTCGCTCGTGGATGTGACATGCCTTTTCAGGACTAGCGAGGTAGCTCTTGCTTTGATGTTGGGAAAGCGAGTCGAGTCTCCTCTGTGTACCGCGAGACCGTAGGCTACCAGAATTGTGTAGAGTTCAAGATCTTCATGTAGATAAGGCCGCAGCCTTCCCATATTCAACAGCCATGTCACAAAAGCCTTGTGTAACGCGACGTTGATATCTAAACGACCGTTCGTCAGCGCAACAGGTCGAGTGTCGAGTAATGGTGGACGTTGTGGAGGGTCGACGCGTGGAGAAAAAGGGGGTCCAAGCGGAGGTGAGTCAGGGGTATCGAGCGGATTCAACGAGAAGCTGCTGTCGGCGCATGAACCTTGATTCGGAGGTGTCGTTGGCACGACTGAACTGGCATCCCTGCATTTGTTTGAACGTGGAGAGGGTGCGCAGTCGCTTGCTGGCATCTGAACCTGTTCGTATGCTGGTGGTGGAGCAACGTCTTGAGCAGTTCGTCGAGCCCAATGCTTTGCTTGTGGATCCGCCTCATCCTCATACGGATCCTCCTCTCCTTGTTCATACCTTGCTCTTTTCCTCTTGTGGGCGTGGCGGTTGTCCAGAACGGCATCAAGGTTGGTTGCTGTGCGAGCACACTTGGTATCCAGGTAGTCGTTCCACGGGTCGAAGGCTCCGCCGTTGTGACTGTAGCACGATTCGAGGTTGAATGATGGAACGGTATAGTTGGATTGGAGAGCGTGTATGTTTCGTGTCAGAGCCTGATGCGCATATGTGCTGTAGCCCATATAGACTTCAAATCTTTCGGCCGACTCGGCGAATGCCTGCACCGAGAGCATAACGTGTTCAGCCGCGCCTTGTACAGCTCGCATAGTCTTGCGGATAGGCATCAGGGTCTGACTTGGAACGGTCTTGCACAAGGACAGTCGCACAAAGCGGGATTTGGAAGAGCCCTCGATTGTTTCGAACATGCGGGACATGTCTCCAGGTATCTCATCTATACCCAAAATGGGCAGTTCATCACTGACAAGCTTCAAGCTTTCAGGCACTGAAAACAAGTCGAACTTCTTCCTCTTTCCCTTCGAATAATGCGTGACCGTGAGTTGCAACATGGCCACGGCTTGGTCGCTGCCTTCGACAAGGCCGAGCCAGAGTATCAAGCTCGCGTCCTTGTTGAGAGGGGACGGCTCCCCGAGGTGTAGCGCTTGATCGTGATCTTGGTCGTGCCATGTCAGAACGACTCGCTCTTTCAGAAACCACACAGGCTCATGGTCATTAAACACGACGGAGGAAGGAGATGGGTACATGGTTGATGTATTGGGGGTTATGTAACTGCAAGATAAAGATCAACTTTGAAGAGAATGCCCTGACACAGAACGCGTCAGAAACCCTCCCACCCGGGCTTTCGTCGACTGCGAGCAGCCCTGACTCGAGAATACAGAAAGAAGAGCGCTCAATAGCGCGACGTAAAGAAGAAGACGTGTAGTCTCCCAAGTTCGGACGCTGTGGGCTTCCAATCATACAGATACCGTCACACAATTCTTGTAGGACACCGCGAGATAGCAGATACCAGTCGAAGAAACCGGACAGACACCGTACAAAGAGTAGCACGCAGAGACAGGCCGAGCAAGAGAGGTGTGACACGTGAGTCTGACAAAGTGTTGATGGTATGAGCGTGTTGTGGTAGAAGGTGGTGTTGGGCGCAAAACAGCTTGGAGTCGACGTTCGCTGGGCGCCGGATAATCGAGTCATGTGCAGATCAATCACGCGTCACGCGTTTTTGGCAGCAAGATTAGCAACAACTCCCCAGTCCCAACCATCTGTTGTCAACAACCACATGCTGGCCTTCTTGTCTGTTCAACAACGGCGACTCTGCTACTTGTTATGCATTGTTGACGACCAACGCTGGACAACATTGCAAGAGATTGTACTTGTCATCTGTGGGCTTGTGTTTCCAAGTTCGTCAGACCAACGAACGAGTGCCTCGAGCATCTGTTCATGCAAGCTGGCATCCAAAGGAACAGACGTCGAACAAGGCCGCAGAGTTTCAGATCAAGACCACGCGATGCGACTCAAACCAGCTGGCTGGCAATGTCCGAGCAATAGTTCCAGGTGTGCGAACTACTCCATTTCAGAGTCTCAGATTAAGTCGTGAGGGACAATCTACTTGGAGACATCCAAAGCCTGGGACAATGTCTTGAATGCATATTGCAATCAAGACATTGAGTCCCAGCCATCGCGGAGGATTGGCTGTAGGATGCAATTCTAAACCAAGACCATGGTGTCGCTTTCGCCGTTGGTAGCCAATCAGGACAGACGACTTACTTGTAGAGGCGCGAATAGATTGGAATATATTGCGCAAGAGCCATAGGCAAGGTAAGTCTGTATACGAAGAGGCTTGGGAGGCCTTCCTGTTCAATCTAAACCTGCCACTCGGAGTTGTACTGCACTGCACTGCACGGTGGATCAGTTGGGGTTATGAAGCAAGGCGGGATATGAATGATTTGAGAAAGGTCGCTGGAATATATTGCGTGCATTAGTCTGGGATCCTCGCGCGCGTGGACGTCAATCCCCCTGACAGCAGCTAGCCCACTAGCCTGCCAATCCACATTGCGCAAGTCTGATTTGCAAGTTTGGTGGAGGCTCTCCTCGCGAACCTTGAGGAAGCCAGATGCGGGCATCACTGATCGTCACTGCTCTGTCATCAGTAGTCGCAACTGCCGTCCGCGAGGGCGTTGTGAGTCTTCTCGCCAAAGGCTTTCGTTGCTGGGTGAGTTCTCCCCTGAAAANCGCTCAACACGTCCAACAAGGGTCCGCCAAGCGAGCTGTCACGAAAGCCAGCAAAGCACTGAGAACCTTCTCNNATCAGCTTCTCACAACGTCAAAACAAACAGAAACACAGTCACATTCTATATTAACCTGAAGGGCTGCAGCATGTGCAACTCATCTGCGCCTCAGCAAGGNATACTCGANCCCAACGACCAAAAGTTAGGTTGGCGCAGCAGCCCTGCAAGAATTACANNTTGGAGGCTCGCGGCATCTTCGATCCCGCACAAGCCTCGCAAATCCACATCATCAGCTTCGACTCCAACATGCTATATGCGAACNCGTGCCATGCACAAATCGGGACAATACGCCCGTATTCCAGCTGCCATGTGTCCCCGGGATCTCCGTATGTGGAGCATAGAAGGTATGAACGCCGAACACAACGAGACAGTCGGTCAAGCAATTGCAAACATAAACCGGGTCCCACAGCGTTGGGTCGGACCATTCAACGACATGATGCTCGATCCATCCACGTCGACGAAACACGTCCTTGAATGATGATGGCAGCAGTGCATTAGCTGTCGCGCCTGTTATGCACCTGGTCTAGACAGGTCATGTTCGGCGCATCGCCGGTGCCCTATCCCAGTACGTCGGCACTGGCGATGGCGCTAAGGCTGTTCGGCGCGGCGCGCCCGAGTGTCGTCTAACCTTGTTCTGTCGCGGGCCCGCGACGTTTTCTTCGCTTTTCCTCCTTTTACGATGGCGCGTGTTCCGTGCCACAGCTTGCATCTCTTCCCGGATGGGTTGCTGGCCTGGAGTTGGAAGCAGCAAAGGTACCTTTGCGCAATGTGCCTCTATTAATCTATCTGGCATTGCTTTTGGGCGTCTCCCAGGTACCTGGGCTTGCAAAAATGATTTGAAACCGATATTGCAATCAGCATCATAGTGGTGGGATGGTGGTCGTTGCGTGCATATACATATACAAATTCATACTTCCTTCGAACGTTGGACATCGATGGGATAGGTGGGTTCCTAGCTTGCGAGTATAACAACGTTTGTTCCCCCTCCCCTTTCTTACCGTTCAGACATCTATTCCTTCGTTTTCACCTCAACTCACCCTCCTTTACTCCAACGTTGTGTTATCTTGTACCCTGCGAGGAGATAACAACACATAACGGAACCTCTTGGGAACTACTTTCGCGAACCCTTCTTTACCGTCATCGTTCTCTTCTCCAAACCGTCAGATCATGATGGATTCCACACTCACATCTTCATCTCGATCGATGGTCCAAGGCATCGCAGGCGCTGCCATCGGACTGTCAAGCATCCTCGTCATCGTTCACATCGTCTCAAGACGCGTTGCAAGAGCTTCGATCTGGTGGGATGATAGTTCGTTATGGTTGGGTGGTTGCATGACTCTGGTGATGAATGCACTCTTCATTCATGGTATGTCTTGAGACACATTCAAAGCCTGGGATAGAATGATAACAATGGACNNAGGAGCACAACTAGGCCTTGGTTCATATGAGGAGCAAGTATCGTCATCACAACTCGAAGGCATCTTCAAGGTCAGTCCATGCTGCAGCATGAGTCGTAACACAACCTAACCTTACATAATANNGATCCTCTTTACCAACAACTTGATCCACCTGTGGGCATTGGCCTCTATCAAGGCTTCATTACTCCTCTTTTTCAACCGCATGTTTGCCAGCTCCAACAACACTCTTCGCTGGACAGTCTACTTCTCTCTCTGCCTCATCTTTGTATGGGTCATCACATTCACTGCTGTCTCAACCTTCCAATGTACACCAGTCTCCTTCTTCTGGGACAGTGGTGTAGCCGGAAGGTGTATTACTTCTGACTGGACCTCAAGAACAGCTATTGCCATTTGTGACACTGTCTTCAACCTGGCCACCGACTTCCTCTGCTTGATGGCACCTTTCCAGGTACTTCGCAAGCTGCAGATGGCCAACGGCAAGAAGGCAGGTCTTGCTATTGTCTACCTTCTCGGTGGCTGCAAGATTGTCATCACTGTCATTCGCGTTCTCTACCAGATTGACACTCCTTACCTGGCGTCGTCTGACTCTCTCTACTCATCCTTCGCCCCCACCATCTTCATCATCATCGAGACCAACCTTGCAATCGCTTGTGCTTGCTTGCCTTCATTCTCTGTCATCAACGACCGCACCATATTTGTTATGACTAAGCTTGGTTCTCGTTCCAACACTCCCGAGATCCTCGAGCCTCCTAACTCTCCTTACTGCCGCCCCAGCTACCAACAACAACAATTCTCCGACACTTCTCTGTTCCTGACAGAATTCAAGCGTCAGCCAGCAGCAGAGTTCCCCATTCTCACCACCATCACCAGCAATGTTTCAGAAGAGCCTGCTCGTCTGCCCAGCCTTGAGTTGGGTAGTTTTGCTCAATCTTCTGTCTTTGACATTCTCNNAAAGCCTGCTGGCGCTATTGTCAAGACCTTGAACGTCGAACAGACCATTGAGGAGTATGACTCGGTCCGAACTCTGAATGTCGAACAGTCGATCGAGGAGTACGACTATATTATGAGACAAGCATCATTCTCTATCGTCCCTGCGAACTTCTCTATCGTCTGATCCGACTGCCTGTCTTTTCATTCCCTTTCTCGTCCAATCCTTGATTACTCTGTTTGCTTGTTTTCTGTTTTTCTTTTTCGTTATACCCCTTCGTTTTTTTTGTCTGTTGGAGCCTGTTTAGGAGCGAAGCGTTGGTGTTATATCATGATGATCAAGCGCGGTGTTCCGGATGGGATGGGTTGCCATGGATGGCTTATTACCTTGTCGCTAGCACGAGATCTTTTCCTTTGTTTCTAGAGAATTTAGATGAGGACAGAATACTCTTCTTGGGTAGCTTAGAACGACGATAACGGTAGTGGTAGTTAGCTTAGTTAGACACATACCTTCCATGAGTTGGTCACAAATGAAAAGAATCAAATCTATGAAATATCACTTGACCTCCCTCTTTCTTTATTCTGCGAGTTTCTTCCACTGTATGTTATCTGTCTTTCGATGAGTTGTTCTTTCCTCACTTCGCCTTACTTCCCACCTTCCCTTTGCTGATCGATCGCCTGCTCCTGTTTCGTTCTCAATTCCCGTTCATTTTTTCCTTTTCGCATGAATGTTAGTTGCAACTAGGTTCCAATCATCTTCTGCCACATGGCTATTTCCATATTCTTCCTCCTCAATAATCCGTGCGGTGACAAGGACACAGCGAAAAACACACCAGACCGTTCGGAAGCTGACACGACCATCCGAACGCTGAGCTGACCATCAAAAAGCCGAGATGACCACCCGAGAGTTGAGCTAACCATTCCAGAAAGTAAGCTGACCATTCCAATCGCTGAGCTGACCATGCCAATCAGAAATCTGACCATCTCAAAACCTCAGCTGATGATTCCAAAAGTTGAGCTGACGAATCCAGAAGTTGAGCTGACCATTCCAATGGCCCCCACCCGACCATGCCAATCAAAAATTCGACCAACACCACGAAAAGTCGACCAGTGCTCGAGATAACAAATTAATCAATGCAAGAAACAAAAACAAATGCCATCAAGGCTAGGCCTGACCCAACTAGAACCAGAGAAGAGTTGACCAATGCTGAACAACTCTGACCAGTGCCAGTAAGATACAAACAAGACCATGCGAAAAGCTGACCTGACCACTGAGAAAGCTGACCTGACCATCGGGTAAGCTGACATGACCATCGGGAAAGCTGACCTGACCATCGGGAAGGCTGACCTGACCATCGGGAAAGCTGACATGATTACTGGAAAAGCTGATCTGACCATTCCAAACAATTTCCGACCAAACACCAGAATCAGCCGATTCGCGTTAGGGTCAAGAACCTGACCACTGTCACAATACTATCAATTCAAGGCAAGAAGATCCAACCAAGACTACGAATGAGGACTTGAATATGGAGAAAGAGGCGACCAGTGCTGGTAGAATGCAGATCCGGCCATTCTAAAAGACAAAAACAAAAGAAGCCGACCATTCCAAACCAAAATCCGACTAATGCTAGAAAAAGTCGACCAGTGCAGATAAAAAGTCGACCAGTGCTAACAAAAGAACGACCAGTGCAAAGAAAAAATTAACTGGTGCCTAAAAATAAGTTGACCAAACATCATGGAAGAATCTAACCAACGTCAGAAACAAAAACCAGACCAAGGTTAGAAAGAAAATCGACAGTCCACTTCAGAAACAGCTGTGCATTGCATTGATCACGGGGTTTGAAGAAGAAACATGGACTTGAATTAACTATTCCCACCAGAATCATCCCTAGAAAGAGTGCTATAAAAAGTCACAAAGATCTTGTGATCCATCCTTGGACCACTGAGAGCTTCTTCTCTCACCGACTATCCTTGGACACTATACCTTCTACTGAAATATCGTGTGTTTCAACAGCATACTATCAAGCACTAGTTGCAGGGAGAGAGTCGTCAAGAATGATGATTGTTGCTGCTATCTGCTATCTAACACTGTCTGATATGTATGGTGCGAGACATGAATGCTAGTATCGCAACAGTGATGGCCAGCAAGACGATCACCCTGACGATCTGACATGGCACCGGATTGCGTCTGTAGCGGGGATAGTTGCAGATGTCGAAAATGTTCTGCGAGCAACTGTAAAGGTCTTATTCGGACCGCCCGCACATGGGTTCATTTGCTTGACAGCACGGGGAACCAGGTTGTGTTTGTGCATTGTGGCCTGCCGTTCAGCCTCTATCTAAGCGGCTTGCCATTCCACGGTCAACTCTGTGCCGTGGCCTGCTTTGTCGACGTAGATGTCGATCTTGTTGAATCGATAAGGCACCTCGTCCGCATAAAAGGTCAAACCTTCGCTCTTCTCGAAAACAGTGGCTTTCGAAACATCAGACGAACAGCGGAATACGCCTCCGATAACTGCGCACTTGCCCCTCGAACTCTCCAGGCTGAAGCCATCGTCCTCCTGTGTGGCATGGAACCTTGCGCAGCTCCTAGTGTCGTACCATGAGCCACCAGAGATGATACACCCTTTTGTTCTGCCGCCAGTCTTTGCGATGAGGTTGCCTCTGCCACTGAAAGCGGGCCCAGTCGGCTCAGGGACATGAGTACGAGTATGTGTGGCTGTTGGGGCGGGACGACCTCCCTTGGCTGCCTTGGGAGGGTAACGGATACCGCTGTACGGACATGTGCTCTTGCCTCCATCAGGATCTGCTGCCTCGAACACACCAGTCTGGACGCTGCCACGGACCTCAAAATGATACCAGACCTCGTCCAGCTTACCACCCTTGCAGCCAAGTGTGACGGGACGACCGTGTCTTGAGCTCAAGGCACTCTGAATCTGATCTCTTGTATATGACTTGGAAGTACTGGGTTCGATACCAGCGTCTAGCAGCCACTGGTAGGTAGGACGCTGGGTGTAGAGCGAAACAGCAGCGGCGAAGTAGTCAACGACCTCTTCCTTGCTACGATATGATGAGTAGCAGTCAGGGTTGAGAGTCGAGACACAAGTGCCGTGCTTGCTCCACTCATGCATCCATAGACTCTCATCGTGTCCCTTGTAATCTTTCCAGTACATGGTCATGTTGGAGAGGAGGTCGGTGGCGCCAAAAGACTCGAGAATATCTCTGATATTGTGGTAGGCGCGGCTATCGTCGCAATTGGCTTCGTAGCTGCCATCGCATCGGTCGGGNNCCTTAATAGAGGTGTTAGCCATGCTCAGCGTCAAAAGAAGGGATGGTACGCACCACAGGCCGTGTATGGTCCACGCATCGTCAGGCCCAGTCGGGGGNNGATTGGTGTCCCAGAACTGTGTCTGTAGCATCTGACCGCCAGGATAGTTGAAACAGCACAGATCCTCGACGATCGAGGTATTATGACAGCTCAATTGAGGGTTCGAGCAGGAAGGTGCATTGCCAACATCGAGGCCACCGAAGTAGGACTGAGCGCCCAAGATGACTTGGGAGCCACTGAGAAGGAGCGACTTGACCGGCGGAAGCTTCGAGGGCACCTTGTCGACGAGATTTGACCAGAAGTCGGAAGGTGCGATGACCACCATGTTGGTGTCGTTGAGGGAAAGAGCTGCTTGTGCGGGGATACCTTGATGGTTCAGGGTTGGATTGATGTGGGTGATGCGTATGAAGAATGGGAACAAGCTGCGACGAGGAAGGAGATGAAGAGGAAGGCTGAAGCTCAGATGCTTGTCATGTGCGAAGAGAGAGTCAGAAGGTGCGTTGATGAGGCAGGTGCATGCAGCAACGATAGCACATGACTGGTCCGCATTACCCTGTGAAACCGATAAGCCCCGTTATCGCCGACACCCCGTCATTGCCCTGCGCCACACCCGTGTTCCTGCATGCCACCTGACGACTTCCCTTCAGCCCATTCGGGAGCAATGTGTGAGCTGTAGAAATACACAATACTTTGCGAAAACAGAGCAACATCCACCGAGAGCACTTAGCTCATCGACTCTCCTTGGACGCATCTCTATCCCGGACACATTCGTGCATTTTTGCAGCTACTAAATGACAAAGTTTCACTCGCGGAGAAGCCTTGTTGTTTCCTCGGCCTTCAAGTCGTCTTATCCGCGAGTTCAAGCAACATCGCATCAGCAAGCAATGGTTGATCTGTTCTTCTAACTATTATGGACAATGGGCTGTCTTGCTATTGTGTTACTAAACTACGTTTCTGATTTCCTTCACTCGTCATACTCCAGAGTGAGCGTGGTAGGAATTGGAGACTCCTTCGATGAAGCATCGAGATACTGTCTCATCTTCACCCCAGCAACTTCGTGCTCGACAATGGAGAATTGTCCGGCATGACCTTTTGCACGTCTAAAATTCTTCAACTTGAACACTTCCTTCAACGTAGCAGCCAACGATACTCCAACCAATCTTGCGCCAAAGCAGAAGTGCAAGCCGTGGCCAAGAAGGATGTAGGAGCTGAATGGACGGTGAGGATCCAACTTTTCTGGGTTCGGGAATGCCACAGGATCCATTGATGCTTTGGATGTTGCAATAAGAACGGTTTGGTTAGCCTCGATATGGACAGGTCCACGAGTGCCGTCCATTACGGTAACATCTTGAGACGCTACGCGAGATAGACCTGGAACTACGCCGGCGTGACGCATACCCTCGTAGACAAACCCTTGAAGCTCGCGCTCCGACGCCGGGTCATCTCTGTGAGCAAGTTCGACGATGCGATCTTTGTACACTTCGTAATCAGGGCTGAGGAACAGATCAATGAGCAGGGATGCTTGTTGAGTTATGTTACCTGCGACTGGAGCACCTATGCCGATGCAATCTCCAACCAGATCACCGATGGGAAGCTTTGTCGGGTTCAAGGCATTGTATATGCGGACTGCGTCTGGACCAACTTCGTATGCTGTTCCCTTTGCGAGCCGGTCCACGACTGTCTCTTTGTAACCCTGTTGGGTCTGGAGATGAGCATGTAGAATCTTGCGCAATACTGGTGCGACCTTCGTAGCGCCTTGCGTTTGAAATACACTGTTCGATGGCTCCGTCGTCGAAGAAGCAATCTAAAACACTATCGTCGTCATCGGGCTTTGCGTGGCTCGGGTCCGTACATGATGATTCTTGTTTCTTCACCACGGCCGTCGNNTGGCTCCATCGTGCTCAGACCGGGAGTCCTCACTGATACCATTGGGATAGCCAGCATCCAAGAGTTCCTCCTTGGTGTATTGATCATCGAAGAAATATTCCAGGTCATCACTGCCCTCAATCATGTCCAGGGAACTGGTAGATGAAGANNTGGTTGATGCGTAGGCCCCTGACTTCTGATTCTGAGTATCCTCAGTCTCAACGAGCGGTTGAATATTGAAGCTCTGGTACATGAACAAAACCAAGTAGATGCCGAAGAGCTCAGGAATCGACAACATGCCTCGAGGGTTCTCCTTAGTCTTAAGGGGAATTGCAAATCGTTCTGTCAGCCACAGGACAGGCGTGACATTGGTGACGTCTCGGACAATATCAATGGAGCGTCTGGTACCCTGATACTTGAGTGAACTCTTCGAGATGAGCTGTGCGACATTCTTACGGAAGAATGTCGTGACGTTCGCTTCGAAACTCTCTTCGAAGAACACCCTGTGGAGAATCTTTGACCTATCATCGTGCTTCTTCTGTTGATCCCATCCAATCATGAAGTCATGACCATCTGTGCATTGTCTGATTGCNNCGCCTGATACATGACGCGGAAGTTTTCACGGTCTTCGAAGATCTTCTTGCAACCTTCTTGCGTGTGGACAGAGGCGATGGCTCTATCGCTTCGCGGTCTTATAAGGTCGTACTTATCGATCACTCCGTTGCCTTTGAGAATGCCTGCTGCGGCTTTTGGTATTTAGAACGGCAGCAGAGCGTAGGAGAAGTGCCAGTGAAGGCGTTGGGTAGTCCGGAGAGAAGCAACTGCGGCAGCATACCTCCATAAGCTCCTGGAGGAGAGACATTGAGTTTGGCCACACCCCAGTTGGTCAGAGTCGAACTGTTGGAATCATAAGAGAGGAAGCGATCTCTGACCAGCGCGACAGCGTCGTCGAGGATGCCACGACCAGTGGTCTGACCTGGATAGACGCCACTGCCGGCCATGGGAGGCTTCGTGACTTCGGCCATAAGTCCCGGATACAGCTCAAGGTTGTCGATGTGGCNNCATAAAGAAGCTCCGCAGCCCTAGCAGTCTCGTTGCCAGTACCACGCTCAATCCGTGTACCAGCTTGCTTAATCTCAGCACCGAGATCTAGAGACCATTCGGAGTTGGCCCTTGGGGTGTTCAAGATGGCTGCGACGTAGTCTTTCAGGACGACCGTTGCGAAGAAGCCGACATTGATATTGCGAGCAAGCTGGAAGATATCTTTATCTTGTCTGCATCCCCGTTAGCAACCACAAATAAGACTGGATCGTTCAGACTCGACTCACTCAGTTCTCTGCTTTTGATCCAATGTATTCCAATCCTTGTATTTGCCTTCTTCATTGATGGAGAGCAATGAGTGGGAAACACTGTTGTGGTTTCGCGAGAACATGACTAAGATGGCAATGACTCCTGGTGGCATCATCATGATCCTCTNCGAAGCGATAGAGTCTGCAAAGATCGTGCCATTCTCGTAGGTGCGTATGTGCTCCTGCTCGACGTCTGTGTTTCCATACAAAGTGCTCAAATCAACATAACTGGAAGTTTCGTTGACCCAAGGGTCTGTTCGAGAAGTTTGAAAACATTCGTGAATGACGATTGTGGCGAAGGAGAAGAATAGTCTGTTGAGGCCAGAAGGATGTTCACGGAAAGGCCCCTTTCTCTTGAGAAGTTGTTCATAGACAAGCTCGGGGCCGGGAAGATTGGGGCCTTTAGGCCTCAGAGGAGGAACACTTCGACTGTAAGGAGTACCAGCTTTGCCCATCTCGGGATTCCAAGGGTTGTTGTTGCCGCCATTGTGTCTTCTACATCTGGCGGTCGGCCCAGCCAGAGTCACTGGCGGGTGAGGCAGGTCGTTGTATAGCATCTCAATGGAACCTTCAGACACAGTCGTGGAAAGTCCGCTATTAGGTGGGGCATTCTGTAGTGCAGCCACACCATTTTCAAGCAACAGATCTTTATCGTCAATGGGCTCGCCAAATACAATGGTTGTTAAGCCTTGCGCGACCGTGCCAGCGTTCTTCAGACCCATATGTGTGAGATCATGGATGAGTGAGGTCTTCTCATTCAGAGGGCTTAGCTCTGCTTCGCCATTCGTCTTGCGGCCTGGGGCGGTAGAGGGCTTCCTCCTGATCGATCCGATCGATGTCTTGAGTTGACCGACAGCCATGGTTGTAGACTGTAATGTGTGCAAAATATATTGGAGTTAGGTGAAAAACGACAAGGAAAGATTGTGATCAGAGCTTGTAGTAACAAGAGGCGGAGATGTTTACTGATATAAGGTAGTCCTTCTGGTCTCTGCATTGTGACAATGCCTGATTACCATTTACTAGCTTAGGGATGACCCGTGAACGCACATGCTATCCACTTGTCTTCCGAAGTTGTAAGGATCAGCAAGTCGTTAGCGTCTATCATTTCATCGTAAGAACGCCACAAACCATCCCAAATCCCTCTTCGCTGGATGATACGTCAATGCTTTGAGTGCAACACTGGCATAATATTCGACACACACTGTCTTGCCGAAGAAGGCCTTGATGTCCATATGCTCTATCCAGTTTACCAGAGACTCGAGATGCCAACAGTAGGCCCTTCCCCAAACAAAATGGAGAAGTACCACCAAGGAGAGCTCGCACCCATCTCGCGCCGCTCCACCCTTCTAGAAGCCTAAGACACCAACCACCACGACGGCCTCTACAATTTAAATCTCTACGAAGACACGGAAAAGCGCAAGGTCGCCGATCACTGGATGCCAGAACAAATCGAAGACTACTTCGACGCAATTACACCATTCAACGACCAACTCGTGCAGGCAAAGTTCTGGTGGGTCTTGGAGTTGTGGCAGATCAAAGTCCGGTTCCAGTCAAAGGATGAAGATACTTGGATCAAGAAAGTGAGGATGAATATGGGCAGATATAGAGCTGTGCAAGAGCCGGAACCAAATTTACATTGGACGGTGCAGCAGCGTATGCTGGATACTGGGTACAAGCCGCAGGTCAGATTGGGTAGGAATGCCGCTTGGAGGTTTGTTGTTTAGTTCTCTAGATCGACGAGATCATGGTACTTTTGCGCCATTATTCTAAGCGTAAATTATTTACATATTCAGTAGTTCAAACTTCGCTCAAAGTAAACCACTTATTGCCGTGTTCATGTGTCAGATTCCTCTTGGCGCTGATGGTTGCCTCAAGATTCTGCCCCGATTGACCACAAGAACATCCATCGATATTGCTGCTCCATGTTCATTCCAAAGCCTTCTCCGGATTGTCTCTTCCTTCGACAACCTGAACCACGACGACCCATAGCTGCCAATTGTCAGTTCAAAGCGTGACTTCATTGGAAACGACGAAGATCCGAAAGCATATCACGGTAGTTACGGTCAAGGTTGCCAAACCTGTGCATACCAACCAACAACTCCTCCAAGAGAGCTGTTTCCTTTCTGACCCGTTTCTTCGTAGCTGACATCGAACGAAGGGCTAGAGTGACTTGAAGATACGAACCACGGTCCAGCGCCTCTTCATGGAAATCGTGCATGAGACGGCGGCTCTCGACCCTGTCTATGATAGTTCTCATAGCATGTTCACAGGTGAGTTCTCTTAGTGAGCAAATCGCCTGGTACGACTGTGGGTTTGTTGAGGCGAGTCTCGAAGAGACAGGTAGCTCGAGAAATGCGCAAACACCGACCTTGAGTTGAGCCAAAGGTTGGATAGTCCCAAATGTACGACAAATTCTGCGATAAGAGCCGCGGTCAAGTTCTGATGGCGAAACTGCAGTATCCTCATCGATCTGGTATCCAAAGACGCGCAGATTGGGAAGGCGAGAGTTGATGAGATCGACAACAAATTTCATGTCGCGAGAAGTTATAGTGGCGGGTCCATCGTGGATGACCAGAGAGATGAGCATAGCGCAGGTTATGGAACTGTGTTCTTCGAAGTAGCGACCGAGGGGTGTGAAGGCAGAGGAAGATTTCAGAAATTTGGCGGCAGGTGGGAGTTGACCAAACGAGTAAGTGAGATATGCGTTGTTGTACATCGTCTGACTGGCTTCTAGGTACAATGCCCTGTTGGCACTGGCCAAAGATAGCAGGTCGGTGAAGTCGAGGTGATGTAGAGTAAACGGCGAGACGTCGATGCGGCAGGGATGAGCGGTGTGTCCTTCTTTGTGTGACTGGTCAGATTGTACACAACGAGCCCGGCCCCATGTTGTCTTGGTGCTGTCGAGACGGTCTGATGTTAAGGTGATGCGCAACCCATCTCGGATGGGATCGACCAGCATGAGTTCATAGATCTTCAGTCGAATTTCGGNGGGCAGGTCAGTCAGACGAGCCATTTTGACTGTCGTGTGATGGAAGAAGGTCGATGAAGATTGTGAAAAGGAGTGTGATGTTCGTGTGTGGAAGATGTGTAGCAATGCAATTTGTGTTTGAATACAAGACGTGAAAGTGAAACTGGAGAGTGAGTAAACTGCGCTTCCTCACCACCGCAATGGAGGAGGCGCAAATGCGAGGTTTCTCTGTTCTCGAACGCGACCTCGTCTCCGAAATGATTGTGACTTTTGACAGTCCAGAGAGAGTAGCAAAACCAGATCCTTCCTTTGGTGGCAGTCTGAATCGCAAAGATTTGTGTCTTCTTGTCGCCCGGGTGTCGAAGTGTATATCGTGGACAATCTCGGTGCCCACTAAGTGATTATAACTTTCAAATCTTCACCGGTACGCGTTCCTAATATACGATATGAATACAGGTATGGAACAAACATTACCCACAACGGGCTCTCGGGGTCAAAGCTGCCAGTAGACGCGCTTCATGCTTCAGAGCCAGGTCATATCTAAGTGTTTCAGATCCAAGCGCAGGTTCTTGTCTAGTTCACTCCCGTGGTAACTTGCCCATGCCCATAAGTCCCATGAGGTTGCCAGCTGGACCAGCCATACCGCCTTGTCCCTGGAAACTTTCGAGCATGTTCTTCAGCATCTCGTAATGTGGATCACCATCTTCTCCAGCAAGCAAATCTTCATCATCACTGCTTTCATCATCGATAGTCACCGGTGGTGCCTTTGCTTTCCCTTTGCCTTTGTTCTTGTTTCTTCCCTCGATGTCTTCGCGAACTTTGTCCTCGAATCTGACGTTCTTGCCAGCGGCGTTCATGTCGGGTGCGGCGTGCGGCGTGAANNTACTTTTCCTTTACCCTTGTCTTTGCTCTTGTCGTTGTTTCCGTTCTTNCCTTGACTCGTGGATCTCTTGCATCATTTTCCAGATTTGCTCTGCTTCTTTATCGTCATCTCTTTCCATCTCTTCTTCGTCCTCCATTTCCAAGGCTAATTTTCTGGCTTCTGAGTTCAGGCCGTTTGTTTCTTTTTCTGTGTCGGGCATACCCATCATTTCACGCATCGCTTGCTCAAACTCTGCATCTGTGAAAGAGGCGGCTTTGTCTTCACCTTCATCGTCCTCGTCTTCATCATCCGAGTCAGAGGCTGAAGAAGATCCAGAGGAGAAAGTTTCGGCACCTGTTTCTTCGTCTTCATTGAGGAACTTCTCGAAGCGTGAGACCATGTCTTGGAGGTCTTNTTGTGTCGATTCGTCTCCAAAGCCTTGGCCTTCGGGCATGTCATCTGCAGCGGGACTTCCACTGCGGCCTTTGAGCTCTTTATCGAAGTCCTTGAAGTCAATGTCAAGCCATTTGTCGTCGTCATCTGCTTGCGGCCATGACTCGATTTCATCATCTGAGGGTAACGTGTCTTCGTCTTCCTCCACGTCCTCGAGTAGCATATTCATCTCTCTGACTTCGCGTTTGTTCTTGTTCTGAGGATCGCGCAGCATCATTTCGAAGCCGCAAGATAGCTTCATGCCCAGAAGGACAGGCTTCTTGTGGATGTGAGGTGTTATGCCTACCCAAGCTGGCGGCGGAGGGAAGTCCTGACTCACGAGCTGCGCGTAGCCAACTTTGGGGAAGCGCACACTTATGGTAACGAAGTCTTCGGGGGCGAAGAGGAGTGTAGCCGTGTCCTTTGTGGCCAGAGGCTTTACAGCAATGGGGTCGCGAAGGTAGAACGCCTCAGTAGCTGGGGCTACGTAGGCTGGGTTACGATGGAGGAGATAGGCGAGACGGCGAGGTACAGAGAGCAGTGAACTATGCTGGCTCTTCGAGATGGCGGCTGGATGATCTCGCAAGCGATGAAAAGCTTCTTCTTCGATCATAGGTGAATGTAGTGTAGAGTGAGGAGTTTGCCGTAGGAACTGCAATGCTTGTGTCATATCGACATTGCCGGACAGTCCTGGAGTCGTAGGCCCTGATGCTCCACCACCAGCATTTCTTTGTAGCGGTATAATGTGTAGTTGTCCGCGATGGATCCAGACACGGTTGTCAGCAAGCTCAGGCTCCAACCACTTTGGCAAAGCATTCGCAGCTTCTGCTAGCAGAAATTCTCCATCTGGATCACGAACTTGAATCCACGCCGAGGCATGCCGTTGGCTGAGTTCGAGCAGGAGCCAGACAATCAACCATTCATCTGCTATTGAGTCGCCAAAGTTGGTGCGTCCGTGGAGATAGTATTCGTGACCAGAAATCTGTAGCTTTTCTTCGGGTACATCGCCTGTTGCTGTGGTATCGATGTTGGAGTCCAGTCTGGTATCAATCAAGTCTAATTGAAATTTCTCGCGTTGCCAGATATAATTTTCGAGGTCCGAAGATTTGAGCAAAGCATTAGCGGCTGATTGAATTGCTTTCAGTTTTTCTCTGCGAGCATAATCGGTCTTGAGTTTCGAGTCGATAATGAAGATTGTGTATTCAATGCAGTCGTCCGGCAGGCGTTTGGTGAAATCAGAAAAGCTTTCGCCTCCACCAAAACCGCCAAAATCTTGGGTCTCTTCATCGTCGGTATCTACCTCTTGTATGCGATCCTGGTCGTCTAACATTGTTCTTCCAGAATTTGCAGTGGACTTGCCGGCGAGCGAAAATGCTGTTGGCCAACGATGTAGGCAAGGAGGCTTGTGGCGGTGATCACCGGGCCCGGGACGGCAGAAAACGCCGGCGCGTGGTGGTCTGAGCGCTTTGCGGTCACCCTGACCCGAGGGTGCCCGAGGTTTCCCATTGCCTGGCTGCCTTCCTTCGCTGACTGTCTGCCTTTTTTCGTCAGCAGCCTTTCTGTACATTGCGAGGCTGTGTACAAGCCTGTCAATATATTGAACACTGAAGACTAATGCAGGGATACTTCCATGTTCAAGAGATGGCACTGTATACCAACCATTCTCTACGTGCTTATGTTCTCCAAAGAAACTTCATGATCCCTCACACCCATGATGCAGCAAATACCAAAGCACACACGATTGCGATCGTGGTATGTACGGGCTTGATATTTTGAGACGACAGCGCTCGACTGGCATGGCGCCATTAAACGTCTGTCAGCCAGCATAGGAGTTCAATGAAAGATCCCGCAAGGTATGCATCGGCATTCCCACGACCCTTGGACAGGTGGCTTGCAAAGTGCTTGATACAAACTTGGGTACCGCTGGTCATTCGCTGCAGTTCTCAGGATTATAGAACATTCGCTATGCCGTTACCCGATGGCTATGCAGGCAAAACCAGCGCTTGGAACGATTTGGTTGGACAGACGCAACAGCTTCCTTCAGGTTCAATCACTGCAACGACATGATATAAGACTTTGGATCGACTAGCCACTCCAGAACTCCTCAGCTGTATCGATCAGAAACTTTCTATCAGATCACGATGAGTACAGCGGTCCGTCTCTACGCCCACAACCCAAACCATGTCGCTCCTATCATCCTCGCCGTTGTCGTGGCCGCTTCCCTTCTCTTGCACGCGTACCAGAATTTGTATGTAAACATTGAAAGCCAACTGTTCTGCCATCATTTGTTGTCTGACAACTCATTATAGNNCAAATACAAATATTGGCGCATAACATTCTTCATGGTCTGGGGAGGCATCGTCTTCACCATCGGATGGGCCACACGCTGTGCCTCTACCTACAACCCATACAACTCGGACCTATACATCGTACAATACATCTTCACCATCGCCGGACCTCCCATCTACGCGGCGGCCGAGTACAATATCTTGGGCCGCCTTCTGAGATATGTGCCTATGCACTCGCCTTTGCATCCTGACAGGGTGCTGTACGTCTTCATCTACCTGGGTGTGTTGGTAGAGTCTCTCACCAGCGCTGGAGGCAGCCTGTTTTCAACGGCTCGGCCAGATAACCACNNAAGCGCTTACAAGACTGGAGGCACACTTTTAGCCATCTCGTTGCTACTGCAAGCGGTTGTGGAGTGTATCTTTTTCTCCATGGTCGTCATGATACATCACAGGTGTCGGAAGAGTGGCATGCTTTCTCGAAATGTGCAGCGTCTCTGCATTATGCTCTACGGAACCTCGACTCTGGTCTTTCTACGATGCCTTTTCCGTGTCATCGAGGACTTTGGCCTTTTTTCAGTCTTCGATACTGGATATTGTCGCGGGCTCTGTGCTGCTGTCGCTTTGCATGAGTGGTATTTGTATGTCTTTGAAGCAATACCCATGGTCATCTACACGCTTTGGCTCAACTTGATGCACCCTGGCACCATGCTACCCAGCAACAAGAATATATACCTAGATATTGATGGCAAGACCGAGCGCATCGGTCCTGGTTGGATTGACAACAGATCCAAGTTTCAGACATTCGCCGACCCTTCCGACACAATCGGTCGCATGAAGGGCACCCCAGCTCACGAAAGGTTCTGGCTTGAACCACAAAGATGGCCTCAGGTGCCCAACTCTAATGTTCCTAGCGAAGTCGAAGTTGTTGCGGCTCCAAAGACCTAAGGGAGCCCCTGAGAGGACTTGTGGTAGATTCTGTGACACCAGGTTAAAGGTCAACGGTTCGACGTGCTCGCCTACACGAGATTTGGTTTTTGTTGTCCTCAGCCTTCCCGTTACTTACTTCATCGTCTGCTATTCTTGTAACCTGTTAAGCATGTAATGGTAACGCACGAGTCTCGTGAATAAGTCCTCGATGACCTGTGTATCATGTCTGATTGCGGGCAACTGTGGCACAAAGAGATTTGACACAAACATCTGCTTCGGTTTGAGGAGCAGCTTCCTCGGAAGAAACAAAGCGGAAAGCGCGGATAATAATACAAAATCTTGTGTTCTGTCTTCTTTCATGTTCGATAGTCGTTGTCCAATGTTCTGACGCTGTAAACCAAAATGGTCATAACCCCAAGAAGTATGCAAGACGCTAGGCTCTCCAAAAGCACCTATCTAATCGCTTTCACCACAAAAAAGTGTCTTCTCAAAAATCGTGGGTATCGTCGCGTTGCAGTGTCATCAAGAAACCCTCTAGATTGCGCGTGGAGCATAAGCGGGTTCCTGCTCACGCTCTCTACGTCGTTCTCGATCGCGTACAAAATCTGCGGTGGGTTCCTGCCCATCGACAGGAGCTTCAAGCATGCGCGGTGCTCGAGGTGCATATTCATCTTCACTATCGTCATCTTTGTATTCGTCTCTTTCGCGTCGTTCGCGTTCGCGTTCACGACGGCGGTTCTCGCGTCGTTCGTGGCGTTCACGATCTTCATCGTCATACGAGCGGGCTTNCTTAGACACGTTAGCTGTTGAAAGATTGACGGATGAACTGCATGGTTTAGGGATACCTCTGATCTCCAATGTTTTGTCTGCTAGCTTTTGTATCTCGTCTTTAGTCAAGACTCGGAGTACAATTACACAATCCAAACGCTCTTCGAAACGTTCCTGCGCTTCTTCAAGAGCTTGTGGATTGACAAGGCGGCGGTCGATCTTGGTCCAACGGGCGCCTGAGGGGATACCTTCTTTGCTAGTNNCTGTAGATGAGAGTGGTAAGAAGGATGTGTTTGCTGCCTTGTTGAGCTAACATACCTCTTTCAGTGGCTTGACGCCTTCACGCATGGGGTTCGGATCCTCAGGGAACTTTTGTGTAGGCCTCTTCAAGATACCCCTGATTGGCTGAGAGTCTTCCCTGTCAGATGGAGGCTCAACAATGCGTACCCGGTGGTCTCTGACCTCAGGGTAGTCGACGCCGGCTGCCGGGGCAGGAGGAGCGGTCCTGCTAGCAAAAGGCTCGGTTCCGTTCGTGCTTCTTTCTCTGTCCGAGTCTACGTTGTCGTGCGAGCCTTGCAGGTCTCTTTGTGCCTGCTCGATGCGGCGACGGTAATCTTCATCAGGATCAACCTCTGCTGGATCAGCAAGAGCAGGACGTTCGCGTTCAGGAACACATTGACGCTCGTCGGGCGGATGTGTATGATCAGGCTCGGGAACGCGCTGTCGGTCATCAGCCCCAAGTCTAGCATCTTTCTCTTGCGNGGGAGATCTGTCAGCTCCAAGGGTGCGGTGTCGCCTTGAGCTCCTGTGTCTGTCCTGACCGCTATCAGAGGACGAAGAGTGCCTGGCTCTATCTCTTTCCTTCTCTCGAAGTCTTTCACGAGTACGTGTCTCGCGATCGTAAGTCCTCTCTTGTTCTTTTTTCACCCTCTCTCTCCACGTCTCTGTCACGTTGCCTTTCGTACTCACGCTTTTCGCGGCCGCGATCTCTGAGTTCCCGCTCGCGCTCGCGCTGTTTTCGCTCGTACTCCTGATCACGTTCGCGCTGTTCGCGATTTCTGTCCTTCTCCCTGTCTCTTTCTCGATCTCGTTCTTCGTACTCGCGATCTCGACCTTTAGCAGCGGCATCTGAACCATAGGCAGCAGCAGCCATAGCACCAACAGCAGTAGCGGCAGCGGGCAGAATAGTATTCGTGAGACTATCACCGCTACCTCTCGGAGTGACATCTCGATCACGGTCTCTGCGATTATGGTCCCGGCGGTCTTTTCGTGATGTCGATCTCTCTCCGAGGCATAGCCATCATCCCGCAACCGGTCCTTGTCTCTTGGACGGTACTCCCGGTCCCGATCAGACTCTTTTGGATAATCGTAGGTGCGAGGATTGCTGCGAGGCGGGAGGTAATCACGGTCGCGGTCCGAGTAGTAGGCATCAAAGCTTTCGCTGCTGCCCTTGTTCATGTTGTGGTTGTGGTTGTGGTTGTGTCTATCTTGACTGCCACTGCGAATGCCGAAGCCTCGACGCTCGACACTACGATCCTCGTAGCGGTGCATCGGGCGAGCGCGCTCGGCTTCTCTTGAATAGGCGTCGTGTGTACGGTCTTGGTGCACAGCAGTAGAGTGACGGCCGGAAGAGGAAGTATAGCCGTCGTTGTATCCGGGCTCTTGGTAAGACGGTCTGTTGGAGGATCGTGGAGGTTCTCGTGTGCTGTTGATGCGACCAGCGCCGTCGTTGAACTTGTCGAGAGCACGCGATGTAGGTGGGCCAAGGTCTCTTGCTGACGAGCGAGAAGGGTATTGTTCGACCAGCGCACTGGTAGGTCTGGGTCGAGTTGCCTCGACGCTAGCAGCACGGTGTCGCCAGCGGGGCTCGGTCTCTCTATACATGGCGGCGGGATCTGTGTACGAGAAGCCTTGGTCATTCTCGGTTTTTCTGGTCGAGGNGCCACTGAGATGGTAGCCCTTGTGTCGGTGGTGCGACGAGGAATGACGTTCGGAGTTGCGATCGACACTATTGCGTCTGTGGGAGCTGCCATGAGTGGTATTGATGTCTATGTCGGCGACAAGACGAGACTTGCCGCCGCCATCGATACTGTATACCTTCTTGTGCGAATGGTCTTTGTGCGAGGTTGCAGGGACGGCATAGTAGTCGGGAGTGCGAGTAGAAGTGGAATAGCCGTGAGGGCTCGAGGGACTATGAGGACGATCGTGCGAGGACTGGATGACTGCAGGCCGGCTGCGTGGGTGGACAGAGTGGACGGGGAGGGCGGTGTTGGTGGTGGAGGGAATGGTAGTCGGACGCGAAGGGTCGGTCAGGGTGGAGCGACGGGGTCTGCCCGAGTAGGCGTCTCGTGTGACGAGAGTGGCCGTCGAGATGGGCACAACACGTTCACCACTGGACCTGGGTGAAGCATAGGCGGCGAACGTGGAAGGAGGATAGTAGCCGTCAGACAAGCGCGCTGGATGAGCCAGACGACGGCTTCCTGGTGACGAGGCTCGGTGGTAAGACATGGTCGTCTAAACTGGCGCCGACGCCGTTGCAGCAGCCGAATGTGCAAGATGGCCAAGTGAATCTACTAAAGATGCCGATGCGATGCGTCGCGAGAGAGTATGGAAGAAGCAAAAGTCGAGTCCTGGTGGGTCTGTGATATGTGTGTATGCGGCCAGTTCCAAGCTGCCGGTTCGTCTGTCAATTGTTGGCTGCTGACATTTGGCGTCACGCACACAACGGAAAGCACGATGGCGTAGCCTGCTCGGTACGGAGGGAAGGTACAACTCCAACCGGCCCGTTCCCTGAGAGAACTGTCCTGAATCGTTGGTCCGAAACGTCTAATTCTGTGGTGACTTTGATTGTCACTCTGCCTGCGCGTGGATTTTGGCAATTAATGAGTCGAAGGAGGACCGTGAGTTTATGTCGTCGCCAGAGCTCGAGATTCCAACAAGTTGGGCATCAGAGGGGACCCAGGCGGGGCTTCTTGTTCTCGAAACGCTCGTCCCACGGACCAGGTTTGACCAAACTCCTGAAACGCCAATTCGACTGACAGAAACTCTCTTCTCGTACAAGCTCCCGTCTCCTTGCTTGGCCCGTCATCGTCGCCGCAGACCCCTCCGACATTTCTTTGTCTACTACATACACTAGATCTCATCCGCAATCCCAACAGCATAGCAAACGGGGTACTCGCGGGAAACGTTGCTGCATTGTTTTCTAGCCCGTCGTCTTCAACAAATCATGACCACTGTGTGTCAAGGGCTTGGGCTGCCACGGATACAACAGAAATCTTTGCATTCTCCACTGCTACTGCCCCACTATCTCCTTTTCCTTCTCTTTGCGAATTATATCCCTCATTCTTTACATGAGCATAGAACCTCCGTTGGTACTGATCATGCTTCCCGTCAAGTTCTTGTCCTTCATAGCGTACAGGAATGCCTCGGCCACATCCTCCACTTGACCGATCTTGCCAGTTGCCATCTTGCTCGCAAATGATTCAAACATCTGCTTTCTTTGCTCCTCTGGGATGCCGTCCCACAGTGGGGTCTCCACGGCTCCAGGAGAGACCAAGTTCACGCGGATGGGTTTGAGATCCAGCGCCAGACCTCTTGTCGAGCCTTGGAGGGCAGTGGCGAAGCCATTGATGACGCTCCAGTTGGGGATAGGCTTCTCACTAACGTTGCCTGTGGTCAAGGTGATGGATGAGGTTGGGCTCTTGTCGAGCACCTTTGCTGCGTGCTTGGCGACCATCAGAGGTGCGAAGAACCTGACCATGCCTGCCTGGATAGTCTTATCCATGGTGGCATCTTCAAGCGGCATCATGGCCAGAGAGTCTCCTGCTGTGAAGACGACATGGTTGAGCGAGCCGGCCTTCTTGAAGAGCTGCTCGACGTTGGACTCGAGGCTGGCTTGATCGCCCATGTTGGCTGCGTAACCCTCGACACGCTGAGCGGCCGAGGGGTATGCCTTCTGCAATTTTGAGACAGCTTCTTGGACTCGAGATTCGTTCGAAGATGAAATGATGACATGAGCTCCATTCTCCAGTGATGCCTCGGCGACTCCATAGCCAATGCCTACAATTCGTTAGACCAGCGAGACTTGGCCAGTCTGATACCAATGCTCACCTGCGCTGCCTCCAATGATGAGCACGCGTTGGCCCTGGAGCTTGCTGTTATACTTGTTTTGATCCGACATTGTGCTTGTGTCTGATTGAATATGATTGCGACTTCAACAACTGAGGCGGTGATGACGAGGAGTAGATAAATATGATGGAGTTAAACGGAATTAGGCAGTTGATAAACGCGGCCGAAACGTCATCACAACTCTGAATTACTGCACCTGCACGACGACGGTAGGTATGGCAATTGTCATCATCAAATTGACCAGCGGCAGCTTTACAATTCTTTGCACAAGACTGATTGCAAATCACCTAGCACTAGGGACAGAGCAAAGCAATACTCGAGGAACATGATGTACATTGAAAGGATTCATCTATATGATCTAGCATCCAGCTCTACAGGAATTGCCATCTTGTATTGATCTGNNCTTACGTTTCACCTAAGCAACCGGGTTAGTACTACTGTATCACAATTACTAATGAGCGACTTACTAGAGGTGCGACAGCGACAGTCGCCACAGCAAGTGCCGCTACTGTTGCCAGCATTTGGAGCTTGTTAAAGTCCTTGCCGAGAATGTCAAACGAGAAACTTGGGCTGATTCTGGTGCTGAACACGTCAAGGCCGTAAGCGAAGACCAGACTAGTACTTTCAAGTACTGCCGGACTGGTCGTGATGGTTTCGACTCCATAAACTTCGCGTTGGTGGTTGAGGTACCACTTGGGGTCAAACTCAAGGACAGGAGTGTACTTCATCAGACCTTCCATCATCTCGTCCTTAGTAGCCTCCCTTCCAACAGGTCTGCGGGGGTCAATGACTTGGCGAGGAATGCCGACGATCGCGTTAGATTCGGGCAGCACAGCCAACAGTGCTCTTGACGTGATTCCTTGCCTAGTTTGTGTGACTGCCAACTTGGAGATTGGCTCACGAATTCGGTAAGATTGAGCAATTACATGAGGTTGGTAGCTGTAGTCAATCTCTGATGAGTTCTTGATAGCAGTTTGAGGTCCTCTGTCGTTCGAGAATGGTGATTCAAACATCTCACCGATGATGAGTTGGTAGCCCTTAACACCATCTGCTGTTGGTTGCGAGGCGAACGAGTAAGCGAACCAGTTCTCAGATATCGTTGAGGCGATGGGCATAGTCGCGTCGACGCCTTGGTGCGAAGCGGCGTAGAGCACGGATCCTGACAATGCGTCGAGCACACTGACAGTGGCCGATAGTGTTGCTTCGGAGGCAGTGATGACAAGAAGAGTGTTGGGGTTGAGGTATTTGTAAAGAACCTTACGGTCTCCAAGAACTTTTCCGATGGAAGCCACAGGGTCTTCGAGAGGGCGAGGAGTCAGACTGTAGACCTTCTCCTCGTTGCCAGGTGAAAACTTCCATGATGCAGCCTCAGCAATCGGGCCGCCTACGACCTTGCCATCCTCCAAGCCGTAAGCAAAGGCAGCACCATGGGTGAGCTCCGGAGAGAGTGCAGATCCGGTGTAGGTCATCTCAGCGCCAGTGGATGCATTGAAGAGTCTGTGCTGACTACCGTCAATACTGCTGGCGACCACTGTACCATCTGGGCGTGCAGTAAGCTTGGGCGATTGCCAAGGAGAAGAAGCTGCGTTGTTGTCGATCTTGACGTTCCACACCGTGTTACCATTGCCGCCAGCGTCCAGTGCAATCAAGCGGCCGCTCTCAGTGGCGCAAATGATCCTCTTGTGGAAGCCAAAGATGTTTGTCGAATCTAAATCGGCGTCAGAGGCTCCAAGACCTATACTACTGGCGATACGACCGGGCAGAGCTGTAAGGTATGCTGGGAGAGACTCCAAAGCTGCAATGTGTCTCTTGACTCTGTGGATATATGCCTGAATGGGGTTGGAATGACCTTCAATCTCGAGCTCGTGCACAAGTCCTTCGGGAGCAGAGAGGTATGCCCAGACAGCAGTCCTGATACTGCTAAGGGCTTCAGGTCTCTCCCAAACGGGAGTTCCGTCACGGATGAGCACCCAATCGCCAGATGCCAGGTAGACTGCGGAGCGCACAGCAGAGACAGTATCCGACTTGACGGACACCTCAGAAACGGCGTGGATGGGAGCATGGTCACCCTGCAAAGTGATACCTGCAGCACCCTTCAAAGGCCACCTGGCAAGAACACCGTGCGAAGCAGAAGACACAACCGTGACCTCGGATTCGGAGATGCGGGTAAAGTAGACATTGGCTTCAGAGGTGCTGGCAGAGAAGGCGGCGCTGCCCGTCAGCTTAGGGAGAGAGTAGGCCTTGGATACGGTTGACTTGACGAGGTCGACATGGTAGACTTCGGCCCAATTCTGCGAGCGCGTCTCGTAGTGGACGAGGAAATGCGGGCGAGCATTGATGTGGTAGGGGGCGTGTAGGGAGAGATTCAGCACATTTTGTTCAGCTCCGACGTTGAAGGTAGACACGGCTTTGGAGCCAATGACGTTGATCTTGAGGTTGGAACGGGCCTTGTCGGTCCATGCAATAATGGGCGAGGCCGAGTTGGCACCAACAGACAAGATGTCTGCAGTCGAAGCAAGGTCACCTTCGGTAGCCAACGTGTATTGATCCATCTTTTGTCCAGTAACAGGGTCCAGGGAAGCGACCTTGATCTTGAGGCCTCCCAGCATGGACGTGTGTAGAGAAATATAGAAGATGTGTGTGGACGAGACAGAGAGCTGGAAAGGTACGTCTCCGCTCTCATCTCTGAAGAGCCACTTTTGAGCACCGTCCTGACGGGCGAGTCTCATGACGGTGGGCTGGGAGCCTCCAGTCAAGACGATGGCATCCTTGCTTCCTCCCTGCTCGTTGGCCTCTGGGATCTCGACAATCTCCAAGTCTTTTACTGTGGCATCTTTCAGATCAACAGACCATGCTTGACGGCCGTCGGCAGCGCTCCACGCAGCGACTTGGCCGTCGACGGCGCTGATTACGAGATGGTGGTCCGCAGCGGCTCGGAGGAAGCTCGACGTCGAATTGGTGGCAGGAGATAGTTGCTGGCGCCACCTAAGTGAGCCATCCTTGGGGTTGATGGCTCCGAGGATTGTCTTGTCTGAGAGGGTGTAGAGTAGAGATGCTTTGGACGCAGCAACGGGCTGGTGGAAGAAGGTCGTGTGTTCGTGGGGTGCGCCGACGAGGGCGAGATGCCAGTCTACCTTCCACGCATCATCGACGAAGACGGCCTGGCATGCTGGCAAGACCAAGCTGACTGCTGCGACAAGCACAGATGAGATTCGCATTTCACGGATCCTGAGTGCTTGATTGACTGACTTGACTCGATATGGACAGACTGCGTCCATACAACTCCAGAGCTCCTTCCCCAGAGCTTGCGCCTGCCCGCCGAAGATCTCCCACCGGAGGAAAGAAACAGCTCTCGATCACCCGGAGCTACTTCTTGACTATCAAAAACTGCCCTAATCTGCCATCTCAATTCAGGTCAATCGACTCCTCCCAACCATGCGCTTTCGCGTTCGCTTCCTGCGTTACTCCTTTGTCTGAATGTCTTGACAAGCGAATTGTTGACGTCGCTTGCAAGTCGCGAGCTCGTTTGTAACCCCACTGCAGTTGCTAGTCCCTGGTGACGTTGGCGCCGGATGCTCCTTGCCGTGCGAACCTGGCGAGCTGAAGCTCCTTGTGGCTTGCAGCAATTCTGTAGTCTCTTCCGTCCCCGTATCTCTAGCCGGCTACATACCGTCATGTCACTATTATGCTACACTTAAGAAGTCTTTATAGACACTCCTAATCTCTTGTGCCTTGTCTTAATCAATTTGAGAGTCTTGTCATTTCTCAAATCTCTGCGCTGCGCTGCGCCAAGTGAGCAGCACAACTGCCAATTCTTCGGCTGCGAATAAAGAGGGTGCCCTTTGAGAATGGCTGAATACATGAATGTTGAGACATGTCGTGTTAAAGGTCGTCTCAGAGTGCTTTGAAGCCGAGGCGCGGCGGCACAATCCATGACTCCCGACGCCCGTCGGAGATGTGCCGAAATTGTCGTCCCAGAAAGCTGCACACCTCTGATATCAGAGGCAGCTCTCGCACGCGCTGCCCATGTCATTACATCCTCAACGCGTCTCCTCCTCTCCCTAATCTTGTCCATATCCGACAGTTTGTTGTGTATTTTTTCTTCTCTTTTACCGCGTGTACATGCACATCGATCCTTTTCGCATCTCTCCGAACGCCGATCCGCCCGTTTGTACTGTGCTCTTGAGTGGCCGGGCGCTTCCCTGACCGCAATTCAAAACGAAACCTTCAATCAACAAACGTGCCAAGCTGTGAGTTTCAACCATATACCATCCCCAGCATACAGTCCTACCAGGTATCCTTTGTAGGAGTTGCCTCAGTTGACATGATCCGGACCAGCACGTCGCGATAATACCTAACGACCGATCTGCACCTCTCTTGCTGGTCAGGAGCCCTGCAGTAGCGGAGAACGGAACTACCTCGCCGGTATCCTTCAACCCGCGGTCTCCCATTCATCCAGTTTTGTGATTGCGGAACTCATCCTCTTCTAAACTTTCCTCTGGCTGGAGTATTGTGTGTTGTATTTGGTCATCCATACTTGCTTTGAAGCCTCTGGGAAAGGATGTCGCGATTGGCAAACCATAGGTAATCTTGTGCCTTCCCATATAGACACTTCACATCTCAAAGACTAAACGTGAAACAACAGAGAGTACCACATTGTCGTTCTTGGCTCAGGTCAGTAGAGGTCTTCAATGACATCCCAAAGAATCGTATACTGACTGCATTACAGGCGGAGTTGGAAAAAGTTGTTTGACAGGTATCACATGACAGAACAGTCTCATACTGGATGGAGCGCGACTGACGATTCGAAAAGCACAATTCGTACAGGGTATCTGGATTGAACGATATGACCCAACTATTGAAGACTCGTATCGCAAGCAATGTGATGTCGATGTACGCTTAACATCAACCTGACTAAGGCCTACCTTCTAATCCAAATTTCAGGGTCGACAAGTCATCCTCGAGATCCTCGACACGGCTGGAACAGAACAATTCAGTGAGTCTAGAATCACTCTACCACCCTGAGCTCATAGACTCCATTACTAACGCAAAATCCAGCTGCTATGCGGTAAGCACGCACACAGCCCAAAGACTAGCCACTCTAGCAACCAAAGACCACGAAACCTAACGCCGNNTGCTCTTAGGGAACTTTACATGAAATCCGGCCAAGGCTTCCTCCTCGTCTTCAGCATAACCTCCTCGTCCTCGCTAAAAGAACTCTCCGAACTCCGCGACCAACTCGTAAACCTCAAAGACGACCCTCACGTCCCCATCGTGCTCGTCGGCAACAAATCGGATCTAGAAGAAGACCGCGCAGTGTCTCGCGCAGCTGCTTTTGCTGTATCTTCTGGCTGGGGCAATGTGCCTTATTACGAGGCTTCAGCGAGGACGCGGCAGAATGTTACAGAAGTGTTTGTGGATGTGTGTAGGCAGATTATGCACAAGGATCTGCAGAATGGGAGGGGTGTGGGGGTAATGGGGGTGAGGAGAGGAGGAGTAGGAGGAGGGAGGAGGAGGGTGGAGAGGGAGAGAGGAAAAAGCGCAAAAGAAATAAGTGTATCATATTGTGAAGGTCTGTCCTTGTTCTTCTTTTCTTCTCGTGTGTTTTGACACTTTTTTTCCTTTTGTTCGAGTGTCGACGAGGGTTCATGGTGACGGTTCTATAAGGGGAAAAGTTCTCTGCTGGGCATATAATCCACCATGTTTCAACATGGTATACTTGCGAATGCATAAAAGGCATAACATGATATGCGTGTCAATATACTTTTGCCTTATATTAGACAGACCCAAGGAAATTAGAGGATTGCTCCTTGCCCCTTTGTACAGTATTAAAAGAAGATTGTACCCAGTTTTGATGAGACGAGGAAAAGAACGACGAGGGCCAGCCCATTATGCACAACGAAGAAGACGCGAAACAAGCCTTACAAAGCCTGTCCAGGCGGTGACAACCGCCTATCCTCATACTCCGTCGGCGGCGGCAATGAAGGCGTAGTCATATGCCTAGCCCCACTACTCGCAAACACAATCGAAGGATCACTGCCCGCAAAGCTGCTCGCCGGATCCCAACCACCCATCCTCCCATCATGCGTGCGTATCCTCGGACTCGAAAAATTTCTCGCCAGCATCGGTGGTGTGTTTCTTCGTTGTTGGTGGTCTAGTGGCGTGATGGGCGATACATCGTCTTCTTCTTGCTCCCGTCGCGGCGGCGAGTATACCGGTGCAGGGCTGTTTGGCGTTGTGATCATGTCGTCTAGCATGTTGTTGGGGGATGTCGGGCGCATGGTATGTGCATCTCCCCAGCTCTTACGATCCGTATAGTCGATTTGCAGGCGTCCTCCTAATTTGCGCAATTCGTAGGTTGGTGGGTGAGGACTGAATTGGGCTCTTCGCGCATCGAGGGAGACGAATTCTTGAGGTTTGCCTCTGGTTAGTGCTATCCATCGTTCCTTCCAGCCAGTGATTAGCGACCAGCGGAAGAGCAGCACGAAAAGCTCAATCGCTAGTAGTGAAATCATGATCAACATGGCTCCAATCGTGGGCTCGCTGATCAGCCATTGATGGCTATACTTGAAGCAGGAGTCTCGGTCACCTCCACTTTCGATCAAACATGCCACCCAGGGCAGCACTCGTGTGTAGTCGTGCAACATCGACTCTTCGATCTTGTCGAGATAGACAAAGACAACGGCGAAGAAGATGACGTCGACGAGGACAATGGTGACAATCAGCATACCGCGCCATTGCAGGTAGAGCACACTCTTGAGTCGACGATAGATGACACGCGCTCGCTGCGATTTGGCACTCATCACGGACATGGGCAGACTCTTTGCAGATCCCTGCGAGCAGGGTCTTGCGCTGTCTTCCCAAAGGCTTTTGAGGAAAACACGAATACAGTGTCCGANAACTGGAGAGTCAAGCGTCAGAATTGAGCACCTGCGCAGTTTTTGATGAGTGGATACTTACGTGCTGATTTGAACGATCAGAGCTGCTCCTGCAATCCCGAGAAGCCATCCCCAGAATGTCACCATCGAGTCATCATGGTTAATGTGACAAGCATTGCCAAATCGAAACGAGACTCCCGATGTGGTGATGGCGGATGTGAAAAGGGCAGCCGGGATTCCCCAGCCTAATGCTTGTGAGGTATAGAAGAATCGTGGACCAGGGATGATGTCCCAGACGACAGTGAGGTGCATGGATAATGCTCGGATGAAAACNNTTCGATCGTCAGTATTGGCGCGATACGCAGGATAATTTCACGCACTCCACATGGAACCTGCAAGGGCTCCGGCTAGTAGGAATGCTCCAGACCATGCGCATGTCATCGAAGTGTACATGTCGTTTGGGGTTATGCCATCATAACACTGATCAGGCTCCGCTCCTAGAGGTATAACAAAGGCGANGCTGTTCTTTGTCAGCGAGTCGATCTCCAGTCTCTTCGATACACTGACGTTAATCCATATGACAGCGATGATCAAACACTGTGTAAGGTAGTGACTCTTAGTCCTTGCCGCAGGAAGAAACGCATTTGAGATTAGCATGAAGCATTGTAGCACCAGACCGACAACATTGAGCCAGCCTGAGACGGTCCCTAGAGTAACAAAATCNNTGTAGTATCGAGTTAGCAAAACACGCGATATTGCTTCTTCTTGTCAATATCACTGACTGTCCGAGTAGGCCCAATACGATGCTGGACAAGGCAGACAACATAATGCGGAATCCGGGTCGTTGCTTATTTGAGAACACAGACGACCACCAATGTCTGACGCTTGTCAGTATTTTTGCAATAATAGTAGACCATCCACAAGACGTACNNAACCGCCCCCAGAGGTAAATAGAGAAGCATCGTAGAATGGAGCTATGCAATCTCCGTGCAGCGTCGAGTTGAGGAACATTGTAGTGGTGTGTTTCTGGCACGAGGGCCACACGTCAAGTAATGACTCACAGGGGAAGAAATGGTCAAGCCGATCTCGATAAGTCCCGTGTTGTGGCGAGCGCAAACATATATAGAGATTAAGAGAGACCAGGACAATCGGTTAAGGCCTGCGGGGGTTCCTGAGTGATGTCGGGGGCGTCCAATATAAGCGTGTCTCAATGAGTAGGAGCGCGGTCACGGTCGATGTCAGCCAATCTTGAGGGTGATGTTGAGAACCAGACGGGAAGGTCAGAAGAGACGGGGATTGGCAGGAAGGAACAGAACAACTCTCGTGGAGCTAGATCTCGCCGCGAATTATGACAGATTGAAGGAAGAGGGTTGAAGAGGATGGAGGAAGAAAGATCTGTGGAGGTGCGTGTGGGCGACCGTCGTGGTGGTACCAACTGGGTCGCCTTGCCAGGTCTGGTGTGGCAGATCCAATGGGCCCCTGCCAAAAGGCCACCCAATACTTTAACTTACCACGGACATGGCCTTCCCTTGGTAACCACAGTGCTCGCCTCAGCCCACTAAACTAGCNTTGCTCTTCTGCCGAAGCCTTGTGCATGGCTACAAGAGACAGTGATCTTCGTTGCGCAACAGGATAGCTTTGGTTACCACAGCGCACGACATGGCCAATTCCCTCGCTCTCACCTCTCAAAGTTCGTGATGTACGTTATTGTCCAGGATTGCACGGCCTGCCGCGNNGTTAGTGGCCGGTTTTGAAGGCGGCCACTCGGATGCGTCAAAGCACATGTTTTGCGTCAACTTTACTCCCATGGCGCTCGCCTGTGTCGCCCAGTGNGTTCAGGGGGTTGGCGCGGCTGCGACAGGCGAAGGCCAACACTGTCTAGCCGCNCCCACTTTGAGAGCGAGAAGAGTTGANTGGGGAAAGTCGAAATTAAAGAAAATCCCTTGGAGGATTCGCAGCTTCGTCTCCGGGCTGGCTCGGCAAAGAAGTGACGAACGGGTGCCTTTTTTGCCCAGAAATAACTTCCACCACTTTCAAAAGATACACAAAACTACGGACCCTGGAAACCGTGTTGTTTCTTGTGAAATAGAGGAGCTGTTTCTTTCCAAGCACCTAGGCAGGCTTAGAAGAGGATCTCTGACCGCATGCATGGAGCCTTTGCTCTTTCCATTCGCTCGAGCATGCACCCGAAACACCCGACTCGTGGGCCATGCATGTCTCGCTGCCAATATATGCGCTGTGCCTCTTTCACTCTGCACACGCCCGCAGGATTTTACGATCTGCGAAAGTCCAGTATTGTGCCTGCCAAACTCGGGTCTTGGTTTGATAGAAATCGAAGGTACGAGAAAGGCTCCTTCGATGTGTGCCGCGAGATGTGACACGCGACCAATTGCACGTCTTTCTTCACGCCTCCTCTTGTCATTGGCAGATGTATATAAGCGCGGATCCCACAGTCACGGCGCAGTAGGTCCACCAACATAGTACCGTAATGAGTCAAATCCCATCCTTCGAGTGTCTAGATGACAATGACACTTCCTAGTGCCTGTCAGTTGCAACACAAGCATTGCGGAGCTGGATTCATCGTAGTCAATGCACTGCCTGTCGTAATCGGACAGACTCTGCCGCATATTGTGGGCTATTAGCCCCAGATCAGGAGGTTTGTGAGTGGAGAAAAGGACAAGAGACGATGGCGAAATACAGTACTGGAGATAGAATGGATTGTGCTAACCGAAAAGACATGTTTGTCTGAGTTTCGATTAAAGCTGAATATTTGTCATCTGCAGTTGTACGAGACAGGCTTGGAACATCTACTACATCCGGCATGCAGAAGAGAGAAAGATAGACTCTGTCACACCGTTGTCGCGTCACAGGCGATCAATAGACCAAACACAAACACGAGAAGCTGCATGTAAAAAGCTGATGTCAGTCCGAGAGACACAAATTGAGAAAGACCAATGCGAGGAAGATGCAGGGAAAGAGGAACAACTGACAAGCAACATGAATGCCATAATGGTCCATATCTCCCACCCACCAGCCCGAACCTTGCCTCTAGCCATATTCATCTGCTGACGCCAAAACCGATGGCCGCCAATAAGAATCACAACAATTGCAGCGCTCTGGAAGAGACCAGCCAAAGGCTTGCCAACAGTGTGATAGCCAAACACCGGGTCGGACTTTGGGTCTGGCGAGCGCTGCAGGCTGAAGAGCTGAGCGGTGACGATTCCCAGCATTGAGAGTGCGAGCGAGGTGCGTTGGTAGGCGAGAAACGTTCGTTCATTGGCTGCATGTCGAAAAGTCAATTGTCTTGTTCAGCTCTTGGGCGATTTCTTGACATGTTGCGATTTCGATTCATGCGGAAGTGATAGGGCTAGAGACTGCATACCAAGGTGATCTCTACAATCTGCGTGAGGGACATGTAACTGAATATAGTGCTTCCACCAACTTTTTAAACCACCAAGTACTGGAGTTTCATCACGAGAAGTGTTTGTCGCATCGATCGAAGCTGATCTCGTGGCCGCAGTTGGATGTCCATGTTGCACAGGTCCAAGTTCTGTTGCTTCTCGTTCATCGTGATCTTTGTCGCATGGCTGAGGAACTTTATGCAAGACTTCGCCTTCGTGTCCAGCGGATGCGGACATTTTACTGTGTCACGAATACCATCTCAACATGCAGGTGGAAGCGGAAAGAGAGGTGGGGGTTTAAGAGTGTACACAATAGCGAGGTGAGCATTTCGATTGAGACAGGACGGGGTGGAACGAAGGGTGGAGAATAATGCTTGGCAAGGGTCCTTGAATTGATAAAGGAATTTTTATTTTTGAGTTATCATAACCAGAAAATCATGCGGAAAGAAGGCCGGCCCCCTATGCACAGTAAGAAGAGATTACCATCTACGACCAAACTCGCTTGAAAGACATCCAGGTTTCACTAATAGAGCAGTGTATCATCCTTTACATGACATAGAGCAGGTTCGTATCTGCACAATGAAGTTAGTATGTGACTCTACATCTTTCAAGACCATGAGAATGAAAACTTACCAATAGGGTGGCTTGCACTCAATTGAGGCTTTTGTGAGTACTTCCCTTCGAGCTCGTCGCGGATGCTGTTCAGCAGTTGGACGTAGCTTTGCTGTGGGTTCTTTCTCAGAGCGCCAATGAAGGCCCAAGACATGGCACCAGTGGCTTGACCAGCGATGGAAGCATCGGCTGAGGTCTGGTCGTCCTTGCTGCCACTCCACATGATGACATCTCCAGGAGAAGTCTTTGTGCGCTTGTTTTGTTCATAGCTGTCATTGCCCTTGGTGACCTTCTTAAACAGGCCCATAGCAGTGCTCGCCATACCTCCAATGTCGCCACGAGCATAGCTGCTGACAATGCCCAGCAGGCCTTGACCGGCTTCTTTGGCGAGGTTGGGCTCCTTGAGTACACCTTGGGTGGAGTAGATATATGGAAGATCCAGAGCGGAACCGGAATGACATGAGTCAAAAATGGCAGTCAGGCGCACACCGGGAACGAGATTCTTGACCATGATCAAGTGCATCTCATCGTCAACAATGTGGCCTGCTTGACGGAAGTCGACAGGGTAGATAACTTCGTCGTAGCCGTCTTCCTCGTCACCATCGAGATCTTCTGTCTGACCACCGTGACCAGAGTAGTGGAAGAAGAGCGAGTCATTGGGCTGGGCGTCCTTAACCAGCCAGTGCATAGCGCGCAAGATGTTCTGCTTGGTAGGCTGACTCATGGGGTTCTGCTGGTCGTCGGTCAAGGTGACCATATCCTCGCGCTTGTAACCAAATGCCTCCATCAGGTAGTTTGACATGTTCTTGACATCGTTGATGCAACCTCGGAGCTGACCCTTCTGGCCAAAGTAGTTGATGCCGATCAGGAGGGCTTTGCGCTTGCCGGTACAGTTGGAGTATTGGAACGAGTAGCCATTGGGGGCGCCATTGCCAAAGGTTTGCATGCCCTGTGGCGGAGGTGGAGGGGCGCCTTGACGGAGGTTGTGCTGTTGGTAGATGTTTTGGCCGCTGGGCAGGTCTGAGAGACACAGTCAGTGGCAGGTCAAGATGCATGTAGAGTGTAGAGGCATGGTACTTTGTTGAGGAGCATAGTGCTGAGGGGGCGGTTGTGAGTAGCCACCATATTGTTGCTGCTGCGGCGGAGGAGGTTGCTGATATCCGCCGTATTGTTGTTGCTGCGGAGGACCGCCGTAGTTTCCGTACTGAGGTTGAGGGGGTGGTTGTGAGTAGCCGCCGTATCCTTGCTGGGGTGGGCTGTTCTGCGTTAGTCGTTCTGTACGTCTGCTGCTGTGCCAGTCGCAAGGTGGATACTGACGGATATTGCTGAGGAGGATAGCCTCCGTATTGCTGCTGCTGTGGTGGGGAGGCCCTTGACCGTAGCCTCCCTGGTTATGGTAGCCTTGGCCGGGGTAGTACGACATGTTTGCGAGACGATGTCGACGTTGCGAAGAGATTGGTTCGAGGTTAAAGGTTCGGATGCGATCGCAGGTCGGAGTTGTTGTCGGAGAGAAAGAGCTGCTGCAATCACGCGGGGTTTCGAAGGCCGCTGACGCGTTTGGCTTTGAGTGTTGCGAGTTGGAACTTGGCGTTTCCGTCAATTGCCTGTGTTCGAATCGATGAATGATGCTGCAAATGACTAGAAAGTGGGTATCGTTGATCCAAAGGATGGGAAGCAGGCCGTCTTATCCGCCAGGCACTTCGCTCTCGCACTCCGCTTCGAGAAAAAGCTGAGCGACTGCACGACTGGGGGAGGAGATGATGTGGCGCTCTGCTGAACAAGAACCCACAAACGGTTCCATTCGAAGGAGAGTCCTTCAACTGACAGAGGACCATGTGCATCTGCCTTTCCCCGCAGCCACCCATCGCATCTACTCAACATGATCTGCCTTCCCCTCGTCGATCCAGCCTTATCAAGACCAGAGTCCTGAAAGAGCTTCTCAATTCAGCCAAACCCCGGGCTCTACCAAGCTCTCTCTGCAAGCCACTCGCCATGAATCGCTTCTTGCACTCTGCTCTCCGTTGTCAACAGCCCGTCCCGCTGTCTTTCGGCCACTCCGTCACCGGGCCACATGGTCGTTCAACCGCCCTGTGACCCTAAATACCACCCGCCTAACCTCACTTAGGACAATGATCTTGGTGGCGCTCTGCTGTGCAACCTATAGAATCCCTTCGTCTATCGTATACATCTAAATTCTAACCTTCGATGCCTCCTTTTGGCTTTCATGGCTTGAATGCTCCCCAACTAGTCGTGGGCTTTAATCCTTCGTCAAGACATGCTCCTTGTTACACTTTAGTGCCGGAGTCTTTTCCTCACAACACACTCATCATGTCTCTGTCGGGTCTTCGTCGCTCGTGATTCCCACTGCGAACACCCGCTCGCACCACTCGGCAAACACCTCGCTGGACCAGACCTCGTCTTCTCGACCCTTTCCCTTCTTGCTGACCTTGCCAATTTTGGCTGCGCCCTTGCCCTCGCTCAACTTGTCCATCCAATCCTCGTAAGCTAGAATGACCTGGTCCCGCACTGCGGCCACGAGCGTTTCTCTGGTCCGTACGTCCTGGATATACTCGTCTAGCTTCTGCCGCAGAGACACAACCTCCTTTTGCGTAATGGTGCGAACTTCAGCCGTGACATGACTCGCTTCTGACCCTGACTCCTTTCTTGGCGCAGCCAATGATGCCGTGATGGGGCTCACAAAGCTGTTGACAAAGTCGTTGATCACTGCTCGTAGTCTTCCGTCGAGTTCTGCTTTGGCATCGAGCATGTTTTCTACCACTCGAGGCATCAGCCCTCCAGCAGCAAGCTTTACCCAGCTCGCCGGATTCCACAGTCCTCCTCGCTCGCGAAGCTCATAGAATGTGTTTGTGACGGACGAGAAGTCGAAGGTTACTTCGGGCGTGATGAATTCAATGTCAAACGCGACAATCTGTTGCTTGAGTCGCAACAAGTGAGCGATCAAGAATAGGTTGGCGTCGGCAGGCGATGACTTTGTTGCGATCTGAGATGCCGCCCATGCTAGNNGGGAGACAGTGGTGCTGTGCACAATGGTGTGCGCCAAATCGTCAAACACAGTGGANNCTACGATAGCCAAAGTTAGCGGAGGTCATTGGCATGGGTATATTGTCCAACTCACGTTGACTAGTCGGTAAATACGACTCAATAACCAGATTGCTTTACGCAGCGTTGGATACCAGACCATGGCCTCCTTTTCGTTGGTGGACCAGGACGTTTCGAACATGTCAGTACCATCGTCTTCTTCTCCAGGTGATTTGACCTGTGTAGCATTGGTTGAGTTTTTACGACCAGAAAGGGCCACTCGTTTGCCCTCCGCAGTCGTTGTTGATGGACCTCGTGCTTGTGATGGGTAGTCAAGATCTTCAGTCTTCGGTCGGTAATTCTCGATGTCGTCTCTGAGGACAGCCAAGGCGAGGAAAACGAGTCTGCTTTGAGCATCTTCCAAAGCAGGCTTGACGAGAGCAGCAAAGTCCAGACTTCTCTTTGCGGCATTTGTATCTTGATACTCGGAGTCATCGTCTTCTTCGTCAACCATGAAGCGAGTCTGGATGAAGGTACAAAGCTCGCATAACTTTGGAATGCGAGTCTCGCGAATGATTCTAGGGCGGAGATGGTCGTACAAGGGCTCGCACATGGCCTCTAGAAACTCGTATACACCGCCATCACCGGAAAACCAGTCACCCCAGAGATCATACTCATCAAGACATATGCCCCTTACAAAACCGATAGCGGTTTTAGCAAACGTGACTGAATCACCTACAGCATTGTCAACCGAAGCCATCTCGGTGAGCTTGCGGGAGATGATAGGGAACATGAGGCGACTNNCCCGCGTGGCCGAGTAGCTCTGGTATAGCTCATTCATGAGACTTTGGTATTCGGCTTCACCTCCTTGGTCGGCGCCTGCGGGCAGTACGGCACGCTTTTGTATTTCCAAACCGAGCTGTTTGAGTTCAGGAGCACTGACGCGGAACTTTGCGTACAAAAGAGCGGTTTGCGTAGTATCGTTGAGCTGGCGATCGGCGATTCGTTGCGATGCATCGGCGGCCAGCGCTCGTAGAGAGTTTGTGAAATGTACTCGAATGAGTGTCAGGGCACGAGTCAACAGAAGACGGTAACGGGAACGGTAGGTAGGGGCTTCGCGATGAGTAGGATGAGCCTGCATGTATTCCAGGCATTGGTCGAGGTTTGTGAGCATGTCGGGGAACTCTTTTGCGCGGACGAGGTTGGCAGCACCAGGGGCATTCAGTCTGCGGGTCATGGGCTCGAGGTAGGCGTAGTATTGGAGGTTGTGGTTCATGTTGTCGGCCAGATCGGTGATGCGACGCTGCTCGGTCATCAGAGACTCGCATTGGGCGTGGAAGGCGGTCGTCTGGTCGTCGACAGCCTTGGACGAGTCAGACAGGGCAGACAGCACAGTCAAGGCATCGTGGGTGCTCTCCATCAGCGAGTCGAGGTGGTGTTGCGATAGCTTCAGCTGTTCGTGATATAGTCCGTAGTCATGGTGGCTGGCATCCAAGAGGTCGTCCTCGAGAGCGTCGTACCAGGTCGCAAAGTCGATGTGTGATTGTAAGACGTTCTTGGGCTTGGGGACCGATGACAGGCTGTTCTTGCGCAAGGGCGCAGAGGGAGGGGTGGTGCGTGGATGTTGGTCGGCGGCATCGAGACGGGTATACGACTGGGCTCTCCTGACAAGTGTCGCTTTGGGAGGACCTTTGGCCAGCGAGCTGTCGTCTTCTTCGCTAAGACTGGGCAGTTGGTCTGCAGCATCATCAGCCTGGGTCGCTTCCTGTACAGCATCAGACAAGGGCTCGGCCAACGTACCATGGCACAATCATGAGCAGCTTACATGTGGCTGTTGCAGGAGGGAAGCTCGCCGCCGATGGCCGCCGGTCTTTTCAAACGGCGCTGGCGTGCTGGACACGAGCGATGTGTACCAGTCGCTGTCCATCATGCTGGGCGAGAGGGCTTGTTGGCAATTGACAACAGACAACAAGTCACTCTGTCGATGGACATGGCTCGTCCGTCTGGAGTCGGCCGGCTTGGCTGGTCGCGATAGCAGGGCCAGATGCTAGGGCTCGGGCCGATCTAAGCCGAAGGGTCTAGCGATCGCGTGGCTCGTGCCTAGACCGAAAATGATGACGGTAGAGACTCGTCTGGCCAATCGCCGTCCAGTAGCTGACAGCTCGGTTCTCTACAATGACCTGAGTCTTGCTCGAGTGCACTCACCAATCCTCCAACCCACCCGCCAGCATGCTTCCTAAGACCAGCGTCCCCAAGCTGGGCGCGTTCCCGACCGCCCGAGCAGCCTCGACCCGAGCTTCAATGCAATCGCGAAGCCACGCCAGAGTCCTTTCCGCCCCCGCCTACGCCGCACGACGACAGCAGCACTTCCTGAGATCCCTGGCCGCCATTACTGCAGCTGCCGGTCTCGCCACTGCCTCCCAGTACTACCTGAACGACGGTCGCCTCATCAGAACAGCCCACGCTGAAGCCCCATCTACCGAGCAGCCCGACATTCAATTCGAGAAGACCCGCAAGCGTGGCGCAAACAAGGACGAGGACAGAGACTTTGCAAGCTCTCAACACCTGCAGGTCAGGAAGTCATGGGAGAACCCTGGTGTCTACGCATGCGGCTCCAATGCCGGTAAAGTCGTTGCTCCTGATTCGGACGCTTCCTACGTCAAGACGCCTCGCCGCATCAAGTTCTTTGATGGAAAATTGCTGCGCGATATCAAGCTAGACAAGAATTTCGGTGCCGCTATCGACGAGCAAGGCAATTTATTGCAGTGGGGTGTTGACTACTCCAAGGACACCACACAGCCGACCGTGACGCTCAAGGGCAAGAACTTGGTCTCGTTGGCAATCTCCAAAGACCGCATCTTCGGCCTGTCGTCCTCGGGAAGCGTCTACTCTCTACCTGTCTCTTCTGCCGAGCAGGCCTCAGGCCCAAAACCTAGCGAGAGCTCCTGGATTCCTTTCTGGTCCTCCCCTTCTCTCATCAGCTACCGCACCATCGTGCCTTCGGATATGAGCTATAGTGAAAAGGTTTCCAAGATTGATAGTGGTCTGGAGCACGCTTTGCTACTCACATCCAAGGGACGTCTTTTCTCCATGGCATCTGCAACTGACGCTTTCCCTACCAGAGGTCAGCTTGGTGTTCCTGGCATCTCTTGGGACAACAAGCCCACTGGCCCCTACTACCAGCCCCACGAGTTGACTACTCTTAGGGGTTTCAACATTTCGCAAATCGCATGTGGTGATTATCATAGCATCGTAGCTGACACCGATGGTCGTGTCTTTGCCTTTGGCAACAACACATCTGGACAATTGGGCTTCGACTACAATACCGAGTCTGCCGTTGTTGACACGCCGGCTTTGTTGCCGCTCCAGAAGCTTTACGCTGGATCGTCCCAGACCCCTGTAGTAACATCGGTAGCCGCTGGCGGTGCCAATTCTTTCTTGACTGTAGATGCTACCAAGGTAGCATCTCGTAACTCTGACGGCAGAGGTATTGGTAGAGTTACTGCTGATACTTTTGCATGTGGTGCTGGCATCTACGGTTCGCTGGGAAACAGCCGCTGGACCCATGTTCAAGGAACTCCCACCAAGATCCCTTCGTTATCGTCACTGTTCGAGTATGACGAGACCAACAATGCAGTCATCCCCATCAGACTAGCTAGTATCAGCGCTGGCAATAAGCACGTCGCGGCTGTTATGAACAATGTCGCGCATACAGGAGCTTTGAATACAGACGGAGAAACGTGGTGGGGAAGAGACATTGTCTTCTGGGGCGGTAATGAGCACTACCAGTTGGGAACTGGNAAAAGAAACAACATCAATACCCCTACCTACATCCAGCCTCTAGACCAGGCGGCAGAGCGCAAGGTTAGAGGCAAGGAGGAACACAGATTCCAGATCACACCGAGGAGCACAGTTCGTCTCGCCGACGGCAGGAAGGTCAGCATGGAACAGCGCGTAGAGTGCGGTAGGGACTGTACCGCCATCTACTCTGGTGTGTAAGATTGGCGGCGATCCTTCTCGGTTGTTCATACGCATTCCCTGCACTTTGTTTCTGTAAATATTCTCAAGGGCGTTATTCTGGCATGGAGTTGGTGGCAACAGGTTGGTTTCAAGATGTATATAACCATGGTCAGTCTCCTTCTCAGCCGCATGTCGTGCGAGATGTCGCGAAAATCGATTCGCTCCACAGCAGAATCTCTTCTTCCCGTCTGACACTTCTTCCATGTCTGTTTCTTCCAAGTACACAGTCAACTTGATTTCGGTTGACTATCTTCGAGATTGCCAACGCGAATATAGAGCTGACTGATCAGCCACTCGCGTCGCTGCTCTGTGTCTAGGCTCGGATGTTCTTGATCGCACGCCAACCGTGTCCACAAGCACGCTCACCAAATGCGCGTCTTGGTATTCATCAAACGAACAAGATACAAGACTCGTCGTGGCATTGCTTGTCCAAACTTGGCTACTAAGAAGTCTTGGGCAAGTATGATGGATTGTTCTTTGACAATGCCTCTATCGTCTCGCTCCGCGCAATACGCGAAGGCTTCGTGCGGAATCAAGCAAGATTGGCTGCACAGTGCAGACTTCGCTGAACACTGCATAATCATATTTCACGCAGATGGAGGAAGGAACTGTCGCGCAGTTCCTCCTGCTCCTCTCGACAATATACAGACGGGTACAAGTTGTAGAGACCGCCCTGAGAGCACTTTATCACCTTCCTCAAAGAGCTAAGTCGATCACCCCTCCACGAAGTTCGACGCTGCAAACATCATGCGCTGCTGCCACCGGGTCATCGTTCAAGTTTCATTCCTGTGTCCCGCCTATCATTGCATCAAGGGTGGTCAAATTGTCGTTTTACTCAGTCCTATTATTGGCCAATCCGGCAGCCTCCATCCACTGACCTAATTTCTTGCATCCGGACTGCCGCTATCTCTTAACCTGCTATACCCAATCAAGACACGGGTTGATATACATACCGCCCTCCTGGATCCCACATCCATGCGAGTCTGGTGCGCATGCATCGAGTACTGGTGAAACACATAAACTGATCGCGTCGCCTACCTGCAACGTCACAACTACCTAAGTCGAGTCTACATCCTTTCGTCAACAACAATGGCACAAGCTGCAGCTCTCACTATAGAAGGCGACCCGCGGATGAGTGCCTCTGGCCCTGANATAGCACAACTCTCAACACCAGCGTTGAGAAACTTGCATGACCCTTCAGTAACCATCGAAGAATATTTCTACTGGGCCAAAATCACTCGTGAAGAGCAGAGAAACATTCCAACGGTCAACACTCCTGCCAGGAAGTTCTTGAGTTTTGGTAAACATGATGCTGTCTCCTCGGCCAACACTGGTTCCGACCCCACCAAANNCCCGGAGTCACCCAAAAAGGCATCGGGTGCAGCCACGGATGAGAAGATTAGCGACTCTGAGACTTATGCGCCTGCGCAACCAGTCGCTGTGACAGAGGATGAGTGGTTACAGGCTTCCAGAGCTGCAAGAACAGCGACTTGGGGATCTATCTTCTATCTCATCACCACAGATGTTCTTGGTCCTTACTCTGTGCCGTACGTCAGATTGTTGTGTTTGTGTACCAAGCTACCTCCATTAACATTGTCGCAGNNGTGGGCTTTGGCACAGATGGGATATGGTCCAGGTATCGTTTTGTACACCATCTTCGGAGCTCTGGCGGGCTACACGGGCTGGCAGATCTGGCAGATGTTCCTCAAACTTGATTCCGACCAGTACCCCATGAAGACTTTTGGCGACATTGCATTCAGGGCCTATGGACAGGTGGTACGCCACATAGTGAACATCCTGCAAGCAATTCAGCTTATCTTCAACGTGGGTGTCATCATCATCCAAAACGGACAAGGACTTTACCAAATCAATTCGAACATGTAAGTGTTTGATCATTCAATAGCTATAAATCCTGATCATCATGGCTAACGTAACAAGATGTTACATTGTGGTTAGTATACCTTGATCCAAAAGGCGTTCATTTGTCACAATTACGAGCTAACAACCCCGTTCTCAGTGCTGTGTCATCTGGACATGTGAGTCAAAGTACCCCGAACACTTGAAATATGTGTTTACATATTCTTAGTATGTGGTTTCGTACTTGGTCAAGTACGCACGTTGCAAAAATACGGCTGGATCGCCAATTTTGCTGTCTGGATCAACATCATTGTCATGATTCTTACAATGGCAGTTGTACGTCTAACCTCTATGTTTTGCCTGTCGAGCTGGGTCAACTAATAGTAACTTTAGGTAACTCACAGCCACCCCAACTACGAGGCCGCTTCCAAGTCCAACGGTGTCCCTGTTGGCCCTCCTGTACCACCAGTTATGACTACCGCAGGTCCACCGTCAACCGTCGAATTCAGCGGACAAATCGTGGGCCTGATGCAAGCCGTCTATTCCTATGGCGGTGCCATGCTCTACTGCGAATTCATGAGCGAAATGCGAAAGCCTTTTGACTTTTGGAAAGCACTGATCGTTGCAGAAACGTTCATTTACGTGGTATACTTATTTTTCGGTATCTTTGTGTACTCCTATCAGGGTCAGTACACTATTAATCCGGCTCAACAGGTATGCTCTCGTTCGTCTAGTAGATGAGGTCAATATCGCTAACTGTCTGACTAGGGTATGTTTCCTCACGCGGCCTTGACCGCAGGTAACATCCTGGCTTTTGTGACGGCCCTCATAGCGGCTGGATTGTATGGCAACATCGGTATCAAGGTCATGTATCAGAACATTTTTCAAGAACTGCTGGGTCTGCCACAGCTCACTACCAGGACCGGAAAGTTCCTTTGGGCTAGCATCGTCCCAATTTACTGGGGCATTGCTTTCCTCCTTGCCGCCGCTATTCCTCAGTTCAGGTAAGCTTCGGTGTTATCGATTCTCAAGTTTCTCTCTAACACAGTATCNAGCGCGCTTTCCGGCCTCGTGGCAGCCCTTTGCATCCTTCAGTTCACATACACCTTTCCACCCCTTCTCATGCTGGGTGTACAAGTCCAGTACGATGCGATACGTCCTGAACAAGGCGAAGGCTTCAACCCAGCTACTGGTGAGACCGCACGACATGACCATGGTATGAAGAGATGGATCCGTGGGTTCTTTGCTCGCAGGTGGTACATCAAGCTTTGGAACGCTGTCTTCTTCCTAGGAGCTCTTGTCACTTGTGTGCTTGGAACGTATTCTTCTGTCAAGTCTATGGTTGATGCGTATGCTTCGGGCTCTTCGACAGCATTCAGCTGTGTGGGACCAGTCTAAGGACTTGATGATAGCGAAAGTGGTACGAGCTGTATCTCGACATTCATGGTATGGATGATGGATTCCTGGGAAATCCAAATCAATGGCCGTTTTGACAGATCATTCCCTTTAACCTCATGGGAATCTCGTCTTTTCATCTCAGGAGTCAAGGCCAGTCAGCTCGCTGCTTTTCCATGTCGTTTCCATCTCGTCGTCGATGTATAGATCATGGAGGATTATGGTCAGGGTGGTATGCTCGACATCGGGCCGGAGATAACGGTGTTTTGGACCTTGCTACGCGATGTAGATCTGCAGGGCCGACGTCACCAACCTGCCACGCACCTGCCTCCATAATTTCTGTGATACTATCACGACTTGCAAGCCATTGTTTCAAGATGAGAGGGTGAGGCTGAACAGAGGTAAGAACAGTTCTCGAGATGCACCCTCCTATCTTGAAAAGTGCAAGAGTGAGTTCAAGGTAGAGACTTCTTCGCCAAAGCCTACCTCCACGGGCTGCTGAAAAACAAGGCAGGGCAGTCGCGTGAAGTTACGTAGACCCTCGTCCTTTCATTCTTCCTCTTCCAAACCTCCCCTACTCATACACAGATCCATACATCAACAATGACAGCAAGAATAGATGGCGGCGAGCCTTTCCTCAAACACCTCAACGTCAGCAAGACACCGTACATTTTCCTCACAGCCGAGACCGATGACTTCGACGAAGAGACTATCGCTGCGTGGCAAGGGGAAGGCTTCGTCACGACATATGTGCCTTTCGGCGATGGAGGAAGAGACTATGTGGCTAGAATGCACGCGGCTCCTGACCAAGCGCTGGGATTGAATGATCAGTATGCTATAGTAGGTGCGTTCTTACTCCCGTATTCTTACCTCGCATCAGGTAGTAGAGCGCTGCTAATAAATCTGTCCTGACANGCTTTCGGCGATGCAGCGAGCGCTTGCCTCGAGGCTTATGTCAAGTCTACACCCCGTCTAGCCGCCTTAATCGCATACTATCCATCCAAAATCCCGGACCCACAACAAACACGATATCCCATGCACACAACCGTACTAGTCCACCTAGTTGGCGACGAGATGAAAGTAATCCGCACCCCAGAAGTGCTAGGCATACAAGGCAAGAAAAAGATTGTTTCAAAGAGGATAGGCGATGGGTCGGGCTTGGGCGGAGCGTTAAGATTAAGCTTCCAGACATACAAGTATGCTGGTGTAGAGTCTGGATTTGCAGAGAGCGACCTGGATGAATACGACGCTGCTGCTGCTGGCCTGGCCTGGAGTAGGACCTTGGGCGTTGTCAGGAAGGCTTTGAGAATAGCCTCCGACATTGAGAGGATACGAGACGAACATCTAGACCGTATGTTTTGGCAACTACCCAAAGTCACGAGGATGACAAGGCTAATTGAAAGCTCAGACGTGCGAAAGGGTCACGTACAAAAAGCCCTCGCCATGACTACCTCCAACCCAGCAGTCCTCCATGTACCCTCTCTAACCGGCGCCTTCCACGAAGAAGACCTCGCAGACTTCTACTCTGAGTTCTTCCAGCCGTCACCGACATCACTGAACTGCAGACTCCTTTCCCGCACCGTAGGCGCCGACCGAGTAGTCGACGAACTATCCCTCTCCTTCAACCACAACAAAGTAATCCCCTGGCTCCTCCCTGGTATACCAGCCACAAACCGCAGGATCGAGGTTGTTATAGTGTCTATCGTATGCATCAAAGCCGGCAAACTGTCCAGTGAGAAGGTGTATTGGGACCAAGCTAGTGTGTTGATGCAAGTGGGATTGCTGGATCCGAATCTAGTGCCCGACAAGTTCAAAGAGAAGGGAGTTAATAAGTTGCCAGTGATAGGTGCTGAGAGCGCGAGAGCGGCGGTCAGAGAGGGGAGTCGGAGGATCAACGAGTTGATCGATGATTGGTAGACCTTGATATCGAAGTACCCGAAAACGAGCATTCAAGGTGCTTTGTACAGCTTCTTGACATATTACCATGACTTTGCGATAACGATCCCTAGATCTGGCGCCGCATGCTCGGCCATCTGACCAGATTGAAGAGGAGGATAATTGCCCACTTTCGACTGCGTGCCCCTTTTTGGTAATGACAAAGTTATATATTCACGTACAGCCAACTCAGTCTCATCGAAGCAATCGAAGACGAGCAATCATCTCCCTCTTCAATCTGGTCAGATGGCCGAGTGGTTATGGCGCTAGTTTCAGGCTCACCTGAAATGAGTTTACTAGTGAGAAATCGCGTGGGTTCGAATCCCACTCTGATCAACCATCTTTTTGCTTTTGGTCATGCATCAGTAAGGTGAAGCTGGATGTGCTGTGGTGTCCGACTGTCTTTTCGCTTGTGTAAAATCTCGTCGCGGTGTAGTGTCAACGCCCGAAGCCGTGGAGCCTTGGGGAGAATCCGGGCGTCATGGACACTATCACACTTTATCAACTCCCCAGGAGCCGAGCATACGGTAAGGTTCGGTTCAAGACAACGAAGAACTCCTTTTTCGAATAACAACTGTTTACCGAATAACGACCTCGACCGAAACACCAGAGACATTGCTGGACCCAAGACAACATCGCACAAGGAAGCAATCGTCCACCAGTAATTACATCGATCCATAAGCCATCCATCATATACCTCATAAAAGTCTTTTGATTCTGCCTGCCGTCATTCATCGCTCGCTGTCCTCACCGCGCAGCATCACAACATCACCTCCGTCAACTTTCTTCCGCCCCATGCTTGAAACTCGCGGATCATCAATAGTCCTTGTTGATTCCCTCGACAGGACCGGCATAGTCGTACTTGCCCTTGAACTTGTAGTAAATGACCGCGGCAATCCAGGTAACCCCATAGATTAGAATGGTCCAGTTCATGTTCTGTGCGTCGGGATGCGGTCTGGAAGGAAAGAAGAGCAGGACCCAACAGAAAGACAAGAATATGATAGCTGTCAGATTGACGGCGAGACCCCAGCGACCCAAGCTGAAGCGGCTGGGTAGAAGAACCTCCTTCATGATTCGCTTTCTGGCCATGCATCCAATGCAAATGATGTACGAGGTAAGGAGTCCGACGCTAGACAGACTGGTGATGACGTTGAACGCTGTGTTTGAGCCAATGACGATGAGTGAAATGAGAACGGTAAGGACCACGGTAACTGTGCATGCATTGAGAGGAATATCCATGTCGGGTCGAACNNCTATAACTGTCAACTTGGAGGTTCCAGCAGGGTAGGGGCCCACGTGACTTACTCTACCGAGAAATGCAGAGAATGGCAGACCACCATCTCTGGCGAAGGCGAAGAGTTGTCTTGACGTCGTGGTGACTTGGTTGATGGCAGTGAAGAACAACAAAACACAAACAATTGCTGTGAGTCCTGATGCACCAGCCTTAGACCCAACGGCATTGTAGAAGACCTGCAGATATCGTCAGCTCTCATCAGACCAGCAGGCGATGGCTTTGTATGCTGTACTTACCTGAATATATCCCTGACCGAACTTGGTATCGAGAACAGATTGTACAGAACCTCCCAGAGTAAACATGAGTGTGATGACGGTAAAGAAGCCAAGAGCGTAGTTGACGACAGCAGTAGCAGCCATGGACCTCGGAAGGACCCATGATGCATCTTTCAACTCTTCACTCAAGTGGCAAGCTGAGTCGGAGCCAAGAAGAGTGGTGAACGGAGACAAAATACCGATCAGTGTGGACAAGCCTACATTTCCCCAGCCCATGTTGTCGCTGAATTCAGTAAACACTTTCTTTGCAGGAGTTCTCTCAGCCATGACCCAGAGGACAACGACGATGGTGAAGAAACTGAAGAAGAAAAACAGCAACATGAACCCCTCGAGCAAAGGCAGTTTCTTGATAGCAACAGTGTTGATGAAGATGCAGACAATCACGATGCCGATGGTCATGAGAGCGGCGTGCCATCCAGGAAGTGTGTAGCCTTCGACGTTGAGTGCGATAAGTCCTTGGATGTTGAGCGCCGGAGTGTATGCGCTAGCACACATAGCTGCCTGCCATCCCAAGACACACATCCATCCNNTTTAAGCGACATATCAGTAAGAACATTGGGTCTTGGGTTGGAAGTTTTACTTACCAACCATGTAGGAGAGGAAGCGCTGGTACTTGGGCGGAGCAAATTCACTGACCCCTGTTCTTTGCATCAGTCACCNAAGTTCCATCTCGACATCAATGGTAGACACAGTGCTCTTACAATGGTATTGACCACCAGCCGTAGGCGCCCTGATTAAAACGTTAGCCGGTCAAGGATCCATGCACGATACCTCGAGGTTACGCAGGACCCACATTGATGCCATTTCGGCCATGGAAAGCATGCAGAAGAACATTCCCACAGCCACAACGAGGAACATCCAGACCCCACCAGCCATACCGCCGTTTGCAAGAGTGACGTTGCTGGANNACTGATAAAAAGGTCAGTCTCTGGAATAAGTTCGATGACAGGAAATGACAAACATCAGAGCGACAACCCAAGCATTGCCCAACAGTAGACTGAATCCCCAGATGGAGACGAAACGGAAGTTTCGNNCTATAGTTCATGAGTATATCATTCGATATTCGAAGAGTTCGAGACTGACTCTAAGCTCTTGGGCCTTTCCCATACGACGCATGTCATAATCATCGTCCTTGGTGCCGCCCTTTGTTGCCTCGATGGTCGCTGCATCTTCGGCATCCTCGATCTGGTGCTCAAACGAACTGGCGGTCTGGACAGACGAAGAGTTTTTGATGCTATCCATCTCAATGGCGGTGGAGGACATGTCGGTGGAAAGAAGAGGTTCGCGCGAGCAGTCGCCCAAAGAAGACGTAGTATTGGACAAACGTCTGGTTGGAGTTACACACCGGGTTTGTACTCGGAAGAAGACAGGACGCATGCAAGGATAAATAAGTCAACTCGCTCGGAGCGACACTTCCTCGCTGGATTGTGTTTCGGCGGCAATCGTGAAGGGAAGGAGCTAACGGACGGCAAATCTGCGCCGAGTAAGTCTAGCAAAATGGCTCCTCGATGGACGGCGCAAGGGTTGCTGCACCTGCCCACCTTGCATCCCACCAAACCATGGAGTCATGGTGTTACGAGGGACGCAAACTAAAAGTCACCTCGCACCATCCTCAGCGGAAACGGACGTTGCACATCGCTGGGCGAAAGTCGATTGATCCTTCTTACACAACAGCATCGCCTTGATTTTGCAATTCGTGTTGCTGGCGGACAACTGCTTTGCAAGGTCTATCTTTTGTATCGTATCCTCTTCCACTCATGGCAGACGCGAGAGTTCCCGCACCACACGCAGCAAAGCCATGGCGCATTTTGCCAAAATCAAGACCAAAGACGTGGACGGCGGCAATGTACAGTAGCAGTCCGTGTCGATGGTCCTGTAAACACCTTGCAGATGATCCTGCTTCAGTGAACCGTTTCGGTTGTGAGGATTGCAGATTTGACAACGCCAAGCCGGGGGCGACGTCTTTGCGAGGGTGCACAACAGCTTCCTTCTGCGGTTTCGCAGCACACAACCGGGATGTCGTTTCCCTTCCTGACGACCAGTCTTGGGCAGATCTTATCGAGACGCCCAGACGATACATAGCATTCACGAGAATGCAATGAATCGGGCCAGTCCAAAGATTATCGGGACCTCTGACTGATGTGGCAGTAAAGAGCTCACAGCTTCGACTTGGAGCATGACTTGCAGAATCTCAGTTTCGTGCTGACATTCTGTCCGACTCTCTTTCTGCTGAGAAGATGTTGTGGCTCGCTTCTACGCAATCTTACCTCACATGGCGGACTTCCAGCACTGTGTCGTTGGCTGTCCTCTTTCTTTGGGTAAACGCCCGCGATACCCGACGTTTCGTTCCTCACCTTGCAGGACGAGCGCATAATTCTGAGTTGCACAAACAGCCGCTTGTTCATCCATCCTCAGCCCTCGCCTGACACTCCCAGAGGACCGTGTGATATATGGTCCAGACACTCGTAGCCTAGGGTGTGCCCTTTTCTCGGACTTTGCTTTTTCGAATTCGCTAAGAGTAATTGGAAGGCTTGTTCTTGGTTGCCAATATCTCAATCAGGCGCACTCCAATTGCAGACGTCTTTTCAAACATGGCGCGGTTCGCTCAAGGGCTTCCCGCTCATCTCTGGATTGCAGTTCTAATATCACTGAGTTATTCATGCTTCACTTGGTTTCTTCGAATTTATGCGAGAGTTGGCTACTATGGAATAGACGATGTCGCTATCACCGTTGCGCATGTAAGTACTTCCCAGCTTGGGTTTGGCATTTGCCGCGGGCTCGGCGGACCCACTCATCGCCTTTATCTGGCACGGATTACCTTTCGAGGCGAACAACCGCTTCCAACTCATGAACGAACACAATGAATCGTGTCTATTGACACGAACATANNGGTCACGGCGCTCGCACAATGGGCTTCCTTGATTGTGGCACTCAACAATGGTCTAGGAGAGCCAGAGGAAGTGGTTGGGCCTGAGCACCTGACGAGTATGTCTCGGGTGAGTCTTTCAACCCACTCTGTCAAACACACACATTTCTAACACAAAGTCAGNGCGGTCGTTGCCAGCCAGATATTCTTTCTTCTCACCATGGGACTGACGAGCCTTTCCCTAACTCTGCTCATGAGGAGGATATTCTCGACGAACACAAAACACAAACTTGGATCTTACGTTCTACTGGGCGTAATTTCAGCATGGCTCGTCATTGCAGTCGCTACTGTCAAGTCGAATTGTCCTTCAACGCATATACTCGAAGGACAGGAACACACATGTCCTAATGCCGTAAGCTGGCTTGCAAGAATCCCACCGACTCTGCTGATGAGTNNGCAGGTATATCGATGGAGAGCAATCTTTGCAATCACGATTTGCATCGAGGCTGCTGTGATGGGCCTGCCTGTCTATCTTGTCAGCCATCTTCGGATCAAAATCAGCAAGAAAATGCTCGTGGTCTCTGCTTTTGCATACCGAATGCCGTACGTAGTCGCTCGCGTCTGCCGTAACATTGGTTACTGACGTAAACTCGAAGCNATGATCGCCTTTGCTCTGCTTTATTTGAGGGTCTACACTGAAGCAGTACGCTCCGAAGAAAGAATACAACATTTCTCGAAAGTCATTGTCTGGCAGCAAGTCACAATTTGTTACAGCCTCTTGTCAGCAACTCTACCTTTCGTTCAAGCCTTCATGCGCAGCTTCACAACAGGCGGTACGGCCTTCGGCAGCATTATATATGGTTCTCGCAACAGTCGTTCCAACAGCTCTGGCGACACATCGAGAAGCAGATCGAGGAACGAATCTTTCACACCACAGTTTTTGGGTCGAACGAGGACAGTCTGCCGCGGAGCAGGCAAACAGATCAGCAACGAAGCCCATCGTGCATCTGGCGGGTCACAGGAGCTGATCGTCCGGCGCGAAGTCACGGTGGCAGTCACTCAGGGATGAGAATCTTCATTTACATTGATCACTCTCTACACAACAACATTCCGACCTATTGAGGCCACGTACTTATGCATACATAATGACATGTTATTTATTCTTACCCGACTCTTTGGTAGCAGAACGGCACGGAGTGCATGAGAACGCGCCCAGTCTTTGCAGTGTCACGACAAGACAGAAATCATGAGCCTCGATAAATTCTGTACCACAATCATCACGAATGCAGAGTAAAAAGCAATCGCGTTGTCTCAACACAAACCACAGGAGTTGAGTCTATGGCACGACCATATGATGCAGAAAATCGATGCACTCACGAACGACAAACTACCACTCAAGGCAAGGGCTCGACTTGAGTTCATGCAAATCAGAAATCCGGTAGGTGGGCCGAAACAAGCACCCTGCATGAAAGTGGCTTGCATCGCCATGTGCGAAAAGCATGTCGAGCGATGCATCTTTGTCACACAATCAACATGTATTCTACACGATATAAATTGCCAGAGGTCTAGAGATTCGGACTTTTTTTCCAGTTCTCTAGTTCGATCCCGCAAGAGCATTCATGTTTGCAGGGGCCCGAATATGCTGTGTCCCATTGCCACGCGGAGCCAGATACGAGCGCCCTACATTGACAAGCCACCATATGCATCAGACTGTTCTGGGCTGCAAGGCGTATGTGTGGATTGTTGACCACTTCACATTGAAATGCCACTCGCACTTTGCCTCTGGTCTTGATACGAGCACAATCGGCACGCTCGGCATGCCATGGCCATCTCGTGTATCACAGTGCTTGACTACAGTATCTGGGCACTCTGCCTCGCTTCGAGCACGTCGAGTCCTATGCATGACAGTCCGCCTCTGCTCTTAGCCACCAAGCCATTCGTCCTACACACAAGCCCTTGGTGATCCTATCTGTCTACGTCCAGTATCACAGATGGATGTCATCCTTGCTTTTCTCACCTCATTGTTTCTCAAGAGTATCAGAGTGCTCTGACGGAGTGACGTTGTCTACACAATCAATTTAACATGTTGTGGACACGGGATGTCGGAGTCGCACTTCAAGTACATTCAGTATCTTCAGAGTCCTGCAGATATCCGAACTCCGATACCATCTTGCAGTCTCTCCATGTGCCATAGACTGTCAAGATCTCACCAACAAGCACCAGCCTATGACGACAAATAACCGAATCGTAGGCTAGAGATATGCACAATACTCTACAAAAGAAGTAGCAACCACTGAGAGTCGTGATTTTACGAATTTTCTCCGGATTGACTTTTCTTTCAGCAATTATCCTGGATTTGGGCAGCTGCGTCATGACAGCATTTCGCACAGGAAAAAAGATACCCATGGTGCACAGCTGCTACAGACAGTCCAGTATGAAGAACCTGGCATATCCTCTCACAAACACACTTGATCACATAAGATGCTTACTACATATGTTCTTTGATGGCCAGCCTTACGTGAGAGATCTTGCTACCCATGCTTCTTGTGCTTTAACATTCTTACACCAAGGTGAATAGTCATGTCATTAAGATACTCTTTGATCAACTGCTGAGTGACGGCATTCGGTAACAGCCATAGCTCGAGTCGGTATAGCCTTAGAGAGCAGGGGTATCGGCGAATAGAGCCTTGGAAAAGGCTTCGGGGTATCTTCCACCAGCAACCTCCGCAGCTTCGCAAGCCTTGCGAATCTCGTTCTTCTCTTCATCAGTAAGCTTGACCTTCAATGCGCCGAGATTCTCGTCGACACGGCTGAGGTTGGTGGTTCCGGGGATGGGGAAGACGTCGTCGCCTTGAGCCATCAACCAAGCCAAGGTGATTTGAGAAGCAGTGAGACCCTTCTTGTTTGCAATCTCGGTGATCTGATCCACCAGCTTGAGATTCTTGGGGAAGTTTTCGGCACTGAAACGAGGGGCGAAACGACGGAAATCTCNCTCCTCGAAGTCATCCGGAGATCTGATGGAGCCACCGAGCATTCCGCGTCCGATGGNGGAGTATGCAACGACAGCGACGCCCAACTCGCGGCATGTCTTGAGCAGGCCAATCTGCTCGCTCTCGATGTCGAGAGAGAAGGGAGAGTACTCGATCTGGACCGCTGTGATGGGGTGTACTGCATAGGCTCGGCGCAAGCTTTCGCTGCTGACCTCCGACAGACCAAGATACTTGATCTTGCCAGCTTCCTTGAGCTCCTTCATAGCTTGGACCGTCTTCTCGACTGGAGTCTTGCCGTCCAGACGATGTGCGTAGTAGAGATCGATGTTCTTGACTCCAAGACGAGAAAGCGATTTATCGCAAGCCTTCTTGCAATACTCAGGAGACGAGTCAACGATAGGGTTGCCCTGCTCGTCACGCAGGTTGGCAAACTTGGTGGCAAGGAAGATCTGCTCGCGCTTGCCAGGGTTCGCTTTGAACCAATTTCCGATGAGATCTTCGTTGTCCATGTACATATNCTTTTCAAGGTCAGCTGTGATTCAACATCAACGCTTTCGAGCCAACTGACCTGCTGTGTCCCAGAAGAGCTCACCCTGCTCGTACAGCTTGTCCAGTACGGCGAAACGTTCCTCGTCAGGCTTGGGCTTGCCATAGAAGGCCGACAGACCCATGGCTCCGTATCCCATTCTGGTGACATAGGGTCCGTTCTTGCCCAACTGCCCTGTTGGCAGCTTGGTGGCGCCAATCGCCGACTTGGCAGAATCAATAACTTGTTGCATTTTCGGACTGATTGCTTTTTGATAGCCGGACAATGATGTGTCAAACGTCGTTGATGGTATATATGTTTGTTTGACCCCTCAGAGAGTTGCCATGTGATGACGTATAGAGACGGAGATAAGGAAGGTGCTTCTCCGCTGCTCCTCCCTCGACTGCTCCACACCACATTTGTCATCGACTGATCGAGCAGAACGATGAGCTTGCCGTGCCGGACTTTTGACATGGCAATACCCTATATCCGTCGATGAGACAGAAGTCGTGCTGATCAGGTATTTTGATATATCTACATATTCTACACAGGCTATGTACATTGTTGGATAAAAGAACCCTCAGTGAGAACAATCACATCTCATCGCAACTCCAGTGAACGCCAATGCTGAAAAACAGATAAAAAGCTCCAGCCCGTTGCTCCAATGTGGGTATCTCGATCGTAAAACTGAAGGGTAAACGGTAAAACATAAAAGTGAAATGGTCGTTAAACATTCGTCATGATAATGCAGAGGTTCATGATGGGTATGCACCAGGTGAAGCAGAGCTGTCGGCAGATGCTTGACGTTCACGCCATTCAGTCTTCATCTCGCCTGCGCTCTTTCTGCGGATGCTAAAGAAGCTGAGCGCTCGACTAGCAACACTGCTGTTGGAACTGCCAGGCAAAGATTCGTCGCCGAGTTCGCTAGGATCCTTAAGAGGATCGCAGAGAGTACGGGCGAGTGGACTGTAGTTGAGGAAGAAAGGGAGAAGAGTGGCACCCGCAAAGCCCGCAACAGAAACGCACATCGCATATTGTGAATTCTGTGCTTGACTGGCCACGTAGGACAAGCCAGGGAAGACACCACCACCAGAGACTGCAGCGATCAGGATAGCGCTGCCGTCTTTAGTGTATTTGCCCATGCCTCGAATGCTTTGAGCGAAGATTAGTGTGAACAGGGGGCCCTCGAAAAAGAACACCATAAGCATCATCGCTGTAGCAGTCGAGCCACTGAAGTTCATTGCCAGAGCTGAGAAGACAATAGTGCCGGTGAGAAAGAATACAAGCAAAAGTCGTGGCTTGATGATAAACCCAGCACCTGCGGCCACGAATCGGGATCCAGCAAACAAAGCATGTCCTATGGCCATGTAATTGGTCTCGTTGTAGGTCGGAGCCACAAGTGCGAGGTAGCTGTCAAAGGTAGTGGCGAGAACTTCCTGGGCACCAACGTAGCAAAACATCGCGAGGGCACCAGCGGCAAGTGTGTACCAGATGACTCGGACTTTGCCAACAGTAGCATAATTGGCGTTATCCATGCGCTCGCAAGCATCCTCGAGCTCCTTGTCGGTGGCCTCTGGTAATGGAACGTAAAAGAATGCAACCGCTAGTGCAACAGTGAATAGAGCAATCCCGAGATATGCCCATTGCGTGTTGATCAGAGAGGGAGCGTCATTGGATTGTCCAAAGAGAGCTTTCTGAGCGATGAGCGGGGCGACGACAGTTCCAATTGCCTGGAATCCTTGGCTGAGGTTGAGTCGAACTTCAGCATATTCCATGGGACCGCAAAGTGCGATAAATGGATTTGCCGATATTTCGAGTGTGGACAGTCCAAGACCGACAATGAAGTTGACGATGACAAAGGCCGGGAAAGATGTTAGAACAGCAGCGGGCCAGAACACAAGAATTCCGCACGCATATATGCTGAGACCAATCATATAGCATGCTTTGAATCCATAGTGTTTCAGGGCCAGGCGACCGAAAGTCAGTGGCCCAAAGAAGTAACCAGCAAAGTAAGCGCTGTGGATGCCTACAGACTGTGCTGGAGACATGTGAGACACTCTCTGGAATTGCCTATTGAGAACATCAAGAAGGCCGTATTCGAATCCCCAGATGAAGAATAACACAGTGACCATAATGACAGGAAACAAGGACTCTCTTGCGGTCATATGCACAAAACTTTTGCGATTCTTGATGTTGACGAAGTCGAAAANAGTAGGTGTGTCTGCGCTGGTGTTTCTGGTAGAATTGGTCAACATGGTTTGCGAGCGCTCGAGTGTATTGTTCTGCATGTCGGGAGTGGTAAGGAAATCCATCATGTCCATATTGGCATCTTCGACAGGCTCACGAGATGGCTGTGTAGTGAGATAGGCTGGGTCCGGCATCGAGGGTATCCTTTGGGCCATGGTCATCTCAAAGGTAGGCTGACGATCAACTGAAGAGTGCTTTTCAGTGACATCGCCTTCATCGCGGAGAAGGTGTGGCATGAATCGAGACACCAAAGGTTTCAAGGCCGGGACACAGGCACACATGATGCCGACATTGACCTCGATGGCAGACCACATGAAGGAATATGAAGCATACCACGAAAAGTCGGTTTGATCAGAATCGCGTCCAGAGCTGTTGTCCTTCTGGTAGTTCAGAATCTGGTTGAGACGATATGTCGAGGCGGATTGCAGATACGCGATGCGGACAATATCAACGATGGCCACGAAGAGACCAAACCCAAAGGTGATGACAAGAATGGTCTTCTGCTTCCGGGGCAATCTCATCGAAGTCAGGATAGGCATAGGCAAGAATAAGATGGCGAGGTCGGTTATGATGTTGACGGGCGCCGAAGAAAGGTAGATGGTAATGATGTCAGTGCAGTGATGAACGACTGGCACCGGATATCTGAAGGCGGCCCCAACAGGGTTGCACTGGAACAAGGTGACGAGAGTCAGGGCGATTCCAGCGGCGTTGACAACGAATAATGTTGCTATGGTAGACCATCGGAAGGTCCTGTTAGTTTTGGATAGACTGAGATAGAAAGCAAGAATAGATGTCTTCTCAGCCATCAATGCGGGATTCTGGAGAATATAAGCATTTATTTCAATTCAGATCGATAGCGCAGACAAACGCACGTATAACACAGAGAAGGCGTATTGCGATCGCCTCAGTGAGCCCTGCCATGAATCTGGCACGTCGTCTTCGTGGCGACCAAGGCCGACGAATGTGCCATAGCAGATAGAGAAGGATAAGCCAAAGGCGAGCAGCTTCAGACGGCTTGGTTAGCAGTGGATCCCGGAGCAAGCCAAACATATTTCAAGGCGTACCCAAGCAACGAGGATAAAATAATCATCCATGAGGACTTTCTTAACGACTCCGGCGCGAGAAGCCATGCGAGCAGCAACAAATACGGTGGAGCAGGTGATCATGGCGACTGTGACGGCGAAGACGGCACTGCTGCGCGAATCATAGCCACCACCAGCTATGGTCATGCCTGGATCCTGATTTTGATTCGACATGTTGAGAGAAGAGTCTGCGGAAAGCGAGCGATAGAATAATGATTCAACCCATTCTCCAGAGTGGCGGGCAACGTTTGCGCTGATTGTCGAGTCCGTGATAGCAGGCGTGGGCAGAAGTACTGTGGTGTATGTGTACGAGTCTACGACAGAGCCTTCTCTTGCAACGACCCTTTGCTTCCCCACGAATCGTTGTTGAGGCAAGTAGCAGTCGAGTCCAATGGTCCGAGATGTCGCACGACTAGAAAGGCTCGAGGGTAGGCGCGAGAGCGGGGCGACACGTGTATTTGATCGAGGTCGGTGAGTTTAGGGAAAAGGCAGAGGAGAGAAGAACGAGGCCTCTGACTCTCCTGCTCCTCGTCACCCGCCCTTTCCGACGAGCTGCCATTTTTCCCCAGATGATTAGATTTTGAGATGTGGAGACTTGAGCCGGCGAGCGGCCATCGGCTTCTTAGCTCACTTGCGAGACTTTTGACGTGCATGACCGCAGCCACACTGATCCACGTACTCTACAGTGCCATCTCCTATGAACTTGCGGTGAATACCACGTCTAATATCGTGCCTGCTACGCGCAAATGCCCCAAGATCAGATGCCCGTCGTCCAACAGATGTCTGCTGGCCTCGCTAGCATTATCCCGGCAAAGCTCCTTCCTCCGAGTCTTGACCGCATCGCTTTCTCACGAGGCCGGCCAAGGCCACATCCGCCGTTGACGTCTTGATCGCTTTTTTGTGATGATCCTCGCCCCATTACACGGCGCCCTAAGCGAGCTTTGACCCAACCCCCGCGCGCTGCGTTCAAAACTCCCATCTCCGACTTACAGCTCGGCATTCTGCAGCTCTATGAAGAAAAACCACTCCATAAAGCAGTGATCTACCGACTTATACTGCGAGACGGACGCGTTGTCTCCGCTGCTGCGCGAGCACAACGGCATAACGTGGCATCAAAGACAAAGAGCGCGGCTTTGCCCGCGCTGGAACAGTAACGGTTGTCAACTCCCTGACCATCATGTCGGGTGGCTGACCACGCGTGTGCCCTGCCTCTGTACAGCCAAAAGCAACACTGTGATGAACGAAAGGTGTAGCTTGGCACCCATCGATGCTGTATCTTTTGACCATCCAGCAGGAAAATCGAATCCTTGACTTCAACAGGCACATTCCTCATGCTGGAGCGCGAATAATACGTCTTGACTTTTGCCAGTCTGACAGTCTCGCCTCGCTTATCAGTCTCGTTTTTGGCATCGATATGACCTGATAGACTTTTTTTCAGCTCCGCGCTCGCAGCGAGTTGAAGGCCGATTTGATGGAAGGATTCTGCAAGTCTTCGGCAACAAGGCGCGCTCCCCCCCCCCTTCGTGGTTTGCCCCAGCCTGCTGCGGCTCTGAACGAATAGGTACTGTAAAGCGGCATAACATCCTTCTGTCCAGATATCAACTTCCAATCGATTGTGTTGCCCACTTTCGGTCGTCCAAGTGTGCTGAGACAGTCGTCGCGACTCACGACTCGCAAACGTACTCCTTGTCTTCATCGCGCGGCTCATGTTCATGGGTACAACGAACAGGTCCGGTGGTAACTTCGACCCGCTTCCTCTCCCATGCGAAAAAGGTCCTGTGCACCCCTTTACTTGCCTCCACTTACCGGCACGTGGTGCTAGGATTTGGCAAACAGGTTGGGGAAGTCGAAGAAGTCAAGTCGAATGGCGGAAACTCAAACGAATGAAGGAGGCGTCGCAAAAAGCCACACTCCTTCAAGGTGACCACAGCTACGGAGACCAATGACGAGGACTACCGGAGATAAAACTGACAGACAGTAGTGACGCCCGGGTTGATCTATCTGTGCAAACATTGTCACAAGCTCTTTGCAGTGTTCGTTCGACATTTCATAAACATTTGTTACTGGACGATCTTGACTATGCGCAAATCGCCTGTGCTCTGTTGTCAAGACAGCCTGATCCTATTTGATACGTGTCACGCCTTAAATTTCGAAAACAGGTCCAAGCAAATGATCTGCTCAGACCTATCATCAGCATCAACACAGCCTTGTATCTCTAGAACCCTGACAAACGCATCTAGACAGCCCTCTGGACCGGTCGTATTTTGTGAATAGTCCCTTGACATACCCATATGCTGTCATCTTTAACTCGCTAGCAAACTGGTTGGAAGATTACACGTGGCATTACCGCACAACATTAAAGGACCATAGGGACAATAGTTGAAAGAGAGCCGAACGCACTTGACTCCACGCTACAGAACTGCAAGGAAAAGGCATCACTATCTGGAAGCAGCAAAACAAGAGAGGAAGCCATAATTATTACGCCCATAAACCATCGGTCCGAAGCATCGTCAATCAATCAGACCCGTGTCCTCAAGCTCTTACAACAGGGCAGCAGCTCCGAGAACCATGCCAAGGATACCAGCAGCGGGCACACCCATGTTGGAGGCAGCACCAGTATGAGTAGCAGCAGCCGAAGCGGAAGAAGCAGCCGAAGCCGCGCTGCGAGAGGCCGAAGACTGAACAGACGAGGCTGACGATGAAGCAGCAGAAGCAGACGAGGACGCTTTCGAGAGAGCAGACGAGAGCGAGCTGGAAACCGAAGCGGTGGCGGACTGAGTCTGGGACTGAGACTGTCTGGACATGGCAGAGGAACCGTACCTAAGATTGTGGTCAGCGAAACGGCCCATACATCCGTTGGTTAAGAACCAGCGGGTTTTGCTTACTGGCTAGCAGCCTGGCAGTACTGCACTTTGTTCTGAGAAGCGCCAAATGCGTTAGGGTCGTTGGGACACTGGTTGTAACAGACAAGCAAGTTGGTGTAGCCAGTGCAGAGACAGTCGTAGTCAGTAGGACCGCACTGAGTGTTGGCTGCAGTTTGCTGCGAGACGCAGAGATTGAGGACGCTGTAGTTTGTAAAGTGTAAGTATCCATTTGTGGGAAAAGTCATCTGATAGCACTAGATCTTACTTCTGGGCAGGGCATGAAGAGGTGCTCGAAGATACAGCAGAAGTAGTGCTGCTCTGAGCAGCAGCGAGGCCAAAGACGGCGGCCAGAAGTGCGAGCGAACTGAATTGCATGGTTGGAGTTTGTGGTTTGTGATTAAGCGTCTTGTCTCTGCGAATTGGTCTTGGAAAGGCAGATGTTTTGACGAGGGAAGTGTCAAGGACGAGCACGATTCAGCGATTGAAGTCTGGCGGATAGAGGAAACAACAAAAGGCCTCTCAGACGGCGGGGGTCCCTCATATACAAGTGCGACTGACCTACCTTGGTGCCGCAAACATGCTCACTCCGCACGCAAACCTGCTTGAACGCCCGGCCATCTCTACTAACCCGTGGCCACTGGCGGCGGGGAGGTACGTGTAACATGAAGCTATCCTGATCCGGGGGCCGGTATAGTACCCAGATCTACGCCATCTGCGACCTCCTGGGGTTCTGATTGGACGCACCGGCATCTCTTCAGATACCGTTGCCCAGAGACCGAGCTTGGCTTGCGGCTCTGGGGCTATACCATACTGCTCTTACTTGTTCGGGGTGGCATGACCTCTCCCTTCTCGTAGACCACAGCAGCTAGATTACTCTAGAGCGGACCTCCGGACAGCCGCTTTGAGTAGTGACATTCCACGACTCCCTCATTCTTGCCGGATCTGTGCGCTGGAAGAGGAAAGGTGTCACGACCCCCGCTATCAAAGTACACTTTCACAAACGCTGCCGAGGACTCCTACCATCTCTATGTTCACGACTCTGGTGCTAATCTTGAATCCATCAGTCCCTCTTTCTCTGGACACCGCAATTGCAATGTTGTATACTGTTCAATTTCCGAGGATGCTCTGCTGTCTTTCCAATTGAGTCTTCTGGCTGACCCCGTGGCCCAAAGTAGCGTGCTGTCTGCGGTCCGTGCATATCTATCAGAAAGTTTGGCCAGAACCCGGAAGAGTTCTATAAACGGCAACACAACGGGTCAGGGCCTCTTCGATGCAGACTTATGAACACTAAAGTTTTATAGGGAAAATTGAAAGAGAGGCGAAGTAGCTAAGGAAAGCTATAGAGTAAAAATTGACATCCGAGATCTTCTCGAAGATGTTGTCTAGATTGTTTAAGGAATATATTGTAGCTCAGCAAAGATTGTACCATCAATAGTCGCAGTGGTTTAGTGGTAAAATTCGTGCTTGCCATGCACGAGCCCCGTGTTCGATTCACGGCTGCGACATTTGTTTTGTTCCTGTCCTCTTGCTCGAGTGGAATGGATCAGTGGGAGAATCATCAAGTCACACCGTGATTGGAGACAACCACTCTTTTGATCTGCCGACATCAATTTTTCATTGGACCATATAGAGCTAGACCGAACCAGTCACCCGTGTGCAGCTGACAATTCAAGGGCAGAGAAACTTCATATGAGAGTGTATTCATACATAATGATGTACATTTGTTTTCAGTCATGTACACCAAAACATCACCTTAGGTGCGCAGATACCCATAATCCGCTTGTAGAGCACTAAAACTTGCACTGCGGTATGTATCAGGAAGCAGGGTATTACCAATCGCTTGCAGATTCAACAGCGTAGGCTTCGTAGTGTTGTACTGAGGCCAGTTGATGAGTGGAGCGGCGGAACCAAGAGCATTCGGGTCGAGGAAGTTGATAAACGAGGTGTAATAGTCGAGATAAGTCTTTTGGGTGGTGACGCCTCCAACACCAAAGAAAATGCTCAGCAGATCGCTGCCATGGAAGGTTCCCAGTACTGCTGTACCGTAGAGATGGCTGTCGAGGTAGCTCCATGAAGGGACAGTCGAAGAAACGGCGTAAAGAAGTTGTCGACGACGCAAGTTGAAGACAGAATCTCCGAGGATGGCAGCCAGACGCTTGTATTGCGGGTAGATGTTGTTCAACAGGCCTGTTCTGAACGGAGACCCAGCAGTGACATCGTCAGGGTATGTTGCGACAAAGGAAGCCACCACAGATTTAGGAGTGTCCGGGAAAGCACTAGCAACGTAATCGACCAACTGGTCTGTAGTTGTGATGTTGTTTTGCACCAAGCTGAACAGTGGGCCTTCGTCTTCTTGATCTCCAGAGATCAGCGGCACCTTAGCATAGTTACCGTTCGCAACCGCGACCTCGGGACTGACAGGGAAAAACCCATCTGCAGGATCTGGACGAGGCAGGTATGCCAAGTTGACAGACTGGTAGCTGAAAAGTCCAGGTACAGNACTTGAGACATTTGTTAGCTCGTGTCAAATCAGAGAGACGTTCTTACTCACATCGGCGGCTCTCATGAAGGTTTCGTAGTCAACGTTCCTCAAGCAGTTGAGTGTATCACTACTGCCAGAACAACCAGCTGCATTCACTACGACATCGTAGACAGCCTGTGCTTTGGGATGCGCGACGTCCACTGCAGGTACAATGGAACCAGAATCCATGATGGCACCCCTGAACAATGGCTTCCCGTTGTACGTGTTGTCGCCACTGTTGACAATCATTTGATCGAAGACCGAGATCGATCCTGCTGACTCTCCCCAGATAGTCACCTTAGTAGGGTCGCCGCCAAAAGCGGCAATGTTCTCAGCGACCCACTCAAGACCCTTTCTCTGATCTTTGAGCCCAAGGTTGGTAGAGCCATCTGCTTGTAGCTCTTTCCCAGCCAGCCAGCCGAATCCTCCAACGCGGTAGTTGACTGCCACGTAGATGACGCCGTGTCCCAGCGTGGCAGACTCCGCGACTAGAGGAGTACCGTCATACTGTTGAGTAGAGCCTACCTCAAAACNCTGTATGCTGTCAGCTTTCGTATAGCTCAGTGTATGATCTCGATACTGACCGCCTCCAAAGATCCAGAACACCACGGGCAGTCTCGAAGAGGATGTGGTGCCAGCCGGGCGTTGGACGTTGAGAGTTAAACAGTCCTCGCCAGTGTCTGTCGCTGCCTGCACCAGTGGTGACATGAGAAGTTCTCCAAGAACATCTGAAGGTATATTGGTGGTGTCCACCTGGCTAAAAAACTGTGGGCACGCTTTTGGCATGCCAGTAGCTGCAAATGTTCCTGAAGGGTAGGATGCTGTTATCGATTGAGGAGGCTTCAGTCGAAGACTGCCAGTGGGAGGGAGAGCGAATGGGATGCCCTTAAAAGACTCAACATTGCCAGTGGAGCTTCCAATGATCGTTCCGTTTTTGACGACCGCGGAGGGACCAGTTGCACGCTTCTCCTCTACAGGAGCTGCAAAGACAGTGGTGAAAGCCGTCAAGGCAACCAGAAGGGACCGCATGATGACAGGTGGTATGGAGCAAAGAAAAGGCTGGATCTGAATGTACGTTAGGGTAAACAGAGTGCAGCGCACAAGACTTACTTATACCTCTTTGACGAGATCCCGTCTTCAACCTGCAAATTCAAACAGTTGATCGGCCGTAACAACGGTATATCATCCGCGATGTAGCCCTCCATGCCGAGGTGAGAGTAAGTGTAAAGCATCACGCGGACAAGCTCATATGAGACGGCAGATGAGTGGACGCGAGTAGTCGGTGTTGGAGAGCCACAGACGTACGAGAGGCCGCGGTCTGTCCTGTCAAAGTCGTGATGGATTAAGGTTAACCTTATTCAGTGCCCTAGACTGAAGATGGATGAACAAGGGCTCTTGACTTTACCGTGTGCTAAAGTCCGCGATGCGAATCACACAGTACTATTGTGGAGTACAATGGCTTCTTCCATCGTTAGTTCTCACTCCATTCAACTCTGCACCTAGTAGCTTACATCTCCCAGACGTCGCAGCATGAGCAGGTTAGGAGATACGCCTCCAACACATTTGGAAAGGGTCATCTGGTGCCAAGGCAGCCGGTACAAGAACGGTTCGTGAAGTGGGGAACACTTGAAGTCAAACCATGTAGATCTCTCCAAAGGAGACTAACAGTTAGTATACCAGCCCCGCACCTTCCGTTGTAAATTGAACGAGCCTCGGTACGGAGCTGTGGACTTGAGTCTGCGATCAAACCCATTTCTCTTTCTTACCAAAAGCATTGTCACAGGATATTTCCTGTCATGGTCTGATGTACGAATTAGAGACAAATTCAAGACCCGATATGCGTGAAGAGTGTTCTAGTGTTACAAGCAGGCCGGGTCTTGAGGCTAGGCGATAGGTGGCCACGAGATCTTCAGCATCTTCGAACCACGTGAAGTGTTTTGGATGTGCTGAAACAAAGAATGATAGGTCGTGCATGCTCGTCTTGTGCTTATTTAAAGACATGAACGTCACACTTGCTCGAGCGAAGTCGTATATAAACTGCTCGTTTGGATGAGTGTGTCTAGCTGAGGTGTCGAGGTTGTCCGTTTGATGGAAGTTTGAAGCTACATACCAGCGAACGCGAGCCTTTACTAATAGTCATTGCATCCAGAGCCTTGAGCGAAAACGCCTGCTTGCGAATTCCATAGACAGCAAAAATAATCTTGGGCACGACCCTCGCCATAGAGTGCTTATTAAACCCAGCCATACCTGATCGTCAAGGGTTGGTAGGTTTTGAGTATTTTCAATCTTCATAATCATAATCGTAATCGTAATCGCCGTCGTCAAGCAGTCCGTTTCGTCGCTGAGAACGAACCCAATACTNCCTAAGCCGAACAGTTAGCACCTATTTTCGAAACCATGCAGCGCTTTGACGCACATGGTACGTAGAATAGTTTCTAGTGTTAGAGACGTCGACTTGGTCTGCCACATTGACGTAGCCGTCCCGATTCCTGAGGCCAGTCTTGACCAAGCCCTTTAAAGTGCTGCTGTCGACTGCATTCTGCCACTGTGTTCGGCAGTAGGGACAAGTCACTTGCCCATTCCCTTTTGTTGCGGCCCATTGGTCGAAACAGATTTTGTGAAGGTTGTTGCCGCAGGCTGCTTGACACCAGACGATGATTTCCCTCTCCTGAGAGAGCTCCTCGCAGCAAATCGGGCAGTCTCCTTCGATTGGCTTACGCTTTCCGTCCTTGTCTTCGATTTGAATTGACTCGGTAGGCAAAGGTCCGGCGTGGTCAAAGATTTCTTCCAGCTCTGTGGTCAAGAATGCTGCTTGGTAGTTTAAGGGCTCTGAGACTTTCAGAACTTTCAGCAAGACATACAAGATATGTTTGCATTGGGGGTTCCCTCTGACACGAAAGTCCGGGCAGGTGCACTCGGGCACATGTGCTATCTTGACTGTGTAGATGTTGCCCGTGCTGCCAGCAAGGTCAACCTCTTCCATGGGACAATTCGGGGCTTGATGTGGACAGTCGTCATTGTTTGAACGACGCCTGTCAATCACAACCATACGTTGAGTTGTGGCGCGGTAGGCAATAGTCGTATATTTCTGCGGTGCGTGGGTGCGGTGGCTACAAAGCATGAGCTGTCTGAAGGCTGTCCGGCGTCGCATACACTTNNACTGCTTGAGACGTTTCTCCTCGCCTTTGACTGGTTTAGACTTCTTAGGCTTCTTTGACGGCGTTGGAGTATCGTCATCTCCAGTAAGATCGATTATATTTCCTGTGTTTTTGAATTGACCATCAAGACGCGACTTCGTGATTCGCTTGGTATTCGTGTCATCGGACTNGGATGGTCTTCTTAGTTGACTCGCTTTTACTTGTTGCTTTTGAACTGGATGTGGTAGCTGCGGCTTGCGCGTGGATCTTCGAAGCATGTTGTGTTTGGTCACTGTTGTCGTTGTNNCTGTTGCGTTTGATCTCTTTCTCTTTACAGAGCTTCTGGCGCCACAGCTTGCAGGCTGGGGCACAGATTCGTAGCGTTGTGTTGGATTTCTCTCGCGACCACTCCTTCGTGGTTCGAGAATGACATCTTGTACCGCCGAGGAGGGCATAGCTGTAGAATTATACGGCGTTAATCCTTCTATGTTGTTGTTATAAGAATGCGACAAGTTGCGCAGATTGAATCAGAACATGTCGCGGTGAACAGGGTGGCGACCTCAGCAGAGCTCAGAGCTCACGTGATATATCAACTCTGAGTAGGTAGCTCTAGCCGACATGGCATCTGTATCCGAGATGACATAACGGCCTATTCTAGAAGTAAATAATATCTACGGAGAGACGTTATGATAGAATATTTCGATGGCCATACTTCTAGTTTAGAAAGCAACTGTGCGTTTCTGTGATGTACGCGTGACATGTTGTCGTGATGGGAGGAGGACCTCAAGACTTTGTTTAGCACATGAGATGGAGGTTAGGTATCTGGGGCTCTGTCATGCCCAACCTTCTACAGTATTCACTTTACGAGGCTCAGTTATGCTCTCTCTACCCGTTATGCTAACTTCCCTGAGGCTCAATTATGCTCTTGTTTTTATTTGATCAAGGCGAGTCCTGATATCAATTCGAGCCATACGACCGAAATCAGCCCCATCTCCCTGCATTGGATGTGCCCTATTTATAGGTCCTGCATACAGATGCCGTGTGGCCCTGCATACGCCTGTTTCAATGCGAACCTATCCAGAATAGCTCATCACAGCCGTGCTTTGATATGCCGTTGTAAAAGTTTCATTAATACTCATCGCTCATGTCTAGTCCTGTATCGCTGACAATGCCAAAAACGCCATTTTAATCCCTCACCATACCATTTACTATGCACAGGATGAGACACACTAACTTTACATGCTGATGACAAGGGCTGCAACAAGAGCGACAAGCAATGCCGCGGCAGATCCCTTGACATTGGCCGCCGCCGAGGTGGAAGTAGCACCACAGCAGGCACGGTCGTAAGTGACGCCGTTGGCCTTAGCAGCAACCTCGAAAACAGAACCATTTCCAACATCGTAGTAGTCGACCAACAACCAAGTAGGAGGACGGTCCCACATAGNCTGGATTCAAGTTAGTCAAGATGAAACACAGAGGGAACAACAAAACCACTTACCAGTACAGTTATCGTTAGCAGCTCCGAGAGAGCCATATTCGACAACAGCTGCATTAGTGACGTTCAGTTCTGCTGAGTTCGGGATCAAGATGGATTGACCGAAGAGAGCGACGTTTGTGTTGAGGTTGTGGTTGGCGAGATACATCAGATCGTTTCTGGCGGCTTTAGGATCAAGGTTGGGAGGACGCTGAGTAGTGCAAGGAAAGGCACGATCAGTAGGAGAGAAAGGAGTCTCCCACATGTGGGTGAATTCGTCAAGGATGTAGGGATATTTGGTCTGGTCTGCGTTGTAGTCCATGAAGACGACGACGCGCTTCTGAGACAGAATCATTTCGGAAAGAGTAGGCCACTGGTCGAGACGCATAGGAATGTATGGTGGCTCGTAGAGGTAGTCGGCCAGGTTGGACTGCTGGAGAACCTGACTGTAGTTTCCCGGCTCGATGAAGTCACTGTTGACAATGAGGAGCGTCACAACATCGTATGGATGGTCACGGACCCAGTCGCCAACTTCGTTGAGTTCTTTGAGGTATGTGCCAGCGTTAAGAAGCTCGCAAGACGTGTGGCAACTGTAAAGTGAGCCGTTCACATAGTGTGTCTCGCCTTGAATCATGCGGATACCATCGTTGAGCTGGACAGTAATGCTGCGATCCTGGTTGGAAGCAATATTACCAGGAATGTTGAAAGCGGCGTTGTGAGCGACAACCTCGGTGATGTTGCCGTACTTGCGGTCGCAAAACTCAGGGTAGTTGTTGCAGGGTGTAGTGTTTGTAGGTTTGGCACTGCTGCTGGTGCCAGTACCGGCAGCGGATGAGGTACGGGTCGAGTTCAGGTGCGAGCTCAGAGTAACAGTTCCATTAATGACGCTCTGAGTGACGACGCCTCCTCCACCAACCAGTAGAGTGGCAAGACTGGTCGAGCCTTTAGAAGCCGAGGTAGTTGTGATACTTCCAGTGCCAGATGACGAGCCAGTCCTTGAACTGGAAGACGATGTGGAGGTCTCTTCGGCATAGAGAGTTGATGCTGTGATTTGCGAACCGAGGGACTTGTACGAATACATGCCTCCAGTAAAGACTGCAGACGATGTCTCACTGCCAGTCAAGGTAACGACAGAGGGGCTGCTAGAGCCACTGCCGCTTCGAGTGCCAGACCTCGAGGCCGACGATGCTGAAGATACGCCAGAGATGGCGACAGTGCTGTCAGAAGATTGTGCGTTGGAGCCCAAGGCCAGTAGGGCCGCGAGCCAAAGACTGCGAGGCAACATGTTGGCGCGGAGAGTCGGTAACGATAGAGATGCAAGTGCTGCCAGGCGACAGCGAACGTCGAGGGTAAGACAGAGAAGATGAAGCACAACAGATCAACCCTCGCTAGCTCCTGCAGGACGAAAAATGACGGTTGACGATGGCGTGTGCTCTGATAGGTGAGTGACGTCTGTGGAGAGTGGTCGGAAGAGCTGGAGAAAAAATGGGCAGTGTTTTTGTACCTGGTACATACAAAACAAACCCACGTATGATAATGAGGCTATCCGGGAGTGCCGCGTAAGTTTGCTGGCTGTTGGGCCGCAGTTTGATTCGCGATAAACAGACGCCAGGCCGTGCGAAGAAGAAAAGGAGGAAATATCAACAGATCAGCCTGGAGATCTCTCGAGCTGCTCCGTGCCAACCATGCAGATACCGAGCGATCCTAACCATCGACCTCTAGGATTTACATCATTCTTCCATCTTGCAGCCAATTTGACCAGCACATTTTCGCTGCTTAACCAGAGCGACGTTAACTTTGGCATGGCCGAGGACAAAGATGTGGCTTGCAAAGGCACACGCTAAACGGATTGCCGCAAGGTTCCGACCTTAACATGATGTAATTCCAAGGGTTTGCCCGTGCATTCCACCTAACCTTATGCGAAAACGAGCGTACGGATACGCGTGGGATCAGGGAGAGCACAGAGAGCAGAGAGATGCTGATGCAGCCACCGCAGATGTTGTAAGCTTTGGCTCGCGCTAATATCTCCTTGTCAGCCCAGATCCAAGAAAGACGACGCGGACATCTCTTCTCCAAGCACATCAACGAAACCTGGGCCGTTTTTGCCCTGTCGTCATCGTACGCCTGCTGTGCTTTGAGACGTTGTTTTCCTCTCGGTGTTTCTATCTCATCATCCAGAAATTTCAAGTCTTCTGCATTCATATCAGACCGCTGTCGACTCCGTTCGCCCAAACAATTCTCGTCTCCCCACACGTCGCTCTCCACCATGTTCGGTCGCAAAAACCGCGACGTTTCTCCTGAGGACAGGGTCCCGTCAGAGGAGACCGATCGTACCTTGACTCCTGGCATCGATGGCCCTACCAAAGCTCAAGTCAAGAGAGCAACTCGCACTCGTATGATCTGGGCTTTGATTTCGTCCTTCCTCCTCCTCCTGACCGTCGTCTTCATGATCCTCGTCGAGGTTGGCTGCACCGGCACTGGAAGCATCAAAAGCAGTATCTACTTTATCAACATCGACCTGACCAACATTTTCCCCGAGTCTGTTCCCGATGCTGCTATCATCAACTCTATCGCCCAGACTATTGGTCTGCATGATTTCTACCGCGTTGGTCTTTGGGGTTTCTGCGAGGGTTACAATGGTCAGGGCGTCACCGATTGCTCCACACCCGAGACCCTTTATTGGTTCAACCCTGTGGAAATCATTCTTAGCCAGCTGCTCGCTGGCGCAACCAGTAGGTCTACGCATGCTACACAGTTGTCGTTTGACTCCGGCTAACACGGTTCTTCAGTCGCACTCCCTACCGACGTTACCGATATCCTCGGTCTCATCAGAGTCGTATCGCACTGGATGTTTGGTCTCTTCCTAGCCGGTGCCTGCTTGTCCTTCGTCATGATGATTCTGAACCCTTTGGCCGTCTTCTCTCGCTGGCTCACCTTATTCACCGGCATCTTTACCTTCTTGGCCGCTCTCTTCGTCACCGTCGCCACCGTCATCGCTACCGTCATGTTCATCATTATGCAGAACGCATTTACCTCGGTCCAGGAGCTCAACATTGGTGGAGAACTAGGCACCAAGATGTTCGCATTCATGTGGATCGCAGCGGCCACCTCAATCCTTGCTTGGTTGATTCAGACCAGTCTTTGCTGCTGCTGTGCCAGCAGAAGAGACGTCAAGAAGGGAAAGAAGACGGGCAGCAAGAAGGCCTGGCAAACAGAGACACCTGGAATCAACGAAAAGGGATCCAGACGTGGAGTCTTTGGCCGCAAGTAGTTTTTCAAGGCGCCAAAAGAGATCGAAAATGTGACATAGAGTGAAAAGAGGATGTGTATATTCAAGGCATACTGGACATAGCCACGGCGTTTTTTTTGGATGTGCATAAGCAGAGCGATTGGGTCGGAATAAGTAATGTACCTAGAGTAACGATATCGAGTTAACGTGTAATATACGAGACGAAGTCATGACTGCAATTGTTTCCTGACTGTGCCGAGGGAATGGCAACACCAGACAAGTCAAGGTGGATAGCAGTCTTGTCCCTAACATAAAGATACCTCGAACCATGCAGCTGGTATAGTATCTGAGAACTAGGCCAGGGTCGCCCACAGTCTTGATCTTGAGCGAATTCGGTAGATCTAGGGCTGCAATACTGTCTAACTTGATTGCACGAGGGTGAGGACCAATGTAACGGTTGTGTACCATCAAGCAACAGCTAGTCGTGATAGACCCACATAAAGCATCACGGCCGTGGGGGTAGAATTGCTTGGTTCAAGTGAGTACCGGGACAGCCGGACATGTATACTTTTCTTTGTACAGCAAAGGGCCTTCTCATCCGAGTTTGTTCAACAACGAATGCGAGTCTGCTGCCGTCATGAATGTGAATGATACCTTGTCGTTGACGTCGTCACAGAAAGTGAAACTTCAGACCCCAGGTGTCGTCAACTCTGCCCCAAGGCAACCAGAACGATGTTAGAGTTCTTCCTGATCGTCTCTAGAAGCAGCAAGCCCTACATCACCATAGAGCGACACAGAAAGAGGAATCTCCAACTTATGGGCCACACAAGCCCTGCCTTCTTCGATCGGTGCAGAGCAACCTTGTGCACCCTACTCAACCAGAAGGTGAAATTACATAGAGGAGGCTGTGTCGAGAATACTGTTCAACAGGCAAAGGGCGTGATCGTTCACGAATCTGCACATACCATGTCGTGACAAGAGAGGAAGCCGGGTTGACCTCGTTCAAGCTCAACAGCTTGGTGGCCTCGGGTTGAGTAGAACAGAGCGGGTGTTTCATCGCTCTCACCACCGGCGACAAATACATAGGGCAAATAGAGTGGATGCGGGTGAAGAATAGTGAAATTAGGATCAATGCCTTGGCTGCATATGGAGAAGGACAAGCGAGTAATGGCTCGAGCCAGAAGGAAGCTCGGCTTTGTTTCCAAATGATGGCCTGCCGTGCGCAGAGTGGCACGCACACAACAATGGCATATACAGAGGTATGAGAAGGCGGGCGGCACGTCCCACAGGCGGATTTCGTTAAGGCCCCAATCTCCTTGGTGATGAGATGGGTCGAAGAGAGCGGGACCGGTGTTCGGCAGCGGAGTGACATCGAACCGTCTCTTCTTGGACAACAACAAAACAACACGGCGAGTGGGTGAGAAGTGGATAAGCGAAAAGCTTGGAAGCGGGAGCTCTGACCAGTTCTTCAGGAACAGGCAAGTCACCTTGCCGCATTGGGGGCACATGTGCGCGTACCTGCATCTGCGACGCGGGTTAGAGTTTCGTCGTGAGACTCGGACGACAGAAGGGGGTTGTAGAGTTTTGGTAAAGGGAGGAGAGTCGCAATCAGGACTCGATATCGGCACGGTGCCGAAGCTGGGTGGTCGTTGTGGCCCTCGAGGCAGGCGCTGCAAGAGCGATGGAACTCGAGCTTGAATTGCCAGGTGCCCAAGATGAGACGGCGGATGGAAGATCATTGGAAGGGAGCACAGTTGGAGGTGCAGGACGGGTGGGCCGGTATTAAGATTGCTGACGGGCGTGCCCCCCCTAGCGGATCGAGGAGCCCGGGGCGTTGTGGTCTCGCCAAGGGCACGACATTCCTCGTTTCTCGACCCCGACCGACTTGGACTCTTTGATGTTTGTTCGCTCCTGCTTCTCTGCTGTGCACCGTATCCTCTGACGCTCTTTTGACCCGCATACCATTAATTCACCCCAGTCACTCTTTGTACATACATTCGCCAAAGTCTTTCATTCAATACATCCCCTGGATCATAATACCCGTCCATCTCTAATCGCCGATAATACTGCCTGGATGTGCTACTGCCAATAACCGCCCGACCTCCTGGACACACAATCGCCGACTCGCACGGCAACCACCACCAACAACAACAACAGCACAATGCCTGTCACGCTCAGTTCACACCACAGATGGCACGTGCCTGACCAACACATGCCGAACATTGCGACTTTTGCAGATGCCACAATCAACGACGGGCCAACGCTGGTGCAGCGCTCAGCTGAGTCCTCGCCCACGTCGACTTGCAAGGCTGGAGACAACACGGGAACGTGCCAGAAGCCGACGACTGCTGGCAACACAACCAGCATCATCATCGGTGTGGCCGTAGCGTGAGTCCAGCATTCCCTGTCCTGTGCCTGCACCTTTCTGACATGTCCCACACAGNNCGTACCCTTGGTTGCTGCCGCTCTCGTCTTGTTTTTCCTGCACAGACGCGTCAAGCGCAAGCACGCACAGGAAGACCGTGACGACAAGTACAAGTCGCTCGACTTTGGCCTAGACAATGTGCCGGCCGGCGGTAGAGGGCGCAAGGGCGTGCCCGAGATGACCGTCACCGACATGGAGAAGTCGATGAAGCACGCCATGCACACCAAGGGACTCTCGCTCGACATGATGAACACGCCATACCTGATGCCTGCTGCCGTCAACAGCTCGTCCTCATCGCTGCACACGATATCTCGCTCAATCACAGACGGCGAAGACCCCTACCGTCCTGTGACCATGATCAGCACCCACTCCAACTCGATCCCCGACCGCACCTCTTCACGTCCCAAGCCTGGCAATGCTTCTGTCTACACCGACATCAGCGAGCGCTCTGACAACCTCAATGCCGGACTTTTGTCCAACGCTCAACGCATGTCTGTTTCCAACCCCTTCATGGACCAGTCTCCTGAACGCACCCACTCACCAGCCTACCCGGCCGCTGCTCCCGCTCCTCCACCGCCGGCCCACGTGAACACTTCATTCTCCAACTCTGCTACTCCTCGTAACAAGCCTGCTCCGCCAAAGCTCGCCATGCCCGATCCCGATGTCTTCCACGTCACTCCACCTTCGCCGCCAGAACACCAGCGTGCTCCTGCTCCCCTTGCTCACCAACAAGATGCCGCTGCTGCTCGTTATCCTGCCGACGACTATGCTCAAGACGCTCTGCACGCTGCCGCTCCTGATGCACGTCGTGTATCTGTCATGGGACTTCGTCCTCTTCCTCCGGATCATCCTGACGACAATCCTGAACAGCGTGCCAACCGTATCCGCTCCTTTTACAAGGAATACTTCGACGACAGCAGACCCAACCCTGAAGGACAGTACCAGAACGAGTATGAGGCCGACATCTACGCCGACTACACTGCCTACATGCACGAAGCTCCCCAAGCTCCATTCGCCCAGCCCATGGCCCGCCGTGCCATGACNCCNCCTCCCCGTGTGGGTGGAGGCCGCGTCCGTAGCAACACATCTTTTGGTTCAACCGGCCACATCGCCAACCCTGCTTTCCGCCGTCCTGCTCAGCAACCCAAGAAGAAGCTGCCCCCACCTATTGCTCTGCACGCCCTGCCCACTCCTTCTGCTCTGACCGACGACATGACTTTCACCCCCACCCTCTTTGCTCCTCCCGTCTCCTACCGTGATCGTCAAGCCGGTCGCACACCAGACAGCCCCTCAAGACCTTACAGCCCTTCAGTCCGCGCTTTCACACCTCTGGCAACGAGCTTTGACGATCTTGCCGTCATTCCCAGCGCGTAAGTCATTTCTGCGACATCTATGTGATTTCACTCTTGCTGACCATTCTTGTTCCAGNNACACGCTCTCCGCAAATCTTCGACCTTCACTGCTCTAGACTTTGCTCCCCCACCACGCTTCCGTAACGAAGGTACCGCAAGTGATGCTGGCAGTATCCGCAGCAATCGCAGTGGCATCTCCAATGTCCAGCAGAACGCCATTCGTGCCGGTGCTTACCGCGTCAGCCGTCTGCCCAACGACATGGTTGGCACACAAAGCGATCTTAACGCAGCCCTCAAGCCCACCTGGGACATGAGCCGCTAAGAGGATCCTTCTTCTTGTACACACATACAGTCTTTGTTTGCTTTGTGCATTATGCTAGCCAACCACGATGTTGTTTATTCTTCTAGCCCGGCGTTGGGCATGCATACGCCTTCTTTTTTTCTTGGGTTTCTACCTTCTTCACGTTCATCAGGGGCAAGGCGTATAGGACAAGATTTGTTTTCTACTAGGTCTTTCGGATGTGGGTCATCTTCTACACGGCGTAAAAATCTCGATTCTCAAATCACCTTCTTTGGCGGCGACTAACGTCTTGTTGGTCTACTGCTCGACTCGCATCTGCAGCGACAGTTGTGCTCCCTTTTCTTTTGGACTTTTGCGTCTTCTTTTACTACTTCGAGTACATACTTCTCTTTATGTGGAAAAGCACTGCCTTTCTCGAATCTCTGCCAGTCTTTTCGTCTGCGAACGTATGACATTGTTACGATGAAAAAGATCAGAAATCAGAATTGTAAGGGTTATACGTTATTGCTAATATACTCCTAGAGAGTAACCTGTTTACATGGTCTTATTGGCACTACTCAGCAAGAGCGTGCCATGAAACTGCACAAAGCGTTCCGGAGATAGGACACTTCCATAGAGCAGTGAGGATTGCTGTTCCCAGCGGAGAAACCCCTGAGTACAATTATGCTTGTGACAGAACCTAAGTCGAGGATGGTTTGATGTTATGTTCAGAATGTTTTGACTATATGCCTCAATCGTTATTGAAACATGCATATATGCAAATGATAAAGTGTATCTGATCATCTTGATTCTGATCAAGAGCCAGCACCACAACTGAATCTAAGCTGCCAACTACCTCCTACCAACCCTTCGACCTCAATATCTCCAGTCTGGTTTGCAGAAGCCTGGATATCTAACACGACATCCTTGCATCTCCCTTGCATCTCGTGCAATCTCAGGACACCAGCACAAGAGGGATAAGGCACTGCCACACCACCTCTAGTTCCTACAGGGGTGGAGAAGTCCATGGACACCCCGCCGTCGGAAGTCATGTTGGTGTATACCTCAAACATACCCACTGGAGTCGAAAAGCCTGCGTGGGCGGTACTCAGATCGGCCAGCCTAGGTGCAATTTTCCAGGTTCTTCCGCCTGCGGTGACGAGTTGTATGCCAGCGATGTACTGAGACAAAAAGGCTGTGGGGCCTGTGGACCAGCCATGTGCGTGTGAAATGCGAGGGTCGTTGGTGTAGGGAGCATAATGGGTTGCTCCGTCAAAGGCATAGCCTTCGATAAACGTGCTGTTGGTCATTCGCGGGTCGTCGAGCATGAATCCCCATTCGAGGCGCATGAGTTCGAGGGCAGCAGTCGCGTTGTTGGCGCGCAGATGGGCTTCGAGCTCGAAGGCACCGATGAAAGGAGAGACAGCTTCGTCTGCCTCAACGGCAGGTGCACCGTATGGTCCCCAACGTGCGCGGAGAGAGTTGCTGATAGCGGAGGCTTGGGTGGAGTTGTTCGTGAGGTTTGCGAGCACGGCCCAGCTGTTGCCATCCTGAGGCATTAGTGTCGTGGTCTCATTATCGCGATATAAGCCCGCTGTTGCGTTCCAGAGCATGTTGTTGGCTGATTCTTTGATGCCAGATGCGTAAGCTTCCCAGGACGACTTGACGCTACTGTCATTGAGAGCAGCAGCTAGGGTCAGGCCTTCGTTGATGGTGAAGTATAGAATTGCGTTTGCTTCAATGTTGTGACCACCTTGACCAAAGCGGAGCCAATCATCAGGGCTTGTGACGTTCATTAGGCCAGTTTCATCGATGAAGCTGAGAGAGAAGTTGAGCCCGAGTTTCCAGGCGTTCCATTTGTTCTGAACATATTCGAGGTCGTCTGTGAACTTGTAATAGTCACTCACACCGATGAGGTTGTAGAGATGATAGGTCGCAGAGTACGTGTCTTGTTTGAACGGATATCCTGCATAGGGAAGCTTGCCTGATGCATTCTGCAGAGAGAACAGGTTGTCGATGGAGTTGGTGATGGCTGCATCGTCGCTGATGGAGACGAAGAGAGAAGGAGTGATGACATGCATATCTCCAGGCCAAATCAGGCGGTCACGTTTCGCGCCATCGACGAGAACAACGCTCGAGTTGGCTATGGTTGTGTTGGCGTACCACGACCACGGAGCCACGGTATCACCAGGAACACTCGAGTTGATCTGATCCGAGTGGATGAGAGCATCACCATGATGCGGGTCGATGGCGCACATCTATCTCTTGTCAGCATATGATCTCGAATGACAGGATACGATACGTACCTGGATGGTATATGCTCCTGCATACCAAATGCGGTTCAGTAGCTCATCTGTAGCACAGTCAATCAATCTGGGCTAGAAACAATGTAAGTCGATCTTACCATCTGAGTGGAAGAAGCCAGTGTAGTTCCTCAGATCCTCTGTGGTTGGTGAGGGCGTGAATTCAACCGTCACCTCAGTGACCTCGATGTCTCCAGTGGTGTTATGTATCAGGCTCAGGTATCTGAAGCCTCCTCTTTCATGCTGACGGTCCACAGACACAACGCCGGGACCTGAGGGATAGAACCACAAAGCTTCATCCATGCCAGAGTCTTGAGTGGCATCACAAGCAATGCCGGAAATCCATTGCGAGCTCTCGGAATACGTGATGGCGATGGACTGATTCGTGTCTGTCTTGTTGCCAATGGTCAAGCTCACGAGGCCACCAATGTTGACACCGAAATCGTAGGTAACGGCTGAGACGCCTTTGAAAATGGCCGAGCCCGGCGCATCACTTGCAAGGCTAGAGGCTCCAGTAATGGTTCCATTAACTCTGTCCTGATAGACAGCAACTGGGTGGATAGTTCGTGATTTAGGAGCCAGGATATACTCGTCGTACATGGAAGCGGCTGCTGCCAGCCCGGTAAAGGCAAGCAACGATAAAGACTTCATGATGGAGATGGTGTTTTAAACAGGAAGGAACGCCTGGTGAGGATGGTCAAGCAATACTTATATGTCCCGTCTGTATGCCGAGAAAGCGGCCCTTGGCTCTAAGCGATCTATACATCCTCAAGAAAGTTAGTTTGGTATGAATTGGCATGGATGGAGAGTGGTTCAGCATCATATGATGACGATGTAAGAATTGAGATGGAGATGATGCGCGCAGTGTGGGGGTTCTCAGAAACTGCCACTCGCTTTCTCGGCGAAGTGTAGCCCGAATGCAACATCAACTCGCAGTTCTTCAAAAGATCGCCCTTTCTGGTTTCCTCTTCTGTAGAACGAGATAGGGTTTGTGAATTTGCGCTTTGCACACCAGTGCAAGAAGCATAACTTAAGTCTTGCAATGGCAGTGCTCGGAATTCACCAACAATGTGGTCCTATGTGGACTTTGCATACTAATACAATGATCTTTCTGCGGAGCTCCAAACATGAAAAATACTGAATCAGGTCAAGGAGGCTTCCTGTCTAGAACCAAAACAGAATAGACCTAGTCGAGGTCGGCACTGCTTGTCGAGACAGCAGTGGGATAGAAGTTCATCTTGCCGCCGTGCCCAATGACACCAATGCGGTCGTACAATGTCCTTGCGCGGACATAAGGGTCGAGTTGCCAGTAGTTTTGCAACAGCTCCTGTCTCAGTGCCGACCTTTGCTCTCCCTTGTTCTCGCCCTTGGCCCAATGTACCGTCTCGGTCTGGTATTTTTGTACCAGCTCCTTACGTTCGGCTTCGATCTTGTCTTTTGTTGCCGCGTCCTTCATCTTGTCGTTCTCGCCCTCCCTAGGCTCGACGTAGTGGTACTCCCAGTCCTCGTCACCACCGAGCTCTTTCGAGATCTGACTCTTAGGAATGAAAGCAGAGAGCTCTTCGACATTTGAGCAGAAGTTGATCTTGGAAGCAACAACGGGATCGAGCCAGCCACGGATGATCTTCCAGATGCCCTGGAAGACCCAAGGAGCCTTGTAGACGAGGACACTGCCCAGCGATTCAGGGTAGTTGGCTTCGAAGCACTTGATCATGAATTTGACAGGAGTGTAGTCCATGTTTGACATGGAGAAACCCGTCATATCGAAAATAATGGNTCTTGGAGCTCAGGTCAGCAATCAAGTCTTGTGGCAATATATTGTTCGACTCACAGCCGTGTCAATTGGGGGTCTGAGCATCATGCGAGCAGTGTCAATAGTGTAGACGGTAAATCTCTCGAGACTCTTTTCTGTTTGCTCGCCAGCGCGATGCAGTCTAGCTCTGACAACGCAAACAGGTCTTCCCTCGGCGTCGACACCGTGCAGGAAACTCTTGCCCATGCGCAATTGAGTGAGGAAGTCCTCGGCATCTTTCTTTGTAGTCGCATCTGAAGCAGATTTGGCGTCGATCAAAGCGCCTCCTTCGCCCTTGTAGACGATGTCGTCGTCGACGTGCATTTCCTGAGAGCGCCAGTGGAGAGTCGAAATCATCATGACGAGGGCAGCTTGAACGTCCCATTTGCGGGCACGCAGGAATCGCAAAAGCAGGGCGTCGGGATCGTCGTGCTTGACCATGCCCCAGAAGGCGGTGCGCAGCGACTCGGGACTCTGGTTCTGGAGGGCTTGACGGAACTCCTTGGCCTGGCCGTGCTTGTCGTTCTCATCGTCTGTATTTTCTGCCGAGTGATCGGCATCCTTGTTCTTGCGAGAGAACATGGACAGCTTGGACTTCTTCTTAGGATCGGCAGCGGCAGAGGTGGAAGCGACGGAAGCGGCATCGACACTTGGACGAGCACCGCTAATGACGCCAAAGACGTCGAGGGTTTGCAACCACAGCTCGCGCAACTTTTCCTCTTGATCCGGAGTGAGGCTACCCGGGCGTCCCGGTAGGGTGGTAGGAGCCATGTCTGGTTCTGAGAGCGGTTCCGAAGGGGTAGAGAGGACAGGAGTGTCAGGGAGTGTAGGCTTGTCGGAGTGTGGAGTTTGGTAGTATGTGTCTACGATGTAGGCGGTCGCGAAAGCAGTAGAAATGGCAAGGAGGAGTGTGACAGGATCCAGACGACTTTCTTTGGGATGTCCAGTCGGGCGCGTGGGGAAGTGATGGCGTTGACGCAACTGTGGGCGGACGGGCGAGGAGCGGCAAGCACGGGTGGCTTGGATTGACAGGCGACACGAAGCTGAGGGAAGGGCAGACGAGGGGCGGGCGAGGTTGAAGATGCGAAGGGGACGCATCTGTTGGAGATGTCGGAGCAGCAGAGAGGCTCAGCAGACATGCCGAGATTGAAACTCCCTAGGCCCGCACTCGCGACAGCACCGCAGTTTTGCATGACGTCGCTTATGTCATGTCAGTCCTTTGACTTTGTCCCATCTGGATCACTATTTCTCCTCATGCTTTCTCGTCCGAGTCTAATTCCAGTGTGAAGGTTTACCAGGATCATAGAACAGTACATGCCGCAAGACAGCATCTCACGCGAGCAAGTTGCAGACAAGAACAGATGTGAGCTCCAGCATCTGCCTCGTGCTTGACGGCGGGGCACGCTTCCGTCCTCTTGGCGCCATGCTGCAATCAAAACATCCCATCTCGCATTCACCTCGCACGCATTGAAAGCATATCCCACCACAATGGCTTCGACAACACCCACCTCAGCACCGCCCTCGCGCGCTCGCTCAGCATCTCGCTCCCGTAACAACATGCCCTCGCGACCAACCACTCCCCTACGACCACACTCTCGCACCAGTCTCCGAGCCTCAATCACGACCCCCACAAGCGCAAATCAATTCTCCGACCAAGCAGTCCCACTCGAAGCTCTGGAACCCGCTTTCGGTGAACTCGCCGATGGCATGGCCGACCTGGAAGCCAACATGATGCACCTGCAACTGCTGCACGAGAGTCTGAACCGCTTCAACGAGTGCTTTGGCGCTTTCCTCTACGGCATGAACATGAGTGCTTTCTGTGTCGACTTTCCCGAAGCCCCCGGCATTGAAAGCTTCAAGCGTGCCGCCGAGGCTGCAAAGAACCAGGCTCAACAGGATAACGCCATGTCTGCCGAAGTCCATCATCGCGAGAGAGACGTGGACGCTACTTTCCTGTACATCATCTTCACCCTGTCGCGTTATGAACCTATCACTGATCACAAACCCGCAGCACTACCGACACTAGCTTCGTCGAGAACCCTCCTACCCCAAAGACGACTCGGACCAACAGATCTACAATGGCTCCTCCCTCCACTACCTCGTCCAGAACCACTCGTGGCGCCAGCTCCATATCTAGAGGAAGGGGTACACCAGCTGCTCGCGGAACAAGAGCTGGCGGTATAGCCGGCTCTACAAGGGGCTCCGCCATCGGACGAGGCAGAGGTAGAGGCATCATCAGATGATTGCGACTCACTGGAACACCAACCATATTACCTTTGCACTGGCGAGTCAAGAGACCATCGACCTGGTCCCACGCGACACGACCAGTCCGAAACAATTGTTGAAATGGTTGTAGTAGACATTAAGTTTGCTATGAACGACAGGTGGAACGCCAAACGTCTATCTCCGGAAAGCCAAAGCCAAAGCCAAAGCCAATCATCTTCGCTTGTAATGCCGCTTAAACTCCCAGAGGGTATAACAAGTCAAAAAGAATGATGCGACTCGAGACAACGTCAACATCTAGCGGGCAACCCACACTCGCATGCCGCATCGCCGAAGCACTATTGTATCCGTGTATTCGGTTGAGAAGACCCTGAGCCTGCGTCTTTACACAGTCTTCTCCTTTCTCACTGCCCATCCTTTGAGAGCAAAGCAAAGAGCGGCCCAGGACATCACTAGAGCAGTCAGACCCATAGCGATGGTGAAAAGGAACATGGCATCCAGGCCGTTGCTCTCAATCGTGCTCACGGCATCTGTGGAGCTGCCCATAAAGATCATACCACCACCGATCAGGCAAAAACTGGCCACTAGCTCGGTCGGAGGGCGGCTGGGGAAATATGACTTTGGTGGTGCTAGATAGAGCAAAACATACGTCGCTGCTCTAGCTATTGCAAAGCCCATAANAAGGTTGCCCCATTGTTTGTGCAGCATCGTCGAAACCATGCTGTGTTGATGGTGACCTGACATGGACATTCCCAAAAGCATGATGACAAGGCCAGGCATTGGGTTGAGACTCGTCTTGTATGTCTTGGGCGCCTCCCACTCTTGACGTTGCTTCTCGACGGCATCACCAAAGAGTGTGGCCTCTTCCTGCCAGGTCGAAACAGAGGTGTTGAACAGGTTCCTGATTTTGTCACTCTCAATCAACATGCCCATCAGACCGCCGCCAAAGAACATGATGGTGATGCTAATGTGCTCGAGATCCTGGGCGCTCCATGCCTTTCCCCAAGCATTGAGATGCTCGAGGAAGACATTGCTGGCTCCGTACAGAAAGATGACAAAGGACTCGACAAACTCGGCCGAGGGAAGTCCGGCCGCGAAGCGAGATACCATGGGGTGTCGCGGCTTGACGTTCCACGCCCAACCAAAGTCCGAGAATGCACCCGTCCATCTTCCAAGAGTCAGGATACCGTACCAAAAGAAGATGCCGCCCTTGACGGCATGCGCCATTCCAGAAAAGATGAGGCGTTCGCGCTGTTGGTCTTGTTAGCATGGTCATGTACGTACATCACTGTTGTTGCTTACATAGAGACCACCGAATACCACACCACCACTTATCAAGCTCACGAATCCAAGGACTGGCATGCAACGTTCAATCAAAGTGAAGATGATCTTGAAGGCTGTAAGTGCTCGGCCGGATGAAATGCGAGGAACTCTGCGCGAGAGGAAGCGATCGACCGGGTTTTTCTGTATGAAACCTTGCTCTTCAAATGCATCCTCTTCATCAACATCTTCTGGAGTTTCAAGCTTGTGCAGAGGTACCGAGTCCGAGCTGGGCGAGCGAGATCCAGAGCAGAGTGTCGATGAATCATGGCCCGAATCCCTGGACCACCTATGATCCTGCAGACGGTCATATTGCGCAATGTTATCGGTCGTCATCGCATGTCTTTCCTTAGCCTTCTCGGATCGGGCCTTGTACAGGTTCAGAAAAGTCATGAGGAACCATGCCGTGGCGATCCAAGACACTGCCCATCCCATCTTATGGTGTGAATTGTTTGGATAAAAGTCTGANNGTGTCTTTGCATCGTAAACGATGCTGGTGAAAAGGCCGAGTCCGTTGACGGCTAAGAAAGCAAATTGCGCCGGGATCGTGAAGCGCGAGCGAGCTACGCTGAAAACGACGGCTATNNACCCTGGTCAGCATCGCGAAGTTCTTCAGGCACACAGACCGAACTGCTTACCGATAGGTAGAACCACTGCCCATGCGATTGTCATCAAAGCTATGTGGGCATACATCCAGCTTGCGAACCCCGGATACCGCAAGTAGTTGTGCGGAACAGCCGGCGTCACTGCTGCTGTTATGTTATGTGTGTTTCCCATATCCATGGCCATCCCAGCATGCTCATGCTCATCGCCGTGAGCGGCCACCAAAGGAAGAACTGCGAGCAGGAGCCCTGCTGCGCTAGTCAAAGATATGCGATCAAGCAGCAGCATCAAGAGGATCAGTTACGACAAAGATCGAGATGCAAGTGTGTTGTTGGGGAATAGTTTGCGCGCGCAGATGGAGAAATGCAATAGCAATAAGATAATGGGTGGCTGGTCGAAAGATGCTTTGCTGGTCCACACAGTACTGAGACACAATGACCAGGTAATGAGACCGCAAGAAGACAGATTAGCGCTATGCAAGAGTACTTGTACGAGAGCGACGAGAAGGTGCGGCTCAGAAAGATCAGGAAGGAAAGAACGAGTTGATGACGGCGAGGTGAGCCAACCATTTGATTTAATAGCATCGACACCGCGACTACCAGATATGTCGAATCAGAACATGTGAAGACTCTTCCTTGCTGCCGATTCCGAGCCATACCGACGAATGGGTCATGGTATTGTAATCATGGTGTGTATGCCATCACCTTGATCGGAAATCTTTTAGATGACTTTCGTTCGGTATGACGCTACCCTAAACAAACGCTCCCTTTGCCGGCCGATCCCTTAGATCCGCCGCCTTCCGTCGTTAGGGGCTTCCATTTGTTCACCTTCTACACGTGTACGGAGAGCAAGTCCTTCCCTNNAGCAATTCTAGTAGAGNNACATGGATGATGCGAGGATGTCGCGTCTGTGTCTCGGCTTCAAAATTCGAATCTTGAAGCTTCGGTCNNTGAACAAACGACCTCAGCATCTCTATGTTTCTGAACTTCTGTCTTCAAACATCCTTGCGACATCTTGTTCATGCTTTCATGTTTTCATCAATCGGTGAGTCAGCATTCGGGTTCCGATCATCCATATACAGCAGGTAGAGCTTGAACAAACCACATCGCGCCTTGGCAANNGATGTTCACGCGCGACACATGCCCATGCCAATCGTCAAATCGGGTTTCTTCGACTTCANNCGGCTATTCGGCCTTCCTTCGCGCAAACATACATCTATGTACGTTTAGGCGACAATTTTGAAGAGATTTCTTTGTGCCCAACGGACTTAGCTATGGCTGCTGACATATCAACCCTATCATGTGCTGGCCTGACTGGCTGTTCTTGACCAGTGAAAAACAATCCTCACGCGGCGACTGACAGCTTCCACTGCATCCGAAACATGCATGAGTACTTTATTCTATGCTGCCGAATGACTTGTCCAACCCAAGAACGTTGATAAAGCACCGCCGAAGTTCCATGCATCATTGCAGTTCGTTACCTGTCGCTCGCTCGCTCACATGATCCCTTTGCATGCCTTACTTCCGATTCCGAGCCATCCGCGCCCATACCACGAATCCTTCTTGGCTTTCCCCCAGCTTCGCAAAAAAAATCCAGAGGTAAAAGAACCGCCGACTGTCGTTCATGGCTCGTACCGTTTTACCGAGTCACGCCTTTGCTTCTATCATCGAAAGTCGTCTTCTCCGTTCAATTCTTCATCCTTCCAGAAGGATAATCACCTTCTCACGATCTGCAAAATCTTTGCACATCATCTCGCAAGATGCATTGTCCANNACCTCGAGCGTTTTCATCTCTTGAAGGCATTGTCTTCTCCGTCCGGAGGTCCAGTACAGAGGAACCCTACTGTCTCCTTGACGCTATCGCATTGATACTGTCGTGGTATTGTGTTGTTCGAGTTGTTCTCCAGGACCATATTCGAGATATGAATATCGCGGCAAGGTGCTGCTGCACTGCACTGCATTGTCGTCGCAACATCTCCACGTATCGTGCCTGAGAAATCGCTCAGGAACACATCGCGGATGTTGAACTTTGAGGTGTCGCAATCACCTGTCATGGTCAGCTAGGCTTCAGAGCAAGGTCTAGATACAACTTACCCTTNGTTACCCTCGAAGTTTGTGCACTGGGTGANCTTTGGCAAGATTCAGCATCGGATATCCTTCCAAACAGCAGGCTGATACTCACTCGTGAATGCCTTCAGGACATTGTTCAACTTGAAGTTCTCAAAGGTGAGGTTCTGCGCATAGCCTAAACCGCCACCACCTCCATTCGGCGGGACACCCTTGTTCACTCCGGTCCANNTCTGTGGTGGTGTCAGCAGGAATCGGACAAAATGAGCATGAATTACTGACGTCTTGATATAGGCACCATTTCTCGTGTTATGAGATGTGATGTTGCGACAAGTCACGTTCTCGATCGTTTCAAATTGGCCATTCATTTGACCGATACTTCCGAGGGCAATACCGGACCCTCTGTAGAACTCGCTGTCTTCGATCAAGATGTTGGTCGAGTTTGCCTTTGGTGAGATTGCGTCGTCGCCATTATCCACAATCCATCTGCGGAAGATGATGTTGTTGGCGTAGATAACGTCCGCTCCATCAGTCTATGTTCAATCTGTGTTAGTATCACGTACTGTGTGGTGAAGTTGTATGGCTTACGTTGACCGTGGGTGCCTGGNATGCTATGTCAGTATTGCGGTACTCCATGATGAAGCTATACTACTCACGCCTGTCTTAGAAGTGTTGTTGACATAAATATCCTGCAGGAGAACGTCCGATGAGTGGATCACTGTCATCGTCCACATCTGGCTCTGAAGGAAGATCAAGCCTCCAAACATCGAGTTCGTTGTATCGGTAATTGTCAACTGATGTGGCCGTCTGGGGTAATTCGATCTTCCATTGATGAATTCATACCAGGCATCTCCATTGCCGTTAAAGGTTCCAGCTCCATATCCTTGGAATGTGATGCCGTCTCCACCAAGTCTCCAAGCAGTGCTCTGGTTTTGGTAGCCAACTGGCAAAGAGTTGTTCAGCCAGTAATTCAGGTCGGAGTTGTCCCAGGAAAGTGTTCCGTGCAGCTCAATGTCGACGTTCTTCAAGCCGGTGGTTTCCAACACGCTTCCAATGGTGTAAGTGATGTTCTGAAACACGATGCGGTTGCGATGTCCAGCTCTGGCTCGTCCACAACTCTTGAAAGCTTTTTNGATGGCTGCTGCAGAGTCCTTTCCATTGGCCGCCGGAGTGACAGTGCATGTGACACCGGACTGATTGGACGTCGGTGATGCATAAACAGACGATGTTGATGCATATATAGGTGTCGACGATGCATGTGAAGTCGTCGGCTTCGCATGAGCCCTCACCCCCAAGATGGAGGCCAGAAGAATAAGTACTAACAGCATGACAGTGAATGCAACAACGTATAACCAAAAGACAATCTTCCCACGTCGTCCTTCTGGAAAACACCAACGGTGCAAATGGCCTGAAGATACGGGCGGTTGCAGCGTGGCGGACTCGTCGACTTTTTGAATTTCCTCCACCACCACCGTCGAGAGCATCTTCTTCGCTTCGTCACCATCGCCAAGCTGCGCATTCCTCATGGCTTCAGCCATAGGGTGGAGATCAAGGCCTATCACGAGCCTCTAGCCCTCTGGAACTTGACTTTTCTCGCGTCGCGCCAAAAAGAATGGAAGGTGTGGCAGGGAGAATCTTTCAGAAGCATGACATCTGCAGTGTAAAGCGACGATGGGATATGCGATGTACCGAGGGAGGGTACCCATCCCGTATTGACCATAAAAAGGGATCGCGTGTCTGTGGGGGTCTTTGATCGTGATTACCCGTTTGTAGCAAATGATCCGCGGATCGGCTCCTATCTTTTGGCTGTAGAGTTATGCTTAATCCGTCCTTGGGGCTGCCAAAGCCTGCTCTAGAACGGCTTCAGCTCACACGTGTTTACCTCAGAGGGTAGGAGATGTCTCGCGCTTTTTTATGTTCCAGAGATTCCATCATTTTCCTGATCGCGCAACTTCGAGCCCTCAGCACGTGTTTTGTTAGATGATGATTTGGCAGCGTTAGGCAAGTGATGTGGAAACCGGTATGCAAGCCACGCTCAAGGCATCGACCTTCTGTTCGTTCTTCGTTGGATGGAACTCGGTGTCTGCGTATCCGATGAACCTTGCCCCTCTTCCTTCTCTCCTTCCCTCGTCTAGAAGAGAGAGAAGGGGTCACGCGCCTTTGATGGTACGGCATCTAGCTTGGCCTTCGACCAGACATCCTCTTTAGATGTGCAGTGGCGCTCCAGTGACAAGGGTTTTCAGAGCTGCATACAGCAACAAATCTGCAAGCCATGCTTTCATGAGTGATACCGTTGCATCTGATCATCATAATCGCTTGTGCTTTGCGTAGAGATTTGCAGCAGGGCCATGCAAAGGCGATCAACACCCCGCATATGCAGCAGTATTGACGTCCTACGACTTTGAGCAGATGATGGGTATTTGCATATGTAATATCGGTCAGAAAACATCACCAGATGTGCGCCCAAGGGCAAATCTCACCGCTGAATGGACTCATGCCGTGCTTTCGAATGCTTCTTGCGGAATCCTTCGGTGTTTGTACCGCCCTGATATACCATTGAAGTGTCCACGTGCTTGGTCGCACTGGACTCGTGGAGAGATCCCAGTCGGTTTACCTTGCCGTAGTACAGAGCCTCGGCGAAAATCAAGATGGAATTTGGCTACACAACTTCCCCTTGGTCTGGTATATGTACGCGACAACGGTTACCGAGACATGTTCGAACATTATTAGCATTATGACAAACATGTCTCAAACAGGTAAAAGTGACCAACGGGAATAGATATTTTACAGGGTGGCAGCAAGGATGGAGAAAGTCTGATGGGATTGGCTAAAACACAATGGCCATTCGTACAGATGAATATACAATCCATCGGGTATCTAATCTAATATTATACAAACGATCTAAGACGAACATCGTCGATACGCCTTAAGCAGGCAAGTTGTCGGCATAACTGAGACGACGTACTCCCTCCTTCTTGCGGTCCTCTGCCAGGGTCTTTGCGAACTTCGATCTGTCACGAATGACGGGTCCCTTCCAGTAGAAGACGTAGATTGGTATCACGACCAAAACCGATGCTCCAGCGAGAATAGTACTGGCGTATTCTGTAGGATGTCCGCCAATGTTTGTATAAAGAGGAGTGGCGTACATGGCCGAGACACCAGCCAAGAAGTCACGAGCAAAGGCGTTACCACCACAGGCCGAGGCGGAGTAAACACCGTATGCGGCGATCATGTAGTCAACCGATGAAAAGTAGATGGCATAGTTTGCAATTCCGACGAGGGTGGAGAAGATCATGGGAGCAATCCAGTGGACGTTGTAGGCAGGGCCAAGGGAACACCAGGCGAAGCCTATCAGGCCAATGGGTTCCAAAGGAGCGAGCCATAGCAGCACCTTGAGACGACGCTCTGGCATGAAGCAATCAGGACCCTTCCTCCTGCGAATCTGGTTGTCACGCATGAAGCATGGGAGGTACATGAGATAGGCGAGGAAGTAGGCAAGGTTGATGGGGATGAAAGCCCAAGCCTGTGCAAGAATTCCGAATCCCCACTTGGTGTACACTTCCGGGAAGGATTCGAGGAAAGTGAAGATGAGAGCATCAGAGAAACCGGAAAGAAGAGACAGGCAAAGTACGATAGGTTCGCGGAGAAACATCTCGAAGGGACGAATCCAGACCTTGCCGGCTTCCTTGAGCGAGATACGCGGCGACTTGAGTTCATTGGGACCGTAGATGTTGGGATCCTCGCCAGTCTTACGACGACGCTTGGCTTCTCTGTCGAGGAGAATAGTCGAACGACTTTCGGGCATGAAGAAATGGACGGCTTGGACGACACCACCAAAGATGAGCATAATCCAGAAGAACCATTGCCACTCGAGGAAGCGCTGAATAGGTCCGCCAATGACACCTCCGATACTGGTACCGATACAAGAGGACAAGACAATGAAAGCCAGAGGGTACTGTTGCTCCTCAGGCTGATACAAATCGGCAATAAGACCAAGAGTGACACTACCGCCAGCAGTAGAGAGACCACCNNCTATCTCCAAGTCAGCATTTGGATAGTTCGTATCTCGAACAAGTATGCTTACCAAAGCACGGCAAACCAGGATCGTTCCCCAGTTAGGAGCCAAGGCGCAAGGAATTTGCCAGATGTTGATAAGGAACATGGAAAGCTGGAGGATGGGCCAACGACCGAACTCCTCAGACCAGGGCGCCCACAGCTCGCAACCGAACGAGTACAGGATCAGGTAGATCATCTGACCAGTTCTTGCTTCTTGTGCACCAATACCGAAGGCCTCTGACAGAGGTGTCACGGCACTAGGAAAGACTGAAGTGTTGTAGTTCATGGAAATCTGGATGGCTGCAACGCCAGACAAGTACATCCACTTCTTCCATGTCGGCCAGGCATATGCCAGAATCTCGGGGGCATCAGTCTCTTTCAGTTCTCTTCGGCCTTGAGCATCGACAGGAGCCTTCTCGTTCTGCTCGCCAACAGGGCTAGGGCTGCGTGTTGTTTCATCGTCCTTTTCTGAGTTGTTTCCACTGAGATCATGACTCGGGTCATGTTTTTGCTCTGGCCGTACGTCCGTCATGATTGAAGTTTGCCAGATGGCTTGAGTAGTTCTACAGGAAAATAGGGTCCATGGCTGGTTGCTATACTTATGTATGAATCCTCAATAGTGGACAAACAAGCCCCGGGTTCCACAGCCATGACGTGCGGCGAAAAAATTGTTGGAGAAAAGATCCACTCTGTAGGTTGGGATATCAACGATGAGGAGAGGGCCGCTCGGAAGCGCCTGTGTATGTGATTTGCATCCTCTGCAGATGGCAGTGATGTCACTTTCTACAGGGCCTTCGGGGACAAGTCTGGGCAATGATATCAAACGTCTTAAAATGCTATCTGAAGGGGTTTAGTTTTTACTGTGTTGGGTAAGTCAACGAGAGGTAGAGCCGCGAAGCGCATTTCCGGATAGTGCCCTGGACTCCAAGTTAGGCAAAATGGTCAACCATCGCTACGAAGAAAGGATTTCGGGCGCAACGATCGAGGCATCGATTTCAAGATCGGAAGAAGGACTGAACTCCGGAGCATAGGTTCAAAGGCCTCGCTTGCTGTGTTTTTCCTACGCGGCGACAAAGTAGAAGACTCTTTGCAGTGTTTTCACTAGCCTGTCCAACACGATTTTGCAACGCGTCTCGCCTTTGCGACTTGTTTTTGCGACAACGATATTGAGACCGACATCCCCAGATGTCGCTCCAAAATTCGAAAACCACTGACGTCTTTTGACCGAACTGATGCCGACTCCAGGCCCACTCACATCCTTTGAAGAGAATTATGGGCCCTGATACGGGGATTCTCCCTCTTCCTCTTCAACGAACCCCGACTCTGGGTCTCCAGAAATCCACAGAGCCATGTGATCTTCTGTTGGAAGAGGGAAGATGGAGGTGTCTGCTGTGCGGAGCTCCAGAGCGAACTCCAGTCGTTACTGCAAGAACCCCAGGATTGAGGACAGGCCTCGGGATATCACACCATCCGAAGGATCAAAGGATATGGAGTAAGCTGGAGACATCACTCGAGCATGACATTCAGCCTGTTTACAAGTGGGCGATGTGCAGAGATGGAGCATGTCGCGCAAAGCACGACCGATCATCGTAAGTACAGAGCAGCACTGCTGTGTTGGCGCCATGCCTTGCACTGGGTAGGTTACACGATGGCATCAAATCGCGCATCTTGAGTTGCCGAAACACTTGTCGCTGTTTTGCAGGTACAGCCTGAGATCGTCGGTACCTACCTACTTCGAGTAAAATCCTGCGATGAGACCAATCAAACAAAAACGCGAGACGAATGACGAACATGGTCATCTCGTTCAAGGGCCCGGAAAGCTGATGAGCACCTTTATCCCATACAATCAGAATTGCTACACTGCGACTACACAAACTTGCACTCTCCATTGCGCCCTTCAATTCTGCTTTCCTTTTCTCGCAACCTTGACGAGTCCATCCAGCCAATCCTGGTGTCCATTTAGCATTGGATTGGGCTTCTTGGTACTCAAATCAGCAGCTGGCTTGCCAATCTGCGACTCCTGCGTCAAGATTCTGACACGGTCCTGGTCAATATCCTCAATAACCCAAGCATGATAGACATCAACAGCTTTGTCTTCATCTCCATCACCATCAGATATAGCTCGCCAAGCAAGACGACCGACTTCAGTCTTCGACGGCGTAATTGATTCGTAGACCTCAGAAGGCAAAGGTGGGAAGCCGAAAGTTGAGAAGCTGAACTTGTCGCCTTTCTTCAACATGGGTCCAGAGGATGGAGGTGTAATTTGTGAGCAGTTCCAGTAGTAGGACTCCCATTTGGTGATGTCGGCGAGGTATTTCCAGATATCTGCTGAGGAGAGCCCTTTCACAATGGTCTCATTGCTGACGAAGTTGTCTGTCGTGCCGGGAAGGAACTTTGCCGGCCAGATGATCGTAGGTGAGGTAGGTGCAGATGTCATGGTTGCTTTGGTTGTGTTGATGGGACAGAGGAGTTGATGTGATGTTGTTGATTGAGTGATGAAGGCGAAAGTTGATGACGATATGAGGGGAAGCGGGCAGCTGCGGCAACTCCAATCTATATACCTCGTCGCACAACCTTGGACATACCTTACAGCATCTTCTGGATCATCAATTGCGGTGTATCAGATGTTTGTAAGCTCAACTTATGAAGTAATCAAATTGGTCGAACAGATTGAACTTGAACTTCACAAATCGATTCTTTGGTAAGCGTATAGAGAGAATCGATTGGCGTCATGACAAACATCCGCCAGAACTTAGGGTGATATTACCCAATAACAGAATCAAATCGAAATGCGAGATCGATTAATATCACAAAGAGTGAACACAATGCCATGGTTCTGTCGATAGAAGCTTTTCAAGACCACCGCGCCTTCGATCAGTCTTGTCGACAGTACAACCCTGTCCCCAGGATAACATTGACCTTCGGTACTGCTAAGGCGTCTACAAATCCTAGAAAGTAGGTGTTTCACCGCATGATATTACTACTGGCCACTCAAAATGTTAAGAACTTTGGTTTGTTTCGTCAACGACAAGGAGTGCTCTTTCCTTGTTGCGAGCCGTCTCGACCATCAAGGTGGCCCAAGACAAGCCCTGATGTTGGGGCAAGCTAGGCAGTGACATCCTCGGAAACCATCTTGACTTCTAACACAACAGAACTGGTACTCCCATTCCGAACAAAGTAGATCACTGTTGCATCAAACACAATGATGGCGACTATCAAAGGCACCTGGAAACTCGTCCAGAGGAACAAGTTGCTCCAACGCTCGTCCCAAACCCTCTCAACGCTCGGCGATCGCGCCTTGATCTTCGGCGGCGAGCTGCATCCTCGCGAACCTCGCGACAACGACGTGCATATCCTTAAGATCATTCCAAGGCCCAATGTCTGCGCTCTACAAGAGTACGGCAACGACCCCAGGACGTCACCTGAGAATGCTGGCGGCTTGCCTTTGGCACGCGTAGGCACAGCCAGCACCGTTGTAGACGGCAAGATCTACTACTTCTCTGGTCGTGGTGGTGTAGACATGGCGCCGGTTGATGAACAAGGCAAGCTCTGGCAATTCTGCTTCTCTGATGCCCATGGCGTTGGCTGGCATGAAGTCTCCCCTGCCGACAACTCGCAACCCGTACCGGAGCCTAGAAGCTATCATTGCATGACATCTGATAAAAACACCACTCTCTACGTACATGCAGGATGTCCTACATCTGGCCGCTTGTCTGATCTCTGGGCCTTTGATGTCGAGGACAGGAAGTGGAGACAATTAGCTTCTGCTCCCGGCGCTCCAAGAGGAGGAACTTCGATCACGTTCTCGGATGGAAAGCTTTACCGTATGGGTGGTTTCGATGGTAAACACGAACTGGGTGGTGAGATCGACATCTACGACATTGCATCTGACAATTGGAGCACACACACTTTCACACCCGATGGTAACGAAGGTCCTGGTTGCAGAAGTGTAGGAAGCCTTCTTGCTATCAATGTTGATGGTAGGTCATCCCTCATCACTGCATTTGGGGAGAGTGACCCGAGTGCTTTGGGTCATGCTGGTGCTGGAAACATGTTACCCGATGCCTGGCTCTGGGATATCGAGACCAAGAAGTGGAGCAAGATTGTTGTAGACGAGGGTGCAGAGATGCCACAGCCTAGAGGATGGTTTGCTGCTGATGTTGTAGTGATTGAGGGTAAGGAAGGCCTTATCGTGCAAGGAGGTCTGGCGGAGGATAACCAGCGCTTAGATGACGCTTGGGTCTTGAGCTTCTGAGTTGTTCGGTCAATACATCATAACACACAAGCAAAAAAAAAAATCACAGATCTGACGGTGTTGGAGTTTCAACTTACCTCATGTTGCTCTGCCGTTCTCTCCTCCCACCCCTCCTCACTCTTCTCCTCCAGCCTCTCGATAGTGACCAGACCCCTTTCCACAGGGGCGCTATATCAAGAGACCAATGGTTGGAAGTTGCTGCGAAATGAGATGCTGATTAGCAGATTCGAACTCGAGATGTTGTTGTTGGTCGCTGCAGTGAGTGAAGTGATTGGTGAGTTTAGTGTGGTGACTGCCTAATTGAGTTAGCTGCGTAAACAATTGATGGCTGTGATGACCGTCAGACCAAAGTGATCTGTTGGAAGTAACAGCAGCTTGGCGGGTATATAGGGTAGGTGAATGGCTTATGAGAAGGCGAACAGTCCAAGTTGAGTAGAATGGATGCGCAGGCGCAAAAATACTAATATCCTGTGCAGTGTTGACCGCAGGGGTATGTTCAAGATGAAAATATCCGAGGAACAGGAGAAAACGGACAAACAGATCACGATATGTTTGCAGAGGAACATCTGAGCGGGACGGACCAAGGTATGTTGCCAACAGTGCATACACAACAAAACCACAAATTGGTGAAGATCTCCTTGTTCGTATTCAAGGATATCTTATGTAATATCCAAGACCCATCTAGGGCAGAACTCAAACAGTTTTCATTCCCATCGAGATACCTAATATCGACGCGAGCTCTGCTGTTTGGCCTTTCGCTTCTTGCTCGAGTCTGAAGCACTGCCATCAGCATCCAATGCCCTTAATGTCTGCGCAGCCCCAAGCTCTTTGCTCACGACTCCCTCAGCTACAGAACCTTTGCCCCCATAGCCGAAGCTGATACCATGCTCTCCAAAGCTCGCTTCGCCGCCCGAGGATCGTAAGCTATCTATGCTGCGCTTCGACTTGTGCGATGATGGGGAGGCTGTGGTCGACCTGACTGCTGCGACGGCAGAAGGAGCGGCTGGTGGAGGAGAGGATATGCCGAGACCTGCACTACTTTGGACGATAGGAAGCCTACTCAGACGTCTTGGAGCAGGTTGCTTCTCGGACGGAGTACTCGTGTCTGGTGTTTCGGATTGCTGCTTTTCAAGCTGAGTATGTGTGTCAGGTGTCGCCGGGTCTGACGTTGTACCTGCAACTTCATCAGAGGACCACCAACCTTCAGGACGTGAATTTATCGATCGTTCAGTGATAGCAGATGCATCGGGAGAGTTGATGTTGGCCAGCTCCGGCGAAGTCTTGCCACTAGGGTTCCTGGACTTGATCGATGAACGACGTGGCGAGCTTACGCGAAAGGCTCGTAGCTTCTTCTTCGAGTCGCTTGTACCATCGGTGTCGGCAAAGTTCCATGATGTACCTTCTCCCTCAGAATAACTCGGAAGTGACGAGGGCAATAGGCTCTGTGGTCGAGCAGGTCTGAAAGGTGAAATCAAGCTCTTGCGTCCTGCATCGGTAGAGTAAGACTCCAAAGCGTCGATTACGTGTGGGATGACCAATTTGTGAACATCCTCGGCCCACAAAAAGTCTAGATGTTCATAGTGAGGAATCTCCTTGGCCACGGTATGTCTGGGCAGTTCCTTCAGCATGACTTTGATGTCCACCAAGCTGTCGCTCCCGCCATAGACGAGGACGATGGGCGTCTTGATGTTGCGTGTAGGATATTTGGCGACCTTGTAGTACTTTGAACCAGAGGCAATAGAGAGGGGAGCCTGCACCTCGTCATCGAACATCTGGAAGGTTTCGTTTCTGATGATCTGGAGCCAATGGACGACCGACTTGGTGCTACTAAAGGAGAACAAGTGCGGGTAAGCTGCTAGCTTCTGGTAGGCGGTGATGTTCTTAGCATGCCAGCCAAACAGGTAGAGCAGAGCCTTGTCAATGACCCAGGAGAAGATGCCGGGATACAGCAATGCTTGCCACATGGTGGTACTGCTCAGGATGGCCTTGCGACCGAAGAGCAGAAACAAGACCTCTGGCGATGCCTTGATGAAGCTGCTGACGACGCCCATAGCTAAACCGGGAGGAGCCATGGCAGGCGCGAGCGCAACAANAACATTGACCTTCTCATTTAGGTTAGGATGGATGGAAAGAGTTGCAAAGGCCTGGGCAGTTCCTTGGGAGAAGCCAACATAGGATAGCGACTTTTGACTCGTCGTGGCAAGGATGTAATCGATAGTGTCCGGGATATCGTGGAAGGCGAATTGATCAATCGAGTAGTTCCAGAAAGCGGCACTAGTGGGGGAGTGGTGAACGTTCTTCTTGGAGTACTTGTTGCCACGGTTGTTGCCGAGCCAGACATCATATCCCTGGTCAACCAGAACGAAAGGTAGACAGCGTTCCTTTTCGGTCAAACAGACCCAGACTTCGCTGTTCATCATGAGTCCATGGTGAAGATAGACGACCTTCTTTTGGATGCTGCCCTCCCCACTGTTGACCCTCTGATCTTCTTCGCCACGCTTCCAACCTAGACGGTGTAGGCCCAACAAATAGCCATCTTTGGTCTGGACGATGTGCTCCTCTGCATAGTAACCAAAAAGCTCGCAGAGCTCGACAAAATCTGAAGCCTGAGCAATTGGCGATGATATGGCCTTCTTTCGGTTTCTGGACCTCCGTCCCTGAGCACCAGAGAGCTGATTGAATATTTTACGCGAGCAATTGTAGAAGAATCGAATGATGGGGCCTGGCAGGGCTAGAGTGATGCNCCTGATGATAACTTCCAGACCGATCAAAACAAAGGAACCAAGCAGGGCCAGGTACTCCTGGAAATACAGCCTTCCGATGAACGGGATACTAGGCATGTTGGGGTGTGCCAGGCGGGATTCGAGGTATGGAGGCCAGACTGGAGGCGCTGTATAGTGTTGATCAGAGAAAGCAGGCTGCAGAAAGCTGTTGAGTCGTGGGTTGTGGTACAGAGCCGATTCGAGACAGCAGGAGTTTCGTCGTTTCATCAACGTCATTGGTGCATGTGAAAGGGACAAGGAGCGTCTGTGCGTTTGCGGCAGTGTGGGGTCGCTCTCTTTCTCGACTGGCACGTGACTCTACTTTCTAGTTGGTCGACCATGGAAATATTGATCAGCCATCAACACTGTCACGCAGAACTTGGAGGAACCCACTCGCCCTGTCGCATCGCATACAAACAGCCGGGATAGTTTCAACTCAGTAGTTCCAGTCGATCTTGGGCCAATACACCGCATCTCCACATCGCTCTTCGTTTCGGCGCAAACCACTGCAACCACCACAGATATGCCCTCATCTTGCAAAGACATCCGTATGCATCTTCCAATGCTCCCTCAATCTCTCCACCTTCCAGAGACTGACACGTCCTAGGTNGCGGCGCTAGCCGAGTGCCTCCAACAAAGCGACTGTATCATGGTCCAACGCCACAGTGCCGCCGACTGCCTCCGCCCACCGCTCGTCGATACACTCCCCACCCGCTGCCAGCAACTGAAGAAGGGATATGGAGAATGCAAGCGTGGTCTGATCGATATGCGCAAGAGATTCCGCGGCAACAAGCCTGTCGCCTCAAGCGTCGAACTTGAGGCCGGCGCCGACAACCCGAGCAGACAGCTCTATGCTGGAAAGAGCGCTTTTGGCGACATCAAGACCACGGATGGCAAGGATGCGCCTGAGGACGACTCATAGTTGATATGAAGAGCTACGGAAGGTCTAAGAGAAATCGAATGACCAAGAAGAGAAGGAGAGGCAAAACTTTGCATCTGCATATGGACGGCGCACATGGGTCTGATTGAGGATATACGGCGTTTCTATTGCCTGTTCACGGCACTCCACTCGATTTACATATGATACCACTTGATTTGGAAGTACGGTATGTCATGATTTTTAAGGTCGGTTCACGGCTCCTCATCTACAAGACGTCTCTCACCGATTAGTGCGATGGTCAGTGTACAGCAGCACATGTATCACAATCATCTGCAGGACACCGATAATCACATACGGATAGTTGCTGATCACAGACGCACAACATCTCACATCCTTGTCACAGGCGTAGATCATGGAAGACGACAACGACAGCTTTGCACCATACCTGAGAAGCCCATTATACATATACACGCCCACAAATCAAACCAAAACGCCAGAGTCCCGGGTATAGTCGTATCACTCATTCACAAACACGTCAAGACAACATCCAGCCCAATCACTTGCTCCGCATGGGACCCTCAAAGTGCCAGTCACCATCGCTCGAGATGAAGAGCTGGTTCCAGAGTTCGCGCGCCTTGTTTGCCTTTTCGATGAACGTCTCCATGGTGATGCCATCTTCGGAAGCGATTGCTGGTCGAGCTGCTCGACACCAGCGACGAGCAAGATATAGCTCTGTGCAGGGCGGCTGGCAGAGGTACATGCGGCGCCAGCTTGCTTTCTCATACAGTACGGCGGTGTCGTTCGAGGGTAGCTGGTCGCTCGGGTACATGACATTGACATCNNCCTGCTCTCTGGTTAGATCGAGGATTTCTTCCAAGTAAATTCGCAGCGTAGAAGTCAACACAAGGGGGATGGGTAGTTCTTACCATGTCCAGTAGCTCGACGGACTCTTTACGGATCGTGGAATGCTACTGATATCATCTGGGTTGGCGTCTGGAGACTCTACACCATTGTCTGCATACTCTTCCTCATCTTTCTGGCTGGTCACTCGGGGTGTAAAGGTCGGGTATCGCCCACCCAGCACTTTTCTCAGCATCATGTTATTTCTAGGGCGTTGGCTGGGCCGATTGGCTTCGCAGGATAGGTGTGAGTCAAAGGGTTTGGCTTTAGGCCAGGAAGGTCTCATGAATAGCACTTGTTGCAATTGGGGTGAATTGGAGATTAGATCGTGCCAGAGGGTGTTGACGCGCTGGGAGATGAGCAATTGGCATGGAGGAAGCTCTGCCAGGATCATCTCGAGCAGCTCTGGCGTTTCGAGCACGCGCTGGGCAGAGGTGAGTGGATCCATGTTGGGTACTGGAGTGAGGTGAACGGTAGGAGTGTTCGCAGGAAGAGACCAGAGACAGGTAATATAGCCGCGGCAGTATCAGGATAGCAAAGGGTTGTACGGATGATTCGGAACAATTGTACTGGCGAGCACGAGCAAGATTGTGGGGAGCAACAAGATGATGTGGGAGATTGTGGAGAGCAGAGGAAGAGGTTCAAGATCCGGGGCTGAGCATGAGCATGTGAAGATGAATCACAGTCACATTCGAAAACGGGTTTGTTGCCCTGTTTGAGAGGTCTGAAAGAATGCAAAGAGCAGAGATGACAGAAAAGCCACCAAGAAACAGCAAACAACCCCTCTTTAAGTTTCTTCCTCCAGTGCTGTTTTCGTTTTGTTGCGCGATAAAGATGCCCTGACATCGCCATGACTGTGCTGGCCTCGAGGTATCACAACAACCTCTCACAGCTCAGAGTTTAAACCTCCTGAATGCCAAAAGAAAGATAAAAGATAACAGTGGCAGGATGCGGCGCACGTCATGCTCATGCACTCTGCATGCGGGATGCACGCGGCCGAGGCTTTTCAGGGTCCTCTCATCAGCCGATTCAAAGTGTCCCTGTGACTTCCTCTCGGTTCTGGAATGCTTCCCTGCTTTGGCTGGCTTCCTTTCGTCCGTGGAAAGCAAAAAGGCCACACAGCCCGACGTTGCGACTCGAATACAAGGCAATCAGCTTATCGCCGGTGCTTGTTGTTTTTTCTATTCTTGCCAATTGGTATTCTGAGCGAACTGTCTCTCCATCAGCTTATCATCGCACCTGTGACTGTAGACATGTAGCTAAGCTAAGCCTTGCTTGGGCGAGAGATGTGTGTTGCCCACAGAGGCTTGGTCGATTTGCTTATCACCTAGGCTGCGTTACGCAAATAGGTAGCTTAGTCTTCTAGACCAGAAAGACCAACGGAGCGATTACGTCGAATCATCCAAACCCGAAACATGGACCCTCGGACTCGAAATGTCAAGATGTCGAAGCATTTTATCTTGCGCCTGCACGACTCCAGATTCTGACAAAGTTCTGGTCACCCTTGTGGTATGGCGTTCAACAGCTCACCTTGGTCGTTATGTACATCGAAAATGGCGGTTGCTCACACCGATTTGCTTCTGGAATGGATACACGGCATCTGAGTCTGAACACAAGATACGATCTTCTTACAGAATCATGCAAGAGTCCGACCGATATCTTTATCTGGATTTACCGTCCCCTGCTAGACCATTTGTGTTGTAATCGAACAGACACACAAAAGAGACATAACAAGCTTTATCATAGAAGCGCTTGGACCCCTCTCATTGTCCTAGATAAGTAATCACGAGCACTGCACGACTTGACCAAGAAGCCAAAAGCCGCCGAAACCTCGATATAGAGCACTTCTGCTCTGCTCAGATGATAGGGAGCCCCGGCACGTCCGTAGCAAACTGTTGCCAGTACTCCCAGAACTCTGGATCGTCCGGAATAGCAATCTTGCTCCAACTCGTGTCCAGGCTGTCGAGATCAAAGTCGAACTCGCTTCCATCGAAGGTATTCGTTGTCATGTTACCAGGAGAGATCGTGGATTCGGATGCTGTATGGGACGCTTTTTCTACAGCCCGGTTATTCGGTAGTTTTGACTGAAGCATTCGTATGAAGTGCGGTACAGGCTGCTCGACATTTCGATCACTTTTGGACTTCTCCCAAGCCTTGAGGGTGAGATTTCTGACCGCGTTGTAGATAGCATTGCTTTCGTCGCACAAGAGGCGTGGTTGAGACTCGTAAGATTTCTCCACCTCCGCCCACACGGTCTCAAGTGGCGCTGGGAGAGGTTGTCCGACGGTTCGGTAAGCGATTTCTCCCAACAGGAACATGAAAGCGTCCAATGGAAAGAATGCATTGGCCTGCCAGAGGAACTTTTGTATTGTCGGGTCTTTCGCAAACCTGTTCGGTGCTTCAGCCAGCTGCAGACAAAGCAAGAAAGTACAATCTCTTTGCTCTAAAGACAAGCCAGACTTGGCAAACATTTGATGTCGTCGAAGAGTTAATCTGATACGCGCAAGAGCACCTCTGCCAAACATCTGCAACATTCTGTGCATGGGTATGGAAGGATCGCAGTACTTCAAGAGTCTGTCTTCAAGACGCTGCTGTAATTTCTGGATGGCAGCGTCTGCCTGACTCATGTCTTGTGACGACTGCCAGTCTGGACTGGTATAAGCCATCGTGAGCTCACCAATCTCAAATCGGGCGCTACAAAAGCTCATCTCAGTAATGCCGCGTACTTCAGAGATTTGGCGCATCTCGGGGTGGAGGTCTGAGTCGTTAACGTTCAGGGGTCGGTTAGTATCCCAAGACGACCGGGAGTAAAGCATAGATGTAACACCGCATTGCTTAGCAGCAAAGCTCTCGAGAAGTGTCAGCTCCCACCACAAGCGTCGACGCAACTCTGCTTGGAACACAGATACGGACGGACTTTTGAGCGCCTTCTCCCGATGGTAGCCGAGCTGCTGGGCGCTACGGATTGCCACCCCGGTCAACTGCCATAGCGTTTGAGAGTCGGTCCTTGCTCGCTGTGCAACCAGGAACAGGGTCAAGGCCTGAAGTGTGATGAAGTTGGGTGTTTGCAGGAAGCATGCATTGACCAGGGCCTGTTGAGCCAATCCAGTATACAAGTTGATCAACTCGTTGATTGGTTGATCCATTATCCTCTCGGCCTCAGCATGGATACATTGAGGTACAGAACCGATGGCAACCAGATAGATTGCAAAACAGAGCGCTTGTTTGGGTGCGGATATCTGCTTCTTGGGATCGGAGGCCGCATTCAATATCAGGGGCTGCACCGTGGGAATATGTAGCATCTTGACTGCGGGGTTAACATTCTCGAGGTAAGTTGACCAGAGCCAGAAGATGCGGCTTGCAGTGGGATGTTGATCAGACAGGTTGATGAGGGATCGTCCAAAGAGAAGTCCCTCGACAGACATGGAATGTGGGCTGGTTGAAGGGATCGGACCAAAGTCCAGTTCTGAATCTTCTTCACCGGTCAGAGTGGGAAGCTAAGAACTTTGTAAGCAATAGTATAGGGAAGCGAAGAGAACAATACTTCTTTGCCTACGCCAACCCACATAACACTGTAGGATGTATCAGTAAGGAGACTAGTAGAGGATGTCCGAGGAGCAGCACTTCTCGACATAGTGTGAGTGACTTCGCTCATTCACATGTTCAGACACGGTTGTTTCGACAAAGTTTGAGCTGCTAGGCGTAGTAGTAAGCGTGGCAGTAGAATCTCGAGTTGTTCTGGCACGTCTGGCTCGGGCTGATTGCACAGGCTTCGAAAGACACGGTGTATCTGACTTTCGACATGTCGAACATGGCCTCTGACCATCACATCGCACCTTTCGGTGAGCACAAGCGACACAGCTATGCCCACGAGTAACAGCCTTCTTCGGGTGTGAAAGTGGCTCACGAGCAACGACTTCTGGCGCTACCGCAGTATGCGGCGATACGCTCACAGACCGGGTGTTAGCGTCTGGTAGCGACATTTCAGGATGTTTTATCTATCAGGAAGTCACGACGAGAGGAAGGAATCTCATTAATGCATGAAGATGCAGGCAGGAGGTCGGTCACGAGCTGTAACTCTCGGTCCCGAATGTCTTGGCACTCGGTCCCGACGACCTCAGCCACTTCCAAGAGCCAACATAAAGACCAGTTACAATATCCTCATAGTCACTGCTGTGTTATGTCCAACTTCGATAGGCCACATCTGGTACGCCTGAATCGCCAAACAAACCCTCAAATAGCGCCAGATCGATGCCTTGCATATCCCACTCGCCTTCCGTGGCACTCACAGAAGAAAACTCTCCGCTGCCACCTCCATACGTACAACTATCGGGCAGATCAGGCTGCTGAGAGACAGTTGGCGCACACCCTTCTACACCAAAATTGATGCAGCCAAATGCCGGAATATGCAGGCGCAATCCACCATCATCTGTAGTTTCACTGTGGTATGCTACGTGTTCATCAACACTGGAGCTTGCTTGGATGCCGTACCTCACTCCGCTCGCTGCCGTGGCCTCGATCCTCAGCAGCTGCTCAAGCACGAAAACTATTTGCGATATGATGCCGTCATCGCTACCTTGAGAGGTGCCTCGAACGACATCAAGGATTCGCTCCAACAACCCACGATCGCATGGGCGCGAATGAACGAGGTGGCCGAACGCGTTGTGAACATTTGACGTCTGTCTCAATCTTGAGCATTCGATGTGACCAAGGCTGAGCACTGTCGCCGCGATGAAGCAGAGGAAATCAATGCCACGGCAATAGAATTGCCCTGCATTGTTGATGCGAAATGCAACATAACGTGACAGTGTCTCTCGGCTAGCATTCACCGCCGTCATCTTGCTGTAGTCGTACATCCCTTCCGATCTGTGTCGCATCAGATATGGCAGATGCAGTCTGACTAACAGATGGAAATGAGCGAACTGGTCGTTCAGACGACTCGTACACTGAGCAGTATCGTTGGCATTCCTGTTGCTTGCCGTAAAGTCAGGCATCAACCACCACTGCGGTGATACACCAGCTGCTGCTGTCTCCATGACCAAGTCTATTTCTCGAGTATCTGACAGACTGGGAAAGGTCGACCGCTTCAGAATACGGTCAGACACGATAACGTGGCTGTACTGCAAATGTTCGACTGGTTGACAGTTCACCAGCTCTTCGGGAGTGCGTGGTGGGGCCTCGAGTGAGCTTCTTGGTAGACCCAGAAAGAGACTGAGGTAGCACTCCATCCGGACTACTTGTAAGCACGTTTGCTTCGCGTCAAACAGGCTCCGCTTCATGGGCTCAAGGAATTTCAGCACTGGTGGTTTGGTGCCACGATGCAATCCTAGTACTTGCGCAACGGTCGTCGCTCTTCGTACTGCCATCCAAGCTTGGTGAAGGTTTCCTGCATGATTCTGATACGAAGCTTCCAGCATGAGGCACTCGAGACCTTCAACAGAACTGACCAAGTCTTCGTTCTTGGTGACCTTGATGGCAGCCTCCATAGCACCGAGCATGATGCTGTGGTACCACGATTTGGGTTTCTGAGGCGCTTGATCATCGGGAAGAACAATGCCTTGTAAGTAAATCCCGAGTAGTAACAACTTCCGTGTGATCAGCACAGGGTGTGAGCCAGGTGGTGGTAGCTGTAAGACCTCTCTTATCGGAGGTTGACTCTGACTAGCGGGGCTATCATAGAGTCTGCAAGCTTCGCTGTGGAACAATGCTGATGATTCATCCGGTAAGTTTATGCATTGATCGATCTCATGTTCGGTTGGCCACGTCGATCTGAGGGCGTGGTCCAAATCGCTCTGGCTATGAGATTTCGAGCCCGGCGTGATGTATTTGGACGGACTGTGAAAATCAACCTCAGGCTAGCCAGGTTAGACATGAGCTTTGAGCGAGGCATGGTTACCTACTGTACATACCAATGCACCAGCTTCAGACGAACTTGGAGTCGTGATGGTGAACACGTCTGGTAGATCCTGGCTTATACAAGCAGTGCCGCGACGTCTGCAGTTTTGACAGATATCCTCGGTCGAAATGCATCGGACCTTGCGTCGCTTACACTCCCAACAGCTCTGGGTGCCCTTGCGGATTTTNNTTCTCCGCTTGGGTGAACGATCTGGCTCATGGTAAGGAGACATGATTGTTCTCGGCTGATAAACATTTATGCTCAAGCTGATTCAAAAGCTCATATGAGATGTTCGGTCGAAGGATGAGCCTTCGGTCGAGGCAGCGGGGTTGGTCAGCAGGATCGCACCTACTTCCACCGAGCTCGGCGGAGCAGTGCGCTGCGCATCACAACACTTTCGACATTGATCAAACAATGACCGAAATCTGGGGGTCGTAAAGGATGGCTTAGTCGCCAGTAGCTCCAATCAGATTACAAATCATGCCTTCTTCGGTTGGAGCTTCGACCGAAGTCAGCGGGCTGTATAAAAGGACTTGATGTCTATTCAGAATGGAAGCACTACCATCCCAAGAAGCAATTTAACTAGGACCAGAGCACTAACTTTTGACAACATGGTCAAGATTGCCATCGCAGGTGGCACCGGGAGTAAGTCACGAATTGCCACGAATAACCGTTCCTCCCTGATCTCTAACAGCATTCCAGATGTCGGTTCAGAGATAACTGATGTCCTCCTTACAACTGGAAAACATGAGATCTTGATATTATCCCGAAAGGTAAGTNNAAATAGCTGCACTTCCGTCAACTCAAATCATACCGCTAAACTATCGAGGAAGGAGGCTCCTCCCAGCGACGCAATCAAGGGCACGACCTGGATTCAGGTAGACTACCAAAGTCAGACACAACTGACACATGCACTCAGTGGAGTTCACACACTGCTCTCGTTCATCTCCGAACAAGACGATCCTACAAGTCCTTTGCAGAAGAACATCATCCGTGCTGCAATCGATGCCGGCGTCAAGCGTTTTGCACCCAGCGAATGGGCATCGTAAGTCATGTTGATGATGGTAAACGATCAGTTTGCTAACCATCCGNNCAGTTCTGGAGTTAGTGGTCACCTCAGCTGGTACTCCTACAAGGGCGAGATTCGCCGCTATCTTGAAGAAGAGGTGAACAAGGACGACCAGGTATATCCCAAGCATTTCGAGTCAGATGTCACTAGTACCTAATATGGTTCCTCGCGCNNCCAGATCCTAGAGTACACGCTTTTCCAGCCCGGATACTTCCTGAACTACTTGACAAACCCTTACAAGTCGTCAAAATATCTTCAGCAGATGCAAACTCCTTTTGACTTTGACGAAGGTCGTTTCATCATGATTGAAGGCAGCGACAATGACCGTATAACCCTCACAACTGTTCAGGATCTAGCTCAAATCGTTGCCAGAGCTGTGGAGTATGAGGGTAAGTGGCCAGTCGTCGGCGGCATTTCTGGAGTCGAATTATCTATGAAGCAGATAATCGAGTTGGGAGAAAATATCAGAGGTNNAATTTCAATTTTCCATCAGAACTTCGGTCTGCTGACAGTCGAACCTCAAGGCAAGCCATTCAAGGTCGAGAAGATACCTATTGATGAGCTGAAGGATGGGTCATGGAAAAGCTCATGGTCACCAAAGATCGACCACCCCTCCATCCCACCTCAGAAAGACGATCAGCTATCAAGATTCATGGTTTCTGGCATTCTTCAAGCCATCTCAGCTGGAGACTTGGTATCCTCGAATGAATGGAACAGATTGCTGCCGGACTTCAAGTTCGTCCAACCTGAAAAATTCTTGGCCAGTGTCTGGGATGGTAAGCCATGAGGCGGATCTCATTCGGTTTCCACAACCCTTTTCTCCTAGTATAATATGCGGTCTTTATGCTTGACGTCCACTACCGATGTTTTCAGCATAGAATTTGGTAAAATTGCGTTCGTGATGCCTAGCATCCACACCGTGAGCATGTTTCCAGAGTAAGCTCCAACCATGCTTCTCCAACTCTCCCATTTCCTTCACCATTTGACCTTGTCTCAAACCACCGAAGAGTGTGACCAAATCCACTACCACTACCACAAGATACTATGACACTCGGCTTCGGTTGGCTTAAGGAATATCGCCGAGTCCGCCATATCAAGAAAGCACCTCGGCGCTTGACCATGACTGCAGAATCAGCACCTTATCTCCTCGATGAAACCCCAAAACGCAATGACAAGTTCATCCCAACTCTTTCACAGCACTACTAACGAGCCAATACACCCGGAGACGACTCCTGGCAATACTATGGCGCAAACATCTGGATGCGCAGAGGCAAAGACCCAAAAATAACCATGCATACTTTACTGTTGGAATCACTCGCGACAACGAAGCTCAACCAACAAGCACCTTCACCTGCAAACTGATGCCTAGGAAGCAGCCAGCCGATTACTATAGGCTTCTTTGTCTATGCAACTATATTGCCATAGACATAGTAGAGCATCGAAAAGTGTCCGTTTGCGATTGCGATTTCGGACGGCTGAGACAGGGAAAGGAGCCTGAACAGAAGACACTACGACTTTGCGCTCCAAAGGGTGCGAGGGTGCGTGGTATTATGAAGACGATGGATGAACATGAAGATTTGTGCAGCTGCGGGTGCTTTGATGTACCAAAGGGCAAGCGATGTTGGTCAGTGGGCCTGGATCGACGATTCTGCTCACAAGTCATCCGACGATGGACCTTGGTTATCTTCACCATGCAGTGTTTATCTTGCATGGCATCTATCAGCTACCTGGACAACTGCACGCCACTCGAAATTTGTATCTCATTCAAGCACCTGAGTCCCCAAGACCTCTGGAATCTGAGTATTGGTCCAAACTTTTCTGAACATTGTCAATCATTCCAGACTGCACCAGACGCGGACAATATCGATATCACCGCTACTGGCCTTGTTACTTTCGGAGAGTGGCTTCACACCTCGATCAAGCAGCATCTGTACCAGTTCAAAAGGTTCTTGTTCCACTGGCCCTCGCCATGCGACTTGAAAAGGAATCAGAGGTACCTTAGCGCCTTTGACCAGGAGTAATTTTGCATGAACCAGTTCGTGTGATTCTATCAGACCCAACAAGACTCGTGTAAACTCCAAGCTAGATATTGCAGACTTGATCTTGGCACCTTTACTGCATAGCAGACCAACTATTGGGCTGTTGACCGGCCGTGCGTCTAGTGCGATCACGAGCAATTTCGATTTCCAACAACGATGCGCGTTTGGACAATGGCTACAGCCATCAAAATCTGCACCATAATCTAGGATCATCTCAAACTTTGAGGTAGATCCTTCCGTAATCGCAATTGCCGCTGCAGGCCGGAGACATATAGAATCGTATGCGCCTGTTTGCAACAAAGACCTCACGTCTTCGTCGCAGCAATGCTGAACGGCGGTCCGTAATATCTCATCCAACACTAGACTTATCTGCTGCTCCTCGTACATCAACCTTTTCAGCTAACAAGCACACAATCTCATATCTGCAGTGGCGTGCAGCTATAAGAATAGCCTGTTCGTAGACGACAGATCCGAGCAATTAAGGGTCACAAGATTCATGCTCCAGAAGAAGTCGTACGATATCAGAATGGCCGTTTGATGTGGCAACTTCAATCGCAGTTTGGCCCAGATGGTCCAGAACATCGATTCTGGCTCCGTAGTGTAGTAGTAATCTCACGACATCACCGTGGCCGTTGCGGGAAGCCCCGATGATCGGAACTGGTTTTGACGCAGGTGAATACTCCGGATGACCATCGACGTGAGCGCCTAATTCTAAGAGCGTCTTCACGAGACGTTGGTGTCCGTTATACGAAGCTGCGTGGAGTGGACTATCTCTACACAAACTGCAATCGCATGAGTTGACATCGGCACCAGTCTCCAGCAACAGACACCGTACGATAAATTCCAAGCCCCAGGAACAAGCATGAATGATTGGATGAGGATCGGCACAGATGTTGGCGAAACTAAAGGGTTCAGTCTTCGGGGTATAAGACCCGTATTCCAGAATTGGGGGAAAGCTGTATAGGAGGTGCTTCATCCGATAGAGTTGCAGGACAAGTCGTACTAGATCGAAATCTATAGCCTCACTCACTCTGGCATGCTCCATCCAAAGGGTAGCAGAGCGTATGAATGGAAATTCTGATCTATTCGGAAGCTCTGTCAATTCGAACGTAAGCTCCGTTGGTCCGTCTTGATTTTCCAATGATCCATATAGACGTGGTGTTGAACCATCCAGGTGCTGCGTTGACCTATGGATATCCTCCTTGAATTTGAATTGAAGATCAGCCACATCAATGCTATACCTAATGCAGGTTTTCGCGATAGTCGCTCTGGCGTAAACCTCTGACAAAAGCTGGTCGAAAGGGCGTACCAATTGCTGAGATGTGAGATATTCTTTAACCGAAGAGTGTGCGAGATGGATCTCCTGCCATTCACTGTAATGATCATGCACATCCACGATGGTCAGCAAGCTCGAGCATTGCACTACCACGTCCATGAGATCAAACAATCGATTCTCCTGCTTGAACCCAGGGGACTCATCCAGCCGAACAGCGATAGCGTCGATCATTGTTGACAAAGTTGGCGGTGTTCCTGACCAAAGGACGTATTGCAGCATAAACAAAGCTTCCTGGTAGCAATGGCTGCCTTTTAGTGAGGCCAGTACTCGTGCATAGATCTCTTGCAGTGTCGTGGGAAGAGCTTGCAGAGCTGCTTCCAATCGTGGACGATTTATACAGTCTTTCAGATCGTCTAGCTGGCATGCCGCCAAGCGAANACCTGCGTTTCCATGAGTAACGAGCTTTTAGACCAGTATAACTCGAACTTACATGCCATTGGCTCGCTGTAAAACTGCGTTCTTCACCTGTTCCCGCAAACCTTCCTGAGTATCCCATTTCACAAATTCCTTGCTACTGAAAATTCTCGCGTGGATGTAATCGGCTATGTCTTGGTTGATCTCATCGACTCGAATGGCATGGGTTTGGTCTCGTTTGGGCCACTCGTCGATCGCTGTGCTCAATGCACCTTGTTTTCGTGATGTCACAAATAGGTGCAAGCTATCGCGGTTCGCCTGAAACAGGTCCTCGAGCCATGATACAACATCATTAGGAGAGTCACACTCATCGAGGCCGTCAACTATGACAGCAACCTCATCGATTTGGCCCAGGATACTTGCAAATTGTCCGAAGAGTTGCTTTGTGGTAGGTTGCCTGGTACCTTTGTCACATTGCACATAGAACGTCTGTAACATTTCTCTTGCCGCCGAATGTTTCGAGCAAAGCTGGAAGAGTAGAGAGCGCAGCATTTGAGATACGTCTCGTCTGTCTCCACTGTTGACATCGAAGTAGTAGAACGCGAGTACAGCCTTTGATTCCTCTGATTGTAGTTGATGTATGATGGATGAAGCAAGAATGGTCTTCCCACAGCCAGAAAAGCCATGTAGCCAGAAGAACGAGCTTGGCGCTCTTCGCCAGGAACGATAATCGTCGCTGTCATGTAACCATCGACAAGTATTCTGATGACGCCGTTCCAGAGCCTTGTCAAGATTGACCGATGGATTCGAGGGCGACAGCCATTGTTTTATGTGTTGTGCTTNTTGCTGCTGCTGAGAATCCTCTAGGATGCTTTGGATGGATGTGGTTTNTGTCGTAAACTGTGTTTCATCAGAGGTGTTCTCGATGTCATATTCTTCAGATCAGTACTAACGGCTTTCGAGGACCGTGGAGAGTCTTGTTTCACTCTCTACTCTCTTGGGCACCATGACCTTGAGAAGATCTTTAGTATAGGCAGCAGCGGTCATTGCAGCATACCCCTGCCATTCTTTGTTTTTGTGCGAGTCACTGTAGTCACAAATGCCGCGAATAACGAGGCATGGAAAATGATTCATGAGCCCGGCTGCTTCCATTTCGAAGCACAAGACCCCCTCCCTCGCCAGAGAATCTCTCATATGTGCGTCTTTCATCAGTGAGTTGCCAGAAGCGATGATACCCAAATGAACAGCTGGATCGTCCTCATCTTCTCCNNCTCTTGGAGATCGCTGTATGATATTGGATGGCTGTGTCTCGCAAAACTCTCTGCAACCTTGACTTCCGTCGTCTTGGGGATGTACGAAGTTGGACATGTAGAGATTGTCGGTTCTGGGGCGACCATACTTCTTCTTGAGTCTGGGCTTAGCGTCAAGAGTGGCATCCACGGTCTTGCCAATCTGGTTTCCTTCAATCTCATAAGTGCTTACGAGCAGAGCCATTGCAGTAAGGACTGCTGACGGAGGTTGATTTAGATGGCCGGTTGGTAGGAAATTGTGACCCTGTATCTTCTTCCGATAATCGTATTGATAAACGCCGCCTTTGCCGTGTTCTGGGCTACTGACAACGATGTCGCCCAGTCGAATATCATTTCTGGAGGTCGGCGCACCACCGCCAATTCCGACCATCAAGCCAACTCTGATATTTGCAAAGCTGCGAAGCATATTCGTAGCCACAGTGGCCGAAGTGGTCGTACCGTACTCTCCATATGGCAGCACCGCAATGACAACTTTGTGGCCCGCCATCACACCAAGTGTATATGCGTTGTTGTCGCCTGCTGCGATCTGATTTGGATCTGGCTGGTCGTGTTTTTGATCAAGGAACAGGCATGCTGCGGTGTGCTCTGTCGGCAATGCACATATCCAACCGACAGCGTACTCTTTTGGATCCGACATTCTCTCTGCTGGCAAGGAAGGTTGATACTGCATCGTTAGACAGAGTAGCCGCCTGATATAAGTATTCGCGTACACCCATCGGCACAGCCGAGCCTTGCAAGGCTCATGCAGATGGCTTGCAGGTCGGCCGACGTGATTTGTTGATAGAAATCAGGCGTCTAAAGGGCCAGGCGTGTAGACAATCGAAACCCATCATATCCAAATGCATCTTCATGGGTTCCACATCACGCAGACATACGCGTGATCTGACGACAGCAGTAGACTTCATGAAGTTATGATTAGCTAGGTAGGTGAAGTTCGAGATGTGTCAGGGTGACTGCCAGTTTCATCAACCTCGGAGGAAAGAGCTTCCCCACATGACGCCCTTCCACCATTGTCGCCATACAAAAACACAAGCCTTTGACCGACCATTGAAGACGACTTTCTGAGTCCTTGTACATTTTATAACCACAATGCCTATCCGAATCTCTACCCGCCGGGCTCAAACCCTCCTCAAACCGTCCCTCTATAATATCCGCCCATACAGCACGCCCACATCAACAATAAAAGTCACCCGAGTACCCGCACCACACGCCGGCAACATACGCATCCTCTCTCTCAATCGACCTACCGCCAGAAACGCAATCTCCAAACAACTGCTCTCGGAACTTCGCCAACAGGTTGAGGAAATCAGCAATGAGCCCGAAGATGGCCCAACACGAGCACTGATCCTGGCTTCCGAGTCTGATCAAGCATTCTGCGCCGGTGCAGACTTGAAGGAGAGATTGACCATGAGTGGAGATGAGTACGTCTTGTCCCTTGTATTCTCAAGAGACATATATTGATCAGAGTATAGGACAAAACACTTCCTCACCCTCCTCCGCGACACCTTTACCCGCCTCTCCCTCCTCCCCATCCCCACAATCTCAGCCATCTCCTCTGTCGCATTCGGCGGCGGTCTAGAGCTCGCCCTCACGACAACCTTCCGCGTCTTTGGCTCCACATCCACCGTCGCACTGCCAGAAACAAGACTAGCAATCATCCCCGGCGCAGGAGGAACTTTCCGTCTACCATCGCTTATCGGCACCGCAAGAGCCAGAGACATGATCTTGACGGGCAGAAGAGTCACAGCAGCCGAAGCTTACTTCATGGGCCTATGCGATCGACTGGTCGAAGTAGACGAGGTGCAAGGAGACAAGACAAAAGAGAGAGAATTGGTGCTCACACAAGCCGTTGCTTTGGCAAGAGATGTCTGTGACGGTGGGCCTGTCGCTACAAGAGCAGCGCTCCAAGCAGTAAACAGCTGGGGCGCTGGCGAGGAGGCTGAGAACCTGGCGTACGAGCGTGTCTTGGTTACTCAGGATCGAATCGAGGCTCTCAAGGCGTTTGGTGAGAAGAGACCGCCTGTCTTCAAGGGAAAATAGAGACGTACAGTGTATATCCAACCATCTAGTTGAGAGCATCTATCAGCAGAAAGGCTATGGAAGGTCGGAGTGCTGTTCTCTCAAGAGGCCCCCTCTCTTTCTATGATCATGCCTCAAACAAACCCTTTCTCAAAAGCATCATGTACTAAATTGATACCATAAACTACTTATGATGAATGAAGGAGATGAACCCATAAATCATGCAAGCAAAGCAAAAGGACAAAAGATGTGAAGATGTTGAGCAATGCGATATTATAGTGATGGTAGAGTAATGCTAATCGCTTTGGATGCAGTAATAAGCCTATCTTGTGAGACAGCAATTCTATCATGGAAACGTCCCCAAGCAAACGTGTGTTTCTCCTTCGCCATGCACTAACTCTTCAAAGGATGCAACATACCATCCTTGCGCCTCAAAAGCCATTCCTTTTGAGCGATCGTCTTCTCTTTCAGCCGCTTGTACTACTGTCCCCAGCGACGATATCCTCCATACGTGCGAAGCGTTTTCTTCTTAGGTTTCTGCTCGGGCTTGGTAACCGCGCCTTTTTGGCTCAATCGACTGCCGTCTGCGGGAGGAGTGGTCGTCGTCTACGAAGAAAAGCAGTGAGTAGACTGCTCTGAATTTCTTCACCACGCCTACCAGTTGATCTCTTTTACCGGTTCGTCAATCTTGTCCCAGTCTCCTTCTACTTTGATATCGCTGACTGCTGTAGATGCCAGGTCGAATGGAGTCGCATCAGGCATTAGCTGGAACGAAGTAGTTGCATCGGGCATTGGCTCATCGGCTACTTCTTCGACGTCGCGACATAGTGGCTCGACATATTGCTCCTTGGTGTCATCTCGAACGTATACAGCGTATGTGGGTGTGCCATGCTGCCAGGTTTCCGCGTTGAGTATCTCATCGAGCGTGTTGATCGGCTCAACATGCTCATCGTTGTATTTACGCCAGATGTTGTTTTGAACGTCGTAAATGTCAGTCCAATAGTGGCCATGACCGGTGCTACCGCGATGGAAGAAGACGGCATGAAGGCAGTATTTGAGCTTCTCAAACTCAGATCCAGAGAACTGCTTTGTGATGTTGTCTTCCAGCTCTCGTACTTCCTGGTCGATGATTGGGAGACGCGCACGCTGGACATCCCTCTCTTGCTTGAGATCCGATGAGAGTGACTCTGGCACTTTGATCGGGTCCACCCCAGCTTCCGAAAGAATTGAGTTCGATTCAGACAGGTTAGACAGCCAATCACCCACAGCATCGAGTGCAGACGGACCGTCAATGCCAATGTCTGTCTTCTGAATAATCTCTTTCTCGGCTTGTAGGCTGCGCAAACGTCTTCTCCACTCCCAGCATTGTTTGCGTCTAGCAAGTACGGCCTCATCGTCTGAATAGCGATCCATGTATAGGGTCTCTTCGAGTCTTATGCGATCAACACTCTTGACTGGCTTGCCTTCACGATCCAAACGGATGCGATTGATGCTGATTTGAAGGATCGGTGGGAATGACTTCAAGGTTTTGTACACATTGACCGGCTTGCTAGCTTCTGGTTCGGGGTGTAGATCAAGAACTCGACTGAGAGCAGAGTAGATGTCGGTAGGCTCATAAGGTGGCAGGAGCATCAAGTTGGTGAAATCATCTTCTTTGTCGAAGGTTGCTCGCCTTCCGGGATGATCGTATCAGTAATGCGCATGTTGAAGATGCTACAGGTAATGAGTCAGTAAACTGTTCCAGATGGGTGAGAAAGACACGTACTCTCGAAGCTGGTCCAACTGCTCGCCCTGAGGGTCTTGGCCGAGCGGCTTGATTGAGGCTCTCAGCCTTGTCAACAACTCCTCCATGACTTCGGCGACATCTTGTTGCTGTCTGGCAGCTTCTTCTGCCTTTTGCAGGTTGGTTCTAGTTTGTTGAGATGGAGTTGCAGGCCTTCTAGGCGGTAACGGCGGGGCGAGAAGTTCGCCCTCTTTCTCAGCTTTAGGCGTGACGGGCGGAGTAAGCACAGCGTTGCCTTGAAGCGTAGTTGAGCTGGTTTGAGAGATTGTGGAGGAGTCATCTGCGTTTCCGAGGGCTGCCACGTCAGCAGGATGATTTTCGTTCTCGGTGGAAGTCATGTTGACGTCTACTCCCTCGTCCTGTTGAGAGCCTGCTGTATCTGCTTCAGGGCTGGTGGGCTTCAAGAAAGCTCGACAGACCAGATCCGCTTCAGGCTTGACAGCTGTTCCACGGTCTTTGATCATGCGCTCGAAGAGGTGTCGGAGATCGTTAGTAAGGCTTTGGAACGATTCGATCTCATACTCGGGACGATGAAGGTTTCCAACTCGCTCAGCTTTTGCGCCTTGGGTTGCTAAATCGTACTTGAACCTGTCGAAATCGAGTACCAGCTCTCTCAGAGGCTTGATGGTGAAGTAGTATTGGAGGAGACTGTTGAGATAGCAAGTGTTTCCGTGGCTGATCAGCCCGACAGGCCTGCTCTGTGTAGACTGTTGTCCGGACTGTCGTTCATCCATAGCTTTGCGAACGACGGCGATAGCCTTGTCAGTTGTCGCTCCAGGTTTTCCCTCTCTGACAAGGTCGAATTGGAATTCAATCATGCTTGGGTCGACCTCGTCGAGATTGTCGATCTCCAAGTGTTTGCACGCTTCTTGGAGAGCCATTGTTTGCGAAGTCATTTCACCAGTAGCAAGCCAACTTTGCAAAATCTCGCTTTTGCGGTGCGCAGCAATCAAGCCAACGGCACGGCGGGCAAGATCTTTGGTCATTGAATCGTTGTAACTGTCATCGACCTGTAAAACATGTATTAGTAATGGCGGTAAAAAGAAAGTGTGAAGCAACAAGCGAGAGAAGCGCGAAAACAGCAGAGAGTGCACAAGGCTTTTTCGCAGGTCGTTGTTTGAATGCGCAAGTGATCAAAATACACTAAAGCTTGAAAGCCCGTCTGATGGTAGAGAAACTGGATCACCAGTAATGTTCCGTTCTCGTTTGACACGCTCGAGACTCACGGATAGAGACAGAACAGTTTGCTCAACAAATTTTTGACTTACTTTGACGCCATACAGCGCTACAATTGTGTCGTCTGCTTGAGATGCATCGGCACCGAGCCATGTAAGTGCTTGTTCGTATGTTTCCACAGCTTCTCATGTTAGCCGACCAGGATGCATGTCTCAACAAGCTGCACTTACTGTCTGCGGCAGTGTCAAGTATTGAGCGACTGCTTCTGGCATTGCCTAGAGTCTTCAGGGCTATCTTCAAGTCGGCCTGCCCGGTTGCGCTACTGTCTGACCATCGTGATTTGTAAATTCCGATTATTTGTTCGTCGTCGATAGTGTTTTGCACATCCGGATCAATACCTAAAGCTTTGTATGCTTGAATGATATCCTGCATGGTCCATTAGCGTCTGAGACTGCCTCCCATTTCGAGACATGATACCTTTTTGCTCAAGACATTCTCTGATGCGAGAGTGGCTGACTTTGTGATAAGAAGCTCGCTCTGTCTACCCGTCGCGAGCTCTTGGAGGCAATCGAAGTAATACGGCCCTTCTATGGGATCACATGCCGCCTGCCTTTCATAAGAGAAGATTATCAGACGATCTGAGAAATCGCCAAGGGCACCAAGACTGGCAAAGCAGCTTTTCGGAAAGTAAGCATGTGTCTTTGATATGGCCTAGACTGGTGTAAACTCACGGATGGTCCTCTTCGGTCGGATCCAGATTGCGCCCAGGGACTTTATCATCTGCGAATAATCAGTACGATACACGACTAAACACGCGATATTTATCATACAGCCCTGTGCGCTCAGCGTACGAGCGAGATCCACTTTCGCATCCTGATACGTCGGCCGCGAAGGATTGGGGGTTGCGTGACTTGCGCAATACTCGTCAATCAGGTACTGCAACTCAATGACCAATCTCTCGAGCATAAGACGCAATAGGTCCGGATCGTCAACTGATTTCGGCGAAGGCAGCTTCCATTGATCCTCGCCATGTTGGTCCTCGTCTTTCTTGAATCCTATGCGGTAGAGTAACAAGTCGCAATCTGTTCCGAAGGCTTCCATGAATCTCTTATTTCTTGCAGGGAAGCTGCGCCTAGCATTTTCCTCAAGCAGGGAATCCGAAACATATCTCTTGAAGCGGGTGAAGACTTCCTGAGGAGTGGCCAGACGCACACCCTCACGGTCCGGAGTAGCCTCGAGGACGTGCTCGTAACGTCGATTCAGAGCTTGAGGATCGGTAAGAACTACGATATCTTCTTTGGTCAAGACGGGTCTCTGGTAAGCAACGTGCACATGTGCTTGACAGGCTAGATTGGAGCACTCAAAGTGGTAGCCGACTTGTGACGGGTCGGTGGATGTCGTAGTGTGACAAAGATGGTGGAGTGGGTAATCTCGGTTGGGACATGGTAGTTTGCAGCCAGTTTCCGGGTAGTCGATGGAGAGAGTGAGATAGAGGCGGCATTTCCTGCAGCAAGCGGCGACCTTCCAGCGAGTATCTTGTTGTGCGGACTCATCGATACGCGGCAAGTTGCAGCGTACTATGTGCGAGTAGTATTCATGCTTGCAGCTGCCTCTGTCCAAGACCAAGGGAGGGCCTGAGCGGGCGTTGCCGTCGAATTGCGGAGGGTTGTCGAGAAGAATGTTTCGGTGGTTCAGGCCGATGGCTTGAGGGTCGAGTCGAAGGAGGTCATGGAGGAACTTGGGCGCAGTCTTACCTGTCGCGAAAGCGTGGTTAGCGGGTCTGTCTCGAAGCATGCTTGAAAGACGGCTAGGATGGTATGCGTACCAGGTTGCGAAGCCCGGGAAGGCATGGCCTTGATAGAGTCGCCGAGACTCTGTGGTATAGAGACAAGGATTGGCCGGAGAGGGGCTCAACAGACAGAGAGAAAGTTCAAATTGAGGTCGTAGGGGTTGTTTCCTACAAGAGTTGTTTTAGGCAATCACAAGATTTGGCCCTGTCGCTGCTGTCGCACATTCACATGGAAGGTACGGCATACGTCAGCGAAGCCTATGCGGAACGTGGAAGTTCACCAGCCACAAGGACACCTCAGCACAGCCACTTCCGCTGTTAGCGCCAAAGGTCAGCAGCGAGCGCCAAGAACGGAAAGCGCGACCTCATGCGAGCCGGCGGCAGCGACAGCATCATCTCGAATTGAGCTCGTCAATCCTCCCGCCAACGACGTACTCGACCAACTCCACCATGGCCGCACAAGAGGAGCAGCCCTACCGCCCCAAGGATGCCCTGGGCTCCGCAATCAAGGCCGGCATGATCACCACCGGCGCTGGTCTTTTCGTCTCGACCATCCAAAATACCCTCACCAAGCAGAACTATGGTTCTATGGGCGCCTTCACCAAGTTTGGTGGCACTACCGCCGTCTACGGTATGCTCTTTTTCTGGATCCGCGCGCTCAACTGAGCTAATGACCGTTCAGGTGCCATGGGAGCTGCCTATGAATTCACCAGATGCGCCTCGGCCAACCTGAGACAACGCGACGATGCCTGGAACTCTTTCTGGGGTGGTCTTGCCGGTGGCTCCATGCTCGGCCTCAGNATGTATGCCATCCTCGACTTCAATTGACCCACCTACGCAATCGCTAAGCTCCATGCAGTCCGCACCGCTCCCGCCGTCGCTGGTTACGGAACCGCCCTTGCCGTTGTCCTCGGCACCTGGCAGTACGCCGGTGGCAAGATCACCGGCTACGAAATTGATCCCACAGTCGACGAGGTGGCCCGAAAAGAATACGTTCGTAAGAACAGAAGGAGACCAATGGAGGAGACGCTCGAGCAGATTGGTGAGGGACGCGGTATGGATATCCTGCCTCTACCACAAAGAAATATATACTGACAAGTGTANGGAATCTTTGGTCCCGGTTACCAGGAGAGAAGAGCAGAGAGACTTCAGCAAAACTACGGCATCGAGGTGCCATCAGCTGCTTCTTCTTAGACATTCGACATTTGTAGATACCTTCCACGCTATTGTTTCCTCTGTTCAATATTTGATCCACACTTGCTTTGATTGATGAAGCACGACACAGCTACCACGTTCCAGGCATTGAGTTAGACGTGAGGAGCCCAGGGGCCAGAACCAAGAGTGGTTCGGAACCCACACCACGTTTTCAACCTTGTGCACCATATACGAGCTTTAGTCAAAAGCTGTGACACAGCAGTTGATAACTACTGAGGGCGTCTCGTTGGCCATTTATGATAGAAGACTGTCTGGACGTAAGAACCTTCTGACCATATGTCATGTTGTCCCTAAATCTGTCACTCTCTTCCATCTTCTTAAACCATTGTTGTATCCGCCCATGGCTCCATAGCAGACTCTTGACATCGTTTCTGCCTCTCGTGCCACGGCAGTTTTGCGGAAGCGTGCCTCCTGCTTCCACTTTCTCCAGCCCGCATCCGCGATCGAAGCGGGGACGAAGAGATCAACAACCAAAGGGGCACAAACACAGCAACCGCTCATGCGCATCACGAGATCTGCTTAGTGCTCATGTCCTAACAAATAGGCAGGTAAGGTCTACAAGTGTTCGTTACACAGCACCTGCATGCCACACCGCTTCAACGAGGCTCTGTGGAAGAATGTCTGGCTAAACTCTCCGCGGGATTTTGTTCGTTCGACCAAGACATCTAGTACAACTCTACATACCAGAATTGGTGACATCAGGATTCAGCTGTTGTGTTCATGTGCCGTCCAGCGATCTAGTGCACTTATAACTCTCATATCTCTTGTCTTCTGAGGGTTTTCTGCTCTTCGACAATCTCTTCTGACACAATCCTTTTCTCACAGACACACCCACTACCACCTTCTTCTCTATGACTACTATCACTATCACCCAACCACGAAGCCTCGAGATGAGTGAACAAGAACGTTTTTTCCGGTACTTCCAGACCGAAGTTGCCGGTGCGTGCTCTGCTTTCCAATTATAGCGACCAGTACATAACTCCTTTGCTGACCTATGCATCCTGGAGTCTNNAGCGCTGCAGGAGCAAATGCAGATTATTCAAGATCATGGAACCTCTGGTGGAGAACGAGCAGATGCCATCGACCACTGTCTAGCTGGCATATCGAGACTTTCCAATGACGTGAAGGACGTATCTGGGTCTCTCCCAGCACACGATCAAAGAACGTACAGCGAGGTTGGCCATTCATCGATCAGACCTTCCCGGAATGTCCGTACTAAACATTGAACANNGGCGATCAAAGCACTATCAGAGAAACTGCAAAAGACGCGGGCTCAGGCGGCACCCAAGCCAAAGTTCTCTTTCAANAAGAAGAACGCTTCTGCAATCTCTATTAACGATGCAGCAGAATTGGCGGCGAAGAAGCGTCTTCTCCAACCGAACAGCAACTTCTCATCAGAAGTCTCCTCNTTTGCTACAACGCCATTGACCATGCCCCAAACGCCTGCAAATGGACCGGCTGTCGAGGAACCTAGACCCGCTGATTCCAAATCCGATGCCTCAAGTGGGATTACTGAAGGTGTACGGAAGCTCTCCTTCTCGAAAGCTGACAAGATACACATCTCCAACCACAACAAAATTCACATCATGCTCCCTTCCTCAGCCACACACGCAACATCCGGAACTTCTGGTACGGTTACCAATATCCGCAATAGCGTGATTGATATGAGCATCTCCGTCTCTTCTGCCTTTGCTACTCTCACCTTGAAGAATATCAAGGGCTCACTCATAGTCTGTGGGCATGTCGACGGTGCTGTACACATCACAGATGTCAAAGACTCAGTTTTGGTTGTAGCAACGAGACAATTCCGTATGCACGAGAGCAAGAATGTCAAGGTCTATATGCTTTGCAAAAGCAGGCCGATCATTGAGGATTGCAAGGACATCGAGTTTGCAGAAATGCCTGACTGTTATGTAAGTCTGCTTCCACCTCTTCTTCGTCACACAAGAACCTGGAAGAGTCAAGACGGATGCTTGTGCTAATGAACGAAATCANNGGCCACAGAAAAGGACAAGGATACCAAGAATCTATACGACCAGGTGGATGATTTCAAGTGGCTAAAAGCAGAGCACAGTCCGAACTGGAGCGTCCTGGACACGGACAAACGCATCAAAGATGAGGTTTGGAAGGATGTCGTACCAGGTAGCCCTAAGAGCGGTGTCGAGGAGATTTTGAAGGCAGTCGGACTCTGAGTCGGAATCAACGTACATCCACGACAAACAACCCCTATAATTCAAGATGTCACATCCGAATTTTCAACCCTGTGTTCGTACGATTACATGGTTAGACAAGAATGCTCAATATTGTAAAAGCGACCGAAGACGTTTTCATTAATTAATCTCGGCCGGATCAAAGTCCTTGTGACCATTGGACTCACCCGTCAACCCGTCACCGATGTCATACAAAAGCATGGCACCGTCATGGGCAGACGTTAGCAACTGCCATAACAAGGATAGTGTTTCGGAGGGTGACTCGCGGGGAGGCTGGCAGTGATCAGCAAGCTTCTCCAACCAACAACGCGTGTCGCCAAGTCGGATTCTTCTCGCCCTTTCACACACACCCTCTTCATCTACATTGCTTTGCAATATGTACAACACGTCAATCTTAGTTCAGGAGTTTTGAGGGTGCGTCAGATCAGATGACTATATGCAAAGGGACGACATGGCTTGGCAGTTGGATTGTGAAACGACGAGGCAGGTACCACGACTGCAGATCATGGCTTCTAGCAGCTCGGAGAGGTTGTGATGAACAGGGTGGACTTTCCTCTGCCTAGGCACATACGCTTGATGTGTTGATCGTTCCTGTCCATCAACGCAGGAAGGAACCACCGCCAATTCTGATGATGACATGTGATGCTGCTTCCTGCTTTGCACGACCGTCTTGTTCTTCAACAAAACCAGGCGACTGTCCTCTTTTGTTGGTTTCTGCCACAACAACATCTCTGCATCCATCATCAAAGCATTCAATCATCAATTGCTCTTCTCCATCATCAGACACCACTACATCAAGTACCCAACAACAGCAAACACATATCCTCTCAAGAACATCAAGAACAACCAAGATCCTCGTCGCCGTCCACATATTCCATCAACACAACCATCTCGAACCATCATGCAGTTCTTCACGGCCATCTTCTCGCTCTTCGCAGCAGCTGCCACCGCTTTCCCCACCAAGCCTAATTACCTCACTCAACCCATGGCTCGTGACGCTGGTGATGTAAGTGCTGACTTCTCTTCTCATGCAACGCCATCATCATTCTCTCCTCACCTCCAGCTTCATAATATGCATCTCAGCCTCGAATGGCGGTCGACATGGCATCATGATTCAAGGCTCGATGGGGTCAACCACCGAAAGCCTAAATCTTACACATACTCATCATCCAAAATTTGAGAGCTCTCGTCTAACACCATCTTGATANNGGTCTACGTCTGCACTGGTGCCAACTTCACTGGTGATTGCCAATATCTCAAGCAACCCTTCGATACCTGCGTCATCTTGCCCGAAACCCTCAGCAAGAAGGTCTCGTCATTCGGACCTGATGAGGGCGCAACATGCTTGTTGATGCAGGGTTCATGTAACGACTCAATGCCTTACAGGTCCGCCAGCTACCCAGGCATCTCGGACTTGCGCAACGTGACCTTTGACGACATGGCAACAAGCTTCATCTGCTTGCACTAGAAGGAGTAGGAAGATGGAGGTGTGACACCCTTGGTTCGCTGCTGAGCAGCTGGCTCTTCTCTGCCCTATAATGACGTTTTCATTTGTTCTGGCTTTGGGTCTCTGGAGTTCGAGAGCCTTAGAGGCATTGTACCATACAGCACTTGAGCTCGGTTGCTCGTGTATTAACGACTTTGTTTATTCTCAAGACCTGGATACTTCTCATGTGATCTGTGAGCTGTGATATGAATTGATGATCATGATGTTGTATATCTAAAAGTCCTCCATCTTGTAGACCTCGCAGACAGGAACTTCGTAAGGATGAGNCCCTTGGTAACATTGGATGTCAGCACACACACTCTGTTCAGAGGGCACGGAACCTTACTTCTTTAACACTTCAACAACTCTCTTGACATTCTCTCTTCCGAGCACCTGCACCTCGACTCTAACCTCCTCCAACACCTCTAGTTTTTCTCTTTCTCCGATATCAGGAGTGCTATCGGGACCAGGGATGAATTGACCAGTCCCACTCGTCTGCCAGCNACTACAATCAAAGAACATACCCATCAGTACACAAACCGTTTATTGCCTTTCGTAAGAGAGTGTGCTTACGACATTGGTATAGAGAACCTGTGAAGCATCTGTCAAGGACGAAANAACACCGGCGAGGTTTGTAGAAAAGATGGCGTCTTTTGTCGCAGCGAGAGAGGATGGAGGTACAAAGTAGCAGAGTTTGTATCTCGTCTGGTCGTGGTTGGTAGACATCGTTGCTTCTTCTTGATGTGTTGTAGTGGTAACGGTATAGAAAAAGGGCAGGGTGTGCGATTCAGCAAAAATGGTCGAAAACAGCGATAATCCAAAAACGAAACGAGCACTTCCACGTGGAAATGTTATTCCTTTTGTATCCTTTTCTTTAAGGTTGTCTACAAGAAGTGGCGATATCGGACATTTGGTATTTTTGGTTGAAAGCGTATAGTGTGTGGGATTGTGTAACAGCAATCGCTATGGGAAAGACAAGACGGTATTGATCGCTATGGGAAAGGGTAAGCGGATGGAAAAGTCGCATCGGCCTCAACACGATTCAAGAAGAAAACATCCATCTACCGACGCAAAACAAAAGAAATGAAGGAGAGCAGAGGAAATCCCAGTTCTGTCACTGGTAAAAAGAGAAAGTATGAAACTCAAGCCCATTCCGCAAACGCCGTGTCGTGAACATAACAGAGAGACAAGTCGGTCATTTGGTCGTAAGCACATGTCCTCAGGCCTTGACCTTGTCGCTCCACTCCTTGAACTCGGCATACTCCAAGTCCACCTTCTTGCCCTCGTAAGTGACCAATTCCATACCGGCAGCAACTTTCCTCCACTCATCCTTCCTGCCCGACCAACCAGCCTTTCTCATCAGACTGACCAAAGCTTCCTCTTTTGTCCAGCTNNCTTGCTCTTTAGCCACATCAGGAAGATATGTGGCTCCCAGTTTTCTACCATGATAGGAGAAACTAATCCTGATACCATGCTTACCCACCTCCCAAGCCATGATATCACGGCTAGGGTTGCTGAAGTTGGTCAGTAGTGTAACACAACACTGTAACTGTGGAAGTTGAGATGAAGCAATAGGTGGGAAGCGAGAATCTTCAAAGGCAGAAGTCAAGGCGTAGTCAGCGAGCCCTCGCTCTAGAGGTTGAGGCGCGAAGGTGCCGATGCAACCGCGAAGGGATTTCTGGCCGCTGCGTGGCGAGATTGTGTTCCAAGTTACGAAGAGGGGGTATGAGTCTGAGGGTGAGATGTTGGAGCGAGAAGATAGAGAGGTACGGCTGGAGGACGTCGAGGCTTGGGTCGAGGTGGAGCGAGATGTCAAGCTCGACGAGGACGAGTTGAAGGTGGGAGTGTCGCTGTTGAGGAGGCGTGAGATGGCGGGTGCACGAGATGTGTTTGGCTCTGCCTCGTCATCTTCGCCGTCGACGTTTGTTGTAGCATCCTCCTCTTCCCTTACGGGTTGTTCGGTCCAGAGCTGTTCGACTTGAGATAGAGAGAGTGGCTGTCGTCCTTCGAAGCTGGCAACGAGCGATTCGAAACAGTAAGCACAATGAGCTTTGGTAGCCATGGTTTCTTCAGTGAGCTGAGTAGTGGTGATGGTGCTGAAAGAAGATGCGAGAGGAACAATCGAGGTCGAATCAGGCAAGATGATTTAATCGACAAGTGGAGGCAGATCAAGCAAGAGGTCAGAACGTCACAGAAGAAGAAGAAGAAGGATCGAACGAGGTCAAAGCTGACGTGGAACGAACGAGAGCGACAACACAAGACGAAGAGAGGGGATCACAGATCCAAGACCGATACTGGCCTTATCTATTATGTGTCGAGCGCGGCGTATGCTGACTGCTTCAAGCTGCTGTCTTGGATCCTGTTACTCGACACGAAGAACGACCTGTTGGCTGCGTTCCCAGCTGGCGGCAGCCCACCTAACCACACAGGTCACGCATGATGCAAGCGGGGTCACCGACTCCGTCCAAGCGCGCTGATGATGACTTGGAAGCCCATTGGGTATTGCTTCTTGCACAACCCCTTGTGCCACTTTGTGCAAGCCGAATGCTTGGGGGACCACCCTGTCACTCACATATCCTCGAACTCTTACAGCAGTATACACCCACAACTATCAGGTATACCATTGCTCAAGCATGTCATAACCCTACAAAGATATATCTCTATGCCGAGGAGCAGTTTTGATAGGTTCTGTTAGGTTCTGCGTCTTGTACAGTTGTCTCATGAACTTCGACTTGAATTTCGACTTCCTTTGGCATACTCCTGAGCAACAGTTCCCAATCTGACGCAGTTTACGAATCTAACAGTCAAGTACCGAGTGGTTTGGGATGTGCATACAGCTGTGTGTGTTTTAGTCATGCCAGAAACTGCTTGTGTGCCGCCATCGTATTTCTGTTATATGCAACCTATTGTGAGCTTCATCCTTAATTCTATCCACTTACAGACAAATCGGTCACATCTGCATGTATCGGTTCATATAAGCTGTTTCGCAGGGCAGTGTGCAAGATATACGGCGAGCAGAACAACGAATAGAACATGGTGGTGATTCACCCTTTCTTGTTCCACACGACAATCCTTCAACACGTAGTCATCATGCAGAAAGAGAAAGAGGGAGAAAAAGGTCCAAGAAGGAAAACGTAACTTGAAAAGAAGTGAACACCCGAGAAAGAGAAAAAAACCACAAAAAAAACGTGTCAAAGATCGCCCCTTGATCCATCACCCCCATCGATCACCAGGAGACCTCTCCCTTCCGTCGACTGGTAAGATCTGTTAAGGAAAAACCGCCTCATCCCAGTTGCAAATGTGCCTCAATGGCAGCCCCGTCCTGATTCGAAAGCGCCTCGTTTCCAAGAGAAAAACAACAGACTTAAGACTCCTTACAAGCTCCTCCATCCCCATTCCATTCCTTCATGCGTAGAATATATGAGTTTTTGCGTGTTGTATAGTCATTGTTGAAGCACTCGTGATGTGTCGTGGATCATCGGTGTCTGTGATCGTTCGAACCATGCCCGAAGTCTGCTTCCGATCTCTTCGATTCCTTCTTGACCTTTACCGAGAACTCGGCCAGAAGAGCAATGTGGTCAGAGGGATGGTAGATGTGAGGGAACCCAGGCACTCGGCTGAGGTATTGCTTGTCGATCTCTCCAAGGACGCCAGTGACGCCCAGCGCGTTAGTCGAGTACCAGATATAGTCGATGCAGCCAACAAACGTAGGCGTGTAATTGGTAAACTCGAGCTCGCCGATATGAGAGTACGACGACTTCAAGCTGAAAGGATGGGTCATACCCTCCTTTGTGAAGTTTCCATACTTGCGTCCTGCCAAGTCGTCGTGCGAGGATGAGAGCGAGCCGTGAGCCAACAAGTCGTAGACACCACTTTCCGAAGTACTGTTGAAATCGCCACAAATAATAAGCGGAATGTCAGTGTTCGAGGCGTATTCTTGCGAAGGTGCAGGCGGTGCTTTCTCGACAGGTTCTCCGTCCACCTCATCACCATTTGCGTAGCGGAACAGTTCCTTGTCCTTAAGTGCGGGCCACTTGGCGTACTCTCTGCTCAGACGATTAAGCTGCTCCAGCAAAATAGCGACTTGAACAACCTTGACGTCCTTGAATTGCGGGTCCCAGAACAAGTGAAGGTTGACCACCATTTGACGAGCACCGGTTTGGCGACTCTCGAGGAAGGCGACGGTTGCTATATCGTCACGAGTCATGACACGGTTGAAGATGTCGTGCTCGCCCTTCATGTCGGGACGGTTAATAGCCGTCCGTCCAAACTCGACGACTTGCTTGTCAAGCAAAATGTACTTGGTATTGTTGTAGAAAGTGGCGCAACCATCAACCAATTTGGCGTTCTTCTCTGACATAGTATGAGCACGGGATTTTTGCCAAAACATTCCCCTGTAATCATCGTGTGCAAGTTGAGGGCGGAAATATTCGTTGAAGCTTTCGGCATCAATCTCTTGTAGACAGATAATGTCGGCTCGGCGTTGTCTTATTTCACCCAGGAGGACCTCTCTGCGGTTCTCCCACAAGAGGGCATGCGAAGGGGCGTAGCCGTATTGAGCTTCGGTAGTGTACTTGTCACACAGAATGTTGTGACTGTAGACCATGAATCTTTCTTGCTGTTCGGCAGGTGTCTCATCGAGGATGATCCAGTCACGCTCGTTGGGCGGTTCAGGACCCTGAGCATGCTCACGCAGAGTGCGGATCAGTTCTCCTGTACCAGATTCGGCGATGATGTCTTTGATGTTTTCATTCAGAGGATTGCCCTCGAGACCGAGAGTTTCCAACTGATAGAGGTAGCCCAACTCGCTAGGTAGATCCACGAGGTTGTTGTCGATAAGCAGGAGAGTGCGAAGGTTTGTGAGCATACCAATCTCGGGCGGAATAGTTGAGAGATCGTTCTGTGAGAGGTCGAGGAAAGTAAGTCTGCGTAGCATACCAATCTCGGGCACCAGCCAGTTGAGCTTGTTCTGGTTGACGTAGAGCTTCTCGAGGAAGTAGTATTTGAAGAGATTGTCGGCAAGAGCACGCAAACCCTGGCCACCGAAGTCGATGGCAGTGAAGGCGTGCTTCTCATCATGGTAAGGCATTCTCCTCCCACGCTCCTCCTTATTCTCCTCGGTCTTCCTAGCACCGGGGCCCAGCTGGGCGATAGCCTGCCGGCTAGCGACATGGGCATTTCTGGCGTAGTAGTGAGGCTGTGTAGCGTCACGCGAAACTTGAGCCAGACGCTGTTGCTCCTGCCAGTGTTCGCTACTAGGCTTGCTAAGTTGGCTGTGCGTGCTAAGCGGCGTTTGGCTCTGCATGTGGCTGGGAGTGAAGTGAGGAGTCGAACTCGAGAGGTTGTGCGAGTGAGAGGCAAAGGCATCGTGGTGGTGTTGGTGCTGAGTGTGGTGGGGTTGTTGCTGCTGTTGAGAGTGGGCTTGGTTTTGGTGATGGGTCTGCAAATTCTGCTGCGACTGTTGTTGCTGGCCGAACTGCTTGGTCATGTTCATGTGCATCTGGAAGCGCTGGTGACTGTTGCCGTTGAGGATGCCATGTTGATTAAACATGGTATTGAAGGCAGGCGAGTTGGCGCCAGGTGAGCGGTTGGGCGAGGGAGTGTCTTGAGTGTGGAAAGGGATGCGCTGCGAGGTGGTGATGGGCGAGCCGTGACGAGTCTGTAGCTGGCGCTGCGACTGTGGTTGGTAGAAATACTGGCCGGCTCCTTGGAACCGAAAGGCACCATCGGCCATCTAGGAATGGAGGGAGGCGGTGACGAGAGACGGGCGACGGCTTCTTCTTTTCTTCAACATTGAACCAATCCCCGTGTCAAAAGGCCAGCCGCTGCTGGATTGGCTGAGCGAGAGCGGCGGCGGGAGGGTGGGCTGAGGGCGCGCTGTCGGTGGAGCTTCGCGACGTGTTCGGGGCGAGTACAAGCAGTGCAAGACGGGAAGAAGGTCGAACGAGGAGTCGGCGCCGGGATCTCTTGTGTACAGGCGGTGCTTTCGGAGCGAGTATGAGCGACAATGTCGTTGGTAGATAGCGAGCGATGGCGATGTTGGATAATCAAGGGCCAAGTACTTTGCTGAAGGACGACGATGGTCAGTTGGAGGTCTTAGTCACAGGCTGGAGGCTCGTACGACGCTCTGTTTCGACGGGTGCAAGCTTGCCAGGGTACAGAACAGAGGAAACAACTCACCCTTTGCGCTCAATGCTCGTCGGGAAGAATACTACACGTCGTCGCTAGATGGAGGTCGTGATGACGGGGAAGAGCGTCTTGCCAGCCCAGCGGACAGCGATCCATGCCAAGACAATCGAAAACGAGTCGATTCTGCTGCCAACTCACCCTCTCTCAAACACACTCCAATGCCATAGTATTCGACTTGGATGTCATCACAAAATACTCAAAAGTGCTGGCATTGAGGTGTACACACGTCGTTGCTTATCGATGCTCAACAACCAGTCATTCTCTGCCAACACGTCAAGCTCCAAGACTGCTGCTTCCATCCTGTTGCTTTCTGTCCTCTTTCCCATGTAGAAACCCTTTGGTAGCACACCAAGTTGCACACGTCAAACCTCTCGAAACCTGCACACCAACTGTCCAGCTCGCATACCCATTTCACGCCTGTGCTGCCATCAATTGAAAACAGCTATCATGTGATCAGCAGCTCTCTGTGAAGCACTTTCGTATCAGATCCCACAGCCACCATCCACCTCGGCCCGCAGCTATCGACGAGACAGCATAGCGCGGCTCTGTAATTCCGCTTCTGCAAGGGCCATTTCTGTCAAGTCTCAATCGCTCGACAGACAGCCGCGATCCAGATGCGACGGCTGTTCACAGTTGAATAAGAGAGGCTGAACGGAGCAAAGGCTCAAGGCCCCTTGATTTAACCATCACATTTCAAACGCGGGGCTGAACAAGCGTGCCAGCTGAGGGCGGGTCATGAGGTATACCCTAAGCGACGGCGAACCTTTTCCTTCCTTCAAATGTGAGGAGAGTATATAGCCACGCCATCTTGTCTCTCGCCGTCTCGGATGGGAGTGCCCGTCGTACCAGCATCACCTTGACCTGCCGCCTTCTGAGGACTCGCAGCGTCTCGCAACGACACTTGGATCTTTCCCGCCTTGCTGACCTGTTTGATCCAGAAATCAAACTCTTGTCAGCGAAGCAATATCGATTCTAGATACATTCGAACTATCTAGGTCCTCAAACAGGTTATTGCTTCAGCATCAAACGGCTCTCTATCTTATCGAAACGGTGTCTTCGAGTGTCTGGAGGACAGAGTCAGAGACACACCCTCTCCGCACCGAGCCCGTGCACAGTGTTGGAGCGTTCGAGCTTCACGAGTCGTTGTGGGTCTTGGGTGGTCTCCCAATCCGAATTCCGCCATGGATGGCTTCGCCTATTTTTATTTGAACAATGCGCCCAGACACAATAGTACTGCCTATCGCCAGTCGCTGGGTACTACTTCTGGCCATGTGAATCCTCCTCCCCAGCACTCCTCGCCCTCTTCTCCTCCTGCTTCTCTCCCATCCTCGCCTCCAACATCGCCGCTTCCGCTGTCCCGCTCTACTTCGCCTTTTCGCAGATCACGTCGCAGACGACCCTCCGCTGCAACCACTACCTCTGATCCTCTTTTCGACCTCTACAGAAAAGACTCTGCTTCTTCAGAAGTGACAACAAAGCCCGGAGATATGGAAGGAGCAACAATTCGCGAACAACGGCAGGCCACAAGCGGCAGCATTTCCTCTGCCGCGAGCAGCTCTCACAACTTGCTTGCCAACCCCTTCGAACTACGTCACGGCCGTCGGTACCTACGCGATGTGACATANCCCCTCCCCTGCGACCTTTCAGAGATTCAACGCCAGTCGTTGCGAACACTGCTCGGCGTCACTATCCTCGGCAAGCCGTCATGCGTCCCGAATATCGCAAAAGATGTACCCAAAAGAGTCTTGGAGTTAGGTTGTGGAAGTGCGTTCTGGACGGGTAGTTGCCACGAGTGGTTTTCTAGCCTAGGACACCCCAATGTCGAGTTTACAGGACTGGACTTTGCGCCGCTGGCACCGGATCTTCGACGACAAGGAGTAAACTGGAACTTCATACAACACGATTTCCGACGCTTCCCTTGGCCGTTTGAGAATGATCAGTTCGATTATATTATGCTGAAAGACTTGTCTTTGACAGTACACATGGGTCTCGAGACGCAGCGCTTTATGGACGAGATAATGCGCATCCTGGCTCCTAAAGGCACACTCGAAATTTGGGAATCAGACCATGTATTGCGCTGCTTGCTACCACAACCACTACCGCCTAAAGGCATGACGGCAGAAGAAGAGAAGACATGTCGCGACACGAAAACCTATCTCATCTCCACAGCCACACCCTTTGCACCGGCGCAAAACAGATACATCGCGGACTCCAACACCTGGATTCACACTGCTCTTGACAAGCTCAATCTGCCCTCTTCACCCTGCACTCGTATGGCCGAGATCCTGTACCAAGAAACAGCCCTCGTAGACATTACTTCCCGCCGCATCGCCATCCCCCTGGGCCAGATGCGCTGGGAAAAGGATTCGGAGGGCAAGCTCATCCGCTCAGGCAGCAGCGGCAACCTTTTCGGCACCGTCTCGCCCAAAGCAAGCAAACCAAAAGCTAGTGGTGAAGCAATGCTCACGGATGACCAAGCCGCCGTGCGCTCCACAGCCATGCTCACCGTGATTCAAAAGATTGAGTCTTTGGAACCGTTGCTCAAAGAGGCCAGTGGCAAGAATGCTGAAGAGTGGACGCGATGGTGGGCTGGTATGATGACTTCACTGCTTGATCAAGAGAACAGTGGAGGTGGCAGTGAGGTTCTGGAAATTGGCGCTTGGTGGGCCACTAAAGAAAGTTCTTGAGGATGGAAAATCTGGTATTTTCTGTCTCGAGTCGCTTTCCTCAATCATTGCGGTGTTGAATATCGTTGTCTGAGAGCTCGATAGCGTTTGAGGTAATATCTGTCATTGTCAGTATATCACTGTACATGATCTAGGATACATGTAACATGCGAACAAAAGCAAGGAAAGGGGAGAAAATGGAAACAACAGCACATTTCCCCCTACTTGTCTTGTAGATATGAAAAACAAGATCTGTTTCCCACTGGATGGGGGTTATCACTTACAANGGCTTCAATCTCCTTCTTTACATATTCTGCACTTTCGATTCCCTTTTTGATTTCAGTCTCGTTTGTGAGGTTTGCCTTGCTGGAGAAGGCTTTGTGCAAGCGAGGACGAAAGTAGTCGTATCCTAGTGGGTATTCACGGCCCAGATAGAGAAGTTCCTTGTAAATGCGGATGACTTGGTAACGCAATGGCGTGCTCATCTTGTGCCGTGTGATCTTATTCGACTCGTGGATAAGCCCAGAGATGCAGAGAAGAGGAATGATATGTAGTCGAAAGAAGCTCAGATGATGGCAGCAACGGGAGTGCAGCAGGAGAGCAGCCACAAAAGTGACAATGGATGTGGATGTGCAAAACCATGACGCCGTGTTGATGTTTTTGCGGGGTGTTGGATGATGCGAGATGCACCTCGGCAATCCTTCCCGTGCGTGGTTCCTGAGGTTCGTCGTGCATCTTTAATTCCACCAAGGTTGCTGTCTCTCGAACGAACACAGTCATGCGTGTCGCTCTTCGCACCCTCGCTCCTCTACATGCTAGACCGCTAGCTACTCAGAATGTCGTTCGTTCCGTAAATTCGCGCCAACGATCCACCACTACCGAATCCGCAACCGAGAAATTGAGTCCGCGATGGTTGGGAGATGTCAAGCAGCGACTGGGAAGATGCATGATGTTTGGGATGAAGCCTGAGCAAGTGGCCAGAGCAGGCGCCGTACTAGACACGGTAGCAAGAGACTGGCGAGAATTGGTTGCTGGCAGCGAAGGCTTCTTGACCTCGGAGGACCGCAGAGGGTTCTATCGTCATGCGGTTGTTTGGGGAGAGATGGATAGCATNGGTGAGTTTGCTTTGCTATACACGAATTTTTGGGTACAAGACTGATCGATTAAGGGGTGAGTAGAAAGGTGCTGCCGAAGGAAGAGAAAGGATTAGAGGATGGAAGCTGAGAGGACGAACAGCCATGTCAACAACGTGATGTACAATCGCTATGCCGAGTCCGCTCGCGTCAACTGGACAAGGAACTTTGCCGTGGACATTGATCCTAAGCACAGAAAAGAGTGGACTGAACTCATGACGCCTAAGAGCCTTGGTCTGATTCTAAGATCGATCACTACTAACTACAAGTTCCCGATGNNAAATGTGAGTTGAGCCGAAGATATGAACACCATCTCGTAGAGTTGAGTGCACTCGTTTATCTCAACGCTGTAGTGATTACATACGAATTAGTGAGATCGTGCTAACTGTACCTTTGCTTTAGGGCCCGATCATATTTCCGTATACCACAAACTCGCCTCCGAGCCGACAGCAGAAACCAACTCTTTCATATTAGACGTGGTCATTATGTCTGAGCTGCAGCAACGGCCGGCAGCACGCTGTGTGGAAGACATAGTTGTTTATGATTATCGGGCGGGTAANAAGGCACCGTTATTGCCATTCATGGTAGATGCCTTTCGCAAAACCTGGAAGTTGCAGGAGGAAGCAAAGAAAGAGAATAGTGAGAAGGTCAGACGGTTGCTCGACGAGGTTAGAGCGCTTGAAAAAGAAACTTGGGACAGACCTGATGCTGTGGAAGACATGGGTGTTGCTGGGCAATAACAGCATGTGCTATCGTACTAACGCATAGAGCAATAGATAAGAGGGACATGTTTATATGCCGGCAATCAGACCTGCTCGAGATTGGTGCCGGGATGGTTAGAGTAGATGTGATCAAGAAGCCGGATGGCGCCACAGATTGTGGAGGTGGATAGAAAACCAGGGACTGGCCATATTGCACATGCCCCGCAGTTTGGAGAACTCGAGATAGCCGTTGACTAGAAGGTGAGGACGACGTCCAGACATACATTTCAAGCACAGAAATTGTTGGCTTCAAACGCCAGACAACATGTGAGGTCCGAAGGAAGTCTGGTAAGTTTGAAGAGAAAAGAGCAAGCCGATTGGGGTTGGGGAGCAACGTGGACGGCATGAGTGATCGACAGCGCCAGTCCATGGTTTTGATTCATGAGTCTTGCAGATGCTTGGGATGTGCATGCAGCAGTACTCGAGTGATTAGTTCGGCATATCTCTCTTGCTGCGCGTCTCGCTCGTGCTTTCCTCGGTCACACGAGCTTGTCGAAGATGTGTCAAGTCATGCAGATAGCAATGATACGGTGAGCATGCGGGAGTGAGGGGAAGCAGAAAAGACGAGGACGAAGTTGGTCGAACGTCGAGAACAAGGTCTTACCGCAACAAAGCCAACAAAAGGCCTGCAAGCTTAGCTTTGGGTCTAAAGACAACCTAGTTGGCAGCGAAAAGCAAGAGACCAAGACAGAAGGTCGTTTTCTCGAAACCGCAGACGTCACATGACACATTACATGGTGTCGGTAGCATAGCGGACTTTTCGTAGCGGCTCGGTGGCTCTTACGCATCGCCAGAGGCCGTTTGTTCCCTAAGAAGCCGCCCATCTTTTGACATTTGCATACTAGCAATTTCTCCCCGCCACCACCTTCTCTCTCTATACCGACACCCTCCCTATCCCGTACTCGTTCCTGTAGCCCCGCGACCCAATCGCCGGGCTCTGTTGCACGAGGAAACCACACGCTGGCGGCGCGCTGATGCCGCCAAAGGCCAAGCAAAAGAATACCGCAAATCAGCACCGTCATGAGAGCGGTTTGGCCAGACCTGCCCCTGGCAAGCGAGTCACCAAGCAGCGATCCAACAACCACCTCCCGACCACCAATGGTCAGGCAAACCACTCGCTCCCTGCTGCCGCTCCCGACGGCCTAAATGACCCCGACATCGCCGACGACTCGCCCGCCTCGCTGCCCGACGACGAAATGGCTGCAGCTACCACCGCAAGCAGCACTCCGCCCGTTACAGCTGCTCCCTCCGAGTCCTCTCGTCGCGTGTCCGATGCCCCCGCCTACAGCTCCTCCGTCAATACCTCCAAGCTCGCGGGCCGTTCGGCTACCAGCAGTTTCTCCATGGCCATGACCATCCTCAGCGCGTGTCCGCTGTCCGATGCCATTGCCATTTTGATCCTGTTGATGTCGCTNCCCCCGGCACTCGTCATGCTCATTCACAGTCTCTTCGCTTCTCTTACCTTTGTCCCTCCTACCGCCGGTGTCTCGTTGAGCTCATGGAACGGAATGCCTGCTCTCGCGGATTGGTTCCATGCCACGTCTGCCGGCGGACCCTCGCTCTTTACAATTCTTTTCACAGATGCGGTCATGACAGTGATCTACCTGTGTAGCGGCCTATTCTTACAAAATATTTACCTGGACCTGGGCCAGGCTGTGATAGCCATCTCTCTGAGCGGCGCTACCGCAGCGCCAGACCGTTCAGGCCAGAGTGTCGCTGCTTGCAGTGTCCTCGTCTGTGTTTCTCATTTCCTTCGTTATAACAAAATCCATCTCATGGGCCTGGAACACCTGCGCTCGCTGTTGCAGAATCTTGGTATCGGCCAACATTGGAGTCCCATCCCTCGGCCGACTTTTTCTTCTTCACCCTATGCCGCCTACGGTTGGTACCGTGCTCTGCTCGGCTGTCACATTCTGGCTCAAGGCATACTAACTCTCGGTCGTCGTTCTTTGTCGGGATATTCTAACCAATCCCGCGGTAGTGCGAGCAAGAAACAAGATCCGGAAGCAGCATCGTATGGAGACGGAGCCAAGTCGTCAACGAGTCCTGGCGATTCGGGTCAGGAACCTGCCGGCGGCCTGGGCTCGGACGGCCGACCTCTCGCACCGTCTTCAGCGATGCGCGACGGCAACCAACGTGTTTCAACAGTCAAGAAAAAGAAAAAGCATGCGACCGTAGTGCGCAGTCGACAGCCGCTATGGGCAGCTATAGCCAGTACAAAAGTAACATTTTTAAAAGAGATGGAACAGAAACAAGCTTCCGAAGACCAAGCAGAAGCCACTGCTCACGATCCGACCAACGACAACCAGCTCATCCCTCGCATTTCTACCGAAGATCGCATATCGATTGTCGACATTCGTCCTGCCGATATCTTGTTCCGTGCCCACCTTCCCTCCTTCTCCACTGCTTCCAGATCAACGGCAGACCCGAGCCATCCCGTTAGTGCAGGCATCGATAAATCGAAGCCTTTCTTTGTCCGTATGAACGGTGCGGATTGGGGGTCGACCAAGATCAGCGAAGAAGGAGAAGGTCAGGATACAGTGTGGCATGGCGAGATACTTGGGTTGACTCCTTTGACTAACTACAGCTGTGAACTGATCAGCATGTCTGACCAGAGCGTTCTGTGTAGCACTAGCCTCGTTACGCTTCCTGCTCCTAGCACCGAGCAAACCTCGATTGTCACTGCACCTCCTCAACCGCAATCTCTCCGCCCGCTATCGCCCATCTCAACCTTGAAGCAGTCCATTGCCGCTGCCGAGATGAAACGTGAAGACGCCAGGAACAAGCTCAAGCGTGCGCGCCGTGATCACAAGAACGCCGCTTCTGCCGTACGCAAAGAGATCGATCAGCTCAATGCCAAGGTTGCTTCTAGTGGAGGTCAGGATGAACGCCAGCGACAGAGAATTCTTCAATTGACCCAACATCTACGTCAAGCAAATGAAGCGACGGTTGCTCTGAAGGATGAAACTGACGCGCTCGGCGAGATTCCTCAAGCTGAGCTTCGCGAGTACAATGAGAAGAAACGTGCTTGGCAGGCTGCTTGTGACAAGAAGTCTGCTGCCATGGCCGATCTTGAAGCTACTAAATCCCAAGCTCAGCGTGAAATCTCGCAAGTCAGCTCTGAATTGACCTCGGCTGCTCAGAAGCGCGAACGACTCAGCACTCGCAAGGGAAAGCTGACGGAGCAACTTGACCGCCTGACCAACCAGAAGAGAGCCGACATGAGCGCCAGGCAAAAGCACGACCAGGAGCGAGCCAACAGACTCTCCGAGTATCAGCGTCAAGAAGCCAATCTCGTATACTGGACCCAGCAAAGCAACAAGGATGCTGAAGACAACACTCTTCGGGCTAACGAGGCATTTGCACACATGGAATACCTCAGCAATGTTGTCGTACAACAGCAACATACTCTCTCCGGACCCCCTACTCCCGAAGGCAACCTCCCTGGAACCAATGGACCTCCCAACCACCAACCCTCCACATTCGACTTTAACATGTTTGGTGGAGGGTTCGGACAAGGGTTTGGAGGATTGAGCAATGGCGGTGCGACTCAAGTCAGAGGACGTAGCAGCTCGATGCTCTCGGGCTACAGCGGCTTCACGGACGATGATCTCGACACGCTGGCTGGAGCTGAGAGTGCACAGAACGAGGCGCTATTGTTGGAGCACGACAAGGGCAAGGGCAGGTTGGCTAGCAGTCCCATCGGTAGCAAGTAACATTGGTCATGAATCTTGGAAGAAAAGCTTGTGCCTCTTTTGAAATCTAGTGCTTGCGTGTCTACATGTATGATTCGGTGCGTTTGTTCGAGATAGAGACGTGGTGGTTGTTTTGTAATTGGAAGGGCGAACAGGTTGAGCTTTGATCAACGCCAAATCGTCATTTCGGCGGCGGCTTGAGAATGAGGGGCGTCTTTGCATGAGGACACGCCAGAAGCCAGAAGCCAGAACCCCTACAAACAAAATAATCCACCCGACTCTCTCTACCCAACAACCTCCTTCTCCCTTCCCGCCCTTTTGCCATACCCATTCTGACCGAAACATTCGGCAACACTCCCAGACACTCCTTAGTTGCCTCTCCCAATCGACGACAGTCACCCCTTTTACACATAGCAAGCGACAGCGACAGCTGGACTAGCACATCACAATGGCCGCAATCGCCCAGGACCCCAAGTACGACCACTACGACTTCCCCACCGTCTCCAACACCAACCAGAGCGGACACCCCGGCCACACCACACCCGAGCAGGATGCCCAAGTTCACCAGCTCCGCGCTGCTCTCGAGCAGGCCGGCTTCCACGAGCGCCTCGACACCTTGACCATGCTCCGTTTCCTCCGCGCCAGAAAGTTCAACGTCGAACATGCTAAGCAGATGTATGTCTTCTTGAATGCCGCCAGCGGGCGCGTCACAGCTAACACAGGTGCCATAGGNTTCGTTGACTGCGAGAAGTGGAGAAAGGAGTTCGGTGGCGGTGTCGACCACCTGCTGCAGACCTTCGAGTACAAGGAGAAGACCGAGGTCTTCAAGTACTACCCTCAGTACTACCACAAGACCGACAAGGTGCGTAGATTTGAAGGTTCGAAACATTGCGTCACCACAAACTGACGACGACACAGNGACGGCCGCCCTCTTTACATTGAGCAGCTCGGCAAGATCAACCTCACCGCCATGTACAAGATCACCTCCGAAGACCGCATGTTGCAGAACCTGGTTGTCGAGTACGAGAAGGTCGCCGANCCCCGTCTGCCTGCCTGCTCGCGCAAGTCCGGTCACCTCCTCGAAACCTCTTGCACCATCATGGACCTTAAGGGTGTCGGTCTCACCAACGTTAGCAGCGTTTACGGATACGTGCAAAAGGCCTCAGCCATCTCTCAAAACTACTACCCCGAGCGCATGGGCAAGCTCTACCTGATCAACGCTCCNTGGGGCTTCTCCTCCGTCTTCAGCATGGTCAAGAAGTTCCTCGACCCCGTCACCGTCGCAAAGATCCACGTTCTCGGCAGCGGCTACGAGAAGGAACTGCTTGCTCAGATCCCTAAGGAGAACCTGCCCAAGCAGTTCGGCGGTTCTTGCCAGTGCCCGGGCGGCTGTGAGCTGTCCGACGCCGGCCCGTGGCAAGACTCGCAGTGGGTCAAGCCTGCTGCCTGGGAGAAGAAGTCTGGCGACAATGTCATCGAGAACGCTGATGCTTCTGTCAGCCACGGCCTTCCTGGCGACGCTCCTGCTGGCATCACTGCCGGCACTGCCCCTCAGGGTCAAACTCACGGCGTTCCCGCCCCTCAATAAACGTTCAAGACGGGTTGCATGTCTAGACAAAACTCGTTTCCGGAATTTGGTGCGAGTGTGTTCTTTTTTGGGAGGTTTGCTGGTCTGGGGTTCGTGTTGTTCAAAGATATGGATCCCTCTTGTTAATTAAAAAGAAGCCAAGAGAAATACCATTGGAAGGAAGATTCAGAGCGTGTGCATGAGAAGACTTCAATGAACCAGCGCTCGTATTTTCCCATTTTCGTAATGTAGTCTGGGTTGTGATGTTGTTTCTTTCCGTCCTTGATCGCGTCCACCTTTATTTATAGAACCCCTATATGTGTGCACAGAATCGACAAAATCTCACCTCGTGGCAAGTCGCACTTCTGTCTTCCTTGGAGATACACTCTCCTACTATAGCTGAAGATATGACAGACTCTTAGCATACGAGAAGCATTATCCATTCTGGTAATTATCTCGCCAAGCACGAAGAGGCAGGAACAACCTGGCGCACGGACGCACAACGTAAACTTCTTGTCTAGCATGCTTCACACACTTGTTTCTATTGTCCAAACACCAACCTGTCCATCGCTCTTTCACACAAAGATCGGAACAACAAGCGCTCCACCGAGTCTCTCACCATGGTACTATTAACTTTGCGAACTGTTCTTGATGCACACAAATCGCTGCCAGTTGCTTTCCCAGCCTCACGTTTCTTTTCGACCAGCCATGCAAGATATCAGCCCACACATGACGAACCCAGGTGAAAAGATTTGAGTGAAAAAGACAGGATTTGCAGGTCTGATGAGAATCGACGATCAAAGATGCTTACAAATCCGGAATATCGTAGAGCACGAAGCCAATTGCTCTCCGCCACTCAGCGCGAATGGCTACAAAATCACGAAAATCGCATTTCTAGATGGATAGCGATTAAGGCCTCACAAGATCGTCAGCGGGCTGAGGATCCTTATTGGTTTGCCAGGAGACAACAGCGCAGTTGGTTGTTACGATATGCTTGGGTCAGGGACGAGCTGGATTGGAAGTCTCACGTACCTGTCCTGCCCGATAATAAAATTGCCAGACTTTGCGTAAGCTGTGGTTTCGAAAGATATGGATGTTTAAAGTTGTGGTGGGTACGTACGTGACGCTGTCTATTCTGCAAGTCAACAGCCACTAGAAGGTGTCTCGGTCTCGTCCTGCGAGCATCGAATCGAGTCTCTCGCATTGCAGAGAGCCATTCAGAGGTTTGGGGCTGTCCTCAGGCGAGAGCAGGTCTTTGCTAAGAGTTGATCCAATATCAGCAGGCACGGATCTATCTCTCGATGGTAGCTCTGCAACACGAACCAGGTCAACTCCGGTATCTGTCATGATCTTGTGGTACTGTAACATCTTCTGCACCAGATACATGCTGACTGTACCCTCACATTTTAGCAACGTAAGTGTAACCCAGCACTTTTTGACTGCCACAATTGCTTTCTGGGTTCCAACCCTCGAAAGGCCATGCCTAAAGGTTATGAGGATGTCGCGACGGCTGCAGAATTGTATGAGCGTAAACAGCAATTAGATCAGGGCTTGAAGCCTGGATCAGGATGAACTCGTCCACTGTCAAGGACAGGCAATCTTGAGGCCACTACGACCATGTCGACAATTGACTAACTGCAATTGTGGTGTCGAGGTTTCGAGGGAACAAAAATTCTCCTTCTTGGACAATGTATATCTGTTCTGGACTGTGGGTTAGTATTACACTGTGTGGAGGTCGCCCCTCCAGGTACGGCAGCATTCCAGATTCTCGGCTGTTAAAAGGCACAGTCCTTTTCATGAAGGAACCGGATCCAGAGAAAGGTTCTCAAGTCCAATAAGAACAATCTGTCCTACTGGCACGGCCTAGTCAACCTCATTGCGTGCTTGACATGGTTCGATCGTTGAACATTGCTGTTCGGTTTGCGTATGACTGCACCTACTTGTTTCCTTTAACAAAGGGTATGCTTATGGGAAAGACAAATACATGCGATGATTGCAAAGCTTCTTTGGGACTCTGTCGATGTTCCTCTTCCTCAATCAAGCTTGCACTTCCTGGTCGTAATCGCTACGACGACGACAGCCACGTACATTGCGGCATGCTCGTTTCACCTCTGTCTGTTACCACAATTTTTCCGTTCACTACAAAACACTCTCGAGTCATCCAAATTCGTTCCTGTAACCCGACTGTCGCAAACTTTTCTACTTCTGGCACACGCCAGAACCCTAAGAGACTTGACACCCTATCATGTCTGATCACAATACCTACCTCGCCTGTAATGGACAAACCAGGTACATTCTCTGGTGGCTCTGTCACACGTCCAATGCTATCCTGCAATCTATGCCACAAGGCCAAAACAACGATTCCGAAGTCGTTGTAAATACCACTGGCCAAGTCACAAGTAAGGAGCTTGTCAGCATGGCGAGGATGGTGGCATCACGACTGTCACAACAACAAATTCCCTCAACAATATTCCGACTGTTTCAATCGGTCATATCTGCTAGATCTTCATCGCACGCAGCGTATGTGGAGATGGCATCAAACTACGAAAATGAGGATATGGAAGAAAGCAACAGAACTCACAAGCATTTCATCGATCGCCTGCTTGAGGCATTCGAAGTTCTTGGAGGTTCTGAATGGATCTCCAGCACAGAGAATGGGACGGTCGAGCCACAATCGTACGAAGAGATCGAGGAAGTCGTCTTCTCCAACGCGTTCTCAGCCTTGAAGATTCATCACTGTACTGACGATCTGAGTGATGATGAGACTGGCTCTGAGACGTCACCTACTGCAAAGCATCCTCGAAAGACCCGAAAGACCAAACGCAAACAGCAATCGAGACAGAAGAAGAATGGACTCCCAAGAACAGCAAATCACCCAGACACTCTGGATGTGCCATTGGAGAATTTCTGCATTGTTGATGGTCCCGAAGGCGATTCTGCCGATTACAGGATGGCTTTAGAATCAGTGTTCGTCGAGTGGTGGAAGTTGCGCCAGCATATTCAACTGATCTGGCTCAATGTTGCCTACGAAGGTGCCAACATTGCAGTTGCGGGTGCGCTGTCTGAGATGGCAATCGCAATGGTCAAGAAAACCGCACTAGCAGTGTTTCTCGAGTTTCCAGCAGGTTTTGACACTTGGAGAGCAATGACTCGTGAAGTTCAAGGTGGAGACCATGAGCATGAGAGCTCGTTTGATCTCGGATACAGAGAGGCTTCTGCCTTGCACACCTACCAGGATCTTCTGGACTTCTTGATCGACTACCAGAAGAATCGAACCGGCAGACCGACAAAGCGTATGCAAGCAAAGCTTTCAGGTTGGGATCCTTGCTTCAATTTGCAAGAGGCCAGCATGCAGGAAAGAATAGCATGGCGTCGCTCGTACACTATCAACTGGCTCTACGATCTAGTCAATGTGTTCTCGCATATCGTGCTTCAAGAAAACAATATCTCCGACGAGTGCCGAGCATACGAGACGATCGAATGGTCCGTGAAGACTCCATATCACAGGCCGCGCAAATTATATGGGATGGAATGTTTTGCGGAACTGATCACTACTCTGGCGATGCAGAAACCGGGATCTGACGTTCAGTCCAAGATTCTTTCCCATCACGTCTTCCAACTACAGTGTATGGTAGACTCTTTTACAACATCGCACGGCTGGGCCCCTGGCTTACGAAAGGATCATGGAAATTACACAAAACCTTTCCCAGGAAAGAGTCCGTCAATGGATTGCTTGAAGCTGTTCCTCGGCACACATGATAGCGAATTCCTCTCAGGCGTCGGAGCTCTTTCAGATCGCCTCAAAGATTACCAAAGACTTTCTGACGACAGAAGTGTACCCTTCCGCATTACTCAGATCCTACTTGATCGCTTCAAAGTCCAAACGGGAGATTGGTTGGGCAATTCGGAGCGCGTCTTCACAAGCGAGGTGCCATCGCGGTTCTCTAGTGTCGCTCGAAATGGACTGTGGGACTACAGTCCGTTCCTATCTGGTGTCGGCTTGGTGGAAGCACTCGAAATTTCATATCGCTTGACCATGCTTGCCTGGGACACGATTCCCGAATTGCTTTCACTCCTTCGTCTACAGTACCTCCTGCTTCAAAAAGGCTACATGCGACGATCCGACGAACTGGTATCTTTTCTGATACACAATGCGGCCTCCTCGTCTGAAGTCAAGAAATCCAAATCCTCGTCCCTGGCGAGCGTTGAAGAATCGAGGCGTCGGTCCTCTAGAGTTGCAAAGTATACGCAGCACGATACGGAGACGGCGATCGGAGCGGCCCAGGATATGCAGCACGTTCTGAGCGTAGATGGCAACATAATATTCCGACGCAAGTCTCACCTGCTGGTCTACCGCGAGTCTGGCTGGGACACAGCAAGAGTCGTGCAGAGCAAGGACTCAGCGGAGTCAGTACTCAGCTCGTTTTCTACAGTCTGGGCTAGGGACAAGAGCAACAATGATTCGGAAGGAGACCCTTTTCTGCGTCTATACCGAGAAAACGCCAGCAGATTCAACAGTGTGTTCGCAAGCGGATCATCTTCTAGCACTCTCGATACCAGCGAGATCACCGCAAGTTCGCAGAGACTTGGCCACAGCGAGTACGGTCCAGGAGGCCTCAGGCAGCTGGTCCTTGCCGAGTGGGACATTGTCAACGACATATGCGACAAGATTCCACTCTCGGGGCTAGACTACATGTGGATCACGATGAAGATTATGGACATCTTCGAAGCAGTGGAAAAATCATTGGAGGTAACCAACAATCCAATCTATCTCGACAGCGTCCATTTCCCGAAAGCAGTGAGGGTGGTCTTTTTGTGAATTGCGTAGAACGAGGAGCACCAGGCCACGAGGAGTATCTGGAAGCACTTGCGAGAGAGCTAAGGAAGCAGTCGATGAGCGTTGAGAAGTTCTTGTATTGGGGTCGTCGTGATCACAGATGGATAAGCCGCATTGGTTACGAGAAGATCTGGCCCAACAGATCCGAGGCTGTGGAAGAAGAGGAACTGGTCGAAGAGAAGGAAAGTCATCTCAAGATAGAAGAAGATAAGACCGAGAAAGTCAAACAAGAAAGCAATGCATAAATAGGAAGGAAGGCGAGGTATTGAGGGAAAATGGGGCGACGTGGCCAGCATGCAAGATGGTTTCCTTTTTCCTTCTACCTTATCAGAATGTATCGTTAGTGGAGATAGTCGGCTGCCAAAACATCGTTGGAGTAGCTACTCGAAATTCAGAGGGATACAGAGCAGATGGAAGCAGAGAGACGGCCCGCACCAGCAGAAGATCAGGTTCAGGAGTAAAAGAGTGCCCAGGAAGATGACGATGACCAGGTCGAAGGTTAGACACGAGAAATCAAGACCGCAATGACAACTTCCCAGCTCCAAGGAGCTTTTCGCAAACAGTATAGCATGGCGATACGCTCAAACGATCATTCCAGGTGCTTGTCAACTGACTCTTATGTGGAAAAAAAGGACGACGAGGAGGAAGAATGCAAAGGACCAGGCAAGAATCAAGGGTGTTCAGTCGCAGACAGACAATGGCAGCCTCATGTAACCCTGACGGCGTTCATGTCCGAAATTTGATTTGAGCAGTAAGCGACATCGACTTCGGTCGATCTCTGACAGTAGTCAGCACAACTCACGCAAAAACATTCGATCCGTTATCGTTGCGATAGACGCAGCAAAGATCTCTCCTCTCTCAGGGGAACCAATAATTGTGAGAAGTGTGATTACGTGTGGGTTACTCTTCCTTCATCTCGAGTTAGTCGTTTCGATGTCTCAGAAGACTGCCTGGAGCAGCAAGAATTGCAAAACAAGATGAGCTCTCTGTAGATGAATAAAGAAGGAGCGAAGGATGTCGTAAACACTCGAGCACTACACTTGCTTATCTGCGGCGAGGGAAGTGGCGAAAGAAGCAGGCACCATCACCATCGTGCTTGGAGCGCCGGGCGACTGACTGTAGAGACAAAGGTTCTTGGGACACACCAACATAGCAAAGGCGCAGTGTTTGCAAGACACATCAATGCTCCGTCTTACCACTAGAACATCACCGCTTTTGTTGAAGATACTTTGATTCCCCAAATTCACAATCATTGCACATCTTGACGTTCGACACTTTTCACTGCAAAATTTAGGCATCAGCGGGCGGTCCACCATCACTTCATTGCTGCTTCCTCACTTTCCAACACGTCATCCAGACAATCAGAGCCTATCCACCACAACAACACCAGCCATCAGCACACATCTACATCAGTGTACACACCTGTTCACTCATCTTCTCGTATTTAGAATCATCCATAAATTCAGCAATCCTTTCACGTGGCCTGTCTTTCCTTCCCACTTCCTGCCACATCAATCCATCCGATGGCGCGCTTCTGGATCTACCACCTGAAATCAGGCAGCTCATCTACCACGCACTGCTTGTCGACCCCATCGAAGACGGAGGCTTCATCTTGTTCACTTTGGACAAGGAAGGCAAGTTCAACTAGACCCGCGTCACAGATCTCTCACCTCCTGTTGACGAGCATTCAACCGACGACTCATCCGCACACATCGAATCTTCAATCACACACATCAACTACAGCAGCCTATTATCGCTCGCTAGTGTCAGCAGATTGATCTACGCAGAGGTAGCCCCGGTCATGTACATGCACGTAGACCTGGAATATACCACCGGCACTACTCCCAGTGCTCACGAAAAGCCAACACTTCTTCACACTTTTCTGGAGAAGCTTTCGCCCACGACTTCCTCGCTATACCACCACTTGACAATCATCGATGGCAGCAGAAACTTGACTGCTAAGGATATGAGAATCCTCGTCGACTTGATCAATAGCAAACTGCCCAACCTTCTTACTTTCAGCCTCGAAGCCGTCAATCCTGAAACCAAGGCTTGGCCTGATTTTGTTACATCCGAATGCTGGAGAGACTTTCTTTAGATCATGACAGCTGCCAGACCTGTAGTTCGACTAGCTTCGCGTCCTGTTAATTTGATCAGACCACAAGGCTTCTTCTACCTCAACCACGAATCTTTTAGAGGTCACCGTTGTTTCGAAAGAATGACTCAGTTGTGGGAAATTTCACAAGATGAAATCGTACCTTCGCTGCTATACATCAAGGACTGGCGTTGTGAAGCTCAAACTTACCACGCAATGGCTTGTCAACAAGGCGACTATCTCCAGCTCACCTCAGCGATTCGCTCCATTTCGGCCGAAACTACGGAAACAGAGGTCGTGGAAGATCTTGATAGCATGGAGAATGGACTGAATGAATACCAGAGAGTCTTTTCGCTCATTCAGGAGAGCAAGGATATAAGAATGGAGATGGAAAGGACTCCTCGCAAGTATCTCAACTAGTCACACCACTCAAGCTTGGTCCAAAGTCTGGGCTAGACACATAGCATGATACTTTCCTTTTAATCCTTGCAACTCCTCATGTGTTCCCATCTCCACAATCTTGCCATCCTCAATCACAAAAATGACATCAGCGTGCCTGATAGTGCTCAATCGATGGGCAACAGCAATAGTAGTCCTGCCAGCAGCCGCTTCGTCCAGTGCCTTCTGCACCACACGCTCGCTTTGTGTGTCCAGTGCGGAAGTCGCTTCATCGAGAAGCAGCAGGGAGGGTTTGCGAATCAGTGCTCGGGCAACAGCGATACGTTGACGCTGACCTCCACTGAATTGTAGACCACGAGAACCACACGGTGTTGCAAGTCCCTCTGGCAATGAAGTGACAAAGTCCAGAGCGTTGGCTTGACGACAAGCCTCCAAAATCTCTGCATCCGAGGGTTCGTAGTCTAGTCCGATTGTGATATTCTGACGCACTGAGCCAATGTATAACGGCGGTTCTTGTTGGACCAGCGACATGCAGCTTCGATACTGTCTAGGAGACATGAGAGAGATGTCCTCGCCATTTAGCGTGAGGCGACCCGATGTTGGATCATAAAAGCGCTCGAGAAGAGATACGATAGTACTTTTGCCGCAACCAGAGGGACCGACAAATGCAGCATATGTTCCCGCGCTGATCTTCATCGAGATATCGCTCAGAACTTTTGCAACATTGCGTTGCTTGTACTGGAAATCAACATGCTCCAGTTCCATATTCACAGCGTCTCCTTGCGGTCCTTTGCCTTTGTTTTCGTCCGTCTCGCAGATTTGAGGTTTGATGGTGCGAAGCCAGAGGACGTAATTTACACCACCTCGTGCTTTTGTGATTGAAGTTGTGTAGCCGAAGAATTGAGCTGCTCCTTGGCCACCGAATATGACGCACAAGAAGATGACGAAGAATTGAGTTGTAGAGTACTCTCCTTCCGTGATCAGTCTTGACCCATACCAGAAGCCGAGTGCCATGACCAAGAAGTCAGCTGATTGAGATAACGCATATGGGATCAAAGTTACCATNNCTGGAAAAGATAATAAGTCAGCAAAAGATTTGCATGGGTTACGATTGTCACTTACCAGACTTCGAATGACCTTGTTGACAATACCATCTAACGTTTCGCTGTACTCGCGCATCACAGACTTTTCGAGTGCGAGGAAACTGACGGTTCTTATCGAGGACACGGCTTCAGAGGCCAAGCCAGCACTGCTTGCAAATTGCTCTTCTGTCGAAGATTCCAACTTCTGGTCCAGTCGAATGCGGATGTATCCTCCAGCAACAATGACAGTAAGTCCAGCAAAGACTAGCGTGAGACCTAGTTTCCAGCCAAATGCAATGGCTACTATACTGGTAGCTATGATGTTGACTATGACGTTGAGCATCAAACCCAGGTTAGCAGACATCAGCTCCTGTACCGAAGACGGGACCGAAGACAACTTGGCAGTCAACGCGCCAGAAGAGTTCTCAGGCCGGTCGAAGAAGTCCTGATCGAAGTGGATGATACGCTCGACCATTTCTCGACGATAGCGATGAGTGAGTTTCTGACCAAGCGTATTGTAGGATACTCCAATTAGGAAATAACCAACAAGATTCACAAGTGCCAGAACGAAGAACATGAGGGCAAAGAAATCGGCCTGTCGTTTGGCTTCCGAGCCTTCGAGTGTGAAAACTCGGATAAGACGAGAGAATATGATGGCTTGAGCTGGCTGGGTACCACCAACGGTCAAGTAGACCAATGTGATGAGTACATACCACGGATACAAATCTGGATGCTCTTTGAGCATAATGAGAATGCATCTGATCAGCGAAAAGTTGAGAGTACCGGCAACGAGTTTGTCTGATTCTGATGGTGTTGTGCTCGACTTCAGGCGGTCTTCTTTAGTTGAGGATGCGTCAACCATGAAGTTCGTCTTTTCAGGGTTGCCATCTCCCTCTGGCTTCTGTGATAGCACATTGGACTCCTTCTCGGTGGTGCCAGCTCCCAGATCTTGTGCACGAACCATAGCTGCATAGAGACCATCTCGCTCGAGTAGTTCGCTATGTGTGCCCTGTTCGACCACTTTCCCACTGGTCATAACCGCAATATTGTCGGCTGCCATGACCGTCGCGAGTTTGTGTGCGATGATTAGTGTTGTCTTGTTGACAGAAACGCGATTGAGCGCAGCCTGAACAACCCTTTCTGCGCGTGGGTCCAATGCGCTTGTTGCTTCATCAAATAGTAAGATCTTCGGGTCGGCCACAATGCTTCTCGCAATGGAAATTCTCTGTCGTTGTCCGCCGCTCAGCATACTTGCTCGCTCTCCAAGCTGTGTATCATAGCCCTCAGGAAACTTCTGAATGAAGTCATGTGCATCTGCTGCCACGCAAGCATCCCGAATAAGCTGCATTTGCTGCTCCTCTGTCAAACTCAATTGCTCTCCTACTAGACCTTTCGCGACATTGGACACCACCGTGCCTTGAAACAGTGTTGGCTCTTGCTGTACGAGCCTGATGTGGGTACGTAGCCAGTTCGTGTTGAACGTAGTGATATCGTGACCATCCAGCAGGATCTGGCCTGAGGTTGGCTGATACCATCGTTCCAGTAGCCCGATCAGAGTCGATTTGCCACATCCGCTAGGTCCAACAAGGGCAGTCGTCTTACCAGCTGGTATACGCAAGCTAAGATCCTGGAGCACCGGCGCCGTGGGTCGTGAAGGGTACGAGAAAGACAGGTCACGAATCTCGATCTCTCCGACACAGGTGTCGGGTGTTTTACCTTCGGGAGAGAGGGGATCAAGCACAGACGGCTTGTCGATGATGGCAAAAAGCTCTGCAGCAGCTGATGAGGCGTTCGTGATTGCCTGTATCTGCGGCATTATGAGTAACACAGACGTCGCTCCGAGTGTGACGCTCAAGATGACCGTAAGGACCGTGCCGACATTCGCGATCTCGCCACTTCGGAACATCCGAAAGCCCTGCCAAAATGCAAGCGAGGTGCCTGACATGACTAGGAAAGTCTGGCCACTGAACAAGACACCGTATAACAGTGACTTCTTTTTCCNCTCGTTGTGTGCTTTTTGTAGGTATTCGTCATACCATTCCACGATCTTTTCCTGTGCTCCAAACGCGTGTATAGTCTTGATAGAACTGATAGCGTCTTGTGCCAGCGTTGCGGCGCGGGAGTAAATTCGAGTAATCCGGGCTTCTATAGGCGCATCTAATGCGATGCAACCTCCTGTGACAAGCACAATCGCTGGCACTATACTCATTGTGATGAGAGCAAGTTTCCACTGTACGGCAAGCGCAACGATGTACGACGAGAAGAACAACGAGATGCCCATGACTAGTGAAAACAGCTTTTCGGCAATGCCTTGATTGATGCGATGACCGTTCGTAGTGACCTGTGTCGCGGCAGATCCATTGCCTTGCAAGTCAGAGTGGGATATCTCTTTCCTGAGCAGACTTTCCAGGAACGCCTTCCTCAGGGCATTTGTGGTCCTTGCAGCGGCAATGCAGATGCAGAGAGTTGCCACATAACCGATGACAAAACGTCCAACGAACAGATACACAAAGTAGAGAACCAAATGGTTGATGTTGTTTCGGAACTGATTCGAGCTGCCTTGACCGACTGCGTAGCCATTGAAAGAACTGGTCGACGAACCAAACACCAGAGTCATTAGAGGTAAGGCAGCGCCGACTACAACAGCACCTAATATTCCAATGGCATATAGAACGTAGTCGAGGCTGTCACCAAATCCAAAGATCCGCTATCGATGGCAGAGATCATCAGTTCATGGCAGGAAAATCAGTCACTTCATGTGCTTACAAAGTAGACTCCCAGACCTCCTTTGCTTTCATCCTCCTCGGGGTTTTTTGTGTCCTCTGCTGTACTCTGGTCTTGTGACGAAGACTTTCGCGATTCGACTTTTCCTGTCGCATGGTCTTCGGTGGCGAGTCGCAGTGCGTCGGAGGGAAGCTCATGATCAACCATGTCTGCGACCATTGTAAGTTCGAGTTACGGTGGTTGTTGATTCGAAGTCATCCTTTGCAGGAGCCTAGGATGTACATAGACAAACATCGCATCTACCCCACAAGTATCATGTACCTGGGGCCTTCGAGGCTCTTGAGACTTCCAGAGTCCTAAAGCCGCGGACGTTAGAAACCAAATTGCTCCTTCTCTACGATGTCCAGGCTGTCATCGATCCAAATGCATTATCCTGTAATTGTCCAAGACTAAGATTCTTGGCATAATTGTATTCCTCGATGTTACAGCTGTTACGCTGCATCAAGTCATTCACTCGGTGCCGGCCCTTGTCGACGAGTCATATCGTTGGTGTTAAACTTGACATATCTGGATCACGGTTCCAAGCGCATATGCATGCAGATAGATAGGTAACTTATTTGCTCTAGCCAAGGATAGTCTGTAGGACAGCGGGAAGGTGCATTACCTCTGAAGAGGAAGGGGCCAACGCGAAAATGACGCGCGGCAAACTCCGTCCACCTCTGCATCGCGTGAAGGGCATTTTGACTTCATCTTGTCAACCTCAATCACCTCGTACTATGCAATTGGCGGGTCATGGTTGTAGCATTGAGCACATTCTACAGAATCGACACTGTGTTTGGGCACGTCAATCTAAATGTGGCCTGCGCCGTCGTGATCACAATGTTACACAGCATCTTTAGGCAAGCTGTGCCGCTGCTATGCATCCGACGGCCGACTGCATGTTCACAGTGAATTGAATAGATGAGCTTGTTTGGGTCGCAGCTACTACCCCAGTCGTGTTTTCCTCACTTTGACTGCCATTCAGAGGCTGCCAGCCATCTATCGATCTCTTTGATCGCTCCTTCTCTGGGTGAAAGAACTTCTTCCTCCTCGTTCCTTCCTATCTGAACTTAACCTCCACTCATACAGTCCAGCGTCCTAATCGTCAACAGTTGAAGCGCACGCTGTGCGTAAGCTTCAAAACAGTGCGTCAGCAACCTTCGCCATGGAAGTCTTCATCAATCGCATACCTCCGCACTGCACAGAGCGCGACCTGAGACGGTTCATGCAATCACGTCTTACCAAATTCAACATCACCAGCTTCGTGTGCGAAAAGCTGGGCAAAAAGGCATGTGCAAAGCTGGTGGTTCAAGATACTAAGAAGGGCGAGCGCTTTATCAAGAAGTACGGAAAGACCAATGGTCAACGAAGACCCTTGGTTCAGCTGACTATGAATGGCCAATACATCAACTGCGCCGAGTCCAGGAACAAACCCGACGAATACACCCTTCGCAATCTCACGTCGAGAGCCGCAAAATCGGTCGCATCCGCCCAAAGTCGCCCTGCTCTCCGCGCCAATGCGAACTCCAGCTTCGAGTTCTCCCACCTGCGATGCGGAGTGTGGTCTTTCGTCAACGACGAGCTTACCTTTGTCCCGCACTTCGTCGATTCACGACGTGGTAGGGTCTTGTTCGGCCATCGTCAACTGGCTCTTCTCTACGACAACATGAACAGCATCCATGATCGATCTGCATATCGCATCAACATAAAGTGCTTCGATGTTGACACGGCAACTACTGGAGACTACCGTTGTCCAACTGTGACTTTTGCTCTGCAGCTCTCACCTACCTTCTTTTGCAAGCCATCAGCAGACGTCGTTGACGCATTCGCAGAGCTCAATCTCATCCCTGGGCTGAAGCTACCTCCCCTTAAAGGAAAGAAGCGGGTCACGAGCGTCAACCAGGCTCATGCTAATGTGGCCAGCATCTGCTTTGTGTACCAGATACAGCTCGTCGACTACAGGCAGCTGCCGGAAGTATTTCGTCTCTTGAAGCATAATCGCCACATTGCATCAGCTGCTATCAACCACCCTACACCCACCGTGTATCCTTCTGTCAGCCTTGCATCGGCTTTCAAGTACTTAGACATTACGCTTGCGACAGTACAACCCCACGACACTGCCATTCGATGTCAAGTTTCAGCTGCTTCGGATGAAGAATGGTTGACAGATGATGAAGGGTGGACGAGAGACGATGAATGATGGTTGACAGAGGATGAGAGATGATTGAGAGAGGACCATAGTCTAGAGAGTGCAGGTTTTCTCCTTTGAGAAGTGATCATGAAAGTGATTTTGTGATACTGCGACTCTGAAAGTGATTCTGGAAGTGTAGTCGAACAACACTGCACGGTCAAATCAAAACTTCTCAGTAGTCATCGATACAGCCTTCCACTAGCTAGCTGTAGGCCTTTTGTTCCTTACCACTTGTCAAATAATTCACATCAAGACCAGCAACGGTTCACTTGATCTTCTAGAACGACTGTCGCCGGGCTACAATCAGTCACAGCCTGACCTGTTTTCAACCTTCTGAGCAAGAGCATGACTCTATCACGTTCTATCACATTGACACGAGACACTTTCACATTGACACTTTGAGCTGTGCTTGAACTGGCTTTGAAGTTGAAATATTGTTTTGATAAAGGAAATAAATGCCGCTAATTAGGCGTACTGTTCAATGAAAGTCGTGAAAGGAAATGTACGTCTCCTGCTTATGACAGAGCGTGACGAGAGGGTGCGTGATAGCTAAAAACAACGCTATACATTCATTCTTCAATACCAGACCGGAGACGATTGCGCGCTTTTTGGTTCGAGGTACTCCGTCCATTACATCCACCGCACCTGATCCTCCCCTTCCACTAATCTCAAACGAGAAAGGAAATGTTTGTACAGTAATACAATGCTCTAGATTTACAGAACAAAGATTGCGGCAACGGCGGCGAGCGCGAGGCCAGCGAGTGAGCCACCAACCTTGGCACCAGCTCCAGTGTAGGAGATGGGGCTACCAGTAGGCAGAGCGGGAGTGTTGTAAGTGCTAGCCAAGGTAGATGACTTGGGAGCGAAGCCTGAGCTGGCAGCGGAAACTGCGGGAGTGGCCGCATCTGCGGCGGAGCTGGTGGGCATAGCCTCAGGAGTGGTGGTGGCAGGAACGGCCGAAGGGTAGGTAAGACCAACAGTGGGCTTGCCGCCAACGGTCGAAGTGATAAATTGAACCTGAGGAACGGTAAGAGTGCGGTGGATGGTCGAAGTGGTCATGGAGTTGGGGATGGTGGCACCCTGGGATTCACCGGCAGTGTAGGTGCAGGGGACCACGAGCTCCGAAGAGTAGGTGATGGTGGTCTTGGGCTGGGTAGAGCTGCTGGAGACAACTGCAGGAGCTGTGGTGGCAGGAGCAACCTCCGAAGGTCCAGGAACGATGGGGGCTTCCGAGACGGTGGTACCGACGGCGTAGAACGAAGTAGACTTGATTGTGCTCGATGCTGGGCAGTTGGTAACATCAGGAGCGCATGAGGTGATGGTGACCACGACTGATGAGTAGATGGTCAAAGTCTTGGGGGCCTGGGGTGCGGATGTGACAGCAGCAGACGAGGGCATGACAGCATCAGCCGAAGAAAACTCGGGCGAGACAACGGTCTGGGTCTGGGCAGGGACGGTGGTCGAGATGGTGCTCTTGATCGTGATCTGAGAAGTGATCACGGAAGGAGTAGTCAGAACCGTAGTCTTGCCTGAAGCAGTGATACTATAAATTGTTAGTAGGTGCATCAAAGTATGGAAAACTATAAAACTCACGTCTCTCCAATAGGGCATGTGGTGACGGTGGTCTTGACGACATCGGTGACGATAACAGTGCTCTGAACCTCAGGGACGGCGGGGACAGCACCGGTCTCATAAGCGGCAGGTGCAGTGGTGACACCAGTTGCGATCAGAGAGGTTGAAACACGAGCTGGGCAGTTTGTAATGTCGGCAGCGCAGCTGGTGATAGTATCAATCTTGGTGCTGAACAGAGTGACGGTCTTGGGCACCAAAGGAGCGCTAGAAACTGCGGGAGTGGTCTCGGCAGGCGAGGTCTCGTAAGCACCAGATGAAGCAGGGCTCGAGGCTGAGGGAACCTCGGACGCGATAACACCAGAAGAGATGCCTGAGGAAATGCCGGAAGAAACACCAGCGGAGGTAGTCTGGGCGGGAGAAGTCTCTTGAGCAGAAGTGGCAGGGATCTCAACGGCAGACGAGACAACACCAGAGTAGACACCCGAAGAAGCAGCAGGCATGGTCTCGGCGGGAGAGGTCTCTTGAGCAGAGGTGACAGGAATCCAGATGTTGCTAGTAGTGCTGCCAGTGGGGATCAAAGAAGTTGACAAAGTTGCTGGGCAGTTGGTCACTTCAGGGGCGCACGAGGTGATCGTGGCGATCTGGGTGCTGAACAGAGTAACGGTGTGGGGAACCTGGACGTGGACAGATGCTGACGAAGTGGTCTCAGCAGGCGAAGCCTCAGAGGGAGAAGCCTCAGCGGGCGAAGTCTGGACAGGCGAAGTCTCGTAAGGAGACTCTCCCGAAGGAAGGGCACCAGTAACCGAGGAGATAATAGAGGCAGTGATGGTCGACTTAGTGGTGTAGACAGTGGGGATAACCGAAGGAGCAGTCAGAACAGTGGTGCTGCCCGAAGCAGTGATACTAGAACATGTTAGTGGGTACATCAAAATCATGAAAACCGATAGAACTGACGTCTCTCCAACAGGGCAGGTAGTAAGAGTGCTCTTGACAACATCGGTAACGTAAACAATCGAGTCGGTGGCCGAGCTGGTAGGGGCCTCGGAGGTCAAAGAACCAGCAGGAACATCCGAGGTCAAAGAGCCGACGGGTACAGTAGAGCTCAAAGAGCCAGTGGCAGCGTTGACAGTCGACGAGGAAGGCTGAATATCAATGCTCGAAGGAACAGCAGTGATGATGGCAGGGTTGGAGGGGATAGCCTTGGCACAGATACCAACCATGTAGGACATGGCCTGAGAAACGTTCTCATCCGAACCACCGTAGGCGTCGATGCACTGGTAAACACTGTTGATGAAGTCCTCATCCTTGCAGTAGCAATCAGCATCGGCGTTGTTGGCGCACTTGGTGTTGTGGAGGTAAGTGTTCAAACAGCTGGGAACGACACCAGGGCAGTCTGCCGAGGGTGCGGGGCTGGCGGCAGATGAGGTCAAAGCCGATGAGACAACGGTGCTGTTTGCGTAGACACCAGTGCTGGAGGAGGGAAAGATCCAGTGCCTACGGGGATGACGACGCTGCTCGAAGGAGAAGATCCTGTGCCCACGGGGACAACGACGCTGCTAGCAGCCGAGAGGTAGTAGCCAGTGCCGATAGGGACAACGACCGAAGAGGAGGTAGACTCGGCGGGAGAAGCTTCCGAGCTGCTACCGATTGTAGGCTGAGTGGTGGTCTGGTTCTGGTATCCAGTAGGGAAAGGGACCGAGGTTCCAGGAACCACGACGCTACCGCTCGAAATGACGACGGTGCTGCTGACGATTTCGACGGATGAGGGAGTGGTTGAAGGCAGCTCAGCGGAAGTAGTCTCGGGGACACCTCAGAAGATGTGGTCTCAGGCGAGGCGGTGCTGAAAGATACAAACTCAGAAGAAGAGTAGACAGCCGAGGAAGAAGGAATCAAGACCGACGAGGGAAGAGAGACACTGGTAGAAGAGGAGCCAGAACCGCAAGCAAAGCCAACCGAGTGGATGTTAAGGTTGCAGTCACCCTTGTTGGAGCTAGTGCTACCAGAGCTGGGCTTGCCCTGAGAGAAAGAGACCGAAATGGCACCACCACACTGGGTGTTCTTGATGATGGAACCACCAGCCTGGCAAGGAACGTTTTGCTTGCAGGTTGAGCCATCAGGCATGTTGTAGTGGCAGTCGACGTGAGTGTCGTAGGTGGAAGAGATGTGCATCTCAGAGATGGAGAACTTGTTCTTCTCGCCGCTGCATCCAATGGAAAGGCTACCAGCGCCGTAGTTGGATGAGCCAGAAGATCCCCATGAAGGGAGCTTACCAGAGACGCACTTGTTGTTGAAAGTACGCTTGGTCAGCTCATCACGCTTGGACTTGATGCTGTTGCAAGTCCAGCCGCCAGAGAAGGTGTTGGCGCCGTAGCTGGTGACGGGGTGGCCAATGGTAAGACCAGTCCAGTCGTAACCCTTGTGCTGCTCTGTCGAACACTGGGTGTCGGCATTGCTGCATGTGCTGAACTTGCCGGCATCAAGAGCCCAAGAGAAATGAGCGGAAGCCTGTTGGGCGGCCAGGCCGGCCACAAGAAGAGTGGCAGATGTGAGCTGCATCGCTCTGGTTTAGTGATTAGAGAGGAGACTGATTGAGTTGACAGGAAGCTGCCGTGGTGTGTGATGACAATCGACAAGGATATAATGCAAAACACAAGGGAGTAGAGAAAACGAATGACTCTAACTCTCCAACAAAGAATGAATAGACTGGGTATGGAAAGAAGAAAAACTGAATGAGCAGAGAAAGGCAGTGTTGGAGGGACAAACCCATGCCTTATAGACAGCTCGCCTCCACAATCTACCTGGTCGCATGGAATATCGGGTGTAGAGTCAGTGTGAGCTGGCACGAGCTTGATGCGCCGCTGTCGCCTGTATGGCCATCAGTAGCTCATCAAGCAAGCCATGATCCGAGCATGGCCGCCACCAAGGTCCAGTCTAATGCAGGTACCAAGTCATAGAACACGGGGCAGACTGCAGCCGGCGTTTCATGTGGAGGTGTCCAAGAAGCGGGAGATCGTTCACCGGAGAAGGTCTTTCTCGTGGACGTCGTCGAGATTCGTTTCAAGCTGAGCCAAATCCGTCTGTCCCATGGCCCGCATGTCTCTCTCTGGAAGTCCTCCAATCAAGGGAAATGATGATGGCCGTCTTTGCCATCAATCTCCGGGAGAAAAGCAAATCATCCGCTGCTATTTGTGTCGCTGGCGAATAGTTGTACAACAACTGCCGATGAATTTGGGGATGGCCCTCTGTGTTGCACATCTGATGGAAATTCGGGCTCCCTCAATGTAGATGTGGTCAGAACAAGAGTCTAACAGGCATGCATTCCCGTCAACGCTCCTGCAAAATGCAAAGAGGCAGTTGCGATCCGCTGACCGTTGCACCAAGCGAGACGCCCAGAGAAGTTCGCTGTTTGTCCTGGTCCAAGCTCGAGCGCCCACAGTCGAGCGCTTGCCGTTCACTCCGTTGCATTGGTGACTTCATCTTAATTGAGTCCTTGCTCCATCGAGATGCTTCTGCTGTGGCAGTGTTTCCCCAGGTCTTACCCTGAAAGCGCTTGGCTACTTCGTTCTATGGCCAACCACGAGGTTTGTCGATTAGCATGAGGCTTGTGGGTCGGAGAGACCCTTCCCGGGTCAAGCGAGCGTCGACTGCAGATCAGGGGCATCTTCTGCTTGCTCCAGATACATTCATCTTCTACGCGATATACGAATAGCCGGTCCAATTCCAGATGATTGGGCACGATATAGATCATGGTATATTCTCACTTCAATACGTTGGGTAGTAGCTGGCTACGGTGGTGCTCGGTGCTCGTTCTCCGCTGAACGTTGGGAGAAGAACGTTGGAGGCGTCCTTGCCCGAAACACTGGCTTCTTGCAGTCCCCGCTTAGTCCTGGTTTCGAAACACAGAGAGCCTGACTCTGAGAGCATCCTCGGATCAGAATGGACCTCATTACTCCACGTCAAGGTTTTGAAGAGAAAGCCATCGATACCTACGGCTTAGGGCAAACGTGAACCGCGTACTATTTTCGAATGATATGAAACAATAAAGCGACCTTCGAGCCTTCGAGGGAAGGCTCTAGCAGCTGAAAACAAAGCACCAGGCCGATGCATGTCGACATGGTCAATCGGGTTCAACACACGAATGATTCGAGGTCTCTGTCATGACAGACTGTCTGATCGGAAGCCAATAGAACAGTCGAATCTCCATCCGTCTCGGACAAACAGACCGACTCGGCGTCAAATCTCTCGTGTCTTAGCAGTCATCTACCCTCATCTGTATGTTGTGCATTCTTCATCACCCGGCCGAAGCAATCTATTGGTCGCTTGGGTTTTCTCAATCACTCTACCTCGCGCTTCTTCGCATTCTAGGTCTTTCGCCAATACTTCCTGCATTGGTCTATTGGGCGTCGGCATCACCCCACGTACAGTATCAGATTTGCGATCATCCGCATGGGTAGGTGCATAGATCCATGCGTCTTCCGCCATTCCGCTCTTCCGACTTCTGCTTTCGTAAAGCTCTGGCCATATCATATCTGAACTCTTACCGATGGCCGCGGTAGAAGTATTTCGACCTTGCCCTAGTCGAACTCGTCCTAACCGACCGACTCCATCCGCATCTTCAGCCAGAAGAAACACAAGCCACACTCATACAGGAACTAGCGGAGACATGAAAAGACTGCTTTCGGAAGCGAAGCCTTCGACTAAAGTCAGATCCTGTCGTTGATGTCTGTCGTTGATGCATCCTTGTTTCACCAGTCTCCAATTTTGCACTGACTAAGGTATCATTGAGGAAGCTTCGCAGCAGCGGAAGAAATGTGTCCCTGATCAGCAATGCACTGTTTCACTGCGATCTTATTCTTTGTGTCGGTCGAACGACAGCAGGACCTGGGATGGTTTGAGACTGGACAGCCGCAGATGCCGCCATGGGAACTACATGTACGGCACGCTGGCTGCCTGGTTCACCTTCGTTTTCGTCAAGATATGCTTTCGCCTATCTCGACCGTATCTTCTGGACGTCGAATGTATAACTCTGGAACCTTCCACAATCCTGTTGATTCTTCGGTCTCAGGTCGAATAGAGTTTACATGAGCTTCTCTGCCCATAGAGATGATGAACGATGACCGACAATCTCAGGATTCTCGGACAAGCTCGATCTCACATGACCAAAGTGTTCGCTCTGCCACTTCGAGGCTTAATTCTTTGCCCATCTTGAAGACATTCTCGTGTGGCTGCTTCAAACTGCAGCTCTGCGTTTTCGAGTCGACAAATATACCGATACAAGCTTCGGGAACCCGAAGCCTTTGGGTAGCTCCCCTCACGGTATGTATTCAACCAATGACCTACACGACTTGTCTTTTTGCGAAAAGGTCTTCATGTCAATAAGGAAGAGAAAAGTGTTGATAGGTTCTCATGCAATTTCTATGATTGTCTTCACCTTTGCAGAAAAGAAACGCACCAAAGACCGCTAGCATACCTGACCTCATAGAATCGAATCCTGCACTTCCCATGCGCAACAGATAGAAAAGAAAAAAGCGGTATCCGCCCAAAAAGCAGCAAGCCCCCGTGGTCTGATATAACGCCCTCGCTGCATACACCATGGAACCATGAAGAAGAAAGTAAAGCAAGACAAGAAACGAGTGATTTGACTCTAATGGTCATGACGCTCATCTGCGCTGACTGCCAGTACGGCTGATGTCGGCGCTGCTCCTGAAACTGTCGACACTGGCTTGCATGGAGGAGTGACTGCTGCTCCTACGGCGTCGACGTCTAGTCTCGTCTGGGTCCAATGGACTGAGTCCAGACATACGAGCAAAGAGATTGAGCAGATCTGTCAAGCTGACGACACCATTCAAGTGGCCTCCGAGAGAAGCTCCTGGTAGCGATGTTGCTGATACGGAGACATTAGGCTGAGCTGGCGTGTATGGCGGGCCCGCAGTAGTTGCGGAAAGTTGGGAGAGCACGGGAGGAGGCGCGGTGGCCGAAGGACCAAGGTGTGGAGAAGGAGGGATGGAAGAAGCGGGTGAAGGCGCGTCAACAATCCACATGCGATGAGAACGAGTTGCGACAAGTTTTGCAATGGTGTGTGCAAGGGTGCTAGTCGGATTGACGTAGAAGACAGGGTAAGAATCCTGGCCTTCGTTCATGCCACGCTCAGAAAGAATGACATTGATAAAGTGAATGCAAGAAGAGTCGAGGAGAGGGAGGGCGGAGGTATTGGTTAGAAGCTTCACGTCGACATGAGAGATGTTGCCAATGACGTTTTTGTGGTTGTCAAGTACGGGTAGCGAAGTGATGCCCTCGCTATGCATGAGGAGCAGGGCATCTTTGAGTGGACGGTCGCCATTGATAGAGATGACCGAGTGACTGCCTAGCTCGAGCTCCTTCAGCGAACGGTTGTGCAGCTGCTCGACGGGCTGGAAGCTAGCTCTGTTCTCCCACAGGAATCGCACCAGTCTCAATTGACTCAAGATTCCCACAACATCTTCTGAACCAGGGGCGCGTACGATAATGCGATGGCAGCCACCACCAAATATCTCAACAGCGCGAGCCAACGTGGCCGAGGCATCACAGAAAGCAGGCGACTCTTTACGGCCGAGTAGGTCCTTGACGTGGCCAAGCTCTACAGGTTGGTTTGTACGCGCGCGAGAGACAATCTTGTCGACTTGATCGAAGTCAGAGTCTTGCGGATGAGCGAGGCCGGTAACGAGGAGGAGATAGGCATTAAGGTCGTCGTAGTCGAACTGACCAATGGCCTGGCGTGTCGAGGGAGATTCGCGGATGAGGATAACATTGGGCGATCCAGACTCGATCAACAGNNCTACAGAAATGTCAGATATAGCTTCGATCGAGGTCAAGACATGTTAGTGTACCTTGGTAGCGGCCTCAATGGTGCTATCGACCTCGACGAAGCGAACCTCGTCGGGCACCAATATCTCTTGCAGGGTGATGCTGCGCCAGTCGCGTCCAGCAAATTTAGGGATGGCATCGTCCTTGCGGCCAACAGGAGGGTTGTTAATCAGATCCTGGATGGCCTGCTGCGACAAGGAGGGATTGCGCTGGCGTGGAGAGTTGGGAATGCCGCGCTCGCTGAAGGATTGGCGGTGCGACGATGCCATGTCTCTGCTGTCTCTCCTGCTGAGTGGAGAGCGTAGCGGACTCGGGGCGCCGACGCTGCTCAGCTTGAACGAGGGCGATGCTGCGGCTGTGTCTATATTGTGCACCATGTTTGGCAAGAGAGTTGGGAAAATAAGGAAGGTGCCCCCACCTCGTGCTTGCACTTGTTGCGTCAATTGCTCTTTCCCCACACTCATCCCGCCTTTTGACATTTGTGACATTTCGCGACGTTCAGGGCCCTGCCGAGTTTGAAACAATCACTTCGAGATTAGATATTAAGCTATTATTGATACAATACAATCAAGCTACACTCAAGCTAACTTGGCATATCGAATATCTTCGCATCAGCATATCTCTGGGCCGACATTCCCTCCCTGATCTGTTCCCCCTGAATCCATCCATCTTCCCCAGACCATCATGATCCTGGCAGGCTTATCGCCATCCTCCTTTCGGTAGCCTCATCTACCACATCTCTTCAAATCATCCTCGCCAGGCGCATGCTCATGGTATCCCGAGCACATACCCTTCAACCACGGCTTGCAAGCTCCCACATCTCCTCCAAGCCCAGGTGTTCTGCCCGCACTGGCACATCCACAGCAGAAAGCTCTTTCGCAAATCTCGCATTTCTCGCTGCTGATACCAGGCGTGAGCAACTNCCTGCAGGCTTCACACGCCTTTGTCTTTTGCCAGCTGATAGGTCGCCACGGCGCCAATGAATGTCTGTCCAGCGACTCGAGTCCAGGTCGCTTGAGCTTGACAACCAGCTCTCGGAGGAAGCGCGGGTGCCATTCGTCTTTGTGGCTCTCGAGCAACTTGTCTGTCTTCTTGTAGGCGAAGAGATCGAGTATCAGCTTGCGCATTGGCGCATTGTCACGGATCGTATCGTAAAGGATCCATGTGTCTGATGGAGTGGGTACCGAGTTAGTGCTCTCGGACAGTCGTGCTATCGTGTCGACAACGTGGTTACAGAGTGTGGTTGTCATGAGCTTGTCTGACAAAGCGTAAAGATCAAGTAGTAGGAAGTACTTGGGCGAGCCGGCTGAATTGCGCAGATCTCCATCTGTGTGTGTTACGTGCTGTGGCAGTCCCTGACCTGGGAACCCCAGCATGGCATCCATGGCACGGAGTCTGTGATGTCTTGGTTCAACACTGCAGTTTGTGGACGTAGGTGTGGTGAGCGAGCCCGTGTACAGCCACCACAAGAACCACTCGAAGATCTCTGGCTTTTCCTCGGGAAGATGCACAGTTTGATCAAGGCCTTCGGCAAAGGCGCCGTTGAGTGCGGCTGAGAAGAAGGGCGACTCGGCTGTCAGAAGATCTTTGTGAATGGTGTAAGTTGTTTGCCCTTGGCTACGTGCTACCGAGTCTGGTGCATGCTGTCCACCAACCACGATAGTTGCGACCTCGTGAAAACTCTTAAAGTTCGTTCGAATGTTGCCACGCGCTGTAGGATGGAGAGGTGTGGGCGCATATCGCACTCCAGTCCCGCGCAGGGGTGTGTCTGTCGTGGCTGATATAGTAGTGTTGGACCCGGTTGTCGTCATTGCTTTCGTGTTGTGTTGAATTGCAAATTGATATTGATCGTGCATGTGTTCTTCAAGCATCCAACGACGTAAAAGTATGTAGAAAACTTCTCTGCAAGGTGGGCAGTTGAATTAGTCAAGAAGTTAAGTGGAACAAACGAGTGTGAGCAGTCCCGAGTATGCCAACGCCAGCGGACCCAAAACACACTGTGATCAATCAAGAGTGTGATGTGTTGAGCAAACGACTAGGCAGATGTCCCGCACGTGAAAGACTCTTTTAAATCAACCACAATAAGTGCTCATGACTTACTGTCGCATGCGTTGTGTGCTTTGTTCGTGGCTTCCCATGTTTGCTCTTGATTGTCCGAAAGCGGAAATTCTTGAAACTCGTCTCGGACGTCTGGCTAGCGTCGCGACCAAAGTATCTGCTTAAGGAGATGTGATATCGTGTTAGCATCTCTAAATACCCTATACTGCGTATTTTCTGTCAATGATTGTAAATATTCATCACCATCGTCATCATCATCGCTCGTGGTTAAAATCTTGTGTTACTGGCATCCTATCACAAATCACTGTGTTGGAAGCCGGGGCTAGGAACAATGGCTTGTGGCATTGGAATGTGTCGTACCTGCTTCTCCCTGTTTCTGGCCGACAACATGCCTCTACTAAAAATACATTCCGAGTCTGCCTTTTGACTGGTCCTATCGTCAACTTTTTCATGCCAATCCCGCTCCAATGACAGATGCGGCCTGATGATCATTTCGCTGGAAGGGTTGTTTCGTTTCGCATTTACTTTTGACCCGCCTGAACCTGGCCTGTTTGACGAATTAGTTTCTTGTTCTAGCATTTCTGAAAGATTCAAGTTACTTACCAAGACGAGAATAGAGCATGAAGAGCGCCATTTGGTTGCACTCTTGAGTTCCAGTGACGGTGACAAGACGCTCATTGCTGTTGTCCTGAGGCTCGTTGATCTTGATGACACTTCCACTGAGCTGGCGTATCTCATTAATCTTTGCACCGCCCTTTCCGATGATAGCGCCGACCATGTCGTTAGGGATGAAGATTTGCTGAGTCAGAGGCTGGCCAGGTACCATACCTTGCATGGGCTGCTGAGGAGGACCTGCGTGTGCGGCAGTTGCTGCAGCGGCGGGCTGAGCAGGGTAGGCAGCGGCATGAGGAGCAGGAGCATGAGGGCCTGCACCAACATACGGCTGTCTAGGGGATGCAGCAGGGTAGTGGACAGGTGCTTGAGGGTGCACAGGAGTGGGTGCGCCGCCGTAAGGGTGCTGTTGCTGCATACCATAGCCAGCAGGAGGAGGGCCACGCTGGGTAGGAGGCTGGCGACGGAAGTGGTCTGNGGGTCCCCACTGTCCACCAGCAGGTTGAGGAACATAAGGAACCACCTGCATACCTCCAGGCACAACACCAGCAGGAGCGCCGCTACGAGTAGCATAGGCTGAAGCAGCGGCGCCTCCGAAGCGCTCGGTCAGCTGCTCAACGAGTGTGCTACCAACGTAGTAAGTCGCAATGTGGACGGCGTCTGCAACACCCAGGACGACGAGCGAACGTTCAGTCGACAAAGGCAGACAAGAGTCAGATGCATTCAGGCGAGCACCAGAGGCTTCCTGAATCTCGCGGATTCTGACACCTCCTTTGCCTATGATGGAGCCGATCAGAATGTGCGGAATCAATAGGCGCAGAGGGTAGGTCTTGGACTGAGGAGTTGAGGGCGCTTCGAGGGGCTCGTTGTTAAGTGTGCGAATAATAAGACCAAAAGCCTAGCCGGTGGTTAGTCAAAATCTATGACAATCCGGGACAAACATTACCTTTGCGACAGCGTCGACAAGACCGCTGACTGTCAAAACACGCTCTACGGCGCCGCGCGAATAGTCGCTGACAGTGCATTTGGCTCCACTCATGCGACGAATCTGAGTGACGTTCTCTCCACCTTTTCCAATGACTGTGGCAGCCTCAGCGCTCGAGATGATAGCTCTGATGTGCAACCAGTTGCTCTCATCCTGCTGTGCTGCGGAGTACTGATCTTGGCCACCAGCAGTTGCGCCGTTAGCAGCAGTGGATTGGACAGGCTGTGTCTCGAGGACTTGAGTGGCTGAGGGCATTCCAGCAGNGGGAGCGTCAAGCACGACTGTATCTCCATGGGACTCGACAGGGCCTTCATTTGAGACTTCATCTGCGGTGACAGGAACAGGAACAGCAGCCTCAGGTTCGGNACTTGACGTCGGCGGCAGATGGTGATGCAGGGGCGGCCTCGTGGACAGGCTCTTCGTCCTTGACCTTGTCGAGAGCAGGTCTCTTGGCATCGGGTTGGTCGGTGGGACCGTTGGGTGNNATGAGGGTTCCTCGAGAGGACGCTTTTGCGAAGGCGCAGTTGCAGGAGCTGGAGAGGTCGACATGTTTGGTTGTGGATCAAGCGTGTACAACACTAGTCACGCTACGAGTGGATTGTGCGAGAATCTTGTTCTGTATAGGTCCTTTTATTCGCGTCTTTTACGTACACTTGGGGGAGTGTGCTGGTGTCCAAGGAAAACGGGATCGGGATGGACGGGGCGGAGAGCGATCGAGATGGGGATCGTGCAGAGGTGGTGGTACTGGTATAAGAAGCGGAAGGTGGTAGTGCTGGTGGGTGCGGGTGATGAGTGTGCACGGAAGAGATGTCGGCTAGTCAGACTTGACAATAGCTGGTATCTGGGAAGCTGGTGCTGCGAGATTCGGCGAGAGGCTGAGGGCAGGGTGCAGCGAGTATAACACGACTCTGGATGGGTGGTGTAGAGGAGCTTGAGAGGAACGCGCCCGCGGAGAACAACCAAGGGAAGCCTTTGCGCAAGTGAATCGACAGAGAATGAGAGAAAAGGTCCTGCCAAACCTGTGTGCTGTGCTTGAAGCTGCTGCGATGGCGATGGTTTTGAGGTGATAAGACGATGGAGTGACGGACAGTGTAAGGGTTCGAGGAGACTGAGACGACTCAAGCTGTGCAACGAGGGAGAGAGCGCAACGGTGGCAGCAACGAATGAACTGCTCGGTAGAAGTCTGGGCGTGGTCCGTGCCCCCTTCGTTGGCTGCCCTTGCAACTCCCTTCTTCACTATTTGACACTTTCCGACCAACCACATGACTACTCTGAGGTAGCACACGATGGTTTGTGTATCAGCGGTACAGCGTGACCACAGTCTCCCAGGCTCTGCATCCGGAACTCGCCTGTTGGACCAGATTACAGTCTCAAACCTGAAGCTGGAACGCATGCCCCAGGCTACACCTGTAAGAACCAATATGGCAACTGCAGACTACCGTGTCTCATACCTTCATTTTCTCCACAACATATGTTCAGGTACTGTAGACAAGCCATCGGGATCCCAAAGCGGCATTCGTCGTGTGGAGAGACCCGCACGGCAGCAACATTCCCGGTCTTGACGCAGAAGGCATCTGATGGCTCGGGATGTCATGCATAAATCGACTGATGGCCGATCAGATCGAGGGGTAGCATCTGTGGGAGTCTTGAGATATCATGGACCTTGGCATGGAGAATCTCCTGATGCTCGTCTGCAAACCATCAATGGGTATATTTCAAGAGCTCACGAAAATGGTATATATAGAGCCGTCATTTTGGAGAGACCGTATTTTTGCAACATTTCAAAGAAACGAACAGACAGTAACGCATCAAGCAAAAAGACATGGCAGCAGATATTGGCCTTTGGCAAATGATGCAAGAACCCAAGACTCCAGGGACAACCTCCAGAAAGTATTACATTTCGACGCTCTGGTCTGAGTACAAGAGTGAGCATGTCCGAAGAGGATGTGTGATTGTGTGTTGACTGTTTCAAGGAGAACAATCAGACAAGGTGCTAGGTCACATGGTCGGCGAGATGGCTGTACAGAGTCCAACCGAGCAGCAACAACCTCGTCGGCCGTCGTTGACGAGAATGCCAGCGATAAGCCGCAGCAATTCGACCAATTCTACTATCGAATCCGAAGCTGCAGCAAAGACACTTGCTATGGTCTCGCCATCTTCATCAGCAGAAGCAGAGCATCCGAGAAGAGAGAGCTGGTGGAGGCGACCGTCTACCAGTTCGAAGGATATGGAAAGTTTCATTCACATGGCATTTGCATCCTAGGGGTTTAACGGTCTGGGTTTACAACATTGATGACGACGAATTTATTGTTGAGATGGATTTTTGAAATGGAACAAGCCGGACGATGGTATGGCCAGGAGTTAGCGCACATCTGATCACAAGAATGACAGAATTGATTGTTTGATATTCACAAGTCGCCGAGTTGCTAGACGCCTGAAGCAAAGCCTGGAAGTAAACTGCTGGTGAAAAAGGTCGTGGAAGTGGTCAGAAGGTTTCAGTGGAGCTTGGCAGGTCGAAAGCCAACGAACGTCACAATTCCCAGTCATAATAATATTCCCAATCGTCTCTCTTACGCTTCCCGAGTATCACATACCAGCCGGAGTCAGTGTTGCCGTCTACTCTTACAATCTGAGGTGATTTGGTTCATCTTAGCCCACGCAACTCGGATCTTTGCCTGCCTACCCGCACCCGCGCACTCGCCATAGCACCCGCCGCTCTTGCAGATTTATCGACGATTGAACTTATTGTAGCCCGTGGCTTTGATTAGTACCATGGCTCAACCTACCCAACTCGCATGTGCGTCGCATCTTAACATTACATGCAACCAGAAGGAGTACTGACACTTCCCAGATCGCACGGCCAAGGGTGTTGGCATCTTGAATGCCGCGCCTGCATATGAAGCGCTCCCAGGCTTCACGCGGCCAGANGGAAACCTCCGCTGCTGTGTCTACTCGCCCGACGGCCGCTTCTTCGCCTGGGCCTCTCCTGACCAGTGAGCCTCTTGCTCCCTCAGTTGTCTTTCCTTTGCTGACACGCAATCTAGGGTGACCGTCGTCGACGCCGCCCAAGGCCACACGGTCGCGACTCTGCCCACCCAGAACGTCTTCGAGCTGGGCTTCTCTCCCCTTGGTACCTACATCATCACCTGGCAGAGACCCACCAAGGACGAGAATGGTGACGCCGTCAAGAACCTCAAGGTCTGGCGCACCCTCGGCGACGATGCCGACCGCCAAGTCGTTGGCCAGTTCGTGCAGAAGAATCAGACCGGCTGGAACTTGCAATACACTCTGGACGAGGAGTTCTGTGCTCGTGCCGTCACCAACGAGGTGCACTTCTACAAGACGTCGGACTTGGGCACTGTCCACAACAAGCTGCGTGTCGAGGGTGTCCAAGACTTTGCTCTGTCCAAGGGTCGCAATGCCAACATTGCCGTCTTTGTGCCAGAGCGCAAGGGCATGCCCGCCCAGGTCAAGGTCTTCAACGTNCCCCACTTCACCTCGCCCGTCTCGCAAAAGACCTTTTTCAAGGCCGACAAGGTCCAGCTTAAGTGGAATAACGAGGGCACCAGCTTGATTGTCCTGGCCCAGACCGATGTCGACAAGACCAACAAGAGTTACTACGGCGAGACCAACATGTACATTCTTAGCTCCAGCGGCGCCTTTGATTCGCGCATCACCCTGGACAAGGAAGGTCCGATTCACGACGTCTCCTGGTCGCCCAACTCCAAGGAATTCGGCGTCGTCTACGGCTACATGCCTGCGAAGACAACCATCTTCAATCAGCGTGCTGTTGCCCAGCACAGCTTCAACCTCGGTCCTCGCAACACCATTATTTTCTCTCCTCATGGTCGCTTCGTCATTGTCGCTGGTTTCGGCAACTTGGCTGGTACCATGGACATCTACGATATGGAGAAGAACTACCAAAAGGTCTCGACTATCGAGGCCAGCAACGCCAGTATTTGCGAGTGGTCTCCTGATGGCCAGCACATTCTGACCGCTACCACCAGCCCTCGTCTGCGTGTTGATAACGGTATTCGCATGTGGCACGTCTCGGGTTCGTTCCTGTACAACGAGGAGATGAGCGAACTTTACCACGTCACATGGCGTCCCGATTCCATCGAGAAGCACCCTCTCGGTAACCCCCTTGCAAATGTTCCTGCTCCCCACGCCTCTGCTGCCGCCCACCTGGCTACTAAGAAGGCCCCTTCCAAGCCCGTGGGTGCTTACAGACCTCCCGGTGCTCGCGGATCATCCACTCCTTTGCACTTCAAGCGCGAGGACGAAGGCGGTGCTGCTTTCATCAACCAGGGCATTTCCTCCGCTAACATCGGTGCCAACGGTTTTGGATCTCGCCCTAGAAGACGCGAGGTCCCTGGTGCCGAAACTGCCGACTCCTCTGCTTCTGGTGCCGCTCCCGGCGGTGGTGTCAGTCTTGCTGGCGCCGACGGTGATGAANNAAACCTTAGCAAGGCTGCTCTCAAGAACAAGAAGAAGAGAGAGGCAAAGAAGGCCAAGGAGGCAGAGGCCAAGGCTTCTGGTCTTGCCCCTGAGGCTAACGGCGATGGCCAACAGCGCAGAGAACGCAGTAGATCAAAGTCTGGTCAACACGGTCCTGTGCGCGGTCAGTCTCACCGCGGTGATGCCCCTGCCACCCCTGCAAAGCAAGCACCAGCACCCGCTGCTGCCCCTGAAGTCACTGTCAGCAGCCCGGCCGTCGAGTCCAGCCAAGATAAGAAGGTTCGCGCTCTGCTGAAGAAGCTACGCGCCATTGACGACTTGAAGATGCGCCAAGCTGGTGGTGAGAAGTTGGAGAACACTCAAGTATCCAAGATCTCAACTGAGGAGGGTGTCCGTAAGGAGCTTTCTGCTCTTGGCTACAACGAGTAGATATGATACAGGGAGAGAAGGGGACGTCGTCTTATGCATAAACTGGAAAGTCAAAAAGTTTGAATCTCAATGACGGAAATGCGAAAAATGATTCTTCTTTCTTCGATGTTTGTTTTTCTGCAGCTTCTCGTGCGTGTGTGAAATATTGTGAAGCATATTCTCGAAGCACAGGATTCAAATCAAGGAGATTCGTTCTTCGTTGCATCTACGTGTAACGTTATCTTTTTCCGTCCTCTACTCGAACATGTTGCTAACCCATGGCTTCCACCATTTCTCGACACCCTCTGGATAGTTCCAACCCGTCCAGTTGTAGTTGCCTAATGCCCAAGTATCGCCCACACCTTGGCCACCACTCCTTATCCTATAGCTACCCGCCAAACTCCACATAGCCCACGAAACATTGTTCTGCTGCGTAAAGTCCTTGAGACAGTTCATCAAGGTATCATTAAACAAACTCACATCCTGCGCAGCACCAAACTCTGAAATGATGACTGGCGTATTGCGCACAGCAGGAACACAGTTTTTCGTAATGTTGCAAGCAGGAGGGGGAGCCATGCCAATCGCATTGAAGCCGGCATTGTAGAGTTCGGCAAAGACGATGGGGCAAGAGCCCGTGTCGAGGTCTTCGGACATGCTGTACAGATGCAGTTCATAGACTACTTTGTTAGCCCAGGGGTGCGAGGCTAGGTCGAAGATAATGGGGTCTCTGCGGAGGCCGTCACGGATGGCGTCGCATTTGTAGCAGGGTGCTGTGTTAAGGTTTTTGCCCTGAATCAGGGCGGACAGGTCCTGGTCGTATTGCATGCCTGACCAGGTGACTAGTAAATCTGGGTTTGCGGAGTGGATGGCGTCGGTCGCTGCTGTGTAGTTGCCGACTAGAGTTACCCAGTTGTAGCCCAGCGAAGAGGTAGGGGCGGTTTCGTTGATTGCTCTGCGTAACTCGTTGCGTAGAGACATGGAGACTACGTTGTTGTGTTTAGAAGCCCAGTTGGCTACGTATTGGAGCCCGCGCTTCCAATTCACAACGGGGAAGTTGTAGTCGTCGAACCAAGCGTTACCGTCTGTGTTGTTGCAGCACCATTGGGCTTTGCCGACGTGCACATCAGGGTGAATGTAAATATTCTTGGACAGGGCGACTTGAGCAATGTGGTCCCAGATCTCGAAGCGTGTGGTGTCTTTGGTGAAGGTCGGGTTCTTGGCTATGATCTCGTTGGTCACTTTTGTACTGTTTTGCTGTGTCAGTTCAGAAATTTCCATACAGGGCTCTGGGGTGTTGTCTTACCCATTCTCGTAACCGAGACCGTTGATCATGGCAATCTCGAGGCCGACATCTGAGCCATTGCGCTCGTAGATTTGATCCACCATTTCGATGGCATACGTGAAACGAATGAAGTTGAAGCCTACACTCTCCACTTGGGATAGGATGTCTTCAATCGATGCCCATTCAAGTCCTTCGGGCACCATGGTCTCGCCACTGCCGGGCCAATTGACGCCGGCAAAGGTCACTGCCTCGCCCTTGGTGTTGACGATGTCGCGGCCCTGGGTACTGAAAGGACCATAAGGCCATGATCCAGAAGAGTTCGTCACCTCCTGACGTCCATAGACAAATGAAGAAACATCTCTTTCCGGTAGCAGCGCAGCGGATACCGTAGAAATACCGACAACTGCAGCAGCGAACAATTGATTAGACAGAAACATGGCTTGGCGATAGACCCTTCTCTTTCTTCAACTCACCGTGCTGAGAGGGGTCCCAGCATACTTATACCCAAGCAAATTCGCCTGATCTCTCATGTCTACACGCTTTCTAACCTCGTCGGTCATGTTCACTGCATCGTTCTATACCCCTCTTTGTATATTAGCCGAACGCGAGCGATCTGCATCCTTCAATTGCTTGGCTATGCATGTCCGTGAAGCAGGAAGAGCAAGGTTTGGCTGTGTCCTGCAAATGCTGTCATGCGTTGTTGGAAGCAAGGTTTGGATCTCGGCAAGAAATGACCCGTTGGATCGAGGGATTTCACGTGGGGTGCAGATCTCGGCTGTGGAGAAAGAAATGCCCTCCGAATTGGTATGTTCAGTTCAGTTCCTGAATATACGATTCGAAAGCGTGAGACGCGAATGACAAGTTGTGCTCGTATGAAGAGACACGAAAGTTCACAAAAATGTCGTGGGTTGAGCAATACAAAGAGCTGAAGGTCTTACTGCTTGCGGGCTGACCTGTGAATAGGTATGGGCTTAGCAAATCCATGACTCAAGCTGATGGAGACAATCTTGAAAAGCTTTCTACTGCAATTCGATATTGCAACAGCATACTGTAGTTTTAACTATTCCATATCAGATCTGTTCTAGTACTATGCGTGTACCACAATCTGATGGCGTGAAGAAACAAGACCAGGATGTTACTCCCAGCCAAACGACATAGCACGAAGACATGGTCAAGATTATACACGTACGGCAATAAAGGACGACAGTAATTATATCCACAGCTAGACAGCAATCCTTTGCCCCATACTGCTCAGAGGTAATTCGTCGACCACCAAACCATCGAGACCTTGTCCTGCAACTTGTGGTGTTCTGACCAACCGGTCTGCCATGCGATCGGGCACGAGTTCAGGAGTCACCGCTCTCATCTCAGGCGTCCTTGGGAGTCTGTCTGACATGCGATCTGGTACCAGATCAGGTGTGATGGATCGCTGGATCGGTGTGTTCACAGACAGTTTGGCGTTGACAGGAGATGGCGAAGGTGGTAGTCTATCTGCCATTCTGTCGAGTGCTGGCTCAGGCGTTACAGGCCGTTGAGCACCTGCAGTTGTGTTGTGTACTGATAGAGTCTTGCTTATACTGCCGGAAGAAGTGGGAGAGGTTGGTGTCGAGCTCGAAGTGATTACGAATGGAGACGATGTTTTGGGTGAACGAGGGCTGTCCAGCTTCTCGATGATCGAGTCGCGCTTCGAAGTGGTGATACTGATGTCAGGCAAGGTTTGCGTGAAGCCCTGTGTTGAGGCGACCTGTTCGATAGACTTGAAGTACTGTTTGTTCTGTTAGTATGATGTTATTTCGAGCCTGAGAAATAACCTACCTTNTACAGTCTTAACTTGCAGCTCCAGTGTGGCATCGTCATCTGCGACAATCATCGCATGAGGGTGCATCTGCAGACTTGACAACGTCCACATATGATTGACTCCGCCTTCGATACACTTCTGGAGGGCGAGTGCCTTGTGAGAGCCAGTGATGATGATGACAACCTCTCTTGCATCCAACACCGTCTGCACACCCACAGTTAGTGCCATGCGAGGTACCTGTGCAACATCGCCACCGAAGAACCTCGAGTTTGCAACGATGGTATCATAGGCAAGTGTTTTGACTCTGGTACGAGACGCAAGACTAGATCCTGGCTCGTTGAAAGCGATATGGCCATCAGGACCAATGCCGCCCAGGAAGAGCTCGATGCCACCTGCGCGTTTAATCTTTTCTTCGTAGGCAATACACTCAGCCTCCAAATCAGGCGCGTTGCCATTAAGGATATTGATGTTCGACGGCAGAATGTCGACATGTGAGAAGAAGTGGCGGTACATGAAGCTGTGGTATGATTCTGGGTGCTCACGAGGAAGGCCAACATATTCGTNCCTGTAAGGGAAGCAAATGTCAGCTTCGGGTTGGTCTGTATAGACTAAAGACAGCACTGTGTCGTGACTCACCATGTTGAAGGTCACTACATCACGAAAGGAGATGTTGCCATTCTTGTGATGTCTGACCAGATTCTTGTACACGCCTTCAGGGGAACTGCCAGTAGGAAGACCAAGCACGAATGGCTTGCTTGGAGTTGGGCCAAAGGCCTTGATACGGTCTATNNCAAAATCAGAACGTGCGCGATTGGCCAACAAGAGCTCCGACGAACCAATGATATAGCTCGCGATGAATGCGGAAGCAGTATCCTTGTCGTCTCGGATGATAAGTCGCCTAGCGAGGGATGAGTAAGCGTGGTCGTACTGACGCAAGACAACAAAGACTCACATCTTGTATATCTCGGAGAACAATGATATGATAAGGTGTGATTTTGGGAGATGTGCTGAGACGAGAGGACACCACGGCGAACATGGAATTATATTCCACCAGAAGAAACTCCAGAAACGACCTACAAGTACCTACATCATCGCAAAGGTGTTCTCCACAAGCACACATGGCAAGCTGGATCGTTATTACTGGCCGATAGACTGTCACGGTTTCATCCATCCTCAGATCAAAGGCCAAAGAAGGTCACCTCGACATGAATGCTACGCAAAGAAGGATGTGTTGGTTTGTCACGATGAGATAAGGTTCTCGAACAATAACGACGAAGTCGAAGTGTTCTATGCCGACAGGTTTGACGCTCCTCGTGGTGCGAGCGTGCCTATCGGAGTGTTACATGGAGAGGGACGGCGCACAAGCTGTGGTTGCATCGCGAGGTTCGGTTGATAACGGCGGGGCCAGCGCAAGGACGCCCACGGCGTGGGGCCAAGTCGTGGCTAAAAATGGGGCGCGATAAGCTGTTTCGCTAGCGACTGCGTGGAAAGTCAACCATGCGGAGAACGTAGCCCGGGGCACGCGACGATATTGCATTGGTGTTATCTGCAGGCGGAGTGCTGACACGAGACCATTTCCTCTCCTTACTTATCTCTATTCACGCTCCTACTCACCTTACTGGAGCCAGCCACGCAGTGGGTAACACGAACTTGAGATAAAGTACCACATCTTCCCACCGCCTCTTCAGCTCGTCCAGTCGCGTGTGTACCATCCGCTCGAGCTTCCTCCTAGGTTGAAAAACCCAGCCCTTGCCGCCCCCCGCATTTGACTGTCTTTTATTATACCACGTCCAATCTCACACAACACTGAGACGTTTCCTTCTACTTGTTTCTTGCTATCGCCAAGCCTGTCTTCTCCATGGCTCCAACCAACGAGAAAAACTTACACGAGGTCGAATCGGCCAGTGGATCCGTCGACAATGGCACCACAGACGTTGTCATGCCTGTCGGCCGAAAGTACAGATCAGTCAAGATTGGTCCTGTGACACTACCCCACTACGCCAGCCCTGCCACACAACTTGTGATCGTCGCTTTCGTCTGTTTCTTGTGCCCCGGAATGTTTAATGCTTTGTCGGGTATGGGTGGAGGTGGTCAAGTCTCTGCTAAGGCAGCTGATGAGGCTAACATCGCCCTCTATGCCTGCTTGTCAGTCGTGGGTAAGAGAACCATATTCGGAATCTCTCGATTCATGTCTGACAATGTATCANNAGGTTTCTTTGCTGGTAGTGCCGTCAACTACATCGGCATACGTTGGTCTCTCTCCTTCGGTGGACTGGGCTATTGCATTTACGTGGCTTCGTTCCTTTGCTATACCCACACCCAAAACACAGGCTTCAATATCTTTGCAGGTGCTCTGCTTGGTTGCTGTGCCGGTATGCTGTGGTCAGCCCAGGGTGCCATTATGATGTCTTACCCTCCTGAGAACTCGAAGGGAAGGTATATCTCTTGGTTTTGGATGATCTTCAACCTTGGTGCTGTCATAGGAAGTCTGGTAAGTCTAGTCCAGGTCTCGTTCTAACGACCCATGCTGACTGTTGCANNGATTCCTCTTGGTGAGAACATCAACTCCACAAGCAGCGGTACTGTCTCTGATGGGACTTATATCGGTTTCATCGTCTTGACAGCTTGTGGTGCTGGGCTGGCCTGGCTCCTTGTAGATGCAAAATCGGTTGTTCGTAACGACGGCTCTCGCATCATTCTCATGAAAAATCCCACTTGGAAGTCCGAGTTGTTGGGACTTTGGGAGACCATCAGGAGCGACCCATACATCATCTGTCTTTTCCCGATGTTCTTCGCCTCAAACTGGTTTTACACCTATCAATTCAATGGTGTAAACCTGGCGTACTTCAACACGAGAACTCGAGCTCTGAACAACACCCTCTACTGGACTGCTCAAATCGTTGGCGCCTTTGTCTTTGGGTTCTGTCTGGACTACTCCAAGATTCGCCGCACGGTCAGAGCAAAGATCGCCTGGGTCGCCATCATGGTCTTGACACTCGCAATCTTCGGCGGTGGGTATGACTTCCAGACAGGCTATACTCGCGAATCTGTATCCAAGGATGCGGATTACGTGTCCAAGGACTGGAGTGACTCGGGATATGTGGGCCCGATGTTCCTGTACATGTTCTACGGCTTCTACGATGCCGCATGGCAGACGTGTGTCTACTGGTTCATGGGTTCGTTGACCAACAACGGTCGCAAGCTCACAAACTTTGCTGGTTTCTACAAGGGAATCCAGTCTGCCGGAGCCGTCGTCATCTGGCGCCTTGACTCGCAGAGTCTACCTTACATGAGCGAATTTGCTTCAAGTTGGGCACTCCTGCTGGGCGCTCTGGTTTGTGCTTTGCCGGTCTTGCTCATCAGAATCAAGGACCACGTCAGTGTTGAAGAAGATGTGAAATTCTCGGACGAGACTGTCGAAGAGATCATCGGCGTAGCGGATGGCAAAGCTGTCAATCATGAATCTGAGAAGGTCTGATGAACGACAAGTCATGTGGATGATGATGCAGGCCGAACCTGCTTCTCTACGTGGCTGGATGGATCAATGAAAGCAAATCCGTGTCAGTGTCAGTTTACTCGTATAGCGTCCCTACTACTTTGTAATGATCAAGCAACTTTATGAGCCATGTATATCCTTCCCCGGTGCAACATAAAATGCTTGACAAAGTGGTTGATTGAACATGTTGGATGCGCTGTTCGTAGCGATACAGAGTCTGACCGGTATGACGGCTACAAGTATTCTTCTGTGCATGAACAAGGTGGGAGAAGGCGGCTCTGCATGAATGGAAGGACAAAAAGCATGGGCCGGCGAGCGATCACGGACCCCGGGTTGCTGCCGATCCCGGTGCCGATGTAACATCAAGAAGTTCGCGATGAGCACGCGAAGAGCGGAGATGATAGACGAAGCGGCAGTCGAGGGCAAGCTGGAGATTGCAACAGGCTGGAATGGTCTTGTGGCTNNAGGAGTACGACCAGACCCTATCAGGATACACAAAGCGATTGGGCGATACGCTGGTGTTGTATGTTGAGGAATAGCTTGTTCTGTAGACTCAGGCTGGATGGGACGGTGAAGCGTCAGAGAAACCCCCGCCGCGTTGATCCANCTCGTCGGATTTGCTGCAACCAAACATGTTGCTGCANNACTGCAACTCGACTGACCATGCCCCATGCTCCATGCCGTGCTGGATGCGAGCCAACACGTCTGGCAGCTTTCGTATTGCTTCCATTTTCACTGATCCCTGCGCTCTCCGAAACGCCTGCCGTGGGCCGTCTTTACCCTTACAGCCGTGATACATAACTAAATCCAACACCTAAGCAGTGACTGGTCAACAGGTCAACAGGTCAACAAGCATCCTTCCATCGACTAAGAATCTATCACTACGTCTGGACGACTCCGATAAGCCGCCCTCACCATCATTCACTACTCGCCGAAGCCTACAGAAGCGTCACCCGCCTGTCTGACTGCCATGCTAGCCTCGTTGATCCAACCACTACAACTGCCGTCGCCCAACAAAGATGCCTTTGGCCTAGATACACAGAACTCGCGCACAAGGAGCATGGACAAACTCTTAACCGACGTCGAGAGTCTCTTTGAGGCACCTCTGCGTCCAAGGAGTCTGCATGCTATGTCAGGACAACTCCAGGCTGAGTTTCGCACAAAGCTACAATCGTCAAACATATGCATGTTGCCGTCCTTTCACTACGCCTTGCCCACCGGCTCCGAATCCGGTGACTTTGTTGCCCTTGATGTTGGCGGCTCAACCTTTCGCATCGCCCTCGTACATCTTAGTGGGAAAGACTCAGCAAAAGACGGAATGGAGATCAAGAAAATGAAGAGCTTTGTCATAGACGAGACTATACGGGACTTGAGAGGCAGAACATTCTTCGACTGGATGGCTGCCAGAATAGAGGAAGTGCTTGGCTCAGACAAAAATGCTGCTGTTCCCTTGTCCATGGCAATGTCATGGTCATTTCCCATCGAGCAAACCTCGACGCGTACTGGCTCCATCCTGACCATGGGAAAAGGCTTCTGTGCTACCCACGGTGTTGAAGGCCAGGATCTCTATGAGCTTCTCATGGACTCCTGCAGACGACGCCATCTTAAAGTCCAACTCCAGGCGATTATCAACGACTCTTCGGCAACATTACTTTCACAGGCTTATCGAGACCCCTCAACTCGACTGTCACTCATCTTGGGCACTGGTATGAACTCGGCCATCTACCTACCCGTCTCTGCACTCGCTCAAGAGAAATACGGCCTTCGCTCAGAGAGTTGGCATGCGTCTGCCAAAGACGTGCTTGTTAATACCGAGCTCAGTATGTTCGGAAAGGACGTGCTTCCAGCTTCAAGATGGGACCAATATCTCAACGCCACCCACGATCTGCCAGACTTTCAACCCTTGGAATACAGGGTTAGTGGAAGATACCTTGGCGAATTGGTGCGCCTCATTCTTATCGAAGCCATCGAGACTGCTGACTTGTTCAATGGTATGATGCCTGCTAAGCTCCAAGAGCCATACTCCTTGGACACTGGGATAATTGCTGTCTTCGAGAGTGATCCGTCATCCACTCTATGCAGCGCTGCGAAGGCTTTCACATCTACGCATCCTCTGCCTGCAGGCCGCATACCATCTTACAGGGATCTTCACTTCGTCAAGCAAGTCAGCCGACTTGTGTCTGGTCGTGCAGCTGCCCTGGTCGCGACAGCCGTACACGCTCTCTGGTCGCTTCAACGCGCTCTCTTGGCTTCGTCGGACACTGCTGAAACCCAGCTCGCACGTCATCCTCGAGCGCGAACAACAGTAGCCTGTAACGGTACAGTCATGGAGAAGTATCCAGGCTTCCGCTCGAGATGCCAAGACCACCTTGACGAGCTGGCTGTCATTAGTGGCCAGAGTCGTGGGGCCATCTCTATTGAGATGGCTCTAGAGAGTTCGGTGTTTGGCGCAGCTGTTGCCGCTGCCTCGGAATCCGAAGCATAGCATGATAATGTTCGTTTGAGCAAACTGCATTTTGTATTTTCTGGAGGCGTTGTGGGTATAAGGAGCATTTGGTGCATATCCCATGCAGGTAGAGGGTTTCACATTTGGCCGAGCGATACTTTACTTTGACGCTAGCGACATTTCAACCACAGAGTCTTACAACAATAATACACTTTCATAGAAGAAGTCTATTAGCATATAGTGCCAGCAGGAATAACACAGTCAAGTGTTGCCGCCTCAAGGACGATATCAAGGCCTTGACGTGATCGCTTTGATTTAAAGCAAATCAAGCCCTTGAGCGAGGCTGAGTTAGCGAGTGGACCAAACCATGATGTAGGTCCTCTGGCGCATGCTGTAAACACCATTGCAAGTCGAGTATCACAATGCAACGAGGCGATGGAGGGCGATAAGATAAGCCACTCGGGAAGGTTTTCGGAACGGCCAAATTGGGAGGGAAGAGGGACCTCCGATCTCCGCATATTCATCGTCGCATCCGTTCTCCCCTCCAACCATGTTTCCATAATAACACGCTCGGACATGGCACGAGTCTTGCAACTTTCTGAGGTCGCAAGTGACTATCGCCATATTTCGGAAAGGTCGAGTGACACACGCTGAAGCTTGATCTGGTCGGTGAGCAGGAAGCAGACACGGCAGGCCGTCCGACGTATCACACGAATCGAGCAAACCGCGACTTCCTGAACCAACCTGTCCTGGTCCTCGACACTGCCATAACTGAACTCGGTGGCCCGTCGCGGTATTTGATAGGCTTCTTAGGATCTCACGCAAGTCCTGATCATATACTCTCTCTCGACGAGCATTCTCGCATGCTTCGACAGCCATAACACACTCGCGACGATAGGATACTCAGACGCAATCATGGAGGGTTTCGACCCGATATCCATGACCTACATGGCCACCAACTTCGAGGCTGTCGACGACACTGTCCCTGTGCCCAACATGTACAATAACATGATGCTGATGCCAAATGACTTCATGGAGCAATACTCGACCTACGATTCGCAGACCGTCTATCCANNGGGTACTTGCGATCAAGAAGACCCTCTCTACTGCAACAACTTTGCTGATGACTGCCCCAACAGAGACGAATACTACCAACTACCGCCTCCACAGACTACGCCGACCCTCAAGCGATTCTCTAGCACTTTCGATGATGCCTTCTCTGATGCTGTTGGAGCCTTCGAGACCATTGCAGAGACAGGAACTCAAGATGCCCACGATACACAAGACGCGAAAGAAATTGCCATAGAACAAGGCCACAAATATCTGAAGTTCACTCCGCCCCAGTACGACTACGCTCTGCTCGACTACAACTTCCGTCAGGTATCAGTAAGCTTGACTGCTGATCTATTGGGACTTTTCTTTACCGACAAGTCGGCTTGGGTGAAGCCAGCAGAGAATACCGAGTTGATGTGCTACCGTCGCAACATCTTCCAGGTCTCCGGTAGTGTCGTGGTTCCGCGAGCACTGCGCAATATTGTCACTGAGCAGACGGAACAGATAGCCATCGTCTCTCAAGAACTCATCATCTCAGCCACAGAGTCAGCTGAGGGAAGTCCCACTAAGATCATTTGTGTTCCTTGGAAGACTCCACCCAATGCAAACTCTACTGTCGACGAGAGGGCCGAGAAAGAACCACCGTCAATACTGCTGGATCTCTCTACTGCCCCGGAGGGAGACTCCAACTTCACGACATTTCCGTTCCACTGGAAGCGCTTGCAGTTCCGTAGCGCAACAGCAAACAACGGCAGGAGGAAAGAGCTACAACAGCATTTCATCGTTCATCTCAAGGTCGTGGCTACACTGGCGACGGGAGGNAAGGTCACCATCTGTCATGCTAAATCAAATCCTATCGTTGTCAGAGGTCGGAGCCCTAGGAACTTCCAATCCAGGAAAGACATTCTACTCACTGGAAATGGCACGCACGCAAAGAAGCCGACCACGGCAGCTCCGAAACCACGTGCACCATCGCAAGCAGATACCGGCCATGCTCGAAAGCCTTCTCGTAATAGCGTGATCGCGGCTCCCAAGAACGACACTCATGCTAACGCCGCTTTTGACATCACGGACTTCCAAATGCCCGCATTTTCCACCAACACATTCCAACAAGGCGCAATGACTGCGGTACCTCCTACCGCACGACTTTCTGAACCCAGAGACTACGCCGTCTCATCTCCTGATATAGTGCGACAGCCGTCAAACATGCCTGCACCGGCTCGAGTACCGCTGAAGCTGTCCTTGACTGACGAGGAGGAGCCCAAACAATCTTCCATGAGCCCCCCCAAGAACGGCAATGCAGGCAAGCGTGTAGTAACAGGTCGCGCTGCAAGCACGCCCTCTGCCTTAGCTCTGCAAGTAGGCAGCAGTCCAGACGAAAGTGCAGACTTGCTGTACGAGTACTTTCCACTTAGTCTGGATGACTGGCAACCTCCTGTCGATGCTGTGTATCGCCCGCACGTCGTGCACCACATCAACACACTGCCTGAGAATAAGGCTCGCGACCGTCTGAGTCGTCTCAAGAACAAACGCTACTTTAGCGAAGACGTGGGATGAGAAGGCGATACTCCTCTCTATGCTCACCAATATGATGAGTGTGGCTCCATCGAAGGAATCCTTGGGAACCTGTCACAGCCATCAAAGACCAATTTCACTTCCAAACATATTGAGGAAATATCTCGAAGACATTCTAGCTCATACTTGGCATGGTCTTGTTGTTGGCAAAGATTTCGTAGATTTTGATTCGACAAGCCGAAGATTCACTAGAATCAGCTCATTTGGCTGGCGGTGCTGTTCCTGATGGTCTTAGCATCGAAGCATCCAGAGCCGTCGAAACCAGAATCACCGACTTTTCGGTCTGCAGAAAGCGCATATTTGGAAAGTCACCAGACGTATTTAAACTATGCGAGCGCAATTATAGCTCGGCATATCGTCTTCGTTACAGGCCATCCCATGCAGGATGTTGCAGACATCGTGCGCTGTAACCACCGCAAATGCCCGGTACTGAATCGCAAAGGCCAGAGTTCCTCCAGCACTGTATGTAGAGGCACTCGAACACGACAACGGTGTCCGTGACCGAGACTAAAAAGACTTGTTCTCCACGATCCGCTTGCTTGCTTGCATTGATGGTGTTGCATTGATGCAACGTACGAACAGCGATGTGGACATGTACAACGAAATCGAGACATTTACGTTCTAACTTTGCCGAACGAGCCAGGTCACTGAGCCTTATTGCTCTCCTTCAACCATCGATTCACACAATGTTCGTCATTGTGACTTGTTTCAACTTTGTGTTCGCGATCCTGTTGTTGTCCTCGAGCGTCAATCGGTATGCGAAATGTGTGTTGCCCAGAGCATCGTACTCGGCTGTGGCACCGTCTCTATTCTGTACTCTCTTGTGGGCATGTGGGTGAAACACAAGTTATACGAATGCACAGTCGTTCTTATATCAGAGATAGCGTCCGGGGAGAGCTGCTGAGGTGAACAGCTTTCAGTCGGAACAACCCCGTTCTGTGCATTTTCATAGCTATATTCATGTAATCGCCCTCAAATGAAAGACTCAAATCCCTGAAATGTCATCTTTACTTCCTAGAAATAGTCGCGGCATCGCAACTGACCTCCTCAAACGTATGCATAGTAGAGAATCCCATAACCGAAAGTCCATCGAAGTTGCCATCTCCATCCATATAGTCCAGTACACAAGATGCGCATCCTTGTTTCTTGACTTGCTTGACACCCAACAAGATCAAACTCTGCAAGATGGTGGCGTACTCGCCTGCTGAAGGTGATATAACAGGAGAACTGACGCCACCACTGACGGTCGCGTCAAACTCGGAACCTTCGTCTTTGAGAGCAGGGATAAATTCGGCAAGAGAAGACGAAGCGGTGTAGAGAATTACTGTACCCACTATGCTGCCATCCTCTGGACGTATGGCGCGGACGATACCACAGGAATTCGGGTCTGAGAGGGCGAGTTTGTAGACTTCGGCCAACCCTTGGCGGTTGTTGGTTTTTATGTGGTCGAATATTGCTCGTGAGTGCTCCCATCCCCGGATTAAGTCGAACTCTGCACCTGCGCTTTGCAGAGATTGTGCCATTCCTTCTGGTGGAGACCAGGATTGTAGATTTCGCATCACCATACTGCAAACAGGACGAGAAAGCGCTGTGTTCCAGCCGACGTTTGCGAACCAGGAGCGTAGACGTTTGCGCTCGGAGCTGTGGTCAGAAGGGATACCAAGGTATATGCTCGGAAGTCTGGAGCCTAGTTGGAAGCGCTTGATACCTTCTCTTTGTAATAGAGTGCGAATAGCGCGGTCGTGCAGACTTTGTCCAATAGAGAGTTTGCGTCTGCCGGGATCGACGAAGAGGGCACCGATTGCTCCAGTACCGGTGGATTTGAAGAAGTAAGTTGAGCAGAATCCATACAGAGCGGAGGTACTGCTGTTGCGAACGACAAAATGCGTCTCTAGAACATTTTGTTGACGAAGGAGGAACGAATTTGAAGTTGCCCCTCTGAGCTCTGAACGTTGATTCGGTGCCGACCATTCGATAATTTCTTTGATCAGAGTATCCAAGGCTAGTGCATCTCGTTCCTCATTGAATGTTTCCACTAGCCAGTGTGTCTTTGACTGTGTAAGCTTTTCGCTGCGGCTGATTGTACCAGGCAGTGAACCGGTCGGTGTGATATCTCCGTGCAACACCTTGACCAGTGACACCAGTGCGGTCTCAGTAAAATCATACGTGCAGACGTATGTCCCAATCGACGTGTCCGTGGAGAAGTCGTAAGGCGAACTGACCGCCACAACGATCAGAGGCTTAATCTTCTTTTCACCGCCAGCCGTGTACTGCATATTACAGATCATCGAAACGTGTTTCGTGAATCCGTTTTGGTACATGTTTCTGTTGGCATCCGCTGTCACGACAATGACTGCACTTGCTCGATTGATCAGGCTTTCGTGCTGAGGTCGTACGCCGTTAGCTGTGTAGCTGGTGTGGAGTACTCTGCCGGTCCGTTGACGAGCTAAAGATCTGCCGAGCTCTCGAAACACTCTCTCACCACTCAGACCCGGATTGCCTCGCTCCCATTGAGGCTCAGGCGAGTCGACAGAAGTATGTGTTGATAGTTCACGTGAAGCTGCAGATGCAGCGAGGGGTTTCACCAGTGGCGTCAGGAGGAGCAGCTCCTCTTCCGGCTCAATGATGTTTGTTAAAGGTAGGAAGCCATTCTGGTCTCTCACGACTGTGATGCTTGAGTTGTATGCCTTGGTCGAAAGGCTCGTATGCGATGGCTGGAGTCTCGACAAGAGGTTGATGCCTGGTGGGTTCAAGGCCTTCTCCCAGGATGTACATCTTGACTTCATTGCTAGTACTCTGTTTAGAGACCGACGAACTCTATCCGTGGTGATCATGGAATTTTCCAGGCCAAGTTTGAAGCCGCTGATAGCCTCCAGTTGGTGTTGGAACGATCTGCATAGTAAGAGGATATCACAACCAGCGTTCGCGGCCATGACAGTCCCACCATTGACACCGATGTTTTGACATAGCGAGTCCATCTCAAGACATTCACTAACGACAACACCGTCAAAGCCAAGTTCCCTCCTCAACAACCCATCAACAACTCGATCTGAGAGACAAGCGTGCATGACATTTAGTCCAGCTGATGACATTGCACAACCACCAACCATGATAGAATCGAGTCCTTGTTTGATGGCATCACGAAAAGGTATCAGAGCACTCAGGCTTAGCTGTTCCAGAGACTCCGTAATTGTTGGTACATCCAAGGAAGATCCCAAGAATTCGAGGTTGCCATATGATGGAAAGTGCTTACCCATGGTACAAATACCAGCCTCTTGGTAGCCTTTCATGAACGCCACTCCGTATTCTGAGCATTGCATCGGATCGTCACCAGTTGTGCGAACTCCAAGTGGCTGGTTTCGGGTGTTGGTCAAGACGTCCAAGCAAGGTCCCATAATCCAGTTCACTCCGCATGCAGAGATTTCTTCTGCACTGGCCTTTGCAACTTTGTAAGCAAGATCGGGGTCTCCTGAGGCGGCGATACCCATGGCTGATGGATATTGCCGGATAAAGATATCGTCGAAAAGAGAGTTGACTCCGCCATTTTCTTGGTCGATGCCAATCAGTAGAGGTACTGGGTGGCCGGCGTCAAAAGCACATTTCTGTAGTTCGTAAACAAGGGCGCTTGTATCTTCGGCNNAGCTAAAAATGGCGTCAGTATACTACACAGCAGATGTACGACTTGAACAATGGTTGTCACATCGATCTCGCAATGTGATGTGTTGACATGCAATGTGGCCAAGAGACACGACTGAGAAAGAGGTTGGCCAGATGCTGGCCGCCACTTCCTCATGCGTCGTCAATGTCATCGCAGCCTTGATCGGAGTATGTACATAAGGGAGTGACTGCCCAGAAGACGCTCAAAAGGAAACACCTTACTCACACTTCAAATTCTTGGCTGTCAGAAGGATCGACCCAAGATGATGTTCTTGTATAAGAGTACGTATCTGAGGAGTCACTGCGGTCCCATCGAAGCCCTGCACACAACTGTCAAGCATTGGTCAAGGACATATCGACAATCAGCCTTACCATCATAAACAACTGGCCCAGAGCCCTGGTAGAAACGCCATGATTAGCAGACTGCACTTGGTGCATGGTCGCATGCTCTTCCACACGACTATGGCGATTTACCTGTCCACGTTCTCCCAGAGCCCACTCGAACTAGCGTCGGAAGTCCCCATGATTGGTATCTTCTACGATGACATGCGTTTACGCGCCGAGAAGCTTCAGCCGCGGCCGCAGGGCTTGCCGAATGGATCCGAGATACGGTAGCGGTCGCTAGATGATGACTTGACGGTGCAGCGTGGCATCCGACAGCAAGCAGTTCATGCTGTGGAGTGGTAACGAAACGTGCTCTCGTAATGACAAGCAACAGCTGGGGTGGATGTAACCTCGTGCTTGCCCTCTCCACACCGGCCAGAGTAACACGCGGTGGGGAGTCCGTGCTTGCCGAGGCGCTTCCATACGCCGACCGCAACGACGTCTCGTCGTTCATCGTTCCTTCTTATTGTCAGATACCACACCATGTAGCAACCAGACAAGATCGACTTTGTCTTGAAGCAGTCAGGAGCTGGTTCGACTGTTTGCGAACGCTTGGTAGCCCCACGTGCACTGGTCGGTTATCTTACTCGAAGACACCCTCAAGCTTCTATCGCAACTTTCGAATGTTACATTCTGCTGTGTTGCCTTATCAAGAATATCGTCTCTGATCAATGGACTATCAAGGTTACAGCAACCAGCCAAAAAGTTTGAGAAGGCATGTGGATCAAAGTATCTGCAATCTCGTCGCGGGAGTTCGGAGATCTGAAAATGTCCTCTGAATATGTATCTTCGGTAGGTCGCCGACCTCGTTGTTGTCATCGTCACTTCTCTTTGCTGAGACCATAATCTCCTTGAACATCGCTGTCCATTTTGCGAAACCAACATAATTGTCTTCTCCTTACGCTCACCTGTTGCAAGCTTGATATACATACAGCTGTTATCTAATCCTCTCCGCATATTCTGTCTGTACAGAACTTTCATATCAACATGCCAGCAGCTGCTTCGCCAGAAAGGCCCCGAAGCGGCATCACTCGATTGACTGGATGCCGACTAGTCAAAGGCAACGCTCTGGTAGAAGAAGACCTATGGCTTTCCTCAGTCACGGGTCGTATCTTGCGCAGCCAAGAAGTCTTTTACGAGCATCACGCAGCCCCGGACGAGGTCATTGACCTCGGTGGCCGCATCGTCTGTCCTGGTTTGATCGACGTACAGTTCAATGGCGCATTCGGCTTCGACTTTTCACAAGCACCACAAGATCCCGTCTCGTATCGCAAGGGTCTGAAAGAGCTGAATAGACGATTGATCGAAATGGGTCTCACATCATACCTGCCCACTATTACCAGTCAGAAGCCCGAACTCTACCACAGTGCGCTGCCGTACCTGGGCCCTTCCGGTGCAGCCCGTGATGCAGATGAAGGTGCAGAGTCGCTAGGCGCCCACGTCGAAGGACCCTTCCTCAGTCCAACCAAGAACGGCATTCACAGTCCTGAAGTTCTACAATCGGCCACATCCTTCGCCGATCTCGAAGCCTGCTACGGCGCTCACAACCTCTGCAACATCAAGAAATTGACCGCCGCACCCGAGGTTGGCAATATGACCTCGATTATCCCGGAAGTGGTGAAGAACAACATCATCTTCAGCATCGGTCACACAGAAGCTACATACGAAGAAACATCTGCAGCCGTGAACGCTGGAGCAAGAATGATTACTCATCTGTTCAATGCCATGAAGCCGCTGCACCATAGAAACCCAGGCGTGTTCGGTATCCTGGGCCATCCCTCCACTCATACACCCTTCTTCGGTGTCATTGCCGATGGCATCCATCTGCACCCCACCACCGTCAAGATAGCATATGCCGCGCATCCTGAAGGCATGATCTTAGTCACCGATGCTCTGTTCCTCGCTGGGCTCCCAGATGGTACATACAACTGGACCAATGGCGACAGCATCGTCAAGAAAGGCTCAAATCTCACACTCGACGGCACAGACAAGATAGCCGGTGGCTGTGCGACGTTGCTGGACTGTGTAAACAACTTTCTCAACTGGTCGAATGCGAGTATTCCTGAAGCCATCAGGGCTGTCACTATTACTCCAGCCATGATGTTGGGGCTAGAGGGTGTAAAGGGGTGTTTGGAGGCCGATGCTGATGCCGATCTGTTGGTCTTGTCTGAGGAGATCGATGGGGAGGAAAGACGTTTACTGGTGGATCAAGTGTGGAAGTTTGGTAGGCTGGTTCATGAAAGGTCTTGATGGCATGTGTTTCCGCTCTCGCTCTTTTGTTCAAGCGACTCTGATATCCTCTCGATTCATAAACTGCGTCTCAACATACTCATCAACCTCATCCTCAAACACCACCCCCAGACTTCCACCCTTGCCCTCTCTATCCACCTTCTTCTGTATCCAAGTCTGCTCCGCAGTCTTTCTCTTGCAAAGCACACACTCACACTCCAATCCATCAGGCTTTGTCAAATGCTCCTCCCTCAACTCCAACCAATCCACAAGATGCAACCTCATGATTCCCATCGCATGTTTCAGGAACTGGGGTGCTGAGTCAAAAGACCCGATACCAGAGAAGTGGCCGTGGATCTCGTAGTCTTGGCGTTTGTCATCGCGGATCTTTTTGGTGACGGTGTAGCCAGTGGGCAGGGCTGTGAACTCGACTTGAGCGCCTGAAGGGAGGTTGGGGTTNNAGTAGGGGTGTGTGGAGATGGGAGTGAGAGAGCACTAACCGTGGTAGGTCTGGTTGAATTCTTCCTTTAGACGAGGGTCGATGGACAGTTGCTTGTTGAATGCTTTACTGAGTGATTTGAGGAAGGTGTCAGGCTCTGGGAAGATGTAGTCGTCGCCAGTCGGTTTGTATCCGGTGCCAGTGTGTCCATAGGAGCTGAGGTCGATCTGGACCACTTTGTCCGCGTCTCCAGGGGGCATTGGAGAGTTCATCGTTAATGTTGTGGATGGTTGCAAGAGAAGCCAGATGGTAGAAGAGGTTATTTATGCCCGAGCTAGAGAAAGAGTTACAAAGTCGATGAACGCTTCCGTAATCCGTCAGGCAGCAAACAGATACCAAACCACCGCAAGAGCACATTGGTCCAATTCGGTTTGCTTTCGTGAAAGAACTCAGAATCCTCTCTCGTGCTGTTTGCTGACACAATTGGAGACATAGTCAAAGACGAGTCATACAAGGGGTCGAAATTCACCCACTTCCGCAGCCGATGCTGGCTAGACATCTTGATATAAAAATGCAGAATACTTTATTCAAGTTGTATCCGCTGAAAATGTTCGCTGATCATTACTTCAGGAGAATCTCCCTGGTGCCGACACTTGGATGGCGCAGTGTCGTGTACACCGACAGGATTGTCACAAGAAGAGAAAGGGGCGACCTGAAATCAGGACAGATGAATACTCCTGTCGTTCGATCGTGTGCCCGGGCTCGTACCTCCTTACTCGCAATTCCAAAATCAGATCACATTACGAAGGACTTCAATGCTGGAGAGTCTCAGATTGTATTGGTACGAGCAATAAAATCTATCAAAGACTATCCTGCGCAATCCCGCCACCACCCCTCCCCAGGTCTCCAACTACTGGCCCCTTGATCGGTGCTGGCAGAGTTCGCACCAGCAGTGGTCACTAAGGACCAACATGGCAACGACGTGCGGCAAGAACGTTTCTGCCGAGTCGTAGTAGCGGCCGGAGGGGTGGCCGTAGATGCGGATGTCGCGGCGGCCCGTCGGATCCTTTCTGACGTGGGTGTAACCCACGGGCATCTGATCGGTAAACTTGTACTGGTCACTGCCTAAAGACGCAATCGNTTAGCTGACGACACGCACGGTGGTAAAGGCGAGATGCAATCGCTTACCGAACATTGCTCTCATGGCGTCGCCATGGGCACCGGGCTTACGAAGCTTTCGCCTCAGAGCAGAGGTGAGGGCGGGGAGGAACCCACTGGCAGCCTCGATCCTCTCGTTGGCCTCGGTGGGCACAACGCCGGTGCCATCGCTTGGATAGATGGGCGCGGAAAGGTCAATGTCGATGGGATCCATTTCGGTTGCAGTTGCCGTTTGTTGACCTAGTCCGTGCGCGAAGCAAGATAAACACGTGACCGTGAAGATTTTGAGACAGTTCGCGGCGAGACCTGCCAAGGCAAAGAATCCAGGGTCCAATCATGTGAAGACAAAGTGAAAGCACAGTGAGCCACAACTGAAGCTGCACATGGACCTGTACCCCCTAGACAAGAGCAAGGGCTGGTGCTCTCAATGGGGAGTGCCCTCTTGTGAGTTACTTTGTGCATTTTCACAGCGCCACCTGCTGCCATCTTCTGTCTAGAGATCCAGCGATGATCAGAGTGGATGTTGAACCGAGCATAGTGATAGTATCAGCTTTCAACTGGGTGATCCAGACCATTTCTTTAGATTCATGTAGATCGACAGCAGATCGCGGGCTGGCCTAGGGCGGTATTTGAGAGCACAACACAGCTCTGTTCCTAAATGGGTATTGTGTCCGCGAGTGGGTAGACCTCGGAAGGCAGTATGATGATGCCTCCTACCGGTATAATCTTCTTCGTAGCCAGATTCGTGCATTTCGATGAACATCCTGCGAAGCTTGCTCCTTTATATGAAATGTGATACAGCCTGGGTAAATTGGGGTTGGTGAGTGCCTAGTATCGGGGCATGAAACGGATTCCTGATAGACCATTGAAGTGGGAAGAATGCACCTTGCAATGCGATAGCTGGACGTTGTAGTAGAAGAGGTTAGATGAGCATGGAGCCAGGACCAGGCCGGATTTATGAAGCCATGTCGATATCTGCATTGCTCTCAGCATCAGAGTCACCTTCGCTTCCATCGGCATTATCTCCATCTTTCCCAGCAGCCTTTTTGGCCTTGTCTCGTGCTCTCTTCTTGAACTTCTTTTCACGATTTCTCCTCGCCTTCTTTTCGCGCTCGAGCCTTTCTTTCTCCTCTTTCGATTTGCTGTCTTCCTCCTTCTTGGCCTTCACGGCAGCCAACTTCTGTCTCTTCTTGATTCTGTCCTTCTTTCCTAGACGGGTGCGCTTCTTTGGTACATCTGGCAGGAAAGCTTCTGCTACGGAGTTCTGGGCCGCCGCTGCAGCAAGAGCTGTCTTGGCCTGTGACGATGGGATGGTGACGACTTTCCAGGGATATGCGCAACCAGTGCATGATAGCTTAGACATGGCCAGCACGTCTGCACCAGTCACGGCCGCGACCTCATATTCCTTAGCGCGTGTGGGATCGAGCTCTCCAGTATGATAGTAGCTCAAGGGGCGTCCTGGGCCGATGATTCCTGGTTCTCTGACTTCTTCTGAGGGCGAGCGAATGCGAATTTTCTGGGCGACTGGTGCGGGAGTAGAGGCATCAGTCGTAGATCTGATGGGAGCAAATAGCTGGAACTCGAGTTCTTCATCTTCGTCTTCTTGGTTTTCTGTTGTGTCTACAGGCTGGGGTGTATTGTCGACAAGTTCGAACTGCAAGTTTGCGCCTAGCCGTTCCAGCGTATCCAGATCTGGGGAGGAGGCTCGAGATGATTGTGGTGATGCATTAACGTCTGACCTCGACACTCTGCGACACAACCGTCAGTATACGTAATGTTCTGAGAGGGTTTACAATGATCATACTGCACAGCACCAGCTATCGTCGCCATTTTTGAGTTGTTCAGATTGTGGTTTGTACGATGAATATCAACATCAGAATTTGGACGGAAGCCGGAATGCGGTTCTGACGAGGAAGGAGCTACCGAGACGACACCCCACAAAGATCAGGCCAAGAGATAAGATGGCACCCCTAGATTTCACATGCGACCAGGACATGTCAACAATCTAGACCGCCGACTTTCTTCTTTCCATGTTCAGTCGCTCCTTCCTCGCCAGAACCACTCAGTCCCTGTCGCGAACCTATTCGACCGCCAGAATGTCCACCGGTCCGTCTACACCACCAGCAACTCAGAGTCACGGCCATTGGTTGACATGAATCACTCCTTTCAGAACAGGCCAACCGTCCCATCGTCATCTCCGGGCCCTCTGGCTCTGGCAAGTCGACTCACTTGAACCGTCTGCTCAAGGAGTACCCCGACCGCTTCGGCTTCTCAATTTCTCGTACGAACATGTCAAGATTCTCTCCTTGATCGACTCTGGAGACTGATTCTATGCGTAAAAGANNCACTACGCGTCAACCCAGAGGCCAAGAACAAAACGGTGTCGAGTATCACTTTGTCACAAAGGAGGACTTTTTAAAGCTGGTCGACCAGAACGGCTTCATCGAGCACGCCCAGTTCGGCAGCAACTATTACGGCACCAGCGTCCAGGCTGTCAAGGATGTCGCTCAGAAGGACCGCACCTGCATCCTGGACATTGAGATGGAGGTGTGTATCGTCTTTCCATTCATGTCTCTTCTGGACTCGATGCTGATCTCGATCATCAAANNGGGTGTCAAGCAAGTAAAGAAGAAGGACCTCAACGCCCGCTACCTCTCCCTGCAACCGCCATCCCTCGAGATTCTCGAGTCACGCCTGCGCGGCCGCGCCACCGATTCCGAAGACGCCATCACCCAACGTCTCGCCCAAGCCAAGAACGAGCTCGAGTTCGCAAAGACCCCAGGTGTTTTCGACAAGGTCATTATCAACGACGACCTCGAGAAGGCTTGGACAGAATTCAAGGCTTTCTGTGTGTCCGAGGAGTAGAAAGAGATGATTATAATATACCAAAAATGCTACAATGCACGAATTTAATACAAAATAAGAAACGCTTCCAAATTCACTTCTATCATTGTTCAATGAGGAGAGGGATGTATTTCTCTAAGGTTCATAGAGAGTCATCATCCCCTGATACTAGTTAGAGGGCTTTCCAACTGATAACGGTGTAGTAGAAAGCAGTCACTGACTAAAGGTCTCAAAGCAGCATCTCCCCTAGCAGCTCCCGTTTCCTACCTCGCCCTCCAACTATCGTGTATACATTCAATTCCCTCTCCACACCTACTTCCTTACGGAGATACAGCTAGAAAACTGAATGGTCATAGACGTGATGTCCGTCCTTACTCTACTCGATCCCCGTCTTCTTCACCACACCATCGCAACGCAAGCACAGGCGATAGACGGAGAGGGGTCCGGGATCTCCAATGAAAGAAGATGTTGAAGAGTAATTGTTTTACTCTACTAGCAACTGAGTGGTTTCTTATATACTTGCAAAACAAAACTCCCCTGCGTGTGATATTCCAGAGCTCATCCCTTGCTTATGTGACAAATCCATTCGGTCACCCTCCTATTGCAATGCATGATAAAATAGTAAGCTATAAAAATACAGAATGGTTTGTTGAAATAAAGGTGTGTCCACAGAAACCCACTAAGATGATTTCTCTCTGTGGACACCACTCCGTTATGATAAACTATTGTGCATTTTTATAGCTATACAGATCTGTAATGTGCAAGAGAGAAATACTGACGTTTTAATAGTGTACTTGTGCTGTAGAGTTGTGGGTACAGTACTGATCAATATCACTCTCTCAGTGCATTAAACATTGACTCAAAATCAGGATCAGAGATCCAACTACAATTACGCTGGCACAAAAGATCAATTGTTACAGAGCAATAGAAATTTGTTTTGTTTTGGTTCTTTTGGTCTGTCTCTCATTCTCATTCTTCTCGGGTTATGTTCACTTTTTTGACCTTCCATTTTTCAGCTCCCGCCAACACCATGCTGAATCAAAGCTCTCGCATCAAGCACAACTCCCCAGCAGAAAACAGAATGCTAGAAAGAAAAGGGATAAGAAAAAGAAGAAGGAGCTATCAAATGCCCACCTAGGCAGCCGGCTTTTTGGTAAGCTTGAGCTTGAACTTTGGCTTCTTCTCGTCGCCGCCCTCGGACGGACGCGGGCTCATTGTGCCAGTGGCAGTAGCGGTACCGTTACTCTTTCCCGGGTAGTTCATCGTCATGGGGCTGACTGCGCTCATCGGTGCCGAGTCTGATTCCTGCTTGATGGAACTCATACCATTCCAGGTTCTGAAAGCACCGACACTTGCGCCCGTCGAAAGAGCAGTGGTGACTTCAGGACTGGCGAAGAAGTCGCCATTGCTGCCGCTGCGACCTTGCGACCCACCAGTTGCGGAAGGTGCAGGGCTTGGTCGTGCTGAAGAAGAGGTGTTGATCTTGGCAGGGATGGCAAGTTTTTGCTTCTGCGGTCTGTAGCCAGGCTGAGGTGCTTGTGAAAGAATTCTTTGCAGGCGCTTCTGCTTTGAGATCTTCAAATGAACGATCTTGGACTTGCCTGGCCTGTCGCTTGCCGTAGGCTTTCTAGATGCTGCAGCTGGTCCAGGGGTTGATGCAACAGATACCGTGCGTGATGGTGTCTGCGCATGTATCTTTCCCAGATTGAGGCTTGGACTCTTTTCCACCTTTGGCGTTGCGGCTGTACCATTTGTTGCGGCAGGCTGAACAAGGTGAGGACGCTTGGGACTACTCGCGCGTGGTTCGGCCGTTGAGCTCTGTTTACGCTTCAAGGTGAGTTTCATAGACCCACCCGGAGTAGATACAGGCAGAGGTGGTGGAGACATGGCTGTCGAGGGCACATGCGAAGGCTTCGGGACTGGAGGAGGTTGGACCTGATGTTGTGCATTAAGCTGTCTCTGGAGCAGCTCCTGTGCTGCAGCCAGTTCGCTTTCCAATCTTTGTTTCTCCTGTTTTTGCGTCTTGACATGATCCTTGGCAGCTTTCGAGAGTTGACCTGTGTATTTGAGGCCATGCTGCTGCACCAAGTCGAATTCGTCAAGGCCGAGACCTATGAGTGGCGAGGTACGGTATTTTTCCTTTTCCTTGAACTGCATTTTGCCTTTGCCAATGTGTTTGGTAATGTAGAATCGAGGCAGTCGAAGGTGTACGACAAGACCGTTTGATGGATCATATATCAGAGCCGCAATATCCAGGAATGAGACCACTTCAGGTATGGCCAGCGCTGGCGATTGTATAACATGCCACAGTGCTACTTTGAACGTCTCGTCGTCCACGAGGGCAGCTTTGAGTGCGATCAGAGCGAGTTCTGGCGGACTCTTCCCAGCAATGTCCAGTGGCACCGGTTGAACAGCTAGAGGTTCTTCCTGCTCAAGAACAAGACCTCCGGTTTCGATGGGCTTCGGAGCCGGCTTTGCAGCTTCTTGTGTCTTCAGAGCGATCGTGCCCAGTGCTCGGCCCAGCACTTGAAGGAGCTGGTCTCTGAAGTATGGCGAAGGGTCGTCGCAAAGTGAGTGTAACAGATATTTGAGGATCTGCGGCCGCCTTGCAAGTTTGAGTTGTACGAGAGAATCCCATGCTGCTAGGCGGACCTCGTCGGCATTGCCAGATTGTGTGTACTGCAGAATTTCGGCTTTCTTGTTTTTCACCACGCCATGCTCCAGTAGTTTTCGCATGCATTCGAGAGCCGTGACAGAATAAATATTTTGATAAGAAGAGATCCACTCGTCAATGCGGCGATAGCGTTCGAGCTCGTTGATGGCTTCCTTTTGGAACTTTTCATCTTCGATATTCTCTTGCATCAAGTCGTCTTCGTCATCAGGGTTGATGGCAANGGTCTGTTGTGGTTCTGCAGATGCTACCAAGGATTCGGCAAGACATCGCATAAGCGTAGAAACATAGTAGCAATCAGAGANACTTTGTTTCTGTTAGTGTTTGACAGACTAGCAGTGATACATGCATCTTACCTCGTTATTGGAGTTGTCGTTGAACTTCAGCTTGTCAACAAAAAATCTCCTCACGCTCATTGGTACCTTGCCACGTTCGTCTTTGACATGAGACAACGCAATTGGGATTGCCTTCTGAATCAGGTAGCTCATGCGGTCCGAAAAATCGTTGGCGCGAGGCATAGGTGAATCGGTGAAGCAGAAGAACTCCTGGAAAGCTCTCTCGAGATGATACTGACCCACCCAGCTCAAGCTAGGTGTAGCACATTTAGTGAGACCTGCTGCCGCGAGCGTGCGGATACCATGGAAGTACCGGCGGTCCATCAATGTTCTGACGAGGATTGTAGACATCAAAGGATGCGCGTTTTGCTTCAAGACGTGCTGGAGCGNACTGTGAAAAAGTTAGCGTGGTGTCAAACATCATCGTAGCTCGTCGCTTCTTACCTCGTATTGTGCAACGACATCTCTGTCTTGTTGCAATTGACTGACATACATGTAAATGGGCATGATCAAGTCAATCTTGCCAATCCACTCGAAGTCGGCGTCCATACGGATCCACTCGTAGCTTTCTTGGCCCATGCGGTCTTCCTCTTCTTTGCCCCAATCAACCAAACGCCAATCTTTGACTTCGTCTTCTGACTGAAGGACGTCACCGAGACAATAAAGCAGCACGTCGTTCTCAGCTTCTCCGCCAAGATCGATGCCGTTAGCAGCCATGGCTCGCTCTTTTGCACGCTTCGAGCGTTTTAGACGCTTGTACTTGGTGTTGTAAGGAATCTCGATCTTGGTGTGTGTGTCCTTGATCTCCACAATATGCTCATATGGCGTGCCATCAGCTTCGTGAATACGAATAGTCATAGGTCCGGTGAAAGGATCTGAAACTTCTGGAGCCCAGACTTCCGAGACCTGCTCTTTCGCTTCTCTCATGAAGTTTGAAGGCTGGAGTTCGGGCTTGATCTTACGCTCGCGCTGCGTTTGGTAGATGTTCATCTCCACGACCAACTTCTTCTTATTAAATCGCTGGTTGACCTTGAATAGTGGGCAGCCAGCACCGTATACCCACTGCTTGAAGAACGCGTCGAGTTTGGTGTGACCCAGCTTCTCACAAAGACGATGGAACCAATCAGTAGAGAGCTCTCCATTCTGAAGGTCACCAGTCTTTGCGTTTAGCAACAATCTAGTGATGATTCGCGCAACACCTGCTGCTCCACTCGCTTTTGTAAGTCGACGGTCCAGGATGAAGAGAACAACTGCAGATTTTAGAGCCATGAAATCGTACTCTGAAGGATCAATGTCGAGCTGAGCGCCAAGCTGATGGATACTGTATCGTTCAACGTCTTGCTCGAACACTTGTTCAGAAGCGAGCTTTTGTTGGTAGCGGTACTCGTTATTGCCAGCAAGCTTCCTCATGAACGTGTCTCGCATGAAACCAGAGATACCAGTAATGGCCCACATATCTCGAGCTTCTTTGGGAATGACATTCACGCCAACCCATTGACTCGCAAGAGCATGGACGAGTACGCGAGTGTTTGCATCCAGAGGTTCGATAATGTCTTCTGGGAATAGTAGTCTCGTGCTGCAGATTGATAAAGAAGCCGTATGCGTCACATCTTGAACCAAGTCATCAACAAAGATGAGCTTGTAGCTGGAGAAAGGGAAAGAGCCGTAGTTGACGGTGAAATAGTCGATCGCCTAGAACAGACATTAGTCAGGGTTTGAACAATCTGGCGCATGCAGAGTACGTACCTTGGCCATTGGCATGCAAGTGTTCCGTAGCTCTTCGGCTCTTCCTGGCAAGCAGAAACCATCCACTTTGATGGCATTTTGGCCAAGCTTGTCGTCCTCATCAACTTCTCTAAAATCGGTAAGGTCAACGTGCTCAAAAGGACCGATGGCAAAGCCGATATGGCGAGCGGTAACTGGAGCAAAACAGGCAAAGGAGACTGTCCGCCAAGTAGGATCCTGAGGGTCAAGAANTCTGAAATCTGTCAGATAACGCAATATTGGTATATGTTTGAGACTGCATACATCGTCTGTCATTTCACCTGAGCACACGATGCTCAAGTCCAGGGACTTTTCTTCCTCACTGAGGTTGATCAGGTACTCGTCCCGCGGCTTCTTGTCTTTCTGGTCGGTCCCGGTCATATCCACGTCCCCCTCGGCAGAACTCCTTTGCGGCGTCTTTCTGAATGCATCACCCAACGTTTTGTGGCATCGTATTGAAATCTCCCACATGCAGCGGGTTGTGGCATCATCAACGCACGGAAAGACAGAGCAGACGGCGCCCGGTCCTAATGTATTCCTGGTGTAGAGATGTGGATATCGTGAATCTTGGTCCGAGAAACCAACAAAATGGAGGCCGTCCCGGAAATTTGTGACCTCAAATTCAATCGAGACTTTCAGAGGGGCATATCTTAGCGTCGGTTCCTGGGCATGTAATCCGGTTGGAGTCTCGACTTGACCAGGAAAATCGCTTTCTTGTCTCCTCAGGCTATCTCTGGCCAGAGTCGAAGAGGACTCGGTATTCAGCTCTTTGATTTTGACGCGTAACGGTATTTCCAAGGCCAGTTCGGGGTCCGGCGACTGCTTGATAGCGCCCTCGATCTTGGTACGGAGGTACTCATGCTGATGGGCCGTTGTTCTCCCTGAAAGCTTGATCTTCTGGTAAGGGTCGGAGTAGGCATATTCGACTTTGGAGCCCTCGATATTGGCGCTCAAAATGCGGGCTTGCCGACAGTTCAGGCGGATGGTCTTGAGATCCTTGATTTCGGGTTGGATAGTGATTTCGGTAGAACCAGAGATGGCCTGCCTTGCAAAATCGACGGTTAGATCGACCTNTTGCGAGACGACGGAGAAGCCGAGATCCAGCGATTGCTCGGTTGGAAGGACGTTGTCAAAATAGCCAGGCATGGCGCCCACTGCGCGCAACCTCTTGACCAAGTGTCAGCTCAGTTTGCATTTCCCATGCCACAGGACATGCGCGATGCGGTCGCGTTGGTTCACTGAGTTCTGTCGTGTATCGCGCTGGTGTGTATCGAGGAAAGGACGACTGGTAGCGTGTGGTGGGGCGGCGTTCGATAGAAGCGCGTGTACGGCAGTCGTGCGGCGTGGGAGGAGAAGGTGAGAGGCGTGAGGGTTCGAGGGGTAATGAGGCGACAACAGACGGCGAGTATGGATGCTTGACTTGATGCGCGCGCGAGGCTCTGATCGACAGTTCAAAACGAGCTCAAAGTCGATGCTGTCGTCGAGAAGTGACGCTCGGTAGAGAGGTCCGAGCTCAGCTTCGCGACTGCCTCCAGCAGCACCTGCTCACTCTGAAACTCCCAAGGTGGATATACATCGTCTTCTATACCTTTCCACCTATCATCCAGTCGAAGCATCATCTGTGGTAGTATGGCACTGTCCTGAACGTAGTCGGTCGAGAATGTTGGCACCTTGTATGGACGACATCTTTCTCACTCAAACACATCGCGTGACAAGACAGAAGATACGCTAAACGTGGTTTATAATGCAGTATCTGAATCGAGCAACCATAATACAACATCCTTCAGGGTATTTCGCTGTGTCCATGCGCCAGAACGCCGCTCCATGTATGCTAACAATATGTCATCCTGTACATCGGTCTCTGTCTCTTTTCTCAGGCCTTGGCCGAATCCGTTGCCGTCTCACGCTTCATCCTCCTGCGTTTCCTTGCATTGTCTCTCAGTGCTTCTGGCGTCACATAGTCTTCTGGCAGAGCGAAATCGCCTTCCTCAACCTCTGGTATCGGCACTCCGAATGCTGTCAGGGTTCGGCCATGTCTAGTATTGCCCAACGCCGCTGCCCGCAGATGGGGCTTCGAGTAGAAGCTGACAAAAGGGCCTTCTGGCGTTGGCTCCCGATATATCGTCGGTATAGGCGCTGGTGGCGGAGGTGCGGGCTCGGGCATCGGAACAGAGATTCTCGACTTGCTTTTGAGCTTTCTGGCTTTACTGTCTTTCCCATCTTTGGCACCTCCTGAAGCTTCGATCTGTAATTGGCGGGCCGCTGAGGCATCCAGATCTGCCGAAGACACCTCACTCTCGCTTCCCTCTTCCTCTTCTTCTTCGTCATCGGTTCCGGCCATGGCAGCAGCTTCCTTCTCGTACCGTATCCGCTTTTCTTCATCTCTCCACGTCTTGAACTTCAACAAAAGTGCATTGACTTCATCGACAAAGTACTTTCGCTTCGGCTCATACTTTTTAGCATCTGCATCGGCCACGCTGACAATGCCCATGACACGCAACCAGTCGTGCCCTTGCAAAGCATCGAGGAGTCTTTCTAGTTGAGCCTTTTCGTGCATTGCCCTCTCCTTTTCGATGTTGCGTAACTGCTTCTCCTTACGCTCTGCTCGACGATGAGATTTGAAGTAGAAAGCGTCTGTCAAAGGATCTTTTGGGTGATGTCCGACGCTTTTCTCAATCGACGAGAAGTCAATGACTTGAGCGCCATTGTATTTGTTCTTCTGTTTTGGCGAAGCTGGTGCTTTCGTGGGAGAAATTGAGGGACGGCGATTCTTCGCGTTGCTCGCTATGGAGTCAGGCTTGAAGTTGGGGTCGTGTGCAGGGTCATATGGCTCATCGCTGATATGGATGATCGTGTCTGCAGTGATGAATTCTGTCTCTCATCAGCCATGGTCACAAGATATGCTTGACTTGGTCTTACCTGGTTCCTTGTTGGAATCGTAAATGATGTCCTCGTAATTGGGAAAGTATACAGCCAGCTCGCTCTTCAATCGTGGACCTTCATCGTGAGAGCGCAGACTACGCCTCTCTGACGTTTTTCGGGTCTGTCTTTGTGAGGGGTTCAGAGCTGGAGCCGGGGTTGCTGAGGGCGACGTGTTGGCGGGTATCAAGTCCTCGGTAACGCTCAGAGATGTGCGCACGCCGTTTGTCGTCTGCAACAGAGGACCATGTGGTTCCGAGAGAGTGAGCTTGACGGGCGGTCTCGGAGACGGGATGGTCGCGTTTGTGTCGCCAACGTCAGCGGGTACCGCAGCAAGCTTCGGACCTTTGAGCGTCAGCTTGAGGCGTTTGGCAGGTCTGTCGCTGGGCGCTGGACTCTCGACAGCTTCATTGTCGTCGGGCAGGGGTTGCGGCGATGTGCTCGAGAGGTGGGAGGGGGGTGGTGTGGGGTGTCTGGCGGAGGAGCGCCGGGTGGGTGACCTGGTCGAGGTAGGTCTGAGAGAATTGACCATGCTTTTGATGGCAGACGACCATGATTCTTGCTCGACTGCGCCGCTTTGGTCCGTCGCAGCGTGGCCTGAGTGCTGCTGGGCTGAATCCTGCTGTTGCCCTGCTGCACCTGTCTCGCGCTTGCTTTCAGGACCCTTTCCTGACAGCCAGATCTGGAGAGGAGTCATCCGACAACATCTGGCCGGCCTACTTTGCGGCTGCGATACGATCTAGAGCCCTGAACCTCCTCTTCTATCCGTATCCGTAGTGGTGGCTATCGTCACTTGCGAAACGAGAGCCGACTCGTTACGGGTCATCGAGCTCTCTCGTCTCCCTTCGCTGATTCCAACGTATACTCTTGGCAATCCCCTCTCTTCTGCACAGGGCATGCGACATGTCATTGTGAGCCAAAGACCAAACTTCATTTACGATTTGTATAACGGTATGAGACGAGCTTAGCAGGCCTCGGAGCGACGAGATGTCACAAATACTTTGTTGTCATATTGACAGCCAGAAGGTCTATACGTACCACGTTGTTTGTCGAATGGATGTCAGCAAAGCTTATCAAAAGTTACCCGAAGCACCATCAAACAGCAACGACCACGGTTTTGAGTTCTAAAAGACAGCCAAACCATTTATCTGTTGTATTGAAGTATCCTGCATATCGTTTCATATGCCCAGTCGACATATTGGAGGCTTCACGTGCGATTAAATGTCTTTAAGCAATTGTTGCCCGAGAAACCCTGCCCACATGGTATGCATACACAAAAGTACGTGCTGACGATACATTGATTGGAAGGAATTTGTATTAGCCATTATTCTGTCGCTAAATGTCAGATGTCGATCGGCTCGTATATGTACATATCGCACGGGCTCAAGTGTTGATGAACTCCGTGACTATTGGGGATCGTGAGAACTGTGGGTTGAGGAGAATGCANNTCTGTCAAATAGAAGTCAGCATCGATAAGTACTGCGAGATTGGCAGGTCAACATACGTGAGGAAGTGAGCAAGGCCTGCTTTCCTTTGCTCAAGGAATTTGGTCCGGAACCGTGCTGCGAAGAGACAAGTAAGCAACTTTCTAGAATGCATGGATTTCGATATTGACATACAAACAAGACTCTTCCTGGGTAGCTCTGGGATGGAGGCTTCGGAGAGAGGAAACGCTCTCACAAGGCTCTGCCTGAGACTATCGAACTCGGAATACCNTAATAACAAGTCAGCATGGTGTGCTGGCAAGGAGAGGCATGCAAGCAAGCAAACAAACCTTTTCCGAAGAGTGATACTGCCACCCTTGAACGTCTCGATTGTACAATTCCATACGACATATGCACCTATCCCTGTAGGACCACTCACAACCACGTAGTCATCAACGGAGACATCACTTGCCCAGCACGCTCGCCCACTTTCATGGTCTTCATCTGATTGATCAACAAGATCTATACCACGTCCTGTGGGTATCGTAGCTGAATCTGTCCGCGCAAGACGGCCGCCATTGAAGTACGGCGGTATTACTTGAGGAGACGCATCGTTGAGTGTAACTGATGACGCGGCCGTGTGATCCGAAGCGTTTGCATCTTGTTGTTCACGTGTAGTAGAGGTGGCGGCGGTAGCGGCGGCCAGAGGCTGGTCCTTTGCGGGGTGATTGCCGTTGACAAGAGTTTCCGTCTCCGCAGGCTCCATCCATTAATCCGTAAGTTGAGGACAAAAATAGATTGAGTTAGCGGATCCTTTGGATTGGAGAGGTTCGCATATCCATGGGGTAGAAAGAGGTCGTTTCTTGGACGGATGGCAGTCGTAAGCGTTTGCTGGTAAATCGCTCGGTCGGCTAGCGCCAAAGAAAGACGATCAGTTGGCGAGAGGTTGGAGAAACAGAGCCGCTCGAAGGCTTGGCCAGAGGGTCGTCCTATCGGGTCGCCTCCAAGCGACAAGATTAGGCAGAGCTCCTCGGCTCTGATATTCCCCGAGATTCTCGAAATCTCCTCTGACTCGCTACTTCAATAGTGGTATGCAACAGAAAAGGTCACGCCCACACAAAAAGTCTGCTCATTGTCTGACACATCTCGTAGTCGAAAAGAGAGTCATAGAACCTGTTTCCGGGCCTTTCGTGGATAGAGAGCAGGTATCGGGACTCCACTTGTGCCAGAGCATGCCGTACTTTGATAGGCCTGGATGCACCTAACCCGCGGTCGAACGACCCCAGAAATGCATGCAGATACGGGAAGGGCGTTGACCACTGCTTTCGCCGCCCGCCATCCCCGTTTATGCTCTAGCAAGTACAGCAAGCGGCGAGCTATGGCCTTTGAGCGTACAGGATAAAAGACTCAACGTCTCTCCTGCTGGGGCAACACTTTATATCTCTCCAGCCTCTCGTTATCAGTTGGTCCGTCACCCTATAATACCTGTGCCTACTCACTTTCGTTGTCGAAGAACATCTTTCTGCTCGAAACTTTACCAGTCGCTACTCGAACAAAAAGTATCCTCATCTTCTTCTCTTCAAACAGCACTCCAGTAAAATGCGTGGTTTCGGTCTCCTCCTCCTTCCCGTGGTCGCCAAGTTGGCTTCTGCCCAGTCCCAGTACACCATCAATGTCACCGCTGTGCCTGAGGCCACCAGAGGTTTGTGATGCCAATCTTTCCTCACCACGTATACATCTTTCTGACTTGTCACAGACATCTGGTGCACCAATCAGCAAAACGCCTGCCCTCTGATCTGTCTTCAAACCTCCGCCAACTCCTCCGACACCATCGAGGTATATACCCACTCAAGACTTCCGCAACACAAGAAACCATATACTGACTCACCACCTCAGAACGAGTGCGACCCCGATACCCTCGACTACTCGTGCATCTGCGAGAACAATATCGCCCCCAACGCTTCCGAGTACTCGCAAACAATCCCCTACTACGTCTGCACCGAATGGGGCACCGAGTGCATTGCCGGCTGCGGCGGAAACACGTGAGTAGAAAGATCTCGTTCTAAGCATCATCTACCACAACATCATACTGACCTATATGCAGTNGATTGCGAATACAATTGCAGAGCCCAACACCCTTGCGGTGCCCAGAATCCCACTCGCGTCAACGTCACATCCTCCTCTTCGTCCGCAACAGCCTCAAAGACTGCTTCCAACCAGGGAGCGGCCACAAACTCTGCTGGCCAGACCATCTTCAGCGGTCTGGGTGGTAGCGGTGCTGCTCAGACTAGCACCAGCAGCAGCCAGACTGGTGCGGCTGCTGCTCTCCAGCTTGGCCAGGCTTACGGTCTGTTTGCCGTGACTGCCGGTATCTTTGGCGGCTTTGCTCTTCTCCTCTAAGCACTGTCTGAAGAGTAGTTTGCTTTCCTCTTTTCTATTCTCTTCTACCTCGGATTCTGCTTTCTATCTCACACTCTTTTTGTAATTACAAGCATAGCAAGCGATAGCGATACCTGACCTCCTTCATTCCTTTTAGCGACGGCGGTTAACTTCGGGGCATAGTACTGGGGAGCGGCGTCTTTTTTTTTTTGCTTTATTTGCTGCAAATGAAAAATCGAAATGATCTATTCTGAACCTCCTTTGATTGCTCTTGTCTTCATCTCTTTCATGTGACTGTACCTGTGTATTTCCTCCTCCCCTGCTTCCCCAGGTACTGCTGATCCTCCAATCCTTGGTATCTAGAGTAGTGTTTGATCGTCCCGAGATGCCCGTGCAAGCAACGATACCTTGCAGATTCGCTGTATGTATCGACGGCTTTGGTATCATCCCTGGCACCTGCGTGTAATTCGGCATTCTACATTCTACTTGATTGCGATGCATAGAGGCGTAGATGGTCTGACACACCGCACCACCTTTGGACGATCGAGCAGACGAAGCACAACTGATAGAAGCAGAGGTAAAGCCGACCCCTTTACTTTAGATCATGCTTCTTCAGAGACAGGAACCAAGATAGTCTGATCAAAACCAATGCAGATAAGAAAAAGGGGCTTCGTCTCGCTACAGCTGTACGGAAATGCGCATTCATGCATCATCACGCAAAAAGGGGGTATCTTTATATAATAACTTTTTTTCTTGTCTCAGATAAACATCTTTTGAATCTTTTTAAACTCGTCTAGCTGGTCTTGGGGGCAGCAGCGGCAGCCGCATCGAGGTTCGTTGTGTCGAGCTTGTCGGCGACGGCATCGACACTGGTGAGCTGTGCTTGTCTGCTGGCCTCGAGCTTGGCGGCAACACGCTCCTCAAGCTTGTCCATGTCGATAGGTACACCATCCTTTTCTGGGTGACCTTCAGGCAGACCCATCTCCTTGAGTTTGAACTGTCCGTTCTTGAGCTCTTCCTCGGCGAGGATGATTGCAAAGGGAACACCGTTGGTCTCGGCAGCCTTGAATTGCGCAGGCAACTTGGGCTTGACCTTCCAGCTGAACTCAGCCTTGATGCCTGCATCCCATAGACGCTTGGCGACTTCCATGCGCTGGGGCAGGAGGCCGTCGAAGCCTTTACCACCGAAAGCCATGACGTAGACGTCGACCTCGTTTGTGCGGACGGACTTGTTACCCTCGGCCTCCATTCTGGCCTTTGTGATGCTGAAAATGCGCTCGACACCGAATGAGATTCCGACACAGGGGAGGTTGTTCTTGCCGCTGAACATGCCGACGAGTTCGTCGTAACGGCCTCCTGCAGCGACGGAGCCAACACCGACGCTGGGGTCGTTGCTGCGGTCTTCATCCTCGTTCTTGGGCTTCTTGCCCTTGGCTTGCACCTNTTGACCTTCTGAGGTCTTGGGGGCAGAGCCCTCGGTAACAATCTCGTAGATGACGCCAGTGTAGTAGTCGAGACCACGTGCGAGTGACATGTCGAATGAGATTCTGTCGAGGACGCCGAATGTGTCGAGGTAGTTGAAGAGGATCTCGATGTTGTCGAGACCAGCCTTTGCAGACTCGTTTGCGCTGAGGGTTGCATCAGCTTGGAGGTCCTTGAGCAGGTCTCTTCCACCCTTGCGAACAACGTATTTGCCAATCTTGTCTGCAATCTCGGGGTCGAGACCCTTCTCCTCGGTCATCTCTCTCTTGACCTCGTCCCATGGCGACTTGTCGAGCTTGTCAACGGCGGATGAAATGGTTCTCAGCTTGTCGGTGGGGACACCACACACGGAGAAGATGCCGTCGAGGATCTTGCGGTGGTTGAGCTTGATTGTGTATTTGCCCTTCCAGCCCAGCTCGTCGAAGATTTCGCATGCGATTCTCAGAATCTCAGCATCGGGAATCATGGGGTCGTAGGCACCGGCAATGTCGAAGTCGCATTGGTAGAATTCGCGCATGCGGCCCTTGGTCATGGCGGGCTGGTCACGACGGTAGACCTTTGCGATGTGGTAGCGCTTGATGTTCTGGACGGACGTGTTCATGGCGAGCCATCTGGCGAAGGGAACGGTCAAATCGTAGCGCAGAGAGCACAGCTCTCCACCTTGGTCGGCCAGGTCGTAGATGAGCTTGCTGTCCTCGCCATACTTGCCCGAGAGGATCTCCTTGAGCTCGAAAACAGGACTGTCGGAGGCAGAGTCAGTACGGAACAGGCGACTGTTTCCCACATCCTTGACTCACGTATCGATAGTCACAGCACCGTGACGTTTGAAGACGTTGGTGATGGTGCTGAAGATCTTGTCGCGGATGACCATGTCCTTGCCCTCCCAGTCCTTGGTTCCCTTGGGCACCTTGAGCTGGAAGCCGCCCTTGTCTCCCTTGTCCTTGCCCATGTTGAATTGCTCGGTTCGGTCCAGATGATAGATTGATGTAGAAAATGCGCGATTGGCCAGATACTGGAGTGCAGGCCTTGAAAGTCGGAGTCGAGAAGAGAAAGTCCTTGCGAATGGTATAACAGCCTTCATGCAAGCATGCAAAGCCAGTCAGCGGTATACAATACAGATTCACAAGAACAGATGGAGGGGTATGAGATCCGCCACGGAAATTGTACGCGATGGAGTCATGCTCTTGGCGTTTTTGTCGTCTTCACGACCATGTCAAGGCCACACGTTTGTTTCGCTTCAACTTCAATCCGCGACTTTGCACCAACTTGACTTTCTTTCCTCCACGCCTTCGTGGTTGCAGGATGTGATGGCGCCCCATGCAGAGATAAACCCTCAAGACATCACCGAAAGGGCGCGCAGAGATCTGCTTCAACTGCTCGAAGGCGTACGTAAGGCTACCTGGACACTGGTCGCTCGCCTTTCCATTCTACCTGCTCACACCCGTTGCGCAGGTTCCTGGCAAGAAGAATCTTGTGATTGAAAAATCCCTTGCTGGTCCAATTGGCTTGCTTGTCAAGTTCAGCACTTTGCAGGAGTATGGAGTCGACAAGGTCTTCTATGTAGAGAACCGCAATGTCGACGACTCTCAACGCAACATCGTCTTTCTGGCTAGAGGCGAGAAGCCAAAGGATGTTCAACTCATAGCTGGTAGGTCATGATTGCTTGTAGTCGTTGCCTTGCATAGCCAGTCCTAGCTAGACGTTTCCCCCTTCACCATCACATGGGCCTTAAAGTAGAGTGCGCAGGTTTACACCTACCCTGCACGTTCAGTCTTGTGCCCTACATCAAAATCGTTACATTGACAGCCAGTCGATGCAGCATGAATCATTAACTCTCTCTGTTGCGCCGCCGTTCCGAGAGACGTTATCATTACATGCTAACATATCCCATAGAACAGATTAGTCAAATCCGTCAAGAAAGCAAAACCGATCATGAATTCTCAGTCTTTTGGGTGCCGAGGCGAACCCTCGTCAGTGATAGGATTCTCGAAGAGAACGGTGTGTTGGGAGAGGTGACCATTGGCGAATGTCCGCTGTTCTTGATCCCTCTGGAGCCCGACCTGTTGTCGCTGGAGCTGGAAGATGCATTCAGTGACCTGTATCTGGTACGCCTGTTGAGCAAATATGAGCCCATGCTGTACTAACATCAACGCAGNCGCAAGGATCCTACCTCGATCTTCCTCACTGCAAAAGCATTGATGCGCCTGCAGGGATCTACCGGTCTCTTCCCTCGCATCCTAGGCAAAGGTGACAATGCGAANAAACTCGCAGATCTGCTCATCCGCATGCGTTCCGAAGAGGAAGTCAGCGCATCCTCTGCCACTTCCAAGTCACCCTCGACCTTTGGCCTGACTCCCAGTGCAGTCGTGGAGAATGTCATCATCATCGACCGCGAAGTCGACTTCTTCACACCTCTCATGACCCAACTAACATACGAGGGTCTAATCGACGAAGTCTTTGGTGTCCGCCACAACCAGACCGAAGTTGACACCTCCATCGTCGGCGCCGCACCCCAACAACAGAAACCCCAAGGAGCCGCCGCAGCAGCAGGCAACTCCACCCAAGCAGCCACAAAACGCAAGATCCAACTCGACAGCTCCGACAAACTATACCCCCAACTGCGCAACTGCAACTTCGCAGTCGTAGGACCATTGCTCAACAGAACAGCCCGCCGTCTCCAAGCCGACTATGAATCCCGCCATAAAGCCGATCAATCAATCTCCGACCTCAAGACCTTCGTTGCAAAACTGCCTTCCTACCAAGCCGAGCAAGCTTCCCTCAAAATCCACACGTCCATGGCTGAGGAAATCATGAAGACCACCCGCAGTGAGATTTTCGGCCGTGTGCTCGAGGTGCAGCAAAACTTTGCAGCCGGCGCTGATCCCACCAGCATGAACGACAACCTCGAAGAACTGATTGCTAGAGATATTCCTCTCGCCACCATTCTACGCCTGCTATCTCTAGAATCGTGCGTTGGCGGCGGTATCCGTCCTCGCGAGCTCGAGAACCTAAAACGCCAAATCATGTACGCATATGGTCATCAACACTTACTCACCTTTGCCTCCCTCGAGAAAATGGGCTTGGTGGTGACGAGACAGAGCAACACTGGATACTTGAACCCCATGGGTGGCGTCAATTCTGGAAACACTGATTACAACAGCGTGCGCAAGATTCTCAAACTCTTTGTTGACGAGGTGGACGAGCAAGATCCCACGGATATCTCGTATGTGTTTTCTGGCTATGCACCACTGAGTGTAAGATTGGTGCAGTGTGTGTTGCAGAAACAGATTTTGGCTAGGCTCTCCAATCCCAGATCTTCAAGCACACCCAATGTCAATGGCGGGACTGCGAATATCACGCCTAATACACAAGCAGCGGGTTGGAAAGGCTTTGAAGACGTGCTCGCGAGAATCAAGGGTGCTACTGTTGATGAAGTGCAAAAGGGGTCGAGTGCAGAGGCTTCGCAGGCAAGACAAACGCTCAGAGGTGGTGCTGGGGGTGGTTGCAAGACTACGATTGTGGTCTTCTTGGGTGGAGTGACGTTTGCTGAGGTTGCGGCATTGAGGTTCATGGGAGAGCAGTTGGGGGACAAGAAGAAGATTGTCATTGTGACTACGGGCATCCTTTCTGGCAATGCTGCTGTTGAGGCAGCTATGGAGAAGAGGGCTTGGGGTCGCAAGTAAGTTGTACAGTAGATAGTAATTGTGAAGAGCGTGTGTCTTATTGGAAAGAGGATTATGGTGTTCATGTCTTCATATATCACTAGCGGTCTACAAATAACCACCGCCAGAGAATTTCGAGCCAAAGTTGGAAGCCTTGTTGAGCAGGTCCTTCTTGTCGACCAAACCAAGTGAGCTCCCACCAATATCCTTTTCTCTGTTGAAGGCACGTTTACTGGGGTCGTCATCTTTGTTCTCTGGATTCGACTCTTTGTGCTGTGCCATCAATGATGGTCCTCTTGCCTTGTCCTGTAGCAGCATGTCAGCCTCAGTGTTTGGATGTAAATGCAGGCAACTCACAGTTTGTTCGCGTATACGTCTTGCCTCTGCCTCCTTCTCCTTGTTCCTAGCAGCTTCTTTGGCATCCACATGCCCGGCAGTGGCGGGCTTCACGCCCATGGCTTCGTCTTGCAGACGCTTGAGTTTCTCCTCTGGTGTTTCTGTCCACGCTGCAGCAATGTTTCCTCCAGCAGGGGTTGTGTTGCCACCCCTTGCGTTCTTGCCGGTATTGAAGCCTCGAGCGCGCATTTTGGAAGGGTCCATCCGGGCTGCAAGGTCGTCTTGCTGGGGTGGTAGTGTCATCCATTCGTCGCGCTGAGCTCTGACGGGAGCTGCTGCTGGTTGTGGGACCGAGGGTCCGGTGTTGTTGGTGGAAGGATTCAAATCGGCAGCGGTGGGCAGAGCTGGGCCGAAGTCATCATCGTCGTCGGAGTCCTCGTCGGAGTCTTCTGGTGGTGNCTGTGGGTCGTTCGTCGAGAGGAGCTGGCGGTGGTGCGGGACCAGCGACGGGGCGTGTGGGTTGAAGATCGGAGGGTGGTAACGTAGGACCGACGGATGGAGATGATACTGAGGGCGGTAACGAGGACCTGCTGGTGCTGGCGAAGCTGATGGTGGTAGTTCTGGACCAGTGACTTTCTGGCGTTTGTCTTTGGGGCTCTCTTGGTTTGCGCCGGAAGAGGTGGTGGGCTGGTTCTTCTGTTCCTCCTCTTGCTGACGCTTCCTCTTAGCTAAAAGATGTGGAGGGAGCGCTGGACCTGCTGCCGGCATGGTGTATTGGTGAGTATGGCGTGTTGTTGATGTATGTGATTCTATGTTGGTGATTGCTGCGCGTCATCGGTATCGCTCCAACTTCGGATTGCTGTTGGACTCTGATGGACTTAGGCTCCAATTGTCGATGCATTATCTCCACACGCTCGTCTGCAACAACCGCGACTCTGTTTAGCGCTTATATATCGTACCCAGATCCCATCACTTCGGAAGCGTGTCCTGGAAGCAAAAATAAGACTCGGCGTAGTCGCAAAAGACAGTAGCAAGAGCAGGAAGCAAGCAATGTCCACAGGCCGACACGTTGGTCAATGAGCTCCCCGCCCGGCCATACCCATCTGGATGGCCACGACCAAGATGGCACCTTCCCCTTCCCACAACAGCAAGATGCCGAAGACTCGTTCCTGACGGCCGACGAGACCGTCAGCCATCCCGGCAGCCCCGTACCATTCCCGGACCGGTCTGTCCAATCCCTCGAGGAAGAGTTGGGTGCGGAAGACATCGCCGACGTCGACGACGTAGCCGACCTTGGTCCACAAACCCCCGATCTCGCCAGTCCCTCCGAGTCGGCCTCTATTCCAGATGATACTCCTTCTGTCCAAGGCTCTATAGCATCCTCGATACACGTTCGCCGTCCCCGTCTAAACCCGCGTGCCTCGACCAACTCTCCACGCACCCCATCCGGTGCCCTTCAGCCCTTCGAGCGACGCTTCAGCTCTAGATTCACTTCGCCCTCGCCTTCGTCACGCGCTGCCTCTCCCGCCTTCCTGACCCCTCACTCTCGCCAATCCTCCCTCTCTTCTCAGATTGTCCTTTCGCAAGGTGGCAGTGATATTGCAGATGCCCCAGACGCCCCTTGGGAGGTTGTACGATGGACAAGACTACGGAAAATCACATCTCAGGCTTTCTCAGAAGCTGGTAGACGCAACTTTGGCACCCCAGTCTGTCTGGCCGTCTCCTCGTCCATTACCGTCGGCACATCCAAAGGCTTGATCCTGGTCTTTGACTACCATCAGACTCTCAAGGGAATCATTGGCCAAGGCACAAAAGCTATCGAGTGTGGTGCTATCACTGCTCTTGCCATCTCTGCCGACTACTCAGCCATTGCCGCTGGTCATTCCACAGGCCACATCTTTACTTGGGAACTTGCCCGTCCTGCTAAGCCCTTCTTGCATATTCCTCCCACACCAAGAGATGGCCAACCGCATTCTCCAGATGGTCATGTACCTGGTCGATCAGTCTTACATATCGGCTTTCTCGGCACACGCCGTACTGCTCTTGTCTCTGCTGACGATGGTGGCATGGCCTTCTCTCACCTCGCATCTCGCGGTATGGGTGCCATCTCCCGTTCAGTCAAAACCACTCGCTTGCTAGGACGCTATCCCGCTCCTAATTTGCAAGAAGAAGCACGCATAAAACCTAGTTCTGTCCTTGCTTTCGCGCCACTTCCCCTAGGAAACGTGGAGCAGGCTACCGATGCTATGGGGCTCACAGCTCTGCTCACTCCGTATCTGCTTGTTATCGTCTCAACCACACCGGTCTCACAAACACAGCACAAGGCCTCGAGACCAAAGTCAATCTCACGCCACAGTGCCATGAGTGGCTGTCTCGCTTGGTTCCCAGCGGTCAAGTTAAAAAGCAGCAACAGCACTACTGAGCGGGACACTTCAGACACAAAACTCGTTTATTGTTGGTCAAATGTCCTGACAGTACTCGACGTCGACGTCCAGGTATCGCAAGATCCAGCAGACAAGGAGAAACCTCCAAACTTGTTCTTCCATCAGCGGAGTAGCTGGGAGTGCGAAGAAGCCATTGTCGCAGTGCAGTGGCTGAGTCGATCCGTCATTGGCGTACTCACCATTAGCCAGCAGTTGATCATCATAGAGGACGGCGAGTTGCATGTCATGGACTCGGTGGATCTTTTGCACAGACAGATACACCATCGCGATATCTTTTCGAAGCAACTGCATCCTGTCGTTGAACAGGCTGACAACGAGCACTCGGAAATGCACGGAGTCATTGCAGATGCTTTCTACCAGAGTTTCCGAGTTTACAAGAATCGACTCTTTCTTCTTGGAGCAAGCGATCTTTCTGTCGGTACACTCTCGAATTGGGCGGATCGGTTGACTGCGTTGATCGAACACGGTGACTACATCGCCGCTATACAGCTTGCTAGAGCATACTATACTGGACAAGCCGGTGGTGTCACAGTAGGTCTGCCGGATAATGCAGATGCTCGACATGAGTTGGTCAACGGAAGGTTACTCGAACTCATGTCTGCGTCTATTCTATTTTCCTTCTCAGAGAACAACAACAGTGGACGACCGCTGTCTGATCTCGTGGCCGAATGTTTCGATGCCTGTGTGAGCATGGACAACCAAAGCTTCCTATTTGATGACATTTACGAGCCGTTGAGAGATGCTGGCCAGAGAGAGGTGTTCCTCGACATCCTGCAATCTTACATCATGGATGAAGAGGTCACAGCTTTGCCGCCGCCATTAGTAAAAGACCTAGTGGAGAGCTGCACTTCGAAAAACCAAGTCGTTCATCTAGAAGAGCTCTTGTGCCGGCTGGATCCGCGTATGTTTGATCTGGACCAGATCACAACTCTTTGCAAAACACATTACTTGTATGATGCATTAACTTTTGTCTGGAATGAGGCTTTGAACGAGTATGTCACTCCGTTGACTGANTTTTTGGCACTCTTGCGCGATGTCAAAGATGTTCAAGACCAGACAGAGGAGGCAGCTTTAGAGTCGGTCGTCAAAGTGTTTCCTTATCTTGCTTTCATCCTGACAGGAAGGAAGTACCCGCAAGGAGACTTCCTCGACGACGAAAAAGCCGACACCCAAAAGGGAAACATCTACCGATATCTGTTTTCCCACGAACCTACTGCATGGCCACCAGAATCTTCGTTCATCTTGAGAACCGGACAGAATCCTTCAAACGAGCCTGCCTTCCCTTATCTACGACTCTTGCTCGAGTATGATTCGGCAAGCTTCATGAGCATGATGACGGAAGCTTTCGAAGACCCTTACCTCAATGACTCGCAAGAAGACGACACTACGTCTGTTCAACCCAAAACTAACGGCAATGGTCTCAAGATCACTCGACAATATATTGTCAGTGTTCTGCTTGACATCATGTCATCGGGTGACTTCATACCCGAACAAACAATCTATCTCGACATGTTTATTGCAAGAAACTTGCCAAAATATCCCCAGTTCATGGTATTGTCAAGTTCCTCTTTACATCAAGTTCTTGATCGACTATGCAGCTTTCGCGAGGATGACTTGGCCGACGACTGCCAACTCAGTGCTGAATATCTTCTATCTGTATATCACCCTCCTATTACGACCGCACTGATTGAACAACTTCAAGACGCCCAATTCTACCGCGTGCTCAAGACGTTGTACAGAACCGAGCACAGACCTGTCGATCTCATCAACACATACTTCGAAGATCCGCAAGGGAAGAATGGCATATTCGACGATCTAGCATACGCTCTACAAGAGTCTCATGGCAATCAAACATCCCAGCTGAAGGACGTCCTGTGTGAACACGCTCAAGAGTTGGCATCCATAAACACTTCAAAGACTGCACATACACTTGCAAGATATACCGACGACATCCTCGAGCGATTCGTTGACGCCGTCGAGGAATCATACACTCGATTCCACTTCTTACGCACATTACTCGAGCCCTCGCTGCTTGACCAACATCCTAAGAAGATTGCAAGCGAGCCTGTCTCAGAAGCTCTTGTGTCACGCTTTTGTGAACAATATGTCGAGCTTATGTGTGTTCACGATCCTCGACATGTGGCTGACTATGTTGGACTGCTAAAGTCTGGTGATCTGGACCTTGATCGTGTGCTTCCTTCAATGGAAGAAAACGGTGTGGTCGATGCGGCGGTCTTGCTTATGGCTCAGGATGGGCTGGCAAGGGATGCAATAGATAGACTCTGCAAGCATCTGCGGACGTTGCAGAATGCCATCTGCAGTCTGATTGAAGCAGCATCAGAGGCACCAGACGTGCAAAGCACAGAAGAAGCGACTGACGATCTGATAGAAGCTATCGAGAAGTACACACGTCTAGGTATTTGGCTCTGCAACGGACAAAGCGCAGCGATGCACCAACACCGTCAACCACGCCAACGCACAAATGTTGCCTGGGATGTCAAGGAAACCGATCTAGAACTAGACGAGCTGCTCTGGCTTAACCTCATCGATGCCATCGTTTCGGTCTCCAAATCCGTATCCGCAGAGACTAACGACCTTGTTGATGACAGCTCTTTCGATATCGACAGAACAAACAATGCCCTCCGCAGCACCGTGCAGCAAACCTTCACAGCCCTCCTCAGCGCCACCTCAACCACGGTCACGAAATCCGAAGATGACGACGATCGTCAACATACTCCTCGTCGCAGTCAGCACAACCAATCCTTCCTCTACATCTTCCGCGCCTTCCTCTCTCGCGTCTCTTCCTCTTACGCGCCTACCCTCTCCGATCTCCGCGCCGTCCTCCTCGACGTCTTCGCAGCCTACGCCCACGAATCCTCAGTCCTAAATCTAGCTTCCTCAATGCTTGACATTGATGTCTTTGCCGACATGGACAACATCCACACCCTACGAAACCGAGGCTGGCGCCCCCGCACCCAGATCTGCGAACTTTGCAAGAAGCGCGCCTGGGGCACTGGAGTGGGTGCTGTAGAGCATGACCACGAGGCCATTTGGGAGGAGTTTGAGAGGCTTGAGGAGCAAAGNATCAAGAAGAAGGCACAGAAAACCAAACCATTGGATAATGGAAAGGGCAAATCTGTGCAGGTGGGAGGTGGTGTGGCAGAGAGGACTAAAGATAGAGAAGAAGTGGTTAAGAAACAGACGCTGGTGGTTTTTGCTTGCAGGCATACTATGCATAGAGTCTGTCTTGAGGTCGAGATGGCTGGAGTTATCAACACGGGCGAGGAGGAAAGGAGTGGGTATTCTTGTCCCGTGTGTCATGAGGAGTAGAGCTGTGGTTTGGATGCATAGAAGATATGGGGTAATGTGTTTAGTTTGTTGATATCTGTTTTGAGTAGACATGCATGATGATACTTCAATGTGAGAAGGTGCGTCTCTGATGTCTTCTTTCCTTTTTTGTCTGTCTATCATTTGATCGTTCGCTCCTGCCGGCCCCTTCCCTCCCCTCTGCTTTGTCATCTGATCAGGAATTGATTTGCTCCTCAAAGCAAAACTTGTCTGCTCCATGACCGAGATGGCGTCTCCTCGAAGGTCCAAGCAGCGCTCTCATCAATTGGCAATCTGCCGACTTCATCCGGTACATCTCTCCTTCCCTGCTTCTCAATCGGGCCTCAAAGTTTCTCCTCCCACTCACTCAACCTAGCCATGCAGTTCTCATGATAGACTTCACTCATCAAGTTGCGAAAGTCTGGATCGGTGGTATCGTTGTAAACTTTTGTGAGCTGGTCCACTGTCTTTGCCTTGAGCTTGGTCTTGATCTTGTCGAGCTTTTGTTTGCGCGCAGCTCTCTGAGATGGAGACAGAGTTTTGAAGAGAGGTGTGTGAGTGGTGGTTGGTGCACTTGATGGTTTTGTGACCTTGGAGGCCTGGGCTGGTGTAATGGGGTTTGTCACTCGTGAAGTAGTGGCGGCTGCGATGAACGGACTGTGAGGGTTGATTGATTTGGTGATGTTCGAAGTGTTGACGACAGGTTGAGAGACGCATGTGGGTTCGCGATCCAGGTCAGTGTGGATGGTAGGTTTGTTGTTTTGCTCGTTGTTTGTGTCGCTGGTGGCTGTGATGATGCTAGACAACTCTGGCATGGAACTGAAATAGCCGTGTTGTTAGAACGGTTTGAGAGAAAGCGTTTCAAGAGACTCACCTGTTGTCAGACTCTGAGACATACTTCTTGAGATGCTCGACACGGCGTTTCGTGGCAGAAGCGTACAGGTGAGGGGCGTCCATGTTTCTGCTTCTTGTGTTTCTTTTGTATGACTGTAGGAGGTGATTGATGGCCGTAAGATGTGCAGGCAGTAAGAGTGGAGAGAGATCAAGAGTCGAGAACGGAGGATGTTCAGAGGAGTGCGAGGTGTTCCACGTGGACAAAACAAGAGACGCTGGCGCGAAAACAATTCAAATGAGAGTATCTATTGAGAGTGTCTATTGAGAGTAAGAAACGTGTTGGAATGAAAGTGTGATAGTGATTCAAAGCAAATGAGGCGGCAATGAACATAAGCCAATGCATGAATTCTTGATTGAATACAAAGAAGAGCCTGTTGATATATGATGGCTGTTTTCCTCTCCGATTCATCTTTTCATGAGAATGCAATACATGCAATACCGAGAAGACTCAGTCTTCCTCCTCTCCTTTTCCCTCGTCTTCTCCTTCATCTCCGCCTTTGCTTTCGCCTTCGATCTGTTTATCCCAGGCCACAAGCGTGGCCATGCGTAACCTGTGAGCGCTGTTTCTGATCAGCTCACGAAACGCGGCATCTTCGGTATCGTTGTAGAGATCAGTGAGCTCCACGATTGTCTTGTTCTCCAGCTTCTGCCTGATTTCTCTTCGCTTGCGCCGATATTGCCATCTTTGCGACAACGTGGACTTGATAAGCTCCTTTCTCCTTTGAATCGGCGATCTTTTCGATCCAGGAGCAGGATCGATGGTACCAAGCTGTAGCGATTTGGTAACCTTAGCAGCACCAGAGCCAGGGGTGAGCTTGGATCCATGATTGCCATTTTTGTTCCTGGCAGCAACACCAGTATCGACAGTGGTACTGATTTGGCTCATCCCGCTTCCTGAAATGCTGGAGATTTATGTCGTTAGATGTGTTCAAGACAATGCAACAAATGATACTCACTCTCCATCAGACTCCTCCACATCGCTAATAACCACATCTGCGTCAGACTCCAAGTCTGACATCTTCTTCGCCCACTCAGTGCAACTGAGAGAGGGGATTGTTGATCAGAAAATGTGTGCCGTCAGAAGAGGAGAAGGGTGGAGGTGTAAGCGGTGACAATATTGTTTGTAGAGGAGTGGAGGATGCTTCGATCAGATGAAGGAACGTAATTTAATGGAAGGTCCGAAGAAGCCAGATAATCAAGTGAGGATGTCTCTGGAGATGAGACAAACAGTGAAGTGGAAGGAGTGATAGTGAAGTGGAGGGCAGAAGACTGAGATCATCAATGTATATAGATCATCGATTGGGAATCTCAAAGCCGTCTCTCTAAACGAAATGAGACAAAGAATCACTAAAGCCTCATTGGTGTTGAGTAGTTGTTCGTTGCTCTGTGACGTTAGTTTCTCGTTGCTTTATTCTGTTTTCTTAAGTATATGTATTTGCTGGTAACCGAGAGAAATGCACAGTGAATGGGGGTGATCGCAGAAATCACTCCTCCTTCCTTTGCTCCAAGAAATCACGGCCATGTCCAGCTGCATTTCTAAAGAACACCAAAGACCAGTCGTGACTGCCGCTCCTATAGAACCTTATTCTAGCTGCTCAAAAACTTCTTTGGGAATCCAAATGCTTTCCTCCAAAGTCTGATTCTGGAGCTCTTGTGTTTTCTGCTGTTCTGCTCTGGTGCTCCTTTCATCTTGTTGCTTTCCGGGTGAGCTATCAAGCTGGTTCTCCCACTCCTTCATCTCGGACATATGCTTCTTGAAAAGAGCCTCCTGGATCAGGTTCTTGATCTTGTTGCTCGCATCACTTCTTGAAGCCTTATGTTGCAGCATCTGAAGCTGTGATATCGACTTTTTCTCCAGCTTTCCTGTGATCTGATGTTCTCTTTGACGTAGGATGTATAGTTGCTGCTGATTTAGATATGATCCAATACATCTGTCCTCGTTTCTAGGCTTGGTAATCTTTGCTGGGTTGATAAAGCGAGGAGAACTTTGAGATGTAGCACTTTTGCCAAATGGTGAGTCAATCTTGCGACTATGAGACTTCTTTTGCTCTATAATTGGAGACAGAACTTCTGTGCTACTGCAAGAGAGCGTCAGACTAGTTTCAATACCGGTCAACAATGATCTGAGATCATGAGAACAGTTTACCTCGGAAAGAGCGCTTTCTCGAGAGAAGTCGGTGCCTGATCTTTGGAAGGATCTGGGAGCAATTTTGCATGCATGGTATTTCTTGAGAAGCAGGACGGAGCCTCCCACTGTTCGGCATTGACAACGGCTGTTATGGCGTCGGCTTGCTTTTTGCAAGCGAAAAGATCGCTCAAGAGATCTTTATTATGCATGATGTCCTCCAGAGGCGGGATGGAAGGGGGATGATGAACAAGAAGACAATGTCTTTCAATATATGTAGACGTCGAGGTGAATGAATGATGGAAGACGACAAAGCTGTATACCATGGGAGCTGAGGTTGGAAGGTCATCCCGAGTTCTGAGAAGTTATGGATCCATCTGCTCCATACAGCTCCGCTTCTGAACCCGTCAAACCAAGACACTTTAGTAGCTTTGGACGAATGTTTGTCTCCTGAATGCAAGGATCTTCCATTATTCAGAAAGTCTCAAGCCGATCTCTGATTCCGCTCTCATTTTCTCAGTGATAGCTCTTCTGAAGGAGAGCTTTAGGTAACCAAGAAAAGGGTCGACCTTCCTTTCGAGGTCAACCAACTCTTCGAATGTTGATGCGTCCATCTTGTGTTGGAGGTTTCCGGTGAAATGATTCATTGTCTGTACCTCGAAGTCCCAGACTGCCTGGAAACAGTCATGGTAGGTGTACTTGACGAACAGATTGCTTTTGGGCTTGGACGACTTGGCCTCGGGGATTGGAGCAGATGTGTTTAGTTTCTCTTCCTGCATAGACTTGAGGCTACGCACGAATTAGTTTCACGTCCTGGAAGTCATCAATATATTTTCCATGCTTACATACTCTTCGTTGGCGTGGGAAGGAGACTTGTTGTTTTCCAGAGATTCGTTGTTCAGCTGATCGCTGAATCTCACACTAAAAAGTTAACGATAGGAGTTCAACAACTTTGAAGGTCTGACTCACCTCTTCTTCGAGTTTGCAGTAGACTTGTCGCTCTTCGAAGAGCTCGAGGCCGAGGCTCGGTTGAAAAGTGCCATGGTGTTTGAGAGCGCGATTGACGAAGGTCTGCGCGCGAAGACGGAAAGCACCACGCGTGAGGGAAGAAGAAGGAATGAAGTCTGGAAACACGAGTCGACGTGGTCGCGACTTCCACACCTCAAAAAGTGAACCACCTTCAATTCACCAACACCATCTGCCAAAAACCAACCCTCGCTCCCATTCAAAACAGCAAAAACCAGAGCCATTGCTCTGGGAAAGCCTCTCGTCGAATTCCCTTGGTCAAAGTCACCGGACGGCCATCTGGCTGTGTGCATGATTTAAGACGTACGCGGCGGAATTCGAACGATGGTTTTATTACCGTCATCATGAGCTTGTGGATCGTTACACCAAACTCAGCGGATGGATGTGTTCTTCCAATCTTGACTTGAATATATGATGTGTGGTGTTTGGGGGTCAGGGTTCGAATAAGGGGTGAGCGGACGGAATTCATTTTGCACTTTTCAATGAACTCGATGTAACGAACTTGGCGACGGATCTGACTTGATATCGAGGTTAACAAAGCACGTATCGAGTTGAGGACTCACGAAGCAGGAGCGATGATTGATAACTCGATGCTCTCATTGAGGATACTTCCGCAAAGGAGGATCGCGACTTCCTGTCTAATCCCATCCATACTTCTTAGTTCCTGGCCCACTCCACCACCATCACCACCAACTTTACTCATCCTCCACCTCAACACTTTCCAATTTTTTCATCATCTGTGTTACAGATTTCCAACTCAACTCTGATGTAAGTTGAACTTCCGATGGTGAACAGCAAACTCGGCACAAGCTGCCATTTTGGCGAACACCCAACAACAATAAGAAGCATAATTAAAACTTGTAGAGATGAGCAAACGATGCATTGCGACTATCTTGAACAGCTCCGTCCAGCGAGTCCACAAAGCCAGAAGATTTGTGAAAGCAGTAACCAGCAATAAAGCTGATCAACTTAAACTCAGCACAACAACCAATCACTCATCACTATCATCATCAACAACCTGTCTTCTCCTTCCCTGTTGTCTGCGCACAGGAGCAGCATCCTCATCTCCATCAGACACCTCCTCAACAACCTCGTCCGGCATGCTAGATGGTCCAAAGTCGGGCAAGTCTTCATCACTCTCCTCGGCGATATTGTCTTGGGTGAACAGGTTGAGTCTGTTTCTCTTTGAAGAGTTGTGGGCACGCGGCTGAGAGCTCGAGGCAAACTCTATAGGTGCGTCGCTGCTGACGACAAAGTCATCGAGCTCGGAGTCAGCCTCGTCTTCCTGATCATGACCTTCTTCGCCAGATGTATCTGCAGAGCCGAGATCGATACCTTGTGTACCGAGGCGTAGATGAGCAGGCGTGGGTTCTGGGCTCGAAGATGAACCTTCCATATCTGAGCTGTTTTGCCTGGCTGTCTGCTTCTTGGGACGACCGCGAGGTTTGGGTGTTTTTGCTACAGGCGGTGATTTAGGAGCCTTTGAAGCTTTGGGGGCTTTCGGTGCTTTTGGCTCTTTCGGTTCCTTGGGAGCTTTGGGAACTCTTGGTTTGGCAGGCGCCTTTCTTGCTTTGACAGGTTTGGCTACTGGCAGATCTGCATACGAGAGATCTACAACAGTAGGGTCTCCCAGCATCTCAGACACGTCACCTTCGAGGTCTGACTGATGGAAATTGTCCTTGAAGTCTTGCACGACATCGTCGTTCATGCTGCCCAATCGCTTCATCAAATTCAAAGCTGCTGAAGAAGCTCTTCCATGTGAGATGTATTTGGTCGGTCCAGGGAATGAACTTGAGAATCGGTCCAGTCGCGGTAGACCGACAGTTGGAGCACGGTCATTTGTGTTTTGGACGTACTTGTATTTGCGTTCAAGCTCACGTTCGCAGATCTTGTTCAGGTAAACGTCGTCGAGCGATGGTATGGGCACCGCCTCAAGTCCTGGAGGAGGACGGAACATTTTCTTGACCGAAGCAGTAGTTGCTTTCTTGCCCTTGGCTTTGCCGCGAGGTGCCAATTCCTCTGCATCTTCGTCGTCCATCCTACCTGCTGCAACAAATCCTGTCCGAACGTTGTCAGGCATGTGGAACTTCTTCGNGGGTGCCTTCGGAGCCTTTCCACGACGTTTCTTTGGCTCAGGAAGCTCAGCTTGTGAGTTTTCCACAGGAATCTCCACAACTCTCTTGTCCACAGCTGGTTGCGTTTCTCTGGGAAGGATACGAGGTGATCTATCATCGTGGAAGGTGAAGTCTTTGCCAGAAGCGATCATTCCCTGCATCTTCTCGTAATTGTCTTTCGCCTTTTCGAAATCAGGAACTTCCTTCTCGTTCATCAGGAGTAGGACGATGTTTCCCCTTCGCTTTCTTCCGGTACGTCCCATACGTTGGAGCATTCTGATAGGTGAGGCAGAAGCGTCATAGCAAACAATGAGATCAACTTCTCCGATATCGAGACCCTCTTCACCAATGGATGTGGCAACTAGAGTGTTGTATTTGCCCTCTTTAAACTGTTTGATGACCTCGAGCTGACGTTTTTGATTCATACCTTCCGAGTTCTTCGAGTCGGCTTGGCCAACGAAAACGTGTGGTCTGATCATAGGCTGGTTTCTGTTCAGAACACGAACGATTTCCTCAGCACTGTCACGGTATGCCGCGAAAATCATGATCTTAGTACTCGAGGGTTGTCCTCCTGGTGCTGCTGCTTTCTCTTCAGCGTCGAGAAAGTGGTTCAAGACCACGGTTCTGAGATGCTCCAACTTTGGATGTCCAAGGAACTCAGGGTTGCGGGTCCAGGTCAGCATCATGTTCATCATCTTGGTGAAGTTTTCGTCATCGCGGATTTGTGCTCCGTATTTGCCCTTGAGTTCGCCTCCATCGACTTTGTTTCTGAACTCGACCATTCCATTGTAGAAAGGAGTGATACCGTGGAACCTGAGCATAGAGATGGAATGACCAAGACTTCCGAGGACTACAAAGATGCTGTTGACCATGCCCTTCACCGCTTGTGGTGCTTTTTTGCCAGCGTCTGTACCGAACCACTTTCTCCGAGCTTCAGTACAACCAAAGGCTGTGAGTTTCATTGGATCTTTGTTCCAGTAGGCGTTTTGACTGGCAAGCTTCAGAAGCACCGGACGAATAGCATTTCCGGCAAGCTCCATGATGATTTGTTGCTCTTCAGAGTAGTCGAACTTGATGACATCGATGTCACGACTGTGGACATACTGTCTAATGTCTAGAGATGTCTCTGTGCGAATCTCGCATCGCGATATGTCAAGACCATCGATGACTTGCTGTACTGCTGGGACATCAGAACCAGGTGTGGCAGTCAAAGCAAGTACTCGAAAGCTTGTATTGAAACGACGAACGAATTTAATAACCTCAACATAAGCGTAGTTACCTGTCGCACGATGCGCTTCATCGACGACAATCAGGACAATTCGCTTTGGGTCGCAAAGGCCTGTCTTGAGATCATTGATGATTGTTTGTGGAGTCATGAAGAAGACTCGTTTCGTCTTCCATTCTTCTGCTCTCAGACCAGGCGAAGTCTCACCCGTGAGCATCACAGTTTGTGAACGAGGAATGCCTACAATATTGAAACAAGCATCAACTTGTTGAGCAACAAGGGGCTTTGTGGGTGCTACGAAGACGATTTGTGCACTGTCCGTCCAGCGGAACCAGTTCAGCATAATCGTGGCAGCAATAAATGTTTTACCGAGACCAGTGGGTAAGGCAACCAGTAAATTGTGGAATAGGCCTCTGCTGACAATATTGAATTGATAGTCGCGGGTGGTTCCCAAATTGGTAGGGTAGACCCAGGTCTGAGTCGCTTCTTCGTTGAGCTTGTGATGGGTTGGTGGTTCTCTTTGTGTTGCCAATGGCCAGGCATGTCTCTTGTTGGCCTGAGTAGCCGGGCCCATCGGCATAACCGTGCCACCGAACAACGTCTTCTGCACCAATCCACCACGCGGAGGAGCCAAGTTTGGCTTGGGTGCTGCTGCTGCCACTGTCACCATTTTCGGTGGTGACGAGGATATGCAGATCGGACCCCCAAGGTTCTTAGCCGGAGTCTGATCATCGGAGTCGAAAGCATCTGATGGCAGGTCTGCAAGTTCATCTGCAAAGTCTACGATCGGTGGAGCTGTTGTCTGTCGTGCTGGAGCCGTCGGTCGTCGTGGAGAACGAGGTTTGGCAGGGCGTGGACTGCGGGTTGGTGATCTGTAAAGTTCATCTGCAGAGTCCTCATCTGCCGGGACTGTCTCACGTGGTGGAGAGATTGGTTTGGCGAATACTGTCTTTGCGAGAGGTGGGCTACGCGTTGGCGATTTGCGAAGCATTGTTTCTCTAGCCTGTGGGGTATCTGCTTCCAGCATGATGAGATCCTCGGTGTCAAAGTCGTCACTACTGGACTCTTCCATGAACGGTTTAGCTTTCGGCGCATTGTTGTTCTGCTGAGGTTGGTCCGCTAACAAGCCCATCAAAAGTTCAGAGTCGATGTCATCACTCATGTCTCCCCAGGCGTCGGAATGTGTGTTGGGCGTTACAGCGAACACATCCTGCGGTCGAGTCTTCTCTACAACAGGATGATGCATCGTGACAGAGTTCATCGCGACATGCTGATTTCGAACTGGCGAAGTCCGGTTTTGAGCATTGACGTTGTTTCTCAGCACCGAATGATTGAGCGTGCTTTTCAGTAGCGAAGGCTGACGAGCTGGAGTTGGCATTACTTGCGGCTGCTTTGGCGCCAGTACATCCTTCTTCCAGATTGGACCTCTGATACTCCAAGGAGCAGAAGATTCCGGTGGTTCCCCGTCTGCGAACCTGTCCACCAAGAGATCTTGCATGGCTGGGACATGAATACGATGCTTCGGCTTTGCCGCTTTCTTGTCGTCCTCATCGTCGACGTCTTCAGAACCAGATCCAGTTGATGCTCGTTTCCGTGAGTTGCGTGGTTGCTTAGTCGCACTTCGTCCTATGGTGTCGTCCGACTCGCCAAGCACACTCTCATCATCCTTGATAGAAGCCTTTTTCGAAACCCGTGACTTACGTTTTGGTTTTGCTGCAGCGACTGGAGGGTCAAACGCGTCATCCTCGTCGTCGATAATGGAATCCTCCTTGGTGGCTTTCTTCTTTGTGTTCGATTTCTTGGTTGCAGCTGCCTTGCGAGTCGTTGATTGCTTCTTTGCCTTGGCTGCCGGTGTTACAGTCGTTCTGCGTCGCTTTGCTGGACGAGGAGATGAATCGAAATCATCATCCTGAACGTCCTTAGAACCTCCTCGCCCGCCAACACCACCATCGTCGTCAGAATCCATGGTCGAGTTGAATTCTCAAGTTTTGACACCCGCCACTTCGATGGTCAAAAGGTACGCGTTCGGGGAAGACGCGTTGAGGCAACCGGCCTCGGCTCGAGCTGCCCGCTGTGTCATATGCACAATTTCACAAATCTCATGAAGAAGGTATGCATTTTTGAGCGGTTACTCAATGTTTCATGGTTCACGATATATGCTGCTACTATCGACCTAGAGAACCAATGATACTACCCACCATAACGGCAGCCTCCCTCTCCCAGTTTCCTACCACCTTCTTTGAACCCATTGAAGACGGCAGTTGACTGCCTCTATGCACGCATTCCTTGACCGCATCCCGGACTTTGTCTTTATTCGTCTTCAAAGTTCGTGCGCTAACACCCCCACGAGCAACGATTTCCTGCACCCTGGGTGCCAGAGAGGAAGCTAGAGAACGCCAGAAGTATGATGGAAGAGAAGAAGTATCTAGAGCTGCGAGAAGAGGACCCAAGAAGCTGGTCGGAGGTTCGAGCGAAACAGATGTAGTGCTGTCTGTGGCAACGGGTAAAAGAGGGTGCACCGGGGGCTTCGCAGTTGATAGCAACGACTCCAATGCCACTATATTTTGGCACCTTGCACTGATGTCAAGCAGTGTTCGATCAAGCGTTGGGAGAGTAGCGAGAGCTCGTGCTAAGGAGGTGACTGATGCTGTAAGTGAGGTCTGCAGATATGACTGCAATGCCGCCACGAGTACAGTTGGGTTGAAAGTGGCTCCTTGCACGGTAGAAGACTTCGGCGGCAAGCTCACTGGAGATAGTAGGTATAGTGTGTGTAGTGCAGCTAGTGTCCTTGCTCTTGTATCGTCGTGCTGTGCAAACACCGAGCCTGCTCCTCCGGACGAGCCAGTGAGAGTCGACATGCTGAACTCGCGCACATTCTGCTGGGATTTTGCCAGCAGACTCCGCTCAGAGGGGTCGAGTAGTTCGGTCCGTAGCGCGGTAATGGCATTTACACGCGCCAACAATCTTGCCTCAGCCACGTCGCCAGGAGACAAGGTCTGTCTGAGTGACAGGACCAATCTAGCTGCGGGTGCAAGAGTTCGGTATCCTTCACGCGGCTTGTCCGTTTCAGCCATGCTGCTCTCTAACGTCCTCCCAATCTGTAGACATCTTGCGACCGCTCTGGCAAGTCGTAGTGTGTTGGCCAACCTGTCCGCTGCGAGACGTACTTGGTCGGCCTGCTCATATCTTTCTACCACATCTTGGTGTAGTCTTGTGTATGCCTGTTGTAATCCCTGGACCTGAGATTCGAGAGTGTCGAGGACGTGGGTGCTGGCTTTCGCGCGGGTCGATGTATGCTTCAGTAGAGGTAATGCTGACGAGGTGGTGAGGGAATCAATGTGCGTATCGACTTCTTGTACATCAAACAAGACACGCGATAGTGGTGTAGAGAGGTCGAGGGAGGTGTCGTTGGCATCGTTGGTGGAAAGAACAAGCGTGTTGGCGAAGGAGGGTGCATGAAAGTCTGGCGATGCGAACGCCTCGTAGTCGATGTATGACGCTTCTGCATCTGTGGCCGCCATGCTAATATGCTGTATTCAGTCTATATCCTGCATGTGTTGTTTTCCAAATGGGCCTCCCGATGATCGTGTCAGTGAGATGACGCAGAGGAGACTCGGGGAAGCTGCGACCGAGCGGTATACATTTCCAAACACGAAGATTGCCAAGAACCAATCCACGACTCACGAGCAATGTCTGTAGGGATGAACAAAGTATCATGTCTGCTAACTACTTCTGCTTATTCATGATAATCTCGTTGACTGTATACACAAGTCTTAGGAATAACAGACGCCTCCTGACAATGTCGCAATACCACCCTGATGGAACAATGACCCTATCCTATGCTTCGTCGGTACCTTTCCTAACGACCCTCAATCTTAGTTCTTGCCGGTACCAGTGATTCTGGTACCCTTCTTCTCAACAGTTTGCTTCAACGCAGCAAGGACTCTCTTGCGCTGTGAGGCTCTGTCCTGGTATCTTCTGACCTCCTCAATGCTCACGTCTGCCATCTTTCTGCGAGGTGTGCCGTCCAGCATGATGCTGCTACGTCCAAACTCAGCGTCACCATTGTCACGGCGCAACGAGCCGCCGAATCTACCGAGCATGCCCGAGATACCGAGAGGACCGGCGCCGTTGGCTGCGGAATTCTTGCCGCGTGTCGCAGGTGGCGTGCCAAACAGATTACCACTCGTCGAGCGCTCCAAGGGACGGACGGTACGGACACTGCTACGAAGAAGGTCTTCACTGCTGTCAGAGATGTTGAGGTTGGCGAGTCCACCAGGCAAGCGGCGGATCTGTGCTTCCAGAACGTCAACATCGCCGGACTTCTGCTCAATCATGGCAGTCATCTTCATGATTGTGTTGGTGACAGCCTCGACAGTGGGAACGCGCTGAGTTGCAGGTCCTTGGGAAGGAGCGGCGGCCAGGTCGGCGCGAAGAACGCTCAAGGCCTCTTCGGCATCTTGTAGTAACTTCTGCACCTTGGCCACACCTTCCCTGAGCTCGTTCTGCTGGATCTGAGCGTCGTTGGTGAGCGGCGAAGCACGGTGTGTTGCACGTTGTTGAGGATCAGCACGAGCCCTGATTTGCTTTCCCATATCGCCCGTCCTGCTGCGTAGTTTGGTAGCATTCTTTTGCAGCTCGGCGAGTTCTTCGAGTTTTTGAGCAACACCGTTGACTTTTCCGGCTTCGAGGTCGCTACCAATCTCTTTCTGAACAACACCGAGCTCGTTAATCTCAACGAGGCACCATTCTTCGGAATCTTCGAGATCGCTGCGCTCACGACCGGCTTGCTTGTATTGAGTCTCGTGGCCCTTGACGAACGATTCGAGTGAGCGTGCGTTCAAACCAAGTGTGTCGATCATGCTATTGATGTCACGATAGACCTTTTCGATCTGACCGGCAATACCAAGCTTGTTGACACGACCGACGTAATCTTGATGGGCGACGAATGGCTCAAGATCCATGGATGGCTCAATCTCAGATGCGAGTAGCTCACGAACGCGAACGTCCTCCTCGTCACTGAGCTCTCCAGCCTCGGGAACTCGTGGTGATTCAGGTCTAGGTTTAGAAGACGATCTAGAGCTCTTCAACGGTCCCTTCAGCGAAGGCACAGTGATTGGTTGTGAGTGTTGTCGTGATGCTGAAAGGCCTGCTGGGGTGCTTGATGGTTGTCTGATGGGTGAGGGCGAGCGTGGTGAGTCTTGTGACTTTGACGGTGGTGCAAAGAAAGGACCCTTGGGCAAGCCAGCGGGGGTGGTGGAGGGCACCGGAGAGGTTGGTCTTAGCAACTTGCCGGCATCGCCTGTTGAGTGGGAAAGAGAAGGGAAGCTAAGACGGGAACCAAAGGGAGTCTTCGAGGCCTTCTCGATGTCGAATGTGTTCTCTGGCTCTTCGGCTTCACTCTCATCATCGTCTTCCTCGTCCTCTTCGTCGTACTCTTCTTCGTCTCCTGATTCACCTTCTTCTTCATCTCCCCAGATTCTTCACCATCGTCTTGGACCCAAGATCCATCTTCTTCNTTCATCGTCTTCTTCATCGTCACTTGCCGGTAGCTGGCCACCATCACCGCCAAGGTCGACAGGAGGACTGCCTGCAATGGGAGGAACATCTTCTTCCACAGACTGCTTGGGCTTCGAAGATGTGAAATCAGGAGGCAGAGGAGCCTCTTCAGCCTCAACAGCGGGCTCTTTCTGAGATGAAATGTCACCCAACTTTGGCGCTTCGGTGCCAGGCTCTTTCTTAATGGGTGTGGGTGCTTTTATCTGCTTGCTCGCTTCACCAAGCATATTACTGAAGCTGGCCCCGAACAAAGATCCTCCACCCTGCTTGGGAGCAGGCAAGTCGTCTTTTGCACTTCCATCTCCTTGGAAAGTCGAACCAAGTTTGAATCCACCCAATGTAGGCAGTTTAGAAGGCTTGTCTGGCGAAGAGTCCCTGCTGAGCGGCGAAGTGGGTTTTCCAGATGGCTTACCAAACTGGAACCCAGTCTGCTTGGCAGGCTGCCCAAAGACCGAAGGAGATTTTGAACTGTCAGTGGACTGTCCGAACAGGTTTGTGGTTTTGGGCTTGTCTGGCGTCTGTCCAAATAATGATGAGGTTTTTGGCTTGTCAGACGTCTGTCCGAATACAGATGACTGCGGCTTCTCGGATGGCTTTTCGGACTGTTGTCCAAGTGTGGTGGCCGAGGTCTTAGGAGCCTCGACGGCGTTGGTTGAAGGGGTCTCCTTGGCAGGCTCCTCCTGAGGTTTCTCTTCGGTTTCATCATCCATAGTCTCCTCCTTGGTGTCCTCTGCGGCCTTCTCGGGGGTCGCAGCAGCTGTACTTGGCTTGCCAAAGCCGAAGGAAAGTGGCGAGGGTTTGCTGGGTGCAGTAGCAAATGCTGCAAATGGGGAGGAGTTGGCAGGCTTGTTTTGATCTTTGTTACCAAAGGCAGCGAAAGGAGACACAGACGGCTTGTTTTCGTCTTTGGCCGGTGTGGTGAACTTTGCGAAGCCAGATGCACCAGATTCTGAAGGCTTGCCGAAAGCAGATTGCGAATCAGTAGAGGAGGTTGCCCAAACTGGTGCTTTGTTTCCCAGTCCGCTAGATGATCCAAAGGTTGCGTTACCGCTGGCACCGCCCAAAGCAGAACCAAAGACCTGACCCTTTGGTGGGGTCGCAATGGTGGACTGAGTAGCAGGTTGACCCCACGGTGAAGCTTTGCTTCCGAGAGCACTGGCAGCCCCCATACCGGGCACACCGGGTGCGCCAAATGCAGGCTGGGAGGGTTGTCCGAAGGCTGGTGTAGATGGTTTACCAAAGGCAGGTGCAGATGGTTTTCCGAAAGCTGGTGTGGTTGCTTGTCCAAAAGCAGGCGTAGATGCTTGTCCAAAAGCGGGCGTAGATGCTTGTCCGAAGGCTGGAGTAGACGCTTGCCCAAACGCGGGTTTCGCTGCTTGTCCGAAAGCAGGTTTGCCAAATGCTGCAAAACCTGTAACAGCAGGCGTGGCAGGGGTAGCAGGAGTAGGGGGTGCAGGCTGTGACTGTGTAGAGGCCGCTGATGCAAGGCCAGGGTAAGAAAGTTCTTGAACAACAGCCTCCTTGTATACAATCCACCAAGTACAAAGGAATCCCTCGTTGTTCAAGACCATGAGTGCTGGCAGAGGGCCTGTTGACTCAAGATCGTCTCCTGGTATGGGCTGCATAACTCTTTCGGTCGAAGAGAGGTCGAGGTCCATTCCCACGGCAGACGTGTCTGACATTTCATCCATGGTGCTCATAGGAAAGGTTGCACGAGCTGAATCGCGTTCCATGCTGGTAACAGTGTAGGTATTGACAGGCGCGCCACTTGCCAGAGGTTGTGAAGAATTGGTGATGATACCCACTTCGCTTCCAACAGAGGAACATAGCATCAGCATGTCCTCCAAGCTTGGGGGAAATTTTCTCAGTCTGGACACAAGGAAGTGCGAGGGCTTGTTCTCGTAGCCCGGTATACACGGATCTCCGGCAAGGGCTTGTGAAGTGAAGGCGCCGGATGCCTTTTCTCGATGCAACAGGTGGTAGGATGATTCTTTCGGTTCGTCTTCAGAGTCGGGGGTATGAACGACCAAGAAGTCATCGTTCGCGATCCAGACTATGGCCGTCAAAGGCGTAGATTGACCGAGCTGGGGTGGTGTCGGAAGCTGAGCCTTGACGTTGCCTTGGGGGTCGAACTGCTGAGCATTTCCATCTTCCAAACCAGCGATAAGTTGCTTGCCCTTGACACTCCAAGAAACACACTTGACACCCTCGCGGAATACGTTGCCAAATGAGCGTTGCTTGAAGTCGGCGATCATCAGTTTGCCATCAGTCAGGACGACAGCAAAGAGGTGGGCGTTGTCAGGGCTTGGGTTTGGTACAAGTGCGCGGACTGGTATGCCGTTGGTCGCTAATTGAAAGGCCGAATCCTTATTTCCCTGAAGCATTGATTGGACATCATATACAGCCAAACCTCCTCCTTCTTGTGCAGCGATGACCAGTGAGCTCTCATCGGCTGAAAAGGCGACATGCGAAACTTGTGGAACTGAGAGGGATAGCTGGGNGGTGACATCCTTGGTCTTCGTCTCGGCGCTGGCTTCCCAGTATGTCTTTCGCACAGTGTCAGACGACACTAGTATGACGGATTCGGAGGTTCCTGCGGCGATGAGTCCTTTCGTGATTGCAATGGACAAGAGAGAAGCCCAGGCAGGAGGTTGTTTGTCTGCTGGCCAGGCCTGCGACAGGCGAACTTNTGACTCTCCTCCAATCGTCTTGAAACCGATAGATTCCTGGAAAGTTTCTGGAGCCTCTTCCAAGGCGTTGACCTGAGGGCCTGCGTTTTCGAATCCCCAAGACATGATGGGTGATGTGTCGGAGCGAGCTCTAGCCTGTGTGGGAATGCGCGCGCGCGATGCGCATAGGGTTCTGGTGTGTATGAGATCCTTCGATTATGATGCTGACTGAAGTGAGAACTGGATACTGAAGCTAGAGGAAGCTGAATAACAGCGTTACAACGCTTGTGCGAGAGGGTGTGTTGAAGTGACAAACAAAAGTTATTTGACCATCACTTGAGCTTTGCTGCGTGCTTGCCTGTCGCGCATCCAACTCGCGCTAGCGATTCACTCGTGTCTTGGCGTAACTGGTATATGAGTCATGTCGCTTCGTCAATACTTGCCGCAACAAGTCACACCACGAATATCCGACAGTTCAGTCGTAATTGAATATGATCTTTGTTGGCTTCTCTATCCGTCTGGTATCTTCTGATCTGACTAACATGTCCCCCTTTTTGACTTGCTATGGTATGTGCCTGAGAACGCCTTTCGCCCATCTCCCATGTCTCATTATTTGCATCGCTTCTCGATAATGCTAGAACCGTGCTCTTCATACTCCTTCTTGGATATCCACATCTATGTCGGTCAGTATCTTTTCAGGCAGTATGAACTGAGAAAAGGCTTACCTGGTGGAAAGTACCCAAACTTGCGAGAATGCTACCTCCAACCCATGATCCGTACTTCCTGTCAGTCACAATGTTGCTAGCATGAACTCTCACGCGAGGGTTGGGGTATAGTGCCGAGAGCTCGCCGTGGAGACGTTCTGCGAGCTTATCGAGCAGACTGCCACCTCCAGTGAGGACAATGTTGTTCAGCAGCGTTGGTCTGATTTCGACATCCACAGCAGACAGAGCAGCCTGGACCATTGATGTGATGGTGTGCTTTTGGTCAGGCGTGGGGTGGCTGTCATCGGTGAGTGCTGCCTTGGCGTCGAACAATCCTTCGGCGACTCGGAAGCGTTCGATGCCAAAGACCTGATTCCAGCCGTCTGGCATTTCAAATGGTCGCGGAGGCAAGCCCTTGACGGTATCGACGTTGACGTGATTGCCCATGCCATCCGTCAAATCGAGTTTACCAGGACCTTGCCATACTTGCACCATGCTCTCCTTGAAAGACGTGAAGATACGCTCTTCTTCGTTCTTCCTGAAAGAGTCTGTCGGTGGAATGTCGAACTTGATGTATGAGGCGTTGGGAGCTTGACCAGCATCGACAGGTGACTTGGATTTGACCATGTAGTGAGGCGTTAGGGAGACCACGGGATCCATCTTGGAGAATTGCATGCGCAGTTGCTCTGAAACAAAGTTGCCGCCCAGTGATGACTTTTGAATACCTGTAGAGGAGTTAGCTACTATTGGAAAGACGTTCGACACGGATTGAGAGGGGAAGGTTTGCGATAGCCAGGGTAATGCCTCGTCACAGGCGTTCTCGTCCAAGTCCAACTTGTGGCTACGTTGACCGTCGTGAGATGATTGAAAGGTTTCGCCATGAAAAACAACAGGGATACACGGCGCGTAGAAGGAGGACATGGAAACCTACCTTTCTTTAGGACAAAGCCATCATGCACGGGTGTGACCGAGGTCGTGCTAGCTCCGATGTCGATGACAAGAGCGTTAGGCTTGCCCGAAGCGAAACTACAACACAGTCAGCAATGCGTACTCTGTCTCTCTGGGAGAAATGAACGTACGCTGCCAGAACACCAGTCTTGCCTAGCCAGAAGGCAGGAGCACCCCAGTCTTCGAGGGCAATCTCCATGCACTTTGCGCGATGTTTTGCAGGATTCCAAGCAGGCTCTGACATGAGCAGTGGGTGTTCGCTCATTGGTTTCTCTTGCTCCTCGATACCCTCCATAGCGATATCACCGTCGCCATCTCCAGCTTCCTCTCCTTCCTTCTTGTCGTCGTTGAGGCCGTTCTTGGCAGCGGATGTTGGTCGGGCACCAGTCAAGCGTGAGGTGATGCTGTATTCCCACAGCCTTGCAGCAGCATCCCAGTCCTCGACGATGCCGTCTGAGTCGTAGGGACTACGGATTTCCATGTGCGATTGAGGGTTGTGGATGGCATTTTCGCCAAAGAGGTAACGCGATTTCGAGTCGGCATCGGCGCCAGCAATGGAACCATAGACGGAGGGGATTACAGACTTGGGCGTGTCTTCTCCAGCAAAGCCAGCACGAGTGGTGAAGGAACCGGGGTCGAGGACCAGAGCATTGATCTCATCTGCGGCGCGTCAATGGGTGTCCGAGAGTCGCCGTATTGCGGAAAGAGGCATCCTACCTCCGGCATACTCCTGCGGTGCAGGCGCGTTGTAGGAGTTCATCTTTGTGAGATTCGATTGTGTAGAATGCGACGGACGAGAGTTGCGACAATTGAAGCTCTCTGGGAACACGCGCCCCGCCAAGCCTTTGGCATGTGTCGCCGCGTCCAAGGGTCTCGACCACATATACCACCCCTAATCCTTGACTTTCCTCAATATCAACTCGGATCTCACAGATCAAGTGCTTTTCAAAGACACGAAGCCACGATTCGACTATAACTACTCCCACCTGTCTTCATGGGTTTTAGCTCAACATGTCGTGGCTCTCCTTCATAAAGAAGCTATACTCTCTCGACACTCTGGACACCCGTTTCACCACATCGACAAGAACTCCCCACAAACTCACATCCGAAGACTCAATAGCAGACTCGAAACTCCCTGCACAACAAGTGGTACAACCAGGAAAGGATCAATCTTCGTTAGGAGCTCAGCCGTCAAAATGGAATACTCCAGAATTCTACTTTTACTATCTCTGCTTCCTTACCATTCCTGTCTTCATGGTGAAGGCTGTGTATGATGTTTCTCAAGGTAAGATCTTCTTTCTCAGAACAACACTTCAGTCCATTAACGTCTTTGACNNAGAATCTCATCCCAATTACTCTCGTTACTCCCATCTTCTGTCAGACGGCTGGATCCCTGGCCGCAAAGTCGTATGTGGTTATAATAACTTCAATATAGTTCTCGAGTCTAACATGTGTCAANNGGACAACTCGGACTCTCAGTATGCTGGATTCCGCGACAACATTCCTTACATGACACTGCTTCTAATTTTGCATCCACTACTCCGCAAGGCCTACAACTCTTTCTGGCGCATTGACTCATATACCAAGTCTGTTCCCTCGAACAGCAGAAACCCTGGATTGACACAGGGCTTGAGCCCTTCAGCTGCTGCAGATGCTAGAATGGAGCACAGGATATCTTTCGATGTCATGTTTGCTGTCATTTTCATATTTGCACTGCATGGATTCTCAGCGTTGAAAGTCCTTTTTATCCTGTACGCCAACTACAAATTGGCCACTCAGCTTCCTAAAGCATACGTGCCTGCTGCTACATGGACCTTCAACGTCGGCATCTTGTTTGCAAACGAATTGTGTCATGGCTACCCCCTGGCTGAGGTAGCCGCCTTTGTTCTNCCTTCTCAAACCAGTGCTTCTGAGAGAGGCAACCAAACTCCTGGATGGGCTGGTTGGGTTGATAGCTATGGCGGCATTTTACCACGCTGGGAGATCCTTTTCAACATTACTGTGCTTCGCCTGATCAGTTTCAACCTTGATTATTATTGGAGCTTGGGTGCCCCTGCTTCCATCGAGGTATGTTACACGATGATCGGCCCTTCTATATTCACTATGTAAGCTCGAGCTGACCGCCTGAAGAAGAAACAGCTTGATCCCTCGAATCTATCAGAGCGTGACAGAGTTTCTGTACCTGCTAAGCCAGCAGACTTTAGCTTCCGCAACTATCTTGCTTACGCTCTGTACTCACCGCTGTACCTTGCAGGACCTATACTGACATTCAACGATTACATCTCGCAGTCACGCTACCCGCTTGCGTCAATCAGTACCAAGCGCACCTTGATGTACGGTGTTCGCTTCCTTATCTGCGTCCTCACCATGGAGTTCTGCCTTCATTTCCTCTATGCTGTGGCCATCAGCAAAGCCCAGCCAGCTTGGGAGGTCTATACACCGATGCAACTGAGTATGCTCGGTTACTTCAACCTTCATATCATCTGGCTGAAGTTGTTGATTCCCTGGCGTTTCTTTCGATTGTGGTCACTCGTGGATGGTATTGACCCACCTGAGAACATGGTTCGTTGCATGAGTGACAACTACTCAGCGCTGGCCTTCTGGCGAGGTTGGCACAGGAGTTTCAACCGCTGGATTGTCAGATATATCTATATCCCCATTGGTGGCAGTGGACAAGGCAAAGTGCGTGCCATCGGCAACTTCCTCGCTGTCTTTACGTTTGTCGCACTCTGGCACGATATCAACCTCAAGCTACTTATCTGGGGCTGGCTCATTACGCTATTTGTTCTGCCTGAGGTCATCTGCACACTTCTGTTCCCAGCCAAGAAGTGGAAGGATAGCCCGGACGTCTACCGCTGGATCTGTGGTGTTGGTGCCACTGGAAACATTCTGATGATGATGGCAGCCAACCTTGTCGGATTCGCTATCGGTGTGGATGGCTTGAAGGCCATGGTTGGCAATATCGTGGGTAGTCTTGGTGGGTGGGCGTTCTTGCTCGGTGCTTGTGGCACGCTGTTTGTTGGCGCTCAAGTCATGTTCGAGGTCCGCGAGAGCGAGAAGAGAAAAGGCATCAACATGAAATGTTAGGCCAGCTTCATCACTCAGACATGCATAACCAAAGAAATATTTAGAATCATATCTAGACACTTGCCTCTCACTCTGTGTTGATTTGGACTGAGCAGATTATATTAGGTGGCTACAACAAAATTGAAGCTTCGAGAACGAGAAGAAGTGGGCCATGTGCAACAATGACTCATCCCAGGCGTTCATTCAAACGATTTTTCTCTGATATTGCGGTGTCTCGTTTCAGAAGTAGGATCTTGACTCGAAAGTCAAATATGACTTCATCGAAGGATGCCGCGGGCTGGCGGTGTCTCTACTCAAGACATGGTATAACACTCAACCCGCAGTCTTTACTGTCGCTTTACTCTCTCTAAATGTCAATCTCTCCATTGCTCCTTATTCTCACAACTCCAGTTTCCTCGACTACCCCTCTTTCTGGTCAAACTGGAAAACCCATCTACTTTGCAAATCGCTCTGTCCCATCATGCAGGCTTCAGCAACATTGGTGCACAATCTCAAAGCTCACACCGATGAAGTTGCACGACTATCATTCTCCCCAGACGGAAAAACACTAGCAGCTAACGATGACTCAACAATCATACTCTGGGATATCGATACAGGATCTCTTCGCAGCAAATCCGAGCCTGTAGACGATATGTTTTTCGGCATGGCTTTCTCGCCAGACAGCAAATGGATAGCGACAGCATCTGATGAAGGACATGGTCGGATTTGGAACGTCGAGACGGGAGACTTGGTGCATACCGTCAGTGTTGAGGATGAACGAATGCTGTCAGTGGTGTTTGATAAGGATAGCAAGGTTCTCGCTACTGGCTCTGAGGTCTTGAGGATCTGGGATGTAGGTACTGGAGAACTGCTACATACGCTGTTGGCCCCTGGCGATCATTCATTGTCGTTCACAGCAATGTATGAGAGAAATGAATACCCAGGGGAAATCATCACAGTCGATTTCTCTCCGGACAGCAAGTGGTTGGTATCTGGCTGTCCAAACGCCTCCACGGTGTGTATCTGGAACACGCAAACATGGAAGCTGGAACGCACGATCCGAGGATACTATGCATTCTTCTCGCCCGATGGTCAGCATCTAGCAGTCCCGATCGATGAGCACCAGATCATCCAGATATACGAGACACTTACCTGGCAACTGCAAAGCACTCTCAAGGCCGAAGAGGAAGAACTCTTCTCAAGCTCATTCTCGCCTGATAGCAGATCCATTGCTACATGGTCAGATCGTCAAATAAAGCTATGGTGTGTCAAGACCGGCGAAGTCATCAGAACAATTGAAGATCGCCGAGAAGGATCAGTCGGAGATCCTCAAGAAGAGGCCTCCGCACTTGTCTTCTCACCTGATGGAAGAATCTTGATTTCAGGCGCGGAGAAGTGTGAGTTCAGGGTTTGGGATGTCGCAGATGAGAATTGTTTGTTGATGCTTAAACATGAAGACGGAGCCAGAGATCCTTGGAGTGGTTGGGTCAGATGGGGTTCTCCAACATTCGAAGTTTTGTTTGGTGATGATGGAGCCAAAGTCGCAATCGCATTCCCTGATGGCAGCATAAGGCTTTGGGATGTGAGGTGGGAGCCAACATGAGCGTTTCTGCTGGCGTTCTATCATTCCCAGATCTCCACCATACATAGATATAGAATGATCTTACATTCGAATCTTGTAATCTGCATAGCGCCAATTGTATCTTCTAGCCTTTGTGCTCTCTTCATTATGGATCACGCCTTGCAGGCAGCAATTCGTGTCGGTACAACGACACATCTCTGACCTTTATCTCCGCCAACTGCTCATTAACATCCCCAATGTCCCATTTATGTTTATTAGTCTCCTCCTCCTCCCACTCCTCCATCTCGTCCTCTGGCATATCTTCCGGCATACTCGCCCCCGACCCATTCACACACCAAACAGTCTGTCCTCTCTTCACCTTGACCCCCAAGTCTGCAGCTTGCAACCCTGGCTCTACAACACCCATAAACGTTACAAGGGCCTCCCAAAGATGCCCATAGCAATCATACATATGATACATTTTCAGCGCTCTGACCTCTGGAATTTGCGTCCCATNGGGTACGGGTAAGTCTGGAAAAAGCAATCGGATTTGGACCAGGTAGACAATGTCTTTGGCATCTTTGCTTTTGTTGTTCCATTGGTGCCTGTGAATGCTCATGACTAGGTCTTTTGGGTTTGTGATGGGTGCTGTGGTTATTGGGACTGGAGCTGGTCTAATTGGTGCTGGTTCGGGTTCAGGTTCGTCTTCTTCATCTTCATCGTCTTGGTCAAATTCATCCTCTGGAGCTTGGTTTTCTTGATCGATTTCTTCTTCTTCTTCTTCTTCTTCTTCTTCTTCTTCTTCTTCTTCTTCTTCTTCTTCTTCTTCTTCTTCTTCTTCTTCTTCGTCGGAAGATACATGTGTTGTGGCTCCGGTCAAATAGTCCTCGAATGAAGTGTCCACTGCAGGTCCTCCCAAGCTGAAGCGTTGACGTTTGGGTTTCCTTTCTGCCATTGTTTCTGATAGCAAGATAGAGGCGGAAGATCTTCTGGCAGCTTCGCGTTCACGTCTGCGTTTGCGTATTAGTAAGAGCAATATGAGAGCTGTTGAAATCATGAATCAGGGAGTGTAGAGACGCGTATGGGTATCCGAGGTTCGAAGGATTTAAGATATAACGCGTCATGGAGAACTTCGACCTTCTTAAATGGGTCGTCCATTGAGTATAGCTCGACACGGGTCACAGGATACAGAGATGATCAATTCTGGTGTTCAAAGAGAAAGCATGAACCTAATATGCATGATCGAATTTTACAGCTCGGCTTGTTGCAGAAAGAGGCGAAAGGCCTTGGCTCGATCGTCTAGATATTATCCTTCTTTGCTATTCCTACAAGTTCTATTTTACATGTTTTCATGATATGGCTATCAAACGTTAGAACCATTGACAGTGCCCTTAGACTTCTGCGTCGCGCTAGCAGCAGGACGATCCAACATCTCCCTCGCCCTCATCTCAAAGGCCTCAATCATCTTCTCTGCAACCTTGGGCGCGGCGGCAGCGCTCAATGTTGTGTAAAGCGGGTTCGCAAACTGATAGTCGATGACCAGATTGACCTCGGTCTGCATCCTTGCAGGGATATCTGGAGTGACTTCTTGAGGTCTTTCATTGCCCATGGGACCAGGCTTGTATGGGAAGGGACTCAATTGCCAGCGTGAGCGGAGATGTGTGAGGATTGTAGCGTTGCGCGCGGGATCTTGATCGGCAGAGGGACGAGTATTGTGATGTTCTATGCTTGCTGCTGGGAGGTTGGTGTTGGTCTCTCCGCTGACGGACTCGACGATGAAGTTTTGTGGTGCGCAGTAGACGCGACTGTAGAAGGATTCACGCATGACATCCTTGTAGCCAACAACCAATTCCGCTTCTTCAGGCCATGTCTTTCCCTCAGGATCGGCAGAGGATTGCTTGGTGACGTTTGAAGAGATGCAGAAGGGGAGAAACTTGTGGTAGCTTTGGATGTCGGCGACGATTGCGTAAAGGGTTTTTGCATCGTAGGGCAGGATTTTGGATGCGGTCAACGTCTGGAGGGATTGGGTTGCGAAGGGATTCGGGAAGAAGGAGCGAGTCTGTGTGGACGAGGCGGTGCGGGACGCGATTGCTGCTCGTGAGCACGTCGTGGCCGAGACTTGGGATGCCAGAGCAGAAGTAGCACGAATTGACTTCATTTTGGGTGGTGCCTGAGTCAATTGGTCGGGGAACAGTAGTGAGATATGCTAGGGAGCACTATGAGAGGACGACAGTTCTTGTATGCTTGTCGAGAGTGCCGTAAGGCTGACAGTTGACTTGAGTTCGAGATCAAGTGTCTGGCTGGATGACGCGCTGACAGGTTGCGGAGAATCGAACAAAGATCGAGACCGTCGGCCTGTACCTGGCTGCGGGCCGACCCGCGGAAGGCGGTGACTTTCTGCCAGACCCCTCGCGGTCCATGGACTTTGAACTTTTTCCACTCCCTTGATCATGTTCAGATGGTGCTGAGATACTCGTCATATGCAACAAGTCTTTTCCGCCAAGCCACCAGATATCACACGCTGAATAGCAGTAGACTTCTGAGTTCCATCAGCGCCGGACAGTATCGAGTCATGGCCGAAATCCAGAACACTCAGCCTGAGGGCGTAGACAAAAGAAGACTCCCAAGCAGCAGCTCTCCAAGGGCATGGAGCACATGCGCGAATGGGTCACAGTCCCCGACGCTCCCTCAACCCCTCAGACCGACTCGGCCGCCGACGCCGAAGAAGAAGCAGCATACGGTGTACCCGCCTCGATCCAACCTATTCGCAAGCCTCAGACCGATTCTGCCAACAACGACCAGAAGCGCGTCGACCCTTTCCAGTTCGGCACCCGCTATTTGGAGGAAGGCGACAACATCTTTGCTCATAACGCATGGGACCACGTCGAGACTGACGACACATATAAAGAGTTCATCAAGACCCAGGAAGAGTTCCAAAGGTCCGCTCCTGTCACCGACTTTGACAAGAAGCGCTTCAACCAGCAGCCCGAGAAGTGGTGGGACAAGTTCTACAGCAACAACCGCGCAAACTTCTTCAAGGACAGAAAATGGCTGGCCCAAGAGTTCCCTGTCTTGGGAGAGATCACCAAGGAAGATCACGGTGCTGCGACAATGTTGGAAGTTGGTGCTGGTGCAGGAAACACAGCATATCCTGTCCTGAATCTGAACAAGAACCCTCTGTTGAAGATCCACGCTTGCGACTACTCCAAGAAGGCCATTGAGATTATTCGTACACAAGAAGCATACCAGAACCAGACCACTCTGCGGGCAGATGTCTGGGATGCCGCAGGAACCGGTGAAAGCGCCCTACCTNNCCCTGGTCTGGAAGCTGGCAGTGTCGATGTGGTTGTCATGATCTTCATCTTCTCGGCTCTGTCACCTAGACAATGGGCACAAGCTGTGAAGAACGTCTGGAACGTCCTTAAGCCTGGTGGTCTGGTTCTGTTCCGTGATTATGGCCGTGGTGACTTGGCCCAGGTCCGATTCAAGAAGGGTCGCTATCTCGAAGAAAACTTCTACATCCGTGGTGACGGTACTCGTGTATACTTCTTCGAAAGGGACGAACTCGCAGACATCTGGTCCGGCAAGCTTCCAGCAAACAGCTTCCAGGTTGATGCCTCGGAACACACAGGAGATGAAGACGAGCTTGCTGGGAAGTTGCAGAATACCGAGATCTCAGAGGAGAACAAGATGCCTGCATTTGAGATCACGAACCTGGGTGTTGACAACAGAATGCTTGTCAACAGACAGAGANNAAAGCTGAAAATGTATCGTTGCTGGATGCAAGGTCGCTTCCAGAAGCCTGCAAACTGATTGCAGTATATTAAGTTCAACACGCCTCATTGACAACAAGAACGACTTCGACTCATCAAGGGTGCTCGATGATGCGCCACGCCCATTTTTGGGCTAAACAGAAGCCAACTAGCCACTCCTGCGCCATCGCGCTGCTTAAAGACGACGAGTTCCCAGGACGCAAAATTTCGCTCCAGCGATTCGACAGGCTCATAAGCGTGCTATCGTTCGTATCTCGCAGATATAAGGGAAGTCGCGGAGGAGATGGCTTGATGATCAGGGCGCTTGCTCTAGCCGAGTCTCATATGATACGTTTGCCTCAGAGATCGGACAAAGAAAGACCAGTAATCGTCAAGTGTTAAATATATCGTGCTCAATATGATGCCTTCTTTCTTCTCTTTGCTTTCTTGACAATGTTGTGTTTCGTCTCGACCAGTTTTTGTTCGTCCTCTTCAGCTTCTCTCTTGATGCCTTTGATCAGAGTGTTGTCCTCTTCGACGATGGTCTCTTCGACAGGTACGCCATCTTCGGTTTTGATCTCTGTCACCTCCTCCTTGACTTCTGTCTTGGCCACAAGCCTCTCAGAGAATGCCTTGAGGTCAGCGGTGAAGAGAACTGAATGTGCCCAACCAGCCTCTTGACCCCAGAGGCTACGGAACTTGTTCGCAACAGCATCGTAAGTAGCCTTAGTCAGACTCGAGTGCTTGCCTTTACCGAATTTGTAGTCGCGGACAGCAATTTGCCAGANCTAAAATTTTGTTAGCTGAAACTCGAATGCAAACCGAATGAAAATGTACTTACCATGTGTATCGACTGGGACAGCCTCTCCCCAGCCCAGACCCATGAGGCAAACACAGTCGGCGACCTTTGGCCCCACACCCTGGAGTGCAAGCAGTTCTTCATGTGCTGTCCGGTAACCTTCCCTTCCCTCGTTTACCCACTCACCAGCTGGTGCTGGCTTCACGCCCAGGACAGGACTCTCAGGGTTTCGTAAAGCGTCTAGCCATCCATCTTCTTTCTCCGCAACCATACACGCCGTCTTGTACAAGTACTTTGCTCTGTAACCAAAACCTAACTCTCTCAACTTTTGCTCCACACCTGGTTTTGCCAATGATGATGGAGTGGGAAAGTCATAGTAGTCTTTGTTGTCAAATTGGCCAATCAAAGGACCATAGTTTGTACAGAGCTTCTCAACCATTTGCGATATGCGAGCGATGTTGTTGTTTGAGCTGCAGATAAAGCCCACAAGAGCTTCCCATGCATCTTGCTTCAAGATGCGGATTCCGGTAAACTTGGGAGCTTTGCGACCGAAGTTTGCATCGGCAGAAGACCACTCGCTATATAGCTGGGTTAGGTTTGGACCAAGATTGAGGTAATGTCTGATGAGTGGTAGAGTATCATCGTCGGATTGAGCTTTCAAAGTTGGTGATTGTTTTGCAGGAATGATAGAGCGGTAATAGAGATATTCAGGGTCCTGGTGTAATGCTAAGATGCGGCCGTGAAGGGCCATTGACCAGACACCTTCATCTGATTTGCGCCATCTGAAGCATTGCCCACAGCGGAGCGTCGTGTTGATGCAGAGTTCGCCGAGTCCAATGGGGAGCTTCTGCCATTCCTGGAGGTTCAACATGATTCTGATGTGAATGAACGAGTTTTGGACTTTGGTCACGACCTTGACGCGGTAGACATGGCTGGATTGATAACCAATCAGGTTTCCCCTTCGGGCATGGCGTCTTGGCTTCGGCGTAGACGCTCTGGCTCTCTGGCAGCGCGCAAGCAAGCTCAAAGGACCCATCGAGCACACATATTCATCGCTTGCAACAACAAGTCCTCCAGAACCATTCATTGGATTGTCATCGCCAACCTTGTGCTACACAGTCCGCCAAAATGAACGGTGATTCATATTCCAGCCGCGGTAATACGCTTGCTTTGCTCTCGCCGACAACTTTCTAACTTTTCATGCTCAGATCGTCCCAGTGGCAGACACGCGTCTTCGCGCGACCACTATGTATGTTTGTTCATGTATNAAATTCCGGCAAGATACTAACAAAGCCCAGTCATCCAGAGACGACCGCCGCGACCGTGACCGTGGCGGAGACAGAGAGCGCGAGAGAGAAAGACCACGCAGACGTTCGCGCTCACCCGGACACCGCCCGCGCAGAGACGAATTCCAGGGAGACACATACTCGTCGAGCCGCGACTACAGGGAGCGCGAAAGAGAAGACAGATACGCTGGAAGAGATAGACGTGGAGGTGGCCGCGAATGGGACAGAGGAGACCGTGGCGCCGAGCGACGGGGAGACCGCCGTGACGACCCACGTGGAGGTGCCAGAGAGCGCGGCGACCGCGGCGGTGATCTGTTCGACGACCGCAGAGGAGGTGGTAGAGGAGGCCGCGACCGCGATGGTGGACGTGCCCCNCAGCAATCCATCGACCAGAAGCGCAGCCCTAGCCCTCCGAGAAAGCCCAAGGAGCCTACCCCCGATTTGACCGACGTCGTGCCCATTCTCGAGCGCAAGCGTCGTCTTACACAATGGGATATCAAGCCNCCTGGCTACGAAAATGTCACAGCTGAGCAGGCCAAGCTCTCGGGCATGTTCCCTCTTCCTGGTGCTCCTCGCCAACAACCCATGGACCCTACCAGACTCCAGGCTTTCATGAACCAGCCCGCCAACGCTGGCGCAAACACCGCTCTCAAGCCCTCCAACGCTCGCCAGTCAAAACGTCTCTTTGTCCACGGTATTCCTTCCACCTCGACCGAGGACAACATTATCGACTTCTTCAACCTCCAACTCAACGGCCTCAACATTGTAAAGGGCATGGACCCTTGTCTGTCTGCTCAAATCTCGCCCGAGCACGACTTTGCTCTCTGCGAGTTCAAGACACCCGAGGATGCTACAACCGCTTTGGCCTTGGATGGCATCTCTATGAGCGATGACTCTGCCAACGGTTCAGCAAACGGCAGACCCGCTGGTTTGCAGATCCGCCGTCCCAAGGACTACATTGTTCCCGCTGTCACAGACGAGAGCGAGCAGATGGAGGGCATTGTCTCTGAGAATGTTCCAGACACCCAGAACAAGCTTAGAATGTCCAACATCCCCACATTCATTGAAGACGCGCAAGTTAGAGAATTGCTCACTACCTTTGGTGAGCTCAAATCTTTCGTCCTTGCCAAAGACACTTCCTCTGGCGCAAGCCGTGGATTTGCTTTCTTCGAATACATGGACTCGACAAAGACCGATGAGGCTGTCACAGGCTTGAACGGAATTGAGTTGGGTGATGGTGCGCTTAGAGCTGCAAGAGCCGCTGTCGGTGTGCAGCAGGTTGGTGGCGACATGAGTGTCAACGCCATGAGCATGCTTGCCGGTACCACAAGTGCAGACGTTGAGCAAGGTCGCGTGCTTTGCCTGTTGAACATGGTCACAGCAGAGGAGCTTTTGGATAACGATGAATATGAAGGTAAGCAGAGACAATTGGACATTTCCATGCACATGACTGACATTCGTTTAGAAATCGTTGAAGACGTCAAAGAAGAATGCAGCAAGTACGGTTCAGTACTGGAGATGAAGGTTCCCCGTCCTTCTGGCGGTAGCAGACAATCCAACGGCGTTGGCAAGATCTACGTCAAGTACGACAACAACGAGTCTGCTTCAAAGGCTCTGCGTGCTCTGGCTGGTAGAAAGTTTGCCGACCGCACTGTGGTCGTTACCTTCTTTGGCGAGGTTCGTGGTTACCCCTTCATTCACTCAAGCCTGACATATACTAATCTGTGCTCTAGNGAATACTTTGATGTTAACGCATGGTAAACTAACGACAATGTGATACCTGGAAGATATTGGCAATCTTGCGACGTGCTCTTTCTCGAGACGTTTTGGGCGTGGAAAAGCAGGGATTTTGTTGTACAATAGGAAGAAGTCAAGCCGCCCAGTCGTAGCTGCTGCTTGCAAAAGCTTTTTCACATCAATTTTCACATGTTGAACTCGAATTTCTCGTCCGCTCTGCTGTGATAGGTCTGTGACTCTTTGGTGTTCTGGATGTAACTAACGAAACGGTGGTTTCAGCAAAAGTCCGGGGGCGGAGCACAGTCAATGAACAGCCTCATCTATATTGGGCATCAGACCCTCTTACTAACTTCCCCTCCAACATTTTGTATCTTGTGATTTTTCTTTCCTTAAGTGACCCCTGAATACACAACACAATCATGCCTTTTGGAATGGGAAAGAAAGAGAAGGAGGCGGCCGAGGAGAAGTCCCGCTCGTCTTTGTTCTCACGCTCCAAGGGCAAGGATAAGGCAGCAGCGCCCGCAGCAAACCCCTACGCCGTACAATCAACTCCCGATCCTTATGGCGCCAAACCTGCAGACCCATATGCCAAACCCTCAGCCGCGCCTCCTGCATATGACAACCGCTCTGCTCCCTCCGCCATGAGCGACAAGTCTCCCGTACCGCCCGGTGGATATGGTGGCAGCGCACCCCGCTATGGCGGCTCTGGAAACTACGCACAACAGAGTGGATACGGCAGCAACCCATACGGTAGTGAACAACCACAGGCTTCTCGCTACGGTGCTGGAGGCTACGGTGGTCTTGGACGACGAGCCAGTCAGGAGACCGTCAGCACAGATGTTGGCAGAGCCGCTCTTTTCGGCGATGCCCCTCAGAGACAACAACAGCAACAACTTCAAGTCCAAGCCAACCAAGCTGCGCAAGAACCCACATCCGACAATAGCTATGCAAACAGCAACATGCCCGGCGGCTACGGCGGCAGCTCCAGCGAACTCTACGGCCAACCCGACCGCTACCTGACCGCTGAAGAGCAAGAGGAGGAAGACGTCAAGGCTTCCAAAGACGAAATCAGATTCATTAAACAGCAAGACGTATCTTCCACCCGCAACGCCCGCCGCATCGCCGAACAAGCAGAGGCTACTGGCCGCGAGACCCTAGCACGTCTGGGTGTCCAAGGCGAGCGCATCCATAACACAGAACGTAACCTCGACATGGCATCACACCAAAACAGACTCGCCGAGGAAAAGGCCCGCGAGCTCAAGACACTGAACCGAAGCATGTTTGCCATGCATGTCTCCAACCCCTTCACCGCCAAAAAGCGCGAGGAGGCCGCCAATGCAATTGCCCTCGAGAAGCACAGAGTGGAAAGAGAGCGTGCAGATGACACAAGGTCAAATGCCTGGTCTACAACAGCACGCCACGCAGGTCAAGAAAGGACCATGCGCAACACTGGCAAGACACACGACAAAGCCACTTTGGCCAACAGAGCCAAGTATCAGTTCGAAGCCGACAGTGAAGACGAAGCCATGGAAGGCGAGATCGAGGAGAACTTGGATATTATCCACAGAAGTGCAAAGACATTGCATGCTTTGGGCAACGCTATGGGCGACGAGCTCGACGAGCAGAACAAGCATATCAACCGTATCATCGGAAAGGTGAGATTCTTGCTCTATCCGTGTCATCACATGCCTTGTGCTAACCTCTTTACANNGACTGAAACCGTCGACGATGAGATTGCCATGAACAGAATCAAGCTCGGCAGAATTAAGTAGAGCAGTGTTCATGCATGTAATTTTACTTTTGCCGCTGGTTTTTCGATGGAGTTTGGAATCTGGGAAGGTTGGCATTGAGGTCTATAGATGGGTAATTGTGCAAAGAATGGGTCAGCATTGCAAAGGCAGTGCTTGAAAAACAACAAATACTTCAACCAATTCTGGTATGGCCCAAATAACGTGAAAAGCGTAAACGTTCCCTCACTCATTGTAGCCAACCTTTGGTTCTTACATGGGAAAATGTGTGCCGCAACAAGACAGGCTCGAGGTAGGCGCAATTTTCGAATGAGGAAGGAACGACCAGAAGAACCAGAGAAAGAGCGAATTACACCAGATACAAAAAGAGGTGTGGTAGAACACTTACGCAGCCTGGAGGGCTACTTTGCTGTCTGCTCGTGCACTTCGTCGAATAGACCCGCTGTCGGCGACAAGAGCGGCGAATGCGCCGCTATATATTGTGATCGAATCCGTGTGCTCGTTGAGACTGAAATGTTCCCGACAATCTCGAGTAAAGTCGAGATATTAGTTCTAACAAGAAAGCAGTGCTTGCTTTGATAGTCGCGCCTGCCTCAAACAGCTCGTCTTGCTGCCCTCGTTCTTGAAGAGGAATATTTTATCTTATTAGATGTCCTCTTGTTGGAACACCGTCGCTATCAGACACGCATGGTGGGGAGAACTGGGTACGTGCTTTGAGACCTGGACATTCTGTGGCATATCTTGAAGGTGCCTTCGATATTTGTTATTCTCTAGAGAAGACTCCATCGCCACTTATCAAGGAGGAGCCAGCAATTGCCCTTGCCTACCAAGGTCCGTCATGGTTCAATCCGCCGCTGGGCGGAAGGCCATAGTCGAAATGATCATCTTGCCTGCCTCGAGGACTTCGATTTGCTGTTTATCCTCGCTTGCACAAGCAATGGTCGTGTCGGTGGTCAAGGATTTAGATGAGTTACCTCCCTGTAAGTCTTTAAGCTGCAAAGGCCACGAAGGCTCACACATGACAGATTCCTTGAGCTGCCACGATATAGGCCAACAGCAGAGATGCATGCAGGACTGGCTCTCAAACATGTCTCATCATCGCAATATAATACTTTCCATTGGATCTCTGGTATGAGCAGGCTTCTTGCCAGCCAACGTGCACAAGGTCACTGGAGAGAGGTAACAAGCCTACTCTGGCAGCAGCAACGCTGCTCAAATTGAATTCGTATCAAGAAGGACCTACCTAGGTCGATATTGATCTACTGACCGCATTGATTTACCTGGTCGCCATGCACAACCAACAAAGGCTCGTTTCCAGCTTTGATCTTTGGTTGATTGACGATTTGCCATGAGCTGTGGTCGTAGTGAGTTAAGCGAGAAAGACACTCATAGTTGCCTCTCGAAAACCAATTGCCTTGCGGAAGGTGCCTCGACGAAACAGGCAGTTGCCTCACTCGGCTCAATATCGAGTCGGCCCAGCTCAGCAAACAGGTACCTCTGCACGNCCGCATCAACCAAGGGAACACTTCAGGTTGCTGGGGAGTGAGAGTGAATAANNGGGCTTGGCATCCAGACCTCGGACGAAATGGGGAGGTGAAAANAAGATGAGATGCACAGACCGCNNGGAAAATCGAAAATCGCCTACCCGCAAGCCTTTTCTTAAGCTCCCAGCACCTCTCACCTCTTCCTCCTTCCATCCCTCCCCATCTTTTTTCCCTTTTATACCCCTCTATATCCTTCATCATGAGCGACGAGGTTTACGACGGTGCCATCGGTATCGATCTTGGTAAGTTTTTGCGCCCAACTTCATTGCCGAAGCGTGAGCCCACAAGATCAAAATTGCTAACAGAGCTTCAGGTACCACCTACTCTTGCGTTGCCAACTACGACGGTAACAATGTCGAGATCAGTATGTTTCCTTTCTGGAGCTGTTTTTGCGGCTCTCAATCGCCTTCTGCGCACAATTCTGACTCGCATGTCCCACAGTCGCCAACGAGCAGGGTTCTTTCACCACCCCTTCTTTCGTCTCCTTCACCGCTGAGGAGCGTCTGATCGGTGAGGCCGCCAAGAACCAGGCCGCCATGAACCCCGCCAACACTGTCTTCGATGTCAAGCGTTTGATCGGTCGTAGATTCGATGACCCCACCGTCAAGAAGGATATTGAGTCGTGGCCCTTCAAGATCGTCGACAACGCTGGTGCCCCCATGGTCCAGGTTGAGTACCTCGGCGAGACCAAGACTTTCTCCCCCAGGAGATCTCTTCCATGGTCCTCCTCAAGATGAAGGAGGTCGCTGAGGTCAAGCTCGGCAAGAAGGTCGCTAAGGCCGTCGTCACCGTTCCCGCCTACTTCAACGACAACCAGCGTCAAGCCACCAAGGACGCCGGTGCCATCTCTGGCCTCAACGTTCTCCGTATCATCAACGAGCCCACCGCTGCCGCTATCGCCTACGGTCTCGGTTCCGGAAAGTCCGAGAAGGAGCGCAACGTCCTCATCTACGATCTCGGTGGTGGTACTTTCGATGTTTCCCTCCTCCACATCCAGGGTGGTGTCTTCACTGTCAAGGCCACCGCTGGTGACACCCACTTGGGTGGTCAGGACTTCGACACCAACCTCCTTGAGCACTTCAAGAAGGAATTCACCCGCAAGACCAAGAAGGTCAGAATCTTTTGCTGACGAGATATCGATCTATCACTGACTCAAAACAGGACCTTTCCGGTGACGCCCGTGCCCTCCGTCGTCTGAGAACCGCTTGCGAGCGTGCCAAGCGTACTCTTTCCAACGGTACCCAGGCCACCGTCGAGATCGACTCCCTCTTCGACGGCGAGGACTTCAACGCCAACATCACCCGTGCTCGTTTCGAGGACATCAACGCCAAGGCCTTCAACGGCACCATCCAGCCTGTTGAGCAGGTCCTCAAGGACGCCAACATCGAGAAGTCCAAGGTTGACGAGATCGTCCTTGTTGGTGGTTCCACCCGTATTCCCCGTATCCAGAAGCTCCTTTCCGACTTCTTCAACGGCAAGAAGCTCGAGAAGAGCATCAACCCCGACGAGGCCGTCGCCTACGGTGCCGCCGTCCAGGCCGGTATCCTCTCCGGAAAGGCCACCTCCGCCGACACCGCTGACCTCCTCCTTCTCGATGTCTGCCCTCTCTCCCTTGGTGTTGCTATGGAGGGTAACATCTTCGCCCCCGTCGTTCCCCGCGGTACCACCGTTCCCAGTGAGTTACAACAACTGTCAAGTTTTCATACCAGACACTAACAGTTTTTGCAGCCATCAAGAAGAGAACCTTCACCACCGTCGCTGACGGACAAACAACTGTGGGTCATCCTCTGCATCACTCTCCTTCTCACTATCCCTGTTTCCATCATCCATCGCAATGCACAAAGCGGAGCTGCTGGTTCGCTCCACCACTGAGAGGCTAGATGTTTTACACTCTCAGTGGATGTGCCAGCAGTTTCTCACCCATCAAAATGCAAGACGTAATTCGAAATACTGGAGTGTCCAGTGAGAGCTCAGCATTTAGCGACTCTCAGTGGATGTTTCTGTATCTCAGTTGCTGTGCTGCATCTCGATGGTTGGAAAGCTTGGCATGGCTTGGCTTGGAGCGTCGAAGTTCAGGCTTCACTCAGGGTCCACCAAATCTTCACCATATCACAACACCACCCATTCTATAACATCAGAACATCTTGCTGACTCTTTTAATAGGTTCAATTCCCCGTCTACCAAGGAGAGAGAAGTGAATGCGCCCACAACACCTCGCTAGGTCCGAATGTCTTTCGATATAGAAATTACAAAGATGCTAACAATTTCTTCCAGGTGAATTCACTCTCGCTCCCATCCCCCACATGCGCGCCGGTGAGGCCGTCCTCGAGTGTGTCTTCGAGGTCGATGTCAACGGTATCCTGAAGGTCACCGCTACCGAGAAGACCTCCGGCCGCAGCGCCAACATCACCATCTCCAACTCTGTTGGTAAGCTCAGCTCCGCTGAGATCGACAAGATGGTTGAGGATGCCGCCAAGTTCAAGTCCTCCGACGAGGCCTTCACCAAGAAGTTCGAGTCCCGCCAGCAGCTCGAGTCCTACATCTCCCGTGTCGAGGAGATCGTCTCGGACCCTACCCTCTCGCTCAAGCTCAAGCGCAACCAGAAGGAGAAGATCGAGTCTGCTCTCAGCGACGCCATGGCCCAGCTCGAGATCGAGGACTCCTCTGCCGACGACCTCAAGAAGAAGGAGTTGGCCCTCAAGCGTGTCGTTACCAAGGCCATGTCCACCAGGTAAACGTCTTGCATCGTATGACGGTTTAATGGGCGTTCTTCTTTCTTCATGTGTTTTAGATTGGTACAGCTGGGTTCAAAAAGCTATGCTCGATTTTTCTTTATGAGATGCAGGTGACGCTAGCATGGCAGCGGGCATCTCAAACAGGCAGTTTAGGGTGTTGCTGGCTTGCTTTTTGCGAGATCAAAAGCTACACGAAAAGCAGTCAAAAACTTCAATGAACAATCATGTCAAAAGAAAGCCTATCCCTGTACACCATGTGAAGACGAGTGAAATTGCCTGGTCGCTTTTGTTATACCATTGTGATATTCTTCGATTTCGAGAACATGATCTTCTAATCATGCATTACGTCCTACATTTTCTTGAATCATGGATCTGTATCATATAACCGATTAGCCAAGTCAGTATGTTGTTTGTCCTCTATTGCTAATGTTGCACTATCATCAGAGGTCTTTAAGATATCAAAGGTCATAGTATTGTTCAAAGTTTGAGTGATATCCAGAGAGAGTTTGGTTCGCAAAGGCTCTCCCTGGATACGGTCGATTTCTGAATATCGCTCTGCAATTCTATAGCATGATTCGCGAGGTTGGTCGATTTTGAGATCGAAAGTTGGGTGTCCCCCACAGCGTACAGCAGCGTATCCGGTTCAGGAGAGGATTGCGAACAGTGCGGGCTTTCGGTCAAGTCGCGGTCCGGACGGTTCCTTGTTGTTGCTTGACTAAGGTTATCTTTTTTATTAGTGTCGCCGGTTTGGAAATGAGTTCCAGTAAGTTCCTATCCTTTCACACCATGAGCGAATTGCTGCAGCAAGAATACAAGAGGCTGACCGGACAAGATTCGTCCACGCTCGAGGGCCCCCTTTCAGAAGACGCCTTGGCCAACCTGAAGCTCTACAAGTACTCGTCTGTTGACAAGTCGTTCACCTCGCGCTATGTCCTGAAACACTATGTACGTTGATTGCGACCCTTCACTCCTTGGATTGCTCGGAAAGACCACGACGAACATATACAACAAGCAAGAGCATGGGAAAGGGCGCTCCGGGACCCTGCATACAACCAGACATTGAAGATGGAATGAGACAACAAAGGCTGACTTGAGCTGTGCCGATGAACANNGTGGAACGCATGCGTCGAATTTCTGCCCCTATGGTTGGCTCCCAACATGGTGACGCTGCTGGGCTTCTTCTGCATCCTTAGCAATGTCATCCTCATGCTCATCTATGACCCTGGTTTGACCGGTCTTGCCCCGTCATGGGTCTACTACAGCTACGCCCTCGGCATCTGGGCTTACAGCACCATGGATAACATCGACGGCAAGCAAGCACGTCGCACTGGAACTTCGTCTCCATTGGGTGAGCTCTTCGAGTAAGTGCTACCCCTCGGTTCCAATCTGGCAGGAGCAACGCTGACAAGACTGAACCAAACAGTNCACGGCATCGACAGTCTCAACTGCACGCTCGCATCCCTCCTCGAAACGTCCGCCATGGGTCTCGGCTCAACACGTCTTGGTGCTCTCACCGCACTCATCCCCACGCTGCCCATGTTCTTCTCGACCTGGGAAACATACCACACTCACACCCTGTTCCTCGGCTACTTCAACGGTCCCACAGAAGGCCTCATCATTGCCGCACTCATCATGATCCTCTCTGGATACTACGGCCCCACACTCTGGACCTCTCCACTGGCTACGCTCTTCGGCCACGAGCAGTTCCTCGGCAAGACCAGTTTCCTCGACCTCTGGGCACCCATTCTGCTTCTCGGACTCTGTCTCGCACACATCCCTGATTGCGTCAACAACGTGTACCAGGCTAGAAGAGGCAGAAACCAGTCCTTGACACCTGCATTGCTCGAGTGGGCTCCCATCTTCATCTTCACTGCTTCTTTGTGCGCCTGGCTGGGATCGCCTTACTCGCATCTGCTCAAGGACAACCATCTATCTCTGCTCTGCTTCACCCTTTCACCAGCTTTCGGCCGCATGACGACGAAAATCATCCTTGCGCATCTCACTCGCCAGGACTTCCCCATGTGGACTGTTATGCTGGCTCCTCTGCTTATCGGCAGCATCCTCATCAACCTTCCATACATTGGTCTCCCTGGTCTGTCCGCAAGCTCCGAGCTCTGGTTTCTGAGAGGCTACTTTGCCTTCGCAACCATTGTGTATGCGCGCTGGGCCGTGTATGTCTGCAACAGCATTTGCAACTACCTGGGCATCAACTGCTTGACCATTCCCGAGGACAAATGGATGGCATTGAAGGCCGGCGCACCNCCGAACGAGAGACCCGAAGCTAACCGCTTGGCTTCTGGATCCGTGAGGCTGCAGAAGGGCGGTGCCAATGGCAAGTTTGCTTAGATGGCGCAAAAGGCATTGCTGAACACCATCCTCTGCAGAACGGATGAGGGAGGACGAAGGATTGAAGATTGGATGACTGATACGCTCGTTTATTAAAAACTGCTTTTTCTAGCGACGAGCTGAGACGCTGAAGCTCGCCCCTTTCCGTTTTATGTATAGATGTAATGAGTTTGATTTTACTGCGACACGGAATGAAAGTAGAACAAAGCCTGTAGGCCAGATAGAAATGGAAAACTAATGCCTTCAAAGATTCTGACTCGAGTTCTAGACTCACGTCTCTTCATCGACATAGCATGTTACTCAAAGTTGGATCTGTGGATTATCACTAAGCCTCGAAAGAGACGGATCGTCATACCGTGCAGCAAACGGCTAGAAGTACACTTCGCATCAACGAAAGAGGGAGTTTGAACAAAGAACATGATATACACAAGTCAGTAGGTATGCATCTGTCGATCGAATCCACGCCATCCCATAAGCATCAAAGAGACGCCCAAACTCCGAGCCTGCCGATTCAAAGGTCTTTCGCGTCTTCTAGTGTCCCATATCTGTTCCTCACTCAGCTTCTCAGAGCTCTCAATCTCTCGCCCAAGTTGTCTTCCTCGACTTCGGTGGGATTGGCAGGGGCCTTGATGCCCTGTGCGGGAGTTGCGCCAGCCATCTCTTGGTTGAGTTCGACACCAGCTTCGTCGGCGACTTGCGACATCAGTCTGTCGACGTCTTCCTGGGGTGTGCCTACAGCAGTGGCGCTTGAGGTGGCGTTCTCGTAGTATCCGGTTGCGACGTCCAGATCCTCGAATTGCGTTTCGAATTTGTCCATGACGGCTGAGATCTGTAGATTCCTTCTTGTCAGCCCATGACTCTTGTTCTAGCGGCCGCTGCATCTCGAGCCCAAGGCACCGGCAGGGCACTCACCTTNTTCCAGATCCATGGCCTTCATAGCTCCATCCATGCCTTTTACCACATTCGCCATGCTGCCAGTGACCTGACGCATAGTCACCGCAGTCTGCACTCTACTGGCAACGGCATCAATCCTCGAGGCCAAGCGCAACAGGTTCAGCTTCTCGTTTTGCTTGCGAATGGCATTCTGAGCGTAGATTTTGGCAATGTCGCCGTGGTTTTGCTGGATGGCTTTTTTCAGTTTTGCCTTCTCGGCATTTTCGTCTTTGCCGGCTTTGGCGGATTGGCGGTTGAGTTGTTTGGCTGTGAANNCTGTAAGGGAGGAGGGTGTTAGTGGGGTGGACGTGATGGCGGGCGTGGAAGGTGACTGAAGGTTGGGTACCTTGAGGTTGAAGAGAGCCTTTTCGAGACCTGACATGATGGCTGTGTGTTAGTCGTGAGACTGGAAGGGCATATAGGTGTGTGTTTGTCGAAAAGATGTGGCCGCTATGCTTTGGGTGCTTGTTGGTTGGATGGACGATGATGGGCGGCGGCCGAGGCCACGAGAGTGTGGGGTCTTGGCCCAGAATCTTGCTGGCACGTCACTGTCACATGCGCGTCTTGCTGCTATCAGAATGCCCTGAATGCTTCTTGTTATTGTCTTTTGAGAGAGCCTGCATCAAAAAGTGATGATAATACGCTCCGCTCCTTCCATGCCATGTTGCGCCTTAATCTAACCTAAACCAGTAGAGATGGGGTATCTAAAGAAGAATCGTATCGTCCCAAACGCCCATGACGCCTCTGGTCCCAGCTGCTGTGTCTCTTCTTTCTGTCTTGTATCATGCTGCAGGTTCAGCTGGCTCTGCAGGTCCAGCGTTGAACTTCTCGTTTGCTGATCTGAATAGCTCTTCCTGCTGTCTAAGCAGTTCCTCCTCGGTCATGCCAGACTGCTCGATCTTGCTTTGCTTCTTCTCGCGACTNNCTGTTGACTCTGTATCAGCACTGTCCTCTTCCAAGCTGTCTTTCCATATCTAACTCACCGCCTGTTGTGACTTGAACTGCTGCGCGACCTCGAGCAGGTCCGGCACATATTCATTGAATCCTAGCTCTTCCAAAGCCTTGACAATGTGTTCGCAAGCAATTGTCTTTTTGGCGTCCTTTTCGGCAATCTCGTTGGCTTCGGAGGATATCATGGTGATGAACTCGACGCAGCATTCTATGAGCAGGTCTCGAGTCTCCTTGGCGAAGGACATTCCCTGGTCGTTGGCGAGTACTTCGGTGATGATCTTTTGGACCGTCGNCTGTGTTGGCCTCGTCAGTCGCGTTGATCGATGGATTCCAAGTTCGGTGCGGCGCATACCTCTGGGCAGAGTGAGCTCATCACTGCCTGTGAATTGTTAGCATGCTTCGGTCGCGAAAAGAGTTTGGTGATGTTTTGTGTGTCCGTACCAGCGAATTCTTTGTCCGACATGATTTGGTTTGGTTGTTGAAGCCTGAAAGTACAGTGAGATCAACGATTCGGCCAAAGAAGTGTCGATGTCAACATCCTACTACAGCAGCGCGCAACTTGGGGAATGCAGCAGCTTTAAGTCTCACATGAACCATCACAGCCGGTACATGCCGCAGCACGGCTTCCGTCACCAACGCGTCCGAGCTTCACAGCCTATTTCTTCGGACGCGACTTTTTTCCTTCTGCTTTCTCCTTCCAACAAACAACAGCGCAAAAGGTATGTGATCACTTTCCTCTCCTCCTCCTCTCTCCCAGCACATTCAAGGATGAACATTCGTGTCGCCCCTATCTTACCTTTACGTGGTGATTTACCTGTCTCAACCAAACGGACTCTCTGATTGAATTCTTGCACAACCCGCTCATGAATCAAAATCATCTTGTATGAATGTCGGCTAACATTGCAAATCAGACAGATCTCTCACCTTTTCTTGCTTCAGCCAAGCCCTGCATATATCATGCACCTTATGAAAGCATTGAACTCGATGGAGTAATTTGAATGCGCGTGCTGAGTGTGCGCACACAGCGACACTCGGCTGGAACACTCGAGGTTAGTAACGATCGAGCACCATCTCTTCTTTTACATGATGAGAAAATTATGTTATATACACCACCTATTATCCTTGAGGAATAAAATAATGGTTCGATTACCTGAAAACAACCTTCTCATCTTCCACTGTTCAACAATCTTGTCAGTTCCATGTTTACCAACACATGTCTAGGTACAGTTAGCACAATCGCAAATCCAGCACCGCACTAGTCTCGCACATTGTAAGGTTAGTACCTCCATCGCTTCACCTCCCCTCCCTTTGCGTGATGAACAAAATCATTCCATGCTAAACCTGAAGGCTTACGCCGTATGGTGATCACAATGTATTGCTTTTCATCTTTCAACTGACTGCACTCCTTCAATCCACCTTTACTTCAGAATTTGTCTTGTAGTGTACTTGACTAACGTCTCATAAAGTTGTTCTAGTCTACTACTCCTGGAAAGCCGCGAGCGCTTCGTCGTTCCAACTCAAAAACTTGCCGTTCAACTCCTTGGGCGCGTCTAGTGCCAGCTTGGCCATGACATGACCAGGCTGCTCAGGCTCGAGCAAACCTCCAGTCTCCTTCAGCTCCTTGAACTTGGCTGCGTCCTTTGCATCCATGCTGGTGTTGTGCGTTTCGCGGATAGATACCTGCATTTGCGTATTGACCACGCCCGGTCTGAGGGATATAGTTGTCACATCGGGTTCCTCAACTGCAAGGGTCATGGCGAGGTGGTTCAACACAGCCTTGGATGCACCATACGCTCCCCACGTGGAGTAGGCACCGGTGGCTGCACCAGAAGAGCAAAGGATGATACTACCCTTGGATTCACGGAGTGCTGGCAAACATGCTTTGACCTGTGTCACTGGTTAGTCGTGGTCCTCTGCTTCAACAGCTGAGTATCAACTGACCAGAGCGATTGCTGAGAAGACGTTGACGTCGAACAACTGTCTCCATTCCTCTGCTTCGACGTTGGCGACTCTCTTGACAGGATCGAGAATGCCGTGGTTGACAATGATGCTGTCCAGGCGCTGCCACTTGGACTTGGCCAGGTCTGCTGCTTTCTGTCCGAGCGAAAGATCCGACAGATCACCAGCGAGGATCTCGACTTGTCCAGGGAATTGCTTGCTCAGCTTTTCCATGGGCTCGCGGCTTCTGGCGACCGTCACGACGCGACATGATTGTTTAAGCAGATAGTGTGCAATAGCAAGGCCAATGCNCTATGCTTTTCATCAGTTCATGATTCATCTTATCGCACTTTTATTTCCCTCACCTCGCGATGCTCCGGTCAGGATGACAACTTTGCTGGCGGCCATGTTGATGTTTATTGGTTGTTGGTACAAGAAGCTGTGTTTGCTGGACACGAAAACTTCGGATGAAGTTGCTCAAGAGCCCCACCCCCGCACACGTCACTCAGCGTCCCTTCTGCCCACCTTCCTCTTTTGCCTCAGCATCCATACCTATATCAGTATATACAAGTAGGTTTCTTCTGCGACATTTGAGCATTCAGTATGTTTCCGTGACTACTGATCAACGAAACTCTTCATTCTGATTTCTTGACGCTTGTGTAGGTATCAGGCATTCAAGTATCACCTAACCAGATCTGCGAACAGCACCTTCCCACAATGACCACACCTCAATCCACAGTAATCCTAGGAGCAGGCATCATCGGCGTATCCACTGCCTACTACCTCTCAAAATCTTTACCAGGCTCTTCCATCCATCTCATCGACCCCTCGCCCGAACTTTTCGCCTCTGCTTCTGGTAAAGCAGGAGGGTTCCTCGCTGCCGACTGGTTTGGTCCTGCGTCTGCACCACTTGGCTTGCTATCTTTTGAACTCCATAAGCAGCTTGCGGATGAGTATGGTGGGGCTGGGAAGTGGGGGTATGCGAGAAGTACTGGTGCTTCGTTTGCTGATGGTGAGGACTCTGTTGACGAGCAAGGTGATGATGGTGAGTGGTTAGAGAATGGGAGGAGTAGAGCTGAGGTTGCTGGGACTCACGAGTTTGTTGAAGGTGAGGGGCCGGCGTGGTTGACGAGGAGGAAGAGTGATGGGTATGATGTGATATCTGCGGATGAGACAGTTGCTCAAGTGTAAGTAGTATGCTTCCTCAAGTTTTGCACCGAGGCTGATCGAAACAGAGATCCTTTGAGATTATCACACTTTCTCTTGGATGAATGTAGGAAGAGAGGTGTACAAGTCCATCGACCAGCAACGCCAACATCCATAATCACGGATAGCGGTAACACAATCACTGCCATCAACATCAAACAAGATAACGGCTCAGAAACACAGAGTATAATTCCCTTTCGCCATGTCCTCCACTTGACCCTCATGCTAACACAACAAACAGTCCCCTGCATATCACTTCTCTTTGCCTGCGGCGCCTGGACCCCAAAAGTCTTTTCGACACTCTTCCCCTCCTCACCCCTCAAACTCCCTGTCTCAGCCTTTGCAGGCCACAGCATCGTCATCTCCTCTCCCAACTGGACAGCCTCCCATGAACCCGATGGTTGCCACGCAATCTTCAGTACCTCTTCCTCCGGCTTCAGCCCCGAACTCATCAGTCGCATAGGCGGAGAAATTTACATCGCAGGTCTAAACGACAGTACCATTCCTTTACCTGAACTAGCCACAGAAGCAGAAATTGAGNNGAGCGCTATTGCAGAGTTGAAGAAGACGGCGGAGAGGATGTGTGGGATTCCAGGTAAAGAGATTGAGGTTTTGAGGGAGGGGTTGTGCTTTAGACCCATCACACCCAGAGGAGAACCTATTTTGTGCAGGGTTGATGAGAAGAAGTTGGGAGGTGTGAATAGTCAGAGTGGTGTGTTTGTGGCTGCGGGACATGGGCCTTGGGGTATCTCGTTGAGTTTGGGGACTGGGTTGGTTATGAGTGAGATGATTAGGGGTGTTAAGACTAGCTGTAAGGTCGGGAGGTTGGGTATGCAGTAAAACTTCCTATCGCAGACTACAGGATCTTTCTGCAATGGCCTCTTTGGAGCGAGCATGAGAAGGAATTGAGATATGTTGGTCGTGAAGGAGAAAGTTCGCGACCAAGTCTCGATTGCTGGTGGTGCAACCCTGTCTGTAAATATTACTCTGCCGTTTCTATCAATCGACGCTCTCGTTGGGAGTTAGATCATGTAATACAGTATATTCCATACTTATAGAAGCCGTATTGACGCTTGTTGGCATCGAGAGTCTTGGTTGTAGCTATCTTATCGTCCTTGTGTGTTTTGAATTCTCACACTCAACTACGCATATCTACTATATCTGTTCCATGCCAGACATCCTGGTAACACCTCGATTACCCTTATCTTCCATAGGATATACATCATTGCATACTCCCTAATGACAGATGCCGCCCTCTGCAGAACAATTCACTGGACAGTGTTTGAGAAAGGACTGTAAGTGGCTTGTAACCTCTCCTCCCCATATCGACACAAAGCGACCTTTTGACTATGGGAAGACACGAGCGTTTATAGATTCAAGACGTAGCCAAGGAGAGCCTACGATGTGTCGTATCTCAATGGATACTACCTTGTTTTCAAAGACTATTCTGCAATTCTGTCACGACATGCGCTATATGCTTCAGCACATGGGTAGGTCCAGACTCTCCATCGGCATATTCATTAGATGCTTCAAGTCTAGTTTTTACTCTGCCTCTCTCTATTCTTGGTGTGTCTACTGTCAGATTCTGCGTAGAGCAGGAAAAAGAGCACTTTCGTATGTGAGCAATGGCATCGCCGTCACAGGTGTCTGGACCCGACTTCGCGACTATGAGAGACTCGAGCTTCTTCCGTCTAATGTCGAAGCTGCAATAGCAATTGGATATACCATTGTCCATCGTATACTCCTTGTCCACTGCCCAGTTCATCTTCCAGCCATGGTCTCTCAAGTCCGAGTCGCCTTCTACGCTACGGAAACCTGCTCTTCTACGCTCTTCTCCGCTCTTTTCAACCGTAATACCTCCTATAGCCTTTCCGACATCTGTCCGTGGCTTGCACATAATCTCGACTTCAATGGTCTATGCTTGCACTCTGCTCTTCTCGACCATGTCGAGGGCGACTTGACCTTACACCTGAGCAACTCGAAGAGATCGCTGCTGCGAAATGAGAGAGAAATCGCGTATGCCAGCAACAATATGGGCTCAAGGCTCGCACAGAAGCTTCTGATGGGGAAGGAAGCATTTCAAAAAGGTCGAAACGAACGTCACAAACCGAAGCTCCAAGAGAAGCAGCGTAAAGCTGTCGACGAAAAGCTTTACTCCTGCACCCCATGTGACGTTCACTGTCACAATAGCGCCGTACTAAAGGTGCACTGTTCCATCCCTCGCCATCTACAAAAAATTCATGGGGATCCTGATCGCTGTTGCGATGGTACATTCCACCAGAAGGCGATCTATTGACCGTGTTGGCGTTGGCGCTCAAGTGAAAGTGATTCCTTGCGGAAGAGTCGATTCTACCAAGTTTCGATTGCCTTCCGAGTCGAGTCAAGTTGAAGTCGCTCCTCGCTGTCAATTTGGACGTGCAAGAAGACTGTTCGCATGTCGAAGCGAGCTAGTGGCAGGATCGCATATTGATCGAGCGAATTGGGAGCGATGACAGATGGCGGTTGTTAGCTGGTGAGATAGAGATTTGACGATGCTTGTTGTCGATGGCTCCTGATCAAGCAAAGTGCGACTCGACATGATGCGCGACTGCCGTTTCGTCTCCTTCGAAGTTTCCACAAACAGGGCAAGTAGCAGTAGTCGCAGCTTCCACGGTCGGCTCATCTTCTTCCACCGACGCCTGAGCTTTCGCGCCTCCCTTTTTCTTCTGCTTTGCCGGCTTCATGTACGCAAACAGATCAATTTCTTCAGCTGGCGCTTCGCCATCTTCATCCAGTCTAACATCTCTCGACTGGAATTTCGAACGTCGGTTATCTCTCTNCCTAGGTGGTCTTGTATTTCTTGACGCAGAGCTAGGTGCTGCGATGGTTTCTTGGGGCGGTATATCGCCAGTGTGCATTCTCTGTACGCGACCGACTCTACCATCACTGAGCCGCACTTTGATGCCTCGAGGGTGGTTTCCAGATGTCAATACGTTTTGGACAACACCTTGGACTTGACGGCCGGTAGGTTGGTCTGCTTTGAGGACGATGGAGACTGCTGCGCCGGGCACTACCTGGCTGATATTTGGGACTGGCATGTTGGTTTTGATTGAAGAAGTGTTCCTGACTTTTCTGAGATTGGATGTGGTTGTTTTGAAAAGTTGTCAAGTGTTGTGAGGTTATTGAGATGTGTTTATGAGTATTATTTCGATGAATGTTGATGATATGGATGATAATGTTGATAGGTCATGTGAAGAAGACTCATCACCGCGACAAGCACGCTGCGAAGTTCTGATGTGAATGAGCTCAGACCATGCATCACTTTTTATGCGTGCATTCACGTTCACTTCTCCCCTCCTTCTCATAAAGGCGCATGCTCCTCTATACCGACGTTACGCTGCGATCTCTACCTCCCAGTCAATCTCTACTTCTTCCTCCCGCCCAATAGTTGCCCCATACCACTCCGCCGCGAATACCCTCGTCAACCCGTCATCCGAAAGCCGCAACCCACATCCAAGACCTGCACCTCTACGGCCATGTCTCGGGGATAATCCTTTCACTCCTCTCCACTGCCTCCACACTGCCAATACCTTCCCTTTTGGGTAGTTTTTCTCACGAGTGAGAACGATGAAGTCATGATATGCAAGCGGTCAAATCTTTCCAACTTCCAACTCAACAAAGCGCGTGTGTGTGGATGCGTAGATTGATACCAAGGCCACCGGCGTCACGGCGTGCACTCGGCACGTTTTGACATGCGTTTCCTTGGAAGTCAAGCGTTGAGGAAGAGCCTTTAAAAAACGCATGGATGATCGTGATGGACTTGACTCAAGAGAGGGGTGTGCTTTAATGGTTCATTGCTCGAGTTGTTGGACTTGTTTAGCGAAGAAGCCGTTGATGTTCAGCATTGACGTGTTTAACAAAGGCTCTGCCTTGGCGAAGGCTGTACGAGTACGATGCGCTGTGCGGCTCTGGGCGTGTATCAAAATGTCGAGTGTCAGAACCCTCGAAGCGTGTTCAGATGTGAATGTTAATGGCCATAGTTGAGGTATTCTGTCCGGTTGTGCCACGAGGTGAGGCTACAGAGCGTTGCAAAGATATTCAGGTACGCGCCTGATGCAGGCAAGGGCTCGCAGATAAGCAACCTGGGGCCCCAGAGATGCTGCAGTATGATCTAGATGGGTGACCATCGAATGACGATGTGTTGGTTCATGGCACAAGGCACTAACGATGGAATGAGAATGATTTGAAGGGTTTGAAAAATGCCGGTAGTAAGTGCAATATATACAGTAACCCAAATGCATCTATCTTTCGCATGCGAACAAACGTGTAGTCTACGAGCCAGTAACGTGCAGCATCGAGCACATATATACAAATGATGCTTGCTTTTGAACTCTCCATCCCCAATCCAGTCCGAAAACAAATCGCTAGTCATAATATCAAAAGAAGCAAAATATGTGAAGAAAAACATTAACAAAGCATGATCCCTCAAACTTGCTTGTCCTGCACGACGTCGGCAGTAGCTGAGGGATTCGAGATGTTGGCGATCGCGCTCTGCAGAGCACTTGTCAAATCAATGTGGAAGAAGGGTCTGTTGAGGCCGTGCACAACGATCTTCTTCTGACTGGCTTGCGCCCCGTATGCCTTGCTGTTCTGGATCGTTTGGTTGATGTCGCTAGAGGCTTCACTGCTCTCGCCAGTGATCTCTCTGCTCTGCGAGTGACCAAGCTCAAGGTCGCGATGCCTCTTGTGCTCGGGGTGGTTCATAGCGTATTCGGCATCAGCAGCAGCACTCGATGAACCACCGAGCTCAGCGACACTGAAGATAGGCTTCCAGCGCTGGAACTCTTCACCCTCTTCAGTAGGGTAGCCAAATCCAGCAGATGCAAGGGCTCGTCGAGTCCAGCGGTTATTGATGTGAGCAAAGTGCCATTGCACCTTCTCTGGGGTGGTGTAACGATCAAGCTGGTTGCGGACGTCGATAAGGTGTTGTACGGAAGTGACATCGACGTTGTTGACAGAAGAGAAATCCAGAATAACAGCCTTGAGCGTCGGCAGATGAGTGTCAGCTACAGCAGCCTTACCACGACGCGGGCCAGGGTCGTTCCAAGGACGGTCTCCAGGTCTGCTGTATGGATTGGGATCATTGCGGCGGGTTTGCTTGAAGATCGAGGACACCATGTAGTCCAGGTAATGGTTGGCGTTGGGGTAGTTGTATCCTTCAGAAAATCTATAGATGAAAACTCCAGGGTAAGGGGACTCGGTGTCAATCATGGGGTTGGAACCATCATCGTGCTCAATAGGCAGGAAGATATTGCGGTCTGCCTTTTCGTGATCGTAGTGGTGGCCTTCAGTCTGGTCCTTGTCCTCGAGGAGATGATCTCCAATGACAGAGTGCACTTGGACCTTTCCGAGGAAACGGCCACGAGCTTTGACAACACGGAAGAGGAGGAGAGCGATGGATACACAGATAGTGGTGTAGATTCCATTCTCGATCGAGGAGAAGACAGTGACAAAGACACCAGCGAAGAAGATTATGACCTCGATCGGAGAAATCTTCCAGAACTGGTACACTGTGTTGGGAGGAGTGACGAGATCACCGACAGCATGGATGATGACAGCTGAGAGGACCGCATTGGGAATGTAGAAGAAGACCGCGGGCAGGGCATAGATGGCCAACAAGACGATGACGGCGGTAATGACACCAGCGAAAGGTGTGCGGACACCTGCCTTGGACTTGATGGCGGTACGCGAGAAGGAACCGGTAACAGGGTAAGCGCCGAGGAAAGGTCCCAAAAGGTTTGAAACACCAATGGCAACAAGCTCTTGGGAAGGATCGATGGTGTAGTTGTTGACTCTACCAAAGGACTTGGCGATAGAGATGTGCTCAATAAGCAAGACAATGACCGAAACAGGAAGCTGGCTGGCGAAAGTCTTGATGATATCCGTGGTGACTACGGGCACGGCAGCATGCTTGAAGCCACGAGGGACAGTTCCTAGAAGCTTGAATTTCGACAAGCTGTTCTTCTTGTGGATGTTAGGGATGTTGCGGTTAACCAACCAACTGATGAGAGTGTAGAGAAGAATGATGAAGACGGTGCGCAGTGTCGAGCAGAAGAACAAGATCCTACGGTGCTTGGGGAACTTGTTTCCAAGGTACTGGAAGCCAAATCTCAAAAGGTAGAGGAAAAAGAGAGCAGTGAGACCGATCGCGGCATCCAGTTTTGTTCTCCCAAGGTGCTGAAGGGTATGAATGACAACAAGGTATGTCGCATCACGAGTTGAGAAGCCGGTGATTCCCATCAATGTAGGGACCTGACCAACACAAATATTGATGGCAGATCCAGTCATGAATGCCGAAATCGAGGTAAGAGAGATGAAGTCGACGAGCCAGCCAAGGCGGGCAAGGCCCAGGAAACAGACGATGGCACCGACAATGATCGAGAGTGCAGAAGCGATGACATGACCTTCATATTTTCCGTGTTTGCCAGCTTCAAGCACGACGTTTCCGACGATAGTAGACATGACGGCGACAGGNNCTGTGGAGGATGTAAGCAAGCAGTCTGTCGAGGGTGAGGATTTAAAACTTACACCGATGGTAATATCCTTGGAAGTAGCAAAGAACCAGTAGATCAATACACCCATGAAAGACGAGTACAGACCGTACTCTACAGGGAGCTCGGCAAGTTTGGCATAAGCCATACCTTGGGGAACGACAACAGCACCGATGGTGATACCCGCGACCAAGTCACCAGAGAGCCACTGGAGATTGTAACGACCGATCCAGCGTGTGAATGGGAAGAGGTTGCGACCGTAGTTCATCATAGTCGCGCCGGTTGGAGTGACATCTCTGAACCACTCCCAGACTGTGGGCTCGGCTTCGACGAAGGTGTCGGCACTGGAAACAGAGAAGACAGACTCTCCTCTGGTAATCTTCTCAGCCTGCATCTCCTGACGGTAGTCGAGTTTGATGCCTAGGACTTTGGCCAGGCCATGGCCAACTTGAGCCCTTCTAGAAGGCATGTTGAAGGAGTGTGTAGGTAGTGTTGATCAACACACCAGGGTCCGGGTTGAGAGATATAAAAGTGGATATGAACAATGGAGAGGATTATCGAGAGACAAGGTGAGGGTTTATAGATGTCGCTTGCTTCAGAACTGAACGTTTATTGTCCAATGAAGGGCTTGGATGAGCAATCCGGGGTCTGGAAATGATGTTCTCCAGAAAGTGTGGGAGGCGTATTTGGATGAGGCAAGGGCTGCAAGCCAGAGGTAGAACTCAACAAGGATTGGTAAAGACTCGAGCCAGAACTAGGACGAACGGTCGTAAGCCGAACGGGTTTGACGAATCACAAGAACCGCGCAGGAGTCGGACAAGGCGTGCTGCACACGAAAGAAAGAAGGTGCAGAGATGCGACAGAGAAAAGACAGATTGGGAGACGAGAGCGGTAGAGACGACGAGGTCATATCGATCCAGATCTCAACCGGCAGGCATCAAGCTTTGAATCGACGTCGACCTTTCGTCGTCGTATGGGAGTAGTGGGCCGCCCAGCAAAGCATTGGTATCACATCATTGACGTGATACCAATTTGGGATTAGACGTTTGGCTTCGGTACCGATCCCCGCTGAATTTGGACCCAATCACAAACGCATGTCGTGGCGTGCTTTGTTGAGGGTTGACGACATTCCAAAGATCGATATTTCTCTCAGCCTTCAACAAGCATGAAGATGAGGCATGCCCTGTCAAAAGCTCTCAAGTACCAGAGCACGGGTAGTGAGATGGCGCCAGGGCTTAGACAAGCAAAATCTAGACGTCGACCACATGCAAAATTCGGACTGAGAAACGGTGGAGGAACAAGAGCAGAGACATAGCATGGTCGTTATTGCTCGACGACGTCGGAGGAGACCAAGAGCCGCATCCAAGTAGCAGGAGAAAGCACAACCAAAAGACATGTGAAACAAACGGGTCCAAGGGGGCAAAAAAATTCATGTCGGTGGTATTTGTGCTCCTGAAACTGGCAACGCGTAACACGATGGGAAGAGCAGCTTCTAAGCGCTTTGATAGTCTGTGACAGAGGTTTGCGACGACTCGCACTCGCAGGAAAGAGGTGACGAGAGAGCAATTTTGGTATCAGGAAGTGGGCTTTCACTCCATGTCCCCACAAGAAGAGGCTGACTGCCAAAGTGCCACCGCGGAGACAGGCGATGATGATGTCGAAGAGAGTTTGGTAGAAGCAAAAGGAGAGGCGCTCAGACGCTGAGCGCCACGCTTCCGGTGCCTGCCCCGGCAGTTTGTTTGACGGAGAGAAGCCCCAACAATCACGTGGGAGTTGCTCGCAGCAGCCTGGCCAAGAAAAGCTCAGACGCGATGCACGCAAGCACGAGGCTCATCCACGGGTACGCGTGGTTATGGACAACAACGACGAAGCAGTCGACTGAAGGTTCGTGACAACATGACCAGTCTCGAAACACTGGTCCTCAAAGGCCCTGTGGGCGACGCAGAGTCAGGGCTGGAAGAGTTGCGCTATACAGTCTTGTCAGATGGCATAGCTAGCAACAGCGATGGCATGGTGAGGAGGCCTGATGTAAACAAAGGCTTTTTCGTAGCAACGCCTAACATATATCCCATTCTANNGTCCGAGCTGCGCATCTACATCTGGCTCATCCTGCTCAACGTGCCTCCGCTCCGTACCGATGCCTACCTCGATCTTGTACGACAGGGTGCCTCGCCTGCCTATACCAAGATCCGCAACGACACGTTCCGCACCTTGACCACCGACCCTCTGTTCCGCCGTCGCGTCACCGAAAACAGCCTCACCCGCGTCCTCAATGCCATCGCCTGGAAACTGCATGACGCCCACGAGGCCCGCGTCAACGGATGGATGTCACCTCCTACCCTGTCTGTACCCAGGAGCATCGACGGTCAGTCAGACCTGGTCACATCGCCCACCTCGCGACACCGCGCCTCTATCACCGGCACCGAAGGCTCCGAGGCCGGAGACGGAGCTTCTCATGTTGGTTATGTCCAGGGCATGAACGTCATGGCTGCCCCCTTCTTGTATGCCGCTCGCAGCGAGGCCGAGGCATTCGCTGCCTTTGATCGCTTCATCACAGTGGAGTGCCCTGGCTATGTAAGAGGCTCCATGGATGGTGTGCACAGAGGTTTGGCCTTGGTCGATAAGATTCTTGCCATTGTAGACCCCAAACTATCCGCCTACCTGGCAAGCAAAGGCATGGAGGCCCGCATCTATGCTTTCGCCAGCGTCCTGACCATGTGTGCCTGTACGCCGCCTCTACCTGAAGTTCTCCAGCTGTGGGACTTCTGCTTCGCCTACGGCCCGCACTTGAACTTGCTCTGCATCGTCGCTCAGTTGGTTCTCATCCGAGATCAGCTTCTAACCAGTCCGAGGTACGTCCACCATCTAACCCACTACATACATCGCATCTAGACCTAACATTGANNCAGCCCAAACCAAATCCTGAGATCGTTCCCGCCCCTTCAAGCATCCAAGATCAAGCCCATGGCTATCAGCTTTGTACGAAAACTCCCCGACGATCTCTATCAACAAGTTGTCGATCATGCCAAATGAGCATGTGAGAACGAATGCATAACGAATCATGACCAACACCACACGACGCTATGATCTGATGATAGGCGCAAAATCCGGCATTCTGAACAATGAACAATGCGCTTGAGGACGGACGGGGATTTATTCGCTCTAGGTAAATCCAGAGGCGCGCATGAGTCGAAGTCGTATAACCACCCCATGCCCATCGGTTCGCTCGGATCGGATAGAAATGAGAAGATTGGAACAAATGCATGTTTAAGGTCAAGGAGGCAGAGATTGAAAGCGGAATTGCATTGTTGTTTGAATGCTCAAGGAATGCAACTGCTTCTGCCGAGGCCCACACTCCAGCTTCGAGATCAAAGAACACTCCCCAAATCCACAACCCGGAAGCAGGAACTCCCATGCATCATTCTTTGTTTCTTCCATCGTCATTGTCTCAAGAAGTATTCGAACATCTACATCAACCTCCGATATGTACTTCTTTGTGTCTCAGGCGTTTGCCTGCCATGGTTCGGTCCTCGTCTGTAGCGTAGAAGACACAGCATGTTCATCGATTCAAAGCCGACATCTCTGTTCTCTGGCGGCTCTCATAGCTCAAGGAGCTCCTTCGCCGAGATAGAGCATCCAAAGCCTCAACTGCGACGGCCACCAGCTGTGCTGAATCATTCGTCTTCGTCCCTCAGTTTGAATGGTTTCGAGAAGTCGGCCCCATCGTTTCAATCATTCATAAGAAAGACACCGACACCGAATCAAGATAAACCTCTCCCACCCGTGCCGACAATTGAAACATCAGAGTCATCCCCCATCTCAACACGACGCACTTCGAGCATCTACAGTCGCACTGTCTCTCAGTATGCACCGACACCTGAATCGTGGAGGGACGAACAGTATTTGATGCCGACCTTCTTTCTGCAGCCATCTGCGTACAGCTTGAGTACTCCCGAGCTTACTTTGAAAGATACACCACAGTCAATTGTACCACCGAGGCCGTGTGCGCCGCTGATCACTAGTCCATCACCAAGTCCGAGCCGAACATCAACACCTTCGCCACCTCCAGATCGTTTCTGGCAAGAAAAGCTTCTGCCTCCTTCGCCGCACATGCTGCGTATAGCGACTCAACATATTAGGACTGTGTCGTTGGACAAAGCAAAGGCCGCTTTACGTTCGCCGGGAGTGCAGCAACTTCTCCCGGAAGAGATGAGGGCGTTGGCTGCAGCCAAGAAGGCAAATCAACAACATATGATACGAGGCAGCAGATCATTCGAAGGTATCGTGCCTCTGCGGATACCAGTACTCCCTCCAGTCCTCCCAAGTCCCAGTCTTCCGTCACCAACCCCGTATGACTGGCCTCTACAAGGAAATAACTACTTTGACAAGCATAGGTCGAAATTGTCCGACGAATACTTCGACATGGACAAGGAGAAACGAACGTCGATGTCACCTGTTGAGAGGCAGTTGAAATCCCCGATCGAGATATCAATCACCCATCCGTTAGAGCCTTCAACAGTGGACTACGAGCCTCGTGGCAGATCGCGTGAGCAGTCACGAACAGGGTTCAGCAGACGGCCCAACGACTACGAGAGTAAGGTCATCGATGCATACGAAGACAGGACTCTAGATGCATCCTCGAACGAAAGTCTAATGGATGAGGCCAAGCGATTGGCCAACGAGTACCACGCCTTGTTCAAGGAGGAAGCCAAAGTTTCTGGTTTTCGAAAGCACAGCGCTTCATCCAACAGTATCAAGGAGAAGATGAAGCTTGTACCACAACCACTGTTTTTCAACCCTAGACAAATATCCAGACAGCGAGAGCTTGAGTATCAGAAGTCGCGCAACAAGGCTCATTCGCCGGCAGCAAGCAAAAGTCCGAGTTCGCGGGCTGCCCCTCGCGAGCAGCGAAACAGTCCCAAAGGAAAAGAGCGCGCACTCAAATTCCCCTACAAACTGTCTCTCACACCAGAGTCTACAGGCGCAAGACGTCGTCGCAGCACAAGTGGCAGCATACCGATTTCACCGCCACTCCCTAGGCACGAAGCCCCAAAGACAAAAGAGCTGCCACCTCCCGCTGTACAAAGGAAACAAAGCATCGACGACTCTGACTCCTTCTCGGCCTTCTACCAGCGCATCAATGCGGGCGCGGAGCAGCTAGCTAGGGAATATGGCAAGGCTGGCAGTAAAGTCACTTTCGATATGGACACGCTACCCACTATCCTCTCACGTCCGTCAGACGAAACCGCGCATTCTTCGCAAGCATCGCTTTATGGGAAGAGGAAGCAATCCTATGATAGTGGCATCAGCAGTGTAGCTTCTTCAAGAGGCTCAAAAGCGCCCTTGAAATCGCTCACCAACAAGATGACTTCGGTGTTTGTGCGAAAGTCGTCGGTCAGTGCCGTGGAAGGAACGTCAAGCCTGGTCGAGAACTTCAAGCAGCGAAGACCTTCGTTCCTTGTTATCAGTGCACCGCAACCAATATCAATGGCGGAAGCGTATGATCCCATGAGGTTGCAAGCATCGTCGTCTGCAGCGTCTTATGCTGCAAAGAAGCGGCCAAGTGTCTTTGCAGGAATCAAAGATCATAGACGCGAGAGCAAGGCTAATAAGCGGAGGGAAGAGCTCAAGAAGACTATAAAAATGGTACCACTGGGAGGAACGCCTCAAGCGCCGCGAAAAGATGGCGAGTGGCTGTAGCGGTCGAAGTTCAGTGTGCACATAGTTTACATCATGTTATATCTACACCAATATCTATGGGTCATAGGATCCGATCAACTCGTACGTGTGTCAGAGACGTGTATATGTTTGGATCGTCCCTTCCGCAACTCTCGTACCAGCGTCCATGCACGACTGTCGAGCAATATAAAAGCATTGTAGAAATTGACAAAACAGAAGCCCTCTCTAGCCGCCGAAAGCTAGGAGGGGAAGAGAAAGCAAGCTTTCGTCATTATTGTTGTCGGGCGAGGATTACTGGGACCTCTGGCATAAAGGGGATTTACAAACAACCCGGAGAATCGAGCCAGTGGACTCCGGCCGCATGTGTGGGAGACACGAGCTACTACCACTGCGCCATTCCACCGGTTCGATGGAGGAAATGCTGTTTGGGATCAACATAACACCATGTTGGAGTCCACTTCACTTCTGGTCGAAAAGTCAGGGGTAGGTCGCCTTGTGTGCGCCTTCCTCAACCCCTTCACTCACTGATTCAGCTATCTGCGATCAAGCTTGCTTCTGTATATCACAACCTGAAGTGGAAAGAACGTCTGTCTCGTCAAGCGTCTCGGTTCTGTTTTGAGACAAAGAAATCCCAGCGCATGATCCAGAATCTCAAATTTCCAAGACAAAGCAACCACGCATGTCTAATCTCAAGTCGTCCTTTGTCTTATACAGAAGCATGTCCCGGTGGCTGATCATGTCTTTCGAGTCGTGTGGGAAAAAGACATGTCTTCAAAGACGCGATTGACCTTTCCAATAAGTATTGCTTCGTCTCTGATCCTCTTCATCACCCATTGTCACTTTTTCCTCCTCTGCTGTCTGTGTATACCTTCTCTCCAAACACTTTTCGCTGGTCGAAGACTCCAAAGACAACACTTGTACATCCATCTATATCAGCCATGCTTTCCACACAAACAAACCAGAAGCAAGAAACCAAGATGTCAACACCCACCAANAAGGATCAACTCGCCGCCAGGATTGCACACCTGAAACTGCGTCTCGCACCTCTCGTACCCCTTCCAACCGGCGCACCCCACCCAGATTTCCCTCAAACACTGCTCGATTACCATCTCCTGAGCGAGGAACAACTCGATGCCATCGCCTCTTACTACCATCAATCCACCCCCAGCATCTACACACACCAGTACCCAGCCTGCATGAACTGGGACAAGGAAATGCTAGCTAAGCGCCGCGCCAGCGTAGCCCAACACCTGCGCTCCGCATCGCAGGTAGAAAGCAATCAATGGTGGGAGAGCCTGTTGGCTGCCGAGGAAGCAGACAATGCGATTATGGTCAAGAGACGACCGAGTGTACAGTTTGCAGAGGGCTTTACAGATGCAGAGAGAATTGCCATTAAGAGGCGCAAGTTTGGAAAGTTTGTTGGGTTGATGAATTGTGAGACGCCGGTTGAGGAGATTGAGGGTCGTTTGAGGGCGTCGATGGANAAGGCAATTCTGCTTGCGCAGGAGGAGTTGAGGAGGGCTGAGGAATGGGAGCTTAGGCGGCCGAAGATGGTGTGAGGTGTTTCTTGTCGGGGTTGTTGTAGCGATCACTTTGTATCGGTCTTTTTCTCTCTCCTTAGGTCCTTGATCTGTCGTATCGTGAAATCAACCATTAAATTCTTCGCTAAAGGGGTATTTAATCATGTATGTGCGAGTGATGTATGTAGCTATCAAGAGCAAGCCTACCGACTAGGCTGACTCAAAGCTGTTCTGCTCCCTCCCTGTCGAGCCGTTGACATTTGCCAGTGTAGAACCCATGATATCTACATCTTCGGAGTCTTCTCTGCGGTGCCGGTGTTTCCTGTGCTTGCGTCTACTCGATCCGCCTCTGCTACTCGAAGACGATAGACCGGCGTCAACCTTCAGTCGCTCAACATCCGGACCGAGTTCGTACATACTATCGCCACGGTCGTGGTTGCAGCAAGGCGAGTGTCGTAGAGGCAAGAACCAGTCATACCAACGGTTGCCCATGATAGATTTGAGGTTTCGGAAAGCCCCAAGGTTCCAAGGATTCATGCCAGGATGTGTGCGCAATATGGCGAATGTTCTAGGTGGCGATGATGTAGGTGGTGGTAACGTTGTCTTTGAAGATGCATCAGGCATCACTGTCAACGGATATGTGATTGTGCCCTGCCAGGNGTCTTCGTCGTCTTCTGATCCATGTGTTGGTTTAACGTGGTCTGTTGACATAGGTCTAGGTTGCCGATGTTGCGAAGAGTCAACTAGTACGGCGATGTGCATGACTCTTCTCTGGTGACCGATGTTGTCAATAGTTGTGAGGTTCTTCAGGGCAAGTCCGATACTAGTCATCGCCATTCCGCCTGCGAATAGCGTGAAAACAGCTCCGAGGGTTACACCAGCGACCCAGTTGCCACCTGGTGAGTTTCCCTATTGCACAATTAGCATTTGCAGAACAAAAAGATGAAAGCAGACGAGCGATAAGAATAGAGAAGCACATACTCTGCCTCTGGCTTCAGCGACAAAGATAGCCATAACGATCATAACAAATAAAGCATAAATTCCAGCGTACGAGCAGAATTGAATGAAGAAATTGAAGTTTCGCTCTCCCACGACTCCTCCTACCCNACTAGATCGAAACACGAGTTAGCGGAGTTGCTGGAACGATTCTTGGCTGCTACGAACCGGACAGAAATGATCCATCTTCAAGACACATCGACCAACATCGCTGCCGTGATGTGATCGATCTGGCTTCCAGTTGTTACAAACGCCGCACCAGATTGGAAGGCCATTCTGATCGCAAGCAAAGACATCCCTCGAGTAGAAGCGTTCTGTACCTGGTGGTGGCGGTAATTCGCCACTCAAGATGGCTTTCGTGTCTAGTAACGTAACTGCAGGCTCCTGAGGAGTTGAAGTGTACTTCTTGTCGGCGGACTGATTCGTACCATCCTGGACCTTGGTACTCGTACATGAAGCCTGGATGTTATGCTGAGGAGGAGCTTCTGTTGCTGGCCTGACTGGAGTAGCAGCTGTAGGGCTTCCTTNTTCGATATACCCGGGATGTGGTATAGTCATGAGAAGTCGTAGATAGCTAATTGTCATCGGAAAGAAGAATACAAAGTATAGCACTATAACGGCGATTCCTGTGCCGTTTCGACCTCCATGTTTGATAAGATAGTTGGCNNTAGAACGGTCAGCTGTGGTTCTAGATATCCGCACGCTTCGAGGATGGATGCGGGCTCGGTTTGGAGAAGGCGTTTTGCTCCCACTCAAGTGCCTCATTCGCGACCCACAACTCCTTCTTCAAGACCAACCCAATTCAAACTCGAAGCAAAAGTGGCACTTACTGCCTATAAGGACGACCACAACCCAGGTGACATAGCCAACAATCCCTATCAACAAAGCCGGAACAATAAGCGCCGTTGTCTTGTTCGCGGCTTGCCTGTTCTCCAGTGATGTTGGCGGCGGTCGCGGTTGACAACACTGTGACATGCTTCAGTGCTTTGGTTTACAGTCCGGACACAGTGAGATATCGAATCGACTCGTGGGTATTTGTTAGTATGAGAGTCGCATGGTTGCCGCGTCCACACGCAAATTGTGTCGTCATCGGCAGTCGCGTTTCACCAGCCTCCCGAAAGAGTCTGCCAACTGCCAACTTCCTCATTTATTTATTTTTGACCGCAACCAAGAATGGCATTTACTTGACACGACCTTTACGTCTCAACATGCATTGGCTCAAAATATATGGTGCGATTCATAGAACCTTGCTGTTACAGTGGATTGTACGACCAGAATGTCGTAAAGCCAAAGGATATTAACAGGTTGAAGATATCGAGTATGTATACATGTTGACATACATTCGCAAAGAAATGCTATGATGGCGACGTGGGGACAAGATGTATAAAAGGATGGAAGATGTAATGTAGCATAAACACTAGAACTCCGCTGCCCGTGTACTAACCCAAAAAGATCACAAACCAATTCTACTCGATACAAAGTCTAACTGTGGGCTTCGGTCTCAGCAGGTGGATATATAGCACTGCAACTTGTCAGCATATGGGCATTGTTTGTTGATCACTCGTAGGACTTACCNNCCCATGCAACCGTGGGAACTGTGGTGGGCGCGCCTGTCAAGTTCAGAGCATTGTAGTCATTGCCAGCAGCATTGCCTACGTAGTCCATAGGATAGGTCTTGCAGGCGTTGATGTGATCTGCCGGGAGAGTGAAATCACTGGCAGCGAGTTCCTCTGGAGCTTCAATGAAAGTAGCGCTGAAGCCAGCTTCGACATGAAGCTCAATGTGGCAGTGGAAGAGCCAAATACNCTTTCTCTGTCAGTACTGTAAATTACCATCAATCTCCTTGTACCAACCTGGATTGTCAGCCTTAAATCTGACCACAGCATAGCCCTCGTTCTGAACCATGACCGTATCTCTTCTGATCGGCGTGGCTGGTAAGTTCGAGTATGAACCACTGAATGTACCAGCTCTGGGGTCTGATCTTTCAATGATTTGGAACTGATGGCCATGAAGATGCATAGGATGNNCTGTACGAACAGATTGTGAGTAATCAGTACATAGGCACCAGATCGAGGTTGCACTTACGAGATTGGAGTGCAAATTGTTCATAACCACTTCGACGACTTCGCCGTATTTGAAGACGTAAGGATTGACATCTCCATAAATATCTGGGTTTGATACTTCAGTCTCATTGACAGTGAGAGATGAGTACAGCGTAGGCACTTTGGCACCTAAAAATGTGTGGCCGTTCAAAATGTATCTTTGAAGCTGTTAGTGTTGTTTACTCGCAAGCGAGTTGGAGACGTACCTGGAGATGCCGGTGATATTCTCCATAGACATATCGATGACCAACTGTCGATCGACTGGTTCGAGAAGAGGTTCCCGATCCAACGGAACGTAATCGACATCGTCAAAGAAGTCGTCATTTCCAAGGTTGTACAAGACTGGTGGTGGTGGGTAATCTGCACTGGTGTTGTAAACCAACCAGGCGGTGGCGTTGAGTGGGTAGACAGGATCGGGTGTGAGGCCTTTGTTGATGAACAACATGTTGGGATCCTGGAAATCAAGAATGGCGTAGTTTTTGCTTGTCTCGTCCTTGGTTCTCATCAGGAATGCTTGTCTTTGTCCAGGAGCGATTCGAACGTTCTTGCCCCCAGCGGTAGCAACAACAGGTACAGTGTATACACCGTCGACCTCTACAGTCGTTTGATTATGACCATCGAAGACCCAACCGTGACCAGTGAAAGCAGCGGGGCAGATGATACGAACTAGATAAGTGGTACTTGGCTTGACATGAATTGAGACGTTCTTTCCAGAATTGATCAAGGCTCCTCCTACTGGATTCGGAGTGCCATCCTCTGCTTCGCCAGCAGTGGATTGATACTGATGAATTATGTAAGGCATTTGATCGTTGTACCAATCCGAGAGCGTTATGATGAGCTCTTCGTCGTACTGATAAGGCGGGTTTGGATCACGAACGATGAGTGGTCCCCAAAGGCCGTCAGGGTACTGACCCATGTTGTGAGAATGCCACCAGTAAGTGCCTGCTTGGTCGGNCCTGCAGAGACTATGTTAGTAGTTACCTTCACGCATCGGCAGCCGACTTACAATCCAGTCATACGTAAAGCTCTGGCCAGGGGCTATCGGACATTGAGTGGTTCCAGTCGCCCCATCCATATGATTTGTGCCTCTCTGGTGAATACCGTGCCAGTGAAGTGCTGTGCTCTCGTTCCCGAGGCCATTGTAGACGTTTACAACCACACGGTCTCCTGTCATAACATCGATGGATGGACATGNGCCTGTAGGCTGTTAGACAAATATTAATTTGAGCTGAGACTACAATCAGACTTACCATTGACCGTTAACGCCGATTACAGGACGAGCTATTCCATCAGGTGCAGCAATCACCCACTCGATGTTCCAGTCATATGCCACTGTATTGCCAGTTGTTGAGGAAGCATGGCTAGTGAGTGCGGTGTCAGTCTTGGAGGGAGATGCGGAGTTGTCGGGGACACTCAAGTTGCTCGCAGAATAAGGCGCCGAAGTAGCGATGGTTGAAGATGTTGTTATCGATTCTGTGGAAGAGACGCTGGAAGTGACAGCTCCGGTGGTGGACCAGGAAGAAGACGATGTGTCTTGCCATACATATGGAGGCTTGACATTGCTGGTAGCAGGAGTCGCCGAGCTCAGAGTCTGGACCGACGATGCAGACTCTTGCCAGGCGGAGGAAGATTCAGAACCCCATCCATTCTGATAGCCTCCATAAGAATGACCCCAGGCGCCGTAAGGATTCGAGCCTCCTGCTGCGATGTGTTGAGTCAGAGATGCCCAGACGAAGCAGTAGGCTAGTGTTGTAGAGGACAACATTGCCGGTGAAGAACCAAAGAAAACGAGATGTAAGATGCCGAGACCACACTAAGTGGATTGAGATCGAAAGTTGTTCGCTGTCTTTTATGAGAGGTTGCACATCTGCGAATCTTCACGATAGAAGATGGAAGGAAGGCGGGAGCACCGGCAGTATATACTACCTGTTGGTCGAGGCTTGGAGGCTGGTTGGCAGTCCTGAATTGTCATTCTGGGCACATTGAATCATTAGTCGATGGTGTGGTGATCCCCAAACGAGCTTGTCATCTCTCGTGCCGCTGAGCCGTGAGGGTTTATTTTGGCAAGAGAGAGATTTGGGGAAAGGCTATTCCCGTCTGACTGGAAGGTCAATTAAAGAAGTACCGGATCTTTGTACTAATTGAGGCTACGTCTAATCACTATCATCTGGTCAGGATCAGTGTAGAGCAAGGCTTAGTACCAGTCATGTCAGTCAACCATAAACATCGTGGCTCAGGTGGCAGAGTGACGTTGTACCAAAGTCTGTGAATGGCGGACGAAGCCTTGATGTATAGTTGGAAACGCAGGTCAGCCTGCACGCTGCATTGTCAAGACCTACAGACATTCCTCCGAAGGACAAGAGAGACATCATCACTAGTCGATGATCTAGTATTTGCGTATGGAGAACATGTACCAAGCTAAAGGTTATCATTGAAAGGCGTTCAAGATCTGAAAATTGAGTCTATACTTGCAGCTTGAGTGTGTTCTCAGGACTTAGTGAGACACTTGTCACGGTTCTTGAGATGGAAGCGAGCATAGAACCGTCGCCTGAATCCAAAGCACTGTGGCAACGAGTAGACGATTTACCTCTACAGGAAGCATGGCAGGGTGCACCTTCTAATTTGGGTTATAGCCAATCGTGTTGTGTATGATTGTAGGTAGAGTAGGTGGCCGATGCCGAGAAGCTTGAGATAAGGTAGAGTGATGGGAAAAGTGGCCGACCTCGGAGGTTTGCAACCCCGGATGCCGAGCTCGGCTCCTGCCTTCTACCACACTCTACTTGGATACCTCACACTTGGCTTCGTAGACAAGCTTTCATCATGAACATCATCCTTGCAGCTCAAGCCATCGTGGTCTACAGATGATACATCCATTGCATCACCAAGACGCAGCGATGACCGAGTCCAGCTAAGCACGTCAGATTTGCTCCCGAGAAGGTAGCGTTCTGGTCTGGTCAATACATGTTGTCAGCTTTACCAGTCTGAGAGACTCGTCTTACACCCAATCAGACAAGTGCGGGTTCTCCAACCATAGCCTTGTGGCTACTAAGAATACACACCACAATGCTGTGGAACGGGTGCTGAGGAGCGGGTAAGCTGTGCGACACAGTCGCATGTACATATGGTACTCAAGCGCCGTTCTTCGGAAACCATAGCCAGCAGGATCATGAATCTCCAACCAATTTTCAAATGGACGATCCAACAGCTTACGAGCTATATGTAGTTCTCTTTCTGACCAGCAGGCTCGACCCTCAGCTGACCATTCAGCGAAGAGACGATTGTCTCCCAAGCTCGCACCTTGGCCGCAGCTCCATCGTGTAGCTCAGGATTCTGAGAATTTCCCAGGATCTCCCAGTGTTGTAGCCCACCACCATGCTGACTTGAACCTTTGGCTGTCAGGCTACGACGAAGAATATGGAAATAGCAAGACGGGGCCTGCGCCAATCGCTTTTCCGAATGACCGAGAGGCGTCTCACATTCGAGAAGAGCATTTGAAGCATGTAGGCACCCAACAGATCTTTTATATCACTAGACTTGGCTGCACTTGTGTCGTTTCTGCGAGACGAGACATGCAACAAGGTATACATACCAAGGAAGCACCAATACAACCAAGACATACCCATCATGGGCGGATACTCGCCTTATCCACGNCGCTGTGGTGAACAATTTCCCCATGCGGAGCGGCTACGTGCAGATTCTTCGAGCGAAGCATTTTCTTTTGACGAGAACCATGCATCAAGAACCGATTTCGCTCGTTCCGAAACAACTCTCGGGCAGGCCCCGAACTATCCACAAACACCTATCGGCCAAGCTGTTTCCTTCGACTTCGACCTCAACAATGTCTCAATCAACACAAGCAAGGTGCCCACTCTGCATGGCTGCGCTTCAGATGAAGCCATAACACCCATCAATCGCGAACCTCGTGTCGAGAAGAGTGACCTCACAGCACTTCCGCCCGTACCAGAGGCACCTACGAAGGCCAAGCTGAATGCTCGCGAGCTTCTGTTCATCATCAATGTCTGCATGGCTCAATTTCTCACTCTCGGCGGGCTTGGCCAGTCCGTGGCACCGCTTTTCATCATTGGCAAAGACTTAGGAGTTGCCCCAACGGATCTTGGAACGATGAGCTGGTACACCGCAGCGTTCAGTTTGACAGTTGGCGCATTCATATTGCCTGCCGGTATGCCTTATCTACACTCCACGCTTGCAACAAGATGCTAAATGAAGTCAGGTCGTCTAGGAGATATGTACGGGCACAAACGCATGTTTATCGTCGGCTGGATATGGTATGCTGTCTTTTCGATCATTGTAGGCTTCAGCTATGCAGCCAAATCGAATGGCTCCGTGATGCTCAGCGTCACCCGTGGCTTCCAGGGGATTGGACCCGCCATCCTGGTGCCCAATGCCATGGCGCTCGTCGGTACCACTTTCCCCGTTGGCTTGAAGCGCAACATGGTGTTCTCGGCATTCGGCGCATGCGGTCCCACTGGTTTCGTATTTGGTGCCATCTTCTCTGCTCTACTATCACAGTTCGCATGTAAGTTGTCGACCTCCGACCTCTATGGAAAATGTAGACTGACGTAGTAAGGGTGGCCCTGGGCGTTCTGGGTGCTCGCTATACTCTGCGTCGGCATGGCAGTACTATCGTTCATGGTCATACCTTGTCCGCTTCCGCGAGAGGGCAACACCTCCACTTTTGATTTTGCAGGCGCCTGCACCGGCGTATCTGGGCTTGTTCTCTTCAACTTCGCCCTCAACCAGGCACCTGTGGTAGGCTGGAACAAGGCTTACATTCCCTTCACTCTAGGAATGGGGGTAATGCTACTCATTGCATTTGTCTACCTCGAGATGAATCACGCACAGCAAGCCTTGGTGCCCGTCCGAGGTCTCAGCAAAGAAGCTGTACTAGCACTATCATGCATCGCTGCCGGCTGGAGCAGCCACGGCATCTGGCTCTTCTACCTCTTTCAGTTTGTGCAGCGCCACAGGGGATCCAGCGCCATTGCCGCCGCAGCACAAATATCTCCGGTGGCCATCACGGGAGTCGGCTTTGCCATGTCCGCGGGTTGGCTGGCCCGAAAGTTCAAGACATCATATATCATGCTGTGCGCCATGCTCGGTTTCTTCATCGGCACCTTGTTCCTTGCTTTTGTGCCCGTGGGCCAAACGTACTGGGTCCTCACCTTTTGGAGTGTGCTCATCATGCCCATCGGCATGAATTGGAGTTTTCCTTCCGGCACTATTTTGCTCAGTAATGCCATGGCCAAGGAGCACCAGGGCATTTCTGCTAGCTTGGTGTCCACTGTGGTGAACTACAGCATCAGCATCGGCTTGGGCATTGCAGGTACCGTTGAGAGATATGTGAGCCAGAATCACGGTTCTCTATGGGGGATCCGAGGCGCGTGGTGTTTGGCACTCGGTCTCGATGCCATCGGTGTGGGCATTGCTGTATATTTTGTCGTGATATCACGACGGCAGCCAGCGTCATAGAGGAGACAGAGCCTCATTCTCAGTGCCGAGTTGCCAGTTTGCAGGATGGTCTTGGATGTAAATGTAATATAACAGATTAGGGTAGTAGAATGTCTCATCCACAAAACGTACAGTGGATTATAATGCAGAGCCTTACACATTCCGATGTTTGTACTACACTCGGTTGCTCGAAACAGCGGCTGACCCGATACCACATTTACAAGGGTCTTTGAGCCTCAAACATGTGGTGATGCAGTATGCAGAACGAATTTGTTCCATGCATGGAGCCGTGTCCAGATGCGTATCCTGCTTTCACCTCATCATTAAATTGTCTGCGCTATGATGGCATGTTTTCTCGCCACTGTATCGTATATGCATGCATGGGTCATAAGGAGCATTCGAAGATCCAAACCAGCAGCCTCTCCATGTGCTCAAGTCAGTCACATGGATAACGGTCACAAGAACAAACAATGTCTTTGCGCAGCAAAAAGAGCAGTGCTCTCGCGGGGTTGATCATGTCGATGGCTCGAGCTGTGGACATGTCCGATTACTGAGAAGTTCTCTATAGCTTCAACATTGCTTTATTGCTAAGACGAGTGGCAAAATGTCATCAACTTTGGCGCACGGAGAGAAATACGTCAGGGTGGGCAAGGACTGGTGGGAGCTTCTGAAAGGATCAAGCACGATGTATACGAAGCATTGAAGGGAGAACTTGGATAGTAAAAAGTGTTTTGTTTTATCAGCAGCATAATTGCTGTATGGTTGAAAAGGGCAATAGCACAGCTTTGGTTGTTCCTCCCGTTTTGTCGCTTTGTTTCGCTCCTTCTCCTTTCGCTTGCCTGGAAGGGGTATCATTGGTAGTAATAATTCATCAGTATAGTGTAACACCAGAAGCTGCCGAAAATGCAAACGCAACAAACGCTTTAACTCCATGCCATCAGTCCTTGTCTTGTGATACCTCTCCTCAAAAGGGACCATCCCCAACCTTGTCGAACAAGACTCCGTTCGACTTGAGAGAAACTTGCTCAGCAACTCTAAGAGCAGCGTTCTTCTCCATCAGACCCTTTCTCTGTACGGCGAATTTCTGCTGTTCTTCGAGATTGCCGAGCATAGCGTCCATACCTTCCTTCCAGCCTTCTTCGCCGTACATGGCTTTGAGCTCCCAGGCAGTACTGCGTGTGAGGTGCGAGTTCAACATAGCAAGAGCTCTAGCCTTTTGGGTCTCGTAGTCTGCATTGCGCATCTCTTCGTCAACCTCGCGTTGGCGCTTCTTCTCGGCTGCGAGAACGGCCTTGCCTTCTTCATATGCTTTACGACGGGCGACGATTTCTCGAGTGCGACGAGACTTTTCCGCCATGTAATGGAGGCTGTGGCCAAGGTTCTTATTGGGGTCGTTGGCCTCTTCGGCGAGTTGGATGGGAGGGGCAGCGAAGAAGAGTATGCGGCCTTGATCATCTGTCTGATACATGTTGCGGATCTCGGATGGGATGCTGGCGTTGGCGGCATCGGGTAGCGTCCAGACTTCAATAGGCACGGGATCGCGGTATGATGAGCGGCTTTGTGAGGCGGAGGGAGCAGGCGGGATAGTAGGAGCTTGGGTTTGGAAGGTTGAAGGGTGGCTAGCGGTGCGAGGTAGAGGCATGGCGGCCATTTGCTGAGGNNGGGTGGCGGGATTGAACTGGCCAGAGGAAGCGCGTTGGAGACTAGGCATTGGTGCAGGCGAGGCCGAATGATTTTGTGTGTAGTGTTGCTGAATGGGAGCAGGAGTGTGCGAGAGACGTGCCATGGATTGCATGGGACGAACGGGTTGGGCAGCCGTTTGCATGGGCGTCATCTGAGACTGCATGGGCGAATAGGCCTGCATGGTAGCAGCCGGATTGGACGGCGACATGTGCAAAGGCTGAGACTGACGGGGTAGAGTTTGAGCGGTGGGAAGCTGAGGCGGAGGCGAGGGAGTGGGCTCTGGAGGTGGAGAGTCTCGGGGATCGCGAGGACGTTTGTGGACAGCGCCAATTTTGGGAGGAGCATTCTCCGCTCCCCACTCAGGCTTGGGCATGTCGTCCGTCTCCTTGTCGGTGTCCTTGAGCAGGTATGCGATCGGACTGGCTATCTTTCTCATCTTGCGTGGCTGGTCGAACAGATCCATCTCGTAGTCTCTGTCGCGCACCTCGTCTGGCAAACAACTGGCCCACGTCTTGATCTTGTTGAACTTGAACTTCTCCTCGTTGTAGCGAGCCTCGCACACGTAGACATCCAAGTCGGCGGGTTGGCGACGTGGGCGACCCTTGTAGTAGCGTGTTGTGAACATGATGAAGCATCTGCCAATAATCTCGTCAACACGGTGGTCGCGGTACTGGCCAGTCTTGACCACTTCGTTTTCGAGGAAGTGCTTGTCAAAGCGATGTACTGTCTGTTCAGGGCGGTAGTACCAGCAGACGTTGACCCACTGGCCGCCTTGTGGATCTTGCCAGGTGCGGTATATTTGACAGGGAATTGGCTTGGTCAGGTCATTTGCGTTGGTGACATGGACCCAGTCGCCGACCTTGTAGAGTTCGCCGTTGTAGAGAATGCCATTGGGCAGGGNGATTCTGCCTTCATCCATGGCATAATCTGTGTCGGGCTTGTTGCGTTCCTCGTTGGCCAGACGGTGCGCCTCGGCCTGCAGCTCGACAGCGTCCCTGTGAATCTGGCTATCGTCCTCGTTGTATGATTTTGCATTGTTGAACATGAGATCTACGTCTTTCATGAACTGCTCAAGTGACTGGTACTTCTTCCTCTTGAGCTTGCGCTTCAGCACATCGAATGCCATGGGTTCTCGTATCTCGGAGTAGTACTCGGGCATAACTGCCTTGTCGGGTAGGCGTTCAAAGCTTCCGATTTTGAGACCGCCAGGGCCTTTGGGTTTCCTGATGCCCTTAAGGACGGCTTGGATGCGAGCTTCGACAGGAGTGAGGACCTTTGGCGGTCTTCCGCGCTTCTTTCTGGTCTCGGGGTCGTCGTCTTTGTCCAAGTCGCGATCGCGTTTTGACGGACGGCCGCGCTTCCTCTTACGTTTGCCGCCATCGTCGTCCGAGTCGTCTCCGCCTATGTCGTCGTCCTCTTCATCATCTTCGTCCTCGTCGTCGTCCTCTTCCTCAACAATGTCGTCCTGAGGCGGAATCTCGCCAAGGTAAGGGAATTTGGAAACGTCTTCCGAGATGACTTTCAGGTCGACGAGCTTCTTGAGTTCGGTGCCGACGACGTCGCGAATGGTCAAGGCATCCTGGTATGCGCCAGCGTCGGCTCTGTTGTAGGTTTGGGCGTTGAAAACGATCAGAGCCCAGTCGCGCACAAAGTCGGACCAGCTCTTGTACTCTTTGTTGTTGATCCTGGCCTTGATGGTGCTCATAGCCATAGGGTCCTTGATGACCTCGTAGTAGTGGGGAAGGGCGCGCTTATTGACCTTGCGGTGGAAGACCTTAGACGGGTCATGACCGCTGCGCACATGTCAGTTCAGAGTCGCGTAGCAGCGTGCAATAGAATGCGCATACTCGGGAGTTCTATAGTCGTAGACAAAATCGAGGATGCTCTGCATCTGATCCAGCTCGGCTTCAGACATGGTCTGACCTTGGGTTGCGCCCTCAGTCGAGGGAACGGGCGTGTTGTCCTGGCTCATTGCGGCTTCGGACGCCATGGTGCGCAATGGAGAGAGCGAAGCCTCTATATTCCGGATGATGGATCGAGAAAGCGTTCGATGAGGACAATAATTCCTCTAGCAATCACACGTCGCGAAACCATAGAGGGCGCGTCGATTCAGCTATGCACGAGTCTTGGCGGTCTTTCGGATTTACGAGTCACAACGCCGCTCCCGCCTACTTCACATCTTCCATCTTATCTCAAGAGCATTTGTTGCTCTCTAGTATGCTATTATGTTGATTGTTGATTGTTGATTGTTGATTGTTGATTGTTGATTGTTGATTGTTGATTGTTGTAAACCATCGAGAAGCAGACTTCTCCGGCCAGGATCTCAACAGAAATTGATCTGTACATAAGTTGATGGCATTTGCGTCCTCTTCCACGCATACCGGAGAAATCAACGCCTAAAATCTATGTCCTTTGTTTGGAGCACTTATGGCGCAACAGTATGTCAAAGTAAATAAATCTTTGTCAAAAACGACTACTGAAACGCGTACTCCTCTATTTGCTTCCACGTTTTATCGTCTGAGTGGTTCTGTAGGCTCTGATGGCCATGATAGATACTCGATGATGTTGTTGAGAGGACGACCCTGGTGTAGTGACGTCGTGCCGAGGCTATCACTATCGCATACCACAGTCAAACACCTTCCTTACTTTGCATCCCTCTAACCTCCTCGAGTTACATACCAAAAAGCGTTTCACGTGATATCAGCAGTATTTATCCAAGTCAGCCACGGATCAAACGCGAAATCAGACCAGTCGACAGTCATGCGCATCAGAATTCGCGGTCCTTCGGGCATGTCCCAAGTCAACATGCCAGAGACAGCAACATGGGGAGAACTCAAGCATGAGATATCCACAAAGACATCTGTCGCAGACTTTGATGTCAAGTACGGCTACCCACCCCAGAACCTGGACACAACAAGTATCGACAATGAGACGAAGTTGACTGATGTCGGTATCAAACTCGATGGCGAACAACTCATCATCTTGCCACGCGATGTTCAGCAGTCACTGCACAACCCAATGTCTGGCCATGTCGATCTCCAAACCCACGGAACCTTGCCTTCTTTGAAGAGCATTCAACCTCCTCAGCACAATCCTGGTGATTTCCCATCTGGCCAGACGAAAGGAGAGCAAGCTGCACCGCTCTCTCTGCAGCGAAAACCGAACGATGTGGAGAGCGACCCACCCGAGGTGCCTGTGCCAGGTCTGGAAGGCGTTCTCGTTCTTCGCGTGATGCCGGACGACAATAGCTGTATGTTCAGAGCTTTAGGAAGCGCTGTTTTGGGCGATGCGCTTGATGCCATGAACGAGGTTTGTTTCAGCAATGATTCGTCACATCGTTCTTAGCTAATCGGAGGACCANNGTTACGCTCTATGGTTGCCCAAACAATCCAGGCGAACCCGGACCTATACACTGCTGGTATGCTCGAAAAAGCACCCGACGACTACTGCCGTTGGATCCAGCGCGAGGACTCTTGGGGAGGCGGTATCGAACTCGCCATCCTCTCTCAACAGTTCGATATCGAGATCTGCAGTATCAACGTCCAGGACTTGCGGGTTGATCGTTTCAATGAGGGCAAATCAAGACGCTGTATTCTGATCTACTCTGGCATACATTACGATGTTGTTGCCGTCTCCCCTGGCCAAGGCACGAGTCCCGAGTTTGACAGGAAGATGTTCGAGGTTGCTCAGATCGAGGGCATGGAGGGCGAAGATGGTGGAGCTCTGCAAGCCGCAAGAGAGCTATGTCAGATCCTGCAACAGAGACACTACTTTACCGACACCCATGGTTTCACCATCAAGTGTAACATTTGTGGCTGGACCGGCAAGGGAGAGCAGGGTGCCACGGAGCACGCGAAGCAGACGGGCCACATGAACTTTGGCGAAGCATGAAAGCGTATATTTTGATTACATATATGGCACAGCATATCATTGAGAGAGATCATCCATCATTGGCAGAAATGCAAACATCAACCAAATACAACTCATCATTACTTGGCTTTCCATCGTACCTTGCTGACCCAGACTGCCCACTTCTGAACATCGTCTCTTTCCAATAGCAACTCAATGCTATACCATTCCTTGGCCAATTCTTCATTGGTTGCAAGTCGATGCACAAAGCTGTGGCAAGCCCTGCATAGCCAAGCAACCTTGTTCAACTCCCAGCTAGCATGCCAGCCACGCTTGACAACCTTTGCATGCACAGCCCTCGGGATCAGGTGATGGTAAGTGAGAGGAAGATGTTCTCTCTCGCAAATCTCACACTCGGTGGCTCGACTGGAAGGAGCAAATTCTGGTGGTGCAGTGGTTCTGCTTGTGATGTACGATGTGAAGACAGGTTCCAGTAATCGTGGTAGGTCCGTGGGATCAGAGAGTAGACCATAAGAGGTCAATGAATCTGACACGGATAGTGGCAAAGGTTGTAGTAGGTCTTCGTATACATCCGAGTCCAGAGGCACGCTGTACTTTTCAGCCAACTGAGCATCATTCTGGACGTCACTGTATGACAGAGTCCGCAGATCATCAGGCAATGAAGGGAATAACTCAGAAGCGAGATNACTTTGTTTATGTCAGCATCGTATCATGAGATAGTCAATGGCAAAGAAAATTTGACATACCTCTATCGTCTCACCCAGGTCAGCAACCAGGGCATCGTTGTCCTCTGGATCTTGCTCTGGCCTGCTCACAGGCTTGATCTCATTCTTGCGGCCCTTGGTAGCTTTNNTCTTCTTCTTTTTGTCTGCAGTGCCCGAGAGCCTTGAGATCAACAGTTCGGACACACAATCTCGAAAGTCTTCATAGTTGGCAATCTCATCTTCGGAGATCATGAATTGAATAACTAGCAGGTTCTCTTGGTTGCGAGAGTGCAGTGGCAAGACAGAAAGTGGTATAGAAACATAATGTGGGGACAATGATGCTGTGCCGATAAGGGATGCGATAAGTGCACGGACGTTTTTGATGGTAACCGTGTCGCTTTGGGTTCGGGGGTGCTGATGAGCATTGAGCATCCAGTCTAGGGACTGTCTTGTTGTGTTTTGATCTTTTGCTGGAAACGTTCAAGATGAAGGCAGCTGGAGCATGGTTCATTGCAGCCGCATCAATTGCATCTGCCGCTGCAGAGCCCTCGCGGCCTCGTGGTGTTGGCCCTGAGTGTAAGTTTACCATTCATTATAGCTTTCCAAGAAGATGCTCAAATTGACACGACCTTCTGTTCTTTCCAGTTGCAAAGTTTTACAAGGATGCTGAATCATTCACTTGCATTTCCAACCCATCCATCAAGATTCCTTTCTCCCAGGTCAACGACGACTACTGTGACTGCCCCGATGGCTCTGACGAGCCTGGCACCTCTGCCTGCTCCTACCTCTCCCCGTTATCGCCCTCGACGCTCTCGGATACCACAAACAAGGACCAGATAAACTCTACGCAAGTCTTGCCTGGATTCTATTGCAAGAACAAGGGTCACCAGCCCAGCTACGTCCCTTACACCAGCGTCAACGACGGCTTCTGCGACTACGACCTCTGCTGCGATGGTAGCGAAGAGTGGGCTGGTGTCGGCGGTGTCAAGTGCCAGAACAAGTGCGACGAGATTGGCAAGGAGTGGAGGAAGAAGACTGAGTCCCGCCAGCGTTCTCTCAACAATGCCAACAAGAAGAGAAAGGAATACACCAACGAGGCTCAACGCCTGAGAAAGGAGGTCGAGGACAGAATCAAGACCCTGCAGACCCAGCTTACTGCTTCTGAGATGCACGTCACGGACATGGAGAAAGAGCTGGCTGAAGTTGAGCGCCGTGAGAAGGGCAAGATTGTCAAGGGCCAGGGCGCCAAGCAGGGCAAGGTGGGTGTGCTTGTCGGTCTTGCAAAGCAGAGAACCGAAGAACTGAGAGATCATCTCGTGCGTGTTCGTCAAGAGCGTGACACATCCAAGGACCGCGTCAAGGAGCTGGAAGCCATTTTGTCGACCTTTAAGGAGGAGTACAACCCCAACTTCAATGACGAAGGTGTCAAGAGAGCTGTTCGTGCTTGGGAGGACTATGCTGCCCGCGACAAGAGTGGTGATGACACTTCGGCGCATGATAGAGATCTTAACGAGATCACCAAGACCGACAAGGACAATGGTCTTGACTGGGAGTCATACCTCGAAGCCGAAGGTCAAGACGTCGAAGTTTGTAAGTTTGATTTTGGTCGTCCTCTTAACCATCTACTGACCGTCACCNNAGTATACGAGATCGAGAACTATCTTCCTAAGCCTCTTCGTGATTGGGTTGACCAGAAGCTACGCAATCTTCGTGTTATGCTGATTGAAAATGGCATCCTCGCCGACTTGTCCTCGGAGGGCGGCGAGTCAGCCGCCGTGAACGGTGCAAAGGACCGCCTCAAGTCTGCCCAAGATGCCGTCAACTCGCAACGCAGAGATCTCGACTCCCACAACGAAGACTTGAACAAGGAGTACGGTCCTGATGGAGTCTTCCGTGCTCTTAAGGGTCAGTGTATTTCTGTCGACTCTGGCGAATACACCTACGAACTCTGCTTCATGGAGCACACTACCCAAAAATCCAAGAAGGGCGGCAGCAACACTCGCATGGGCAACTTTGTCCGCTTCGACAAAATCACTGTTGACGAAGAGGTGTCTGCTGACGGCAAGGGCCTTGGCTCTGGCGAGCGCATTGCCATGAGACATGAAAATGGACAGCACTGCTGGAACGGACCCAACCGTAGCACTACCGTCATCTTGGCTTGTGCCGAACAAAATGAGATCTGGAAGGTCTTCGAGGAGGAAAAGTGTGTGTATCGTATGGAGGTTGGCACACCTGCTGTCTGTGAGGCTCTCAAGCAGGCAGAAGTTGTCAAGGATGAGTTGTAGAAGATGAGATGATAGAACATGGATACATATCTTCTTGTTATAGAAAGTACCATCAAAAGACCATTTGCTCTGTAGCCATTCACCTGGCATCTTCTCGTTATGTGACTTGCTCACATTAGGAAGCTGTTCCTCCTCATATCGTTTGGGTCAGTATATATCGTCGCTCTTGGAAGCCATTGGCTGAAATCTGGCATATCACTCTCTCATAGCGACGCAGTACTAAGTGTGTAACTATAGAACTGCACAATTGATTTGGATCAGAAGAAGTCTCCAAAGAGAGCCCATGAGGTAACAGTCCTCAGGGGTTATCGCTTCCTTTCAAGTATCCCCGGCTATAACCTCCAACATATTTCACCCACTCAATCTGCAATTGCAACGAAGATGAGGATGGACTCCATCTTACTAGACCTAAAAGCCACGACTGGTGGCTCTACACCCTGGTTATGGGTACTCTCTCTAGATCATGTCCTCAATCATCATGGCTGTTGGTATGCATTTCTACCATGCATGCGAAGCGAAGATAGATGCCCAAATCAGAGCCAAATCAGGCAGACCAGAGGGGTCGCCAGAGGAGTCACCAGGTTCAGGGGAAAAAGGGCATGCTCTCACTGGATACACTCCCGAGTGGAAAACCTCTGTGACTTCTCATAGCCTGGTTTTTGAGCCCTTGCGTGGTGAGAGCATGCCCTTAGGCTGAGTTAGAGCACGGCACAAGCACTTCAGCTTGTGTCGAAGTCGAAGAATTCGAAGACCGGGCGCACTCAGGAGTTGAGCATACAGACTGGGCTGTCGAAAGTCACAGTCGTAACGAGATTCAAGCCGTATCCAAGGAGAAAGCGCAAGTCGCCGTCGCACTTTCTTGTTGTGTTTTCAAATCACATTCACTCGATTTACCTCGTCGGAAAGCGCGATCAAAACATCACTTCGATCTTTTCACTTCTCCGTCGCAGCTCTTACGACTTTCTCAACCTTGCCTACCTTTTCATCGACATTCCACTCCATCACAACCTTCTCCCTTCTTAATCATCAACACGACATCGAAGACATCTCTGACAACGACCAGCTCCTCCGCGCAACAGTTTCCTTCTGCGCATCCAAGCTTATCATCCGCCACTTTTAATCAACATCATACTCATCACATCGCATCATAACCTGTGTCTCCAAGCGTTAATCCACGGACCATGGCAGACGACACCACCGACAGGTAGGCCGGACAGGTCCCCCGTGACTACAACCTAGTCGGTCATGTATTGACTTTTCATGTAGTGGTCCTCCAACGACCGTGAATTCTCCTGTCTTCAGACTCATGAATCTGCCGAACGAACTGATTAGGAAGATCTGCGATGATCGCGGATTCCGAGCCAAAGATCTCCAGGCGCTTCGACTCACAAACAAACACATATGCCACTATGTCACAGACCGATTTGCCAGAAAATGCTTCCGCGAGATCACGGTCTTGATGTCGCATTCTTCCCTACTAGCGTTCTGTGAGCTATCGCATCATCCCTTCTTTGGACTAGTAGTGGAGACAATCAACATCTCCCTTATGTTCGTTCTACGTGAAGGCATCGAGGTCCTCCCTACACCTACAACACATGAAGTGATTGATCTAGGCCAGCCCGCACACCGTACCAGATCTCTACAGTATGCGAGAACCTTCCTAAACCCATTGTGCGAGGAGCGCGAGACGAAGACTTTCGGGACTGCAGAGCGAATGCATGCCATGGCATTCAAGGTATTTGCATACAGAGGACAGTCGATCTCTCTACAGTTCTCGGAAAACGAGGAGTGCGCGATTGGTGCAAGACACCTCCTCTACGACGAAGATTATGGAAGGAAAATCTTCTGGCATCTGGACTGGCAGACAACAGTTGAAAGAACCATAAGAGCAGCCTCCAATCAAGGCTGCAAGATCGATGGACTCTTGTTCAGTGATACCAACCGCGCAGACTCTGTCAATGGCACAAGTCTTTGCCTTGACGACATCGGGAGACAGTTGGGCGTTGTGTGCTCACAGTTGAGAAAGCTTGACATTGCATTCGGAGAAACAGATCCTGCGACCACCATAAGATCCGTCAGGCGTATGGTGTTGGCAGCCCATAANCTTGAAAGTCTTGCATTGCACGAGCTGAGCGAGTACGATGACAGATACCAACTTCTGCACCTTCTGGAGATATTGCTATGCGTCACTTCACCAAATTTGCAGTGCATTCACCTCAGATGTTTCCAAATGCCGAAATTGGAACTAGACACGTTCCTCGGTAGATACAGTGGAACTCTGAAAGAGCTCAAATTAATGGAGCTATGCATCTTTACGGAGAACTGCATGTCGCTAGTAGCTTGGATCAAAGACAACTTGCCTGGTCTCTTACACTTCTACCTTGACGAGTTTTGTATCCACAGCCCGCAGACATCGTGCTGCCATGAGGACGACTACAGTGACGAATATTTGATCGACTACGGCGAGGATATGCAAGCCCGCCCTGCCGAAATACTTGACGAACAGTCAACTATTGCCAACAGGGTTGAGGAAATCGAAGATTGATCATGATATTGTTGTCATTCCGGCGCATCTCAGGTGGAACATGCAAGAAATTGCCCGCTCGGATCAAGGATCACCTTCCGAATCTCAAGCATCTTGACCTGGAAGAAATTTGCGATCATGGTATGGGGTTATTCTGCCTTGAAGAAACCGCAACACTTACGGTATTGATTATCCTGACGATATGCAGGCTAGTCTTGCAGATATACTGGATGGAAAGAGAGAGAATGACTTGATTGGAAGCAGAGTCGAGGAGCTTCAGACCTGAGGAGTTGTTTTTCATCAAAGAAGTTTGAGCAAGCGGGAAGGAAGGAGTAACTTGCAAGCATAGAGAAGACATTTTGAGAGTTTGACGCAGGCATCAGCAGTTTCTCTTTTCATGTTGTCATAGAGAATGAGATATTCAATCCTCTCTTATCTTCCTCAATCTCCTCCAAACATCTCAGCCATTCCTTCCAACTTGGGGCTCTGCTCCCTCTTGCCTCCAGCAGGTTTCTGCTCAACCTCCATATATTGCTGTTGCATCGCACTCCTCTTAGCCTTGGTATCTCTTCTATCGATCTTTCCCGCCTCGTGAATAGAAACACCTCTGACACCCTCCAGTAGTTCCAGCACCAATATTCTTTGTGTGCGCTCACTGCTAGTACCCACGATCCTCTCGATCGCTTGGTCCACTTTCTGTTGACCCATGTCTGGCAAAGAGAGCAACACGTCTCTAGCCGTGGACGAGAGAGGCGAGTACAACGCCACGATATTAGCGATCAGATTCGCCAAATCCCTTTGGACGTCGACAAAGTAAGGTTCGTTGAGCGAGGTAATGCAAGCCTTGAGGACTTCTGTGCTGATGAATTCGCGGACTTGTGGTGCTGGGGCAGTGTCGGCGACAAAGGTAGGGAGGATGGAGCGCAGGATGCGACAGATGANGGTGCAGCAGCGGGAGTCGCGCATGCGTAGGGTGTGGGTGCAGAAGAGGATCAGTGGTTCCAGAACGGAAGGCTCGGAGAGAACGAGATTGCGCATTGTAAGTTGTGAGGATTGAGGGTGAGTTGAAGATGTGACGTCTGTGCGTGTAAGTCTGCATGTTTTGGTAGAAAGCTTGGAATAGGGAAGGTGCGAACCTGTTGCTCGTTGGTCGAGGATAGTGGATGCAAAGTTGACGACTGCATATGTTGTTGCCCGCAATACGCTCTCAGCCTTCATCTCATCGTTTAACTGATCTTCACCTTCAACGGATTGTGTACTCGACTTTTCGATGACTTCCCACTCGGCACTGATCTTCTTGTCCGTCTGCGAGAAGAACAATGACAGTATCGGTGGCATGAAGTGTCTCCTGTGATGGGCTGGACATCTCTGAACGAGTCGTTCCACCAATGCAATCAGTCTTTGCAAGTGATGTGTGGACAAAGACGAAGCATCTGTAAGTAACGCCTCGGCCAAAGGTCCAGGCAGTTCCTTCAGTCCGAAGAACTCCTCTTCGAATCTCGTCATGCCATAGATGATATGGTAGCACCAATCTCTAATCTGGCGAGGAATACCACGTATTACAGAGGCGAAGCCTTCATAAGTATCTCCGCTCTCGGCAATGCGAGCATAGAATTCATCTCTACTTTCGTTTGAGATACCCGCTTGCCAAAATCTGTCGACAAGCATCTTCTGCATTACCATCTGTAATTCGGGAGGGAAGTTTGACCAGTTGCTACTGTTGGGAAAGGATGTGGCGTGTCTGGTCATCTGCAGCACGTTCGACAGCATGGCTTGCATTGCCGGACCCCAAACCTGAGCACCGATCTGGTACTCGCGTGATGACTCTTTTAGCTTCTCGGTAGTGGCTGCGAGGAGATTCTTAGTGGCGTTGAGAGGCAGACGCATGACTTTCATCTGCACATCTGTCTGGCGTGCCTTGCCTTCCTGGTCCAAGGGTTGACTTGGCCAGTCTTGGACAGAAGCAAATCTCTGGGCTGAGAGATACTGTGGCAAACCTTCGAGACCAACGACATTGCAGAAACCAGAGAAAGTTGACAGTGCTTCNNCAGTCAACTGAGGGTTTTGCCAAGTCTCGACCACAGGCTGAATAATTTGTTGGAGACGGGTAAGTCGTGCTTGAGAGTCAACGGCAGATGCTCGGTGTACAACGATGAACAAGAACGCCTGAAGACCCCACTTGGTACGCTCGTCGGCGTCTTCAGCAGACATGAGAGTATTGACTCGGGCTTCCAGGTCAGAGTAGACGTCCAGGAGATAGTCTGGGAACGACATGGCAATTCGTTGCATTTCGCCCAAACGTGCTCCTTGGAAGTTCTTAACAGCAGCCGAGTAATCCTTGTTCGAGCCATCGTCCGTGTACTGTAGGCTCAGACAGTAGTCGAGAATCTTTATGACCAACTCAGGCTGCCCTTGCAATGTCTTCACCAAGACGTTGACCGCGATATGTGTTGTAAGGCGAGCTATCTCGGGATGTTGCGGCTTCATCGTCATCAGTTTGTAACAAAAGTCACGCAGATTCGTGAGCGTCACGCCGTAAACATTGTTAGTGGTGTGCTGATCAGACTTGGACTCTGGTCGCGAAGCTTTGCTGTACCATTGGATGAAGCCATTCATCGTACTCCTAAGAACGGATGCTTGGGATTCCAATTGCAGTACAGGAATTGGCGTCTTTGCGGGACCTGTAGATGGAAAAGGTGGTCTGAACTCTTGGCAGATTGTGTCGACCATTTGCACTGTTTGATCCAATATGTGGCCGACTGCTTCTTGAGGCATGTAGTAAGCAATGTTTTCTATGACTGTAATGCAGTATCTCCGGTAGTTGCCAAGGAAGGAATGAAGCTCGGGAGGGTTCTCGAAGTCCTCATTCAAGTACAGAATTACCGGCAGCTCTTCGTGTGACAACGACTCGTACTTGATGAGACGTTGGCTGCAGGTACCAANGAGAATGGCTACTCTCTGACCCATGTTACTTGAGATAGTCGAGCTTTTCGCAACAAGGAGCTTTGTGAAACTGTGCAAACACGGGATAGAGACAAGAAGACTGTCATGTTGGAACGCGATTATCATCACATCAATCAAGGCGGTGCATGTCTCGGGCGTAGCAAGGATCTCCGGGTTAGAAGCGGCAGCATCTCCTAGAATTGACAAGANCCTGCGAAAGTTAGCACTTCATCCTCGAATGCGATGAATCCAGGAGCACACCTCAGATAGCTTCTTCTGTAAAGTGTACTTGGGCTCGTCAATATCATCGGCGGAAGTGTTGCAGCTCAGATGGATGTTTTTCAGTAGCTCAATGTGATCGAATTGCAGTACGGACAACATGATTTGAGACCACGATTCGTGGAAGTGGGGGTTGTAGGGGCGGCTCAAAATGGCCTGTAGAACGTCGATAGTAGNCCTGGACACAATTCAGTATGATTGTGCAGTCGAGCGGACATATGTTGGTCTTACCGTCTGCACAGTAGCATCACCAGCAGCAAGCATCTTGTACAGAGATTGAGCACACTGAGTCTCGGTCAAGGCTCTCAAGCTGAGCCATGTCACTGTCGGCCTCAATGCCTCGAGAGTCTTGGTGGCAGAGATGACGACTCGTTGATCGCCTTGATGGATAACTGTGGAGCACTGGAAGAGGAAGGCGCACATGCGGGAAAGCCAACCATCTTGAGTGTGGCGCACATTCTGCGAGCTGCCACGCGATTCGAGATGGTCTTTATACAATTGACTGGGGATGACAACCTCGTTCAAGCATTGGCCGAGAACATCTTGACGGAGACCAGCGACTGGGTCTTCTCTGTTGCAGATGTCCTCAGACAGACACTCCAGTATGTACAGCACCATCTGCCTGTATACCAGCTGCTTGCTGTCGTCTGTCGTCTCCCACAAGGCTATCAGGAGAGCATCCATATCCAACCATTCTGCACCCCAGCATCTTTNTGCAACCTCGACCCATAGCGAAGCTACTTTGTTGCGGAAATATTGAGGATCGGATTCGGATACGTTCTGGGCGAGGTTGAGGATCCAGCTACGCAGGGTCTGGGCTTCATTCTGGCCGTAGTCCTCCCATCTGTAGCGAAGGGCGAACTCAAGCAGTGAGAGACCAAAGTGACGGATGGCAGGTTGTTGCGAGGGATCGCTAGCTAGCGAGTAACCGTGTTGCGGCGCGTCTGCTTGCTTCTTGGCGCCATCGAGGAATTCAAGCGCTGCTCTTCGTGTATTGTTGGTCGATCGCGCATCGTAAGTAGCTTCGAGAGCTTGTGTTATTTGCGACAGCCTATCTCCATCAACGAGAGATGTCATGGTGCCATGTAGAGAGAGTCGATGAATGGATGTGACAGGAGCTCAGTTGTCGAAGTTTTGTTTGTGTGGAGGAGATTGTTGATGCCTGCTTGCTTGCTCGAACCACCCCTTATATCTTCTATCTGGAAGTCGCACACAATTGTTGTCCGGCTCTCACTTGACATCTGTGAATCTCAGCTAAATTGCAGTGACAACCTGACCGCTTTCATCGCCGCTTCCATACATCGTCCCTCGTGAAAGCTACCGCCAGGGTCGCGACTGCTTTCGACACCATATCACATGACTTCAATATGCTCCTTATCGAGTAATTTGAGATTCGATTTCGATTAGGTACTTTTCGTTCATTCATTCTATCCTCCAAAGCATCATGTCTCACTACATCATAACGCAAGCCTTGCCCGTCTCTTTGCACTGGTCCAGATACCCTGCTTCGGCTTCATGTCCAATCGCTGTACCCTGCCGTCTCTTGAGACCCCTGACAGTCAACTTTTGCTCACCTGCTGCATGCCACCATCTCAGCACTTGCTGTGATGCACCCTCCGTCTCATCTACACTGATCTTCCACTTTCCTCCAAGCACCTCGACTTCGGTCTTGCCCTGCGGGAAGTGGTATTCTGGCAAGAAGACCTCGGTAGGCGCATCTTCGGATGTCGAGCTGGGCGCCGAGAGGGTCAGATGGAAGACGCAGTTTTTGAGGTCGAAGCCGTGAGACACAACGCGCCCGTGTGTCGCTGTCTGAGTTGGTCGTACGTAGGCTTCAGCTGCACGCATGCCGACGCCATCTGAATTGATGGAAGGTGTTTTCGAGGCGCTCATTCGATCTACAGATAACGTGCGCTTCAGTATTGATGGGCTGACCGATGCGTCTCCGGATGTTCTACCTTCTGAATACGATGGCGACTCTGGGTTGTATGTTGCACTGTCGACCTCAGGAGATGTCGGTAATTGCTTGTCGTCGACAGAGTAGATGGACAAGTCCTCGCCATTCCAGTTGTCGCCCCAGTAGTGGTTGTTTGACGGTACGTATGTCCAAAGCGTGAAACCCGCTACTCCGGAGCCCTCAAGTGCGAAATGGTTCGCGTCCATTGCGAGCGTCTGACTGGTATAATTGCCGGTCTTGTACGCGTGCTTGTCGTCCATGTCGTACGGGATACCAATCTCGGTGAAGACTGTAGGACGAGGACCCATCTTCTCTTCACCCTCTTCGCGCAGATATTTGAGTTGGTCGCGGAAGCAGTTTCTGATAGCACTCTCTCCGAGTTTGACCGCAAAGGCAGGACTCAAGTACTTGCCACGCATAATGCCAACCACATCGACGTTCCAGAATCGGTTNNCCTGTAGGCTGTTAGCCAGTAGTCATTTGCAGCACATTTGCAGAACTTACCATTTCTTTGTTATGAGGGTGATACCGTCATAGAAGTGAGGCGCGAAGACCATCTGCGGATCGTCATCCTTGGTGCCCTTAATTGACGGTGGCACCTCGAATGGCGAAGACTGGCAGAACATGATTGTGTCAGGAAAGATGCTTCTGATCGTATCCCTGTATGCGCGATAGTGATTCAACCAGAAGTTGTTGGTGTAGTACTCGTGTGTGATTGTCTCGCCCGAGACAGGCACCTTTGAAAAATAGTCTTTCTTCAACAGCTTGTCGTTCTTGGGATCCCAGACTCCGTGCTGAGCCCAGAGACATTCACCTAGCTTCCATCCGGGGTCTCTCTTCCAGCCGTAGCGTGAGTCGTCGTATCCTGCGGGTAGCCATGCAATTTCTCCCTTAGGGTCGACGAGCTCACTGCCAGACTTGTAAGGACCGAAATTACCGAAATCGAAAGTGTCTTGCTCTACAGCCCTGCCGAGGCCAGTAAGCATAGACTGGAAGGCTGTTGGTGTAGGGCCCTTCTTCAAGTTTTGGTCTGCTGGCCATTTGGACAGATCTTCCCAGCCAATGTAGCCTCTGTTCGGTTCGTTCATGCTCTCCCATCCGATAACAACGTCATGTTCGAGGTCGCCTGCTTCTTTGATGCGCTGGGCCAGAATCTTGTTAGCGTCTAGAAAGTGGCCTTGGAGATAGTCTTGGATGTTCATGCCATCCAGCACAGCCTTGGGAGCAAACTCTTTGCCAGCAAAGAAGAGAGTGAGAATAGTCTGACAAGCAAGGCGCTGGTAGTTGGTAGCCCAGACCATCTTAGGGAAATCGGCAGGGTTCGGCCATGTATTTTGGACAAAAGCAGCCTGAGTTGCGAGAAAAGCCTGAGGGTTCAAACCACAGGCATAGATGGTCCACATGGGAGCACCTGAGCCACCGGTATACCTCGACCAGACATCTTGGTGGGGGTCCATGAAGACGTAGAAGCCGTACTTCTTGGCCAAGCGCAAAACCTTGATGGTATGCTGGATCCATTCTTCATCGTACTTTCCAGGACCAGCGTGCTCGATGGCCTCCCAAGTATAGATGTAACGAATCGTATTGTATCCCCATCTCTTCAAACGGTCGAAATGCGTATGGGCTTCTTCGAGGCCAAAAGGTCGGCCGACGAAAGAGACGTCATCGCCCTCGAAGAACTTGTCCTTGATATGCGAACATTGGTCCGGGTTCAGAGGGTATTTAGCATCGCCGGCGACGTTGATTCCGTGTATAGTAACCTCGCGATTGTGGCCATCACGGAAGACGGTCCCATCGACTCGAAGGCGGAGAGGCATGATGAGCAGAGTTGCTCAGGGTTGATCGGATTCGCGTTGCTGTTCTCACGCAATATCAAGAAGCGGATCGAAAGTTGCTGTGATACACGATTTGGGGGTCACGAGGATTGGATGGGAACAGAAAAATCCTAGGATACAGAATAGATTGAGTGCGACGGATGAGTTCGTGGCCACGAGAGCACGACGTACGCGGCGGGACTCGATGACGTCCTACCCAGTGGCCGCGGATAGATACGAGATACGAAGAATACGGAGAGAGAGTCTGGAGTCGAGAGTGTACAGAACGTTTGCTAGCGAACAGAGGATGGAGCAGACATTGGTCAGGAATGGAAGTCACTCCTGTGTTGTCTGGACACTGGGACAGAAAAGGCGATGGATTGCGGGCCATGGAAGTGGAAAGCACCTTCCTGCCAGTAGCATGACTTATGTGTGAAACCTGTCACCTGCCGGAAGTGAAGGCGGCCGTCTCGATGGCCGCAGTTTCCTGGCTTTAGGCAACGTGGCATCTGTTCGGTAGCAGGTGTAAACAGTCCAAGTGGCACTTTCACATGCTACTCCAAGAAAGTGAACACTTTATTGATGTTTTGTGAATCTCGCTACCCATCGCCGTCGCCATGATTCTTCCGTTGCAGACTCTGGCTCTGGGCGCCGCCTTCGCTCTCTCAAGTCTTCCACTCACTCAAGCCTTGCGTGCCAGTGATATCCCTGCCGACATTCCCGTCTCGCAACTGATCTCGTCCGCTACTGCTGCCCTCGCTCAAGGAAACGGCCAGGATGCCTTGACCTACTTCGACGTCGCCATCACTCGTGATCCCAAGAACTACCTCACCATCTTCCGCCGAGGTGCTGCATACCTCCAACTCGGAAAACACTCCCAGGCTAGCCACGACTTCGACCGCGTCCTTTCCATAAAACCTACCTTCGAAGGTGCTCTGGTTCAACGAGCAAAGATCAAGAGCAGGAACGGCGACTGGACTGGTGCAAAGTCCGACTACGAGATTGCTGGCAAGAAAGATGGCGATGAGGTTCGCGAGTTGCTCGACGCTCAAAATGCTGCCTCTCTGGCACAGAAAGCAGAAAAGGAGGGACACTGGGCCGACTGTACTGCAAACGCCGATATTGCCATCTTGGTCGCTGGAGGTGCCATGGATCTGAGACACACAAGAGCAAAGTGCCGTTTCGAAAAGGGCGACGTTGTTGAGGCTCTCAGTGACCTGATGCACGTTGCCCAGGTCTCTTCTGGCTCGAGCGAACATCTCCAAATCTCTGCCACGTCATTCTACGCTCTCAACGAACCCGTAAATGGTATGGGCCAGGTCAAGAAGTGTCTCCACTCGGATCCCGACTCCAAGCCTTGTAGAAAACTGCTGAAAGCCGAGAAAGCCGTCGACAAGCAAATGAAGAAGATGAGAGAAGCCATGGAAAAGAGCAGATACGTCAATGCTGTCAACATGCTGGTTCCTACAACCGACGAAGAGGGACTTCTGAAGACGGTCAAAGATGCCACACAGCAATATCGCGACGAGGGCCTCATCCACAAGAATGCACCCGATCGCTTGTACAATGACCTGGTCGAGCTGACGTGCGAGGCCTACACTGAAATGAACAATCTCAAGAAGGCTCAGCCGTACTGCGAGGAGGCCTTGACCCACAACCCCAACTGCCTGCCAGCCTTGATTGGCAAGGCCACACGCCAGCTAGACGCCGACGAGTTTGAACCCGCCATCCACACCCTCAACCAGGCCAAGGAACACCACCAGAACTCCCAAAAGGTCCAAGAACTGTTGCAAAAGGCTCATACATTACTCAAGAGATCGAAGCAAAAAGACTATTACAAGGTCCTTGGTGTCACCAGAGACTCCGATGAGCGGGAGATTAANAANGCATACCGCAAGCTCACTATCCAGCATCATCCCGACAAGGCTGCTCAGAAGGGAATCAACGCCGAGGAAGCACAGAAGAAGATGGCTGAGATCAACGAGGCATACGAAGTTCTTTCAGATCCGGAGCTCAAGGCCAGATTCGACCGAGGCGACGACCCTAACGACCAATCACAACAAGGCAACCCCTTCCAGGGCCAACCATTTGGCTTCCCTGGTGGCGGCGGTCACCAACAGTTCTTCCATCAGCGAGGAGGAGGCGGTGGTGGCTTCCAGTTTAAGCAGCAAGGAGGTTTCCAGTTCCCTGGTGGAGGAGGTTTCCCATTCTAGAAGTTTTAGGCGAACATTATCTCGGAGTTTGAGCACATTACTTTGGAGGAGTTCAATAATTTCGTTACCTTTTGCAGTCCTTTCGTTGGTGGCTGGTTCTCTTATTTTATTGCAGGGCTGAAGCGATTATACAGCTTCTTCGTATCTTAGACCATCATTTGGGCCTACCAAGATATCACAAAATCGAATACGTGAAACCGCGTTCTCTACGGAGAAGGCAGTCGCTTTGACAAGCATTCAAAGTTACATATATCTTGCATCTTTGACAATCAATGGCTGTGAAGTCTCTCCGACTGTACATCGTTAAACTTCCGGACATTGATGGTCAAATGATCGGCAAACGACGAGAACGACTGTGCGTGAACCGCGCAAACAAAAACAATCCACCATTTACGCACATTTGCACTCCAACTCACCCTGCCAACCCCTGCCCAACAATCGTTAGCTAATTTTCGGACTTTGATCTCGCACTTCGGACTCTGATTGCGTGAGGAAACTGGTGAGATTTGAAGCATGGTGATGTAACCGTTTGTCGTCACCACTTGTCGTGCGTCACCAGAACTCAACTTCAAGCTATATTAACAATGGTTGCTGTCCTGTACTAGGAGTCTTTCTAATACACAACTACAACTTTTAATCACCTACACGTTTCCAATCAACACTTACAACATGCCTTCCGACGTCAAGCCCCAGGACATTACCGAGAAGAATGACCCTAGTGTCATGAGACAGTGGGATGAGGCCGACTTCTCCACCAAGTTCGAGGAGTTCTACAAGATTGTGGATGGCCTTAAGATTGGTCTTCTAGGCACATACCGCCCTGGTGTCGGAGTAAGCTCTTCCTAGTTGTTCCCATACCGAGAGCTTTCTTTCTAACACACAATACCANNGCCTGTCACACGCTCCATGGCCCTCGCCAAGCGCACCGGCCCTGACTTCCTCTTCCTCGCCAACGCACACTCGCAAAAGTTCAAGGACATTGAGGCGAACAAGGAAGTCAACATTTCGTTCCAGGACACCAAGAGCCAGGACTGGATCTCAGTGACCGGTACTGCCACAACCGCTTCCAACAGTGATCCTCGTATCAAGGAAGTCTGGAGCCGTGGTGCTGCAGCTTGGTTCGGCGATGTGGGTGACGGTGTTCACAACGGAACTGCCGAGGACCCGAGAATGAGCTTGATCGAGGTCAAGAGCAAGNNTGTACGTTCTCCTCTCCCAACATACGTGTTGGTAATAAATGACTAACATGATACAGACATCTCATACTACAAGACCAACGTCGGCGCTCTCGGTTACCTCAAGGAAGTCGTTGCCGCCAACGTCACTGGTGGAGTTGCCAACACTGGTAACCTCAGACAGATGAAGGAGGACGAGATTTCTCAGGCCAGAAAGCAGCACTCCAGCATGAGCTCGTAAATCTGCTCTTTTCCTTAACGATGATAATGACAAACAAAAACTGAAATATACAGTTCTTCGAAACTGTAGTTTATAGCATTAGTCTGTAATCAAAGTTTAACGACAACATTTTTCGACATTTTATAAGTTCTTATGTGCTTGCTCCTTGTCTGAAATTGAGCCGTTTATTTTAAGACTGAGTAGTGAGGACCACTATGCATTGTCTTGATGAGCATTATCGAATATCTATACATCTATAGCCAGCCTTCTATTACATTGTCTATGCATTCTTCATTACACCTATGCCGCCACCCATTCATCAAATAGAGTACAGAAACTTAGGGTTCTCATCACCCAAATCAGCAATCTCTTCCTCACTCAAGTCTTCAATCTTATAATCGCGCTCGCCATTGATCCTCTTCTTGTTCTCATGGCCAAAGTACCACCACATGAACGCATACACAATCATGGCAAAAGAAACCATGCCCAGCGAAACAGCATGACCTCTGATGAAACGAGGTCCTTGCTCCTTGGGGTACAGGAAAGATGACATGATGCCAGCACAGTTGCCAAACATGAGTTGTAGGCCAGTAGCTGTGGTGCGCTTGCCGAAGCGAGGGTTGTTGGCTAGGAGCCAAGCGATGGGGAGACCGACGGCGATGTAAAGACCAAGGGCAACGAGGAAGCAGCCGGCATAGTGGACGCCTGAGCCACCGTCTGAAATCAACATTGCGTAGCCGACAATGGAGATGATGCCAAAGATGACGGTGTAGACGCCGCGTTTCTGCGACCAGTCTGAGATGCGTGCCATGATCAGATAGCTGATAGCGCCAACTGCATAGCAAGGAATGGTGAGGACTTGGACCAAAGCGCTTGAGTACGAGGGATCGATGTTCTTGATGATGGTTGGCAGGAATGTCGAGTAGCCGTAAAGCATGGTGTCGGCACCGAACAGAGCACAGCAGAATGCCCACATCTTCCAGTCCTTGAAACCAGCTCGCACGTCTTGCCAGGCAAACTCATCAGTCACACCAATCTGCTGTAAGCGGCGAATCTCCATAATCTTCTTTTCCTCTTGGGTGAGGAACCAGGCAGTTTCAGGGCCGTCGGCTAGCCACCACCAACATGCGATACCGAGAATGAATGTTGGTATGCCTTCGAGAATGAAGATCCAGCGCCATCCACTCTGACCAGCAACTCCATCCATGTGGCCGATACCATAAGCCAGCAGACCTCCAAACGCGCCAGCCAAAGCTGCGCTGACGAAGAGGTAGCCAATTCGAAGTCCAATTTCTCTCTTGGTGTAGAAAAATGAGAGATATACTGCCAATCCAGGAAACAGACCGGATTCGAAGAGTCCTAGGAGCAGCCTACAAGCAATGAGACCACCAAAGGATTGCACGATACCAGTCAAAGTCGCAATAATTCCCCAGCATACAGAGATGAAAGCTATCCATCTTGAAGGACGACAGTAGTGTTTCAGGATGATATTGGAAGGCACTTCGAAGAGAAGGTATGTGACGAACAGTAATGACACTGCGGTCTGGTATTGATCAGATGATAGGTTGAGATCCTCTTCCAGTCCATAGAGACGAGCATTTCCTATGTTGACACGATCCAGAAAACTGAACAGGTATAGTAACGTGACCGGCGGGATGATGGAGAGGTCAAGTTTGCGAACCAGTCTCTTTTCGGTGGCAGGGTCGATTTCCAGTCGCTGGGTCGAGGTACCAGCAATGACGGCTTTGCGATTCTTGAGTTGACTTTCGTTGTCGTCCATGTTGGTAGGTATGGTCGTCATCTCCACAGACAACCGACGAGAGTTTCGCCAGTGCAATTGGCTTTGTTCTACTTGTGTTCTCCCGTAGTCGGGAGGAAAGGATAACAGATGAATGGAGCCGAAAAAAATTTATCGCCTCAAACAACGGAGCTAATCTCAAAACGCAACAAGGTGAGCAAGGTGGTAAATGGATGGTTGCTTGGAAATCCAACTCGTCTCGTGCATTCGAGAGAGCGAAGACCGAACGATAAACCATTCTGACGATGATTCTTTGTCGGCGCTATTAGGCCTGGGCACGCTGGGGTAGGACTGTGTGCTCTTGCGAGTCGTGACATACCAATCACGCCGTCACAGAGCGTCAACGACTTTATGCCATCTTTTGTGCAAAACCATTGAGCTAGGGCTTTTTGTGCCTCCAACAGACTCTTGGCCTTTTCAGTCCAAGACGCCGATGTGAAAGGTGATTCTCAGCATCACGCCCTAGAGCGAGACAACCGGTGAGATGAAGCGACAGAGGTGAGAGATGCAGCACGCTGGTTGGTGGGACTGCGCTATAATAGGACTCGGTGCGGTGGATTAAGTTGCACGAGGAAGGTGCGGATGCGATGTTGACGAGGCTATCGCACGTGACTCGAGTCTCCCAGCGCGCTTGGAAGCGATAGACTGAGAAAATATTTTCCAGCCATCTCGAGCCAGTTTTGGGAAAAAGACACCGAAAGCGTTTGCAAAAAATCACCAAAAGCAAAGAACCGTAAAGCATTCTTAGACAAAATGAGCGACATGATCAAGGAAGAGCAGACGATCGCCGGACAGGAGCATGCCGAAGGCAGCGAAGACTCCAGTTCGGCAATTCGCAGACGCTCTTCGTTCGAGGGCCGTGAATCAAAGAGACAGCGTCAGTCACTGCTTTTGCAATTTCTCCCATCGCAGCAACAACCGCAACCACCACCACTATCACCACACGCCCGCGCAACTTCCTACCATCACCTGCACCGTCCCCTCCCAACACGCACACTTGTTGCTGCTCAACCGTCACACAGTGTTTCCTCGAGAAGTTCTTCCAACAAGAACCTCGCCATGGCTGACATCAAACCTGAACCTCAAGGCACCCAGAGTCTCCCACCTCCTTCTCTGCCTCAGCTCGTAGCCGAGCAGCACGTTCCCATCCCTTCGAGCGACAAGGACTCGCAGCGTCTGATCGTCGTGCTCTCCAATGCCAGTCTCGAGACATATAAGGCCTCGTCGGGTGGCCGCGGTGGTGCCAAGGACGACAAGTACTCGTTGCTCAACAGCGACGAGCACATTGGTGTCATGCGCAAGATGAACCGCGACATCTCAGACGCCCGTCCCGACATCACTCACCAGGTAGCCTACTTTTCTCTCTTCTCGTCGCTTTCCTCCCCTAACCAATGCNNGCAGTGTCTCCTTACCCTCCTCGACTCGCCTCTCAACAAGGCCGGCAAACTACAAATCTACATTCACACAGCCAAGGGTGTCTTGATCGAAGTCAGCCCCACCGTCCGCATCCCCCGTACCTTCAAGCGTTTTGCTGGTTTGATGGTTCAGCTCCTCCACAGACTGTCCATCCGTTCTACTACATCGCAAGAGAAGCTGTTGAAGGTCATCAAGAATCCCATCACCGATCACCTTCCTCCCAACTGTCGCAAGGTCACTTTGAGTTTCGACGCTTCCGTCGTTCGTGTGAGCGACTACATTGCCGATCTCAAGCCCAAGGAGAGCATCTGCGTCTTCGTCGGTGCCATGGCCAAGGGTAACGACACTTTCGCCGACGAGTTCAAGGACGACTCGATCAGTATCAGCAACTTCAGCTTGAGTGCCAGTGTTGCTTGCAGCAGATTCTGTCACGCTGCCGAAGAAGTCTGGGACGTCATCTAGGTTTCCAACGAGCATCCCTACGATATCATCAAATACATACCAAGAACGACCCCAAGAAATGCCGCCTATGCAGCACGACGTGGAAGGGGTTCATCACCAGCGCACGCATTGCGCTTTCACTGGACGGCCATCATCACACCTTCGTTGGCCCCTACGGCGTTCATGCGCCAATCGTTTACCATCAATTCTTCTATAGCGCTGGGTTCATCGGCGCGGACAAGGAATGCTTGTACGCAGGATCTTTGTTTTGAATAGTCAGCAGGAGTCCGGTGGGTTGTCAAAGCACGCGCTCCGATTTGACCAAGAGAGTCAACGAATAAAAGAAGCTTCTGTCATCATCTCGTCCAAAAATTCTCCCCTTTTCTCTCAAGTACTTCTCTCATTTATGATTTGACCGCTTACGCGTGACACTGACAGACTATCGCAAGCATCTAGCCACTTGATCATTTCTCTTTGGACGGGTCTTGTCGGATGTCCTTGGCTGGTCGGCGAAACTCCACCAACCAGGGCATTTGCCGGGTGATAGTGTGTCGTCGTATTTAGCTTGCATGAAGCGCGCACTTTGTACGTGGCACGTTCAGCATGCGCATACCGCTCCTGATCTGCCGCCGCACAGACGGTCGATTATATAGGCGATCGAGCCCCAGGGTCCTATTGGCGCTTGGGATCACTTCCCGGCCGGACCCGCCTACTCTTCTTCACCTGTCTGCTTTGCTGTCCACCGTACCGAGGCGCATCTTCCGGCCGCAGGAACAAGACCTCTTCAGCCGCAGCATATATAGGACGTGCATTAGTCTGGACGCGAACTCAACGTGTCCATGATCGAGTCGACATGATGATCACTGGGTCGACTAATCATGTAAGTGCTTGTGGGACTAGGTGGTATGTCTCGACCTTTGATAAATCCCTGTCCTCGTCCCTGCATTCTTCTCCGGTTGCTCCTTGTGCAAAGCCTGCCATGCCAGTATCACACGTCGGCTTGACTGTTTCTCACGTACCTTCTGCGTGCTCTTTCTTCCTCGCGGCGCTCCAACCTCTTGGATACAGATACGTCGGCAATCAAGGCGATTCTGTTGGCTTTGGCACCGACGACGCCGACTTCTTCTTGAGTCCTGAAGTANNTTTGGGTACGACCTTGCTTTAGTATGACAGCCTCTGATACTGAAGCTGACAAAAATTGTCGCATAGTATCCCTCGAAGCAACGCACATGTGGCATTTTCGGCGACCAGCAAATCGGCGGTGAGAGACTTCTATGCGGCTGCACTTACCGCTGGCGGTCAACCAAATGGCGCACCTGCCTTTAGAAGCTGTAACGATTGCATCTTTAATGCTGCAGTGCTCGATCTCGACGGCAACAGCATTGAGGTTATCTACCACCAACGCGAAGAAGACGATGCATACACCACTATCTCAGGAGGCAGCCGTGTCCTGACATGGAGAAGAGGCATCGTAAATGTTCTGGGCGATGAGGACAGAACCACCTTTGTGTCGGCACGGAGAACCCATCCTGACACCGAGAAGTTGACCACGTCAAGCATCGCCGAATCAATACCTCGTTCCAAAGCCCCCACTGTCACCAGGACTGCATCGATGCCCACCATCTCACCTGAGAGCTCTGAGTCTGGATTCCAGATAACTGGCAAAGCCATTATAGGAACTATCCTTGGTGCTGCAGCTGGCGCGGCAGTTGCTTACGCCATGGTGAAGAGCGAACAAGACAGCGCGGACCAAGAAGCAGACTTTGCCGAAGCGATGAGTAGAAGAGCTGCGTCTAGCAGAGCATCTAGTAAGACACCTAGCAAGATTGCTCCGAGTCAAGCTCAAATTAGCAAGGCGAAGACCGTGTTGAGCTCCGCGACAATGAGCAAGACAGCGCAGGCAAGCAGAATGCTCGAACAACCCGCTGAGAATGTGACTTCCCGGCCGAGGATGAGAGTGCATCGCAACTATAGTACCACGGATTCTGTGGTTGCGTCTAGAGTGATGGAACAGTTCAGCGATGTTGAATCTCAACCCCCAACTCGGTCACACAGGACGCGCTCCGTGCGAGCAATCGAAGCGGCTCCCGAGCCGCAGACAATCGACACGGGCTACCACAGCCCTACCTATGTTTCTCTGGCACCCACTTCGAGGACTAGCAAGAAGCCCGAGAAGTCGGAGGCGCTCTACTTACCAGCGTCGCGAGTTGTTTCCCACACCGCATCAAGATCTCCTTCAGGTCCACCATCGATAGCACCGACAGAAAGGCAGATTGAATACATACCGGCCATAGTCAGTCAGCGACCCTCCATCGTGTCTCGTCGAGCGGTGACATCGCCTCCCTCTGTCTGCAACACAGATCGTCAGATTGCGGATGTCCCAGCACAAGCTCAAGAATGGCCGTCACAAGATCTTGTGATTGCCCGCCGAGACAGTGCGATGAGCATGTACTCAACACATTCGAGCAAGAGCAAGCATAGCAGACACACTTACAGAGGCTCTCCTAGAAGCCATCACGACGAGCGAAGAGANTACCCTCCCGATCGAGTCAGTAGACACTCTCATCAGTCTAGCAGACACCGCGAAGCGTCAGTCGTAAGCCATCGAAGCGAACATCGGGCAAGCTCGCCAGATCGGTCAAGCAGATATCGCAATCCATCTAGCCATCGTTCAACGACATCGAAGAGATCTTCCAAACATCGATCCAGTACACACAGAGACGTGTCGCCGTACGATAATTCTGATACGAGCGCCATCAAAGCCAGCCAGGTCAATGGGTATCGACATTACTCTGCCGTAGGCATACCACTACCTGAATCTCGCAAGACATCGGTCGTCTCAGCAGTAGAATTGCCATTACCGGGTTCAAGAAAGACGTCAGTGGGTTCTGCCGCAGAGTACGCTTTGCCAGTCTCAAGAAAGACATCTATTGTGTCGGGTGCAGACTTACCGCTCCCAGGCTCCAGGAGACCATCCCTGGTTTCAGCCATGGAAAAACCTCTACCAATGTCCAGAGCTGCTTCGACGATATCAGCTCATCAGATCGCTCTTCCAGAGTCTCGAACAGGAAGTATCGTTGGTAGTATCCTCGGCCGTCAACCACTGGTACAGGAAGGAGCCTCGGCCGCTGATATACCATTGCCAGAGTCACGCAAGACCAGTGTCGTAGGCAGTCTGCTCAACAACGACCCAATACCTCGTATCGACGACCTTGAAACTGTAGCTCCAGATGATAGCGTTTCCTGCGTTGCATCTCGGCATACTCGACACGAACGTGACGAGTCTCGTCACCGCGAACGCAGCCATGACCGCGAGTCCAGAAAATCGAGTTCCAGCAAGAAGCATCGACAAAGGTCGTTGCACGGTGAAGGTTCGAGACGGTCGAGTAGGCACTCGGAGGCAGGCAGCGATGCTACCGTCAAGTCGTCGAAGGGCAGTAGACGTAGTGCTGTTAGTTTGCCGGTGCATGGGAGGAGCAGAACTGGTATCGAGAAGGATGAGAAGAGGGGCCAGAGAAGTTTTGTGAGTGTTGCTTTTGGAGGTAGATAAGTGGTATGTAAATCAAGATAATCATAACATGGTCCGTGTCTGCTCAACATGCTCGATACTTTTATCTGGAAGGAAGGAGTAGGTCTCGGAGAATTCGGGGTGCCGTCTTCGGGAAGCCAAACCGTCGATCGGGCCGAGGCTTTCTTGAGCCTCGACCCCGACACATTTGTTGATGAGGGAACATACGACTCATCGTTTTTGCAAGTGTGACCATTAGCATGATTGAGCTAGAGACATCTACTTTCTTTCCTTGAACCATTCAATCTGGTGTTGGAGTGTACTTTCATTTGTTATCGTGTTTGCAGCCGAGCTCAAGAACGTGTCTTTCCAAGGAAGCCACCAAGAAAATCATCAGAAAACGACCGATTGGACCATCTTATATACTGAACACGGTCGTGACTGATGGTGGACATGGAAAAGAAAACAAACCAAAGCCTGCCTTCTGGTACAACATCGCAGCCATCGCATCTAGANAAAAGTCTAGCCCTTGCTTTGTCGCGGCGTCGACAAGCCTCAACACTTCGCAACTTGACTCTCCCTACTGCCAATGCCATCGACTTCAGCTCAAATGATTTTCTCTCACTCTCGAACTCTTCCACTCTGCGGGACCTCTACCTTGGCGAGCTAGCTGCTCGTCCCGGCTTTCCTCTAGGTAGTGGCGGCTCAAGACTTCTCGATGGCAACAGCAAATATGCGGAAGCATTGGAGAAAGATATTGCGGCTTTCCACGGTGCAGAAGATGGCCTACTATGCAACTCTGGATTCGACGCCAATGCGGGGTTGTTCTCTGTTTTGCCGCAACTTGGAGACATTGTGGTGTATGACAGCTACATCCACGCAAGCGTGCACGATGGTATGAGAGCAAGTCGTGCTGGGGCAAACTTTGCTTTCGTGCACAACTCTGTCAAAGATCTGCGAGCTGTGTTGAAGAGGTGTATCAACTCTGATGAGAAGTTCAGATCTGGTCGACGAAGCATTTTCATTGCTGTGGAGGCAATCTACAGCATGGATGGCGACGTTGCACCACTCAGGGAGATTGTGGAGGTAGTGACCGAGCTGCTGCCCAACGGCAATGGCCATATCATTGTCGACGAGGCACACTCTACAGGTGTTTTAGGTCCACAGGGGAGAGGTTTAGTCTCAGCGCTTGGGCTAGAGGACAGAATCACCATTCGTTTGCATACTTTTGGCAAGGCAATGGCTTGCAACGGTGGTAAGTATTTTTGGCATTTGGATATGATGCTGCCCCCTGTTGACAAATGNATTACAGCCATCGTTCTCTGCAGTCCGCTGATCAAGCATTACCTGGTCAACTACGCACGACCACTGATTTACACGACTTTCTTATCCTTCCCAGCACTTGCTGCCATCAGAGCTGCCTACACATTCCTTTGGAACGACAACAGTACTGCACTTGCCACACATCTTTTCGACCTAATCAGCCTCTTGCACGAAAGACTGTTTGCTCTCACCTCGAGTCTACCATCACAACAACGCCACATCCTTCAAGTTCTCGAGGAGTGCCCACCATCGCCTATATTCTCGGTGCTCAGTTCAGACCCGCGCGGTCTGGCCAACTTCTGCCAGGAGAAGAACTTTTTGGTCAGACCTATTGTACCGCCAACTGTTCCTTTGGGCTCCGAACGAATTCGCGTATGCTTACATGCCGGTAATACGAGGGCGGAAGTCGAGGCGTTGGTAGCAAGGATCACCACATGGGTGGAACAGAAGACGAGGTCACCACAAGCGAAGTTGTAATTATGTGTAGAGTTGAACCATCGGAGGGTACGATCTACACCGAGGATGTTTTGGAAGTAGAAAAATCATATATCGTGCTGTAAGCATTGTCAACAAGGCCAGAGCAAGCAAGGAAGATGACCTCTTATTGAACGCTCAGCCATGGCTTTTCGAACACTCACAATCGACTTGCCAAACTCCCGCACCTTGTCAGAGCTCCACGAAAATAGTTTGAGATGAACAATTGAGGCCGTACTTGCATTCAACAGTAACAATGTTTACTTGTTATATTAACCCTTCCGATAGATGATGGTGATAGGGTTGGTGGGTGTCGGATAAGACATGCCCTTGCGTCTTTTCTCAAGTTAAAGAGCTCGGCTAAGCTCGCTTCAATCGAGGGCTCTGCACTCTATCCATTTCGACACCATCAACGGGACCAGATATCGGAGCCGTGATAGACCCATTTTTGTTGGACGCTGTCGAGATGTTGAATATCATAGCATGAACTGTCGACTCCAAAGGAAGATGTACGAACCCTTCACGTATGGCAAGAGAGTCCTATGGCGATCTGCTGCCTCGTCCATCATTTCCCACTCCACCAATTTCAACTTCCACCAGATGTTGCTGAAGTCTGTAACTATTTCTTTAATAGACATCGTCGGTGTGATGTCTGGGCCTGGAAAAGATTTATAAAGAAGTTGAGTTTCTAGAAAACGATTTTTCAAAAATAAGCAGCGGAATTCCATATAACGCGAAAAGGAGCGAACAAGCTTCGTACTCAGGCAAATTTACTCACGCTCGCGATCTTGACTTTACTGGACGACGCTTGATACAAATACCTCCTCACCATCTCCTTCATCTCAGAGCCCAATGGTGTATATCGACATGACTTTCATATACTCAGAAATCTCTTGATTCGCGCCCATCACTGATTTTCGTAACCTGTCGACACAGCTTGTCCGATATCGATCCCGAACTTCCTTTCTCCTCCACCTTCCTTTTGCCACCATCCCATACTGAAAAGATGGTCCTTGTAAGGGGTCGTCTCCAAGAGCTCTTTGTCGGAGAGTTGTTCGGCTCCAGAAGGTACCAGGTCCAAGAAATCAGAATCGGCAAAGAGACTAGCTTGAGCCGCGATACTGCATGGATCTTTCGGAAGCAGTTCTTTACTGTCAAAGAGAACAAGAGCAAAAACTGTGCACACCCAGATAATGGCGAGTAATCCCTCCAAGATACTCGTAGATATTCGGCTCTGGAACAGGCGTTGGCGGCTTTCGTCGACAAGAGTCATCGGCACTTGAGTCACTCCATTCGTGAAGTTGGTGTTGCGCATTTTGAAGCTGAAATACTGAGCGACGAATGTATCGTAATTCTGGCTTACTAGGCTTGCCAAGGTGGCAGCATTGGAAGGTTCGAAGAACGTCTGTCTATCGCTTCCGTTCAGTGCGGCCATGAACAGACTATCGTAAGGTCCCGATGCACTGTTTGCTAAATAGTTGTTAATACTGTACTCGCTGAAGGGCCAACAGCTAGGATCTCCATGTACGAGTGAAGTCTTTGTCGAGGATATCCTGGTCACAGTTTGTTGTGGAAGTGCATACGAGATGTTGAGTTGGGCCTCTTCAAAGTTGTAATAGCAAGCGACACCCCCTATGTTCAATGACGAATTAGACCGCGGATCCCAGTCTCCATAGATCAATGTCAGATTAGGGCACAGGCGCTCTGAAGGGGCCAAGGCAGTTGAATCCGACCATCCTTCAGAGTCAATCCAGCCAACCGAGTTGATGTCCAAAGAGATATCCAGAGTCTCTGAGAAGTTCGTAGTATTGGGATTGATGCTGAAACCAAGAGAGAGTAGACTCGGTGTGCAATCCCTGGCAAGTGAGTTGTATTGTGGTGAAGAACAATCACAACCTGTAAGATCGGGGTGTGTAAAGTTAAGGTAGAACGAGCCTGGATCCGACATCCGCCAATCGTCACCACCATCATTGGATCCATCATTGCGTAACGTGTATTGGAACTCCGATGGTTCCATAGCTTCGCAAANTCTATAAGGTCAATCAGCAGAGGTCGCCACAAAAGCAAAGCCTTTAGCGACGTGTTGAACGGCTGTTTCAAGGCCGAATCCTCCTTTTCTTTTTCTATAGGCAGTTGAATGTCCGGTGGGAGCACTCAAGAGCTTCAGTTTCATTGCCAAATTCTGCCTTTTACGAACGAACTAGATCATAAACATTCGTAGCACATTGGTTTCGAGGAAGATGGTGTAATTGCTTACCATATGTGGGTGATAGCCCGTGGTGATTACCGAACAAGATGATGTATTGAATGCCTCTGGAGTACTGAAGTTGCTAGGAACGCCTGTTGTCTTTGCAAATATGTAATCGTCAAAAGTTCCCGCGGGGTAGGGAATCGCCCCTTGGATCAGAAGATTGGCAGCACTAAGCGTAGCTTGCTCCCATCGATAGAAAGGACAAGCAGAGATGTATGGCCAAACTGCATGGCCGTCAAATTTGGTCAACTGATCCACATCATCAACGTTCAGGATCTTGTATTGCGGTATAGGCTATTCGTCGAGCAACCCGCTAACGACGATCGCAAGAAATGGACACAACAGTGTCGATAGTGAGATGCTGAACACCGCCCATCGACTGAATCGAGCACTGCTCAGACATCTGAGAAGAGAGGTCTGACGGAGGTAATCGTGGAACAGAGTTCGCTTTGCAGGGTTGTTGCCTGCTTTCAGGACCAGATAGGGGTCCAGAACCTCGATAGAGAAGGCTAGAGACTGGCCAAGAAGCTTTATGGCTGTCAAGATAAGTGCAGGTACAACAGTCCATGTGTAGTGTTGGTAGCCGCCCTCCGTGATATCACCGAGCCCTTGGTGTTTTACTGACAAATAGTAAGTAGTTTCCAGTGAGACTATGACAGTGAGCGGGAGTAGCAGAAGAACGACTCGCATCCATTTCGATAGAACGGCAGGCCGCCACCAGGTCATGCTTCTCTCCGGCAGAACGGGCGTGGGGTGTGGTCGCATTTCCCTAATGGCCAGCACATTACCATCGAGCTGCGATTCCATATTATATCGATGATCTAGTATCAGACACTTCATCTCCATCATGGATAGGATTCCAGTGTGCCTCAAGGTGTTCATCATGTCCTCGCTCCGAGCCAGTATAGCGGCCACACGACCGGGAGATGGTATATCTGCNNTAGACTTACCACCACTGGTCGCATTAAGAACATGATGACTGCACATAACAGGATAGCTGCTATCCCGACTTCCAAAAGATACAATGTAACTGAACGGATCAGANNAGACGGAGTCTGACAAAACGGCTTTCAGTTGCCAGGCCTCGTACATAGCAAACATTGTGACGTTCGCGACGTGGCCAACGCGACAATCAAGATCCGCAGAGAATACGTTGATGTTGGCAGTCTTAGAGATTTCGGATTCTAGATTAAAATCAGCCGTCAGCATCTGGACAACACGATCTTAAAAGCCAGGGTCTATATTATGTCGTAGACTGGATCAGGAAAAACATATTTCATCGGCGTCGAAGACTATTGACCGAGGGTGAACAACACAACGCTTTCTGACGGCCCATTCGAACTCCTTTCCTAAGCAACGATCTTTTATCCTAGTNNGCGATAGCTTTGCATTGTCGTCTATGTTGCAAGGCAGCGGCAGGAGATGTTCCAGCCTTTCAGGAGTCTACACAAAAATCTGCGACCACTTACCAGAAACATTTTGAACAGGTACAAGTGGTTCAATCGCCAAGAACTCATTCGTGTACGACGGATAGGCAACCGAGATATTCCCCGATATGATGTTCGACACAGCCAGCACTGGGAGACCATTGACGAGGGTAATGTTGAAATTGGAGTCGTCGAATTTCCTGACGGCCATCGGGGCTTCTTCTTGTTGGGCTATTGTAGGCTCCAAGACGAACAGGCCAGTAGATATGATAGTGACCAGGATTATCAGTTGAGAGCCCAGTACCGTCACCACAACAGGCCAGTGCCTGGCTTGCATGGACCTCCAGAGCACTAGGATCGAGTTTGGCGAGACGTAGTCCAGTAGCAAGCTATTTTTCGCGGTCTGTGGGCGATCTGCCATCAGCTTCCAAGGCATGATGACCTTTGTCTGGTACTCGAGAGCTCCCCAGAATATTGCGAGAATGGAGAATANCTGATGACGGTCAGCCAGGCACATCAGAGATGGCGTCCCAACATTACCAGCAGTGGGTCCGTATGTCCACACGTAGTGTATCCTCTGCGTTGTGGTTGCCAGACCTTGGTTCTTTTTCGAGATGTATTGTGCGATTTCCAAAGCAATAATCATCAGTACGAGGACGATGATGAGGCATACCAAGTGCAGTCGACGCAGTGCCCAAGGATTATGGTGAACGCGACGAGAATTTGCATCTTCTTTATCCGCAACTTGGTGGACCGAGACGTCGTATTCTTTGACAATCGAGGAAGCAAGGTCGTTGAAGATGTTCACGTCCGAGAAAACCAGGTCCTGAGAGCTATCTGTCGGCGTTCCATTAGTCTGGTGTAGCGAGGCTACTCTCGAGCGTGAGTGCGATACACGGTCGTCAAGAGAGATTTCTTCAGCTCTAAAGCGTGAATCAAGAAGCCTACTGAGCTCGATGACCTCGTGGCTTGCCGCCATGATGTGGATGCGCAAGAATCAAGGCGAGAGTCTGACCCATCTTGAGGGCAGGAAATAGCTTATTATAGATAAGCGGCGGCAAGATTGATGAACAAGGCTGAATATCCTTGTCAGCGAATGTACAAGTAGCGCGGGCGGCTGCAGCGTGCAAATTAAAAGGCTGTGCGGTCTTCAAGACTGTGTCTTGCCACGGCCCAGTTACTTGGTATGCGACAAAATGGTCGAAGATAGGTCCACATAGCTGAGTGGTACAATATCTCGACTTTTCCTGTCGAAACGAGCAAGAACATCCGAGGGAAGAGTGTGAGGAAGGGTTGGCCCAAAAGACCGAAGGAAGCTTGCTCCGATCGGCAATCAATTCACCAAAAAGGGTCCTCGACAGCACCGACTTCCACCAACTTTGCTTATGTCTTTGGCTACCTTATTGTGTCAAACACTGTCAACGTAATGAACCAGGAGCAATTTTTGTCTGAACGCAAATCAAAAATACTAGGTTGGAAAGTGCGAAAGATCTGGATAAACAATGTAGCGCAAGCTGAATGGAGCGATCCAAGGCAACATTAGGAGTAGAGATATGATCTATGTAGAGGAGAGTGCCACACTAGTACTAACACATTGAAACAGGGTTTGCTTTGTACCTCATAGGCCCTCAAAGATTGGATCGAAATCCATCGCGCCCCAACTATATCCATTGTTCAGGGACGCGACATCGTCAGTGAAAGACTGCCAGTTGAACCACGATGCTTGCAAGGGATCGGATGATATGGTGTTCCACCCCTGGCCGACGTCCATCACAGCATTCATTGGCATCAGATCCATCGTAGAGGTCGTGTAGGCAGATAAGTCGTCCACATAATTGTCGGACGGTCCTGGTATGACCATGGTTGGTGCCACTGTCGATCTCTCCTGGCGCTTCTTCTGTGCAACTCGCATCAACTTCTTGATCGGCCTCCATAGTGGACCTTGAGTTCCTTCGGCGATTTGACCCGAGAGTTCATCAAACGAAAGTAGCCCAACTGTCCACGCTCTTTCTAGAAGCTGTGCATCATACTGGTCAGGATTACACAACTCTGCCAGCAGAACAGCCAGGCCGTGCCAATCCACAAAGCCCTTGATGATCCAATGCCACGGCTCGGTAGTTTCGCTCAGCAAGCCACGCTTGACCTCGAGTGCTTCAACAGCGAGCAGCAAGATGTTCATATGTTCGGGCGGAGGCAGGGTTAGTTGGGGATGGCGCTGGAGTGGTCGGACCGCGTACAACTGTGCACATCTAAGAAGAACCTTGGTAAAGCTGATGGAAGCAAAACGAAACACACCATCTTCTTGAATGTGTGATAAGATGTCTTCTTCAAAGGTACGCTCAAGTCGCGCGATGGCGTCCTGTCTGACTTTCCACGAACTCTGTATCGGTGTAGGTGGCTTTTCTGCTTCGCCTGGCAATACCCAGTTTAATTCTCGTAAGAGCTTGTTGCTATGGCAATGGATTCTGTAGAAAACCATGCCGGTTGGGGAGCTTGTGCTTGACAGAATTGGAGGTGCATGTAGTGAGTAGTCCGAGTCGACATGATCATTGGGGGNTTTAGTAGTCCACCCTCCTGAGACTATCATCAGATCACTTCCTCGGTCCATAGCGGCTTGGTAGTCCAGTGCTTTCAGCGTATACCATATGCGACGACGTACTTCAGCTTGGCCCCAAGGCAGTTTGTTATAGGCTTCCTCCCGATGAAGTTGTAAAGATTGAGCCATTCTGACTGCCAGGGAGATCAGCATCCAACTTTGTTGATCGTCTTGATGTGACCTCAGAGCCGCNNCTGTTTATGAATTAGCTAAGTTCTCGCGAGTTTTATATGTTCGACTCACGATGTAGAGCAATAATGCCTGTAAGCTTACGAGGCTTGGTCTCTTGACAATCTCGACCTGTGAAAGGCACTGGAAAGTTGCTTGTTGCCACTCATTCCTCAAATCTTCTCTTTTCTTGTTGAATGCAATCAAGCAATGTGAATTGCTAATACTGCATATGCAAGCGTAGAAAGCACTAGCCATGAGTGCCTGGATGGCTGGACTTTCTGGCGCATGACCCAGGTAAGGTTCCTTTTCGGTCAAGAGTTTCTCAAAACTAGGCAGGTGAACAAACTTCAAGATATAGTCGACATTGCGTCGGAAGATCTTGATATATTCCAACACATCACTGTTAGAGACGACAGGAATAGGAACAGTAACCGGCTGTGAGGTAAACAGCAGATCCCCTGGAGTACCACTGCTGTCCGTAGGCACAGAAGGAGGGCTTGAATCAATATCATCATCATTGTCGTTGTCGTCGTCCTCATTATCAAGCACCGTGTGAATGTCATTGAGTTCATGGGCCAATTGAGTCCAGAGCGTTGACCCCAGTGGCCACCTCGTGGTATCCGGAGTGGCCTCGCGAGAGTCAAATGGTTGTTGCTTGAATGTAAAAGGGCCTGAAGAAGTTGATGTTTGAGTCTCGCTGTTGGTCCGCGTCTTTTGCGGCAAGGAATCAAGGTCTGGATTATCGGGTAGCAACCCAGAATTGAGAGATTGAACAAGGCCTTCCAGGCGATTGATTCTGTTGCGTAGTTCTGAGTTTATGCCCTTACGACCCCCATTTCTCCCACGCGGTAATCTGGCGCGGACGACAGGGATGCACTCCTTCTGCGAGGTCGCACAATTCGAACATGGGTTCTGCTTGTCGCACTTGATTTTACCTGAAAAAGGTCAAAGGAGAATATCAAATATTTGACCAACTGACTCACGTTTTCTGCACAAGGTACATGACAGTGGCACGGCGGCCGGGGATTGGGGAGCGGCAGACGGTCTTACGCTCGCAGTATTCATGTCAGCGAGAACCAAAAGACTTGATTAGATGGGACCTCGCTCTCAGCATTAGACGTGCTGGAAAATCAACCTGAAGGCTTGAGGCAGCGACCATACATGCGGCATCATCGACTGCGAAGCATAAATTGCGCACGGACGCTGCATCCTTCGTCGAAGAAGTGTCCTTCATGTGATTGGCAAGCAGGCACGCTCAAGGCAATTTCCAGGCTCACAACAATGGCAAGGCTTCCAGCGGTTCCCTCAACGATCAGGATTATTTGCTCGGCATTTGAACATGTGTTTAGTTAGCCGGAGATGGTTTCCTGATGGAGAGAGTCGTTGGACCCCTGACGAAAAGAAGGTGTCAACAGTCAACCTCGGCTCCTCCCCACCGCGTCCCCGGGCTTGATGGAGCAGAAGCTTGTTTGTTCAAGTATCGCCGTCTCCCCCCTGTCACGCTTGTTCGACATCCATGATCTTGTCGGAAGGAAGAGTGATCGAGCATGGTGCAGTCGGCCTCTTCGTCAGCGGCCAGCTCTGCTTCCAGTGGTAGCCGACCGAAGCTGGATGCCGTCACGCGCAATGCGCTTCGCTATACCATCAGTGCGAAGGAGTATGAATTACTTCACCAATACCTCGCATCACGCGCCCCCTCGGTACAGAAGCGTGCTCTCCCACCACGCCGATATGAAGCCATAGTGGAGAGCAAGCACGACGCCAGTGTCTCTACAGTACGAGCCAGTCTGCGCGTCTTCGCCATGACCTATGCCGCCCTCAAAGGTTGGGACGTCATTTCGCGCAGACTACGGCCAAGCAAGTAAGACTGCCCGTACCAGCACTTTGTACACAGCGCTGACCAAGAACANAGTAGCACAAATACAAAGAATGCAAGCCCCAGAGCATCCCACCTGCGCCTGTCGGCCTCGTTATCTCTCATCCTGCTGTTCCACCGTCTACTATATCGCTTCTTCCTTCGTCTCCGTGCTTCGTTACTCGAACCATCTGCCCGCCCCTTCCGCCGTCGGAACCCTCGCATCAGTCTTGGTCTAACATCGTCGTACACACCTGCTGTGGGTGCAGCACTGTCTGGTCTCTTCTTAGGCGTGTGTCCTGCCTCCCAACTGCGCATCAGCGTCGCAATCTACGCCTTCAGTCGCTCTCTAGAGTTTGCCTACAATGCTGCAGAGGAGAAGGGTATCTGGGGGAAGAAGGGCAAGCCTGACTGGGTAGGAAGCTGGATGCTTATGCCCTTTGCTTGTGGACAACTCTTGCACGCTTTCGTCTTTGACCGCGAATGCTTCCCTGCAAACTACGGCAGCTTCATCCTCAAACGCAGTCCCGAATACGTCCAGCAACGTCCTTCTATCTATCCTATCGACAAGGCCTGGCCTGCCACCTTCGATATTGTTGATGGTCTGGCTGAAATCTCGCGCCTGCGCTGGCCAGCATTCGTCTCTCCCATCCTCTTCCCAGCAGCTAAACAACATCTTCCTGCATCCATCTCGCATCTATCGCCCATCACCGCCCCGGCACACCCTGCCATCACGAACACTTCTTGCGCTCTCCTACACCCTCACGACCCGTCATGCATGCGCACATATGTCAAATACTTCGTCGCCGCTTTCCCCTCCACCGCCCGCTTCTTCACCGTCATCTACGCTGTCTTCGCCCTCTTGTCTTACAAATCCTTTATTCAAAATCCTATGCAGCAGCTCAATCGCCTCGCCGCCAAGATCTTGCGCATGTCTCTCTTCATCACCGGTTCGATCGGGACAGCATGGGGAACCATCTGTCTGTTTGCAACATATCTCCCTCGCAACACGCTGGCCACACAACGCTGGTTCCTTAGTGGCTTCCTTAGTGGTCTCTGGGCCTTTGTCGCGAGAAGAGGACAGCGTAGCAGCTTCATCTACTCTGCACGTATGAGTCTTGACTCCTTTTGGAAGGTCGGTGTCAAGAGAGGTTGGTGGAAGGGCGTCAAGGGTGGAGATGTCATGCTCTTTGCCGCCAGTCTGGCCCTCATTGATGTCTTGTACGAGACACAACCTAAGGCCGTCAGAGGTGCTATGATCCGCAAAGGTATGGGGGTGCTGAGAGGTGAGGGTTGGGTCGATCGTACAACTGCTCAAGAAGAGCAGAAAGAGTCGGCGTCGGAGACTACAGACAAGAAAGAGGAGTAGAGGTTGTAATGAATCATGAATTGGGTGTTATGAAGGATGAATTCTTGTACGATAATGGTTTTGTTGTACTTCTTGATCATAATGTTTTTCTCTGCCTTTCTTGTTCCTGCAAGCTATCCGTCCACTCGCCCATGGTTGTGCAGCATGCTCCACGAAGTACGTTTTCCAACCCTCCCAGTCCCTTCCTCTTCTATCTTGATTCGAGCATAAATGCAACACCCGCAAAGAACGAACCAGATAGAAGCAGCCTACCTGCCCTTAGCAGTTTGGGGAGAAGAGAGACGGGTACGCCCTTCATCAGGATGTTGAACTGTAAGTCTGAAGTAGATGAAACACCAGTGGTTGGAGTTCTCTCTCGCTTGACTTGGGAATTCAAGGGCAGGGTTGATCTTGAGCCCGTCTTTGTCGAGCTTCATGGTATATCCTTTTCTACTTATATCAAATCTGCATATCATGTGCAAGTGCACTCTTTGTTTACTACATCAGTGTCGTACAGGGTAGGCAGTGGTTTGTCTCAATGATTACACTGAATGAGGATGTACCATGAATCAGAGTTCACGGAAGCAAATTTGTGTATTATGATCTTGTGCTTATGCTTTCTGGTATAATGCTTCTGCTATCGCTGTTATCCTAGCTTTCCGATCCTTCACTGGGCTTCCATAGGGCTGAAACGATTGTTGTGTAGGTCTGACAGAAACAAAACTGTTATGTGATGGCCTAACCGAGGTAGTGATATTGTCTGCATGTATCAGCTTCCATAGTTGTGAAAAGGTATGGAATTCTTTTACCAATGTCCCGATGATTGCAGAATCTTCTCCAATAGAGCAGTATCTTCTCCAGAGCTCCAAAGAACAGGTGCAGGAAGGGTGTCAGTTGTACCAGTAAGTCCACATCATGATGTCTTTGCATTTCTTCTTCAAATGCTTCTGACTTTTCCTTCCGAATTCCTGCCCATCATGGTACCAGACACATACAATAGTGCCTTCTTCATAGCAGTTCTATTCCCTGTCCTCGTGCTGCCTGACGTTTCGACGAATAAGTTCCTCAAAGACTTGACCAACAGTGACAGCGTCTTTATCCTTGTTCTCGATGACAACTCCGTCAAAGTTGATGCGGCTGACTGGGGGTGATGTTGCATTGTGCTCGTGCCCTCGAGCGTGAAGAACCAGGACTCCGTTCTCTTTGTCGAATTCATCGATGCACTCTGCCGTGATGAGAAAGGGGTCCTCGGGCAGCAAAATGTCTTTGTAGAACATTGTGTGTTGGATGAAAGGAGGGCAGACGAAGGTGTCATGTCGATGGTATCGTCTTCGTGTTTGACATCTTTGGCGCGGAACATTCTGTGGTCCAGAGTAGGATGATAGGCGATGGCTCTCAGCATCCTGCTGGTTTCCGAGCAGTCTCTCACGTCAAAGTAGTCGAGGTATGAAAGGATTTCCAGCAGCAGCTCGTTGGGAAGATCATGTATGGTAGGCATGATGGAAGTAAAATGCGAGATGCCAATGTGATTAGAGAGTGAACGCGGTTGACATGGAGTTTGTGGTGATGCTCGCTTCTGAAGATTAAGTATCCTAGACCAATAAGCAAGCGCACTGGATGTTTATGCCATGAACGCATTGCACCTTCCTAGCTTGTTTTCGAAGTTCTCACTTCACACCGACCCATCGTTGGCAACAATTTCTTTCATGCAGCCGATCTTAGTGATGTGCATCTATGGAAGACATACCACGCTTTTGGAATGATCAGGACTAGATATCTAGGGCTATTAATTGACACGCTTTCTGTGGATCCAATTCTCGTTTAAGAAGCGCTGCACGTCCTTACAGCTACGTGATTGCGAACATTGTACACGAAAGTGGACAGATTCATCTTATAGAGCAAACATTGAGCATTGGTATGTACTCTACTCGAGTTGGTTGGTTTCTGCTAACATGATTGGGAGAAAGAGCAACTTTGGTGGATGAACATACATTCTGATCTGTGCCTTAGCAAAGTTTTCACACTCAAGAACCCCACTGGGCTCCGAGGATGAGTTCGTCCTCAGTTGATTCCTGGCTCTTATAGAAGCCCTCGAAGAAGTAGTGGCATCTATCGCGGGGAGCACCAGGCTGATAGTAGTCACAAAGACCTTGCACGACGTCCTGAACAGTCAGACCCTGCTCAGATTCGACTTCCACTTCCCAGTCCTCGGCACCATAGGGGCTGAGCACGATTCGGGCGACGGCGGGCTCTGTGGCATTCTGTTTGGCAGCAGACGATTTGGTCAGGGCTAGCTCTCGAATGTCGGATTTGCCGTCAGGCTTTTGTCNGCTGAACAGAAAGCAGGCATCCTGTATCTTGGATCGAGAGGTGTAGTACAGCCTGTCAAAAGCGGGATTGATCTGGAGCTTGTCAAGATTGATAGATTCGTCAAGCTTGATGAGTTTGGTGCGGAAGAAGATCTTGTCNNCGAAGTCAGAGTGCTCGATAATGGTCTTGAAGGATTTGTTGACTCTCATGCATCTGGTCAAGTCTTTGAAGTCGAAGTATGAGAAGATTTCCGCCATCAACTCGTTGGGAAGGTCGTCGAGGTCAGGCATCTTGAATGTTGCTGCGAAGAATTGCAGGTCTGGTGATGACTTCGAGGCAAGGCGCAGATAGCGGAGAAGGTAAGTTGTCGTAGATGAGAGAAAAAGGTTGACGAAGCTACGCGATGACAAAGATGATGCAGAGCGATTCGGAAGGAGCCAGCCGCAATGCTCTTGCCTGTTATCTTAGAACTGTCTCGACACTCGCGCTGCCGGGGTTTTCTTTGTTCCTAGGCGCAATTGTCGTTTGTTTGGCGCGCATGAAGTACGCAGTGCTTAACAGTCTTACACTACGTGGGATAGATCTGTCTGTTTGGCAGGATAGCAATCGCGCGCCATCATTGTCTTATGCGGATCCGTTCTTTCGGGTCTTTACATCGAGACGCGGACCCTTATCAATCCGCAAGCACCCTCTAACTGCTGCTTGACCAGGGTACTACTCAACCAGGTGCAATTTGTCTTCAAACTCTTTAAAAGCAACCTCACTGATTTTCATCTTGTCTGCACGCTCACAAGCCAAATCTCATGGCAACCACAAAGCACGACAAACGACTCTCTGTCCTAGATGGTGGCTGGGGTGCGCAGATGGGTCCTGATCTCATGTTTCGGCAATTCGAAGAAGGATACGACGAAGGACCAGACAACATTGCTCTGATCTGCACACACCAGTCCTGGGGACATCTGAGGAACATTGTGGGAGAAAAACCAGTCGCAGGCTGCTTGACCTGGACATATCGCCAATTGATGAGAGCCGCTCGAGATCTTGCGCTTGTGTGGGAAGGGTACGGAATCAAGAGAGGAGACACTTTGGTTGCCTTTCTTCCAAGCTGCGCGGAATGGGCGCTTGGCTTCTGGGTCGCGGCCATCCTTGACCTTACTTTTGTGCCTCTGGATCCTGCTACTCTGGTCGTGAGCAGCCCCGGAGAGCAAGAGTACCCTCTCGAGCTATTGAAGACCAGTATCGTCCTAGTGTCCAACCTCAGAGATGCCTACAACTTCGACGAACTCTATCCTGACTTGACGAAAGCGGTCAGAGTCAAGGTCGTTTGTCATGAGCGAGTTGATTCCTTCTTCCGTGGCTGGATCAATCTCGAACCCCCAGAGACATACAGGTTTCGAGTATCAGGAGCAGGAGACAAACCCTACCGACCAATTCCGAAAGAACGTGTTGTCGCCGATGATCGCGTCGCGGTGGTCCTTTTCACTCAAGAGAGCCCCAAACACCCTCCAAAGGGCTGTCCTCTGACCGTTCAAAACATTCGAACTGCGCTGGTGAACCAGTATATTCTTCCACAGCAGAGATATCTGGTCACTTGCCAATCCTCGAGCAGTGCAGCTCTTGAAGCGGTGCTTGTGGCGTGGAAGAGGGGCGCAGCTATCGTGTTTCCAGGAGCCTTATTTTCTGCACAAACGACTCTTTCTGCAACCGAGATTTACCGCTGCACGCGTCTTGTCTGTACACCACCGCAACTAGAGGAGCTGATCAAGCACCCTTCCCGACCACAAAGGGATCTCAGCACTCTCGAAAGCCTATCAGTACATGGAGGGTTGGTGAGCGCGAAATTGCTAGCCCAAGGACAACACGCACTACAAACCCAATGGGTATCATCATCCTTGACTGTGACCGAAGGGTTCGGAGCACTTGGTTGGCGTAGCGTGTCTCCAGAGGATCGAACTCTGGACAGTGTCGGTACAGTTATGCTAGGATCTCTTGTCAAGGTCTGTTCTGTCGACAGCAGGAATATTCGCGTGTTGGGTCGAGGACAAGAAGGCCGGCTTCATGTTGGTGGCGATGCAATGATCCAAGGTTATCTTGGTGGTGAGTCCAAAGAGCACTTTTACCGGGATTCGGATGGCAACAGGTGGTTCGTGACAAACTACCTGGCAACTATGGACAACAATGGATTGGTGCGATTGACGACTGAGCTGAAGGTACGTCTCGCGATTTCCTTGAATCTGGCGACTTTGCTTCATGATCGTCTTCGTTTGTACACATTACTAATGCTCGTGCAGAACTCCTGAGCGAATAATGTCAGATCATATCTCATGGCGATGATATTCGGCGAGCTTTCGATGATCTTGAGGAGCAAGGGCATACAAGGCTTTGGATATAAGGGTGATCGATTGCTGCTGGCACATGATTGAGAAATGGCCAGATTGCGATAAAAGTTCTCTTCACTACGGTTCTAGAGCTGTGGAGCTAGATTAGGGTCGGTAGAGAAACGTTGCAATGGTAGCGAAGATTGGGACTGTTGGAGGAGACGTGAAGCTCCATGTTGGAAGGAACAAACGTCTCGAAGCTCTCAAATCTAACATTTTGATTGACCGCCTCAAATTGTTGGCATCATCCAAAATCATGGTTGCCATCACTGCAAATCGCTCTGTCTCTTGCGAGATTTTCAACCTCTTTAATTCTCGCACTATACAAAGTATCTATCATGCATCGGAGGATATAAAGCGCTGCCATCCTGGAAACGTCATCAGATGCTTCAAGGTCACATGCATCTTCTGATAAGTGCATTGTGATGAGATGCATTTCTTGCTCGAGCCGTGTGCATTTTCGTTGCTAACTTGAAGCCAACGCTGCCGCGTTTCGGCAGTGACAATTGAAGCTGTGACGTTTGACGCGGGCTACTCAGTGGACAAAAACATCTTCATCAACCATACCCCTCGCCATTGAGCGACGGGTGCATAAAAGTCGCAAAGATGGATGACCGTCCAAGTCCAAGCCCGAGTGCAGTCCAGTATAATCTTGCACCAGACCTCGAAAGCCCTCATTTTCGTGATCGCAGCCAGACGCCGCCACTAGACGAAGACACTGCCGAGTCGTCCAACCAGCAGAATGGTAACGGCGACAAACATATCACCATGACCACTCCTTCGCCGGAGCGGTTTCGCCCGTCGTTGCCTGACAGATTCTCTGCGAGAGAACAATCTTCGCGTAGCATCAGCGAGGCCGTTAGACTTGCGATGTCACGGGAAGAACAGCAACAACTTCTTGATGATGATGGTGAGGCAGCAGACGACGATGGTTGTTATCCACCTCGCAAGGACAGCATACCTTGGCAGCCCAATCCTCATAGGCAGTTGCCCATCTATACGACCATCCACCGGATCAGAAGACTTGTTATTGCATGCATTGGTACATTAATACCGACATTTAATTTACGGCAGTTTGCTAAATCGTTGTANGATGATCCTTATAGTCTTGATCAGCTCAAGAGTCCTCGCATGAATACTGCTGTTGTACGACCTCTGCTTGACCATCTGTACGATCCAGACGATGTTTCGATTGGTAAGTGGACTTTGTCACATTCTGTAACAATTCTGATTACCACCNNAGTTTGGTGCCTTCTGGTCAATCGCGTACAGTTTCTTCGTCAGCAGTCCTTCCAAGCTCATCATCAGACTGTCAATATCACTCGTGCCAATCTATGCGAGGTTCTGGCCAGTCGAATCTTGCGCCGATTCGACGAGGATCACAGTGGCCGTGAGGGACTTCTGACTCTTGCCAATGTCCTGGTATCTGGATTTGAGCCGTTCCAGAATGCTCCTCCTTCTGTTGACAGAGGCAAGCGGCCTCACTCCGCGCTCGCTGAAAGCTGGTTTGCGTCAGGCCGTGAACGAGTCTTGACAGCGCTCGAGGTGGCCATCATCTCAGAGTCNAAGAGCTTCTTGGCAGCATCTGCCTGCCANAAAATCGTTGATGCCGTCTACAGAGGCCGTATCATCTACACTCCCACTGCGTTCATCGACATTCTGCCAGATCGTTACAAGAACCGCAGAATCTCTCTCTACGATCCTCGCAAGGCACCAATTCTCAACCAATATCGTCTCATCGTTCCTCGCAACCGCAAGGTCATCGAGATCACTCAGTTCCTCGTGCTGTTCGGCTTGTATCTGCTGACGATGTTCAACAAGGCCAAGGAGATAGGACCCGGCCATTTGCACTTCACAACAGTCGAGCTGATCTTTTGTGTTTATGGTAGCGGTTGGGTACTCGAAGAACTTGCATCTGTCCTGGAACACGGGTGGTCAGTACACACCGAGAACTTGTGGGCCTTTATGGACATTGCCTTTTCTTTAATCTACCTGGCTTACTTTGGCATACGCATGCACGGCCTGAGGGTTGACTCCGGACCTGTGGGCAAACAAGCACTCGACATCCTGTCTCTGGGAGCACCAATTCTGATGCCAAGACTGGCATTCTGTTTGATGCCTGAGAACATGCTCTTCATCGCACTGCGAACCATGATGGGAGACTTCACCTTCCTTACCATGGTCACCGTTTGGTGCTTTGGTGGGTTCTTGCTTGCCATGCGCTGGCTCAGTGAGAGTCAAGAAGGCTATGTTTCGCACAGCTTCCTAACCATCTCCAAGTGGATGTTGTGGATCTGGTTTGGTCTTGATGGCACCGGCATCACCAAATCTGTCGAATTCCACAGCTGGCTGGGACCTTTCCTTATGGTGCTCTTCGCCTTCATCGGCAACACGCTCTTCCTGACCATTCTGGTATCAATTCTCAGCAACACCTACTCCAACCTTGCAAAGAATGCCACAGCCGAAATTCAATTCAGGAGAGCGGTCTTGACCTTTGAAGGAGTCAAGTCTGACACCCTCTTCGCCTTCCGCCCACCCTTCAACGTTGCCGCCTTGGTTATCCTCCTGCCCATCAAGTTCCTCACCACGCCTCGCTGGTTCCACAAAGTAAACGTCACAGCAGTACGCGTGCTCAATGCACCTCTGCTTCTCGCCATCGCCCTCTACGAACGCAAATACCTCTGGCAACGCAGCTCTAAACTCGGACCACGACGCCGCCACGCCTTTATGGATTTCTGGGAAAGCTTTGGCGCACATGCCGATTTGTCTAATGTGTTTGACGAGGAGCCGCCGCAGAGTGTGTTGGACGAGATGGATGACATAGACGATGTGTTTGGTAATGATGTTTGGGCTAATGGATACATGAATACGATTAGACAGAGAAGGGGCAGCAGGCAGATTAGCGAGACTAGTTCTGCGTATCCGGTGTTTAGACAACGGAGGTCGAGGGGTGACAGTATACTTCCTGCGGAGACTTGGTAGCTTGTAGGGGTTGCCTGGGTATCTTTTTTGTTTCCTATGAATACAGACGTTAGGTAGACTATCATGATGTTCACTTCTCGAATCTCCAAGAAGGATGATACGATTCTGCAAAGTCCCGGACAGCCTCCTTGACACCAATAACCTCATCGCCTCTGACATGGAAACCATGTCTCAGCAACGCATGCACAACATCCTCCTGCAAAGTCTTGCCCTCCTCATAGACCAAACACCAAGCATCTCTCGCCACATAGCCAACCACAATCTCATCCCCCAACTCTGGCGCCGCTTCGTCCAACGCCTCATGCAACTCTTCCAGAGCCCAAGTCCCATTACCCGTCGGCAACTCCCACTCCGGCTCCTTCCTCACCAACAACCTATAAGCCAGCGTCGCAAAATCAAATGCATCAATCGCCAACCCCAGCGCTTGAGAGTTTGCAGACAACTCGCCATCAAAGTAATCATATCTCAACGCATCCACTGGGAACGCAAATTCTTTTGGCGCTCTGGTGGGCACACCATTATTGTGGCCATTGATTGTGGATTTTGTAAAGTCGGTGATGGCGATGGACATGTCTGAGCGCAGCAAAAGAGAGGATGGGGAGATTGCGCCGTGGGTGACTTTCTGGTCGTGCAGGAAGCGGAGGGCGGAGGAGGTTTGGAGGAGCCAGGAGAGTGGGAGGGCGAGGGTGGCGTGTTTGGCTGGTATTGAGGGGTGCGAGAGGGAAGGGTATGGTGTTTTGGTGGAGAGGAGGGCGTGGACGGTGCCGAGGGNGGCGTGTTCGAGGACGATTGGGGNGCCGTAGGAAAGACAGCTGGAGACTGCGTTAATATGGTTCTACTCAGGAAGAGGACAATATGTGTACCGGAGAAGTCGGGAATGCGTCTCTGAGCCCAAGAATGCATATGCGGACGAGGCATGCTTCAGTACAGAAGGCACCTCTCCATCGCGACTACTGGAAGAGAGCACTAGAGCTGTACTCCTCTTGCGTCGCCCTTCGTGCACCGCAATCACTCCACCGCACATACGCCCCAATAGTATCGTCTCTTCATTGCTCTTATCCTCATCTTCATCTTCTTTCTGTCGCGTGTCCGTCTTCTGTGGCCCATACACGACCGATTTCAGGAGTTGAACCAAGTATCCAAGCAGGACCAGCAGCCCATTGATCACACCATGTCCAGTCTTGGATGTCGCCGTATCGGGAATCGGAGCACTCTCTTGCTTCTCGTGTACGTAGGACCTCTCGCGAGGTAGTCGCCTTCGCACTTCCATTGTGATTTTGTTCGTGACATCAACATAGTACGCATCATCTTGTGGGGAAGAGACACGCTCGGTTTTTGGCCAAGAACTCATGAAACACCTACTCCGTCATAGACACTCCTTTTCCGGATTGTGTTGTCGTACCATATCAAGGTGGTATAACAGCGATGGAACACGAGACCAGTCATGTCGTTCTTCGATTCTACCATTGCTTGTCACGTTGATTGAGATGTGATATGGTTCGAGATGTGTATAGTCTTTTCGCGGAAACATTTCCGCGTCAGCAGTTAATTGCCTTGTCTAAAACTATCTCTGGATAACTTATATATCCCACCTGATCCAGTCGCACTTGGGCGGTAGTTCTGGCATAACCCCGTCTTCGAATACGCCTTGCTCTGCCACAAACTTGTATGCTGCTTCATGCTCGGCCGTGTAGGCTTCTGCTGGTGCTTCTATTTCTGCCCTGGGCGCCGGGTTGCCCTCTGGATGCCAGATCCTCTCCATCTGTCCATTGGCCTTTCTGTAATGCGGCTCTTGAGTTGGCACTGTCTCTTTTGTGGCTAAGTACTGCACAGGTGCACCTTTGAAGCTTTTGAGTGTTCCGTTTGGTTGGCGGGTGATCCAGTCGCCCTGAGGCATGGGCTCCGCGAATGACTGTGGCGGCTGTTGTTGCTGTTGCTGCTGTGGTTGCTGTGGTGGTGCGGCAGCTGTTCCAAAGCCACCACCGAACGTTTGGTTATTCACGGGCTGTGATGGCTGTCCGAATGCAGCCGGCTTAGGTGCAGCTTGTGCAAATGGCGACTGCTGCTGTTGATTTTCTTGTGCTTGGGCAAATGGCGAAGGCTTGCCAAACCCAGTCTGCTGCTGTGGTGGAGCTGAGGGCCGCCCAAACACGCCATTTGGTTGCGTGGGTGCTGATGGTTGGCCAAATGCAGGCGTTGATGGCTTTCCGAACGCTGGTGTTTGTTGACTAGGTGCTGATGGCTGGCCGAACGCTGTGGTTTGAGCGGGTGCTGAAGATTGGCCAAAGGCTGTGGTCTGCGGAGCGGGTGCTGATGGCTGACCAAATGCTGGCGGAGGTTGCTGACCAAAGCCAGAAGACTGTCCAAAGGTACTGTTTGGTTGCTGACCGAAAGTTGACGTTTGCCCGAATGCTGAAGTTTGGCCGAACGTCCCTCCTCCTTGCTGTGGGGCTTGTGCGAAAGGCGATGACTGCGCTTGGTTGGCCTGTGGCGTCTGGGTGAACGGACTCGCTTGAGCTCCTCCAGCAGGCTGTCCGAACGCGCCTCTCGAACCAAGCGTCGATGGCTGCCCAAACCCGCCTGTCGATGCTCCTAATGCAGATGGCTGGCCGAATCCTGCGGCAGGTTGTCCAAAGGAAGGCTTCTGGCCAAGAGCTGAAGGAGAGCCGAAAGCTCCTGCGGTTGGTGCTGTGCTTGCTGACTGTCCAAATGGACTCGGTTTCTGCCCAAGGTTAGATGCCTGGCCGAATCCGCCTCCGCCACCAAGATTAGATGGTTGACCAAATGCTCCGGAGCCGCCCATTGTAGAAGGTTGACCGAAGGCGCCAGTCTGAACTGGCTGGCTGCTTTCTTGCGCTGTAACGTTGGGTGAAAACTTGGAGTTTAGTTTTCGACCTTTGTGGAAGACGTTTCCAACCGCAGCCTGGCATCCGTCCGTGCGGTTTGGATGTTGGTTCTCTCCATCCAGGACATATTTGACTGCCCCGTCTAGATCACTAAGGATTCGCTCTACTTGCTGAGTTGTCTGAGCGATAAGTTCCTGTTGGGCTTGCATCTGTATAGGTAGTCAGATTACCGTGAGCGGTATGTCAAGGTCTGCATTACTTACAGCAGGCTCTGGGTTACCGCTTGCGACAGCTTGATAGTAGAGTACACGCATCTCCTCCGGACTCTGCTCTATCGGGGAGCCCCCGAACAGTTGTATCGGGGCATCTCTACCTGGACCATAAGCAGAGAATGGCCATTGTGGCTTCTCATTCCGAAGGTCTCCTTCAATACCATCCCTCGTCACTCCGTAACTGGANNAAGTGGTCAGTGTCTGCTGCTAAAAAGTGATGTAATTCAGTGCTCGAAACAAGACGTATTGGACTTACGAGTTTTGGCTAGTGTAGTGCTGCCCTCTACCAGGAGCAGGCGGTCGCTGGTTGTTTCGGTTTCCCTGACCAAAGGTGTTACCCTGATTTTCGAGTGCCTGAAATCGGTTTCCACCGTCCTGAGGTTTGTTGGCGCCAGGATGGTCGAATTTGCAGTTGTCNNTGGATGAGCAAATCAGCACATGGAGCAAACACAGAGAAGGATAATCATTGAGCTTACCTCCAAACTTGCAACGACCCTGTTGGTAGAAAGAGCAGACCCTACCACCTCCGCCACCACCTTGGGCATTACCGTGCTGGACGCGTCCGAACATTGATCATACAGAGCGATCGAAGTCGGCAATTGAAGGATGATGTTGGAAAACTATAAGGCTTGCTGCATAATATCAAGCATAACCAGGGCGAGATTGACAAAGCGAGGGAAGAAATTCCGACAAAACGAATAGTGAACGGTAAACACAACCTCTACGCGACCAATCTCAAAACATGTGAGTATCGCTATCGTATGTCGGCGATAGTGAGCTGGTCAAGGTGGAAGGGCAAGACCAGGGATTTTGTCGCGATTCGCTGCTTCCGCTTTTGGATAGAGGTTTGCATGGGGGCACAGACCAAGTCAGGGTCAGTTCTCGGAGTTGGCATCTGGGGAGGCAGGAGGATGTTGGAGAGCACCGAGGGCGACGATTGCGCGGCGGGACGCTGACCAGGAGAAAGGCAATTTCCAAGCCTCTCTGAACTCTGGCTCCTTCATCGTCATGCTCCACTGCTGATATCCGTCGCTTCATCTGCTTTGCACCCCTCCCCCGTCGATTCTCGGACAACTCGCTGCTCGCTGCCAAGAGAGCGCGCATCACCCGCGACATACACATCGACTCTGGTCATGAGCGAGGCAATTCATGCACCCATTCTCCGTCCTCACACTTGGCATCTTCGTAGCTGGGTACATCACCGCTCGCTGGGATCTCGTCACCCGCTTGTATGAACTGGCCATCTTTGCCTGGGACAAAGGTGTTATTGTGCGCCTCCCCCATGCCTCTGCTCCTGCGCAGTGCATGACTGACAGCATTGCANNGACTCGCTCGTTGAAGGCTTTCCTGGCCCTTAGCATCTTCTTCATCGTCCTGATCATCCCTATCGAGCGCATAGCTGCCCGAGAGAGCGATATAGTCAGTGCAATCGTCTCGTCGGCAGGAACCCCTCCTGACATAAAGAAGCATCCTCGTCCAGCTCTAGGTCTCTCGGCGCGTGAACAATTGAAACGACGAGGCTCCTTCTAGACCTTCATGATCGCCCCCAATGGCTTGATGCGCATCTTCTGGCCTACCGACCTTGTCCGTTCCGACAAAGCAGGCGTCATTGTAGGATGGAGGAACTCGGATTTGGACATGGTCGTTGTGACCGTCTTGTCCGAGGTTGATGTTAGTCTCGGAGCAGAGTGCCAGCATTCGCCCTGACATTGGCTAACCAACATACAGGCACACAACGTCGACAATGCTCTTCGAAGGGGTGTCCTCTTTCGCGGCAGTCCCCATTCCATTGACCGTATCATCGACAGGTGTGGTCGCTTGCCACTGCAGGTTCTAGGAACGTTGAACCCGGAGCGCGCGCCTTCCCTCACATTCAATCCCTCGTCCATCCAGGTCTACTACAATCCCCGCTCTACAATCCCTCAAGTGCATTGCCCTGGCGAACCATCCATTTCACTGCAGGTCGTTACCTTTGACCGACCCAATCCCTATCGCATGCAATACCTATCCCTCGCGCCCATCTCTCTAACTCTATCGGACGCACAAGCAAGAGCAGGCAGGACACAAGTCGGAGGCTTTGGTGCCGAAGAGAGGGCCGACAAAGCGCGAAAGCAGCAGCTGGTCGACAAGTTGCGCATGCACACTGTTGTCCATCATGCCCGCACCTCCAAGGAGACTGCTCTGCCCGTCATATTGAACCAGATCAATTGCTCGTACGAGATTGACGAGTTAATGCGAAAGAATATCGGCTTCGTTGGTCAGCGTACGAAACGCAGCATGAGCGTGAGCGAGCGCATGGCTGAGTCGGCCGCCGACCTCTGGGACTACACTCGCTATGGTATACACCACGCCTTCTTCGCCTATGTATATCCGGTCATTACTCAGTTGCTAGTGCTGGCTTTGGTTGGTCATCGTATTGCTGGTGAAGCGTGGTTAAAGATTCTCGAATGGCGACCTATCCCTGATGCCGCCGCTCTCAAAGACATTTCGGCTACCGCGCAGCAAATCGACATTCGTCTGCAGCAGTTTTGTTACTGGCCAATTCAGTACCTCACATTGCGTAAGCGACGCACCGATTGGGGCAGCGTCACAAACAGCCACCCCGAGTACATTCGTTTCTACAACAGTCTTTGGCTCGTCGCAAACGACATAATCATTGGAATCGCCATTGGCTCGTACATCATCGAAAATTCGGACTACGTCGCAGGTCAAGTCGAGTCTATTGTCGACTCTTGGTTCATCGATGGTCTTCAACGCATGATTTGTTGGCTGATGGATTATCCTGCTGGTCTTAAACTCAATGGAGACTTGGCGCAGTTTCTTGGTGATCTCTTCCTCTGGATCATTGACTACTGGGCTGAATGTATGACAAACATACGACCTCTGCTTCCTCATGTCATCCAGGTCATAGGCTTCTCGAGCTTTGCTGGCGCAAGCATGCCCATCTCACTCTTCTCAGATTTACTTTCCATTTTGACGATTCACGTTTACGCNTTTTACATCGCCTCGGCTCGCATATACAACTGGCAGCTCACCATAATAGTTTCTCTCTTCCATCTCTTTCGTGGCAAGAAACGAAACGTCCTCCGAAACCGCATCGACTCGTGCGATTACGACCTTGACCAGCTGCTCCTGGGTACGATTTTATTCACGCTTCTAACGTTCCTGCTTCCTACAATTGGTGTCTTCTATGCAACTTTTGCTGGCGCGCGTATGGGCATAATTGCTTTCAAAGCTGCTTTGGACACATGGCTGGCTTGCTTGAACCATTTCCCTCTTTTCGCACTTATGCTGAGGATCAAAGATTCTCAGCGACTACCAGGTATGTTCAAACCAACTGCATGTACATGGGACCTCTCTAACCATTCAAACNNAGGTGGCATTCGTTTTGAACTTCGTGATACCCCCTCTGCATTCGATTCTTCTCGTCAACATGGTTCTACAAGCCCCGACGTTGCACCCACTGCGCATATACAGCTACAGGTATTGAGCCTTGCCCAGCGTCCAGGCGATCTGGTTACTAACATGTTACAGTCGGTGCCTCTGCCTTTTTCAGAAACTTTCTCTCAGTATGCACAGCTCGCATATCGCATTCGCAAACACTACCTCTCACCTAGTGTGTTCCTGTGCCTTTTCACAGGCCGTTTTGTTCCGCCAATTCATCGCAAGAGTTTGTACAGTCTTCAGTATAGTATGCTTCCAGCAAAACGGATCCCAATTGCAGAATTGTGGAGGAAATTGATGGATGGAGATGGAGCGCAAAAGCCCCAAGTCAATGGTAATGTTAGCTCATCTCTAGGTCGGAGAGGTCAGAACAAGAAAACACCGGGCCATTGGTGGAGCAAATGAATCGATTCGGCCGACTCCATCCTTGTCTTTTCATTGTGAGGCCTTGCAGAACAAGTGGCTTGGGCAGTGGTCTCCCAGCCATCGATATGCAGGCAGCGGGTGAGGTTACGGACACTGAACAAGGATGCGCTCTGATGGCTGCTGCACGCCGGCTCATTGCAACCTGTTTGCAGGTTGTTAATTCATGTGTCAAACCCTATTTGCCCGATGATCTGCTTCAAGATGCCTTCATCGGCTTGGTATAGTGATCCTCATTTAGCCGTGATGTGTGGTTCTCCATCCCCGCACCTTGGCTCTGCTTCCCCAGCCTCCACCTTGACAGCCCCTCGCCATTGTCATTGGTGGATCCAACTTCTTCTCTGCAGGAACCACGCCGCTACCGGTGGGTTTTGATGGTCTATGACATGGTCTCCATGAGAACAGTTCAGTGTTTACGGGTGCTTCCACATCTATCGCGGCGAATCCTCTCCTGGCCTTGTATGATCAGGATAATATCGAATGGCTCAATATATAGAGCAGAGCGTTCCCACTATACTTTCACCATTGGCATCTCGGTTCTTCGACGTTGAAGCCAAACGAAGATGCTTGGTCTTGCAACTCTTTTCCTTGCTGGTGCTGGCGTAGTCAGTGCCAGAAGGCTGCCTCATGTCGCTCCACGCCAGTTCAACAATGACACCGCTTTATCCTCCTCTCTTCCCTCTTACCAAGCGTATATCAATGCCACTCGCAATGACGACTCTCCGGTCGCCTTGCACATTGACACGCTCGACTGTAGCAAGCGTAATGCCACTTCCCCCTACCTGTATGGTATCATGCATGAAGTAAGCCTTGTCAATTCTGAACAACGTCACCCTTCAACTGACCACGTCTCTTAGGACATTAACCACTCCGGAGATGGTGGAATCTACGCAGAAATGATTGCCAACCGTGCTTTTCAAGGTATGTAGAGTATCTCATAACCACCGAACTTCACTCATGCAGCCCANGGGTCCAACGCGATCATCTCGACACTCGATGGTTATGTTGGTACGTATGTGACCGACTCCGAGAACCCAATCGTTCCGTTCGATCCTGTCATGACAGCATGGGCACCAATCGGTGAAGGTGTACGCATGACTCTCGATATCCTTCACCCTCTCTCGGATGCTTTGGAAACCTCTCTACAGATCGACTTTCCTCTCAATGCCACTGGGGAAGTCGGATTCCAAAACTTCGGTTGGTGGGGCTTCGATGTCCGTCCCCAGCAATACAACGCCTCGCTGTTCTACCTGAACAACTACCCTCGCAATACTCAAGGCAACGCGAGCGACATTACTGTATCCTTGCGCTCGAACGTCACTGGTGAGACTTGGGCGAGCTCGACTTTCAAGAACGTCACACCCACCTACATCGATTTCAAGCAGCTCGAAACTACTTTGCATCCTAATGTAACTGCTCCTGATGCCAACAACACTTTTGCCATCACCTTTGACGGTGCTCAAGTTGCTGGACAGACCTTCTACTTCAACCTGGTCTCGGTGTTCCCAGAGACCTTCAAGGGCTACAAGAACGGTCTTCGTCCTGACATCGCTCAAGGCTTCTACGACCTCAATCCTCAATTCTTGAGATTCCCCGGTGGTAACAATCTTGAGGGCTATAGTCCTGCTCAGAGATGGAAGTGGTGGGAGACTCTGGGTCCGCTGCAAGACCGCCCTGGCCGTGTTGGTGACTGGAACTACTACAACACTCAAGGTCTTGGTTTGCTTGAATACCTGGAATGGACCGAAGCCATGGACATCGAACCCGTCCTAGCTGTATACTCTGGCTTCTCTCTCGATGTCTACGGACAGAACGGTGCTTCTTACCCTCCTGAGCAGATGCCCGAAATCTTGCAAGAAGCTTTAGACGAGCTCGAGTATTGCATGGGCGACAACTCTACCAAATGGGGCGCTAGACGTATTGCCGACGGACACCCTGAACCTTTCAAGATCAACTTTGTTGAGATCGGTAATGAGGATTGGTTCAGCGTTACCTACCCTTACCGCTTCCAGATCATGTACGATGGCTTGAAGAAGGCATATCCTGACATCACCTATATCAGCACTGCCTTCAACGAGAATGCCGCTAACTACAACATCTCGATTCCGGAGGGCAACATGTGGGACTGGCACGGTAAATTACTTTTAAAAGAGTATGTATCGTCTACACAGGCTAATGTTGTTCGATTTCTATANGGCTACCAAGAACCTTCTTGGTTCTTGACCAACTTCGATCTGTGGGACAACTGGCAGCAGGAAACAAACAACACCAACGTCACTGTTCTGTTGGGTGAATACTCGGTCATCCAGGTTGACACACCTTCTGGCGTCGTCAACTACTCTTTCCCTCTTGACGTCCATGTTCAGTACCCTCGTCTCCTCTCTGCTATTGCTGAGGGTGTCTACGCACTAGGTGCCGAGCGCAACCCCAACACTGTCAAGATGTCTTCATATGCACCTTCGCTCCAGAACCGCAACTTTACCAACTGGACTCCCGACATGATCTCGTACGATGCTCTGCATGACAACACAGTACTGAGTGCTAGTTACTGGCAACAGTGGCTGTTCGCACATTACCGCGGTACCGAGACATTGCCTGTCACTGCCACAGAAGGACAGATAAACCCTCTTTACTGGGCAGCCAGCATTGACGAGGAGAAGAACGCTGTTTACCTCAAGGTGATCAACACCTTGAACTCCACCGTGCCTCTAAGCGTCAACATTCCCTCAGCTTACTCAGGCGTCAACGGTACCTCTATCACTGCTAGCGATCTCAACTCGTACAACTACGTCGGCAACAAGACCGAGGTTGTGCCTCGCCCTGCTGAGATTGAATCGACGGCAAGCTCGGAGAATGGTTCTGCTTGGTCTTGGGATGTGCCCAAGTACAGTATCACTGTTCTGCAGTTTGACCTGTGTTAAATGATCATGATGACGAAAACACGAACTACGATCACGATGACGATGGTGTGGTTGTTGGATGGCCGAGAATAGATGACCCTTTTAGAGAATATGTGATAGTCTTTATTGAACATGCGGTCAAAACTGGGATTATACAACTACCTCATCCACAACATGCATGCTTAATAATGTTATAATCTCACCATCGTTTCCTCTCCCGCCAAAGTTTGATGCTATAGTATACTATTAAAATGCACAATTGTTTGCTAAACCAGAAGTGTAACCACAGAAATAGCTCTAAGGTGATATCTCTCCTTGGACAACGTCTCGTTCTAAGAAGTACTATGCATTTCCATAGCTACGCTATAGAAGGTCTATAGCACATGGAGAGAACAATGCAGGGGTGGAATTAGACATAGAAGACGGAGTTGACCACATATTCTCTATACTTTACCACATATTCTTCGAAGGCCCCCGTTGGCTCTCCTTGAAGACTATACCTTCAATAACAATGGTCGTATTCAGTAGTCAACACTTGCATTCTCACAACTACATTGACAGATAGAGTCTCAGATGAGGCTTTGAACCAAAGCGAAGTAGTGAATTCATAGCTTCTCGGAAAAATGGGGATTATGATATGCAATCTCTCATCGGGAAGACAAGTAGCATTGCGGCTACGAGAAGACACCTTTGAGGAAGGAGCACGAACCAGCTTTGCTGGTGGTTGTGAAAGAGGAAGTGACCATCGAGTCTTGCACGTGTCAATCACTTCCTTCCACCTCAAGAACCAGACGCTCAACATAACACTTACCTCCATCACTGCTTCTCGTCCCATTATCATCTGCATCACCTCTTCATCAATTCATCATGCGCAAGGATACAGAAAAGGTCAAGTTGGCTCACAATGGCAAAGCGCTAGCTACGATGCACGGCTTCTCTGCAGACGACCAAAAACGCCTCGAACAAGCGCTGCGCGCATCCGCAAAGACAATTGCCCCAAAACCAATTGGCAAAGATCGAAATGCACTCTACGCATCCCACAAGGAGCAACTCTTGACTCAATTCCAAAGTCACTGGGATCGGTCCAAGGCCTCAGACAAATGGACCAAGAGCTCGATCAGCAAGATCCTCTCCAACTACCTCTTCGACTACAACAAGCATCAAGGCACATCCAAGACAGTGTCCAAGAAGAAGGCAGTAAGGAAGACCCACGCTCCGAAGCCAAAGGCCAGTGAGCCAAAGCACATTGTGTCTTACCTCAAGGAGGACAGCCCTCCAGAATCGACTGTGAGACCCTTGCGCAATCTCAAAAGCCCGTTCACCTTCAGACCCATCAACCAAAGATCACCATCGCCCAGTGATCGGCTCGTCAAAGGACTTTCGGAGTCGCCGTTCGACAAGCCGCAAAATTCGCGAATCGACTCGGTTCTCCCATTCACACAGCACAGTCCACCCGATCCAGAGTCCGAGGATCTGGAGCCCCTATCAAAACTGGCCGAGACAATCGTAGTTGTCAGACCAAGTTCGTCAGACCCTCACGAACGCACTATGATTTCCTTCCCGCTATGGCGCTGTCAGAATCCTGTGAACGGAAGAGACGCAGCGCCAGAATTCCTTCATGATTGGCGCGATTTGTCCTTCACGGACTTCTTGCGTCAGCTCAAGGCCGAACAAGCGCTCAACCCTGGAGAGATGGTAGTTTGGGGCGATTACAACCAGGTGCTCACCAGCAACATGACCTTCGCCGGTGCAGTTCAAGAACAACTTCAAGCAGCTCCGTACAATGACTCGGCTCTTAACGAGGCTACATTCATGGTTGTTAGCAGTAAGTCTCTTGCTTCAATCTTAGAAGGATCTTTTGCTAACATCTGGTCAGAATCTAAGATGACCGAGTAAGCTGTCGAGGGTAGGAAAGGTTTCGATTGAGATGGCTATGAGAACGACTCATCCGAAGTGGTCATGAATATTTCGAAGACCGGCATGGCTATCAAGACATTTTTTGCTAGTTTTAGTCGATATTAGCTTTTAGGGAGCGTAGCTGGGAGATGAATAACTAGCTACCGAACAGAACTTTTGAGAACACAAACGTATCTTTCTTTCTTGAGATTCAATCTGTCGTCAAAGCGGTGATAGGTCAAAGACGTGAGGAGGTTGTTTTGGCCCTCTCCATGTGCGATAGACAGTCACAGTGTAGTTGTAGAAATGCACAATCTCTTTTATAGCAGAGCGATGTCCACGGAGAGAAGGTTGTGTTCAGGCATCTCCATGGTGGCACCCTTATGTTAAAATTCAATCGTGCATTCCTATAGCTTATGATAGCATAATGGGTCAGTGAGGGAGAGGGGCCGGCCGATTATTGTAGGCTGTGACTGTCTTTTGCACACGGGGAGGGGTGGAAAGTCGTCTGTTAATCGGCCCCACAGCCAATGCCACGCGAGCCAAAGCACGCTGACCCTGCTCTTGGTCATCGATCCATATGGCAGACACACTGATATCGCTGGGACATTTCTGCGAGATTCACGGGCCGCAAGCACTTCTGACGACTTCGGTCCAGTCGCCGACTGCAATCTCGCCGCCGCCGAACGAGACGGGCACAAGTTGCGCCAACTGTTCGTACAACGTGCCAGCCGCAACAACAACTCCACCCGTACTTCGCAGCAAATGGCGTGACTCGACCTTTGCGACCACACGAGCACCCTCCAATCCTCTGCTGCGCGATGCCTGCACGCGTGCCTTGGCCGTCGAGTCTCTGCCTCGTGGTCAGAATTCCGGTTCCATGACCTTGACCACCGACCTGGCCACACAAGGACCAAAAGATCCAAGGACTGTCAATGTCGCACACGTCTTTCGCCTGCCGGATCCAAGAGCTAGGGGACAAAGAAGAGCGTATGCGTTTGTAGCCGTGGGCTCGCGCTCCCTGTTCCGACACCAAATGACCGTCCGTCGTGCTTTTGAGGCGTGGGCAAAGTCAATCGTCACACTTGCCGAAACACATCTGTCTACCATACAACATGGAGAAAGCGCAGAAGCCTCGCCAATTGAATTGTCTGCCGCCAACGTCGAATCCTTGCGTAGCTACAGTTCGAGTGCTACACCTTCACCACCGATGTCTATGGGCTCCGCTGAACGCACTCCACCGCCTGTATCTCCACCGCAGCCGCAACGCACTCACTCTCAAGCCTCGTCCATTGTATCTACGACAAGCCATCCTCAGAAGCCAGCACCTACGTCTGCAGTGGTCACACCTGTGTCCAGTTTCCTGTCCGCCAAATCCGTAGACCCAGACGGCTACCCTCGCTCCTCCTTATCTGCAGCCTCCCCATTAGCAAACGTCCCGAAAACTCGCAATCTGGCTGAGATTGTTGGAGACGAGTACTTCTTCGTGCGCCTGCATGCGGAGTTCTGCGGGTTGTTGAAGAGCTTGATCGAGAGTGAGATTGCTGAGAAAGGGCCTGAGATTGAGGAAGATGGGAATGGCGTTATTGATGAGGAAGACCAAAGGTATGGAAGTAATAGTGATGATAATGCTGTCCAGAGTGGTGAGGATGATGAAGATGAGGGATGTGTTGTTGGCTGGGACAGGTACTGATGGTTCCGGTGCTAGATGCATGGGAGATGACCTTGATTAGAAACGACTATTATGACTATTGGAGTTGCTACAGAGGTACACTGGGGTACCAGGGTATACAGGAGCAACAGAGCGGTAACCGAAGGATTCCCAACAACGAACATGTCGCAGCGTGAAGCGTGATTGTTTTAGAATGGTAAGGCCTGAATAAGTATGAAGCTGCGTTGTTTGTGCATTCACCTGATTATATACGATTCAAGCAGTAAAGTAGCAACAATCCTGGTTGTATAGTGTAGCGGTTAGCACGCGAGATTTTGATTACACCTTCAAAGTTTCTCGAGTCCTGGGTTCGAGCCCCAGTACGACCTTAACGAAACATACTTTTTGCACTCTTGGAACGTTTCTTCTCTGTTTCTTATGTTCCTGCTTTCTACCTGGGTTGAGCTCAGCTCTTTTGAGGTTTAGGTGGCTCTTCTTCGTCACCGCATAGCACAAGCTCCTAGCTCAGTCTGCTCTTCTTGCTTATCACAGACAGTTGTACGTGTATACATAGGTAGGTACAGTAAAAATGAAGTATTACGAACCTGAGAATCAACCAAGCATTCAGGCGAAAAGCTCTATCTGTGTCCTGTTTTCGATGTTGTGAACACAGGAATCACGGCAGGATGCAGGATTGATGACCAAATTATGACCATTCTTAGAGCTGCAATTCGCCGGGAGCGGAGGGGCCGATCAACATTCGTCTACTTCTCCAAGCAGGGAAACAATATTTAGACGACTGTTTGTTTGCTTTTCTCGCGATCCCAGCTAAATTCTCCGAGAGCCTCTTGCTATCACACTTCTCCAAGTTGTACCAAGTCTTGTTGATACACAGCTTCCATCAATCATGTCTCTCGAGTAAGTCATGGAAGCTTTCCCCACATTGTTGCTTGTTGAGCAACGACAACAATGTGCTATGCGACCGAGTGCAGGAAGAGCTGACATGTTTGTTTGCATAGTCATCCTGTTCATCCTGCCACCGTTCACTGGCCCATTGCCTTCTTGAGCACAGCTTACGGTCTCGATGCCCTCCATGTCGTTCGCCCATACCTGCCTAGCACCCTGACCAGCTACCTCCCCACCGTCGTCGAGACCACGCGCATTGGCTATTGGGCCCTCGGACTTGGTGTCCTCACCGCTCTCCCCGCGGCCGCCTCTGGAATCGCCCAAGCCGCCCAGATGGTCCAGAACCAAGGACTTTACGACCAGAGCGGAAAGCTGAAGGCAAAGTCCAAGGTCCTGATTGCACACGCCTTGGTCAACGATATCGTCATCGCCGTTTCCGCTTGGATCTGGTACAAGAGAAGAAGCGCCTCGAGCTTGGAGTACATCAAGGAGGGACTCAACCCCATGGCCTATGAGCCTCAGACTTGGATGGTCGGCGCAAGCATTGTGCTGGGAGCTCTGTTGATGTTTGGCGCCAACCTTGGAGGTACTCTTGTCTACGATTACGGTCTGGGTCTTAGCATGGGCAAGAAGGTCATCAAGAAGAACGAGTAAGCTCGTGATTAGATTGCGGTACATCAGGAACAGACTGGAGGATACGGGAACACAAGTAATGACGAGCTGGGCTTCGTCTAATGAATACCACGATACAGATTACCTCAATTTCAGAACACCGTCTATGAGTACATGAAAATTATAGCTTACAACATTGCTCTGTGTCGTTGCGAAAGGCTCGATTCGTCCTCCCTGCGTACTAGAGACAGTCACAGGTAGCTATAGAATTACACAATAATCTTCACAAAAGAGCGAGCTCCACTGAGATAAAGTTATCCTTGGGCATCTCTATGGCCACACCTCTACTTGGCAAGCGATTGTGCATTTTTAGAGCATATAATAGCACTATATGTCAGTGTGGGAGAGGAGTTGAGCGCGAGGTTGTGACTGTCTTAGAACATGGGAAGGACCTCGGCTTATCGATAAGGGCCGCGTGTTAACATGGAAGTCGCGAGTTGCTCGTAAGTATTCTCATTGGATTGGAAATTGTCTGTGCAAGCAGAGATGACTACTCTGAATGATCTCAGGAACGTTGTTCGGTCGTGCTCAGTCATTGACAATCACGCCCACAACCTTCTGCTGCCGTCCAAGCAAGAAGCTCACGACCTGCTAACCGCAACAACAGAAGCACAAGGAGCTGCTCTCCAAGACACAAAAACGTCGCTATCACACATCCGAGCTGTTCGTCAATTGCGTGAACTTTATGATCTGGAAAACGACGCAACATGGGACGACTTGATGGANAAGAGAGCAGACATCTTGCAGGGAGACTTCGAGAGCTTTCTCCAAAGATGCTTTACTGGAATACACACTATTCTTATGGACGATGGTCTCGATGACACGACTGTCTACCTTTTCGATTGGCACGATGACTTCATTCTCGACAAGACACTGCGCATCGTTCGCATAGAAACCGTGGCTGCAGACATTCTGCGTGAGATGTACAGGAAAGGCACTCTACCCATCGGACCAGCCATACACAACGATGACATGTGTGCTGAAGCCTGGATTACCTTCCTCCAAGCTTTCGAGTCCTCCATCGTCACCGAGATTAACGATCCGGACGTGGCAGGATTCAAGTCTGTGATATGCTATCGAACTGGTCTGGACATTAAGATCGCTGGAGATGTTCAAATAGCCACGAATGGTCTCGAAGCTTTTCAAAGCGGCTATCTCCCTCATTGCTTGCAGAATGATTTCCGTATCGAATCCAAAGGACTGAACGACAGTCTAGTCATTTCAACATGTCGACTTCTGAGCGCAGCAGCCAAGCAAGACTCAATAAGCAAGCCATTACAATTCCACACTGGTCTTGGTGATGCAGATATCAGTCTGCTTCTGTCCGACCCCTCTCACCTTCAATCTCTCATCATTGCCTACCCTGACGTTCAGATGGTCCTTCTGCACACATCTTACCCATACATACGTCAAGCCGGATATCTTGCCACGGTCTACAAGAATGTCTACCTTGACCTCGGTGAGGTGTTTCCCCAGGTCAGTAGGAATGGACAAGAGACCATCCTGCGCCAATGCATGGAGATCACGCCTTTCTCGAAATTGCTCTTCAGTACCGATGCTCATCATTTTGGTGAGGTTTACTGGCTTGCGTTGAAGCAGTTCAGACAAGCATTCGAGAAGGTTCTTGTAGAGTATGTGGAAAGTGAGGATCTCACGGTTGAACGAGCCATCGAAGCTGCAAAGGATATCTATTTCAACAACGCGAAGCGAATATACAATCTCGAGGCAGAGCTCCCAGAGATTGGGCTGGTAAGTCGTTCTGAACACTCTGAATCTGCGCGAGCGAAAAGTTGCATATGATCTTGTATGGAGGTGGTTTATGGTCTAGTCGGACTCTCACTAACATTTGANCAGAACGAGCAACCACGACGAATCAGGGCACAGAGCAACCGCGAAGCTAGGATCTTGGAAGCCCCTCAGCCTCTGCAGCTCGCGTGGAAGAAGACTGAGCTATACGAGAAGCCTTACAACATGGACATGTTCACAAAATTCTTTGAACAGCACCCAGAGTTAAAATTTGTCTACGTCCAATGGCTCGATTATCTCGGTACGCTGCGTGTTAGGATGCTACCAATCGCCAGCTTCCGCCGCCTGATCACCGATGGAGACCGCATTGGTATCTCACTAGGCAATACAGGTACTCTGCAGAACGACCGTGTCACTTCGGCAGTCTCGTCCACAGGTCAACTTTACGTCGAGCCTGACATTTTGTCATTGAAGTTGTCACACTCTAAGGACCCACTTGCTTCTGCTACAGTAATAGGATCTTTTCACAACGAAGACGGTCGTCGCTCACATCTATGTTCGAAAAACGCTCTTCGGACCCTGACAGACCGCTTCATGGATGACCAAGGAATCACGTTCCTAGCTGGTTTCGAGATCGAAGTGGTCTTCCTGAAACAAGATTCGGAAGGCCAATACGAGCCCTGGACGACGAACCACGCTTGGGGTACTTTTACTCCAGAACAATTTGAGGTTGTACTGCCAGTGCTTGCTGAGATTGCGGACGAGCTGGCGAACATTGGTATCGATGTGCAACAGTTTCACTCCGAATCTGGACCCGGGCAATACGAATTTGTGCTGTCACCTTTGCCTATCGTCGAGGCAATCGACACACTCGTGCAAGCCCGCCAAGTGATTCAACAGATTGCCCGTCTACATAAACTCCGCGCTACACTACATCCAGTGCCTCTCAAGAACGTGGGTTCCGGTCAACACGTTCACATCTCGTTCAATTCCACCAGTCTATCGGCAGAAGGGTTAGAAAAGAAGGAGTTGTCATTCTTCGCCGGCATCCTCGAGCAGCTGCCTTCTCTGTGTGCCTTCTTACTACCCAATGAAGCGAGTTATGATCGCGTCACCAAAGACATGTGGACCAGTGGCATTTGGGTGGCATGGGGAACACAAAATAGAGAAGTGCCGGTCCGTAGAGTTAAGCAAGGTCGATGGGAGGTTCGCTGTCTGGACGGCTTGGCGAACCCTTACCTTGCTCTCTCTGCTCTACTTGCTGCTGGTCTGGATGGTGTGGAGAGCGGAAAACAAATGGAGATGAAGGACTGTACCGAGAACCCAGCATACTTGACCGATGCTCAGCGAGAAGAACTCGGCATCAAGAGGAAAATGCCTGAGTCGCTCGAGGAGTCACTAGAGGGGCTTGATAGAATCACGGTGCTGAAGGATTACATGAGTTCTGAGCTGGTCAATGGTTACGTGGATATGAAGAGGGCTGAGAAGCAGATGCTTGATGAGATGGATGAAAGGACACGACACGCATGGTTGATTGAGAGGTATTGATGGGGAGGATGCTGTGTTTTGCTGTTCATGTTGCTCAACCACACACACGAACTATATAGCTCCATACCGGTTTCACCTAGCTTGTAATCCTCATGGAAGTAGTACCGATATGTCGATTTCGCTCATCAGAAAGCCTGCAGTTTTCAGCCTACTGTATGTGGCTTTGAATTCCCCGACCTCCGAGGCAACCCTGTCTTTCTGTGTATATTAAATCCACTATACCGATACTTATACCATGTTTTCCCGGTCAGTCAATCACAGCAAGTAGCTAAATCTTAAGTATACTTTCATTATAGAAACTTCACTATGTTGGACCGTAGGTTCAAGGTGACGGCTTCTCCTTTCCTGTAATGATCCAATGTCCTATCCTCTGAATCGAATTGTCAAAGTCATCACAAGGCCATATTCTTTACCCAACCATGCAACCACTTTACAGATGGCTTGGGCTCACCAAAAAGACATACTGGATTCCTCCCATCCATAGTCTACAGGCCTGTAAGATTCCTGGGATGGATTGGGACCATGGAGATGAGCGTGCAGGGTCACACCAGCAGCAATATTCCAAAACAAAAAAAGAAGAAAAAAGAAAACAAAGTCCAAGAAGGCGAAACGAACATGTCAGCGTGGACGATGCATCATCATGTACATTCCAACTGAATACACGGTTGACTGTGCTTTGAAAATGGTGCAGGGGACGGAGGACACATCCGTAGGGTATCTTACATTCACGAGCATGACACGAAATATTACAAAAGTGCACACATAAAACCAATATAACATAAAAGAGAAGCAGGACAAGTGAATAACAAAAAGGTTATTGGTAAACTAGCTAAGGGAAACAAGAGGCAACCCTCTTGGGTCATCAGTGTCGTTGGCTATGATAAAAGTACAGGCACATTGGCATCGCCATTTCCTCCTCCGATCATCATGATTCGTAAAGATTCATTTCGGCTTTTTCATTTCTTGCTGGGGTTGTTATGAATGACTTAGAGCTCCTCCTTGACGCGGTCGGTAGCTCTCTGGGCAGCCTCGGAAGCTCTGTGCTTGGCCGAGCTGGCGTTCTCGCTGACGGCATCGGCAGCCTGCTGGGCGTAACCGGCGGCGCCCTTGGAGGCACTGCTGGCAGCGCTGCTAGCAGACTTGGGGCCAGAAGCAGAGACGGACGAGGCAGACTTGGCAGCAGCGCTCGAAAGAGATGACGACGACTTGGAGGCAGCGACTGAAGCGGCGCTGGATGCGGACGAGGCGGACTTAGCGGCAGCACCAGTCAGAGAAGAAGCCGACTTGCCAGCGGCGTCGGTGGCAGACTTGCCGGAAGCGGCAGCAGCATCGTAGGCGCTGTTGGCATAGTCACCAGCAACGCTCGAGGCAGAGGAGGCGGAAGCAGCAGCAGCATCGGTGGCAGCGTTGTAGCCGGAGGCACCGGATGCAGAGGCGTAGCTGGAAAGGGAAGAGGCAGAAGCAGAGGCAACGCTGGAGATGGAAGCGAGAGAAGCCTTGGCCTCCTCACCACCAATGCCAACCTGAGCCTTGGCCCAGTCGAACCAGTACTGAGCGGAACCGTAAGCCGAATCAGTGGCAGATGCGAACTGGCTGCCAGCGGCGTTGGTGGCCGAGTGTGCAGACTTGGCGGCAGCGCCGGAAAGCGAAGAGGCAGACTTGCCAGCAACACCCGAGGCGGAAGAAGCAGATTTAGCCGCAGCGCCAGAGGCGGAAGAAGCAGAGTTGCCAACAGCACCAGAAGCGGCGTTGTAGACGGAGCCGGCAGACTTGGAAGCCTCACCGTAGAGCGAAGAAGCCGAGGCGGAGACGTTGTCACCAGAAAGCTTAGCGCTGTGCTTGCGAGCGAGGGCGATCAGCTCGTTGCGCTTGGAACCCTGGGGAACCTTGATGCCGTTCTTGTCGAACCACTGCTTGAGCTGGCTGTCGGACCAGGAGTTGAGGAGCTGCTCAGAGAGCGACTGCTGGGCGCCGGCGGCGGAAGAAGATGCAGAGGCGGCAGCCTTGGCAGCCTGGTTGGAAGCGGTACGAGAGTTGCGGCGAAGGGCAGCGATCATCTTGTCACGAGAGCTGGGCTGAGGGACAGGAATGCCACGCTCATCGAGCCAGGCCTTGAGGTCGGAGTCGGCCCACGAAGAGTAGAGCCAGTTGCCAGGGTAAGCGGTAGTCTCACCAGCCTTCTTGGCGACGGACTGGTAGTTGGAACGAGCAGAGTGAAGCATGGTGTCGCGAGAGTGAGGAGAGGGGTTGGGGATGCTGTGGTAGTCGAGGAAAGCCTTGAGCTGAGAGTCGGTCCAACTGTCAAAGACCCAGTCTTGGACAGACGAATAGGCGTCCGAGGCTTGGTCGGCAGTCTCATGCCAGTACGATTTGACCTGGCTGACAAGGCTGTCCTTGTTCTGCTCAGTGCCCTTCTTGACCTGCTGGCCAGAGCTTGAGATGTAGTTCTGGAGCTGCTTGGTGTCCCAGCTGTTGTAGGGCTGAGCAACCTTGTCATCCCAGTTGGTCTTGACCAGGTCAACGAGATCCTTGCGGTCGGCAGGGGTAGGGTAGGGGACATCGTGGTCAGAGAGCCATCTCTCCAACTCGGTCTCATGCCACTTGTTGTAGGCTGCAAATCTTGTCAGTCTCAGAACACACCACATTGCTTCGACACAGCTCAACAATCGTATCGAGAAGCTGCAGCAGGCTCCATTGATCGTTTAGAGAACACTCGGAAGTGCATTCAATCAACAACCCGATGGCGAGCCAGCTGTCAACAACAAACATTCTTCACTTACCAGCTTTGCTGAACCAGGTGCTGGCGGCAACAGACTGTGCGCCGAGGGCGAGCACAGCGGCGGTCGCGAAATTGAATCTCATATCTGCGAGTACCGAAATGAATTTAGGTGTGAGTGGAAAATCGAATGGAGAACCAGAGCTTTTTCAAGCTTGAGGGAGATGGAAGGCACGACCTATGATGATGATGACGCGTGACGTAGTTAACTGCCCAAAGCAAGCGCCCTTCGCCATGAAATTATGTTTCTTGATGAGTTCCATCGCTTTCAACAACATGAACAAACCTACTTCTAGCACAATGAATCTACTAGACATTTTCCTTATTCAATGTCTTCACCTCTAGTTACTTTCACTTGGATGTCTGGTTAATATAATATAAGATGCGTGTCCAGGTGCCAACCACCCCAGATATGTTCCCCGCGTTGACACATGGTCTTGGCATCAACCCAGCCACATTTCTGGTTTTATTGCGCCATGTCAACGTCAAGACATCACAATAATGGTATCACCACAACCAAGTGGAACAACTGGGACTTGTTTGTGTAGTCTGCCCCTGTTACTTCCGCGCTCATACCATTAGTGACACGCAAGCTGTAGAAATGTAGAGTTGTTTCCAGACTGGAGAAAAGTCCAGAGAAAGCCGACAGAACACGACTTTCTTTGGGCACAGTTTGATATCACGTGTTTTGGCAGACCAGGTTTATGAGCAATAAAGTCCCAGTCGACCTGTAGAAGATCCTCTGTAACGCATGTAGCTGTGGAAATGCACAGTTCTATGAGGCACTATCCACTGAGAGCCAATATCTAGGTGACTCTCTTTGGCTAATTCTCTGCTTCGGAAAACTGTTATGCTACTATGTTACTTCAAGTATGAAAATGTTCAGAAGGACTGTGTAGAAGTTGCACCCTCATTTCACGTGCATTGCTTCTCTTATCGCCTTTGATGGATGACGCTCGTGAATAGGTAGGCAAGACATGACAGCCAGAAGATCGAGTCGTTATGCATGACAAGTTGACAACAAGTCGAATCTCGCTTCGTGAAGATCCCATTGTGGTGCATGCCGTAGTTGTCGATCAGATCGTTTCGTTGAACAAATATGGAATGAGCTGCGTCGAACTTCCGACAGTCTTGTATCCTGCTCGCGGACGAGGAGGTATGGATGAAGAGCCTTGTGATGCATTCACCATCTTCTGAGTCTGTCTGTATGCACTCTGGACTGCATACCTCGCTCGGATAGACAACGATGGGTTATGCTGAACAGCACACCGTTTGTTTGGCCAAGGTATTGATGTGCCTAGCAACACCCGTGGGTTTCGAGATAGGGGTTACCGGTATAGGCTGCAGCGACGATATCCTATACTTGTTTCCTGCTTTCGACCGAAACCGCCCAAGGCATTTTGATTCGCTCAATATAAAATGATTCTGGTTGTATAGTTGTCTCACTATTCACGTCAGAACCCTGGACACTGAGGCACACAGCTAGAACCACCGAGCCGTCATCACGATCTAAGGGTTGATCTGAATAAATCTCTGAGGACTGTGTGGGGATACATGGAATTGATGAGACGTTAGGAGGTTGGGTGCGAGTTCTGCTTCGGCATCAACGACGGTCATGAACCCGACACCGTCATAACAATTTATTTCGTGGTTCAAGCCGCATACAGGTGGGTACGCATGACGTCGACGTGTTGATCGTCTGTGCACTGAAATGTCGTCTGGAGAATTCATTGAGACGAAGAGTTGTATGCACAAACAACACATCCTCGACCGAAAGATAGGGCATGCAGATTGACAAAGTACATGCGCATGGTATTCGTAGGTGGCGAATGGTCCTCGCAAACGCCTTTTTGCGGCTCTTCGTTGTGTTTGAGGTCGTATCTTGTGAGGATACTTTTGGATTAAGCCTTGAGACGTCAGTGGCGTCGAGGATCGACGAGGCTATTCGGAATTAAGCTTATCGGAATCGATCCGTTTGCTTGTGCTGCGTCAAGGGCGTCGCATAACTTGCAAGGGAGGAAGAGTTGATGGCCGCAAAGAAAAATTGTTGGTCGGCAAAGAACGAGATAGGCATGACATTACGGGCGTTGGTCATTCGAGTACGGGGATGATGAACTGCTGCTTTTCCCTTCTTAAACGCACCTTCCGCCCACTCTCCTCCACGCCTGCCTCTTCCGTTTCGTACCTTTTGGACCCCTCCAACGTCCTTGCCGACTTCCACCTCACCCTTGGGATTAGAAATCAACCACATCGGCATCGCCACCCTTTATTGCTTATAAACACCATAAGGGACCGAAACTTGCTCCATCAAGCATATCAACTCTTTCACCAATCTCAACCAACAACATCAGAACAAGATGGCGCCCGTCATCTTCGGCTTGCCTTTCAGCGAGTTCACATGGTCCAAATTCGGCAATGCCAATATGTGGAACAATGTCTACCACTTGAGAAGAACGAAATTCATCGTCTACCAACTCGCCATGATCTTCTGTGTCGTCTCAGAGTCCCTCGGAACCGATGCCTTGTCAAGATTTGTGAGCCAGCAAAAGTACATTGAGTCTCACGGTGGTCCTGGCGCCAGCGAGTACAACAACGACTACGTTGGTGTTGCATCTTACAACATCTTCGCCGGAATCTACGTTGCTACCATCTTTGGTGGCGCTTTCTTCTTCGACTTGATCTGGCCTGAGAGACACGAGGACCATGGTGTCAGACTTGGCTGGAAGCTCTCTGCCATTGCTGGTATCTTCATTCACCTTGCCAGTTGTATCGCCATGACTGTCATTGTCGCCACAAAGAACGCATACGTTACTGGTCTCAGCACAGCCGATGGAAACAGACTGGTTATGGAGAACGGCAAGACCCCTCTCGACTACAGACACAGTGCCCGTATCGTTACCTCGGTCGTCTTCGGATGGATCGGTTGGATCTTCGTTATTGCTAGCACTGTCATCCTTGTCGTTGGCAAGACCCACGATGAGAAGGTTGGACCCTGGAGCACACATGTCCGCGAGGCCAAGAAGAACAACATCGATGTTGAGTCCAACTTTGTCTCTGGACATGCATCGGAGAAGCCTTTGACCAACCCTCTTACTGGCGAGCAACCCGAGGCACTCCATCCCAACCGCCCTGAAGCTGCCCACGTTCACGAGCCCACTCGTGTTCAGGAGGCATCTGCAGAGACGTCGAACCACCACAGCTTTGATTCAAGCGCACCTCCCGTCAACCCTGCCCACGTTTGAACGGCGGGTTTGCGATGATGATTCGAGTACTCGTTTACTGAGCACCTGATGGCATATTTTAATGATGATACCCGATATGCTTTGGGTTGTATTAATGAAGTTTGATGAGTTGGCATTTCTTTTGTTTATTGCTTGCAGCAGATACCCACTAGAGTTGTTTTTGACACTGCATGCGTGGCGTTCTTGGGATGTACCTTTACAATATAGCATACCTTCGTTCAAAGGGTTATGAGAGCTGTCAATGCATATATCCACCATAGACCCACCCTTCTCTATCTTTTATTTTCCGTCCTTGCGTGGTCAACCTCGAAGTAGAGTGATGTGACGGTCCAGTCGACGTGCTTTCCAGCAAAACATCGTTGGATGAGGCTACGGCGCGTCTGGGGATGATCGATAGTGATGCTTCTAATTGGGTATTGTCGTCATGTACATAAGCCGAGTATTTTAAACGATTCTACGATCTGACATGACGCGTACGATGGTACCGGGACCGGCGACTTCAATGACCTATTGGAGAGTTTATGGTCAGTAGGGTACAGATGGTAAAGACAGTACTTGAAGGGATACCTTCTCGTGCCAACTCANAAAGACACCCATGTTTCCACCCTGGCTCTCGGCAGTGTTGCGCGGTTGGACCTGGGAGAAGCCGGTGACTTGTGGTGTGACGTTCTTGGAAGGGTTGGCGGTGGAGGCACCAGAGGCCATGCCCTTGTATCTGGGACGGTTCAGCGCATGTAGGGCAGAGAGATGTTGGTTGAATGGTTACAGGTACTTCATCAGGGTGTCGCATAGCTCAGAGCCGCCTTCAGATGTGTAGATGCGTTGCAATAAGGGACCCATGTCGGCGGTACGGACTTGTTGCAGGACCTCGGTGACGGTCTGCATGTACGAGTCCTTGGATTGAGCATCGGCTCCATAGGGGGCGTTCTCGAGAGCACCGCGCAGAGCACCCTCGGCATCACCTCCACGCCATAGTTGTCTGATCTGTTGGCTGAGGGCTTGGACGTCTTGTTGGCTGATCGGTTGGACAGCTGGTGTCAGGGTGGAGAGGTCGAAGTTTGTGGAGGATTCGAGATCGAGAGCGTCGACGTTGATTGTGCGCCAGTTGAATTCGGCCATGATTGCGGTGTGTGTATGAGGAGAATTGGATGTCGTCTGGCGGGTCGCCGGCATGGACTACGCAGGTTGGCGGCTTCCGAGGGACGACGTGGGGGTGTCCGAGCTTGGGCCTCTTTGGTAACCCTGACACGCGCAAAAGGCGTCAACAAAGGCAGACAAATCAACAACAGACTCGCATGCTATCATCTTGACATTTTCTAGCACCCGTCGCGCCTGTCCAATCTCGGTCGCATAACCATTCTCAACCACTATGAGGCATAGCAGACCATTCTACTTGGCGCCTTGGACATGAATGTGCATACAAACACCTGCATGCTGCCATAAACATCAATACTTAGCCTTCGAGTCGTCGCAACCATGTCACACTACGACGACGCCTCCAACTTCTCCGACCTCAGCTCCCTCGATGGCTCGGATGAATTTGGTCGCAAGCTACTCCAACATACAAAGGACGCCCGGCGCATCTCGGCCTTGACATCGTCGCACGCCTTTAGGAAAGCAAAGCCCCTACCACGCGCCGCCCTCAACCTCGACAACCTCGAGCACAACAACCAATACAATCCGCCTTCATATCAGCCCGAACATCACCCAGCTAGTCTCTCTGGCAGTACCGCTTCCGACCCGCCATTGAACCCGCCGCGAGCGTGGGGGAGAAAAGGAAGACCGAACCACACGTGGATGCGTTCGATCCACGACCAGCCCCAGACCAACATACAATCGAGTCCCAATATCGACTGGGCAGATGCTGCAAACGATTCCCTATACTCGTCTGCCAATGTGTCTCCGCCAACAAGACGCGCCCATACCATTGAGAGACAAGCCATCGTCGAAGAGCAGGACAGTTACATCGACCAGTGGAATCCAGACCAAGACTTTAGTGCGGCCTCGCTTCTGGTTTCCACGCCTGCCGTACCTTCGCTTTCTCGCTTGACCATTGATCAGATCCGCGAGCGTGAAGTCCAGAGCTACGAAGCTCGCGCTTCCTCGTCCACTCGTCGCCAAGTAAGACAACAGACAGTGAATGAAACATTATCGCCTTCCTACCGAGACAACTATGCAAGACCTAGCTCAGCGCAGGGTCCCAAACCAACCAGTTTCAATAAAGAGAACATACCTCTGGCACCGCGTCAGTCAGCCCGCTCCTTGTACAAAACTGTCGAGACCACCGAATCTATGCCTGCTATCACTCCACGGCCTGCACAGCGAAAGGCGGACTCCCTGGCATTGCTTAAAAGGCTGTCTAGGACTCCAAGCGCTTCGCCCTCACCTACCTCGGCCAAGGACACCATGCAAGCAACCAATCCTCCTCGCCAGGATACTGCGTGGTCGGATAAATACCCAAAGCAGTCTACGCGATCGTTGTTCAGAGGAGACTCGCCGCAAGCTCCTGAAGTCGTCAAAGGCCCTGAGCTCATTTACGTTGAGCAGGGTGACTCATCACAAGCACCCGAAATAGTCGAGATTCCAGAACCTGCGCCCTCGGAACCCATGGTCACTCCCTCGAGGCCACTCGAGCAGCAGTTACCTGCGAAGACTCCTGTGGTCATGGGCGCCTGGATTGATACACCACAGACTGCTCGTCAGTCGAACAATTCTGCGACATCTCAGGCCGATCGTCGAACCTTCGAACATCCCAAGTCAGTTGCTGAAGATTCACATCACCGTTCGATCAGCGAACCGAATTTGCCCTCTTCTGCGTTGGATGCTGTACTCAAAGATCTCCGGAACGGTAAGCGGCGAGAAGACGATGATCCAACGCTCGGTGACTCCACCATTGCCAGTTTGGAGGATGTTATGGCCCCGTCTGCCGACAATACTCTGAGACTTGACCTTCCGAACGTACCATTGGCCCAGCCTCCATATTCGCAGACNAAAAACAAGCAGGACACTGCCCGTGCAGACACCGTGGAGGAAAAGCAAGAACCGAAGTCTGGTTTCAAGGATGATGCACAGATTTCACAACAAGACGCAGGCCTACGGCAGAGATGGTCCGCTCTAGGAGGCGTCAAGAAGATGTTAGGCGGCACAAGTGCCATATCCAAGCCAAAACCACAGACCAAAAACAGCCGTGCTTTGGACGAAGCTATCGCATCCGCCTCGAGAGGCTCTACCTCCCGGTTGAGCGATACCCAAGGTGTTCATCAACATGTAGCAGGCAAACAATGTGTGCAATGCGGACGACCAACCAGCGTGCTTCGTGCCGCATGGAACGAATACTGGGTCTGGTATTTCCGTCGCGATTCTCGAGCTCCGCTGGGCTTCCGACTGACTTGGCTCGGACTGGCATGCACAATGTTTTGGACATGGCTAGTCATCGAATGGACGCTCAGCTCCATCGTCAGTCCNCCGAGATATGCGACTAAGATGCGTGGTTTTGGTGTAGACCCACACGCACCACGCTTCCCTTATGTTCTACCCACACTGGCATCACGGCCCTTGACTCCGTTGATATCCCCGCTCGCATCTTCGGCTGCATGGTTGTGGAAAACCGTCTGGGGGCAACAGAAATACAGGTACTACCCTGCTGATCCTGGTGCTTTCGGCTCGGCTGCGAAAGTAAAGATCGGACCTCCTGGCCCACGGTCGGCGTACTACACTAGCAGCAATATAGTGGACGACGTACGATGGGCGGACCAAGATACTACAGGGCAGGCATGGCACACGAAGGAGGATGCTCAGCGGAGTACTTGGAGTGCTTGGGAAACCAATGGTGATGGGAGTATGCTCGAAGACGAGATTGTCGTCTGAGCACTCCATTTTTGCATTCATGGCGTTTCCGAATTGCTTTGGACAGCGACTGCTTGTTGAAAGCGACTGTATCTGGAGAGAAGGATTGTTGTACCTGCTGTTGGATATTCTCAAGCCTGGAGACCTTTTGTAATGAGATCTAACTCTGCACATTGAACGTGCTATTCTTTTCTTGTTGATATTGTATCGATCCGTTCGTCGTGTATTTATGTCAATTGATGACTTGTTCATGAATTGCATTGAATTGCATAAAATCTGGTGTGGGGAAAGGTCACCAGTGACATCACCGATGTGAAGCTCCTGCCTCGATGATGTAGCTAGCTTCCGTTTCCCTGGGACGACACGCGATTGCTTTCAATTGTTTTTCTGAACCGTTCTCTTCCTTCTTCAATACCAGAACAAACATCACATCCATCAATTCATCATGAGTCTTTTACGCACGACCTTCCTCCGCAATGCTCCTCGCACCTTTGCTCGTAGCCCCGCCCTGAGCGTCAGCGGCAGACGCTTCGCATCGCAAGATTACGGTAGCGGTTCTGGCGACCCCAAGGGCGAGAAGCCTCAAGAGCAAGGAGCAAACCCCTCTGCCGACAAGGAACATCCCGGTCCTCCTCCCCCAAAGGTTGGCCAAGGTAGCGGTGGTGCCACCAAGGCCGACAGCACCGGCCACAACACCGGCGCCTCCAAGCAGCAAAAGAAGAGCTTCTCCACCATGGCCAGAAGAATGGCCAACCAAGACTACGGCAGTGGATCAGGTGACCCCAAGGGCGAGAAGCCCCAGGAACAAGGCGCCAACCCTTCGGCCGACAAGGAGCANCCCCGGTCCTCCTCCCCCAAGGCCGGTCAGGGCAGTGGTGGCGCTACCAAGGCCGACAGCACTGGTCACAACACTGGAGCTGCAAAGCAACAGAAGAAGAGCTTTTCCACCATGGCTAGAAGGATGAGCGAAGACCGCCCAAAGTCGACAAAAGGATTGGAACCCAAGCTTAACAAGAACCAATCCACCCCTTCCGAAAAAGACCTTCCTGAGGATGTAAAGCAGCATAACAAGGAGATGGATGAGAAGGCCGATCAGGCCGCCGAGAAGCTCGGTGACGACAAGAGCAAGAAGGGCGATAAGGTTGGCAAGGAGTTCTGGTATGCCTTTCTTCAATCTCACTACACTCTCTCCGCATGTGCTAACCACAAACGCAGGGCTGGCCATGGTGGTGCCGACAGAGATCCTTGATCTGTATCCATTGTCCGTCCACAAGACGCCTTTTCACTTTCTTACGACTTTTCCGACTTCTATCATGCCCGACGACGAACGCAGAAAGAAATACGCAATAGCTTGGCATAACATGTACTTTTATTGTATCCATGATTGCATTGAGCGATCTTTTCTCACCATGACCTTGTCTTCCATCGTGAACGCGGCTGTATTACTGCACTGAGAATCATGTGAGCTTAGTGCTTACCAAGACTTGATGCCGAGCCAGAAATCGGCCGTGATAGATATTCGCAGTGATTGGCTCGTATGTACTCTGCAATCCGTCCCCCTAATGCAGTCTAGACATTATACCTGGTCGATTATGGTATGCTTCCCGTCCTCAGCAACGAGACGCCAGGAAAGCCCAAATGCCCGATGACATACCCATGCTTTTTTTTTTTCTCGGTCATAAACAATCTATCCGCCTGCCACATATGTCTTCGTGAATGTGCTTCACAACAAGCAATCTTGCAAGCTACACCAGATCGTTAGGATTTTGCTCCAAGGTGACAAGAATCGGGAAAGACAAGACTTACTCGCAGGGTTCGTTCTTCCTCACATACTCGAGGTAGTCAAAACACTCATCATTCTTCAAAGTCTCGACATCGGGCCTGAACTTTGGCGTCCTCTCCACCATTCTCATCATCAATTCCTGGCCTTCATCACTGACCCCGTATCCCTGCAGCTCCTTGACTCTGGGCTGCCAGTTCAAGATGGCACGGAAGCAAGACATGTAGTTCATCTCTTCCGGGAACGGCACTGGCGTAGTACCGACCAGCAACTCCCACATGACGACTCCCAAACTCCAGACGTCGGTCTTGGAAGGCAAGGCGCCAGCACCACGTTCGAAGACCTCGGGGGCAACATAATCGATCGTGTCGTCTGCAATGCGGTCGGCAAGGTATTGTCGTGCATCTATCAAGTCCTCGCCACCAAACTCTGTGAGCTTGAAGAGGGGAGGGTCGGTCCGAAACACGATGATCTTGGTGGGCTTGAGGTCACGGTGCGATATGCCCTGCGATGCGAGGTAGGAGAGGGCTTTGAGAGTTTGCAGAGCGAGATCTATCACGGCATCTTCCTTCAGTCGTCGGGCGTTGTGGTTGCGGATGAAGTCAGTGATGTTGCCGTGAGGCGTGTGCTCGACGAGAACCACGTTGCCCTGAGGCCACTGTTCGCGGAAAGCAGAGATGACATTCTCGTGCCGGACTCGGGTCATGGCTGCTGTCTCGCCCATGTTGATGCGTTCTTCCCTGGCGTCGCCCTTTCTGTCTCGTAGCTTCTTCAGTACAACCGGAAAACCGGTCTTTTGCTTCTGCTTGCCTTTAGCGAGTGTGATCGTCATGCTGCCAGTCTCGGAATGGAACTGTCGTGCTTCTTGCCAGATGCAATCTTCCTCTGCGTCGAGATATCTCTGGCGTGCGTCTCTCGGGACAAGCGCTCGACGTATGGAAGCCCGAAGCAAAGACCACACTGTTGTCTTCAACTCTGCCCATCTAGATCGCGTCTTGCGATTGCTGAAGTCTAGGAGAGGAAACACAAGCATGAGTGACACAGTCCCGGCTGTGATCGTAACAGCCTCGCCCTGGTATATTCGGGTACGTTGCGCGATTCCAGAAAGCAGCTTGTCGTCGACTCTGATCCCTCTCGGGCCGCAATTGTAAATGTCCAACTCAGGAACCTGCTGTGTGTAATCCAACTGCACCCTGAAGTGCAGCCCATCGACGTCATCTCCGCTCTCTTCACCCAGAAGAACATCGCACTTCTCTGGGTCTCGTCCGAACTTGTGGCCCTCCGTCACATCTGTGAATGAGTCGATACTGAACGTTAATGCCAATCCCGCTTGCGTGTCGTCTTCTTCGTTATAGCCATCTCCTAGGCCAGCCATGGGTTGGATCTGGGAAAGAAAGCGCTCGTTTTCGAGGCGTTCTAGAATACCGGTGTCGCTTGACTCGATGCCAATAATGCAGTACGTCTTGGTGATATCGTACCACCCGAGTGCGTCGCTGTCGGCCGAGGCAGGGCTGGACATGATGAGCTCGATGTCTTCGACTGAGGGACGAAGTGATGTATGAAAGACTTGGTCTTCTCGAAGCACTCTAGCTGTTGTCTTGGATTGTCGAGGAAGAGCTGCGGCATCGCTAGCATTTATACTTGCGCCTAGTGTCTTTTGCCTCCGCTGTAACGAAGCACTGCGGCGGGAGTTAGTCGTGAGGTGCGAGTTTTCTCTCCGTTGTTGCAGATGCAAGCTGTCAGTCGTATTGGGCCTAACCGCGACCTAAACAAGGAACACGGTGGTAACTGTCGGCGCGCTCAGAATTGTCCGACATTGATTGGGACCAGCAAAGTCGTCGTGGTAACGCCAACATGACTTGCTGACGACCATGATGATTTCGTCCACTGATTGACCGCGCAATTTTACTGCTAGGAGGGAACACTGGCGATCTATCGCAAAAGTTTCCGAGGTCCAAGTCGAGAGATGCAACTATCCGATTGCGACTGCAAGCCGCTTCATTCGGACGCCTCGAGGACGGTACGTCATCCTGTTAACCTGCAACTACCTTCGGAGAAAACAGTTAATCATCTGCCGCAGATGAACGGTTGCTGACATGACTGGCGCACAGTCTTGCCACCCCGCTTTCAGGTCCTCGGACGATGTTGCTATCCGGCGTCGTACAAAGTCCGATGGCGAGAGCCCTGAAGAAAAAAAGCCCTCTTTGATGGATTCATTTCTGATTCTTCGCCTCTCGTCAAGGGCAAAAGGCAGGACGCTTGATGATTCGCCCCTTTCTTGTGATGTGCGTATTCCGGCTGCTCCGACCATGCGTATGAAACACAGAATGAGCACTGACTGGAATCAGCGAGTGAAACCCATAGAGCTGACGACAAAGTCCGGCTTCTTGCTTTTCTTTCTCTTGCAAAGTCTAGACACGGAGGTGAGAAGGCTCCATGCAGATTTTGCTGCAATCTTGTCGACAGCGGGGCTACCCAGAGGAGTGCCTGGGTGGAGTCAACAAATGTACACCGTACACGGAGGTCTAGTCGTCAACTAGCGGTGACTATCATTGGCCGCTTGAAGATCAGTATAAAGGATACCAAGGCTTGCGTATGTTCTTCTGGTCATGCATGTACGTGTGCCTCCTCTTGACTCTTAGAATCATCAAACGCACCATCACCTATTACGACCCACCTGTTCGCATCAGAGCTCGTATTGAGATGTACCTACTTGTTAGCTCTGTGAAGGAACTACTCGTGCTATCTCTGTATCCAACCATCGTGCTTGACGCGTCCATGCAACGGGCCGATGAGAATACCAGAGATCCGTCCATGCAAAGCAAAAGCGATCGAATGATTCTCCTTTGGTGTGTGAGTTCCGTGTCATAAGGTCATGAATTCGGGACTGCAGCAAGCGGCTAAGTAAGGAGGAAGTTCGAGACCAACTGAGGGACGCCAGTGGGCAACACCAACGGAAGGACGGCCCGCGATGGTGTATTTACAAGATGCCGATACAGCTGAGAGAGGAAAATAGTCAAAAGATGGAATTTGTTGTTGGATGAGACGATGGTGGAAGAAAGCACAATGGAAGGGGGCTAGGCTGTTTGCTTTGTTTGATGGACGTGTGGACTCCGCTTGATTCCCAAGCTTCGGGAAGTCGCTCTTTCTTTCTTTCTTTCCATTACTTCCAACTGACCACAATGGGCCGCACCACAACAACCCCACCCACCGGAATGTTGACGTGTCGTCTGTGGATCAGCGCATGTCTCGATGCAAGAAAGCCGATGTGAAATCAAGGAAGCGGGTAGAGTATGCCATGACCATATTCGTGTATGTTGTTGCTTTTTGTTTTTGAATCATTTATCTTTTCTCTTATCTTTTTCTGTCTCTACCCGCTCTCATGTGCGAAAGCATGTACCATGAGTAGCTATAAAAATTCACAATACTTTACAGAAGCAGGTGATGTCCGCAGAAAGACGATGTCTCAGGGTATCTCTGTGGCCACATTTCTGGCTTGGAAAGCAATTGTGCACTTTTATAGCTTACTATATCACTCCATGTCGTCGCGAGAGAACTGTCGCTCGCCATCAAACTATGCCCTTCAGAGCCCCTTTTTCTCCTGCCCCGTAACTTTCTCCATCAGGCATCTATGGGTAACCTCATTGCGCTGCACAGTCACTCGCGTTCTTCAGATAATCCCAGGTCCTGATCCCCTTAACATGTAAGTTTCTCTTTCACTGGGCATCCCTACGCAACTCCATCGCGTTGCGTCGTCATTCGCGTTCGGCAGCCACCAGCTTGTAGCCTCTGGGTATCTCTGAAACTCATCACTGCTTGGTACCTACATCGTACTCTCCCAAAGCATCTCACGTGCAGGCTCATCGCGCTGCGCTGTCACTCGTGGTTCAAATCATATCAGGTCTTGATCCCTTGTGCATGCAAGTTCCTCTCTCACAGAGCATCCTCACGCGGATTCATCGCGCTGCGTCGTCATTCGTGTCTAGCAGCCTCGAGACATCTCCATCACTCATAACTGCTCGGTACATCGCGCTCTCACAAAGCATCTCACGTGCGAGCGCATCGCACTGCGCTGTCACTCGCGATCCAAATAGCACGTCCGAGGTTCGTGCGCCAGACTGTCAACACTGGGCTCGCCTTCACAACTTTACACACTGCCTATCTTACATCCTGCCCCTTTAGCTTTCTTTACTCACAGCCCATCCGTGTCATTGTTGCGGACCCGCTGTTCAGTCAAGGTAAGCTCAATCCTCACATGGTTGCTTCCAATACAGACGATTGAGGCGACTCGAGAATCGAAGTGCCAGGTTCTATATTGTCACTCGCAGCCTTTCCTTCCTACTCTGCGCACCACTACTTTGCTTATTCCTAACTACACATACAACTGCTTCATGATCTCGCACTAATCACAGCCAAATATTCTACAGTCTGATTGCCCTACGAGGAAGTATTCGACCTGTCAACAAGCACTCCAACCAACATTCAAGCCCACCATGTCGGCAGAACAGAACGCTCCGACTGAAGAGCTCTTCTTCGGAACACCATGTAAGTTACTCTCACCTGATGTTCCGGCTGAGAACTAACGTCTCTGTCTGATTGTAGCTGATGTCCTCGTCCCCTTCACTTGTCCGATCGCCCCACACCCGGACGGCGAGGACGATAGCGAAAACGATGACGAGTACGCTAATGACATTGACAAGGTACAAAATGAAGCCAGTANNATTGGGTCAATTCTGCAAAGCTGACATCAAATAGGGTCTCAAACAGAACCCCTTCATGGGCAAGGGCTCAAGAAAACGTCCCGCTGCGGATCAAGTTCTCCCCAGCAAGCGCACAAAGAGATTCAAGATGGGTACCACTGTCAAGGGCGGCCATGCCCCCTCGTTCAAGCCCATCACTGTCGACCTTGATGAGGAAGACCAGATGATTGTCGACATGAAGCAGCAGGGTTACAAGGATGATGTTATCCGTGACCGTCTTATTGAGAAGGGCTTCACCTGCTACGAGGCTAGAAGTGTCGCCTGCCGCTGGACGCGTATTCGCAAGAAGACACAAGAATACGAGGAGAAGTTGCTCGACGAAGAGCTGACCGACTGGCATCTTGGAGAGGTAAGGATTTGCAGACCAGGCCCAATATGTGTCTCCTTTACTGACCCAGTCTAGGATGAAATGCTCGACGAAGCATATGAGATTGCTGATAAGAAGTTCCAAGTCGAATTGGAAAAGCTTGAGCAGAAACGCTGGACTTGGACGGCCCAAAACCTCAACAAGCGTCTTCCTCGTGAGCGCTTCTCAGCCAAGGCTTGTCAACAGCGCCACGAAGCACGCCTCAATGGCACTGCTCGATGCCCACCGGAGGTTGATCCCGATCCTGAGGCCCGTGCCCGTGAACGTGAAGAGCGTATCGCCGCCTACAAGCTACGTAAGGAGGAAGAAGCACAGTGTGAAGCTGCTGCGACTGAGGAGAAGAAGCGTTCGAAGAAAGACAACACTGTCCATAAGATTGCTGCTCGTCAGCGCAAGGAGACTCAAGCTGCGCTCAGAGCTAAAAAGAAGAAGGACGAAAAAGAGTATCGCCAATCTCTGTCCGAAGCAGTCACCCTTGCAAAGAAGCGCAAGCAGAGCGCACTCGATGCCGCCCGTGAAGATCGCCTCTACAACGAGAGAAAGCATAGATTCTTCACCCGCCTCCACAAGCAGTTGAAGAAGGAAGTAGCTGCTCTACAGAAGAAGAAGGAGAAGAACAATGGCGTCACCCCCGAGCCCGAAGAGACCACTATTGTTCACCCGCCCAAGAGCAGATACACCTACAAGAACACAGCCGACCAAATTCGTGATGAGGACATTAATGCTACCGAAGCTGCTATCAATGCTCGCGCCCATGAATTTATTGGTGTTGTCCAGCCTGTTGCTCCAGTCACAGTTTCCAGTCTGATCATGCCGGTCACCAAGCCTGCTGATTCCAACGAAAGCGGATCTCAGCAGCCTGCCATCCCTGCTGATGGCTTCCTACANGATCCCCGTAACTGGTGCACCATCGATGAGTTGCAAGACATCCTGCGCTCACGCGGCATGCTTCTGAATCGCATGAAGGAGTGCAAGCCTATCATTCTCTCGCGACTGAACAACGAAGACAAGACTAGCAGTATTGAGCAGCTCAAGGAGTTGTTGAAGGCGCGCAACGAAGACTCGAGTGGTACGAAGGCCGAACTGATGAGACTTTTGGCCATATCCGACGCAAAGACTTCCAGAAAGTACCAGAACAACCGTACAAACCGCCCACTTGATGAGAATGGCAACCGTATCAGAGTCAGAATGACAGCCAAGCCAGCCACGTCGAAGACAACCTCTCGCTACAACGCTCGCAATGTCACAATCAAGCAGGGTAAAGCTGTGGTGAACATCCCGCCTCCTACTACNCAGGAAGAGAGCCTCTACCAGAAAGGCTCCTACAAAGGCTGCTACAAAGAAGACACCCAACAGGGGAAAGAGCACCAGCGCTTCCAAGAANNGTTCATTCCTGACGACGAGGACGGAGACGAGGAAGAGCCTGACCTCCTCATCGACCTCGACGAGGACGACATGAAAGACATCGTGAGCAGCTTGCTTCCCTAATCCTAGGTACCGCCTTTCACCCTCAGCAGAATGAGAGGAAGACTGTCCGACCCTTGACGAAGCGATTTCTGCAACACTCAACGGCAGTCAACAATTTTGGACAACACTCGACCGGACCTGCGTTTAACCAACAATCTTCAGAAGACAGACGCGCGGCGAAAAGGAACCTCCTTGGAATTGATCGCGTGGTATCACTGGGAGATGGCGGCGTTCCGGATCTCCTCTTTGGTCGATCTTCAGTTTTGTACCCAAGTACCCCAGAATCTCCAGTGGCCCGGTGCCTGCATACCATTGCAACTACTTGCATGAGGCGACGGGCCTTCTTTGTGTTTTCACTTGGTTGTTATTTCATTGGACCGCAGCAAAAGTCTGCCCACTTTCATTAATGTTTTTGCCCTTGCTTTGACCTCCCTAATGCTTCGACACTTCTGCATAACATAGCATAGGAAAGTACCAATCAGTTCTTCTTATCTCAAGGTTCCAATAATCAGTCTTTAGTGACTTGCCTTGTAGTGATTAACAGGCATGCACGACTATAGAGCCCTTATTGCCTGTGTTTTGCGAAAGAAAGGTGCTCGCCAGGACGAACCAACAATGACTCTTATAAACAGACCTACTATAGCTTCCTTCAATTCTCCTGTCCATGTCCCGGTCGAGCGAGACCCATCTCAGCTGACACCCGCTCCTTCAAATCTCAATCCACATGGCCAAGCACTTCTTCCGGACCCAGCAACACTTGCAGGACTGCCAGTGTCGAGTTGACATGCACCTAAACGGCAGGTTTCCCGAGAGATATAGTCGGCGCACCTGCCCTCTTCAATACTGGTGATCTTAGCCTCCCCGCATCCCCCACCCAACCGTTGCACCTCTTTTGCGGAGTCCCCGGTTTCCGAAATGTCTAAATTACGAGTTTACTTGGGGATACCACGAAGGCCTGCGGCAAAGTTCCCTCGTTTGGAGGCACAGAGGACTCGGAGGGGGTGATCGGAAGACGTTTCGGAAGGTAGGCCGACTGGAGTCCGTTCCGTGGCAAGATGGTCGAAGGATAGATATAAAGACTATCGACGGACTCGAGGAAACAGAAGCCATTCTCTATCAATCGTTCATTCAGCATACATAATTACTCAGGTTTTTCATCATGGTACATCTACGAACAGATATTGGTGCAACCAACCCTAACGCACCAATGCATCCCGAGGAGAACAGCACATATTCCAAGGACCTTACCTGCGATGTCCTCATTGTCGGTGCCGGTTTCGGTGGTGTCTACCTCCTACACAAGCTCCGTGATGAGGTCGGTCTCAACGTCAAGATCTTCGAAGCCGCAAACGAGCTTGGTGGTGTCTGGCGATGGAACTGCTACCCAGGAGCCCGCGTCGACACACAAGTCCCCATCTATGAATACTCGATCGAGAAAGTCTGGAAGGACTGGACATGGACTCAGAAGTACCCTGACTTCAATGAGCTCCGTGATTACTTCATTCACGTTGAGGAGACTCTTGATATCAAGAAGGACGTCAGCTTCAACACCCGTGTCATTGGCTCTCAATTCGATGCCGAGTCAAACACTTGGGAAGTCAAGACTGAGGACGGCCGCACTGCAAAGTGCAAGTACCTGATCAACGCCATCGGCTTTGCAGCCAAGCGTCACTTCCCTGACTGGAAGGGTCTTACTGACTTCAAGGGCGAGCTTCACCACAGTTCTTTCTGGCCCGACGAGGGCGTCAATGTCAAGGGCAAGCGTGTTGCCGTCATTGGCACAGGCAGTACCGGTATCCAGATCGCCCAGGAGACAGCAAAAGATGCTGCTAGCGTCACCGTATTCCAGCGCACTCCCAACCTTTGCCTGCCCATGCGTCAACGCGACCTTACCAAGGAGGAGCAGCAAAACGCCAAAGCAGAGTACCCCGAGATCTACCGCAACCGTCTCACCACCTTTGCCGGATTCTCATACGACTTTGTCGAGAAGAACACATTCGACGACAATGAGGAAGAGCGTGAGAAGTTCTACGAGGAGCTGTGGTCAGAGGGTGGCTTCAAGTTCTGGCTGGCAAACTACAAGGATCTCTTGTTCGACAGCAAGGCCAATGACCAAGCTTACAACTTCTGGGTGAAGAAGACAAGAGCCCGTATTGCTGATCCTCGCAAGCGTGACATCCTCGCTCCTCTCAAGGCTCCTCACGCATGGGGAACCAAGCGTCCTTCTCTGGAGCAAAACTTCTACGAGTTGATGGACCGAGCTGAGAACGATGTTGTCAACGTCAGGGAGACACCCATCACAGAGTTCACAGAGACCGGTATTGTTACCAGCGACGGTAAGCTCAGAGAGTTCGACATTATCGCTCTCGCTACTGGCTTCGACTCCGTTACTGGCGGCATGAAGAACATGGGCCTAAAAGATACCGAAGGCAAGGACTTGGCCGAGAGATGGAAGAACGGTACTTGGACGTACCTTGGTATGACCTGCAACGGTTTCCCTGTAAGCATACTCTCATTTTCGTCCAACCATACAGCATTACTGACCAACGTTATANNGAACATGTTCTTCCTGTACGGCGCCCAAGGTCCCACCGCCTTCAGCAACGGACCCACCTGTGTCGAAGTCCAAGGCGACTGGATCGTCGACGCCATTGCCACAATGCAAAAGACTGGCAAGAAGACCATCGAAGCCACAAAGGATGCAGAGACCAGCTGGCACACACTCGTTACCGAGCTCTCAGACAAGACACTGTTCCCTGGCACTGAGTCGTGGTACATGGGCGCCAACATCCCTGGCAAGCCGAGAGAACAGCTCAACTTNCCTGGGGGTTTCCCCATGTACGAGAAGGAATGTAGAAACGCACTTGATGGCTGGAAGGGCTTTGTTGTTGCTTGAGCGTTCGATGAAGCCGATGTCCTGTCTAACGAATATCAACATGTAATGTATGTATGAATGAATTGATGCTTTCCAAACCAAACATGTCCGATATCTGTGTCTGTGTATCAGTGAGGTTCCTGTACTTTCTGTTCCCTGTGAAGTATGACTTGCAAAGCAATGATATCAACTCGAGGAAATATTGTTGCTTTCAGGAGCACCCTGGCAGTACATGAATGCTCACAAGCAGGATACTCCTACTACCCTAGTCAGCCAAGTCGAACGAGTGGTGTCTTGATGATAACTCGAGGCGATGAACCAAAGAGTTGTATAAAACTATCTAGAATCATCAGTGGTGGAAGGTTGTTGCAGAGGATTTAAAGATGGTGAATAACAAGTCCTCACTAGAAACCTCACCCTTGGTACTCCATTGAGAGCTGGCGACGCTGGAATTGGTTCCAAGCCCATTCATCGAACGAGCAGACGAGTGTTAGACAAACGAGATATGATTGAAAAGACATGTCCACATGTTTTGTCAAAGGAGAACGAAAGAAGACCAATGATCTTCTACACATCCAAAACGCCCGCCCTGGTTTATATGGTCATCAAGAAGATGATAGGGATGAAACATATACATACATAGAGAAAAGGTCATGATTCGCTTCCGCCATTCCGTAGCTCTTCGCTCAGGCAAGTCTCCTGCTCGGGCAACAACTTGGCTACCTTGTCGTCCCTCAAGCTCTCAACGCCAACGCCATGCATAGTAGCCTCTCTTTGCCTGAGGAAAAACTGGATACGCTCTTCCTTGGGTCTGTTCTCGGATAGCTGACGCACACGCCTGAGTTCCTTACTCGCGCGATCGTGAACCAGATCCCTTGCTGCCACGACCTTGTCACCCTCGGACTCTGCTCGGCTTATATTCAGCGAGGCCCCTATCATTGCGAGCAAGATGACGCATAGGATGAAGTTGCCATTGGAGAGATATCGTGGTTGTTGAGCCACACCATCTCGACGAGCGTAGAAACGCTCCCAGTCCTCCCATGTGGCATTTCCCCAGATGTCCGAGTCTGCATGGTGGCGCCAGCCGCTGAAAGGACCTGCAGGTGTCCCGGCTCCAGGTTTACCGCCCACTGTACTGGGCACACCACTCCATCCGGCGCCGAAGCGGTCGTACATCTTGCGTTTGTCCGGATCCGAGAGAATGGTATGGGCGGCTACGACCAGGCGATATCGTTCTAGGCGCAATGGTTGTGGTACGCTATGGTGATGATGGTGCTTCTCGCAGGCGCCAGAATCGGGATGATATAGTTTTACCAGCTCATAGAAGCGGCGTTTGCTGTACGGCTCGGATTCGGTCGTCGAGAGGATCTGGTATGGGGTAGGGTGCGAATGACCTTTTGGTGCCTTGGGCCATGGCATGTCGTTCGGTGGCGATGGCGAAGACGACGAAGAAGGATCCGTCGAACCTGCCGACATTGGGTCGCCAGCTATGGTGGCATAGCCTCGCCGTGCATATGGTAACGAACTGCGGACATTCTCCTGTCTTGCTGCTGCTGTCGTCGCTGGTCGTGTGTCAAAGCGATACCGTAGTGGTGATGACGTCGACGAATCTCGTCGAGCAGCGGCGGCGTGCGAGAGGGCAACGACGGTATGGCAGCGACGGGNGAGCGGCGCGGTCAGGAGAGTACGAGAGGGATTGGTAGGAGGCATGCCGCAAGGGTCATGATGTCCTGGTGCAACAAGTTCGATTGTGCTGGACTGGCACGATGCGAACGGCACCTTCAGTCACTTGCCGGGCGAGATGGTCTGCCAAGCCTAGCGTCCTCTCGGAGTCCTGACCTTCAGCCCGATCGAACCTGTGCAGAGCGCCACGCGGGGTCGAAGCCTGCGATTCACACTGCCACCTCTCTCAGCGGCACCATCTCGTCGCTTCTTCTTGCAAGAGATCAGTTTGAATCTGCTCGCCAGGTAAAGGCCTCAGCTTTCTCTCGGATCTATCGCGCAAAACCCAATCTATCCTACCCAATCTATCCTACCCAATCTATCTTCCTTTGCCCTGTCTCACTTTGCTTTGCTCGCGATTGTCGCTCATCCGTTGCTACCCGTTCCCTGCTTGCTGCGATCGCCTTCTTCCATGCGTTTCCCTCGATGCCGCCAGCCACCCCATAGATCTCTGGAGATCTCGCGAGCAAAGGCTTGTCTGTCGTGTGCGAGATCTGTAGATACACGTGGGTCGTTGCTCAGCATCGGAATGAACAGGGCTGACGGCTGTGGAAATCGCCAATCAGCAGCTGTATCGGTTGCACACTGACAGGGTTGCTCACGTCGCCCTGCTGTCAAAACGCCGCATACGACGTACGTGCCTGCTCTCAGCTCAGCAGCGCCCCCTCTTTTTCTCCCTCACCAATGCGAGGCTAAAAGCTGCACGCCGTGACAAATAGGCTTCCGGTGGGCTAAATTCCTGCTGGCATTTCCAATTGCTTTTTGCTTCTTGTTTCTCGCCCCATTTATCTCGTTGCTTCCCACATCCGTCATCGCTAGACTGCTTGTCGACTGTTATTGTCCTGATGTGAACGCAGCCCCAAAATCAGCCATCTCAAGTGAGACAATTTTGCATCATGAGCACGTTGGAATTTAGGGACTGTCAGGCATGGTTGTGAGAGAAGTTAGACCGCTCTGTAGAAGAGCAGTCGTGTCATTGTTCATTCATCATGAAGCCTAGTCATTACCAACCCAAGAAGACTCCATCCACAGTTCCATAGCCCAGCCATTGTAAGTTCCTCATGTTTCATACCATAGAACGCCATTCCAAAAAGATATCTTCCCATTTTTACCCATAAAGGTATCCTCAAGACACCAGATTCCCCAAATCAGGTATATCAATACAATAGAAATTAGAAGTGAAAATTAGAAGAAAACTGAGGATGAACTCAGTTAACAACAGCAGGTTGCGAACCCTGCTCCTCCCAGGCGTTCGAGTCGAGGAGATTCGACCAGTCGTTCTCGCCAGGTGTCGTCATGCCACTAACGTTGTTGTGTGAGAATCCCTTGAGAGGGTCAAAGTTGGAGTCATATCCGAACGTGGTTGATGGCGTGAGGGCAGAGTCGGCACCGGACATCGGCGTGCTGTACTTGTCCATGTTGGTGTCAAGCATGCCAGGGGCGAGAGTCTGGTTGATACCGTCAAAGCAAGGGCTGCCACCCTTGAACTTGGAAGGGTTGGGGTTGTAAGTATAGAAAGGTTGAGATTGCTGCTGGCCATAGCCACCCATGAGCATCTGCGAGAAGGCGTCGTTCTGGTCAAAAGCAGGACCAAGCAGTTGCTGTGATTCGTGAGGCAACGAGGTAGAGAAAGGCATCATGTTCATCATGCTAGGATCAAAGGCAGGAGAAACATTGTTGTAGGAAGCAGGGTATGCTGGCGGTGAGGTCTGAGCCGTTGGCGATGTCTGACCGTTGCCCTGCTTAGCTGCTTCGTGCTTCAAGTTGGTGAGGCTAGTGGACGACGAGGTTCGCGAGGCGGAGGTAAGGTGCGGCGGCGNAGGAGCGGCATTTTGCTGTGATTGAACGGGAAGAGACATGCGACGGTCCTCAGGCTTGATAAAGGCAGTGTTGGGACTTTGCACTGTAGGGAAGTTGTTCATGTGCTGTAGCTCCTGAGGAGTGGCGATGGATGCCGAGCGACCATGCATGTTTTGGCGGAAACCTTGCTGAGGGTAAGGCGATGCGCGGAAGCTCTGAGGTGATCTGTTGGCCATCTGGGGAGGAAGCATAGGGTTGGGGAATGACTGGGNGAATTGGCCGAGCTGGTTGGCAAACTGAGGAGCGTTGGAGTATTGCTGAGGGTTGTACTGGTCGCCCATGGTTTGACCGAGCGCAGCACGCATAGCAACATGGTTGGTAAGGTATGCAGCCAGTCTACGATCAAAATCGGCGTTCGAAGTCTGGAGATGAGCGGTAAGACGACGGTATTGCATGGGCAGGTCGTCATCCTCTTCCTCGTACATCTCCTCGTTGATAACGTCTTGCTCAGTTACACGAAGAGATCTGCCTGTGCGTCTCTTATGAATCTCGGAAGCACGACGAGCAGACTCGACACGGGCTTCAAGACTACGGTCACTGCGACGAGAGGCAGCGATGTATGCTCTGAGACAAGGTTAGAATCGATGCTGACTAGAGTAGAACAGTAGTACAAACCTCTCCTGATTCTCTTCGTGAGTACGCTCCGTCTTGACGGGCTTGGCTGCGGGGATAGATCTGAGAGGAGGCATGTCGATAAGAGGTGGTGTTTGTGTAACTTGTGTGGAGAAAAGTGCCGAAATTGCAAGGTCACAGAAGTGGTCCTTGAGAGAAGGGGTCTCGGAGAATTATGCCAGAGGCTGCAACGATTGGTTATGTAGCTGGGTGGTACCGCGGTGGTGGGATCTTAATGCAGAGGCAAACGAATAACCAGTAAACCGGAAGATGTTGTTGGGGTTTGGGATGGAGTGATAACTTGAACTCGATTTGTCTAATAACAAATGTTCAAGAGACGAATGTTGTCGATGGAAAGGAAGGATGAGAGTTGAGGAGGGCGGTCGGGGACATAAAAGCCTTGCAGCATCAGATCGGGGCTAGAGACAAGAGGGTGTGGGATTTGCAGTCTGGTGTCATTGGTAGAAGCCGCCGAGGTTAAAGGCTGAGCTTCGAATCGCGCCAACTCTTTCTGTCCGCTTGGACCACGATGGCGGCCCACCTCGAGAGCCATCGATCACTCGGTATCGTGTTTTCGGGAGCTGAGGTGATTGGCCGATCTGAGTGGAGTAACGGGACACGCGCTCGGGGCATTGTGGATGCACGATCTTGTCGTTTATCTGAGGGCTCACAAGCCACGTTCCCCCATCTCCTCCTGCCCACTTGGGCCTGGCACCCGGTTCTGCTAACCTCAACTCCTCTCACGTCACTTTTGTCACCTGTAAAGCCAAACGTCGAGTCAAGTTCTCTCTGCCTGCTGATGCAGCGGGCTGCTGCTCAAAAGCTACGACGTTATCCATGCTCTCACCGTCCTCAGGCCTGTTCAGGTACATATCACACGGATCTCGCTGTGTGGTGGATTTGATAACCCTCGTGCAAACAACTCAATGCAGCGGTGAACCTCCTTGGAATGTGTCTTGCGAGCAAAACGGCTCATTGTTTTGTCCCTGTGTCCTTGAAGATCAACATGGTGGTTAGAAACAATCTGACGTGGCTGAAGGCAGCTACCGCGATCGTCTTTCGCATGCTTGCGACCCAATACTGTTCGGGGCGTATTGGCAGACTGATCGCCACAGGCTTCCAAATGTCTTTTCTCGATCAGCCCTCGGTTTGGCCTGCTCCTCCGGTGTCACTTCGACGTTTGTTAACGCCCACAGATTCCCCCAGATACACACTCGATGCAGCTAAGGTTTTGGGCGGGTTAGTTAATTTGGTACGGTTCGCGCCAATCGCAAAGTTCCACCGCCAGGCTCTCAGGTCACAACGGCCCGCCCGTAGACAGCTCACCGGCCGCGGGAACTGGTCCATTAACTGGTACGTCTTCCGTCATAGCTCCGATATCTGGAGCAATCGTCTCTGTTTTGCCTGTGGGTTTGTCACGCCAGAATCTCACCATTTTCCTCATGCTCGTAGGTGAGCGCGCTTGCACAGGCTTTGACTCTACCACACACATCTTAGGTAGCGTGGTCCCACCGTCCTAAATGGCTCCGTTTGACCTGGGTACGTACCTTGTGACATTCCGGGGCAACATAAGAAAGTCGATTGAGTGTGGCGAATGCCTCGCTTATCTAGATATCTCATCCACTGCATCCGCATGCATGGTAGCACAGCACCAGGAGACATCTATTCCATGCAAGGGAAGTATCAATAATATAGATGCAGGTTCAGTAGTGACGCTCTAGGGCTGTCGGGCTTGCGTAGACTATCTCAAGCTGAAACTAGGAAGCATTCACGAGAAGACGGGACGTGATGTTTTTGTTTCAATGTTGCACAATGCTGTTTGGTGACAATAATTGAGGACGGAGAAATCCTACACTCAAGTCGGCAGAACAAGCATCACTTGACAGTAGATCTCGTACTACCCGGATCTCCATAACGAGGTACGAGATATTCTCCGGCACAGTGGATTGCAGCCGCTAGCATCGTGCTTGCAAGATCTGTCCCGTATGCTCCCTGCTCAGGGTGGGTGGTCACTGGTCAGAATTGTCCCAGCGATCTCGTTGATAGTTTGCTTGGGATCCATTCAGTCTCTCACTGCTGAAATGTCTTTCACCTTGCATTGGCGATGCGCTCTTCTTGGAGCTATCGCACATGATCAAACGTGAGTCGCTGGTCAAATGTTGTCTTGTCTGAGAAGCAAATTGCTGAGATCGGATCGAGAAAATCCACATTCCCCTTTGTCAACAATTCGACCGGCTTTCCAACCCTGCGAGTCAATCGGCGCCTATTCCGCTAAGCAATATTAGACTCGGCGCTGGCGATACTAAATCTCACTGATAGCGTGGGGTAAATGTGCCTAGCGTGCTGCCATGTCCTACGCATGAGGGGCGCTGCTGCACGCAGAAAAGAAACGCAGAAAACCCCCGAAGCGTGTGGTTTTCTCGGCCGCAAGCATCTTTTCAGTGGGCCTCCAAACGGTTGCTGGAAAACTTCGAAATGACGCTGCGGTCGTTGCAAATTCCAGGTTGGGCAAGAGATTGACTGGCGTGAGCCTTTGTCTCAGTTGTGCACTTGCTGTCAACAAAACCGCAAGAGGATTTGCGACGAAATACATCAGAAGATCATGCTCCATGACTTTGGTGGTTTCTTTGTTCGACGGGCGACGTTGTTCGCAAGCTCTTCTCGTCACGCATGGACACTCTCCTCAGCACCACATCTGATTGGATACGTTATCCAGGGCTGTGGATGAGCCGCACGCCTCGCGTACACACCCTTGCCTGCAGTTCGAAAACTGATGAGCAGCTAGGATGTGACCCTCTTTCTCGATAAAAATTCCCCTGAGATGCGGTATGCTGGTCCGTTGGTCCCGTAGCCTGTAGGTCCTTGGAAGTTGGATCACTGTGGATGCTCTTTCCCGTCCTGAATCGGACTGGTTTCCGCTATCAGGTGAGGTTCTCATCAGACGTGTCAATCCATTTCCGCGACAATTACTCGTAGGAAACAAGAGGTGCGTACAGTCAGTATGTACATCGAGACTAGGTTGCTATTACCGTCCTTTCCGCTTGCTCGGGTATGGGAACTTTGTCGTCCATCAATTCATTGAAGCAGTATGCTGAACCCTCATGGCCGTTCCTGGGAGAAGGAACCTGAAGGATTGCCATGGCAGATCTTGCAGCTTTCGGCACGCATGCGATCGAGAGATCTGATGCCTGAGAACTTGTAAAGTTGTACTGAGGTTCGTGCTAGACCAACGGAAGCACTAATTAAAGCCATCCGTCACTTTTAGCAGCTCCCACTACTGTTCACTAATCCACGACGCACGTCGCTGCCCCAAGCTCCTCTTCGGATGCTGGATCAGCTGCGTGTGCACTCTGCCAAACTTTGAGCCTCAACTTTTCATGTTTAATAACAAACCACACGTTGTTCAGTCCCCCGAAATGTACAAACTCTCAAGGCAAGGACGGGAGCCAAAGAGAACGCCATGTTGCTTCTCGATTCACGCCAGCAACCATTCATTCCTGTCTGCCAATAAAGGTACGTAGACGCCATGTTCGGCTCCCCACGTTTTGTGAACGGCAGAAAGCGAGAGCAACTTCACTGCACAACAACAACATTATCGCCAAAATGTACTGTTGCTGAGCCAGGGTGCCCTATCGAAAACGGGCGCGCGATATCTTTCCTGCCAGCAGAGCCATCCCGCGCGTGCGTGCTGGCAACGCTGTTGGTTCCGCCCAGCGGCATTTTGTCCCGAGCGAAGCGCAAAGACGTAACTCGTGAAAGAGCTGTTTGAGCCGCACCAGAAGCGGAGCTTTATTCCGCCACTACATAGGCTCTGCGGCTAGCGGTAGACCCATCTGCCTGGTAGGACAATCTTGACCTCGTTGTGGGCAAAATTCCTGGGAGGCAAAAAACACGTTGTGAAATCATACGACACAGCGATTGGACGCGGCTGCGAATATTGCACACAGCAAACAATGGTCACGATTATTCTCGAATGACATGTCAGCAGCACTTGTGTGGGCTGAGCCTTTGGCCCGATGAATTTGTTTGGTACGAAGGATTGCGTATTTGGAAGATCTTGGTGAATCCTTCTCCGCTCCGCGTAGCTCTATACCTCGAGTAGACCCGGCTTTGTGTCCGAAAGGCTGGATGCCTCTCTCCACGACCTTTGGTGTGGTTGTTTACTTGTTGCTCCAAGACCTGGACTCTTTCACTCCATCGTGCAGTGAACCCTGCAAAAACACCCACAGCAAGCACTCTCGTAGTCAAAGTGACTGTAGATCGATCGTCCCATGCAAGAATCCTTATAGTTGAAGACCACTCAATCTCTCTCACGTATCTGGTGTTACGGTGCCATGAACAGGCGGATCCTGGCCCGCAGAACATGTGGCCCCTGGTCACAGATCTCATCCGTGATCCCTCCCAACAGAACGAGAAGTTGGCATCCTTGTGCTCTGTTCGCAATAGGCAGTAACCCCACACCTCCCTCCATCAACGCTTTCTCCATGTGAAAAGAGTTGAAATATGCAGGCAGTTTGGAAGCACAGAAGTAAAACTTAAAGTTTTGGGTCCAGACATACTCACTGACTGGCAGCGATGATAGCTTTGCCAACAGCCAATCTGTCGTGTCGGTCGAAGCATTCCCGGCCTTGCTTCAGTGCGCCAATCAGCAAGCCAAGAGACTTGTCGTTGAAGTCGCCTGCTGAGCGGATCTTGTCGAGGTCCTCGGCAAACTCGGTTGTCATCTGGCGGAGGTAGAATGAGGTGAACGCATCTTCGGCCTTTGTGTCTCCGACCTGAGGTCCACTTGTAGAGGGAGTGGTGGTCTGATCTTCTTCTGGTGAGGATGACCTTGATGGTGACTGCACAACAAGTCAATGGATGTGCTAGCTGAGGAGCTTGTATCGCATGTCCGTGTATTGTCAAGCAAAACAATGAAAGATCTCATGCGAATTCAAACTTGGTTGATGAAATATGAGGCGCACGCAAAACAAGGAGCATGATTGAAAACTGTAGAGTAAAGGTGTAGAATCACATACCCTTTGTACGGTATTGGCCTTTGCCTTGGATTTGACGACAGTCTGCTTCTTAGGTGTAGGCTCCGAATCACTGCTGTCAGACTCTGACGATGATGAGGAGTCTGATGAGTCTGATGAATCCGAGACTGGATATTTTCAGTCAATGAATGCGCACAACATGTTATTCAATCAGAACACACCTTCTGTTCTGGCCTTGCGCTTTCTCAGCCTCTTGGGCTTATCAGCTTTCGCTTGTCTCTTTACTGCTGGCATCTTGTTGTTGTGTGATTGGTATGAGAGGACTGTCGAGCAGGAAAAATGGTCCAGTTTGCCAAGAAGAAATTGTTTCAGCGTCGGCGGACAGGGTCACGCTAAAAGATGGCAATTCATCATCGGCGGTTCGAAGTAGTGCTCTTCTTGTTTTTCTACTTTTGACATGATAATTACAGCTAATATACAAATCCACAATGTCACTAGACGCCTGCGTCTTCAGGAGCAAGATTGAGATTCCAGTCAATCACACCATCGTCGCCATATCTCTCCTTGAGCCATTCGTTTGCCTTGGTAAAGTGGCCACAGTCGAANNCTAGATATTTGATTAGAGTGACGCTTTTTGCAAGGTAAGAAGAACTTACGAAGCCCTTGTGGGCACTCAGAGGACTGGGATGGACGCTCTTAAGCACATAGTGCTTCGAGCCATTGATACCTGCACAGCGCTTCTGTGCAGGAGAGCCCCAGGCCAAGAAGACAACACCGTGAGTACGCTTCTGGCAGACCAGATCAATGACCTTTTGTGTGAACTTCTCCCAGCCCTTCCCGGAATGCGAGTTCGCTTCGTGGGCGCGAACGGTGAGGCATGTATTCAGCAGCAGGACGCCACGGTCAGCCCAGGGTGTGAGCAAGCCTCCCTTGTTCGGCGGAGGCTCGAAGGACGGGTATTCCTTTTTCAATGCTTTGTAGATGTTTTGGAGAGATGGTGGAGCAGGGGTCGGGGGTCTGACGGAAAAGCAAAGGCCATGGGCCTGATTGAGGTTATGGTATGGGTCCTGGCCAAGGATGACGGCCTTGACGGTGCTGAGCGGCGTGTGTCGTGANNCCTGAGATTGTGTCAATAGGAATGGCATAATAACAGAGCTTGACCAGACTTACCAGCTGTAGACATCTTCTGATGGAGGGAATATCTTCTTGCCGGCCTCGGCTTCGCTTTTGAGGAATTTCTTCAGATCGAGGAATGACTTGGTCGTGATTTCATCTTTGAGTACGGCAAGCCAACTCTCGTGCAATGTTTCAATCTCAAGCTTGAGCAGTGTCTTCTGTTCTTCGCTCAGGCCGGCAACCCATTTCTCCTTGTCGAACTTGACTGCAGGAGCAGAGTCGGTCGGACCTTTGGACGGGTTGGTTGATGACGTTGATGGGTTGGTCTTGGGAGGGCCAAAGAAACTGGTGATGGAGCTGTTCGCCTTTGGCTTTTNTGCTTCGGCGGCAGCAATATCGGCTGCCTTGCGTTTGAGAGACATGATGGAGGTCGAATGAGATGATTGTTGTACTCGGGGAGGAACAATGCAATGTCTTCCAATTTATCAGCTTAGGCGGACGCGCTTCACGCGTTTCTAGCCTACTGTGGCTGAAGCTTACCCCACAGTGGCGCTATAACGTTTGATGCGCGTCATCGACTGAGGAAGCAACGGAGCACAAGTGAACAAGGAAACCACGACCCGGTCGAAAGCTTCCTTCTTTCTTCCTCGAACGCTTCCACCTTCTCCATCACCTACACATCCATCACAACAATGGCGTCTTCATCAACCGCCCAAGTCCCCGGAGACCAGCCCCCTCCTTACAGCAAGAGTGACCCCACTCCTCACAAGACCCGCAATGGAATTCCTCCAGACCACCGCCGCTCCATGGAAGACGCTGGCCGCGAGGTCCCGGAAGGCTGGATCAGACAGTATGACCCTCAGACCAGCCATCAGTTCTATGTCGACACACGCACCGAGCGCGCCATCTGGCACCATCCCTACGACGATGACGAGTACATGGCCTCCTTGTCGCCCGAGCAGCGCGCCCGTATCAGAGGTCTAAGCCGTGTTCCTACCGATGCCGACATTGTCGCCGAGAGCTCAGAAGACGACGACCATGACCCCAGAACTCTTCCCAAGCGTGAGGACTCGAATCCTAGTGGAATGAAGAAGTTTGGCCGCAAGATCAAAGACAAGGTCACCTCAAGCACCCACCAAGAACGCGAAGCTCAGCGCAAGAAGCGTGCCGATGAAGAGCAGCGCGCATATCAACGTCACCTCGAACTTCGCCAGGCCATGCAAAGAGCCGTCCAGACCGGCCAGCCTCAACTCATCGGCAAAGACCGCGAGGGCCGTGACTGCTACCTCACCCCTCCCCAAGGCGCTACAAGCCAACAGCAAAACGTCCGCATGATCAATCCTTTCGGCTCGCCATACGGAGGTGGCATGGGAGGCTACGGTGGTGGCATGGGCGGCTATGGTGGTGGCTACGGCGGCGGCTACGGAATGTATGGCCGTCCGGCCTACGGTTACGCACGTCCTTACGGCTACGGCTACGGAGGTGGTCTGGGTATGCCCCTCATGGGAGGTCTCATGGGAGGTGCTCTTCTCGGAGGATTGTTGTTCTAGGAGTCGTCGCGTCTCCTGCACCATCTTTAACGACGTAACGAACGATAGCTCGAGGCTGATACCCTAATCTTAACCAAACACAATATTCCCAACAAGTTTCACGTTTTGCAAGCTCTTGGTCACTCCGAGTCTGAAGCACAATAACAATCATAACTGAAACCAATGCAGCAAAACAGAATGTAAAGTAGATCCACAATCACCTGGAAGACGGGGTTGAGGAACGCACTGCAAGCGTATGCATGTATGATCCAATCTCAGAAAGTCTTGCCAATAATCGTAGAACACTAAAACTCCGAGTTTGTCATTCCTTGAGAGGTACAGCAGTATCCAGATCTCCAGCTTGCGCAACTCCTTGTTCACTGCCTCTCTGTCCCACTCGTAGGGGTTGATGCGGTCCTTCCACTCAATCCAATCCTCTCGCATATCTCTCGAGATCTTGGCCGTGACCTCCATGACCCCTGGAGTGTCGTCAGGATAGTCTTCGTCGTAGTCGCCTTCTTCCTCTTCTTCGTCTCCATCGTCATCTTCATCTTCATATTCTTCCTCGTCTTCGCAGTCAGACATGGGGCTCGTCCTCGTCCTCGTCCTCCCAACCAGACAAGTCTTCATCGTCGTCTTCGTCTTCATCATCAACACCTTCTTCTCACAACCTCCATTAATATATTTCCAAGCTCTCTTCTTCTTCATCATTGCCGCTTGTGGTGTTCAATTCGCCAAGAGGTGCTCCAAAAGGATACATTGGAATTGGGTCTCGAAATCGTTCGGGGACTTCCTTTGATGTTTCAGCTCGAGCAACATGAGGATCGAGATGACCTTCAACATGCTGGCTCAGTGCAGAAACAGTGTCATCGCAGATTTGTACATCTAGCATGACTATCAGCTCTGGAGGTTGTGTTATTGTAATGCTTATCGTACTGGCCTTCAACTCGGCATTGGGAAAGGATTCCAGCAGAGTACATGTCGCGATACATGTTGAGGGTCGATGCACAAGAGAACTGCTGACCAAAGTAAGCTCTCGAGCCAGGGTGAGCCTCTCCCTTGCCCTTCTTCTGGCATGCTGTTGGAGAGTCCTCAATCTCCCACCATAGCAAAGATAAGGATAGGTGTCTGGATAGCTTAAAAGAGATGAAAACATATTGATAAAGATATGCAACAAGTAAATATTCACTCTTGACAATCAGTAGATTTTGCAGTCTAGATATACATAACTCTTGCATTCAAGTTCAACACTCCCATAGCAGTTCAAGGTATGAGAAACACGTTGAAAACACGTCCAGTGAATTCAATCTCCGCTCGACCTTCAGGCAGCAAACGGTCAGAGATTCGCTCAGAGGTGTTCTGATCTTGTATTTCGTCACGCGTGGGTGGAGTAAGTTTGAACGTTGCATAACAGGGCAAGTGAGTTGTGTGGGCGACCCTTATATAGCGACTGTAATATTTCGAGCTTCAGCTTTGATCGTGGCATCCTGACCGAGTTGATGGTCTTGAATATTCTTTGACACCGTTGCTACTGAAGATGATTCTGTGGGAATGATGGGCAAAGGAGACTTTTCGTGATTGATATTTTACGTCCTGCTTGATTGCTCCTCCTTTGCATTCGCACTTCCATTTGCTTCTTGCTTATCCCATCGTCTCGTTGTCATCGATCTTGTTTGTACATGCTTTTGAACCACGAGCGTGCTCAATTACTGCGAAGCTCCAAGCTGCTTCAAACTTCAGCATCTTCGGGCTCGGCACCAGCGTCGGCACCAGCCTCGGAGACATCATCGACAGGCTCGGACTTGACGACAATCTTGTTCTTGAGAGGAGTCTCGTTGTCATCCTCGCTGCCCTCGCTGTCACTAGCGACCTTGCGCTTCTTGTTTGCCTTGCCCTTGGTACTCTTGGTCTGGGGAGTGGCCTTGGTGGCCGTCTTTCTGGGAGTCTTGGTGGCAGGAGTGTTGGGAGGAGCAATAGTGCCGTTGGCGGTTGAGAGGGTAGTGTCGAACTCGAGGAGCTTCTTCTTGGTGACGCGCAACATCTCACGAGCCGAGTGTGGGGTCTTGGATCCGGTGAGCTGAGAGAACTTCTCGTAGTCAANTCTGTAGGAAGAAAAAGGAGCACGTTAGCGTGAATTCGCTAGGGGAGATAATGTGTTGCGAGTCTGTTAAGCTGTCCTGCACTGCAGATACCTTGCATTGCAGAGTTTCGCATTCAAGGATAGTCATGTGTGCTAAGGGTGGGAGTGTACCTTGGGTTCGGCATCAACGCAAAGCCATGCAAGGGCCAAGTAACGGTTCTGGGTGTCGGAGAGAGCGGCAGGCATTTTGGATGAAGTGGTATGGACTGTTGATGTTGTTGCTACAGAAGGTCAGATCGTGCAATGGGATTGTGATGTGTGGATGGAAGATTGAATCGTCTGGTAAGTGACTGAAGTGAAGAAAAGCGCTGGCGAGATGCAGATAGTGAAGATGTATCCAAGAGAAGACTTACATAAACGGAGCGACCCAGCAAGTTCTCAGTGCGGGTGCAAAGATCTGGAATGTAGAGGAAGATAGGCAGAATGTGGGAAGAACGAGGAAGAGACCTCTTTCAAGAGTTGTGTAGTGGACAGTGTTGTTGGAGATGGTGAAGAGGGGATCGCAAGATGTGAGCAAAAAGAAAAACCAACACGTTCGAATCCACGACCAGAGAAGGAAAGAATCGTTTCAAGCAGCCAGATAGTTTCACTCACTTTTGGTGTCGACGAACCGATGACTTCGACGACTTGTTTGGGAAGAAGAGTCGGTGTCTTGAAAGATAACAGGCAGAACACCGCAGTAAGCAGTACGGAAAGACCGACGCTTTCGAGGCTGCCCGTACAACATTCACAAGTCTTCGAATTGAGCTTGACAGTCCAGGAGTCTATCTTATGCTTCGGAGCCTCAGAGAGACTCAAAGAACTCTTCTGATGTTGACTTCGACGTTGCACGACACTCAGCTCTTGACGGCCTCGAGCGTTGAGCTTAGCAGACCTACATCAGACATACCAGACTCTAGATCTTGTTGTTTGCTCCCTTCCGATTTTGCTAAGGACTGTGATGTGGAATCTCTCTTGCGTTGACATATCTATACCGTGACAGTCTTTGGTATATCGTGAGGTCATAATAAAATGCTTGAGACTCTCGAACGCAAAGTTCTGAAACGCATCCGCCAGACACTCCAATGTGCAACACCACATCTTCTGGATCCATGATTGGCAACAATCTTTCGTGGACAACATGTACAGGCGTTGCATCATCTCGTCTCTGTTTGGGCCGTCCGGTTTGCAGCATGAGTATCAGGAGGCGCTCTGGTAATGTAATCAGTGCCCATTAGCTATCAGGCGTTACGGCCTACCTCAATTCAGTTCGACAGGCATCGGTGCCTCGCAATTGCCATTGAGGCATTACCGGTCTAAGTCATGCGTCTGGTTGAAGGTCAAGTTCTAGGCATCAGCTTGATTCAAACCTAGTTTGATCTTTGGGCATTGCGATCGATTCAGCACTATTCTTGGGATGTTAAGTCTGTGTTGAACCCTGAAGGTATTCTGGTCATGCACCCAATGTTTGAATGGAAGCAGCGATTCCAGAGTTCTGCCGTTCAACTACCAATATACTCCAGGGATCAGAGTTTTCTATGATCCTCACAGGTCTCGAGTATGGGTGCCTTTGCGAGTGAGTGTGTAGAGAAGTGTCAGAGTTTTGTCGTGCTGACGTTGGTCTTATGCAGAAATTTGTGCCATGTTTTCATATTTCCGCCTTGGCGCCTGAGCCTAGTCTGCCTTGTCGTCCAAGCACTCTTTCCTTTTCACCCGTCTCTTCACAGTCAATAACTCCTGCGCATCGCGGTCGAACATTGTGGGTCACATACGAGTATGATCAGAGGCTTCAGATGGACCAGAGGCCTTTGAGAGCATGAACGAGCGGTCAGAGTCGCTGGCAATTTTCCTAGATGGCTGGATACCACACCACGCGTCTTGTGCTATAGCAAAAACGTTGTATCGGATTTGCGTGCCGTCGACATTGAATCAGGTCCAGCTGTAAATAGAAGCAGCCGAAGGAATGCTGACACATGCGCATCATTCTTTGACGATCGTATCTACAAACTAGACGGAATCCGGCAGATCCAAAGAGCAACACAGCCATCTTAAAGCCGCTGCAAGGAAGATCTGATCCTTCGTGGCTTTGCAGGAGGGGAAATACGAATTCGTACAAGGCAACAGGATAAAACCTGAGAGTCCTGCTGTACCGTCCCTGATCCTTCGCCAAAGCTCAGGACATGCTTCTTTGAGCTGGAATACATAAATACTAGAACTTCCTCACAGAGACGATACAGAACAATTCGAAGTCGCTTTCCATCATCAATATGACAATCGCACAGACTACAGACATGAACCGCAGCAGAAAGACTGCCTGGTCTGGGAAGGTCCTCATCCCAATGTGGACCATGCAGATAGCGGCGACATTGACAAACATCGCCGGCTACATCTTGTTCCTGTCGCGCTACGAAAGCCCCAACTCCTGGGCGTATTACGACGATTATACCAAGTTAGTAATATGACGGGTCCTCCTAATCAAACCCAGCAAAGAGAGCTTACTAACGATACAAAACAGTACAAGTCGTGCATCATTCGCATACATTTCAGCAGTCATTCTCGTCATACTATGGTTCATCGCTCTGTGCATGATCATCTTTGAGATTGTCAGGTTCCACAAGAAGAACCTGCCTGCCAAAACAATGCTCACATCGCAAATCATCCTGAGTGTCTTTTCTTCAATCGCCTTCATCATCGAAATGCTTGGGCTGTTTGCAATCATCTATGGCGGGTACAAGTCATTGTTGGACTGGTTTGGCACGATCGTTGCGACGTAAGTATTTCTGTGTTGAAATAATTACTGGAATGCTGATGAGATGACAGANGCATTCTTCTACGGAACTTTGATCTACACGTGTGTTATTCGTCACAGGCGAAAGCTGGCAAAGAGAGAGTCGAAGAATTCGTATGGCATGACTGGTTTGAACGAAGAGACGGGTCAGGGCAAGGGCGACCAGATTTGAGGTGACCAAGTATGCACTGGGAAGATGCTTCGAAGTTGCCGTCAGAATTCTCTACAGACCTGTGGTACTATAAGGAAGGTATGCATGATGTCTTTTCGCTGATGGTATTACGATGGAAGCTCGTTATTAGTTACGGTATATAATCATAATGCGTTGCCGCTTATTTCTGCCCTTGCCATTAAAAGAGTGCGTTTGACCAGACATACATGTCGGGACGGGGTATCAATAAAGAGAACAGATGAGGGTGTAGAGAGGAGAGATTTTCCCTAGACTGCGGAATCCTTAGTTCTGATGTTGTTCAGCTCAACAGTCTCGTGGGTCTGGCTCTTGATCAATCTGCCATTACGGGTAGACAAGTTTCCGTAGAGCCCAAGTTTGGTCTCGGTGATCCACTCGCGCAGCTTGATCAAGAAATGGACGATAGTGAAGACGACGATTGCAGCAGCCAGGATGCCGATACAAGCTCCAGCAATCAGACCCTTCCCGTTTCNTTCTGTTACACCAGTAAGCAAGCGGAATACTTTCAGCATCAACACTGGATATACTTACGGATCCAAGAAGGGATACACATAGAAGTGTTGAGTTGAATGAGTGAGATAGGCGAGGCCGAGGTAAAGTGCGAGCAAAATGACGAGTGGCACAATGTTGATCCAAGGATGCGGCAGCGTGCGAGGAATCACGATCTCGCCAAATGCCATGACAGAGTTGAGTGCATGCTGGCTAATGTTCGACCACGTCGTCCACTCGTTAGCGAAAGCTCCGTTGGAAAGAGCACCCCAAAAGACGGCNNTATCATAGTTGTATTAGCGTTGCGTCGGCCATACCCATCTAATTGAACGCCTACCAGTGACGACGAAGGGAAACACCGTAACAGTGGCATAGAACAACGAATGCAACCATTGGAGGGACCCCGGCCACTTTTGCAACCAAGACTCGCCGTAGAACCAGAAACTTGCTGAATGGGCGCATGATACAGCGTAGTAGAAAGCGAGGCCCCAATAGCCGAGCACAGTAAAGTAACTAAATGATCGACCTGCTTGTACGCTTCCTTCATGGCCTAGATTGATAAAAATGACAACAAAGGCATAGAAAGCGACAATGCCACGCCATATGGCCAGTTGTAGAGGCGAGAGGAACCATGAGGTTGCGAAGCGCGAAGTATAGTCATCTGTAGTGGCGAGGCGGTAGGGTTCGCGAACCCATCGGTCGAACATTTTGTATCCGCAGCTCCGGGATCTCCAGTCCAGATAATGTATATCGAAGTTTTGCAAGCAAGGAGAAGAAAGGAATGCTTTCACCAGTCAAGGAATGTTTGTTGAGCAGATGGGGAAAAAGTCCGAATCCCGAAGAGATTGGATAAACGATTATCGGTCGCTGTAAGCGATCAACGAGCGGCAAGCAATCACTCTATTATATGAACGTAAATAGAGTAACGCCTGGCCTGGACGCCTTTTCTTTTTGACTTGAGCCGCGGCCACGTTTTGCTGGTCAGCAGATCCTTACTACAATGTTCTGAGAACTGAAACACATGTTTGAGTTGGTATATAGCTAGACTACCGGTAGAGCAGAAGCGCCATAATGGGCCGAGCGCGGATGGGTTGCGGACATGCACACGCAAAGTCATCTGCGAACTCTGCTCATCACGCTGCAGCAACCGCCCAATGCGCAAAACTCGCGTATAAGACTGCTACATAATTTCATGGGGGCGTAGAGAAATACCTGTGTGTTGTCCACGTAGAAGGATAATAATGCAGCGCCGTCAAGGATGTGGCGGAGCCGTTGAATTTTATCGTCACGAGCGACACACCATGTTTCATTTCTGCTTCTTCGCCTCAGCGTCCTTCACGAGCGATCCTTCATCAGACCACAAAATGTACAACACCACCAGGTATGCTCCATAAAGGTGCCACATTCCCTACAGTTCCATCCCGGTGATTCTTTCTTGGCCTGATTCTTCTCTGCGTACGCTGGCGTGGGACGCGTGTCGTTTCTGCGGCCAGCAGTGCTGGGTTTGATGGTTGGGGTCTTGAATGCTGGACGCTCCACTCCACAAGCATCACAAGCTAAATGCGTCTGTAAGTTGATGCAAGTACACACTTGACATGCCCAGCTGCCAGGGTTAGCTGGTTGATGGGTGTCTGGGATTTTGGCGTAGACTTCGTCATCGTCGTCCTCGGTCAAGTCGATGACTGGTGTGTCATTTCTGGAGACTGAGCCAAGTGGTGGTTTGGCTGGAAGTGGTGGCTTGGTAAGGACTTGAACATCATCGTCCATGGATAGAGGGCGCTTTCGAGAGTGGCCATCTTTCAGACTCTCCTGCAGTGCCCACCTCGTCTGTTCTTCCTCAGTCCTGGGCAAATCGGAATCAGACACGTTAGGTCCTGTTGTAGCGAGTCCATGTTCTTTGGACCATGTCAGACCACCGCTTGGTGAAGGTGTACTGAAAGTGCCTTTCATTTTCTGAGCTTCTTCCTCCTCGATGAGATCGAACAATGCCTCTGCGATGGCGCGATTGTTGGCATCGTCTTCTTCTGCCTTGGTTTTGAAGGTGTGTCTGCCAGCCTGTTCTGCCAGATTGTTGGCCTGAGCAGTGCCAGATGCACATCCGCGATCAACGGTTGCTCTGCGGTCTGCTGCATCTGCCAGGACTTTGCGAAGATCTACCCCTGGGGTTACTCGCTTTCCTCCGACTGTCCTTCCAGAACCCTTTTGAAGCACACGACGCTGCTCTGCATTAGCACGCGCCAGACGCCTCATCTCATGTTGTGGAGGCACGGGACCACCACCGAGCTTCTTGCCACCAGTCAAGAAGCCCTCGCCGGTGTAGCCTCTGAGCAGGAGCGTTTCGTGGTCGTCTCTCAGCTTGTCCCAGAGAGCATGGAAGTTCGAATCGTGGTCACCAAAGACAATATGAGAGAGCTCGTGCAGAAGCGTATCGACGCATTGTTCGATTGGAAGGAAGGTGCCGGGGTTGTGCGTGTATCGTAGACGTACGCAGATCCTATGCGTCTTGTTGATGTTTAAACCCAGCAGACGCTCATCGTCAGGTAGAAATTCACTTAGAACTTTGACCTTCCAAGAGCGCTTTCTCATCAGAGGCTTAACGAGAGAAGCTATCTTTCGCAGCCGTAGAAGAGCGTCTTCGGGCTGGGGACAGTCCTGAAGGTGTTCGTAGGAACCAAAGAGCGCATCGTGTTCTTGAAACGACGACGGGTACGATTTTTGATGATTCGACGGACCACCAACCCTGATATTGTTGCCGTGTGAGAACATGATTGTTTTGGTAGGAGAGCCTGAGGAAGCGTCGTCCCGGCGCAGCGATAGACTGGTGGTAGTTGAGTCGTGGACGCTGCAAGACTGCGTTTGCAGCAAGATCAGTGACGCTCGCAGAATGTGCTGTGAGCCGGTGAGCACTCTTTCACTTCCATTGCGTGGAGACTGCGATTCGTGTTAAGGTCACTTTAAGAAAAGGCAAGATTGGGATTTTGCAGTCAAAGACAACAAACGACTTCGTCAGCAGTGGCGAGGCCGCAACACACACGACCTTGGGTGGAAGGTGCCAAGACGACCACGACGAGGCATTGCGTGTCGACTCGTCTCTTGTATCAGCACCACACTCTATACTTATAATTACAAGCAAGCAGGCTGCTCAGAAGCGCTGGCCATCGCACGACCATTAGGGTGGACAAGGGAGGGGTGGAAAACAGCAGGCCCAAGCATGAAAACGAAACAAGCGCTTGCTCGGCACAGTTTCCCTGCTTGAGACCCCGCATCACAGGGAAACCATGACGGTGTTTTTCGAGAAGGCTCGAGGAAGCTGGCGACTGGTCGCGAGACCTGCCTGCACCTTCACCACTCCTCAGACACAACGACCAAGCTGCCAAACATGACCGACGCCCAGTTCTTCATCGACTCGGCACGGCAGCAGTACAATGACTTTGCTGGCGGCGTAGAGAGACACTTCGAAAATGTTGCGACGCAGCTACGAGACTGGCTACCCGAGCAGATGCGACCTCGTCCTCCGCCACCACCGCCATCTCGCACGCTGATTCCTGCCACATACTGGAATCAAGTCAACCGATGGGTATCGCGCAACACTGCTCTGAGTGCTGGCATCCTCACCTTTGTCGGTACAGGTGCTGTTCTGGTCTTCATACAGAGGTCAACACATGTNAAAAAGAGAAGAGCTAGGAAGTCGAACAATGGTGCAAGAACAGAGGTTGTCGTCCTTGCTGGTTCTCCGACATCACCCCTCAGTACTGCTATCGCCATGGACTTGGAACGTCGTGGCTTTATCGTCTATGTCATCACCAGCACCAGAGAAGATGAAGAACACCTCCGCAAGCAGTCGCGTCCAGATGTGCTCCCCTTTGACCTTGATCTCATCCACGTGAGTGTTCTTTGGTGCTTGAAACGGTACACCATGACTGACTATGCGTAGCCCGACAAGGCCGAAGGACAAATGCAAAGATTTCATCATTTCCTGGCGCGCCATCACCATGCTTTTGATGGAGCTTCTGCTCATCGCCTGACATTAGCAGGCGTCATTCTCGTTCCAGACATCTCATCCGTTGCCGTGGGATCTATCTCACAGCTCTCACCAGAAGCTTGGTCAACCGCTCTGAACGCAAAAATCTTGCATACCATCACCGTCGCACAACATATGCTCCCACTCGTGACCGAGTTCAAGAGCAAAATACTCCTTCTGACACCAAACGTTGTTTCGTCATTGCGACCGCCTTATCGTGCAATCGAAAGCACCGTATCCTCTGCACTGGGCGCATTCGCTGCATCCTTATCGTCAGAACTCAGCCTTCAAGGATTGCATGCTTGTCACTTCAAGCTCGGAAACATCGAGATCGCCGGGAGCAAACAGAAAAGAGATGAGAACAAGAAGGCCAGGGGTATGCCAGGTACATCGATACGCAAACTCCACGAGGCCATGTTTGATGCGTTGCACAGCAGCAACCCTAGTCGTACATGGCACGTTGGCAGGGGTAGCTTGATCTACGACTGGATCGGATCGTGGGTTCCCAGTGGAGTCGTAGGTTGGATGATGGGATTGCAGCATGCACCGAGAAACGAGGATCAGCAAACTCCTGAACTCGAAGATTCGTCAAGCGACCGATCGATCACATGGGAGAAGATTTGACAGGGCCTTGTCCCATGTACACCTCGATGAACATGCTCGGCTGGAGAAGCAACAGAGAGTACTTTGTCGGCTGGGTTCTAACTTCTGGCTGCGATGAATACCCATTGTAGTAATCGGCAGCAAGCCAATAATGATATACTTTACTCACGACCAAGATTGGAAAGCGGGTCAAGACGCTGGGACGCTCAGCAATCCGTCCGGCGGAAGACGTTGCAACGGTAGTACCTGTTGTTAGATGATGGTAGAAGTGGTGAACGGTTTGATGTTGACTGTAGGCTGAGTTCCCGGATTCGCACAGCCCTTTGCCTAATCATAACAGAAATCCCAGCTCAGGGGCACAGATATTGCGATGTTGAGACTGCGCGTGCCAACCCTTGTCAAGCCAAAACGAAAGTGGGGTTTAAAAGCCGAGGCCCCAGACATCCAAGCCACTGTTCAAGGGCGTCAAAACACATCAAACAACACATTGCAACAGGGCAGCCAGTGCAAGCGAAGGCAGNTCGCTCAGCCTTCAAATTGACGTAAGAATATGATCGGAGAATAGTGGAAGAAGCCGAAGCGGTGATTGTTGCTATGCGGGCAACGCAACCAAAACAGATATTGCACAAACGGACAGAGGGATGGATGATGTCGTCCGAGCACGGCAAAAGNNAAGACCGTTTTCAAGGGTCCCGTACAAACCATATGGCGGCGCTGCACGAGATCCACATGGCTATTGCAGTAGCAGTCACGGGGGACGACCATCTNNTCTTGGTCTTGGTAGATTTGACTAGTCCAATCAACGCATCGTATTNCACAGCCGTCGTCTGGCTTCTGCTGCATTTCTGTGCTGTTTTCCATCTCTTCACATTCTGNNCTAACCTCGACACGACACACTGTGCTGTGTTGCTCGCACGCTGAACACGCTCCTTTAACTNTGCTTCCACGCGGCTACCTTGATAGCGTCTCATCGCCACGTTCTTGGCCCGCCGGCGATCCAATCTTGATCTCGCAATCCTACTTTACCAATTCACTCCTTTTGTACAACAGACCTACGAATGCGAATTGGCCAGCGCTCTGGTCTGCATTGATCGCTCTATTTTGACAAGCATTGATACCTTCTACGCACCTGCACTGGCCGCTGGCGACACCCTCCCTTGCAGGACATCAACACATTGCCGACTGCTCTATAGGGCGACCAATTAACACTTTCTGGAAAGGCAATTAACCTGGAACCCCACTCATTCCCTGTCAACCATGGCTAAGCGACCTCAAACCCTCGATTTGAACGCCGCTCGAGGCCACGACCGCCTTCCCAGTCGCACTCGCCCAACCTTTCACATGGACCTGCCGTCGCCTCGAGCCGGTGAAATTCCGCCTGCTCTCTCCCCACTCGATGCTTTCGCCCTACACTCACGCGCCCTCGCGAGAAAGTTGGAGGAGAGTTCCAAGGCTGGACGACGCATGAGCAGGCTACCACACCAGGATATCGCTGACGAACTCGCAAAACGACCCGGATATTTCAGATCTGTTTCGAGCGGCATTGAGAGTCTGTACGACGAAGACCAAGAGGAGGACGATGATGAGGAAGAGGAGAATCAATGGCAACGACCCCGCCTGCAAGCGCAAACACCCAATGGTGCTGTTTACCGCCCTGTGTCGCACTACCCCATGCTAGGAAATGTCGTCCGAGACGATCAAGATGTGCCTAGCGTACCAGAACCTATCAAGGAAGCCGACACTGAGCACGAAGAGAAGGGCTATTTTGGCATAAAGGTGCCGCGCTCTTCATCCCCAGAGCCATTTGATTCCAGGAATATCAAAACCGACGAAGCCTCTCCCACCTTGCCTAGTCTCACCAGCAGTATCGACTCAGTACAATCCTCGCAACCACGGACATTGACCAATGAATCTTCGAGAAGACAAGACAACAATTTGGCACCGCCTCGATCGCCCGTACATCCAAGATCAGCGCGTAGTATCGCTAGTATTAGATCGGTCATCGACAGCGCTGAAGAGGACAACGGCAGTCCATCTGGATCACTTGAGGTTGGTCCATCCAGGAAGGCACGTACTCCGTTCAGCCCGGAAATGCTGCCCGTCTCTCGTTCTCCTTCGAATCTGTCCGAGTATTCTGTATCTTCAGACTTGCCTCGCCCATCCTTCNNCAACTTTTCCAGACCTCGGGGTAACTCGCTCGCCAGGCCAGGTGCCGAGACCAATTTGACAGTCGATACCCGCCGTGCTATCGAACGTGAGCCGTCTAATGACTCGTCAATGTCACAAACCACCAGAAGTGCCAACTCGACGCGAACTATGCGTGTCAGGGCTCCAGTCGATCGTCAGAACTCAGACAGCGCAACAGACATCTCTGGTGCTATGTCGGACAGAGACTGTTTCAGTGGTGAGGAGACTCCAGTTGTACAACCAGGATCGGGTGCGCCCTCGTATGTATACTCCAAGTACTCACTGCCTCGCGGCCGTATGCTCGACAGAGATTCGGTGGAAGCAAGATCTTCATGGGCCCAGCACCAGATCAAGTGGGAACAGCAGCCTACTGGATTGGAACCCAAGATAGCCGAGAGTCCTCTACCAAGCCCGAATCTTGATAACCCCATGCTCAGTCCCGGACCTGGTACACCGCGCGGGCAGAGTCCAGCATCAGGGTCAACCCGAGATAGATCGGCCGAGCATCCGGCTCCTTCACCTAGCCGGCTGACTAAGAAGACCACACCACAAACCCCATCAATTGCGTCTGAAAGCACAAATCGTACAATCAGGGCCGGATCGCATATTCGAAACAGCCCGTCTACTGACATAGCTGGTCTATCACCAGAACAACATCTCGAAAAAGGCATTGAATGCCACTCTTCAGGCTCCCTCAGCAAATCCACATATCATCTTCGCTTGGCCGCCAGAGCTGGACTCCCAACAGCAATGCTGCTGTATGCACTCGCATGTCGACACGGATGGGGCATGCGTCCCAACCAAGCCGAGGGTGTCTCATGGCTGAGACGCGCGGTCGATTCAGCTGGAGTGGAGTTCATCGAAGACAGCAGCAACGACGGCTCACAAACAGTATCCAAGGAGCAAAAAGCACGCAAAGCCCAGTTCGCACTTGCCATCTATGAGCTTGGCATGTCTTACATGAACGGGTGGGGCATCCCCAAGGACAAGCCACTTGCAGTCAGATGTTTCGAGATAGCTGGAAGCTGGGGCGACACGGACGCTCTTGCTGAAGCAGGATTCTGCTACACCCAAGGTGTTGGGTGCAGGAAAGACTTGAAGAAGGCAGCAGAATTCTACCGCCAGGCTGCGGACAAGGGCATGAGTATGGCGGGCAACAGTTGGTATGTTTATTGCAGCACATGGTGAAGCATACATGACACTAACGAGTCGACAGGNATCTACAAACCCAAATACATGCCGGATCCACCTCCTCGGGAAGAGACTCCAGAGCCCGTAAAGAAATCACGAGGTAGATCCAGAACGCTGTTTGGTCGCAAGAAAGCGGCGGCGGCATCGTAGCGTGTCTTTTCCAGGCTACACATTCCATTTGTACTTGGCATCAGATGCAGCATTTCCTGTGTTCATCCCCTTTTCGTCCCGGCGACGCATCATTTTGGCTTGACTGTACATAGTTTTCTGCCGACATTGGGATTTGCACATGTATGGATGGGGGTGTTAGGCATAGGTGGACTGTCTGTGAGCAAATGGATTGCCGCAGCAGACGGGGTTGGCGTTTTTGGACCTCGAGTTGAGGGCTAATGTTTATTTTTTAGTCTGTCTCTCGTGGTAGTGCGAGTACACAGTCATTGTCCAAGGTCGTCATGGTCGAAGCACATTCTTTTGTAGTCCATTGACATGCATGAATGCCTGAGTGTTTGAGGCTATTCCAAATATAGAGTTAGCCAAGGGTAGAGCCTCGGACGGAGATTTCAACGGAGATATGATAAGGCTTAGGGCATTCTGGGTAATGCATCAAGGCACGAGCTGAGCAGCTGCCGCATGGGTCCGCTCCAGCATTGTACCTTTTCCTCCTGTTTCCTAACATCATATATTGACTATCCTTTAGCATAGAGTGGCCTCTCTCTACACAGTACGACGATTGTCCGCCAGCCTTGGTCTCTTTGCTCGACTCGCCATCTGGAAGCGCGACCCGCCGTATGAAGTCATAGCCTCCTTCACTCCTCCCAGACATGACCGACTACAACTCGACCGCCCGGGCTCTGGCGCTGCCTATAGATGAACATGATCGCCGTTCTCAATCCAACTCGCCTGTATTCTCTCGAAGGTCAACGTCCGTCCCACGGTCAAACCGCCGCACAAAGTCAGGCGGCATCCTCGCTCAGGCGACCAAACTACAACGCAATGCTGCAAAAACATTTTTCGGCCTCAGCCCTGCAAAACGCATACTGTTGGTGATTGCAGGCGTCGTAACGTTAGTGCTCGGTATCCTATTCCTTGTATACAATGAGAGGATATTCCATGCCATGTCGCCCGTGGCTAAGCGCTGGAGGAATATCACTGGCGGCTGGATGATTCTGTGGGCCGCGACCTTCTTGGTCAGCTTTCCACCTCTGATCGGCTATTCTACCTGCGTGACATTGGCTGGCTTTGTCTATGGTGTACCCAANGGGGTGAGTCATGATCCGACTCTTTCATGTGTGCTCAGCAACTGACTATATGGCAGATGGTTCATCGTAGCATCCGGCACAATTATCGGCAGTACGGCCTCGTTCCTCGCGTCGCGCACACTGTTGAAGTCATACGTGACGCGACTTACGGAAAACGACAAGCGTTTCGCAGCACTCGCCTTGACTCTAAAACACGATGGCATCAAGCTCCTGATGATGATCAGACTTTGTCCACTACCATATTCACTCTCGAACGGAGCCATCTCTACAATTCCTACAGTACAGTGGCCACAGTTCATGGCAGCGACAGCAGCGGCAAGTCCCAAGTTGCTTCTACATGTGTTCGTGGGTAGCCAGCTCGGACGCATTGCCGACAGCGGAGACAAGATGGACGCCAAGACAAAGGCCATCAGTTATCTCAGCATAGCGATTGGGCTGACTGCCGGTCTGGCCACAGGGTGGATCATGTATACCAAAACCAAGGCCAGAGCTCAAGAGCTAGAGGCTGAGGAGCGCGAAGCTGCTATCCGTGGTGAAGCACCAGATGGAGACGACATTGAAGAGGAGGGCAGATACGAGTACTCGGACGATGCTATGGAGAGGGAAGCCACGGAAGCGATTCGTGGTGACGATGGCATCAGTCTGCGAAGCGACCAGGAATACCGCGATGACTTTGACGATGATGCAGATGACGCCCAAGATTTGGACAAGGTGTTCCGACACGGCGATGGAGACGAAGAGGAAGGGTTTAGAGATAGAGTAGACAGGCACTAGGAGCTGTAGATTGGATTCTCAACCATCTGGGCCGACGCTGCCATCGCTCAAGTCTAACCGTCGCATACTACAAGTCTTGGCGGATCGTCGTGTCAACCGAGCCGCAGGGTCCTGGAGGTAGTCGTGTTAACACAAGACACTTATACCCACCTCTGACCCACTGTGCCTCTCTGTAATTACAACATGTCGGCGACAATGTCTTCATACGTGGTGGATCTGATGTGGCAGCTCACCAACTGCTTCAACTGCTTCCCGAGCAATCCCGCCCTCAAGATCAATGGCCGCTCATACAAGATCCTACGTCTATTGGGAGAGGGTGGCTTCTCATACGTCTACCTGGTGCAGTCACCGCCGTCGCCAAATCTCTACGCCTTGAAGAAGATTCGATGTCCATTCGGAGCAGAGTCGGTGGCTCTGGCGCTCAAAGAGGTCGAAGCATACAGCTTGTTCCAGCCGCATCCCAACATCATCCACGCCCTCGATCATGCCGTTATCCCGGATCGCAGCGACCCGTCCGCAAAGACGGTCTATATCCTTCTTCCCTACTATCGTCGCGGTAACCTGCAAGACGCGATCAATGCCAACCTTGTCAATGGCGCAAAGTTCCCTGAGCGCAGGTTGATGGTTCTGTTCCGTGGTGTCTGCGAGGCATTACAGGCAATGCACAATTACAGGGTCGGCCGTGCTCCGGGTGGTAAAGGTGCACAGGCGAGAGCCAAACGGGTACGAGCCGACGCTGCAAGAGCAGACAGAGGGGAAGACCATGACCGAGACGACGACGACGAGCTAGGGGATGCCGAGCCGCTGATGGAAGGCGAGATCACCATGGCACAAGAGGGCATGTCCGAAGGCCAGGTTAGAGCGTACGCACATCGCGATATCAAGNNCCCGGTAAGCAGCACCATCTCCAACATGTCGCAGACACCCAAAGACTAACTACTCTCAGGCAACATTATGATCTCCGACGACGGCCAATCACCCATCCTCATGGACCTTGGCTCACTAGCCCCTTCACCCACTCCCATCACGTCACGCACCCTCGCCCTCCAAGTCCAAGACACAGCCGCCGAACACAGCACCATGCCCTACCGCGCCCCCGAGCTCTTCGACGTCAAAACCGACTCTGTCATCGACACAAAGGTAGACATTTGGAGCTTAGGCTGCACACTATACGCCTGTCTAGTCGGCAAATCGCCGTTCGAAGCCCGCAGCGAAGAAACAGGTGGAAGCCTTAGTCTGTGTGTTTTGGGCGGTGACTGGAGATTCCCAGACGAGCACAATGCGCAAGCGAACAAGAGTAGGGGAAAGCAAAAGATGCCGACAAATTCGGATGCTGCGGCTGTGAAGGATGCGCCCATTACGGAGATGATCAAGGATGTGGTTAGGAGGTGTTTGAGGGTTGAGCCGTCCGAGAGACCGGATGTTGATGAATTGCTTTCCATGGTTGACGATGTTATTGCCGCTCTGCCAGAGGACGGCGATCCATTGGAAGATTAGCTTTGATCATAATCTTCAAGCTACTGTTGTCCTATCTAATGTCTGTATGCCGAAACTGGTCTCGATCGCTCGCGTGAGCTGGCTCACTGCAAAAGAGTCCCTGTCTACACATGAACTTGAACATGGCAGTGATGAGTTCCATGAGAGCCCGCCGAACCCTCTGTCTACAGTTGGACCAATCCCGTCTCGTGCTTCATTCATTGGCATATGGTGATGGAAACGCTCGGCTCGATGGCAAGTATGCTGAGGATCTTTTGTATTGTACGACAGACCGCACCCGTGGGAACAAAGGTTGAGTTATGCTGCTTGAGTAAGAGCCATGGATCGCCGCTTCCTATCTTCACTCACAAAAGAGAAACAAGACCTTGAGTGCAGTAATCGAGTTCCCTACATAACAACAGTATCAAAGCATCAAGTCTCGGGCTTGCCCATACCAGCCATCTCGACGAGCTCTTTCTTGTCCTCCTTTACTCCACCAAAGAAGTTCTCACTCTCTTCGTCATCCTCACAGTACGCAGGGAGGCCAGCATACTTGTTGATCCAGTTCAGCACAACCTTGTGCCACACCAAACTATTCTCCGGCTTGAGCACCCAGTGATTTTCATCCTAGAGCACAAAGCATTTAGCGGTTGTTTAAAGGCAAGGGGTGCCAGTATTTGACTTACAGGNGAATGTGAGAAACTGACTATCAATGCCACGGGCTTGGAGAACATTGAAGGCTGCAAGTCCTTCGGAAATACACAGACGATAGTCTTTTTCGTTGTGGATGACCAGTTGAGGTGTTTGCCAGTGGTCGAGGTAGCGGCTTGGGTCATTCTTGATCCAGGCGTCTAGTGAGGTCTGTCCGAATGTCTCTTTGGCATCGTCCGTGGTTTGGTTCTTGGAGGGGGAGTACCAGGGTGTACCGCCCAAGTCGTGGACTAAAGGAGACAGTTAGCATGTTGCCCATGGGAGACTGATACACCCAGCAGTCGAAACGTACATGGNGAAGTAAAGCTCCTCTGTGGCAAGCAGACCACCAGCAAACGAGAAAATGCCGTCGTGACAGACGAGTGCTTTGAATCTGCGCCCCAGATCGTGGCCGTTGAGCCAGTTGACCATGTATCCACCGTAGCTCGCACCAAGAGCTACTGCTCTTGTCATGTCGACTTCAGACATGTTCTTCTCGATCCAGTCCATGACGTTAACGAGGTCATTGTAAGGTGCACCGCCCCAATCCTTTCTGATGGCATTGGTGAAAGCCTGACCATAACCTGTCGAACCAGTGATGTTTGGTGTGACAACCACATCTAGAAAGGTCAGTTGAGCTGGACTATGCAATCGTCAGGGGTAACTAACNNAGCCTTGTTCTGCATAAACAGCAGGGTTCCATCGCGTACTCCACGAGTCTCCCCAAGATCCTTGAGGTCCACCATGAATCAGAAGAGCAAGCGGATACTTCTTGCCTTCTTCGAAGTTGGATGGCTTGTATACCCAAGAATGCACAGTCTTGTTCACTGTCGGGTCCGAAGCAGGTGTATGGATGGAAGAGACCTGAGAAGCTTTCAGACCAAGAGAAGAACCGCCCTTGGATGATGAGTGTGTCCACTTCGCACCTTGTGCTTCAGCTTCCGAGCTTCCGATGATGCTGTACGATGAGTAGTCGACGAGAGAGCTGCTGGTATAGAACACATCTCCTGACTCTAGAGGTCGCACATCAGAAACATAACCAGTTTTCGTCAGTGGGCGCAACACTTTGACGTCAGAACCTACTGATGTCAAGGCGAAGAGGCGACTGTATCCTTCATCTTCAGCGGAGAAGTACAGAGTCTTGCCGTCGTGGCTAAAGACGATATTCTGNNTACCAGGTCAGCTTGAAAGTGTACTAAACATATCGGGGTGACGTACTTGTGGGCTCTTGTCTAGATTTCCCTCCTTCGTTTGGTCAAATATACGCTTGACCGAATCCTTCTTCAGGTCTTCAATCAGAAAGATCTGAGACTTGTCACTCTCGTATCCAGCAGTAGACAGGCTCAAGAAGACAGCCTTCTTGCCGTCAGGAGAGAAGACTGGTGAAGTACTAGCACCCTTGAAGTCGTGAATCTTGTATTCGAAAGGCTTCGGGGCAGGATCCTCCGTAAAGGTGTGAAGCTCGACATAGTACACATTGCACTTAGTACTCAAAGCAGGATTGGCCTTGGGGTCCTTGGAAACAAAAACGATACCAGATTTGCTGACGTCGAAACTGTCTGTGCCTCCAAATGGTGGAACAGGGCTCTCAAGACCAGCTCCCTTGAGAGCATTGACCCACTTACTCAACTCGAACTTGCCATCTTTGGCCTTGGTCAGAGTAGCATACCACAGGGTGTTTTTCTGTGGAGTGACATAGTCATCCCAATGCCTCACGAACAAGTTCTTGTACAGCTTTCCAGTCGAATGAGTCTTGGAAGCTGTCTCGCTGTTGTACAAAGACCCATCTGGAGAGCATTGGGCGGCCACAACAACCGCGTAAGAAGAGTCGGATAGTTGCGTGATCTTCAGGCTACTGGCAGGAGCATCAATCGAACCAGCGGTGTACGTCGAATCTTTCCAGTCAGAGGTAGACTTGGTTGTTGCAATGAGGATAGAAGTCTTGCCCTTGTCCTCGCCCTTAAGGCAGACGAAGACATTCTTGCTGCCAGGCAACCAAGCAGGCTCGCTAATGCTGTTCTCTTGCACTAGTAGAGTGCTCTCGTTGGACTTGATATCCAGGCTCCTCAACTCGACAGTCTTAGTGTGAGATTCGAAAGAGTACGTGCTCGTGGTGTAGAGAACCAAAGTGCCATCGGCATTGGGTACGCCTGCTGATCGGCGTGGTGCCGAGAGCAACACTTCTGGTGTGAATTTTTGAGCTCTAACTGTCATTGCGATGGTATTGTTTGAGGGGAAGTAGGAGATGTGTCAAACATCAAGGTAAGGTAGGTATATATGCAACGTGACTGCGCTAGGGTTTGGAGGCCCCGCACCTTCCTCTTTGGGTACGCATGTTGGTCCGTTTTCCCGTTGTGCCAAAGTCTACATGCCGTAAAACTAGTTAAGGACTACTTTAAAGAAGGAAGACAGTCATGACCGAGAGCCATTATCTCGACAACTTTCTTCGAACACAGCTCTGATTTCAGGTCATAACTTGTCACGCCAGATTATTATGGCAGGGTGACCCTGTCATCGAATAAGCTCGTAACGACAATACTCTGTCAAATGTCTATTTCGAAAAGCACACCCACAATGAGCAAGGGCGTATTAGCAAGGATTACTGGGTTGAAGATAACACCGAGGAGTAAGAATTGAATTGAGCTTGGAGAGATGCAGATAAATTGAGCAAGTCTCAGTGCAAGGTAATCCCCAAGCTCACTCGAACTACAACGCAGGCAACACATAAAAAGAGCAGGAACAACACGGGAGCAAAAGTATTAAAGAAAGCCAATGGCTTGTTTTCATCCGCTGCATGCAAGAGGGAACGAAAAGAAGCAAGTATATGTACAAGAAGAGAGTCGTGGCTATGACAAGACAAAAACCGCACCCCAAAAGAGAAAAAAAGAAGTCGGACGGACCTCGAGAAGGATGACAAAATGCTAAAGAGAAGCCCACAAGAAAAAGAAAACAAAAAGGGGAAGTACGAACCAACCCAATCGAAGAACAAAACAATGGGTATATTTTCAAGAGACAAGAAGGCAATATCAACGAGCATACCTCGCACTCAAACTCGCAAATGCATCAGGACTATGCGGCCTGTTGCCCATGCCCACAAAGTCTCTGCTTTCCTGACTGACATGCCTGACGCCAGGTCTAGCTTGCTGATCTTGTTGGGGTGCGGAGAAACCGGTGCCGAAGGGATTCATGCTGCCACTTCCCACTGGCATGGTGACACTTCTTTGCGGAGGCTGCTGGATTTGATATGGTACTTGGATCTGTTGCTGTTGTTGCTGGGGCATGACTGCAGGTGCCATGCCGTTTTCAGGAAGCGATTGAAGGGGTCTTGATGGCGCCAGTTGAGGTTGGTTGTAGAGCGCCATGATATCCGTCTTGCCATAGCGACCGGTAGGTTGTGGATATAGTTGTTGCTGTTGCTGAGGCATCTGCTGTTGAACGGACTGGTAGGATTGATAGGGTTCCGGCTGACTGGATTGAAGTATCTGGAAAGGATTGGAGTTTGGCTGAGGTGCCATGTTTGCGTAGGGGTTCGAGGTGTGTTGAGGAGCCAGCTGCTGAGGTTGTTGGTAGGGTTTTTGCTGTTGTTGTGGCTGCTGTAGTTGCTGCTGATATTGAGATTGTTGTTGTTGTTGTTGTTGTTGTTGTGGCTGTGCGGAGAAGAAGTCCTGTTGAGGCTGGTAGAACGACTGTGCTTGCGGTGTCTGGACTTGAGGCTGTGCGAGCCATGGGTTTTGTGGGGTGGCTGATAGTTGTATGCCAAATGGATTTGAGGGAGCGAATGTTTGAGATTGAGTTTTCCTCAAAAGGGGTTAGACTGTGGTTGAGGCTGTTGGTGCTGTTGTGTGTCCTGAGGGGGATATGTAGGGACCTGTAGAGGCTGTTGCATCTGCTGAGGCATGAACGGGTTGTTTTGGTACTGCTGAGGTTGTTGATTGGAAATCTGCATGGCCGAGAAANNGAGTTCTGGAGAGACTGCTGAGCCTGAGGCTGTGCTTGAGGTTGAAGAAAGGGGTTATAAGAAGGTTGCGGTGCTACAGTCGAGAGAGCGGGTTGAGTAAAGGCGCGGCNNGCGGAGGCTGTAGATCCAGCGCATCAAAGGGGTTCGTCGAAGAAGCGGCCTTTTCTGGTTGTGCCCTCTGTTTCTCGATGTAGATACCGTTTGCGTTGGAGCTGCTAGTGCTGCCTGACATGGGCGTCAGGGTACCCTGTGCCCCTGAAGTAGTATCGCCCAAGCGCACAAGCGTCTCAACTGCCTTGTCCAAGTTTCCATTAACATTCTTGAGAACCATCGAGTTGCGGCGTGTGTCCGGGAAGCCCATCTCTCTCAGCGAAGCCAATTTTGTGTCAAACGTTTCTTCCTCTTGATTTCCGACATTAGACCCAAACACTCGCGAAGGCTTGTTCATCTTTCCAATCGGCGGCGTCGAACGGCCATCCGAACCAGTCAAGGCGGGCGACAGTGGAGGAGTGAATCTCTGTTGAGTGGCCGACGATGAGCGGACTCCGAGCGAGAAACCAAACTTCTTTCCAGGCTTTGGTGGTAGAGGCGGTGGAACTCCTTCTGTCGAGCTAATACTGGCGCCACCAACCGTGTGACTCCTAGGTCTCGCGCCAACAAAGGCTTTGTGCTCGTACTTTTGGCGGATGAAGCGTTCCATAACGCCGCCGACCTCGTCAGCATCGGTGGGAATGTCGGGCCTGACGTTCTGTGGGTTGAAGGTGCGATTGGAGACGACGTTTCCTACGCGCTTCATGTTGTCGACCTGGTCGGGGGACCAGCTATCCATGCTCAGCGACTTGACTTTTGAGATGTGAGTGCCCATTTTGCGATGTATGGCGGCGCAGCTCATGCAGAGGAAGATTCCCANGCTGTTATTGTGATCAGAAAGGCTCAAAACAGGGACGCGACCAGGACTCACGCTCCAACTCGACCATGCTTGGACAATGTCAGCACGCAGTTTCCAGAAAGTGCCGTGTTTCTTCAGGCTTGCTCACCTGGNGTTCCTCGCAGCGCAGTCGGCGCACCTGTCGTTTCCGGGGACTTTCAACAGATCCTGCAGCATGCGCTCATTGCGAGCCTGCTGCCTCTTACTGACTGTACTAGCCATCTTGTCGTTGGTGACCACGTGCAGGAGCGGAAAGGGGTTGTTGAAAAGATTCTAAGCTGCGAAAGAGAGTATATGGGATGAGTAGAACGCTAAAGGCGGATGAATAATGCTGGATTGGTAGAGTCAAGTGGTCGGCATGGTTGCAGAATTGGTGAAGAAATAGAGAATATACTTGGTCTTGTACTGGCCGTGTAGAATGATCATGTTCATCTCGGGTCGGCGCTCTTCTCAGCCAGCCCCGGCTGCAACTTCCACCATCGCGTACCTGCCTATTCGATTCCATCACCCATTGTGCCCGAGAAAAGCAGCTTTTGTTGTTGAGGATATTTCGATATAATCCAACCTCTATAAAGAACAGTCTGTTCCACTGTTCAAATCATTGCAGACATAGTTCTTAGCAGTAGCAACGACCGGCGACCGCAATCGGAAATCTCCGTCCGGCGACTTTGAATTATACAGCGGTCTTGAGACTTTTGACCCTCGCCGTCGGCATATACAGCAAGAAGCAATGGTTCTGCACACGTTAGCACGCTCGAGAAGCGTATGGGCTCCTTCTGTGGTATCGCGCCTCAGCGTATGGTCCCTCCTTCGTTCAATACCACATACACTTACTTACCACGCTTTGCGCAGNGCGAGACAATTCCATGCCTCATTATCGAGGTCGCTCCACGAGGTGCCTAACCTAATCTACAAGGAAGAGTTTGAATCAAATGGAATCGCCGGTCTTATGACCAAGGAGTCATACGACATTGCATACAACCAGAACATGGCCTTCCTCGTCGATCGACTGAACAAGGCCACANNAAAGGTTGCTATACCGAAACCCACGCGACATGATAGTCCACCACTCTAACCCGTCCACTCTGAAGGCTCCGACCACGAGAACTCGACCACCAAGCAACTTGTCCTTTCCTTTGCCCGCAACCCTAGCATGGCCGCCGTCTTCTCCGCCGCCAGCATGGCCCACAACACGCATTTCTTCTTCGATTCGCTGTCGCCCTCCCTCGATACCAACCACCTCGACAACTACCCTCTCCTCAAAGAAGCCCTGATCAAGTCATTCGGCAGCATCGACACCCTCTGGAGGACAATGCTGACCACCGCAAACGCAATGACTGGTCCTGGTTTCGTCTGGCTGGTTCAGGCAAAGCAGCGCTCCACCTCGGCCGCTGGCAACACGTCCTCTCTGCCCGAATACAGAATCCTGACCACCTACAACGCCGGCACTCCATACCCCGAAGCCATCTACCGCCAACAAGGCGTTGACCAGAGCACGGCAACTGGATATAATGGCTCAGCTGGCTCCTTCGGTTCCACCTCTGCCCGTGGAAGAGACACACCCAAGCTTCCNCCGGGTACTGAGCTCATCACTCCTGCGCTCTGTGTCAGCACTTGGGAGCACTGCTACCTGCCCCAGTACGGCGTCGACGGAAAGGCAAAGTACCTGATCGAGTGGTGGAAGTCCATCAATTGGGGAGCTGTCGACAACAGAGTCGAGAAGAGACAGAAACTCGGCGACAACACCGGTTTCGACAAGGGCCCCAGTGTATAAAAGACTAGTTCGATTTCGTCTTCTTCAAAATGTAAAATAGCCATTTCCGTGTACGCATTGCCTGCTTGTAATCTCTTCTTTCAACATGCATCCCCCTGCGTGCTGTATCGTACATGTCATGAGTAGTTGTTTATTCCTCCATCTCATCGTCATCGCCTTCGAGTGCCTTCATGGCAAGGCGCTCTGCCTCCTCGAGCATTTCCTTCGGCACCTCCTCGTGTCTGCCTTTGGTAGGTCCGTCAACCTTGCTGATCCATGTCATCTCCAGCTCAAACTCCTTGTCCTTGCTGTCCTCGTGTGCCACGTAGATGATTCTTGCCGCCTCCTTGACACCCTCTTCCAGACTAATACCGCCCTGGTCGGGGGTGAGCTTCAGCTTCTCAAGTTCCGCCTTGGCTGCTTGTCTTCCCTTGCCAGTAGCTGCACCGTAGTATCCCCAGTACGATCCCGATGGTTCGATCATGTAGAGGTATGGGCCGCCCTCCTTTGCGTCGGGCACCTTGCCGCCACTGCCGCTTGATGGACCAGAACCGACTTGTGCGTCGACGGGCACTTCGAGCTCGGAATCCCAACCACCGATGATGGCGGTGATACCGAAAGGACGGACTGATGAGTAAAGAGTGTAGGCTTGGACGTATGAGCCCATGCGGTCGGCGAGGGAGGCGACGGGGATAGGTTGCTTGTAGAGAGAACGCCATGATGATGCCTCATCGCGGGCACGGCTGACAAAGTGGCGACCATCAGGGAGGAGACCAGTAGAGANCCTAGGGTTATTGTCAGCTAGGCAGGGTTGGTGTAGAATATGGACAGAACATACGACACCAATGTTGCGATCGACAGTGGCTATCCTCTTGTTTGCATCCTTCTTCAACAGCTTCGAAGTGACGAGCTTCTCCAGAGCCAGGACAACACCATCGCGACATCTGATACCGACGCAAGTGCCACCGTTCTCGACTGCCTTCATGGCATATTCGACNNCTAGATCGGTCGTCAGTTGATGCGATTCGCAGTGGGTAAGAGTTGATGAGTTCACCTGGAAGTTGCGTCCATCAGGAGAGAAGACCGAGTTGGAAAGATCGTAGCCCGTTCCTATCGAAGTCTTGAGATGAATGTTAGCGACGAAGTGTGATGCGCCAACATGAAGCGGCGTTTACTGACCATGGTTGCGGTTGATGACGGTGTGAAAAGGAAGGCGAGGTGCGGTAGCGTAGAGAAGAGGCGAAGACTCAACAGAGGCTGAATCAGATGAGTGAGTGAAAGGGACACGAAAGGTTCAGATGCGCAGATGCAAAGATTGGGTGTATGGCTATTCAGTCTGTGATGTATCGACGCAGCTCTCCCGGTCCGCCATCAACGAGCTCCATCCACGGCGGTAGACGCATGCCAAGCGCCGACCTCCGTCACCCTGTCATCCTGTGTCTCCATGAAGATCGGCCATTTCTCCTATGAGATTCTGACAAGATACAAGTCGGCATGTCTCTTTCTCCCTTTGCTACGAAAAAGTCACTGGACTCATACAAGTAGACTTCTCAGATGCGAATGGTCAAATGTCTCTCTGCTTCCACTGCTTCTGTCCAACGATGAGCCATGTGACATGGATAAGCCTCGTTGTTGATGACGATGCTCCTGCCGTTTCCGCCCACCAACTTTTCCAACCCCGCCCTCTCCCACCATGTCTCCTCTATAACACTGCATTTCTCTGCCAGTATTTTTCGACTTGACCATTGTAGACAGCATCCCTCTCTGTGTCCGTTCGCTCTGCGACTATACTCCTGATAGTCGGATTGCTCATTTACCCCGCCGCCCCTTGGACACCGCTTGTTTCCCCTCCATATTAGCCTTCTCCTAGGTGGAGCACGGTTGGGCAGAGACACATCAGGTTGGAGCAATACCAGTCCGTTTTCTCCCACACCGCAATCTCGACCTTTTTCTTTCTTCATTCCACATCTGTCTCTTTGTCTCACGCATCTTTCGAGCCTCTCACGCACCTTCCGCATCTCCTTCCGTGCATTCCGCTTCTGCCTGAATAATATCTCTCGTCGAACACGTCAAACGAAGGCCTTCTCTCAACAGAGACAGCCGACTGACACTCTGTTCAGGGCACGTATCAGCTACAGATTGACGACTATATCAACATCACCACCATGTCGCAGTATCAACAAGACGAGTTGGCCAGGCTCTTTGCCCACAACATGAGCCTGAACCAAACATTGCCCCAGTCTACACCAGACCAGCAATTCCTGGGCCACACTGCACAGCCCATCTACTATAGTTCTCAGCACTACACTCCCATGAGCTACATGCACGTCTCAGCAGCGTCAGAGCAACACCAAGCAGCAGCCCAACGGGCCGACTCTCCGCTGAGTGGCAGTCCNCCCGACAGCAACAACATCACACCCATCCATCTAGCTTCGATGCTGCGCAACCACGACATCGATCCTACCTCGCTGAGCAATTCGCAAGTCAAGCTTTTCACCAACGCCGACTACGAACAGCGACTACGCTTGCTTGAACTCTGGCGCATCTCTCCNCCACAGTCTTCTCACCACTGGCAGCAAGAGACGAGCTTGGTACACGAAGAGCAGTTGGCAGCATTACGTTATGAGGAGCGTATGCGTGCTCAGGTGGATGAAGCACAGGCAGAGCCCTACATGGAGTCTGGCTATGCCCACTCGNNAGCGCGCAGCGAGCCTGTATATGCCTCTTGTTCCGGCGGGTTGTGGCGCTCACAGGTTGAGCAGCACGATCGCTCGAAGGAGATGGAGGATGCACATGCTTCATGGGCACAGGCACGCAACTTTGAGCAGCTACAGGCCATGAATGCCCAGGTCGAACAGCAGCGTGACTTTGTCTCGCACGATGACGATATGGAGTTGTAGAGGATTCAGTGTTACATCTGGAGAGGTTCCGGTTCAGCATAACAGAGTGGGGACTAATAACGGAGGAATGGCCGCGACAGCATCATTAGGCGCATAGGAGTTTATGGAAGATCATAGTGTGACATTTACATACCTTTCATCGAGAGGTGAGCATAATGGGACGAATCATAACTCTAATTGTATCTGTAATTGTATCTGTAATTCTATCTCGCCTTCGCTCTATGTCTACTTCTTCTCGGGGACCTCTTTAGCAGCCTCGCCGTCGGTCTTTCCACCCAACTTCTGCTCAACCTCCTCAGCCCGTCGTTCAGGGAAATCGCTATCCTCGATTGCCGCCCTGCCCTTTTCACTCTCACCCAACCCACCTCCATTTCGCTCCGTCTCCTTCCACTCCACCAACTCCAAATCATCACCTTGCTCCGTATCCTTGAATTCAAAGATGCGGTAATCAGCATTAGCATACTTGCAAAGACTGATTGCACATCTCAAGAAGCCCGAATGCGAGACCACGGCGATGACCTTTTCTTTGCGCGAGTGCAGGTCGCGGAGGCAGGATTGACCACGCGCGATGGTTGCGGTGCGGGTGAAGGCATAAGGGCCGGTTTTGGAGGGCCAGAGAGGGTCGACGGTCGAGTAGTCAAAGTGTGGGAACGTGGGTTTCATGTCTGGGAGGGGCTGCCTGTGTCGCAGGGCTTGTCCGAGTTTTCTGTGAGAGTATAGGGTTAGTCTGAGCATTTCTATGAACGTGTTGTTGTAATGCTGTTTAGTTTGTAGAATATGAGTAGTGACTCCACGATTAGAGGTATGTTGAAGTGCAGTCGATGTAGTGATCCATGGAGTATTTTGGGATCAGAAAAGCTCCATGAACAAGACCGCGTAGGTCAAATGCAATCTGCATTGCGACAGTACACTATTGCGAAGTTCGGTCCTGATAAGATTAAATCAAAGTCCCAGAAGTCATGGACTGGAGATGACGCAATAAGTCTTAGGCAGCTGACTCGCAGGAAAACAGAGAACCGTTGGAGAATTCCAGGAGACGACCAAGGGCAGTTTCCATTGCTTGGTCGACAAGAGAACGTATTGATGTATAGCAAGAGAGATCGACATGTAAGGCAGACGAATGCCGAGCGACATCAATGCATTATGAATGCCCAAAAATAAGTCAACGGTCAACGGTGTGCTGCGCCCTGCATCGGCTCTCGTGTATAGTCTGGAAACGGCTATACAGTTCCTTTGAGGTCCACGAGTCGTGTATTGGTTGAGCAGAAATGAAAATGATAGTTTACCTTGCCAGAGAGCATTAGCTTCTACAGGGACGCCCCTTTCGATAAGCCAGTCAAGGCCCAGAGTGGTGGTTTCCAAGGTACGTCGCATAGGACTAGTGATTATACGCTCGACCTTGTCGGCGAGCGGCAGATGCTGACGAAGGTGCTGCTCGAGCGCGCGGCATTGCTGCTGGCCCAGCTCTGTGAGCGCCGGGTCGGGGATGTCATATTCTTGTGCAGGACGCGTCAGGCATGGTGTTCTTAGGAAGCCTCGGCGGTGAAGGATATCACTTATGATTGACGTTGTGCAGTGCTTGACCATGTCTGATCAGAATGACGGTGGGAGGCATTGCTTTTATCAGGCAGTCTGCTAGACGGAATGAATAGACTTGTAGAAGTGAGAAGACAACAGCGCTTTTGAGGGAGATGGTGGTAAAGCGGAAGACAAGAGCGGACACAACTTCGAGCTTTTTCACCGCGGGCCCAACCTAAAGCTCCGCCGACTCCCAGCCGCCGCTTGACAGGCGTTTTTACTTTTCTCCAAAAGGTGACGACGAGATGCAGCTTACGAACGGTAAAGAGGCTCAGCTGGCCAATGCTTTGAGGTCGAAAGATGTTTGCAAGCACAACAGGCGCCGATAAGATAGGTGCTAGCAGGGCGTGTCGAGTGCAGCTAGTCCTTCTCGGTGCTTCTGGTCAATCAGAGGGCGCAGCGGACGACATCTGGAGGAAGCTATTTTGAGCACCTGGGGAGCTCTTGGCTTGTGGCGGGTTCAGCCAGTGGCACCATCGGGATGGCGACGGTATTTATATGCAGGAACACGAGAGTCACAGGCCAGTGGAGAGGCCTGTAGATGAAGGCAGAAGGTACCGAGTACCATGTACGATGAGCAGTGCAAGGAATGGTGGCAGCTAGTCAGGCGGGCAGAAACAGGGGAGTCGTCGAATTGGCTGTTGAGTCTGAAACATGTCGGGGACATCAACAGATTGCCTGAGAAACAGCAGCTCTGGGGTGTGTTTGGGGCCGTGCATTTATAAGAGCTCGTTGCTTGCCCCTTCCGCCGTCTCCCATTCTCTCCCTCTGCTCCTCAACGCCATTGATTTTCCAAACATCTCTCTATTTCGCTTCTCCTTAATAGTTCCTGCAACTGTCAGGTTTACCATCAGTCCGAAGATTGCGACCAATCTGCTTTGTGTTCCGCATTTAGCTTTTGAGCAAAGCCCGTTCACTATTTACACGGCATCATGTGGTAAGTAAAGAGCTCAGCGGCCGCAACAACAACGCCGGAGAAGATGTAGAAGGGCATGCTGACATGGGCAACAGTGGCATTTTCGGCTACATCAACTACTTGGTGGAGAAGGACAGAAAGACGATTCTTGACACGCTTGTGAACGGTATGCTCTCACGCGACCCTGAGCTCTGATCAGAGCCGCAGCAAGCGCAACCAGCTTACACAGGNGCAGGTCTTGCGCGTCTCGAATACCGTGGATACGACTCAGCTGGTCTGGCGATCGACGGAGACAAGAGAAATGAAGTGTTTGCTTTCAAGGAGGTCGGCAAGGTCGCCAAGCTGAAGCAGCTCATCGAGGAAGAGAAGCCCGACCTCACAAAGGTCTTTGACGCACACGCCGGTATTGCCCACACCCGTTGGGCCACCCACGGTCCTCCTTCGCGTGTCAACTGCCACCCTCACAGGTATGCGCCAAAGAAAGAGCTGCGGCAGAAACACACCCAAGTCTGACACAAGTTTGCATTNAGATCCGACCCCAAGTGGGAGTTCGCCGTCGTTCACAATGGTATCATCACCAACTACAAGGAGCTGAGAGCTCTGCTCGAGACCAAGGGCTTCAGATTCGAGACTGAGACCGATACCGAGGCCATCGCCAAGCTGGCCAAGTACATCTTCGACGAGCACCCCAACATCGACTTCACTACTCTCGTAAAGGCTGTCATCAAGGAGCTGCAGGGTGCCTTCGGTCTCCTGCTCAAGTCCATCCACTTCCCCACTGAGGTTGTTGCTGCTCGCAAGGGTTCTCCCCTGGTCATCGGTGTTCGCACACAGAGAAAGATGAAGGTTGACTTTGTTGATGTTGAGTTTGGCGATGCTGGCCCTCTCCCTGCCGAAGCTGCTTCGCAGAACGTCGCCCTTAAGAAGGCCAACAACCTCCTGGCTCCTCCTGACAAGAGCCTGCTTCACCGCTCTCAGTCTCGCGCTTTCTTCTCCGAGGACGGTGCTCCTCAACCCATTGAGTTCTTCCTGTCCTCCGACCCTTCGGCCATTGTCGAGCACACCAAGAAGGTTCTCTACCTCGAGGACGACGATATTGCCCACATCCATGACGGTCAGCTGAACATTCACCGTCTGTCCAAGGACTCTGGCGCTTCCAACGTCCGTGCCATTCAGACCATCGAGATTGAGCTCCAGGAGATCATGAAGGGCCGTTACGACCACTTCATGCAGAAGGAGATTTTCGAGCAGCCCGAATCCATTGTCAACGCCATGCGTGGTCGCCTCAACCTTGAGGACAAGACCATCACCCTGGGTGGTCTCAAGCAGTACATCACCACCATCCGCCGCTGCCGCAGAATCATCTTCATTGCTTGCGGTACTTCGTACCACTCGTGTATGGCTGTTCGTGGTATCTTCGAGGAGCTGACTGAGATCCCCATCTCCGTCGAATTGGCTTCCGACTTCCTCGACAGACAGGCTCCTGTCTTCCGTGACGACACTTGCGTCTTCGTTTCCCAATCTGGTGAGACCGCTGATTCTCTTATGGCTCTCCGCCACTGTCTCGAGCGTGGTGCCTTGACTGTCGGTATTGTCAACGTTGTCGGTTCTTCCATTTCCATGATGACCCACTGTGGTGTCCACATCAACGCTGGCCCTGAGATCGGTGTCGCATCGACCAAGGCCTACACCTCTCAATTCGTCTGCATGGTTATGTTCGCTCTGTCGCTCAGTGAAGACCGTGCATCCAAGCAGGCCAGAAGAGAGGCTATCATGGAGGGTCTCGGCAAGATTTCCGAGCAGTTCAAGGAGATCCTCCAGCAGGACCAGGACATCAAGAACCTGTGCCTCAAGTTCAAGAACCAGAAGTCCCTGCTCCTCCTCGGTCGTGGTGCTCAGCACGCCACTGCTCTCGAAGGTGCCTTGAAGATCAAGGAAATCTCGTACCTTCACTGCGAGGCTGTCATGTCCGGTGAGCTCAAGCACGGTGTGCTTGCTCTGGTTGATGAGTCTCTACCCATTGTCATGATTCTCACCCGTGACAGCCTGTTCGCCAAGTCCCTCAACGCATACCAGCAGGTCATTGCTCGCAAGGGTCGTCCTATTGTCATTTGCAGCAAGGACGACAGCGAGTTCCCTGGTGACAAGACCGACAAGATCGAGGTGCCCCAGACCATTGACGTTCTGCAAGGTCTGCTCAATGTCATTCCTCTCCAGCTCATGGCCTACTGGCTTGCCGTTGCTGAGGGTTTGAACGTCGACTTTCCCAGAAACTTGGCCAAGAGTGTCACTGTCGAGTAGATGTCGAAGTAACGACGATCTCTCTTTGTCAAGATTCAGCAGAGAGTCCTTTTTCATTTTTATTCAATTGCATGGGAGCTCTTGGTCATTACGAGGATATGGGGAGTTGGGAAATAACCAGGTACACAGGGGTTGTGGGGATCTTTGAAAGTCTGTCTGTCTCTTTGCTCTCGGGTGTTTACTAGAGACTTCATTGAAAAAGCATTTTATATCACCAATTCTCGAGTGCAAGTACTCGCAAAATTGAGAAATCCAGCGATATAGACTAAATCGTCTCCCGTGGTACGAAAAGGTCATCGGAGGATCGAAGAATGTCGTTATCAGATCTCGGATGGCATCTCCGGCTAGAGTTGATACCATCGACGTCACACGTGGAGCCGTGAAGGACCGCTTGGATATATATCCATCCGGTCTTCTATTTCTTTTCACATCTCAAGGAACTATTGCATCAAGTTCATTCTGACAAACTCAATCAAAATGGTCAACATCTTCATTACTGGAGCCACTGGCTACATTGGCGGCGACACTCTATATGAGCTTTACAACAAGCATCCCGAGTACTCATACACGGCTTTGGTTCGCACACCCGAGAAGGGCAAGTCTGTCACAGACAAGTTCCCCAAGGTCAAGACCGTACAAGGAGACAATGATAGCAGCGACTTGCTAAAGGAGGAAGCCTCCAAGGCAGATATTGTCATCCGTGAGTCTTGACTTCTGTTACTCTATACTGGTGACCAAAACACTAACAGTATGACAGACACCGCGGATGCCTCTGACCATGAGGGAGCCGCAAAGGCTATTGCTGAGGGTCTTGCCTCTGGTCACAGCGCGTCAAAGCCAGGCTACTGGCTACACACCGGTGGAACTGGTATCCTGACCTACTTCGATTCATCAGCGGACAAGCTTGGTGAACACACCGACAAAGTCTTCGACGATCTGGATGGTGTGGACGAGCTGATCGATCTTCCCAAAGAAGCCTTCCACAAGAACGTCGACGAGATTGTCATCAATGCCGGCACAAACGCATCTGGTGTGGTCAAGACGGCCATCGTCTGCCCTCCCACTATCTACGGTGATGGTAGAGGACCCTCTCTTACTCGCGGCCGCCAGGTATACGAACTCGCAAAGACTGTGCTGGATATCCAGGCCGCGCCTCTCATTGGCGGCGGCAAGGCAATGTGGAACAATGTGCATGTCCACGATCTAGCTCGCGCCTTTGTCCTCCTGGTCGAGGAAGCAGCAAAGAACAACACTGACTCCAAGCTCTGGGGCAAGAACGGCTACTACTTTACCGAGAACGGCGAGCACGTCTGGGGAGACTTGAGCAAGGTTATTGCCGAGAGTGCTAAGCAGCAGGGTCTGCTCAAGGAAGTCAAGTCGGAGCAGATGGATATGGAGACTGCAAAGAAGACTGCTGGGTTCGAGGCCGTCAGCTGGGGCTGGAACTCCAGAGGCAAGGCTAGAAGGTTCAAGGAGGTGTTGGGCTGGAAGCCTCAGGAGAGGAGCATTGAGGATGAGGTGCCAACGATCGTCAAGAACGAGCACGGGAGAATGCAGCAGAAGAAGAAGTAAAATGGCCTATAATATTTGTTAGGTCGCATATGGATGTATGACATTTAATATAGAACTGTTGACGATCTGGGTCGTGTCAAGTCCTTGATTTCGGCCAATGATTCTCAAAGAGGCGTAAAAGTAGTGTGAAAGCGTAAAAAGGGCCAGGAGGCCGTCTGGTTTGAAAGTAGAGTACAATCGTGGTATGCCGATACAAGTGTTCCCCCAAGATAATAACGCCGATTTTGTGCAGATTGATGTCCAAGGAAAGCAGGAGGCAGACACCTAGTTCTTGGGCCACTTCTTCCAGCCTCTTCCGTGACCTCTCTCCTTCCAGTGACGGATCATCTCGGGCATGGCAACCATGGCCTTCTCGCGCTGGTCCAATCTGCCCTTGAGTGTGCGCTCCCACATTTTTCCCTTGACCTTCTGGCCAACACCGGTACCCTTGACGCGGAGACCGTGTTCTGCGCGGCGACGAGCAACCTCCTCGGGCAGTTTGTGCGTGTATGGTAGCAACGAGACAACGTTGTGCTTGATGGCCAGCTTGATGATTTCGGATTGCTTGCGGAGAGAGAAAGAGGCGGGCTGCCACCTTTGGGTGATGGGGTTCTTGAAGGGCATGAAGGGGTTTTCGGGTTGTAGCAATGACTCCGAGAGGGTGTTTTCCGAGACCGAAGTAGGAGTGTTTGCATTTGCGTCGGCCGAGGAAGTGTTGGCGGCGATGGTGGTAGATTGGGAAAGAGCGGCTGGAGGATAGCGCTTGAAGAAGTTGAGGAGTCGCGGGGGCAGCGACTGTGCGAGCCGCACATGCTCTGGGTTGATTGTCGCCATAGTGATTGTGTCGGGGTCTGTTCTCTGACCTCGTCGGCGCGACAGAGCGATTCAATGTTTCGATGGAGAATCCAAGCGGCACTTGCCGTTCTCCTCCGGGGCCGCAAGCTCACCTCCCAAGGCGGCGTCGGCGTCATGCAGCCGGGGAGAGTCGCACCTGCCCAGCTACAGCTTGACAGTAACCATCTAGTCCAACCACCCATACAACTCTGCTCTTCTGCCTTTGTCACTTTGCAGGTCGCGCCTTCCCTGTCTCTGTCGACCTTCTATCCAACACCGCTCCCGTTCCTGATCGCCATCTAATCCTCTCGTCACAATCATGGTGAGTGCACGCATACCTCTGTACCTTGAATACAACCAGCTAACCATCATCTAGTCTAACCCCTTCTCAATAAGTCCGTCAAATCTTTGTCGTCACTCGGCCATCTCCCACTGACAAGCTCGATAGACGGTGGTGCCTGTGTTGCCATGGTTGGCAAGGACTGTGTCGCCATCGCCTGCGATCTCCGCCTCGGTCTCCAAGCTCTGACTGTCTCCAACAACTTCCCCAAGATCTTCAACTACGGCGACGTATACCTCGGTCTGACTGGTCTCGCCACCGATGTCCAGACTGTCAGCGAGCTGTTCCGCTACAAGGTCAACATGTACCGCCTGCGCGAGGAGCGCCAGATCTCGCCTCAGACCATGGCCAACTTGGTATCATCTTCCCTATACGAGAAGCGCTTTGGCCCATACTTTATCAGTCCCGTCATTGCCGGCATCAACCACACTACCGGAAAGCCCTTCATCTGCGGCTTCGACAGCATCGGCTGTATCGACTTTGCGAAGGATTTCATCGTTAGCGGAACTGCCAGCGACCAGCTTTTCGGTACTTGCGAGGGCTTGTGGGAACCCGATNNCTTGTATGACCTGTTATCAATATGCCTCTACAACAATTCTGTATACTGACCTGCATACCAGGGCCCTGAGGACCTCTTCGAAACAATCTCACAAGCTCTGCTCAACGCCGTAGACCGCGACGCTCTTTCGGGTTGGGGAGCACACGTCTACATCATCGAGAAGGACAAGGTCACCAAGAGACTGCTCAAGGGCAGACAGGATTAGACAAGATCGGACCAGGCGCAAATTAGACCGCGGACGACAATCGTACGTATTCTGTACAACACGAAGGAGGGCATAGGCATTGCGGACGGCGCTCAGGAGTTGAAAGGCCGCCATCACATGTGCGGCTGTCACGTTACGTCTTTCTTAGGTTTTCATCATGAAATTTACGGCCCAAACCATGGCTTCTCAACCTTTTCTCACCAACATACTCCCGTCCTCTTGTTCTCCCTCGCTTCGCTCACCTCTACTACCTTTGGTTCTGATCTATTGGGAAGTCGTTCGGTTAATCAGCGTGGATGCGGCGTTCTCTACCAACTGTTGGGACAATCACACTTCCTTAGGAATATGCCACTAACAACCTTAGCTACGACCGTCCATCACCTGTCTATGCCGACTCAACCGCCCGGTCTGACTTGACTCGTTTCCAGTGATACTGGCCCGACTGAAGCACTGTTAATGAGGTAAGTGTGGTATTCACACCCGGCGGCTAACCTGCCAGCGCTTATATGGACTCTCTTACTTCCACTTTCCGCTTCCGTTACAATCAAGCTTTTAACAAGCAACAACAATCGTTGGTGGCACCATTCGCGTACTACTGTTGGTTGCGGCTGCAACGCATCAATGCCTGTGTGGAGTTCCAGCGAGGGTACAGACCCAGACTCCACGTCAGTCGCTACAGTACATGCTGTCAACTCTTGCACTACCAATGCATTGTCGATACATTTTCCTTGTATCGCCTCCCCTGCGTTGTAGATCTAGCCGCTTTCGTCGGTTATTGCAACGATCGAGTGCAGCATGCTGTACTGCTCAGCTTGACTCGCAAGCCAGGGTTGGGTCAGCCCCTCTGCTTCTCTATATGTTAGCACAGGTGAGCTACCTTCCGTATTCAGCGCTCAGGTGACTGATCTTGCATGCTGCCATGCCATCACTCATCGATATGGCGTTCAGCCTTCCTGCCCGTTGTGCATATACGCCTATCTTGTCACTCAAGGCGTAGCCCGACTGGACGGCCGTGCCACTCGAGAACAATCACTACTGCCTCCTTGAACACTCGCCTTGCCTGGAGCACTTCGGGAGAATTACTCTCCGGTGCACTTGACCAATTCCCGCTCTTTCATCAAGCTTTTGGGGAATCCAACACATGCCATGCTAACCCACCCCACCCAACAACCAACACAGCAATTATGCTCCCCTTGGCGAGTGCCGAATGACATAGAGGGTGTCCTCTATCGTGCTTGATGCTGTGAACTCTATCATGCAACTGGAGAAAGGGACTATGGGATAGCTGGATTGAACTATCCTGCCAACAGCGAGTTGCTCTGTTGTGGTTGGTGCGAAGTCTCCGATGCAACATTCTTCTTACAGGTATCGAGACCTTATGTTCAATGTCCATGGCGATGATTTATAGGTGCTCCTTTCCTCGTCTTGCATCCTCCTGTACAACAAAGGCACTCCGCTCAAGGACAACAGTCACTTCTAAGCAATACCATTCGAATTTTGCAACATGAATACACCAAGCACTCTGGCTCAGACTGCTTCTCAGTCGAAACCACCGTAAGCATGACCTTACTCAGACTGACTCTCGTGTCTTACAGACAAGACTGACGAGACACAGTCGCATTGTCACTGCTGTGCAGACCAGACTCGCATACGATGTTGAAATGCTGAGCCCGCCATCTCTGAAGAACGTCACAGAGGGGCTTCGCAACAACAGCATATCCATGGTACGCTGTTACGAGCGCAACAGTGACTTTCACTTCGAGTTGCAAGAGCGAATCCACGTCACTATCCCTGACGGAGGGGATCCAACTTGTTCGACTTGCCCAACCAACGAACGTCGCGCTTGTCGACACATCTGGTGGGTGGATGATCAGATTCTGAGCACTGCTGTGCCACCTGAAGCCAGATCTCGCTTCAAGTACCAAATCTCTCGTAACGGGGAGGCTGTCCGTGAGGCTGAGGCTGAGGATGGGGAGACTCTGATCTTCCACAGTTGGTTGCAAGAGAAGGGTCTTGGAAACCTAGCTCGGCGTGCAGGTTGGTGGAAGCAAGACCCTATGGATCAACAAGATACCAGATTGGTTGAGCAAACCGCTACCCATATCTTATCGGCTTTTGAGCCTTGCGGAGTGCTTTCCAAACAGCATGGTCAGGACAACTTTGAGATATTGCAGCAGGAGTCACAGTGAGTCTGATCTCTTCTTCTGCACTACCAATTCCTGTAGTGTGTTCTGATTGTGTTTCAGNNAGCACTCTTTGCACGATACAAGAACGAAATGATAAAGCAGGTCAAGTCACATCCATTCCTGCTCATCGCTCTGGGAGCAGCTGTTCCTGAAGCCGAGCGAGACCTCTTGCATCTCACAAAGATCCACAGTCGTATCGAACGAATCTTCTTTGACTTTGGATACTGGATGGCAATGCGCACGCCTAGCGATGGCAACCTCGATGCCACCGCTGAAGCCCTGCGCGTCGAGATTGACCGCATGCGTTCTTTCATCATGAACCATGGTCAGAAGAAGATGTCCATCCCTCTCCAAACCAGAATTGCTGGAATCTTGCTGTACACTCTGGAGCAGTTGGTCCAATATGCCGGAGATATCCAGACTAACGCTGCTGTATCCATTCCGCAATACTCTGGTCTGAGTCTCCAGGACAGAAGTTTGCTCCACAAGATGATCGATCGCAACTCCCCAATCGTCTTTGTGCTGCCCGTGCTCGACCTTCTTGATTCGAAAGTCCTGTACGGTGACATGATTCAGGAAAGGGTCGAAGTCCTGGCAAACGGACTAAGAGAGGGTGAAGAACCCTGCCCGGCAGAATACATCCGGTTGTTGGAACGTGTTGTTGGACTTGTCGAGTGAAGAAATGAGAGTGTTCGATGTTTGCACACACTTTTTCTCTTTCTTTATCTCGTATCTCCAGTCCCTGATATCTCTTTGCAGGCGTCGGAAGTTGTTTGGTCACCTCAACCTAATGCCCTAGTTCTTTTTTCTTTAGACTATGATAGGTCCACGACCTTGCAATATCAGTTCGCTTCGTTGATTGAGTTCGCCAGAATTACCGTGTTGTACGGTCAAGATCACATGTACCTCGTCCTTATCGAGACGGCGGTGCTCCAGATCCGTCAAGCTGTTGCTTTCGTGCTTTCAGATCCTTAAGGGTCTTGATGTCCTCGTAGCCTTTGGGCATTATCTGGTCCCAGTCAGGGCTGGGCGGAATATAGCAGCTTTGACACAGGTAGCTCTCATCGACCAAATTCTTGAACCACAAGCGTCTGCCACCATACTTTGTCCACTCACAACCAGCGCAGTAATGTCCAGTGTTTTGGTCGTAGAGAACAGGACGATGCGACTTCCACGGCAGCTCGTCGCGCACCCAGGCATGTTTAAAGAACCACTGCTTCAGAATCTGGCCTCTGCGATAGCGCTCAATCCGATGACGTCTCGCGTGGTGCTCTGAAATTTTCGCGTGGTACCTCTCTGGATCGGTGAGAAGTTTTGGTTGCAAGTACTTTACATAGGCGGCATGCGCGCGTTGTTTGTAGGCTTCTGGGCCCTCGTAACGCCGCTTTTCACGGTGTACCCTTGAGCGCTCCCGCGCTTTCTCGATTGTTTCGGGAGTCTTGCGTGCGTTGTAGCGTGGGTTCTGGGGTTCCCGCTTTTCCTTGATTGTCATTGGGGTGTGGCATGCGTGGTAAAGAGAAAAGCATCGTGTGATTGATGGTGGTGTCCAGAGTGATGGCTTCACCAGGCCGATGGACCTCCATATGATAGAAATCATGTTTGCATAGACGGTACCAGTGACAAGGAACGCTTGAATCTGGTTTTGAACCTGATTTGAATTTGTTGATATCCCGTAAGATGTAAAGTCCAAGTGTGCACGTGTTTCCCAGACCAGAGGAGCGGCAGACGTGCTTTTTGTTTGCATTTATTTATTTATTTGCCGTGCCAAGACAAGATTTGGGCGGGCGTCATTCGCTTGTGGCCTTGCTGCAGCAACTTTTGAGTCACCGACAAGTACACCCTCTGTTCACCTGTCCGCCGCCTGTACACTACACGAAACGCATTCTTTGGACTACATAGACACCGCAATCATGGCTGATATTGTCAGTGCCCCCTGAGCGCGCATCCAGAAGATAGGAGAAAGAACAGTGGCTGACTGCAGTCAAATACAGGAAGAGCGCAAGCCGCGCAAGTCGGTTGCCTTCAGCGAGGGCACCACCATCGTCGACAGCAACGGCCAGGTCACCGAGGCCACCGAGCAACATGGCGACAAGTCGAGCGCCGAGACTCACTCTGCTGGTACGAACAAGAAGCTCCCCGCAGCCAAACAAGCACAAGATGAGGACACCAGCTCACCACCCGCGACAGCCACAGAAGGAGGAGTCGATGAGATGACCGCCATGTTCGAGGGCCTCGCCAAGAAGAAGAAGAAGTCGTCATCCAAGAAGGAAAAGTCGGCCGACGACGCAGAGGCTCCCGCCGCCGACGCCGAATTTGACCCCTCGGCCCTCAAGAAGAAGAAGAAGAAGGCCAAGAAGACCGAGGCCGATGACTTTGAGGCCAAGCTGGCCGAGGCCGGCGCCAACGAAGAGGCCAACGACGACGAGCCCGTCGTACAACAATCCACCAGCCAGGAGGGCGATCTGGAAAAGGGAACCGGCATCTGGCAGCACAGCAACACCACACCCATCGAGTATCCCCTGCTGCTCACCCGCTTCTTCTCCCAACTCAACCACCACAACCCCGACCTTGCCTCTAGCGGCGGCAAGTCGTACAAGATCCCTCCTCCCCAGTGCTTGCGCGAAGGAAACAAGAAGACCATTTTCGCAAACATTTCCGAAATCTGTCGCCGTATGAAGAGAACCGACGAGCACGTCACCCAGTTCCTCTTCTCTGAGTTGGGTACTTCTGGTTCCGTCGCCGGTCAGGGTCAACTTGTCATCAAGGGTCGTTTCCAGCAGAAGCAGTTGGAGAACGTTTTGAGAAGATATATTGGTGCGTTTCTATCCCCTTTCTCCATTCAGCCTATCATGTTTTGTGCATTTCTGTTATCTACTACAAAAAGGACATCCAAGAAGCTAACAAACACCAAACANGTCGAATACGTTACTTGCAAGACCTGCCGCTCGCCAGACACGGAGCTCAACAAGGGTGAGAACCGTCTCTACTTCGTCACCTGCAACTCGTGCGGTTCCAGACGTTCCGTCTCTGCCATCAAGACCGGTTTCTCGGCCCAGATCGGCAAGCGCAGAAGACAGCAAGCTTAAGCGGAAGAAAAGAAAAATCACGTCCTTCATGCCCTTTTTTCTTCTTTTGCATCGTTTTTACCTCAAAAGATTTTCTTTACCCTACTCTTTTTCCATCATCTCAATGGTAGCGCAATGCGGAAGTGAATCCTCAACTTGTCCAGCTGGGAAATGTTGGTGCGGCGCTTGACTTCATTGTCAAACTCGTCTTCCAAGAAGCTGCCCTGCGGGTCTGCATCAACGACGGCGGGCCAGCGTGTGGGGATGTCGGAAGTCTTGACGGGGAGTTGTATCAGAGTAGGGGCGCACTCGTCCTCGAAGCCGTTTTCGCGTAGAATGACACACAGGTCGCGCTGGAAGGGACGACAATTGTAATGAAAAGTCGTAAACAGTTCATCTTCGTTGAGTCGGTGTTGCAGGAAGCAAGTGATGCAGTAGTGTGCCAGCGTTTTGGTAATGTCATTTTCGTTTGGCAGGTGCTCGTATGCGTATGCCAGTGCTTTGCACAAGTCTTTTGGTGGGCCTGGGTAGCTGGTTGAGAGTTCCAATTCTAGGAATATTCGTGCTTTGACCATTGTCTTTAGACTGCTGATGTCGTAGGTGGAGGCTAGATGAAAGATCTCAATGTGTAGCAGTGCAGACATCTGGTCATGAACACAATCGCCTGGTACGTAGTGTTCCATCGTGTAGATGTGTCGGAGCATGCACAATACCGCTGTCAACGATACATCTTGAATCGAGTACTTTGGTCCGTTCCTGGACTCCTCGAAGCTGAAAGCTAAGACTGGTGCTATCAGTTCTATCGTTGTGAGATTCATGTCCTTGAGCACTGTGGTCTTTTGTGTGTACGGATCTTTTATTGTCAGAGTGGCATCGCCACCCTCGGCATGCAGAGCAAGGAAGGACATGTCGTCCATTGTTTTTGTTTCCTTGCCCTTCTGTAACGCAGGCAATGGCGGGTCAGCGATATAACTGTCGACCGCGTCTGGAATAACATAACGTTGCTCCCCAATATGAGATGGCAACCCTGTACCCTCACGCTCGATGCGTGCTTGCCTTAAGCGTTCATATTCGGCATCATCTTTCTCGTTCTCGAAGCGGTCCCTTATGAAGGCGGTGTCCCTGTCTGGGATGCGGTCTAACGATGCTACCAAACGATGGCGTGAGGAGTGGGTAAGGCGTATGTTTTCCGCGATGGCATTATATCGTTGGTCTTCGAGACGCTCTCGTGCGAGGACGCTCTCCCGCGAGTGTGGATCGTTGTCTCTTAGAGCAGCCTGATGCTCGATGATTGATGCCTGGTAGTCTCGTACAGAGGAAGTCGGTTCTAGCTGAGTTTCGAGGCGCCGTCGCCGAGAGCGTTCAANGGAGTCAGCATAACGACCCCAGTCGAAGTCACTTCTTGGGACATTCGATTGTTGTAGTAGGGTGTCAGGCGGGGNAGGAAATTTGGGCTCCTCGTTGGAAGGATCTTCATCTTTCCAGACCTGCAGTCTGGCGTCCAGCTCGAGGAGGGCGTCTGCGCTGGTCAATTGACGCAGGAACTCTCTGGTAGGTGAGCCAGGCATGGTCTTGTGAATGGATTGGAGCATAAAAGGCTTCATGATCAAAATGATTCAGGAAGGAACGGATATATTTGAAAGAAAGATAAACAGAAAGAGCTGTGGATTGTGAGTAACGTCTCAATCCTTCCTACCTGTTCATGTGGCAGCTAGGCAGCCGTCGGTGGTGCATGTGATCGGAGTACGGCTCAAGGGTACCCAATGAGCTTGTCCGGCTCAGCTATTCGCAACAGGTAGCACGGCTGTGTATCGGTCAGATTCCCTATAACTCTATATTGCTAACGAATCATTCTGTTCGGTTGGAGAGAACACGGATAGCGGTGTTGTTTTGTAGGTGTGGTCGTGGTGGCGGTCTTGCCAGGGTTGCGGCTGAAATACTTGGGCGTAGCGTGAAATGTTGTCAAGCCACTGTAGATCTGAGTGGTGGTGAGGCTTCTTTGCAAGGCTTCTCATCTACCGCAACGATAACGATTGTCCAGACTCGAGGCGATCGGACATGGAATCGTGACTTGTTGTTGACCCCTCGATCGCATCTCGAGGATGACGAAGCCTTGGCGGCACCTTTGCTACCGACGACGGTTACGTTGAATTGAGATGCATAGGGTAATCGAGACCAACCAATCTGTCAGACTCAACTGCTTCTTGTACTCGACAGACTCTACTCCAACACAGACGTAGCTTGGTTGATACACCCGTCGACCGAAGTGGCGGTTCGAAACAGGCTTCACCCTTGCCATCTACACAATCATGGGCTGGTACTCGCTGCTGCCCACGCACCTGAGCGACATTGAAGGATGGATCTCGAGCATATTCGTACTCCTCTCCTGCCTCCCCATCACACAAACATGCAGACTGACAGGTCTCGACACANNGTTGCTATTAGGTGTCGTCACAATGGGTCCATGGGCTCTCCTCCTTCTCTACGACTTGGTCTTCTATGTCTACCGCTCGTGCGCCTACCACATTCCCTTCATCGGCGGCAAAGCCCAAGGCAAGCGACGACCACGAGCACCCAGCTTGACCGAAAGACCCAGTGGCCAGAAACGAGACGCTCCGAAAGTGCCCATATCTGCCGCCACGACGGGCATGCAACAAAACGAGCATACTGCTGAGAAGCGTTCGCTTGGACACAGCTAAGACGGTGGATCTGTGTTTCATTAGCTGGCAGACTTGTTGTCTGCGTCTGCTACGGGAATCCAACACAAGAGGCACGACAAGCTCGGGTCTTGACCAAGACCTTGATGGTTATATTATCATTACCTACCAGCACCTTCATCACGAGAAACGACTATCACGAAACAAAACAATCGAGTCTGTGGGCATCAAAGCCGCGCATTACATGTCATTCATTTCTCTCGTGATTATCATGTCTCAATTAATTAAACAGCCTTCTCGCCAGCCTTCTGCCTGAACCAATCTCTCAACCACGCTCCCTCGACAGGGTCATGGATGTTCTGGCCCTTGGGTCCCAGCAGCATGAAGAAAGAGTGATACTCGTCCAGCAACTCATCCCGTCTTGCCTCGAACTTGTCACCATCGAACCTTTCCTCCCACCCACACTCCTGGAACAATTGACGTTTGACCGTGAACATGTTCTGCACAGCTCTCGCAACCTCCACCTTGGCGTCCAGTTCCAATGGTGGTGCAGGAGGTGGTGCCGGTATCTCTGGAATAGAACATCCATACTCCATTGCTGTGTTGCGCAATTGCTGAGCACTGGCATGTCGCATGGACAAGATTTTCTGTCGTAGTGCTTTGTTGTCTGGAGCATTGCGCTCCACGCCATCCAGCACCATACCTACGCCCCAACCCTCTGGTTGTACATGTCGAGTCGGAGAGTGCTCTATCGAAATCTTGTGCTCAGCAACCAGCCGCTTGAGTTCGTCGTTACTCAACGAACCTGATCGCTGTCGGCCTGCTCTCAATGCAACATTGAGTGCAGGAATCTTCGTTCGCGCCGCCTCAATGTGTCGTTTTAGTTTCGTTCGCTCGTCCTGCAGCATTTCCGTCTCGCCGTCGTATTCTTCGTAGCGATTTGTCGCGCCTACACCAGAGAGGAGGCTTGGTCGCGCATGTATGTTGAGGGCTTGATAGCATTCGCCTTCGTCACGCCATGGAATCCAGTCTAGGCTGAGTAGCTCGTTGCGTAGAAGATCCCAGGATTGTGTTGTTGCTCGGTTGGGCTGATGCTCGTATTCTGTACTTTCGCTCTTGGAGGCCCAGCGTCTCATTCTTCCTGCAACCAAGGTGGTTAGCTACCAAACATTTCCTTTTGTGGGCATATCTAACTTACTATCTCTTGTGTCGTACAAGTACTCTGTGCCCCAGTTCTCGCCACAGAATGTGATCTTGAAGGCCCACGCGGGCAAACCGGTCTCACCGGCCCGTAGTGGTTGTCTGGATGTTGCTATCGTGCCATCCCATTCGTGGCCTTCAAGATAGGACATAGCACCACTGTCTGGTGCGATTGGTATACCCTCCTCTTGCTCCGACCAGTGTTCCAGCGCCTCATTTGATGGGTAAGGTAGCAGCTCCATGAGAGCGATCGCCTCGGGCACAAACCCCATAGCTCTTAATCTGTCGACCGCCACTGCAGGTTTGCCGCACACTCCGTAGGGAGGGTAGATGACCTCATCCTCGCGAAGGTATCGCATCTTGATCAGAGTGGCATACAGAGCGTTCATGCCGTTGATGAGGTCGGCATGCTTCTTGGCCACCTCTTGTAGTATGGCGGTGTGAACATCCATGCTCGCCATCACGGGTGAGTCGAACATTGCTTGTTCACAGCGTGTCCGGGTAGTGGTAGCGGTTGTCATTCAATCGGTTGGAAGGGGTTGTAATGTGATGTCTCTTAGATGGCAGATGATTATGTGGTTATGTCGAGGTGATCATTCATGAGCTCAAGAGAGTGTCATCAGCTCTGGCCCAGAGCAAGGCAAGGTTCGTATATGTTGTGGTTAGTTAGCTATGCCGCCTTTTGCCGGGCTATCTTTCGGGCTCTCTTCTGCTATAAGCAAAAATGCGTACTCTTCCAACGTTTGTATTGACCAACGGTCGTGGCTTTCCCAAGGATCGGATTCAATCGTATATGCGTTATAGGTCTTGCCGCGAGATCTAACTCGATGTGGTGAATGGTCTTCTGATTGCTTTGCGGAATTGCCGTTATCGGGGTCAAAAGCTCCTAGCGACGTCCAACGGGTTAAACGGTTGTGCTGCATATGGCACTGCTGATCATGAATGTATATATGAAAGAGAGCAAGCAATTTATATCATCTCGAAGCTTTATGTTTCCTTACAAGCTTCTATAAAATATAGTTAAAGCTGTTCTCCTTTGTGCTGACCCATAAGTCTGGTCGCATCGATTACCGGCGAGATCAAGCTTGTCTTAGAAGTCCACCGGATGGTTCGAGATCTTTGAACGGTCTCGATCCTTCGACCACCCATGCATACCGACTGTCTCTATCGGATAGTAATCAATTAATTGGTTCGGACTGTCGACCGAGCGCAGAAGCTGTGTGGTTCTCTCTAGCGGGAACATGTTCTTGCGAAAACGATCCCGGTTGATGGGTTGTGGTGGAAAGCAAGACAAGTGGGGAGGGAGGCTGGTCAACCACCGCATCTGGTGCGATCTATTGATCCCTACCACCACCACCAACCATACCGGACATCGATGCCCTCGAGACCCCTGTTGAGTAAGTATCAGACATTGCTTATCATCGATCGGTTCTTTGATCTCCTAGCTTGGCGCGAGATTTCTTCTCGAGGTTTCTGGCTGTATTCCAGAATGTCGCACCCTCAATAGCCGGTTCACACCACCAACAAGACCAAGACATGGATTGTACCAGTATTCAGGCAGTTGGTTTAGCCGACTACGATGCTGAACTCGCCCGGACATTGCACATGGCCATGCTTCTCGCCTTCTACACGTTTTGGTTTTGGTGGCATCCACGGTCAGGGTTGACCACTCGGCAATGCATCCAGGACGATAACCAAGACCTTTACCACCAACAAAGGTCTGGTGTTTCTGTCGTTCAGGACAAAGGATGCGTTCATCTGACTGCTCTCTGGGATAAGCACTTGGATGCAGCCAACTACTTACCAACTCTTCCTACGTTGACACATGAAGAGAAGGCTACACATTGTTGCCATTGTTCATGCTGGTGTTTGATCAAGTCCATGAGTATTGACATACCCATCAGGCCTTCATCAAACAGGTCGGTTAGCTCAGTTGGTTAGAGCGTGGTGCTAATATCTGATGATACACGGCACGCCAAGGTCGCGGGTTCGACCCCGTACTGACCATCTATTTTGCACCCTAATTGTATAAGAGTCATCAGTTCTGATGTGGTGGGTGGCTAGGAAACAATCCTTTTTACACACGCGATAGAGAAAATTGCGAGTTTGGGCCTGGCGTGAAGCCTGAGCGGGAAAACTAGCCTTTCCGGGGTATATCTTGGCGGTCCGGCCGGCTTTGTCTCAACCTCACCTCGTGTCAAACCGCAGTATTTGCGGCTTTCTGTCCGGCATCTCACTCTCCGTGTACTATCACTCTCTAACCATGCTCACGTCTTCTCAGCACTATCAGAGTTGAATGTACTTGTAGATCTGGCCAGCGAGAGTCCTTGAATAGGTTCGCAAAGTATGCAGAGGAATATTTCTCTTGTTTAGGTATGCATTTTCTAAGACTATTCTGACGAGGTGGACACTTTTGTCTTTCTCGAATGCGGAGGCGGAGGGCCGAACGATGATCAACACTGTACGGCTTCGAGATCTCACCGGAAATGCGGCTCGTAGACAAGCAACAGACATGCAGCCTCTACGACGTACATAGATGTCGTGCTACCCGTATCCATGAATCTTTCCTCTCCTTGCCCTTCGAGAGCAACAAGTTGCGCCCCCTTGCCATTGTAACCAGAAGTTGCTGTCGAGTGATTGCAGCGCGTCAACCATAGAATGGCGCAAGATGATGTAAAGCACAACTCGCCGTCGAACTTATCGCTGGACCAAGGATACTCTTCAGGATCGGACGGCCAGCATATACAAGAGAAGGAAACAAAGAAGAACAAAACATGGTCGCGCATCTACAACACCATAACATACACACCACCGCGATGTCGCTGGGACCCCGAGAAGCCACCAGAATTCAGCATGGCGTTGAACGTCCTGTTCGGCTTTGCTGGTGCTTTTACAGTCGCCAATCTCTACTACAGTCATCCTATCCTGAATATCCTGGCGGAAGAATTCAATGTACCTTATGACAAGGTCTCACAGATTCCGACTGTCATGCAGGCAGGATATGCGGCCGGTCTCTTGTTCTTGTGCCCGCTAGGTGATCTCCTACCACGAAGACCATTTGTTCTGTCGCTTGTCNNTTTTTTTACTGCGACTATGTGGTATGTATCTTCGAGACGACAGATGAGTACACTTTACTCATGTGTGTTTCTTATCTAGNNGATTGGTGTTTGTATAACGAAGGATTTGGCTGCCTTCACTGCAATCTCTTTCGTCACGGCTGTCACTACCGTTACACCACAGCTTATGCTTCCTCTGGTTGGCGATCTTGCACCNCCTAGCAAGAGGGCAGCATCTCTGTCGATCGTTACCTCCGGCCTCTTATTAGGCATGTTGATAGCTCGACTCCTATCTGGTGTACTTACCAACTATACCTGTAAGCTTACTTCCGTAGAACGACTGTTAAATGAGCTGACCACATCTGTATANGCATGGCGCAACATTTACTGGCTGGCACTAGGACTCCAGTATGCCATCTTTGTCTTGCTCTGGCTCTTCATGCCAGACTATCCTTCAACCAACCCCAACGGCATTAATTACTTCAAGATTCTCTGGTCAATCCTCGAGATGCTGTTCAAGGAGCCAGTGCTAGTGCAAGCCTGTTTTGTCACTTTCTTTACAGCAGCAACATTCACCTGCTTCTGGACGACATTGACCTTCCTCCTCGCCGGAGCACCGTACAACTACGATTCCTTGACAATCGGTCTTTTCTCTCTCATCGGCATAGCGAGTATGTTTATCGGACCGGTCTGGGCAAAGTATGTTATCGATCGCTTCGTACCATTGTTCTCCGTAATACTAGGAGAGTGCTGGTGTATGCTGGGCATCTGCATCGGCACATACACCGGCCGCATCACGATCGCTGGACCAGTCATCCAAGCTTTCTTCAACGACTTTGGCTTGCAGACAGCCCAAATCGCCAATAGAAGTGCCATTTACAGCATCGCGCCTAAAGCACGCAACCGTGTCAACACTGCCTTTATGGTTGCAACGTTCTGCGGCCAGCTTGTCGGTACAGCTGCTGGCAACCACTTGTATGCAAGAGGTGGATGGATTGTCTCAGGCAGCTACAGTGTTGCCAGCATCGGTGCCGCATTGATCTGCTGTTTCGCGCGCGGTCCATGGGCGGAAGGATGGTTTGGATGGGGCGGTGGCTGGAGCGTCTACAAGAAGAGTGGCCAGAGTGCTGATGGAAAGGCGGAAGAGAAGCAAACCCTGGGAGCCGTTAAAGCTGACAGCAGTGTTGCCCACGATCCCGAGAAGGGTGTAACGCAACAGGAACGAGTGAACGAGGGTCATGTACTTGAGAAAGGCATTGAGATGCTCGGAGCGGAAGATGGCGAGAACCCTGTACGAGAGATGAAAGACCACGAGGATGAAGAAAAGAGCTCTACCTGCCAGGATAGTGATGAGATCACACCTGCACAGGATACGCATAGAGTGTAATGATCATGATGCCATGAGATCGAAATCAACGCAGCTATTAGATGCCTCGGCGAGTTTTTTGGTCGTTCCTTCTTGTGTTGGTAACCGTGTACTTTTGAGCTATCGCGTCTTTAGCTGTCAACGAGTTCCGTTGGTATGAGCCTTTGGCCCAACAGAAGTACTGGTGTGATAGAGACATGCATCTCTCCCATATACGGAAGACTGAGAGCTGTCATCCTCACACGAGGACATAGAGCGACTTTAAGACTATAACAACACACAAAAAGCTTCCAGACTAGAGGTGTACCCAGAGAGAGTCTACGATGTTTCGCTCTCATTAGATGCCACTTTATCCTCGAAGACAAGTGTGCAGCTTTATATCTGAACGCTTTACGTAGTCCAGCACCTGGAGAGGGCAATGCATACTTGCTTCAATGTATTGAGATTATTCTGGATACCACAACCGAGGTATCTGGTGCAGGTCTTAGCCAAACTATGTCAGAGTAGACTATGGCCTCTGGCATCTCGTGGAACATGGCCAATGGTTCAAAGGCGTGTACAACAACTACATCGAGCTTAGCTAGTTACTGTGAGTGCGGACTAGATTGGCAAAAGGTCTTTGGATCCTTGTCCAATTCTTCGAGTCGAGATTAACGCAGCCTTGGTGCGTGACTTCAACCTAACAAAGTTATTGAAGACATGAAGTACGACACACGAGTTTAGCCGCCATCAATGTTCAAGCATACATACTCACTAGGCCTTACAGCCAGGCTATTCTCGGTCGGTCTAGTATTGGGGACACTGTAAAGGTGACTAGAGAAAGATTGTAGCCATCTGATCAACCATAAAGCGGAATAGGACGTTTCTGTATTTCGCAGCAGACTCCCGATATCCCAGGCTCAGGCGAAGGTCCCAGTCTCGTTGCACTTGCCTCTTAAAGACGGAACCGTTATCCAACATGGAACGCGCGGCAGGTAATCGAATGCATTGCAGGATGATGTGCTTCGATGCTTGGACGGTTCAGAGGCCTCAGTGGGGGTTTTTCATGATGTTACGAAGGATGTCCTGGACATGTTTGCAATTCGCGAGTCGTGACTGGCAAAGGTGAAAGTAGGAAAGAACAGCCGAGAAACCACACGAGAGCCCAATCTTGTCGTTCGGATCTACCCCACCTAAAAGGCGGTAGAAATTCTGCCAGGTCCTCCTTTGCTACTTCCCTCCCCAAAGCGCTGCTGCCGCTGAATGTAAATTGACCCTATGCAGATCTGCTTTCTGGAACGAACCGGCCGCTCCGATACCATAGATACGGCCGAGTCTAGATGAGTCATGCATAGGAACTTTTGGAATACATTCTCTAGATTGCTTCTAGTGACCTTGATTTCCTGCGTGATGAATTGCTGCTGTAGCTTGTCACGCAAGTTCAGCGCCATCTATACCACTATATGCGGTCAGCAGTTGGAGACTGGTGTCGCTACGGATGACCATATGTTCAGGTATGGAGGACGATCATCTGTATAACCGAACAGCCTGAACTGATAGAAGCTCTGGAGCTCCAAGTCATACACATGGCGGCCATGAACTTCTCGTCGTGTTACCTGTTACAGCACGCTGCGTTGGACTAGTTGTATGACTTGGCCCAGAACGAGGAGGTGGCTCTTCGGCTCGCTTGTTCTGATACAATAGTCTGCTTGGCAACACGGCTACATCCATGTTGTTTGAATTAACAAGCTCTCCTCTCCCTCCTCTACTATGCTATAGGCAAATCGCCATGCTGATCCGGCTCCTTGTGATCACTGAAGAGAACACTCCTCCCATGCTAAGCCTGACCTTGGCAGGTACTAGTTCTTTTAGCCGGCGTGCGGCCGTACACGGGTATATAAGATAGCATTGGCATCCCCTTCGCGTTGCTTGTCGAGCCAAGAAAACCAAGAACACCAAGAGAAACAGAGCAGAATCCCCTCCATCTTGTGCATAGGCGAGACGCCGGAATCATCACCATGTCTGAACGTTGATCAGCGAGTGAACGGTGTACAAAATTTCGTTTAGGCTCAATCAATGTGGGTAGCATTACGAGCTCAGGACGAGAGGTGAAAGAACAAGAGAAGATATAAATCAGGATGGCCTCGCCAGAAACCAAACCGTCACTCGACTCAACAAACACACTTCTGAGATCAAGCCTGGTCATTATCAATATGGTCTCGTTCAAGTCCTTTTTCTGCGCCTTGATGGCTGCTACTACGGTGCTGGCCGCCCCTTTCGATTTCCTTACCGAGGAGGTCGACGACGGAAACTCAACTCTTCTCTCTAAGCGTGCAGGTACCCCCAGCGCTGAGGGTACTCACAACGGCTACTTCTACTCCTGGTGGACTGATGGCGGCGGCAATGCCCAGTTCACTCTTGGTGAGGGTTCTCGTTACTCTGTTCAGTGGCAAAACACTGGCAACTTTGTCGGTGGAAAGGGTTGGAACCCTGGCACTGGCCGGTATGTCTATCAGAGTTCTTCCTCTCTGCTTTAAAACTTTCTGACACGACTCCAAGCNACCATCAACTACGGCGGAAGCTTCAACCCCTCTGGCAACGGCTATCTTGCTGTTTATGGATGGACACGCAACCCGCTGGTCGAGTACTACGTAATTGAGTCGTTTGGCACGTACGACCCCAGCAGTGGTGCTCAGTACAAGGGTTCCTTCTCGACCGATGGCGGCAACTACAATGTCTACGTCTCTACCCGCACCAACCAGCCCTCTATCGATGGTACACGCACCTTCCAACAGTACTGGTCTGTTCGCCAGGGCAAGCGTGTCGGTGGTGCCGTCACCATGCAGAATCACTTCAACGCCTGGGCCAGATTCGGTCTCAACCTTGGTCAACACTATTACCAAATCGTCGCTACTGAGGGCTACCAGAGCAGCGGTAACTCTGACATCTACGTCCAGACCAAGTAGAGTGCCAGACGTGCTGGTACTCACAACTTGCTTACTCTTGAGCAAGTATAGTTTTGAAGTTCTTTTCGTTTCTTGCTTCTTCCTCTCCAGAAGATTGGCACGTCCCGGGATGGTTCCTCTATGGAAACCCATACCTAAGACTTTATTTGTGAATAGCGCACGATTGTTCCATCTCACACTCTTTCGTCAACCCTTTACATAGCTGAAATCCACTACAACTTATGAAATGGCTGTGTTTCCAAAGCGTTTCTATGCATTCCGTATCTATGATTTCGTGTGTACAGCCCAATCACCTTCTTCTGCCAGCACCACCGCCACCGCTACCTTCGCCGCGAGACTCGAGTGCAACAACTTCACCAATCCCGGCAGCCTCCTGCTCGTCTTCCAGAACTTGCATCTCTTCTCTGACATCCCACCATTTCTGTTCAGCACGCTCGAATGCACTCTTACGGATCTCCTTGACCGATCTCTCTGTAATCTGGGTTGCATGCTTAAACTTGTGCTCCTCCAGAATGATGTCTTGCCATTGGTGGTTTGTGCGAGAGAAGAACTCGCGCAGAGATTCGAAGGGACGCGGGCCAGGAAGACCGTCGGATTTCTCGGTCGCAGCCTCATCTTCTGGCTCTTCGTCTTCTGCTGCTTGCTTCTTGGCCACATCTTCAGGCTTGGCAATCTCTTCGGGTGCAACAGAGGTGGCAGGAGTGGAAGTGCCGGCGGTCTCGTCTTCGCTCTCGTCTTCCTCATCGTCCTCATCCTCGTCTTCATCCTCGCTGTCCTCATCCTCACTGCCCTGCCAGTCTTCGAGCTCGCGACGGAAGATCTCTTTAGCGCCATCCAGCTTGCCGAGATCGATACTGTGCATCTCGTCGAAGGTGAACTCGCGATCGCCCTTTTCGAAAGTGCCACCATAGATATAGAGAGTGTCGTCTTGTACTGCGAGCTGAGCGTTGAATCGAGGATGAGGCATCTCGTATTGTACAGGCTTCTCGATCTTGACGTCCTCATCGTCGGAGTCGTCATCACGCTTGATAGTAAGCTCACCGTCGTCCAGAGAGCCCTTACCCTCGATGAGAGCAAGATTGCGCAACAGCTCTTCTTCATCTGCCTTTCCTCTTCCACGTCTACCGCCACGTTCGTTGCCACCGCCTTGCTTCTTTGCGGGCTGAGCACGCGGCTTCCTGAGACTCAATTGGAAGAAACGGTTACGATCGATGTTGAAAGCAAGCAACTGGTTGAAGAACTCGCTGTCAATGCCCTCTTCGTCTTCCTCGACATCGTGCACACCACCAAATGCAATGCCTCTTCCCTTGTGGTGCACCATAGTCGCTCCAGCGCGAGCTGGGTTGGGCGAGTTGACTGGCTTCTTTCTCTTCTCCCAACGGACTGTTGGTAATGTGTTCATAGGAGCTTCCGCAGGAGGTGGCGTGATACGCAAGAACCAAGTGTCTTGATGTACCATAGGTTTCATGATGACACGAGAAGCTTGTCTGCCTCCCTTCGATTTCCCAGCCGAGGCCGAAGTCTTGATTCTGGAGTATCCACCGTATAGAACTGCTCCAGTCTCGTGAGGCAGAAAGGAGAAAGACGACCTAGGATCGGGTCGCATAGCGGCAGGCGGCAGGACCGGGATATGCCATTGGAATGTTTGACAGTCGTAGATGTAGAGATCATTCAAATACTTGGTTTGTTGTGATGTGTCCTGGAAGCCTCCGAAAAGGATGATGTAGCGTTTAAAGGCCACCATACGATGCCCACTTCTGGCGGATGGAGATGGTCCCTTGGTCTCAATCTTGGTCCACTCCCTGGTCGATGGCTCCAAGCTCCAGAAATCGTTGTAATGGTAGAAAGTGCCCTGTTTCGGTGAACTGAATTCTCCACCGAACATGTAGATGCCACCAGCATTGCCGCCTCTGCACATAGCATGTCCACTACGAGGCAGAGGCGAGTTAGGACTCGTCACCTTGCGCCATTCATCCGAATTAATTCTGTAAATGTACAAGTCGTTGTAGAAGTTTGCGATGGCTCCATTGTAGTGTTCGCCTCCAAACAGGAAAAGTTCTCTGCCGTCCGAAGGTGAGGCGATAAAAGTGGAAGCACTTCTTGGTGACGGGCCAGAAACAGTATCTTCGGTAACCTTCAAGAATTGTTCTTGCTTCTTTGCGTATTCTGCTAGGATTGCGTCCAGATCGGCCTCTTCGACATCGCTGTCGTCGGCATCTTTCTTGTTCTTGGCCTTCTTTTCAGACTTTTTGGCGACCTTCTCCTGCTTAGCTGCCACTCGAGCTTTCTTGGCCTCCTTCTTGCCCTTGTCCTTCTTGGCCATGGTTGCTTAGGAATTGTAGAGTTTTGGTGTGTACTTCAGGTGTTTTCGTACAAGCTGTAAATATATCTCTGGTAGACAAATCTTGCTGGCGATCGTCGGTGTAGGAGACTCCGAGCTCACGCTAGTAACTACACCCTCAGTATCACAAACCCCCTCCCCTCCATCTCCCTCGAGCATCAGCCGTTTTGCAGGAGAGCATTATGACTTTCAACTGTATACTGAAGGCTTTGTTACAAGAACAAACTTTTGTTCGACTTCTCTCTTTAAATATGGACTATGATAGCTGCACCACAAAAGGCAGGCAGGAGCCAACCAAGGCGTCAATACTGCGGGGCTTCTTATCGTCTATCATCGACTCCACCCTCATCCCCCTCCCGCACAAGGTCTACCCATCTTACCTACCTGACACAAGATGGCTCACTCGATCAAAGTTGCTGCGGCGAAGATAGTGGAACAAAGGACTCATCAGATACCTGGTAAGATCACATAAATCAATTGAGCCTTCGCTCTATGTCCCAGTCGTAATGTGCTTATCTGTGGTTGATACGTGTTGACACTTGATCCACTACANGGTAAGCTGAGGGTCACTGAACACTTCTTCGATGTGCCCAAAGACTACTCGAAGCCGGATTCCGGGACTATTCGCATCTTCGCTCGAAGTGTGAGAAAGCATGAATATCCTGCAGATCCTAGCGATCATGACGAGAAGAAGAGCCAACTGCCGTGGATGGTCTTCTTGAACGGCGGTCCTGGAGGTCCTTGCCGACACCCAAGTGCTTACCCCTTCACCTGGACTATCCTGGATAAAGGCTACCAAATGCTCTACCTTGATCAAAGAGGCACCGGCCTCAGCACTCCAATTACGCCCAGTACGCTGGGCTTGCGTGGAGAGAATGATGTACAGGCGAAATATCTCAAGCTCTTCCGCGCCGACAGCATCGTACGAGACTGCGAGGCTATTCGACAATCCTTGACTGCAGACTACCCATCAGAGAAGCAGAAGTGGAGCATCATGGGACAGAGCTTTGGTGGATTCTGCAGCATCACATATCTCTCGTTCTACCCCCAAGGACTGCGTGAAGCTTTCATCTATGGCGGCCTTCAACCGCTTGTGAAGCAACCCGATCCAGTCTATAGAGCGCTTTTCAGGAGAGTGGCCAAGCGAAACAAGGACTATTACAACAAGTACCCCGAGGACGTCGACAGGGTCAAGACGATTGTCAAGTACTTGCAGCGCTTTGGCGACGGAGTTATCAAACTACCGACTGGAGGCAATCTGACCGCAAGACGCTTTCAGCAAATGGGCATCATATTCGGAATGCACGGGGGCATTGATAGTGTGCATGAAGCTGTGCTCCGTGCGGCCTATGACATCGAGGCTTTCGGTCATTTGACAAGAGGCACGCTCTCTGCCGTCGATACGCTCACGCCCTTCGATGAAGGAGTCATATACGCTATCTTGCACGAGCAGATCTACTGCGAANNGGGTAAGTACAGCATCTCTGCTTAACCTAGGTTTTGCTGACAACTTGGTAGCAAAGCACCCAACTGGTCTGCTGAACGCGTGCGCAACGAGTTCCCAGAGTTCCAAATCACTTCGGAGGGACCTATCTACTTTACAGGCGAAATGGTATGTCCTAGCACGCCATGGCGATGTTCAAGACTAGCTGACACAGTACAGATATTCAGCTGGATGTTTGAAGACTACAGCGAACTTCGCAAGATCCAAGACGTTGCTAATCGAGTTGCTGCAGACTCTGACTGGCCAGCATTGTTTGACGAAGAGCAACTCAGGAAGAATGAGGTTCCTGTATACGCAGCCGCGTACCAAGAAGATGTGAGTTGAAGCCAGAAAGATTGGTCAACGACAACGTGATTGACGAATTCGATTCTANNGATGTATGTCGACTACGATTACTCTCGCGAGGCGGCGGAGAAGATCAAGGGATGCAAGACCTTCACGACCAATGTCATGTACCACAACGCGATTCGCAGCAAGGCAGACGAGGTGATTAGGCAGTTGTTCGATTTGAGGGACGATGTCATCGACTGAACGACCAAGGATGGTACAGATATAGGTAGTGGGATCATCGATCGCTGCTTGAGTATATGCATGTTGATTATGTTGTGTCGGCCATTGTTAGAATGAAAAAGGACCGATGACGGATGGTAAAGATGGTAGAGATAGATGGTCCGAGCTCAAACTCATCGTCACCGTCACCGTCAAGAGTACTTCAGTTCGAGCTTCTCTCTTGTTCTGCAAGCGTGCAACACATGAACATCGCACCTGCCAACATGGCATGTCGAATGCAAAATCTCCGATGACTGTCGGAGATATTCTAAATCTGGCAGCGCGCTCAGGTGTCGGGATTGGGCAACGGCGGTAAGGGACATGGAGAGCCGGTCCGGGTAGATGATGTGAGCAATGAAACACTTGCATCCGATCGATGCTTCCGCTCGTCTGGAGAATAATAAGATATTGCATGTCTGGTAGTGTTATCTTTCCCTATCTACTACTTACCTTGTAGCTTTGATATCGCAACAACCACCTGGCTCTACCCGCGTCTGCTACCCTTTGAGCACACACACCATAATTGATATACCACACGAGCCTCACGATTACACCAAGAAACACCGACCACCGTTCAGACGTAACACAAGCAACCGCTCAGAGGCATACACACCCAACATGACCACCACACCTCCGAAACCCGTCGATCTTTCCCTACCTCGCATCCTCTGCCTTCACGGCGGTGGTGTCACGGCCGAAATCTTCCAACTCCAAGCCCGCAGCCTTATCAAAGCCCTACCCACATTTCGCCTCGTCTTCGCAGATGGGCCCTTTTACTGCGCTCCCGGCCCGGGTATCGCTCCTGTATACGAAGACTATGGTCCTTTCCGCCGCTGGCTGCGCTGGCTACCCGAACACGCCGACGTCGACGACGAGACGGCAATCGAAGAAGTCATGTATGCGATTGAAACCTGTAAGAGCAGCGATCCCGGTACAGGGCCTTGGGTGGGCTTGATGGGCTTCAGCCAGGGCGCCAAACTTGCGGCGAGCTTGCTGTATGATCAACAGGTGCGCGTTGAAAAGATGGGGTACGCAGACACAGACTACAAATTCGCCGTTCTATTAGCTGGAAGGCAGCCGTTGATGCAGCTGTCCGAGTACTCGGTTGGGCCGGCTACATTGGGTGCTGGCGAGATCAGCGAGGGCTTCAACTACGAGGGACCCAACGAGCATATCCTCAGACTACCGACGATCCATGTACATGGGTTGAATGATGCTGGTTTGCATCTGCACAGAGATCTGATGAGGAAGTACTGTCATTCTGATAGTGTGACGCTTGTTGAGTGGGACGGCACACACCGCGTGCCGCTGAAGAAGACGGACGTCGACAAGATATGCACCGAGATCTACAGGATCGCAAAAGAGCAGGGCGTAAGATGTTAGAAGATGCAGAAATTAGACATGTCATTTTCTCCTCTCAGTAATATGCACTGGAATTGGACTACCAAGATACTGGTGAATACAACAGCTTTTCAGATATGCTTTGTTTGTGTATGTCTCTGACGTCTCGAATATGACCGTATCGCACAGTAAATTCCACTCTCGTACAGATTTAATCAGTCCATCGCGGCCTGCACCTTCTTCTGAATGCTTGCGATCGTGTCCGGCGACGTGGTCATACTGGCCATCAGATACAACACGTTGCCCAAGACACGCGAGTGAATGGCGTTCTCAGATGAGGAATTATGGAGGAGTGTATCTCTCAACCCAGTCGCAGCCGTCGAGGTATATCCGGAGCCAGCAGGATCCTTGAGCGAGATTGCCAGAACAGAGCCAATGGCAAACACGCTCTCGACGTTTGGTCTGAGCGAAAGATCACGCACAAAGTCTTGCGACCACATGCTCCAAAGGTTCTGCTTGGCATCGTCCTCTTGTTTCCAGGCAGACTTGAAGCTGGTCCAAGTAGCACCTTCGTCCATTTCCTTCATTGTCTTGAGGGAGTATCTGGCGATATCGCAGCCAACGGCATGTGCAGTATAGCTGTGGCCATGCAGCAGAGCATCCGACTTCTCAGGACTCAAGAAGGCCTCGAAAATGCTCTCGCTGGCAAGGGTGGTACAGAGAGGCAGCAATCCACCAGTAAGCAGCTTGGCGTGGACAGAGATATCGGGCTGGACATCGACAAACGATGAACTGCTGAAACGGCCAAGACGGTAAAGACCAGTAAAGACTTCGTCGAAGACAACCGGGACACCCTTCCATGCCAGCTCCGAGTCCGGTGTAGCTTCAGGGTTGCCGTAGAGTTCTGGACACTGCTCACGTGTAACCTTGACCAGCATGTGTTGGAAGAGAGGATCACTGAAGAGCATACCGCCGGCGCCGAGTATGACTGGCTCCATGATGAGAGCGCCGAACTTCTTGCCTTCTGCAGTCAAAGCTTCGAGAGAAGTCTTGATATAAGACTCGTAGCGCTCAGCATCGGCTTTTCTGCTTGATAATGCAAAAATCTCGTCTAAACTGGAGAAAGAGCGGACAGGGCCAAACTCTTCCTCCATACCTGCTGGTGGCTCGACAATCCACTTGCCCTCTTGCATCTTGACAAGTGGGAAGTCGAACCAGTGGCCACGTCCTGAGTACCATTCGACTTTTTTGTTGTATGTCGATGGTTCTGACAAGTCCATGGTACCGATGGTGTCGCCGTGATAGCTGCCCTTGAGACCGAGGATCAAGATCTCATCGTCTGGAGACCAGCCGTAACGCTTACTGGCTGCTTTGAGCGCCATCTTGACGCCAACCTCCATGCCAGTGCTTCCGTTGTCGCTAAAGAAGACCTTTGACAGACGGGAGTTGCCAATGTTCTGGAGCAGCGTCTCGGAGAGCGATACAGCAGGTTCATGTGCAGCACCAGCAAACATGACATGGCCATAACGTCCAGCGGCGTGTGCGGCAGTAAGAGCCAATGCAGGATTTCCATGACCGAGACCTTGTGTCCACCAAGATGCTGAGCCATCAAAAGCAGGTTTGAGTTGATTACCCTTCTTCGAGCCAGAGCCAGAAGAGTTGTGAGTTTGGAAATAGTCGCCGTAGGCCGAGTCGATGGCCAGGATGTTCTGCTCCGATCTTTCCGTGTGTTGCATGAAGGGGTGCCAGATGCTGCTATCGGCTCTCTTGGGCAATGATTGTAAGCTAGACAGTCTTTGGTCGTGAGCGCGGATGATGTTGTCGATGCACTTTTCGAGGCTGATTGAGCTGCTGGCCGAGTCGTAGTATTGTTTCATAGATTGCTCGTCTTCTGCTTGGGTAGATTTGATATCAGGAGGTGGTGGCAAAGAAAGAGTCAAGATGCCTCTTTCCTTGAAGTAGTCTTTCAGGTAAGTGTGGTTATCATATTTTGACTCCTCGAAGAGCAAAACAGAGTTTACATCGTATCCGCGGACGTGAAGTGATTCCCAAGACGAGATGGTCGTGCCGATGCCACCCAAGCGATGATCACCCACGAGCAATGCGGGTAGTCTAAGAGGTCGGTAGAGATCCGCCTGAACGTTTCCAGAAGGCGCTGGAGAGAGAACACCACCAGCAGTCTCAACGACTGCTACGGCATCCTTTCCGGCGGCATAGCCAAGTAATTCATCGTAAACACGAGTCAGGATGCTCTGGTCATCGACTGGCTCCTTGGATATCCTGGCAGCAATATGGGGGCTGACTGGGTCGTCAAACTGAAGTAGTGTTTTGGATGTTATGTCCTTCGAGTACCGTGTTATATGACTTCCCAAGATTCAGTGTTTGTCTTCCACCCAGGTGTCCAGATATACATACCGGTTGTCCTGTTCATCAAGTGGTCCCGTCGAGATCGGTTTCAAGTAATGTACATTGTAATCCGGCAGCCTCTTCCGTAGAGCCTTGCAGAGCAATGTACTGACGACTGTCTTGCCTACACCAGTATTGGCTCCGTACACCTGCACAGCCCTAAGCCTCGGCCACAGAACAGATCCGACTTGACGCATGTTAGCGAACTACTTATGCCTTGCGATACTATAACAACATGAATCCTAGCAGTTGAACGAAATAAGAGAACAAAGTGAACAACGACGATGATTCACTCTTTGTACAATGTTGAATGGTCTGGCCCGAAGACACGGCAAAATTGGCGGATGCCCGTCCTCGGCGGGAGCATCGGCGCTGTCGGACACCCTCTTCGGGGAATTGATTGCCGATCGGACCAAGCTTATTTTGACCTTTTGAGAGTCCTCTCGCTGTCTCTTTCCTCGACTAGACAGGTAACATGTCATTACTCACGGTGTCAAAACGCTAGATGGAGCATCGGCCTCTTTAGTCAGTCGAACAAAGAACTGTCACGACAAGACACGGTTGTGATGCTGTGTAAACTCGAGACGACCATGTCTTGTGGTGACCCTGGCAGAATAGTGTGCTGAATTCGTTCCGAATTTGTCTCCTTTGACAAAGTCATATGAATGATATCAACCTAACACTACCTCGACACGAGCCAAAGTATTCAAAGCGCTCATAAGTTATACACGAATAACCGAGATCGACACTGATACAAAGTGAAATGGTCAACAGAAGCTATCGTTCGTGACTAAGCTATCGCCTACGCTACAGTTCGAGTTCAACTCGGTGCCGCATATATCTCTTCCAGCCAATTCATCTGTATAGCACTGACGCTACGAGCATACGTCCTATTCGTATACACAAACTCATTGTACAAGATGGCTTCAAGCTTCCTGCCATACAGTACACTGCTAGGATGAATAGCCACAGCCATATGCCCATGGATAGTCCTATAACTACCATCAGGCACCAGTCGGGCCACATTGGTGGGGAAGCCGCGAAGGAAGCACTTCAAGATGTTGTTGCCCGTAGACTCGGAAATTGTGTTGATGTTATCATCATCGTCGGCAGTAGCAAGTTGTTCTTTCGTGAGGAGTTTGGCTTGTTGGCATTGAGCACGGAGTTGTTTGCGAACATCCATGACGTTTTGCATAGAGCGGTGTGAGACTAGATGTTGCTTAGCCCATTGCTTACGGTCGGTGCGTTCTGAAGCGTAGGCTTGTACGGCGCTGAGCAGGGTCAAATGATCTCCTTGACGGCGTGAGAGTTTGTTGCGGGCTTCTCTTGCCTCGTCGTTTGCGTCTTGGTCCTTGACTTCGAGGAAGATGTTCTCCGAGTTGAAGCAGGCTACAATGTCGATTACGGGCAATAAACATCCCATCTCGGGATCGGCAGCTGCTATGATTGTCCTGCCGTGGGCTGGAGTCAAGGGTAGTCTTGCGATCTTACGGCCCAGATCACTGATATTTCCATCTTCGGGGTTCAACGCATCGAGCTGAAGCAGTTGCANGAGTGCACGCTCCATCGCTTCTCTCGATGGGCGAGTCAAGAGCGGGAAGCTCATAACATCATGAACGCCTCTTGCCTTCATGGTGAGTACTGCTGAACTCAAGTCGCATCGCAAAATTTCCGGAACGGTATCCTTCTCTAATGTTTCAAAGTTTGACTTCGTGTACAGGCGGAAACACTTGCCGGCTGCTTCTCTGCCTGCACGTCCTTGACGTTGGATGGCGGAAGATTTAGAAATGTCCTTGACAAGGAGAGAGTCGAGACCGAGGCGATTGCGGAACTGCTTGATCTTGGCCTTTCCACTGTCAACGACGAAGCGAACGCCAGGTACCGTAATTGACGTTTCAGCAATGTTGGTTGCCAAAATTACTTTGCGTGTGTTGGGAGGAGCGGGTGAAAAGATGGCTTGTTGCTGTGCCTGAGAAAGTGCCGCATATAGCGGTAATACAAGCAGCTTTGGTAGACCAGAGTCTTTGGTGATTACATTCGGTACCATGTCCTCAATTGCTTGTTGGAGATTCGTGATGACGTCTCCACCAGTCAAGAAGACCAGGATGTCTCCGGGCATGGGCTCCTTACGGTGGATCTGGAAGATTTGCAACAGAGCTGCTTCGGAAAAGTCTCGTGTAGGTTCAGACAGGTATTCCGTCTGTACAGGATACATCCGACCCTCGACAAAACATGTTGAAATTTTGCTTGGGTTCGAGGTAGATGGCTCTTGTAGCCTCTCGACAAGCGCCTCTTTGCTTTCCGAGGCTGAAGTATCGCCGTTGATGGTAGGTATGCTGTCTTCGCTCGAAGATTGTCCAAAGCCTTCGCTGAAGAAGTCCTTCAACTTCTCGGTATCGGCTGTAGCACTCATGACAACGACCTTGAGGGGCTTTCCTTTTCGCTTCTTGGCCGCTTCACTCGTGCCGGTCACAAGACCTCTTAGGAAACCTAGAAGCAAATCTACATTGACACTTCGCTCGTGAACTTCATCAACGACGACGCAGCTGTATTCGGTCAAGGCCGGGTCTCTCAACATTTCTTGCAACAGCATTCCCTCGGTGAGGAACTTGATTCTGTTGTTCTTGCCAACGTTGTCGTCAAAACGCACATTATAACCAACTAGCGATTGCGGGCTCTTGCCAAGGGGAGTGCCCATCTCTTCGGCGACACGGCGCGCAAGCGAGACAGCGGCGACGCGACGGGGCTGGGTAACGGCAATTCGTCCAGTGCACCATGCAGAGGTGTGCAGGAACTGAGGGACCTGGGTTGATTTACCACTGCCAGTCTCACCAGCAAGGATCAGGACGTGGCTCTCGAGGAGCGCATCGCGGATATTGGCAGCCTGTGGCCAGATGGGCAGGCTCTGGCGGACTTGTAGTAACTTGGTTTGGCGAGCAGCCAGTGGGTTGTGTGGTCTATGAGCTCCATTTCCCTGCTTCTGCGATTCGTCTTTCTGCGCCTTGTCGTCTCGTGCTTGTGTAGACTCTGTCTTTTGCGAATCGGCAATCTGAAGGTTCTTGAATTTAGGTTTCTCCGTCTTTTGCGACTTGTCGAGGCGCTGCTTCTTGGTTTTCGATTGAGCCTTGAGGGCCTCGGCGATCTGTGGATTCTTGTATACGGGCCTTTCGGCAAGTTGCAGGTTCTTGTATATGGTCGCCGGAGGTTTGTCGCTAGGGGCCTTCTTGTTGCTCACATCCTTCTCTTCTCTTTTGCGTTTCTGTCCTTGCGACATGGCTGGTCCGTTGGTTGCACTCATCCTCTCCTTGGCTACAGTCCTGGTAGCGGATGGATATCGGGCAGTCGCGATCTACCTGAATGGCCAAACTTGCAACTTCCCAAAATTTGCCAATCAACCTCGGCGGTCTGCCGCCAAGACACATGTCCAACCTCCTCACCGCCTCCCATTGGAGCAAACATGTCCAGGGTCCTTCTTGTTCGAACCTTCCTCTTTTGACTGCTGTCTCGCTTGCATTTTACTCTGAACCTTACAACAGTCTTTGACGCGTTGTGACCTGCCTCGCACCGCTCGGCTGGCCTCTGAGGACCGGATCGCTTTTTAGCAGATTCCGTCCAGCTTTCTTGCCCCCGCACTTTCTGTGCCGCCTCCACCGTTGATCTTGATCTGGTCGCCAACCGTGTTCCACACTCTATCTATCTTGGATATGCTCGGACTCGTAGACATTGAGGCCTCAGCCCTCCCAATCGTACTCGTATAACCTATGCATGATGGAGCCATCGTCTTAGTGCAAGCCTGCCGCCCAAGCAAGGATCTGCTATGACGGTCCGCAAAGCCCATGGCTTGCGAATCACTCCTCGGTCGACATGAGGGGTATACTTGTGGGCTTGATATTCACCACTACCGAGGACCATGCTAACCCGCCCTCGTTCGCTTCGTACTAAGTCGTAGCCCTCGTGTCAGCCTCTAGTCCACCATCCATGAGCTCATAGTCTACCCCTCGGTTTGCCGGATAAGCGCTATGGTATATAAAGAGCTTCATGTCTACCTTTTCTCAGTTCTCTCGTGTGGTCCCACTCTTTTCTTGACACTCGTACATGATATTGCAAAGAAACATGCATGTCCTTTCTCATTCGGCAGTAGCAGCCATCCTTGGGCTGTCAGCAGCCGTGTCTGCTCAAAACTCGAGCTCGTCTGATCCATTGCCCATTGTGGATCTCGGATATGCGCGGCAACAGGCTTCCTTGTATAACGTAGGTGCATTGCTCCTTCCTTGATGAACAATCCATTAACATAGACAANNGGCAACTGGCGGCTACTACAACTTCTCCAACATCCGTTATGCCGCTCCTCCAGTCGGTGACCTTCGTTTTGCAGCTCCACAAGCTCCTGCGATAAACCGAACCCAGGTGCAGACTGGAAATGTCAACCGCATATGCCCTCAGGCCAACCCAGCATGGGATGCCATTGCTGCACAATGGATTCCGGAGTATCTGTTGGCCAACAAAACCAACTTCACCATGTCAGACTTCACGACCACTTCAAGCAACTCCTCTGCGGCTACCATGCCAGACCCTAGACAGAGTGAAGATTGTCTCTTCCTCGACGTCATGGTTCCCGAAGCCATTTTCAACTCTAACGAGCAACACCCTGTTCTAGTCTGGATATACGGAGGTGGATATACAGCAGGTTCAAAAGCTGGTAGCGGAAACCCTGCTGGTCTGCTCGAGCGTTCTCAAGCGGACAATTCTAGCGGTGTCATCTATGTGGCTATGAACTACAGACTCGGCGCTATGGGTTGGCTCTCGGGTCCCACTTTCCAGGAGAACGCAACCGCAAACGCCGGTTTATGGGATCAGCGCTTCGCTCTCGAATGGGTACAGCAGAACATCCATCTCTTTGGAGGTAAGTTGACGAGATACTTGGGGATTGAGAATAGCTTTGTCTGACTGCTCTCGAATNNAGGCGACCCGAAGAACGTGACAGTCTTTGGTGAATCAGCAGGCGGCGGCTCAATTATGCATCAGATTACTGTAAGCACCATTCTTGTCGATCTTGCGGGACTTGGAGCTGACCATAGAACANNGGCCTTTGGTGGCCTCAAAGGTCCGGCACCCTTCGCAGGTGCAGTACCTCAGTCGCCTGGCTTCTTCCCTGTTGTCTCTCCATCCACTGAGGAAGGCGTCTTCAATGACTTCCTTGCTCTGCTGAACGTATCCTCTCTGGCCGAGGCACGCAAACTGCCTTCATCTGCCATCATTGCTGCAAATGCAAAACAAGTCGGCTCGGCCCCTTACGGTCAATTCATCTATGGACCCAGTGTAGACGGCGATTTTGTCCCAGCACTGCCAGGCCAGCTGCTTGCCCGCGGCCAATTCTACAAGAACGTCTCTGTCATGACTGGCCACAACGCAGATGAAGGCCTTCTATTCACAAACCCCTTCATCAACAACAACACGGCTCTAAACACCTTCCTGACCACAAGTTTCCCTGCACTCAACTACATGCCAGACAAGCTAAACTACATCACTCAAACTCTATACCCACCGATCTTTGACGGCAGCCAAGCTCAAAACTACACTAGCCAGATTGCTCGCGTCGCTGCTATCCTGTCCGAGGCCATTTTCACTTGCAATGCCGTCTGGCTTAACAAGGCTTACAACAATCAAACTCACGCTTATCTCTTCGATGTGCCTCCATCAATCCACGGTCAGGATATCGCATACACCTACTACAACGGCAACGGTAGCACGACTGCTGGCGCTGGTGGAACTTCTTTCGGCGTGCAGAATGTTCCCGTCGCGCTCGCTATGCAAGAATACATTACCGAGTTTGCAAAGACCGGCAATCCTAACATTAGGGGCGCGCCTTTCTTCCCCATGTATGGAAGCAACGCAACCGTTCAGACTCTGGGACCGAGAACCATTGGACAGATGAGAGATCCTGCTGCCAATGCGAGATGCGCTTGGTGGCAGAAGGGTCTGTTCTATTGATCGAGAGATGGAAGCATGGTTGGACATCACGCTTGTCTATGAATTCACATATCGCCGACGATCTAATGATAATTTCCGTAACTTCTGATGCATTTGTTTGTCTACGCCATGCCACTGTGGCTTCGTCATCAATACTGAAACTGCTGAAATCAATGCGATAACAATTACGATGTATGAGAGCTAAAGCTGGAAAGGAAGTTCTACGTGCCTCGAGCCATAGCAGCTATGACATGCATGATGCGAGCATAGACTCACAAAATAATCTTCCCACTCTCAAACAATCGACCTTCCTCTCCATGAACCAACAGTCATCAAGACCGATAAACATTTCCGACTTCAGTATTGGAAGACTTCCAAAGGTTCTGGTCCTCCTGAAATTATGTAGTCTTGAACGGCGTGTGTATAGGAGTTCGCGTATCGTCTTACATAGTCGGGTGCTGCGAACAGAATAGGAAGTGATATGTTCTTCAGGACTGGCAGGCAACGCGATAGACGACGAAAGAGAGAGGGCCAAGTACCACTAACGAGTTCTACTTCGTGCAGGCCGATTTCCTGAAGCGGTGAAGCATGACGGGGGAGAAAGTCCACCATCTGGCCTTCTGAGACCGAGAGATTAGCGAGCAAACACTCTCTAAGATTTCTGAGAGTCATAGCCTTGAGTGTGCTGTTGAGACCATAGGCACTGCCAGATCTTCTCTCAGGGTATTCGATCCACAAAGTCTCCAGATGATGAGCAGACTGCAAAATCTGGTCAAACATTGCATTAGGGTCTCTGTCGAGTGGATGGAGACGCCCGAGTGAGATGCGTAGTTGTCGCAGATTGCTCATGGTCAAACTATAATCCTGATCCTGCAAGTCGATGTGCACGATCTCCAACGTGCCTAGGTTGTTGCTGACCAAGATATCGCGTAGATTCAGGGGTACAGGTAGAGGCGCGATATCACGCGAGTGTGGCACCAAGAATGCCAGCAATATTGCATGGAACAGCTTTTCGCGACTTGGAGCGAAAACTGGTCCTGGGAGATTCACAAATGTGACAACGACATTCTCTAACTTAGGACAGTGCTGGAAGGTGTCGTGGATCATCGAGATCAAGGCTGTTTCCATATAGCCATCCTTTTGCTTGCGTTGAAGGATCCGGTAATGCTCCCATTGAGTCCTGAGTTCCGGTTCGGAGTATTTCGCCTTTTGGAAAGCCTTCAAATAATTCTCTCTGGCGAGTCTCATCGCTTTATTCCATGTTGTCGTTGAGCCTTTTATATCGGGCTCGGGCGGAAAACCAGGCTCGTAATCAGACCACTTGGGAATGCCCCAGTCAACATGCATGCTCTCAATCCAGGTCTCGAAGTCATCAAAGTACGGCAGCTCTCTAGGGTCGATTACAACAGTGTCGATATACCTATTCATCTCCTGGTGCGTGATGATCTCTCGAACTTCGACACAGCTATCGGGATGGTTGGAAAGAAAGATCCTTGGAATGGAGTGCGGAATGGCGGCAGAAGCGAAGACCTTGGAGGTGAGGCGGAGAGATTTGAGTTCATTGGGACCCAAGAAACTGCAGACCAGTTGCTCGACTTCGGGCAGGGGTTTGTTCATGCTGGGTGTTGCTGCGTGAATTACCCAGTCAGGTGCCGCGGAGAAGAGGAAGTGAAGTGCTGATTGGCAGGATGGAATTGATGAATGTGCTGCTGAGCTCGTCAGTGTTTGTGTTTTCTCTCACAAAGAAAAAGGCACGTACAACCGGATATGATCTGCTTGGTCGTCGTAGACGAACCTTCGGGGAGTAATGGGAACCAGTCTGCGCAGGCAGAGTGATTCGGTGCACTGTAATTGACAGATGATGAGTCCTAAGGGAGGCACAGCTTACAATTCCTTTTGCTGTGTGTGTGTGGATAATGTGAAGTCAAGGAAGAATGTTTGCTGTGTTGACGGTGAAAGAGAGGAGTACGTTCGTCAAACGGAAAGCGCCTTCAATCGTCGAGTGAGGCAATTTTGCTTAGTGGAAGAAGTTGGCTCTTTCCTTCACAGCTCACGCACGTTTTGCTTTCGGAAGGCGCTTCAGTGATCGAAAAGATAGTACTCGCTTTGAATACTAGCAAAGCGGTTTACGTACTGATCCTCAGATTAGAGGCTCAGTGATATAGTAAAGCGCTCTAGTGTAGGTCTTGTCCGTTGATTTAACCAGGGGAGTGATGGCGTGAAACTTATATTGGTGCATCCTTTTGCCTGGAAAAGAGCATTCCACATGTTCTGAATTATGTTGCGGTAGCATTGTGGTTCCTCATCGAGCTGTTGTTGTTACAACCACAGGCTTCTGATATTTAACCAGCGAAGCCAGCTCTGGCCATTTTCCTAGCCCTTCCTTCCCTTCGGTTCGATCCACGTGCCTCTTTTCGTTGCCTGGCAGCCTGGGTATTACTCTCACTAGGAGGTCCGGCTGGATTACCGCCACCTCTACCGCCTCTGCCACGTCCGCGTCCACCTCGACCTCTTCCACGACCTCCTCCTCTTCCGCCTCGACCACCAGCTCCATTGTCTGAATCTTCGGTGGCCTCGCTCTCCCTGTAGGCAGTCCTCTCCAACTCCGGTTGCGCACCGCTGAAGGCAGAATATCTTGCTTCCAATCGCTTGAGGCGTCTCGGATCGCGACTAAGCATGATCGCCCAGCCTTCGATGGCTTCGTCTTGCATTCCAGTCTCACTCTTGAGGGCAGCACGAGCTGAGCTACGACGAACGTCAGACGTCCGCTCAAAAACTCCGCGATCCATGCGCCAGGCACGGAACAGTGCTTCCTCATTTTCTCCCTGATTTCCTGTATCCGTGTCTCTTGATTCTTCGCCATCTGGTCTTGCAGAATCAACATAACCTCCCACATCTGCTTCGTCATAGGTATCATCGCGTTCGTCATCGTCCGAGTCAAATGCAGCCAATGCGGAAAGAATTGCGCTCTTTGCGGGCGCAGCACATCTGTCTTCCAACAAAGCATCTGCAGTAAGCTTTGCGTTTTTTCTGCCCAGATGCAGGCGTGATGCATCCACCTCAAGGCGGTCAAATTCATCATCATCAAAGACATTCCGGCGTTGTGGAGGCGGTGTACTGCGCGGTGCCAGATGTTCTATCTTCTGCTGCTCTGTATGTTGAGCATCTGTCTTAGAATATGACAGCTCTTCGGTCCGATCGAGAGACCGTAGGTGGTCGGGCAGCGAGTCGTCAAGGAGACGGGCGGTAACTTGCTCTGGGTCGTCGTGATATTCGTTCCATAATCTGGCGATGAATCCTGATCCAAGATCTGGGAACAGATCCTGAATTTGTGATATGAAGCCGACTCGATGAATGTTGTGCTCGCCCGAAATAGCACCATGACCAAACTCTTCTGCTGTCGCCTTCCCTTTTCTCTTATTTACCTTGCGCGTTCTCTTGGGTCTTGCAATCGAGGGTGAAAGGAGGGACGAAAGAGTGTTTGCCAGGCCCTGTGCTCGCTCTGCGTTCTTTCCGGTGATTGTGGTCCTTAGCTTGGACAGTAAGGAAGTGTTAGTGACCAAGTCTGCCAAGATTGAGGTCTGAGAACTGCTAGCTTGATTCTTCAAACCGTAAAGATGATCAAACAGAAGAGAATAATTCGGCTTGTCGCCTTTAGTCAAAGAAAGAAGACCATAGTACAGGACCGAGACGAGAGATTTCTGCAGTTCAGGTGTGCTTCGGAGGTATGCTGATGCCATTGCGTCTACAAGTTCAGAACTTGTCAAAACAATTGCGCCAGCCTCATGAGAAGAGAAAAGGAGAGGGACAATGCGTTTCACATTGGGTTCAGCTGCATCAGGCTTCGATGATTCAAGGTGCTTGATTGTCGTCGACAAAAAGTCCTGAAGAGAACGATCGAGCTCAGAGTGCCTAGTACGCCAAAGCTTNNCCTGCAGCAGCAGATCCAGGCTCTGTGTCTTCATGTAGACATGACTAAAATCGGAGAGGAAGTCCCATTGAAGCAGAGGTGCCGGAGGGGTAGACGTTGTCAGAAGAATCCGGTGAGTGAGGATGAAGCAAGTCTTCCGTAAAGTGTGCTCTTTTGCCTGACTTTGTCCATGCTGTTGGCGTTCTTGAGCTGATACTTGGTAATAATATGTGAGGAAGGGGATCAAAGATTGCCCATTACGAGCTGCACTTTCAAATTCTGACTTTCCAAGTCTCAAGTAAAGGGCTGAAAGTGACAACCAAGCATCAAGACATGCTTCCCATTCGTCTGGTCCCAGGTCCTTGCGAACTTTCGCCGGAGGATATGAAGCAAGTGATGGCAGACTCATTGAACGTTCTGACCAGTTGTTTTGAAGTTATTTCCTGTGAGAAAGGTTCTCGATCGTCCAGACTGAAAATTGATGTGTTTGAAAGCGAGAGAATCAACAAGCAAGTCAAGTTTACAAGATGCCCAAAAAGTTGAGACAGCGATAATGACGATGTCGAATTGGGTCCAAGCGTGCTACGGTCGCCAGTTCAGGAAAGCGTGGGGTCTTGGCACCCGCGGTCGACCCACACAGAACTTCTGATCGCGCAAATTCGCTTTTCGATTTCTGACCATCAAAAAGGCCAATCATCACTTAGCCGTGGACATTCTGCCCGAGTCTTGATTGCCATATCCGTCTTTTGACCAGGTGAGAATGCCTTGTTGGAGCTAGCGACTTCTTGCGACGGTCGACTAACACGTCGCGACAGCACCAACCCATCTCCAAAATGTCGTTCCAGGACCCCAAGAAGACCGGCCAGGCCGATGCCCCCAAGATCCACAAGATCCGCATCACCCTCACCTCTCGCAAGGTCCAGTCCCTCGAGAAGGTCTGCACCGAGCTCATCGACCGCGCAAAGTCGAAGGACCTCCGTGTTAAGGGCCCCGTCCGTCTCCCCACCAAGAACCTCAAGATCACCACCCGCAAGACCCCCTGTGGTGAGGGTTCCAAGACCTGGGACACCTTCGAGATGAGAATCCACAAGCGTCTCATCGAGTGAGTTTTGCCGCTGCCATCCAGACGCTATTGAACGTCACGCTGACTCTGTACTCCAGCNCTTAACGCCCCCACCGAGGTCGTCAAGCAGATCATCATCAACATTGAGGCCGGTGTCGAGGTTGAGGTCACCATTGCCGCTTAAATGCGTTGATGCTGTGTCAAGTAGTACCAGTCCCATCCGGCGCATAGTCGGAAGTCAAGTAAACACTGGGCTTTCTCTAGCGAACAAAATAAAAGACGGTCAAAAGCATTTCGTGTCTTCAGTGCAATGTGTCGTGATATGTATGTTTGCCATTATGATCGTCTACCTGAATGCCTGCAAGTTGCATACCCAGCAAGCAGACCCTTTCCCTAACAGAACCCGCTCCCCTTTTGCCGTGCTAATCTAGTGTACACAAAGGCTACCGCCCAGAGAGATCAAAGCTTACTTGTAGAAGTCAAACTTGTCGGCCTCCGACGCTCCCTTGACCTGGCTAGTGTAGGCGTCCTCGAGATCCTGCTGGATGATGTTGTAGCGGTTCTTTCTGACGGCTCGCAGACCAGCCTCCTGCATGATGGCAGCGATGACAGCACCACTGAGGGGATCGTTGCGAACAATGAGACTGTCAAGATCAACTTCGGGACTCAAGCTCATCTTGCTGGCGATGGTGCTGAAGATCAATCTTCGCTCACGTCTGTCGCGAAGGTTGGGGAACTCGATCTTTCTGTCGAGACGACCGGGACGGAGGAGGGCAGGATCCAGAGTGTCGGCACGGTTGGTGGCCATGATGACCTTGACGTTACTGGTTTGATCGAAACCATCCATCTGGTTGAGCAGCTCCAGCAAGATACGTTGAACTTCTCTGTCGGCACCGGTCTGAGCATCGAAACGCTTGGTGGCAATGGCGTCGATCTCATCGATGAAGATGATACAAGGACTGTTTTCGCGAGCCATGCGGAAAACATCTCTGACCATGCGAGGACCCTCACCCAGATACTTCTGGACGAACTCAGAACCAACAACTCTGATAAAGGATGCTGTAGTGCTATTGGCAACAGCCTTAACCAACATGGTCTTTCCGGTACCGGGAGGGCCGTAGAGGAGGACACCACGAGGAGGGTCAATACCGATCTGGTGGTAGAGATCGAAGTGTGTAAGGGGCAACTCAACAGCCTCTCTGATTTCCTGCTTTTGCATGTCCAATCCTCCGACATCAGCGTAGGAGATATCCGGCTTCTCGTCTGCACCAAGCATAGCGATAGAAGAGTCTGCCTCTGGGGGAAGAATGTCGACGAGGGAGTTCGAGTGGCGATGAAGGGCAACGGAAGATGAGGGCTTGAGAAGCTCACGGTCGAGTGTTGAGAGGATGCGCACGACATAGTTGGATCCGGTTGACGATTGTACAATTCCGGTGCTNNGGTAGCGGTTAGCATGTGATACTCTGTCCGGTGTCAAGCATACGCACTTCTGATCGATAGCCTCCATGAACTGTCCGATGACAAGCGGCACGCTCTGTATCCTCTTGATCTCCTCCTGTGCGCGCACAAGCTCCCTCTTCAGCGATCTTTGCTCATCCTTGATGTACTCTTCTTGCAGCTTGATGTANNTCTGGCTACGATTAGCATGGATTCATCCATCAAGAGGGCGCACAACGCACTCGAGCTGTCTCTGGAGCTTTTTGAATGTGGAGTATTGGTCGTCAGAGTCGGCGCCCATGCCTTCGAGCGATTCGATGTTTGGGATGGATGATGAGAGCTGTTTCTTGTGCGGCGGCACAGTGTTTGCGTACGAGTCGACAGCGATGTCGGCCATGATGGGCTACTGTGTTGATGTATGTGCGTGCTTGAGTGTTGTCGGTTTCAAACTGGGTGAAGGCAGCGATGATGCACGACAGACTGATGCAGAGACGCAGTGTGTTGATGGGTTAGCACACACTTGCCTCAGCGACGTTCCTAGTACTCTACTATCGTCGTCACAGCTCACAACGGAGCTTACGATCTCCGACCTCCATCCAGCTCGCCATGATCACGTGAGAAGCCCTATCTCGATCCATCCCCTTGAACTTGGACGCCAACGCGTTCTTGCATCGTGAGAGATCTTGGGGACACGCCACACAACAGATCTGGAGGAATCGGGCTCGTTTAAATCTGAACTTTCAAAAGATGGTCCTCCGCTGGACAGCTTGGCGACAACTATCCATCCATACCTGTATCGTACAAACTAGAGACACGCTATAAGACGCTTAGTAGAGAAACACAAGAACGGAAACATGCCACTACTTCGTTCAAGTCGAGCACCATCGGTACGGAGAAGTGAAAGACCCCGCGTAGGAGAACTGATCAGAAATTGTTAAATTATCGTGTGAGCAGCTGACAGCTGCAATGTCATCCGGAGGCCGCTCCTGCCCTTGCTGAGCTTTCCCGCGGTCGAATAAAGTATGCGTAGCAACCTTGTCGGTTGGAGCGCTTTGAATATTGTACAGTAACCACTTTGAGATGTCGTTAGAGATCAACCCCTTTCTCGAGCATATCACACGCAGATAGAGAGTTTCAATGGGCGGAACAAGAAATGTTGGAATGTGGGCGTGGCTCAGCTATCAGTAATCTACGTTAAAAGATTATTCCAGGTAAAAACCCAGCGTTCCGGTGCAATGCAGATCCATCGCTGCCGAAACCAACCATGTACTGTAGAGGCCAAGGGTCACACCAAAACAGATGCCAGCAGCTCGTCCACAAGCTTGAAAGGGTCAGCTCTGTTTAGTTAGTTGTTCTGCATAGAGCTACAGTCCGTTGAAGGAACGAAAAGATCTTGAGACTCGTCGAGAGGACTGACGTCTTCCCTGACTTAGCGTGGTTGGCTCGGCGGCACCACCCACCCGCCTTGAATCCGACTTTCAATTCTCTTGTTGCTACACGAACCGAAGCCCAACTCATCGTCACGCCGCCTGCTTCATTCCCCTGGGATTTTGCGAAACCCGACCGTCAACGACTGGGCCACGTTCGAGCGACCCGCGACACGCGCGAAACGCCGCCGGCTGGCTCTCGCCTCTCCTACCCCTCGACGTCCTTGAACGTTCCCGCGCGCAAAGCCCCATCTCGTTGGTGCCGCGACTTCGACACCCTTTGCGCGCATGACCTCCCAGACCCTTGAATCATGAGCGGCTACAATCCCTATGCCTCGGGGCACGGGCACCAAGGCGATGGCATGCAGCAGATGGACATGTCGGCCAACGGACAAATCATGGCCCAAGGAGCTGCCATGGACGCCATGGCCGGACAATCCCTCGACGACATCGTCAACCAGAACGCCAAATTCATGCGGAGACAGAGCATGTCCGGTGTATTTCATTCAGGTCAGCAACAGCAGCAGCAATCACAACAGACCCAGCCCATGGATACCGACGACCCAAGGCGTATGTCTATGATGGAATTTACCGGCACCTCCCCGACTGGTCCCCTGGATGCCTACCAGTTCAGCCTCCCAAACTCAGACATGGTCGACGCTACAGCTTATATGGCCGCCAGCCAAGCCAATCCCAACAACATTCAAAGCAGACAACCATCTACCGGTGGCGGCGACATGGCCATCGACAATGGTTTCGCCCCAACAAGTTCTTTCATGCCAATGATGCCACCAACCTCATCCTACCAATCTCCTGCACACCTCTCCAACATTGACATGGATCTCAACAGTCCCTACATCAACACTCCTATGCACATGTCATCCCTTGGTTACAACAGTCCGAGCATTGACCGACCAATGCTTACGTATAATCACCCTTCATACCACCACGGAATGATGAACTCTCCNCTCAATACTTCTGTGCCCAACAACATGTATGCACAATCCCCAGAAGCTGGCGGAAACCCCAACCCTCCGAAAAGGCCATCTCTCGAGAACTCGCATAGCAGATCATCAACAAGTCAAACCATGCAAAATACACACCAACAGTCACGCCAGCCCACGCCACAGCGACAAAATAGCAATCATCCACCACAAAACCAAAGGCAACACTCAGGATTCAAAGCGCAGCCTCAGAATCCTCAGCCCGGCTCGCAACAAGATGTAGGCATGGATAGAGGTCGCCATACGGATCAAAGGCATCGTTCACCGGACCCGTCACGGTACAATCCGAATAACCAGGGTTTCAATTGGCCTACACCAGAAGGTTTGCTTAATCGTTAGTGTTTTCGCATAATTCACAAACTCACTCTGAAACANGGTGGATGGCCATCTACAATGACGGGTAAACCTCACATGCATTCTCAATACAAAAACGCCTACTCCTCGACTGGTTTTGATATGCTTGGAGTTCTGGTACATATCACAATCATAATAGCGTGGGGCACGAAAGCTGACGTTGGAACANNGATGCGCGTCGCGACTCGACCAAATCCAGAGATCAATATCGGTTCCGTCGATTTGTCTTGTGCTTTTGTAGTGTGCGATGCAGAAAAGGATGATTTTCCTATCGTTTATTGCTCAGACAACTTCGAACGGCTCACAGGCTATACCAGACACATGATCCTCGGCCGGAATTGCAGATTCCTGCAATCACCAGACGGCAATGTCGAAGCTGGAGTTCGACGCAAATATGTCGATGATGATTCGGTCCTCTATCTCAAGAACATGATCAATCTCCGAAGGGAAGCTCAAATTTCATTGATCAACTATCGACGAGGTGGCCAACCTTTTATGAACTTGTTAACAATGATTCCAATCTCTTGGGACACAGATCAGGTCAAGTTNTTTGTCGGATTCCAGGTCGATTTGGTAGAACAACCAAATGCCGTGACCGATAGAAATCCCGATGGCACTTACTCGATCAACTATCAAAGAGGCATGACAATGCCACGCTACGTTATGAATGCCCCAGAGTCGACTGTCAACAGAGGAGAGCTTGGTCAAACAATACCGAGAGACGATGTTTCCGCTATTCTCAGCACGATTGGAACCGGAGAATCCGACTTCGCCAAACGCATGTGGGACAAGGTACTCCTCGAAAACACAGACGACGTCATTCATGTTCTGTCTCTCAAGGGCTTGTTTCAATGGATTTCNCCGTCTGCATCGAAGGTGCTCGAATATGAACCTGGAGAAATTATTGGCACAGCACTTTCATCAATCTGTCACCCTAGTGATATCGTGCCCGTAACAAGAGATCTCAAGGACACTTCTACTGGAGCATCAGTCAACGTCGTTTTCCGCATCCGTAGGAAAAACAGTGGTTATATGTGGTTTGAAGGTCACGGATCGCTTCATACCGAACAGGGCAAGGGTCGAAAATCAATCATCATGGTCGGAAGAGAGCGTCCGGTTTACGCGCTCAGCAGAAACGAACTGACTGGAAACAATGGAGTCGGTGAAAACGAGCTTTGGACCAAGATGTCGACGTCAGGCATGTTCCTATTCGTATCATCGAACGTAAGACAGCTTCTCGACCGTCAGCCGGATGAGCTTGTAGGAGTGAGCATCCAATCTCTCATGAGAGCAGATTCCAAGGCCGAGTTTGGACGAGTTCTGGAGCATGCGCGTACGGGTAAGAAAGCATCTGTTAGACACGAGATGATCAATCGCCGCGGACACGTCCTCCAGGCTTTCACGACCTTGTATCCTGGTGATGCTACAGAAGGACACAAACCGACGTTCATTGTCGCTCAAACACGTCTCATCAAGCACCAACGGGGCAATTCATCCTCTCGACCAGCGCTGAGTCAACGTGGGTCGGAATCTGTATTGTCTGGCAGATTTACACCTACAACGCCAATGCTTATGGGCGACAATACTCCACAATCACTGATGCAGCTCCAATCTACAGACGGTGCAGCTCCCACTTACTCGGGCCAAAATGGACTCCAGCTTGGTCGCCAAGATGGAGCATTGGCCTCGGAAGACAACCTGTTTGATGAACTCAAAACGACCAAGTCCTCTTCTTGGCAGTACGAAATCAGACAGTTGGAGAAGAAGAACCGGATGCTAGCGGAGGAAGTACAATCTTTGTTGGCTGCGAAGAAAAAGCGAAAGAGGAGAAAGGGTGCTGGTCAGATGCAGAAAGATTGCGCCAACTGCCATACCAGAGTAACGCCCGAGTGGAGGAGAGGCCCAAGCGGACAGCGAGATCTTTGCAACAGCTGTGGTCTGAGATGGGCCAAGCTGGTGAGTCAATCGGCAACAAATTCACGCGCAAGTGCGGACGGTTAATCACTTAAACAGAACGGCAGAGTATCACCTCGAACCAGCTCACAGCACTCTGTACATTCGGCGACATCGGAGAAGGCTTCCAAGAAGTCACAGTCTCCCATGCACCCGCCTGGTGTTCATGGCGTCAAGACAGAATCGACGACGCCTCGTCAGCAATCGCTAGACGCACTCGCACAACACGGTCAAAACATGAATGCAACCAGCGGGTATGTCAATGTCACCTCACCACAACAACACCATGGACCTACGGGGCATTCCGCACACATGGAAGGTGCCAGCAGAGTTCCCGAAAAGATCGAAGAAGAGTGAGGGAACGACATGACTCCTCAAATCTTCTCAGTCTTCTGGTTCAGCCCTTGGTTCCATTGCTCCATCATGTCTCCCCCACTTATCCTTGACCTGGCCCTCTCTATCTCCTCTGTATGTGTTTCAAGCGTTGTCTCGTCTTGTCACGATACCCCATTTCTTTTCCTGAGTTGTTCTTTCATGCAAGCACCTCTCTTTTTTTTCTCACACAAACATGTCTCAGCTTCGATTGACTTTCCTCCTTCTGAATCTGCATCACATCATCTATTCCCCTGAACTCGCTTTTCCCCATCTATCATCCTAGAGTCATTATCTGCTGAGTCTGGTTGGTGGCAAACAGCATCAGAGTGGAGGCGCGCATGATTTTTTGTTTGGATTTGCACCATTGCTTTTTTTCCTTTCCTATTTAACGCGCGCAGCAACTGAGACGAAGGTTTTATGAAACACGAAACATGGCAATGTTACCTTGTTTTTTGGGGCGGGTTTTGGTTGCTTATTTCTTTCACCTTTTCTTCTTCTTCTGTTCAATCTTCGAAGCTCGTTTCACAATGTATGTACAATGAGCTAGAAGAAACACCCCTTTTGTAAATAGTGAATTAGCTGAGTGAAACATCTTTGTTTATACATTCTCTTCCTACTATTGTTGTGTGATTCATAAATTCATCCAGGAGATCACTCTTCTTATCCCACCTGGTACTCCGAGATGAAGGTGTACGAATATACGACCCTCGCGAGATTCGTGTTGTGTGACGACGTTCTCAAGGACAATGCACAGTGTAAGTTGTGAAACCAAAAGACATGTTTCGAAGGTCGGCCAGTATCCCATGAACGCTCAAACTTGAAATATATTGATTTCTACAATGGAACAAAAAGAAAAAGGGAAAATACAACGACCGCTTTAGCGGAATATTTACTGGTCGTCGAGAACGTGAAGGTACTTCTTCTCCTCTCTNNTCTCACGCTCGGTCATGGGAGGCAAGTCGTAGTAGGATGAACTACGGTATGCTTNGCTGTGATGGTTGTTAGCAGGGTGCTCAGCGAGACAGAGGGCGGCGCAGCAACTTACGAGGTAGTGGTATGTGAAGTTGGCAAGGTCGGTAGGCTCGATACCCAGGTCCTTAAAGGTCTTTGCTGTAGGATCAATGGTCTGGTCGATGAACTCACGGGCGACCGAGTCCTTGCTCATGACGCTGTACCAGACGAGCTTGTTCATCAACTGTGCGATAGGGGTCATGATTTGAGAGGGGATGTTGATGTGACGTCTGCTCTTCAAGATTTCGCGCTCGACGAGCTCCTTGATCTCTGCCATCTGGTATTGCTTGGGGCCGTAAAGCTCGTAGGTCTCGCCAGCGGTGCTGTCATCATGGCACATCTTCTCGAGGGCCTCACCAACGTCAATGGCGTGGACAGGGTAGAAGCGTTCCTGCATGTTGTTGGATGTGAACATGTTGGAAGCCTTTGCGATGCGGTGGAGCAGACGGTCCTCGAAGCCGAACAGAGGGGCAGGGCGGACAATGGTTGTCTCGGNGAAGATGTTGCGGACAGCCTCCTCACCACGGGCCTTGGTACGGTAGAACTCGGAGGGCGAGTCCTTGGAGACGGAGTGCGAGGAAACGTGAACGAAGCGGTCAACATCGTACTTGGCAACAGCGTCGGCGATACGGGTGGCACCCTCGACGTGGACGTCCTCGAGGTCGAAGTTCTTAGTGGGATAGTCGCGACCGATCAAGTTGTAGACAATGTCGGAGTGACGGACTGACTCCTCGATGGAGGCAGTGTTGCGGAGATCCATTTCCTTTTGTGCTCGTCAGCGCATGTTGGCGCAAAAGGTCAGGTTTGGAGACAGGCGTACGAGGAAGACAACACGACCCAGGTCACCAGAGACCTTGAGATGGCGCTTGGCCATCTCCTCACGGAAGGGGACGACGACGGTGCATCCGGCACGAGNCTATGAGCTGAGTTTAGCATTGGAGCAGGCGAATCGAGTCGAGGATCGTGTACCGAGTCTGTTGACGATGTAGCGGCCGAGGAAACCAGTGGCACCGAAGACGGTAGCGGTATGGCCTTGTTGAGAGTNTAGTCGGCATGGATCAATTAAGAGGATCGTTTCGCATAGGACCAACCTCCGAGAGAGGATCTTTTGGCGAACAGAGTCAGCAAGGAAAGTACGGGCGTGTTGGACAAGCGAGTGGTACCTTCCACCAGAGATTCTGATGATGGGCTTGCCGGTTCTGGTGATGGCGATGTCCTGCAGGCTTCGTGACTGGACACGCGGGACCGACGTCTTTGCGAATTGGGTGCCGGATCTGGCGAGCTGCCTCTGCAGAGCCATGCTGCTCGCGATCTGGCTCATTGTTGCGTGGATTAGGGTATATATCGATTGCACGTCCCGAATGGTCAGCAATGCGAGGTACAGCCAAGCCAGTCCGCTCGGAGCCTCGGAGACTTCCGCGAGCGACTTGCTGCTGCGTCGAGACGGCGGAAGGTGCGTGCACTGACAGCGTCACTACGAGCACCTTCCAGTTGTGTGAGCTCCAAACGACACCGAGCAAGCATCCGTTTGACATCTGACTTTCATCACCACAACCGACCATCTTCTCGCCGCATCCTTTAAACTCTCGCGACTTACACACCTCAATCTCTGTGCCAACATGGATGTCGACACGATCCCCAACCTGCTGGCCGATCAGCGTGACGCCGCCCCCGAAGATGTTCAGCACTACTTTCTCCAATTCGAAGACCTATGGGAGCGCAAGCTGTGGCACGAACTGACCAACGACCTTGTCCTCTACTTCCAAAACGACCATAGCCAGAAGCAGCGCTTGCCTCTCTACAACCAGTTCATCAAGACTTTCGCCGACAAGATCAACCAACTGCAGCTTGTCACTCTCGGTCTGAGCACTGCCTCACAATGCAAAGGTAGCCTCCTCCTTCTTCCACATATGTCTTCGTCGCTGACACTGACTCCCAANGACGACAACGAGCGCTTCGAATTCCTCACCAACCTCGCCTCGGGCGTTGACAAGCCCGCATCACAGGACGCCTTTGTCTACGCTAAGGCCGCCGTAGCGAACGTCGAGTTGCGTTTGAAGAAGTACGATGAAGCTCGCAAGGATCTCGACCAGTGCGAGCAAATCCTCGACACATTCGACTCAGTTGAGTCCGTCGTGCACGCCTCGTTCTACCGCGTCAGCGCCGACTACCACCAAGCCAAGCATGAGTTCGCCGCCTACTACCGCACCACTCTCCTCTACCTCGCATGTATCGACCTCGAATCTCTCTCCCTGGAAGACCGCCAGCGCATCGCTTACGACCTCTCGATTGCTGCCCTCGTCTCCGACTCCATCTACAACTTTGGTGAACTTCTTCTTCACCCTATCCTCGACACACTTCAGAACACTCAGCACGCTTGGCTGCGTGATCTTATCATCGCCTTCAACAAGGGCGATTTGGGCGCCTACGACGTCTTGGCTGCACACATGGGCAAGAACGACCTGCTTAAGGAGCACCAGAACTTCTTGTACCAAAAGATCAGCTTGTCCGCTTTGACCGAGACTGTCTTCCGCCGCCCACCTCACGACCGTGCCATGACATTCACCGAGATCGCTCAGCAGACCAAGGTCCAGCCGAACGAGATCGAGCACCTCATCATGAAGGCACTCAGCCTAGGCCTTGTGCGTGGAACTATCGACCAGGTCGCAGAGGTCGCCAGGATAACATGGGTTCAGCCCAAGGTGTTGGATAAGGGTCAGATCGTTAACATGCGCGAAAGACTGCGTGCATGGGACGATGGCGTCAACAAGCTCGGAAACTGGATCGAGAGTTCGGGTCAGGAGATTTGGGCCGCATAAGTCGAGTACAAAAGGCAAAGAGTAGATCATCTTCATGTGGCGCACTGGCGCATTATGACAAAGGGGGCACTGGCATTTGATGGCAATAATGCATGGCCTTTTCGAAGCAGGAAACCTGCTCAGGCCTCGGGCTGTACAATAGAATCGAATTTCACGTTACAAGCTCTGTTGACTTCCGTGATGCGAACCGCTTGACACAGTTCATGCTACGTAGCCATTCAGGTCAAAGGAACTCCTTGAAAAATGCCAGACCCAAGGCATTCTGGTCCCGCCCTGCCTGCGCCGCTCAACAAAAACGCCAGTCCTGTTCTAGTCCATGCATCAAAACGAGTTCATCTATTTCTCCAAATCAGCCTTCTGTCGTCTCCACGATTGACGCGAGAGAAGGAACCAACTTACCGCACCAGCCAAGCCAATCCATTCATTGATGCCCTTGACATATACGTCTTCTTGAGCATCTGGTTGAACTTCATGGCCATAGACTGCGATCTTGTCGAAAGTTGCAACTTCCTGAAGGACTTTTGTTTCTGGTGTTGAGTCTTGTTCTTCTTGTTCGTGGTCGAGGGGTGTTGGTGTTGTGGTTGGGAGGATGGTATCTGTTTTTGGAGTATAGCGCCTATGAGGATGGATAAGTTAGTTTTCTTTTGCTGTTCCTTTATGGAGAGGGAGGGTTAAGGATGGTGTTTTGTTGGTTTATTGCTGGAAGAAAGGAAAGAAGAAAAGAAGACACATACCTGTATACCCGTCAGGCAAACTCACAACTTTGCCATTCAACTTCCTGCCACGGAAATATGCTGTTGATGTGCTGTTTTCATTGCTGTCCGAGCTGACTTCTGGTGTCCAATGTCTCGTGCTTGCGTTGACAGGTCCATTGTGTTGGATGCGGCAGGGTAGTACATTGACTGCACAGCTCGGCGTGCTCTTTTCAGACTTCTTGATGGCGAGCATTATGATTGGCTTGTCTATTCTCTTTGCCTTTAATGGATCAAAGTGTGGATGATAGGGAGTTGTTTGATGTGGTATGAATTGATTTGTGGTATGAATTGCATTTCCATTGATGTTCTTCGTGAGACGCGTTTTCGTGTGTGGCTCGCGTTTCCACTTAATCAAAGCCAATCTTTATAGCCATTGTCCTCCGCTCGCTTTGTGTAGTCATGCAAGCAATGTAAAAAATGCGCCTCTCGTGTAGAAGAGCAGAAGCAAGAAAGAAAAAGTGAAAAGAAGAAAAACTCATGAAACCCGGTAGCCACTTCCTCCTCCAAACTCCGACACTCTCCGCCAAAAAGAGCAATGCACAAGCAATATCTCATGATCGCTGGGAACCTCCAACCATACGCCGTAAACTCCATGTCCTGTCCCTCGAGACAATAACAACGATCCAAAGCAATGTGTTCGAAAGGAGCTTATACTTGCGCCATGCTAGCAGGTGTCAGAAAGACTGCTGCAGGGGTTGCCTGAGGAAGAGCAGCAGCCTGGCGCTCACGTTGCACCTTTTCGCTTTCCATCTTCTCCTTGTCGGCCTTGGTAATGCGTGGCTTGCGAGTTGCTCCAGTGCCGCGGCCACGGCCTCGACCTCTGCCAGTTGTCGAAGCAGTCACTGCAGCGGATGGATCGGCATTCTTCGCGGCGAGTTGAGCGTGAGTGACACCAGTAGCGCCTCCACGACCGCGGCCACGGCCACGACCTCTTCCACGACCAGAGGGTGCAGAAGTCTCGATCTGAGCCTTCTCTCCTTCGGGCACAAGCGGACCCGAATAGACAAAGAAGCCATCCTTAGCAACTGCTGCGCCTTCTTCCCAAGCCAGTTCCGTGTCATCGATAAAGTCGTCTTCCTTGTCGTAGTCCTCCACCTTTCTACGGCGGCGCTTCTTAGGTTCATCGTCGCCCTTCTTCTCTTCTTCCATGCCACCCATTTCAACATTACTGTCATTCTCGGCCTCGGAGTTGAGGTCACCAACAGAGATATCGTCGCCAGTACCAGGCTCTAGGCGGTTGGCTGCAGCGGCGACTTGTAAGAGACGTTCGCGGTGTGCTGCAGCACGAGGATTGATGGCGTTCTTGCCATACTTCTTCAAGATCTCTTGGGCGATGTTGATTGTGTTGTTACCCGCGGGATTGAGGGGAATTTCAATATCGATGTTCACTCCATGGCGTTTGTGGTCCTCGGTGACGGCTGATGGTCCTCCAAAGATATCGCTACCAGAAAGCAGACCACTGCCAGTAGGAGCCGGGGGCGAGGCACGCTTAGCCTTCTGTGCTGGTGCGGAAGACGNATTTGGCAGCGGGCTTCTGATTATCCTTCTCCTTTTCCTTGTCTGCAACCTTAGTGACGGTCTGTGCTTGCTTTTNNGCTCATCGTGAGCGTCGATATCCATGGCGTCATCCATCACTACAGCACGTGGATGCGAGATTGTTTGGGGTGAATTGTTCGCGAGAGTGTTTGACGTGAGCTGGACTTCTGGCTGGCGATTGACGCTGGGAGGAGGCGGCATAGCAGCAGAGGCGCTCGGTGACTTTATCTGAGCAGGGACAGATGGAACCACAGGAGGTGACATGAGTGTGTCGCTAGGGGCAGGAGGATTGATCAGACTTGCAATTGCAGGTGACGCGCTTGCTCTGTGTGCGTGTGGTGAGACTTGAAGTGAAGCAGTCGATGTGTTGGCAGGGGTGGAATAAGGGTCCACAGTCATAGAGGCGCGAATGGGGTCATATCTTTGACCACTGGAGGCAGGCCGTGCAGGAGCTGGTGGGGCTGCAACAATGGGCTTCTTCTCTTCACTTTTCATGACTTGTACAGGCTGTGTTTGCTGTACGGTTGGAGTAGGAGGAAGCGGCGTCTGAAATTTGCCAACCATATCACCAAGAGTTGGTTGGCGGCTCGCAGTAGGCGTTGAATTGGCCGATGCATCAGNTCTTCTGTTTCTTACGCGAGCCAGCTGTCGGGGCATTGGGGTCCTTGGGCTCACGAGGCTTGCGAGGCTTCTTTTCTTTGGCAGGCTCCGCTGCAGCGGCAGCCTTCTCTGCCGCCCTTTCGGCCTTTTCAGCAGCCTTCTTAGCCTTCTCTGCCTTTTCTGCTGCCACTACCTCAGGATCTCTCCTCTTGCGTGTTTGTTTGACCTTTTTGGTAGGGTCATGTGATGCGGCCTTGGCGTTGCCATTTGTGGTATTTGTAGAAGTTGACGCAGCGGGCTGTGGTTNNGTGGTGGACGAGAAAGTTGGGGAAATGCGACATCTCCAGGACGCAGAAACTGAGGCTGCGCGGGCTTCGCGACACTGATGGTATCAGAAAGCCCATGAGGCGGAGAAGACATGGGCGAGGAGCCCGTGGAGCTTTGTCCATCGCCGACCGCGGCCATGACGAACACCAAAAACAAAAAGGGTCGAAGGTGGTACGGCGGCTGAGAAAGAACAGGCGATGCGACCAGAATACCAAATTGGAAAACACAAAGTGCAAGATCAAAACTGCAAGACTGCAGTTGCAATTGCCAACAACAAGGTGATATCTCTTAGCCGAAGGGATATGGGTGTGGTCAAACCACTCGAAGCTGTGCGGGAGGCTTTAAAGCGACCACCAAAGCCGACGACGGTTTGGAATTCGAAATTCGGACGGGACTCAGCGGCACAAGCGACGACGACAAGAAAACGATAGTCGAATGCACTGGTCTTGATGGCAAAGACAGCAAAAGACTTGGACTTGATGTAACGCTCGATGGCTGATGATGGTTGATGGAAGACCACAAAAATGAACAGATATGAAGAGCAGGGAAGTCGTAGGCGTACAAGAAGCCAATACGGCAAGTTGAAAGAGAAAGAAAGAAGAAGGAGAAAGGAAGAGAGACAGAAAGTGCGCGATGATGGCCTCTTAGAAGCTCAGCGTGAGCCCAGGGTTTCCTGCGCTGCTGGGCTGCGGGAACAAGTGGCCGAGAACGATCAAACGAACAAACCCAGCTAAGGCCAGTTATGATTTAGGCATGAGGGGCGCTAAAGAACGTGCTGTGACATCCGTAATTCGGGTCATTCTAACTAACCTCTCGGGGGTGAGGTGTACCTATTGCTTCCAACCATCCATATATTGCGGCCGTTGGACACCTGTACCCTCGTGATAGGTCTTCATGATGCTTGCCACATATCCATTCTCTCCAGTATTATCGTAACTTCATCTTGAGCATCTGAGATACCAGTCGAATACAAAGACTGCAAGTAGATCAGATCCCGAGCATTACTGAAAAGCTTGGCTTGCTAGGATTGCCGACGAGACATATCGAGTGATTGTCAGACAAGGATTCATGCAGTTTTGAATTGATGTATTGAGCACCAAACTCTATATGAATACTATCATTTGATCAGGACAGGTTATTCGAGATTCGCTGTGGTTTACTGCGTGGATGCATGAACGTCGTCCAGGGTCTACCTACTTTGAGTGAGAATCGATGTTGCTCCGATTTAAGAATAGGCAGCCGGGAAAATAGTGGGGCTTCCCGCAGCCTCGTGCATAACCAATCCGATCTCTCTTTTCCTAAAAATGTTTGACAGCTCGAGCTGGTAACATAGACATCATGACACTCCGAGGACAGCAATTCAGTATAGACGACTTTGACGCCCAAAACTCGCCAGAAGTCGACAGTGCTCCCAAGGTTTTCAATCCATTCAACTTTGTCGCCGACGTCCAGGAACGCAAGCCAACAGCCGCACCCGCGCCGCCGCAACCACCCGCCTTCAAGAACTCGACAGGTGGCTTCCCTGCCCACCGGAAGCGCAACGTACAGTCCAGGTTCAAGAAGAGTAGACAACAGGATGTGGAGCCCATCGCGCCAACACCACAACCTCAGGGCAACGACCTGGAAGACGACGATGACGATTTCATGACTACTGAGAGGCGGCGCATAGATGAGGAGAACCGCCAAAGGATCGCTGAGATGTCGCCAGAGGAGATAGAGGAAGAGCGAAGAGAACTGCTTTCGTCACTCGATCCCTCTCTGATTCAACGCCTGCTGGGTCGCGCAACCATCGAGGAAGGTGGAAGTAACGAGGACTTCCCTGGGTTGCAAGAGAAGGTGGAAGAAACGAAGCAGGAAGCCAAACCACAACCCGACGTCACGAAGCCTCGTAAGACTGTCAAGTTTGCTGAAGTGGAAGACGAGCCGGTAGGCGCAGAAGCCGGGTTTGGTACTCGCAATGGAAACGATACTTCTTCAAATAACCACAAGCACGATCACTCTGGTCACGAGGCAGCAGCAGAAGTTGCCCTCCCGACAGATTCGACTATCCACTTCCCGCGACCTCCTCAACCGCCATCACTCGACCCTTCAGACCCGAACTTCCTCGAAGACTTGCACGAAAAGTACTTTCCTGATTTACCCGCCGATCCAGAGAAGTTAGAATGGATGACTTCTACGCCGAAAAATGCATATTCAGCGTCTCAGACATCCCTTGATCCAAAAGATATTCGTTTTGCTTTCACTGGCGCATTGATTCCTCCGAGTCTTGCAGCAGAAATTCCGGTCACGATGGGTCTGCATCATCACGGCGATGCTCCTGATGCTGCGGGTTATACGATACCCGAACTGGCCATGTTGGCTAGGTCCAGCGTGCCTGCTCAACGATGTGTCGCCTTCCAGACGCTCGGACGGGTCCTGTATAGACTCGGGAAGGGCGAGTTTGGTGATCCTGGAGAAGAGGGTCAAGGCACAGTCGACGCTAAAGACACACTTGGAGAGTTGGCAAGAGGACTGTGGTTTGAAGTCAAGAAGGAGAGTGTGCTTGAGATCTGTCTAGCTGAGAGCGAGGGCAGAGGCGCTGCGGGAGGAAGGCATATAGGCGCAAAGTCCTATGCTACGGAGGCTGTCTGGCTCTGGCAACAGGGTGGTGGCCGCCGATGGAAGGCCGAGTAAAGATATACGTTACCAACGAAATCATGAAACAAGCATTTGTATCTTAAACATGTCTCAGTGTCTTCTATGCTTTCGTGTAACCACAGCCGTCTCGCAGGAAATATGTTTTGAAGCTACATGCGACCTCCGGCCCACCAGATCACATTCAGATAACTTACCAAACAGTTGTGTGACTTGATGGTAGCAGACACAAAGACAAGTAAGGAAGTGACCGTCGACTTGCGACTCGATTGACTTTGATGAGCAGGGTCGTCCCCTCGCCATCTTGATCAAGCCATTTTGCAAGTATGAAAGAACACATAAGTTATTATCCAAGTTCGTCGTCTGATCGAAATATTGTCATGTTCACTGAATGACCCATTGATTTGTAGAGGTTTTGTGGCTGTTGTTGGCCATTCCGGAACTTTTCCGAGAAAGAGGGAGAGTTGGCAGTTGACAGCGACTCGAGTCTGGATTCCCATTGTTCAACACATGAAGAGGTTTATCCCTTCAGCGAATTCAGACGCAAGACAATAGATACAAGACCTTGCCCGCGATATGAGAGTGAGATATAAGAATGTGTCACGGGCGGGCAAGGAGCAAGCACGCAAGCGTTTGACAGAAGGGGAAGGCATGGCCGACCACGGCGTTGAGAACGGGGTGAAGCGACGACGCCTTGTGACTTTCATTAGCTCTCTCGATCATTCCTCTTTTCTTTCCAATCAATCGACTTGATCATAGAAGATGGCCGACGCAGTAGAAGAGATTGAAAGAGAAGGCGGCAGTCGCGCCGTCAAGGATCTATTTGCGGGCGCTGTTGGTGGTGTTGCACAAGTGTTGATTGGTGAGTAAACTTGGCGTATGGGGGTCATATCGAGGACGAGAGGGAAGGGAACAGAAAGAGCAAGGGACAATCGATGGGCCAGACGTGTTTCTGGTAGCTCAGACGAAGAGAGTATATTGCTTGGGGCCAAAATAATGATCACGATGATACTTGAGAGTGCACGCTGACGATGTTTATCTTATAGGACAGCCTTTCGGTAAGACTCCTGGAAACCTCTGGACTGCGCACTCGTAATTCTAATATGGTTCGAAAGATATTGTCAAGGTTCGTCTGCAAACAACAACGCAGTACTCGGGCGCAGCAGATGCTGCTTCGAAGATCTTGAAGAATGANGGTGCAGCTGCTTTCTACAAGGGCACATTAACACCACTTATCGGTATCGGTGCATGTGTAAGTAGTGTCTTGCTCTTTTTCCATTTACGGCAACAGATCTAGGATATAAGGTTGGATTGCCCGAAGATATCAGTCTAACATGTCCAANNGGTATCCGTCCAATTCGGAGCCTTCCACTACGCCCGCCGCGCCTTTGAGCGCCAAAACGCAGCAAAGACTGGCGGTCTCCTCGAAACACCTCAGCCGCTCTCATATGGCCAATACTATGCAGCCGGTGCCTTTGCCGGTATTGCCAACACATTAATGTCCTCTCCCATCGAACACATCCGTATCCGTCTGCAAACACAACCCCACGGCGCAGCACGCCTCTACAACGGCCCCATCGACTGCGTAAAGAAACTCTGCGCCCACGAAGGCGTGCTCAAGGGTCTCTACCGCGGCACAGGCGTGACCTGGTTCCGTGAAGCCCAGGCTTACGGTGTTTGGTTTACCGCTTTCGAATTCATGATGAACCAAGATGCCAAGCGTAACGGTATCGAGCGCAAGGAAATCCCCACCTGGAAGATTGCGCTGTATGGCGGTCTGGCTGGTGAGGCCCTCTGGCTCGGAAGTTACCCCTTCGATGTCATCAAGTCGAAGATGCAGAGTGACGGTTTCGGAGCTCAGCAAAAGTATAAGAGCATGCGTGATACCTTCGCGCAGACATGGAGAGGTGAAGGCATGAGAGGTTTCTGGAGAGGATTGGGTCCTACTTTGCTGAGAGCCATGCCTGTATCCGCTGGTACCTTTGCTACGTGAGTGTTTCCAGTGGTCTCCTTGTTGTGATTATGCTGACTTTTCTACCAGTGTCGAGTTGACCATGCGCTTGATCAGCTAGACGCGATCGGCCAGTACTCAGGGGCCTTGGAATAGCTCTCTCGTCAAAAGAACAATACAAAAGTGATTTTGAAACTCTCGATTCTGAACAAGTGGTATAATACAAGAAATGTTGGTTTGCAAAGGTTAGATTTCCATACACGCCAACTCAGATGAACGCCAGGCTTTTCTCCGTCCCAGACCCCAATTTTATGCTTTACATGACACAGTCTATACAAGAGGCGACTATGAGGGGCGTCTCGCAGGCAGCGCGAACTCGCCTTCATCAGCCGCAGGTGCGTTCTTGGCTGCTTCATCGAGCTTGCGTAGAACCTCTTGGTCTTCGGCAGACAATTCCTCTCCGTATGCCCTTCTCTTAAGAGCGACCATTCTGCTAAGCGTGGCGCCAGCGGCGTTCTTGCGCATCTTGAGAGCGCTACGGTAACTGCCGCCCTCGTAGGGGTTCTCACCCTTGCCACCGTCCTGTAAGTGCAGTGCAGCAGCTTCTTGTTGGGTGAGTGGCTCATCCATCATGTCTTGTGTCTCGGCTTCAAGCTCGACTGCTGTCTCGGCATCGACCTGCTCGCTCTCAAAGTATGTTGGCTCGCCTTCAACTGGTATATTCAAGGCGCGGTGGGTGCGGCGGAGATTTTCTCTCAATTCAGCCAATTCCGCTGTCTCGGATGTCTTCTGGTCAGGGAAGTGCATCTCAATGGCAGCACCCGTGGCCTCCTCATCGAAGTCAGCGAATTGAGCGTACTCAAACGCGCTCAACATTGTTGTGTCGGCCTTCTCTTGAATTCTGGCGTCTTCGTCAGCAGGAGCGGACGAAGTGACGATACGTTGGTCAGCGTCCTGGTCGAAAGCGTTGTTTCTGGCGAACGAGCGTTCGGCTTCGTAGGCAGCGGCAATCTGGTCAGCGGTTGGGGNAGCCAAGTTGTGGCGTGCTGCGTATGTAACAACACCATTGGCAGCCTGACCAAGACGAGATTTCATGCCTGACTCTGCGGCACGTCCAAGAACGCCTCCGATGAGGTTGATGCAACGAAGACTGGTATTGGTCAGTGATCACGTACATAAGAGTGGAAGAAAGCATATGTACCTGTCATCGTTGGCGGGAATGGGGTAGGTGACCCAGGTGGGGTTTGCGTCAGTGTCAATGACACCAATAGTGGGAATGTTGTTCAGACCACATTCGTGCAGCAAGACGTAGTTCTCCAGCGGGTTCAGGCAGACGACCAAGTCGGGCTTGAGAGCGCCCTTTGCCTCGAGCTGCTCTTCGAAGCCCTTGATCTCCTTGTCATTCTCGTCAACGACTTTTGTGCGGCATCTGCCCAAGATCTGAGCACCGTTGGTGATGCTTCCAGGAATCCAGCGGTCGAACAGATGGCAGCCACCAGCGAGCTCAGCTGCCTTGACAACAATCCTCTCTTGCCCCTCGCGAGTACCGACGAACAGGATCAAACCACCACGTTGAGCGACACCACGAACGACAGCACATGCTCTGCGCAAGTGGGAGGCGGTCTGGTCAAGCGAGATGATGTGGACACCCTGACGTACACCAAAGATGTAGCGGGCGTTGGCAGGATTCCAGAGCGATGTAGAGTGGCCCAGGTGGGATTGCGAGGCAAGAAGGAGTTCGAGGGAGATTTCGTCGGGCGAGGGAGGTTGGGTGAGTTGGGTATGCGGCTGGTACTTGGGCGAAACAACGGATCCGATGCGGTTGGTGACTTCTTGGTGGTGCTTGAAAGCGCGGTAATCACGAGCGACCTGATCACCGTCTACGGGAGGTTGGATGCGCGAGGAGAACGAGTACGAGGCGGGGTCAATGGGTTGGTTCTGTTGCAGGCAAGTGGCTGATGAGTGAAGGCATCGTGTGGGCTTGGCCACCGCTCTGCGGCCTGCTGAGATATGAGTACTGTTCACTGGGGCACGGGAAAAGAGGCGACGTACCTTGCCGTAAGGCTATTGATCGTAGAATCATCAGGAACTGACGGTCGTGGAGCGGAGAGTGAATGTACAAAGTCACAGTGCACGGCGGAACATTTCGAGATGCGCGAGGGAAACTGCGATGGACGCGGGCTTGGCGCAGCATCGCAGCTGCCGCCGACCATGCATGATGCACTTTCCTGTTGCACTTTCTTGTATCAGTCAGTCAATCGCCGAATTGCCAGGCGCCTTCCATGCCATGTCGACTCCAGCCGTACATCTGGATCTCCGATGACACCCTCGCCGCCGCCTATCGTCGCTTTGCCAACACCTGTCTGGTAAATCACAGCCATACCAACACCAGACGCCATGGCAGCAATGTCCCGGGACCATTGGAGGCCCGTCGTCGCCTTGCTAGGAGACGCATGGCTGGGCTCAGTATGTCCAGTCCCTCTCCAGGCCTGATGCCTGACTTTGGCGCTCTGTTCGGCTCTGGAGGTGTCGATATGACCTCGCTATGGGCCCCACCGAGTACCGCACAGTCGCGTGCCCCGAGTCCACCACACCACACTCCTCCCGCTCCTCCAACACCTCGGACGCTTCCCACGTCTCAAACCTCTTGTACCTCTCGTGCCGTCCCACCACCGCCCACGTCTCCACTACATGACCGGGAGCGTTCTTTGAAAGAGTACAAAGTTCTACTGGCTTCATGTCGCACCCTGGACTCTCTAGCTCAAGCATATACCAGCATGCATTCTGACTCTGATGTCTCGCAAAACTTCAGCAAAGCCGCCTTCTTCTCTTTGTTACACCGATCCACTCCTGATCAAGTTTTGGCCTTCCTGCAGAGCGACTTGGACCACCAAGACACTCGCAACACTCATACATACCTCATCCATCTTTTCGCTACAAAGAGCCCTTCTGAGCAGGTTATGGACTGCGTTCGTCTTGTGTGTGATAAGATTGCCTTGGGCACTATACCGGAAAAAGAGTTGTCGGACATCCTCGAAATACCGAGAGAAACTGCAGGAATTGATGGTCGATTACTGTTGGAGGTCAACTCAATGCTTCATCGATCCTTGGTGGACGTTTATGCTCCNAAACAACCCCCAGAGCGTCTTGTTACTAAATTGCTCAAAAATTCACTTTCTCTACCTCCGTCGCCAGACGTCTTCAAGCTCATAGCTGCAGCTAGTTCACTTTCTGGAGCTATGGCCCCTCGGATTATGGCCAGGCACCTCAGAACAGCCATATCTCGGACCATGTGGCCTGGACCTTCAGATCAGCTGATGCCTATCTTGAGTATGATCCCCTCTGCATATCTTGACCACGTCATAGTACTTGCTACCAAGAAGTTCATCGGCAAAAGTCTCGACGATCCAAAGGTTGCCCGCAACAGGTGCATTGAGAGGCTTAATTGCTGGCTTGTAGATCTCGGTCTCTTCTATCCCTCGATCTATCAGTCTTCTTCAATAGGTGCCACGGTTCTCTACCCTTTTCTCGCGTTGAAATTCACCATCGCTGAGCTCGGTACCCACCTACGGTCTCTTCACCCCGCAGATGCCGCCACAATCGTCTTGCACAACTGGATCAAGCCTTCCATACTGGAAGTACCGGACCCTGAATTATCAGAGTCTGACATTACAGACTCTGACGTTCCAAGTGTAACAAGCAATACCACACCGGATACAGTACGCGACCTACCACTACAACCTCCACCAACCGTTCACAGTCGGCACGGCTCCAAGACTGAAGATCCCTTTCATACCTATGGACTGAGATATACTGTGTCTCGGTCCCCTGATCGGTCTCGTACCCACCGAGCGACCCTTGAAGAACGTCAGGAGATTTTTGATACCATTGCATCGACGCTCCATGATCGCTGCAAGCCAGATCAGAATGATTTCTATCCAAGTCGGGGTGGAGCCTGGTTTCATCTGTTCACTTTGTTGAGCGAAAACAAGATTGATTATGCTGGTTGGCTCAGTGATTTGTTTCAAGTGCTGAAGCATCACAAGTCACCCGTGTGGACATATTATCTGTTTGCGAAGCTTACTAGAGCCAACGTTCGCATCCCTTATCCGGTGGCTGTGGATATTATGCGATATTTCATCGACATAGAGAAAACACAATGGGCGTTGGACGTCTTCAACCGTTCGCAAAGCCACCAATGGCTCTCGAGTGTACCGGAGTTGTTGTTTGCTTTGACCGACAGTCGCGCGGTCAGGTCTCAAGCTGTATTTGATTTGCTGAAACGACCAGACTATGCAAACTCTCTGCCAACGGAATTGCGTTCAGTAGCCAACAACCCTCTGTCACACGAGAGGATACAGCTGGTGCATCATGTCGCGTACGCCATGGCCAAGTCGCCACTATTGACCTCACGGATGGCCTTCAGGAAGGTATGCGATTGCTTGAACTACCTACAGGACCGAGGCGCACCACTTTCAAGCCTCATGTCTCGGGCTCTTGTCTATGCTGGAGTGACTCGTCCGCTCCGAGAAGGTATCTGGCTCAGTACTGAAAAGTTTCAATGGATCCTTATGTTCGTTCGCCGTCTCGAAGGCGATGAAGTGGCAGACAGCCTCGATGAAGCGGCCTTTACGCTCAGGAGTGAGAACCTTGAGCTAGATAAGGCACGAATGAAGCCATTGGACGAAATGCAACAGGAAGCAGATCACATCGCTTGGGAGTATCGAAAGCGGTTCGGTCACGGATCTCATCAATCGGAGAATATCACGTCACCCTACAAAACCGTCACACCCAAGAGGACTAGAGTCCAAAGAAGACTTGAGTTCGCTGCAACAGTCTCTCAGAAGGAAAGTAAATAGTTGATGTATACCTTTGTAGATACCCATAGAAGTTCCGACGAGAATGAATTTGATGTTAACAGAACAATATTAACAACACATTTGGGTCATGCTTTCGTGATACCACGCCCGTCCCTCTCAAAGGGACTTGCAAAAGGATGACAGGAAGAGAAGCATCAAGATGACCTTCAGCCTCGGGCTCTGCAGCGGTTCCATCTCGTGGTAGCAAGAGCAAAAGGAGATATCGACGCCCATGTGGTTCGAACACATGCCTCCGAAGAGATTAGATTACTGAAATTGATTCAAGTCTAACGCCTTAGACCACTCGGCCAGAGCGCCACGATGATGGAAAGCGTTTGCCTAGCATCAACATATTCCACCAACAGACAGAAAGCGATCGAAAAGATTCTCCATCTTAGCAAAGGGGACAGCCGCAGTCGGAGCAGCTTGCGGGAGCGCGCTCAATCTGGAGACAGAACGGAGTTAAGGTCACCCCGGTTGAATGTGATGGATGTCGCATGCGATTCCGAGGTTTGCGACAAGCCGAATATCATCTTCATCACAACATTTCTCGCATCACAGGCAATGTAGCCAGAAGCCCGTCATCATGGAGAACAAGTCACAGTCCCCAGTGGTCACTAAGAAGCACTCTCTCGCCGACATCCGCTTTCCGTCTCCAGGCTCGGTATCCACACATGGCTGCGGTATGACGATCATACAACAACTTGTTCGCACCACGTCTAACAGTTCTTANGATCATGTCAAGAGCCAACTCGAAGCCTCACAACCCGATCTGATCAAGCGATACACGACTTTGATGCAAACAGTACACAAGAACGGCGCAATCGGCCCACACCTCTCCAAATCATCAGCCATCTCTCTGCGACCTACCTACCTCTGTCTGGAATGTTCGAGTGTCTTCCCGTTAGAACAGCGTGGACAGCACGAAAAGAAGCATATCCTCTGTAAGGACATACATACACATCAGATTAAGCAACATGTTCTGATGACAGGCTAGGCNGTGGAATCAAGCAAAGGCAATGTTTACTGCCGAGAGTGCGACGATTTTGTCTATGACAATGCTCTCGAAGAGATACGCACTCAGCAAGGTATGAGTACAAGAGAAGAATATAAGGCANNGAAGACTGACCGCTTCGCAGGCAAGAAGCGCAAGCACACCGTCTTCATGTCCGATGTCGACAGCAAGATTCTCGCCGCAAACGCCGCACCTACACCCTGCCGCGCCAAAGGCCTCCGTGGACTTTATAACATGGGTCAGACATGCTTCATGTCGGTAGTCCTCCAGTCCTTGATCCACAACCCCTTTATCCGCGCCTTCTACCTTTCCGTTGGTCACCGCTCCCTCGACTGCGAACGCGAAGCATGCACCTCCTGTGCCCTTGACGACATCATCACCGAGTTCCACAGCACTGAAAAGGCAGAAGGTTATGGCGCAGTGGCCATGCTCCAGGGGAGCTGGAAAGGAGGCGGTAACCTGGCTGGCTACCAACAACAAGATGCCCACGAATACCTTCAGTTCATCTTGAACTCGCTCCATACCACAAATATCGAAGAGGACGAGAAGGAGGAAAAGGCTGAAGACTGCCACTGCGTCATTCATCGTGCCTTCTGTGGTCTGATGCGTAGCACTGTCGTGTGTTCAAAGTGCAAGAACGTTACAACCGCGCTGGACCCGTTCATGGACCTGTCTCTCGACCTCAAAAGTTCTGGACCCAAGAAGAAAAAGAACGACCCACCTGTAGCGCCTCAAGCCATCGATCTGACCGAGTGTCTTGATCGTTTCACAAGTCCCGAAGTACTGCAAGCTTCAGATTATCGCTGCCGAGAGTGCGACAGCCAACAGACCGCCACCAAACGACTTGCCCTGGCACGACTACCACCTGTCCTCCCCATACACTTGAAACGCTTCTCACATTCAAAGACGTCGTCTACGTCCATCAAGCTTGATGCGAAGGTGCACTTCCCAACCACACTGGATATGCAACCTTACGTTGGTCGCCCACGTTCGAAGAAGGGCAGCAATGAAACGAATGGAGCAAAGAACGGTGGAGACTCTGACAAGGGAACATCTCCAAGGCCTATGTATGAGCTCAGCAGTGTCATCGTACACAAGGGTAAAATGGATAGTGGACATTATGTGAGCTATGCCAGAGAAGGTGACGAGTGGTTCTTGTTTGACGACAGCAAAGTGGTCTTGGTCGAGGAGAAAGAAGTCTTGGCTGCAGAGGCGTATATGCTCTTCTACATTGTTCAGGAGATTGAGGTATAAGCTATAGCACTATTGGCGTCGGGGAACATCTTGTCCACGGATAGTGTCAAGTTCAGCATGTTAGCAGGCAGTGACAGGCGTTGGCGGCGACATTTGGAATATCCGGTAATCAGCAGCTGTACAGACTCGATGGGGCTGACGATATTATCAACGATGAATCTTTTGACCTTTATCACAAAGCAGGCTTGGACTGTAGAAACCATGCTCCTTCGTCCTCATGGACTTTCCCTTCCTTCTTCAACTTGTCCAACACTTGCAAGACACCTCTTTCCGCTGGTGCATGCAGATTCTCAGGATAGCCTTTGTAGATGACCTTGACCAGATCCATCGACTGCCACGCTTTCTTTCCCTCCTGAGTCTCCCGACTCAACACATCAACAATCTGACCCTCTCGTTCTTGCCGATGATGAACATACTCGCGTATCTTGGCCTTGCCATCCTCAATCACAGGCCCATGACCTGGATAAGCGCGACCAGAGAATTCGTTCTGCATCTTCTGCAGACTGTCCATGTACGCAGACAGATCTTCAAATACTGCTGTGCCCTGTCCTAGCACATTGTCTCCAGTAAACATTGCATTTTCCTCTTCCAAGATCAAAGCCATGTGATCTGTTGTATGGCCCGGACAATGAAAGGCTCTCAACGTAGCCCCCTGTGTCTTGAAGACCTGCCCATGACTGATGTTGGTCTGGTTTTCTGTAGGTTGATTCTTGTACACTTGAATACTGGGAATGTGGGAGAGTAGATCGGGGATTCCTCCGACGTGGTCTGGATGCCAGTGTGTCAGGATTACTTTGTCGATGGAGGCTTTTTCTTGCTCCAGGGTGATTTTTAGGGAGGTTAACCAGGAGGGCTTTCCTTCGCCTGTGTCGATTAGGAGGCGTTTAGGTCCTTGGCCTACTAGGTAGGTGTTTGTCCCTTTGATCTTTTNTGTTAGTCTGATTTGTTTCTACGCAAGTTTGTTCGAGTTCTGCATACCTTGGAGTGTGAACTGAGAAATTTGTTAGCTGGATTCACATCAACTAAAACATGTAGTTCTCACCTTTCCTGGATTGCCGCCTAGTATTCTGATTACCCGTGAACTGATCTGCTCGATTTCCGGTAGATGTACTAGATTTGATGCCATGGTTGATGAGTTGCAATCTGCTGTGGTATCATTGATGTTGTGATTGCGACCTGTAGATTGATCCGTTAAAGGACCACTTTGTTTGATGAGTTGATTGATGGTTGATGTTCAATCATCCTCGATCTGTGCCAGGAAGTCATATCCAAATGGACCTCGGCTCTGCATACCATCGAACTAGAGTTGTTTGGCGAGAACATACGGACAGGGTGACCTCGAGCCTCGGCCAAGACAAGCCTGTTTGAGCACATTTCTGGTGCTTGGGAAGAAAACAAATTATGCGAGACCCTCTGTTCCAGAATTTTTCCCATCCAACCATATACCAACAATAGTTATAGCAAAGATGGGACTGACTGACGACTTCGACGAGGATGATCGTCCGTAAGTTCTGCACAAAAATCAGTTTCCTGAATTATCATGTACTAATGTCTGTCCTACAGTNCAACTGGATCCCTCCACCCTTGCTCTCCTTCAGGAGTTCTATACTGAGAGAGATGAACGGGAAAAGCAATTCGAAGACTTGAAAGCAAAAGCCGAAGATGAGTTCGACAGTTCGAAGCCTCTATCTATGGATCTGTTCACAGAAAGCTGGCAGGACAGCCAGTTTTGGTACAAGGACGAGACGGCAACGATTCTGGCTCAGCATTTGTTGGATGGTGTGACGGAAGATAGCAAGATTGCTGTTGTCTCTGCACCGAGTGTGTACATTCAGTTGAGAAATTTGNNCTTGTGGGTTTTTGGCTTGCGGAACGAGACCAAAGGGGTTCCAAATACTGATTACGAGACGCAGAATGACCGTGAGAAGTACCCGATACGACCGAAGCTCATGCTTCTTGAGTTCGACGAGAGATTTGCGGTGTTCAAGGACGACTTTTCTTTCTATGATTACAAGCAGCCTGTCAAGTTGGATCGTAAGGACCATTCGATCGCTGATATGAGATCAAGCTAACAATAATGACANGCTAGCCTCAAGAGCTCCTTCGACAGGATCATCTGCGATCCTCCATTCTTGAACGAAGACTGTCAATCANNAAAGGTGACTATATTGCTTCTCTGTCCTACAAGAATGATATACTGATGCAGATATATCACAGCTGCACTCACTGTCCGCTGGCTGGCCAAGACATGGGAGGCNCCTCTCAGACTCATACAATGTACCGGAGAGCGCATGGAGTCGCTGGCTCACAAACTGTACGGCAAGGCTGGCATGCGTACCACGACTTTCCGTCCAGAGCACTCGAAAGGCCTGAGCAACGAATTCAGATGCTACGCCAACTTTGAGTGTGATGCGTGGAAGTTTGAACCTCAGGCAAGCAATCTGGCATAGGCGATGATTCAAGTACGGAGCCAGTGTAAGATAGTCGATTATGAGGGTATCTTGATAGAGCAAAAGTCACGAGGCACGAGGCACTTTAGACAGGTTTTGGAAGGAGCAGGTGTTCCGAAAAAGGCAGGGGGTGTACACGTCAAAGCTCCACCCCGCAGTCGTCACTTCTTCGGTTGGCATTCGGACGAGTGGTGGAGGGGTCCTTTACTTCTGTTGATCTGGATATTATAGCACACTGTAACACCTCACGGACTCTACATATCAATCTCTAATCACAAGCCTCACTTCACAACCATGGCCGCTGCCTGCATCTTCTGCAAGATCATCAAGGGTACAGACCCCTCACACCAAAAGCTCCCATCGAAACACCACCAACATAGCTAACACCACCACNNAGGCGAGATTCCTTCGATGAAACTCTTCGAAAGCGANAAAGTCTTTGCCTTCCTCGACATCAACCCTCTAAGCTACGGCCACGCTGTTTGTCACTCTTCCTCCCTCACCCCACCTACCACCTGACACCACCGCACANNGCTCGTCATCCCCAAACACCACGGCGCAAAACTCCACGACATCCCCGACGACCAACTCACAGAAATCCTGCCCGTCGCAAAGAAAATCGCTCAAGCCGTAAACGCAAGCGACTACAATATCCTCCAGAACAATGGCAGGATTGCCCATCAGGTGGTGGATCATGTGCACTTCCACATGATTCCTAAGCCGAGTGAGAAGGAAGGATTGGGTATTAGTTGGCCTCAGCAGCAGGGTAACCAGGATAAGCTCAAGAAGCTTAGAGAGGAGATTTTGGCAAAGATGTAGAAGAGGCAAAAAGAGCAAGATACAGAGGAATGAGATATGATTGGAAGCTTGGAAGTTGAGAGGTCGATGGTCTTGCCTCGAAGGAGTCAGACTGGTGAGATCACATTGGCAAATGCAGAAGAGAAACGCTTGGAATTGCACATCTATACTTTTGAAGGTACCTTTTGACTCGCGAGTCTTTAGTCCTGTTTAACATGTCATGGGTGGTAGATCACCCTATGAAGCCACTGCACAAAGCAAGCCCTCCACACACCCATGCCGGCCACCAGAGCACCCACACAGTGACTCCCGTCCACACTCTTTCCACTCTCCACGCCCAAGCCGCAGCTGCAATGACCTCGTCGAAGCCCTTGCCCGCCACGAGTCCTAGAACATGCAAGGCAGCTGGTGGTGAGGTAGCAACCATGATCATCACAGCCAGGACTCCCAACACAACCTTGACGGCGATTGGCCATGTTTTCGGAGGTGAGAAGGGTCGGACAAAAGACAGCGGAGAAGCGAGAAGTCCGACAAAAAGAGCCTGTGAAAAGTTGAGTGTTGCGAGGGTAGAGAGGGCGGCACCGAGTAAGAGCAGAGAGAAGCATTGGATGAGTGTAAATGTCTGAGATGGGAGGCGGAGAGTGCTGTGAAGACCATATGCGAGAATCGCAGGCATGGTGATTGTGGGTATCACAAGAGCCGATAGCATTTTGAGAGACGNTCTAGAAAATATTAGCAGGACTTAGTATGATGTCGCACAATTGTTGCATACCTTCTCCGGGATCTGATTCAAGATATAAAATGGCACCAGGCCCAAAGCATGAACGCCGAGAACGATAGCCAGAGGGCTGAACAGATCCCTCTCGACCACCTCAAGATCTGCAGAGGGTACCAGTGCCACGTTCTCCCCTTCTTTGACAAGGGTCATCTCTGGCTTTTTCTCACTCTTGGGAGAGGCCGGATTAGGGCTCTGGCGTTCTGGTCGACCACTTTGCACCCAAAGTAGGATACAAGTGATGGTAAAGTTTACCGCAATCAGCATGGCACTGGGTAGATAAGTACCAATGCTCACGAAGCGGTTGGCTTGCATGAGAAGGTAGAAGAAGAAACTCTGGTGCAAATGCTCGAGAAGGTTGTTTACGCTGCGGAACAGACTCTCGACAGTCCTTCCGAGCGAGACTTCATCATGCCAACCATCACCAACCGTTTGCAGGGTAATAGCATCAACGTGGTAGGGCATAAAGACACTATGAGGACCGCTCGCATGACCTACAGCTTGGTTCATCATACCCCTGAGCATAGTGTCAAGACGCTCACGGTAGCTGTCCTTGTGATCCCACATGCGCTGGATAGTACAAGTAATGCCGAGTTGACCCTGAGCAATGTTGACAGCAGTGTTGACAAGATCAAGGTTGGGCAACTGGCCGTTAATGCCATCGTATACAACATGGAGCTTGTCAAAGCGATGACCCCATGGGCCGGCAGGGTAATCAATAGCGATGGCAGCTTGAAGAGCACCCGCCTTGATGTTCAAGGCCTGTACGGCAGTGGTATCGTGCGTGTCATGGTAGGCGTCGACCCAGGCGTGCGGGCCATAGGTGCTGTCGGAGGGAATCAAGACGATGATGTCCTTTGACCAGATGGACCACCTCTTGAAATATCTTGCCAGAGTCAGGAGCAAAGCGACACCGGAATAGTTGATCTTGTCGTCCATGTTTCTCCATGCAGCGATCAGGACCATTGCTTCGGTGGCATCAGCTCTTGGGCCTTGAAGGAGAGCATAGACATTCTGGCCCGTCTTGTTTTGACCCGAGACGTCATAAGAGTAGTTTTGAATATCGGGCTTCAATCCATTGGCGCCGAGCAGATGGTATAGCTTTTGGGAGCGGTCCTCGGAGGAGAGCTGGTCCATCTCGGCGACCTCCTGTCTGTATGCACGAAAGACATTGTGTTCACTGCCGCCGAAATAGGTGTGGACCTGACCGGGCAGGATGGCGTTCTCGGAGACATAGGTGCGGCGTGAATACTCGTCGAGGGGCAGCAGCAACAACCAGGCGACGCCAATGACGATGCACAGCAGCGACAGGTACGGCGGGATGCGGGCCAGACGGCGACTGTGTCGGAGACTGAGCAGTCCTGCTTCAGACGAGACACGAGTTATTATTTGCTTGTCCGTCTAGTTGGTATGGCCATCTTACACAGTAGGGCTGCCATTGTTGACGACAGTCGGTGACTTCAGGAGGCGGTCGCGGACAGGAGGGTCAGGGCGTGTTTTCGAGGGGGAACAAGCGTTTGCTGCGAGAATGCAAGTCTCCGCCGACGCGACCGACTTGACCTTTGACTTCTCCTGACCTCTTCGCTACTCTTGCACTCGCCCTGTATTCGGTCGCGATGCCGTCGTTGTCGCTGCCCCAGTTCGACGCTCGTCGCGTGCGCTCGTATCTGTTCCGTCTGCCATTGTGCACGCGTGCGCTTCTCGTTGTTATAGTCGCTTTTTGGATTGCCAGCTTTAGACTGGCCTGGTTCCAACAATGGGCCGCTCTGATACCGAATGAGATGAATCTGGGAACTAGTATCTACCTTCCTTCCATGTCTTGTAGCTGTCCGTCTGACTCGCTTGGTNNAGTGTACCGCTTGAATACCTTTCCCCTGCTGCATGTTGGCTTCGTACACATGATCCTCAACATATTCGCTTTGGCTCCGCTGCTCGAACGTTTCGAGGCCGAGAATGGCTCTCTTCCGACTCTGCTCCTCTTTACTGGCCGTTCGTTCTTCCCGCCGTCCCCAATTGGCTCCCTGTCTAACCAGTCTGCTNNAGCATTCGGCCTTCTTCCAGGAGGAAGCTACACCTTGATTGAGCGCTTCATCTTCAGATCAAACACTGCTGTCCAGGGCGCAAGGTCAGACACCCGACGGATTCCTACATTTGCTTCTGCTAATACCATCTGCAGCGTCTGGGTCTTCCTTCTCCTGGCTTCCGAGTCCATCAAGACATACAAACAAAACCCCAACTTCGCTCTCGGCCCTTACAACATTCCTACTTGGACTGCTCCNCTGATCCTCAACCTCTTTGTCGCCGTCCTTGTCCCCAACACCAGCTTCCTTGGTCACTTGTGCGGTCTCGCTGTTGGATACCTCTGGGGCTTGGGCTACGTCAAGTTCCTCGTACCCAACGAGAAGATTCTGCGATGGATCGAGGGCAAGCTCAACCTGCTTGGTCGCCTCCCTCATTACGTTTCAGTTGACCAAAAGACATATGGAAGATATGGTGTGCTGCCGACAACCGCAGCGCCTAGGCCGGTCCCCACTCTGGCGCCCCTGGGAAGTACTCAAAGACTTGGTCCTTGATTTGCATTTCACAAATAAAAAGCTAGCTATACCACCTCTCAATCTTCCAACTTGGGCACAACTTTCTCCAACCATTTACTCAAGTCCTGCAAGACAGCAGGTGACAGCGCATGCGCCAAGCCCTCATACTCTTTGATCTCCATGGCTGCATCGTCGACACCCAACTCCTTCAACTTGTTCAAGCCTTCGGTCCATTTGCTGCGTGGGATCAATCTGTCCGAGGTTCCGCGTCCCAGAAACATGGGCACATGGCCGACAACGTGAGGTAGTCCCGCATGGGTGCGTAACTNTTGAATAGTTTCGGGCAGCGGTAAATAGCCCATCAAGCCGACGATGCCTGCAAGCTTTCCGCTGTAGCGCGAAGTCAACTCGGTGAGNNTTAATGCAAGAGCACAGCCCTGCGAGAAGCCTCCAAGGACTATGCGGTTGAGTGGTATTCCTCTTGATGTCAGATCGCTAATGAGCGATTCGATGTACTCGACACTTTTTATCAAGCCCTCCTCATCTTCGTCTGCAACCAGTTCGGGACGGCCAGCAGGGGCAGGTTGCAGAGATGAGGGTGTGTACCATGCATTCTGTCTGGCGTCCATGTTATGCGGTGCATTCGGGAAGATCCATTGCATATAGGGTAGCTTGTTTCCTTGATGGAACTGTGTGGCTATGTNCTGGATGCAGTGTGAGTTCTTGTTGGTGGGCAGCAGGAAAGGAGACAGACTCTCCCATCCCATGGCATCATCATCGAGACCATGGAGAAAGATTATGGCAGCACCATGAGCGGGGTCACTAGCGGGTTTGGGAGCTGATCTGATGAGAGGAGGCTGTTGGGTTTGCATGTTTATATGGTTGCTAGGGAAAGACCGAGTGCGGGAGGGCAAAGTCGAGGCAAGCAGCATTCTTATAATTCAATCCAATTCACAGTTGCATCTCCTCTGGCCCGCCCGTCGTGTGACGGTGTTACGGTATTAGGTAAGTTACAAGAGAGGGTCAATTGTGGGGTTCAGACTGGGGTCGTCTGCCGAGAGAGATCCGAGCATGACGAGCTGAAACCTTTGTGACAATCAACTCTCATACAGTCCACAGCATGCCACACATCGAAGAGCTGCCAACGACGGCAAAGGCAGCAGCTCCGGGCTGGAGCTATGTCGTCGACACTGGATACGATCCCTCCAAAGCGGCCATCAACCCTGCAAGTCGCAAGCGCGTGCGCGCCTCGGCCGCCGGCCTCAGTCAAGGCGATCTCACCATCCGCCAACAGACGGCCATCCAACGACATCTAGATGACCTCGACAAGGACAGCCACAAGCCCGTCAACATCGCCCCGCCCAAGTCGAACCGCCGTCAGACTCAGAACACGCGCCGCATCCTCGCTTCGGGAAAGGACTTTTCACATTACCTGGACCAGGACGAAGCTGCTCTGGCGCTGAAACAGCACCATGGCCCGGAACCCGACATAGAACCCCCGAAAGCACCACAAAGGGCCAGTAAGACGCCCATTGCGAGACGCAAACCACAACCAACTCCCACGGCTGTCGAAGCCAGTCCCGCTCCGACTCAACAACTGCCCAATGCTGCTTCTACCACTCCGTCGGCGCCTCTGATCCCTTCTTTCCTCAAGCCTTATCTCGTCGACTCTGCCGCCGACTCGAACAAAGTACAACACGATTCTCTGCTTTCGCCGCCAGCTCCACTCACAGCTACTACGGCTGAACTCGAGGCTTTGCTCTCAGCACCACAACTCTCGTACAATGCTGCACGCTCTGCACCCAGTCCCGCTACTGCTCCACCACAGAGACTTTTCTGTGAGATGTGCGGATACTGGGGCCGCGTCAGATGCTTGAAGTGTGGTTCCCGTGTCTGCGGCCTCGAGTGCAAGAGCGCTCATGAAGAGAGCAGATGCATCCGCTTCTGATCTTCTTCCAATAATATTCTTCTTGCTGTGATACCCCTTTTTACCTATAGCAATTTGACCGCAAGGTCCAACATTTAGAGAATTCGTCTGGATGCACGCAACCGATCTTTGACAGAATTCGTAGCTTTATGCTCTCGTGATTGCTCGATTTGATCCGGAACATTGACACAATCTTACAAGGACGGGTATCAGGTCTACGCTCTCAGTCATCCAACCGAGCCAGGAAACCACGATAACCACGGAAGGCGCAGATCTGCATCAAAAATAATACATGACCCTCAGTCACAAAGCCCATAGGGTTTGCCGGCATGTGGACCTTATTAGATGGATCGTAACCCCGCGAGCCTTTTTGACAGGTTTTGTTCCCTGTACGACCAATCAAGTGTCGTACGAATTTAGCGATATGCACGTTGCTATACGTTCGCTTAGAACCATGCATCGTATTTGATACGACTAGTAACTCTCAGCTGGCTCTTCAGCTGCGTCGCTTTCGATAGCCTCATCGGAGGACCACATGACCACTCATTAATGCTGCCTCCACACAGCTAGGATGCAACTTGTCCTATGCATATCGGAAGCCGCATGTTCTAGAGCGCCATTTTGGCCCGTGTGTGTTGCACGACAGTATGGAGTTCTTGACGATGTTTGTAGTTTCGTTTATAAGATTCATGAGACACAGCCCTTCAAGCTTCCATCCTCTAGTTTTTCTCTTCGGGCATGCATCTCAACTTGTTCTCCCGGCTCGTTGCCGATCTACTTCTTGCCTGGATCTATGGTTCTGTAGTTGCGAATAGTCAAAGCACCACTACACCTTCTCTTTCTCAAACCACAAGTGCACTGGCATCTGCCGCTGGTCCTGGAAATGCTACCTCCTTAGGTAGTGTAATAGCAGAAGCTGGCAGCACTCTGGAAGGCATCATCTCTGACACCATCGCTCAACTCGCGAGATGGACAACTCTTATCCTTTTCATCCAGCAGAATATCACGCCTCGCTTTGCGTTTGGCTGTGGCCTGACTTAATTCTTCACTGAAGGCCTCGGTCAACGCGAGTGCTGTTCGCTCATCTGCACCTCCTGGCATAACCACAGGCATTGCTCCAAAAGGCGGTATAACGTCTTTATACGACAACATCGCCACAGTGTCCATCTCCGTCAAGAACACCGGTATCGTAGCTGCCGCTGAGGTCGCCCAATTGTACATCGGTATCCCTGGCAGTGGCGTCCCCAAAGTCCTGCGTGGGTTCGACAAGCAGTTGATACAGCCAGGCGCGAGTGTGGTCATGAGTTTTACGCTGAGAAGAAGGGATCTGAGTATTTGGAATGCTGTTACACAACAATGCATCTTGCCTGCTCGTGACTTTAGTGTCATGGTTGGCAAGAGTGTTTTGGATATCCAGGTGAAGGGTGTCTTGACCACCTAGAAAGTTGACATGGCATTATATGGAATGAATTCTGTCATATGCTTTGCTTTTACCTGTTGTTTCACCGTAAGAGCTTTCGTGATGTGAACAGCGCTTTGCCATCGGTGTGTGTGTGTCCTGTTGGGTCTGTGTTATTGCGCTGACTACACCAAACACAAAAGTCGACATCAAAAGTCGTGTAACAAACTATCGTACAATTCGTTCATAGTGATATCACATCTGAATGATTTGTTGTTGGCTAGATGACCCTGGTTGGATATATCCTATGATCAACGACTCTACGAGCACACCAGTTATTGAAGTACTGCATCATGTTGAGTATCATAGAGACTCAATGGTCTTTCTGTCCAATGGCTTGGGTTATCTACTGGCTAGTAAAGATTAACACACCCCAATAGCGCGCATAGCATTCAGCACACACTGACGCAAATCATGATGATTTGATACCGCATCTGGACAAGCACCACGAGCTCTAGAAGAACCTTGGTGCCTGGCGATCATCTCTCAAACAAGCAAAAATGCTGGACCACGTTGAGGAAGGTTGTGTTGACAGTAGAGGGCAACCAAAAGGACAGAGCAAAAAGAGTGCAAAACATACAGCAGCAGGGATTCCCACGTGGTCACCCACCGTAGTACTAATCTGCCGTTCAACTGCTTATGTATGGCAGAGCGGACGGGATGCCCAGTTTTCAGCTGACTGTGGCCGTATGTGCTGAAATTCTCAATTCATCCTTATATATATCATAAATCACATTGTTCTACAGTCATCGTTTGGCGCCTCGATGTCGCATGTTCCTAAACAATGCTACTCCGTAAGTCGTTCATCTCTTTCATCTTCCATATACTACTCCCGCAGGCCCAAGGTACGTGACTCTCATCGCAAAGTTAGGAAGAAATGATGGATGTGGCTGTCGTAACCAGTATTCCCTCTCACATAGAACATGCCATTCTGTCTTTTTCTGAATTCCGCTGAACATGTTTATCCAGACTTTCTCGAGCGCCATTTGTGCAGCTAAACTTTCGAAGCCAAAAACTCGGCCGAGTCATCGTTCAAAAAGTCTTTTTCCAGCAACGTTAACTCAACAAAGGTGGCTGGTGACTTTGGTCCCTCTTGTAAATACTAATCCGACCATGCACGTGGTCCAGGTCTCTGGCGGATCACACTCCGCTCTGCCACTTTGTGCTCACAACTGTGGAGACACGAGCGTCAGCAACACTTTGTGGCGTCCACCAGCATCGCTTCCTCAAACCCCTTCTGTCCGTTGCAATTCACTCCGCGGAAGAGCCACAGTGGTGCTCGATTGATTGTGGCGTGTGGAGTGGACTTGTTCCTTCGCGCTGCCTGTCTATATCGTGAACACAAGTGCCTGTCGTGATTTTGGCACGTGATGGTTTGTTAAGCATATCGCGGGTCTTTTCTACGCGAGGTTTCGTCTATACCAATGGCCGTCGCGCTAGGGAGTTGCTCCTCGGAGACGACGGGGCTTGTTAAGAAGAGACCTCTACGTGTTGTGTGGGCAGGCAGCGACAAGACCTGGTGCCAGTAAATGCAAAAGATACAAAGCACATTTATGAGGACAACTTCTTGTTAGCGCCGAGAGACCCGACTTAGCATGCAGGCTTGGTGTCGAGAATCGAGTATCGCATCATCTGCTTTCCCCTCTAGGCATGCGTTATCTTCCTCGACCGCATGCAACCATCGCCCTACGTTCTCGGCAAGAACGGATCAGGGCATTCGTAAGGCACAGTTACTCCGAGCCAACCTTTGCCAGGTCAGACGGGAACAGCATGACTAGCTCATAGCCAAGACGGAAGTTGATCTTCACACAGCGGTGCTGTTGGGTATGCATCATCCTTGGCCCAATGTCTTGGGTGCTTGTATGACAATCTTGGCTCTTGCGTACACCTCTCCGTCTGTTCGGAAGCTAGACGGGTGGAAGCACTCAAAGTACATGGCCAAGAGCGAGAAGAAGAACAACCTCCAAGCAAAGACACCCCATGATCCACCCTATAGATTGAAAACGATAATCACCAAGCCAAAAATCCTGCAGGTCATCAATTGACTTTCACCAGCCACGATTAGATGTGGCATTCAATCAATTGTGGATGTGCAACAAAAATTCTCGTCTGCGAAAACTCCCGTAAGTTGAACCGAAAGATAGAGGAAAGTAGACAGAGAAGGAAAGGACGCGCAAGCCCGCGTCACACCCAAGAGATGATCATCTAATCTGCGGCCGCTAAACATCCCATAATATAGCAACAGAGATCGAGTACAGTGAGGGTCAAAACGAAACCACAATCTCGCCAAGGGCAGATAAAGAAAGGGTCCTTAGGGACGGCAAATCCGTACATCGTTTGTTAAGGTTCTATATTGGTCTTGCTCTGCTACGTGCATCACGGCAGCTAGGAGACGCGCTGCTCTGACCCTCGCCCTGAAATCCACTATTATAGAAAGAAAAGGGCGTGTCACGGACTCGCGGCGTAACAGAGACTGCTTGGCGTTGTTTGACACTTTGAAGGGCGGTATCACTTTCTCCTGTGACGTCTCTGAGTGGTACTATCCATCTCAAAGACGAAGGATGGGTAGACCACTTTCTGAACATCTAAGCTCACTGCAAACACCAATCACATCTACCAAGAAAGATTCAGAGTTTCGGCAATGTCAGCCAAACAGCGTCGTCAAGCCTTAAGAATGCTCCGTCACGCATGCATACAAGTACACCGTTTGACAGACGAATGGCTGGAGTACAGTAGCCAAAACTCTCCACCGTAGAACCTATACATAGCATCCCCAGCATGCAACACAAACCCACTTTCGACCTCCTTGCTGTTGCAGCCAAATGAGCGTTAGCCAAGAGGTCAGCATCCGAAGAGCTCCAAAGTCATGGCATCTCGATCTTTGACACCCTCAAGGTAAACTCTACAACTCCTATGCAAAAGCCGAAACGCAAGATGGAGCTTGATGAAAAGCAAAAGAGTCGTCGTGTCGTCTCACATGCGAAGAATGCACAACCCGCTTCGGGAGAGGAAAGATGAACATCCAAATCTCCGTTCTTCGGCGTCTCCGGAGCAGAGCGAAGGTCATAAAAGAGAAGGATCGCAAGGGTGCAGCGGAATTGAAAAGTCCTCTTCTCTTGGCCAGGCAAGACGAGATCCTCCGAGACATCGCAAACGGGATGAGAGGAGACACTGCATTAGGCGGTCTCTCTACCGCCTTCCTACCCCCAAGACGATGACTGATGTACAGTATGATGTAGTATCTTGCGATGGAGGAGAGTGATATGCAAAGTCCCACGACGCGCGATGATCTGCCGAGTCAAGCAAGCTGACGAACCGACCTCTTGGTAAAGACTCGGCGTGGGTGGAGCGCGCGTCCGGCAAACGGCGACGGTCTATCATCTACCGGGACGCGACTCGCGAAATCCGTAGACTGACGCCTCGTCTGGACGCACCGCCACACGTACCCAACGGTCTTTGGGAAACGGGGTGGGGACAGGCGATCGAAGATTCGCAGCAGTGGTGGCGTCAACTACACGTCGTAGACCGTGTAGACCGTTTGAAAACGACGACGAGGGCGGGTGAAAGTAGCCTGATGTCCGTTAACCCTGATTTCTCATAGGCTGAGGTGAAGACAGGGAGTTTAAGTGACACGGCCGTATAATAGCGAATCCTATGAAGTGAAAGACTAACAAGTTGCTAATCGAGGGAAGATCATTTCGATTGACCACAGTAACGGTCGGGTATTGTGTGCTAGTGATCAATTGCAAGTAACAAAAGAGAAAAGAACTGAGAAGGCAAGTAGAACAGCCAGAGGGAATAAAGCAAAGAAGGGTATCTTAAAACAGACAGGCAGACCCCTGAGCATCCAATACCAGGTGTAGACATTCCCCGAAACGCTCAATCACTGTGTACATTGAACGAACAGATCGTACTCGTCCGCGCCAGGGTGAAGCAAAAGGAAAGAAGATCAAAACATTAGTAACCGCAACAAAACAGTAAAACAAAGGTGAAAACCACAAGAAAATTCTTGCTAGAGGGGGTATCGCGTGAACCAACACAAGGAAAAGTCCAATGGTGAGAAAGGACAGGGGTATCTCAGATCGCCTGATCTCTGATCAAAGGCGAAAAATGACTATCCTTCAGTCTCCGGGACCCAGGCGGCAGGTTGATTCATGACAGGTCGTTATCGGCGAGAGTTGAGCTTTTAGTAGACCAGTCTGAGCTCGTATCCTGAGGAGGGCGATCCGGATTGCCACTGGCCCTGTTGAACGTCGACGGTTGCAAATTCAGCCTTCATATCTTGACCCTCAGGTAACTCGCGAATTGCTTCGTCATCCATGAGGATCTGGATTCCTTTTTGGGTCATGCGAACAGTTCGCACAATCTTCTGAGGCTCAACACCGAATTTTGCGGCAGCTGCACTGACAAATTCGTTGAGGTTTCTTCGCAGAAGGTAGATCGCTCGGTAGTAGTTATCCTCAGATGTCTTGCCCTGGAGTCGTGATTGCAGGTAGAAACAAGCCANCTAAATAAGTCAGTAATGATGTCTATGTTGGAGATGAGATATGAGCTTACCAGGCTTGTTCGAGCGCTCAGGAGGAGGTTGATAGGAGGAATCTACGCCAATTGCTTCGAACCAGCCAGCAAAAGTACCGCTGTTTGGCGAGTGAGCTTGCATTTTGACTGGTTGATCAGGTGGGCTGGCCAGGTGCTGGGGGTTAGAAGACTTGAGATCCATAGGCGCGACTTGAGAGTTGCTACGCGCCCACTCATTCGAATTAACGCGAGACGGCGGTCCAAAAGCGCTAGGACGACGAAAGTTTGAAGGAAGCGATTGGTTGCTTGNAGTGGGAGAAACCATGGCGGAGCTGGTCTTGCTTTGACCATCCCACATGTTTGTGTCGTTGGTGTCAACTCTAGTCAAGCCCTGGGTGTCTCCAGACAAGCTAACCGGGTGAAGATCCGGGTCGTCTTGCGCTTCGCCTCTCAAGAACAGAACACTGATGGGACGTGTGGAGCCAAACATATCTTGCAGCGCAATAAGCTTGGTTTGCAGGTCTTCTTCGGCAGAGGTTCTTCCACTCGAGGCTGCAGAAGACATGGACCATGTTCTCTTGTGCTTGGGCGCTTTGCCTGGTCGTGCAGGCATTGCGTTGACCTTGGAGATCGAGCCACTCCTCTTGCGCTTGCTCGAATCCCTCATACCAGATTCGATTTGTGAGATCTGCTGGTTAAGCTTGTCGATCATTTTCTTGACGTGGGCGACATCGTTGGAGAGTTTGCGTTCGGCACCGTGGTCACGGAAAAGCTTGACTCTACAATAGCACACTTCGTGAGCAGGCTGTTGAGAAGGCGACATGGAGTCGAGCAATAGCTCGGTCTTGGTGCACAAACGGACTGGAATGCCTTTAACACCCTTGGAGTGACTGAAGTCGGTGGACAAGAAGTTGAAGCGAACAGAGATAGGGCACTCGATACCCTGAGCATTGGAAGACGGGCTCCAGGTCACACAGAAACCGTCGAACGAAGAAGACTCGAGTTCCAGCTTGGGCCGGTTGAGGTCGTTGGAATGGTTCTGATCGACGAATTCGACAGCTTGGAGACGACCGCCGCGTTGGTGAGCTTCGTTGGTACCACGGCCTTCTTTCCAGAGCTGCCAGCAGGCTCCAGGTCGCGCTCTCTGCGAGTCTTCTTCGAAAGACACGCGGACAAAGGTACGGTACTTGAGTTGGCCGACGACAGAGTGCTGGGGAGCAGTATCGTGAACGTTGAGTGTGTAAGCCTGTCCCTTGTTGAGGTAAGTAACGGGAATCTCGTCGGCAGTCTTGACCATAGCAGTCGGCGCGTTGAGGGTAACGCGGTAACGGAAATTCTCGCTCGATGGATGCTGAGGGAGAGCGACGAGTGCAGCGTTGCCGAGGTGGGAAGGGAACATGGGGTCGACCTGAGCCTGGTTGGACATCTCGACGTCAAGGTTCATATCACCACCACACATGGGCGAGTCAGCAGCTTGGCTGTCGAGTTGGTCGAAGACGGGAGCTTGGTGTTGGAAGTTCTGAGGCGGGAAGGTATGTTGGTGGTGCATTTGGAATGCGTGAGGGTTTCCAAATGGGTTCATGTGTTGATGGTGCTGCATTGCATGTGCGAATGAATGCATGTGGGCAAGCTGAGGAGCATGAAGGGCTGACGTGTCCGAGGTGGGCATGGACAGCGGAGTGTTCAAACCCAGGCCAAAACTTGGCGTATGAAGGTCACCTGCTTGTGGGTGATAGAGGGTGTTTGTGCCACCAGGAGTGGGGGTGTAGTAGCCTGGCATTTGGTTCGCAAACGTGTTGAACGAGGAGCTGTTGGGATCCAGCAACGACGGGGTGAGGCCGGTGCTGCCAAAGTTCCATTGTTCCGTCGAGGATGCGCGAGGGGTGGGGTCGGCATCCTTGATGTTGTGGTGCTCGGCAAACTGTCTGTTGGAGTGGTTAGAATTGCAGTGCTTCTGAGGGAGGTGCTGAAGAAGAGAGGATCGGTTGGGCCAGCGGGAGGGTGGAGAGGAAAACGCATACCGAGGGTTCAGGGTTGCGACGTCGAGTGCATTCAGCGACGGGGCATTGGCGTGGGACTGCGAGTGACTGGGGTTGAACTTGACGGCCTCGAGGTACGGCTTGAAGCTCTTCTGCAGTTCGATGCTCGGCTTTTGCGAGCTTTGTCTGCAGCAGCAATAACAAATCATGTCAGCCACGGATGCGCGCGCAGATTCTCAGCCAGCTGTGGCAGTGTGGCTCGCTCTACCTGTGCTCGAACATGGTTGCTGGGCGCTCACCATGCAATACTCGAGGGTTGGAGATGTGTTTAGGGCGCCGGGAGTGGGAGCGCGAGGCGAGGACGGTGCTTATGTGAAAGGTGAAAGACAACTCTTGCGGATAAGGTCGTCACCAGGTGAGTCGATGAAACAGCGTGCAATAAGGGAAAGGCGCAACCACAAGCCACAGGATGCGCGCCGTTTTAACTGCAGGCTGAATTGTGGCCCGACCAAAACTTACGCTACCAACATGGAAGCGACACTCAGCCTGTCCCGTGCGCTGCCGATTTCTTCGCTTGCGCTTGCTGCAAAATGCTGCCAGCATCGCTCGATACACGTAGCGACACTCTGCCCCGTGTGCCTCGCACCCCATCACTACCTCGCAACTCGCTGTCCCAAACAATCAGCATCAGCATCCCAACCCGCGCCACATCTAGCCACATGGCTGTGCAAAAGCACCTAGACTACAGAAGTCTGCCTTCGTTGTCAACAATCCTGCTGGTGCCACAGTTTGCGTTTTTGCTTTTTGCTTCGGATCGCTTGTCGCTCACACATGCACGCTTGCAAAAACGGAAAGCGTGTGCCCTCGTGTGGCTGGAAACGCATCCCCGCAATGGCTCACTACGCTGACTCGAGCCCTTCAAGGCAATCTTCGATCGTCTCTCTCACAAGAGACGCGGCTCGATCACCATCCCTTCTTTCCAAACATGAAGCACCGTGTCCAATGCCAACTGCCTCGAAGCTTACGAGTACAGCGCAGTGAGCCAGCGAATCCGACTAGCACCCATTTGAGGCTCGCCGACTTGACCCTTTCTCGCGGCCCCCATCATTCGTCCCTCATTGTCGCATCTCGCAGTCATCACATACGGCCAGGCAAACTGCTGACCTCCGTGACGTAGTCACATCTGGGGATTTGCACAATAATGTGAGCGACTTGATGCATACAATCCTCTCCGGACGTTTCTGCCTTTGCATGCTATCCAATCTCACCCTGCATCAATGGCGGATTCACTCTGCGATGGTAATTCGCCGATACAGCCACATCTCCTTTCAATCCTTGACCCAGCGTGCTGCCACTCTGCCATCGGCATCATGCCCTATCTTTTCTAGAAGACCTTCTTCTCTGCCGTCTCTCTGTTCGAAGCAATTTCCTTATGCAACACCAACCGAGATTGAGATGTGCTTGTCTGCTGGAGCACTGGGACTTTGGCAAGCCACTAGCATCATGCGCTGAGCGGAACCTTATATTATATCGAGCCTTCCTATTATTACCACTAACCTCCATAATGTGATTGCGCATGGCCTCCTAAGGATCAACGCACACAGAGAAAAAGAGGGCACGTCCTGCCGTATCAGACGAGTGCTGTCAAAGATGCGACTTTCGTCATCGGAAGCTTTGGCGCTAACGGGCTCCGCTTCGCACTGTTTGGGTTGTTCGTTCAAACGGCGCTTCGCTCTTCGCGAAAGCCACCCAAGCACCACACGAGTGCAACAGCTCTCGAGGCATCGATCAGCGAACGAGTTAGCCCGCAACATTTCCGAGAACCTTGTGATCCGTTGATCCTTCCCCCCTCTCTGCCCCCATGCATCTGCCACAGCGAAGTGGCGGTGGACAGCGAAGCAAAACGGAGTATCCACTATCCCGGANNGAGCCTCTTGATCTTCGACGCAACTCGAAGATCCTGTGATGTGCCAGTGACCAAAAGTTATTGCCGTGTCTTGTCCAACGATCGGGGATGGCATGAAGTTCAAGGGTGGCTTTTGAAACGAACCATCTAGCGCAGCGACNNGTCCNNGGAACGTGGCTCGCTGCGNACGGGCAGCTGTCGTCTGGTACCTCAGCTTTGTGCCACACTTGGATGCCGCCACATCCTTCAGCCGCTATCGACCTTCCGTCTGTGGCTGTGCAGCGACCATCCTTTCCCTCTTCTGCCAAACTCTGTGGGAGAATGTGGCAGGTGAGTTNNTGTGGCTGTGGCTGAGAGCAGCTGTCACCGTCCNGTCAGCCTTTGAACCACCTCGACCGCGCTCCACNNTGCTCCAGGCCCGTTCATCCTAAAACTCTCTCGATTTGATTCGACGTGACCATTCNNCTGCGGGAGATTTGCTGCAACCNNCTATTTGGCGCGTACGGTTTGGTGCGAGGGAGGGTGTGGCTGCCCACTGAATATGCCGCAGGCTGGTATGTTCTCAACAAGACATGAGGGTAATCTCCCGTGCCTTTTTCTGTGGCAGTTCCGTGAACTGCATTTGCCCTGTCTGATACTCTCCAAATCAAAGAACGTCTGGAGCTCGACATCCTCGGTTGGTGCCTGGTATCGAAGAAAGGGTTCGAGGGATCTACATCTGACAATGGACGAGAACAGTCATCTCCCCTTGACCGTGTGTTTGGAAGCATGCAGTATGCGCGCGTATCAGTTGGCTAGCCAGAGGCACCAATTTTGCCGCGAGACGATCGAGTACCAGCAGAGTGAACCACATCATCAAAGAGAGAGTCGCACAGAACACTCTATCTGCTGCTTGGAAGTCTGTCTCCGGAAGGCTTCCTTCAAGCATCTCCGCAGAGTCGAATCGCTAGAGGTGTTGAAACTGTGTGGAGATTATAGCCTCTGTCAAATAAGACGCAACACTCACGCGAAGAATGAAATGACAGGTAATGACAGGTAATGACAGGTAATGACAGGTAATGACGCGGCATACAAAGCGAAATGCAAGGTGTAGAATTGGCCCTAATAGCAGATATGGCATATTGCTGTTCGGTAGTACTCTTTAATGAACCTGTCGTACTTGCAGCAAGCCCTTCTGTATCATCATATGTGAGGTGTGAGGCGTGAGGCTTTTGTCGCTGTAACGTATGGAGAGCAGCTCCGAGAACTGGTGCCTGGGACTGCGATGAGAGACCTGCAGCACAAAAACACTGTGCTATCTGTACGCGTAGACCCCATTGAGTAAGACCACTCATTTACGTGCGGTAATCCGGCAACTCCAGAGGTTACAGATCACAGAGGTACCTTTGCACTTGGCAGGGCGAGTGGAAATGTAAAACTGTGTGTACGGCATATTCTATTGGTTCCAGCACTCTGTTCGAGCGACAAAGACAGCCACGCTTGATGGAAGGAAAGTCATGCACAGCCACATCAAAAGGCAATTCTTTCACTGCATATCGTGCCCCGCACCGCCATTCCTATTTCACTATCCACATGACCATACGTGCTCCAGCCTCCAGGGATTTGCACATTCTATCGTCATATGATAAAACCCTTCCATCATACTGTAATTATAGAGCTTCCAACGTGGCCGAGGCATCGTACACTGCAGGGGGTTGTGTGCTCTTGCCCTCATGCGTTGGCGTGATATGACGCACGTAGTTCTGCCAATGGCTTTGGCGAATTGGAAGGAACAGCAGTACGTGCAGCAGCGACCGCCATGTTCACATCGTGCATGCTACCGTAATGCCCAGAATGGCGTTGACTGTTGGTGGTATCACCGCTGCCTCGAAGGCTGGATGATAGGTGAGGACTATCCAAAGGGTTGCTTGATCTTGAAGTTGCTCTGCTGTGGTTTAAGTCACCCTCGGAGGCTCTGATAGCAGTAAGGAAGCTCGATGATGAGTCTTCCCTTCTCGGTCTTGCCAAGGATGGGTCAAACACTGGACTGGGTATCTTAGATATGCCTGGAGATTCTAAGACAGACATCATGACTGGTGACGAAACGACGCTATCTGCGGCCAGGGTGCCGGAGACATNTACCCGAAATAGAGATGTTCGCTTTGTAGCAAACTGGTCTACAGAAACGCTTCTCTGCAGAGGAGAGTTGATTGCATACGGTGCCTTGACTTGGTTGGGACGGATCTCGTCGTCGTAGTCGAAAGGAAATTTGCGTGCATGATCTAAACGTAGTGCCCCTGGACGAGCCTTGGGCGTGCGAGTTATGAGCTGTTCCGTGCTGCCTGATTCGAATGATGGCGTGCGAATGCTAGGATAATGAGCCGGTCGAGGGTCAACCTGGGTGCCGCCATCTCGTCCGAGTAAGTGTTCATCGAGGTGGGAACTGATCGCCGCTTTCTCGTCATCGATCACCTCTGCGTGTTGATGATGTTGGGTGGAACCATTCTCAGACGAGTCGGTGTCAGAAAAAGATGGTCGTCCAGCCAGCATTTCGAACATAGAGGCCTGGGAGAGGCTTGTAAAGTCTTGTGGACTAGGAGGAGACTCGAAATCGCTGTAGTGGTTGGTGGTAGAGAGCTTGTGTGATAGTATTGCCATCTTCTGAGACGGAGAAACAGGACGGTTGCGGAAGGGCACNNTGTTCATGCTGTGAGTTCTTGATGTTCTCGTGGATAGAGAGGGAGTTAGCAAACCTCGTTGAACCTTTCTGGCGGCTTCCTGCTTCTTCTCGTCTTCAACTCTTGTCCTTTCGAGAAACTCGAAAACAGTTTCTCTAGGATCGTCTCTGATCGTGTTGACGCCGGATGCAGTACGCCGTCTGTGCTCCTTGCGCAATAAACTGCCTTGTCTGGCGCGCATCACTTCTGCAACTCCTTCCTTGTCTTTCGAGATGATGAGTTCGAGCCTCTTTACTTCGGCCTGATACTCNNTTCTCTCTCGTTGCCAGTTTTGTCGTTCAAGTTCCAGTTCGTGATGTGATGCGAACCGGGTCTCGACTTCGTACTTCAGCTTGCGCACCAGAGAGGCGTTTTCGTCGCGAAGGTTGCGAAATCCTTCGAAGACCATGAGCAGAGGTGAGTTGTGCTTGAGGTCCAGGGGGCGATAGGGCTCTGCTATCAGCGTGCGCATGATCGAATCCATGATCTGATCAAGGTCGGGCTCGCATCCTTCAGGCCAAGTCTGGTAAGGGGAGGATATTGTTTCCTTGAAAGAGGCGCGCTGATCAGTGGACCATATGGATGATCTGCCATGGTTTGTGAAAGGACCACGATGGGAGAAGTAGGAGCTGATCTTGGGTCGCACCTTCTTTCGAGAAGAGCCAAAGCCGCTTGTGATGTCTGGCTTTGTCTCATCTTGCTTGCCCACAGGCAGGAGGGTGTGCGAGAAACCAGGCTGGATCCTTCTGCGCCATTGATAAACATCCGCCATAGTGCAGGTTCGATGGATGGTTGATTGGGATGGGGATGTTGACAACAATCAGATAGATTTGGAGTCAAGAATAAATGCTGTGATGAACGCGCATGTGAGCAAGCTTTACTGAATGGAAGGCGCGACTATGCGTACTTGCCTTTGGGAGTGAACCAGTTACATCTCACAGTGTAAACAAACAATTGATAACGTAGAAGTAAATTTGTCTTTTCGAATGAGGATAAAATTGTCACATACATAATGATGAAATGCTAAGAGAGAGAGAGAATAGATGTAGCCCCAACTCCATGCACATGTACCCGATTGAAGACAGGTCAAGTGTTTGGTAATGGTGGGGTCTTCGATATTGGCACGATGGAAAATCCTTCAGCAAATTCTGCATGGAGATCGCGAGTTGCTGTACACACTTATGCCGTTGTTGTTGTTTTGTTTTGAGAGGATGGGTCACAGTAGGAGACGGAAGTGGACGAGAATGTAGAGGTGGACCAGAACGATGGACGACGGGACCGAGGGGCGCATTGCACAACCAGATTCGTGGCATTTGTCGCGAGGAGTCATCTCGTGCTCCTTCTAGCAAAGCTTCCAACCCATAACACTAGACGCCGATTTTTGACTTTCGTGACGTGGTTGATGCGTTTATGCGGACTCTCTTGCCCTCCTTGACCTCCTTCTGTAGAGGTTGTCAGTAGGCTGTCGCGTTGGCGGTGGGAGCTGCGCCACGTACCAGGGCTCTCATGGTGCCGTGAAGAGCATGTCTGTGGTTGCGTCTGAACTTGGGGTCGGTACCCTTGAGCGAAGGGTATCTGTGGGTCTTGGGCTTCTTGANTACTGTGCGTGTCGTCATGTCAGTCGGTCGTTCTCATCCGTCTTGTTGATGGCGAAGAGGGCGGTCCAAAGGTGCTGGAGAGGATGTCGCTGCGTACCCGTTCTTGTGGGCCTTCTTAGCCTGGTTGTGCTGCGACGAGTTCTTGGACTCTGTGGAATTTTGTCAACATTCCATCAACGTGTCTAACAGCATGCTGCCGCAACTTACTGGCCATTGCGACGTCTGGAGGTGAATAACTTGTCGAGGTTGCGGGATCTCCAAGTTCTCGCAATGTGAAGTCGCCCAATTCTGCGCACACCGCTAAGCGAGTGGCCTTGGCGGTGCACGGACGTTTTTGGCACTCTCTCGACTTCACTTCATGGTCATTCTTCGAGTGAATGTCGTCTCTCAAAGGTGCAAATAAATTTCGATTCGGAATATAAATGCAGCAGACGAACTCTCAATGTCACAGCTCTTTTTAGTATTCAAGTGATTCGACTGTAGGTGATACTGCTGGCTTATGGTCACATGAAGCGCAATTGGGACAGCAGGGTAACACTGTCTGCAATCAATTCGCTCGATGGAGTTAATTATTTCAACGATGAGAACAGTGTTCATCTCCGTCATAATGGGAGTATAAGAATTCAATTCTTGTCGTGCTGGTGCTACCAAACGCCGAAATCTACATCATCCAGCACCGTACTGGAGGGCTCAGGAAGTCTCTTGACCCGCATGTTTTGCTCCACCAAGCCTCACTAAAGCTTCCGTTAGGTACAACTACAACCCCTTGACATTGGCAGAGTTGCTGTTCAGTATTGAGAATAATCTCAAAGGCCAGCAGACAACTCTCGCTCTTGAAGGGCGTGTATGTATTATCTGCGAAGGTTGGCCATTGGCCGCAAAGTCTCAAGTCATAGTATCTAGATAGACGACTCTTACACTGCCATTTCGTGGCTATAGATTTTGAATGTGCAGGATGAATACCATGGAAGGTAAAGAATCTCCGAACTAGCTCATGGACACAAGACGATAGAAGCTTGGTCCACAGACCCAGTCAAACATCATTGATCTCGAGGCCGTGCTTTTGGAAGACTTGTGTTAGAGCCTTCAATCCATTCTATACAATACGGAATCTTCTTGAGAAGCTGGACAGTGTTCACCAAGAGCCATTGGATACATGCTTCTCTTGGATACTTCCTCTGGTTAAAACATGGTCGTACATTTCTATAGCTTTGAACGGCTATCTATGGTCATGATATTCTAGCACAAAATAGGTCTCACATGTCACGTTTAGTCTTCTTCCATCTGTTGTTAATTGGTCGAATCATAGAACATAGAAAACTCATTCGGGGATATATGCTTAAAAAGAAAAGAAAATCAGATACGCCCAAGAGTACAAGGTATAAACACAACAAAGACCACTTCTTCATCCCCGTTCTGTGAATCACTCTCTGTGTGATTGCTCCTCTACCGCCCCGGTCCGGATATTTGTGTCCGGCTCATAATTTTGAAGATAATAGCTGTCCCGACGTGACTATTCGTGCATCATTTAGTTTTTGGCGGCCTTGGCCATGGTGTTGAGGGCAGAGCCGTTCTTGAACCACTCGATCTGGCCCTCGTTGAAGGTGTGCGAAAGCTTGATCTCGTAGGACTCGCCGTTCTTGGGGTGGACCTTCATGGTCATGGGCTTGCCGACGGCGAGCTCAGTGCAGAGGAGGTCAACCTTGTCATCGGGGTTGAGCTTGTCGTAGTCGGCAGGCTCAGAGAAGGTAAGAGGAAGCATACCCTGCTTCTTCAAGTTGGTCTCGTGGATACGGGCGAACGAACGGACAATGATGGCAAGACCACCAAGGTGACGGGGCTCGAGAGCAGCGTGCTCACGGGAAGAACCCTCACCGTAGTTCCAGTCACCGACGACGACCCAGCGAATACCCTTGGCCTTGTAGTCACGGGCAACACCGGGAACAGTGCCGAACTCACCGTTGGTGTAGTTCTCAATGTTGTTGGCCTCGCCGTTGGCGGAGTTAATAGCACCAATCAACATGTTGTTGGAAATGTTGTCCAAGTGACCACGGTACTTCAGCCAAGGACCGGCCATAGAGATGTGGTCGGTGGTGGTCTTGCCCTGAGCCTTGATCAGGATGGGAAGGTCGGTGGCGTCCTTACCGTCCCAAGCGTTGAAGGGCTCGAGGATCTGGAGACGGTCAGAGGTGGGGAGACGGCAACGTTGACCTGGGAGCGGTCCTGGGGAGGAGCTTGGTAGGTGTCCATTCCCGGGTCGTAGCCGTTGGCGGGCAGACCGTCACCGGTAGGGGCCTTGAGCTTGAACTCGTTGCCATCCTTGTCCTTGAGGGAGTCGGTGAGAGGGTTGAAGTTGAGGGTACCGGCGATGGTCATGGCCACGACGAGGTCGGGGGAGGTGACGAAAGCGTGGGTGGCGGGGTTGGCATCGTTACGGGAAGTGAAGTTACGGTTGTAAGAAGAGACGATCGAGTTCTTCTCGCCCTTCTTGACATCGCGACGGTCCCACTGACCAATGCAAGGACCGCAGGCGTTGGCAAGAACCATACCACCGAACTCCTCGAAGGTCTGGAGCTGACCGTCACGCTCAATGGTGGCGCGGATCTGCTCGGAACCGGGGGTGACGGTGAAGAGGGCCTTGGCCTTGATACCGTGGTCGAGAGCGTCACGGGCGATGGAAGCGGCACGCGACATGTCCTCGTAAGAGGAGTTGGTGCAAGAGCCGATAAGACCGACCTTCATCTCCTCGGGCCAGTTGTTGGCCTTGACGGCCTCCTTGAACTTGCTGATGGGAGTAGCAAGATCGGGGGTGAAGGGACCGTTGATGTGAGGCTCGAGCTCGGAGAGGTTGATCTCGATGAGCTGGTCGTACTCGGCGCCCTGGTCCTCCTTGAGCTCCTTGGCGTAGGTGCGCGAAAAGTCACCACCTGCTTGCGCTTGGTGGCGTTCAGGTAGTCGTACATGCGGTCGTTGAAGGGGAAGAGGGAGGTGGTAGCACCAATCTCAGCACTGGAATCAATGTCAGCCAATGTTCACACGAATAACTCGTAGATGTTCCAGCTTGAAGTAGAGAGCAGGCATGCGGCATCCCAGAGCAATGCACGCTCAGTGAATACCCCATCGCAATGCAGGATAGTTTGTCTGCCCCCGATTCCACCATTGAGATGCAGTGGAACTCTGTTATGGTAGCACACTCTCAATGGGAGCGTCACGTGGCGACAAACAATCGTGCATTTCGATAGGATCTTCGAACGATCCTTTCTGTTGGAGATGCCGCATACCCCTGGATCTTTTCTTCTTCTTTGCCGGTGATAGGGGTAAGGAAAGCTAGAGGAAAAACGTACCCCATGTTGCAGATGGTGGCCATGCCGGTGGCGGAGATGGAGTCAACGCCGGGACCGCTAGAAGAAAGTTAGTTTCTCTGAAGTTTTGTCGGTGAAACCGATAGCACTAACTGGTACTCAATGATAGCTCCAGTTCCTCCCTTGACTGTGAGGATACCTGCGACCTTCAAGATGATATCTACAGAGAAAATTAGCATCGATGCAAAAAGAACATAGGATGAGCAAAACATACCCTTGGGAGAAGCCCAACCAGAAAGCTCACCAGTGAGCTTGACACCAATGACCTTGGGGGCCTTGAGCTCCCAGGGGAGGTTGGCCATGACATCGACGGCGTCAGCACCACCGACACCGATAGCGGCCATACCGAGACCACCAGCGTTGGGAGTGTGGGAGTCGGTACCTAAAGCGGAGGCGTGTCAGCATAGTTCACAAGGTTGGGTAATAAGGACACCACAGCTTCATTGAACGAGCACGCTCATCTCTGCGTGATGCCACATCGGTTAGACCCACCAATCATTAATCCACCAGGGAAAGCGTAGTTCTCAAGAATGATCTGGTGAATGATACCAGAGCCGGGCTTCCAGAAACCAATGTTGTACTTGGCACAAGCAGTGGACAGGAAGTCGTAAACCTCCTTGTTGATGTCCTGAGCACGTGCAAGATCCTTCTCACCGCCAATCTGAGCTTCGATAAGATGGTCGCAATGCACCTAATTATTGCAATTAGCATGTTTCTCGTGCTTGAGCATGGACACATAGCAGCCGACAACCCATCTGATGGGGTTTGGTTTATGCTATTTGTATCCTTGTCGTACGTACAGTGGAAGGGGTAGCGACGGAGGGCATGCCAGCGGACATGAACTGCAGAATGGCCATCTGAGCAGTGGCGTCCTGGCAAGCAACACGGTCGGGACGGAGCTTGAGGTACGAGACACCACGCTCAATATCTTGCTCGTGGGGTTATCAAGATGCGAGTAGAGAATCTTCTCGGCGTAGGTCAAAGGGCGGTTGTTCATACGCTGGCGAACGATGCTCAGGTTCTCGCTCATCTTGGCGTAGTTGATGTAGTTGCCGGTCTCCCAGTTGGTCATCTCGACCTTCTTGGAGAGAGGCGAGTCGCCGACAGTCGCAAAGGCGCGACGGCCCAGCTGTTGGAGCTCGTCAGTGAGGTGTTCTGGCAGGAAACAAGCTGTCAAAAGGGCTTACCAGCTTGCGCGCTGCCAAACGAGCAGACTGCATTGTGATGGTCAACGGCGGGGGAGCTATTGACAGTGACCTAGGTGCCTATAAGGCTAAAAGAAGGACACACGGGGGGTGGGGAGAGGTGGTGAAGCGGAGAGGTGTTGATGGGAAAAGAAGACGATAGAGTTATTTAAGAGAAGATACCGCAACGAGTCCTCCCTTGGCCCTCGGTCAAAGCGACCGGCCTCATCAAAACTGCTCCCATTGGCTCTGGCGCACGAGCCACGCTGGTCTAGCTGCTCGTTTTACACACCCCCGCCGCCTCTGTGCTTTTTCGCTTCCGTCCAGCTTGCTTGCTTGTCATCTCGATCCTTATTCGTTGCTGGGGTCTTCCTGACATCAGGCGGCGGTTCATAGCTACTCCCTCCCTTATCGTGATCGTGATCTGTATCCCTACCCTCCTCAAGCTGTTTTGCATGCGCTCCTTGAAGCTTCCAGGGGCTGCCATGCCCAGCTTTCGAAACAGCTGTACCTGCCGCGTGCGGGTGCTCACATAGCCGTGCCGGTAAACATCGGAGGAGCCCGCCTATTTATTGGTTGACGGGTGTCTCCAAATCGGTGCTCGCTGATTGTTCGGTCGGCAAGACACGAACTCGGCCGGTTTGATCGGCTACGAGCAATTTTTCCAAAAGTTGGAGCCGACATTCTCGCATGTGATTGTTTGGAACGTATGCTGAACGCTTGGCCTCTGCCGCTACATACAGATTGTCGTGTCCCTAACAGACTTGCCAGTATTTAATTATCCATGGACGAATGGTTCTTACTATAGGAGCATTTATTGAGAAAACCCTGAGCAAGAAATCCACGAGTAGTCTCAAGATTCAGCCTGGGAGCTCGTATCTCAAACTGCTTCGCTGCTGAATCTGGCTCCGAGGCCGAAAGTAGGTGCTTGGCGTGCCCTGGCTAAAAATTCCATGCGGGTTGCATCAACTTGCGCAAAAGTCTTGTAACCAATAACTTTGCGTGACCACGGCAACTGCGACTGCGACTCCACTACCTCGAATAGCGTATACACTCGAACGACATATACACAGTCCAACAGAGACCCACGATGCCTGCTATTCGCGGTCAAGACTCGAAGAAGAAGACTCGCCGTCACACGCGCGATCTCGACCAGATCCACGACGATATCCACAAGGAGAAGCATTTGGAGAAGTACAAGAGCACAAAGGCCGCAGAAGACCTTCCTGGTCTGGGACAGTTCTACTGCGTCGAGTGCGCGAAATGGTTCGAGTCTGAAGCGAACCTGACCGCACACTCCAAGGGAAAGCCTCACAAGCGCAGGTGGGTCTTGGATTTTGTCTCGACGACATGTGTGAAGCGCTGACATGTANNTCGCAGAGTTCGCCAGCTCAAGGAAGAGCCTTACTCGCAAAAGGAAGCCGAGGCTGCTGCTGGCCTGACCTGGACAGACAACGGCAAGCGCAAGGAAGACGACTACGAGCTTGAGATGGCCGAGGCCACCTGAACAGCTGGATGGCTTTCGTCCGCTGCTCATCAGCATAAATAATCACAACAACCATGCGCTCTCGACACACAAGTCGCATCAGACATCACTCGCCATGATGGCGGCTGCGCCATGCCCTTCAAGTAGGTTTCGAAGGCTTGACACCTACAACAATCGCCGTCGCGTCTGCAGACAAGAGCCATTATTTCTCCGCTGGCTCTCGTACACCTTCAGATCTGGCAAAAGTTCACATGTCTCTTACATCTCGAACTTCGAGCGATCCCGGTTGAGAACAAACGAGGGAACCGACGGTCCAGATTCGCTCCGCGGGTACGACTTACCGTGGTAAGAAACATGCCGGCAAGATCTGCGCCAAGCGGTGGGAGGAAGGATGATCGATTGAACATAATTATTATGCCATTATTGTGACTTTGTAGTCGCGATGCTTGCTCAATACAATCAACCAACTCATCTTAAAATATATTATCCTGCATCTTCGGTGACTCATTTTTCGATTGATCAGAAGCGCTTATAAAGCTCTCAACAAAAGTACTGTGAAAGCAGCGAATCGTAGACAATTGTATGGTGTGACGATGACTCGATGTCTCGATGTCTGACTAGGAGCGTATTGCTGCCTGAGGACCAGCGACTACAAATTCTGTGCTAGACATCTCTCCAAAACAGAAAAACCATAATACCATCAAAACTCAAGGAAACATCACAACCAAACTTCAAAGCCATTTCACAACTCAAACAACACTATCATGTCCTTCAACAAAGTCGAACTTTACGGCGGTGCCATGACCGTCGACCTNCCCTCCAATTTCGCAGACGTCAGGTAAGAAGAATCAGGTCTTGCAGCACGGCACAGCGCAAACACTCATTGACTTGCGAAANNCAGCCAGATCAGACAAGTACCCGACAACCAAGAAGTTTACCTGGACAAAGATGGTCTTTCAAGTATCGTGTTTGATATCTTGGAGCGTGTGGACAAACCGGATCTGGATGCTCTAAAGTACCATCTTGAAGATGTCGTCGAGGATGATGTGAATGCTACAAAACTCTGTACGTCAAACTCTGCCGTGTTTACCAAATTACCGTAAGTTTCCATGTCTCTTATACAGTATCATCGTCATTGTGGCTGGAATTAATCTCTAGAGATTCCAATCGAGTCTCAAGGATTTCCCAATTCCACCCATTCTTCTTTATACTCTTCATCTTCTCGAACCCATACTAACCTTCCATGCTCATATCACAGATCACAAACACCCGCCTACACTCTCTTCGCTACCCACACAGCATCAGCAGACGCCGTGTCTCGCGGCAAAGCCCCCGACTTCACAGGCATCCTACTCACACTCATCCGCCTGGAGCGCCAACAAACCGACCTTGTCATCTCTGTCAATGTCCCCCACGTAGACGGCGAATACAACAAAGACGATGTTGACCCTTCAGCCGGAAAGCAAGGACCCATGCTGGATGCCGCAACATCATTCCGTGACCGCATCTTGCAGACTTTTGAAATCAAAGACTGGGATTTGTTTGTGCAGGAATGAGTATCATGAATCTGAAGATGAGGTTGTGCAGTAATATGTACATTGGGTCTGGTGGAAAGTATATAGAACTTCTTGAGCAGTTGAACAACGCAAAGGCAAGGGTATCATGAGAATGAAAAACAACAGAAAGAGCTGGGACAATCATGCATCCACCACATCACTCGCTGTCCAACGTCACCACTTCCAATGCTTTCGCCATATCTTCCACTCCAGCTGGCGGCGTTGCAACACTCAACTCGCCCTTGGCCTTTTGGTCTCGATACTTTTGGCCCAAGGCAGCCATGACTTCCTTATGGGGTGCTCCTGCCATTTCCTGCTTCAGACCTGCAAAGTTGGCTTTGACGAAAGCTGCATAGCTGGTTGGACCCGCCTGCTTTCTGGGCACTGGTTTTGTCTGAGCGAGCTTGCCGCGACACACGCCACACGAGTGACGGGCTGGATCGATGCTCTTGGAGTGGCGCTTGAACTCATGGCTGCACATGTCGTTTGTGCACGTCCAGATGTACTTGTAATCGATATGGTATGAGTGTTTTGTTGTGACTTCCACACCGCGGTGACCGAACGCATCACTGCACTTCTTGCCCCAGACCTTGAACTGGTGACCATGCGGTTGATCCTTAATCCCGCTGACCATGAAGTTTGCTAGATGGCAGAATTCGTGAGCCACGACGTTCAAGAGACGTTCTTCGTCGTCGATGACTTTTTCGGCCAGCTCGATGGAGGCGTGGTGCTTTTGAGTGGTTGTTATCGAGCCGTCAAGGTTTCTGTGCTTTGTTGTCTCGCGCTTCCAGTTTGCTCGGCCGGCGGTCGAGTTGAGTGTTTTGCTCCAGATGAATTTGACACCGCCAGTCAAGGCAGCCAGCTCTCCGATCTTGTTTTCAGTGATCTTGTGATCAAGCTCGGCAAAGAAGTCTTCGACGAGTTTGTGTTTTCTATTCTCAAAGTTCTTCCTTGCGTCCATCTCAGCGCGAGTCTTCTTTGCAGGGCTTTGTGACTTCTTTGGCGATGCGGAGGGTGAGTCTGAGTCTTCTTGCAATGCTTTGCGGTTCTTCCTTGGTGACATGAGGGGCTTCTGAGGCGAGTACTCGTCGTTCCACGTGTTCACTGCATGAACGTTCCAGAACTCTTCGAAGTTAGGTGCATGAGGTGGTGTAGGAATGCGCTGTTTCTTCTTGGAGGGAGACACAAGGCGAGACTTTGAAGGGGAGGCTGGCGGAGGAGTCGCTGGTCTTTCTAACATGATGGGCCGTGCTGCTCGTGGAGGNNGAGCTATCAAAACATCAGTGAACCGCGTGTGTATGATTCGTTGTGAGTGAACCTACAACTTGAGTATGGCGAGATTGTCGTTCTCCTTGTCCGAGCCGTCAAGGTCCAATTGAAGCAGTTTTTGAGTGAGGTCGTCCGAGGTCTTTGCAGTGAAGGTTTCCTTCGAAGGCTTCTGTGATTGCTTGCTTGGAGGGGTATGGAAGATATCATCATCCGAGTCACTTGAATCTAGATCTGGACTCCTTCGACCAGGCACGAGCCTTCTCGTAGGCTTGTTCACAACCCTCGGCGCAAGCACTGGGACTTCATCCTCTTTATCACTTTCGCAGTATATGCTCTCTTCTACATCCTGCTCTTCCATCTCTTCTTGGCTCTCCTCAGATTCCGAGTCTTCTATGCGCGGAAGGCGTCGTGATGCTGGCTTTGCTCTCCTGTGTGGTGTAGCTCTTGGCTTGGACTCTTTGATCTTNNCACCTCTACTTCCTTCAGCGCGGCATGTCCACGAGCTCTCGTTTGCAGCTTGGGCTCAGGTACTGCTCGTCTGACTTCGGGCGCAGATTTCAGCTCGGTGTGTTGCTGACTGGACGTCTTTGCTCTTGTCGAGCTCTTCAGGGGTGCATTTGTTTTGGTCGCGTCGGTCTTGGTTCTTTGTGTCCTTCCAGCTGGTTTCTGAGGTGCCAGACGAGGTACCGTCGGTTTTGAGGCAGTGAGNCTTCGGCGCATTGAGAGCGGGTAGTCCCTTGACGTGTCTGTTGATGAGCGCATCCAGTTCGGGGAGGTCGTCGCTGTCGCTGTCATCCACATAGCGAGAGGGTGCCATCTTGATTGCCATTTTCTTCCTTGGTAGATACTGTCTTTACGATTGGGCTACTGTGCGAAGAGAAAGCCAACATGTTTACAAGTTCTGGTTGTCGCGGCAACGCTGCAGAATCCGGTCTCCACATAAAGCTTGCCTCGATTGTGACCGCAGACCGCTCGCCCTTCCTGACATCACTCAATCATGAACCTATCCTTCCGCGCGGTAGGACAACGTGACCGATTGGGCAATCTGTTAAATTTCCATCACATGTCTGTTAGCACAGGCCGACACACCACTTTCTAGCTGAGGTTTGGATCTACATCTGCAATGCATCTGGTCGACGCTACCAAGTCGCTACCATAACCCTGGCTATCCACGTGCCATCCTGCATGACTGGAAGCCAATCTATGTGAGAATCGACGGATCTCGGCCTTCGAGCAGGATCGGGAAATTGCTCAGAAATGGTGTCAGGGCTGTCGAGTTCACGTCTGGTTAGCATAGCGCTGCCGACACGAGTACCGACAGATTGGTTGACCGCAGTTTTTGAGTTGGTGTTGATTGATCTGATTAGTGATTGGCGCAGTGATTTGGAGACTGCAGATCATGGTGCAAGCAAACAATGTACAAGATAGATGAAAAAGACCGCCTGTTGCGGTATATGTTTATTGTCCTTCTATTGCCATGAGTCGCAGCAAATGCAGGGGTATCAATGCAGGAAACGAAAACACCAAAGAAAACCCACCACCCCATCGCGAATAGCAGTCCAACAATGCACCAAGACCTCTCTCCATATGAACACCTGCCTGTTGTAGTGCCTCCCCATCCAATGAATACGCCAAGCCCATCCGCCGGTCAATATTTAATATAGACAAATCGGCCGACGGCCACTTCATCCCATCCTCATTGTGACCATTTCCCGATGTATACATTAAGTCGACCACAATCATATCGTAATTCGTGAATAGCATACTGCAACTCTTCATTTGACGAGCTTGCGGCGGTGGATGCGGCGGACATGATCTCNTCTGCACGGATTGTTAGTTGCTTTTACATTGAGAAACGTGTTATCATAGGAACTCACCATGTTGTCCACTCTGCTGAACACTCTACTGCAGCCGTCCCACTCGCAGACGATTTTAGGATCGTGCTTAGCCTCATGGCGTGCGCGGTCCTTTTCGCTAGAAAACCCTCCTTCGCTTGCGGCGCGGCAACCGATATGGCGACAGAAGAGGGTCTTTGTGTGTCTGCGGTAATGCTTGCGCAGATCGCATCCTCGGCGGAAGACAGACTTGGATGTGCACCCAGGGTAAGCACATCTCCATGTGCCATCCTCACTGGGAGCTCCATACTTGGACATCTCTCCAGCGTTGGGTGATGAGGAGCGGGAAGGGTTGCTTCTTGGGCAGCTCATCCATGAAGAACTCGTGTCTGATCTGAATGAAGGTGCTCTTGAGGCTGGTCGGCTCAAGGTTGTGTGTTCGATAGAAGGAAGAAGAGAAGGGCTGGAGCGAACAACATTGAAGTTGTTGTAGTCCATGAAGACCGGCTGGTAGGGATATGACTCTGGCCATGTTGGGGTGCATTGGCCTGAGTAGGATGTAGGTGTGCATTGCCCCGAGTAGGGTTCAGGCTGGGTGGGAACGATAGGTTGCAGAGAACGGAACAGAGGTGATTGACAGGTGTTGAACATGGGTTGGAAGTCTTCCGGATAGCAGTGGTCGATGATTTGGTTGTCAGGGCTTGAGCAGAGTAGTACCGGCGAGCCGAAGGATTCTGGGTAAGGTTGATGTAATAGGCGGTTGGGGTAGTTGAAGGCGTCCATTGTGAAGGTTGGAGAAGTCTTGGATGTGAAGGTTCGTTGGATGATCGTCAAGTCAAGGGCATCGACTGGGTATATATACACGAGATGCGAAGGATGCTACGGTGAGGAAACCATAGTGGGGGCTAGCATGGCTCATATGGATGCCCGGGAGCGTGCGAGCTGTCCGGACGAACCGACCTACCTGTGGAAGGCTGCGTTTCACAATGCAAGGAACATTACCATGACATGGTCGAGCACGCGCCTCTCGCGCTGATTCGCGCGCAGAATGGTGCTGCAATGCATGGAAGGATGGATAACCTCCGGTGTAAGCAAGCAAAGCCGCAACAGCCCTGCGGGACTTGGCTAGATGGACACACACATGATGCGCGGGCCGTTATTAAACTGACCGGACGGATCGCATGGCGTTCCAAAATATGAGCCAGCGATTGACCAGGGTCTGAAGNNGGGAATGACTCGGGGGTGGGTTAGTTCCAAACTCATGAGTTCGCAGACACATGCACGACAGTGCAAAGGCGCNTTTGACGCGCAACGCCGTACCAGACTGNNCCCATGAACCCTACTACGGTCTGTGAACACTTCGTCTCCGGCCAAGNNACGTTTTCTGGAAGAGAGAGCCAGTGCTCACCCGNNGATCCAGTTCGTTGGGCGTCANTTGTGAGCTTGGTAATCTTGTAGGAAAACAACAATGGCGGTCTAAGAATAACACACAGCCTCTCCAAGTCGGGGGCACAGTCGCTTGGGACCGATCAGAAGTGGAAGCTGGAATGCAGAGCTCACATGCTANCTGCAGGCGCCACAACTTGAGAAACAGGTCGAAGGATTCGTCGATAGAGCTNNGCGGGTTTGCAGGCTGTGTCAGCAATGCACCTTTGTCCGAATCCGGTATGAGATGAAGAGGACGGTGCAGGCCGTAGTTCTGCAATGTATGGAACACTCTCGAGTACCGGACGTTTGGTGCTGGTTTCGNCCCGAGGTTGGTCATCCGCACACCAGGACATTAAGGACAAGATCATGACGCGCAAAAGCTTCCATAAGCCTTCGATTTGTTCCATGATGGCGTGCTAAAACAGACACTCGTTGATCCTCGCGCTCTTCCTCGGGAAATGAGATGGTTCCTGCCAAGAATCTCAGGCTTCAGCATTACCCCGTGCCTCACCGACCGCACAACCGCATGCGCTGACAATCAAGGAAGTCCTTCTGTTTGACGCCATCATTTTTTTGCTTGACCGCTCATCGAGACGGAGCGTGCAGATCCAGCGATCAGTTTTTCGCAACCTGCTACTGTATCTCAGACATGCTCATATCCATCGATCGGATGGCGGAGTCTCATCTATATCGTGAGATGCTGCAATCGTCCACATATGGCAAAGCTGGGGGCATCTTCTCAATCTGGCAGACACATTCTTAATCTTCATGGTGTCCTACAAGAGAAAGCAGGCGATCTCGGAGGACCGGCATGTCCTTCCATGGAGAGACCAAGCCACGCTTGCTGTCATTTCCAGTCTACAGTCAACCACACATTCTACCGCTCCCGAAATTTGACACGATGTCACGCCCGGTAGATGGTGATTGACTCGGTGTGTTCTTCGAAAGGTCAAACCAGCCGCCCCTCTAGAAAACTTTCGTGTTCAGTAGGCCCGTCCATGGACCTGGTTCGTACTTAGATGGCTGAAGCTCGTTCTCGATTTCGTCTTTGCAGCGTCTTGCGGCGACGCCGAACGACTTGCGAGCCATCGAAATGCACAGTCGCTTTCCAACAACCAATAAGTGTCCAGAGAGAGCTGAAGAGACGACCGCTCTCGGTGGACACTGCTCTGTTTCTTGAAAGTATTGTGCAATTTTATAGTCACACATGTGACGCACACATACAGGCGAGAAGCATGTAGAAGACCAGACACATGCTATGATGGCATTGCTTTGACCAGAGCTTTCCCGTCTGCATGTTTGTTGTGCTGCTACAATATTCATCTCCGACTCATTGATCCAGGAGTACAGCATATTTGGTTCTGCTCCTTGTGCCCAAGATCTCTCTCTCTCTCTCTCTCTCTCTCTCTCTCTCTCTCTCTCTCTCTGTGATTTCGCCTGGCTTTTCTCGAGGCACCACGGAGTATATTGGTATTATTGCCAGTCATTGAGAATATCCTACTCTCAGGAATCTTTCAAATAACCCATGACTTTACCTGCGTGTTGCCCAACTTCCATCTCCAGGTGTTCCGGCATCTTCCTTCGGTCTTGGCTCGTCACCATCACTACAGCGCACTCGCGGGCCTCCTGTTTCTGCCTGGTTCATGTCGTGGGCCTGCTCGTACATACGCGTGCTCGCGTTTCCATTGACACTGTCGACAACAGTCCTTTTGTCAGTTTGAAGATTCTCAAGTAAGTTGTTTGTTCATCTTCTATGTGTCCCATTTCCAAACTTCTACCATCTCCTCTTCTTTCTGATCATGCTCGACCGTCTGTTCGTCCCAGAACTTTCCCATCCTGGTTTGGGAGCCTACAGCTGGTTTATCAGTGGGTCTGCCTCTTGGTTTGCCTGTCCAGTGGTGGGAGCAATACACGCCAGGTATTCTTCTTGCTTTGTCATGGTGACACAAACCATCTTTGTGCTCGGACTCTCTGTTGCTGTTGACACATATCATCTCTGCGGTCACATCTAGGCCCATATACCGTCAATCCTATACTTCCATCCCTGCAACGGCGCTCTGTTGTTAGTCGCGGATTTACAGTTACATGACTGCACCTTCGTAGTGTGGCCTCAACATCATTGTTCTTGTATTGCTTTACCTTCTCCTGGCATCTTCGCCCAAGGCTGGGTACTGATTCCCCTTTCGACCGGGGTTTCTATGTCACATTGCCTGCTGGATTCTTTCTGATGGTACTCCTGAACTGACAAGTTCCCCAACTGGCACACCATATCGAATTTCACAAGTAGGACTTCGAAGCCAGCACCTCGCTCTCTCAGCCTTGATCGGCTCTCACTAGGCGGCGTCGACGAGCAGCGGGACGTGGTTCCATCTACATTTCATACTCTCTTCGTCCTTCCTCCACCCTCAACACTTCTTCTTCTGCACCTTCCACCACTTTTGTTCTATCTTTGTCTCCTGCTTGGACATTTTGCTCACACAATTACACAGCGCCTTCAATCGGCCGCTTCACCTTAACAGGTGACACTCAAGCAACCGCACAAGCAACCAAGACCGCTCAGCACGCCTTCCCAAAGCAGAGCCTCAACCAAGTCAGTACGTCACGCGAGTCATTCACAAGGCTCCTGCCAGCAACTAACAGTATCTCTGCTACCAGTCCAACCACGACATTACATATTCACTTACGCAAAATCCAAACTCCGTCACCATGTCTCGCCCGACTCCTGTCCGTCGCAAGTTCGAAGAGCTCCATCCCAGAGACAGAAATGTCAAGACCAACCGCAGAACTCGTATTGAAGCAAACTGGGGCTGTAGCGTCCAGGAGTGCATTCCCATGAAGATCCGCCCTCGTGTCGAGCTCAAGAAGGGAGCCAAGATTCGCGTCGGAGATGCTGCCGGCGTCGAAGAGATTTGGTGGAACTGGAGCGTTGAGCTCTTGCGTGGCCTCGAAGAGTTGTCGACCATGATGTCGGGCAAACCGACTGTTGCTCAGGAGCTCATGATTCACGAGGTCCAGAAGCGCCAGGGGGATGGCAAGAACCCTCAGAGAAGGGTCGCTGAACTTCTGCTTGGTGATATACAGCGTGTCGTCGACAACGTCAAGCGTCACCAGGCCGAGGAGGCTGCCAAGGGCATCCAGCAGCAGGACATCGACATGAAAACCTTCCGGGAGCTCGAGCGTGAGCCGGGTCCCGGCGTGAAGAAGCAGGAGGAACAGGCTCAGGATCAGACCCCTGAATACACTGACGACGGCCTCTCNCCTGGCGACATGCCTTCNCCTATCCCTGCCTCTGCCTACATGCACAATGGCGCTCACCAAATCAACGGCACCTCCAACATGAACTCTCTCAACTTGTTCAACAACCCTCCTCGCCCTGTCGGTACTCACATGCTAAAGAGCACCGAGCAGCTCAACGAGAGCCTCCAAATTGATGCCATGGAGATGCGTGCCCGTGCCAAGCGTCTCCGTGGCCAGGCCATGCGTCTTGAGGCCGAGGCTTTCGACCTCGAGTCTGAAGCTGCCATCGCCAGAAAGGTTCTCAACAACTCGTGAAGTCAGACAAGGATCTGGGATTGGTTTACGACATTACCTCACTCTGTTCTCGATGTGGGAGATGCTAGGATGCACAAGGATGCGCTCCAGGCACCGGAGAGCGTCTTGATAGGGCACGAAAGTATTTGATGACGGCATTGAGCTAGGCGCTTCAGGAGACAGACAATTGTTGTGGTTTCGAGACAAGGGCATTATATCGAGATTTAGAAAAAGAGGATGAACAGGACGACGCACAGTGGACACTGTAAAGCCCATAGGAATATCGAACCGAGCCACAATCAATCATCAAGATGCACTTTGACATTGCCCATTTCAACTGTTTTACTTGTTGACTATCGCATGTGGTTCAGTAGAGAGTCTCGTGACTGGCGTTTAAACAAGATTAACCTTTCTAGGGTCCAAAAGCATCAAGAATTTGGCCAAGCGGCAACGTGCTCTTTGACAGTCGACCGGGAAGGGGCCTTATTTGTCAATGATCTGGTCGACATACAATGACACAAAGGGCTACCCCGAGGTTAATAACTCTCGACGGCCACCTGCATCCGTCTGTTCAATGTTTATGGAATCGTGATGGTAAACAAATCATTTGTTCGACGGTGAAGGTTGATCAACGGTTAGCTTGGCGTGGAGGATCGTTTCGGGATGAAGGCCGGCAAGAACAGGCGGAGAGGGTCAGGTTGAAACACGACAGAGCGATATAGCAAGAAACAGATATACGAGGTTGTGATATGCAAAGTCTCGGGTGTGACAGCGATATTGGATGGCGTAGGGCTATCAGTGGCTGAGTAGCTGCGGGTTATGTTATTGGGCCACGACTCGAGGGCAGTAGCAGCTCGTGCGGACGATAGGCATGGCGCAGCAAGAGGATATATGGATGGGTGGTAAGATATAGAAACGGCGAGACAGACTAGGTAGCTCAACGAGAGAGAAAAGAACAAGTGGTGTTGGAATGATGGTGACAGTGAACAGCGGCAGCAATTGGCGAATTTAGCGCCAGGGTGGAGTTTGGCATTTTGGAGCAGCAGGAATCAGGAGTCTGAGCGTGTGGCAGCAACGTCGAGGACTCTGTGCTTTGTTCGACTTTTCTTTCTCTCCGTCACCCAACACATCGTCGCTTCTGTCCTTTTCTTCTCTATTGGCTTGTCTGCGCACGGTAGCCGCGTCAAAGACAAAGCTACGACCGGAGGCCTTTGAGGACAGCAGGAACTGCAGGTTCTCCGTCAGTTAATATTTCGTATTAGCCACTACCACATTCCTTTCGCCCAGAAACACCATGTCGTCGTCCAACCACAGCATCGGCAACCGCAACAGCACGCCTGATGCAAGCAGCTCCACCCTGCGCCCGCCCTCATCTCGCGGCATGAACCCCGGCCATCACCTGCGCGCCTCGGCCGACATGGGCGCCTTCTCGACCTCGTCCCCTCTGGCATCCCGGGGCATCCGACCCGCCAGCGAGGTCTACTTCAGCGGTGTTGGCCTCGGTAGCCAGGACGATGCCGCCGACAAGGCTGCTCAGCAATGGATCGCCGACATCGACCAGTACGAGACGACGCTCGAGGACATGGCTGCCGCTACGCTGGACCAAGATTTCAAGGACGAGCTCAGCGCTATTGAGCAGTGGTTCCGTGTGCTCAGCGAGCCCGAGCGCACCGCCGCTCTCTACGCCCTGCTGCAGCAGACGACCCAGGTGCAGATTCGCTTCTTCATCCAAGTCCTGCAGCAGATGGCCAAGAGCCATCCCATGTCGGGTGTTCTGTCTCCTGCCAACTTTGGCGAGAAGGGTATGTTTGCAACGCCTTGGACCTTCATGTACCTCGCTAACCTGTGATGCTGTGCCNNAGATCCCATGTCCACCCGCCTCAACGATGCTATGAGCAGACTTAACATGGAGGGCACGAGATCATCCTTCGGCTTTGGTGCTAAGCCCCCACCATCCCCTGGAGCCAAGCGCAACTCGGGACTTGACCCCAGCACCATCAATTCGCTCTTCCCCGATGCCGCCGCTGCTATTGCAAAACANAAAGCCGACTTCAAGGAGCACACCGGCAACACNCCCACCTCGAGCCGCGTCGGCGACCGCTCATCCCTTCTCTTCGATGACAAGAAAGATGCCCCCGTGCCGCTCTCTCCCTCGCCCTGGAACAACAGCCGCAACGAGAACCAGCCTCCCATCACTAGACCCCGCTCATCGCAGGGCCAACAGCCCATGGGCCAGTTCAGCCAGCCTCTGCGCTCGCCTCGCCCCTTCCAACTGTCGAGCGACACCAACTTGCAGAACACCACTGTCTCTGCACCCAACCAGGACCCCGCCATGAACATTCTCTCGCCCTACAACCCCAACAACAGCTGGGCCTCGATGGTCAACACTCCTATGATCCCCAACTTCAACACACAGCAGCAGAGTGCTGCGCATGCCGACATGGTCGCCAATGCCACTGCTATGAAGCTGGCCGCCCTCTCTACTGTCAACAACCGCATCCAGCTCGACGATGTCAAGAAATTCCGCCGAGCACGCTCTTCTGAGGGTCAGCCTCAATACCAGCAACAGCAACAGCAGAATATGAACATCCTCATGACCAATGAACTCGGTCAGGTTCTGACNTCTCAACAGGCTGCTGCTCTGCAAGCCCAGCAGCTCGCTGCGCTCCAGGGTGGCCGCTCTCGTCCCAGCTCTCCCGGCATTGCTATCTCTGGCCCTCCTGGTTCCAACATGAGCCACCTTCCCATGACCCAAAACAATGGTTTCCTTTCTACTTATGATGCCGGTATGCTGAATGCAAACATGGGTGCTCTCAACATGGGCAACTTTGGCATGGGCGGTCACGAAGGTTATCTTTCCGATCACTCTGAAGCTCGCGGCAGATCACCTCGTGGTAGACGCGGCAGCTCCAAGCCCCCAGAGGACCCCACTGACCTCCAGCTTCTGAGTGATGTTCCCAGCTGGCTGCGTAGTCTGAGACTGCACAAGTACACAGATCAACTCAAAGACATGCGCTGGCAAGACCTTGTTCAGCTTGATGACGACGCTCTCGACAAGAAGGGTGTTAATGCCCTTGGTGCTAGGCGAAAGCTCCTCAAGGTAAGGATATCACTCTTCAGATTCATTCCTACTATTCATACAAGATTCACTAACTGTTACCAGGTTTTCGAGACAGTCAGAGAGGCGCAAGCTGAGGGAAAGCTGTAGACGGTTCACCCGAAGATGAGCGCTCACTGGGTTTCCTAAACACCATCATCGCCATGCGATCATAATTTTCTGCGTTCATTTTTCGAATGTAAGAGCCTCTATCTCAGGCCTGCCAGAAAGTTTTTTGTTTCTCCACCCAAAATTCGTACCAGATACTCGCCATATCATCACCGGCGCCTAATAATACAAAATCAAACGGACTTCGTTTCAAGGGATATTCATTGTCTCCTCTTCCACTCAACCACTCTCTTTTCCTTGTGTGAAAGGTGAAGGCAATAGAACCTGCTCCTTGTTTGATCGAGTATCTCTTTGTTGCTATTGTGTCTTGCTTTTATTGACTCGAACAGCCCTGTTGTTTCTTCTTTGTTCCAGGCTTTTGATCACTGTCCTTGTTCCGAAAATGTCATTGCTATTTATCCCAAGCAGGCACCATCACACTCGAAGTCCTCAAAACACCAATAACACTGACAACAACACCAAATTTAACTATCATGTCTTTCATCAAACTTTCCATTGCCGCCTTGGCTGCAAGTACAACTCTCAGCCACGGTTATTATCAACTTGTTGAACAACACAGCGGCCCTAGCTTTTTCGACGGTTTCGACTTCTTCACCGAGGCTGATCCTACGAACGGCTCGGTTGCCTACACTTCGAGACTTACTGCTGCCCCTAACGAGCTCATCGGCGTCGTCCTCAACGAGGATGGTTCCGAGCCATCTGCTTACATTGGCGTCGACTCTACTACGATCACTGCCCATCGCCCTTCTGTTCGTCTGACCAGCAAAAATTCCTATGACCACGCTCTGGTGCTAGCTGATATCAAGCACATGCCTAGTGGTTGTGGTGTATGGTCTGCACTGTGGATGACGGGTCCACAATGGCCCAATTCAGGAGAGATCGATATTGTATGCTGCCCCTTGGATGGCTATATAAACTATAGACATTCAACCCTGCCCCTAACCAAAAGAATCTTTGCTAACTTCTAAATANNGGTTGAACAAGTTAACGGTCACGATTACAACCAAGCTACCCTCCACACTTCCGCCAATTGTGCCACCACAGGCACTAACAGCGGCCACCCTGATCTCTTCTCTGGAACACTTATAACACCCGACTGCGACGTCAGCTCTCCTGCACAAAACAATGCCGGCTGTGGCATCCGCGCACCCTCAAACGACACTTTCACCGTCGGCAACGAGAGCTGCATCCACTCCACCGCTGGCGACAACTTCAACGCTCAACAAGGCGGCATCTACGCAACCCTCTGGACCTCCACCGGTGTCTCCATTCACTTTTTCCCTCGCGAGTACATTCCCAACGACATCAAATCCAACACTCCTGANCCCTCTTCCTGGACCACTAAGCCTCAGGCAGTGTTCTCTGGCAACGGATGCAATTTCGATGCTCACCTTAAAGACCTGCAACTCGTCATTAATACTGATTTTTGCGGCGATTGGGCTGGCAATACTTGGGAGGCTGATGGATGCGCTGCTAAGACTGGTGTTGCTACTTGTGCTGAGTATGTCGCTAATAACCCTAAGGCTTTTGAAACTGCATATTGGTTGTTTAACTCAATTAGAATTTTTTCGAACGAGACTGTGACGCTTGGGGCTGATAATTAGGAGGGGATGCTGGTTCATCTTGCTTGTTTCAAGTAGTATTGCGTTTTGGAGTCTTTGGATCATCTGTTTCTGCTATTTTTGAATATCATATCTGCTCTTTTATCCATTCTTCTTGCACTTGTTTTCATTATTATTCCCATGTGATTCTCGTCATACCTGTGCATCTATATAAGACATTTTTGAAACATCTTGGTGCTTGAAAGGTCTCTTGGAAACGGTATTGGTCTTGTTGACTTGTCCATAATAAAACATATAAGACTGCCGCGGGTTGCAAAGCCGTATCTCGAGTCGATTAGAATACTACACGGTAACCATTTTCCAAAAAGAAAATAGCCCAATTCTAGCAGTAAACTTGAGTTCTACCATATCTAGGAGAGTATTGTAATGTGTCGGACGTCTTACGATGCAATACTAAGTTCCATAAGATGCTTCGGTGTTGGTGATTATGGTTAGAAACTCGACCTCTAAGGAACTATGCTGTCCTTAAAAGTGTTTTCTAAGGTTCATGTGCGGCCGTGTCAAATTTGAGCACGTCTGTCGATGTTGGGATAGTGCTTAGTTTCAGCATGAATAGCCACGTATAACTGCACTTGAAGAGGCACTATAGGCTTGGGGCCAATACTTGCCAAAATTTGCTCAGGAACCTCAACCTCCTTGTCCCTGATATAGTCTGCAAAACCCTTGTATATGCGGCATCTCGACACACTCGAGATAAAACTTGTCTTCTTTCCAGTCGTCACCGATCAATTCTTGCATCTTGGCTTTGGTCATGTAGCTGCGGAACCAGTCCCAGGCTTTGGGATTGCGGATGAGAACGACTTTGATACCCTTCTCGGCAAGGACTTCAGCGCTTTGGTTGATGCCGTCCCATGCAGTCTGGGCATATCCCTCGTGCTTGCCAGCAGTCATGGCCTCAGCTACACATGTGAGTACCTGCTTTCATGAAAGCATGTGAGGGTCGTCGTTACCATTCTCAGCGAGATTCACCTCTGCTAGGTAGTCGCCGGTTATAAAGTCGACTGGTCCTTGGGCGGCTTGTCTTAGTATTTGATAGCCAGGGTCGCCTGATAACTCTAGCATCTTTTATTTTTGTCATTCTGAGTGCAATTGACGAACCTGCGGCTCCCGAGCAGTTTGCGACCCTGACTGCTCTCCGGCTGTTGCCTGTAGTCGGTTCGGTGGTAGACATTATAAGAGTGTCTTGTCTTGAACTGTGATCTCCTTTGGGTTTTGTCTGTTATATAAGACTCGGAGTGGATGATATGCTCGAAAGCATGCACTGCCTTTATAGCGAGTCGTCCATCCCTCTCCGTTTCTCTTCCCGAGGTCCATGTTGCCCAAGACCATCATGGCAAATATGTTAGCACGTAAAGCATGAGGCGTCGTCGACGTTGTCGGATGTCAAGCTTCCTGCTTTATACATTGGTTAGTGCATATCTCAAGCCCTGTCTTCTGCATAAGTCAAAGACAACCGAGCATATCATGCATAAACCCGGAAGACAAATCCGGGGCGAGCATAATCCGACACCGAGTCTTCCAAAGCCCGAACAACAACTCGTCTGTACGGCCACTCGAACCTCCTGAGACAGGTCTGGACACACATCTTCCGCGTTAATGGAACAAACAAGCTCGAGCGAGTGGAGTCGAAGCGACTTTCAGCAGATAGTGTCGAAGCTTGCTAAAGTTCAGTATATATAACGTTCTATCCCCTTCAACTATGAAGCACTTGTCCCAATTCAATCATTCGTCTACCTCGTGTAAGGCACACTACGATGTCCGGATACTCTGTACCACAGGAGGTTTAACGAATCTTCCTCGAAGGGATCTTGAATGATCCACTTATTCGTCCAACTCTGCCAGCGAAAGCTCAAGAATGTGCAGCTCAGGTGTCTTTCGTTGGCAGCTATCTTCCCAGTTTGCCTATCAACTGGCGGTTCGCAGAGAGCATTGCTTCGTTAAAGGGTCTCGGATCTATCATGATCAATGCCTTGCTGGATAAGAAGTACAACAGCAGCCCAGCCAAGATCGAGATCGACACGTAAGAGAGAAGAAGACAAAGACAACAAATTTGGAAACTGACGACGACAACTTGTAGAGATCACGCGCAGCTCTTCATCATGTCTACCCTGTTGTGGACACTCGATTCTTCTGGCGAGAAATTGAACGCCTCTTCCATGCTGACAGAACAAGGTCGCAAGAAGCTCGCCACTTACTTCCCTAGTTGAGATAAGTTTGGTGCCAACACTGGCCCATACAACTCAGCTGCAACCAACATCTACAAGACCAAGGATGGGAAACTCTTCCACCTGCATGGTGAGTTACTGGAGGCAAAGCATCCAAGAATTGCGAGTGTGTATACTGAAAGCTCGTGACCAAAGCTTCAATGAACGCAGGCCCTACGATCGAGAGTGTACAGTTACCACCCGAAAACTCAGAGGTAGCAACCGACGAGCAAGCATGGCAGATTTTTGGCGATGCTGTTGCAAAACACACTGCAGAGGAAGTGCAAGACATCGCCCCAAACCAATATCGTCAAGCAGGAACAATCTGCTACTCGAAAGACGAATTCAAGCAGAGTCAACACGGCAAAGCGAACGCTCACGTAGGCTTGTTCGAAGTCCACGAGCGTCAAAACGTCAACCAAAAGCCATGCTGGAGGCCCGAAAACAGCACTCTTCCATCATCTCCAAAACGCCCTCTTGCCGGTCTTAAAGTGGTAGATCTGACAAGAGTTATCGCCGGACCTGCCATCTCGCGAGGTCTGGCCAAACTAGGTGCCAGTGTAATCCGTGAATTCTTCCACTTTTCTACGAGGGCTTCTATCCCGGATCTGATGAAAGTTGTAAGAGCTGCTCCAGTGACTTGAGTGCTTGCAGTGGCATGAGTTCAGTCGAGATTGAAACAGGTGGCTCACGCAACTCCTTAGCATCGACGCAACCATGGAGGTCTATCGAGTTGAGAGCTGAAGATCCGGATCCAGAGAATATTCTTGGATATTCGATGGACAGCACAGAAGAGTAAGAGGTGGTAGGGATATGTCGTATTTATTTCTTCTGGCCAGTCTCAGCCTTGTCGAGAAGGCTTATGCGAGTTTTGTATTCGCGTGGAGTTTCGATCTTCTCATCTTTCTGGCCCATCAACTTGCCAATCAAGCTGGGCTTGGTATGCTTCCACATGCCGATCTGTTTCTTCTGAGCCTTTTCCATAGCTCTGCGGTATTTGGCCTCTTTGTTTCCAAATTCGCTGCCAAACTTTGCTTCGTAGACGGTGGCCATACCATTCTTGATCATCTCTAGACCGACGTCTGTCTTCCAGAAGCCCCACTTCCAGTATGACACACTAGCAACGACTCTTTGATATTGATCGAGTCGGTATATGTATGCTCTGACATAACGCTTGTGAAGTAGAGTCCTCAGCCATTCAAGGGCTTCTTTTCCAAAAGGCTGTTCTTTGTTGCCGAAATGGGCAGTCTCGGNGGCATCGACACCTGCTATTCGGACATGGACAGTCTTGTCCTTGAACTCTTTCGATGTCCAATCTTGAACCTTTCTCGAGGGGAGCCAACCCCAACCGGTGAGACGACCTCCAGGAGTGTGGAACAGGCGGAAGTTGTCGCCGTCTCCGACACGACTGACGTAGCCATAGAGACTGCGTTTGTGAAAGTACGAAGGGGTAATGTACTGGGCTTCGGGGACGCGGCGGAGGTGTCTGCGGTAGATGCGGATCAGGGCGAGGGTGGAGAAGGTCAAGATGGCGGTGGGCAGGATGGTGCGAGGGGACGAATAGTGTGACCAGTCGGTAGCGTTGAGCGAGTCGGACCAGGCGACAGGCTTCTTCTTGTCCTTGTCAGACTCGGACCACCTGAGCCAGTCTGGCCACTGCATGCTTGGGCGACTTTTCGTGTTTTGGTTTGGAAACAGCAACAGCCTCAAGAGTCAATTGTGGAGTTTGCATGTGAAGAACGTGCCCGCATCCGAGCTTAACGCTAGCGCTCCATTAGGCAATCATCAGAAGTGGGCGCGTAGAGGAAGCGACTTCTCTCATACCGCCATGTGAAGAGACATAGGTCAGATGAGAGCGCCATGGAGGACACGGGGAGTCGATGGTGGTCCACGCATGCCGTTGTCTCCAGCTTGACTGCCACGGAGATACAGGTGGTCGGCCGGGGATATCGGCTCGAGCAAGTCGAATGCGCGTGACGCAGGGGATCCCCGCACTGAGCGACGATCGATGGTGGATGGTCAGATGCAGCTGCCGTACCTGGATCCTTCCTACTGAAACTCGAGCTCCTGCCTGCCTTATCCTCCTTCTACCTAGCTCCTAGACATTTACAATGGGCGGCGGTTCTCATCCCACCATGGCTTCAGCCTCTACCTATCCACGACTCGCTGCGAAGCCTGTCGGCAAGCAGATCCACAAGATCTATACCGACAGGCTGAGGCAGTTTACAGACAACGGCCAGTACAGGAACCAGGGCTTGCTACCGTACGTACCTGCCCAGCTCTTCCTCCTTGCCTACATCGAGATCCTGACATTTGAGCAGNNAAAGATCGAACCCAAGCGTGCATCTGGCCATCCTCACATCAAGCTCGAAGTCTACTCTCCGCCAGACCTCTCTCGTCCCACCTTCAAGGATGCAACCTCGCACGACTTTAGCCCTGCCAAAGTTGGCGAGTCCTTTGGTCCCAGTTGGTCTACACATTGGTTCCGCCTTCGTCTCACCGTGCCTTCCTCCCTCGCCGACGAGGACCATCTAGAACTACATTGGGATGCGAACAACGAGGGTCTCATCTGGAATGAGAAGGGAGAACCACTCCAAGGTCTTACTGGAGGAGGCGAGCGTATTGAGTGGATTCTGCCCAAGTCGTTCCGGGACGGCAAAGAACATGTCTTTTATGTCGAGATGGCTTGCAACGGCATGTTCGGAAACGCTCCTGGAGGCGACAGTATCCAGCCACCTCGTCCGGACAGGTATTTCCAATTGCAGCAAGCCGATATAGTGGCCATCAATTTGGAAGCAAGAGCTCTCTTCATGGACTTCTGGATCATCGGAGATGCTGCAAGAGAGTTTCCAGAAGACTCATGGGAGGAACATCAAGCTCTTCAAGTCTGTAATTCCATCATGGACACCTTTATTGCTGCCAACGGAAGCAACGACTCTATCGCAGAATGCAGGAAGATTGCAAAGAAGTACATCGGAGACGTCAACTCTTCCAAAGTCTACGACTCAAACAAACCTGCTTTGATAACTGCCATTGGTAACTGTCACATCGATACTTGCTGGCTTTGGCCTTGGGCAGAAACAAAGCGCAAGGTCGCCCGTTCGTGGTCCAACCAATGTAATTTGTTGGAGCGATACCCAGAGCACCGTTTCGTTGCATCACAAGCTCAGCAATTCAAGTGGCTAGAGCAGTTGTATCCCTCTGTCTTCGACCGCGTCAAGAGCAAGGTCAAAGAGGGCACCTTCCAGCCGATTGGTGGGTCTTGGGTTGAACACGACACGAACATGCCTAGTGGAGAGTCGTTAGTCCGCCAGTTCATCTATGGTCAACGCTACTTCGAAAGCCGGTTCGGTTCGAGATGTACTACCTTCTGGCTGCCTGACACTTTTGGTTACTCTACCCAACTGCCTCAGATCTGTCGCCTTGCTGGTATGACGAGATTCTTCACCCAAAAGCTCAGCTGGAACAACATTAACAACTTCCCACACACCACTTTCAACTGGGTCGCACTTGATGGCAGTCAGGTCGTTTGCCACATGACACCTGCTGAGACTTATACTGCCGAAGCGAACTTTGGTGATGTAAGACGCAGTATTACGCAGCACAAGTCCATGGATCAAGATCCAACCTCGCTTCTGGCATTCGGAAAGGGAGATGGAGGTGGTGGCCCAACTTGGCAGCACCTCGAGAAGCTCCGAAGATGCCGTGGCATGAGCGATGAGGTCGGTCTCTTGCCTCGTGTCAAAATGGGCGACTCGGTCGATGACTTCTTCGCCCGCCTGGAGAAGAGGGTTGAAGAAGGACTCGAGCTTGTGACTTGGTATGGCGAACTCTACTTTGAACTACACAGAGGTACATACACGACACAGGCCAACAACAAGCGTAACAACCGTAAGTCCGAGATCATGCTTCATGATATCGAGTACCTTGCAACATTGGCCAGCATCCAAGATGTTGTCTCAAAGGATAGCAAGAAGTACAAGTACCCCAAAGAGGACATCGATGACATGTGGGAGAACGTTCTGCTTTGTCAATTCCACGACTGCTTGCCTGGAAGCTGTATTGAAATGTGTTACGATGACTCTGATGAGGTAAGTTGTACTTCAAACCCATGTAGTTCATGACTAACACTTCCAAGNCTCTATGCGAAGGTCTTCAAGACTGGTAAGAAGGTCTTGACCGAAGCTCTTCACGCTCTCGGATTCGACGATAAATTGTGCCACGGCAATGAGCTAGTCGCGCTGAATACTCTTGGGTGGAATCGTAACGAGATGAGCTCTCTGCTGTCTCCTGACCAGACAAGTCGTTATGGTCTGCTCCAAGGCGAGACCGGCATTAACTCTGTAACGGACATGATCAATATGACCGCTTCCGTGGAAGTCAAAGACATGGGAAACAACGTGTTCCATCTCATGAACACTCAATACTTTGTTGAGATCTCTAACGGCGTCATCACCATGCTTTATGACAAACAAGCTCATCGGGAGATAGTTCCCAAGGGCCAGAAGGCGAACCAACTGGTTATCTTTGACGACAAGCCTCTCTATTGGCAAGCATGGGACGTCGAGGTCTACCACCTCAATTCGAGAAAGGAACTTCACGCAACAAGCTCATCGATCATCAGCGAAAACACTCCTCATCGTGTTGCAGTCCAGACGACAACCAAGATTTCTGAGAAATCTTCCATCACGATGACAATTTCACTCTCTTTTGCACCTGTGGGAGGCAGCTCGTACATCGAAACTGAAGCAGAAGTCAACTGGCATGAGGATATGAAGTTCCTGAAGGTCGAGTTCCCAACCACAATCACCAACACCGAAGCTTCTTACGAGACCCAATATGGTATCGTGAGACGCCCGACACATTACAACACCACATGGGACATGGCAAAATTCGAGGTCTGCTGTCACAAATGGGCTGATCTCTCGGAGAATGGCTACGGTGTCAGTATCTTGAACGACTCAAAATACGGCTTTGCAACGTGCGGTAGTCTGATGCGTNNCTCTCTGCTACGTGCTCCCAAGGCTCCTGATGCTCACGCCGACATGGGCAAGCACAAGATCCGTTGGGCAATTCTTCCTCATAAGGGACCTCTTGACCACCGCACCGTTCGTGCAGGCTTTGAGTTCAACAACCCCATGACAGTGCACTCGCATCCGAAGGTCTCAGATATCAAGGGCTTGATGAGTTCGTTCAAGTTGTCCAAGGACAGTGATGAAGGCTTGGTTCTCGACACAATCAAGCGTGCTGAGGATGATGAAGACGTTAACCGTGGCGAGCTTCCCAAGCGTAAGGGCAGGAACGTCATTGTTCGTGTCTACGATAGTCTCGGAGGAAGGTGCCGTGGTTCGATCGAGGTTGGGCAGGTGCCGATCGCCAAAGTGTGGAAGTGCAATGTCTTGGAGGACGACATTGAAGAGGTACACATCACCAAGGGTGCCTTTGACATTGAGCTGAGAGCTTTCGAGGTAGCTACCTACAGACTCTTGTTGCAATGATGAACAACGAGAAGATGGGAGTGTCATGAGTCATTGCGGTATATTCTAGATAGCATGAAACCGTAACATATGTTCTGCAGTATCCTCTTTAGTATCCTCTCTTCCTGTTGACAACATTGATGAACTTTTCACCCTTCTGCTTGTGTTCTAGCTGCAGTTCGAGGATCTGGAATGCTCGGTCGACATATGCCTCGCCATTGCCGCTGATGTGCGGTGTAACGATCACATTGTCCAGACCCCATAGCTCGCTGTCAGAGGGAAGGGGTTCGGGATCCGTGACGTCCAAGGAAGCTCCTGCAAGAGTTCCATCCTTTAGAGCCTTGATCAGCGCGGGCTGATCGATGATAGGTCCTCTTGCGATATTGGCCACAAAAGCGGGTTTCTTGCCATGCTGGCTGAGAATCTGAAACTCCTCTGTCGACAAGAAATGTGTTGTTTCTTTTGTGAGTGGTACAGAGATGAGTAGGAGATCGATGCCTTGCTTTAGGAAGTCGTGCAGAGACTCCTTGTCCAGACCCGAGTACCATGCTGAAGGGATCTCGCCGTTCGGATCACCGGTTCCAGGGACGATGTAGCCGGCGTCTTTCTTCTTCTCTGGCGTATCCTTTGGAGATGCTGTGAAGGCGATGACATCCATGCNCTGAGTAGAGTTGTTAACTTACATTCATAGGAGTATTAGGACGGACTTACCCATGGCTTTGGCTACTCTGCCGACCTGGCGTCCAATACTTCCATAGCCGAGCACTCCGACACGCATGCCGACAGAGTCCTTGACGCTATACCCACCCTTGGCCCATCTGTGCTCCTTCTGAGCTTTGTAAAGCTGGTTGTACTTGTGAGTTTGAATCAAATGGGTCATGATGACCCACTCAGCAATCTGCGGGCCATGCACGCCAGACGCAGTGGCAATGGGAATGTCTGTATCGGTATAGATGGGATGACTGGTGAGTTGATTAGACCCAGCAGAGAAGAGCTGGATAAAGTCCAGCAAAGGAGCATCCTCGGGTTTAGGCGGCAGAGCGGACAATGTCAACAGCACAGTGGCTTCTCTCCAAAGCTCTTTGGGCATTGCTTCTTCCAACTGCGCGCGGTCTTTTGTCCAAGGCACGTTACGGTAGGTTATCTTGAGGTGAGGGAACTTGTTTTGCAGTTTCTCGATTGCGGCGTCTGGTTTCTGCATGGGCAGTGTGACCAGGACGGCCTCTTTGTGTTCACCTCCTCCCATGGTGGTGTTTGGCGTTGCAATAGCGGCGGTTGGCGGATGGATTGTAGGTGAGTTTCCAAGTTGTACAGATGTCGGTGGGTCGTGATTATAAATGGTGATTGGGTTTAGTGATAACATATAAGGCAACTATGACGTGCGTCGCACCTTCCGAGATGGGCAACTTACGGGATTGTGGAGGGGGCTCTTTTCTACATTGCAACTGGAAGCACATCGGAAGCAACACCACATCACTGCAAGAAGCGCTGAAGACCAATACACGTCCGTATCAAGGCAAAGTTCAATCGTTCGCTCATGTCGATACGTGAGACACTTCTTCCATCGGAGAAATACTGGACGAGCCCTCTCAACGCCGTGCGACATGCTCTTCCCTCTTTGGCCGACGTTTGCCATGTCACGGCAGTCTCTCCGCAACTTGTCTTGACATCTCTTCCTCGTGTTCTTCTGGAATGATAGGCATATCAGACGTTGTTGTACCCGAACCGCCGTCGGGGTCAATTCCAATAGCTTGAACGTTTGATGATCCGGTGTCGAGGTGCAAATTGCCGACCCTTGTTCCACCACCGACGTCTTCTCTTCAACTACCTCCATCGGTCTTGTTCATCGCAGGTCGTAAGGACAACCCGACATGACGTTTCTACAGTCCAGCGACAATCTGTGTCTATACAGTACCACACAGAGCGTCTCGGATGTTCTATCCATTCTATCTGTGACTCCAGATGGATTTCTACCAAGCTTAGCCGTTGTCAATTCTCAAGATCTTTCGGGACGGCAGTTGAGAATCGTATGGTAGCAACGTCGAACTGTCCAACGTGCCTGTACATGTCCTAATACATGACTGGGCCAGATCTTTGTTCGAGCCGATCAAACCCATAGCAGAGTATAACTCCATCCCATCCACACCAGACCTACTTTTTGTCCGATTGACACTTGACATCCCTCAAGGGAACTGTCGACGCCTTGATATTTTAGATCATAGAGGCGGCGACGCCTTTGAGGCCTGCAACATGGTTAACGTGCTTGCTCTGGTTATCGTTTGTCTCGCGCTCTCATGGGTGTCTGTCCTGGTGCGGTTCTGGGTCAAGATATTTATGATCGGTCGTATCCGTTGGGATGATTGGATCTTGCTGCTGGCGATGGTAGGTCCGCTGCTCGTACAATGGCGCCCCAAGCTCATCAAATACAGNATTCTGTTCAGCGGCCAGTGTAGCTGCATCCTGGTCCTGGTTAGCGCCACTCCCCGAGAACACTCAGTCACCACAGTGGATATCGTACCCTACATGTTCATGGCCGCCTACAATCTCAGTTTCATGACCTCGATCTGTGTCAAAACCTCGTTCGCGCTCTCCTTGAACAGATGCTTCGCAGAGAGATGGCAGCGTCTGCTCATCACCAACATGACGCTTTTATTCTACATTTATGCGAGCACCAGGATCTTTTTGGATCTCTTCTTCTGTGGATTACCTAGCGATATGGCTCACAAAGAGCTTGAGCAATGCAAGCACTATCCAGGCATGGTAAAATGGTGGTTTGCCGGTTCCATCTTCAATGCTGTGGTGACCTGGGTCTACATTCTGCTCCCTGCTGTCGTCATCTGGCTGTCCAGACTGAGCCTCAAAGTCAAGTTAGCAATCTCGATTATCACTGTTGCGGGTACATTGAGTGGTCTGTCAGCTACCTTTCGCATTCTGGGGACTGGCACCTTCAAGGCCCTGAAAGACTTCAGCCCAACCAATCTCGACATCATCGCGTGCATGGTCGCCGAAATGGCTTTCGGAATCATCGCGACTTCCATGACGAATTCGACGAAACTGCCGAGTATGTTAGCTCGGACCAAGACTAACGATGTTCGTCCAAGAGCTGCGCCCGATACATATCTGGAAGGGGGCACCACCGACTTCATCAAGCTTTCACCCATCCTCGGCCCACAGAAGCTTGCTGTCGATACCTGGAGCACAACACGGACTCTGAAAGAAGTTCCTGCCTTTGAGCAAGAAACCTTTGCACTACCCTCACCCTCATCCAATACGGGGCGCGTCTCATGGGATAGCACATTTGGGTCACCTAAAGCAGCGGCTCCAGCACCAGCTAGACTGACACTGATCATCGATGACGTTAGCGATGATGAGGGCGAGATTAATATGGTCAAGGGGTCACANGGGGTCAAGGAGACTTTTACGAATATATAGGAGTTAATACAGTATTTTCTTATCTTGACCAAGGAATATGTATCCACTTGTTGGAGCTTCAGTTATTCATGACAGGGCGTACTCGTTATTGCGTCAGGGCAACCTTGATTGAGATGATGCTGACGCTTCAGCGCGTCAATGGCTATACCATGTAACTCCTGAATTCTCCCAAATATCAATCAAGCGGGGGGAAACAATATTTGTTTTCTCAAGTCTGGTATTTTCGAGTTCGGCTTTTTGGAAAGTATTTCATTAAATGTCAGATATGATACCTCTAAGTTGTCTCTCATGACTGTTTCGCGCTATGTGTGAATTTGATATAGCATGACCATTATACCAATATACTGAGCAAGCAACTAATGGGCCAGCCTCTCCTGTATCAGAAACCCCTTTCTCAGCCATCCTACAGGAAGGTGCGGTCAGGTTGATCTTTATGGTATGAGGACTGGTATCTGGCGAGGCAGTGCAAATATCATTCTTCTGATGCTTGCTCTGACCTTTATCAGATATTCTTACCATGGTAGCCTTCGTTGTTCACGCTCGCGTTCGTGGTATAGGCAGGACCTTCGTGCGGTGTTTCTCATGAGGGTGTCGTGACTTTCGCGTCTCAGGAGCTTGTGTCTCGCGTCCTCATAATACCTGGTACGCGTAGGCAGCCGAGTTTGGTAGTAGAGCCTACGAGGGAGTTTGTCGCGGTTCCCGTGATCACACGAGGGTGTGTCCGGGCGTGATCGGGGAGTATAAGAACAGCCTATCCCCCTCCGACTTTCTTCTCTCTTCTCTCATCGATGATTCCTATTCGGTGTTTCGTGGTATAGGCGGTGTTTCCATGATGCCATCGTGCTGTCGTAGCGGCGTCATCGTTCTTCGTGGGCTGTCGTGTACAGAGAACATCCTCGACACACCATAGTCGTCGGTCGCTGTGCTATTGCTGCGTGGTCCATTGTAGTCGTCCTAGGTGGATTGCAGTCGTCTTAGGAAGAGCCCGCCACTTCTGCCCACTGGAGCTCTCGTCGACGCGGTCATCTTCGTCCATCATCGTCGGCTTCATCCATCATCGTCGGCTCCATCCATCATCGTCGGCTTCATCCATCATCGTCGGCTTCATCCATCATCGTCGGCTTCATCCATCATCCTGGGCTTCGTTCATCGTCGCCGTCGACGTAAGCTATTTTCGGTCGTCATCCATCGCTGACCCGTCGCCGTCCTCCTAGATCGAGTCTGTTGTTGTTGGGCTCAGCACCTGCCGTGGTTTCCAACCATCGTCATTAGTCGTACTCACCTCACTTTGCTGCCGCCTGCGAGCGTCCATCGCGATGACCATGTTTCCTCCGTCGTCGTATTCGCTGCCGCAGCATCAAAACTTTATTGCTCTTCCATGTGCGTCGCTGATTTTCCGCTCCTGGTGGACGTTTCGCGCCTTGCCATTCGCTCCTGCCGTCGTAATCCTTCGTGCTTGCCTCATCATCACACCGTCCGTGAAGACCACTACGTCGTCCGTTGGCGCCATCATCTCTGTCCCAGTCGCTCCTGCTCAACCATGAGCGTGCTTGAATTCTGGTGGTTCGCCGCGGTCTCGTGTCATTCGCCCCTTGTCTTTCGCTCCTGCCGCCCTGAGCTATTGCCTGACTGCGTCAGCAGACCTTGGTTGCGACTGCCTCTAACCGGCCCCTGGTCGCCCCTCCCTTTGCAGCCCATCTCACAGCTCGAGGCAACATCCTCTGCCTATCGATCGCCCTCTCCACATACAGCTGTCTCACTACCCGATACACCAACGGACGGCGACTAGTTCTGCAGACACCTTTGAGATGACCATCGGCGACTAGCTTCAAGAGTCGTGATGAAACGCTTCCCTTATCAGCCGCAACGACCCGAGTCAAGTCGATGATCCTTGCTCTCTCTTCAAGAGGACCCCAGCGACCACGGAAGACTTTAGCACAAGTTCGCTCTTGCTGCTCGTTATGCGATGACTATGAGGCACGCATCTGCTCGGCATCGGCCGTGGTTCTTACGCAAGCCCAGCATATCTACAAGAGAGAGGAAGGGTCAACAGTATAACAGCATAATAGGGGTCTCGTTACAAAGGAAAATAGAACAGCAAGAGGGACACAAAACAACAGTAACAGCAACAGCAGCATTGCAGCACAAAAGCACATACCAGGCAAGAAGACAGGGCAGCAGTGGACACAAAGAAGCTTTTTGCATTTTTCTGCATGCCTGCAACAACAAAACAGGGGGATTCATATGCAGAACAGCAGCCATGCAAAACAGCAGCCATGCAAAACAAACAACCAAGAAGGAAAAGTGATATGAACCCAGCTTTTTTTCTATCTGAAGAAACGGCCAATCACAGCACCACCAAGATTGCTCGCAAGCCCGCTGGCAGAAAAGGCGCCGGTCGCAATATTCGTAGCCTGGCTGAACTTGTCGCAGCGCGAAAAGGCAAGGGTGTTTGTGACGGCGAGGACGATAGCGATGACNNTGTAACGCCAGCATTAGCAACTCCATATCCAACTCAAAGTTTTGAGCAAAGACAACAACATACCAACCAAACTCAGCCAAATAAAGTGCAATCTAAAGATGGCAACAATACCCAGCGCAACCCAACTCACAGGCTGCGAATACAGCGCCAGCCAAAAGAATCTCTTATCCGTAGCATTGATCTGTCTGGTCTCCGGTTCCGCAGACTCAAACACCCAGTTGCCGTCGCCAGACTGAGCGTTGACTTCATTCCACCAGCGCAAGCCCACCAATCTTCTGCCAGCAATGTTTTTGAGATAGTAGAAATCGATGGCGAGGAGGATGATTGTGATGATGAAGATGAGGACGTAGTTTTGGCTAAAGTAGAGGCCGAAGAGGTAGGTGAGGAGACTNNTGCTGTGTGGAGGAGAGAATAGATTAGCTTTGTGCATCTGTTTGGTATGGACAGGGTGGTTCTTACACAGGCGGAAACCGAGGAAGCAGAGGAGGGTGATGGGGTGCGAACTTAGTCGCCAGCTCAGGGAGCCTGGCTGTGGGTTGTCCATGGCGATGTGACGTGTGTTGGATCGAGGAGGTGGTTTGCGACACGAGACGTTCAAGAGGCTGCTGCTATCGGACAGCTCTACTCAAGGAGACGCGTCGTTGGCTTTTGACTCGTGGTTGTAGACCTGTTGTTCTCCTATTGGCTTTCCATTACCGCATACGAGTCGACAAACTGTGGGGAGAGCTCCTCCGGGCCGTCGATGTCGTTCCTCGGCCATACCGAGCCCCCACCATGATGGCATCAATCGACATCTTCCTCTTGAACATCCTCACAACATATTGTTTACGGGCAAGATGGCAGCTTCTCCAATCGTGCGTCGGGCACTTCTTTATGGTCAGAAGAGCAGATACTATGCTAAGAAGTCTAGCTAAGACAAGATACANGTGCCCGGCTCATCAATGCGCTTCCTCGAAAAGTCACGAGGCGTGGCCGTCGACACAATCTGCTACGATCTAGAAGACTCGGTGACTCCCGGCAAGAAAGCGGAAGCACGATCAAACCTCCAATCCATCCTGTCGCGAGAGCGTGTATCAGGAATAAAAGAGCAAGCCGTACGCATAAACTCAGTCGACAGCGGCTATGCCCTCGACGACCTGACCCAAGTCCTCAAAGCACCCAATCTCGACGCTCTCGTCATTCCAAAAGTCAACAGTGCTTCCGATCTACATTTCGTTACCGATGTTATTCGCCATGCGCTTCCCGAACGACATGGTCCCGATGCCAAATCTCCACTTAGATTGATAGCGTTGATCGAGTCGGCGCGAGCAGTCATGGACTTGTCTGCTATTTGCAAGGCTTCGCCATACCTGAGTGGCCTCATCTTCGCTGCCGAGGACTTTGCTCTCGATCTCAGCATCACGCGTACGCCAGACCTCAAAGAGTTCTTATATGCGCGGTCGGCCATCGCAACAGCAGCTAGAGCATTCAACCTTCCTTCAACCATTGATCTGGTCACGACTGCATTCCGTGGTGAGCAGGGCCAGCAGATCCTCAAGGAAGAAAGCGAGGGTGGTAAGAGGATGGGTTACAACGGAAAGCAATGCATCCATCCCAGCCAAGTCGAGCTGGTCCAGAACATCTTCAGCCCCAGCCAGGAAGAGGTGGACTATGCGGTAAGAGTGGTCATCGCAGACGAAAAAGCAGATGCCCAAGGTCGAGGTGCCTGGACATTAGATGGAAAGATGATCGACGTGCCGGTGGTAGGCAAAGCCAAAGCAATCGTCAAAAAGGCAGAAGTGTGTGGGATCGACGTCGCATCCGTCAGAGAGAAGTTCAAAGACCAAGAGCCAGAGTAGTTCGAATGTAAAGCTTGTTCAAGACGCGTCTTTGGCGTAAGCAAGTGCTCTGTGACCTCTCTCTTGACCAGATCCGGTTCCGTGCCCATCTCTCCAGCATTCCTGGCAGTATAGATCACCATCGCAACCCACGCATTTTACAGTGGCGTCTTCGTTACAGATGCAGCACCAGCTTTCCATATCTTCATCCGTGTATCTGGGCAGGTTGGACTTGACGCTCTTTTGAATATTGACAGGCTTCTTCGCCGGATTGAAAGAAGGCACTCCAGGTAGCGACAGAGAAGCAAAACGAGCCGAGAGCGCATCATCAATATTGGCGTCCTGGTCAGGGGCAGGTGATAACGGTAGCTCGGTAGGCGCTGAAGGTAGAGATAGTCCATCATCATCATCTTCCATCTTGCCACCATCTGCGTCTTCCTCGTCTTCAGGACCGCCATACTTGTTCTCCAGCGCGAGCTCGGCGAGTACGCGCTGCACGTAATCACCGGCTTCCTCGTCATCTCTCTTGTCTTCATCGCGCTCTTTGTCCTCGTCGTCTTCGTCATCGTGTTCTGGTTCAATGACTCCGACTTCAATATCCACGTCTTTGCCCTGCTCTTTCTCTGTGTCTTCTACGGGTAGAGCACTCTTGGCTTCAGCCATCAAGTCGCGAATCCGCTCGCCCTCGTCACGCTGAACAGACCATTGTTCTTCCGGCCCTAGATCTTGCAACAACTCTTCAATGGTCCTGTCATCTTCCTCGTTGTGCTCTGTGTCTTCTGGTTTTTGAAGTGGGGATGCGATGGTGCTATTGGGCGTCAGGCTGCGGAATCGCGCCGATAGGTCTGAGTCTGTGGTTCGTTGTGGTGTTGATGGGAAGTCGAGAGAGGTTGTCTTGGATAGTGTGACGGGAGACTTTCGCAGGGCGTTTAGTCGGGCTAGGAGGGCGTCGTCTGAGTCGGGCATGTTGGTGTGTTGGTTTTGTGTTGTGGTTGGAGCTTTGAGGTTGATGATGTCGTGGTTTGGGATTCAAGTCAGCTGTGTAACCCTGATCACGACTTGGCTCAGCCTTCAAGAGCAATATATTTTGGTAGCGACGACATGCTTTGATGTTCTTGTATGATTTGTGATAACAAGGATATAAGCTACGTCTTCTCAGTAGTCTACGAGGTCACCAACCAGTAAGCGTTGGTACTTGTCCACCACTTCTCTGGTTTTCATCAAAACGCTAGCAGCGAGCATGCGAACCCTCTCACCCTCTTCGTCACCTCCACCAACTCGATCAAAGACAAGCTCAACCCACTCTTGTGTCTCGATCAGCTGTTTCGGATGCTCTTCTGCCAACCTGCGTTTGTCTTCGTTCATATCGAGAAGAGTGAGAGTCGCGAAGAGAACAGCCTCTAAGACACTGACATCCGCCAATGCATTCGTCCTAACACTCAAGATCAGCTCCCAAAACTCTGCTGTCATCTGTGGAAGGCTGATCGTCCCGGACCCTGCCGCATGTAAGATCAATGACAGTGTCTTGAGGTAGGTGCTGAGCAAGAACGGCTGGAAATGCACATTATCCGCTCCATACGCCTGTAGATTCTGCCACCATCGTCCAGTCAGGGGAAAGAAGAAGCCTTCTGCGACAATCTTGGCCAGTGTGTTGGGAATCACCTTCTTCCTCTTCTTCTCTACTTCCATACGTGATGAGAATGTTCGGACCTTCAGTACGTTGGGTCCAGACATCTTGTCAGCTGCGTCGAGGGCCATAGGTTGTATCATGGACCGTTCGAGGTTGGAAGCAATTCGGCCGACCGGTGCGTTGCGCTCAGTGGTGTACATCTTGTGCAACTTTTCGGGAAGCTGTTTGCTTGGGAACGATGGTGCTGCAAGCTTTGGGTTCAGGTCTTCATCCTCATCCTTATAGCCAGCCAGCTCTCGTGCACCCAACCCCAGAACGCTCAAGACCGTAGTACGTTGGCTCAACGAGTAATCTCCGTCGAAGACCTGTCGTGCGAACCATGGTGCCATCTGCGCTGGGCCTGATACAAGCACTGCAATCAATGCCTGCAATCGTAGCTCGAGGAAGTCTTCCATGTCGAACGTATCACCGAGTCCTACCAAAGTTGATGCAAGCTCGAGTGTGTGATCACTGACTTCTTTACCAAACGAAGTCTTGCGTCGGATCAAAGCAGCAGCGCTATTCAAAGCCAAACTATGTCGGTCATAGTTCTCTGAGTCGTTCAGTCCCGCTATCAGATCCCGGATGTATACAGGAGCCTTTGCCTTGTCACGATTGATCATAGTCGGATCTTCGTCTTCGTCTTCAGGGTCAGAGTCCGGTTTGGCATAAGGCACAAGATCGTCGTCTTCCTCAGAGTCGTCCAAGACTTCCATAATCCTGGGTCCCTGAGGTTCTTCCTGAATCATAGGCTTGGGATTTGACTTAGTTTGTGCAGGCTTGTTGGTTAGGCGCGGTTTGGTGTCAGTCGTAGNAGATTTTTCTGTGACCTTGTTGTTGCCGAAAACTTCCTTTATACTTGTGTAATTACCGACTCTGTCGTCGGCTTTGACAAGGCGCTGGTACCACTTTGCTTCGGCTGTCTTCAAGTCGTCAATGTCGAAGTTCATCTTCGATCCCGGTTTGTCTACGAGATCTGATATGGCCATGCCGACAACCATACCAAGGAATCGAGCTCTCAGCGAAGACGAATTCAGGCGATTTGACATTCCGTTCAGATGTGCGCTCGAGCGAGCCATTATGAACAGGGACATTGGCTGAGCTCGATGTGCATAGCCCGCAAGCACAAGCAGAATTTGAGCACAAGCTTCCTGCTGTAAGATTGGCGAATGCTTGACGAAAAGGTTGTCACCAAATCGTTTCATAGTCTTCTCCACAAGATCTTGAATAGGATCTTCTAACATACTTGTGGCCTTTGTGCTTGCGTGGGCGAACGCAGAAACGGCTGCTCGACGCAGATCGAATGACTCTGAAGCATTCAGTACTGGATCCGACAGCCATGTTTCGAGATGGGCTCTCATTGTTTCGTTGTCCCCCATCAGTTCAATGATCGTAGCAGAGGTCGCAGCGATCTCAGAAGGCGTCTGTGCTAGATTGTCGTCAAAATCTGGAGGTGATATGAGAGGCAGGCACAATCTTGACAAGACCTTGAAAGTCTGGTCTAGGAATTGCCTTTGCTCGTGTACTTGTAAGTTTGGCAGCAACGACTGTATTTTAGAGCCTGACTCTGGCGAGAGAAATGTGACACGTGTATGAATTTCCTCGACAACTCGAANCTGAAAGAGACTTAGTACGATATCATTTTTGAGTGCCGAGTTTGTCCTACCTGGATAACCAATACCGAGAGCCTTGCCACAAAGTTGAGCTGCAGCCTTGCATGTTCTTGAGATTTTCGTGGTCTGATGCAACATCGCGCTGACATTTCTTCCTAGCCAAGCAGAGTATTTCGAGCCATCTGAGAGCCATGAGGGTGCATGTTGACCTCCAGCAGACTTGACTGTATCTTCCGCTTCTGCTACAGATGCTATGATCTTTCCCGTCCCGACCAACGCGAGGAATTCTTTCCATAAAAGTGTCCGCTTTGTCTGGTTCTCGACGAGTCTGTCGATGTCGGCATATACATCATGAGCCAGGTTGTCTGCGTTCAGCAGTTGCGACAAGACCAAGATTAGATCCGATAATGGGCGTGTTGATTCTGATCTTTTCACACCTTGTTTGGTCGACTGATGCTGTGATATCAGAAGACGGAGATTCGTGAGTATGGCACCAATACCAGCTACACTTCTCAGACAGTCTAAGATCAAGACATTTGTCTGATCGTCACTGCCCCAGAAATCCGGCAGAGTTCTATTAATAAGCTCGCTGACTACTTTGGCTGAAGATGGAGTGGGCGTTTTGATATCAAAACCGGCGGTCTGTTGAGATGGTTGATTCAAGAATATCAGGAGGTCATGAAGTGCACGCTCATCAGGACTTGAGCGTAAAATCTGTAGTACTTCGTCGGTCGACGTAGGCGGTTTTCGAGCAGTGCGAGGTTTGAGACTTTCAGAAATAGCTTCTTCAGAGATGAGCTGTTTAGAAGTTGGCTTTGGTCTGAAGGAAACAGTTGACACAGCTGTCAGAAAATCGCCCATGTTTCGATTTTGGTTGCGACTTCTTGGTGCTTTGGTAAATGGTCGAAGCAGGACTTCCAGAGGTCAACTCCAAGCGAGCGCTTGGACTGCGCATCGGTGGTTAACGCCGCTATTGCCGATGAGCCAACGCCGATGACATCTTCTTCTCGAGCATTCAAACACTCTACTCGCAAGTACAACTCAATCAAAGCTTGAACATGGCTACGGAAGTCGCATCGCAGCCTGCTCAAAGTGTCACAGGCGATCGCTCAAGATGGTAACAAACAGCCACCTTCAACATGTGACCGAGACTAATCTGCTGCAGGAAGCACCTGGACACGATCCTCTCTCGCAAGGGAGCCTTCACAGACGATGACTTTGTGCCCGGCGAACGTGTTGTACAGTGTCTTGAGTCAGCAAAGATCCTGTAGGTGGAAAGAATTCACTTGGTGAACTTCTTAGAGCTAACTTGCGACAGAGTCATGTTTGTACAAGCCCAAATCCATCTCGCATACCGACCTAACCTTTCATAGNNCGGAGCTGGCGGTCTCGGATGCGAGATCCTCAAGAACCTTGCCCTCTCTGGTTTCAAGAACGTCGATGTCATCGACATGGGTACGCTGAACCCTCTCTTTCCACGCGCCTTGTGCTGAACGGCTGAACANGACACGATCGATGTATCCAATCTCAACCGCCAATTCCTCTTCCGCCAGGCCGACGTTGGATCATACAAGGCCGAGGTGGCTGCACGCTTCGTAGAGAGTCGCGTTAAAGGAGTCAAGATCAATTCATACTGCGGCAAGATTCAGGACAAGGACGAGGACTACTACCTCCAGTTCAATATCATCGTCTGCGGTCTGGACAGTATTGAAGCAAGAAGATGGATCAACGCGACTTTGGTCGGCATGGTGGATGAGGACAACGTCGACAGCCTTAAGCCCCTGATCGATGGCGGCACTGAAGGTTTCAGAGGACAGTCCAGGGTCATTCTGCCCACTGTCACAAGCTGTATCGAGTGCCAGCTGGACATGCATGCGCCTCGCGCTGCTGTTCCTCTGTGCACTCTTGCTACGATCCCTCGCCAGCCTCAGCACTGCATCGAGTGGGCTCATCTCATCGCTTGGGAGGAAGAGCGCAAGGGTAAGACCGAAAACGGGAACGTATTTGAGACGATGACACTGACACGTCCTNNAGACATCACACTCGATACAGACGACACAGAGCACATCTCCTGGCTTTTCGCAAAGGCCCTAAAGCGTGCACAGGAATTCAACATCCCAGGTGTCACCTACTCGATGACTCAAGGTGTGGTCAAGAACATCATCCCTGCAATCGCTTCGACCAATGCCATCGTGGCTGCCTCGTGCTGTAATGAGGCGTTCAAGATTGCAACCGGCACCAACCCATTCCTGGGCAACCCCGGCGCAAACAACTACATGATGTACAGCGGTGATGACAGCATCTACACATACACGTTCGAGCATGAAAAGAAGGACGACTGCCCCGTGTGTGGCAATCTAGCCAAGGAGATATCGGTTAAGAGGGAGTGGACTCTGCAGGATTTCCTTGAACACCTGGCCGAGAGACCCGAGGCACAGCTCAAGAAGCCATCAATCCGGACAGAGGAAAAGTCGCTCTACTACTCGGCACCTCCCAGTCTCGAGGAGCAGACTCGGCCCAACTTGAAGCGCAAGCTGGACGAACTCTTGGCTGATGGACAGGAAGTCGGTGTTAGTGACCCTGCCTTCACCATCGACTTCAAGTTCAAGGTTCGCTTCACCTAGTCACAGCCTGCATAGCTGCGTAGGAAGCGAGGTTCATGAAGTCATCTTTGACAACGAATGATGGGAGGAAGCATAGCGAAGGCGTTTCTGGGGAAAATCACGGCTCCGAGGCGGAAGGTTGCAATTAGCGTAGACGACTTGACATATGAGATTCGAATGTACAGAATTTTATCAAACAGAAAGCTGTATGAAGAGAGGCAGAGATGAGTGAGAAATATATAATGGTAGATGAGGTTGGTGGGGCTGACGACGCCTCGGTCTTTGCAGTCTGGAGGGCGCGTGGTCAAAAGGGGCAGGCAGTTTAAACAGTCGTGTTGGCTCTTTCTTGACCAAGCAGAAGCTCGCAACGATGAGTACAAACCTGCCGATACCATGAGCCATCAATATGCAACGTCCTACTCGACGTCCAAAGATGAGAGCCGCCTGACGGCCATGTGGCAGCGCCTGGTGCGACAGTCGCAGTATGACGCCAAAGGGAAACCGAGGACGAGACTGGCCATTATCCGCCGACGTCTGCTGACACTACCGGCGGCCATCTTTCTGCTGTGGTTCTTTGTATTGCTATGGGGAGAGCGCAGTACCTTTAGCAGCAGCATTGATGCTTGCCAGTGGGATCANATGGGAGAAATGGGTGTGTCCATCCCACGTCGTACCCCATCGTCACATCTCTAACAGAACATGTAGCCCTCAGACGCGCAGCCTCACCGTATTGCCCTGATCGCCGACCCTCAGCTCGTCGACCCACACACTTATCCCGGCCGACCATGGCCCCTCTCCTCGTTGACCATCACTGCCACCGACAAGTACATCAAGCGATCCTACTATCTGCTACAGCGCCATATCGATCCTGATGCCACCTTGTTCTTGGGTGATCTGTTTGACGGAGGAAGAGAATGGTCTACACACTTCGAAGGCTTTCAGCCATCCGAGCAACAATGGAAGAAGTACGGTGACAACTACTGGCTCAACGAGTACGATCGCTTCGGCAAGTTATTCTTTGCACAAAACCAGGTTACCGGAGGACTGCCCACCCACAAGGTCAAAAAATTCGTCGCCAGTCTTCCTGGAAACCACGACTTGGGCTTTGGCAACGGTGTCCAGGTGCCAATCCGAAACCGCTACCAGGCATACTTCGGCGAGGGTGACAGGATTGATGTTATCGGAAACCACACCTTCGTCAGCATCGATGCTGTAAGCTTGAGCGCTAAGGGCCAACCAGACAGCTCTCCAGAGATATGGAACGCGACCATGGAGTTTCTCGAGAATGCTCAGCACCTTAAACACAAGGCCGTGCGTGCAGAGCTCAAGGAACAGCAGGGCCTGATACCACACAGAAGATGGGCTCATGAAGTCACGCATATTCATGATCTAGGTCGCCAGCCTACGAAGGAAGAAATTGCCAAAGAGCCCAAGCCTGAGTTCCCTACCATCCTCCTCAGTCATGTACCNCTGTACCGTCCGGAAGGTACTCCCTGTGGTCCGCTCCGCGAAAAGCACCCGCCAGCCGCGCCGAATCTCAAGCATGACAAGCCCAACGCGATCCGTATTGCTGGCGGCTATCAATATCAGAACGTCTTGACACAGGAGCTCTCGACTACGATAGCTGAGAAGATCGGCAACATTGCGCATGCCTTCTCAGGCGACGACCACGATTACTGCGAAGTTCTGCACCCGGACTATGCCTCAAGGCACGACAGAGGCATCCGCGAGATCACGGTCAAGAGCATAAGTTGGGCAATGGGCGTCCGCAAGCCAGGTTTCCAACTAGTCAGTCTTTGGAACCCAGTCGACGAAAACGGAGAGTCTCTTCGCGACGGCCCAACACTGCAAACCCACCTCTGTCTCCTGCCCGACCAGCTCAGCATCTTCATCCTCTACGGCATCCTAGCCGCCTTCTCAATAACTGCTCTCGCCATCAATACCCTGGTCCAAGTCAGAAACGAAGAAGCAGCAGCCTCGATGCCAAACTTCAGCGATCTCCCGACTTCCGAGCCCAAATCTCAGAACACATACTCCAAATCACGTTCCCGCGCCCCCTCGGGCGCAACAAACTCCATGTACTCGTCCGAGCATTCGAACGGCAAACTCTCCGCCCGCACCACAAACGCCAGAACCCGCAGCGTGAGCCCTGCAATGGGCTATGGACTTCCCACCGCCCGCCCCAATGGATCATCGCTGATCGAAAAAGCGGGATACTATGGCAATAACCCTGAATATCAGATGTACAATAAAGAAGAGGTGTGTGATGAGAGTGACGATTGGGGTAATCCTATCTTTAGGAAGGCACCGAAGCCCAGAGTGCCAAAGACGTTTAGGAGGAAGTTGATGGATAGGTTTGGGAGGGAAGTAGCCATGGCTGGTGGACCGGCGTTTTTGTTTTATTGGTGGTTGTTGAGGAGGTGATAACAGGCAAGAACGACTGTTGTCTTGTGTATTCTTCTCAATAACATGTTCAAATGTTCACTTTCAGGTCCAACGATTCACATGAGTGCAGGAGCAAAACAGTACTTGCCGAGCGATATAGAAAAACTCCATTCAGAAAGCCCTTGGGCAAGAACTAACAAGAAAACAATACCCAAACCACCTTCCATGATCGTAAAATCATCAAAAACGCCTCCCAAGTGATTACGAAACAATCTTCCACCATCTTCACCCCTTCATACCTTGCCTCTACAAAAGCCCTTGCTAAGGCTGCTTATCCTCTGCGGCACCTCCAGCGAAGGCGGCAAAGGCCCAATAGAACTGCCTCTCCTGCTTCCATTGCCTCCAGCATCGCTATACGCGGCAAGTGCACTCCTCCTCACACTACCCCTTTCGATCTGAAGGCCTTTGATACCTTCCAATTCCCTCTCTAATCTGAGTCTTGTTTCCCTTTCCTCGCGCAACTCTCTTTCAGCACGCTTGGCAGCGAGTTGATTTGACGAGTCCGAAGCCTGCAATTCATCGATCGTAGCGAGAAGACTGGAGATCTTGTCGCGGGACTTGTTGATGTCGTCGGTGAGGAACGAGACACTTTTGTCTCTGCGCTCGATCTGGGATTGCAGGTCGCGGACTGTGCGGTCGACATTGCGAACACTGCGGGCTTCGGTGTTGCGTGTGTGTTCGAGGTCCTCGAGTTGGGATTCGAGTTCGTGGATGCGGCCGTTGAGGAAGCGGACGTCCTGGCTGACGCTCGAGTAGCCCTTGGTCTCGAGATCGATGCACTTGAGTTGCAAGTCCTTCATTGATTTTTCGAGAGCGGCTTTCTCTTTGTGCAGGGTTACGTTGTTCTCGCGTTCGGTAACAATGTCTTTTTGGATTTCTTGGGCGAGTGCTTCGGCTCTGCGCATTTTGCCTACGGCGGCGGACGCGACGTCTTCTTGGTGAGCGAGGGTGGACTTGAGTTCGAGCACTTCACGGTCTGCGGATGCTGCGTTGCGCTTAGATGGCGATCCGTTTTGAGAGAGATCTTCGAGGCGGTCGGCGGCCTCACTAAGACGTGCCTCAAGCCCCTTCTTCTCCTTGACAAGCATGTCTCTTTCGGCAACGACATCATCGACATTTGTGCGAAGGCTGCGGACTTGGCTGAGCAGATCGACAATCTTGCTCTGAGCCTCGTTGTGAGCATCGACAGCTTCATCGCGAGAGTTGGACAAGTCTTGCAGAGCAACATCAAGACGCGACTTCTCCTTGGCCCAGGTAGAGCTGTTCAAAACTTCATCGTCCCACTTGTTGCGCAACTCCTCCAACTCGTCACGAAGACGGCCATTCTCTCCGCGAACATGGATGACATTCTCGCGTTCAATCTCCAGCTCGTTGCTAACGGCGGCAAGTTCTGACTGATACTTCTTGCGAGTTTGCTCCATCGAGGACTCCTTGTCTTCAATGTCCATGGCGCGTTGAGATCTGTAGTCGTCAAGCTCGTTTTGCAGACGCTTCTTTGCTTGGAGGGCGCCGTCGAGATCAGCAGAGATGTCTTCAATCCTCTCTTCGTACTGCTGTGTTTGGCGTTGCAAGTCCTCGACCAATGAGTCCATGTGCTTGCGTTCTGACATGATGCTTGCGCACTGGTCTTCGACTTCTCTGGCCTGGGTCTTTGCAAACTGTTCTGCTCTAGTTGCCTTGAGGACCGCAATCTCAGCTTGCTCGAGCTTACCGAAGTACTCGTCGGCTCGGGCACGGTAGAGGTTGAGGCTAGATGTAACGTCAAGCAGCTTAGATGTCTCCGCATCGAGTCTGATCTGGAGGTCAGAGAACTCGTCAAGCAGTTGTTGGTGGCTAGCAGCCTCTTGTTCTCTCTCGTAAGACAAGTCGGCAAGCTCAGACTTGACATCGCGGAGCTCGACATCCGACGAGACCTTGCTCTGCTTGATCTCGTCAAATGCGGTCTTCGCATCTGCAAGCTCGGAAATGGCCATGTTGTGCGAAGAGAGTAGAGATCTACGTGATTGCTCCTGAGAGTTGATGAGGTCAAAGAGCTCCTCATGTGTCTTGGTCTGCACTTCGGAGAGGAAAGCTGACCAAGACGAATGCTATTTTCCAAGGCAGAGACTTTCCTGGCAGAGTCGTCCAACATGTCGTGCAATCTGCTGTTCTCAAGGGAGAGCTTTTGCACTCTGCGAAGCGAGGGGCTTTCATCTTGCAAATTTTGCTTTGATGGACTGCGTCCGATTTGAGCTTCCAAATGTCTGTTATGCATTTCAGACATCTGAAGCTGATTCTGGACCATTTCGAGCTCTGCTGCAAGATCCATGCGGTTGTTGAAGGCAGCAGTGTCGTTGGTACGATCAGAACGTGCAGAGTCTGTGGTGTAGTTACTCAGGTGACGCTGGTTAGATGGCGTGTGCACAGGAGAGAAAGGCTTTCTAGACTCCCAATCCCTACGCATAGGGACGGGCGAGGCGCGGGCATTAACCTGATTCGAGTTCATCTCCTCAAGCAGAACGCGCTTAGCGTTGGCATGCTTGTGATCGTTCTCTTGCATCTCGTCCTGGTGGTGAGCACGCAGATCGTTCAACTGTGCTTCGGCACGCGAGAACTTCTCGTTCGCGATGTGAAGAGCTTGCTGAGACGCTTCCAGTTTCTTTGCCAGATCGACGGTGCGAGCCATATCAGGCTTCATGCCATCGACATTGGAAGGCAAGTCCTTCATCTCTGGATCAAAGATCTTCTGAAGAAGTGTAAGTTGCTCACGGCACTCAGCAAGCTCGTTGTTAACACTGTCAAGGCTGGATTGCACGGCTCGAGTATTTGTCTGGGCCTGATTGCGCAACTGTCGTTCAGTCTCGAGTTTGCGATTGGCTTCGGCAAGTTGAAGGTTGACGGTCGAGGACGCTTGCTCGGCATTTCTGGTAGTGCGATGCTCGCGAGTGATTTCGTGGTTAAGATCCTCCAGACTGAGGGTGAGTTTCTCCTTCTGCTTCTCCAAAGAGGTGATTGTCAGGTGTGCATCTTCAAGCTGACGCATAAGCTTCTTCGCATTCTCTTCAGCGTTCATCTTCTCAGCGTTGAGATGGTTAATTTTCGATCGCTGTGTGTCAACAGCACGAGAATTTGACCGAGCGATATCCAGATTCTTCTGTTGAAGCTTGTTCAGTAAAGCTCGGTTGTCGTTCTCGGATGCCGCCAGACGACCCTTGATGGTGACCAACTCCCGTTCTAGACGTTCTTTGTGTTGGTCCTGATGCAGGCGGAACGAATCATTGCCAGAAATGAAATCCTTCATTCTTTGCACTTCTGCCGCCATCTTGCTCTTGTCGGTCTCAAGGTCCTCGACATGCCTCTCCATGTTCTGTAGATCGCGTTTAAGAAGAGCTTGTCGTTCGTTGGCTTGACGAGTAACATTGCGCTCGACAGCAGCTTCAGCCTCAATCTTTGATTCTTGAAGATCCAGGAATTGCTTTCGCAGGTTCTGAAGCTCGGATTGGTAGTCCTTGCGCTCTTTTTCTGCAGCGGCACGAGCTTCGTTTGTTCTGCGTGTGACATCTGACTGAGCATACATTTCCTTCTCAATCGTGACCTTGGAATCGTTGAGAGCGTCGAACTCTCGCTTCAGACTCTCGTACTCACTCTCAGCGATCTTCTTGACATCGTCACGCGATTGACGTTCGCGACTCAACTCGGTCTGCACTTCGAAGAGTTCGCTCTTGAGATCTTCAATTTGCTTCTGCAACATCTCAGCTTGAGTGTCTGCTGAGGTCTTGTCTTCCAGAGCTCTTTTAGCGTCTGTGACCTCGCGCTCAAGCTGGGCCTTCTGTGAAGTCATGGCCTCCATCTCAGCCAACGTGCCTCGTAGTTGACCTTGAATGCTGTTGTGCTGGCTTGTCAGAGTTTGCTTTTCTTGCTCGAAACGCTTTCGGTCATCTTGGAATCTTTTGAGGTCGGTCTTGAGGATAGTAAGTTCGCTGTCCTTGCGTCGGATCAGATCCTCGTAGCTAGTCGATGTGGAAGCGAGTTCAGACATCTGTTGGCGAATCGAGCGATTCTCATCCACAAGATCCTTGATCTTCTTCTTCGAGTCTTGGGCGTCTTTGTTGGCAGAAGAGAGCTTGAGATCGAGTTCATGGTCATTCTCGAGCATCTTTGCCTCCATGTCTTGAAGCTTGCGATCCTTGAGGCTTACATGACTTTGGAGCATCTTGATCTCCTGGCTGAGCTTCTCTTCCAGTTCAGTGGTTTGTGAGCGAGACTGTTCGACCTCAACAAGCTGAGCGTCTAGAGCAGTGATTCGGGAGTTCAGATCGGTTTTCTCGCCTTCCAGTTTGGTGATGATTAGAGTTGCTTGCTCCACTTGTCGGTGCCACTCATCTGCTTGATCTTCTGCCCTCTTCTTGGCCTCCATAAGTGCTTCGAGCTGGTCCTCCAGTCTCTCCTGATCTTCAAGGGCACCATGGAGCTTCTCACTCAACTCGGATTCTCTGTCTTGCAGTCTCCGGAAGATGTCTTCTTTGTCGAGTGCAAGAGATCTCTCGCTCTCAAGAGTTTGCTGGATCTTCTGAATCTCAGATTCGGCGCGTCTGCGTTCATCTTCGATTTTCAGTCTAGCTTCTTCGTCTTGTCGCATCCTCTCCTGTAGCTTCAAGATTTCTTCCTCGCGCTTCTTGACCTCGTTCGACTGTCGAGTGGCTCCAAGGAGCGGTCTCATTGTTACGAAAAGATTCCACCATGAGTTGGCTTGCATCTGCTGGTATGCCTTGAAGTTACTCTGGATGATACGAGTCGCCTCAGCACGGTACAGTCTCTTGTGCGCAATGCGTCTCTGAACGTAGCCTCGCGCAACAGATTGGAATCTCTCCATGATTTCGCGAATGAGCGCATCACGTTGCTCCTCCAGTTCGGCAAGAACGCCAGCTCTGAAGAACACCTTTGTAAGACCAACACGGTACCAGGAAGGGTCCAAGTTGAGCTTTTCGAGTATCAGCTTGGCTGCGACTTGCCCTTCGAGCGGACCTTTAGGCATCTTTGTGCAAAGAACTTCATAACGTGAACGGAACTCGGCGAAGGGTAATCTGTTGGGGAATCCGGTTCTCGCGATGCGAATACCTTCAAGAACACCATTGCAGCGGAGTTGATCGAGGACGAGTGGTGCGCTGAATTGTTTCGGACGCTTCTTGTGGTTAGGAAGGATACATCTGACAAAGTGAGGATGAGTCGAATGTAGTTGGTTCATAAGTGTCGATAGGTTCTCCTTATGTCTTTGGGCAACGGTCCTGAAAAGTCCCTTCTTCACTCTATTCCTGGTCGCACCTGCTTCCTCATCGTTGTCCTGACAATCGGCGAACAAATGAGAGACATGTTTGTTGGTAGATGCAGCGAGAAGTCGAGTAACGTTATCGTTCATAGGGTCTTTATTCTTCTCCAGCCAGCCTTCGGTAGAGTACTCTACATCAGCGGCGTAATGCGTCAATGTGAAACCCTGCTTGAGAAGCGATCGTCGATACTTTGACGACTTGCGGTCCCAGAGAGAGTTCAACTTCTCGGTGAATGACTTGTCGGTGGCTTTTGGCATAACTGAGTCTTCGTCCAAGCAGGAGAAAATACCAATCGGATTGGTCACTTCGATGAGTTCGATAGTGGGTTGCAAATCCTTGCCGAAGTCAATGAATTTCCACTCGATCTGCTCTCGAGCGTACTCTTCCTGTTCCAGAACGAACATGTGGTGGTTGAAGAACTGTTGCAGCTTTTCGTTGGTGTAGTTGATGCACAGCTGCTCGAAACTATTCTCTTCGAAGATTTCGAAACCAGCGATATCCAGAACACCAATGAAGTATGTGTCGTCCATGCCAGACCCAGATCGGTCCAGCTGTTTGTTGATACGGTCCACGAGGTTGCCAAATCCACGTTCGTAGATACCTTTGGCCAATGCATCAATTGCCAGGCGAACTTGCTCTGGTGTCTGGACCTTCTTGACCCACTCTCTGCCAGCCTTGACACGAGGATGAAGCAAGCCTTCGACGAAGGGTTCAACGGATATACCGACCAGCTGGCAGAACTTCTCGACGCTTTCCATTGCGTTGGCGGCTAAAGATGCCTGGTCTGCACGCATGCTCTCTTTCGCAACAGTAATATTGCCCAGGTGAAGAATAGCAGCAACAGTTTGCAGGATGGACTTCTGATCCTTGTCGTTAAATCCCATGACGTGGAAGGCCTCCACCAAATAGTTCCACTCGTCCTTGTCCGAGACACCAGAGATGACATCGTTGCCCTGCTTGGTGTACTCGAAGTCCTCGAGCTCCATGCCATCAAGCAGGAATTCGCTACGAGTAGCATCATCTACACCGGAGAGAAGCTGGTAGAAGATGTGGTAACTACGTTCTTGCGAGTTTAGACGCACTACCCTGCTCTTTTCAAGAAGATACCAGTCGATGAAAGCGCCAGCAATCTGGCCGGCTCGAGTAAAGGCGATACGAATGAACTTTCCGAAACGCGAAGAATTGTTGTTTCGGACCGTTTGAGCGTTACCGAAGGCTTCAAGAATAGGATTGGCTCTCAAGATCTGTTCGGACAGGTTGGAGGGTTGTCTCGCGGAGTTCTTAGCCCGAGGGGTGTCCGATGTAGCCACAGCAGCGAGATACTGGATGACTTTCTTTGTGTTTTCTGTTTTTCCTGCACCAGATTCACCTGTGACAAGGATACTCTGGTTAGTACCCTCGTCAACGAGATTCCTGAAAGCCTCATCGGCCATGGCAAAGATATGCGGTTTTGTGTCTTCGCGACTCCTGCCTTTGTACATGTTGACATAGTCGCGGCCGTAGATAGAAAGAGGACAGTACGGGTTGACTGTCACCAAGAAGAGGCCAGAGTAGGTGTAGATGAGGTCGGCTTGGTAGCGCATGTGCAAATTGTGCACGACTGAGGCTTCGTTCAAGTGAGTGAGCTCGGCCATGTCGTCGGCCTTGTCGAATTTGGCAGGATTGACCTTGTCGACAGTCTCGGAGTCTACATCGCGTTGCTTGAAAGTGTCAGCGTGCGTTGTTTGGGAGCGGTGAGATGGGACATACGCTTCCGTCATCACATTGAACTCGTAATTGACCATCGGCCAAGTCCTCGACCACCCAGCCGCGGACAAAGGCTTGTTCGGTATCCTTAACCCAGACGTAGCGCTTGCCCGAGAAGTCGTTCTCGCCCTCTATGCCTCCAACTCTTTCTTCGGCGCCATCGAGACCCTCTGCTTTGATAAACTTGGGAGCAAAGGTGCCTGTCGGAGGGGGACGTATTGAGCCTCTCCGTGAGACTCCGCGCTCTAGCGAGCCGAAGCCTAGTTCTGCGAACGACTGGTGGCGTGCGTGTCCGTTGATGGTTGGCGATGACACTGGAGGCGGTAAGACTGAGGAGCGAGATCGAGCATGTCCAGGAGGCGGACCGGGAGAGGGAGTGGCATTGGCAGCGGTAGGAGGGTATCTCGCCATCGCTGGCTCCCCGTTGGAGTGGCTATAGCCATATGGGATGTTCACTGTTTGGTTAGTATCTTGCGAAGGAGTCGGTGGTTTCTAGGATGACATGTGGGCGTGTATTCGTCTAGACCAGCATTTCCAGAGATTAGAGTATTATGTACAGTCGACTGCTGCTGGCGGTATAGGAGGAGGCTCTCTGCGTTCTAACAGGGCGGTCGCGATGCGGAGGGCTGTTGTCGTTAGCTCATGCAGGTGTTTATCAACAAAGGTCTGTTTATCGTTAGCGTCAATCGCGGGCCGCCTTGTTTCAACCCGCTCGCTCACTTTCAACTTCCCACGGGCCGCCGTTTCGTCAAACTCCGTCCTCCGCCGGCACTGTCGATTGCACTGCAACGACACTTTCTTGATAAATTATTGTCGTTTGACGAATCGCGGCGTCGTCACTTTCACAGACAGGCAATACTCAATCTGCTCGGCGGTATAGTCTCTGCTTCTGGCGCGCGTGCATAGAAACAGGCCACCTGTCGCGTCCTAGCACATTTGCACATTTCCGTGCCCATACGTGAGCATCATCGCGCTTTCCCACACTTGCGCGAACGCATACCTACCTCGCATCTGCTTCACACGCGACGAATCATCGCGCACTCCATGGCGCACTATCCTCCATGGCCTCCTGCCGCTGGGTCGCCATCTGCCCATCCTTCCAACTATCCTCCACCGCCGCCTATTCCGCCGCCGACTACAGGACAGACCATGGCGCTACCGCCAGAGCTGCAGGCTTTGAACATTACTCCTCAGCAAATGGCTGCGCTCTTGACTCACCTTCAAGCTGGCACCTTTCCTTTCCCTCCTCCTCCTCCGCCGCCGCCTCCACCGCTGCAGTCTTTTCAGTCGGTCGCGTCCTTCGCGCCTGTGCCTTTCCCACCTCCCGTGCCAACACAAACTGCTGCCGGTCAAAATCTGTCGGCGCCAACCGCAGTGCCTGCTCACATGGACATCGATCGTGAGGAGGGCGAAGTCAGCGATGCTTCGCAACACGTTAACCGTGCATCCACCGCGACGTCTTCTAAGAAGCGGAAGTCGCGTACTTCGCAGTTGGCCCACCGTGCAGCAGCGCCTCAGCCCAACCCCTCCTCTAATCCTACAAAGAACAACCCAGATGTAAGTCAGGTCTCTACACAACGGAAAAGGGAAGCTGTTTTGCCTTTTATTGCTGCGCTGCACCAGGAAGGTTTCACCTTCGACGAATTTGTCCGCGAGGGCTTCGAGGAGAATTTGCTTCGTCAAGTCTATCGAGACTTGCAAATCCCCATTGTTCCACCGCAGATTCCCAGTGCACAAGCACTGGCGACAGAGACTGTAGCTCTAAAGGCGACGAGTGCCGCACCCTCTCAGCCGTCTTCTGTTCCTCCCGTGAAGGAATCCAAGCTCGTTGTCCCTGTCAAACAGGCGCCACCTATGAGCCGTCAAGATTACCTAGCACGCCTACAAGCTGCAAAGAACAAGAAAGCTGAAGCTGCCCCTCCGACGCAGCCCGCNGCTACCCACAAAATCCGCGACTCCTTCTGTCAAAGACGAGACTGCATCTCCCCGGTTGTGCTTCCTGCTCAAACACAACCTGAATCTGAAGAATTGCAAAGAGTCACTCCTCGGTCCGTTTCGATGAACAACAAGCAGTCGCAAACTACCGAGTTGATCCGTAAGAAGATGGAGGCCCTGAAGGCGACGCAACGCCGCTTGGCCAACAGTACTTCCACTACTTCAGTGGCGCCTGTTACAGTGCCCATCACACATGCTGCAGGACAGTCGCAAGTCAAGCCTACACCGACTGCCCCCGTAGGCAAAACTCCGCTGCCATCTTCTCAACTGGCAACTGCAAGCATGATTCCTGGTTTACGCATGTCGACCTCGATGGCCAATTCTCCACAGCCTCAGACTCAATTCCAGACCGGCCCATCAACTTCTGGCACCTCAGCAGGCTCTTCGAATAANCTCTACCCCCAGCCTGTCACTACCACATCCGCACCTATGCTCAGAAAACGCCCTGTAGCATCCGACCTCAATGAGGCTCAAAACGTTGCTGACCATCATCCGTTCAAGAGGCCGTTCGGGCAGAGTAGGCAGAACAGTTTTGATGCAGGAATGATCATTCAGGTCAGCGATGATGACGACACATCTGATGATGATGATGATGATGATGAGCTGAGCAGTGTAAGGCCTTTGGTCAAAGCCAGCGCAATTCCTGCTGGCCAACGCGATAAGAACATCCGCGATCTGCCTCCTCTACGAGACTTTCCTCAACGCTCGGCAGCATTCCACAAGCAGTTGGGGATCTTCACACCGCCCCTCGGAACCCCTGGAGCATCGAGTGATGCCGAAGAGCTAAGAAGGAAAGAGTTGGAAATAACATCTCTCAATCAAAGAATTCAAGAGTACGAAAAGCGCAAAGCTGCACTCAGGGCGAAGGGCAATCTCGTTCAGAGCCAGCCCCAGACTCCTCAGGGTGCGTCAACTTCTGGAAAGACTTCCGCGCTCCCTACTTCTAGTGCCGCAGCATCACAAGCACCTGCACCGGCCGCAAATCGGCCTAATGTGCCCGCCGATCGACGCACTGAACTGAAGGCTGCTTTGACAGCACGAAACGCCGATATTGACAACCAAAAGGCTAGAATCGTGGAGATGCAAAAACAAATGGCAGATATGCAAAGGCAGTATGACCAAGACATGGAGAACCAACAGAAGCTTCGTGAAGAACTCGAAAGTCTAGACGTGAACACGGAAGGAATGACCCAAGCCGAGATGGAGGCCAAGAAGCAGGAGATTGAGGAATTACACGACATGGAGACAACCGGACTCGGTTTGAACGGAGCTCAAGCAGACAATGGCCTACCAGCCACGGGATCAACTCAGACCGAGGACATGGACGTGTCCATGAGCGAAAGTGAGTCAGACAGCTCGCTAGAAAATACCGTCGTGAACCATCAATCAGCTGCAGCTGTTCAATCCGCTCGGGAACACAGGGATGCAACAACTTCGAGCCCTGGTCGTGCAAGAGTTCTTGATGGCATCCGTGCCGATCGTGCCAAAGCAGAGCAGAGCAGAACTCAAGTCTCCGAGGACAGCTCTGGTTCCGATTCAGGCTCGAGCATGTCTGAAAGTTCGGAGTCAGAGGACGAAGAAGACGAAGGTCACAAATTCAACAACATGGCAACAGATGCATCCGCTAGTGTTGAAACTGGCTCTGAAGACAGCAGGTCTGCAAGCGCCAAGCCCGAGCTCGCCGAGTCACAGGACAAGCTAGTATGGCTGTTCATCAGGAACTTACCTTTCACCACGACTAAGGAACTTGTCCGCTCTTTCTTCGAAGCTTTTGATGTGTAAGTCAAGCATGTCGGGCATCAACTTCAAGTATAGTCGAGCTGACATGAACGGAAATTAGCNAAGCGCACTCATCTCCCACGGCACCCTACTCGCGACCAAGGCACAGGGTCTGGCTTCGTTGAGCTCCCTCTCTCGCAAGCTGTTGCTGCAATTGACCAGCTAAGTGGACGCCAGCTACAGAATCGCAAACTCTCTATTCAGATGTCGAAGTTTGAGCCCAAGCTATCGCCCTCGCCTTCACCCGATCCGAGCTCTGCCTCATCTGACAGTGGCAGTGATGATGAGATGGACATCTCGACAGACTCTGATGACGAGAGCGAGGACGACGAGAACAACGCAACAGCTACTTCTATCGAGCAGATAGACAATGTTCCATATAATGCATCGGTAGATGTGGCATCGACCTCAGACGCCTCAACTAACGGAGATGAGGACGGGAATGAGGACGAAGATGAAGATCGAATGGATCTCGAGTCCTCGGATGCATCTTCTGAAGAGTATTCACCAGAGCCTGCTGCTGTACCTGTTTCTTCGCTACCTCTGTCGCAGTCTAGCAACACTAGCAGACAAAACCTTGCTGACGATTTAGCCCCCGAACTACAGCCAAATGCCGAGCAACAAGTCGATGTTTCCGAAGCGGTAAGTTCTACCAACAGGATCCAGCGTGTGCTGACAACAGTACAGGTCAATGCTGCCTCATCTGCCGGCACGGCTTTTAAACCATACGAGAGTCTGCTCAAGAACTTCAAGGGCTATCGTTATCATCCCGATTACCCTCGTGAAGTACAGGGTGGGTATCGTTCGTTGACCTACAGTCATCAAATTGATCCCAACAAAGAGCTTTGCCGTTATGAAGTTGCATCTGGTGTTTGCAACGACAGTTCGTGTGATTATCAGCACTTCCGCGACATGGGCGTTTCTGGTGCGTCCGAGGGCGCGACCTTCTGATTTTCCTTTGTTCATATATCCATCCATTCTTCGACCTGCTGCTTCCAATCGTCGAACACGCATGCTTGGTGCAACATGGTTCACGATATCTCTATAACACGTTCTGATTCTGTGGTGCGGTAGCTGACTTAGGGCACTGACACTGCAGATGATACTCTTCTCCTTCAGATGGGCACGAACGGCAATCCTGGCAACAACACAGAGTACAGACAAGGCTTGAGAGATATTCTGCAACAGATGAGAGACGATAACGATCTTGAGACTGAGGCTGTGGCCACACGCGTTGCCCAGCACCGAAGAGATTTCTTCGAAGATTCCTCCAACATACTTGGATTGTAGAGGGTCCAGCAATCGAGACTTCGATCTCAAGAGGCTGCTGACCTGATGTTTCGGTTGCCCACTTGCGCAAATCGCAGGGGCGAACAACATACTTCACAAGACCAACATGGCAGCGTGCAGCGGTCGCCAATACTTGCTAGTGCCTGACGATTTTGTCAGAATTCGTACATGCAAAGAGCATTTTCCATCAACGACATGGAGTCAGCAGTTCCGAAAAATCGTATATCTTATTATTCGGATAGGAGAATGAAAGAAATTTGGAAGAGCGTGGAAGAGCCATCAAGGCATGATTGCAGAAGCCGAGCGGAGATGGATGCTCGACTGGCGACGCCGGCTAAGAGCCGTGCCTGAGTGCCTCGCAGCCTCTCTGCCAAAGCCCGTCGGCTGAAATGATGAATCGGCAACAGAGCTCCGATAAAGGATGAACACCGATAGAAAGGTCCAGCCATTAATCAGATAGAAGAAACAAAAGACCTTGCCTTCAAACGATGCATTCCTTGTCAAAAGTGTCCAATTATTTGTGAGTGCTCGTACTTTGCGACGTGTTGTTGATGGGCACCTTCGTCATCGTGCGATGATGTCGGTCACCGCTCCCTCGCTCGGCGTTACAGTGGCCTCCAAGAACGCTCGCGCAAGACGTGCTACAGCAACGGTTTTGTGAGTCAGGCAAGCGGTCCCGGCGGGCGATCTCCAAGGAGATGCGAGACGCAAAACCCAAGTTTCGGAGCGCTCGGCGAATTTAGCCTACCCACGTGAAGGGGCTCGGAAGAAGTGGAATGAAGGCGGAAGACAGAAAGTGACGGAACTACGGTGGCGGGTGCTTAGGGACCCTTGCCCTCGCTGGCCTTTTGGTGAGACTTGGGTTGATTGACATAAGCGCGGGGCTCGCTGGGAGCTTTTATTTCTCCCAACAACAATTGAAACTTGATCTTCTTTCCTACACACATCTTTGTTCTCCTATCACAACCCAATTCTCCTCACTCACAATCCACAATGTCTAGCTCTCTCGACCAGCTCAAGGCCTCTGGCACCGTACGTTCTTACAGCTCATGTCCCCTTTGGAGGGGTCAAATGCCGACGCAGTGCTAACACTTTCTCAAGGTTGTCGTCTGCGACTCTGGTGACTTCGCTACCATTGACAAGTACAAGCCTCAGGATGCCACCACCAACCCTTCCCTGATCCTGGCAGCCTCCAAGAAGGCCGAGTATGCCAAGCTTATTGACAACGCTGTCACCTACGGAAAGGAGCACGCCGATGGCAAGAACATCGACGACCAAGTTGATGCCGTCCTCGACGCTCTCCTTGTCCAGTTCGGCAAGGAGATCCTCAAGATCGTTCCCGGCAAGGTCTCCACCGAGGTTGACGCCAGATTCTCCTTCGACACTGAGGCCAGTGTCAAGAAGGCCCTCCGTATCATCGAGGTGAGTTACATCATAGCGCAAATCGTTCTGCTAGAAATTGTCTGACTTGAAACANNGCTCTACAAGGAGGCCGGTATCGAGAAGGACCGTATCCTCATCAAGATTGCCTCGACCTACGAGGGTATCAAGGCCGCCCACATCCTGCAGTCCAAGTACGACATCAACACCAACTTGACTTTGATGTTCTCGCCTGTCCAGGCCATCGCTGCCGCTGAGGCCGGTGCTTTCCTTATCTCTCCCTTCGTTGGCCGTATCCTTGACTGGTACAAGGCCACCCACAAGAAGGAGTACAAGAAGGAGGAGGACCCCGGTGTCAAGTCCGTTGTCGAGATCTACAACTACTACAAGAAGTTCGGCTACAAGACCATCGTCATGGGTGCTTCCTTCAGAAACGTTGGTGAGATCACCGAGCTCGCTGGCTGCGACTACCTCACTATCTCGGTAAGTTACCAAATCCCTAGGAACATCTCGATCTTTTTTCTCTAACACATCTTCCAGCCCAACCTCCTGGAGGAGATGTACAACAGCAAGGACGAGGTTCCCCAGAAGCTCAACGCCTCCGATGCTACCAAGCTCGACATCGAGAAGAAGTCGTACCTCCACGACGAGCCCCTGTTCCGCTTCGACTTCAACGAGGACCCCATGGCCGTCCACAAGCTCAGCGAGGGTATCAGCAAGTTCGCTGCCGACGCCGTCACCCTTAAGGACATCCTCAAGGAGAAGCTCCAGAAGGCTTAAATCTTTTAATTTGATGATGGTTCGGGCGATGTGCATACGACGACTGGCGCGACATGACTTTTTCTTTTTCACGTACAACAAAAAATAAAATACCCCTGTTGTCGTTCTTCTCAACTCAATGTTTCCTTCTCCTGTGATTTCTCCGTGATATGGCTAGTCTGTTGCGCTCAACCAACGATAGTGAAATTTCATTTGTTTTGTTTGGCTGACGTCGACGTGCTCCTTCCCAGCAGAAGCCGAGCGAAGCCTGACGAAGCAGCTTCCGGACTTAGGAGCCGCAAAGTGCGAAGGAGCTCTGTGGTGACGAGACCCGCAAAGCGGGGCTGTTTCCCTTGAACTTCAATCCCACTTCCGCCTCTCTTCGACCTCCAATCTCAAGTCTTAGACAAAGCCAAAAACACAGTTCAAATCAACCAAAATGGTCAAAGCAGGTACGTCCAGACACACGACAGGAGTTCTGTCCAACAGCGGGTCTGTTTCGAGCTCGCAGAAGCAAAAGTGGGGTCAGGCAAAGAGCAAGAGCAGGTTCCACGCACATCCTGTCCACCAAGGTGGCCTTGGGAGCCAACGGCTATCCAATGGCGTCGAAGGAGACCGTGGGACATCATTCCAGAACCTGTGCATCTGCTGCCGCAAGCTTTTGGTGGCCAACAGACTCGACAGATTGGGACTCGGAACTCCTTGTGTATTCCTAGAGAAGCAGTGACCAGTAGAAGCTAACGAAACGATTTGCAGTTGCCGTCCTTCGTGGAGACTCCAAGGTCTCCGGTACCGTTACCTTCGAGCAGGCCTCTGAGGGTGCCGAGACCACCATCTCATGGGACATCACCGGTCACGATGCCAACGCTGAGCGTGGTATGCACGTCCACGCCTTCGGTGACAACACCAATGGCTGCACCTCCGCCGGCCCTCACTGTGAGTAACCTCGCTCGACATATCGGTACTAGCAAGATATAAATACTCATACACCGGCAGTCAACCCTCACGGCAAGACCCATGGTGCCCCCGAGGATGAGGAGCGCCACGTTGGTGACTTGGGCAACTTCAAGACCGACGGTCAGGGCAACGCCAAGGGCTCCGTCAGCGATAAGCTCATCAAGCTGATCGGTCCCGAGAGCGTCCTCGGCCGCACCATCGTCGTCCACGCTGGTACTGACGACCTTGGCAAGGGTGGCCACGAGGAGAGCAAGAAGACTGGCAATGCTGGCCCTCGCCCTGCCTGCGGTAAGTTCTATTCACACTCAATGTTTGCAGCGTCAAGAATTGGTACTGATCTCACATATAGGTGTCATTGGTATCGCCTCGTAAGCTGCCTACCTTTAATGTCTTGAAGATGAGGAATGAGTAGTAGTATTATTGGAATGGCCGTCCTCGAGATGTGCCTTTGAAATGTACAGATGATGACCAAATCAAACTATGACTATAAAACATCTTGCTCGTTTATCATTTCAAGTGGTATGTGTCTGAGTGAGCATGCTGAAAGCGTGTACGCTCATGTTGACCGTGCAGATGCTCCATGGCGTATGTTGCGTTTGACACGTTTGCCGTATACGAAACCCCGTAGGCATATCTTCCTCTGGCGGCGACGACGAGAAAGAACTGCACTTTGTTTTGCTCGAAGCAACCTGGCCAACTCACACCAAAAATCACACAGTCTTCTACAACAGCAATCGAAACACAGCGAACAGCAAAGATGAAGAAGGGGCACGCGAATTAGTCTCTAGCGGCGCACTGACTTTGTCGGAGCTCTCACCCCACATAGCCAGCTGTTCTATTATGTTTCTCGACCTCCCTGAGTGCCCTTCGAGTTCTGTATAACACCGCATTCTGTTTCCAGAGCAATTGCTTCGTTCTGTACAACTACGCTCCTACCAGAATCCACCTCGAGTCACGGCATTGACTTTTATCCTGGATTGCGTTCCACTGCTGCAATCACCCCACTGGTGAGCACGAGACCCCTCGAAGCCTTGGCCACAGTCCATACACCCCTCTCAACTTGCCACTCAGTCTCCCTTCAGGACAGCAACTGATTCAATTCTCCAACAGACCGAACATCTCTATCTTCGCTACCAACTGTCACCCACCCATCATGGCTCTTATGGAAGCTAAGGTCAAGAGCGTGCTCTCTGGCGACACGCTCGTTCTACACAACATCAAGAATCCTTCTCAAGAACGCACCCTGAGCTTGGCTTTCGTCAGTGCTCCTAGGATACGCAGAGAGGGCGACGAGCCTGGTGCTTTCGAGTCCAGAGACTTTGTCCGCAAGCTCTGCGTCGGCAAGGTTGTCCGATTCAGCGTTCTCTACAGCATTCCCACGCCTTCACCTCGCGACTACGGTGTCATCATCCTACAAAGTGGCCAGCACTTGCTCGACCTCGTTGTACGTGAGGGTCTGGTCAAGCTGAGAGACGACGCCGGTAAAAAGGAGGACACACCACAGGGTACCGAGTTGCTCGAGAGATTGCAGGCCCTCGAGAGCCACGCCAAGGTCGACGAGAAGGGCCTCTGGAACCCCGACCAACAACGCATCGACAATGTTCACGACCTTTCAGACCCGAGGGCCTTCGCCGAGGCTTACAAGGGCCAGCCCATTGACGCCATTGTTGAACGTGTCCTCAGTGCAGACCGTCTCATCTGTCGTCTGTTGGTGCAGCCCACAAAGCACACCCAGACCATTGTCTTGCTTGCCGGTGTCCGCGCCCCTGCCACCAGAAGAATCAACCCATCGGATCAATCAGAGCAACCTGCTGAGCCTTTCGGCACCGAAGCACACCATTTCGTCGAGGAGAGACTTCTGCAGCGTGGTGTTCAGGTCCGTGTCCTTGGTGTTTCTCCCAATAACCTTCTCGTTGGAGAAGTCAGACATCCTATGGGTAGCATCGCTGAATTTCTCCTCAAAGCTGGTCTCGCTCGCTGCACCGACCACCACTCGACATGGCTTGGTTCGGAAATGGCCAAGCTGAGACAGGCCGAACGCCATGCCCGGGATAACAAGCTGGGTCTGTTCGAGGGTCACGTCTCACAAAGATCGGCCGGTACAGGTCAAATCGAAGCCACCGTCAGCCGCGTCTTCTCTGCCGATACCCTCTTCCTCCGTAACAAGGCTGGAGCTGAGAAGCGTGTTAACCTCAGCAGTGTTCGTCAACCCAAGCCCTCAGACCCCAAGCAATCGCCTTTTGGTGCCGAGGCCAAGGAGTTCCTGCGCAAGCGTCTGATCGGAAAGCACGTCAAGGTCACCATCGACGGCAAGCGACCGGCCACTGAGGGCTTCGATGAGCGCGAGATGGCCACTGTCACTCTCAACGACGAGAACGTGGGTCTGATGCTCGTTGAGCAGGGATACGCCTCGGTCATCAGACATCGCATGGACGACACCGATCGCTCGCCTATCTACGACGACCTTCTTGCCGCTGAGGAGGCTGCACAGAGCGCTGGCAAGGGCATGTGGAACCCCAAGCCNCCCAAGAAGACTGAATACGTCGACTACAGCGCTTCCGTTGATCAGGCCAAGCGTCAACTCACTCTCTTGTCCCGCCAAAGAAAGGTTCCCGCTGTCGTTGACTTCGTCAAGAGTGGAAGTAGATTCACCGTCTTGGTTCCTCGTGAGAACGCCAAGCTCACCTTTGTCCTGTCCGGTATCAGTGCTCCTCGCTCGGCTCGCAACCCCAGCGAGAAGGGCGAGCCTTTCGGTCAAGAGGCACACGAATTCGCAAACCGCAGATGTCAGCAACGCGACGTCGAGATCGACGTTGAGGGCACTGACAAGGTCGGAGGCTTCATTGGTCAACTTTACATCAACCGTGAGAGCTTCGCTAAGCTGCTCGTCGAGGAGGGTCTTGCTTCGGTCCACGCCTATAGTGCAGAGAAGTCTGGCAACGCAAACGAGCTCTTCGCTGCCGAGCAAAGGGCAAAGGAGGCCAGACGCGGCATGTGGCACGACTGGGACCCCTCGAAGGAGGTTGCTGAGGAGGGCGAGGAGTACGACGCTTCTGCTGGTGCTGCCGGCCTCAACAATGGCGATGCTCCTGCCGAGCGTCGCAAGGACTACCGCGATGTCGTCGTAACTAACATTGACTCGACCAACGCACGCATCAAGATTCAGGAGATCGGAACTGGCACAGCAGCNTTGTAAGTTTTGATCTTTCATCCGTCCATGTGACATGCGCTAATCTTTTGCCCAGTGACCGACCTCATGAACTCGTTCCGCTCCTTCCACATCTCCTCCTCTGCCAACAAGCCCCTCGACCAAGCCCCCAAGGCCGGCGACTTTGTGTCTGCCAGATTCAGCGAAGACAACGAATGGTACCGCGCCCGCATCCGCCGCAACGACCGCGAAAACAAGACCTCCGAGGTCGTCTACATCGACTACGGCAACAGCGAAACGATCCCGTGGTCGCGCCTGCGCACTCTCGACCCCACCCGCTTTGGCGTGCAAAAGCTGCGTGCCCAAGCCCTCGACGCCGTCTTCTCCTTCCTCCAGTTCCCCACCGCCCCTGAATACCTCCGCGAAGCCGTCAACATCATCAGCGACTCGACTGCTGACCGCCAATTGGTTGCTAATGTGGATTACATTGACCCTCGCGAGGGCACGCTGCACGTCACGCTATTCGATCCTAAGCAGAGCGACAGCTTGAACGAGAGCGTCAATGCCGATATCATTTCTGAAGGTCTTGCCATGGTGCCCAAGAAGCTCAAGGCTTGGGAGAGGGCTGCCGGAGATGTGATTGCTGATCTCCAGGCTCGTGAGAACGAGGCCAAGGGTGATAGACGTGGTCAGTGGGAGTATGGTGATTTGACTGAGGATTAGGAGTACCTCCGAAACACCCACCATTGTTTGTTTTATTTGGGGGTTGGTTCGATTCTTCCTTTCTTTTTTGACTCTTGGTTTTTGGTTATGAGAGACATTCATCGCAAAAGGACAGAAAAAGCAGGCATAGCATTTTTGTTCATACCATAAAACCAAAACGGTTAGGTTGTTGTCATGACTAGTCAATTGTCTCTTCCTATCTTCATGTGCGGTGTTCTTCACTATTGCTTCCTTCCATATGTGTCGTGGTTGCTCAGACCACAACAGAGCGACATCCGATTCAGAGCTGTATACAACAGAATGAAAGCAGGTAATACTCACGCTAGTCGAAGTATGTGTACTATTGTATCCTAAGTTGAAAGATCGAAAAGCGATGGCATCTGGTTGTGGAACAGGTGTAAGTCTTGAGTAGTGACAGGGTTATCCCCCAAGCAGTGCGACATGAGCAATAGAAAACCCAGGTGGATATTCACTGATCTTTGTCCTACACAAATGTGCGACCACAGTATTGTTTACAATTTGCTCCAATGTATACGTCTATAAAACGACCTTTTATTCCAAAAGAGTTCCAAAAGGTCTCCAAAATGTCGTTCCATCCCAGATTCTTATCTTCCAAACATGATCCTCGCGATAATAAACACAATCTAGGAGGTGATATTGTAACCAATTCCCAAACCAACTGGGCAGTTGGGGACATTGGCTTGCCACTCTGGGGTCATCTGTGCGTACTTGGGCAAGTACGAGTTGGTGGTGAAGTTNNCTGGTTTATTCAGTTAGCTTCTTGACGTCTTCGTTCTGATCCGTGGTGCAAAGCTTACCTTGGGCAAATAGTAGGTAACCTGGTCATTAGTATAGCTTCCACCTAATCCATTCAAAGCCTGAACAACACTAGCAGCTACATAGTCCAAGAAGATGAGATCGACAACGGCGTCAGCAGCCAGAGTTCCATTGGCAGGAAGACTGCCATTGGCTTGGAAGAAGTTGGGGGTGGAGTAGTAAGGGATCTTGGAATGTATGGTGTCGTCTCCATCAGTTCCAAAGTCATCGGAGGTAGTGTATCCAGGCGTGGTGGTGGTCTGGCGTCTGATAATGCGGCCACCTGGGTAAGAGCGCTTGGTGATGAGGTGGTCGTGAGTTACGGGAGGATCGATACAGCTGTCGAGCGAAGGGTTCATTTGGTTAAAGCCGAAGTCTTCGGAAGATAGATCGCGCTTAGATGGGTAGTTGCCACTTTCCAGAGCGGAGAGGACTTGGCTGGCGAGGTGGTAAGGAACATCGGGGAGATATTGGAAGGCGTCGGTGAATGGTGAGACGATGAAGCTTGAATCGTAGTCGAAAGTTCCCTCGGCTAGATCAAATCTGATGTGACCAGTGTTGGTGATGATGAGACGAGGCTTGTCAGCACGTTGCTTGGTCACGATGGTGGCGGAGAGCGCTCTGTCCAGAAGAGAGTAGATGGAGCCTTCAGACTTGAATGGTGCACAGTTGAGACACCATGTCTGGGGAGCACAGCCATAGATACTAGTCAAGTTCAGCTCCTTGCGAGTGGCAGTGATGTTCTTGGTCACAGCAAGGCCTTTGGTGGTATCGAATGCCTTGGCCTGGCTACCTTCGGCGTGGTACTCGAAAGTCATACGGTTCCAGTCCAGATAGCGACGGAAGAAGGTCAAGTTCGAAGCACTGGTGGAAGAAGCGAGGGTAGCAGAAGCCGCAGCAGTGCCGTTCTTCTTTGCCTTCATGGTTGGGTTGGGAACTCNCTTGGGATTGGCCTTGCCGTGTGGATTGATGCCGCTGACAGCCAACCAGCCCAGAGTCTCGCAGTATCTTCCACTCTCAATACCGACAGACTTGTCATCGTAGACTGCAAAATCACGAATGTGGGTGTGGCCACCGAACATCTGAATAGGTGTGTCGGGCTTGATGGCACGAATAGCCGTGAAGACAGTTTGCAGAGTGTTAGTGCTGCTCTTGAGACCGACGGGGTTGTGGCCGATCAACACAAAGGCATCGACGTTCTTGTGGTTGACTGCGTTGATGAACCAAGACTCCTTGGCCATGTCGGCAGCTTTAGTGACGACCGAAGCATTCGAGTTGCCAGTAAAGTCGAACAGCACACCAAAGGCCATGATTCTGAGGCCCTTCTGGGTCTTGAAGTATCTGTATTTCTTACCGATGTACTCGAGCTCGCCAGTGCTTGGGTTTCTGATCTGAACATTGCTGGTCAAGTATTTCTCACCATATGCTTTGGCAAACTGGTTGAAGGTCTCATAAGCGATTGCAGAGACGTAAAGCTCGTGATTTCCGATGGTTAGAAGATCATAGTCCAGTTGCTCGAAGATTGGGTTTGACAACTGTCCATTGACACCACCGTAGGTAGCAACTCCAGTGGCATCGCTAAGCCCTGCACCATCGTGCAGATCCTGGTAATGGTGAGCATGATCCAACGATCGCTCTTTGTGGAAACTTACACCAGTGTCGACCACTAGAAGATCGACGTCCAGATCCCTTGCCTTCTGTCTCATCTGCTTGACGAAAGACACATAGTCGCCCCAGTCTGCACCATAGTTTTGCTCTCTGATGTGTCCCTCGAGCCAGCCGTGGGTGTCAGTGGTGTGCAGAAAATTGAGCTGGCCCCAGGCCAATGGTCCGCGAGGGCCGACAGCAGCATTCTGGGCATCTGGTTGCATGCGTCGCACATTTCTCGTCATGACAACATCTTGCTCTGGGTGCTCACAGCTCTCACACGCCAGAACCGGAGTGCTCAGAGCCAGTAGGGCAGAAGCCCAAACACTGTTTCGGATGCGCATATCAAAAATGAATAGATATGGAGTAAAATGGTCAGGTAGTTATGTGAAATGAGGAAACAACGATTGTCAAGATACTTCTCAGAACGAACGCGTAGTTGTTCTAAGCCAGCATAGAAAGAGAGAGAGAGCTGACTGCTTGATATTACCTACCTGTGAAGAGGGCTCCTATCAACCTTTTAACACAACACAAGGACGCGTCTCTCAACATGCTTTTGCCATCTTGCTTGCACAGACTCACAATATGCAGGCGCGGTGATCGCCTCTTTGCTTATCGTCGGCCATTGATAAACCCACGTGCTTGCTATGTAGAGTGAAGGGCTGAAGTCCAGACAAGCATGCCGGGTTCCTTACGGATCGGCTGCACATCAAGGATACCTGCCTGAAAGAAGTTCCTGCTGCAGACTTGGCATATCTGACGTTCGATAGTCATCTATGCCTGCTCCATAAGCTTTCACGGCTGGGACAAACAAAGGCGAGCTGCCTTGTTGGTGCTAGTCGCTCCGCGGTCACGTCGCTTTTCATCCTCGCGACAATGCCGACCGCACGCGCTTCTGGTCTTCCAACTTTGGTTGAACAATCCAAGATTGATTATGCGACTGGATGAGAATACAAGGATAATTCTTCCATGCCCTGGACAGCGGCACTCAGCCGCAATAACATCGCCTGCTCGGGTCCGAATACCATGTCTAGCCTCCATCTCATAGCGAAGCATACCGACATCTACCCCTATAAAATCACACAATTGTGATGAACCTCGGGATGTCGTCCAAGGAGAGCCGGGTAGGTCGGTGACTTTCGATGGACCTTGCTCTGTCTCTCGATCCGACGTGAACTATAATATAACCTATAGAATTGCACGATTGTGTCGAAGTCAGAGCAGTGTCTAGTGAGAGTTGATGATACAATTGCTCTCAGTGGATGCTGTTCATTTTCCTAAAGTTATTATGTATGTTTACAGTCAGAGACAGTCGCACAGGTTACTGAAAAGAGCCGATAAGCAGCATTGCTCCCAGCATGCCCAGGCGCGAAATCAGAGCCATAGATATGCACAGTTGTATTCAACCATTGAGGTAGGTCCAGAGAGAGCCCACGAGACGATGCCTCTCAGTGGGATTGCCCTGCTTTCCGACCATATTGTGTAACTCTACAGCGCCACGCAAGACAGTTTCCAACACTCGAGAGTGCTCATATCCATCACTTTCAATCATAGCAGTGAAGATCTTGCTTCTATATCCGGACTCAGATCTAACCTTGCTTTAGTTCACTTGTTCCTTGCCAAGAATTCACTTCTTTGTCGCAGACTCTTTGCCTTCTTGTTGCAGATTGCTCACTTGCTTTCCATGGACCGCTCACTTGTTCTTCACAGATTGCTCATTCCCTCACCGCAAATGGTTCACTCCTTTTGCTGCCCACAAAATCAGAGTACTCGTACGTCTGGGAACCGCACATGGTCTGTGGACCGCTCGTAGTCTAGAGGTCACACAGTTGTCCGTAAGGGTGATGATGCTCGTAGGTCTACTCGCAGACTTCGAAGAGTCTGAGTCGTTCGTATGTATTACTCGTAGGGTTGAAAGCTGTAGATACAAGAAGGCCGTAGGACTTGTAACTGCGTAAGCACAGTTACGGCACGTAAGGATTGTTTGGTCGCATCCAGAGATCAGCGATTCCACGGCGACACGCTTTCGAAAGCTCTCGTGTTGGTTCGAGGTACATGTGTAAGCGTGTACGGGCCCGGCGCGTTCTTTTGTTGACATAAACAGCCCGGCACATCCTACGAGTTGCTTCACCGCGTGCCCTTTCACTACCCGCTCCGTAGACGACTTCACCACGCGTACCTCTACGATTCCCTCGTCTCACTACTAGTCCCGTAGGTTTGGTTCGGTGCTTGCGGCTCGCAATCTTTGACTTACGGCCTTCGACTTTCGAATTTTGACTCACGACCACGACTTCCAACCTTCGACTTTCACATCTGGTCCTACGACTTTCAACCTCAGCCCCCGTAGGCTTACGCTTCACCCTCCGCAGGCTTACACATCGATCCTACGCAACGATCTTACGCATCAGCCCAACCTAACAATCTTACGCGACCACTAAGATGTCTTTCAAGGTTGACGTGCCCGGAGCCGACACCATCATCCTGGTGTCGAACGAGAGCAGATACAGAATGCACTCTACCCAGCTCAGCCTGGCCAGCGGCTGCTTCGCCGATCTGCTGAGTACCCCTGGACCNTCCCTGAACCGCGAGGGTCTTCGAGTGGGTATCCGCTACTTGATCGTTCTGCAGGACTTTGACGAGAAAACCACCAACAAGCTTAGCAAGCCTGTCTTTAGACGTATCCCTGTTGACAGCAATGGACGTCCTTCACAGACGTACGCAGTCATGCACGAGAGCGACCAGAACCCTCATATTCGTGCCTCGCTGTTCTCTGACTATGAGAGACTGCTGCGTATCTTTGCCAACCAACCCGTCTCTTTTGACGACAAGACTATCGACACCTTGTTGCCTGATGCCATGGGTCTGGTTGAAGTTGCTGAGGGCCGGCTCTGTAAGTATCCTGCTGCCATGCTTGGATATCATGCTGACTGTGGTTGTAGNGTGTCCATGGTGGCCAAGATCATCGAGAGCAGCTTGCTTGTCAAGGGTCAAGACATCTTCAGGGCCATCTCTGCCAGCCCCATCGTCTGGATCGATGTCACTTTCCGCATCCAGTCCAAGGTGCTCTTCAAGGAGGCACTCATCCACCTCACTGGCAAGTACAACGCTCTGGTTCTCACACCNCCTGACGAGGCTTTCGTCAACAAGTACCCCAGAGCTCGCAGCATTCTCGACCAGCTTCCACCCAACCTTCGCGACTTGCTCGAGCGCAAGCACGCTGAGCTGAAGCAGTTTTGCCAGAACATTGAGAAGGCCGTCAGCAGCCACTACCCTCCCGGCATCACGAAGACTTCTGTCACTGGCCAAGCCAAGACTGACCCCATTGGCAGACTCGACTATGCCAAGGACGTCTTCACCTGGGTCGGCGTGGCTTGCTACCGCCACTGGTGGGGCCAGATGATGGCCAGTGTAAGTATTTACTACCTCTACTCTTTCGACATCGTCTTGCTGACTCTGTGATAGGGTGCCACCCACAACAACAAGTTTGGCGGCCATGACATGTACCTTCGCCTCTTCAACGGCGGCCAGAACTACCTGGGCCGCGACATCCAGAATGGCTTCCACCAGCACTTTCCCATGAGCGGCAAGGGCGAGAAGGTCCTGCAGCATAACATTGACATCATCAAGGCTGGTATCACCAAGGTCGTGGCTCCGTTGATGAACAATGAGAGCCAGCTGGACATCATCAAGTCACCTGTCAAGTGGCTGACCTGCACTGCCGTCGGTGGTGCCGACTACCTCTGGGACCCTGAAGTCGACCAAGAGCCTGAAGAAGAGTCTGAGCAGGATGCTGAGGAGGGAGCTGAACAGGAGGCTAAGCAGGGAGCTGCAGAGTTGTACGGTGCTCAGCCAGTCGCCGAGAAGGCCAAGGGCAAGAGACGCGCTGACGAGGCCTTTGATGAGGCCGAACCCTCCTCCGAGCCAGTCGGCAAGGGCAAGGGAAAGGAGCGCGCTGTCCAAGAGGAAGATCTCGACCATGACCACGACGAAGACGCCGAGGGCGAAGAGGTTTGAACTTCTCGAATGCTTTCGTGCCAGTTGGATGATTCTCGTAACGCACCATCACAAAGGCCGACAGATTGATGAATTGGAAGGGAATAACAAATTGAAAACGCCAGAGGAAGACGACAACCTGATGAAATTGGGACTTCAGACGGAGGAGAAACTTACTATGCTCGCAACACAGAGACATGCCTGCAGGAAGGAAAACTGCGAGTCCCTCCCAGAGAGTGCATACATTACCCCAGTATACTTTACAGCCGGCATCACTACCAGAAACAACGACTTTCGTTAATGCAGACTTTCTTGTCCACCCTCTCACACATTCGCTGCTATCCTCAGAATATTATTGTTGTCAATTGCAAAAGTAATAAGTCCGCTGGCACATATACAAGGCTCTGGCACGCGGAATAACAGTAGGAAAGAGCCTTTGGCTGGTGTATTTTTGCATTCACAAAAGGACAAATTGCTGGGAGAGAGAAAAAGCCGATTGATTGTCCCCAAGACTCCGGTCGAGATGTTTCCTTGTATCGGCTTCTTCTTGATGGTGGGGGTTGTGTAGTGACAGCGGGAGTTGCTATTGTAGCGGCTGTGTATATACATTTGTCGGAGGTGGACTTGGCGCATGATTGAAAGTCGGATATATGAGGAGGATGTGACGAGCTTAGTCTTCGTAGCCGGAGGGAATGTTGCGAGGGCCCTTGGGTACTGTGGGTGGTTTGTTAGCCGGAATATTCGGCGCGCAATTGAAAGATGGCTGGCCTCAGCTGTGGAAGCTGGTCGTGACTCACTCGGNGTAGGTCAAAGGAATTTGAGGACGAGGGCCGTCGCCGAAACGAGCGCGCACGGGAGGGACGACGAGGGCCATGACGGGACCGACGCTGCCGACGACAATGGACCAGAAGATGGCGGGCTTGTTGCGAGCAGCCCACTTGATGTAGAGACCAGGGGTCGACCAGAATTGTACGGGAGCCATTGTGTGTGTGGTGTGGATGTACCGGTATACAAGTCGTCGTCAATTGCTTCCGATGCTTCGCTCATGGTCGGCGGCGGATGTGGTCAGGGCGCGACTTGCGAACGGGCTTGGCGCTGGCAGCTCTCCGCATCGCATTGCGCGTTTATGGAGGACAGCTGGAGCTTCGTACGTGCTTGCCCAAGTGTGTGTCTGCTCTTTCTCTGTTCAATTGAGACATAGCAAACATGAAGGCCTTCTTGTCTTTGCTGCTGCTGGGTCTCGTCAGCCTGGTCCAGGCATTGAGTTCTACCGGCAACCGTCTGCTGGTAGTTCTCGANGAAGCCTCGGACAAGTCCAAGTACTCGTCCTTCTTTGGCGATCTTGAATGTGAGTCGTGTCTGCTTATATCAATACAGAGCTGTGCTGATTAGGTCGAAACAAGCNNCCGTGGGTACAGCGTCACATACGAATCTCCAAAATCCAAGAGCCTCTCGCTGTTCAAGCACGGCAACCTCGCCTACGACCATCTCGTCCTCCTGCCTCCCAAGTCCAAGGGCTTCGGTCCACAGTTGACCCCCAACATCCTCGTCGACTACGTCAACAACAACGGCAACGTTCTCCTCGCTCTCACCGCCGATCAGCCCATTCCTGCTGCCGTTGCCTCTCTCCTTCTCGAATTCGATGTCACCCTCCCTCCGGAGCGCAGCGCCCTTGTTGTCGACCACATCAACTACGACACCAAATCGGCTGCCGACAAGCACGATGTGCTACTCATTCCCGCTCCCAAGACCCTGAAGTCCGGCGTCAAGAACTACTTTGACGTTGACGGAACCCTTACTGTCCCTCGCGCTGTCGGTCAGCTTTTGGGCAATGCCAGCCCTCTGCTTGCCCCTGTCTTGCGTGCTCCCGAGACCGCATACTCGTACAACCCCAAGGAGGAAGAGGCCCTCGAGGATGTCTTTGCTTCTGGCTCTCAGCTGTCGCTCATCTCTACCTTCCAGGCCAGAAACTCGGCCCGCTTCACCGTTCTCGGTTCCGCCGAGATGTTGCAAGATGCTTGGTTCGACGCCCAGGTCAAGGCTCCTCGTGCTCCCGAGACCACCGGCACTGCCAACAAGGCCTTTGCCGAACGTCTGTCGGCCTGGACCTTCCAGGAGATTGGTGTGCTCAAGGTTGGCAAGGTCCAGCACTACCTCAATGAGGGCAAGGTCAAGGAATCCACCAACTTGACTGTTTCCGAGCGCCCCGAGATCAACCCTATCATGTACAGAATTAAGAACGATGTTGTAAGTGTAATATCTTATTTCCAAACTTTCTTTTGCTAACAGCCGTTCAGNCACTTCTCGATTGAACTGTCAGAGTACAACGGTGACCGCTGGATTCCTTTCCTTCCTGCTTCTGGAGACTCTCTTCAGCTCGAGTTTAGCATGCTATCTCCCTTCCACCGTGTAACCTTGGACCCCGTCTCGCCAACTACCAACAGCACCATCTTCGAGGCCAGCTTCACTGTGCCTGACCAGCATGGTATCTTCAACTTCATCGTCAACTACAAGCGTCCTTTCCTCAGCAACGTATACGAGAAGCGCACCGTCACTGTCCGCCACTTTGCTNNCGACGAGTGGCCGCGCAGTTTCGTCATCAGCGGCGCTTACCCCTGGATTGCTGGTATCGGCGTCACGGCCACTGGCTGGCTGATCTTTGTCGCTGTCTGGCTTTACAGCAAGCCCGATGAGTCCAAGGCTAAGAAGACGCAATAGCTGCGCATCTCTGTATGCATAGAATATCTATCTAGATGAGAAAAGTGATTTCTTTTAATTTCCGAACCATTCATGCCATGAAGAATGTCAACGCATCTTTGATTCCAAGTGATATATTGAGCTTGAGATCTTGCGTTCGTGGTCTCGATGGGCCGCGGCGACTTTCCACCCCACGTCATCCAATCGCAACCATCGAACATGCTTCATTACAAATCGTCTCTGACGAACAACATCTTGTTAGAAATCGTCCTTAAAGCGAAAAACGTACTTGAAGTGCTGGATTACATGTTTCCTGACGTCTTCTCTCAGGTATGCGGAATCATCGGCGTATTCGTGCTATATCATGCTGACCCACCTCAGATCACTTCTCTTGTTCACGTCCATTGCCATCCTTGTATACTTCTTACCTGAGTCTATGTTAAATCCTGTGAGACGACTATCCGCCATTTCAAACATATTCACTCAGTCCACTGTTCGAAACATGGCCACGGAGATACCCAAGTCCGTTCATACTGGACCAGACGACAGCTGGCACGGCATGATTGACAAGTCGTCTGACAACCCATTTCAGCCAGAAAAGGGACGCTATCACATGTTTGTCGGCCTCTTCTGCCCGTTCGCCCATCGTGCAAACCTTGTGCGTCACCTCAAAGGTCTGCAAGATATCATTGATATCAGTATTGTCAAGCCTTACCCGAAAGGCAATGACAAGGGTTGGCCTGGCTGGCAGTTCCCTGAGTCGGATGATGAGTACCCCAATGCTACTGTAGACAAGCTGTTTAGATCCAAGTATCTGCACGAGGTTTACTTCAAGGCCGACAAGGACTACAAGGGCCGCTACTCTGTACCTCTTCTGTGGGACAAGAAGACGAATACCGCAGTCAACAATGTATGATTTAGGACTATTCTGGCCGATCATGTCCATCAATGTACTGACAACCAAATCAGNGAATCAGCAGAACTTCTGCGCTGGCTTCAGACTGCATTTAATGATCTGACCTCGCCCGAGAAGGCAAAGCTGACTCTATACCCTGAGCACTTACGCCAGAAAATTGACAAGATTGCCGAGTGGATGCAATCAGACCTGAACACTGGTGTATACAAGGCCGGTTTTGCGCCTGATCAAGAGACCTACAACAAGAATATTCCACCAGTCTTTGGTGCTCTCAACAAGCTCGAGAAACTGCTTTACGATGGTAAGGGTCCTTACATTCTTGGTAAAGAAATGACCGAGCTGGACATCCGGCTTTACGCCACTCTGATTCGCTTTGATACTGTTTATGTGCAGCACTTCGTAAGTAGTATTCCTCTCGAAAGTATCAAAAAGTCTGACATTCAGTAGAAATGCAATCTCGGTACAATACGCCACGACTACCCAGTGTTGAATAACTGGCTCAAAGGCATGTACTGGAATCATGAGGAGTTTAGAAACACCACGGATTTCAAACACATCAAGGAGAATGTGAGTTACTCAATAACCGGACTCGAGGCAACACTGATCAGATACCATAGNTACACCAAAAGCCACTATGATGTCAATCCCAAGGCGATCACACCATTGGGTCCTTGGCCTCATATTGAGAAAGGTTACCAGGAGGATTGGAGTAGGATCTCTCCAGGGAGTATTGATATGTCGGAAGTTCTGGAGCACGAGAAGACTCTGAAAGTGTAAGGTTGCTTCTTGTGCTGCCGGCATCGATCACAGGTAGGAGTGAGCGTTGATGTCCCAGCATGTAAATCTGGAACGCGTGCAGCATATTTCTCAATGGTCCAATTGTTCTCAAAGAACCGATGTCACAGTACACGTAGAGCTGCTTTAGATACACGAGATACGGCGTAGACTAAATATCGATAATGTTCAAGTGTTGTTGTTGACCTCTTACAAGACAATGTGTGTTTTCATGGCGCATTGACCATGAAACAGTCTTGCGGAAAGTCTTGGCCCCTCCAACACATCCGATGTGAGCAAACAGCATCCTAGAACGAAAACACATTTCACACGATCTTTCAATTTGCATCATATTCTGGCGTAGTCAACAATCTATCGACGCCGAGACTTCAAGCAGAAGATATCCCACCGACGTTCAATCTTCACCCATCAACAGCACCACGATGCAGAACTTTGCCATCGAGGTGCCGGGTGAAGCTAANCCCTTAACCGAGCATACCTTACTCAACGTACTACGGTCTGCAGCATCGTCAGATCCACAGCAGGTTCAATCAGGCGCCAAACAACTCGAACGATGGGAGAAAAGTGCCGGATTCTACAAGCACTTGCAAACTGTATTCATCGATAAATCGTTACCATTCGAAGTCAGATATCTCGCCATCATCCAGCTCAAGAATGGTATCGAAAAGTACTGGCGCAAGACTGCTGCAAAGTGAGTAGTACCTTCTTATGCTTTGTTCCTTCTACTTCTGCATGCCAAGAACTTAAACATTCTTGGGGTTGGTTCTTTTTTTTTTTACATATACTGACATTCTCCCAGTGCTGTCTCAGCGGAAGACAGAGCAGCGATTAGATCTCGCCTTCTCGAAAGTGGCATCGAAGAACACGATCACCGTTTAGCTCTCCAAAACGCACTCGTCGTTGCAAAGGTCTCTCGATTTGAATATCCGCACGATTGGTAGGGAGTATTCTCCAGCCTTCTATTATTCAATGCTGATTCTGTACAGNNGTCAGACGTCATTAGTACACTGATCAGTCTACTGCGAAGATCGACAGATTCAAATTCTAACCCTATTCACCTTCCTCGTACGTTGCTTATCCTTCTTCACATCACCAAGGAACTCTCCGCCGCTCGCCTCCAAAGGTCTAGAGTCGCTCTGCAGGCTGCCACTCCCGAGATTGTACAAGTGCTCGGACAGATCTATCTCGAGAAAGTACAGTCCTGGCAGGAGACTCTCAGCAGTAGGAATGGCGATCAAGAAGCATTGCAACAGACAATGCAATCTAGTCTGTTGCCCCAGGCCTGGCAGGAGGCTCCCACCAGCAGCATTGGTGATCAAAGACTGCAACAGTCGATGCAATCCAGTCTGTTGGCGATCAAAACTCTGCGCAGATTACTCGTTGCTGGCTATGAATTCCCGAACCGGGAGTCGGACGTGCATCAGTTCTGGCAGCTTACCTACGCCCAAGTGGGCGCTTTCATGAACTCCATCTCTGCGCAAGGAGCCACACTTCCCGAAGAGCTTGGTGTGTTATTGGAAAAGCATCTGCTTCAATTATCGAAGCTGCATCTGGAGATGGCCAAGGCCCATCCTGCGGCTTTCGTGCTTTTGCCAAACTCCCTTGATCTTGTTCGCTCATATTGGGCCCTCATCAAGCAGTTTGGAGATGTTTTCGGTTCTCGTTTGACTGCTGGTGTGTCTAGTGGAGGCGATGGCGAGCAGAAGCCATTTCAGGAGAAGGTCTCCCTCTCTGGGCTCAAAATCGTGCGTGCCTGTATCAAGATGGTGTTCAACCCCGTTCAATCCTTCAAGTACAAGCATCCGCAGGACAAGGTTGAGAAGGCAGATGCAATCGCTGCTGTCAAGGAGCACCTCCTGGCAGATGCTTTTGTTACCGAAGTCATGGAAGTCGTCATCACCAAGTTCTTCGTCTTCCGACAAGGCGAGCTTCAGGTATGGGAGGAAGATCCGGAAGAGTGGGAGCAAAGTTTGGAGGGCGAGAGCGAAGGATGGGAGTATAGCGTTCGACCCTGTGCTGAGAAGTTGTTCTTGGACCTCGCTCTCAACTTCAGAAACTTATTGACGCAACCGCTACTCAATGTTTTCTACACCGTCGCAGGTACGTCGCCACGCGTGTTATGAGCTATCAGAGCCTCTAAGGAGCACATCTTACTGACATGTCTTNNAGCACCGGACAACGAGGATATCCTTTTCAAGGACTCGGTATACACAGCAATTGGCTTGGCTGCTGCAATTCTGCAACAGCATCTCGACTTCGATTCATTCTTATCTAACACAATCGTTGTCGAAGTGCAAAAACGAAAGCCCGGTTTCAACATTCTGCGCCGTCGTATCGCAATCCTTTTGGGTCAGTGGATTACCGTCAAGGTCTCTGCAGAAAAGAGACCCCTGGTTTACCAAATCTTCCAGCATCTGCTCGACCCGAGTGACTCCTGCAATGACCAGGTTGTCAGGATCACCGCCGGACGACAGCTCAAGCAGATAGTAGACGATTGGGAGTTCAGTCCAGAGCAGTTCTTGCCTCATGTTCAGACGACGATGTCACAGTTGTTGAGCCTCATTGAGGAGGTTGAGAACATGGAGACGAAGATGGCGTTGCTCAACACGATTAGTGTTCTGGTTGAGCGATTGGAACATCATGTAAGTGTGATCCATACATGAATGGTGATTCTGCAACTAACGAGCGGTAGNATTGCACCTTACGCAGAAACGATCATCAGCATTCTGCCCAATCTTTGGGAACAGTCTGGAGATGAGCATCTCATGAAGCAAGCAATTCTAACCATTCTCTCGCGTCTTGTCACTTCAATGAAGGCTGCTTCTGTGCCCTTCCACCATCTTGTGTTGCCCATCATCAGAGGTGCTGTCGAACCCGGGTCAGATACACAGGTCTACCTGCTCGACGATGCCTTGGATCTCTGGGCGAACATCCTGATCCAGACACCTGCTCCAGCATCGCCTGAGCTGCTGCAATTAGCACCATACCTCTTCTCCATTTTTGAGCTAGGATCGGAAAACCTCCGTACAGCTCTCGATATCACCTCATCCTATTTCCTACTTGCTCCTTCGGAGATGCTCTCAGATGAAATGCGCAAGCCGCTCATGGCATCCCTATCTAACCTTGTCGGCTACGTCAAGGCTGATGCCAGTGGGACTGTGAACAATCTCGTCGAGCTCATCATCAGGTCAGCAGAGCGCATCGGCGGCGAATCTGCCGTCAGCACCATCGCCAGCGACCTCATCGATTCCGACTTCCTTCGCAAACAGCTCCGTGGTCTGCACGGTAGTTGGGTCGCACATTGCACCACCGGCCCGCTAGCAAAAGACCCACCCGTCGACGGCATCGTCGAGACGGACTATTTCTCTGTCCTTGCACGTCTAGCAATGGGATCAGAAGATATATTCCTGCAAGCAGTGCAGGCAGCCGCACCGCCCATTCCGCTCAGTGACACCACCAATAAGCCTTCTATCCACGACTCGATGAAATGGCTGCTCGAAGAATGGTTCAGCCACTTTGAGAACATCGGCGACCCTTCACGTCGCAAACTCATGTGTCTTGCCCTGACAAAACTGCTCTCTACTTCTCAGCCCTTCATCCTCGGCTCCCTCCAATCCCTCATGACCCTCTGGACAGACATGGTAACCGAGATCCGCGAAGAGGGCGGCGCAGTCGACTCGGACACCTTGGTCTACGATAACGCCGATCAATTGAGAACAACCGAGGCCGGTGTCCTTGAAGCTCCCGAGGATGAAAGACGAAGAGAATTGACATTTGCGGATCCGGTGCACAATGTGAGGACTACTCAGTGGATCAAGCATTACTTGCAGATTGCCATTCAGGCTGCGGGTGGACAGGAGGCTTTCCAGAACGAGTGGCTGGTTAATGTTGACAAGGATGTTATTGCTGCATTTGGCGAGTTGGGCATCATGTGAGTGGTCTCGATAGGGGAAGGCGATGGAGAAAAGCATTTGTCTTAGGGAGAAGGTGCAAAGTAGTAGTTAGAAAGCACGAATGAGCATTGCTGTCAGAAGAGGAAAGCTCTTTCCTTATTTTCGTTTACTCCAGGGTTGCTGAAATGTGGAACGATCATAATCGTCGTGTACAAACATCAATTCTGAAAGTAATGGTGCCTACAAAGTGCAAGAATGCTGCCAACGCTATGCTCTATGTCTGCAATACTAGAATCTGCCTGAATGCAGTAGCTCCCAAGATGAACGAAGGACAGCAAGACCTCCCTGTTGCGTTTCTACCGTACGACCTCTACCGCGATCGTTGACGTCTGTCGTCGAAATGCCCTCACTACTTTCTGCTGCTTGGGTGACAGCATCATATGTTGAGCGTCGATTATGCGATGCTGCCCACTCTTNTGTTGACAAAACAGCTGCATCGTTTCGGTAGTCGATTGAGTGGGCAGGAAGACTTTGCGGATGAGCGGCAGCAGCATATCTATGCCNCCACCACGTGCCAAAAAGACCTGATGCATTTCTTGTGCTCAGAGCCGCTTGTGCATTATGAGCAACCCACAGGCCCACCGTTCTACAGAAGGCACTGTGCTTTTCTCTGAGCCGTTTGCTTGCTGCATGAGTTTTGCCAGGGGCTTTTGCTTCTTCTGGCAGAGCTTCACAGAACTGAGTCAAGTGTTGGAAGAAAATGCCCTTGAAGGTTTGGGAGTCTTGACTACAGGAACCACTACGATCGCAAAGTTCCTCGAGGATGCCGTATTGACCTAGTCCAGACCAGCTGGATGATTTGGAGATTGGGGATTGTGGGTCTCCGGACCAGGACCAGCCTGTAGATGCCATGACGTTGCGTACAAGAATATAGCCGTCGTGCAGGTAGCTTGTATTTCCTGTTGCCTCCCAGAGACCTCGTAGGCCGGAGAGAATGACGCCTTGGTTGTAGGTGTAGAGCATTTCATTGCGGTCGTCGCATTTGCCTGTGCCGATGCTGCCGTTTTGGCTGTAGCCTTTGATGTGGTAGCCATCGACGTATAGGCCATTGATATTGGTCATGTTGCTTTTCTTGAGCCAGGAGTAGCCTTCGATGGCAGCTTTGAGATACTTTGGATCATGTGGTCGTCCTGGCATAGAACCAAAGATTTGCGAGTCGGAAGCTGAGAATGGGAAATCGATTGCATCGCCGGGAGAAGAAAGATACATGGCAACTGAGGCTGAGATGAATAGTTGATTGGTGATGGTATTTTTGTAAGGCAAGAGTCTGGGGTTCCATAGCATACCACCTCCACACAGATCAGTGTCCCAGCCTTTGGAAGCAAGGTCCCAGAATAATCTTGCACGATGACTGAAGGCAGGGATGAATTGGACACCATGCCATGATGGCTCTGTGCTGTTGCGATATTCGATTGTCTTTATGTTCTCGAGCCATTCCAGGGTGGTCCATAGAATGTCATCATAGGCTTCATTGCGGATGCTGAAGGCATTTTCTCCGAAGTAATAGGCTGCGTTGTGGGAGAAGTACTTGCTGAATATTTTCGAGTAGTGGTTGTCCTCGGTCTCGCTGCTTGCTCTAGCAATGGTTCCCAACGTAGTTGAAACCGCAGTGTTAATCACCGCGCCAGTCCAATCGATAGACGAAGGCCATGTCCCTATCCATAGCTCGAAGAACTGGAATTGCATAACATCCAGGGCTTCTATCATATGTCGAAAGATGCCATTTCCACGCGTGAGATCGCTTTCCAGCTCAGCGTGTCTTACAGATTCGGGGTTGAGAGCTAATTGGTGACTCGGGTCAAGTGGTTCTGATTGAAGATTCCATGGTTGTGACCAGACAACCTCAGCACTAGATGCAAGCAGACATACTATCAAGAGAGGTCTAGGAACCATGGCACGTGCTCGCAGCGTGGAAGGAGATGAATCTGGAAATCTTTAGCAACGGTCCATAGGATCGTGCATGCAGGATCAAACAGTTGATATATGCAGGGAAACAAGATAAAGAGAAAACGAGGACGCGACCAAGGTGGCTTGGGAGTCGACCGGTATGCCAAGGCGCGGCCTGGCCTCATGATCGCCTTTAGCCGTCGTCGTGCTCTCTACACATGATCGAAGGTTTGAGGCGGGTGCGACGGATAGGCAAAGAAGAGACACAAGTAACGGATGGGTTTCATGAAATCGCGGGATCAAACGACATCTGTATGGGTTGGCGGTGCTAAGTGTGGCTGTCACGTAACAAATCATGGTCGCATGCTTCTGCCAGGTGCTCGCAGATCGTATATGTATAACATTGAGCCAGCAGGAGTCAACTCCGGAAAACTCACGTCCGGGACACCATCTCAATCACCACACATGTCGGAACAAGTCGTCCTGAGCAGAGCTTACATGCGATGTCTCGTGTTTACACGTTGGATCTTGTAATAGCAAAGTCGAGGGAGAGGAAGCTGAACAGGTGAGTTGTCGGTCGGCATCGGGTCAGTCAAAAGCCGCGAGCCTCGGCAAGTTGGAGCTGTATTCATATGCTTGGCCGGTCGCTTCTACGTAATTTGGTATATACTCATCGATACAAACAATGCTCAATCTCCAATCGTCATGACCTCTCCAGACTTTGCTGCCGCTCAGGCGCGTGTGCTCGCTCGTCGCGCGGCTGCAGCTCGCCCAATACCGCTGCCTTCCCCTCCGACCCTGCCACCCGCACTGCTGAACCTACCACCTGGTCTACGCTCACTCGCTTCTACCACTTTCTCAACCTGGAACACACTCAGACACAACCCTCCCCAAGCGCCTACTCCGTACTTTCGTGTCGGTCAGGTTGACGCAGAGTTGCTTGACGAGGAGCTCCTACAACTTCTACGCGGTCAAGTCGGAGACGCCCTCAAATACTTCGGAGGCCATATCGCAGATGAATGGTCGTCAGAGATTGGCGTAATACTCCGAGCAATACTATGGAAGCTTAGTATATGGGACCGAGGAACCAGCTACGGTGCCAGTCTACAAGGCCTGAAGTACGTCGACGCAAGAACACAACCTTCGAGCATTCACGCTGGCTCGGGCCAGGATCCTACGAAATGGCAGAAAGCAGCATACGGTCTCATCACAGTCGGAGGTCGCTACTCGTGGCAGAAACTAGAAGATTGGCTCCTTGAGAGAGAAGGCGGCTACGAGGAGCCCACGCCGCTGGTCAAGAGACTTAGCAAGCTTACCGGATGGATTGGCATGACACACGAGATGGCAGCTCTGGCGTCCTTTTTGGTCTTCTTGTTCAATGGCAAATACAGGACACTTGCAGATCGATTGCTTCGACTCAGACTTGCCCCGGCATCTGCACAAACGAGTAGAGAAGTCAGCTTCGAGTACTTGAATCGTCAACTAGTCTGGCATGCTTTCACCGAATTTCTGCTCTTCCTGCTTCCGCTCGTAGGCATTGGCAGATGGAGACGCTTACTATCAAGAGCATGGAGAAAAGTCAAGAGCATGTTCACTCAGAAGGCTGATGAGGAAGACACCAATGCAGGAGGCGAGCTTGAATTCTTGCCAGAACGAACCTGCGCGATATGCTATCGCGATCAAAATGCTGTGGGCGGTGGCTCAGAAGCAGAAGTCCTCGCACAATCAAGCAATACAGGTGGAGGTGTCATTGGCAGTGCTCAAACAGATGTCACCAATCCATACGAGGCGATATCTTGCGGTTGCATATACTGCTTTGTCTGCTTGGCGCAGCGTATCGAAGCCGAAGAAGGTGAGGGTTGGACATGTCTACGTTGCGGAGAAGTTGTAAAAGAATGCAAGCCTTGGAATGGAGATGTTTTGGGGGATATCACAGAGGAGCCGACAAACACAACGTCGGCCAGTCAAGAGAAGCCTCCGAGGAGGAAGAGTGTTGGGTTCATTGATGATGAGAGGGAGCATGAACACCAAGCCACCATCGAGGAACTTGATCCGATGCCTATGGATGATCGCGAGGAGCAAACTCAAGATGCGGAAGATGTGGGGACTGTAGATTCAGTCTCATGGGTAGATGGCGAGTCTGAGATGGACTTTGAAGACGAAGCGGATTATGATTGATTTGACCTATCTTACCATGATAATGAACAACTTCCAAGCAAGCATGGTCGTTCTACAGATGCTGACGGCCTCCGAGGAACCCGTAGATCGATGTTAAGCATTCACAAGCAAGCCGGGCCGAAGTGACTGTTGAAAACGTCAATCGCAACTACCCCACCATAAACACCAATACGTCACTCGAACGATATATTTTGGTCACCTCAAGGCTCGCTGACTTCCCTCTGGTCTTCTACATTCGACTCAAATCGATATTGACGCCCCATACTGTTCAATCATGACCAGCACAAATAACAACTCATCCACGGATGGACTAGACATCAAGAAGGTATGCAGGCAGTCAACAGCTGTGAGATAATACCCAAACGAGCTATGGACTGACATGGACTAGATAGCCGTGATCGGCAGCGGCAGTATGGGCGGTGGTATGGCTCTGCTATTCGCTGAGAACGGTGTCCACGTATCACTCGAGGACCCCTCTGAAGAGGCCATGGATGGCATCATCAAACAGGCTAAAGAGGAAGGCTTCGGAGACCGTATCAGCAAGCACAGCGACTACAAGTCATTGTGCGACTCCCTTGACTCGCCCAAGATCTTTGTCTTCAGCTTGCCTCATGGCAGTGTGGGAGACGGCGTGTTAGCAGGTCTCATGCCCTACCTTGAGAAGGGAGATATCATCATTGATTGTGGTAACGAGCACTGGAAGAACACAGAGAGAAGACAGGGCAAGTGTGTTGTCCGAGGTATCAGATACATTGGCTGTGGTGTCTCTGGAGGATACCAGGCTGCTCGTCGGTATGTTGCCTTTGTTCGCCTACAAGATCTGCTCTGACATAGCTCGCAGNNTGGTCCATCGATGTGCCCAGGAGCCGATGACCAATCTCTCGACTTGGTCCTTCCCTTCTTGCGTAAAGTCGCAGCAAAGGATCCCAAGGGAAGACCATGTGTTGGCAAGGCCGGTACAGGAGGTGCGGGTCATTATGTGAAGATGATCCACAATGGCATCGAACATGGAATGATGAGTGCCATCTCAGAAGCATGGGGCATTATGAGAACTGGCCTTGGTATGTCGGAAGATGAGATCGGTGACGTTTTCGAAAAGTGGAACAACGAAGGAGAACTGGTAAGGTGATTACACCTCATGCTGGAGCTGTATGCTGACTTCTCACAGCAAGGTACTTTCCTGGTGAAGATTGGTGCCGACATTTGCAGGACCAAGGACCCCAAGAACGGCGAACGTGTCTTAGAAACCGTCGAAGACAAGGTCGTGCAGGACGTGACTGGCGAGGAAGGTACTGGTATCTGGTCAAACGAAGAAGCTGTGGGAGAGCACATCCCTGCACCCACGCTGAGCTCAGCTCACTTCTTCCGTCTGGCCTCAGCCGATCGTGCCCAACGTGATCGCGCGCAAAAAGCATTCGGAGGAGACTTCCCGGCACAGAAACTGGATGTCAAGGACAAGGCCGAGTTCTTGGAAGACTTGCGCATGGCCACATACACAGCTTGCTTGGCTGCCTACGTGCAAGGCATCAACGTCATTGACCACAAGAACAGAGAGGTCCACTGGAACATCAACTTCTCTGAAGTTCTGCAGATCTGGCGCGCTGGCTGCATCATCCAGGCCGATTACATCGCTTCTCTACTCGAGCCCATCTTTGCCGAGTTCCGCAACAAGGAAACCATGAACCTGTTGTTCGAGAAGACCATCGCCAGCGACCTCAAGAAGGGTCAGCCAGCACTCAAGCGTGTTGTGGTCCAGGCAGTACTCGGCGATCATGTAGTCCCTGCCATCTCGTCCTCGCTTGACTACATCAAGTACCAGACTGGCTTGGAGCTTCCGACACAGTTTTACGAAGCCGAGCTTGACTACTTCGGCAAGCACATGTACGACAAGAAGGGTGAAGACCCCAAGGGTGCTCCTACCACTGGAAAGTACCATTTCGAATGGAAGAGAGCTTGAGAAACCTGGCAAAGGCAGTAGCTGAGATTGAAACGACCGAGTATGTACCAAAAATAATGACATGACATGATATAATATGAGCAACTCCACAGCTTTCGATGGCAAGATATCCACACTTTCGGTGCAAGACGTTCTTGTGATACCTAACAGAAGTTGTTAGTTGTTGGTCTGACTGAATGTATGAAATGAAGTGCAGAGATAGAGGTGAATTTCAGATTCCCGATTATAAGCAGCGACGAAGGTATATGTCGATACCAGCGTACCTTTTCCGGCTCTTCCTAAAGATGTATGGGTAAAGAATAACTCATCATTGTAGAGGTGTGTATGTGGTATGCTAGAAGCAAGAAAAATTCGGCAAACTTACATTAGCGACAGCCCAGATGACCATGTCAGACTGTGATCATGGCCGTCTGGCATGCATTTCAGCGCATGTTGCAGAGGTGGGAGAGAAAGGTCGTGGAAGAAAATTTGGGACATGAATGCCGTAGGGCTGAAGGCGGTCGGGAAACCGGTCAATGCTCATGCCGAGCGGCTGCGGACGTGAGGTGACGATCACGGATGCTCTTGATTATCAACCAGGAGAGAGTCTGAAGAAGCCACCTCTCAAATTAACGCCGCATTGCTCGAGATATCGTGTCTTTCTTGGCCTTGTTTGTATATAGCCTGCTTGCACGTTCCTGTTGCATACGCCTCTTCTTTGTTCTCACCTTCCGCAGCCGTAATTCTTTGAAAGTGCCAACGGCCAAGAATGCGCTGATCGCCCTCGATTGACCACTTTGGTATGCGAATGTCACAAAATATTCTCCAACATTGCCTCCTTGCTAAGTCGAATCAAGTAGAATATAGTACAGCACAATGCGAACGTCAGTCACCAGTTCCTTCTTTCTAGCAGTCTTTGCACTGCTAGGCTCGTCACATGCTGCATCCTCGAATCCAGCAATCTGTCCTGTAAGCCGCCTCCTGCGATTCTCGCTTCCTCAGCGNAAAGCATGACCTGACGCAAACTCTCAGGTCGAACCTGGTGCCACAGTATCCGATGCTTGCGCATCATACGCCGACCTCGACAACCTCAACACCCGTCTGAATCCCGCCCTCCACGACCTCGTGTTCAAGACCGATTTCTTCTCCTACTACCGCTTGAACCTTTACAACAAGAAGTGCCCTTTCTGGTCAGATGACGAAGGTCTCTGCGGCAACATTGCCTGCGCTGTCACGACGCTCGAGAACGAAGAAGATATTCCGGAGATCTGGAGAGCTGAAGAACTCAGTAGACTGGAAGGCCCCAAAGCACACCACCCTGGCAAGAAAGAGCAGAGAGAACTAGAGAGACCACTACAAGGAGAGCTCGGCGAGAACGTTGGCGAAAGCTGTGTCGTCGAATACGACGACGAGTGCGACGAAAGAGACTACTGCGTGCCTGAAGATGAGAGCGCGAGTGCAAAAGGCGACTATGTTAGTTTGCTCGACAACCCAGAACGATTCACCGGATATGCTGGCGAAGGCGCTCACCAAATCTGGGAGGCCATCTATCGCGAGAACTGTTTCTCCAAGCCGAGTGCGAACGCACAGAGCCAAGGTGCTGGTGGTCTGGCTCCGCCTTTCGGTGGCTTCTCAGGTATGCAAGGCCAAGCTGCACAAGACCTCAAATCTGTCATGAAAGAGCATGGCCGCCAAGAAGCCTCGCTGGAAGGCAAGTTTGAGGACAACATGGAGTTTGATGATGAGTGCCTTGAGAAGCGCGTCTTCTACCGAGTCATCTCTGGAATGCACGCCTCCATCTCAACCCATCTGTGTCACGACTACCTCAACCAATCCACTGGCAAATGGGGTCCCAATCTGCAGTGCTACAAGCAGCGCCTTCACACTCACCCAGAGCGCATCTCGAATCTGTACTTCAACTACGCTCTCATGGCCAGAGCTGCTGGCAAGCTCAAGGATTACGTCCAAGACTACACTTTCTGTACTGGCGACCCAAAGCAGGATAAGCGTACAAAGGACATGGCCTTGAAGGTTGCCAACACCATACCCGCCGGCCCCGAGATCTTCGACGAGAGTGTCATGTTCCAGGAGAACCCACTTGGCGATACCGGCATTAGCCTCAAAGAGGACTTCCGCAACCGCTTCCGCAATGTTAGTCGCATCATGGACTGCGTTGGCTGCGACAAATGCAGGCTCTGGGGCAAGCTCCAGACTGCAGGTTATGGCACAGCTCTGAAGATCCTGTTCGAGTTCAACAACGACCAGCCTGCTCCAGCGCTCAGAAGAACCGAGCTGGTTGCCTTCTTCAACACTTTGGACAAGGTCAGTAATGCCATCAAGGCGCTTGGTGACTTCCAGCGCATGTTGGCCGAAGANAAAGGAATTCCAGCCCCAGAAGCTATTATCGAGAAGAAGCAGCAAAAGCAAGAGGTTGCTGAGGAAGACGAACTCGACGACGATGATGCTTGGGAGAGGTCCAAGCCGCCACCACTTACTGAATGGCAAAAGACCAAGGCGGAGGTCTATCTGGTATGGTCGGTCACCAAGTTTGTCCTGAAGAGCTGGATTGAGATCCCTCAAACACTGTAAGTTGTCTTGTGTGTTCACTATGAGAACGTCACTAATTTGTCCATCAGTTTCATCATCCTCATCACAGAGCTAGCCAGATTGTGGCAACGTTGGCTGGGTCTTGAGATCACACCACGTTCATGGGAGTTCCGCCTGCCCACTACAGATGAGCTATAGAAAGTATCATCAATATGAAAAGGGTCACGTCGGTGGTGTTTCAGCATATGCATGTCAGTTCATCATAGCGTTGGCGTTTACGGAAATGGTTTGCGAGATTCTTTGGAAGAGTTCGGGATGCATAGATGTGCCGAGCGGTTGTTATCACTATCTAGGTAGAAGAATATCGAAGAGGGTGCCTATCGATACAGATCTGCGGCCGAACGGTGCGTTACCTTACTTGCTCGAGCGAAGATACAGCAAGGAACAATCCGAGCAAGGTTGAGGAGCTTGCGATGTGCCTGTGTCTCTGGCTCGCTCGGCTCGGTCCTCGATTGTCATCCTCCTTGTCAAATACTTCGTTGCGCGTGGACAGCCCCTGACAACGTCCTTTCCCTCTACACCGCTCCGCATAGCCGACCAAGTTCAAGGACGAGAGCCTCGCAACGTCTATGCAGACACTGACAGTATATATAGTTTTATGAGCTCCTTACAATTCGGTTGCATTGCGCATCAGACTGGATCATCCGTCCGTGCTGGTTGACGCAAAATCTGCATCCAGAGATGGATTGAGTAGTAACCATGGCAGGTGATTGTTTCATGCCCTGGCACGTGGAAACATAGATTGGACTCGCTGTTTTGGGGTGACCGGATGGCTGCGTTTCATCTTTGAGCAAGCCAATATGAGATGGGCGAGTCGCGTAGCGTGATCGATGGGTGTTGTACACATGTTGTGTAGCACGGCATATTTCTGCCAGAAGACGCGCCGTCCGCGTGCTCTCTCGCTCGAGTCTCTAGTAGCGCCAGCGGGGTTAGTACGTGGTACTTTGACGGTTCACCAAAACCACCGAGGTTCTAAACGGTCACCTCCCTAACAGTTGGGCGGTTGTGGTGGAGTTTTGGCAAGCATCCGGCGGCCGTTGAAGACCCATGGCCCACTCATGGCACGATCGTTAAAGCCACGCTCTTGTGAGTCGAGTGAAACCATGGCTTGATTAGGGTTGGACTCGCCTAAGCGTCCCGTCAAAGACAACTTTGCGATGCGCTAACGAACGTCGACGCGGAGAAGATAGGAGAGGTGAGCCAATCATGCAGCCGTGCCTTAAGACAAGCGGGTTGAATAGCGTGCGTGGTGAACCTTTTGTCGAGTGTCTGGAACTCTGCCCTGCACGATTTTCACACTTGCAGCCTTCCCGATTCGTTGGCGCCCGCCAGAAAGTAGGTGCAGGAGGGTACATTCAAAACGAAGGAGGTGCCACCCCAAGAGAACTTCTCTTGCTCTTTTCTCAAGACACCACCTGTTTCTCCAAGTCATTCCTTGTCACCCCTTGAGCGCCAATCCGTCTCAGGACGTCGCGCTTTACCCACCTGGCTATCGCTTCCTCTCATTTGGGCGATCAAGTCAGAACCATTCATTCTCTTACCCATTAACCGCAAGGACTGTGTCCCGGTTAGCCTTCATTCTTTCACAAAGCCATCTTCGACCTCTTTTCGAGACACCAACAGGCTGTGACATTTTCTGCAAGACGGGAAACTGACAAGACACTCTGATCACACGCTCTACAGCACACACCTCAAGTGAACAATATCTTGTGATCGCCTCGGTTACACGTGTGAGACCTGCTACCAAGTGACACTTTCACTCTCACACCCGGAGCTTCTCTCTCTTTCAAAAAGTACTTTTGGTCTTTGACAGTCCCCCACCACTGCTATCAGCAAACATGTCGCTTGTCCGTGCTTTCACCACCAGACGGGCTGCCCGCAAGAACTCGGACCTGGATCGTTCTGCCAGTCAGCGCGTCCAGCGTCCCAAGATTTCCGGTCCTATCGAGTTGATCTCGACGACAAATACCCTGGCATACGAGGCCCCTGACATCTTCGGAACCAATCCCATCGCCCACAAGGCAGGAGTCCTTACAACCTCATCTAGCTCCAACAGCCTGAGCTCGATCGAGTACAGCGACTCTAGCAGCATCGGTCACCGCTCTGGAGGAACCTTCACAGACGCTTCTTCTTTCGACGAGTCGCCTTTGTCCCCAGAAATTAACCACCTCAGCTGCTACTTCAAGCCTTCCGTCTACGATGAGCCTCCGCAGCACAACCACAACCGCGACCTTTCTGTCAGCTCATTCCTTCCCTCTGGTGCCACCCCTGTCCTTCCTCAACGCGCACCCTCGCACAGCAAGCACGCCCACCAGTTGAGCCACAAGCGATCAGTCTCCCGCGAATTGAGCCACAAGCAGTCAGTCTCTCGTGACTTAAGCCACAAGCGCTCGATCTCGCGCAACCCTCCTTCTTTCCCTGAGGATATCATCACCACCAGAGACTCGACCGATTTCTTCCGTGCTTCTGGTCCTGTTTCACCTCACCCCTTCGGCAAGGAGCTCGAGCAGCTCAACGAAATCGCCGAGGAGTTTGGCAGCACAGTTCGCGATGTCGAGGCCGACGCAGACCGTGTCTTCATGGACGCCCATGGCCTGGATCACTTCTCTGCCACCGACTACATGATGGAGATTGCAGACATGCTCAACGTCATTTTCGAAGATGAACCTACACCGTACGAGGAGGCTGGATTTTTCTAGATTGCTGCCCACAATGTCAAGCACGGTCGCAAGGCTGGTAACTTGCGGGACCATGGCATGATCTATCCTCCCTTGAATGAGGACACTCCGATACGACCCTTCACTTCTTGTCGATTTCACGTCTGACTCTTCTTTACTTCTTACTCTCTTTTGTTCACGTTACCATGGAAGACTGGGGCCTTGATGTATTACTGGCGTTGGGATATGGATTTTCCCAAAAAGGGCTATGATGATACGAAATACTCGGGCAGTCTTCTTGGGAGAGGGCAATACCTTCGTCCCGTTCACTCTTTATTTTCTTTATTTTATGACCAAAATCTAGGCCGTACAGCACTCTGGGAAAGGTGGTGCGGTGTCTTTTATGTAGCTAGACGTAGCAAATGCACTTCTAAGCTCATTTACTTATCTCCTGTTTCAATGTTATTCTGTGCATGTCGACCGTGACAAGCAGTCCAAGATACATCGTCTACAGTTGAGACCATTACGTCTGGCAGCAAATCACCTGAGAGTGAGATAGCCAATTCCGGCCTCTGCTTCTCGACAGTGGACTGATTCAGACGAGTCAATTTCTGCCCCAGGCTACAAATCCACCCACGGTAATTAGCACGCACGGAGATTTTTCCGTGCAAGCCGACACTATTGACGCCAGTGCTTTAAGCAAAAAGTGGCATACCCACGTTTCTGACAGCAACTGAAAGAGGGTTGACAGGATGTCAGGTGTAGTCAAATGGGAGGGATTGAGCGGTCAAGAGCGAGTCGTGGCGGTCAAGAGGCCAGGTATACAGTAGAGCAGACTTAGCCGGTGGCAGTCAAGGCATCGAGATACAGTATAGACTAGTTCGAAACCCCAGACACAAAAACAAGGCAACTAGTAGCATGGCTACAGCAATGCCGGACGAGATGAGATGGAGTGCATCAAGAGCCCCATCCAGTGCCAGTAGACGTTGGCTGGTTGATCGACCGACAGAGATTTTGTACTTTGCAAGATGATAAGATAGAACTGTCTCAAGATAGGTAGCGGCTAAGGAGATGTTATACAGAATAGCCTATCTGTTTGGATAGACGGAGCTGGTGCGTGGAGGCGGAAGGTTTAAGAGTGGTGATGCGACGGAAGGAGCCGAGGCGGGATTAAGGGCTTTGCGGATGATTAGACCAAGCAAGAGTGGGACCTTCTTGCAAAAGGCGAAGTGTGGACATCAACAAACAACAACAATACTTTTTCTCCCACCACTTCCCCTCCTGGCCAAATCTCCGTCTACCGTGCTCTCGCATCTCGTCATCATTCCCAGATTCATCCTTCAAAAGCGCTATTGAACTCAGCTCAATCACGTCGCTTTTGTTGCTCGCTGTCGCCCCTCCAAGCCATTGTTGCGTCAGATTTCCTTGCCCCACTCGACCGTCGTGGTTAGATACCAACACCGGCGCATTCGACAGCGCATCTCTTACACAGCAACTTTCACCACCAGCATCGCTCCAGCTCCACGTCTGTCTTCGAGAAACATTGCGAATCAGGGGCTCCACTACAGTCACCGCTTGTCTCTCACGCGACATCCTCTTCAGCTCTTGATCAGCCCACCCTTCCGCCTTCCACTTTCAACCGCACCAAATCCTCACAATGGCCAACATGGACATTGACGCTACGCGCCGCAACAAGAAGCCGCGCCCTTTGAGCGACTCTGAGCGCGAGCGCCTGGACGAGTTCATCGAGAGCATCCACTACTCGTCGAGGTGAGAAGATCTCACATCCGCTTTCATCACCAATGCTGATTGGCGCAGATATTCCGACGACCACTTCGAGTACAGACACGTGCAGCTGCCCAAGCAGATGCTGAAGGCGATACCAAAGGAATACTTTGACGGTTCGCGAGGCACTCTCAAGCTTTTGTGGGAGGACGAGTGGAGAGCATTGGGCATTACCCAGGTATGTTGCTATTCGAACCACAACACTAGAACGAGAGACTGACCCGAATCGCAGAGTCTGGGATGGGAACACTACGAGGTCCACGAGCCCGAGCCGCACATTCTGCTCTTCAAGTGAGTCTCGATCCCTGGCGCCCAACAAGAATCAACAAGCTGACAGAAACTCAGGCGCCCCATCAACTACCAACCTCCAGTGCACTAGGAGTCACTGCCCACGATGAAGACGACGGTGATGACTTCCATGATGCTCGACTGCAATTAGACCTTGTCTCCTTCAAATTTCTGATCGAATCGCAATTCAAGCCACGACTCCGTCAGAGCGATCCACGTACTCAACCCTCTCCACAACCACAGAGCACCGCTGGAGCTTGAAACACAAATTCAAAAATATCAAATACAGCTTTCCTTGTTCCTTACTTCCTCCAGAATCGAGCGCCAGACACTGGGGCGAAGACAAAACACAGTTTCACACATCAATGTCACCGAACAATCACATGCTTTCTCACGGCCTTGTCCGAATTACGGGACTTTGCCTTGCGTTTCTCTGATCTTCGACGAAAATGCAGCTCGGTCTCTCAAGCGACGGATGACGGGTACCTCGTTGTTTCCAAGCTCTGTTTCTATTTGCACACTGCACGGCGTTCTCTCCTTCTTCGTTTTTCTCTGTTTTGGGACAGGGGTGTTGCATTTGTTGGGTTTCGTGTCTTTGCCAGCCCGCTTTACAGGCCATGCGAAGATACTCGGCGAGCAGGGAGCAAGGGTCATTTTTCCAGCGACTGGACAGCTTTTTGCTTTTTCCTTCTTCTTTTCTTTTTCCCTTGTACAAATGGGGCTTTCCAACCGAGTATTGTACTTAGCTTGAGGAGAGATGGAAGTGAAAATGAAAACATGTCAATTCAGAGTTTTCCTAGCATGATGTGAAGCGAGCCTCAAAGTCAACGTCCATGAGCGTTGCAAACTTGCTAACGAGACTCTATAAACATTGTACTGAGTACTCCATTTCTAAAAGCACTGCATCTTGCGACTATCGTAAGCTTCTACTACCGGCATGACAAGTTGTGTCATTCCAAGATAGATGAACCTACCGGAGCATAGAAGCAGTGATAGACAATATACGACATGCGTCTATTCTAGACTCACTCTAGAGGTTTACGGAGAACCTCCATCATCTACTTCAACTAAACACACCACCCCTTTTCCTAGAGTGCGGTTGCGTACTTCCAATCGGCAGAGCCGTAACAGTCTGACCTATGCGGATCTTGACTGCATCAAAAGACACAATCATGTTCTCGCAGAGCTTTCTAAGGATGGAGTCCACAGCTGGTTGCAACTTTAGGTTGTCGTCTTCCAAATTACGGTCTGGCGATGGCAGAGACCAGCCAATACTGATGTGGAAGTAGGGCGAGAAGTCGTGGCTTCCCGCTTGGCGTTTGAGCTTTGTGTAGAGTTGGGGTTGGTTGTACTGGAGGGCGGCCTTGTTGCTGGCTTGAAGGAGTTGGTTTAGCAGGGTTAGAGCGCTGGTGTCTTGGGATTGCTGGGTGTCTTGGACGCGGAGTACCAGAAAGTAGCGGCTGTTATCGTCGTTGCCGTGCCATGATAGTGACGCAGGTCGTACTGCGATTGGATGTCGCAGTGACCGGATCATTGGAGTTATGCCTTCTGTGATGGTATCCAGGAAAGCATCTTTGTTTTCAGTGCGCAATACTAGAGGTGCACTAAGAGAGATGTGCAAAGGCAAGGGCACTTGGAGTGGTGTTTGCAGTAGAGAACGCACATTTGACGATTCTGGCAAGGCTTTGAGGAGTTTGTTCAGTGTGTCATGTTCAGCAGGTGATGGGAGCCCTGCGAAGGAGGCTGTGTAAGTCCGGTTGAGCGCTACCCAATCACTACAAAACTGCAACGTACATTCGAGATAGACATGGGTGGGCCAATTTCCCTCGACATGCTTGACGACGCGTTTGCGGCCGTGGTGCAAAGACGGATCGTCAGTGTTGCTGACGCGGACGCTGGACGAATAGAGATTTAAAAAGGACGCTGGCAGTGGTGGGAGGTCGTCTTTGTGGTCTGCCTCGTTCTTGGGTCGCTTGGCCACGGGCTCGTCGTCCTCTTCGGAATCCGAGTAGGAGACTAGTGTCATTCTCTGCACTATCGACGGATCGATAGCTACCGAGAGGTGGAAGTCGGCGGATGTCGAGTGCCTGGAGAAAGAATGACATGTGCGAGTGCGTGCGCGGCTATGACGCACCTTCCCAAAAAGTGAGTGATGCGGACTATCAGAGCCGACGAGGGAGGTGCGGCCCAAGAAGGATCATCCTATTTTTAAACTGCTGTACCTGCGCCGTCCTGCTGACCTTCCCTTCCTCTCATCTTGCTTGTTGCTTCTTGCTTGTGCATTGCGACAGTTGACCATACCAACATCAGAAACCAAATTGAATCATGTCAGGTGTCAGCGCCAAAGAGGTATGATCCGAGCTCGCTGTTTTCGTATCAGCCTGAACCCCGCTCACACTCCATGTCCAGGCTCAGGCCTACCTCATCGANCCCCTCAATGCTCCGGAGCCATCACAAGAGACTGGCCCGGGTACGCACTTTTACCCTCCTGGGGCCTCGGCCACCAAGACTGCATCATCTACAGCATCGCCCTCTCCTCCAGCATCCTCCAAGAACCCTTTCCGTGACTCTATGAGCGGAAAGGGTGGTGTCTAGACACATGTGCGCCATTCCAGCAGAAGCTCGACCGGCAGCAACTCCAAATTTCCAGACTATCAAGAGGGCCCTTCTTCTTCCCACCGTCGCAACTTCAGCGGTGACCATCTCATGGGCGAGCCATCTGGCAGCCGCCCTCGTAGAACCAGCTCGCTTAGTCAACGCTACGCTGGAGACATGTCCAACCAGCCTCTAAACATGCTTAGAAAGGATAGTAAGAAGGCCTACCGCGCTCCTCACCTCAACAAGCGTCACATTCCCGGTGCTGACACGATCGACCGCCTCGACCCAACCCCCAACAAGCTTCCCTACCATCACGAGGGCCCCTATGATGCTGCTCTGCTAGCCCGTAACATCAGCTACAAATCCAGCCCTATCGCCGCCTTGGAGGACTCTAACAGAGAAGCACTGAAGGCCACACCTGCTGAGAAGATCAAGGATGCTCTCGAGAAACACAAGCCTCTCGATGGCGTTGCTGTCGTTCCNCCTGGCCAACGTGACCAGCTTGGGCGTGTCTACAACTACGAGGAGGGAACTGACATGATGCGTGAGGGTAACCCTGAGGGTGGTGCTTACAAGCAATGGCCTGGAGAAGTAGGTTTCGTGTATAACATTGCATTATCATCATTTACTGACCGCTTTACANNGGAATATAGCAAAGACGATCTCGAAGGCAAGGGTGAACCTGCATACNNTCTCGACCGTGCCCTCAAGGCTCACACCATCCACGAGCGTGACTTTGACGGTCAGCGTGGCATCGAGTTGTCAGACCGTCCGCTTATGAGCGACTACGACAAGATGAAGGACAGAAAGAAGCTCGACGACCGTGATCCTGTCGAGATTGCTGGCGGAGAATCTCGCTACGCTGACCTCACAATGGCGGCCGACACTGATGCCCACATGAACCGAACAAGCAGCTTGCGCAAGGCAGGCGAAGGTCTCAAGAAGAGACTGAGCTTGAGAAGAAGAAAGCAGGAAGACTAAGCTCTCTTGTAACTCTGAGATTTCTTTTGTTATTTCTTTTCTCATTTTCATAAGCGATAGATTGTACATCATCAGGATGATTACGCATGGACGAAACGGAGAGTCGGACTGGGAACGGCCTTGATGGCCTTAATAGATTGTACGATACGACAAGATGTTAGGACTTGTATGAATAAAATATTATATACTGAAATTGTCGACTTGTCTGGTGAAGCTTGTAGGTCTAACCAGAAGAGCAGCTGGACCATATCAGCTTTCTCGACTCACTTTGGGCCTGTTCCTGTCAGCTTGCACACTTTCGTTAGTGGAAGATATTTGGATCAGACAAGTCGACAGTGTGTCGCGAACCGCGTGTCAATACAGTATCCAATCTGATTTTTAGAGATGCTTCGATCCAAATCAAGAATATAATGTAGTTACTTCCTACAGCACACCAACGACACATAATACGTATCGTAGCCTGCTTAAGAATCCAAGAACCTATCCAGGATATTCTGAGTGTACCTCTATGATTAGGGAAAGCTCAACGTCGTCGATATTTTTCAAATATGCTTGTTGGGGTGCGACCCTGTCGCTATCAAACTCGAAGCTTGAAGACTCACTCATAGGTTCTTCTCGTATCAAATTGTCAGAACGAGACTTAATATCAGGATGAGTGTTCCAATGGAAATCACTGGCAGTTTTATGAAGGGGTTGCAATATATCGGTCATGATATTCTAACAGGGACACGCTTTTCGAACACATTACTCCGACATACTCTCCCAGCCACGCTCGTCGGCACCAGCTTCATCCTCATTCTCCTCCTCGTCCTCATCACTGTCACTCACCTCCTCGTCATTGGCAACAGCAACGAGTCTCTCCTTGACCTCTGTTGCGTCAATGCCCTTGACACGGCCAGCAAAGGCCTCACGCACGGCTCTGTTGGTGCTGGTATCCCAGACCTGGACAGCACCCTTTGATCCGGCAACAGCAAGACGGAACGCGACTGCTTCGTCAGGGGCAAAGTTTGTAGAGAAGACGCGGCCGACGCCGAGGTCGCGCGAGACAACCATGGAGGGTTGATTGGTGGCTTGATCGACGTTCCAGAGCTTGACTGTGCGATCGGTGGATGCGGTGGCAATGAAACCAGGCACAGTGGGGTTAAGTGCAAACGACGACAGCGACGACTCGTGGGCTTGCAGGCGCCAGATGGCCTGTGTCTTTTCGGGGGTGGTGGGAGCATTGCGGGCGTCAAAGGCATACAGGATACCGCTTTCCGTCGACACGTAAAAGACGTGCTCGTTGTGGGNGTCCCAGCGGACTTGCTCGACGTCCGAATCGACGCCCCAGCGCTTGGGCTTGGTGCCCTCTGCGGCGCGCAGGTCGGCGGCACACACGGTGCGGTCGTAGGAGCCGGTCAGGAGGATGGTCGAGTGGGCTTCGTGGGGGTGGAAGTGCAGGGCGCAGACCTTGTCGGTGTGGAAGTCGTTGTACGACTTTGCGCACTGCTGGGTGCTGAGGTCCCAGAGCTTGACGGTGGTGTCGGCCGAGGCCGAGGCCAGCAGGTTGCGGTGGAAGCGGTTGGCCGACAGGGCGAGCACCGAGTCGATGTGGTATTTGTCGTTGATTTGCTTGCTCTTTCTCTTCTTCTTTTTCTTCTGGCCGGGCATGGTCGGTGCTGCCGAGATCTCTGCGGTTCCTTGACCAAGGACGGCGTTGGGGTACATGCAGTCGACAGTGTCAAGGTCCCAAATCTCGATGTCCGGGTCCATAGTACCGACAGCGACGAAGTTTGCCTNTTGACCCTCGGGAACAGGCTCGCCAGGCTTGGAGATGGGCATGTTGATCCATTCGACGGCCAGCGGAATGGCGGGCAGCATGATGTCGTGGTGAACGTACAGGTTGTCGGCATCGTCCTCGTAGACGTAGCACTCGAGATGGGCGACCTCGTCCTCGATGCGGGCGGCCAGCAGCATGTTGTCGGTGGGCAAGATCTGCATCTCCTCGCGCTCCTCGTCGTCCGACTCCTCGCCCTCCTTGAGTGTGATGTAGGGGTCCTCGGCGTTGGAGCCGTGGTATGCCAGGTTGCGTACGTTTCCGAACATGCTCAAGGTGCCGTCGCCTTCTCCGTCCTCGTTCTCGGCGGCGTCATCGTTGTCGTAGTTTTCGAGATCGTACTCCTTCAAGTCGTCGTCCTGGAGGTCGATGTCCTGTGTCGCGGCGCCGGTCGCATGTGTCTCGTCGTCATCGTCGTCGTCGCTCTCATCCTTCTTGGCAACCTTCTCTCCAGTCAACTCGGCCTGAGCCTCAGCAAGGTCGTCCTTTGCGTCGTCGAGTTCCAGCTTGGCCAGCTTGGAGATGCGCTCAAACTCCTCCTCGTCGAATGTGTATTTCGTCGGGAAGGGCGCCGCAAAGCCTCGCGGCACCCACGTTGTTGCTGTGATCATAGACATGTTGTGCGTGTTATGTCTGAATGGTCTAAGAAAAATGCACCCTGCTCAGGAAACTTTGATAATTTTCGAGGCGCGAATAAATGCGGGGAAACCTCGCGCCGGAAGTGCCAAGTGCTTCGCCGCAAGTCGATACAGAACGCTCACCAGTACCTGCTGTTTCCAGAAATGCACGGCTCTTTTGGACATCAAGGATCGTTCGAGACAGCAACGTTTGTTGAGATCCCTTCACAAGATATCGGGCTAGAGCGTAGCTTCATGCCTTGCTATAGTAGCCTGAGACACACTGGAGCGGAGCAGAAAGCACTTCTAGAACGTTCTATATTGATAATGCCATCTGTTCGGTAGTGTTTCGTGCCATCGCGTCACAGCAACTCGTCTTTTGTGCCGAACTAGTCAAGCATACCTCGCGACTCGACAAATGTCTTCGTTCAAACGCCGCAAGCTAGACAATGACGGAGATGCCGAAGATGATGGTCATTTCGCCATAAGACCCTCAAAACACAACTCCTCTCACCAACGAGATGGACCGCGCCAGGGACAGTCGCAAGGCGCAAAGCCGCGCCAGCAAGAATTCGATGGCCCTGAGCCCGGTGTTGACGCCCAGGACCAAACTGCTCTGGATCGCGACTGGTACTTAGGCGACGAAGGCGGTGCCACTCTCGGCGACGACTCACACAACCCATTCGGAGATGACGCCACTTGGGAGGACCAGCAGCGCGAGGCCGCTCTCCTGGAGAAGAAGATGGCTGTACGTGCTCGCGGAAACCCACGCGCAATGCAGAGGCAACGCGAAAACGATGCCTGGGAGACCAATCGCATGCTCACATCTGGTGTCGCACAACGAAGAGAGCTGGACACTGGCTTCGAGGACGACGAAGACGGCACCAGAGTCCACTTGCTGGTCCACGACCTGAAACCACCCTTTCTCGATGGTAAGACTGTCTTTACAAAGCAACTAGAACCAGTATCGGCTGTCAGAGATCCGCAAAGCGATATGGCCGTATTTAGTCGCAAGGGCAGTAAAGTCGTGAGCGAAAGACGTCAGCAGAAAGAACGAGCAAAGGCTGCTCAGGAAGCCACAAAGGTTGCCGGCACCGCCTTGGGGAATGTGATGGGCGTCAAAGAGGAGGACACCGACAGTGCTGCTCCAGTGCCTGCTGGCCAGGAAGAAAAAGGAGGCAGCAAGTTTGCAGAACACATGAAGAAACAGAGTGAGGGCCAAAGTGCCTTTAGCAGAAGCAAAACGCTCAAGGAGCAGCGCGAGTACCTGCCCGCATTCGCTGTTCGAGAGGAGCTGCTCCGTGTCATTCGTGACAACCAAGTCATTATCGTCGTTGGACAGACTGGCTCAGGAAAGACCACTCAATTGACCCAGTTCCTCTACGAGGATGGCTACGCGAAACACGGCTTGATTGGTTGTACTCAGCCACGCCGTGTCGCCGCCATGAGTGTCGCCAAACGTGTTGCCGAAGAGATGGAGGTTAAATTGGGCGGTCTAGTCGGTTACGCCATCCGATTCGAGGATTGTACCAGCAAGGAAACTTCTATCAAGTACATGACGGATGGTGTCTTGTTGCGCGAATCTCTTGTGGAAGCCGACCTCGACAAATACTCGTGTATCATCATGGACGAGGCCCACGAGAGAGCATTGAATACCGACGTTCTGATGGGCCTCATCAAGAAGGTGCTTGCTCGCAGGCGAGACCTCAAGCTGATCGTCACATCGGCCACGATGAATGCTGACCGCTTCTCGCGATTCTATGGCGGCGCCCCTGAATTTTTCATCCCTGGACGTACATTTCCGGTCGATATCCAGTACTCAAGAAGCCCCTGTGAGGACTACGTAGATAGTGCTGTCAGGCAGGTCCTTGCCATCCACGTTTCCCAAGGTCCGGGAGACATTCTTGTTTTCATGACTGGTCAGGAGGATATTGAGTGCACATGCGAGCTGATTGACGAACGTCTAAAACAGCTCAATGATCCGCCAAAGCTATCCATCCTTCCCATCTACAGTCAAATGCCTGCCGATCTGCAAGCAAAAATCTTCGATCGCGCTGCTCCTGGTGTCCGCAAAGTCATTGTTGCCACCAACATCGCTGAGACGTCACTGACTGTCGATGGTATCATGTATGTTGTCGACTCTGGTTTCAGCAAGCTCAAGGTGTACAACCCTCGTATGGGTATGGACACGCTACAAATCACGCCCATCTCACAAGCAAACGCATCGCAAAGAGCAGGACGTGCTGGAAGAACAGGTCCAGGAAAAGCTTTCCACTTGTACACCGAGCGCGCTTTCCGCGACGAATTCTACATCCAAACCATTCCTGAGATCCAGCGTACCAATTTGGCGAACACCGTTCTCCTTCTGAAATCGCTTGGTGTTAGGGATCTACTAGATTTCGACTTCATGGATCCTCCTCCGCAAGAAACAATTTCGACTTCACTATTCGACCTCTGGGCGCTGGGTGCTCTGGACAACTTGGGTGATCTCACAGAGCTCGGCAGACAGATGACTTCCTTCCCAATGGATCCCTCGATGGCCAAGCTTGTCATAACCTCGTGCGAATACGGTTGTAGCGAGGAGATCTTGACGATTGTGTCGATGCTTTCGGTACCCTCTGTGTTCTACCGACCAAAAGAGCGTATGGAGGAGGCCGATGCCGCACGTGAAAAGTTCTTTGATTCGTCCTCCGACCACTTGACGCTGTTACATGTATATCAACAATGGTCTGCCAATGGAAGACGCGATGGATGGTGTGTAACGCATTTCCTGCACCCTAAGGCTCTGCGCAGAGCCGAGGAGATTCGCAACCAGATCCGCGATATCATGGTCAGCAACAAGATGCAGCTGGTGAGCTGCGGCTATGATATGGAGATTGTACGACTCTGTATTTGCTCGGGCTACTACCATCAAGCCGCTAAGCGCAAGGGTTTGGGCGAGTACCTCAACTTGCGCACCTCTGTGTCGATGCAGCTACATCCTACATCTGCGCTATACAATTCTGGCGACCCACCGGACTATGTTATCTACCATGAACTCATCCTTACATCTAAGGAGTACATGTCGTGCGTGACTGCTGTCGATGCGACCTGGCTGGCTGATCTAGGAGCGGTTTTCTACTCTGTCAAGCAAAAAGGCTACAATACCAAGCTTAAGCGTACCACTGAGCAGGAGTTCAACAAGAAGGTCGAGATTGAACAGCAAATGGCCGTAGATAGACAGAAAGCAGCGGCTAGGGCCAAAGAAGAGGAAGAGAAGAAAGTACGGAAACCTACCGTCAAAAGGTCAGCGCTGTCGGCGCGGTCAGAAAGCCCATCGTACCTAAGCGAAGAGGCTTCTAAGATTGCTAGATAGAATTGATATAGTAAGCGGTTCCTAGGCGCTTTGAAGACCAGAAAAAACCAACATGCAACCATCCGTGCTATTCCAAGCGCAATCCTTACTCCTATCCAAGTCAGGCGCGCGCCTATATATCCATATGCTAAATTGGTATCTGTTGGCTTACCTTGCCTAAACACTATCTTTCTGAATGTGAGAGATTGTCTACAGATATGCTCTCCATGTACTGACTGGGCGACGATACTCCGTTGTGTCTAGATGCAAGTACGTTGTTGTTTATCAGAGTGGTTGGCGAAGCAATATAAATTTATCTCTGGAGTAGCCAGCTAGCCACCAGCGCCCACGCAAGCCAGCCGCTCGGCACAGCCACGGGAAGGAGATGGAAAGCGCGTGGCGCCCGCAACATACGTAACGGTCGTAAATACCAAAAGCCAAATCGACCAGCAAGAGCGGCCTCCTTGTTTGCTCTTGCTTCCGTCTCTCCTCCTTGCTTTCTAGAAATCATCGCAAAACCCCTTTCGCACCTCTCCCGGAAGCAACTGCTGGTGTCTCGCCACTGCCGCCCCTGCGCTTATATTGAGGCTACTCCAACTCCGCAATTCAAGAAAGTGTCAACCTGCTGTCAAAGCAAATTCCTGGGGCAACACGACATTCGACCCGAAGGCAACGCATTGAGCATTTGTTTTTCAAGCATCTTCCACGCTCGTTCGAAATACAGCTCCCTAGATTTTACTTCAACATCGTTCGCTTAGTACGCGCTGTTACCTATGGCACCTTCGCCGCTCCTTGTCAAGCGCAGCTGCAACTACTATGAGGATCCTAACTGTACGGATGACTCCAGTTGGTGGTGGAGCAGTGTATGTTTTTTCGCAAAGGACTTCTCTGAGATCAAAAGAAGACGGACTGACCGTATTTGTTCATAGGATGGCTATGGAGTTCGCTATGCAATCATCGCTCTAATCTTCATCGGCATCGCTCTGCTGCTCTTCGGCTCCTACTTCCACGCCCAGCGCAGAATCCGCAAAGGTCTGCAGCCCCTCGCCTATCACCGCTGGCTCGTCTCTCGTCGCCGCTACAGAGCTACACCATACCCGCAGAACAACTACACCTACTACCAGCAAGACCCTGCCTACCCGCCTCAGCAAGGTTATCCGATGCAGAACATGGGCGGCGCATACCACGGACCTGCTGAATTTCAGCCGCCACCACCTGCATACGGCAACTGGGAGGCACCGCCAGTTTACCAGCCTCCTCAGGGTGCGAGCAAGGTTGCTGCCAACCAGAACACTCAGCCTGCCAGAAACGACGTCGCTGGCGAGGGAAGCAGCGCTTCGTTACCGCTCAACAACGCTCAGAACAACAACACTAATCAGCACACCCAGTAAGAAACTGGCAGTTTATGCTGGCTCGACTCCGAATTGATACGAAAGAGATACCCGGTTTCCTTTTCCCTTTGATCGTCCTCCTGTTTTTCCTTTGCTCTTTTCCGATAGCGGCGCTCTGATAGAGATTTTGGCGTTTTCCCTCAGCATGGTGATGGAGGCGTTTTTGTTGCATGGGTCCGGTCCTTTCAGCGTTTTGAAAGCATAATGTATCCACGATTCCAGAGAGCATACGCAATGGAGAAAATCAATATGCGTTTCATCATAATCATAAACCTCTTCCCTCTTTCTCTACTCGCAAGTGCTCAACATTTTCTTTATGACGCCAACCAGAGTGCCGTTCTCCATGGCAGCAGCAACACGCTCCTTGTCGCCCAATTGCTTGTTTGTGGCTTCGTCGCTGGCATGGGTACCCTCCTTGATCCTCACATCAACTCTGAACCTCGGAGGTAGCGACTGCTCCAATCTCACACGCACACCCAGCCCGATAACAGTAGCCAACGAGCAATGAGTAATAGTAGGCGTAACCAACACCTTCACAGTCGAAATCTTTGACGTGGGGCTCGCAGGCGGCAAGATAAAGATATCAGGCAACGAGACCACAGCCAACGAACCCAGCGATAGAGGATGTTCTGGATCGGAGATTGTGCTGATCAAGTCGAAGATTTCCTGCTCATCGATTTCTTCGCGCATGTCGTCGTCATCGTCTGAGATGTCGTCGGAAGAGTTTGAGGGGATGGGCGCGGGGAAGGAGGAGCCAGAGGTTAGGTTGTCGTAGTGGGGGTAGGNAGNGATGAGGCCGTCGAAGAGGCCGGCGCGGGCAGAGGATTGGGTCTGGGAGGCGCCGCGGCGGGAGGGCAGGTCGCTGGGGTTGAGGATGGCGGGGTTTGCGTTGTCCTTGTCCATTGTGGGAGATTTTTGTGCTTGCAGAGTGTGTGTCTTGTTGTGGGTGTTTGATGTGACTTATCAAGAAGGTAGGATGCGATTGGGGTGGATGCAAGTGGTTGTGGTGGGGCAAAGGAAGAAAAAAAGAAAGGAATATTGGAGATTAATTATGACGCCTTCCTGCTGACAATGGGGAAGTGTTGTGATTCGTGCCTTCCATCTGTCCTATCTTCATCGTCGGACCAAACCATCCAATTCTTTCCACTTGCCGCCCTTCATGTTTTCCCTATTGTCGAGCACAATTGGTGTTTCCAGCGTTCGCAACCCGACACTTTTGTGCTGGCCGACATGGCGCTTCTTCTCGCAAAGCCGCTTGAACTATGCAGCACCTGAGGATCCAATAGCACGACAAAAGAGGCAAGACGAGCGCAACGAACGCTTCCGCCAGCGATACAGAAACGATTCAGACTTCCGTGAGAGGAGGCTCGCATTGCAAAGGGCCAGGTACCGCAGCAATCCAGACATTCAGAAATCCCGGAGATTGTCAAAGTGTGCCCAGGATCCTACACGCTACGAAGCCATGCTCAGGAGCAACAATCTTGTAAACATTCGGCGATTCGCCAATGATCCCAGATTCGCTTTCTCAATAAGATTACCCCAGTGGTGCTCAAGCCATACATGGGTCCGAGAAGAATTACCTTGGAAAACTCATGTACCTGTTCTTTATCCAGAAAAGGTTTCCAAGCAATGTGCTGGGTGTGACCGCATCCAGATAGGAGGAGGTCTAAGATTATGGTGTGTACAAAAATATTCTNNTTTGCAACATGACAGATCTAGGTGCTATCGTATGAAAAAGCTCTGCAATAGCCCATCAGTCGAACATACTAATCAGATCTCCAGGTGGCAACGGCTCAATGACGACAACAAAGCCGACCAGGAGCAGTGTCTCTGCACGGCCTGCTATCTTCCCAGAGAGAACTGGGAAGACTCGTTGCCGCAAGGATATGAAGATGTGAGGTATTTCAAAGAGCTAGTCGCTCGTAAGGAGGAGCTTGACGGTATCAATCATGGTCGCCAGACTGCAAAGAACGCCAAAAGCAAATAAGCATCGAACAACATTATTCTTGTAAGTGCTTTGCTGCTTGACTTGAATTGTCAGATCTCTTCTTGGCCCTACTCGTATTCTAAACGACATCGTGCGGTCGTGAGAGCTAATGACCTATGCAGAATATACGATTGATGAATACGGCATACATGCTCAGACAATCAGACTATCGAAAGGTCAAAGACGAGTGCAATCCAACAGTATCACTACGGAAGCAACTTCGCACCATCGCGCGATATCCCAACATATAGGGACTTGGCCACCATAAACCAAACAGCAAAGCAGACACAGATTGAATTACACCGAGAGAGCACAAGAGCAACTTAGGAACTACAAGGCACTCTTGCCGACTGCCATACGTCGACCCTGTGTCGCGTCAAGCATTATATACGACCAAAATTGAGACCCTCTTAGCGGCAACCTCCCACTGTTTGGTCACTCAAAGGGACGCCTTTAGTGTAGTGGCTTGGAAGCTCACTCCCCAAAAATACCGTCACCATAGCCACGTGCCAGTAATACGCGAACCAAATACGACGTATGAAGAGCTCTGGGATGGGGTTTTCTGTATACCAGTTTTTGCTCGTTAATGGTCCTGTTGTTTCTTTCTGCTTTTTGTCTGGCGGTTGTTACTACTGTGGTAATGTTTTATGGTGATGTCGTTCTGTTTGGAGGGAGTTTGATAGAAGCTGGTACGGCTGTTTTGTTTACAGCGTACGGTAAGGTATCGAGGGTGCGCGTTCGAGCCCCGACAACACCATTCTTATGTGCCTCGAAAGTGGTGCGGCTGGATCACCCATATTTCAAGTCGCCAAGGCAGACTGACAACAGCGAGGACATAGTATGGTTCGGTCGGCTGGAGAGCGGTAGATGTATTGGTGCTCTCACAGCTGGAAGGACTGCTGTTCCCGCGCTATGCTCGGAGGTTATCTGTTGAACGTGCTCTCTTACTATCAGACATCAAGACGAAGGTCACTTCGTCGCGCAACCTCAAGTCTCGAAGTCCGACCCTGACTTCGGCCGTTGGTTAAGAGTCACTAATCATACGCTGTAGTATAGCATAAGCTCTGATGAGAAAAGCCGACGTGAGACCTGGCATTTGAGGGTTGAACACGCATTATCGAGACAGTCAGAGATTCTAAAAGAATACATAGTTGTTCATCAAAAGTCTATAGAGTAGTATACAGTATGTTCGAACTTTACGTTCCCGCTGCCTGGCGCATGAAGAACTTTTTAAGGAAGCCCATCTTGTCTACAGCATCGAGGCCAAGACTTCTCGCCCACACAACGGGTCCACTGCCCGCACTGTAGAGCTTGTGCAGCTTGTCTACGGCGCCCAACATGGCATTGTTCTTTGCCCACTGCTCAGCATTGTATGCGTCCAAGGCCCAGTTGCTGCCAATATCCTTGCCTACAGAAAGCGAGAAGTTAATGTGCTTGGCAAGCGACTGAGCATCACCAAGACCCTGGTTCAGACCTTGACCAGCGAGAGGGTGAATAGTGTGAGCGGCATCTCCGAGGAGAGCGACACGGTGACCGGTATAGGTATCTGCATGACGCATACGCAGAGGAAACGAAGCAACACTGCCATCTTGAACGGCAGAGATTTTTTGCGGGATGCGCTCAGAGTTGAAGGCGGTATTGGCTTCACGCCAGGAAAACTCGTCGGCTTGACCTGATGTCATGGTGTGCATGTATTCGAGGTCGATTGGCAAGAGTCTGAACGCAGCGTTCACCATGGCAATAAAGTCGGTGCTGCTCAGTGACTTGAGGAGAGAGGCCTTCTCGGGTGTTGTTGACCACACTAGAGTGGCTACATTGCCGGGTAGAGGCAATAGCGCGACAGGACCGGTAGGGAGGAAGCGCTGATATGCTGTTCTGTGGTCGTTTTGACCCCAGTTGGCTCCTTCGATCTGCACAGTGGCTACCACGCCATGGCGATTGTAGTCCCAGCCGCGCGAGGGGATACCAGCAAATGTGCGTACAGGGCTGTTTGCTCCATCTGCACCGATAAGAAGACGGGCAGCTAGTTTGCGCGAGTTGTTAAGAGACACGACTGGCCAATTTGACAAATCCATGCTCTCTGACTCTTTTCCAAGCTCGATTCCCTCAACACGCGTTTTGTCCATTACGTCGATCGCGGGCAACGAATTGAGGCGAGCCAGGAGGGCGGATGTGAGGTTGGTATTCTCGGTCATGGTAGCCACTGTATCCGAGACGTTTGAAGACGACGAGGGATCGAAACTGATGCTGCTTCCAGACACGCCATCCCACACCTGCATGGCCTGGTATGGCTGCACGCGTGAGGCAGCGATGTGTTTCCATGCTCCAATGTCATTCAAGAATTTGACCGAGCCAGGAGTGAGGGAGCTGCATCTGTTGGAGAAGGTCGTCGACTCGGCTTGCACCTGTGACTTGTTGAGGTCTTGCCCCTCGACCAGGGCAATCTTGAGGTTCGCGGTTTTGGGAGAAGNCACCTACAAGTCTCAGCACTTCAACTCTGGCCTACAAATGCTGTGTCTGATCTTACGAAGCGCGCTGAGCAAGCTCAGTCCTGCTGGACCGCCACCAACGCACACGACATCATAGATTTCTGAGCCTGTCGGTACAGGCGCAGCGACGGGCGTTGTCCGTGACCAGAACGATCGCGAGGCCACAAAGATGTTTGAATATCTCGAGGACACCCGGGAGACTTCACATGGTGTTCGGGGGAGCCGCAGCGGCATACCGGCAGATATTATGGCGAGGATGAGAGATGGAGTGATTGAGCCGAAGTCTGTTCTCCAGATCTTGGTCGCGTTCGGCGCAAGGGTTTCCGTTCCTTCGGGCTATCTCCCAGCGAAGCTACACGTCGCTTGCTGATTGGTTCAAGGTTCTACTCGTAGAGACATGGCCACAACATGACCTTTTGTTCTCCGGACGATTCTCAGAAGCACGAGCACACGAAAGACGGTATGAGACCACTATCACGTGTGTCTAGTCAGTCAGCAACGAGCGTTGATTCGCCGGAAGGAAAAGGTCATCCGAGCCTGAAAATCACATGTCAGATTGCCGACGGTTGCCCGACCCTCCTCTACCCCGGACTTGGTTTCGTGCCTTCCTGCATTCGACAGGAAACAAAGAGCGGGTTTTGAGACTCAAAGCACTCCGTTGCCGACGCTGTCTCCACATGTTAAGGAGCCTGAATTGCCTGTTGGAGTAGATTCACAGTCCCAGTGGGTCATCAGGCCCCGAGCCCTGGAGGTCATCCAAGTAGCGATTGGCTCACGGAGTTCCGTGGAGGGCTCAGGGAGGCAGGAAGGCAAACAATTTGGCTCGAGTCTCGACGGGGTGCCTCGGTCCATATCTCCATACCTTTTCCCCACACGTGCATTTAGCGCATGTGGTCGGTCCCCATTAAACACCCTTTGCCCTCGTCTTTTGCTCGTGCCTCCGTTCTCCCCTTCTTCCCCATTATCTTGTTCATTTCTTTGTTATTTGTGATACCCCCGATTCTGCCACCATGCCTGCAAGAGTCATTGTTGTCGGTGCTGGCCGTAAGTCCTCAGAATCCCTCAACTGTCTCCTGTTAGCGTAGTCCTAACAGCGAGTAGTCTCCGGCCTGAGTGCCGCTCACACTATTTACCTGAACGGCGGAAATGTCGTCCTACTCGACAAGAACAGTAAGAACATGCGCTTCTCTATCAGGTCACACCTTGCTGACTTGTCACCCGTAGACTTCATGGGAGGAAACTCGACCAAAGCCACCTCCGGAATCAACGGTGCTCTTACCCGTACACAGACCGATCTCGGCATCCAAGACAGCGTCAAGCAATTCTACGAAGACACTCTAAAGTCGGCCAGAGACAAGGCTCGACCCGATCTCATCAAGGTCCTGACCTACAAGTCAGCTGGTGCCGTCGAGTGGCTGCAAGATGTCTTCAACCTGGATCTGACACTTGTTTCGCGTCTCGGGTGAGTTTACACCGAAGCATCCAAGTCGAGTCACAAACTAACAGGGACACAGAGGTCACTCGTTCCCCGTACCCACCGTGGCCACGACGCCAAGTTCCCTGGTATGGCCATTACATATGCCTTGATGCAACGATTCGAGGAGCTCGCTGAGACCGAGCCTGAGCGTGTATCGCTCATCAAGAAGGCCAAGGTCACCAAGATCAACAAGGAAGGAAACAACGTCACCGGTGTCACATACACCTTCAACAATGAAGAAGTCACAGTTGACGGCCCTGTCATCCTCGCAACTGGAGGTTACGCTGCCGACTTTACAGATGATTCCCTGCTGAAGAAGTGGAGACCCGACACCTTTGGCCTGGCCACAACCAACGGTGCCCACGCCACTGGTGATGGCCACAAGATGCTCATGCAAATCGGAGCCAACGGCATCGATATGGACAAGGTTCAAGTTCACCCTACTGGTTTGGTAGATCCCAAGGATCCTGGCTCCAAGTGGAAGTTCTTGGCTGCTGAAGGTATATCTATCAAAATAGTCACTCAATATCGTTTGCTGACGTGTCATNNAGCTCTTCGTGGTGAAGGCGGTCTTCTCCTTAACGGCAAGGGTCAGCGTTTCTCAGACGAACTCGGACACCGTGACTACGTCTCGGGCAAGATGTGGGAGGAGAAGGAGAAGGGCACATGGCCAATCCGCCTTGTTCTCAACTCCAAGGCATCCAACACTCTTGACTTCCACACTCGCCACTACTCTGGTCGTGGTTTGATGAAGAAGATGAGTGGTGAGGAGCTCATCAAGGAGATCGGTTGCTCGAGGAAGGACCTCGAGCAGACCTTCAGTGACTACAACGAGATTGCCGATGGCAAGCAGAAGGACCCTTGGGGTAAGAAGTACTTCCACAACATGCCTTTCAAGGTAGACGACACCTTCCACGTTGCCGTCATGGAACCTGTTCTCCACTTCACCATGGGTGGTATCGAAATCAACGACCAGGCGCAATGTCTGAACTCCGAAGGAAAGCCTTTCGATGGTCTCTTTGTCTGCGGTGAACTTGCTGGTGGTGTTCACGGATCCAACCGTCTCGGTGGCTCATCTCTGCTCGGCTGTGTCGTTTACGGTCGTGTTGCTGGTGACTCAGCAAGCAAATACTTGTTCCAGCAGGTACTGAACGGTGGCGGCTCTTCAGCAGCCCAGCGTCTAGGACAGATCAGCCTGCACATCGACCCTAACCAACCTGGAAAGATCTCTGTGGAGTGGGCAAATGGTGTTGGTGCTGGTGCTTCCTCAGGCGCCGACGAAGCCATCAAGAGACAGTCGCAACAATCTGCCGGTCCAGTCATGACACCAGACGGCAAGACTGCAGACTCTTCTGACCCTGCCAAGGTCTCGAAGCCCAATGACATCAAGGACTTCAAGGTCCCTGAGAAGGAATACACTCTTGAGGAGGTAGCCAAGCACAACAAGAAGGAAGATCTCTGGATTGCTGTCAAGGGTGTCGTCATGAACGTGACCGACTGGGTGGAAGAGCACCCTGGCGGTCCCCAGGCTCTCTTCAGTCACATGGGCAGAGATGCCAGTGAAGAGTTCGAGATGCTACACGACGACGAGGTCATCCCCAAGTACGCCGCCGGCATTGTGATTGGCCGAGTAAAGGGCCAGGAAATTACTCTCGAGTATTGATGAACCTTGTATAATGGAGAAATGATCAAAGGCTAGGAAGGAGTTTTTGTGGGTATCGGATGAAAGCAGCATTGGCATATGTGCTCCTATTGTAGTCCTGGTTAGTCAATCCAAGACTTTGACATTCATGTCTGTCCGTGTGTCAAATCATGTGCTCTCTAGCTTTACAATAAAAATCTTGTTTGGTCAAAAACTTGCCGCCGAGCATTGAGATGACATAGATGACTTTGGGGACTGGACATAGGATTATAGAGCGAAGGATGTCCATCTCAGCATTGGACATCATCTCAGCATTTGGGATTTGTGCAGGTTGGGATATGATAAACAAGAGCGAGTTCCATTGCTTTCATGATGCCTCGATGTGAGGTCCTGATTTGGCGAAGACATGTCTCTAAAATGCTCCGGCGTCACGGAAACCTTTCTGGCATATATCGTCCTTGTAGGGAACAGATGGATCATGGTAAACGTCCTCAGAATGCTTAGAGATCCAATGGCTAACCTGGTCGGAGTCCGATTGCTTGAGCCAGAAAGCACAGCCAGTGTATTCACAGCTCTGGGATTGGTATGGCTGGTCGAGTTGAGATTTGAATGGGTATATGATGAGATGGTTACCACGCTGTACTATAGCTCATCAAGAAAACCAAGCTGGCAGCCGACATAGCAAGGAAGTTGGCCGAGAGCAAAGAACTTAGGTTGGTGTGTAGCTGCATGGGTCTTGGAAGTGTCGTAGCTGGTATCAGTTGGGAAACCCTGAGCGCAAGAAGGTAGCGGGCACTTGAAGTGTAGGTCAAGGTCTCTGGAATGAGTAGAAGCAACAAGGTCAGAGGCTAGGTTACGGCTGAGATCTCGTAGATTGAGTTGCTTGGTTGTGCGTTTGAGAAGGTGTTAGTCGGCTTCTTGGTGATCTTGGTTCTCAAGATCTTGGAACGGATCATTGTTGGTAGAAACGTCATGCTGAGAGCCATGTTGCTGTCCATTAAGGTGTCGAAGATCAGGTTCTGCATTGTGTTGGGCAATGTTGTCGAGGTTGGTGGTAGTGTTAGAGCCAGACGAGGTGGACGAAGGTGACGGGTTTCTATTCTGCAGACGGAGAGAATGCTTGCGGTTCACACGGGCATGGTGAGCTTGGAGAAAGACATCGGCGGCAGAAGGTGGGCGTTAAGAACGACGTGCAGGAGGATTGTGAGAGAAGATTTCTTGCAATGTCTTTGGTTTATCTTGGGAAGGAGACATCGTTGGATCAACAGTGCCTTGTGCGGTGGCTCGGCGGCTGTATGTCTGTTAGTCCAAAGTGTACTTGACCAGTGTGAGCGAGGGAAATTCGACTCTCTGTAGAGCACTCGTCGCTTAGCAAACGCTTCTTGTATGGCAAGTTGACGAGGATCAAATATCAATCGAGCCATCAGAGAGCAATCCTGCTCAGCAAACGATGGTTGAGAGCTTCCAATCGCGTAGACCCTTGCCAGGGTCATTTGCTATATCACCGTTGAAGGACTCGCATCAACACCTGCAGGTTGCATAATCGCTACAGATGACAGCTCAGGGCACAGTATGCAAGCCTCGTAACACCTTCCTCAACATGGAAGATCAAATCAACAGATTCCAAGGTTGAGAAGGGTTCTGGTTGAAAATGGGTTGCGGCGGATGGCATGATGTGTCTCGATGGTTGAAAGCTGAAAGCTGACACATGCATGTCTCTGTGCCACAAGAAAGACCCATCGCTTCTTGCAGTCGGAACGATGCGGGAAGGAGCGAAGCACCTTGATGGGCTCTTCCTTATCAGACGCGCGAGAAACGATAGGGGAAACACAAAAAGGTGTAGCGATAGTAGCTATGGTTACAATGTACAATACAGTATAGATTTGGGGAAAAAAACAAGCCGAGAGCAAGATACCCAAAGCAAAACTCCTGAATGCCTAATTACAAGACGTGGTATGTGTATCGTGCGCCTCCCCTTTCATACATCTCTTGAAGTGCTGTTTATCATGATCGAACATCAACACCCCTGTTCCTGAGAAATCCTCATCTATTGCGAAGAAATGGCAACGGCAATGACCTGAGCATCACTGTGGCTAATGCTGACAGTGGTGCTCTTGATGCCCTTCTGTTCGGCAGCGGCCTTGGCGTCACCGTGAAGNNCTATTGGAATGTCAGCGGGTGATTCTTCTGTCAACAAGCGTGATTTACTTACAACAACGGTAGGAGCACCGCTCTCGTCATTCACGATCTCAATATCCTTGAGAGGAGCTCCAGCGCCACGAGAGGCAACCTTGAAGCTCTTGAAGACAGCCTCCTTGGCGGACCACTTGCCGGTGAAGCTGGCCTGGGGGTTAGGAGCCTTGCGGCAGTAGTCGATCTCCTGCTGGGTGAAGTTGCGCTCGAGGAAGGTCTCGTTCTCGATGTTGACAGCATCGACGCTCTCAACATCTACACCAGGGCTGCTGTTACCAGAGGAGTTGACCTTGAGCAATGACTCGACCATCTGAGTGGTGTTGGCATCACGGACAGGCTTCTGAGGCTTGGCAGAGAAGGTGAGCTGGGCAGTCTTCTTGTCCTGAGAAACGCGAGCGCTGGGGTTCAAGAAGACAGTGCTCATCTGGTCGTCCTCGTAAGGAGACTTGTCCTTGGCACGGAACATAGTGTTGTTAATAAGACCGTCGTGGAAGTAGCGGTAAGCCTTCTNTTGTCTGGCCTCAACCTTGGTCTTGTAAGACCGGAACTCGGCCTGGTCAAGAGTGGCGAACAGGTACTTGGGGTGGATACCAATAGCCTGAGCACCCTTCTGACCGAAACCGAAGGAAGTAACCGAGAAAGCCTTGATGCCATCGGTTTGAATGGTTCTGCTGGGGTAGACAATGTAGTCGAACTTCTCCATGATCTTGTCCACGTTGTCGGCGTTGCGGTTACCAGGGACGATACCAGAGTTGAGAACTTGCAGACAGCCGTTGAACATCCATGCACCAGCGGCACCCTTAGGGTGACCGGTAAGGTACTTCTGGAAGATACCAAGAAGAGCGTTACCCTTCTTACGGCCGAGGTGCTCCATCTGCTGGCAAATGACATCGGACTCGTTCTTGTCGTTGGCCACAGTTGAGGTACCGTGGAACGAGGCAACGTCGAGGTCATCAATGGTCAGACCCCAGGTGGCGAGGGCACCACGGAGAGGAGCAATGCGAGGATCTTGCTTCCAGAAGTTGTTGCCGAGACTGTACAGGGCATCCTTCTCTTGACGCCTGGCCTCACGCTCGATGAACTTGGCTCTGTCCTCCATGTACTCAGCAGCATCAAACTCAGAGTTCTCAGCTTGCATGGCAGCGACTTCCTCCTGCAGGTACATAAGTTCAGACTCTTGCCATGTCTTGATGTTTCTTCTGCGGGCGTCCATCTGTCTCTTACGGTACTTGATGTCAAGCAGAGGCGAGGCAAACTTGGAATTATCCTCACGAGCAGTGGTCAAGACACCCTTTCCAGGAGCGGGAACGGAGCGACCGATCTTGTCAGTGGCAGTGGCAGTGAAGCCAAGAACACCGTAGATTGGAACACCCATGTCGAGAGCAAGTCTAGCATCCATAATGACTTGCATACCGCAACCTTGAGACTCCATGAAGCCGTTTCTGGTGGTGGTAGTGGGTCTGGACATCTCCTTGGGAGTACGGCCGTGGGCGAACTCGTCCTCGGCGTTGCTAGTAGCCTTCATGTTGGCGAACTCGTACGAGCCCTCCTCTTGGAAGTCATCGAAACCACCAACGAAGCACATTCTGGCCTTGCCCTCAACAATGGTGTCGTAACCAATGTCGATGGATTCAACAGCGGTAGCGCAAGCACCGACAGGGGTCTTGATAGGACCAGTGGAGGACATCAACAACATGTTAACCCAAGCGGACATGGTGTTGATGAAAGACTCCTGGAGAATATCCTTCTGAAGAGGCTTGTCCAAGAAGCGGTCCTTGTACATACCACGGAGAGCAGTAGTACCACCAATACCGGAACCGATACAGTTACCAACCTCCGAGATATGGACGTACTTGTAGAACTCGTAAGGGTCAGTAATACCGGAAGACAGGAGAGCTTCAGCAGTTGAGACAAGCACGTAAAGAGTGACAGGGTCGACCTGACCGATGATGTCCTCGGGAACACCGTACTTGCGAGCGTCCCAACCAGTGGGGATCTGACCAGCAACGAGACGGTCAAATCTGAGAGCCTTGGGAATGAGAAGAGTTGCGCCCTTTCTCAGCCTAACCTGGTATTCGCCAGACTCGGGGATCTCGAAGATCTCAACCTTCTCGCCGTGTTGGCGTCCGAACTCCTCGGCAGTCTCCTTGGAGGTCTCGAAGGGGTCAAGGTCCTCCTGGATCTGAATCTCCTGGAGAAGCTGCTTCTTGTTGGGGTCATAGCCGTTGAAGAGCTCGGGCTCGATAAGACGAATACCGGAGTGGTCGAGAATATGCTTCTCGAACTTGGACTTGACGTCCTTGTCGTCAATGGGCTCACCAGTTTTGGCATCAACCCAGCCAGCGTAGCTCTTACCCTTGAGAGGGCCATTGTGGTTCTTAATGAGACCCATAATCCAGGCCATCTCAACACAACCCTCGAGAGAGAACTCGCCATAGGCTTCCATCTCCCAACGGGTTCTTGAGTTACCCCAAGGACCAACCTCGGAGAAACCAGTGACAACGACGACCTTCTCGAGGTCGACCATGCCCTTGAGGTTCTCGTTGAGCGGCTTGACCTCAGACTCCCAGTCGGGAACCTTAGGGAAGTCGAACTTCAAGTTGGCACGAGGCTGGACGGTGACCTTCTTGTAGAGGGCCTCGTGGCTCTCACCGTGAACGATCTTGTTCTCAACCGAAGTCTCACGGGTAACAGCCTTGCGGATCTCGCTGGTCTCGGTGACATCCTTGCGGAGCTTGGTCATCAAGTCCTTCAGGTTGGGAAGGAACTGCAGACCACCGTTGAGATCGGCGAAGACAGGCTCCTCCTGGCAGAGGTTGACAATTGCAGGTCCCATAAGACCCAAAAGGTTGAAAGCCATCTCTTGCTGAGAAAAGGTACGAGCGCCAGTCTTCTCAACACCCTCAGCGACAATGTTGTTGCCACCCATGAGACCAGTACCACGAGTCCAACCAATGACTGCACCGCAGATAGTGAGGTAAGAGCCCCAGCTCTCGGAGTGCCATCTGTTGAACAGAGTCTCGAGGGCGAGCTTGGACTCGGAGTAGAGACCATCGTTACCGAAAGTACCGTGGTTGGGAGAAAGAGGAAGGATGACCTGAGCAGGACGAGTCTCAAAGCCACGGGCGGCCTTCTGAGCCTTGACACCACCAAGCATTCTGAGCAAGTTAGTCAACATGATTCTGTGAGCCAACTCAGACTTGGAGTCGATGTTGTCAATCTCGCGACCGTTCTCAGGAATGGCAGCGAAAGGAACAATGTAGTCAAGATCCCATCCGAGACCCTTCTTCTCGTCGTAGATGTAGTCGACGAGAGCGTTGACATCCTGCTGACTTCCTTGGTTGAAGGGCACAACGATGAGCTGAGAGCCCTTGGCACCATAGCGGGTGTACATGGACTGGTAGTACTCGGTGACTTCGCGGGAGAAGCGACTGGTAGTGACAACAACCTTGGCACCACCGCTGATCAGCCCTTGGAGAACCTCTGCACCGATGGAACCAGCACCAGCACCAGTCATAAGAGCGTGCTTGCCCTGGAAAGTGACACCAGACTGAGCAGCCTCCTCGAGACCCTCGAGGTAAACACCAGTAAGCTTCTTGCTGTACTCCCAACCGTGCTCCTCCTTGCGCTTCAAGTGCAGGAAGGGGATGGTCTCAACCTTGCCGGGCTTCAGCTGGCCGTTGGCGCGACCCTTACGACCCTTCTTGCCGCTCTCGGTAGGCATGATCTGGCCCTCGTTCATCGACAGCGAACGGATGATGTTGCTGTAGAGTTGCTTAATTTGCAACTGCGACGACTTGGTGAGCTTGTGTTGTTGGCGAATGAGCTTGTAGACGCGCTGGAGGTCGTTCTGAACCTTGGTTCTGTTTCCGTACTCGGAGATCTTGCCACCCTCAGCCATCTCGCGAACGTAGTGTTCGAGCTTGCGAACAGCTTGTCTAGGTGCCTCTTCGTAGTTCATGTTTCCGCGAGCGTCAATGGTGAGCTGAGGAGCGGTAGGGACGGAGACGTCCTTGTAGACAGGGGCGACGTCAAGGACATCCTTGCAGTTGTCGATAAGCTGCTGGCCCAGAGCCTTTGCAAGCTCGTAGGTCTCGCCGCGCTCGGTAGGGCAGTGGTCGATGTGGTACTGCATGAACTCGAGGAGCTTGGGATTGGAGCGGTTCATGATCTGGATGCAGCGGCTGACGATTTCGCGGTCGACAGCGGTCAAGCGACCGAAAATGATATCGTAGTACATGCTGAGAGCGTCCTGGCGAGCCCAGTTCCATGACGAGTCGTAGACACGGGCCTTGAGAGGGCTGAACGAGGGCTCAATACCGGCAGCATAGAAGTCACCGTGCTCGGCGTTCCACAGATCGAGCTGGGCTTGGAGAGCAGTGTTGTTCGAGGCAGCAGCGACGGCGGCCTTGTCGCCTGCGCGCAAGTCCATCTTGAGGTAACGGGCGAAGAGTTCGAGTTGTTGCTTGAACAGGGCCTTCTGATCCTTTGTGAGGGCGTCAATTGCGGCGGGGTCCATCATCATACCTCCTGCGCCAGCACCAGCGTCACCGCCAGCTGTGGGTGCGGAAAGGCTGATTCCGGCAATACCAGCGTAGGCGTTTGCGACGGTGTCCAGCCATGCTTTAGCATCGTTCTCGGAGCCAAGACGAGCTGCAGGTTCTTGGGTCAATGCCAGCAAGAGTACACCATCCTGGCGACCAGGACCGAGTCCCCATCGTGTTTCGAGATGCTTGCGGACTGCAGTGATGTTGAAACCACCAGGCATCTTGGATGACACCAGACGGGCGATGAGCGAAGATGACTGCTTGCCGAGCTGACCATTGAAGGTAGCCTGCATAGCGGCACCCAGCTCGTCGAGAGGTGTGTCTTCTGGCTTTTCAGGTGTTGAGCCAAATTCTTTTCCAAGGTCTCCGAGGATTTCGTTTTGAAGTGTTGATTTACCTGTGAGTCAATTGGGTTAGCAATTGTAGTATAGAAGACATCCAAATCGGGATCACTCACCTCCAACCAAATCCTTGATGGCCTTGCTGAGAGGAATGTCCATCAAGCCCTTCTTCAGCTTCTGAGCAACCAATGCTCTCAAGATATCCACGGCGCCGACGGGTGCATCTGCAACTGCCGCTGCTGGGCCAGCACTTGGTGGAGGGGTGCTGCTGCGGCGACGGGAGCGGCGGATGCTGATGAGCCAGCAGAAGGAGCAGCAGCAGCAGCGGGTGCCGGAGCGGCCTCCTCCTCNCTCGACGGGGTCAACATCGTAGTAGATATCCTTTGCGTCCTTGTTGTAGCAGAGAATCTGTCTTTGCACTGATCTTGCAGCGTCGTAGGCTTCGTACTTTGAGGCGAGTGTGCGCTTGGCCATGACACCAAGGGTGTCTGCGGGACCAATTTCGACAATGCGTTCGGTGGTCTTCTCGCCGAGGATGACATCTTGTGTCTCAATCCATCTCACGGGCGAGGCGAACTGGTATGCGAGAAGCTCGACAAGGAGCGTGTGGGCGAGCTCCTGCTCGACCTCAGGACGCATGTTGGCGGAAGAAAAACAGCAAACAGCAAATTACAAAGAATGTACAATCGACGAGCGATTGGGAAAAGATGGATGAGAGAGGTCTCGCGGAGAGTCGGAGCGAGACGAGACAGGAGAGGAAAGTGAGGAAACGAACAAATGCGCGGATTCGGGTGTGGAGAAGAAAGAAGGGTCAGCTAGCTTCAAGAGCTGCCTGGGAGTGCTCGGTCACCTTCTGATGATCAATCGACCGAGAAAGGGTCGAGGAGCAGAAGGGATGAGCGAGACTGTACCACGCACTGGGAGGTTGGTGAGGGGTTCTTGATACCAACGTGCAGAGGTTGAGATGAGGCACAAATAATGGCACGATTGCTGACTGGCCTCTTCAATTTTTTGTCGCGACTGCTGTCCTCATGAGATTTCGGTGAGTGGTTCTGCCAAGCCACAGCTTTAGCACGCGGGAGCTAGTGGGCTCGAGATTGGAATTTGAGCTTCATCTAATTGTTGCTTTTCCCTGCGTCGACGTCCATTCGACCGATGCGAGCCTGTGAGAGGGCGTGAAACAGGATTGTAGATAGCCCGAGTATTGCACTGCATGCTGTGAACAGCCGGGGGACCGCTGCATTGCATATTCAACTGTTGAGTCAACAGTTTGTCTGAGCAGTTGGGGAGCATCATCTCGAAGCACGCGTTCCAGAGTGCATTATTTCGGCGCTAGAGACCCACCGGCAGAGAGCCGGTCACGACTCACTCACCCCTGGTCCGACTTGCCGCAAACTTCACCTCCACAGGGCTCGAAGCTATCTCGTAAAGAAACCTGGAAGGCCACTTTCCTACACCACCCGAAACCACCGCCTTCCCCCTCCTTCCACCCTCATCCTCTTGCTGTCTGGCACTTCAATTCTCTCTCAGACCAGCCACTTCTTCCTCCCTTCCAGCTCTACTCTCTTCCCCGAGGGAGTCTAGTCTGTTCGTGGAGCTGTTGCCTGCACTTTAGCTGCTTCGAATTTGTCACGAGGCCAATTGTCCTTCTTTTTTCCACTGCCACGTTGCTTTGTGAGATTTCTAGGTAAGCTCTATCCTCTTGCTCGCTGCTGCCTTCTGAGTTGGCCCTCGTGTTCGAATTGAATGCGCCGTCGAGGTTGCCTCTCAAACCCCCGGCACCCCCGCATTAATTTCTCTACCATTTTTTCAACCTCTCGCTGACCAGCTGTCGTCTCCAGCGGTCACGTACACAGCCTTTCTTCACCATGTACGGCTCCGGCTCACAGACCGGTGTCTCGACACCCCGTTCTCAAGCTGTTTCTCGCCCTCTTATCCTTTCGCACGGCTCTCTCGAGTACTCGTTTTTAATACCCACTGCTCTCCACTTCAGCGCTTCGCAACTCAAGGATGCCTTCATCGCCACTCTCCCTACACCTACAGATGAGCTTGCTCAGGACGATGAGCCTTCATCCGTCACCGAGCTTGTAGCTCGCTACATTGGCTTCGTCGCCCGCGAGGCCGACGAGGGCGATGACCCGGGCTCCTACGAGGAGGTGCTCAAGCTCGTTCTCCACGAGTTCGAGCGTGCATTCCTCCGCGGAAATGAGGTCCACGCCATTGCTGCTTCTCTTCCCGGCATCTACGAGAAGAAGCTCGTCACTGTTCAGTCGTACTACGCCGCCAGAGCTGCCGTCAGCAGGCCGATCAAGTCTCACGAGTCGGCTCTGTTGCGCGAGGCCGCTGATGAGAACGCCTTCATCTACGCTGTTTTCGGTGGCCAGGGCAACATCGAGGAGTACTTTGAGGAGTTGAGAGAAATCTACACCACCTACCCCTCATTTGTCGAGGACTTTGTCACCGCAGCAGCTGCGCACCTGCAGACACTTTCCAGAGAGCCTCAGGTTCAGAAGCTCTACCCCAAGGGTCTGGACGTCATGCGCTGGCTGCACAACAAGGACGCTCAGCCTGACGTTGACTACCTTGTTTCAGCACCCGTCAGTCTGCCCCTGATCGGTCTTACACAGCTCGCACACTTTGTTGTTACTTGCAGAGTCCTCGGCACCCACCCTGGAAACGTGCGCGACAGACTGAGTGGTACCACTGGTCACTCTCAGGGTGTCGTGACTGCTGCAGCCATTGCGGCTTCTAAGAGTTGGGAATCTTTCGACAAGGCTTCAAGAGATGCTCTCTCGATTCTGTTCTGGATCGGTTCGCGCAGTCAGCAGGCATACCCCCGTACCTCGCTGGCTCCCTCGACCCTCCAGGACTCAATCGACAGCGGCGAGGGTACCCCCACCCCTATGCTCTCCATTCGCGACCTCACCCGCGAGGCTGTTCAGACTCATATTGATGCCACCAACCAACATCTTCCCGAAGACCGCCACATCGCCATCTCGCTTGTCAACAGCGCTCGCAACTTCGTCGTTACCGGTCCTCCCATGTCTCTGTATGGTCTGAACCTTCGTCTTCGCAAGGTCAAGGCTCCTACCGGTCTCGACCAAACCCGTATCCCCTTCACCGACCGCAAGGTCCGCTTTGTCAGCCGTTTCCTGCCCATCACCGCCCCTTTCCACAGCAAGTACCTCGCAGAGGCAGACACCCACCTCCAACAAGACCTCAAGGACATTGTCATCCCCAGCTCTGACTTGGGCATTCCTCTTTACGACACCAACACTGGCAAGGATATCAGCCAGGAACCCACCGACAACATTGTTCCCCAGCTTGTGCGCATGATCACTCAAGACTCGGTCAACTGGGAGACTGCCACCGTTTTCCCCAGAGCTACCCACGTCCTCGACTTTGGTCCTGGAGGTATTTCCGGTCTCGGTGTTCTCACCAACCGCAACAAGGATGGTACTGGTGTCCGCGTTATCCTTGCTGGCACCATGGATGGTACCAACGCCGAAGTTGGCTACAAGCCCGAGATCTTCGATCGCGACGCCGAACATGCCGTCAAGTACGCTGTCGACTGGGTCAAGGAGCACGGTCCCAAGCTTGCCCGTACTTCGGCTGGCAAGACCTTCGTTGACACCAAAATGAGTCGCATGCTCGGTCTTCCTCCAGTCATGGTTGCTGGTATGACCCCTTGCACTGTCCCTGCCGAGTTCGTTGCCGCAACCATGAACGCTGGTTACGAAATCGAACTTGCTGGTGGTGGTTACTTCACCGACGCAAAGATGACTGCAGCCATTGCCGAGATTGAAAAGAACATCCCAGCTGGCCGTGGTATCACAATCAACCTGATCTACGTCGCCCCTCACGCTATGGCATGGCAGATTCCCATGATTGCCAGACTACGTGCTGACGGTGTTCCAATTGATGCTCTGACTATCGGTGCTGGTGTTCCTTCCGTCGAGGTCGCCAACGAGTACATCCGTACCTTGGGCATTAAGCGCATCTCTTTCAAGCCCGGCTCAGTTGAGGCCATCCAGTCGTGTATCAACATCGCCAAGGCCAACCCTGGTTTCCCTGTGATCATGCAGTGGACCGGTGGTCGTGGTGGTGGTCACCACTCGTTCGAGGACTTCCACCAGCCCATGTTCCAGATGTACGGCAGAATCCGCAAGTGCCCCAACCTTGTCCTCGTTGCTGGAAGTGGTTTCGGTGCTGCCGAGGACACCTACCCTTACTTGACTGGTCAATGGGCAAGCAAGTTTGGCTACCCTCCCATGCCTTTCGACGGTGTTCTGTTCGGTAGTCGTGTCATGGTCGCCAAGGAGGCCAAAACCGCCCCTGCTGCCAAGCAGGCTATCGTTGACGCTCCTGGTCTTGACGATGCCGACTGGGAGAAGACCTACAAGGGACCTGCTGGCGGTGTCATTACAGTCCGCTCCGAGATGGGCGAGCCTATCCACAAGCTCGCCACTCGTGGTGTCTTGTTCTGGGCCGAGATGGACCAGAAGATCTTCTCTCTTGACAAGGCCAAGCGTATTCCTGAGCTCAAGAAGAACCGTGACCACATCATCAAGAAGCTCAACGACGACTTTCAAAAGGTGTGGTTCGGTCGCAACTCTGCCGGTGTTTCTGTCGATCTCGAAGACATGACCTATGGTGAAGTTGTCCGCCGCATGGTCGAGTTGATGTACGTCAAGAAGGAGAAGCGCTGGATCGATCCTTCTCTCGCTAGACTTACCGTCGACTTCATCCGTCGTGTCGAGGAGCGTCTTACTACTACTGCCAACAAGAGCTCGCTCATCCAGAACTACTCTGAGATGAACGAACCCTTCGAGGTTGTTGAGAAGTTCCTTGCCGCTTATCCTGAAGCCGACAAGCAGCTCATCAACGCTCAGGATGTCCAGCACTTCATCCAGCTCTGTCAGCGCCGCGGCCAGAAGCCTGTGCCATTCGTGCCTGCCCTCGACGCTAGCTTCGAGTTCTTCTTCAAGAAGGATTCGCTGTGGCAGTCTGAGGATCTCGCAGCCGTTGTCGGCGAGGATGTCGGCAGAACCTGTATTCTTCAGGGTCCCATGGCCGTCAAGTACTCTACCAAGGTTGACGAGCCTATCAAGGAAATTCTTGACGGCGTGCACGAGGGCCACATTAAGTACCTGCTCAAGGATGTCTACGGTGACGATGAGTCTAAGATCCCTGTCGTCGAGTACTTCGGTGGAAAGCTCCTCGAGGCCAGCGACGAGATCGATGTTGAGGGTTTGACTGTTTCTGAGCTCAACAACAAGGTCATCTACCGCCTCTCTGCATCTCCTAGCGCAGCCCTGCCCAAGGAAGACTCGTGGATGTCTCTGCTCGCTGGTAAGACCTACTCTTGGAGACACGCTTTCTTCACTGCAGACGTTTTCGTCCAAGGTCAGAGATTCTACACCAACCCCATGCACCGCATCTTCGCACCTGCTCCTGGTATGATGGTCGAGGTCAACTACCCCAACGATCCCAGCAAGACCGTCATCACTGTCAAGGAGCCTACCTCAAGCGGCAAGTTCGTACAGACCATCGAGGTTGGACCCATGGTCAACAACGAGATCACTGTCCAGCTTATTGAGGACCGCTCTGCCACCAACTCGGCTGTTGCTCTGCCCTTGAAGTTCACCTACCACCCTGAGACTGGCTACGCCCCTATCAGAGAAGTCATGGAGGCTCGCAACGACCGTATCAAAGAGTTCTACTACAAGATCTGGTTCGGTGATGCCGATGTTCCTTTCGACACCCCTGTCACCTCGCGCTTCGACGGTGGCAGAGCTACTGTTACTAGCGAGGCCATTAACGACTTCGTCCATGCAGTTGGTAACACTGGCGAAGCTTTCGTCGACCGTCCCGGCAAGGAGGTCTTCGCTCCCATGGATTTTGCCATCGTTGTTGGATGGAAGGCTATCACTAAGCCCATCTTCCCTCGCAAGATTGACGGTGATCTTCTTAAGCTTGTTCACCTTTCGAACGGCTTCCGCATGATCCCTGGCGCTGCTCCTTTGAAGAAGGGCGATGTCCTCGATACCACTGCTGAGGTCAACGCTGTCATCAACCAGGCCTCTGGTAAGATGGTCGAGGTTTGCGGTACCATCACCCGTGACGGCAAGCCCGTCATGGAGGTCACCAGTCAGTTCTTGTACCGCGGTGCATACACCGACTTCGAGAACACCTTCCAAAGAAAGACTGAGAAGCCCATGCAGATCACTCTTGCTACAAGTAAGGATGTTGCAGTCCTCCAGTCGAAGGAGTGGTTCCGTCTCGAGGACACTGAGATTGATCTTCTCGGCCAGACTCTCACTTTCCGCCTGCAGAGTCTTGTTCGCTACAAGAACGAGAACGTCTTCAGCACCGTCGAGACTGTTGGTCAGGTTGAGATTGAGTTGCCTAGCAAGGAGATCATTCAGCTCGCCTCGGTTGAGTACGAAGCCGGTGTCTCTCACGGTAACCCCGTCATTGACTACCTGGAGCGTAATGGCTCTGCCATCGACCAGCCTGTCAACTTCGAGAACCCTATTCCCTTGAACGGCAAGACNCCTCTCGAGCTCAAGGCACCTGCATCTAACGAGACCTACGCCAAGGTTTCGGGCGATTACAACCCCATTCACGTTTCTCGTGTCTTCTCCAAGTACGCTAACCTTCCCGGCACTATCACTCACGGCATGTACTCTAGTGCTGCCGTCAGAAGCTTGGTCGAGACTTGGGCTGCTGAGAACAATGTCGGCCGCGTCCGCAGCTTCCACGTCAACCTCGTGGGCATGGTTCTTCCCAACGACACCATCCAAGTCAGCTTGCAACACATCGGTATGGTCTCTGGTCGCAAGATCATCACTGTTGAGGCACGCAACAAGGAGACCGAGGACAAGGTCCTCATCGGTGAGGCAGAGGTCGAGCAGCCTGTTTCCGCCTACGTCTTCACTGGCCAAGGTTCTCAGGAACAGGGTATGGGTATGGAGCTGTACGCAAGCAGCCCTGTCGCTAAGGAGGTCTGGGACAGAGCAGACAAGCACTTCCTTGACAACTATGGTAAGCAAATTCTGACTATCAACAAACGTGCATCGCTAACAAATTACNNAGGTTTCGCCATTACCAACATTGTCAAGAACAACCCCAACGAGATGACTGTTCACTTCGGTGGACCTCGTGGTAAGGCCATTCGTCAAAACTACATGTCGATGACCTTCGAGACCGTCAGCGCCGATGGAAGCATCAAGTCAGAGAAGATCTTCAAGGAGATCAACGAGACCACCACATCGTACACCTACCGCTCACCAACTGGTCTGCTGTCGGCTACCCAATTCACTCAGCCTGCACTTACTCTTATGGAGAAGGCCTCCTTCGAGGATATGCGCTCTAAGGGTCTCGTTCAGCGTGACAGCAGTTTCGCTGGTCACTCTCTTGGAGAGTACTCTGCTCTCGCTGCCATGGCCGAGGTCATGCCTATTGAGAGTTTGGTGTCGGTTGTGTTCTACCGTGGTCTGACCATGCAAGTCGCTGTCGAGCGTGACGAGGCTGGCCGCTCAAACTACTCTATGTGCGCTGTCAATCCTTCGCGTATCGGCAAGACTTTCACCGAGCAGGCTCTGCAATACGTTGTCGAGAATATCGCAGAGACCACCACATGGCTTCTGGAGATCGTCAACTACAACATCGCCAACATGCAGTACGTCGCTGCTGGTGACCTTCGTGCGCTCGACTGTCTGGCCAACGTCCTCAACTACCTCAAGGTGCAGAAGATCGACATTCAATCATTGATGCAGACCATGTCCCTTGAAGACGTCAAGGGCCACCTCGTTGAGATCATCAAGGGATGCGCAGAGCAGACCGAGGCCAAGCCCAAGCCTCTTGACCTCCAGCGTGGTTTCGCCACAATTCCTCTCAAGGGTATTGATGTGCCATTCCACAGTACCTTCCTGCGTTCGGGTGTCAAGCCCTTCCGCTCCTTCTTGCTCAAGAAGATCAACAAGACAAGTATCGACCCTAGCAAGCTCGTTGGCAAATACATTCCCAACGTCACTGCCAGGCCATTCGAAATCACCAAGGAGTACTTCGAGGACGTGTACCGCCTGACCAACTCACCCAAGATTGGCAACATTCTGGCCAACTGGGAGAGTTACGTTAACGATGATGGCAGCAAGCCCGCTCCCACCGCATAGATGAGGACCTTACGACAAAGGGGTCTTGTGTAAACTTGTAGAGGAAACGACATATCAAGGGTTGCTTTGTTTATTCTTTTGGTGTTTTCGGGGAACACGCTTAAAGAAGGATATATCCCTTGGGCCGTTTTGGTTGTTGCTATTCAAAACCCATATTGAATTTTAAAGTGGGAGGTGTATATACTGTAATTGTGGTTCTAAATTTCATCGCTGTGTTTCCAGCCTTTTCAAAAGATGTTCTTCCAAGCTTCTATTGAAGTGACTGTATTCTAGGATCAACCTCTGTATTTGTGCGTTGTGTGCACCAAACGACCCTTGATCCATACGGCGGCTGTGTTTCTGTCGTCCCCGCCGTAGAACCATTTGTTAAGTCTATCTGGCCAGCTCTCCCACATGAAGACATCGACAGGGCCTTTGGTGTCGGCATCACCCATTTCGCCGTCTTCGCTCACAACATCCAAGCTGATCATCTGTGCATCCCAATCCATACCGACCTCGAGTCCACCGACGCGGTTTTCGAGACCAACGACCTTTGCGCCACCGCGAGTGGCTAGCCATAATGCTTCTTCTGTGCTCAGCTTTGCGGCATCGTCATCTACCATGGCTACATGTCTGCTGACGAGAACGGCTTGACGGGCCTCTTCTAGAATGCTGGGGCTGTAGCCTCCGCTGACGTCTGTTCCGAGACCGACTGTGAGGCCTTCGTCGAGTAAAGTCCTCACGGGCGCTGCGCCGGAGGTCAATGCTGTGTTGGAAGCTGGACAATGGCTGATCTTTGCACCGCGAGAACGGATGGTTGCGCGTTCTTCTGGCGATAGATGGACCGCATGTGCAAGAATTGTCTTTGGACCCAGTAATCCTGCCTTGTCATAGACATTGGTATAGGAAGTATTGTTAGGGAACAATTCAGCCACCAGTTCGATTTCAGACTTGTTTTCTGAGATGTGCGTTTGGATGGGTAAACCGGTTTTGTGAGCGAGTTTGCCGAGAGCGCTGAGGCATTTCTCGCTGCAGCTGGGAGCGAAACGAGGGGTTATGATTGGAGTGATGAAGTGGTGCTTGGGGTCTATCTTGGCCACGTGTGCGATACAGGCTTCTGTGGCTTCGATGGCGGATTCGGCACTCTCGTCGCGGTAGTAGTCTGGACTTAGTTGGTCCATACACACGCGGCCGACAAATGCGCGTTGACCTTTGGACAAGCAGATGTCAGAGAGCAGGTTCGTGGCCTCGACGTGGACGGTGGCATAGTAGCACGCTGTTGTTGTGCCATGGGAAAGGGTGCGATTGACAACACGAGCATAGATGCGACGGGCTTTTTCCAGATCCGTAAAAGATGACTCCAGCGGGAAAGTATAAGTGTTGAGCCAGTCCAGTAATGTTGATTTGCCGAAAATGCCAGAGTTTGGATATTGCGAGGCGTGGATGTGTGTATCNNTGGGCAGCCACATTAGTCTGAGAAACACCTTCCTCTGCAATGTATCAGAACTACCTATGAAACCTGGAAAGAAGAAGCCTCGATCCTGTATTTGTACCACCTTTGCTTTCTCCCAACCATCCTTTCGCTCGCGTAGTTCGTATGCTGGGATATCTCCAATGTCTCGCTCGATGAATGCAATCTTGCCGTTCGAATCGACTCCGATGGCTCCAGCCTCGCAGATCTCGACTTCTTGCAGAGAAGTGCAATGGGCAAAAGCACCCAAGTATATCGTCTTTTCCGATGCACTACCGTTGGTAGTTGACATGATCATGATTGCTCTATGGGTTGTTGCAGTGATAAGGGATAGGAGAAAGAACAGGAAAAGCGAAGTCAAATCAAACAGAAGACACAGTTATCCGCCCCAGACCCGAGGTATATATACCACAAAGGAGAAGACAAATGCCCGACCTAGAAGAGTGTAAGGTTGACCATTCCAACGACTTATCTCCAAACTCTCCTGGAGTTCGGAGGATGGAGTGGTGGACGGCAGTAGCTGATTGGCGGGCTGGTTCGCTCATCGGCGTGCTCCGATATGGGGAATGCTCTGCTACTTGTAGGAAAGATATAACTGTCATTGGAATCAGACAAAGGAACGATGCTCAGCTAGGAGAGAATGAAGCGCCACTACGAGTTTGATACGGTCACGATGGTATGTGTATGTGTGACCAGACCCCACAAGCCATCGAGACTGGCTGTTAGGCTGATCTCAGTGCTATACAACAATGTCTCATCAATTGACGCCGGCTTTATGATTTCAATTCGCCGAGTTCAGAATGGCCCCTACAACTTGTACTCTGATGGATAAGACGGCAGAAAAGTGATCATGTATTGGAATATTGGAGGCTCGGGGAGGCTGCGGCGAAGCTCTTGAAACAGCAGTCGCTCTGACGTGGGGAGTGCTTGGACCCCGTCTCAATGCCGACCAACAGCCAAACAAGACTGTAGCTATACCACATAGTCACATACACAAAATGGCAGACCAATTCGACAGTGCGCTGTAAGCCCTTGATTCCCAATCAACCTCTCTAACCATCTCTAACTCGCATACCCGGAATAGCGACCTCCTTCGACGCCTGAACCCAAAGAACACGGCCGCCAACCTCTCAGCCATCTGCAGTCTGGTCCCCGAACACGAGGAAGAACTGCTTGCGTCCGTAGATCAACCTCTCGAAGTCCGTCGCTGCAAAAAGACCGGCCGTGATTACCTGCTCTGCGACTACAACCGCGATGGCGACAGCTACCGCAGCCCCTGGAGCAACGAGTTCGACCCTCCCGTCGACGACGCAGAGATGAGCTCCGAGCGCGTGCGCCGTCTCGAAGTCCGCGCAAACGAAGCCTTTGATGTCTACCGCGAGCTGTGAGTGCCTACGCCCAGAAAGAGAAACAAAAAAGGAAAGATATACTGAAACCATTGGGGAAACACAGANTACTATGAAGGCGGCACTTCCTCCGTCTACCTGTGGAACCTAGACGATGGCTTTGCAGGTGTGGTACTGCTCAAGAAGTCTTCATCCCAGACCGCTGCTTCGGGCGCTTGGGACAGCATCCACGTTCTCGAGGTCGCCGAGCGCGGCCGTACCGCAAAGTACAAGCTCACATCTACCGTCATCCTGAACCTCGGCACCAAGGGCGATGCTCTGGGTAGCCTCGATCTCGCTGGCAACATGACCAGACAGGTGGAAGCAGATATGCCCGTCGATGCCGACGAGACCCATGTCGCCAACATCGGCAAGCTCGTCGAAGACATGGAGCTCAAGATGCGCAATTTGCTGCGTAAGTGCTTAGTCCCAACACTCTTACTCAAATCATACGAGCTAATATCAAATGCAGAGGAGGTCTACTTTGGCAAGGCAAAGGATGTTGTTGGCGATCTAAGAAGCATACCGCCGCTCTCAGAGGCCAACCGCGACAGAGCAGCCCAACGTGAAATGATCAGCAGCATGGGCCGATAGACTCGCACCCAGCAAGATACAGCTAATGTCACTTATACAAACTAAGACACACTAAATTTACGAATCTCCGCCAACATCCATTTGAAAATGTAATTCATCAAAGTTGTTCAGAAAAGTACTTTTATTCTGATTTCATCAATTCGTGTCTATGTACAAAGATTATTAAGATGGCTGAGATGTTGCCAATGAGTATATGATCGTGCTCCAATCAAACATCAAACTTATTGGTTGAGTGCGAGAATGAGCTCAGCGACACGCTCACCAACAATAGTGATAGCAGCCTGGGGGTTCGAAGTTGTTTGGCCAGGGAAGATGGAGCCATCGGCAATGAACAAGTTGTCAGTACCATAGACCTTCGAGTCTGCATCGACGACCGCAGTACCGTTCTCCTTGCGACCATCGTCATTGCCCATCTTGCAGCTGCCAAGCCAGTGGTTGACGTACAGGTGAGTGGTCGACTTGACGTAGTTCAAAGCAGACATGCCAGAAGGAGGAGAAAGAACCTCAAGACCAGGTACGTTCTTGAGAACATTAACCATATCTTCGATACCTTGAGCAATGGCGATTTGATCAGACTCATTGTCCATGACAGAAACACCGGTGGAGACGTTCATCTTGAGATCAGAGGTGATAGTGGCGCGACCTCTAGCAGCTTGGCCGATGGTAATGTACTGAGAGAGAACCATGTTGTGCTTGGCGTCATTGTTGATGTCGAGCGAAGTGTCGACACGGGCAGTCCACTGCAAGCCCTGGAGACCATTGGTACCGTTCAGCATCTCCCAAACCATAGGGTTGAGGTTGGAAGATGACTGGGTAAGCATGCCAGTGCGGCCGTTAAGGTAAGCATCAACATCATCCTGGTTAGGGTTGTTCCAGAGACCAGGGAAGTCGTAGTAGACAACGTCAGGGTGCGAGATGACGATATCGGTGTTAATGTTGTCCATGAGGTTGTAGCCGACAGGCAAATCGATCCACTGGTCTTCGCTGATCATTTTTGAGCCCTCGGCATTGCGAACAATCTCGAGCTGATCTCTAGGGCCAATTCCACTTCTCATCAAAACCTTGGGGGTACCGAAAGCACCACCAGCAAGGACAACGGCCTTGTTTGCCTTGACGGTGCCGCTGAAACCATCGTCGGCGGTGTTTGAAATCTCAACTCCGGTAATCTTGGAGCCTTCTCTAATGACTCTGTCGACAATGGCGTTGGTGTAAAGCGAGAAGTTGGGGCGAGGGTAGGCAGATCCGAGGTATACAGACATGGGTCCGCTGCGTTCACCGTTCTGGTACATGAAAGTGGTGTTGGAGTAAACTCTGTCCTTCTGGTCAGGAACGCTGTTGGCGCTGACTTCGGTCCAGTTCGCGGCGCTCAGGGCGCCCTCGATGATATCAGCACCCTGCTGGTAATAGAGCTTTCCGTCTTGAGAGGGGACCTCGGTGCCCGGCAGGCGCGAGAAGACGCGTTCAGTCACGTTTGCCATGTGAGCGCTGTTCCACTTTTCAGGGAACAGGGTGTCCCAGTCCCAGGATGAAGGCTTCCACCAGAGACCAGCGTTGATAGCACCACTACCACCAAGAACACAGCCAGAAATACCGCCAACAATGTCGTCGCAGAAGATGTCGTCAGTAAATCCGTTGCCTTTCGTCCAAATCATGTTATCCAGAGCGGGAACATCGTAGAAGGTCAGGCCAGTGTTGTCCAACCATTGAGGTCTGTTGTTACCGCCCCATTGTCCCGTCGTCGCCTGACCCTTCTCAACCAGAAGTACTGATGCACCACTTTCTGAAAGCTTGTCGGCGACTGTGACACCTCCAGGTCCTGTTCCGACGACAATGTAGTCAAATGCTGAATCGCCAGCTGCTCTGCGTTCGATGGGCTTAGCCGAAACCTGAGTGGATGCTGTTTGAATGTTAGCATGAACGTCCTGCAGAGATGTTGTAGCGGTCCCGGACGTACCCAATGACAGTGCCACAGCGGCTATCGATAGCTGTCTGAACATCTTCGTAAAGATCTAGTATCAATGTGCAGAGGGAGGATAGTGTATAAGTTATTCTCGATACAGACAAGAGTGACCAAGAAGAATCGNAGGTGCTGCTCCTCAAGTACTTATATGGTCAGGCATTCTGACAGACCTTTCCATTTACCTTTGCTATTCTCGTACCTATGGAGTCAGGTCTTGGCCTGGCTGGCCTCTGACCGCATGTAACGCTGCCATCGCTGCTCTTTGCGAATGCGTCGGAGGCGCTGATGATGTCAAGGNCCCGTTGGGCGGACCGTCCGCTTTTCGTGTTCGTGAAGCCTAATTTTGCTTAATTTGAACACGGAAGGGACTTTTCAGAGCGGCCAAGACAGACCCTGTGTGTTTTTCTCGAACTTTGGAGGAAAAGAGGAAAGGTGTGGTGGATGGTTAAAGATGGGTTAAAAATAGACGGACGGACACAGTGAGATCTGCTTTACATGAGAGCGCATGGCTTGCTTGGGTGTCAAGGCTTTGCATTGAGCAAATCGGTAAATCCGGCTCTCACCTTTTCGCCTTCGCTTCTGCTCGTTCTTGTTGCTTGGCTATTCGAGCATGTACCCACCATCAAGTCAGCAGGGAAGTCGCATCCTACGCATGCATCGACTGTGAAAGTTGCAGCAACCGTCATTATCCACTTTAGGCCGACCGACCAAAACATTGTCCCCAGATCCGGTAATCTCAAGGCCCCCTGTTCACGTGGCCAGAATCATTTCACCTCAATGTCTATCATTCTTATACCAATGTCTCATGTCAGATTCAGGTGTCAGCGCAATTTCCATGCATAGTATTGCCGAGTTTGCGCTGACTTGCAGGATCTCGCTCAGCTCCGGTGACATTCTCCATGCTGCAGTTATACTACTGCAATATATTATACGAAGCAAGCCCTATAATCACATTGCTGAGCCACTCGCCAAATACGGATCAAGGTCAAGAGATTTTGCTACCATCAGCTGGTGTCTTCTCGAGATGCCAGATCCCATTATCACTTCTATACACAACATACGAAATCAGTGTTCTATACGATTATTTTGGGATCCATGGCAAGCCCAGCTTATGCATCTCGACTGCAAGCTGGAAAATATAATCGAGACTGTTGTCACGTTAGTCTCTTTCATGAGGTTTCTCAAGCTTCGAAATAACTTACCTCTCACACTGAGTCTTTGCTTGAGCAACATCCTTGCCCCAAACATAACTAGCAATCCATTAGTACCTTCGTCGCAATCTCAGAAGTCTCAGACACTGAAGCACGTACATTCCATGTCTCTTGACCAGAACAGCATGGGTGTCAGGCCACTGCTTGATGGCATCTTCAAGTGTATCCTTCAAGTCCTCCTCGTGTGCAGTGTTATCAATGATGGGAATGCGAAGACGATCGTGGTATCCAAGGTTTCCCTTCTTTCCCTCGCCGTAGCCTTTGGGAATACCCTTGATTTGCTCGAGTTTCTGGATCTCAAAGACGTCGGTGCCGGCGGCTTCGCAGAGCAGTGTCACAAGTACGGCGTCCTTGCTATGTGTGTGGATGCAGCAACCTGCGTCGCGCAATGTGAAGGCAGCCATGAAGAGAGGCGTACATGCTGATGGCTTCAGCACCTGTTTTTTCCATCCTACTCAGCTCTATCTTGGTATTCCAGACGTGTAATGGTAGCCTACCGGTGGTCTGCGCAAGTACTCCCGGGTCGCATAGTCCATAACGAACAAGTCTTGGGGCTTCATGAGCTCCTTCTGGACGCCCGAAGGGGCAATGTAGATGCGTTCGCCATCACGAATTGAGGTACCACCGCCGGTTCCAGTGANCCTGAACACGGTGTAAGTGCTAGTTTCGAGAAATATTCGCTGCTAGTCGCTGAGTCGGCATACCCATCCAAGAGTATAGAACTTCTTGCAAAGCTCGCAGATGAGGTTCGCGGGGTGATGAGGGTCGTGGGAGGTGATCAAGGCCTCTGCCTCGTGTGTAGTCGCCATCTTGCTTGTGTTGTGTCTTTGAGAGAGCTGTCAACAATGTTACTCGCCAACATTTTTTGTTGACAGGTGCGGGGATCGCGGGGCGTGGGCAGCGTCACAAACATGGTGGAATACAAATATTCATCGACTGCCCTGAATCTACAAATACATTTCACGACGAGATATGCTTGATGTGTTCTTGATAAAGTTTCATCGCTATTTGTGTTTCGTAGCAATAGACGCTATCGCTTGTACAACAAAGCCTCCATTTCAAAGCAAATACCATGCAAGCAATGTAAGCCGACTTTTACGACTTTTCAACTACGCTTGCTTGTCTCTGTGTAGCACGTCTTTTGAGTTGACATCATTCGACATCGACGCCTACTCGGCGGCGGCAGTCTCACTTTCTGCAGCAGGTGCGGCCTCAACCTTGTCCTCCTTCACATCGGTCATGGCAGCATCCTTGTTCTCAGCAGTTTCTGTGTTGCTGGGAGCCTCAGTGAGCTCCATGGACTCAGTCTTCTCGACAATCTCCTCGGGCTTCTCTGGCTTTTCGCTGGTGTCCTTGTCCTCAGCCTTGTCATCTTCCTTCTCGTCTCCCTTGGAGCCGAGTGCCTCGTGCCAAGAGGCAAGGAGATCGTTTGATCTCTTCTTGAACTGGAACTCCTCTTCCTTAGGGATCGACGAAAGCTTGATGATACCGCGGAGGACCTTGTAGATCTTGGTGCCACGGATGATGGCGGGCTCGAGGTTTGTGTAGCCTTCAAGCTGGTTGAAGAAGTCGTTCATGGTAGACATCTCATCTTCCTTGGGCGTCTGATCGCGCATCAAGAAACCCTTTTGCAGTCTGTGGCGTAGGTAAAGGACGGCCTTCTCGCGGCGCTCCAGCTTCTCGGCTTCGGTGACAGGTTCCTCGTCAGCAGGCTTTTGCACAACCTTTCTAGGCTTGGCTGCCTTCTTGGCCGATTCGCCGTTAGTCTTAGTAGCTGCAACCTTTGCGGCCTTGGGCGTCTTCTTGGGCTGTCTCTTTGTTAGCTACGTGCGTGAACAACGTGGGCTAAATCTTCTTACCTTGGGACCCTCGCCTTCGCTGTCAGCATCCTTCTTTCTCTTCTTGGTAGGCTTGGCCTCTGCGTCCTCAGGGACGTCAAGGTCCATATCATCCGCGTCAGAAACAGCCTCCTTACTCTTGCTCTTTCTGCGGTCTTTCTTTTCCTTGGTCTTGTCTGCGGCAGCCTTCTCGGCCTTCTTAGCAGCCTTGGCCTCCTTCTCGGCTTGTTTGGCGGCCTCTTCCTCCTGGGCCTGCTTTTGCTGCTGCATGAAATCCTCAAGCATGTTCTTGAAGTAATCGAGGTCATGGCGTTCTTCAGCGATGTCGTAAGCCTCCTTCAAAGCCTTTGACATCTTGCCAGTTTGCTTGTCAGGGGTGCAGTCACCAGGCTCAAGCTTGGTAAGAGAGGTGTTGACCATCCAAGANNGCTGTGATACGAATTAGGATAAGATGCGCACAGCATAACGATGATATGATACTCACAACTCGTTGGTTCCCAGGAACATAACAGGGTAGGTTCTGTCTTTGGCATTTCTGCCATCGTCTTCGTAGTCTTCGCGGTAAGATCCATCGGCACGCTTGGCACTGACGGGTCTGTTGCCCAGGAGAATTTCAGGAAGCATGTCCTCGTCGCAAACGATTGAGGGCCACGGAGAGTATCCCTTGAGTCTGGCCCAGTAGTAGTCGCCGGCCTTGATGTCGAGGTTCAGCTGTGCTACCGACTTCTTCTTATTCAGTTTCTTGCTCTTGTGCTCCGGAACACCACCAGTGGACTTTCTCTTTCCGTTCTTGTTACCGGCGGGCGTTGCGATATCGGTGACATCAGAAGGGAGTATGGCTGCTTCGGTCTTTCCTTCGCCGTCTGGTGCGTTGACCTCAGTGGTTGCTTGTGCGCCAGCAAGTGCTGCGTCGTTCTCCTTGGCTTCGGTGTTGTCGGCCGATGTGTCCATGGCCTCGGTAGTGGCAGGTGCTTAGATCGTGTTAGGTTCAAATCGCGCAGCACATGTGAACATTGTACTCACCTTCAGCGCCGCCAGTGGTAGCTGAAGGGCCTTCATTTGTGGCCTCGGTTGTGGTAGCCTACAGGCGGTCAGTAACTGACGATCTTTGACGCGTTCAATGTTGTGACCATACGTTCTGTGCCTCCTGTGACTCGACAGGCGCAGTCTTGGGCTCTTGCTCAGCCATTCTGATGTTGAAAGGTGTGCGACCGCGGCGTGGTGACGTAGTAGATGGACGCGTTGATGGCGCGACAGACGCGCTGGGTGGTGCTAAAGGATGCGGGAGAGGCTATCGGATGGAAGAGGATGTTGACTGTGTGTCTGTCGATGATGTGCGCGAGGATTGATGGAATAGTTGTGGTGCAAGAGTTGTGTTGAGGAGAAGAGTGGACGCGAAGCTCGAGCTTTCAGAACTTCGGCTTCGTCCAAGGCCCTTCCACACGTGACCTGACAGCAATCGTTTCCTCACCAGCGATAACCACTTCTGGTCTCGGGGTACCTACGTTGAAGGTGAAGGATGTTCTCTTACCTTCCTCGTGGATTTCTCTCGTGATTCGAAGCCTCGGTTGAAGAATTATGAGCGTGCAAGGGAATGTGTTATTCCATCAGCACGCGACGCCAACGCCAACGCCAATAATTGGGAAGCCGCGAGTCGCGACACGTCAAAGATCCGTGCTTTATGCTGGCCAGACAACGTTGAAAAAGCATCATGAATTCTTTCTTTCCCAGTTTGTGAAGTGTAGACAAAACTCCGAGCCAGCCCGAGGCTTCGAGGATTCTAGTTGGCAGCTCAGGATTCGTTTCGCGCATGTACGTTGCATGGCCACGTCGTAATCGCAAACAGACCACAGCACCTCTCCTGTCAAATTGGCCAGGTGCACACGTTCGAGGGATCGAGAAGTACAATAGAGACATCGCGGCTGCTAGTCTGTTGAAGCAGCAACCGATAGGGCGACTCCTTAAGTCTTTGAAGGAAACATGTTCTGTAGGGCCAGATCAAGTCGCTTCGAGAGCTGTCCACACTCATTCAGACGTAGTCTTGCGAGGTGTAATAGCAATAAAATGTGTGTCAGAGCAATGGGCGAGGAATGAGGATACAAAGAAATGGGCTTGTTGCAAAGACTTAGTGCGTAGCTTGTCTGGATAAAGCGTGCTTTTTCGTGAATAGAGGTGACCTTGAATGTCTCCCGGTATGGGCACCTACAGAGACGAGATATGTCCATGTCCAGTATTGTGTGGAGGTCCCGATTTCTTCCCACACTCTTGTGTAAGCCAGCTACTGATCAGAGCTGATCTAGTCTGCGAAGCCTGACTGGCATTCTGGTTAACAATTTCTGTCGGACTTTTGGTTCCATAGCGGTCGCATCAAGAGAAATCACACGGCGGCTATTGTTTAACGACGAGAGCGTTTTCGTGGACTTCGGAATACTGGACAGTCCTGGTCGAGCGCAGGTTTCGCTAGGCTGGTCGCCAGGAGAGGACTTCCGGGCGCGAATGGGTGGTTGCAGGCTTCGGCGATACGAATGAGACTCTGTCAGCTTTCTATCTCGACACGAGCTCGTCGACAAGACTATACAGTCGTAGCGGTCAGGGGCGGAAGCCCGACAAACAACACGGCGTGCAACCCGCGCTGCTGTTTATGCTGCTTGGAACAGCCAGCAGGAGCTATCTTCTTCAGACCGGACGTGGTCTGAAACTGACCGACAGATGACATCGAGCAATCATTCGGACGCCGATGGTTTTGAGTTATGATGCAAGGAGATGTGATGCTCAGGCGTGCAGACGTGCATCGGAGGTTCAAGGTGCGTGAATGGCTTCGCTTCACCGAGCTGCTGCCAATTACACACACGTGACACAACTTTGCATGAACACAGAAGAACGCATTTCTCATCGTACTTTCAGCACCAAAAGAAGCCTCGCTAATTGACAGAATAGGTACAGAAAACATGTTGGTATATATGCTTCTTGGGCTCAAAAATCCTCCCGGCGGGTATGATCTCCGTGACAGGGCAGGAGCACGGCCGAGAGACCTCGGGGTAATTGTGTACAGAGAACATCCTTGCTTCAGATCCTGGAGAGCGACCTCTTCTATAGGTGGCCAGCCCATGCTTCATCGAGAGATGGCTGGCGAACCTCCCAAGCCCACTGGTGGCAAGTCTGGTGCATGACTGGCGAGACTTCTTCCTCGTCAACGCCTTCATCCGCGACTTCCTTGACTCCAGCCTGTAGATACCTCTTCAGCAGCATCCGTCGCCAGCGCCCTCTCTCGCCAACGCAGCGTTCCCATCTGCCAATCTGTCTGTCATCGTCGTCGCAACGACGTCCTTGCCAGAATCGCGTGTACCATTGGAACCAGCCTCGTACATCGTAGGCGTGCGCTATCCAACCAGCGGCCTCCCACTCCTCAATGCTCTGTCCACACTTGACCCTGAACTTGTTGATTTCAGGATCGTAGTCTGGACTGGTGAGATATCTCTCGACGCTCAAGTCTTTGAGCCAATCTGCAGGAAGCTCTTTCCAGTCGTCTTCTATCGTAGTGCGTAGGCTCTTGGAGTACAGCGGCCGATAGTAGGAGCCTCCGAAGGCGCCTTCTGTAAGCATCTCGACAGGTGACTTGTTCGGTAAGAAGGTCGGGTGGCCCTCGAAGTGAAAGGTACCATCACCATCCCGTGTGGGTGGGGGCGCAACTGATTCCCAAGATGTCCAGCCTCTTCGTATGTCTTCGAGATCTGGTGGAGGTGACTGGGCTTTGGTCTCGACAGCGTCTGCTATCACGCTCTGTGCTTTCTTTGTTCCACCTCTTCGCGCCGACTTCGATGTATCGTGGGTGATTGATGGTTCATCGTTGTAGATAGGACGGTCTGTCGAAGCAATACGCGCCGAAACGCGTGTAGGTCGTGTGGATGAAGGTGAGAGCTTGCGCTTCTTTGGGGGTGGTCGCTTGGTCGAGGTTTCTTGCTTGACCTTCTCGATTCCAAGTTCGTTGATCAAAGCCTGGTTGCGCTTGATATTCTCCAATCTACGCGTTTCATAATCCGTCATGGTGTGCAAATGATCGACTGGTAGAGATGAACTGTGTTGTCAGCATGATCAAGACTTGCGAAGCCTATGACGTAGATCAAAACGTCAGTCAGCTCTTTGTTTCGAGACATGAACAAGATATAAATGAAGGACGGACCTGAATCAAAGACTGTTCTCATCAATTGAATATCCATAAACAAATATCATTAACACTACATATATCTTCATCATGTCTGCAAACAGTTTCACCGGTACCAACCCCGCGGGTTCCAACCACCCCACCACAAGCACGCACACCACTGCCACTACCACTAGTGGCACCAAGGGCGCCGAGGCTGGACAAGGCTTGAAGGGCATGTTCGCTAAGGGTCACGTAAGTCTTCTACTCCCCGTCTCGAGATCTGCTTTTGACAAGGCATACAGNGGTATTGGCGAGTCTATCCGTGGCAACATCAACTCGGCCATTGATGGCTTCACTGGCGACAACGCTTCCCTGGCAAAGAACGAGCAAGTCGCACGTGGAGGTGAACAGGAGTTCCAGACTGGCGATTTTGTCAGAAAAGGAACCACCGACAAGGCCCTTTAGATGGCCTTGTTTTGTTCCCATTCGCGCTGGCTCCTTCCATGCTTTTACGATTATGATACCCAACCCTGATAGATATAATCAGCAATGAACCATTTTACAATCTACAAACACTTTCGAGAACTCTTGCGCTCAGATCAATACTTGTGTCCTCTCCATCCGCTGCATTTCGAGCTGTATAGTCGCGTAGTAGCTGTAGCGACAGGCAACCGCCCGAGAGCCAAGAATCGTCGGTCGTTATGTGCGTGTCTCTTCCTCTTGATAGCTTATACGTTTCTTTGCATTGCCATGAGATATGATCAGAAGTAGTAATATATAAAGAAGGCCGAAGTAGAACGTAACCAACGACGTTGTCTTCCGCTTCCCGCGGCATGCACGAGTTCCGACTCGGTCCTACCTAACCAAAATCCACGTCATGCCGAGTAACAACAGGATAGCAAGAAGGAAATTACAACATCCTGTCCACAAGTGTTTTCAAACGATTCCATAAATGTTGAAATAGTGGCCGATGTCCTTTCAATTGCTAAGGTCTCGTCTTTCTAACCATCGCACAGCTGTCAAGCAACTTACCTTGAACCGAGCATTGAGCAAAACAACAATAATGGCTAGCAACGAAACAGCTGGATTTAGTCATCTTCCTCTAGCTACTAACAAAGCTATGGAATGTGCTCTGACAGTGAGTGGTTGTCGATGACTTACATTGGGTTCTTGGGGACGTAGCTGACCATGTATGCTGTAGGGGTCTGAGCTGCTGTCGTGCGCCTATCTGAACAAAGGCAGTGCCTTCACCGAAAAGGAACGTGATGAGTTTGATCTTATTGGTCTGCTACCATCCAATGTCCAAACTCTCGACGAGCAAGTCAAGAGAGCATATTCTCAATTCAAGTCCAGATCAGACAATCTCGCAAAGAACACCTTCATGACCAGTCTGAAGGAGCAGAACGAAGTACTCTACTACAAGCTGATCCAAGAGCACCTCAAGGAGATGTTCCCTATCATCTATACACCCACCGAGGGTGAGGCTATCAGCAACTACTCGACCCTCTTCCGCCGCCCTGAAGGTTGCTTCCTCAATGTCAACGAACCGGAGAAGATTGAGCAAAGTATGTCACAGTGGGGTGGTCCTGACGATATCGATCTTATCGTTGTTAGTGATGGCGAGCAGATTCTGGGCATCGGCGACCAGGGCGTAGGAGGTATCCTGATCTCGGTCGCAAAACTGGCTATCTACACTCTCTGTGCTGGAATTCACCCTCACCGCACGCTTCCCGTAGTGCTGGATGCCGGCACCAACAACAAAGACTTCCTCAAGGACGACCTGTATCTCGGTCTCCGACAGGAGAGAGTCAGGGGAGAAAAGTATGACAAGCTCGTCGACACCTTTGTCAAGACGGCAAGGAAGCAGTACCCTAACGCATACATCCACTTTGAAGACTTCGGCCTGCCCAACGCCCGTCGCATCTTGGACGAGTACACTCCTAAGATTGCTTGCTTCAATGACGACGTTCAGGGCACCGGATGCGTCACCTTGGCTGCGATTTACGCTGCCCTGAAGGTCGCAAAGCTTGAGATGAAGGATATCCGTGTCTTGATGTACGGTTCAGGAACTGCTGGTACTGGTATTGCAGACCAAGTTACAGATGCAATTGCTGTCGAGTCTGACAAGTCTAAGGAGGATGCTTTGAAACAGATCTGGTAAGTCAGGATATTACGTCTGAGCCATCACCAGTACTGACAGCTCGACTTTAGGTGTGTTGACAAGCCTGGTCTACTCCTGCAATCGATGAAGGACGATTTGACGCCAGCCCAACATCCGTACGCTCGCGATGATGAGGAATGGAAAGGCAAGAAGCACGACGACTTGCTCGAAATCGTGCGCGAAGTCAAGCCTCACATCCTGATCGGGACATCCACTAAGCCCAAGGCTTTCACGGAGGAGGTGATCAAAGAGATGGCCAAGCACACCGACCGCCCGATCATCTTCCCCCTGTCGAACCCTACCAAACTACACGAAGCAGACCCCAACGATCTCTTCAAGTGGACAGAAGGCAAGGCCCTCATGGCAACTGGCTCGCCATTTGATCCAGTCGAGTATAATGGCACCAAGTACGTTGTTGCAGAATGCAACAACAGCACGACATTCCCCGGCATTGGACTGGGAGCCGTCTTGTCTCGAACCAAGCTCATGTCACCACCTTTGTTGGTTGCAGCAACCAAGGCGCTCGCAGCTCAAGCACCAGCACTCAAGGACCCCAACGATGGACTGTTGCCAGACGTGACCAACGTTCGCGAGATCAGTGTCAAGATTGCAGCAGCGGTGATCAAGAAGGCAAAGGAAGAGAAGCTGACTCAACAAGAAGGCATTCCTGGGAAGGATGAGGAGCTAGAGCAATGGATCAGGGCTCAAATGTGGGATGCCGAGTACAGACCTTTAAAGAAGATCGAACACCAACAAGCAACACGTCACGCAAAGGGCGAGGCTGGCACCAAGGGAAAGACGTCGAAGAAGTCGAACTAGATGCACTTAGGACACCTAGATATGATTGATGCAATACTGATAATTCCAGCTTCTCTTGGTTGCATCCTCTTCATGTGCTCAAGTCTCTAACTTCACCCTTCTCACAAAAGCGTAGAGCAACCCGTACACTATAAAAAGACGCAATTATCCGTCAAAGAAGAGTAGTGGCCGAAGAGAGCCCCTTGGATGTTAGCTCTTAGTGGATACTGGCCTGTTGGAAGGAGGATGTAGATGTTGAAGACGGAAAGGGAAGGATGAAGGCGGTGGACGACTTGGCATCGTCGCAAAAGTCCGGGGCGAAAGTCCGAGCGGGTTGACAAAAGTTCTCGAATTATTTCTTTGCAAGTGCAGCAAACACGCATATCCCAACCACAATCACAAATCACAATGAAGCGCAAGTTGAACGACCAGGACGTGCCCGAGGTGGCAGAGGCTGTGACGGAAATCGAAGAAAAGGTGGAAAAGACGACGCCGACAGCAAAGACATTCGCCGAACTGGGACTGGATGCGCGCCTTTTGCAGGCCATCAACAAGGAGAAGTTTGCGGCTCCGACTCCTGTGCAAGCCCGTGCCATTCCTCTGGCTCTGTCGGGCAAGGACATCCTTGGTTGGTCATCTGCCTCTCATGCCGTCAAGTTGCAAGGCTAACACGAAACAGCGCGAGCACGAACCGGCTCTGGCAAGACGGCAGCATACCTTCTCCCCATCCTCCAATCCATCCTACACCGCAAATCCGCACAGCCCTCGTCAACGAAATCAACTTCGGCTCTCGTCTTAGTCCCCACTCGCGAACTTGCTGGCCAGGTCGCAAAGGTCGCCCTTTCGTTTGCTGCCTTCTGCGGCCAAGAAGTGCGCATCGAGAACTTGACTCGCAAGGAAGACGACAAGGTCGCCCACGCCCGCCTGATCGAAGCTCCCGATGTCGTTATCGCTACACCCTCAAGAGCGACCAGCCTTGTCAACGCCTCTCTNTTGCAACTACAAAATCTCACACATCTCGTAATCGACGAGGCTGACCTTGTCCTTTCATACGGCCACGATGAAGACCTGCAGAACCTGTCCAAGGTCATTCCTCAAGCTGTGCAAACGGTCTTGATGAGCGCCACGCTACGAACCGAAGTCGACACTCTCAAGGGCATGTTCTGCAAGGACCCCGTTCTCCTCGAACTCGACCAGGAAGAGAAGGAACAGTCGGCCCTCACACAATACGTTGTCCAGTGCGGAGAGGACGAAAAGTTCCTGCTCATCTACGCCATCTTCATGCTCAAGCTGATCAAGGGCAAGTGCATTGTCTTTGTCAGCGATATCGACCGCTGCTACCGTCTCAAGTTGTTCCTCGAGCAGTTCGGCATCAAGAGTTGTATCCTGAACTCGGAATTGCCCGTCAACTCGAGATTGCACGTTGTAGATGAGTTCAACCGCGGTGTTTACGACATCATCATTGCGAGCGACGACAGCGAAATTGTCGGAAACGAGGAAAAGTCAAGCCGCAAGAGGAGGAAGGTCGAAGCTGCAGATGAAGATGCTGAATCCACTGCTGTTGAAGGAGAATCAGCCGCTCCCAAAGAGACGGCCGCCGAGAACGACGACGAAGAGAAGGAAGAAAAGGCATCAGAAGAAAAGCCAAAGAAAAAGCAAAAGCGCTCGAAGCTCGACAAGGAATTTGGTGTCTCGCGTGGTATCGACTTCAAGAACGTCGCCTGCGTGCTCAACTTTGACCTGCCCACCTCATCCCGCAGCTACACCCACCGCATCGGCCGCACCGCCCGTGCCGGCAAATCTGGCATGGCCCTCTCCTTCGTCGTCCCCAAATCCCTCTACCGCAAGCACAAACCCACCACCATTCCCTCAGCCGAGCACGACGAAGAAGTCCTCGCCAAAATCACCCGCCAGCAAGAGAAAAAGAACCAACAAGTGCTGCCCTACCACTTTGACATGAAGCGTCTGGATGGCTTTAGATACCGTATGACCGATGCTCTACGCTCAGTCACCCGCATCGCCATCCGCGAGGCCCGTATCCGCGAGATTCGCTCCGAGCTGCTCAAGTCGGAGAAGCTGAAACGCCATTTCGAAGAGAACCCGACGGATTTGCAGCATCTGAGGCACGATCAGGAGAGTCATGCTGTTCGCGTGCAGCCGCATCTCAAACACGTGCCTGAGTATCTGTTGCCTGGAAACTCGGCGGTGGCACAAGATTCTGGAGACGGAGGTTTTGTTGGCTTTGGCAAGAGTGGAGAGAACAGGATCAGAAAAGCGAGAATGCAGAATAGAATGAAGGGCAAAGGCAAGGGAAGGAAAAAGTCGGACCCGCTGAAGTCGTTGAGTGCGAAGAGGAAGTAAGGGGGTCGACCTATGTTGATAAGGTTCTTCTTCGATATCATAATCATTGCTCTTCTTTCGTCTGTCTATATACGTCCACACTGGCGAAACTTGACCAAGTCTACAGTTGATTCTGTGATATCTCTGAAACCATGCCGTGTATACCCTTCCTCTCTTCCTCATTCAAGGGAATGCCAAACTCTTCCTCAATAACCTTTATCCTCTCATCTTCTGACTTCAACTCTCTACTAATCAGCGCATCTTCACCGACACGCTTCTTGAAGTCAGTCTTGAGGATATGCATATGGCCCACGATCTTGTCACCGCTATCGTCTAGCAGCATCCTGAGACAAACAGGCATCTGCGTAAACCAAGAATCCTTGCTAGTGCTAGTCCAATGATTCATGACTTTGAAATCTGACTCGAGGAACTCTGTTTCGGCGAAACAATAGCAAGGAGACCAGTTCTGATCGCCATTGCGCTTTTCATATACCCAGAGCTTTTGGTCAGAGGTAGTGCCGGGGATGGGCGAGTGGATGACTCTGGCCCATTGATTTGGCTGTATGTTTAGTCTACCCTCCTCGTCGTGCTGTAAAGGTACAGGGAAGGTAGGACCACCAGAGCCAAATCCAACATCGACGTGATATTTCAAGGTTGGGTTGTCTGGGAAGGAGACGAGATTGACCATGTGGCTGAAGCCTGAGAAGGTGACTTGGTCGAGAGGGATATCTTTTGCTGCGCTCACGGAACTGCTGATACGGGCACCATGGCTGGTAACGTGGAAGCCGAGACCGCGGAGGACGTTGGCGAAGAGGGCATTGTTGACCATACAGTATCCGCCGCGTCCTTTCTTTCCATCTTTTCCTACGACAATCTTGTCGAATATCTGTTGGACATCGATTCTGATGCTATGGTGGGAGCTGTAATGCAAGTCTAGGTTCTCAAAGGGGATGTGAGCGAGGTTATAGCGTTGGAGGGCACTCAGAAACACGAGGCCAGTGGAAGTCTTCGAAGCAATGTTTGTGCTGGCATTGCCGGGCTCATGGCGGTATTGTTCGGAGAGATTGATGCGGTCGTAGTATTGGTAGATTTGGGCTGGAGTGTAGCCGGGACGCGGGTTGCTGCTCATGGCGAAGATGGTAATGCATGGTCAAAGATGGGTGTGGACGAGAACAGCAAGGTGCAGTGACGTTTCATCGTCACTGCCATGTGGGGTCTTCTGGTCAGTGTCCTCTCATCTCAACCCTCTCGCTCTCATCCCCAGCACACTCGTAGAACTACACGAACTGGAAAAAGCCTGGCGAGGTTCAATGAGATGCGCTATCAAGCCACAGCGACTTCATGGCTCCGAGAGTAGGGTCGTCGCGTGGATGAACGTCTGTACAGCAGCACAGGCTCACTCACTGACCACACCCAACGGTCTGGGCTTGACCCACCGTGGAGGGCGATGGAATAGTGCCCAAGTTTCATCTTGATATTAACGGACTGAGCACGCATCCCAGCATGGTATAGATTCTCGGATAGATACCCGATAGCTCCTTCATCACTTCTCGTGGGAAAGAGCAAGTGGCACAGTTCTTGCGCCATCATGTATACAAGACTTTGCCGCCGTTACAGCCATAGTCGCACTCGCCCCTTTAGTTTCTTTCGCAGAAGTCATAACAAGGCAGGTTCTAATTGTTGATTCCTTTTCTGTTTTCTCTTCTTTCTCTGCTGTTCCTCACATCGAATCATTGAACCCTTGTGTTTTATCTTCTTCGCCTTTACAACAACGCGTCCATTGCTACGTGTGGCATATATTGCGCCTTGTACAATTCACACCCAAAGCTACACAATGAAGTTGTTCAGCGTGGCCACTGCCTTGCTCGCCGCAGTACCATTTACCCAAGCATACTGGAAAGGCTTTAATGTTGCCGCCGAAAACCCAGACGGCTCATGCAAAACACAAGCGCAATGGGTCTCTGCTTTCCAAAAGCTAGCCTCGCTTCCTGGTCATTTCACCTCTGCCCGTCTATACGCATCAAGTGATTGCCAGACATTGACGCTTGCCGTCCCTGCCGCCATCTCCACTAGGACTCAGCTGCTCGTTGGTGTCTGGACTCAGGATGAGGGCCATTTCAAAAGGGAGAAGGATGCCCTCGAGAGTGCCATCAAGAGATACGGTCAGGACTGGATCATCGCCATCAGTGTTGGAAGCGAAGACCTGTACCGCAAAGAGATTAGTGCATCGTCTCTTGCACAGAAAATCTACGATGTTCGCGGAATGGTTCGCGCCATGGGTGTGAACAAGGAAGTTGGACATGTAGACACATGGACGGCGTGGGTCGATTCTGCCAACACTGAAGTCGTCAAAGCATCCGATTTCATTGGCCTTGGTGAGTCAACATCTGCATCGATCACAACTGCCCGACATACCACTAACATTCTNTTAGATGCGTACCCATACTTTGAGGGCAGCAGCATCGAAAACGCAAGCAACGCATTCTGGAGCGCCATCAACAAAGTCCGTGGCGTGGTTGACAAGGTCTCTCCAGGCAAATGGGTCTGGGTCACTGAGACAGGATGGCCAGTCAGCGGTTCCAAATACGGCAATGGAGTCGCCAGCGTTAAGAATGCTCAAACCTTCTGGAAGCAGATCGCTTGTGCTGCCTTCAAGCAAGTGCACATTTTCTGGTATGTGCACCAGGATTACCAAGCGTCGCCTAGCTTTGGTGTCATTGACCGTAATGGGAACGCCATTTATGATCAACAGAGCTGTTGAGACGTGGTCGGGGGTATGAGGGGTAGTCTCTGTTCATATTATGATAGCGTTGCATCTTGATACATTCTGTAATGAAACACTGTTTAATGTTTACACTGAGATGGAATCAATAGTTATCACACTGTGCCAACGCGACAAAGGCCACATCTTGCCACATTCTGCATTATTTAATTCGAGGTAAGCATTCGTATTCGTAGCACATTAATGATATATGTAAGGCAAGGCGAATCACATCGCCATCCTACTCAACTTTACGGCCGTGACGACCATCGTCACCATTCTCATAAGGACCGCCCTCCTCCTTGACAAGACCCTTCTTCTCGTTGGTATCCTTGCTCTGTCTGCTCCACTCTGGCGCCTCATCCTTGCCAGCATCCTCCTCTTCGTCACCCTCCTCCTTTGTCTTGTGCACAGTCCTGCTATCGTGCTCGGCAGGACTGTACACGGTAACCAACTCCAAAGGCTGATCTTTACTCGTATTGTAGAACTGATGTTCTGTTCCCGCAGGAACGACAACCACATCACTGGCTTTGATATCCTNGTTTCTCTTGTCAGTGCTCTGTGTCTGTGTTTTGGAGGTCTGAGGAGCAATCTTTACCTGTTCCTTGCCAGCAACAACAGCCTTTCCAGTGCCGCTGGTGAAAATCAACACTTGATCCACCAAATGCACTTCATTGCCAATATCGCCTCCGACAGGAATTTCCATGGTGACCAATTGCGAATACAGTCCTGTGTGGATGACTTTTCTGAATTGGCCAAAGGCGCGCACTTTGGAGGTTAGGGCGTCAAAGTAGACCATTTCGTGCTTTGGTGGGGAAGTGGACATTTTGTCGTCTTTGGCGTAAAGCGGGGTGGTGGTGAGGAAGGTGCGGGTTAAGGGAGTAAGGGCCGTTGGTTTGAGGTTGCGGAGGAGTGTGCTTGTTCTTGATGCGAGGCGGGCGGAAATCATTTGGTGTTAGGAAGTGGAAGAAGGTAAGGGAAGGTAGGTGATTCAATGGGTCGGGATATGTATGAATTGATCTGGTGATCTTCGTCATCGTTTCAATACCATCAACGTCATCGATGTGTTTGCTGGGAGTACCACCCTGCTCCAATATATCATATACAGGGATGAATGCTCTCTCATCGGTTGTCCATCAATTCGACCATGAACTTGACCATCCCCTTCAGAAACGCCATGCCATCTTGTTGAAATATCCATCTTTGAGGTATGTGAACGAACGGTCTGACGAACTATCTCAAGATGGAACGGGTTGAAGGTAAAACGTACGAGATAAATGCGAGGGTCGTTCGTTCATTCTAACTTAGCAAGATACTGCCTCTAACTTATTATGTACAACATGTTTTCCCGTAACTCTGCTTCTTCTTGCTAGTGACTGATACTCCAAGCGTAGAAAATAAGAAAATCATATCGCGCTTTTTTCAGCCAATCCAAAAACAAAGTGGTATCTCCCATGACTCCTTATCCATAGTCCAGCTATTCTGTCAGTCTGTCCTTCTCTCTCCGTAACGCCAGTAGTGAAAATATATGATGCCCTCTTTCAGATGATGGGTCCCTCACTCCGCGGAGTGACTTGGTCCTCCTGTTTTGACCCGGTGCAAAAATGAGTTGAGTCCGGTTGTACTGGCCTTTGTCCGTGGTCGAAGCATACTGCCCATGAAGCCACTGCTGAACGTCTTTTCTCTTGCGTCTGCTGTTCCAGGGCGCTCTTCTTCTTTTCTGCGTGCCTCCAGTGCCTGACTGCGCCGCCAGAAGCTCATCACAGTACATTGATCGCTCGTATCCACACGCTCGAGCTGTATCTCTAACCAGTCCTGTATCTCGCGTACGTGTTGGAGACGATAGGAAACTTGATAACGCTGCAGATGACTCACAATTCGCGCCGAACGCATATGTTTGTCGAAATTAATTACCATCTTCGTTTCAGTGCCATAGTCGTTGTCACTGGGCAGAGGCCGAGTGTTCGAATTGCCAGCATCCACAAAGGTAAGATCGGTAAGATACATGCCCACGAATGGTAGACACGGCGCTTTTGGTGTTTGCAGACGGTGTCTGAGAGCTGCGTAGTTTCGTGATACATCAACTACCTCCTTAATTTCCTCGAAGATGGCGTTTGTCTTGGGTGGTAGCTGATCCCATGTCTGACGAAGTCTAGAGATTGCCGAGGTGGTGAGAGAGCAGGAAATTGCCATGAGAGCCGAGTAGTTGTCGATATCGAGGCACTGCTTGGCGATCTTGATCCAATGCTTGAGAACAGCGACGCGTCTCTTGATTTGATGAGCACCAAGTATGGTGTCGACAACAAGATTGGTGAGATTTGTCGAAAACTTTGACATGGCTAAGACGTTTTCGGCTTGTCCATTTTTCTTCGTCCACTCGAGACCGAGCAACTCGTGAGGTAATATAGCACAGAATCTCTTCGACTCTATGATAGTGAGTTGTCTAGCAACCTCGACAGCGTCCAAGTCCAAGAGAGTGAGTTTTCTGGTAGGGAAAGCACCCGTCAGAAGATACAGCTGCTCCTTGTTGATATTGGCATGAGGTATGATGGTTTTCTCATATTCACTTTCCAGCGCAACGCAGGTCTTGCCGATAGCAGAAACCAACTGATTCTCCACGCTGGTTACTTCGATTTGGGAGGCAATCTTGGTTAGTCCAGCCAGACGTTGGCCTGGTCCCGAAAACTGGAGACTCAGTCGTTCGACCGCAAATCTGTGTATCATCTCCAAGGCGGGCGCATCGCTTTCAGCCAGGTAGTGGGACTCGAGCCAGGTCTTGAAGAAATTATACACCCTAAGACGTGCAGGAGAACTGTCCGTATTGCAGTCTCCAGCGTATTCATACCGAGTAATCAGTGCCTGCGTCAGCTCCACAGCATTGGTGAAGAGACGGAATGTAAGTAGGAAAGCCGTGTTGTACTCAGGTTCTGGTGGACCATGTTGACTTGTGAGTTTCTCGACGAGCGCTGCTAGCGTTCCACCAACAATCTGTCCATCTTTGTTGTACAGCAACTCATGAGCATATGACCTCATCAGGACTTCGGCATCGTGCTCACTGCCGTTAGCGGTCGTCGCGACACTCAACACACTGCCATGAGTACAAAGACTTGGATTGGCCCGGACATGTCGCTGGTATCGGTCGGGTGTCGTGGCCCTGGTCGATGTTGGTGAGGTTACACTGGCGAGCGAGTTTCTCAAACTGTCTTGATAGGCGCTCGAGCTCTCTGTCGTCGACATTCCGAGGCTCCCCTTTCTGTCCGGTGGTGGGATCCAGTGTTCCTTGTGGTCCTGCTGGTATTGTTCTGGTGACTCATCTGCAGGTGGTGGTGGTGACTGTAATGGTGGCTCGGATGCTGTTAGTGAAGTGGGTGAGATGGGCGTATCACATGTTATCAGTGGTGGAGAAGGATTGGGCCTGCGCATATTCGCATCCGAAAAGACCGTAGAGAGTGTGAAATCGTTGGTATCATCGGTGTTTGAGCGCAATAGATATGGAGGTCTCTGTGGTAAGCCTCGTATAGCAAGGTTAGTCTCGGTTGAATTGCGATGTTGCGGGTTAGCGGCACCGGCAGCGGCATCCGACCAATTACCGGTGGTAATCTNCCCAGGTGGTTCCACGTGTTCGATTAAACGACCAGGGCCAGACTCCTCATGCTGTCCTTGAGAGGTGCCAGATGAAAGGAAGAAGTCACCACTTGTATAATCAAGAAATTTTCGCGTTTTTGCGGTGCAGTCACCTGCGGCGCGGACGCAAGCGGTTGCTGCAGCCACAAGTCCTCGACCATCTTCTGGACCCACAACTCCTATAATTTCGGGGTCGTTCGAGTCTGCGGGAATCCTGCACAAGCGATTTGCAGTCTCTGCGAGTATCTTGAGTTTCACCCTCATATTCTCCGAGGCTACTGCAATGCCTTGACATCGACTGGTATTCCGCTCTGATACTTTACCGACAGTTACCAGCAACTCTTCAGCTGCTTTTATCGAAAGTCTTGTCGTCGTTGCCAGATCCAGAGACGCTCTAGATTGAAGGTGGAGGCCAATGAAGGCACCGATATCGCCCAAGAACTGTTCATGAGCGGCCGTGAGACGTTCAGATGCCAGATCAGACATGTTTCCTTCAGTCAAAGCGAGCGTACTCATGACCGCAGGCACCGGACCTGAAGCGATAGGCGACGATTGCACTTGTGACGGTGTGTCATACGAAAACACTTGACACATTTCTTCTGAGGTCAGCTCCGGGCCAAACTGCTCGTCAACAACCTTCGAGTTTTGGGAGATCTCGTCATATTCAAGAACTCGGAGCTGAAGCCTTGGAGTCTTCTTGGCCAGATTGGGATGGGATGGTCGGATTGAGTCCTCGTCGACATCCGGCAAAGGAGAGGACGAAAGTCCTGCATGCAACAAGGTCCTTGCAGTTCGAGGGCTTTGGAAGACCTCGCTGTGACGCGTGCTTGATCGTCTTTGCTTCGGCGAAGTGCTTTGGGCCCAAATATCGAGGAAGCGAGCACCTCTGCATGCTATTTTGAAAGCGTTGGACAAGTATTCGTTAACGTTCGACCATACAACGGCATCAGAAGAGTCGGAGAAGGTGTTGTGTATCTTCTCGCGATTTTTCAAAAGACCAGAAAGATCTGCCAAGAGACTTTTTCGAGTTCGTCTCAAAGCAATATGTCTCTTGATCATGGCATCATCTCTGTGTAGACAGTCGCAGTGTTCCAGCAAGCGTCGAACACCAGCTACAAGGCCTTGAACATAATCTTGCCTGTCCTCGAACAGAGTCTTGTCGTTTGCACCCAAGCTCAAGTAATCCCACATTCTGGTTAATGCATGAAGGAGAGATCGCATCGGCCGAGGATCGTAAATCTGACAGTAGTTGGTAGGTATCCAGCCTCGAGTGCCGGTGGAGAGTATGGTACCATCAGCCCAGCCGTTCGGATGAGTGAGATGTATGAGAACGATGTCGCCTTCTCGTAGAGGTGCGGTGATGGAGATGCCACCCGAGGACCCGGAGATGGTAGTATGTTCGGGTTGGTAGTCGTGGCTAGCACGAAGGTACTTGCGGTCGAGAGGAGGCGCTTCAGGCTGCCGCTCTGATGCGACACCTGTCTCCTCGGACGAGTGAGTGATATCCTTGAGGCCGGCCATGGTTTAGTCTAGAATCGCTGGTGATGCATCTATTCGTGGTGTATGTGTTCGAAAGGTTAACTGAGTTCACACTGTCTCGTTGTTCTCGTGGTTGTGTGAAGACAGGGAGAGCCCACAGGCATGCTGTCTTGATGGGAGCGAGTTGGTGGCGTGAATCAAGAGAAGTATGTCTGGCTTTGATGCACAGCCATTGCTCTGCTTGTAGAAGGCAAATGATGTTACGATTGTTGTAAGCAGGACTTGAATATGTTTGTTGCAGCTAGATCCGTGGAATGCGAAGCAGGGAAATGGCAATGGACTTGGTCGAGATCGGGGTCGCTGCCAAAGCGCAACGAATGACGACTGAGTGAGCCGAGGGGCAGCCAGGAGGCAAGGAGGGAGCGATATCCCCGCAGATTGGAATGGCTGACCGTCGACAAGGCGCAAGGCAAGCAACTTGACCTTCTTCACAGGGGCTTGCAAGAGTTTTGTCTTTGGAAGCAAAGAGTGTGAGAGCATTCGGCACTTACTACCTATTGCCTGTGCAACACAAATTATCAATCATGCACGAGTAGTTCATTCTCCTCGGTAACCTAAAATCGTAGCCCAACGGCGGCCCGTGATCCTAACAATTTAGATTTTAAGCAGTCGCGGGAACTTGACAGCATTGTACTCGGTCTGCGACGCCTCGAAACCGCCTTTGTCAGACACTCGCCATATACAGAGCGTACTGCGCTCAACTAACACCATCTCGGCCTCACCAGGAGACGTATTGATCATGGATGAACGGCCGATCGACGCCAAACTCTATTCAATGGACCCTGCCCACTCCCACGGGCTCGGGATCGATGACAGGATCAAGAGATGATCTAACCTGGAGCTGACTCTTCCTTGTCTGTCACAGGTTCTGAGATGGACAGGTTTTTGGGTCCAAAATCTTGGTTGAGAGGCAAGAGAAGGGTGGTGCGATGGCGCGCGGCAGTGCTTGGTTGACAGCAGCTACTATTGAGATCGACATCAAGCCATTCTTTCGTCGCTTGTATGCGACTTCACACCCATCAGTCGCTCGTGGGGTATTCTGCAAGGATAGTGACAGATGCCGATGTGCGTTACACCCATATAAACTTTGCATATCAAATTACTACTGACCGCCATCAAGATTCTTTCTTGATCCGTCCTTGTCTTTATTTCCATCCTGTCTCTTGCCTATGCGTTTTGACCATGAAAACTCAAACAGCTTGGCATAATAGATCAATCTGGGAGATACGCTTAAGAACTGGATGTCATTGCTATTAATGCCTAAGACTCACGAGCGACGTCCACCAAATTTACGAATGCTAGAAGAGTCAAACGAACTTTGGTAGCGTATGCCATGCAGACGCTCCGCCCAGATCTGCACTCCTGCATTCTCCCTAATGCCTAACTCATATTCCATGATCGCAGTAGACGTATGGAAGCCCATTAATCCACCTCCAATCTGTGTTAGGCATAAGACCGTTGCTTGATCTTGACGAATACCTATAGCTTCCTCCTACGAGATCCAGAGCCAGATATCTAATAAGCCATACTAGAGATTAAACTCATGCATAATGGTGCATGTCCTTTCCTAACTATGGCCCGTTCCATTGACGCCCTTGGAAATGAGAATAGGGCATAGGCCATGCATAATTGCGTGTATGATTTGTGACTTGATTCGTAAAGTCGACTCTACGGCGACATGGGTTTTGTGCATAAGGCCATATAATGTTTTTGTTGATCGTTTGCTAGCGGAGAGAGATCCATCAACAAGTTCGACTTCCAAATCCATGTCGTAAGCAAAGGATGGAAGAAGAGTACCTTTAACATAGTAGGTACAAATGACTGCAAGCGATCTGACATCAATGTTTTATGACAAATGTAGATCTATAGCAATTTGGATGGCGGAGGCAAGATGGATATTTGCATGGTCATTATAGGGAGTGTTGCTATGCCGCTTAATAAAAATCAACTGGACCTAAAGGCATGCGGTTGCTGTAGCATGTTTTTGTTAAAGTATCGAAGAGCTTAGAAGGTCATGCGACTGCAGTAGGGAATGGTGATTAGATGCAGAAGGGCTGAGGAATTGAGATGCATCTGGGATAACCATAGAAGGAGTAAAGTTGGAAAGCATCCATAATGATATTTGATGGCTGTTAATGCAGCCGTCTTTCCCGTATGCTAATACTTCTGGAAACTCGACAGAAGTCCCAGAAATTGTTGCAATTGCTTGGACACAAAGAATTTGAAGATCTTGTTTGGTCAAAAACTTGCCGCCGAGCATTGAGATGACATAGATGACTTTGGGGACTGGACATAGGATTCTAGAGCGAAGGATGTCCATCTCAGCATTCGGGATTTGTGTGGGTCGAATATGATAAACGAGAGCGGGTTCCAGTCCTTCTATATTGTGTTAATACGATTCTGGCTATGGTTGACAGTCATGTGTCGGGAGAGTGCTCTAGCGTCACAATATCCCTCCTGACATATATGGTCTTTGTAGGGGACAGATGGATTATAGTAAGCGTCCTTAGAATGCTTAGAGATCCAATGAGTCTCAATGATGATGGGATGTGCATTGCAGCCAAAATACACGTTTGTTCCATAAGAAGAGTCTGCATAGATAGACTGTACAAAGGTTGAACGGAACAGCTTGTGCGGTCAGGAGGCAACGCACAAGCAACGGAAGCACGAAGAGGCCTGTCTGTCCGCCATGCCGACTCGTATGGCACAGTGGAGCTTTTGAAAGATCCAGACAGCAGATGCCAACGAGATGGTGATTGTTGTCAACGGTAGTATGGCACAGCTATTGAGGTGGACGGCGATAAGAGAACAAAAGAAAGATAAGACTCGGACACGGGCCTTGACGCAAAGGTCAGCATCCCGCAAACCCAATAATGGCAATTCCACCGCGACACTGACAACTACCATCTTCGCTTGGTCAATTGACTACCAAAACCGACAATGCTGGAACATGTGTCTTTGACGGTGCATGAGGCCTTCTCTGGAATCGCCGGGAGCATCTCGCTGGCCTGCTGGATCTTCCTGCTGGTAAAAATTCCTTCGTCGCTTCTGTCGCACACACCTGTGCCTGACTCATTCTCACCANNGGTGCCTCAATTGATCGAGAACTACCGTCAATCCTCTGCAGACGGCATCTCCATCACCTTCCTGCTGGTATGGATGGCCGGCGACATCACCAACCTCGCCGGCGCTCTTTGGGCTGATCTCGTGCCCACCGTCATCGCTCTCGCCATTTACTTCTGTTTCGCCGATGCCGTTCTGCTGTCGCAATGCTTCTACTACAACACTTTGAATGCCCGCCGCGAACGCAAGCGCTCTATTGCCGCCGCCGAGAACCCTGTCGTCGACGAGAGCGCCCCTCTGCTCGCCGAGCAACAAGACAACCTTGGTCTGCCTGGTAGCAGAAGACGCAGCAGTGCTGCCAGTCGCAGACGTACGAGAAGCAGTGCTGAGCGTAGCAACAGCCTTAGCAACATTCTCGAGGAGGGCCAAGGCTCCACTGCCTGGCTGAAGAACACCCTTAGCGTTGCAATTATTCTCATTGCTGGAGCCGCAGGATGGGCCATTGCTTGGAGAGCTGGCGCCTGGCGACCAACTCCTGTAAACGTATCTGACGGTGGCAGACACATGCCCGTCGGTGCTGAGGTGCTTGGCTATGCCAGTGCTGTGTGCTATCTNGGGGTGCGTTTCTTCTTTCCAACACGCGCCGCAGTCTTGTGCTAACATGGTCTAAGTGCTCGCATTCCTCAAATCATTAAGAACCATCGCGAACGATCTTGCGAAGGCCTGTCGTTGCTGTTCTTNTTGCTCTCGCTCATGGGAAATCTTACTTACGGTGCAGGAGTATGTCCTTCAATAATTTTGCTCTGCTCTACAATTACTGACACACTCAGNATCCTGTTGCATTCTGTTGAGAAACAGTACTTCCTCAAGAACTTGCCTTGGCTCATTGGGTCTCTCGGAACGATCTTCGAAGACGCCGTCATCTTCATGCAATTCCACATGTACGGCGAGAAAACATCGGCTGTCGAGTGATCGAGTTGACTCACCATTATATCTGTTTATACATTTGTTTCTCACCATAGATGTCAGTATGAGCATATCGCTACATACAACCCCCAGAAGGGCCTTGTGTCTGTCTATGGTAATAATAGTGAGTCTACAGTCCATTCAATCGTTAGAGAGCCTGCCGATGTCGGGTCCAAAGCAGGTACAGACTCAGCGCAATTGTTGCATGCATGTGACGTGCCACGAGCTTGCACGATCGAGCCGGCTCGGGTAGGGATTGAGGGGAAACAGGAACGCTCAAGCGGAACCTTGGTGGTTTTGTCTTCAACCTTCTGCGAAGTTGGGAAACACCTTCAGCAGTCCAACAGATCGTGTGGCTCGCATTGCGAGTTATGTTCTCACATGCTAGAAACACTTCAAACCTGTGCCCAACGACCGTTTGACACTAATCATGCCGAGCGAAATACGGAGTAGACGGAGTGAACGGAATAGAAGTATCAAGCCAAGCAGGGCCGTTTTGGCATTGATATCGCGACGATGACGAAAGATGAGAAAAGCAAAAGTGGATGATTGGCCAGAGTTCGTCCCGCGGTCGTGTGCCTACCTTAGCCGGCACAGAGACAAGCATTTGCGGTGTTGCTGGGCACACTCTACTCCGTATGTGAGTTGTCTTCAGAATAAGTGGTCCTTCCTTTGGTTTTCGATCCATACGCATTCGTTATTGAGCACTGTCCGGCCTTCCACTTCATCAAGACTTTCGTTCTTCGAGACAGCATGAGTAGACCTGTTACACCGGTCTATGGATCATTAGCAAATGAAGAGAAGGCTAACGAAGATGCTCATATCATCGGGGACAAGGCCTTTCCTGACCAAATCTACGACGTAACCAAGCAGAATGACTCTCAATTCCTCGAACCTCCACAATACAGAGCACCGCATAGACCGTTATCTCCAGACACTTTATCCAATCTTTCTGTAGAAGAGTTCCACCAGCTCGGTCCACGAAACAACGAGCCATCTGTCTGGTTAGATGGAGGTCACCAGCAACTGAAACCATCCTGGACGGCCAAATGGCAGGCTAAACTCCATGCCAGTTGGGTACGAAATGCCGGTCTCTTCTACATGTTGCTTGCCCAGGTGTTTGGTGTCATGATGAATGTTACCACCCGGATACTGGAGATCGAAGGCAATAAGGGCAAAGGACTGCATCCATTCCAAGTGCGTACTCCGAGCATCAAGCCCAATATCACATGCCGTTCTAACCAACAAAGNATTCTGTTTGCACGTATGTCAATCACCGTCGTGTTGGCGTCTCTCTACATGTGGTATACGAAGACACCACACTTTCCTTTCGGGCATCGAGAAGTCCGATGGCTCTTGGTAGCAAGAGGGTTGGGTGGCTTCTGGGGAGTGTTTGGAATGTACTACTCACTCATATATCTGCCACTCGCTGACTCGACCGTCATAACTTTTCTTGCCCCAAGTTTAACATGCTGGGTCTGTTCNTTTTTACTCAAGGAGGCATTCACAAAGATCGACAAGATAGGCAGTCTCGTGTCTTTGGTGGGTGTGGTCTTCATCGCTAGACCGACATCTCTCTTCTTCTCTTCTGCGGAAGCGCCTCCTGCCAGTGGAAACACCGAGGTAGTTGGATCTAACAGCACAGTGACCATGCCGGACGCATCCAACTACGACAATGTCACACCAGCTGAGCGCTTGGCAGCCGTCGGCATCGCATTGGTGGGTGTAGGTGGTTCAGTGATTGCATATACGACGATTCGATGGATTGGAAAGAGAGCGCACCCACTCATCAGTGTCAACTACTTTGCTACATGGTGCACCGTTGTCAGCATTGTAGCTCAACTCACGCTTCCTGGTATTGGCTTCCTTCTTCCTGCTGATGCAAAGGAGTGGGGATATCTGATATTTCTTGGGTGAGTAGAGTTGCGAAACTCCATAAGGGAATATAGCTAACGACAGACAGANACATGTGGTTTCATCATGGTAAGGATTGAAGACGATGACTTCTCCGCAGAGACTAACACGCAAACANNGCAATTTCTTCTGGCGGCAGGACTGAGTTACGAAAAGTCATCGCGAGCGACCAACATGGCATATACATCGATGCTGTTTGCACTGGGATTCGATAGATTCATCTTTGGGCAGACACCAGGCGCCACGTCGATAATCGGGTCGACATTGATTCTTGGGTCGGCGATATATATGGCAATGCAGAAAGACAAAGGCGACGGTCGAAAAAATGAGGATACGGCAGGGGTAGCGCAAAACAGAGATGAAGAGGAGGGTTTGATGAGAGGAGCAGACGAAGAAGATGAGGAAATTTTTGACCGAGCACAGCACAGTAGCATTGAGATGAACCAGATAGAAGCAAGGCGGGCTTGAGGCCGGGTTAATAATCATGGATATGTAGAATGGACGAAAAATAGACATAGTTGATGATGATTTGCAATCAATAAGGCACCTAATTATGGGCATGACTGACAAAGATGTGGACTGGTTGAGAAGAAAATGAAGCGAAAATGAAGGAAAAATTGGCTCGGGGGTGCGGGTGGTGGGAGTGTTCGGTGCAGGCGGCCATGACGAAGTCGAAGTTTGGAGAGGCTCGAGAGTCGCTCTTGTCCGTCTCCGTCAGCATTTCCCAACGACAACGTCAGGAACGAGAGCATTACCGCGCCGTCCTTTGCACCACGCGCGTGTTTTTCATATCCTTTACGACAGCATCTAGACTCGACGCGCTCTCGAGGAATATCACTTGTCAGGCAGAGTACTCGAGGTGGAGCACAGCCACTAATAGCCTCATCCTCATCCTGATCCTGATCCTCGTCTTCAACTTCGCCCATAGCCGTTCCCCTCGGTCGAGGCACGTGCAGACACAGGCAGACAGGCAGACGGTGCTCGTTATTCAAGGCTAGAGCTCTGTACCGTATCCCACATCGGCTGGTGCATGGGCTTTGACGTCTTGTCGACCTTCGAACCCCACGACGACCATCTCCAGCGACGACCAAAGCGCCCGAAACACCATGGCCGACCTCCCGGCCCAGCCCAACTTGCGCGTCACCAGTGAGTCCCGGTACTCGCTCCTCCATGTCTTGCCATACTGACCGCCTGCAGTCATCGCCGCCGACGGCCTCTACAAGAGAGACGTCTTCCGTGAGTTCCCCTCCACTGCCCGCTGCCCGCTGCCCGCTCGTGCTGCGAAGCGTCGACTGACGCTGTCCTGCAGGNNATTTCCCGATCCCTTCGCCGTAGCCACCATCAATGGCGAACAAACAAAGACGACGGGCGTCATCAAGAAGACGCTCAATCCCTACTGGAATGAGAGCTTTGACATGTACGATATGTCCTCTACTTCCCGTGTCGCCCATACTGACGGGAGCCTGTAGNNGAGAGCAAACGAAGAGAGCATTCTCGCCGTTCAAATCTTTGACCAGAAGAAGTTCAAGAAGAAGGATCAGGGTTTCCTCGGTGTTGTCAATGTCCGTGTTGGCAGTGTCATCGACCTGGACGCTGGTGGTGACGGTACGTCGTCAGCTGCTTTCACTCTCTAGAAATGCTGACAAGCTGCTGTTCCAGAAATGCTCACCCGCGACCTTCGCAAGAGCAACGACAACCTGGTAGTCAACGGCAAGCTCATTCTCAACCTGTCGACTAACCTTCGTCCGGCTGCAACTCCCGCCGCCGCTGCGACCGCCTCTCGACCCAACGGCGCCGCTTCAACAACCACACTGGACGCCCCTCCTCCGGCGAGCGCCTCGGCTTCGCGCCAGCCCAGCACGTCGGGCGATACATCAGCTCCGCGCACTGCCGGTTTCAGCGCGTTCGAGGACTCCCAAGGCCGCTTACCTCCAGGATGGGAACGAAGAGAAGACAACCTCGGACGCACATACTACGTCGACCACAATTCCAGGCAGACCACATGGGTCCGCCCAACCGCCAATTTCAATGCTGGTGAACAGCGCCAGGCCAACGAAGCAGAGACGCAAGCGCAGCGTGCGCGACACCAGAATCGCATGCTGCCTGATGATCGTACAGGTGCCAGCTCACCAACTTTGTCGGGCGGTCAAAATTCGCCTCCTAATGGTGCTGCCGCCGCTGCCGCTGCCGGAACTTCTAACCCTCAGGCAATGTCAATGATGGCTACTGGTACTACTACTGCTGGTACAGGCGAACTGCCTGCCGGTTGGGAACAGCGCCATACACCAGAAGGCCGCGCCTACTTTGTCGACCACAACACACGTACTACTACATGGGTCGACCCCAGGAGGCAGCAGTACATCCGCATGTACGGTCAAAACGCTGCACAAGGCACTATTCAACAGCAGCCTGTTTCACAGCTTGGTCCTCTGCCCAGTGGATGGGAAATGCGTCTCACCAACACTGCCCGCGTCTACTTTGTCGACCACAACACCAAAACCACCACCTGGGACGATCCTCGCTTGCCGTCATCACTCGATCAGAACGTGCCGCAATACAAGCGTGACTTCAGAAGGAAGCTCATTTACTTCCGTTCTCAACCAGCTCTTCGCATCCTGTCTGGACAATGTCACGTCAAGGTCCGACGTTCTCATATTTTCGAGGATTCATATGCCGAGATTATGCGCCAAAGTCCTAGTGATTTGAAGAAACGACTGATGATCAAGTTCGATGGTGAAGACGGTCTCGACTACGGTGGTCTCTCTAGAGAGTTCTTCTTCCTTTTGTCTCACGAGATGTTCAACCCCTTCTACTGTTTGTTCGAGTACTCGGCCATCGACAACTACACGCTACAGATCAACCCTCACTCCGGTATCAACCCAGAGCATCTTGGCTACTTTAAGTTCATTGGGCGTGTTGTAGGTCTCGCCATTTTCCACAGACGCTTCCTGGACGCCTTCTTCATTGGAGCTTTCTACAAGATGATTCTTCGCAAGAAGGTCAGTCTTGCAGATATGGAAGGTGTCGATGCCGATTTCTACCGCACCTTGAGTTGGACTCTTGACAATTCCATCGAGAATGTCATTTTCGAGCACTTCTGTGTCGAGGACGAAGTCTTTGGCGAGAAGGTCACCATTGACCTCAAGCCTGGTGGTAGAGACATTGAAGTCACCGACGACAACAAGAGAGAATACGTCGAGTAAGCTGTCACTGAGCACACTATCTGATATCTGTTGAAACTAACATACATCGCAGGNCTTGTCACAGAATGGAGAATCAACAAACGTGTCGAGGAGCAGTTCAACGCCTTTATCCAAGGGTTCCACGAGCTCATCCCGTCAGACCTTATCAACGTCTTTGACGAGCGTGAACTCGAGCTTCTCATTGGTGGTATCTCAGAAATCGATGTCGACGACTGGGCCAAGAATACCGATTACCGTGGCTACGATGAGAAGGATCCCGTCATCCAAAACTTCTGGAAGGTAAAATACATAACTACCACTGTCGTTGACTTTTCACGCATGCTAACCCTTTTCCACAGNTGTATCCGCACATGGGACTCTGAGCAAAAATCTCGCCTACTGCAATTCGCAACCGGTACCTCGCGTATCCCCGTCAACGGCTTCAAGGATCTGCAAGGAAGTGACGGACCCCGTCGCTTCACGATCGAAAAGTCGGGCGAAGAAGGTCAATTGCCCAAATCGCATACTTGCTTTAACCGTCTCGACTTGCCGCCGTACAAGACATATGAAGCGCTCAACGCCAAGCTTCTATGGGCTGTCGAGGAAACGGTTGGGTTCGGACAGGAGTAGAGAAGGGGAATGTTGCGAAAGGAGAAGTTTTAGTTTTATCATCATCTTTTATTTTTTCGAATCATCCAGAGGGAGGTATCAGTGTGTGTTGTTTTTTGGCCTCAAGGGTTATGGTAGAGCAGAGGAGAGCAGTGACGAAAGAATTAGGGAGGGGTTTTCTTTCTATGCTCTCTCTCGTGTTGATTTTATTACGTTTCTTGTTTATCAGAGATGCTGGCTCAGAGAAGATTGCGAAACGTGCATTATTTGTCGAACATATCTCCCCTCGCTTTTGGTTTTGGTTTTCTGATAGAAATTCCTTTTCATCTCTTTACACTGTTGCTGAATAGCTTTCTCTGACGTGTGCATTATCATGTTGCTGGACGACGAACATGCTTCTACTATAGTCAGTGTCGGACGTGGGATGGTTCTGATATTGTGGTGTGCTCTTTGTTTATTGGTAGTATGAAGTGATGGTAGCAAAACACATTCCGGTCATCCACAAGTCAAACGACTCTCTTCGGCTTGGTATATGCGAGTTCGTCATATCCTCATCGCAGCAAAGGTTCTTGTTCTATGCATTTCAAAAGCCGAATCAGTCAAAAATCCTTGGTCCTCTCAATGTGAACGGCAAAATCGCTTTTATTACCCTCTTCTTCATTTTCTTGCATGTTTGAGGCATTTTGCAAAGAATTCGCTCGAGAGTATGCAGGTATTGTGTCGTAAGTGGCTCCTCTGATGATGTTGCCTTCGAAAAGCAAAGACATTGATTCGAGGGGCACGCCTTTGGTCTCGGGAACACNTGTTTTGAGGGCAGAATGTCAGCGTGTTGTGTTTCGGTATCGTGACAGAGGGAAAGGAGTTGGAGAGGTCAGTTTAACTTACCAGAAGACGGTGTAGATGGCCATCAGAATGCAGCAGATGCCAAAGATGAGGAATGTGCCGTAGGTGATGCTATTGAGCATGACAGGTGTGATTCTAGCGATCACACAGTTGAATGCCCATTGACACATCAATGCTGATGCCATGACCAGAGATCTGACATGATTGGGNNCTGAGCCTCTATGTTAGCGATGTCATTAAGGCGAAGAAGGCACATCTGCAGCTATACATACACTTATTTCTGAAGCAAGGATGAATGGAATGGGACCCCACCCTACGCTGTAGAAGACAACAAACAGGTAGACCGATATAATGGCGAAGATACTGTTGCCGTTCAGAGGAGCGCCCTCGACTACTGGATTGACGGCTTGGTTGATGCCGATGTAGAACATGGCAAAGGCCTGTCCAAGAGCGCCAATGATCAAGCTCCATTTCCTACCGANGTCTACAGTGAATAGCCGGTCAGTATAATCAAGAACGATATATAAACTCAAGGAGACTCACTGCTCGGTCATGAAAGCCAGAGCTAGAGCGGTAATCACAACTTTGACCACACCGTAGATTCCCGTAGCAAAGAGGCCAGCAGATGAACCCAACCCGATAGATTCGAATATNNCCTGAGAGAGTATGTCAGCTAGATGACTACAGGAGATAGATCAGTGAGCTTACTGAGGGCTGTAGTAGTTGATCGAATTCGTGCCCGTCCATTGCTGAAACATCATAAGAATGATAGCCATCGAATACCTGTAAAAGTACTTTCGATTAGAGCAGACTGTTCTGAGTTGTCCCAACAACGAGATCTTCTCATGACCTTGGAAGTCGGCTATGATCTCGCCTAGCTCTTTGGTTACGATAGGGTCGTCTTGTGAGCGGCCGCGTACATGAGCAAGTGCTCGAGCAGCATCGTCGTGTCGGTCCTTCTCAACAAGCCATCTCGGACTCTCATTTTGGAAGATGATGCCGATGAGGAGAAGCACGCCGGGTAGCATCTGGAGAGCGAATGGTACTCGCCACTGGGCATCATTGTCAGACGAAATGGATCGAGTCACACCGTAGTTGACAAAGTACGACAACATTATGCCCGTCACGCTGTCTTTGGTCAGCAGTGGTATCCCTGGCCATGGAGTTCTGACTGACTTGAAGAGTTGCATGGTGCCTATGCACCGGCCTCTGATCTCTTTGTTAACATTCTCGCCNNTAGACGTCTGAGGATTAGAAGCAGCATCATTCAAGATGAAACCAGACTGACCAATATACGTGGGTACCACAGCACTGATTAAGCCGACACCAATTCCGCCAATGACTCTGCCGGTGTATAAGGTAGCGAGCGAGCGATTGCTTAGAGCACTGCAAGTCTGAAGCACGCTGCCGATGATAAAGATGATATCGGCATAGATGAGGGCAGACTTTCGACCAAAAGTGTCAGACACCCAGAAGCTGGCAGCGGCACCCACAAAGCATCCAGCCTGGAGAACAGAAACAATATTGCCAGACAAGTCTGCGTACGCAGCAGGGGTGTCGACAAGGGCGAATGAGTTTTTGAACGAATCCATTGTCAAGACGCCGCCAATCAGACCNNCTATGGATATGTCAGCTTTGCGATTGATCATGGTGTTATATGCAATCCATACCGTATCCCATCCGAAGAGCATACCACCAAAACTGGCAACAGCTGTGAGGATATATGCTCTTCGGTATTCTTTGATGTCGGCCCAAATGCCTACCGACTTGGTATCGAGTACCATCGCGGATTGATTAAAATAAACAATGCTCAGAACGATGTGGTAGGGACGGACGATGCAGAATAAATCAAGAGAGTGGCTGTGTGAACCTTTCACAAGATAAGAGAAAGTCTGTCTTGATATAAACATAACAGGCAGGAGGATTCCTCCGCACTTCCTTCCAAGAGATGCCCTGGATTGCCAAGTGCGATCTTCAAGAAAGCGTAACGTGATAAAAGCGTCACACAGCATCGGCTTTTGGGAAGGATCACATGGAGAACGGTTTTCAAAGGACGCTGCTCGGCGACCAAAAGGTTTTGTAAACGTCAATAGTCGTAACTTCGAAACAAGGCGGAGAGTAGGCGCAAGTCATGAGTGATCATTCCATTCGTTGGCCCCTGTATGCATCAAGTTCTCAGGTGAGCATCTACTTGGACTGCTCGGGTATCAAAGTCACCAGCTCGCCCTTCTCGACAGCCGATCTCAAGTTCTCCAGTACTAACAGTTCCATATCCTTCTGCGTCTCCCATGTCGCAGTACCGATGTGAGGCAACAGAACAACGCGGTCGTCGCTGATAAGCTCGGGGTGAATCTTTGGTTCCTCTTCAAAGACGTCAAGGCCGGCAGAGAAGACCTTCTCGCTTTGGATGGCCTTGACAAGGGCGGCTTCGTCAATAATGGGTCCTCTGGCTGTGTTGACGATGATGACACCATCCTTCATCATGTCAAACTGTGCAGTAGAGATAATGTGTTTCGTCGAAGGATTGAGCGCGAGGTTCAGACTCAAGACATCCGATGTCTTCATCAAGTCATCGAATGACACATATTTGGCGTTTCCTTCCTTGTCGGCGGGAAGTGGGTTGCGGTTGTGGTACTGAATCTTCATGCCAAAGGCAGCAGCCCGCTCAGCCACGGCTCTTCCAATGCCTCCCATACCAAGGATACCCAAGACCTTTTTCTTTGGGTCGTGACCAAGACCGAATGTCTTGCCACGCCATTCGCCCTTGCGGACAGCGTTGAAGGGCACAGTGATGCGTCTCAAGGCTCCCAACATGAGGAAAATTGCAATGTCGGCGGTGGCATCGTTGACAGCAATAGGCGTGCTCGAGATTTGAATGCCACGTGCAGTACAGGCCTTGACATCAATGTTGTCATAGCCAGCGCCATTGTGTGTAATGTATTTGACGCTCGAGGNGAGCAAATCAACCAACTCTTTGTCAAAGGGCCCCGTCACGCCAGTCGATTCGTTGCTGCGGTAAACGACAAACGTGTCATCAAAGTCGCCGGACTTTAGCTTGGAGAGAAAGTCATCTCGCGAGCCTGTCTTGTACTCCTGCACTTGCTAGTCAGCGATTGGTCATGTAGCCATTAATGTCATGTTTACTGACTTNNTCAACTCAAGCAGAGAGCTGAGTTCCTCCCACTCCTTGCGAGCATGTGTGATGTTTCCAATGAGAAGAGCAGAACGACCCATCTTGAGCGTGTATGAGGCAGAGGTGCGTGTTAGCAGGAGACAGGAAGAGGATACTCCTACAATAAAAGGTGGAAGGTAAATGACGGCACGGAAGATCTCATTAGCCGACATACCCCTCCTATCAAATGCCGATATTATGGGGTTGTTGTCAACAGTCGCTAGTGGAAGTGCACGGGCGATTTCGGATGATGTGCACGGCGGAAGAGGGTCTAAGGCATATCAGCTCTTGCTGGAAGTTGTTCTGATGATTGAATTATTGTGCACCCGTAAAGCACAACCCTAGAATACAGGGACCGTGTCTAGTTCTTGTTTCTCATAACTCAAAATCACATGCTGAAGCTCCAATTGTCCATCGAACCCAACCCACTCAGTGGACCCAAAGGACCGCTATCTGTAGGAAGGAATCCCGTCCACCACTCAGCATCTGTTGACGTGCCTTCATTACCATTGACAGCGAAATGACCTATCGCATCTAAATCCGTCCAGCTAAAGTCTCCCATCAAATCTGTGACTGCCGGCGATTCTAACGAAGCCGAGGCTGCCGAGTTTGATGCTGGTGTAGCAGCGCTTGTGCTGACAGGCCTGTACGGATTTTCGAGCGTAGCAAGTGATCGGGCGGATCGAGATTCTTTATGTGATTTTCGGTCCACCTTGTCCCAAAGTAGTTTGAGCAGCTGTGAATAGCGGCTTCCAGGGTGACTCTCTCCTACACCCGATCTTTGGAGAACGGTGACTGTTTGTTGGATCATTCTCCTCACAGAAGCTTCTTCTTCTGGTGCCATGACGCCAACAGAGCGGGCATGATACAAGAATACACCTGCATACACTGTGAAAAGATAGAATCTCAAAGGCATATATCGTAACATTCNTGGAGAGAGCCAGAGTCAGCAAGATAGATCTTGTAGAGGGACGAGTTATAGATACCTTTCTGCGTCAACAAAATTATTCATCGTGGTGAGAAGGCTTTTTGCCGCATCGAGTCCTTCATAGATGAATCGCGCATCTCCAACTGCACCAACATTGTTGTAGAAAACTCGACTAAAGGATGGTTTGCCATTTTCTCCCTCAGGCAATGCACGACGTATCGTAGCATGAAATGCAAAAGCATTGGTATAAAGCCGTAAGTAATCGTAAGACATCAGCAGCATCGCTTTGAGATTCGGTGAGCCTATTATCTTGTCAACATAATTATCAAGGTGGCTTGGACGGTCGAACGTACATGTCATGGTACCGTAAACAGCATTCCATCCATAGTATGCGCTGCGAAAGTCCTAGTATAGGGTCAGCACATTTCTCAAGAATGGTATAGTAGTATGACTTGCATCAACAATCTTGATGTAGTATCCTCCTGTCAAATGGTTCCGCAAGCTGTTTCCAGGGCTACTATACAGCACGTCGTGTACATTACTGAACAGTAACGTCAACTCCAGAGTCGCCTGGAACAGCTTTGGGAAGTCTTCATCTCCGGGATTTTGGGGCTGGTAAGGATAGTCTTCCTTCCGAATAGCAAGGCCGGGCCCAGGCCCTCGACTCCAGAAAGCACGGCCTATACGGATGGAGATTTGTCTGTCCGATATGTAGCAACAAGTCCAGACTAGGCGCTTGCGCTTCCACTGAGGGTCTTTGATGTCCGCTGCCACAGGAAATGAATACTTGTCCAGACCCAGATAGTAGCCAATGCGCAAAGCAGTGCCAACATGCATCCAGGCTTCGCGATCTTCTTCTCCACGTCCGACGTTTCCTGCTCGGCTTCTTGATGTGTATGGTGCCCATTCGGCAAGCAGTAGCAGGCTCTCGACTGCTTCGACCCCTCCAGGTCCACCAGCAACTAATGCAGACACCAATGACTGCATATGTGTTGAGCATGCTGTAAAGATGTGTGGCTCCTCCATTAGATCCTTCGAAGCAATAACAAGCATAGCGGTCAAAAGATGCGGTTCCTCTTTGGCTGTTTTTGACAGGTTGTTGGTGTCTAGGGTACTAGGAGGAGCAATCGAAAAGTAAGGGTGGTAGTGCTGACGGTAACGTTCAATAAGTTGCGAAATTTTAGTCGACGACAGAGCACCGGACCGCACAAGATGGTAGTCCAGGCCATCAGTGTTCCAGCTGTTCGAGTAAAGAGAGTTTGTGCAAAGGCTAGGTTGAGGTTGTTTTTCTTGCCAGGTGGACTGGCGAGCCGAGTTGTTGTTGTCGTTACTTGCAATCTGGGCCAGTATGTCCAAAGCATCTGAAGGATTTTGCAATTCGTTGAAAGGTATGTTATCAGAGCTCGATGAACGAGCAGACTCCCCATTATTGTGATCGTGTGATCTCTGTTCGTTTACTGTTGCGGTTCCGAGAGTAGGATCGATGTCCATTGCGAGACTTTGCGGATCGAATAGTTGACGCTGAGTTGCGAAATCCAGATTGCTGACGCCAGTGTTGCCCGACAAGGGAGTCGTACCGGTGATGTTATGTTGTGAAGACGTCGAATATGGATTACTCGGTATCCCACTTGAGTTCCTGTGTGATGGACACGATCAGTCTGGCTAATTGTATTTTCCTGCAAGATATCTACTCCTCGTGCGCTTGAATCAATCGTGTTTCTCCTCTCCCCGCCACGAAAGGTTGTAAGTCGTCAAATACACGGTCGTAATGATGCCAGAGATGTGTCCCTAAGGAGCCGTCGATATGACATCTGAGTGGACAACACCTTGCTCACCAAAGTATTGTGCATTGTTACAGCCACAACACATGGACATATTGTGAGGCTTACCAGGAAATTGTTTGTCCCTCATCATTCGAGGGCGTCTTCTGAGTTGGCAAACCGGGTTCGATTTGAAATTGACCGCTCGCTTGAGCCTGGGTCTGATTTTGACCCGGAGCTTGTTGTGAAGCTATCGTAGACCTTCTGACCCTCCTACCTCCACGATTGCTGCTGCCGATAACACATTGCTTGTTTTCTTTGCGGCACCGCAAACATGGTGGTTGAGGTTCTCCGTCTGTCGTATCACTAAACAAGACGGTCAGATATGGTTACTCGTGTCGATGTCTGCAGATCCTGGTGGTGATGCTGGTGGAGAGAGGAATTGAACCCGAAGTTGGCTGCAAGGATGGGCACTGACAGTGTGCATTTACTCTTTCTTGCGCGGCAAACCAAGCCTGGAGATGGTCAGTCAGACTTGTTGTGAACAGGAAAACATGCTAGATGTGATTCTTGGAAGCCAGCTTCGAAAGTGCCATGATATTCGTCTTCCGCTAACGCGTCGCGCGTCGGCAATTCAAGATGATCCGAATTCTGGAGGTGGCTCGCATTTTCATCATCTGCTATCACATACAGGCTTTGCTTGTCCGTTTCTGGTGTTTGCCTGGCTCTGGCGATCCCTGTGATTGAGTGTCTGCGTTCAGGTCGGACATGATTCGATAGCAATAGCGGTTTGAAGGATCTCATGGGCCATGGGGAGACAATGAGCATGTGAAGGAAGAGGCAGATGCCGATGAAAATTGGAGAGGGGAAAGTCGGCTATTCATGATTCTCAACGCCAAAGCAAGAAGGAACCCGAGGGTTGTCAACAGACTGTGGGGATCTTTGTTCTTTCCCCTTGTCAGCAGTTGCCGAAAATGTGCCTTACAATAGTTAACAGGAATCACAACTACCTTCTGACATGCTGTATCGCTGCAGAGTTGAGCAGTCCGAAAAGGTAGAATAGTCACAAGAGACTCCAGCTTAGCACACGAGGATCACATAAACGGTGTATCCAGTAAGGTCCAACTGAACTTTCCCTTTGCGTTGCACGGTAGATATCGTAGCACAAGATATAATGGCGATCAGAGGAACAGCTCTTCAAAAGTTTGAGTCGCATGCATCTCACGGATCCATGTAAAGGACGATGAATGTGGTCTACGGCCAACAACCTCGATTGCAACGACTGCATTACTCATCATATATGTTCAACGACCACCATATCGGAACTGGAAACGACAACCGATTGAGATCAACAACTGGTATCTCAAGGTGAAGGACCACCAAATCCATTACGCTCTGACCATCTACGTTTGCCTGTTCGGACCTCAAAGTGCGAAGCAAAACACGGGTCGTGTTGGCCAGAGGCCACTATTGAACTCCACGTCTTTTCCCGGTAAGCATCGACTATAACCATAGTTAGATTCTGATCATGCTAGGGCCATGTCTCTGACCTACGTGACTTCTGCATGAACATGGTTCTTTCGTTGAACGTCTTCGCTTGCCTCCAACTCATCCGATAACCCAGTTCGTTAAGTGCACATTCTTTGGCTTCAAGATCCTTTGACGTTTCAGGAATGGAAAGTTGCGTCTGTGAGCCATCGAGTAGAGGCACATGGACCAGACTCCCACTTTTCAAGGCGATGTTCTCTTCTTCTCTCCTGCATTCGTTGTTAGTCCCTTCTGGATGGGTTTGACCAGGCGAAGGTGCATGCATCTGGCGAGGATAGAACTGGCGTGGAAAAACGCTGTTCTTCTGCAAATGATAGTCGGGCATCTCCTCCAGTTTGATGTTATCGAGCTCTACGTGAACACGTACCCGTGTTCCGCGTGCAAGATCGTCAACAAGGATAAATTTGCGTTTCTTTCCTTCGGGGACATTAGTAGAAAGCGATGGCTTTTNGTCGTCTTCTTCTGCCTTGATGAAACTCTGGCTGGTCGTGATTGACGAATCAGATTCAGTTGAACAGGATGTTGACAGTGTTGGACAGTGGCTGTCCCTCCGATGAGATTCGAAAGGGGAATCAAGAGAGAGACTACTCGGAGGGCTGTGGTGATTCAGGAACGAATGTGCTTCATTGCTGACNNTATATTTAAGAAGAAGAAAAATTAGCCTAGAGACAATCGTGAAAAATGTGGGTATTGGTATGAAGAGAAAGCAAAAGCAAGAAAGCCAACGCCTAAAGACCCTCATAGCATAAAACATGCAATTCAAATTTATGTTCAAGCCACCATTACAAAGCAGTAACAACATTGCAGTGCATGATCAAGCTATTGGGAACATACCGCTTTCGCCTCCGCTACCATCTGTTGTCGAGTGATGATGATGTAGCTGACCAGCATTCATGCTGAGTGATGTCGCCGGTCTCGCTGAGTCCATAGACATGGCTGGCGGAACTCGCGATGCAAGGACATCGGTGGGGGAAAGCGAAACCTGGCGTAGTTGTGCCTTTCGAGTGTTAATCTTAGCCTGTCTTCGTACTCGTCGGCTCCGCAAGCGAGGGTCCTGGTTGCTGTTGCGCCAGCTATCCACAGCGCGTTGGATCAGACCGCGCTTCTCCCTTAGTGCCGGGTTAAGATGTGCTAACGCCCAGCCAACGGCATTACATTCAGTCTCATAGTGAAGTCTGTTGCCTTTATAGCCTTCTTTGCCGCTGTATGCTCCTGGATAAACACAATTCGCTGTTTTGAACTCAGGAGTCAACTCGTCGATCACCACAGACTCGACATCGCAACGGATTTGATACTCCATCTTCACTCTATCTCGCGAGTACTCGAACGCAATCCATTGCACACCGTTCTGATCTTGGCGTACGACCAGAGGGGTTGTGGCAGGAATTGGACCTGGCGCTGCTGTGTTGGCTCCGCTTCCAGATGGAGGGGACGAAGTTGCAGCTGCTCCAGAAGAAGCTGTTCCAATGCTTGACATGGGTCTTTGAATATAACTTTGTTCGGTCTTCACGAGAGGATACTCGAGTTTCATGTGCGGTGGTTCAAACTTCGTTCGAGGACTTGCGGTAATACCGTGGGAAGGCGACGAATGGACAGCCGAGGTTGTTGGTTGAGACATCAAGATTGCAGATCCTGGCGGGGATGCAGGTGAATAGGATTGCGGTGGAGGTTGAGCAGCGTATAATGGATGCGTATGTAGAGCATACTGAGGGTAGGCGAACATCTGTTGAGGGTATCCGAACCCTTGATTGTACATACCGCGAGCCTGGAGATCGTGGTGCGAATGCATGGATGTCGGGGATGCTGTTTGTGATGGATGGTAGGGCCCGACAGAGGGATACATTTGGCGATTCACTACCGGATGAACTGCCATTGTTTCTGAGTCTGATTCTGATGTCAGCATTACACACTTTGAGTTGATGCGATGCTGCAACTCACTATGGAAATTCTGGTTCCTTGGGTTGTAAGCAGCAGGATAAAAGGATTGTTGATTTGCGTAGACTTGTGACGCAGAGGGCGTCTGGCTGGAATTCACAGATCCAACCGATTGACTAGAGAGAACTGACGTCCCTGATGATAACGGTAGGTATAGTGGTGGAGGCAGTGATGATGGAGGCTGTCTTGGAGAGTCCACACGGCTATGTTGAGAGGTTCCTCGATAATCATACGACGCTGCGTTGTGCAGTATGCCTGACGGGTCTTGTTGCGTGTAAGGCTGTAGTCGACGGTGTTAGAGTATGGTTGAGCAAAGAAGTGCAGTGTATGTATAGCAAGAGAGGTTATGTGGAGCAGATTGAAGAGACAAAGGAATGTCGGACTCTATATCGGTAGAAGCGGATCAGAATTGAGGCAGGCCGCTAACGGTATCTGAGCTCCGAGTAAAGATGGAGAGTGGAGTGGTGTTGGGATGGGGTACAAGTACAAGATTATGTTGAGGAGGCATGTTCTCAAGCAGATGTGGGTTCCGATCAGAGCTAGGAGGGCGGGGAGCGGTCGGCCAAGCCAAGCCAAAGAGCTTCTGTGTAGGTGGCTGACGAGAAGAGAGAAGTGCAGAGGATGTGAATGAAAGTCTAGCCGAGACCTTTGGATGGCCAGAGTGACAAAGGATAGGTACACAAGGATAGAGTGATATGAATGTGATGTTGAGGGGTAACAAAAGGCTGGGGCCTCACCATGTAGCGTATGAATGTGCTTGGAATCGCCGGGGACGGACAGCTTGGTCGATTGTGACCTGACACCTGCAGGAGATCCGGACCTCAACGGGCGTGCAGCAAAAGATACAAGAAGACGGAGTAGCGCTCAAAAGGACGTTGTGAGGACGACAGTCGACAGCAACAGCGAAGTAGCGATCCAGACAAAATCAAAGTGAGCGAAGGAGTTGGATATTGAATTGACAAGGGTGGAAACCAGCAGCAGCAAGAGAAGAATGAAACGGGCACTACTTACGAGATCGCCCGCCGCGACAGGACCCGGCTCGACCTTATACGCCTCCCCGCCGAGGATCAGAATTGTACATATGAGAAGGCATCATAAGGAAGAGACATGGAAAAGTCCGTGCGAAATGCAATGCACGTTGTAATCAATGCAGAGTGGTTCGTAATGATACCCGAACCCCATCGCATTCTGATATAATGATGCGATGCTGTCTCCCAGAAACAGGCGGGTCCAAAGGACGACGAGTCGACGAATCAACGGACGAGGTCGTTTGTGAGAAAAAGAGTGGAAGCTTTTTCTTCGGCAACCCCACGTGCAAACTGGCTAAGGCAAGGCATGACAAGGCACACACGAGGATGAAACGCGCCACTGGACGCAAGCGATATTGCAAGCTTGATGAACGGCCGCAGTGACCCTCTGATTTCTGGAGCCCGTCAACATCATCATCAACAGCATGCAGTTTGGCCCGTGGTCTATGCGGCTCTTACTCCGAATTGTTCAACCGCCTGGTTAAGGTTGTCTTCCTCTGCAGCCATACAAAAGCCTATGACTCAATCTCTGGCCATCGAATTTGTGCCATGGAGTATCAAGGGGACAGAGACCACAGCGGCCAAGAATAGGATGGCCTTACCTCTTGCAGACAAGCGCTTGTTGCACAAATGTATCCTTGTGTCCCCTTCGCTCTTGCTTGCCTCAAGGGACCAAGCGACGCGTGTACGGGCGGCTTTTTCCTGGAGGCTGACGTCCCAATCCTCCCATCAAACGCCTGCCAATTGCGCCAGCGGAGCGCGTCAACCGCCAACCTTCTTTTTCCAAACCATCTGCTAGACTCAACGTTTCACCATGACTGACTAACGTTCTTGGTCCTGGCTTCCAACGCCCGGCTCCCACGCGTTCGGACCTCGATCCTTTCTCTCACGAGGGTTGGTCAAGCCGCGAGCGAAATGTGACAGGGCAAGTCTCTTCATCACGGGTCGCTGAGGGATTGCCTTTTGATTGGTACTGCCACGGCTGATCAAGGAGGAACGACTCGGAGTGGCACCCAAGCTTCTCCCACTCATCAACCTCGAGACCGATCGCGCATTGTCGGCACTTGTGCAACATACTACCGAGATAGAGACGTCGCAGCTCTGCACTTCGTTTTCGCTTGTTGATCTGATGGCTAGCTCGAGCGGTCTGCCTGGATCGGAGTTATGCACCGATTCTGCCAGTCTATCAGCCTCTTTGTCGACCTCTCCCGGCTCTTGGGAGTAAACGCCAACATTAAACTTTCAAGCCACCACATTAGCGTTCGCCAAGTCTCCAGCTGACATCTGTCTGGGGGACTTCACGATTGACATCCGTCCAACATGATGAGATTGAAATCTGGAAATCCAAGATAATCGAGGCATACCGTACAGTGACCGGCACGCATCTGTGTGATCTCTTGCCCAGCGACAACAAAAATTGGGGCATGCATCTCGAGTACACTCGCAGATGAGTTGTGCACAGCCCACCGCTGCCCGCAAGCACAATACGGGGCGATGCCCGATGGGTGTTGAGTTGCTCACTCCTTCGCACGCTCTGCCGTCTCCGTGAGTAGAAGAACGTTCGTCTCTGATTTCCGTTCTCGTCGCTTTGCAGAGTGCTTGACATCAAATCTTCATGATTCTCTTCTTGAGTTTGTCTTTGAACAGGTCTCGAACCTTAGCACCACACCTGTCAACATGAAACAGTCAGCATCTTGTATGTTGCGCTTCGACCCCGTCTATCTTCTCCCCTCGATGAGATACTTTTCGTTGTGTCAGAGGCGCTCACTCAGCTTTGGTCAAGATATGGAGTGGCTGAATTAGGCGTTCTGTCGGCTATACTTTCTAGCGTCTCAGCTTACGGCTCATCGTCCAAGTTGCCAACTTGCTGGACTAGCTTTCCGAGTCAGTCTTGTAACGTTCATGCGAGTTAAGACGCTCTTCCACCAGTCACAATTGATGTTCGAGTTCCTTGATGCCTCTACAGAAAGACGAAGATTCGAGCACTCGCTTCAGCGATTGTCAGGCCTGCAGAAACACGGAAGAAAAAGAGTTAACGCAAGCAGTCTCTTCCAAGATGATCGCAGCCGACGATGATCATGATCATCATTATCAAGATGAATGTCATGATAATGATGGTTGGAGTTCGGCGCTTCAGGTTACAGCAGCCGGAGATACTTTTGTCAGATCAAATGTCGTCGTTTTGTTCGCGCTTGAGGCAGCGGAGTTGTAATCGGATAGAGGCGGATAATCGTGAGCCGATGCTCAAAATCTGGGAACAGCTATGCACTTCTCGTGCTCGGATAACGTGTTTCTCCACGGCCAATCGAAGACTGAATCTCTTGACGGCTCTGTGCTAAGACATGATACTATTCGATGGTGTGTCGCCGCAATTCACTATCACCCTTGTCTTATCTCACATGAGGATCTTGGGGTTGCTATGAACCGCACGTGGTTGGAAGGGATGTGTCCCGCATCGGCAGTTGTCTCCCGCGATCAACGTTCGGTGTTCGCCGAAAATATATACCACCGCAAAGAAGCCCGATATCATCAATTGGTTGACGCGTTCGTATCGAAGAGACTCTTGTCAAGAAGGCATAGAGCTGCATAGGATTTACACTGAATAGAGCATGCTTCGCACGAGCATCGGAGCAGAGTTTTGCAGGTTTACGATTATGCGATCGAAAGAGTACCCGGAGTACGACGACGGCTTATGTCCAGGACTTTAGGGCCACCCAACTTGATCTTGGCACTGCGGTCTTCACGAATGCGACTGCGGTGTAAAGAAATTCATACTGAAGTGTCTTGTTTAAGAAGACTGATGAGGTCCTTTTCCACGATGTTGATTCTGTCAACGCGTCAACGAAGGTTTTGGAAGCCGATGACACTGTACACTGTCTTGGTCTGATGTCGCGACTGGCAATCAAGATCACTATCCAAAGTACCTCTACGGAGTTAGGGGTTCAGCCTCCAGGCTTCGATCCTTCGGGCTCTATCCGAACTAAATCCTGTCCCACCCCTTGTCAGCCTCACACCACAAACACACCTACAGTACTTTATGTATATCGGGTTGATATGGGGTCGTGAGGAAGCCCTCATGAATGCGAATCATCAATCCAGCTTGAGCCACTCAACATATGCTGTTGACGATTGGAAGGGAGAAAGCCGGGTTAATCTCTTGCTCGACGTGGCACCACTAATCACTTCTTCGTTGGACATTCTTGACGCCTGATACAGATTGTTCTGATTGTGTGGATTGATGTGGATTGATTGAAAATCAGACTCTTGGTAACTCCGAGTTTCGGGCTGCATTTCGCTACTTCATGGGAAAGGCGCTGATACTGCTGCCGCCACCGTTATGCTCGCAGTCTTGCCAGTCCATGGCAACAGATTGATCTACTGCCGCATCTCTGCCACATCATTGTCGCGTCTCTGCCTCAATGGAACTGAAGAATGGTCGGCATGTTGTATGCCGAAGTCGGTAGAGAGTACGCCGTGTGTAGTGAATGGACACTCTGGAAGACATGCAGAAGTGCCTTGGATGCTGCGGGTTTCTCATTTCGAGGAAGAAGTAGGGGAGGGAGACTTGAGCGTTTGTAGTCGAAGTTGCAGGGCCCGAGATCTGGTTGTAGAGTGCAATGCCTACCGCGACACCAGCGATAGAGGTGGCGGCCTGTACAAGTTTACGGATCATGGTCGGTGTCGTGAGGTGGTTTTCAGGAGGATTGTCAGTTCCGAGGCAGCGAAAAAGAGGGGTTTTCGAACGAAGGGCAAGAGCTTTCGTGATGGACAAGTGGTGCTTACTACGCCGCGATGGAGGATTTTGTACAATCAACGCGCACTGACGCCTACTGCCACCTAATGAAACCTGTCTAGATACAGGCACACTATCTACACATGAACGCTCCGCCGTGGTAGCAGAATGTCCAAAGACGCTCTTGACGCCACACGATATGCGGTACGCAATATAGTATCGGCAGTCAAGATAGATGATGGGGACTGAGAGGAAGAAGAGAAACAGAAGAAGCAAGAGACGGGGTGAGCTCGACACTTAGCATAAGTTAAGTAGACATGACCAGGCAACTCACTTGATCCGTTACAGAAACAGAGAGAGGTATTATCTGGATCGCGTCTCCTCACCAGCAAATATACTGGTATCAAGAGAGGTGGAAGAAGCATGTTGAGCAAGAAACAAGGTCCGCTCAGTCCAGCATTTGATGTCAACCACCTGGCCGTATTGAATGTCACCTTACATCAAGAGTGAGGTAAACTGCACTCTATATCGGCAGAGGGCATAGAAGTGTATAGCAGTCCCAGCAATTCATCTAAGCAGGCAGGCGATCGATAGCTCCACCGCTCGTTTGTTTGGCAGATCTAGCACTCCACGCGAGTTTGGCAGTTGAAAGTGAACAGAAATAGAACTGATGGAGATCTTGTTCTTCTTATCCAACATGGTCTTGCGAGACAAGCATGGTACGCGGAGCCATGGCTGGGTGTTGCGTTGTTCTGCTGATACGGACGATCTGTCTCCTCAGTCCATCAACACGATTGGTACGATAGCATGGACTTTTGTGACCGGTCCAGATGAGCGCCTCGCTCAAAACAGCGAATTATGTGGGAGTATTGTCCGGGCATCTCAGCCTTGAACGCGATGACAGCAATATTGCGCCTTGCTCCCCAGGTTTTTGATTGAAGAAGAGTCCCACGGACAACGAAACTTCCCAGTTTCAAGCCCTCTCAAACGGAACGCGTTCATTTCTCCACCAAACATTGTATCGCTGGTTCATGTGCCACATGAACATCTGAACTGAAGCTCTGCGCCGGCAGGTACGACAAACGGAACCTTTGAATCGGGCGGGCTCGGCAATCGCCTTCACAGCCCAGCCCCTTCCTTCAGATGCCATGCACGAACCCGTGGGCCGCGCTGTTGTGCACTCCGACTTGTTCCATTCGAAGACGTTTGGGAAGCTGCACCCCGGGTCATTGTTTGGACTATCGCATCATGTCCTTTCGCGCAGGAACCCGCGAAACAAAGGCCTCTACCACTGCCGGGCGACAAGTTCCTAGGACCGGTGGTTCCGAGCGTGATACCGTCACTGTGTTGAGGCGACTGTCCGCACTCTGGCTCCTCTCCATGCGATCAGGAATCGGACGATGACAGCCAAGCTCCTGCAGCTCGCCCGTCTTATCATCAAAGAACCTTTGCGCCTTTGCACCTCTGGACTGCCATTGCGGCTTGTTTTTCGGTGACTTACGACTTCCTTTTTGCTTTCTGGAGCTCGGCCTCGACCTTGTGGTGGCTGGTCGCCATCACATGGGCACGCCGAGCCTCATTCTGTATACCACTGACTCGCGCCCGGCAATCGATTGCTTGTGGGGAATGGCGTACTGACGACACTCAGCCACCGAGCGAAGCGTAAACACAAAAGATCTGGTCGGACGTTCAAACGCGTAAGATGGCAACCGAAACACAGTTGCGACCAACTCGATGGCGTTCCACCGACATCTCGGCAGACAAGATCCACAATCAACGCTACGAGCATAGGGCTAAGTACATATCCGTTGTAGGTACGGAGGTCCAGAGCTGCTCACTCGAGTAGTCACGACAGTCCTTTCAGTTTATTCCTCGACATGGGTCAGATTGACTGTAAATATTGAACATCGCCACCTCGTGCCGTCGCAAACACAAGAGCTGCCACCATCTCGATACACCAGCAGGGAGCCTACAAGTGCTAGATGAATCTCTACGTCTTCAACCGCGGGAGCCGCAATTATTCGCTTGATTCATCGCAGAAGCGAACAAGATGACACTTCGTGCAAACTTACTTCGAGTAGTTTGTATCTCTACAGCATCAAGCTTCTCGGCCGAACAAGCAGCAACAGTCCAGCCTCTTTTTTCATACGAAGGATCACTCCCACTGCAGTAGTGTGTGAGTCGAGGCTTCCCAATATCCGCTACAGACAACGTCAATGAGCATAATGCCGATGCAAAGCGTCGGTATGGGGAACCTATGGATTGTGGCCGAAAGTCGAGACCGCGTCTCCGGCCAAATAATTTCCGATACACAGCTCATCTGGTAATGCTGGCCAGGATCAAGCTCTTATGTGCGGGCGAACATGAAGTTTTGAGAGAGACAGGCGAAGAGATTGCGAGTATTGTTGGTAGAGAACTCAGCATTCCAGCCACGGTGAGTATTAGTACTCGCAAAAGCCTGTGTTGATACACGCAGTAATCACAGTTGCGCGCTAGGAAGTTTCGAAGATATTGTCAAAGAGTAAGTCGAGTAATCCGAGTGCTTCCTTGCGGCTAGTTCTTTAACCGATACACTTGACTTTCTCCAACAAGTGCTGCCTCGAGTAAGCGGGAATGTAGGGTTTGCCATCTAACCCTCTGGTCTTCCGGTCCTCAATACCCCAGACATATCATCTATCTAAACCGGTCGATGGCAATCGTATGAAGGTGATGAAGAGTCCTGCAGCGTTTGACATCGATCTGGCATGATCATCAATCAAGTTTCACAGTTCTTTCCAAACCAGATATGGAGTTTAGAGAACCGACAACACTGATCAACTCTCAATGAATACTGTCGCTTTTTGCAAAGTCTTGTGTAGTCCCATATGTACCCTTACTGCCTGTACCAAAATCAAACACAAGGGGTTAATGTCGAGTCTTTCTCACGTATCAGACCACAACAATGTCACATAATTGATCCTCCTGCTGCATTGAACCACGTATACGTCAACGAATCCATTGGCTCAATGTCTCTGAGCTTCCTCTCTGCACTGACTTCTGGTCGTGCCTTGTACCTTGTTAGTCAGACTGAGTATAAATGCCTTTGTGTTCTGTTTGCGAGAGAAAGGAAACCAATATGGTTCTGCCAAACAGACATCCAAAAAAAAATTGTAAGTGAGCATCGAGACAAGAAACGGTTATATATAAGATCAAAGCTTTGGTGTTATGGATCGTGAGTCTGATGCAGAGAGTTGAAATCCTGTGTCGTTACTACCAATGCCGTGTCTCGCTGAGTGTCTTATCACCAATATTGCCACTCAAAGGAGTCCCAGAAACAGGGAAAGAGCAAAGCAAGAAGGTATCACCTGAATAGAGCAGTCGTAAAATCTTTGAAACCAAGGCGAATTCAGTACATTGGACTATATGCTCATACATTTCTTCATTAAGGGTTATAATAACACGAAAACATCAACTCCAACTGCCGCTTGTCCATCTCGCTAACAGTGGCAGGTGTACTAGCCCTCCTAACCTGCATCTTCAACTGCTCAATCGTCTGCTGCAATGCCTGTTCCTGCGTCTTCCTCAACAACATCGCAAATGTCTCTATCAAGTCGAAGCTGTCACTTTCCTCTTCATCCAATTCTCCAACCTTGCGTCTATGTTGCGCGAAACGCAATGGTGTTTTGGAAGCCTTGACCTTGCGGACGAAGTCGCGACGGCGCGAGTGGTAGCGGAGTGACCGCGCAGACCAAAAGTCTTTTGCCATCTCGCCAAGTTCGTTCATGCGGGCGAGGGCGAGGGCGTCAGGACTGAGGTCAAGTTTGCGTTTCCAGTGGCCAGGCCTTTGATTGCTGGAGACGAGCTCGCTGACATGAGTGTGAATGGCTGCGTCGAGAGATTCTCCATAGCCTGGCAAGACCACGTCGACAAGACCGATGTCTCTCGCTTGTTGCGCTGACACTGGCAGCATGTCGCGCAGAAGGTGGCGGCCGGAATCGCGACCTACTCTGCCATTGTAGGTGATGGTGTGATATTCGCTACCGAACAGTCCCAAGGTGCGATAGGCAGGGTTCATCACTACATGCTCACCGGCAAGCACAAGATCAGCGGCAGCAGCAAGTGCCACACCCCCAGCGGCAGCATTGCCTCGAAGCGCAGCGACGGTGGATATTCCGCGAGTAGCAAAGTCTTTCAGAATAAGCAGAACCACATCGTCCATGGCGTTGATGTTGGCCCAGGATTCGAATGCTGGATCTGTGTCGTTCTCGATCACATTGAGATGTATGCCGTTGGAGAAGTAGGCACCTCCGAGCAGGACCACTGCCGACAACGGGGTAGAACATGTATGCATGTCCAAAATGCTTCGCAAAGCAGCACACATCTGACGGCACTGGTTCGTACTCATTGCGCCATTGTAGAAATCGAAAGTCAGGTAAGCGACCCGCTGACCTGTCGCCAGCTCATCGTATTCGATGAGAATTTCTTGGAACGTTGGGTAATCGAATCTGGCAAAGTTCGTTGGCAGAGAAGGAAGAAGTTGGGGTAGGTTCCCGGCATCTATAAGGCCAATCTCCGCGAACAGAGGCATGGCAGGTACCTTCGGCCAGAGCGTAGGATCTGTCTTCTTCTTGACCCGCCGGCCATGGGTGACCCATATTCCCTTGCCATCCATTGTCTTGAAGCATACAGCATCGCTACGAACGCCAATGAATGTGCCCGGTTTAGCGTCGATAGTGGATATATGTTCGCCGTCCTCAATCAGACCTCCATAGATGTATAGGTTTGGAGTAAACATCTTTGTGAGACAGCCTGGCTGCGAATCCGAAGCCCTGATGAGTCTTGAAATCATCCGGGCGCTATGGCGGTTGATATCGAAATCTCTTTGAGCGGCCTTCAGTAAAGGAAGAGGGGTAGTATGTCCACCAAGGAATGCCTCGCCAGTGGTGGCGGAAGCAGTCTTGTACTCGGCCTTAACTTTCAGACCAGGAACGATGCGACTCCAGTCTTCGACTTCGTCAGCTCCGATGCCCGTGATCTCTCTAACGGCAAGTTGTATTCTCTCGATAGCGATCACACATGCGACTAGAGCAGCTCGTGTGACGTCCCCTCGATAAAGACTTGACTTGGTGAGTGTCTGGTCGTCAATGTCGACAGTGAATTGCTCCCATGCCCACACTGGGCCTGCATCGTACTCTGCAATGGCCTGCAAGACCGTCACTCCCCAGTGACTTCGGCCGTGTTCAGACCAGAGATCCTTGGCCATCACTCTTTCGAGGTTTTCGTCTGTTCCATCCTCGCCCATGATGAGGAAGTCGAGCGAACTAGGACCGCCATCTCCAGGAGCGCCCGGATGAACGACCAAAGTCATGTACTTGGTATAGACTTCCTCAGGCACTGTGGAGGTAAGGAAGGGACAGATGATAAGATGTGGATGGGCCAGAGAGGCGGCCTCGATCATGGTATCTCCCGACAATGCATACTCGACCGTGACTTCATGCTTGAGTGTCAGAGTCAAGTAAAGTCGTTGCGACAAGGAGTTGTGTGCTGTACAGAGAAGAAGAATCTTCATATCGTCGTGCGATTGGAGACTGACGGAAGTATGATGTTTTTGAAGATAAAATATGGAAACCGTGTATGTGATTGTGACTTTCTCACTCATGAAAACCTCTGTTATATGCTGTGCCTCACCCGGCCCATCGTCGATTTCTCTGCTAAAGAGCGTCAGCGGCGAGAACCACGTGTGAGTTTTGGTTTGGTTGTTCATTAAGCCTATTTCACAACAACTCAAGACATCATGTGGGTCCTATCAGCAATGGCGAAGCAGTTCGAGTATGCAGGACCTCAAAAAGTGTTGTACCCTTGCCATAGAGTAATAGTGGCTTTAAATCAAGCCCAAATTGGTCAAGCTTGTCAACATCTGCTGCAGATTCTTGTTTTGGGACGCAGGTCGGTCTGGGTGGTTGGAGCATTGTGCGTATATAGCCCATAGGTGGTTGTAAGAAGCTCCACATATAGTCAGAGGCGAGTAACGTATAGAGTTCACCAGGGTGGAGAGAGATTGCGTCCGTATGGTGGGATATGATTGACCATTCGAACTATACGAAGTTCGAAGTACTTTGCTGATATCTCCTAGGACTGATCCTGGAGGAAGTTGTACCGGGACTAGGTCCGGATCCAGATCTGACTTTGGTTCACTGAGCGCTTCGTTGTAGCATCTGTGGAGGTCTCTAGTCTGGAGAGCAATTGTAATGATGGCCACGTAGTACAAGATCTGCAAAAATGCGAACCATTAATGGCATAGTCGAGTTGATCAGGATTAGTGTAAGAGTGTGGGTGTTTCGGTGTTGTCGAATGTAAAATCTGTCATCGTCATTTGAGTCTGATGCCATGTGGTGCGTGAACTGATGGAACGACCCCACCACAGGGAGAGAGCAACACTCGCCCAATCGAAGGGCGCTCCACTTTAGGCTCTGAACCCTGGAACGTTCTCCCTCTGTCGTACCAAAAGGAGATGAACAATGAAATGCGATCGACAAGGCCTCTTGCACCTCGCCAAATCACTTACTGCGGTATCGGGATCTGTTCTGAAGCTGTCCATCCTCGATCAATACCTCGCGTGGTACAGCTTATGATCGTAGATCTTTGTCTGCCACGGTCGAACAGATTTGTATCTGGATATTTCCCTAACAAAATCATCGACTTTCGAGCTGCAACATCAAAAAACATGCATGTCGTGACGAAGCCCCCATACGTATGAGAAGCTTACATAACCATATATCACTAATCATTATGCTCGAAACTCTTACATGCAGGTAGCACGAACCAGATACTCCTTCTACTCTTGGCAGCTGCTCTCAATCTGTTGCAGGACTCTTAGAATCCACGTTATAGTTCAGTTAATGGTCGCACTGACAATAGAAGACGAGTGGCTGCTCGGGGGTAAGTCCATCCTTGAAACCCCAACAGCGCTACCGTCTCGATTGATGTGTTATAACGGACGTCTCGCAAGCTACCGCAAGGCAACTACGACAAGCAAAGGCAGATCTCCCGATTCCTTCAATCACCTCGGAGATTCGAAGCATGACCTAGGGCCAACATATACGCGTCATCCGGATTACAAGACTGCTTGATTGAAGGAACCTGGCCGAGCGACCAGAAACGCCGATGACTCGTCCAAAGCTTCCTGGAAGATGACGAGGTAGAGAAGACATATTTCTCGTTTGAACAAGATCTGGGCGCTGTTGCGCTGACTTCTAGCAATGTGTTGCATTCGCTGGCAGATATATACGGAATTCCAGTGGACACCCGAGACCGCCGACATGTTCGACCCACTCAATGGTCAAGTGTTGCAGCGCCATCTGCATGGTTAGCGAAGAGCAGCACTCCCTCGGAGCCAGTCCGAGGGATACCTCAAGAAGAACTTCAAATTGCGGCTGCGACTTTGAGTGGTGTGCTTAGAAGAGGCTGAATGGGCCCAGGTCCGCTTGAAGTACAGTCTCAGTTGACAGGTTTCTAAGGTTCGAGACGTGGCTATGCGGATGGCAGTCAATCACCACCCACTGGCAGCAGCCGCCGAATACTAGCAGTCGCAGCCAAAGGGTGTCTCTGCATCTGGGCCTCAAACTGTGCTCGAGGCTGGAGACAAGGCTTTCCGCATAGACATCATGGCCGTGCATCTACTGGGAATAGCATGGGCAACCATCATGCACCGAGCGCATGGTATTTACCATACGGCCGTAGGCGCTGACAGATAGGAAGAGGGGGAACTACTCACGCCATGCATGTGACTGAAAGCTATCTCTTGCTTTTCTTGCCTTTTGTACCTCCAACAGAAGCCACACTCTTGAGAGCAGCATGCTTGAGATCCTTGATATGCTGGTGAAGTCTGGTTTTGGACGGGAACATGGCGTCGCAGGTTGCACATTTGAATTTGCTCTCTTCCTGCTCTGCGGACACAGCTGCGGCAGCGGCGGCCCTCTTGCTCGCTTCTGAGCAGCCTTGCCNCTTCTTCGGTGCTTGCGTTGATTGTGTCGTGTCTGTTTCTGAATCTCCAACCAGAGTCGGTTCAACATCTGGTCTCGAAGGAGGTTCGTGACCGAGGCGGGCTTTCACTTGTGAGGCAGGGGCGTATTCGTCGTCTGAGGAGTCAGTGGTATCTGCAGTCTGCTCTGTCGGCTGTTCGCTGGCTTCTGTGGTTTTGATGGAACGTGTGTCTCCCTCATCACCAGACTCAGAAGTGTCGGCGTGCAACGTGAGATTATTCATGTTCGCTGCCGCGTCATCATCCATGATTGGGTACTGATTTTCTGATAGAGGCTCATCTTCCATCATGGGGTATTGGTCCTCCGGTGGTGGTTTGTAGTCTTCGACATCTAGTGGTGTGGCATCTCCGCTTGTTGGTTCACTATCCAAATTCAAGTTTGCGTTCTCCTTCTGCATCTTCTTCCTCAATGCCTGAACAGCCTTTTGGTGTTTCTTACTCTTCTCGTGTGCGTCCCATTGTTTCTCACTTTTGAAGGTCTTCTTGCATGCGACACACTCGAAGACTTCCTCGATTTCTGACTCGCTCTCGCCAATGACGCCTTCATTCTCGTCTTTTGTGATTGTCTGCGCCCACTCGGGAATGGCAGAGTCTTCTGTATTGACCTGGTTGGCGGCTCTTGCTCGTGCAGCCTGGGCAGCGGCAGCATCTCGGAGAACCTTTTGGCGCTCGGCTTCGGTCAAGGTGTTCGGTATGTAGCGTGGATCGCGCTTGCGGACGAATGCGACGAGAGCGCGGACGGATTCGTTGAACTCGCGGATGCCCTGTTCACGGAAACGCTGATTTTCCTTCTCCATCAATCTGCGGTAGCGGCGGTCGGGGGCTTCAGAGAGACGGTACTTGTCGCACCAGGCGAAGGACTTGCGGGTGCTGAAGGACAGCCAGACGGCATAGAAGGACTTGGGCACATCTTCGTATGCGTCGTCTTTGTGGCCGAAAGACGGGTAGTCAGGCAGATCAAGACCCTCCCAGTGAGCAGCAGCCTCCTCTTCTTTCGCTAGCTGGTCAAAGGTCTCGCGAAGGAAGCCAAAGAAGCCTGAGGGAGCATCAGTGAACTCGACGCCGCTGTTGAACTTTCGAAGCATGCGAGCCAGATCTTCGGCACTGGTCATCTTGACATTGCCATATTCGTACTCGCCAGCGCCTGCGCCTCCAGTAGTAGGGTCATCTCCTCGCAGAATCTGAGTCTCGTGAGAGTCGTACCAAGCTCTTTCTTGCGGATCCGAGAGGACTTCGTAGGCGGATTGGACTTCGGCGAACAATGCGGTGGCAGACTCGACGTTTCCGTAGTTACGATCAGGGTGTAGCTCGAGAGCCTTGCGACGGTAGGCCTNTTTGATCTCGTCCTCGGTTGCATCACGTTCGATTCCGAGGAGGGTGTAGTAGCCCGTCTTCTGTGCCTCAGGGGCTGCTTTCTGAGCACCGCTCGTTGACGACTGTCCGGCACCCATGGCTCCGTTTCGCTTCCTTCACTCCGACTCGACTGAACAGAGAAACAACTTTTTCGGTCTCCAACACGTCACAGCCGGGAAGCGGTAAGGTGCATTCACATGCGAAGCTTTCCCAGATAAGATAAGATATGTCTTGGCACAGCTCATCAACGCGTGCATCGCGCCTTCCCGCCGCGGTCTGCTGCGCGTCGTCCGGCAGGCAGCGAACGAACGAACGAGCTTGCTGTCTTTGCTTCGACCAAAGTCAACTCATGCGCATCAGGCAGCCATTGAGCCCACCTTGCCGGCTCATCCGACTTCACTCTGCCAATACGCACAAACATGGCGAACAAGCGACGACACGGTCCCGACGACGACGCCGACGACTCGTTTCCGCCATCCTCNCCCAAGCGCCCTCGAGTCAACGGCCAACGTGCAGAAGAGACTCCCTTTGAAACCGACGAGGTCGATGGAGGCTACACCTACCAATACCACAGTCATGTCAACGAAGACCACACCCTCCACCTCGATGTCTCGTCCGACGAGGCCGAAGATCCCGAATCCGAAATCCGCGCTACCCAGCTTGTCCAACGCCACTACCAGCGAAACAAAGAGAACCGGGCTGCCGAGCAGGGTATCATCGAGGAGGTCTATATGGAGAACTTCATGTGTCACAGCAAGCTCCGCATCCAGCTTGGTCCCTTGATCAACTTCATCATCGGTCACAACGGTAGTGGAAAGAGTGCCATTCTCACCGCCCTCACCATCTGCTTGGGCGTCAAGGCCGCTCAAACCAACCGCGCCGGCAGTCTCAAAAACTTCATCAAGTCTGGCGAGGAGCACGCATATGTCGCTGTCAAGATCAAGAACGATGGTGACATGGCCTACCAACCCGGCGACTACGGCAAGTCTATCATCGTCGAGAGGCATTTCTCCCAAAACGGAAGTGGCTTCAAGATCAAAAACGCCGAGGGCAAGATCATGTCTACAAAGAAAGCCGAGCTCGAGAACATTGTCGACTTCTTCGCTCTGCAGCTTGACAACCCCATGAACGTCTTGTCCCAAGACAAAGCTCGCGAGTTCCTCAGTGGCTCTTCTCCCCACGACAAGTACAAGTTCTTCATCAAGGGTACTCAACTTGAGCAACTCGACAGTGACTATCGAATCCTTGAAAGTCAGTTGGACGATACTGAGCACAGGTGCGAGCTTGCTGAGACTGATCTTGAAGTCTTGGGTGGAAAAGCAAGGGAAGCCGAACGAAAGAAGAAGATGATAGATCGCAGCCAGACTATGAATGAGAAGATCAACCAGTTGCGCTGGCAGCATGCTTGGGCCCAAGTTGAAGAACAGGAACGCGAGCTCGAGAAGATGGAGGATCAGATTCGTCAGGTTGACAACAAGATCACCATGCAGCAAGCACAAGCCGATCAAGCCAGCAGGCTTTACGACGAATCTCACTCCACACGCGAAGCAAACGCCAGTGTCATTACTGATCTGGAAGAGCAGCTAGGTCCATTACAAGACAACCACAAAGAGGTGAAGAGCATTTTCGATTCGAAAAAGTCAGACATGCAAGACAAGAAGGCCGAGCAAAGGAGCATCAAACAAGACATGACGACTTCGAAGGCGAACATGGACAAGCTGGATGCCAAGATCCACGCTGAGAGGGCCAGAATTGAGAACGCTAACGGCCCTGCCCATGCTCAGAAGGTGTCCGATCTGGAGGATGCCCGTTCCCAGTTGGACGAGACCAAGCAACAGGAAGAGCAGCATGCTGCCCAGAAGACGCATATCGAACGTAGTGTTACCGAAGCCCAAAACGAATTGAGCAAAGCTCGTGGACAGGGCTTAGAACAAAAGAGAAGAGCTGTTGAGGAGGCAGAAGGCATGTTGCAACGATTGCGGACTGATCAAGGCCAACAGGCTAGAGCCTACCCACCACAGATCCACAATGTTCTTCGCCAGATCAAGAACGAGCGTGGTTTCACGCAGCAGCCGATAGGGCCTATGGGCATGCACGTCAGACTGCTCAAGCCGGAATGGGGCTCGATCATCGAGTCCACCTGTGGCAAAAACTTGAATTCCTTTGTTGTCAGAAATGCTCAAGATAGGCAATTGCTGTCAAGGATATTGAATCAACATAACTGGTGAGTGTTGTGTAGCCTGAAGATGTACATGCCACTGACGCGTTCTAGTGATGTCAGCATATTGGTCAACAATGGAAGTCACATCGATACTTCACGGAATGAGCCCGAACAGCGTCTTGAGACAATGCTTCGAGTGTTAGAGGTGGGTCAGTCGCCACACAAGAGTTGACCATACAGAGGCTCACTTTATCACAGTTTNGACAATGATGCAGTTCGCAACTGTCTCATCATCAACCAAGGTATTGATCAGACTGTACTCATCTCCGACATGGAGACTGCCAATCAGTTTGCACAAACGCATCCACGAAATGTCAGAGCAACAGTCTGCCATCATCCACATAAACGTGGGCATGGTTCTCGTTACACGCCAACTAGGACTGGCAACGGTATCAGCATGGGTCCAGTCAATGCCTGGAAAGGACAAATGCGCATGAAGACCAGTCTGGAGGCGCAGATGAAGTGAGTGTTTTGTATTTGTGTTGTGAGGTTAGGTGACTGACTTGAGTTTCTNAGCATCGCGCAGGAGAGATTGGACAACGCCAAAAGGGACCTCCAGGAAGCCGAGAACCAGGTGCGAGCCCTAGAGACTACCCTCACTCGCGCCAAGCAGGCGAAGACTCGATATGATAGAGACACAACGAACATCCGCCAGCAGAGGCAACGATGTGAAGATCGGATCGAACAGCTGCAGGGAGAGCTCGACGCGGATGCCACCAATGACACAGGTGTGTTAGATGAACTCCGTACGCAGTATAACGAGGCCGAGCAGGCCCTCCAGGCTGCCAAAGACACAATGATGGATTCCGTCAACGCTTTGGACAAATTGGGCGAAGAAAACAGACAGATCAAGCAANNCAGCTCGACGCTGCAACCAAGGAGGTTGAAGAAGCTGAAGCACAACTCACCAAGGCACAGAAGAGGCTGGAAGACAAAACAACTCAACGAGAGTTCGCGCTCCGGAAGAAGAACGAGNGCTCTCGAGATGGTTGATCTGGCCCGACAAGAGAAGGAAGCTCTCGAAGAACAGCGCGTTGAGCAAGAGAGACTGATCAACGAGGAATACCTGCCAGGAGCAAACGCAGTCAGTCGCAGGACCACTGTAGAGCCTGGTCATACCGTCGAAGTACTGGACCAGAAACTAGAAAGGCTCGAGAAGGAACTGCAGCAACAACAGGATAGGTAAGCATCCATTGCACACATTCGGAGGATCATGCTAACACAACATAGTATCGGTGGTAGTCGCGAAGAGATCTACAAGGCGTGGCGTGCTGCACACAAGAAGTTCGCTAATGCTCAGCGAGCATTGAACAGCAAGAAGGACGTCGCAAAGGTGCTTTGATAACCCGTTGATTCGATACATGGATGTTTGCTAACACACATGGTACAGAAACTCAAGGCAGCGCTCATCTACCGCAAGAGTCGCTGGAAGCTGTTCCGCAAGCACATCACGACGAGAGCAAAGATTACATTCAGCTACTTGTTGTCCGAACGCAACTTCCGTGGACGCATTCTTGTCCATCACCTAGACAAGACGCTGGATATCAGTGTTGAGCCTGATATTTCGAAGAACAGCGACAAGGGCCGTCAAACGAAGACTCTTTCTGGTGGAGAAAAGTCCTTCTCGACCATCTGCCTGCTGCTCTCAATATGGGAGGCCATGGGTTCGCCTATTCGCTGTCTCGACGAGTTCGATGTCTTCATGGACAGCGCGAACAGAGAGATCAGTATGAAGATGATGATCCAGGCCGCTCGTAGGTCTGTTGGCAGACAATTCGTACTCATTACGCCACAAGCTATGGGCAAGTACACGGAAGGCGTGCAGGATGTGAGTGTCCACAAGATGGCCGATCCTGAGCGCGGACAGACGACTCTGAACTTCAGCGCTGCTTGAGCTGCTGACGTGATGGATTTTTCGATTAGCGTGTCTATATAGCTAGGCGCTGGAAGGAGTTTGATTGACGATAATGAGACAACGTCATTATTCTTAAATGTACATATCTTGATTGCTGAGTCAATTGATGATATGATGGCTCCATCCAGATATTGCCCTCTGTAACTGATAAGATGCGGGACAATTCACCATTTAACCGAAGCTGCATGTTGCCTGCTCGCTCACCTGTGACAACACCTTGTACCATTAATCTTCTCTGACATCCTGTGGAAGGTCGAGCCTCATAAGCTTCATCAGCAACACCAACAGTTATCAGCAAGGCGACCATGAACACTATTGCAAAAATCACCCGAGTGGGCGCCAGGTCCATCCTCCACAATCGCCTCCCTACTTCTTTCATCGCAGGGAAGTCGACCCTAACCCAAGTCTTTTCCGACAAGGCCATTCATCGTAAGTCTCCTAATTTCCCTTCTTCGAGCTCATCTGTTCCTCAGCTAAAGTGTGTATTGCAGCCNATCGGCCCCTACTACTCCCAAGCCATCAAAGCCAACGGCTTTGTCTTTCTCTCCGCCCAGCTCCCCGCCGACGAACGATGCAAACTCGTTGGTGGCAGCGTCAGCAACCAGACGCACAAGATGATCCAAAATGCATCTCATGTTCTTCGAGCTGCCGGCTCGAATCTTGAGAAAGTCGTCAAGGTTAATTTGTCAGTCAAGGACTTTCACATGGTGGAGGAGATCAATGAGGTTTACATGAAGTATTTTCCGCAAAGGCCTGCGAGGACGGTTGGGCAGGTTGTGTTTATGCCTGCTGGAGCGGATATGATGATGGATATGGTTGCTGTTGTTGATGAGGAGTAGAGAAGAGAATGGACTTGACGCACTTCGAAAGAAAACATGATGATAGTTTGGCTACAATAATCTGTTAACGTCGCATTGTGTTTCTGTTCAAGCCTACACATCTTCCAGTTGTTTTTCACTGACCTCTTTTCACTGTCTTGAAACATGTAGTCTCCATTGGCCACTGGTCAGGTTTTGTGCCAGGAGATAGATATAGACAGGGTGGCACCTCTCTCAACTCAGAGTTCAATTTTGCGGAGCGGATCAACATCTCCCCGCGTTTCTTTCATCTCCTTGACTCGACGTTTGCGCCGCCACCCTCAGAGAAGACAGCATTCGAGCACGTGAACCGTTTCAAAAACGCAGTTCTACTGCATTTAGATATCATCTACGGATTGAGTTTTCGTTCCATATAATGCCCCAGATCCCGACGACATCTCTGCTTGATTGACAGACCCACTGCTGGAAGACACAGTGACACACTATCTGGACATGCATTGAAGATCTTTGCGCCTGGACCACCAGTACCCTCTTTCAATTGCCTACGACGATAATCTTTGACCACGATGAAGTACGGCCACGAATACTCACAGCTGCTGGCTAGTGAAGGATTCCCTGAGGCATGGGTTTCTTCTGCTATCTCCTATCGGCTGCTNAAAAAGTCCATCAAAAAGGTTGAGCAAGAATTAAGCGCCCTTGGTCTGGACGCTTCGACACTGCAACATCTGCACAGCGAATTTGGAGTAGAAGCGCCAGGAGACAGAGTCGGCTTGCGTTTTGTACCGGAATTATGGGTCGCTGTCGATGGTGACAGTGGAGAGTTCCTGGATGCGCATCTGACCGAGGATACAAAGCAGTACTTTATCTGGTTGGCTCAGAACAATGACCAGCAAATCATCCTGGAGAGACGTGCTAGTCAGATCTCACACGGAATCAATGGTGCTTCACCATCCGAGCAGGAACAGTCTAACGCTTCGATTCGCGCATCTTCGGCCGAGAACGGCGCTCAATGGGCTCATGTCCACTTGCACACGGCAGCAAATTTCTTCAACCTACTTGGTCCAAAACTGGCACAACTGGACGTTATTCAGCACACGGAAGAGAGGCGCTTGGAATCGAAGATTGTGGAGCTGAGCACCGAAGTCACAGCACTCACCGAACCTGGTCATCTGAAAAATGGCAAATTCAAGGCTAAATCGGATGTCACCATTTGGCGCCAGATTCTAGCCTTGTACGTGCAGCATGCCATATTCTTCTCACCATACGAAAGGGACCGCGGATCGCGTAGCTTTGACCAAGCAAAGTCGCATCTCGAGCTCTTCTCCAAGGATCTAGTAGACCAGGGGCTTGTCAAGAAGTTCAGAGAAAGATCGAGCAGACGTGCCTTCGATCACTTCGTGGCCATCAATCTCGACATCCTCAAGGCCATGCGCTTTCAAGAACTCAACATGGAAGCCGTACGTAAGATCCTCAAGAAGTTTGACAAGCGAACTGCTCTAGGAGCGACAAAAGCCTATCAGGGTCATGCGCTTAGTGGCCCCTTTGCTAAGTCAGTTGCAACGGACATGTGTGCAGCAATGTCTCAGCAAGTGGTCACCATTGTGCCGCAGCTAGATGACTACAGCTGTCCTGTCTGCTACAATATCGCATGGAGACCGATTCGGCTTGATTGTTGCAACACAGTCTTTTGTATTCGCTGCATGATCGAACTACAGAAGTCGGCCTCCAAATGTCCTATGTGCAGGTCGACTTCAGTCATCACTGCAGACTCGGGTTCCATCGATCAGCAACGAGCAGATTATCTGGTTAGGTACTTTCCACATGAAGTCAAGGAGAAACAGAAGGCGAATGAGCTTGCTATTGCGATCGACAAGTATGGCCCAGACTATCAGAAAGGGCCTTGCTGCGTTATGTGAGGATCGAGTATCAGATCTTGACACAACAAAAATAACAATAACAAATCAGACATCTCCTTACAAAATCAGCATCGCAGCTCGATTTCTCTCTGGCAGGAAGTTGAACATCTGTTGTGGTTGGCATGCCCTGAACTCNGGCTTGAAGGCGACGAAATCGACCCCGCGATTGCGTCATCTATACGACTTGCACATTACAACCTCGCCATCATTCTTTCCCTCTNNTTACGACAATCTCGATGCTCAGAAGTCTACTTCGAATNNAAACCACAGACACATCAAAGAATTGTCAAGCATCAGAACAATGTCGAACAAGTCACACCCAGACGCGGACCTATTCCCGCATGCAACTGGTCTTGCCCAGAAGACTGTCGAAGAGCACAAAGCAGAGCAGCCTTTGAAATTGTATGCTGGTTGGTTCTGTCCTTTCGTCGGTCGTGCATGGACAGTTTTGCAAGAGAAGAACATCCCTTACCAATACATCGAGGTGAGCACTCATCACTCATTGCTAGCAAACAAGGCCTAACAACGACCANNGGTCAATCCATACCACAAGCCAGAATCGCTTTTGAAGTTGAACCCTCGCGGTCTGGTCCCTACATTACAGTACGACAACAAGCCTCTCTACGAGAGCACAGTAATCTGCGAATTCCTCGAAGAAGCCTATCCAGATCATGGACCCAAACTCCTGCCCGACGACCCCTACGAGCGTGCTCGTACTCGCATTTGGACGGATTACTGTACTTCACGAATAATTCCTGCATTTCATCGCTTCTTGCAGTTCCAACCAATGTCAGATACTGAGGGTCTTGAAGAAGTGAGACAAGAGTTCCTTGGTCACTTGAAGGAGTTCACGAAAGAGATGGACTCTGAAGGACCGTACTTCTCGGGCAAGGAAGTTGGTCTCATTGATCTCGTTGTTGCACCATGGGCAAGTACGTATCCACCTTTCTCAACATTCAGTCATGATTGCGTAATATGCTGACCTTCTGCTNNTGCAGTCCGTCTGTGGGTCTTCGACCACTACAAGAGTGGTCTGAATATTCCCAATAGAGGCGAGGACAGCGCAGTCTGGTCGCGATTCGAAAAGTGGCTCAAAGCAATTGAAGAACGCCCTTCAGTACGCGAGACCACGAGCGAAAAGGAAAAGTATCTCAGCATCTACCAAAAATATGCCGACGATAAGGCGCAGAGTGAGTTGGCAAAGGCCACACGTAAGGGTCGTGGTGTGCCTTGAGCTACCATTGGTCATCGATAGACATCAGAGTCGTCAAGTCCGAATGAACACCGAACGAAGGAGGCAATATTAGCCAAAAAGTCGCGGACGCCTGCATCTCCTAGTCCCTTGTATTGTTCACAAGCAAAGAAATGTTGTTTATCGCATGAGTGCTGCCCAGTCACCTTATCTGCGCCTATCGGCAGCCGCTGAGGCGATGATCGACACCGTCTAACCCCATACCCCACCACTACTCACACTTGCACCTTCTCCAACTGGCCATATGGTTTTCGCGTCCCAATCGCAACTACCCCAACATCTTATCAAAATACCTCAACGAGTGCAGTGCGATCTCCCACCGACATGGGTGTTCTTCACAGTTGAAGCCAGTATCTTTGCCTCTTGAGCGCTATCGCGGAGAAGGCATGTTAGGAAAAGGCTAGATATAATGGCCACTCTCTCCTAGTCCAATCTACCAGACCTACCTCTAGATTTTGTCATACACGATGTCGTCTTCAGCACAGATCCTTCCAGTCGGCGCTGGCTATGGTGTCGTGATTGGTGCTGGGTTCTTCTTTGCNTTTCGTGAGTTCTGAACATTGACAAGGCCTCAATTATGCTAATACTTCTGATAGGTGATGATGGGCATCTCTTACCTCCAGAACAAATATACCCAGTTCAACACCAAAACCAGCGAGGAGTTCAATACTGCTTCTCGTAGCATCAAGCCTGGTCTTATTGCGTCTGGTATCGTTTCGGCATGGTTAGTTGCATCCAGCAAAGCCGAGGTGCTTTGGCATCCACAACTTTGAACTTGTGCTGATCCTACTTTCGCTTAGNNGACATGGGCAGCTACACTGCTGCAAAGCTCTACGGTGGCATATCAATATGGTGTTGCTGGACCTTTCTGGTAGACACATCCCTATCTCGGTCACTGGAGTTTTCACTGACGAGAGGCAGGNTACGCTGCTGGCGCCACAATACAGATCCTTATGTTCTCCATCCTTGCTTGCAAAGTCAAGATGAATGCCCCTCGCGCCCACACCTATCTTGAGATCGTTCAGGCTCGCTATGGACGTACGGCACACATCACTTTCCTCTTCTTCGCTTTCGTTACCAACATCCTGGTCGGCTCGCAATTGTTACTCGGTGGTTCAGCTGTTGTGACCAGTCTAACTGGCATGAACGTCTATGCAGCTATCTTCCTCATTCCGGTTGGCGTTTGTGCCTACGTGGTCCTCGGCGGGCTGCGAGCGACCTTCCTCTGCGACTACAGTCATACATTGATCCTCATGATCATCATACTGTACTTTATGTTCAACGCCTACGCGACCAACGACCTCATTGGATCTCCTGGAGAAATGTACGAACTACTCAAGAAGGCAGCGGTGCAGAGGCCTGTAAAGGGCAACGTTCAGGGCTCTTATATGACACTCAAGTCGAACTACGCCTTGATCTTTGGTGTTATCCAGCTCTGCTCTGGTAGCGGCACCGTTTTCCTTGACCAGGCTTATTGGCAGCGTGCTATTGCTTCTCGGCCCACCACTGCCGTCAAGGCATACATCTTGGGTGGTATTGCCTGGTGAGTGATCGAAAGAGCAAGCACACATCATAGACTTGTGCTGACTAAGTGAACAGGNTTTGCGATTCCTTTCGGATTCTCCACTACACTGGGTCTTGCCGCCGTGGCCCTGACCGACAANCCCCGTTTCCCTACCTACCCAGGCGTTCCGTCCGACAGTGACATTTCTGCCGGGCTCGCGGCAGCTTTCTCAGCTCAAGCATTGCTAGGCAAAGGTGGCGCTGTGGCTCTCCTCATTGTCCTCTTCATGGCAGTTACATCGTGTGCTTCCGCCGAGCTAATCGCCGTCTCTTCGCTGTTGACCTTCGATGTTTACCAACGCTACATCCGTCCAACCGCTTCTTCTGCTTCTCTGATCTTCGTCTCTCACGCCATGATCTGTGTGTTTGGTCTGACCATGGCTGTATTTGCCTGCATCTGGAACGCCATTGGAATTGATCTCGGCTGGCTGTTCCTGGTGATGGGACTTCTGATAGGTGGCGCAGTCTTCCCTGCCGCCTTTACGATAACCTGGCGTGGTCAGTCTGCCACAGGAGCAATCACCGGTGCCATCGGTGGCTTGATCATTGGTATCGCGGCCTGGCTCGCGGTTGCTAAAGTATACTTTGGTGAGCTCACCATTGCCTCAACAGGCACGGAGTATGCTACTTTAGCAGGCAATCTTGCGGCTATCATGTCTGGTCTCATTCTCACTGTTGTGGTATCTCTGGTCAAACCGCAAAACTTTGACTGGGCGATTACTCGAGGTATCAATGCCGAGAGCGCAATGATAGTCGAATCACAACTCCAAGAAGAGCAGGTGCAAGAAGGAAAACTCGACACAGCAACTGCAACAACCAACCCCACCGACGACGAAAAGACACCAGCAACACCCGAAAAAGACACCTCTCCTACCCCCTCAATCTCCTCACCCTTACCTCAGTCACCTCACCCAAACACCACAATCACAACCCAAGAAGACGCCGAACGCGCCGCCGACCGCCTCACTGAAGAATCTCCCAACTCGCTGCGAGGAGCCTTTAAACTTGCGTGCATTTCTGCCTTTGTCTTGACCTTCATCATGGACTTTTTGCTTCCTATGCCCATGTTTTTTAGCCATTATGTGTTTTCCAAAGGCTTCTTTACGGCTTGGATTGTCATTAGCTTTTTGTGGGTGTTTGCCAGTACGGCGATCTCGGTCGTGTTGCCTGTTGTGGAGACGGCTGGGTTTTTGAAGAAGTTTGCTGGGGATGTGTTTGGGGGAAGAAGGGGAAGGTGTAAGTTGATGATGGGGATATGAGGTTATGAGGATTAATTGGAGAAAGCGTGCGAGTCTGATCGCTCTATCTGAGGTAGCAAAGAACACTGGTGAGTTGGGTATGTTCTTGGAGACCTTGTGCTGTATTTCTCCAATGTATCGATCAGGGGCTGACATGGAAAGTGGCCAATAGAGGTTATTGGGATCTTGTTCTCGTCACGATTATTGAAAGTCCACTGATACAATGAAAGGTTCAAAAAGATGGAGACTGTCTGATAGAGGAGATTCGATGGTCCGAAAGCAAAAGAATATGGCTCAGCCGAGAGTCGAACTCGGGTTTCTCTGATTACAGCTCAGGACCGTGATACCACGGCCATCGTTCGAGGTCCAAATCGGTATCAGGTCCATCTGTAAGTTCTGCAAAGCGTCATAAACCACTAGACTACTGAACCGTGTTGCTGAAACGACTGCAGGCTACCTTGATATTGTCTGCTTAGATGCAAGAGCTGAAAGTGATTAGGAGAAAGTGCGAGGCTGTTAAACTAGGCTTTCAACCTATGGCTGCAATTCCAAAATTCACTGTTGCCTTTTCGCCATGAGATATGTATTCAAGTGTTCTCTATCCTTTCACACCAATGTCTTCTGGCCCGACAACTACTGCTGCATAATCTTGATCAACTATACACCATCGTAAAGGATTCCCAAAACTGTTGAATATTCACTGAGAGGCGTTCTTACGCACAAAATTAACGGTGCTTCCAAACAGACAAACAGTAGACCAAAACATGTCTTTGGATTTTTACAAGCCATATACATGGCACCTTCGTAACTTTGTACAAAGACAGTTTGCTAGCTGTTACTGTGAATGGTATCAAGCAAGCGGCATCGCCAAATGTGTACAAGAGGTCAGTACAGTAGCTGTGACTTGCACTTTGCACATTGGGAGCGTTGGATATTGACTAATTTCATAGGGAATTTCAAAGGACAAGCGATGGATCACAGTAAACATCGTGATATCTTGCGACATATATTAGTAGTATCTCTGAGCACTCCGCCTTGCAAGAAAACGGAGACTACTCATAAGAACGTTCGACAGCGGCTAAACCCCTCAGGACAATGACGATAGGCAGCAAGGATGAACACCGTCACATAGATGATAAGTAGGACCCGCGCATATTCCACCACAACACAGGGCGACGTTTTCAAATTCGCAAGCACTGCCATCTGGTATGCACGTCTCATAAGTGAGTGTGGCAGTTGTGGTTGCAGTCGTGAAGGTCGTGAGAACAGATGCTTCTGTCACAGTGCTCTGTGTCTGAGTGGTGAAAACCTCTTGAACAGTCGAAGTGAGGGTAGCATTCATTCCGGCTAGCGTCAGCCGTTGCTCTACGGTTGTAGTGCTGGTTGACCGCGGTATTCTGCTCTGAATACAGGAACAAGCGGACGATATAACAGCAGCCGGGATGGTCGCAATTCGAGACGCGAATGGCGTGGCCAAGCTGGTTGCCACTTCTGGTGCAGCATAGCGTCTCTTGCGCGGACCGTAGGAGAGTGGAGGAGCGAGAACGGTTGTGGTGACGATTTCGGTGTCGATCTCGGTTGCAGTGGTCGTCCTAATACGTGTTTGCTTAGTATTACATCCTATCACATAAATTGATCACCGTGCTTACGAAATACTGGTGGCAGTTGTATCAGGAAGCTGTTCCGTGGTTGTAGAAGACAACGTGTAGGTTCTACAAGTTGTGTCAGTAGTGCTTGGAAGGCTGATCAGAAGATGCAGAGAGATCATGATCTTACACTGTGGTGTTCGAAACTCTGTAGGTAGTTGAGGTCAAGCTCTCGGTCACTGTGACGGCTGGAACGTTCATGTAGGAGCTACAGAAAGCATTTGCGTCAAGTTCATAATCTGTAGCGGTGAACAAATCAAGCGTAGGGTCATCAGACGAGCAACTGACACTGCTATGGGTTGGCAGTGCCACTGATACTTGAGCAGAAGACGTGGTGTTCGTGGGTGATGTAGTACTCGTTGACGAGTTCACATCCGGTACTATCATGCTCACACCAGAGCTTCTGCTCAACGACGAACTCCTAGACGATGTTGGAAAACTGCTAGGAGGCAAAGTAGTGCTTGCACTCGCACTCGAGCTCAATCTGCTGCTTAGGCTCGAGGTTGTCAAAGTCGAAGACGAGTTGGAAATCGGATACAAGACGCTTCTCGAGCTTGAGCGGCTACTTGATTCAGAGCTGGAGCCGATACTGGTAGTGCCAGGCTCTGAAACCATCGTTCCAGTTGTGCTTTCACTGGAAGTTGTCGACGCTCCCTCATTGGCTGATGAGGAAAGGCTTGTTGATACTGATGAGCGTGTTGACCCTGATGGCTCTACTGATCCAGAGAGCATTGTTGTTGATGAGGACCTTATTAGTGCTGAGGATTTTGTCGACGCTGATGAGCTTGTTGCTGCTGAAGAGCTTGACGACACCGTTGGTCTGAAGATAACAATGGCGAAAATATCACCTGGAGCATCTTTTCGGCTCTGTGCGTTGAACTGTGTCAAGGTGTTGCATAAAGATGTGCTCTCGTCGAAGAGAGTTGCTATGCAAGTCTCTTGTCCAGCACACTGGGAGAGGCATGCCGACAAGTCAGCGGCAATTCCAGGCAGACTGCTTGCCTGGCGTTTGCGGAGGCCGTTGAGGGCCGAACCATCATAAGAAGTATCATATTCCAGCAGGAATGTAACGCTATCCACAGTCACGATCGTAGGACGTGGTGTCGTGGTCGTGGTCGAGGCCGTAGAAGTCTCCGGTCGAATAGCTCCCGAAATGCTAGTAGCCGCGCCTGTTTCGGTCTGAATTGTAGTCAAAGTGCTAGTAACCGTGGATGTGATAGCTGTGGGGATCTGTTCCACAACGTATTCGACAACATAAACGTAGACAATCTGAACAATGTAGTTGGTCGAAGGCGTCAGGGCAGTCGGTAAGGCTCCTGCACCGTTTGCGGTTATCTCGAGGATAGTGGATTGTGCCGTGCAGGGGCAGTTTGTAAGAATGACTCCATCTCCGGTAACCGTGGTGACTCCAGTCTGGCACGTAATGACTTGACCATCATTGGCGGTCATGGATGTTGGATATACAGCACTATCGATAACTGCGGTAGCAGTATAATCGGTATCAGTAACAGAGTCAGGCACAAGCACCAGATTGCTGATTGTCTTCTCGAGAGTCAAGGTAGTGGCCTGCGTGAGAGTTGTGACCGCGCCACTGATAGTAAGAACCTGTCCAGCTTGGCATGCCGATGATGTCTGATAGACAATGTTTCCAGAAGTTGTGGATGTCGGAGTAGCGCATTGGGGATCGCATAAAGTGACAGTGGTCGGTAGAGGGCACAAATCGACGGTCGACCAGGATGTGACTGTAACAGTCTTGACCGTGCCGTTGTATGCTGATGCTGCCTTGGCCATCAGCACCGAGGCCATGGCCATCCCGGAAAAGGCACGCATTTTGTTGAGAGGCGAGGTGAGGAGCTATGTCTGTAGACAAAGGTATCGTCCACAACGATGGATCTGATAGATAGTTATAGTCGTCGAGCCTTGTTGACCAAATTCCTATAGGAGAGTAGATTCAGGATTCTTTCTCGAAGGGTCAAATTTTACCGTTACTGTTAAGCGGAGGCACTTAGGAACACTGCTATATGGCCGTTTTGGCTTGGTCAAAATCGCAGTGACAATGGGATATTTCTCTTGGTTGTCCGACTTGACCACGTCTGTCCCGCAGCATGCATTCTTACCCGGTCTATAAAGGCTGGGTTAGGTGCTTAAGCATCAGGTGCTTCTAAGGATGCGTCGAGCCCATGTAGAATTTGTACCCAGTTGGGATGGTATGCACAGCATTTCTTCTTGCTATGTGTTTGGCTCCTATCTTGTTGGTGGCGTCAGGGTTTCCTATTAGGCCGCCTACCAGAGCCGAGCTTTTCGCGGTACTTAACCGTCTTTGATAAAAGTGATACATGCCAGAACAGCAGAAGGATGGAGTTTACACGAGAGATGAAGCAGATGCAGGAGACAATGTCTCGAGCAATCTCCATCTGCAAGGGCAACGATTTGTGACAAGGCTTTTTGCTTGCAACGGTGTTCAGCCGCAACGGGTTTTCAGCTCACCACGGATTTTCAGCTCCTGGTAAGTCGTTGATGGCCCGTCAATTTTATCATCCTGCATGACCGTACGTGTTGGAGATTTTGTTGTTGGCGAAGAATTTCGAATAAAGTCATGATCAGGCAAAGGACGCCACGCAGGAAGAGACACCTCCGGGTTGGCCGCAACGAAGCTGTAAAAGGTACCTTACTTGAGGTCATTGCGGGAACAAGGAGCTGTATGGTCAGTAGCATTGAGCACATATAGCAGACTGTTGTACACACCGTGTCTGTTTACCCACTATAGGCACTTACATATGTTGAGAAGAACAGAAAGACTGGATGGTAAATTCCCCGAGGCTTACCAGTTGATAGTAGCGTTGCCAACAACATCTTGTTGCTGACAGATAGTAATGGCACGGCTTTGTCGCTACCCGTAGAAATAGTACGATGGAATGTATATCCACCGAAGCATTTGATGGTGAGATGATGGTATGAACATACCTTATTCTTGGAACGAAGAAAGTATGAGCTCTATCTCAGATACGCAGGCTGCACTGGCTAACATCCATGTAAAGTCATCAAGATGTTCGAATCTACTGCTTGACCGCCGAGAGCCATTGATGATGATCTAGCGAGCTTGGCTCCCAAAGACAATCAGACGTCAGCAGTACTCCATCGCAGCTGATCTCAAATCTTCCGTTTCACACTTTCAGAGCGAAAGTCGTCTCACTCCAACCCCAATGTCTACCCAAGCGACGCCCAAACGAGCTCAGAATCTCCTTGCTCATGTCCGGCTCGGGGTGCGGACGGTGGAAGACCATCGAGTGCTTGTCTCCCTTCACGTCTACATGCGTGAATGTGAAGCATGACCCGCCACCAGGCATGATTGAGCAGCCAGCGTCAGCCATTGCCGAAACGAAGTCGATACAATAAGTGTCGCCTGGTGTAGTAGGGCCTGTCGTGAGGATGCGGGTGAGCAAGGTCAGACTCTTCGCGGATACCAGAATTCAGCCTACAACACCTGCAAACGCTGTTTGACTTGCAAACAAAGTCGAAACAGTGTTATTACAGATTCGTGGTCTTGGTCTGCAGGTAGCCGGTGGTCTCTTATACGTGGAATAAGGGTCTCGCCAGAGAGCGTGCTAAGCGCCATATCGCAACATATCAAAGCATTGATGGACACGGGACTTTCAACGATTTGGCGGAGCACATTTAGTCAGATGGTTGTCCTGCCTCCGGATGTTAGGAGTATGAAGTGAGGTTGGTGAAGACAAACACGATACAGATCTGCAGTCGGACGACGACCTGGAGGAGCAACGCGACTTGGCAAAATGCCGATATCGCGATAGAAATCATCCCTCGTCGGTATTACAATATTGTGTTCTACAACTCGGTCGGATGCAGGAAGGAAGAAAGGACCTTCGTGCCTTCCTCATAACTGCCAAGGGTGCCGCTTGGAGTTCAAGCAATCTTTTATCTGGTCCGCAAGAGCTGTCTTATCAGATGCTTTTGCTGTCAAAGTGTCATGGAGGGCAGTGCGAACCGAGCTTCTCGGTTCGCGCTTACCTTTGGCTTCTTCCAGCCAAAGCATTCACCGCTCCACATTTTGTCTTGAGGGCTGCTTTAGTTAGTTATCTCCCGACCACGGATATGCGAAGATCACGACTAACAATGCGTGCTGCGTGGTTTATGGCGCGCCCCTTGCCGTAGAGTTTCTGGTACGATGGGTCTTGAGGAGTTATAAGCTAAGGCCTCGCCCTGTTGATCCTCTTGTCTTGACTACAACTCGTACCCCTTTCTCTTGTTTCTTTCTCTCATCTTGTCCTTTGCTACCAATTGGTGTTTGCCATCATGGTCAACTCTCAAAGTCTGCCATGGCAAGACATTGCTACCAGAAAGCACAAGGAGATCTTCGATGCCATTCCTTCAGCATGGATAGCTGATAAGCATCTGCTTCGTGGCCATAATTTTATGAATCTGCCGAAGAAATGCCCGTCAATCATGTCGAAGGAGGAGCTTTTCATCACTGAACAACGAGCTGTAGATATCCTATCTCGCATCCGAGCCAGGACATGGACCTCTCATCAAGTGACCCTCGCTTTCTGCAAACGAGCTGCTCTCGCACATCAAGCCACCAATTGTCTTGCACTTGTAATGTTTGACTCCGCTCTCCAACGAGCGAAGGAATTGGATGATTACATGCTGAAGCACAACAAACCAATTGGACCACTCCATGGCCTTCCCATCTCAGTCAAAGAGCACATCTACCTCCAAAACACACCAGCAACCTCTGGCTTGATTTCCTGGGCGGATGCACCTAGTCTAGGAGACGCCTTGATCTGCAAAGTGTTTAGAGAAGCAGGAGCGGTCTTTCACGTCAAGACCACGAATCCACAAACACTTATGGCCTTGGAAACACACAGCAATCTCTTCGGCCGCACGACAAATCCTTATAATACCGATCTCACCTCTGGAGGAAGCTCAGGAGGCGAGTCGGCACTGGTGGCTATGCGAGGCTCGCCCCTTGGTATCGGTACAGACATTGGCGGCAGTATCCGCGGGCCCAGTGGCTTCTGTGGCGGTTGGGGCTTGAAGTGCAGCGTAGCACGTATCCCTCACTCAGGACTCAGCGGCCTGCACTCTGGCATGGAAAACATCATTGGTTGTGTGGGACCCATGGCCAACTCACTCGCCGATCTACGGCTCTTCTGCAAAGTGGCCTTGGACGCACAGCCCTGGGACTTCGAACCTAGTCTCATCGACTTGCCATGGCGAAGCGTAACTCCTCAAACACTGCCCAAGAAACTCAGGATAGGAGTGTTATGGCATGATGGCGAAGTAGCTCCTCACCCACCCATTCAGCGTGCCCTCAAAGCAACAGTCTGCAAACTCCGAGCTCAAGGACACGAGATAGTGAATTGGGACCCAAGTCTCCACGCCTCATTGCTCAAATGGATCAACACCGCATACTTCCTCGACGGCGGCGAAGAATACAAAAACACTCTGTTGCAAGAATCTGACCCTGCAGTGCCCATGATCCAATGGCTTCTCTACAGCACAACACCAAAACGCCACACTGTTGAGCAGACCTGGGAACTCAATAGCCTACGCGATAAGTTGCGCACGCAGTTCTCTCTTCAATGGCGGGAAGCAGATATAGATGCTTTGCTGTGTCCTGTAAACGCTTCTGTAGCGTCTGCTCACGATGAAAGCAAGTACTGGGGTTATACTGCTGTTTTCAATGCTACGGATCTGCCGGGCGTGGTGTTCCCAGTAACTAAAGTTTTGGAGACTGATACTTGGGCTAAGGATACACCGGCAGTCAAGGGTGACAAGGATGCCATGTATAGAAGATTTTGGGATGAGGGTGGCCCGCAGAAGTATAGGGATGCACCGGTGAACCTGCAGTTGGTGGGAAAGAGGTTGAGGGAGGAGAGGTTATTGGCTATTGCTGAGGTTGTGGAGGGAATAATCAGAGGTGTCGGTGATGAAAGANNAAACGATAAGGCGGCCAAGCGTGTTGAAAGGACGGAAACGATTCAGAGTCGATTGTAGGAGCTGAGAGTCTCGGAAATCAAGTAAGATCATGAGTAGAGTATTTCCAGACCGAGCATCATATACCTCCAATTACGATAACGTCATTCCATCATCCACTTCAAGCGGTGTAGTTGGGTACAGATCCATCACAAAGGTTCTCCAGATACTTCAAGTCAACGTCCTTGACAGCCACTCCATCACCAAAGTCCCTTACCGTGCTCTCTCCAAGCACCTCATATTCCTGCCATCCAGTCTGCTCAATGCCGGTCATACCACCTGCGGTGAATGCTACCCAAGCATCTTGCATAGCGACACTAGTCTGGTTCTCCAATGCAGGCCCCTGACCTCTGAAGTTATCAAAAGTGCCAAACAGCATGGGTAGCTCAGAGGAATGGTAAGCACCCAACCAGCCCGCAGGCGCGATGTTCGAGAAGTTACCGCTGTAGACGTAACGGTAGGTAGGCCGGTTGGTCTGTTGACGCAAGCGGATAGACCCGGTGGCAGGGCAGAAGAAAGTTTGCAAAAGCGCTAGTTGCTCAAGTGTAGCGTTAGGGCCAGAAGGGTTGTAGGGAGCAAACGGTGCACCATCTTGAGCGTTTGTGCCAATGATGGCTGGAAGGTTTGCTTGGTTGCCTGCTAGTGCGCGGGCGGTGTAGTTGCTGAACACCACCTTTTCATCGGGAGTAGGAAGGAAACTGATGGAAGGCGCAGTGCCATTTTCCTGGTAGTTTTTGACAAAGTCTTCGATAGCTGAGGCAGAGAGTTTGCGTACGCATGTCAGCTCATCTGCAGGAGAAGACGAGTTGGCGCAGCCGAGTTGCGAGGCGACGAAGGTGAAGTTTGTGTGTTGAGGGTCATCGGATGTGATGCCAATGAATGCTGTGCCAGAGTCCATGCTGAAGCCGGACACGATGGGATCCTTAGGGTAAGCGAAGTTATAGTAATCTACGCTGGCACTGCCAGCTGACTGACCCCACAGAAGCATACGCGAAGGATCGCCTCCAAATCTGACAATGTTGTCACGCACCCATTCAACCGCTGCCCTCTGATCAAGCAGGCCAACGTTCTGGTCACTCAATCCTGCAGCATTAGGGAAGCCAAAGATGTTGAGACGGTAGTTGATGGAGACTACGATGTGGTCTTGTGTTCGCTCAATCCACTGGCTCGGGATCTGGTAAGGAACATCTTGTCCTCCAGTGACGAACCCACCTCCGTAGACCCAGATGATGACCGGAAGCAGTTCATTGCTCTGACACGACTGACTGCCGTTACTTGTTGGACCCCAGACGCTCAGAGTCAGGCAATCCTCACTGATGGCCCCTGTACCATTTCTGCCTTGAAGACCAAACTCTAGGATCTGATCGACGTATACTCCAGGGCTAACAGTATTGAGGTATTGCATGCAACTAGGAGGTAGTTGAGTGTTGTTGACGACTTTCTTCGAAGCAGAAGCCGGAAGAGGTTGGGGAGGTTCGAAGCGAAGTGCTCCTGTGGGAGGTTGTGCAAATGGTATGCCCAAGAACTGACGAACATTAGGATATCTCGAGTCTTTGTTTCCATAGACCAGGCCGGAAGATGTTTGTACAGTCAGCTCGTCGTTCTCTACAGCATTCCTCGGCCATGCAAGAGCCCCGACGGCCAGAGAAGATGCTGCAAGTATGGAAGTGAGATGCATCTTGGCAATTGATGTTTGGAAAGAGGTCAGAGCAAATCGACCACTACACTCTATCTTTATAGTTTACGATCCAGCGGTTGCTTCTTCCCGTCTACGAGATATTTCGGCTCTTGGATAAAAGCACGAACTCCACCCAACCCCTCTCCGCAAAATGATATGCAAGATGAGCAAGTCGATCCCTGTTCATGGCGGGGAAACTCTATGAACAATTGATCAACCGAGCCGACGAGCCACCGGCTGGAGTGCTAATTGATTGTGCTGCCATCATTGGTCTGTGATGAGATAGCTACTGGCTTGCTAGAGCAGATCACGCAACAGCGGCCTTGACATATCCTGATTGCATATTCGACTGCAAGTGCGGTAAGAGATGAAGTCGAGTTGAAAGTGGAGAAGGTACGAATGCATGGCTGGCTGAGGTTGGCAACGTCAAAAACGTCATCGGGAACGTGGAGAATGCTCAAGGACGGTCCTTGGGCGACATTATTCACCTACTTCCTTCTTGAATTCAGTCACAAGACAATCTTTGTCGTGAAAACGCCTCGGAGGTTCTTGCACCCGATCTATAAGTTCTGGCAAATCATCCGTCTTCGACTCCTACCATAGTGGTCAATTCGGCCGTGTAACACATACCCACACATGCAGAAGACGCCGGACATTGCAATCGTGATCACGGACTGTTCGGCACAGAGAGTATGCAACCTCCTCATCATGAGTTATCGGAAAGGTATGACATCCGCGGCTCGAACTGGATCCGCTCCCAAGCAATAGATGGCTTGCATTTGCATACCATCATTAGTTACACCTTGGCGTTGGGCGTCCAATCATCACAGCGCGACCAACGCACTGGTCCAGCCTGATCCTACACAGCCGCCGACCTCCATTCGTCCAAGTGTCTTCCAGGTAGGCTGCTTTGCTTGAGCAAGATGATTTTGATTCCCGATTTCCAGAACAATCAACTCCGAGGTCAGATCCGTGACGCCAAATGCCAACGGTGGCATCGCCAAAACTTCTGCCCAAAAGTCGCACAGCTCCAGAAACTATCTCGCTACCATGGATGACGGCCGCGAAAGGCTCATTACTCATGCGTCGGCAACCCGCAGACGTCCTACCTGGCACATCATAGTCATGTTCAACACCATATTTGCTAGTCTATTACTGATTGTATATCTTGCGTTTCTGATATGGATATACAACGATCTCCATATCAGGCATGGAGTGGCAGAGGTGTTCAGTGGAAGCTGTTCACGAGCCTCGCAGACAGCAGCATCTGCCCACTTTGCTACATGCGTTTTTGCGGTTTTGCTCTTTGCTGCAGGCTCACACGCTATTCAGTTGCTACTCTCACCGACCAGGAACGAAGTTGAAAATGCTCACGCGCGAGATCGATGGGTACACACAGGTGTCGGTGGACTCAGAAACATAAGATGGATCCCAAAACGTAGGCTGATCAGAGCGATCTTGCTAACAGCAGCCTCTGTACTGCTTCCTTTTCTGTAAGTCTTGCTCAGACCTTATTCGCATTGTCCCACGCTGATGTTTCGAAAAGTCACAATTCCATAATCTTTACGACTTTGGCAACAACAGACAGAACAGCAGGTCTCGTAACCAGCGACTATCTCAAAGGGTCTCGACTAGATGCAGCAACGGAGCAATCGATGTTTCTTGCAAAAGCGGAACAGTATCACAACCTTTCAATATCGTCTAAAGCAGCGCTTACCACGATTCATTATGACGGCCTATTGGAAGAGATACGAGCCAACTTGACAGATCTGGTTCGCCTCTCGCCCGCCGAATGCCGCACCGTATACTCGTCCTCACAGATACCCTTCGAGTTCTCTAATGTATTACTGATAAGTAGATCCAACATCAGCAATACATTGGATGGTGTTGTAGACGTCGAGCTATTCTATCCTGAGGTAGCTGTGGCTCCCAAGCACCAAGGCACACATGTGATCAATTGGTTCAACATGAATGGCACTGGCTCTGCTACTTGGCTTTGTAATGTTGTGTGCTCTGGTCTTTGGCTTGGAGAAGAAACTTTATGACAGAATGCCTGTGTTGGGGACTTGTTCGATGGCCATCTCGGCGGCTTGCCATGCCGACGACATCGTCATGTCCTTGCGACCGGTGATATATGGGAAGAATGCAAGGACAGGTAGAATGGGGTTCTTCAGTCGCGAAAGCTGAGGGGATGATTTTGATTGTCTGAATGACATATGCAGTAGATTGTTTTACTCATGTCGCAACTTTATAGTCGACTCGAAACGCGTCGTAAGCTTCTGTGTCAAAAAAGTTAGCAACGATTTGTCGACAGCCTTTGAACACGATAAGAAATGGATATAGCTATTGTCAACATTTTAAGTAATGATCATACAGTCTCATGTCAACATAAGACGTGAGAGCAGCACCACAGCCACAGATACGCTCATGTAGCTGGCTAGAGCAAGAATGCGAGTGCCAAAGGAGATGTGCAAGATGGTGAATGAGCAGGGTGGGAGTCGAGACAAGCTTGCTGCCAAGACCTGTTTGCGTTGCCGCCACAACGCGAATCCTAACCTTGATTTTGCTGTACAAGCCACCTCCTAGCAAACCACCACTCCCGCCTTCAGCAGCAGACATCTATTCCAATCGCCCAGATATCTCAGATTCATCATTGCAATGCAGTACTGAGTTTCTTATCAACATGTTCAACTACGACATTGGGACACCTTGTCCAGCACCGGTCCACGGCGGACGTGAAGTCGCGTCCCCGTTGGAAGTAAACAAAAACAAAAGCATTTTCGACCATGCCTTTGACCATTTCAGCGACGATACCACCCAAAATATTGCGCACCTGGTCCAGCAGGAATTCAAAAACGCTCCTCCTCGTAGAACCCAGAATCTGGCAAGAAAACCTAGACGTGCTCCTACCACTATTTTCGAGGATGCCAGCAACAGCCAGCGCGAGTCGTACCGACGCGACGAACCGGCTGGAATGATGCGAAGCAGCGCAATTCATGCCAGACCAGCTCAGAGGATTCGCATCCAGACTTCCAAGGATGAGAAGCCGGCCCCTCTTCCAACAAGCAGCACCAGCGATATCGCAAATTTCAAGCCTACCATCAGCACAAACAGGCCTATGAACGAAGACAGAAGGCGAACCATTTGGATCCCGGAAGACACAACATTACTCTCAATTCATCCTGGAGCATACGACCACACTCTACGTGATGAGACGATTGGCCTGCCTTCAAACAATCTGGATATTACGCCTATGAAGAAGGAAGCCCCACAGCCTGTTCGTTTGGGAGCCAGTGCAATGAGACAGGCTCAGAAGATGGCATCTGCTTCAAAACGCGGTGCTCTTCGGCCTCTTGCTCCGTCCCAGCCCAATATATCACATAGCGTGATGGGCACTGGTGGTGGTAAGGAGAACATGCTCCCGGGTGCTCTGCTTTCTCGAAATGGCAAGGGTGAGAAACCTCTGATCCAACCAACGAGTAAAGCTACACCTCTAGGACCCAGCAAGTCACACTCATCTTTGGGACAGACGACAATCGGTTCAGCCAAGACAAGCAGCGTCAAGAAGCGATCTGCACCCGAGCTGAAGGATGCTCCGAAGCCAAAGGTTCAGGCTAGAGCCCTTCACGAACGATCCAATGTGCGCAACGAAGTCATGCCTAGATCTGCGAACTTGGACCCGTTCTCCAGAGACTTCAAACACAAACCGCTCGCAGCCTCGAAGCAAGCCAACAAGCCTTCGACAACCAGACCTGTTTCTAGCACTATCATGTCGAAGGATGTTGGTCCACCCTCGAGCACTGTACCATCAAGGGAGGTCAGTCTGCCAAACGTCAAACGCTCCGTATTCCTTGCCGCATCACGTTATCCAGTCTTGAGCGATGACTTGGGTCAACCTGAACTATACGAGGACAATTGGCTTCAGAACCAAGAGGTTGCTCTGACACAACTCGTCAATGTGGTCTTTCAACAAGCGGAAGAATTGCCCGCCGTCAATGGCGTGGCTGCTATACGTAGTAAGATGCTGAAGCTGTACCATGAACCGTCAGTAGCTACTCTTCATCAGCGTTTGAAAGCCTCTTTGTCATGCGGTGCACTCAGCATGCCAAAGGAAGCTCCACACTCCCCGAAGCTCAGAGACGATATTGGTCTACGCCGCCAATTTTTCGACCTCTTTGGCAATGCTTACGACCCTGCAATTCTGCAAGCCGCTGCCGAGGTAGTAGTAGGACGAGTCATAGCTCCTGCTGTCAACCATGCACAGGCAAAACTCGGTGCGGCTTCTTCGACTGGTATTAAAGAATGGAAGCGCTTCTGTTCTACATTTTTTGTTGACCACGAGGACTCTGCCGAGCTTTTGAACACCCACAAATCATCAGAAGATTCTGCAACCCAGCCTGGTACAGCCGAGTGGTTCTGGCAAAGGACTGTCCTACGTGGCCTCATGCTCATCCATCTGCTTGACCAGGCAAAAACGACCGGCAGCCTACCGACCTGCTTGTTCCAAGCCTCTTCCCCTCACAAATCATCCATCAGTGTGCTGCGCGAGTTTGCAAAGCTCATGGTACCTTCTGTTGGAGATATTTCTCGCCCGCTCGGACATCTTGGATACTCGATCCGTCACTCACAGGAACCATTGGAGGAGTACACATACCGCATCGATAATCTCGCTGTCGATCTTCGTGATGGTGTCCTACTCACACACTTTGTTGAACTTTTGTTGTATCCTTCCCGAAGCCTGAATGATCTATCAGACCGCACTATTACTCTTGAACTTCCTGATGGCGCAACACTTACTAGCTTTTTGGATACACAGACGACAGCTCGCATTCTGAGCCAGCACCTCAAGTTCCCTTGCATCAGCAAAACACAAAAGATGCACAATGTTCAGGTTGCATTGAGCGCACTGGCTGGAGCTCGTGGCCTTGCCGGTACTGCCATTGAGACGATCAAGGCCGAGGATGTTGTCAACGGCCACAGAGAGAAGACACTGAGTCTCCTCTGGGCATTGGTCAGTAGATGGGGACTTGGATATCTGGTTAACTGGGATGAGCTCAAGAAAGAGACTCTGCGCTTCTCAAAATGCTCGATCCAGCCTGTCGGAATCAACTACGCTTTGAACGAAGACCAGCCAGACGCGAATGAGCAAGGACCTTTGCTGAAGGAGTGGGCTGCAAGTGTCTGTCAGCAACACAAAGTTATTGTCACTAACCTGACCACTTCGTTTGCCGATGGCCGCGCCCTAGCAGCTATCATCTCGACATATGCCGATTATGTACTGGCGACAACAAAGAAGTCGTCTTCCAAGATGTCGACTGCCGACAGACTTCGCAGCCTTGGATGCAGCGAAGCCTTCATCGTTCTCTTCGCCTCGCAAGCGACGACAATCCCCAGCCGCAGTAACACGATCGCCCTTCTCGCATTCCTTGCCTCTCGCCTACTCCCTCTGGTCCGCACACACAGAGCTGCCTGTACCATTCAAAACGCCTACCGTCTACGTCTTGCCCGCCGCACCATCTCTCTGCGTATCCAGAAGATGAGAGCTGCCACCGATTGTGCAGCCATGGCAGCAAACAAGCAGAGAGAAGTCGAAGCAGCAGTGACTTTGCAAAGAGCTTGGAGAGCGGTCTTGGATCGTCGTATTGAGTGTTTGGAAAGAGATGTCTTGGCTTTCCAATCTTTGGCCAGAGGATGGGGTGTCAGAAGAGCTACTGCAGGTGTTTTGGGTAATGGCTCTGGAAGAAGAGTTATGGGTGGTTGGTGATTTGAATTGATACCGTGAGACTGAGCGGATGCTTTTGACCAGTTGATCGGTCTCTTCTTGATGATTGGTCGAAGGACACCTTGTCCATTGTTCGAATAGTCATTTTCTTTCTTGTTCCCTCGGGTGCCTTTCTTGATTCCTGTTGGTCTATATTTTTCTTAACGACTTTACGATTCTACCCTTCAAGAAACTTGATTCCACCCTGCGTTCTTTGTGACCATTGAGTTCGCAGCCCTGATTTGACACAAGGTCTCGCGGAACCGAGGAAAGAACTAACGACACTCAAAGCTGTGAGAAACGGTCAAAAGGGCAGCGGCGAACGGGTGGAGGTGTGGGCGGAGTGGTGTTCCCGAGGCTTGTGCTGCAGGCTTGCTTTCAGCCGCGCTCGCTCGTGTCCCAAACTTTTGGGGGCAACCACCACCCGCCGCCCACGTTTTCTCTCTCCATCGCAACCATCAAGGTTTCCAACAGGGACAGTGCTCTTTTCGAAACAATTTCGTGTCGAATTGAGCGGGAAGTCGAGGGTTACGTTAAAGGGAAATTCAGCGAGGCAAGTCTCTATGATACTTTTGATTCTGTTATTTGTGTTTCGAGTCGCCCATGTCGAGTCGTCCAAGTCGTGTCTCTTGCGCCCTCTCGAACGCAAGCCACAAACACCCAAGTCCCAAGCAACATCTTGATCTCTCACAGGGATACCGCTGAGAGGCTTAACCTTGGCTTGATCTTGCGTTCTCACTGACTCTGTCTAGCACGAACGGTTCTAGAGCTCGGGGACACCGGAGTGTGCCATCGAACAAGTCTACGATAGGTGAACAGAGGCTTTGGAGGTTTGTGGCGTTGGCGAAGCTTACCACTTGCACCTTAGCACGTCGCAAGCACGCCATCTACATTGGTTGCCATAGGTTATCTCGCATATTCTTATCTTTTTCAATCTATCCCAAATACCTGGGCCCAGTAATGGTCCAGAGATGGATGAAGCAAAACGTGAAATGGTGTTTTTGGTCTCGGCTGGCCTTTTTGAGTAGGTATAACTAGATGCCAGCCCTGCAGATTGATCGACCTCTTTTTTTGTAGATCTTTTTGTTCTATTCCTTCTTTTGATCTTCACTGGAGAGACACAGCAAATATGTCGACACATGATATAGCATATGAGGAGAAGCAGGTGTACGATGCTACAGTCAATGATGTGCCCAGCGATGGCGCTTCCTCCATTGACACCATTACTGCTTTGGTAAATGAAGGTATGATATCTCACCTCTCCAATCCAACCTCTACCCTCACAACCTCTTGTACCATGTCACTAACAATTCTCCACCAACANGACCACACCCACGAAATCAAACTCCGCACCATGAGTTGGCAAAAATGTGCCGCGTGAGCAATACCTCTCCCTCAATCTTACAACCCATCTGACTCTNNTGCAAGTTTGTTGTGTGGTGATCAAGTTTGCCTGGCCATCATGGCACAATCCTGGAGTCTCTCTGTGCTGGGCTGGGTTCCTGGTATCATTACCATGCTGGTCTCTGGAGTCTTGTTTTACATCACCTCGCTCACGATGCACAAATTCATCATGAAGAATCCTTCGATCCGTGACATTTGCGATTTTGGATACTTTGCGTTTGGAAAGAGTCGTTTGGCTTATGAGTTCACCGGTTTCATGCTGTATTCCTCACCGTCCCGCTGGAGAAGAAGAGATAGTGGTGCTGACTTTTGACAAACAGANTTGGCCAACAACATCCTCCTCATCGGTTTCCACGTCTTGACGGGAGCAAAGATCCTCAACACACTCAGCGATCACAGCATGTGTACCGTCATCTTCTCGGTGATTGTCACCATCATGGGTGTGGTGATGAGTGTACCAAGAACGCTCAACCATGTTTCTTTTATGAGCATGTTTAGTGCTGCATGCATGGGCATTGCCATTTTGCTTTTCCTCGTGTTTGCGGGTATTGAAGAGGCGCCTGGGTATGGGTATAATGGTGTTTATCCCGAGGCTGGTGCTGTCAAGACTTATGCTTTTCCGCCGGCTGGGACTACGTGGGTTGCTTGCATGAATGCGGTAAGTTGTATTCCTGACTCTGTGTTTCTGCAGAGAGCGAGAGTGCTGACGAGTACTGTAATANNGGTGTTGAACATCACTTTCCTCTGGGTACCTCAAATCCTCTTCCCGAGTTTCATCGCCGAAATGGAAAGACCTCAAGACTTCCCCAAGGCTCTGGCTGTTCTGGCCGGTATCTCTGGATTCCTCTTCATCGTTCCTCCGGCCATTGGATTCAGATATCTCGGACAATATGCTACCGCGCCTGCATTCGGAAGTCTGGGAGTGGTGGCTTACAAGAAGGCTTCATTTGCCTTTGTCATTGTGCCTACACTGGTCATTGGAGTAATCTACGCCAACGTCTCTGCCAAATTCGTCTATCACCGTATCATGGGTAAGTCTCGCCATGCGCACTCCAACACTGTTATCGGTTGGGGAGTCTGGGTTGCCGTCATGGCAGGAATCTGGCTTATTGCTTTCATATTTTCCGAGATTGTGCCTAGCATGGGAGACTTNTTGAGTCTCTTGGGCGCAGCTTTCGATTCTTTCTTTGGATTTATTTTCTTTGCTGTGGCGTACTGGCAGATGTACAGTGGCAAGTTGTTCAGCAATGCGTCGAGGAGCGTCATGACTGTTACTCATGTGTTTATCATGATTTGTGGGCTGTTCTTGTTGGGACCGGGGTTGTATGCCGCTGTCGAGGCCATCATCTCTGATTACTCGGGTGGCACTCGTCCTGCCTTTGCTTGTGCAAATTTGTCGATCTGAGGAACGACTTGAGCAGGGATGCGGATATGGCGTTTTGGGCTGCTTTTGGACATGCAAGATGTGTAGACGTCTCCAATCTTATATTGCTTTCCTTCTTCAGTCTTTTGTCTTCCTCATGATCCTGGCGATACACAGCTTTTCCCAGCCAGCTTTGTTACCCGAGGTGCCTACAGTCTCAGCTTCCCAGCCACCTGGCCATTGTCTAATTCTGCTCTTGATATCCTCAGGCTTGTTCTGAGCGCAGAAAAGCACGTATGCGACACCTCTTTGGCTCAAGACTCGCGGCAGTTCGTCCAGCAAGCGATCGGTGACCTCCATACCATCCACGCCGCCAGCATAGCTCAAAGCCAATAGATGCGAGTCGCGATCGAATGCTTCGGACGAAGTCAATCCATCGGCAGTGTTATATTTTGCATGCAAACTCAGGTCCGGCAACTCGGCAGGGACATATGGTGGGTTGAACACCAGTACATCGACCTCTCCATCTTTTAACGCAGATGTCAGATCCGCATTAGCGACAGTCAAGAAGGGCGCAGCTTGATTGTCGCAAGCCTTTCGCACAGTCTTGGATGCAGCAATGCAAGCCCGGCGATTGAGATCGGTGCCTAGAGTACAGATAGAGCGATCGAAGATGGTGGGGCTGTTGGCAGCGAGGAAAGCGAGCACGACGCCACTGCCAGTGCCGACCTCGACGACTAATGGGGCATGACTGGAGCGAAAGTGCGAGTGCAAGAAAGCGGTTTCTGAGGGCGAGGAGAGCGTGTCGAGGAGGAGGTAAGAGTCTTCGGCGGGTTCGTAGATCTGATCGTAGTCGACATGCGACGTGTCCGGCGTAGGAAGCATGGTTTCTGCTGGGAAGATAAAATATACGAATAAAACAATGACAAGCTTCGGGGGTGTCTGCGGAGAGTTTGCGATCGGCGAATGCCGAGGCAGTTTCTGGTGACGCAACCATCGTGAGTACCACTCGAACTGTTCAATTGTAAGAATATACCCAGTCACAATCATGCGCGCAGCTTCACGTCTTCTAGCAAGAGCCAGCACTGTAGGCACGCCGTCCGGCGGCCTTGGTGTCGTTCCTAACGCCCTTCTCCCACCAATCCCGCTCTACCGCCGTGTACTTCGTGGACACCGCAAGCACCTGCCACCAGAGATGCGTGTATTGGGCGACGAATATGTCAAGAGCGAGTTCAGGGCACACAGAGGCGTCGACAATCCTATCCACATCGTAAGCCACCACAGAGGGACGGAGATAAGCCAAGCTGGAACAAGAAAAAGTCATGGAGACTGACAAGAGGCTAGNATCGGTTTCCTCACAGAATGGCAAGGATACGCCCAACAGATTGAGGGCGAGAAGTGGAGAGGAGAGAAGATGGACAAGGCAAAGATTGACAAGATGAGTGGTTCGTACTCGACTTCGAAGTTTGTTCGGCCATGACCGTACTGACGCCTCGACNNAGACGAGCAGATTGCCCAGATGTACGAGCTGATGCAAGCCATCAGAAAGCAAGAGCTGGAAGAAAACGATCCCGAGTTCCAGGCGGCTACCGGCCAAGATCCTTCCAAGCAGAATTAGACGACTTAATGATACCCCTGTTTGAAACCTCAATCATTGATCCATCCACTTTGGCGAATTGGTCGCGTAGACAAGCCGAGCAGAGTGTATAAGCAGGGTTGGTTGGAGATAGGGTGGCTACCTCAAAGCTCTTCTTCTTCTCTCGGACCAACCTTTGCTTTCAAGGATTCCTTCCTGCCTGCTCTCCAAGCCTTGTCCCATACATCGACCTTACCGCCGAGAAGCTGAGTACTGTTAGGGTCAAGCAGAATGACACCTCTGGCAATCGTCATGTTCTTCAAGATAAGTTTTGCGCCAATGCCCAGATTCAAGTCGATGCCATCAACATCAGAGATTTCAAAACCGTATATCTTGGTTCCTTTTGCGTCCTGTAGAAGCAGTTTGTGTGGACCGTTGCTTTTGATGATAGGAGCAGTGCCATCTCGGGCTGGGTCGGCTTCCTCACCAGGCACAACACGGATGACCTCCCTGCCTTTTGTAGTCTCACCACGTTCTTGAGCCTCAATGGCTTCGACTTGACTCCAAGCACTGCGTCCTATGTCCTCAATATCAAGAACTTGGACAGGAATGCTATCTGGCACGCGCAATTCCTTGACAGTAGGATTGAGAGCATTTGGTGGGAGGGTGTTGGTTGGAGTCGCTTTGATCGATGAGGTGAGATCCGAGGCCAGTATGCGGAACAGAGCCGTCTTCTGAAGAGCTGGTAGAGGAAGTCCTTGACGACTTGAACCGATGAATGCATCAATCCATGTCTGTGTAGCGGGAAGACCCTTTGATTCTANAAAGGTCTTGACGGCCGACTGGGCCATGATGAGAAGATTATGTTGAAAATGTCCTCGGCATGAATTCAGTCGTTGTTGAGTGACAGGCGTGTAGGCGTGGCAGACGAATATCAGATTACCCAATACGAGACATGGCAGTCAGGTTCCTGATGTTTGACTGGCGGACAGGCGGAGCAGCTGAGGGCTGAAACGACTTCCAATGTCAGAACGTTGATGTCGAGGCGGTGGATGATCTTGTCGTTGTCCGGTCCATGAAGTCACGCGCACCGGCCATCTCCGCGAAACATGGGGGTGCATGATTGATGATTTGATGGTTCTTTGATATCTTCACGTCTCCCAAACTGCTCACCTGGACTATCCAGCAGGCGCCTTGCCTGTCTTCCGACCGTACATTTCTACCTGCGTCTTCTCGTCCGCCCTGTCGCCGCAACAGCCAGACCAACAAGCCTACCTCTTTCAAGCACCTCGTATTCACGCCCAAGAACCCCACCATCCTTCCTACGACTCTCGCATACCCTTTCTCAACATGGCCGACTTCATAACCAATCTCTGGGAAGCCGTCTTCACCCCCGGCCCCACTCCCACCCTCTTGCTAGCCACCAACATCACCTTTGGCGCTCTCCAGCTCGTCCTTGCCGGTCTCCTCGCCGCTACCTACAGCATCCACTTCTTCATTCTCAGCGTTCTGTGTGGCGGTCTCTGGTGGGCCATCAACTGGTTCGCCTACGAGTTGCAGCAGGCTCAGCAAAAGGAGGCCGAAGCCGAGCGCATCAGAAAGTCCAGATCAGGAGGCAGCACGCCCAAGAAGTCGTCTTCACAGCCTGGAGATATGGCCGACGACGAAGCCACCGAGACCGAGGTTGAGACCGCTGCTGGTGTCAAGGTTAACGTGTCAAATGCCGAACTCGACTTCAACCCTACCCAGGAAGACGAACAGATCAGATCAGAGATTCTCAACGACTTCAAGAGCGGCACGGTTTCGACGACTTCAGCTAGTACGACTGGTTTGCAGCGCCCGGAAGGAGAGAGCAGACAGCGCAATGCTCCTACCGATCTGAGTGCTTCGTCTACCGACTTTGGCACCGACAGCGAGTGGATCAAGGTTGATGAGGAATGACTTGCTTAGTGTTGCATTTTTTCGGCATGGTTTGGTTCTGAGCGGAGTTTTGGTCCTGTTTCATTCCTGAATATACCCACCTCGAGAGCAATCGCACGACCAGGGTGTTCAACACCGTGCTCGAAGAAACAAGATTGCATTGACAAGTCCTGTCGGCATGCATTTCGGCGGCTCCTTATCACGCTCTTAGATAGCATTCTCTCACCGAACAACAAGAACTTCGAGACGGCGATGCCACTTCTGCGTCTTTGTACCGTTCATGAACAACGATCGATATTACCACGACATCTGCCCTACTCGTAGCTCAATGTCTTTTTTCTTATTCTAGCATTCATCAAGGTTGCACGTGATTGTCGGCGGAGATGGTTGCCAAGAAGCGGACTTTGGGAAGGAGCGTCACAGCGCAAGTTGCCGAGTTGAGAACGACTGCGAACGCGACGGGCAGCAGGTAGAAGCAAGCATCAGCAACCATCTCACTTTGTCCATAATTTTTCCACAACAAGCGCGCATTTCTTAACTGAACCAGTGCGCCCAACATGAAGCTCGTCAGGTGCGTTCTCTTTCCGCCGTCACTCGTCGATGCGCATTCTGCTCATGTCGCAACACAGCTAACCCCAGCCCAGGTTTTTGATGAAGTGCCAGAATGAGACGGTGACTATTGAGCTCAAGAACGGTCAGTCTTCAGCAGTCGCGCACATTCAATGTCATCACTGACACACAACCACAGGCACAATTGTCCACGGAACCATCGCATCAGTCTCCCCACAAATGAACACAGCTCTCCGAACAGTCAAGATGACCCCCAAGGGCCGCGACACCATCAGTCTGGATACCATGAACATCCGCGGCGCAACCATCCGTTACTACATTCTGCCCGACTCGCTACCCCTGGATACACTTTTGATCGACGACGCCCCCAAGCCCAAGAACAAGGCCCGCAAGGAAGCTGCAGACAGAGGCGGCCGTGGAGCAAGAGGTGGCGGCAGAGGACGTGGCATGGGCGGTGGTCGCGGTGGCGGCCGTGGAAGAGGTCGTGGCGGCAGGGGCTTCTGATCAACCAACCACCACGAGCCGGACTAAGAACGACCATTGTTTGGACGCGACCTCGACTCGAAATTCATTCGTCCTGGAGCAAGCAGACGACCAGAACGTCCACATAACATCAATTCTGTCCAACATTTGCGCGACCAGGAAATCATCACAGACCACACGCATGGTCAAGACTCGCTTTGTCGCAGCGGACCTGGCGAATACCGCCACGACAGAGGTCTTACTAAGGAATCCTTCAACCAGTTTATATTCAAGGTTGTTGCTTCCCTACTTTTATGAGCTTCAGAAAAAGAAATGCAATTTCGTTTACGATCAAAACCCCATGGGTCTTTCTCCTTGTTTCTATCTAATTCTCTACTGACCTCAGCACTCTCATACTCGTCTGATGTTTTCCTTTCTCTCTGCTGTCTTCCTCTAAACATGTCCGCTGGTTCGAGGGAAAGCTCCTAGCCTCAGGCTGCAAGACGGCCTGAGACCATGCATACTGCTTGATCCATCCTACCTCCAAGCTTAACAAAAGACTTCAAAGCGTCACTGCAGAGCAATCGCACAACTTCAACTACGCACGGACCATACACACAAATCTACTGTCACCACGATAAGGAGGTGAAGGCTGTACTTCAGAAGTACAGTGACGAGGAATATAGCTACAAAGCTGTATGACTACTTTTCTCAGAACTAAATATCTTGCCAGAACACCGTGCAGAACTCTACTGCTCTGTGGATATAAGGTATCAAGGTGCAGAGTTTCTTGTCTCATCAATGGCAAGCAAAGTTCTGCGCCAAAGGTATACACAGAGTACGCTTGTTAGACTGAGCATAATGGCAGAGCAACCAGTCCAGGCGACTGATTTCACCTCCGCCGGAGTATCAACAAAGTGACGATGCTGCTCGACTGACGGCCGCGAAGTCAGACAGCCATAGTGTCGTCATACCACCGTCTGGCATATCGCTGCCGCCTCCTCATTGGTCCGGCCACCCAGGGCCCGTGATACCGGCAGCGAGGTAGCCAGTCAGCGCCAGCCGGCATCTCCCATGGCAGCACGCGGTGAATATCATAACAAGCCGTTTCACTACCATCCTCGTCTCGAAGTTGGCGCGGTATCAATCTTTTCTACCTCTCGCACACCAAATCCACACCACTTTTCGGTACACCTCGTTCCGCCTTATACCCTCTACCCTCTGTTACGAATACACACCAAGTACAACCATACACATGGCTCCTACCCTCACCGATCACGAGCAGAAGCTCCTTGGTCATTCCTGGCAGTCCTTGAAGACTCCTCCTGAGGTAAGTACCTGCACCTTGTCGCTTACATCTCGGTTCCATCATGATTTTGTCTTCTGGCGGCGGTTGCTGTTACTGACTTCCCTTCCTCAACCTTCTCTCCTGACTACCACTCCCTTCCAATATCCATTTCCCGTGACAATTTCACATCCTGAACACCATGAGATCGTGTATTAATATCTCGTGCAGATTGATCTCGACAAGCTTGCTCGTTTGGGTGGTTACAAGACCAAAGCTTCCGCCAACACTGCCTACCACAAGCTCAAGACCAAGCTGCTGAACGTCAACAAGGCTGAAGACACGCCTGAGGACGAGGATGGCGATGCTGACTCCGACGCCGACGCTGAGGACGCTCCCGTCGCTTCGACCTCCGCCGCCAAGAAGGGCCGCGGCAAGAAGACTGCTGTCAAGACTCAAGAACCCGAGACCGATGAGGACGACGAGTCTGAGACCGTCGCCGTCAAGCCCAAGCCCAAAAGCAAGGCTACCAGAGCTGCCGTCGCCAAGGCCGGCACCGCTAAGCCTGCTCCCAAGCGCCGCAGCACCCGCAACTCCATGAAGGCCAGCAAGCCCCTGGTTAAGGAAGAGTCGTCCGAGGACTCTGAGGAGGAGGCCCCAAGCGCATCGCCCTCAAGCATGGTACTCTCAAGTACGCTAACCCCAAGATCGAGGGTATTGCTGCTGTTCTCGGTGCTGCCCAGGACCCTGCCGCTGACTCTGAGGTATGTTCATCTGTCTTAGTCCTACACCATGTCAACGCTGACCAATCTCCAGGATGTCACGGTCCCCACCAACACCCTGAAGCGCGCCACCACTGAACCCGGCTCTGACTTCGACGAGCTGGTTGAGCCCAAGCGTGTCAAGGTCGACGCCGATGTCGAACCCATTGGTTCCGTCGTCGAATCTGTCGAGACCACCACCGTCGTCGTCTCCACCGACCCTCCCGTCGAGACCTACGTCGTTACCGACCCCGACGCCGCCGATGTCACTACCGACATCACCACGATCACTGACGATGGCTCTGATGGCTTTGACGTTCCCTCCGACGTCGCCTCCGCTGCCACCAGCGTCGATGCCCGTGACATCTAAGCTACAGTGACACAGGACAAAAGATGGAAGTGATTGCCCGCTTCTTGGGCTGGGCTTCTTCGGGTTTTTGGTCTTTCTCGTCGTCTTCGTTTGCGGTCGTTCGTTTCTGGGTTTCTCGCCTAGGATAGGTAGTTGCACTTACTGCAGTTGAATGACCAAACTATGCTGTGCTTGATGCATGGCTTTCTGCTCTTGATATGACTTCTTTGTGTTCGTGATCCTCCAGTTTTGATCCTGAGCTTTGTGGCTTCACATATCTATGTTTCTTTGTCACTTTGATATTCGTTCATTCTTCCGTTCCTTCCAACCAGTCTTGCGTCGACATCAGCCGTACCGGCAGCCAATGTAGGTGAGAACCATGACCATCGAAGCCGAGATACTCGTTTCTGATCTTACTGCACTCTATTCGTTTTGATCACATCTCTTCACATTTACCTCCCTTCGCTCTCACCTCTTCTCGCACCCCTGGCTCAAGACCAACTCCCTTTCTTCAATCCTCTCAACCAATCTGATCCACATTGCAACCATGCCATCCTTCCTCGATCTACCACCAGAGATTCGTATGGCTGTTTACGGCATACTGCTCGAATTTTCACTCGCCAACAATACACACATCCTCTACAGCGGCCACGACCCTCTTTACTGGACATGGGCACAGAACGCAAACCGAATCAAACAACCCTACTACAGAAAACGACGAAATTACATCAACTTCCTCGACGGCAATTCCTCCACCGCTTGGAAGGTACACAGGGCTGACTGCAACATTCACCTCGCCGACATCGACGCCCTCCTCTTCCTTGCTAGTACCTGCCGCCTGCTCAGATCGGAAGTCCTTGCCATAGCTTGGTCGGATACGGATATCTGGGTCGAGTCACCAACGCTAGCCCAAGACCTCAACTGTATCTTCTACGAGCATCTGTCAAGAGAGATCGGTACTTTCAATCGTACTCTACAGATCCAAGTCGAGGAGGAAGACTGGCAGATGCAGGACATGGAATACTTGGTAAAGGTCATTCGTTGTCGACTTCCACATCTCGAGCATTTGGCCATCAACATCATCACCAGGGAACTCGAACCGGATCCTCCTGTCCAGGCTTTGAGAGGTTTGATGACTCTACCTCAGCATGTCAATGTCAAGCTGCAGCATCTGGTCTCTACAAAGTGGGCGTTCACTCGATTCGGCCCTCGTTATAGGAACTCTTCCAGCTGGCTGAAGATCATGGACGACAAGAGACATACATGCCTGCAAGATTTGAGGGCTCTCTTCAGTTCGAATNNTCTGCAGAGTCGCAACGAGATACAGGCGAAGAGNAATTCGGGAGATGAGAGAAGTGAGCTTCTCGAAGGCACGACTGGAAAGAGATCTCATATGGTTGGTTGACTCGGCTACAGTTGCCGACTAAAATCAAGGGGCAATATTCACTTCTTAGATCAGTACTTTTGATTTGAAGGTTGTGCTCTGTATCTGGGGGCAGGAGAGTTGGGCGCAAGCAGGTTCGACTTGGGCGAAGTTCACCGACCATTTCTGCTTTACATCTTCGAGGGACGAGGTAGGACACACCAGAAGTCGATGCACTTTGATGACCACTTAACACGTCGTCAAGCAAGAAGGGACGGGAGGAGGTCGGGGTCGAGACTTTCATCTGTATCACATGCGAACGCCCCACGACGTCACCCTTGACAGCTTGCGCCACACCAAAAACACGGCAAGAGAGCAAGGAAACCAAACCCCTCCATCACACCTTCTAGAAATAATAAATATCACTACTGAGCTTCTCCTGAGATCCTATTATCGTTCTCTTCCATCTGAAACATCAAACAACACATGCAAACAATCAGCATGTCCTCATACTTCGACGTCCTCTCCTGGACCCGCGCACGCAAAAACCGCGAGGCGCTTGAGAAGACAAACCCTCAGAACCCCGTCCTCAATGACGACGATGAAGAATTTTTGCAGAGGATAACCAGCCAGGAAGCTCCAGCACCTCCACTGCCCACCATCGAGCCTACAGTTATTGATGATGCGGGCAATGAGAAGGAGGCTGATGTGACGCAAAAGGAAGCTGCTGAGATGATTTTGCCGGGCAGTCCTGGTGAGGGAAAAGAAAAGAGGTCGTGGGCAAGTTATATTCCGAGTGTTGGGGTGCCGAGTGTGTCGGCGATTCCTGCTATTCCTTCGTTGGCCTCGCTGAGGGGGAAGAAGGGAGATGCTAAGGTGGAGGGAAAGGAGGCAGAGAAGGCTGAGGACAGCGAGGTCAAGACAGAGGGTGTGACGGAAGAAAAGGATGCATCTGTTGAGGAGCCTGCTGAAGCGCCTGCGCAAAACGACGAGATCGACTCAGCAGACAAGGTTGAGGAATCGGCTGAGGTTACCCAGGAGACCGTCCAGGAGACCAAGGACGAGTTCACCAACGACTCGAGAACGTATGCAGAAGCTGCAACTGGCAAGGAGCCTGAAGATGCAACCCAAGAAGACACCACGTCGAAGTCTGAGGTTGAACCAAAAGAGGACGCTGATCCAAAGGAGGAGGCCGGTTCAAAGGACGAGACCAGCGACAGCAAGGATCAAACCACAGACACCCAAGACACCAAACCAGCCGAACCCACCCAACGCACCTGGGCCTCCTACATCCCCGCCGTCCCAACCTTCGGCCGCAACACAAAAGCCCAAGAAGCAGCCGAAGCAGCAGCCGCCTCCCAAACCCCCGAAGCCAAAGAACAAGACGAGCGCGAAGTCTCCGTCCTACTCGACCGCCTCAACCTCTCCGCCATAAACAACCGCGTCTTCAGTTTCAGCGACCAATCTCAACGCCTCTACTCCGAATTCACCTTGATCCTCAAGGACATTGTTAACGGCGCACCCACAGCATGGGACGACCTAGAAACCCTGCTCAAAGAAAATGAAAAACACCTCGAGCAGATGTTTAAGAATATGCCTCCATTCGTACAGACGTTGGTCAAGAGTCTACCCTCAAAGTTTGCTACCTCCATGGGACCAGAAATCTTGGCAATGGCTGGAGATAAACCCGGCAATGACTTGAAGAAACAAATGGAAGCAGCCAGCAACGTCGCATCTTCATCTTCTTCAGCTGCTCAAAACCTGCCCAACCTCGACCTCAAGAGAAAGCAAAAGAGAAAAGTGCCAAACATCAAAGACCTCGCTTCCCAAAAAGGCACCGTCACCACTATGTTGACCAACATTGTCAACTTCCTCAAAGTCAGGTTTCCGGCGTTTGTTACAGGAACAAATGTGGTGATGAGTTTGGCTGTGTTTAGTAAGTTTTTCTTTCGCGCCGCTCCAGCATCCTCCTTTGTAGCGTGTTGCTAACGAGAAAAACANGTCCTCCTCTTCGTCTTCTGGTACTGCCACAAACGCGGCAAAGAAGTCCGTATGCTCAAGGAATCAGAATCCGCAGGACAATCCGCCAATGTTTCTGAGATTGAAGCTTCGTCCTCGGAAGATGAAGATGAGAAAACAGAAGACAAAAAGGAAACAGAATCAGAAACAGTAGATGAGAAACAGGAAACAGCACAAGTGGAAGCAGAGTCGGATACCGAAGACGTCAAAGTCGCTAATGCGAGGGAATACGCAGCTGCTATGCGCAGAGCAACGGTAGGAGGACCTGATAACGCTGCTGCTTTGCGGGCAAAGAAGATTTTGGAGTCCTGAGAGGCGGGAAGCAGAGGAAGAACTAGCACTCGAGGATGAAACGAACACGAAATGTAATGAGAACATGCAAATGCCTTGGTTTTGTTGGTTTGTATGGTTGCTCAAAGGATGATGATGATGGTTATGACTTGCCTTTTCCTTTGTAGTCTCTCCTTGTCTATCTGATATAATCACCACTCTTCTCGATTGTGCCGGCCAACGTGAAAACGTTGCTGTTGTGCTTGTACCTAGTGAAAGAACACTGGATGGCTTGAGCTGACACCATCGCCTTGATGAACCAGAAGGTCCGATCCAAAACTTTGGAACCAACAAACAGCACAGCAAAGCAAAAACTGGACGAATGGTTCTGAAACTGGATCTTCTTGTATTGAAAGAATCGATTTTGGTATCATTTTGTGAATAGTGTGGTGGCCCCCATTTTGTCCCCATCCAATTTTTGAGCACCTTCGCCATGCCAGATAGAATGCCATACGCTTGCGAAACAACATATTAAGATAAAAACCGCGAGCAAAGTCAGCAACTCGTCCGCGTATGTTCTCTTTCCCTCTTGATATTTCTCCCCATGTGCCGGCGCTCTAATAAACCCAAGAGCCCCTATGTGATGGGAGGAAAAGTAAGTAAGAAAAAGCAAAAAGTAAGAAGGAGAAAAAGAAGAGCAGAAAAGCAGAATCTCGTTAATGCGTTCCATGAGCAAGGTTGATATCGTGAGGTGTCAACCAAGTCGGGTGGCGTGAAGCTGAAGGCGTGTGCCAGTTGCATCACGACCCACCGATTCTCCGATAAGAAGAACGCCTTCCGGGTTCTTCTTTTGGTCGTGCAGTGAGTTGCAAGCGTCGACACGACGACGCTCACGCTCACGCACAACATCGCCAGCGATAGAGAGCAGAGTATCGATGCCCAAGTTTGCCACGAGCTGGTCGTGCTCCAGAACAATCTTCAAGTGATCGAAAGACAGAGACAAAAGTGCAGAGGACAGAAGATAGTTAGGCGAGATGGTGTCCGAACTGCTAGGGGTTGCCGAGCCGAAACGAATGCTTGACACGGGACGTTGACCGGATTGAACGTCCGAGGAAGCAAAGGCAGATGACGATCGCGAGTCAGGGCGAGATTGAGAGTTTGAGGTCAAGGTGCAGCTGACAGGAAGGCGAGGAACAGAGTCGGAAGCCGAGGTGTCGAGAACAAAGTCTGGGTTGATGTTTGAGACGATCATGTACAGAGCTTGCCAGACGATTTGATCGGCATAGGGGCCGTACAAACAGTTCTCGGTAAGGCACCAGCCACATGCTGCAAAGTAGAGGACAGCCTCGAGCTCATTGAAGCCAAGGATACGCAAAGCCATGTTATAGGCGTGCATGACAATAGGCTCAGCACCGAGGAAGTGACCGGAGGCGAGGTATGACAGAACATAGCGCATGCGGGTGGCTGGGGTGCTGGTAGGGTTGCTGAAAATGTACATGGGCTCGATCAAGCGGCCACCGTAGACGTAGCGCATGGCATCGGCGAAAGCAGAAGCGTCTGAGAAGCAGTAGCTGCGAGGCATGTGGACGATGATAGTACGCGAGTTGGTATGAGTCTGGGNGAGACTGTTGATGAGCTTTAGGAAGCCGGGATAGCGCGCAATAATGATGCCGTGTACAGGCAGCATCAGGGGGTTGGAAGATTGGTTGCCGGAGTAAAGCTCAATAAGGTAGTCAGCAAACTCGTGCTGGTTCCAGTATGACAGAACATAGTCGGCCAGATGCTGCACATTGTTGTTGAGAGGGGGTGGAGGAGGGTAAGATGGCTGGGGAGCATGGTGCTTGTGAGGCGCGTATTTATCAGGCGTAGCGACGGCAGAATCACCAAGCGGGATCGATGATGCGGGCGAGGGCGAAGATGCGATGCTTCCGAGATGGGCGGCGCCTCCGTTTGTATGTGCGAAGGCGTGGCCGTTGGCCAGTGGAGGAGGACCCATGACAGCGACAGGGGCAGGAGGAATGGCAGATGGATGTTGCTGAGCAGGAGGGTAACTGTCGTAGGGGTTCACTGCATGAGGCATGGCGGACATGGGTGGAGGAGGTAAGAAGACCGAGGTTGACATGGCGGCAGGCGATGCGCTGGACGAGTCTCGAAGACCGCCAAAGACGAGAGATTCGTTGCGCTTGTGCTGATGCTTGGGGATGAATGGAAGGGCTTGAGCGTCTTGGTGGTGAGGCTGACGGCGAGGAAGAGCAGCAGTCACTCCTACTTATCACTTAGTATCCTGTACAAGAAGACATGAGGAAGGTGCCATGGACAACTTACCATTGACCTGCTTCTTCCTGTCATCAACGACTTCCTTTTCAGCAACGACTTCTTCCTTGTTCTCGACAAGCTTCTCTTTCTCGAGGGGCTCCTTGTTTACAGCAAGCTCCTTGATTGCGACAGGCTCCTCCTCAGCGTGCACCTGTTTGGCTTGCTCCTCTTTGGCTCCATTGAGCGATGCGGCGCTGTCGTCGCGTGGTTGCGCATCTTCGTGTTCAATGCCATTTGTGCGCGTAGAAGCTTCCAGTCTGCCTGCGAGGGCCGAAAGGGATGCGCTGTTGGCCTTGTCGTCGGCGACTTGTTGGTCGCTCTTGCCTGCTGGAACGACTTTTGCGCGGCGGACGGTCAGTTGGTGCGGGATGGCAGGCACGATGCGCTGCCGAGCCATGGCCTTCGAACTCATGCTGAGAATGAGATGGCGACGAGCTTCGTACTCCAGAGGCAATAAACCAATATCAACATGCGCCTCCGGAGTGAGGTGCCTGCTTTGTTTCTCTTTTCCGCTGTAGACAAACGCCTCTGACTACCAATCCGTCATCCGCGGGGCAGCGCTCCATCAACTTTTTGCGCTAGATGTGGTCTGTGCACTATTTCTTGAATAACTGTTAACCTATCACTGGAAGGGTAGTACAGACTACTTGCTACGGTACAGCTATTCTGTTGAGTGCTCGAGACTCTCTGCAATCCTTGGCTCCGTCTCGTTTGCCTTCCTGACAACTTCTCTCCACAAGATGGGAAAGTGTGTTGTTTGAGTGCTTCACATGGGGCATGTTTGTCGTCAAAGTCCTCTCTAAATGCTTACATTGATATTTGTACAAAAGGGCTTTGTCAAAGACCGCACGCTTTTGCGTCTCAGACAGTCAAATCAACTTATGCAGTTTGGTCTTTGACCTCTTCGGCCTGGAATCCCCTGTCTGCCTTGATTCCATGTCCAAACACAGGCAGACCCCTGTTAACAAGCTCTTCTTCAATCACCTTCCATCTGCCAACAGCTCTGTCTTTGTGAACAGATGTTTGACGGCCTCCGCGGACCTGAATGTTGGTGTTTGCCATAAGTTCCGGGTTGCCTAGGAGAGCAAAGGACAATTTCTTGGGCTTAGGCTTTGTGAGGATGGCTTGTTGGAAGTCCTTGAGTGTTGATGCTTTGTGCATGATGATATCGGGGATTTGCATCTTTGTGGTGGTTCGCAATACTTTGACGANGCTGTGTTGAATCATGTCAGATCTCTTGGCTCCATCGCCGAGTGTACATAGAATTCATCCACATACCTTGAACTTTTGCTTGACATCCGTGACTGCCAAGTTCAAGCCCTCTTAGTTCACTGTGAGGCCAGCCTCCTTTGCGGCCTTGAGGACCTGATCTTCGGCTTCCTTGGGGGTTAATCCGTTGGCCTTCTTCACTCTTGCCCATCTGCGACATGTCAGCATGAGGCTCCATATGACTGAACTGGTATGCTTCATACCNNCCTTGTACTTTGGCTTGTCGTCGTACTGCTGCTCGAGCCACTTTTCGCTTCCCACGCGTTCCAACTCCTTGCCCTCAGTTGCCATAACGTATTCCTTGTCCTCGTGCGGCGTCTTGGCCCATCCCTCGGGCAAGTTCTCCTTTGGTAGATACCATCCTGGGAAGTCGGGCTTTCGTGGTGTGTCGTCGAATTCTGCGGCGTCGAGTGTAGCGACATCCGTCGTGTCCTCCTTCTTCTTGCTGCCAAAGACAGACTTGAAGCGGTCGGCGATTGCGGGTCTGGTAGCGGAGGTCTGCAGTAAGCGTTGTTGCGAGGCGGCGCTGAGTCGTAGTTGGCAGGATCTGCAGGTGGTGGAGGGGACATTGGGAGTCGCCAGTTGACTGACCGCACGGCCAAAGGTGGATATCCGCGACATGGTGTGTGTAGTGCTGTCGTGTGCTGCTGCCGGTCAATTTGTTGCTCGCCGCATCTTTCACGAGTCCGACTTTCTGCCAAGCCTGTGAGCTTTGACCCCCTTCGACGACCATCGCGGACTTTGTCTCCTTCAAACACAGACACCTACGATAAATACGACAATGGTCTTATACAGTAATTTTGGCATCATTGTGACTATGAAGGTCCTGCTGCGGTGAGGAAGTCGAAATCAGCACCCTCCTCTGCTTGATTCACACAACGCTCATACAACCCCCGATATCCACGCTGCTTCCTATGTATCCTCTTCGTACCATGATCTTCCTTCCTCTTGACCGCTGACCGAACAGCAATGCGATGCGCCAATTCCTCGTCCGATACATGCAGCCTCAAAAGTCTCTTCTCGACATCACACTCGATGAGATCTCCATCTTCCACACATCCGAACACAGAATCTGGTAGTGCAGATTCTGGCGAAATNNGTCGCAGAACAATTGTGCCACCGGCTGTGCCTGACATGCGTCCATCGGATATCCGCAACATGTCTTTGACACCTTGAGCTCCGAGTTTGCGAGGAATGGGGATGACGCCGGCTTCTGGCATACCGGGATTACCGATCGGTCCAACGCCTTGTAGAACCAGCACTGAGTCTTTGGTCACTGGTAGGTTTGGATCGTCTATGCGTTGAGCCATGTCTGCTGTGTTCTTGAAGACCACGGCGCGACCCATGTGACTGAGAAGACCTCTTTCTTTCGAGGCGGCTGCTTTCATCACCGCTCCTCTAGGCGCGAGATTTCCTCGCAGCACTACGAGTGCAGATTTTGGATAAATTGGGTTCGAGAGTGGTCTTATCAACTCGCTTGAGTACTTGAACGACTTAAATGGCCTGGCCTCGAGTTCCTCTCCCAAGGTCTTGCCATTGATCGTTTTCGCTTCCAGATGTAGTAGTGGCTTGAGTGTATGCAACAAAGCAAGCATGCCGCCAGCATTGTGGAAGTCAGTCATCTGTGCATGGTCAGCTCTGCATGAAACAACATCACTCTTTCCACTTACGTAGTTATCACCACTTGGCTTGAGGTCAACAAGAAGTGGCGTCATTCCACCGACCTCATGAAAGGTCTCCAGTGTGATTGATCCAGCAACATCAGGATGACGATTCACAATAGCCATCAAGTGTACAACAGCATTGGTTGACCNCCCAATAGCCTGAAGTACAGTGATGGCATTGAAAAAAGATTCCTTCGTAAGTATCGATTGCGGCAGCCATTGGGCAGCAGCTGCTGCAACCGCATTGGCACCTGTCTGTTCAGCAACCCTCAGGCGTGCCGAAGAAACTGCTGCTGCAGATGCACCGTCAAATGGCATGAGTCCCAGTGCCACAGTCACACAGGCCATCGTGCTCGCAGTCCCCATGACACCACAAGTGCCTCCCTATCAACAATCAGCAGAAACTCCAAAAGAGAAAGCAAGAGTAAGAAGCAAACAACTCACCGTAGGAGCAAGCTCTTCATTAACAGCAGCAATATCCTCCATATCAATCTCTCCAGCCCTATACGCCGCCCACTGACTCCTACAATCCGTACACGCACCCACCCTAACACCTCTACTACTCCCCGGCATCATAGGCCCAGTAACCAACGGCAACACAACTTTGTTCGCCGAAATGCCACNCATCAACTGCGCAGGCACAGTTTTATCGCAACCTCCAATAGCGACTACCGCATCCACAGGTTGTGCTTTAATCATCTCTTCCGTGTCCATAGCCATCAAGTTCCTGAGATACATACTCGTAGGCGAAGCAAAAGATTCATGGATACTGATGGTAGGGAATTCGATTGCAAGACCACCATGGAGATGCACGCCTCGTTTAACCGCTTCGAGTAACTGAGGTATATTGGCGTGACAAGGGTTGAATGCTGAATAAGTGTTTATGATGCCGATGATGGGGCGGGAAAGTGCATCTTCGCCATATCCGGCGGCTTTTATGAATACTTTGCGTAGGAAAAGGGAGAAGTGAGCGTCGCCGTAGGAGGTGAGGCCTTGTCGGAGACCGGTGGTTGCGGTAAGGGGTCTGGAGAGGTCGTAGTCATTTTGAGGGTCGACTTTGTTTTCTGTTTCTTCCATGATGTCGGTTGTTTGTGAGAATCTATTGAGGAAGTCGAGAAGGTCGTGTGAAGGCAATGGTTTATGGTATGGTCATTGATGTTGTGGATGATGTGATTGGGGAATGCCCCACTACCCTCCGCACTTCTCTCCAGAATCTGCTGTGTGTTTAACCGAGCTATCACATCACGCATCCTGATTGTTGCTCTCAATAAGGCTCTTCAGACTTTGGTCAAGGCGTGTCAGCAGTAGCATCCGCACAGAACGCCTCAAGACACAAGACGGTTATTTCCTAGATGACATACAGTGTTTAACCTCGAGGGAGGTCGGGGCCGACTCCGGCAAACGAGTTCCCCACCCGAGAGCCGATACTTGTCCGTTCGCTCGACATCGCCGAACTGCAAACCCGACAATAATCTCGTCAGCTTCTTATTTCTCAAAACCAGACACGCTTTGAACCATGTCCGACGAGCAACCCGGCTCTCGCATAGCTAGGATCCCATCGTCTGACGCACATGCATACGTTAAGGCAGTACTCGAAGCGAACAGAGTCTCTCCCGAGCATGCCTCGACAGTCGCGGATTGTCTTGTTGCAGCAGACTTGAGAGGAGTTGATACACATGGTGTCAACAGAATCCCTTCCTATGTGGCACGAATCAGGCAAGGCGTATTGGACCCAGCAGCAGAACCAGAATTGAAGGAAATCACGCCTGTTGTCGCTCAAGTCGATGGCAAGAATGGGTTCGGGTTTGTGGCTGCTAAACTCGGCATGGCGAAGGCAATCGACATGGCCAACATATTCGGTATCGGCATGGTGTCGGTCAAACACTCCAACCACTTTGGTATGTCGGCATGGGTGGTTCAACAAGCTCTGGACGCTGGTCTCATGTCTCTTGTATTCACCAACTCTTCTCCGGCATTGCCAGTCTGGGGAGGAAAATCCAAGCTGATGGGAGTGTCACCTATCGCGTGTGGAGCTCCGGGAAACGAGCACCCGTTCATCCTAGACATGGCGCCATCTGTTGCAGCGCGCGGCAAAATCTATAAAGCGAAGCGCCGTGGCGAGAAGATACCCAAAGACTGGGCATTAGACGCCGAAGGCCGACAGACAGACGACCCATCAAAAGCACTCGAAGGTGTCATGTTGCCAATGGGAGGGCCCAAGGGGTCGGCGTTGTCTATCATGATGGACGTATTTTCTGGAGTCTTATCCGGCTCTGCTTTTGCAGGCCATGTCACAAATCCATACGACCCTTCACGGCCGGCAGACGTCGGTCATTTTCTGGTTGCGATCAAACCAGATCTGTTCATGAGCATGGAGGAATTCAAAGAAAGGATGGAGTATCTTTATCAACGTGTCGTCGGGTCGGATAAGATGGCTGGTGTCGGCCGCATCTACATGCCGGGCGAACTGGAGCAACTGACACAAGAAGAGAGGGCGCGATCGGGAATCCCCTATGTTGAAGCGGAGATCGAAGCGTTGAATGAAGAAGCCAAGAAAGTTGGCTCATTCGAGATCAAGGTGTCGGGCTGGGAAGAGCAGGAGAAACTCAAGGACTGATCGTCCAGCCGATGATGTGGTGCTGTCTCGTTAATTCAGGAAAATACAGCAACCATCGCACTTTCCCAACATGCAAAGCCATAATCTAAACACCTACAAGTATGACGCTATCCACAGGGTTGTGTCTAACTTCATTCTGGCTGTGGAATCAAGAATATTTTCCTGTAATAGGCATTCGCATATCAATCCGGATATAATAAAGATAGTGGAGTGCTCATGAAGGAGAGATGGACATGAGCGACTCAGGATGGGTCTCTTGCCCGGCGGCTCGGTAAGAGTGCACAGGCCGCAATCCGTGGCCGACCGATGACGCCGATGGTGTTGGAACACAAGTTTTCTTCTGCATCTCTAACATGACGTTTGGCTGTGTTACAACTGGTATTCTCGATCATCGAGGTATTCGAGTAAGAATTTTTGCCGTCTAATTGTGCTCCGGGGACGACCTGACAGAGACTCGATGGCCTGTTGAGATCAGACAGCATCCCCAGGGGGCTTGCTTTCTTCTGCCGGACCACACAAAACACGATAGGGCGATGGCACGATCTTCGCGTGCAGCGGCGATACAAACCTGCGAACGACCATGCGCCGAACATCTTGAAATACCGGCTCTCCGAAACACTGCTCACCCTGGTCCCACTTTGATCAAATGTCCAAGCAATACGAGTAGCCAGGCAATTTTCGGGCCTGGTGTTCGTAGAATCCTCTCAAAGTCCTGCTACTCTTGTGCTCGAGGGCGACAACACGCGGTGACTTCACTCTCCAATTTCCAGTCTTGTGGCCACACCGGATCGTCGCCCCTTGTACATCATGGATGTTTCAACCCACAATAAATGATGTTGTAAGTCGTCGCGATCTTCAGGGCCACGATGCCACAGAGTTTAGTTCCCGAAGAGCCTCATTTTTGCACGACCTCTGACCCACTTTGGCACCCGGATCATGATCCCTATGTAAGATGTGCTCAGAGACGGGTGCGATACGCGCCTATTTCACGATCCCTGTCGGTGTTTCTGCACCGCTCGCCTGATGGAGATTGACAACTGGGGTACCTGACCCTCACATTTGCAGCCTTATGTTTCCCGTACTTCTCCGCAATTGCCAACTACATCACACCACCGGCCTGACTGCGGTTTCGCTACTAGCAATTGTGCAAATCTTCTCCTCTTTTCCCTATTCTAAGTAGATTGCTTGCGCGGCTTGAATCAGATCGGGCCCCCAATAGGTCACCTGCCGTCATTGGGTTTCTAGAAGTCAACAGGGTGGAAGGAATACTTATAGCCACCGGATTCATTCCTTCTCATCCCATACCTGCTTCAAAGTCCATCCTTATACACGTCTATACACGATCAACATGCCTGCCTCTTTGACCATGCATACAACCAACTCTCAAGACTCTCTCACATCAAATATGGCTAGCACCACATTACGACCTGTCAAGTAAGTCATACTGACACCACTGCTACCTTGTGCCAATATTAACACCCCTCGCAGACATGTCCGCTTCGCTGCAGAACTTGCCGTCGATGAACGAGCCACTTCAATTTCCTCGGATTCTTTGTCCGATTCATACAAGGACTGGTCTCCTCACGCACCAACGAGTTCCGTCATGTTTCACAGCACACATGGCAACAGCGAGGATAGACACTCGAGCACACGACACACCATTCCTTATGGTTCATCTCGACGAGAATCCGTAGAGGGTTTCGATGATATCAGGCGCCGATGGTCAATGGAATCACTGTCTGAAGAAGCATCCGCTGTTGATGACGAGTAGAGCAGATCACCAAAGTCTGCTCTCGACAAAACTTGGTGCGTGCCAAATAAGAACGCACCTGTTACGACAATACGACCTTCACGATTGAGATGTTTGATCCTTTTGGCGTTTTAAGAGGATGGTATACAACGAGAGGATAGTACTGGTAGAACGTGGACCAGGATTACCAGGATAGCATGCCGAAAACGCAATGATAGTGTTTTCGCCATCACGATCGTCGTGCCGCACACGAACGATATCAGCATATCACCCCTAGATACTATAGCTTGCATGTGAATCTGCAATAGTGTGAAGAGTTCCAGACAACATCCAAGTCGATGCGGTGAAGATCTGCCGACGTTGTGCCTCCAGCTCTCACGTCCAGATTCCATCCACCTCCCTTTTTCCAACGACTTTATCATATCCAAGCTCCATCTCGCTCAACACCTCTTTTGCATCGCTTGAACTTGCACGTTCTTCTTGATATAAGCGCAAATATAGCCAGAAACGAGAAGCTCAGTGATCCGCCTGAACTTTGAAGCATGTTCTAGTACTCAACAAGCTCTTTTCGATTAGTCCCCGGACTGTCAAATCTCTTTCGCAACGTCCATCCACGCGAGTTGTCCATGCTTGCATGCCGGAAAACTTTGTCTGGTTCTAGAAATTGCAATATCACTCCCGGACGATTGAGCCTTGCTTTTCCGGAACTACGAAGAAGATCATCACCATGATCACACGTCAAGAAGGATGTTCATGAAAGCGTGACTCTCGAGGCCTTGATGTCAAGGCTATGTCAGGATAGGATCTTCGCGACTCTCTTCGGAGTTAACGCCGGAAAGGCTCCCTTCAATAGGCTGATCATCGAGAGTGGGATGTCCGTGAGGCCCTGACCGTCTACAAACGCTAGTTCGTTGCTTTGACAAACGTTTGCAAGTTGAGGGCTGAGGACCTCGTACCAATCCGTCCTCCAGACTCCAAGGTGAGGCATCTCGATATGAGATATCTCACCACTAAATTGTGCCCGGTTCAACTTGGGCTCAGTCAGTGGCCAGCACGGGTACGAACTATTCCGTTTTCCAGCAAGCCGAGTACTCTTGGCAGGAAGGTAGGCCTGCGAAGGATAGTCATTCGCTGAGGATGTATACCAAGAATTCACTCTTGTATGCAACTAATGGAGACTATGCCTAAGTAGCCTCAGAGCTGAGCGAACGTGCAGAGCGCCCTATGCTCAGTCGAAATGACAGCAGAAGCACTTCGCGTCTAGAACAGCCATTCTCTGCACAGTCGACGATGACTTAAACTCCGCACGCCGATGTGTTGAGTAGAAGCCTGTTCAAGAGTTCAGCTCCCCTCCAACCGTATCGGAGATGCCGAAAGGTCGAAAAAGACACAGCATGAATATATAAGCAACCTGGAGGACGTCTAAAGGACAAGACAGGATACCAACCGACCACCAACATCAGCTCATCAATACTTGGTCATCATGCGCATCTCAATCGCCTTGAACAGCATGGCCCTTGCGATCTCGGTCGCGGCCTTGCCCCTGGATAATTCGTCCAACATGTCGAACATATATGTGCCATCCGGCATGTACTTGGCGGACAACGGAGCCATCTTACCAATTCTTGCTCGCCGTCAGGACATCGACTTTGATCTCGTGGACCAGGCACCAGAACCGACCGTGGCAATTGACGACTCGAGCAACTACAACCAACAAGCTGCCATTGATGCTGTTATCAGCGAGGTCGAAGCCAANCCCCTTCCTCAGAGACGCGGTCTTCATCGCCGTGATATTGTGATCGAGACCAGCTCCGGCTATACACCCAACGTCCAGATCAAGGATGCCGCCATGAGTGTGCCCAAGAATTGCCANGGGCTCGGTATGTCCGATTCGCACATGTGCTGGTAGCATCGTCTGATAGTTTTGAAGGATACTTTCCTCGGTTCAAAACTCTTCACCACTGGACCTTTTGATACTACTCTTTGTGCTGCTGCTTGCACGTAAGTGGAAGAGAATTCCAGCTCGCAGGCCATACGCTAACTGGTAAAGCAGNNTGCTCAGAGTGAATACAATGTTCGCCATCCTCCCGCGACTGGTGTCGCAAAGACTTGCCAATTCTACAACACCTATGCAATGTACAGGGACGGCGTCTACCAAGGCCAGTATTGGTGAGTAGGAAGTTACATTCTCGTCTTCTGGAACAGTAACTAATAGCCTTATTAAGCNGTTATGTACACACAAGCCTGGGATGCAAGCTACGCCAAGAACGATGGACAATGGCGCGGAAGCGTTCACTACACCATGGGTATGAGCTACATTGCTTCCAACGCAACCCAATCAGGCGATGTCAGCTGTCCATCTGATGTCCCCTACCTCAGTCAGAATGGAGCAGCTTTCTGTACCGCTTTCATCGACTACGTCCCTCCTACATCAACAGTGTCGACCCTCACTGTCACTCCTGCCGTTTATGTTTTGACTTCTACTCAGAGCAGCGTCATCGTCAACACCCTCTACAGTACTCAACTTACCACTGATGTACAAATCGCAACTGTCACTCGCAACTACAAGAGAGATGTGCAGACACCTGCATCTCTGTCGACCTGGTCTCCGTCCCGTATCTCTGCTGCCTGTTCGTCGGTTGCAACCGGCACTGAGATAGTCACTGCTACCGAGACCGCGGTCACTCCTCTTAGCACCACTTTCACCACTCAGATGAAAACACAAACTCAGACTGTCCCCACCACTGTTGTGATCAAGGCTACTACGACAAAGTCTGTAGATCCTGTCGCAACTCCTATCAAGGGACTCAACACNATTCAAAATCCTTCCTTCGAGAACGGTCAGAATGGTTGGTCGGTCCAATATCCCAACGGATTCAGCTGGATCTCGAACGCATATGTGTTTTCTTATGCTGGCGCAGCTCAATCCGGAAGCGGTTACGCGTAAGTGCATAAAGATAATATCTTAGACCACCTCGAATACCTCACTAACTTGCACACCAGTATCACCCACGTTGGCAACGGCGCTATGGACTGGGTTCAAACCTTGACTGGTCTGTCAACTACTGCAGCATACCATTTGACTTTCTACACATGGACTGGGCTCAACGGCAATCCATGCTCGCTGCAGGTTATCCTGGGGTCTGATGTGCTGCTCAATGTGGCCCTCACTAACAGCCGAGGAGGCGGATCAGCCGGTTATGACAAACGTGATCTGGATGTTCAGCCTACAGCTTACAGAGAAGATCTGCGTATCCGCTTGACCTGCACAAACCCCAGTACCACTGCAAACTTGTTCATGGACAGCTTCTCGTTCTATGCAGCCTAGAATATCTCATGAAAGATATGTTACGCAAGCACGATCTGTGTTTGGATGTCAGAATTTCCAAAAGTTACATAGAGGTTAATACGAACCAATGAGATAAGACCTCTCAACGGAGGTTAATCTGTTTCCTGAAAATATTGTGCAATGCTATAGTCATACATATTGGAGAGTTGTTACAAAAACAGTATCAATTATGTTGAACTCAAGTATACTTTGGGAATGTGTGGTCGTTAAACATGTGCCTCGTTCCTTCCCTCTCCTCAATTATCCTCCCAAACACCAAGATTACCAACTCCTCCATTAATGCAAGACTCCTTTAAATCAGGTAAACACAAACAAATCAACACTTCCCGCACTGGCACTCTTGACCATTCATGCTCCAGAAACAGAATTCGACTGGTCCGGTCAGATCTCGCGAATTTTGCATCTTCTCGACGATATGCGTATGATCACTCTTTTCCTTACATCTCTCTGGCAAAGCCACTGTCTTTGTACTTGACGCGGGCTTGCTCTNTGACTATCACAGATATCAGTGTTTCACCCTTCACTCATCTCAAGATATCAACATACCTTTTGTCCTCGTCATCACAATCTCAGGTTCTTCCCGCTTCTCCAACTTCCGTCCCTTGATCAACTGCTCACGCAAAAACTTCTTGTAGCGTGCAATGGCTTCTTCTTCGTGGTCGAGGATATCCCACCAGATGGGGCTGTCGAAATCGTCGATGCCTTCAGCACTGCTGATGGAGGAGACGTCGGAGTCGTAGCGTTTGTAGGGTTTGCAGGTGATGTAGGAGTGTTGTTTTGAGGTGGGTTCTGTTGGAGGAGTATGGAGGAGAGGTTCGAGGTCGTAGAGTTGGTCCCAGTTTGACATTTAAAGTATTTGTGTGGGAAGATTGAGTTGTTGGTGAAAGTAGGTTAATTGGTTGATTGGTTGATCTTATGTGTATAGATGAGGCTTCTTTGTGTGTTGCAGATGTGATATGATCCAGATATTGTGAGCATCTTTGTGCTTTATAGCTGAGTTCCTCTCAAGCAATGGATCTGTATACCGATTGCGTCCGTATGGTATTTTCGTAGACAGGAGATATGCTGCATTCATCCGGGGCGGTTAAGCTAGCCTCACCTGACGCCCAGCAGAAATCGCAAGATTACGGAGAGCCACCATCACGCGATTATTGCCTCCCTTGGTTCTTTTTTTTTCTGCTTTTTGACAATGCGCTCCACATGTAATAGACGATACATCTGGTTGGTTCCGGTATGGTAGCAAGGCATCGAGGTTCCGGTCGCATCCTTGCTACATCTATAGACAAGCCGACCAGTATCCGTCCTTGGCTTTGCAAGATCCCAGTATCCTGGCTGGCAGAAGAAGTATAACTTGAGTCAAGTCGATTGTCCTTATTGCGATTCTCATGCATGCTGAGTCATTAAACCAAATTCTACAATCCTTCCGCTCACAAGCTTCGCGCTATAGTATGTATGTTTCCAGAGCCTCAAACAACTTCTTCTTCAGACCTTGTAGCGAAAGACTACCTGAATATAACTCCTTAGGCATCTTCGTTCGATCAGAGAAACAGAGCCAAGGCCAGAAACTATTGATATTCTTCTTGCAAACCAGGCAACTGACAAGATCTGGCACATAAAGCAGGATTCTGTACAATCATCTGTTTTGCCCACAGCAAGCGTCGTTCGAGCTCTTCTTCTGCGACCTCAGGTATGGATTGCCGTCGCTGGCAGCAGATATCGTTGCCATGATTGCCGTGGAAGTTGCCGCGACGGTCCATCTCAAGTTGCACTTCTTGTTCATATCTTACTGACTNCTGGAGTCGTAGGTCAGTAGAGAAGCTGAGGCTGTTGTTAAATATCTTTTTACCTTGTGGAGTAATGTCTGAAGCATGTGGGAATAAGTTGTATATTTGCGCCACAGTAATGTTTGTATTCTCGGTCATGGTGATCGGTAGCAAAATCTGGTAAACAGTTGCTTGTCTGTGTCACTCGATAGCTTGACAGATTGAGATTTTGCTGAATAGCCCAGAGCAAGCGCCCAGCGTACGTCCGTATATACCTCGACCTACCTATCTGGTGCTTCCCGAGGGCACCCTTGCTACACGAAACATCATGAGATTGACGACATTGTTCGTAATCGCAGCATACCGCGTCGTAAATATCGTTAGAACGAGCCAGAAGGTGCTGTGACTGCTGTCTCGCGATCGAAACTGGTGGCGTGACGGAAGCTGTATATCACCTGTGATGGACGGAAGAACCTCGGGTCGGCCCAAAGGAATCCTCTTCTTCCCATCGGCCAGCACCTTCAAAATAACTCTCAAAACTGCTCTCGCGCAAGTGAGATTCACGATGGCATGGTCCAGACTTTATGGACTGGCTTGTTGATTATGGCAAGAATTTACTGTGCAACGGACATGTGCGACCCCTCCGCAGGGGTCACGCTTCCGAATTAGGAAATCCCCTCCATGATCGCTGTGCCGAAGCTGCGATATAACAAGCAGCAACCCTTGTCGTGAACCCCAGAAGACAATCCTTTGACCATCTCTGAACATATCCTTGACCTTCAAAGCAAATACTCAAACTTCTTTATCCATCTTCAAATCCACAGATCCGCACAGCTACAACTATGTGGTCAGTCTTGCCGAGGAAGAAGTCGGCAACTTCGCCCCGCCTACACCAAACAAGACCTCTCACACCTCCCCAAGAGGAGCCAAAGACAACTCCCCAACAACAAGCCGTCGTGCTAGATGCCAACTACACATCCCAAACCCAGTCCGAGAGCTTTTCAGACAAGTCGCGTGGAGACGTAACATGGCACACCCTTCTCTCCTCTGACAAAACCTCCTCTCAAGACATGTCCGCCGGCATCGCAAGCTGTCCTGCAAACACAGGTTACCTAGCACATCACCGCCACACTCAATCAGAAATCTACTATGTTATTTCTGGCAAGGGAGAGGTTACTGTTGATGGCAAGGTTCACGCTGTCGCGGGAGGCAGCACAGTGTTTATTCCTGGAGATGCCGAGCATGGTATCAGGAATACTGGAGAGCAGGGGTTGAAGTGGTTTTATGTGTTCCCCACTGCCAGTTTTGGAGATGTCGAGTATAGGTTTTCGGAAGTGGAGAAGGTGGATGAGCGAGTTGATGAATTGGTGCCTCGCAAGGAGCCTCCTGTGCTGAAGATCTACGGCTGGGATGCTTGAGCATGATCTTTCTCCCAAATACCTTAACGACTTCTTGGATTTCTCAGGCACTGGTTGGAGTTTTTGACGGAGTTAGGGCCGATCTGTACAGTACATCCATTTTCACAGCATCTCACGAATATATCTTGTAACACCTTGATCGCCCTCAGATGACCTTGCGCTATATACAGGTATTGACCAATCATGTATTTAGACCAACAGACTAACGCCTACGATCACGCGTCCGCAGCATGCAACTACCTCGAGACATACCAAGCAAAAGCCACAAAGCGGTGCAATCGCCCTCGCCATGCGACCCAAAGACTCACACATCACAGTCACAAACAACATTGCGACTAGCAATAAAAGCTTGCACTTGTTCTCTTTGTAAAAATGGTAACATTGTAGAAAATCTTGAGGACGATAAGAAAAAGTGGCGCCGCAGTATATGCCCCTTCCNCTCATGGATCACGCGTACGCAGCGGTGAAGATTTCCAACGCGACATTCGACTCTCCTGACTGGAAGTGGGCGCGCGATGGAAGTATACTGGATGGCGAATATATACCGTACATCTGCGAAGCCATTCTAGTAATAATCATCTTCACGTAAGCTATACACCCCCTCAAAGATAGCGAACCCGACTGACCCTCGAACCAAGCATTTGCATCCTCGACCACAGATTCACCAAACCCTTGCGCGCAGACAGCCAGAACCCATATGCCGTATACGAAGCAGCAGCAGAGCGCGAATACTCAGACTGGCGAAGCGAATGGGAGACCAAATTCCCAGACCTCTTCATCGGCCACGCTATTTGCACAATTTGCTTCGAACCCATCGGCGACCGAGAACTGATCCGTGGATTACCTTGTCTGCACGTCTTTCATAAGAACTGTATGGATTCTTGGTTCGAAGCGCTACACGTTACTTGCCCGGTGTGCAAACAGGATATCCTAGAGCTACCTTCACCATGCTATCGACCAGCTTCTGAATACGAGGTATAGGAAAATACTGCCTTCGGTTCTGTTATCGGAGTACTTCAACTACTCTTCCGACAAATCCTTCTAAACCAGCTGCGCCTTTTTCTCCGCGCTCTGTGCCACCGAATAAGCCTGGACCACCTCCGGGCATGACCAGGATCTTGGATCCGACTTCGACGCATTCCTTTGTGGAGTCGAAGTGGAACGTCACCTGCAGGAACTGATGCGTGACAGCTCCGGCAGCAGCGCTCTCGGCAAAACTGCCGTCTTGCGAGTCGATGTGTTGATCAGCCATCTCCAAACTCAAATCTTCGACCATCATTTCAGAAGGCTCGGGTGTTCTGCAGGACAATATTCTTGCAGAAGATCGAACACTCGCAAGGTAGACTACAGCTTGACTTCCCACTGCCAACGTGCCCAAGTCATCACGTCTGAACTGTGCAACAATGGTGCTAGACGAAGTCGCAGGCTTGTTGCAGAGCACCATACCTCTTCGTACCTTCACAGTCGCCCACGTATCAAGGGTCTTGTCATCAGTCAACCCAATCCCAATGGTACCCGCTTGATCGGAGTGCAGAGTCGAGACGGGAAGACGCAAGTTTCTGATGCTAGCAACTTTGACTTTACGCCATTCTTGCTCGAATGCTTTATTGAACGGGATGAGGCTTCCGTGGGTTTTGAGCGCTCCTGGGAAAGACCGTGATGGTGGTAAAGCTTGCGCGAGTCGAGGACGTTGCTGTGTGTCTGAATCTTCAGAGTCATCTCCACCAGATGGAGAGCAAGGTCCCAAGAATAGCTCTTCTCCTGCTGATATTGAGCCTCTGCTCAAATGGCCACTCAGGATGATGGTATTGGCATCTTGAGCTTTGTTGTATATGTCCTCGACATGGAACAGAGAGCTTAAGGTACCTGCCTTGGGAGGAGGTTCTTCTCGATGGTCTGGTATAGGAAGCTCGTTCAAGACAGCATGCAGGTTGTCAAAGCCTGCACCTTGAACGGCGCTCGTCAGAACTATCGGAACTGCTGACAGAGGATCGTCGTATAGAGCATCAATAGTCTTACGTATATTAGCTGATTTTTTCTGTGTGAAGCTCTGCAGCTCATGTTCGGAGACAGTGCCTGGTGAATTTGGTATCATTAGTGGTTTTCTGCCGGCAGATTTCAGAACCGAAAGTAGCTTTCCCAGTGTGGCTTTCAACACAGAGAGCTGTGCGAGATCATACTTGGTGATGACGACCACTAGAGGCAGCTGGAGACGCAGACAAAGGTCCAAATGTGCAGCAGATAGATCGATATCGGTAGCGGCTGGACCAAGTACTTCTGCAACCTTACTGGAAGACTTGACTTCATCATCTGCGGGAACACAAAGTAGTACCCAATGCGGCTTCCACCCCACGAGACCTCTGACTGTCGTCCGTCGGTATCGGGGATGACCAGCAGAATCTGCTACAAACACAAGACGGCCGTCGGCAGAAGCTGTGTGCATATCAATCCAAGATGCCACGCCCTCTGTAGCATAGTTGATGACTTCCATTCCGCCCGTCGGAGCTGGAGAGTACCCCATTAATTCTTGGGTGACTGAGCTCGTAATGCCGGAAGTAATCTCATGTCGATGCTTGAGCATACTCAACCGGCTCTTGCCTCGTCCGTCATCCAGGGTCGATGTCGAGAGAGTTCCCAGCAAAGACGACTTTCCAGACATAGTGGCTCCTGTGAGCGATATTCGAAGCTGTTTTGTCGATTTGGCTTCCGAAGAATGGTCCTCCGTCAGTGTTTTGTCAGCACTCGAACGGCCATTCTCCACAGTCGTGGTCAAATTTGGCTTTACAAGAGCTTCTGCCACGAGAAGATCACTCTGCCGTTCAAGGTGTTCCGAAGAGACTGTTCCATCGGTTTGTGCCATGTAAGAGCAAGTACCGACTTTGACCATCCGTTGTACTTCAACCACACAACCTAGACTTGCAGCCATAGCACGCAGATTGTTGAGACTGTCCTGCATCTCATCCTCTGCGAGGCCAACAAGAGTACCATCATCGGACACACCAATTTCATAGAGTGCACCCTCACTCTCTTCAAGGCCTGGATGTATGGGTTCTGGCTTTGGCGGTGCTTGTAGCTCTGTTGTACTTTCTGGCAACTGTGGTAGGACGAGAGTGGTCGAAGCATTCGAGTGATGTGGACAAGATTGTCCAAGTCTCCATAAAAGCTGAGTAGTCAGGTGCTCGAATCTATCCTGCCTATAATTTGGGGTGACAGACGGAGAAGCACTCTTTGCTGGCAGAGCAGTTCCGGAGGGCGAGCGTGAGGNGCCGTTGTACTTGGAATGTTTCGAGCCAGATATCCGTGTCACAGTACTCATGTACGTGTAGTTGCGGCGAGGTCGGATCAGAAGATGAAGCTTGTACTCAACGGGGCCTTTTTGAGGCTCAGCCTCGAGCCTAGTGACATGGCCAGCTTCGTCCAAGTACGCAGTAGGCTCAGAATCGGTGACAAAGTTACTGTTACGTGATGGAGTTCTGGAGTTATCCATGGAATCGAGCTGTTTTAGCCATGGTGACGATACCCGTGGTTCGGTCTCATCGAATGAAAATATAGATGCTGAAGCCATGGCTTTGGAAAGATCACCGAAACACTCGAAGGGTTGATTGCGGGATTACAAGACCACTCGAGGTGTGAACAGGCAAGTTGGGGATGATCAGGAACACCCAGGATGTGAGTCAGCGGTATGCGCTGGATAGAAGCGAGAGGAAGCGTGTGGTTCGGGTATGTAAGGGTTTGTGCTTATTGTGCACCTATGGTATTCGTGTCGCAGTTGTTTTGGTCAACGAATCAATGGTGTGAGATCGGGCTTGAAAAGATGTTGGTAATGATGGCAGCATGGTGGCGATAGCAGACGACTGTGAGCACGGTATGGAAGATGATTTCTAGACGATATCAAGGTTGTTAGACTTGAGCGTTCATTGTGCTGGCGGAGTTGGATGCCATCTTCATCAAAGCAATTATGCAAAGACCTATGCGATACAGTCACAGCAAGGACGACTCGACGTCGGGACAGGCTTGGCAGCGGGCAAGTCGGTGCACGGCACTCGGCGCCTGACGCGCTACGCGGTTAGCGCCACGCGCCTCTGGCATTTATTGCAAGCGAGCTCTTCACGTGCATGTCAAAGCCGCGAAGCAAAAGAGTCATGGGAGAAGCAAGATTTCGATTGATTGATTTTTGTTTATCCGATAATGAGTCCGCAGCCGCATGTGCTTGCCCTTTGCACACAAACCGGTGTGCTCAGACTGGCACGCTATATCAACCGGTGAACCATCAGTAAGAACAGTGGGGATCGGTCAAGGCAACCGCTCGGCGTGCTAAGGCCGAACAGACCGAAACCCGTTATGAGGTGTCTTATTGGCGTCCGCCGGCCGGTGACTAGCAGAGTGGACAAGATGCGGAAGCACGTCAATGAGAACCGCCTACACCTGCCCTCGCAGTTCTATCAGAATTGGGTAAAGCGTGGTGGTAGATCGGAACGTTCAAGCCATCTCTGATAGGAAAATGGAAAGGGCAGCCCCTTGGCTTGCGCCACCAGACTCTGTCCCCACCCTGATAGACAGCCTGTCCGCCATCAAAAGGCCAAGGTTTGACCCAGTCTCTCCGATTGGGCGGCTTAATTTAGAATGCTGTCTGCGTTGTTCTCAGGCTGCATCAGGCTGCATGCCATGGCCACGATGCTGGGGGTCTTTGGGACCCTAAAGTCCAATGACACGGTGATACATATGATTTACGAGTTCTGGGCATTGCATTCTTCCTATCAATCAGATCGACCGCTGGGGCATCGGAATGTGGAGTTGTCCGATGTACGACTCGGTGCGGTTCATTGGCCTGAGACGGGAACTATATGCCACGGCAGGAAAGTGGTCAAGAAATGAATATCAAACGAACGAAATGGTGCGGTGCAGAAGTCAAGGAAAAAGGATCGGCATGCAGACGATTTCACTCACGTGTCAGAATTCTGCAGCCTGCTCGATGTCGTATACTCATCTAGTCAGACAGCAACGCATCTAAAAGCTATTTGGAAGCGCAAGCCTCATGCGATAGGCGAAAGAGAATGTCCCGGGAGACAGGCAGCTCCACGCCTGATCTTCAGCGCTAACCGAGCCCGTAATCAATATACAGAACGCTTCGACTCTGCCATGAGCCACTCAGATGCATATGCGAGGAACGCCTCAAGGGCCATGAATAAAACTCAAAAAAACTTGTCGGGATGTGGACATGCCATCATGCAAGCGATGTGAATCAAAAGAATAGGCAGGAGATAAAAGGACAAGCGGTTTGAAGAAATCTGGGATAATAGATTGGCAAAGAAGGGTATCATATTGGTCGGTCGTTCACGCGATGCTCAAGCGCATCGGCTCCTCCGATGGTAGTTGTGTGTGCCGTTTGTGATCATCAAATCATAGCGCCCGCGCTACTTGGCCTCTGACGCTCTGCGTTGCTTTGAGCACTTCTCATGGGCCAAATGACCGTTTCTTGCTGTCGTTCGGGTGAATTCCGCTCCACACTTTGGGCAGTATGATTTAGCGGCCGTTCCTGACTTTTCTCGTTGGTGTCGCAAAAGGTTGCTGAATGTAGAGAACTCGCGGCCGTTGCAACCATGCTCCCAGCATTGTGGTTTTGGTTTCTGGTTTACCACTCCTCTCACATTGGAGTCACTGCTGTTCCTGGACACTGGCTGGCGTGTGCTGATCGCCGAGGGAGGGGGATAGCTGTAGCTCTGCGAAGTTGAGAAAAGGGGTTGAGGTGCCTGTACACCCGGTGCTGCGTACGACGAGGAGTATGATTGAGCGTCGTAGATGCTCGGTGATCGCATGCGGTCCATGCTAGTCTGTGCTCCGGGACTTCCAGCTAGTTGTGGTTGCATCGAGTCCAATCCTGCTGTATGAGGAGGAGTCAGGGGGTCCATGTGCTGAGAGAGCGGGCTGTGTGATATGCTTCTGTTCGCCATCGTACGACTGGTTGTAGAGGCCAGAGGATATTCGAGACTGTCGTAAGTCGATGGGTGGAAAGGGCTGACTGCTCTGTTGAGGTTGTTCAACGTCGCCGGCTCGGATACGTGGTTCAGCGAAGGCTCCATTGGTGCCGCAGAGAAAGCGGGCTCCATGTCTAGAGGTCCCGACGCGTAGATGCTCTGCTGCGCAGGCGCTGAAGTTCCAAAGATGAACCCAAAATTGCTCGAAGGGTGGATATGCGAGTTCGATTCGGATTGTTGGTNAGCCTTGAGGAGCTATAGTCAGTGAATTGTGCTCGCTAGATATACTATACAGGACTTACTGTGGTCGAAAGATGGGTCTTGGAATGCCATGTGACCGTAGTGGGGAGGGGGAGATAACTTAGAGAGCTGGATATACAGTCAGTCCGTTGTCTTGCTTGCTTGGTAGGAAACAACTTACGCCATGTCTGCTGATGTAGTGTGAGGAGTCTCTTTGGGATCGCGAGAGGTAGAACCAAATCTAGTATAGCTGTTTTGCAAGGACTGGAAGCCAGGTAGTGTAAGAGTATCACCAGCTTGCTGAAGTGCTGGAAGGTCTGATGGCGAGCTGAGTGAAGTCGATTGATGCTGAGGTGTAGGAGATTGTTTGGTAGCAGTCCAACCGTTGCTGTTCAAGTTGAGTCGGTCTTGTATCTGGTCGGGCAGGAGCTCGGGATGGCGTTCAATGTTGGCAGACGAGTTGGATCGAGGGCGACTTGATCGAGAGTTGCTTCGTTTCTTGATACCACCAGTGTCTTGTAGATGTATAGGGAAGATACTGTCTGTTCTTGTCCTAGGGTCTGATGAAGAGGAAGGGCTCAGGTACGGGGAGTTCATGACGGATATAAGAATTGCTCAGATGAAGGAACCAGAGACGGGAACAGGATGCTGGCCTACTTTTCATAGGCCGCATTGACATGAGACGTCTTAGGCGGAGGGGATCTACGCCAGGATGGCTATCTCGGGTGCTGGTTCGGTTTTAAACACTGACAAGGCGCAGTGGGCTTTCCAACAAGCAACGGCGGGAGCACGCAACCACCAACACATGGCCAGGTATCGCCCGAGCTAATTGGCCCGGGGCTCCAGGGCAGAACCTACGGACCCCTGCCCCTCCATTAACTGCTGCGCACGGGTCTGCTTGGAGCTAACATATTTCCAGATGCAGAGGAAATTTGTGATGCGAGTTGTAGGCATCAGCACGACCAATGTTGCATTCATCTCTGACAGACGGCTCCGAGGGGATGGTTGGCCGAGTCTTGGGCCTCGCGATGGAGCCTGGGTAGATCTTGATGAGATTTCGCAACGTTGGCAACCATTTTCCACCTCGAGTCATAGATTGAGTTTAGTGAGAGGTTTGGCGCAGCAGTGAGGTTGTCAAAAAAGAGGGCAGAGGTGAGGGGCAGCCGGCACCCGCGATTTCTCCTTTAGCAATATCAGGTGGTCGGCGCGTGCTAACCGGCGACCAGATTGATCTTAGTGGAGTCCTAAGTTGGAAACAGAGCGCACGCTGTACCAGGATCCAAGGCATGGATTGACTCGTAGCTCTGAACCAATGAGAGGAGATGGAGCTTTCAACGCTGCTTGACATCTCGTCACACAAAGTTTCCTATGCTGATCTCTCTGTTTCTTCCATCATCTTTGAACTCTATGCAAAGTGATACCGCTCGGTTAGAGAGCCTCCTCAGAGCCAATGTTGACAGCTCGTGAAGATGTGTTGTAACCACGAGATTCTTCAAGAGTGGTAGCAACCGGTCAATTTTGGCCGGACTGCGACTAGACCGGGCAATAATCAAAACGAGCAGCGATAATTAAAGAGCTCATCTTGCTCTATCATCTGAAGAGTGGTTGCGACCAAATAGCGGGGGTCAGGGTCTTACGCCCTATGCAGCCATGCAGCTATGCTAGAATGGGATCGGCTGGGTTCCGTCCCACACTGATGCTTCGTGTTTGACGGTTCGACCGTTGGAGCCTTCGTTTGCGACAACCCGTCGGGCCGCACTCCTGGCGTTGCGAAAGGTTATCATCGGCTGTAGACGTGCGGCGTGCTAATCATCATCAAAAGGCTCGTATGCATCATGAAGGTAACATGCAGTATCGTGACAGCCGACAGACCATCTGCCCGAGTTTGCGTGGAAAAGCAAACCTCCAATTTCAGCACCTTCGTGCACATAGCAAGCAGTCAACCAACGACGATAAATTTCTTGGTTCATTCGGGCCGCTCTCTGAGACTATGATGTAGCTCTCAGGGAGGTATCTGGCAGCCTGTTGAAGACGCCTCGCGGAATGGCTCCCAGAAGGGTTAGTGGCTGTCAGAGTTGTTCCGGCTTGGTGTCATTGGTCTGTGTGAGCTGTCCCCGCATCGGTCGGAGTGCCCAGAAATCACACGCCGTCTGCCTGGCATTCTCGTCTAAACAACGTGGGTGCCTGACAATGGGCATAACACAAACCGGTGAACTGAAATTCAAGACGGGAAGCGTATGGCGTGACTGCGGGTTGCATTATCACCTTGGTGGCCGTGCTCCGCTGTTGATTCGATGTCTCGCAATAGCACTCTCGGGCAGCGGAGCAACACATAACTAATGCTGAACAATCAATCAGCCAGGTCGCCGACCACGACCGGTCAATCTTAGCCTCATCGACTGTCCCGTTCTCCGCCGCCAGTCGTCGCTTGTATTTGTCTTTTTGCTTCAATCTAGTTGGTCTGCAGACTGCCGGACGGCGGTCGGTGGTCAACCGAAGCTTAACTTTGAGTCTGTAGCCAGACACGCTCAGAAGTAGGGTCAAGGTGTTCACCTAATCTTCCATCACGTGCGGCCTCGCGGTCTTCCCACAAGCGCACTAAGATCGACGAGAGCTTGAGCTTCTGGCCATCGTAGAAGATTAGGCGGCCTTGGTGATCTGCAAACCGCCGAAAGCATGTGGACTTAATTGCTATATTGCGATAATGGTGGTCAATAAATGCTCATGTTTCGCAGAGACCGTTGTTCGATCTTCATGACAGACACGAAAGCAAACCAACAAATGCAAACCCCCGACAGGAGCTTGTCGAGCAGTGAGACGCCGATTCCAGCCACAAAATAGCGTTGTACGACTCAGATGCTCGAGCTTCGCCCTGCTGCTTTTTCTCCTTCACCCGCCCCACGATCAGGGTGCCTTATTGAAGCTTGATCTCTTGGTTTCAGATTAGGCAAGGTCTGCTTGACACCAAAATTGGACTGCACATCATTCCCCAATGTGGCATCCAGAGCGCGCTCGACGTCGATATGCGGCATAAAGTTCCGCCTCCATACAGACTCCATTCCGCGATGTCAAGGAGCACACTGCAATTTCAGGGCAACTGAAGCCCGAGACACAAATGGTGTGGGCCTGACAGGCTGAGGAGTATCCACGAATTTTCTCCACGGTGAATCGTTCAGGGGTGACGATCGAATGTTGAGTCATGCGTGCAATAGCTATCAAGTAACAAATGTGCAAATTGCGGGCGATAAGATCGATGAAATGTTTAAGAGACGTTCCATACCGATCACAGGCTAAAAAGCAGGTAGACATACTGGTACACTTCTCAAAGTTTGGCCTTTTCTTGCAATTTAGGACCGAGTCGAGCGCTGTTAATGACAACATTGAGTCCATCTGATCCTGTTTCCGTCTTGATTTCCATCTCTTGACAATCTTCCAGACCAACATCATTGGCATATTGTACCACCACAAAATCGATAGCTTTCACGCCAAGCACAACCATTGGCGCGTGCCATGTACCAGGACCATAGGTGACAGCTTGCGAACCATTGGCAAGAAACGCGCAAGCACGGCTCAGATCTGGCTCGCCCGGGCCTTTAGGGAGCTGTGGCTCAGGGCTAGATCCTGAAGACGACAACGTAGAGTTGTCAACTGGAGAAGGTTGAGCTCTGAAGAAAATTTCGGTCCAGCTCCGTTGTTGTTTCGGGGCATGTTGGGGATATGGTAATGGTCTGTCCGTTGTTTTGAATGTAGGGGCGACGATGACAAGGTAAGCCGTTGTCGCATCTTCGGCCGCAAGACCAAGAGGAACAAAAGTTTGAGGTGTGAACGGATGTCGTTCCAGAATCTGCACGGGAAATTTCGATGTTTGTTGCTGAGTGATATCTGAATCGCTACTGGCGGATTGCAGTTGGCGCGGTGAACAAACGAACATGTTCATGACAGCCCTCGCAGGATTCCCGCTCGGTGCTAGATGATAGAAGTTGGAGACATGGGAGACGTCGATGTACTTGAGAGCCGAGCCTTGGTTTGCTTTGACAACTTTGGGCTGTTGGGACCTCCCAGTTGCATTCACTGGGTTTTCGACGACAGTGCCAAACTCAGCAAAGGCGTCCTGAGTCAAGGACCGCACCGGAAGATTCAAGTTTGGCGCAACAATATAGGGCAGCATTCTAACAGTGAGACTCGTGCAATTTCCTTGGACGTTCTGTTTGTAAAAGTATTTACACGACAGACAGAAGTTCTCTCTCATGATGGAAGCAGTTGGTTGGGCAGACCGAGATCGGGGGATGATGCGCTTGATGCCAAGACATGGTCAATTTGGACGCGAGCGCGTCTTCTCGACGACGCGTCTCATACCATTTGGACGACGACAACACAGTATTGATACCACAGGATATTTATCATGAGCTTTTCCGCGGACAGGTAAGCACCTCAATCTAACGTATCAGGGATAAGTATTGATTCGGTTGCCTAGACCACCTATCAGGACATATTCGAAAACATACTCCAAGAGAAAACACCAGGATGGCATCGACGATGCCCTCAAACGACGACGTGTCTCGGTAGTAGAGAGCGAAGAGAGCGAATCTGCTCCTTCATCAGACCCTCCGCCATCAGACGTCGCCGTATTCTCTGACGAAAATGTTCCACCTTCAACACCACCCTCATCACCACCCAGTCTTGCCATCTCTCCAAAAGCTGTGCCTCCGAAGCTACGACTTTCTAAAAGCGATCCCGAGAGATCTGCACCAACTGCTAAACCTGCTCTGAAAACCTCAAAATCACTCGTCCAGATGCAACTCAATTTCGGCCAGTCCATGCGCAAGACCTGCAAAGAGTGTCGCATGGAGTATGTGCCTTCAGCTCCAGAAGACGTTTCTCTTCACAAGAAGTTTCACGCTCAACACGTCAATGGTGTCTCTATGGACCGAGACTTTCTTACCAAAGTCAAGTCTGAGAAGGCTGTATGGCATGGACCGCAAGGAGACTTTGTCATATCCCTCAGTGGCTCTCAGGATCCAAGACACTGGCTGAAGAAGGCTCGCGCTGTATTCGACATGGCAACAGCTGATTTGGGCGCTGTGGACATTCCTGATGAAAAGTTATGGGGACCACAGTTCGCTGCATCAAGTGCTCGAAACAAAGCGCCTGACGCAAACGAAGAGAAGAAGGACAGATACAAGCTGTATCTCTACATGGGCAATGGCAGATGCGTAGGACTCTGTCTTGCGGAAGGGATCGAGAAGGCCTTCAAGGTGGTCGAGCCAAAGAAGAAGGTGGAGATAACGAAAGAAGGGGAGGATCGGGAAACAGAGGAAGAGAAGAGGGCGCCAGACTCGGCAGACATGCGGTCAAGTGAGCTGCTCTCGGTCATTCAAGAGACAGACGAAGCAGCCATTGGCATATCTCGAATCTGGACGTCTCGAGGGTCGAGGAAGAAGGGCATTGCCAGGGCACTGTTGAAGTGTGTTGCAAAGACGTTCCTAACCAAGGTTACACGCAAAGACATGGTTGCCTTTAGTCAACCTACCGAGATGGGCACAGCCCTGGCGAGACGATGGTTTGGTCAAGAGTACGGATGGCATGTATACATTGATTGATGTTGATTGGTAGAGGTCGGAAATAATATTAGCACGAGCAGTCGTCGATGGCGCATGACTTGATATCGCTGGCGATGCCGTCACAGATTGACAGAGTTCGGACAGTAAAGACAGTTTGTTGCCCGCGGGGTTTCGGCGAGTCCGGAAGCAAAACACACGGACGGCTGCAGATCGCTCTCGTCGTCAGGCCATGTGAAGACAGCGATGATCTCGACCACGGTATGCACGATGAAGCAATGAGCTAGAGCAGCACAGTTGGATCACGATGGCGGGCAATCCATTCAGAAAGTCGCAATTCCTGTCGCTGGACGTTTCGGCGGCGCGTGAAGCAGCGGGACTCGACACTAGTCAGCCAGCAGCAGCAACATCGACAAGCACTCAGGGTAAGAGCTGCCTGCAACTGTTCCCGCCCCCGACAAGCACCCACTGAGAGCTCGATNNAGCCAAGACAAAGCGGAAGGTGCAGAAGAAGGTTCGCATTCAGAGTCCAGTCATCTCGCCGGACTCTCCCGCCGCCGCCTACCGAGATCAATATGACCCCTTCGACACATACCTCAACCCCATGGGTCAGCCTGCACTACCCACGACCAAAGAACAAGACGTAGAGACAGCGCGCGAGCTGCGCAAGTCCTTTATAGACTCGTTGGCAAGAGGGGCCACTGTCCCAAACAGAGAAGCCTCGTCGATAGCTCCACCGATAGCTCCTGCCCAAGCTCAAGCTCCTGCCTTTGTGCCAGAGAGAATGGAAACCTCATCCCAGTCAAGCCAACAAGTACCATACAACCCCTTTGCCAAAACTCTGGCTACAATTGATCCTCAGAATGCCGCTTCGGCCCCTGTCGGTCTCTCGAGAGACACATCCGCTGCTTCCGCTAAGCCGGCCATGGACGTCGACGCATTTACGCGCATGCTGTTGACAGGCAGTACTCCATCTGCATCACCCGGACCCATGACACCCTCGGCACGTCTACCGTCTGCTACCGCCAACTCTCTTGGAGACCTGCACCCCGAGTCTCCTTCTGCCTCGGACGACGAACATCACGATGAACCTCCGGAACCAGACTACGAGCAACTGACAGGTTTGGTCAGAACACCAGATACCCAGACGAAGAAGCCCAAGCCGCCTCCACCATCACACCACCACGGCAAGGCTCTATCCACTCCCAACAAAGGCCCACAAACTGTCTCGTTCGCCGACTTTGACGTCCCTGCCACCCCTCCTGCTCTTCCCTCGCCATCACTCGTCTCGCCGAAGCCCCAGCTTGTCCGATCTCCTTCCGATCTGAATAAACCTCTACCTCCACCTCCTCCGCCGCATCAGTCGCCCAGTCCAGATGCGACTCCTTCTATCCCGGTACAGATCGACGGCCCTGCGCAATCACCACAACTAGCGCCCGAGGACTTTAACATNCCACTCCAAAAACCTCCACCGCCACCGCTGTCACGCAGGAGCAGTCAGATGAGAAGCTCGAGCGGCCGACCCCGCAGCAGCTCCAATCTCTCACGATCCTCTGTCCCAGACGACTATTCAGATGGCACGGCAACACCACCCGCGAAGCCACCACCACCGCCAGCAAGAAGAGTGCCTCATTCTGTAGAAACGGACCTGCCTGTTCCGTCAGGACGGCCACCGCCTCCACCACCATCTCGCAACACAAAACAACGACCCTCGAGCGTCAGTCGCACACCGTCCACAAACTCAGTAAATTCACTGAACAAAGCTAACATGCCACCTCCCCTCCCCCAAGACGAGGTGAAAACAAACGAAGGAGTTTGGACGGCACGTTACTCAACGCTTCTGCCCCTAGCTCACGTCGCATGAGCGACACCAGCCGACGATCCAGTGGGGCAAGCTTCNTACTCGTCTGGAGGCAGGACGCCGTCTGTTTCGTCCATCCCAACAGTCGACGAGGGTGATTCAGGCGAGGATAGGAGTTTCAATGCTACTCCGCAACCCGAGGCGCAACAAGCTGGTGCGAATGGTGGTGGTGCAGCTGCAGGAGGTGGTGGTATCTTGGCCGATATGTCTGCCATGCAAGCTGAGATTGACGCCCTGATGGCAAGATCAAAAGGTGGCTCTTGAGTCCATAGACAAGACTGGTGGGTGTTGAGAGTTTTATTTTCTTCTATTTTCAATCGAACGAATTCATGTGGTGTTTCTCGTTCTCGAGGACTTTGGCGAAAAATAACTAGATTTGGTTGCATGCTTTTATTTTCTTTTTTTGTCTTCTCTCTTTACACTAAAGAAAAACTTTCTCATTTTCCTCCTCTTGCCATTCTTCTTGCTTTGTTTGATCTTCCTTGATTCGTACCATTCACTGCTCTGTTTGGGATCGCGCTTTTCAGTTGTATGAATGCCATCCTGAACACGCCAGACTCTTTGCTGCGAGAAGCAGCATTGTGTGGTGCGAGATCTCTAGCAAAGAGTCCTTACGTCTCTGGGATATTTCTCCCATTACCTCTTCGACTCAGGAAACTCAACTCTTCAGACACCCACAAAAGTCTCTCTGCTCCAATCAAAGTGCTTCCTCATTCTTTTGCCCATAGATTGCAACATGACGCTTTCGATCTTGGGCGAAGGATGAGGACGGTGGAAGATGATCTTCTTTTTGGAAGGATGTTCGAAGGCGACAGCCGAGCCACCGACATTGCGGGCGTTGAAGCCGAGGTCGTTCATGGCATGGACGAAAACGTCCCAATCAGTGTCCTTGGCTAGGGTTTCTTCAGCCGAACTCGGGAACATCTTTCTGATAATCTCGAGGGCGCGAGAGGTCGCGGAGATCTGAGGTGGGCTGTGAGACTCCATGTCTTTGTTGATGTCAATCTTCAGAGAAACTGGTTCGCTTGGCGAAACGTCGACCGCTTGAGACGGGCGTGTCTTTGGCTTCGGTGCTCGTTCCTCGAGGACGAGTGTCGATACGTCTGGACAAGTGTCACACAACGTTTCCTGTGGGGTTACAGTACTTGTGGCTCTCTTACTTACAGCAGCTGCAGCAACAGCATCCATCACTGCAAGTCGCTCGGTCTTGACTATGTCTACATACTCAGTGCTGCTCGAGACAGATATGACTGAGAGGGCGTCCTCGAGCTCCTCCTGGTTCATGTCGGTGTAAGTCAACTCCTCACGCAGAGACTCGCAGGCTTGCTCCCAGAACTCGTTGAGGGCTCTGCGTTCAGCGGCTCTGCAATCAATCCATGCTTCATCCCTACGACCAACCGCAGGCGTTGACTGCTCGAACATCCTTATGCAGTCTGCGGGGAATGCATGTAACTTCGACTTGTATGCGACTGCATCACGTTCACGTACTAAGCCTCTGGTAGAAGGGGTCGGGTGCTCTTCTACCATTTTCCGGGTTTCTTTCACTCCCCGACGAGTAAATGCAGGGCGATGTGACCTGACAGCAGAGAGCATCTCATACTGTGCTGCAAAGTCTGACATCTTTGCATAGACTGTCTCATCCAATCGTGCGCGTTCCTCTGGGCTTGCATCGGCCAAATGAGCCTCAAGCCTAGCGAAGAGCTCAGAACGATCGAAATGAAACGGCGCATTTGGCTGGGCCTGAAGCTCTGTTAGGGTCCAGTAAAGCGGATCTTCGCGATAAAGCTGATATGAGGATAACTCGCAAAGGGATGTCATGCTGAACATCTGTTGTCTTGGACTGCTTGGAGGCTTGCTCACTACGGTGAATTTCCAGAGATGCTGGAACCCAGGGCATTGCGCAATGTATCCGTAGGGATGCCTGACTCTTCTGTCCAAAACAAGGGTGAGATTGGCTGCAAGCATAGAGAGGCCGAGCTCGAGACGGCGTGGAAGTGGTTGGCCTGGATGAATGCTGTCTCGGAAACGGTGGTAATAATCTTGAATAGTGGACCATTCCTCGTTCAGTTCACGCCAACGCAAGTAATCTTGTACTGCTTGGTGAATGTCCTTGGCGATGAGCACATATCTTCAGTCAGTTCTGTACATCTCACCGACTGCCAAAACCTTGACGAAGCGACGAAAGTATGAGGGATCTGTTTGCAGTAGCCAAAGATGATCTCGAGCTGCCTGCATTCGGGCCTTTGCGATATAGCAGTAGTAGTCAACGTCAAATTTCGGCGGGCTGGAGAATGGCTGGTTCGTATAGTCTGACCAAAGCTCGATTCTGTGCAGCTGCTTGAAGCCAGCTCGAACAACTTCTTGCCACTTATCGCAGGCGCCTGTACTGTCGCGATTGACTCCTTCAAGGATGAGATCCACGATTTTACGGAGTCGAGAGAACATCAGAGCTTGCGCTTCGATGGTCAACCGAGCTCGTGGATAACCGACAATGTCGCGGTACTCTGCAGCTTCTTTGTCCCATGGAACGAGCTTGCCGTAGTTGACGCCATGCATGACGACACAGTAGCTTCCACAGTACTCCAAGTCGAAGAAACCATCAGCCCAGCCCTGTCTAACTAAGTCGTTATCAAAAGGCACCCACTGTTCTAGCGAGTGGACGACACGATTGTGTAGCAGGCCTATGAGCACGGATGGGTTCTCCTTCAGTGTTGCGGTGTTCATGTAAGGCAGCAACCAGCTCCTTCTGAGTGGACGTACTTCTTGCCATGTGAGCGCTTCGCCTTCGGTCCGAAGTCTGAACCATGGCTCCTTCTCGATGGTTGAATCTACTCGAAGCAAAAGTGCTTCACGCTTGTCCCAGCTCTTCTTCTTCCATCTACTGAGGATTGTGTTTCCGAATTTGTCGCACAGATCGGCAAGATAGGCTCTGTCGTTTCTGATTTCCTTGATGAAGTTCGCAAGTGTAGTTCGCGCAACAGCGGGTTTGACGATGGTTTCGTATCGATATCTGTCGAAGCGCTGTGCAGTTTGCGCGAGGAACTGCTGCTCGCAGCAAATGCATTCGCAAGNGGGTGGGCATTTCTGTTTAGGTGCAAAACTCAACCCAACGACAGTCGACGGGTTTCTTTGCTGTTGGTGAGCCGCAGCAAACATGATTCGATTGTTCTGCCTCCTTGGTGTCGGTAGACCCGCTGAAGTAGAAGCTGACTCGCTTACCAGAACGTTTTTGCGGTGCTAGCGCTGACTGGTCTCAGCTGCAGGAGCGCTGGCAGAGACGGCTTGAATGGTTGATACAAAGGTGCTGGTCTGGTTTGGTTGCGCCAACGCGGCAGAATATCGTGAACGTGAACTGCTTTAACTTTCGGTCACCTCTACTCTCCTCTCACTGCCGCGCAAGGTGAGGAGTGAACTGTAGAAACACACTGCTGTCTGGATCTGAATTCGATCTGCAGGAGTGCGTTGAGCATGTCCTCTGTGAGATATCCTGCTGGTTCCAGGCGAGTTGCGGAAGTCGAGAGCCACAAGGATGGTGACTTTGAGCACGGCGTTGACATTGAGAGAAACACGTCCGGGGTGCGCATACACAAGGAGACGCGCTGTGGTCACGGATCGCTTCACTCGCTGAACAACACGAAAACAAGACGCGCGCACGGAATAGACAACGATAACAGGAAGTGAAGAAATAACAACACGATTGAATTGCCATATTGACAAGGATGTCGGTACTCGCGCTATCTGAATCCCATGTACGCTCGCCTGGTGATCGAACACTTGCCAAAGAGGTAGAGATCCTCTGAAGCAAATGCCCGCACACAACGGCATATCCTTGCCCAGCAGCGATGCCATGGGGCGTCCCCAATGACGACTGCTGGAGGATGAGTTAGTAGAGCGCACCGCACAAAGCGGATTGATGGCCTTGGAGCTTCTGGCACATCTGACATGAGGATGGTCTTCTTTAAGGGACTCCACTGGAAGAAAGACCATCATCAGCATGCTGACAAAGAAGTCCGCTCACACTACAGACGACTGGAGTGGCATGAGAGAGAAGAGCAGAAGTTGAAGAGGAGCTGTGTTTAAATAGGGAGGCTCTGCGGTCTGAGCTCCGGTCCCGCTGACTAAACATTATGTAAGCAGCGTGTTGACGGCAGCCTCCGCTTGCTTTGGCTCTCGCTCTGCGCTCGACAGGACTGCAAATTTATGAGAAGTGAATGTCGTATTCAAAAAGTGATATTTTGTAATACAAAAACATTTTATATATTTTCCCCAGATTTCGCTGTGTGACAGGCGCCACAGCCGTTGCAGATCATTGGCATGAACGCTTGAACCGTGCAAAGGGTTTGGAGTTTCTCCGGCGTCGCGAGCAGAACTTCGGTCGAGTGCTGCACACAGGTATATGTTCAACAAGACATATATGTTGCTCAAGTAGTCCTTTTGCGATATTGTTCTTTGTCATCTGCGTCAGTAGTATCTCATTGCAACCCGTGGTTCTTATGGTGTATGATCATTCTCCGCGTTTCTCGCATCATCTCATGCTGCAAAATTCGAGAGTCCGCGAAAGTCATCGAAAGTGGCTATCTCGCCGTATGGTACTTCTAACCTGTTGTAATCACAAGTACCGGACACTCACAGCACTCGAGAGGGCACAATAGAAGTATTTCCCATCAGCCTGACTTGAGATGTTTTGTAAGGTCGTTTCGAAGATGGCGACAGGGTTGTCAGACTAACAACTCAGATGACGCACGGACCGCGATGATGAATGTCGACTTTGGGCTGCCTGTATGCGACAGCAGCTCCAACACAACAAAACATGGCGAACATGTTTGGAGCCTTGAACAGATTCATCTCGCGCCTGGACGCCGACCCACAAGCTCAGAAGCAGAGCGGAGGAGGATCCGACACGTACGGATTTCAAGTGCTTCGCAACAACAACCCCGAGCTACCCCTGGAGCCATGGTTCGACTCGATCATTGGTATAAATGGCCGCACCATTGTACGCGCAACTCGCTTTCTCTACTACATGCTCAGTAGCTAAGACATGACANNGGACAACCCTGAGCCTAGCCTATTTGTCCAGGAGTTGCGCAACTGCGCCGGCACCAACATCAGCCTGGGAGTCTACAGTGCCAAAGGACAGCAGATCCGCGAAGTCTTCATCTCGATCCCACCAGACAACTCGCCTCTGGGTCTCGCCTTGCAGTGGTCACCGCTCACGACAACCGAAGCCGTCTGGCACATTCTTGATGTCATTCCCAACTCGCCTGCCGACGTTGCTGGCCTGTTGCCTTACAGCGACTATGTCATCGGCAGCCCGGAAGGCTTGATGAGAGGCGACAGTGGGCTTAGTGAGCTCATTGAAGACGTAAGAGCGACTGGACGTATGTTTGGAGAAAAGGACTGACGCAATACAACANNGTTCCTCAATCGCCCGCTCCGGCTGTACGTCTACAACAACGAGTACGATGTGACGCGCATGATCACCATCACACCCACGAGAGGCTGGGGCGGCGATGGTGCATTGGGCTGCGTTCTGGGCTTTGGAGCCCTTCACCGCGTGCCTGCNCCCTTGAACGAGCCGGCACAAGCCCCTGGAGAAACCCTGTTCGAAACAGCCCGCTTCAGTAACGAAGAACCTCGCTCAACTCCGACTCCGGCTGGCGACTTTCTCGTACCCGCCAACCTGAACCTCAGCGCCACAACTCCACCTGCAAGCATCAGTATGGGCGGGGAGAAGAGAGGTGCTAGGAAACAAAGGGTACACCATGCCATATCCCCTACTGCTGGGCTTGACGACTATTTCGCCGAGGGAGAGCAGAAGAGCCGTGAGTTGGACAACGCTCCCACACCAAAGCCAACTGCAGGTCTGCCACCACCACCAAAGGCAGGTGGCCCACCAAGAGCTACCAAATCGCCTGTCGTCGATGCAGCTTCTGAGGAGCTCGAAGCAGAAGTAGGGGACGCATGATATATACCTCTCGCAGGATAAGTAATCATCTGTCGCTACGCTTCTGTACTATATTGTACACAATGATTGACATGCACTTGTTCGAATAAGCTTCCAGTGTGATCTGCGATTAGGTGTCGCTGCCTTGACTTGGTAACCGTCAGGTTGTAATGTTCGCGTGCCAAGCCGACGACTCTCAGCTCAAGAAAAGTAGGAAGTAGCAACAGGGTGGGAAGCTCTTGCTCTTTCGGAAGCTTCGAGAGGTAAGTGTCTACACCCAACGCTGTTTGGCTTCCTCTCCTCACATACACACCACATCCATCACCAGCAATTTTATCATCCGTTGGCACTTCTTATCACCATGCGTTTCCCATTCATCCTTGCATGTCTACTGCCTCTCGCATGCATCTCTACAGCATCATTCGACGTCTGTGCCGCCGCTGTCGGGGATCAGGCTCCAGAAGTCATATTCCCCAAGAACTCGCATTTCGCCGTCCTGCTCAAGCCTCTTCGTGGTGTCATCGACGCCTTCTTCAGACGACTTCCGCTCAAGAAAAAGAAGGAGACTGAGCGCCAGCCTTGGTCCATCACCACCTATCCGACCTACGCTCACAAGACCGACGATGGCTGGAGAGCACACATCCATGGCAATCTACATCACCGACAGCCTTACGAGGACAACCAGCTGAACAAGCTCCTCAAGAGTTTCCTCATCCGCACTCGTCTTGAAGAAAAGAAATGGAAGATCTGGGAAAGCGGTTACCACACACTGAACGATACCGAGCTCGCACANGGAAGGCCCATCGCACACGAAGTCGCCTCAGTGCCCATCTGCCATGGTACAATTGGTGCCGTCGTCGATGCCTGCAATGAAGGCTCCATTCTTCCGGTCGCCACCAACCAGGAAGGCTCCTTCTATGGAACAACCACTATATCCGACTCATGTGCTCTCGCAAACAACAAGAGCAACATCGACATTCCCTCCCAGAAGTTCACTCTCGTCCCTTGCAACCTCCGTAGCGGCATTGACGAGAAAGTCAAGAACTCTGCGGAGGTCTTGTTCGTCCCTCCAACAGGTGTCACCATCATTGCCGACCTAGATGACGTACTGCGTGTCACCAACGTATGGAACGTGAAGCAGGCACTCTTGAATGTTTTCGTCCGTCCATTCACTGCATGGAGAAACATGCCTGACGTCTTGTATGATCTCAAGGCACGCATCGAGGCCGAAGGCCAGAATGTACACTTCCATTATCTGACAGACGCCCCCGAGGCTATCTCAGGCTCTTACATCGATCACATTTTCGATATGTATCCCAAAGGATCTTTCGACTTCCGTCCAATGAACTTCACTAAGACCAAAGAGATGATTCATGCCCGTAAATTCAACGTCAAGAGACTTATGGAGAGCTTTCCAAGCCGAAGATTCATATCAATTGGGGACACCACCAACGCCATGGGCAGGTTTCCAACAGACACGAACAATTTCTATCCTCGCATCCAATGCATCCTTGTCCGAGACGTCTCAGCTACAGAGAGGTCCAACTGGGTCACTCCTGATACTCGCCCCTTCCTCAATCTTGACGATACGGAATACCTCTTCTTCCGCGTCCCAGACGATCTCAAGCGCCTGTCAGGGAAGCACCTGGCATCACTCGCACCGCAGGTTGAGGGAGCACCAAAGACCTTCGGCTGCTTCAACTCCAATCATAAGCTGGTCCAGGCTATGGAGCCATGCTCTGCACGTTGGAACAAGGTCAAGAGTTTTGCCAGGGCAGCTTGGTGGAACATCAAGTGTGCCACGATCCTGCCGATGTGGAGACCCAATCCCAAGTGTCCCTTCGACCGCATCGCAGGGGAGAAGTATTATGACGGGTTGATCGAGCAAGAGGTGGAGTTGGAGCCCTACACTGACAATATGCCCTGGGAAGAGATGGCTGTGGATCACCCTGGTAGCCCAAATGAGCCAGCAGAATCAGACGACGACGAGGATCCAGATGGTGGTGATGACCCAGACGATGAGGAAGATCGAGACGGGAAAGATCCAGATGAGCAAGACCCAGATGAGGAGGAGGATCCGGAAGAAGAAGATGACGAGGACCACGAGAAGAAGGGTCATGACATGGGGCACCACGATGGACTTTGATAAGATTATCATGATTGTTACAGAACCCTAGGAATCAATCACTCCGCCACAGATTGACCTTGTTCCATCTCACAGAGTGACCTTTCTGATTGATGTTCTGTCTGACTCTCTGTTATCCAGCACGCAACATCCATAACCTGTGTGAGCCATTCCCAGCTTCCTAGTAAAGTGTGTCTACTCCGATGGCTGTAGTATGATAGGATCTTGCACATGTGGAGGGACAGAAAGAGGTCTATGAAAAGAGAGCAAGAAGGGATAACATGAATACATCTATAATAAACTCCGACCATGCTTGTAACACTGAATACATTATCCTCGATTTCCTCGAGCAATTACAGTATCTATAACTCATGCCTGCCATCATGAAACAACGCCATGAGAAACACCAATCACCTACAAACGCCCAACCACCTTCAACCCCAATCCATCCAACCTCAGCACATCATGCGAAGAACACAAACACCAGAGCGCCTAATACTGCATTCCTGCACCACCATAGCTCTCCTGACGATCATCCAGCGATCTATAACTGCCGCCTCGTCCTCTACCGCCTCTACCTCCTCTACCACCGAATTTTCCTCTGCCTCTACCGCCACGGCCGCCTCTGTTGTTTGCTGGCTTGGAGACACCGCCGCCTCTGCTGTTGTGGCCTGTGTAGTTGCCGCGGTTGTTGTGTTGGCCTGGTCCAGTGGGGATGGTAGGGCCGAATTGCATGGCTTCGGGGTTTAGTTGTGAGGGATGGTGGGGTTGTTGTTCGTTTTGTGTTTGTTGGGGGTTGCGGTCGGAGCCTAGGGCTGGGAAGTCTTCGTCACGGTAGCTGCGGTGTTGGGGGCGAGGTTTGGTGGCGTATGAGGGTTGGTCTTGGTCGGCGGTTTCTCTTTCAATGCGCAAAAGGACTTTTTCGCCGACTACGGTGTCAAACTCGAAGGATTGGTCGGGGGTGGTGGGTTGCCAGTTCGAGATGTACTTTGCATCAATGGGGCGGGCGTTGTTGCGAAGAGAGATGACGACCGTAGGAGTTGGATTCTCTGAATAGAAGCGGGCTCGAGGGTCAGCGGGCTCGACTCGGGCAGCCCATAGCTTGTTCTCAAAGTGTGAAAGGCCCGTCACTCTCCAGGTCATGCGGTGACCGAGACCTCCAACCTTATTGAGGATACTCTGGGGAGCAGGGCGAGGAGTGATGAGGATGTTATTCGCCAGGGTACGCCAGTCGCGATCTGATGTGTTCTTGGTCAGAACAGCAAAGCGTTCCGTGTCTTGTGGAGAGACGAGATAGCCAGTGTAGAAGACGTTGCGCTTGATGGCGAGGGGATGTAAGCCCGGCATATCACCGTCCAGTACAGCCTGGTTGTGTGTGTTGATCATGCGCTGGACCTCTCTGACTTCTACGAGGGGGTCGAGGGTAGTGGACTCTTCTGAGACTTGTACGACATCGGCCTGGATGGGAGAGCGGGAGGAGACGGAGCGGTTGAAGGTAGCAAAGAAGTCGCGGAATGCTTTGGTNNACTGTGAGCAGGTCAGCATGGCGTGCGACGACGAGAGTGTAAAAGCGCACTGTTTCGGGCGATCCTCGTAGATACGAATCTCCTCAGCGTCCGAGTAGGTGCAAACCAGGTCGCGCAGCAAGTCTTGCTTGAAGAGCATGGTCGACGAGAAGCGCTGGCCAGAAGGACCAACGGCAGGCTTCAGGCAGACCATGTCGAACTCGAGTTTCTTAGCCCTGAACATGCGGGTCACAAGGTCGGCAAAGCCTCTCTCGTTGCGGCCGGTCAAGAGGACTGTAAGGGCATCCTTCTGCTCCATGGATAGGCGCACAAGATCGACGATACCCTCGTTCCACCAGCCTGACCAGGCCGTCTTCTCCTCTTCCAGACCCTTGCCAGTCGAGGCTAGGATGTTCGCATCATGCCACCAGCCGCCTGTCGAGATCTGCTCAAGTGCTTGTAGAGTTCCTATACTCGGACTGGCCCAGACCTGCTTGTTGGGCAGGGGACTACAGAACAGCGTGTTGTCAAAGTCGTAGACGTGGATGGCCCTGATCTTGTCCATGTCCGGCAGCACGGTGGGGTCTTGACATGACCATCTCTTGAGTCCGGTAAGGGTATGTGTTGCGCTTCCGTCCATGGTGGGTGCGGTAGGCGAGCGGCGCGCGATTGAAGGGAGGTAGCGAGCGACAGGTGAAATGCGCATACAATTGTGGGATCCTGCCTGCCTTCTTCAACGTAATTGTCTATGACGAGAACAAAATGTTAGGGAAGCTGCGACTCGATTTCGTCCAAAGCCGAGCCGATCAAGAAGGGTCGGCCCGCACCCTGCATGACGTTGCTGCTTTCCTGCTCCAACGAACTTGTCGACTCCCGCTTCCTTCCTCTTCTGTTCTCTTTTGCCGTATGGAAGTGCAGGATGAGTACGACCCATCAATCGGCTTTCGCGTCAAGGGCAAGGCCAAACTGCGAGATGCTCTCCAAGATACCTGTGTCATCTGTCTCGACAACGTCACCGAACGCGCCGTCGCCGTACCTTGCAACCACCTGAACTTCGACTTCCTCTGTCTCTTGAGCTGGTCTCAAGAACACCCTTCCTGCCCACTATGCAAGGCCCCGCTGACTGCCATCGAGTACGACTGGCGTTCTCCAACAGATCGCAAGGTATACACCATCCCCAAGCAAGAGGACAAGTCCGAGACACCCGCCGTCGCATCCGCCACATCTCGCTTTCGTCCTCCTCGCCGACGACCTGCTACATCACATCGTCCGACACATACAAGCCCGGACGCCGCTCTCGCTTTCCGTCGCCGAATCTACGCAGACCAAAACTATAGTCTCCACGTAGGCACAAATCGCACCTCACAGTACCGCAACTTCACACCCGCCACATTCACCACTTCTCCTGCTCTGCAGTCTCGTGCCCGTCTCTTCATGCGCCGTGAGCTCCAAGTTTTTGATTTCCTGGCTGAGAACAATGCCAGACTCGGCTTCCTCATCGAGTACATTGTCGCTATCCTCAAGACGACCGAAATCAAAGATGCCTCTGGCTCTGCAAGTACTCTAGTGGCCGAGTTNTTGGGAGCGAGTGCTGCGTCGCTGTTCCTGCACGAGTTGGAGGCTTGGTTACGAAGTCCATACGAGAGACTGGAGGATTGGGATCGTCATGTTCAGTATGCGCCCAAGCGGCCTAGCTATGGCAACGGACGACCATGAAGCACGATCAGCCTTTGTGCCTTTTAATATGTCTCTATAACTATCAATTTTGTACTTGAGAACAACTCACAGGCACTGCATAGATACGAAGGCACAACACAGCAAGCACAGGAAAGAAGTTTTGATTGATACTTCTACAAAAGAAACAAGGTCGTCCACTCAAGGACTCTGCGTCAACTCGAGCTATCTGGTCTACTCAAACGTCAGCACGAGAGCACTATACTTCGTTGCCTGGGCACTGACCTTAGTGCTTGTGCACGTATGGCGCAGGGGCACCGACAATTGGCGCACGAAGAGGGCCACCACCGCTCGTCTCTTCGTGACAGAAGTCCGTAGGACCCCCTATCATTGCGTATCAGCAAAGTAGCTCATCCAAATCAGACTGCGAATGGAGGAGACTTACGATCACGAGAGGGCGAGGGGTGCCTCGTCTTCGTCGTCGCTAGTGCGACAGGAGAGCAGCGAGAAGAGCTTCTCGAGAAAGATCTTGATGGATGGCATGGTGGTTTGTGGTCTCTTCTGGATGTTTGTGGAAGGTGTGCTAGGCTAGGTAAGGCTTTGTTGTTGCGTCTGCATCACTGTGGTGCACTGAGCGCGCCTGGCCGTTTGTGTCGTCGTCCCTGCAAAGCTATACTTCGTTCGGCGTGGAACCGTGATATACGGCATATCACGACGAGGAACCACTTATACATGGCCAAAGTCGCACCAAACACTTACTGATGCTACCGATCATCATAAGGGGTACTGCTAAAATGCAAGACAGGGCAGTGGGCAATGGACGACTTGGAGGAGTCCCAGTGCACAACTATGTTTGTAGTCTTGGTCTATAACATTGCAATATGTCATATAAAATCAATGTCATGCCAGAGAGACTGCGGAGTTGAACTCCGATAGGATCTGATAACCTTCTTCTCAAGCCCCAAACACGTTTTTGTCCCAGCTCCCGCGAAACCCTTTCAACCACAAATCTCAGAATGATTTTTTTCTTGTCAAGTCTTCATTGTGACATTAAGCCGAAAGCAAAGCCGCTGTCTTTACACGATTATCTACAAGATCACCCACGGGCCGAACTGAGATTTCGCGACAAAGCATTGAGATGTCGTCATCCGGAGATCGACCAATATAGTCAAAAATACGGCAGGCAATTGGTGTACCAGGCAGACTCTGCCAGAGGTGGGATAGGGTGGTTGTTGAGAAGGTCAAGTGGTGATTTCCTTATCGTCTACACGTTCTTTTGTTTTTCTCCTGCTTCCCATCTATACCCTCGTCACTGAGTGACTTCGAATCACTGGACTTGGATATTTGCCGGCCACGAGTACTTTATACCTTTTAATTCCTTGGACGGCCTTCTGGAATACTTAAGGATCTAGCAAAATAACATACTAGAAGATGATACTGGATACCAAAACAGCCTCCCCAGCTGAACAGTCACCACCAGACCTGCCTCACGACACAGAAGCAGATGCCGGCCTCTTCGACCCGGAGACAGGCGTCAAACGCGGCCTCAAAACCCGGCACCTCACAATGATGTCGCTAGCGGGTATCATCGGACCCGGACTCCTAGTTGGCGCCGGAGGAGCCCTCAGCAACGGCGGCCCTGCCTCTCTACTCATCGGATTCGGCATCATTGGTATAATTGCATTCAGCATCATGCAATCCCTGGGAGAACTCACAACTCTATACCCTTCTGGAGGCGCTTTCACACACCTAGGCGAAAGGTTTGTAGATAAAGCTTTTGGTGTTGCTGTAGGTTGGAATTACTTTATCATCTGGGTTGCCGTGTTGGCGAATGAGTATAATACCGTTTGCAGCATTTTTACGTTTTGGGGCCCCCAAGTACCGCTTTGGGGTTACTTTTTAATCTTCTGGTTTTTCTTTTTGGGCTTCCAACTTCTGGGGGTTNNGGAAGTCTTTGGAGAGGCGGAGTTTTGGCTGGCAGTGTTGAAGTTGGCTGGACTGGCTGCATTTTTCATCTTTGCGATTGTGTATGCTGCTGGTGGATTGGTGGGTCAGGAGGAGCCACTAGGCTTTCGCTACTATCACAACCCTGGGGCCTTTGTGGATGGGTTTAGGGGTGTGGCCACGGTGTTCGTGTTTTGCAGCACCTTTTATGCTGGCATCGAGTCTGTTGCTGTTGCGGCCACGGAAACCAGGAATCCGGGTGCTGCTGTTCCTCTGGCCATTCGACAGGTTTTCATCCGCATCCTTTTCGTCTACATGGGTTCTGCATTNTTNTTTGGACTGGTGTGTCCAGCAAACGCAGATGGACTTGCCAACGGCAGCAGCAGAGCACTGAAATCGCCCATGACGGTTGCTATCCAAAATGCAGGTTGGAATGGCGGTGTCCATCTCATCAACGCATTTATCTTTGTCACTTGTCTGTCGGCTACAAATGCTTCCATCTACATTGGTTCCAGAACTATCTTGTTTATGGCCAAAGATGGCAAAGCACCGCGCTTCCTGGGCTGGACAGATTCTCGCGGCGTCCCCATCGCTGCTATCGTTTTTACAAACCTCTTTGGAGCAATCTCCATGATGAATGTCAGCACTGGCGCCGGAAAAGCTTACAACTATATCGTCAATCTCTCTGGTGTTTCCACTTTTCTGGTCTGGGGCAGTATATCCTTCATCCACATCCGCTTCCGCCGCGCCTGGTCCGCCCAAGGCCGCTCTCCCAACGACCTCCCCTTCCGATCTCTGTTTTACCCATGGAATGCCTATTTCGGCCTCTTTGCCAACATTTTCCTTGCGTTAGTGCAAGGGTGGGGTAATTTTGTGCCGTTTGACGCAGCAGGGTTTGTGGATGCGTATATTTTGATCCCGCTGTTTCCGATTATCTATGTGGTGTATAAATACTGGAACAAGACGAGGTTCCATAGATTGCAAGAGATTGATTTGGATGTTGGGAGGAGNGGGGATGTGGATGCTGCAAAGCAGGCGACTAGACTTGTTCCTGATGAAGCGTTGACGCCGAAAGTCAAGGGAGGAAAGTTGGGGACAATGTGGAAGAGTGTTTGATATTGACGTTATTACTGATAGAGGCATTGATCGGTAGAGATATTGGTATCAACTTAATATGAGATCGTAATGATAGAAGCGACATCATGAATAGAGGCCAGGTCTCGTTCTCCTTTGTATATAGAATAGACAGGAAGACAAGAGCAAGCAACACGAGGTGCTCATACGTAGCTTTTAATTGTGTTGATTGCTTGCTCTCTCCGTGATAGATATTTCCTCGCTATTCACCTCAACTGGCGATGCTGGCACCACAGTTTGAGAGCGCTTTCTAATTGATAGACGGATTGAGTTCCCTCCTCTCTACCCAAACAACATTGATATTGCCCTCTTCATCGCATCCACCAAATCGCAGACCTCCATCATGGCGCAAGCGGACGCTTCCCTGCGTGTCTTCCAAGCCGTCGTAAGAGACATTCTCGTCTGAGCCGCTGTCTGATTCTTCGTCTGATCCTGCGTCGTACTCGACCTCCGTATCGCAATAGTTGCCACCCTGCAGGTCCTCGTGCTCTGGCTCAGGTTGCTCCGGAATGGTCAATTTACCCCATGGTGATGTCTTGTTAGAATAGGCGTGTGCTGCGGCGTTTGCGGTCGAGCAGCCAGTGTAGATACCATATAAGTCCTGTTCGTGAGTGCCGTAGGGATCGGCTTCAAGACTCTGTACGACGTAGACGTGTGTTGGGGCTTGCGAAGGCCGGGAAGAGTTCGCCTGAGGCTGACTGCTGCGACTGAAGAAAGATGGATGGGTTGCCGGGGTAGATTAGGGGTCAGCAGCGTCAGAAGCAGAGGCTCTGCGCGACAAGGCTTCGCGGGCTCTTGAATCAAATGGCTCGGCGAATTGTACGTATGGTTGGAAACCGTAGACCGCACGCTGGTGGGCAGGAGCGAGTGCTGCAGGCTCGAGATGTATATACTGTCCATATGACCTCTGAGGCGGAGGAGACTGCACTAGTGGGGTTGGTGTAGTAGAAGTGGTGGGTTTGAACCACGAGGAGATTTCTGGGATTATGATGTCCCAAATGGCCAGAAGATGTTCTTCGAAAATCTCAAAGCGCACTTGCTTCTGTGGGTAGTAGAACTGGTAAACGCGACGGCCGTTGCTACATGTCGACAAGTTGAACCGCGAAGGGTGTTCCAGGGCGAAGATTACCACGTCTATCCAGGTTACCCGAGGAAGGTCTGACTGCGGGTGTGAAGCGATGATTCGCGGAGGGCAATCGAAGCAGCCCTCGATTAGAGATGAAGGGCACGACAATAGGGCGCGCTTCAAGACCTCGCTGCTTGGTTCGTAGCTCGATACCTCTGGCGGACCGACAGGGAAATCCCGGACAGAAGCGGGAGGTTTGGAAGCCATTAGGTCAGGCCTGCTGAGAGGGTCTGATGTTGCTGGTTGATACGACATGGAAGTGAAGAAAAAAAGTATGATGGGCTGGGGCTGTGGTGCCTTATGGTACAATTCTTGCTCAAAAGTACTCGGGTGTGCTGAACAAGGTTCAAGCGCGTCTCTAGCTCGAAGAGTAGCTCCAGAGCTCGTCAAATCACAAACAGGAATAACAAAGTGGATCTGAGAAGATCAGAATATAGGCATGACATCGTGAATATAGATCTATATGCTATTAGTACAGAGTGGAGCGTCAAGCTCCATTTTGGATGTGCCAAAGGTTCTCTAGTAGTTGCAATGATGTACAGTGTTTTACAAATGCGACGGACACCCTAGGACAGACGGATCATGCCCTTGAATCGGCTGGCGACTCTCTGGAAGAAAGTGCGATCAGGAACTTCGTCGAGCTCCTTGACGAGGGTTGTGTAGTGGCCAGGTGCTGAGGCAGGATGCATCATGGCATTGGACAGAGGGTANNCTGTATATGTGTTAGGTAACAGTCTTGAGATGTGATTGAAGAATGTTCTCCATACAGCAGTCGAGTATCTGTTCTCGAGCAGCGAGTACAGGGCATTGATCTCGCGGGCCTCATTCCTCGGCTTGGGAGGTTGTGCGCGAGCAGTGTTGGCCTCATTGAACTGTGCGACGGGGCCGGCTTCAAGGCGCTTCTTCAGGACTGATTGGAATGAGATCTCGGGGCGCAGGCGGTCGACAGGCCATTGTGAAAGGATGCGGGCGTAGTGCTTTGAAGCTTGCTGTGATCTGCTGGTCAGTCGCCTTTGTCTCGTGGCAGCACAAAGAATGACGACTCACAGCGCGTGACATTGTGAAAGACGTGGTAGCAGTTGTGCGATTGTCGTGGTTGAGGCAAGAGCTACAAGAATTGGTGATGGAAGCAAAAGGCAGTGACGATTAACAAATTGATCGTCGACATCATCAAAAAGAACCCCAGATTCTGCAGAGGCTGGAGCCGTGGCTGAGCCCTTGCGACACGCTCTCGGAACACGGAAGACAACGGATACGATCTTACGAGCGTCTCTGAGAGGCTGAAACTAGGCACTTACACTGATCGCATCAGCAAGCGACCACTCGCCCGTCCATTCTCTTCTACCATCATCCGTTCCTTTTCCATATATCAAATCATCTGCCCGACCCCGACTCCGTCCACTCCTGAGATTTTGCGCCCGATCGACCGTTCCTTTTTCCTTTAATCACCACCTCGAGACCCTCGACTCTGTTTACTTTCGCCTCCTTTGACCGACCCAAGCGACCCTCTTTCTCCGCGCCCGTCGGCCCACCTCGCCTTATCTCAAGCGCCCGACGACACCGCCCCTAATCACAATGTTCTCCTCCAACTACGAACGTGTGAGTCTTGTCATTATGCTGGTTTCTTCTTGTCGCGAATACTGACTCAACCCAGGTGCAAACACATGACGACGACGACCACGTAGCCGGCCAAAACTCACAACCTATTCCAAACTCGCCCCCACCATCTTTCCGTTCGCGCAACTCTTCTCGCCGGAACTCTGCTCAACACGACCACCACCACGACGAGGATGCCGACCGGGATATTGACGACGCCTTTGCCGCTCCATCGGATGACGAATCAGACCATGATGGCCCCGACGCCGACCGTAGGCGACTTGTCCAGTCCAGCGACCGCGACTCTCCAGAAGTACCGGCACCTGAAGTCCAGCCTCCTCGATTGAACCGCCGGGTTACTGAGATTAATATGTTCTTGACTGGCGTCGGTCGCCCGAGCAATAGCAGAGCTGTTGGTGGTGGAAGCAGCGCCAATGATGGTGTCTTTGCCAACATTTCCGCGAAGCCCACTCGTGGTGAAGAGCTCGAGGAGAAGCCTCCGGTACGTCGTCCTGCATTCCCGTCACCTCTCTTACGTCGTACTGACCTTATCGTANNGACATATGAGCAAGCAGCCGCTGATTCAGCGCCGCCATACTGGGAAACCTCTATTCTGGCTCCTGGCGCCTTCAACAGTGACGACATCTTCGTCGACGGTCTTGTCGTCGGCAGTCTATTCTCCTTTGTCTGGAACGCTCTCATCTCCATGTCCTTCCAACTTATCGGTTTCCTCCTCACATATCTCCTTCACACCACACATGCTGCAAAGCACGGCTCTCGCGCTGGTCTAGGTATCACCTTGATTCAATACGGCTTCACCTTCCGATCAGTACCCTCAGACCCTGTCACTGGCGTACCGGCAAACGACCCATCTGGCACAATCCCTTCAGACCCCAACGCCTACGAATTCAACCCTTCAAAGGTTGCTGGAGGTGTGACCGGAGTTGAAGAGGCAGATGGCCTCCGCGCTCAAGACTGGATCTCATATAGTCTTATGATTGTCGGCTGGTTCATTCTGATCAGATCTGTCAGCCAGTTCATCCGTGCCAGGCGGCAAGAGATGATTATCCGTGGCACCAACGACAGAGGACTCGGCACGGCTGTTGTTGCAAGCAACGAGACGCCCGAGCAAGCCGTCTAAACACGGATATATGGATGCGGGATACCAGGGGTTGGGACAGGACGTAATGGTGTACAGGCGGAGTTTATATCCTATGTGGTGATGGCCATATCACCCATTTTTGGTTTCAGATTGCATTATCAGCGTGTTGGGTGATCTCTCTTTTGATGAGATCAAGGTTCAAGGGGTTTCTTATAGCTGCGTCTCTAAAAGCAACGAATTCAGCTGCTTTTCCATCCTTTTCAACTTGAATGACTTCTTGCGTAACGTGACTTTCATAATTGTATTCTTTTGCTTAATTGAGCCTGGCAGCTGATATCGTACATGCATGAGTCCCCTTTGATCTCATCTTCTCGAGATCATTCTCTGAACGTTTCTCCAGACACCCATTGGCGACTTTCTCAAGAAAGCCAGATAGTATGCAGTACCAAAAACAAGACCGCCCAAATGTCCAGCATGCGCGATGCCTGACGTCGGCGAGTCCAAGAAGTACGAGTCCACCACACCATAACCTGCCACAAACATCCACAGGGGNNGGAAAGTAACGGGGATCAACATCAACTGCATGGGAGCATTGGGGACCAAGCAAGCCGTCAACGCACCCATACCCATCACAGCCCCTGAAGCGCCCAAGGCAGCGGAGTTGTAGTTGCGAGACCTGGACTGCCAGTCACCGCGACCAGCTTCTGCGATTTTGGTCTTGCGATGGTAGAGGAAGCCCAATCCACCCGTTACCGCTGAACCGCCAGCCACAGCAGCAAGATGCAATCCACTCATTCCAGGGATAAACGCACAAAGCGAGCAGAAGTTATACAACGACAGCATGTTGAAAGCAAAATGAATAGGATCGACATGAGCGAATGCAGAAGTGATGATTGTCCACCAACGCCCTTGATCCACGCTTGCGGGAGAGAGCAAAGTGTTTGACAGAAGCAGTTTTTCGAGTTTCCAGTCTTTGGTGTATTTTGCGTAGTTGAGGGCGCCAAAGACGAGGGCGTTTACGCCGAAGAGGACGTAGAAGGTGGAAATTACGCCATTAGAGCGGGAGTAGTAGTTTCCTGAGTGGTAGAAGCGTTGAGCGTACTGGAGGCGTAGGCGAGTGAGTGGGTCGAGGTCTTTGTTCATGGTGCGTGTTGTTGATGGGTTGAAGAAGGGGTGGCGTGGTTGGAGTAGAGATGAAGCCTTGCGGGTTTGAAGAGTTGGTATAGTCTTTGCCAAACCCAGTCTCTGGCGTAACATTTGGGAAATCATCTTGAAGGGGAAGTTGATGAACAGATGGAATCGAGTCGATATATAACTTATTGGGTCATCGGAAGATGTTCGCCTGCAAGGGTGCGGCACGAACAGCTATGACGGGCGCTTAGCAGGAAGGAGCTCTCTTGATACTTGTCTGAGCTTTTGGATTCTACCAACTGCACTGAATGTCAGTGACAAAGCCTCTGAACAGAATGTTCGAACAGTATGAGAAAAGGAAGGATGGTGCAATTGATATATCACTGTTAAGCTCTCGTGATTGGCCCGACGTGTGCCAAGGCGCGATTCCATAGCTCGATGTTCCACATGGCAAGAGCGGCGCACGACGACTTTCTACCATCTTAACTTGATCCTCCTCGCCGCCTTTTGTGCACCCCGCTTGATCTACCGCCAACTCGCTTCTCCCTCGATCCTCCTCTAGACTTGCAAACAATCCTGCCGCTCTAAATCGCTCCCCAATTGACGCGAAGAACTGCGTGACACAACCACGACGAACTCTCCCCTTGTCCGACACAAGCGACAGCTCACCCACGCAAACCAACAACAATACCACACTCTCGTCTGACTTGCGCCTACCTCCCTCGGTCCATATCTTAACTGCGCGCATTCACTTCGACCCTCACGCCATCTCATTCGACACCTTTTCTAGAATTGCGTGTTCTTCGAGCTCACCTCTCTTTCTTCTCCACCACCACCATTACTCACTCACGATAACATACAATGGCGGATCAACTCGCAAATCAGCTCGAGNNGGCACCTCGCTCAAGTATGCCAACATCGGTCTATAGCTTCTCGGGAACCATACACTGACAATGCTCCCTCAGCGAATCATCCCAGGCAGACGGCAACTGGAGGTCAGGACTCAAGGTACCTGCCAAGGATGGCAGAGTCCAAACAGAAGATGTTACCGCGACCAAGGGTCTTGAATTTGAAGATTTTTACCTCAAGCGCGAATTGCTCATGGGCATTTTCGAGTCTGGCTTTGAAAAGCCTTCGCCCATCCAAGAAGAAGCTATCCCCGTTGCCCTTACCGGCAGAGACGTACTCGCCCGCGCAAAGAACGGTACTGGAAAGACCGCCGCTTTCATCATTCCTACCCTCGAACGTGTCAACCCCAAGAACAGCAAGATCCAGGCCTTGATCCTGGTACCTACGCGAGAACTAGCTCTCCAGACTTCGCAGGTGTGCAAGACGCTTGGAAAACATCTTGGCGTCAATGTCATGGTCACTACCGGAGGTACTGGCCTCAAGGATGACATTATCCGCTTAAACGAGGCTGTACATGTCCTCATTGGTACACCTGGCAGAATATTGGATCTTGCCAGCCGTGGTGTCGCCGACCTGTCGACCGCCCAGACATTTGTCATGGACGAGGCCGACAAGCTCCTTTCTCCCGAGTTCACCACGACTATCGATCAGTTGCTCTCGTTCCACCCTCCGGACCGCCAGGTTATGCTCTTCTCGGCCACTTTCCCCGTCATTGTTAAAGAATTCAAGGACAAGCACATGAAGGATCCCCACGAAATCAACCTCATGGATGAGTTGACACTACGTGGTATCACTCAGTACTACGCTTTCGTTGAGGAGAAGCAAAAGGTGCACTGTCTCAACACCCTCTTCTCGCGTCTGCAGATCAACCAGTCCATCATCTTCTGTAACTCAACCACTCGTGTTGAGCTTTTGGCAAAGAAGGTTACTGAGCTCGGCTACTCATGCTTCTACTCTCACGCACGCATGCTGCAACACAACCGTAACCGCGTCTTCCACGACTTCCGTGCTGGCCACTGCCGTAACCTTGTCTGCTCCGATCTTCTCACCCGTGGTATCGATATTCAGGCTGTGAACGTTGTCATCAACTTCGATTTCCCCAAGAACGCCGAGACTTACCTTCACCGTATCGGTCGTTCTGGTCGTTTCGGTCACCTTGGTCTCGCTATTAACTTGATCAACTGGGAGGACCGCTTCAACCTCTACAGAATTGAGCAGGAGTTGGGCACTGAGATCAAGCCCATTCCTCAGCACATCGACAAGGGTCTGTACGTCTACGACACTCCCGAGAACATTCCTCGTCCTATCACCAGCGCCCCTCAATTGCAGCAACAGCCCCAAGAGCGCCGTCAACACCACCAGCAAGGCTACCGTGGTGGCCGTGGTGGCAACTACCAGGGTCAGCAAGGTCAGAGAAGAGGACCTCCTCGCAACCAGTACCCCTCTCAGGGCGGTCAGGGCGGTTTCCAGCAACAACAAGCTCAATACAACCAGCAAGCTTTCGGCGCACCACCGCTGCAGCAGCAGCAACAGCAAGCCCCTTCTTACCCTCAGGGTGGCTTTGCTCAGCCCAACGCTTTCCCTACACCTCAAAGTTTCCCTCAGCCCCAAGGACAGCAGCCTAGTAGGTAATCGGGCCATATTTTCTTTTCAATTGGGCTATCTGGAGTTTTCCTGGCGTTTTCACGGAGTTCGACCCAGGCGGGTCTATTTGCATTCTCACGATGGGTATGAGGAGAAAGGGAAAAGCAAGACATGGATTTGTTTTCGCCACGCTACCACGAAGTTATTCCATCCTCCTTCCGGTCCAGCACAATGTCGACACCTCTATATTCAACATCACAACCCACACGCGCGCTCTTCCAGAAAGCAGACCAGAACGACCTACATCATTTCGACCGTCTTCGTGCGCCATCTCGACATGACGAATGCTTTTCCATTTCTCGACCCTTTTTCATGCACATGTACCATTACGTTTTTTGCCCCCTTTTCTCCTCTATCCCACAAGGTGACTTGTTGGTCCCAATCCGGCTGGGCCTAGGTCAACTGACCGCCTTGTTACTACTTTGCTTCTTTATCCCGACCCCCACAACTGTTTATTCGACATTACATTGCACTTCTCGCATATACCCTTCATCGACACTTTCAGGTCAAGGTCGGCATACATTTTTCGAATCCGATCTTGGCTTGATTGCCGAGAGCAATACAACACTACTTTGCTGTGCAGCTGTTTGCGGTAGCTGCCGCGACGATTTTGCAGCACACGAGACATGTCAGACAACAGGAATCCGCAATTCACGATGTCTTCAAACACACCACATATCAACCGTTGATCGTCCGCTTTATTCGCCTCGTCCAGCTAGGCTTTTAAGGTGTGAACCAGATCAGTACCAGGATTTCCTCAACACTAAAAATACTCTTTTGCGACTCTCTGCGTTGAACAGACTTCATCTATCACTGGTGTCTGGTTGAATGGGAAAATAAGAGATCAAGATGGAGTTGAGGAATGAGCCTGGTTGGAAAGAAATTCGAGTTGAGAAAGAATTTTTGAAAGAGAATGGAAATGGTATCTCAGTAGTTGAGCTAGATCTGTTAGCTTACTGCTGCCACTGGCAAATGACAATCGTTCTCTTTCAATCTTTTGCGAATGAACTGATGAGGCGATTGTATCTCATGTTTGACTGCTATTATTTCGTCTTGCTTTATCTATACTCCGTACCCGTTGGCTGATTTGCAATCATGATTTGAGTTCATCTATGCAGTTGGAACACCTCGATTCCGCTTTGGTTGCTATCTCATGATCGGCACTATGAGACAACTCATACCCAGTTAGCCCAACGTGCCTTCCTTGTGTATGCTTGACAGATATCTGCCTTTATAGACTTCCAGTTTCTCACACCTTTCGTCCTGCCGATTCTTATCTCCGAGCAACGTGTGGAGCCCCCGGATGGTTCATCAAACTCAAACTCAATTGCCCCCACGTCATCTCCATCCACAACGGTTGTTCAAGCCCATCCCTCAACCTCCTCCTTGCCAATTCATCCTCTTTTGTTTCTTCATCCCTTACTTATTATATCTCCAATTATGCCAGGAGCAACCGCTTTTCTCTCGGTGGCTGCTCTAGCAGCTCTCTCAGCCTACATTTTCCCTCCCATCGCCCACGAATTGAAGGTCGTGGGGCTCGGAAGATCTGTTCCCGTGTCTGCGATCCAAAATGTTGGGGACTTTGTCAGGATAGACGATACCACGCATTGTGAAGACTTGCATTATCATGCGCCTGCAAACTTGCTGTTTACGGCTTGTGAGGATAGACATACGCGGTTTGGGTGGTTTCCGCCCTTGGGGAGCTTTGAGCCGCCGGAGGATGGGACGCAGGGGAGTATTCATGTTGTTGATCCTGTGGTGTGTATTTCCCTGCTTCTGTTGGCTAAAGCAAAACTGATGAATTCGCAAATANNGACTATGAAAAGCATACGTCTATCTTTCGTAAACTTCGACAAGACCTTTGTTACGCATGGCATCGATGTCATTGCCGACCCTCTAGACAAAAAAGCAGTCTACATCTTTGCAGTCAACCATTTCCCCAACCCAGAGTTTGTTGCTTCGCGCCGCGAACACATTACCAAGGCACACTCTCGTATCGAGCTCTTCAGACATGTGATTGGGAGCAGCACACTCAAGCACATTCGCACTATCTCGCATAAGCTGATCGAGACACCCAATGACATTTACGCCGTCAGCCCGAACGAGTTTTACGTTACCAACGATCATAGGCATAGAGAAGGCTTGATGAGAGAACTGGAAGTGGTGGCTCCCTTCGGGTGGTCAAGTACCGTACACGTCTCCATCACCGACCCCTCCGCCTCTTCCTCCACCGCAGGCCTAAAAGTCACCACAGCACTCACCGGGCTAAAAAGCAACAATGGAATGGGCCATGTCCACGACTTCAACGAAATCACCATCATCAGTGCAGAAAGAGGAATCCTCTATCGCTGCTTTGCAGACCCCCAAAACAAAACTCTGAGTATTGAGGAAACGGTGCGTTTGAATAGTACTTTGGATAACCCTTCTTGGTATCATGATGCTTGGGCTTCTGCTGCTGATGATAAGAGTGGTTATGTGCTTGCTGGTCTGGCGCGAGGGATTGATCTAGCGGGTCATGCTAGGGATCCTGCGGCAAAGGATCCGCCGTATGTGTGGTTGGTCCAGCGTCAAGCCTCCACCGATGTTCAAATCTCGAAGGACGGCAAGGTGGAAGGTGGCTGGAACAAAAGATTGGTCTTTGCAGATGATGGAGCAACAGTCAGAACAGCAAGCGCAGGCGTAATCGTAGGAATCGACCCGAAGAAAGAAGGAGGAAAGAAAAAGGGTTGGTTGTTTGTCACTGGCTTCATGTCTGAAAACATGGTTGCTACGAAGATTGACCTTTGAGCAAAGAGGCAGATCATATATCATACATTTGTGTATTATGCATGAAATTTTGTCGCAATCTCATTAACAACACCTCTCCCACGATACACCAGCAAAAGGCACAAATGTCAACGATTCAGGCGTGCGGCCATAGAGATACCTCAATATAAAATCTCTCCATGGACATCACTGCCTTTCTTGAACATCATTGTGCATTTTTACGGATACCCACAATATTCCTTGACACACGGAGAGAAGTCAAAGGTATCCAATCAAGAAACGGCAAAAAGATGGCGTGATGGCGAGTTGAACCGCGGCTCGGCTAGCCTTGGGAACTGCACAAGCACAGCGATTGGGCCGTGGTACCGGATGTAGGGTAATTCCGTGAACGAACACGTAGAAGAGGGTGGTTATCATAGACCAAGAAAGTCGTTGTACCTTCCATAACATCAAACAGCGATTTTGAGACTATAAAAAGGCACAAAGGCCTTAAGACTGTGTACGTGACCAGAGAGAGTCTGTCTTATAATATCAGATTGATGAGGAGATTGGAGAAACTACATATCCGAAAGCCGCTGATCGAATGCATCAAGCAACCCTTGGTACTCAGGCAAAGCCATCGTTCTCGCCATATCCTCGGCATCTATATCGCACCGTGGAATCACAAACCCCTCGGCTCAGATGTATATGTCATCCTACACCATTTAACCTCTGCTTCTTTCGGCGACACAACACTAATCTTCCTCTTCTCCTCATCAACCTCAATAACCCTCCCAGTAATCCCTGTTAACCACTCTTTCTCATTTTCAATCTTGAACCCAGAAGTCCCGGCGATACACTCCATAGCCAATTTCCTTGTCTGCCTCAACTCTAGTAAGTCTCTTCTTTGGACTAGGTGGTCCATAAACACTTCCATTCCTTGTTTTGCGTTGTTGTGTAGAATGCCTCCGTAGATGCTTATCTCATAACACAAGATTGAAAGTTGCAGATGCTGCCATAGAAACTGTTGATACGGTTGTCCAGAAATCCAGAGTCCATTGTCGTGGGCTCTTATATGTACTGTATCTTTGGGCGGCGAGAATACAATGTTGATGGTAGACAGTTTTTGGGCAACTAGATGTAGAGTAGCAACCGACGGCCAAGATTGGCGTAGCATGGCGCGGTGGTCGAACCAGTGTTTTCGGTGCGAAAGGTCGTGGTAAGGGTCTAGACCTATCTCCAAGACTTTCAAAGAAGGCAGTTTCTCAGTTGCGGTGCTGACAAGGGTTTCCATATTGCGGAACCAGAGTTCGCCTTGGATTTGGAGGATCGTGATGTATTGAGTTGCATGTACAGGCAATGATGAGAACACTTGGGCGACAAAATCTGGGTTTTGCTTTTGACCACCGCAGTCGTACATGGGTCGCCAGAAACCTAGTGAAGTTCTCGCGTAGAGTATTGGGAGAGCTTCTGAGTAGATGGTTCGACAGGTCGAGAGGATGGCAAAGGGATGGTCACCGGTCCCGAATGCGACGCCAGGGTTCCCATATTTGTCGTCGAAAGAGGTGCCTCCTTGACAGCCTCCTACATCTAGTGATGGCCAGTGTTGTCTTTGCCGTTTGATGCGAGTATCGTAGGTGAATGCGCCGGAGTTGTGAGGGATGTAGCTGTAAATCATCTCACGCAGCTCGCGCGGAAGGTTCAAGAATGAGACAGTGTGCCGCCATTCACATGGAGCCTCCGTCTGTGTTGATTCCTCAACACTGTTCGGTTTCCCAGAATTGTCCATGACACGTTGACAAGAGTCAGGCATCTAATTCATGATAGATGCCCCTTAAAAGGGCGTGGTTCTTATCAGATGCGAAAGATAGGCGAATGATCGCTGGGGTGCCTGACCCCGCTTATACCTTCATCCTTTGAACATAGCGTCAAATACATAAAGCACATACTGGGATACAGATGATACGTAGAAAGAGATGGTAAGTATACATAGTCTATAACGATAGCAAGTTGGAGCAAACTCAAGATGAAGCAGCTGTCGGATCTCTGAATGAGACATGTTGTGGATTTTGCTACGACAACCCTCTCGAGCTAGGCTGTATACCGCCGAGCAAATTATCTAATCATATGAGCTTTCTGCACTCGCCTTGTAGTCATCCATCATGACTGACTAAGATGGATTGTTGTTACGAAAATTGTATGTTCCATTCGTTTCTGTGCTGTGATTGACACGATATGCCAGAACCATACTCAGTCTGCCGACGAGTCGAAGTCCTGTGGAAGAAAGTCCCGAAGAAGAGGTAGCCGAGCATCAGGACTAGCAACCTTGATTGCCGCGCGCTCTGCGAGCCACGTTTCGAGAGCTCCATTGAATTCTACTCGTTGCCTCTCAAATCGGTACGAGGGACCGCCATACCGATCAACCCATGCAACTGTCACAGGCTTATTCCCTAGCGTGTCCAAGATAGTGATGAGGCGTTTGACGGCTTTACGATTCAATTGAGATGAGATCCACTGTTCGTAAAGTTCGAAGTGTCCGATCTTGACATCTGAGCGATTGATGAATTCCAATAAGTGATCTTGGGGTTGGTCTTCAAACCCATACTCGAAAGAAACGTGTGTGACTTTTGAAAGATAAGCTCCTTGAGATCTGCGCATACTTTTCAGCAGTATTTCCATAGCCTTCGTGACGAAGTCAGTACAGTAGAAACTGAAATTGAGAGCAAGATGCATGTGGGACAGCGCGGTTGGCGTGACTTCATTGAAGATTGTATGGCATGTTCGCAGGATACCAGAATGCGTGTATCCATCCGTAAATTTGAGCGCAGGGATCCAACGTTCTTCAGGTTGTTCCCAAGAATGACAGGAAGGGTGTTGCAGGTCCAGACGACAAGCATTACATTTGAGGCGGGAGCTTCTGATGCGATGGTGGTCATCTAGGTGCGTAAAGATTACCAAGCAAATCCCATCCCTCACAGGAGTGAATATGTAGTGATAGATCATATTGCGGATCTCAGGCGGAAGCGACAAGAAGGGGAATCCTGCTTGGTTGGGCTTGGTGATTTTGAGGGCTGATGCACTGGCGATTGGTGCTGGTTCTTCTTTGGCTGGCGACATGATACTTGTGTGTGGTTCTGGTGGCTCTGGCGTAGATCCGAGATCGAGAGGTGGAGTGAGCGATGATGTGTGATTGGGAGTGTGACTCGAAGAGGACGGCGATGATGGAGGCATGTTTACGAGGACTGTGAGGCAGGATGGAGAAGATGGTAAAGTCAAGTGCGAAGGTGGCAAAGTCAAAGATGAGTGTAGAGGCATGGAGAGAAAGCGCAGCCATCAGATCGGAAGGCTGCGTCGCTGGGAAGCAGGGAAGGCAAGTGCGATGTTTGTTGGCCCAGGAAGTCACGACCAGCCGCCCAACAAGTTCTGACACTCCACTTTCAGTAAAACAATCAGGACCCGGATGCAGCGACGTGTCTGTAGTGAATTTAGTTTGAGGGCTTGCGAGTACTTGAAGGACGTTCAGCGAAATAACTCTTAACTGCTAAGTTCCACTCGCTTTCCAAGGACAGCGCGAGCGTCGCTCTCAGTCAAGACCTCCAAGCCCATCTCTTCTAACACATCTCGAGCAGCCTCGTTATCCATGAATACCCTTCTCTCGACTTCAAAGAGTCCCCACTTCTTTTCCGAAACTGCCTCATCAGAGCCTTCTGCATCGACTTCGACAGGGATTTCTCCTCTCACGGGTAAATCGAGAAGTGTCAAGCCATTGTCAAGACGCTGCATGACGTTTCGTCCAGTGCCGGCACCGAGGTAGCGATCGAACACGCTGCAAATACCTCTGAAGTCAGACATGAACTGTGATGCGCCAGCAGTTGAGAAGGAGTGTCGGAGCAGCACACTATCCCAGAGCGTGATCTGGAGACTGTGACCGACAACGCGACAAATACGACGCAATGCAGGCTTAGACAATGCGCGAGACAAGAAAGCAAGATGCGTGTCCAAAAGAGTAAGAGGAGGATCAAGCTCGGCAGTCAAGCTGGTCTCATCCCCACTACCTGCAGCCGAGAGAGATGCCCAAGGGTTGATACGAGCATACGGTCTCAGAACGTCGCGAGTGTGGTAGATCAGGGTATCACAGATGACTTCCTCGCTGCGAACACGCAGTCTGCGATAGGCGGCTGCCATCTGTTCAAACAGGGCGCCCTCGAGTTCTTGATTCTCTCCTGCGTCGTTGATGGCAGCGTTTGTCTTTGCTGCGATCTCAGCCATGTTTAGGTCGCCCTTGATGTCGATCTTTTGAGNTGCTCGGTACTGCAACTCCTCCCAAATTTCAAGGAAGAAGACATCGTCACTCCAATCGCGCATAGCCTTTTCAAGGTACTCTGCAGAGCCAAAGATACGACAGAGGTGATTCATGCCGTTGACTCCGGCAAGCTCAGCTTGCTCTTCTCGGGAAACACCGTGAACGGCACGTCCAACAGCAGTGGTGTTTGTCAAAAAGATTTGCAGACTGTCATATATCCGGCCGCGGAACCGATCGAAGATCTCAATCTGAATATCGGTCAAGAATCGGAACTTTTGACTGAACGACGACAAAGCTTTGTAGCGCTCTGTGATGGTCTCGAGAAGATCATTCACACGGACGGCCGCTTTGGTGGGCTTAGTGCTGTCCGTAGATACTGAGTCGTAATCAATCTCTCCAGTCGAGCGATCAGAGATGATGTCTTGATAGCGGACTAAAGCAAAGTCCTTCTCTACAGTCAACCATTTTGTGAAGTAGGACTGCTTCTCGAGGATGTAATGCGCCAGACCACGCCAGATGGTGGCAGGAGAAAGCGGTGTATAATTCCACTCCTCTTGTATGGTAGCATCAAACGTCATGACTTCATGCATCAAATTGCTGAAAAGCTGAGGCTGCTCTGAGACTTGAGGAAGGATCGATTGCAGTTTCTTCTGCAACATAGGGATCAAAGCAGTGATGAGAGCCGACGTCGCATCGATGTAGGCAGGGATTAATGCAAGATCAGAGCCTCGGAAGTTAGCCAAAAGCTGTGATTGCAAGTTTGCCTGGAAGAATGCGCAATAGCTGTTGATGAGATCAAGAACATGGTTCAAGAAGTACTCGGGCTTGTCCAGACGGTTGGTCGGACGATCCCCAGAGAAATGGTAGTTGAAACGAAGCTCGAGCGATCGCACCATGATTTCAAGAGGGAGCAAGACAGCAGGTTCGTCCTTCGACGTCTTTTCACTGTTTGCTACATCTGCAGCGATCAGCTCGGACTTTTGAAGGTCGATGAGCTTCTCGATGTGAATGTTCCATTCTGCCTGCAAACCCGGGGGTACTGAGATGCCCTGCTTTGGCCAGCCCATCTTGGTCAAGGTCTTTTCAAAGTCGGCCGCAAATGCCTGTTCAATCTGAGTGCGTGCACTGTGGGCAGTCCTCAAGACGTGGACGATGAGATGAGGAGCAGCACCCTCTGCTGCCTCTGACAAAGGTTGTAGACCGGTAGCGAGGGCTGACAATTTCTTGTATGCTGTCAAAGCAGCCTTGTCGGATTTGCCCAGCTGTTCGCTACACTCTTGTCGCAACGTGTCCACCTCTTGTAGCATCTCAGCGTAACCTGAGGCCATGTCCAGCTTCCTCAGACGTTCCATACTCGATTCAAATTTTTGCAAGGCATCGTCACTGGTCTCTGATTGTGTGACAACCTGAAGACGGCGGTCGAGGTCTTGTTGGTCTCGTTGGAAGGCGGCGCCTTTTTGTTTGATCTCGGTGGCATGCTGGTCTGAGGCTTGCTGGGCGATGTTGTGGTCGTTACGGGCATCATGAAGCTGTCTTGGTGGTCAGAAAACGCAGAACACGAAGTACTAGCATTTGTCACATACCTGCTGCTTAAGCAAGTCCTGTTGTGCTTTGACGCTGTCCAGTAAAGAATCTAGCGTGTCCAGGTCGGCAAAGGCCTGTAATTTGTCGTCCAGGAAATCGACCAGGCGAACATCATTGTCCTGATTCCGGTGGTAGTCGTCGAGCGCCATGTTTGGTGAAAGCGGCGTGTTATTTTGGAAAGCTGTTCGCTGATGCCAACTCAAGGCTTCTGATGACGCGCTGGGGAAGTTACTGTCTATGGAGCCCTCTCCACCGAACGCCGACCACAAACACGACCTCACGCTGTCAATCCTTCGCGCGTCTGCTGCCTGCCTGCGAGTCAGTCTAACATTTGCCGTCTATATAGAAATACGTCTTTGTAAGTCTAACCTGGGTATGTTTTGTTAGTCTTCCTTCTTTTTAATTCTGCTTTCCTTTTCACCACTCGTCCACGCAAAATGGCCTCTCCGCCTGATCCCCTTGTTAAACCGGCCTACATCCTTTCAATACCACACCTGGAGGCTGTGGAGAACTGCATCTTGGGTATCGCTCTTCGTCTCATCTTGCTTGGCCGTGTAGATGCTGCTCGCGATTTTGTAGAGCTCTTCTACTCTCGTCCAGCACTCCAGAATCTTGAATTTGCGGGCATGCGCGCCATGGTGCCGTATTGGCGCAAGACTCATTTTCCCGCCGGCTTTCCCGAAAAGATGAAGACAGATGCCTACATTAACGAATACCTAAACTTGAAAGATCGAGAAGGTCTACAATGGCCCCATTATGTCCTGCAAGACCAGCGCACCGAAGACGAAGCCGGCATTACTGCAATCATGTCGCCCGAAAATGATCACCCCAGCTCTTACAGGACGCAAGCCCCTATAGTTGCTCTAGACCTTGCTGTCAAGTTGGCCGAGGAACGCGGTTTTGATCCTTCCGCCGATGCCAAGGTCCATGAGATTTTGGTGTCCCTTTTAGAACGCATCTCCAACAAATGGGAGGATTGTTATCTGGTCGATTCTCCTCGTTGTGTACCGGTGTTCATGTCCGGGGCTTTGGCCAAGATATGGGGACTGTCTGCTCAGGAACTTGACTCTCGAGCCGCCAAACTCCTTGAGGCATCCCGACAGCGATATTGGCATGGTCCGTCACCCCAAGGTCCCGACTCCATGTCTGAGCTGCTTCAGTCGTGCAACGACGATTCAGTGGCGAAATCAGACTCGTTCTGTGATGAGATGGATCAGGAACAACCCACTTCGCTCTACAAAGCACCCGCCACAGAACAGCAAATTTCGGATCTGGAACAAAGGCTCAACATAACTCTCCCTGATGATTTCAAGACCTTCCTGCGTAGTAGTAATGGGTTTGGAGGCATCTGGAATGGCTACTTCCCTGGTCCGCCTCTTCGCTCCACGGATGAGATCGACTGGCTCGACTACAGTGAATACGAGCTTGTGTTTGATCAACTATCTCATCCTTGGCTCGCCAACTACCAGAAAGATCTTCCAACACACGGCGAAGAGTTTCCTGAGCCTCCCATCTTCACCAATGTTATCTGTGTAGCCAGCGAAGACATCGATGATGTATGGCTTATCCCTCCTCAAATGATGCAACAGATGCGTGAACACTACAAGAAGGTGTACGAGATGTTGAATGACGACGGGAAACGAATCATCGAGCGGTCTATCGATGACTTTGCTGGCAGCTGGGATGAATGGGAAACGCTGGACTGGGGATGTGTCTATTGGGCATGCGGCGGCTCTGCTACATTGATCTGCTTCAAGAGTTTCAAGGCTTGGCTGGAGGACCAGGCTTGGGATGTGAAGGACAGAGAGTGATGAGAGTGCTTGGGAATATCTTTCTGACCTGTGATCAAGGTGGACAGGCATGGAGATGCAGACGGTTGGTATTTTGCACTTTCCTTTATCTCATGCAATTACGAAAAACTTGAACTGGACGAACGAGCACATCATACATCTCATTATCTTTTCACCCAAGGCATGTCCGTTTGTACCTGTATATATCATATTCCACCTCAAGTGAAAGATTGAGAAGCATACAAAGGAAATCGCGACTTCCTCTGTTTCGCTTAACACCCGAACAAGAAGTCTGTCATCGCCAAGGCAACCAATCTCACCATAGATGTCATAAACAGCGGAGTTGACTTATCTCATGTAGCGGTCCGTTGGCGCAATGGCTTGCCACCTGCACCATGTTCCGGGTTCGATCCCCAGCGAGGCCGATATGTCTGAACATTTCGCCTCACCAACTGACCCGTGACCTGCTCGGAGCAAGATAAAGGCAGTTGGTAAGTCGGCGTGGGACGTCCCTTTTTGTCCTTCCCTAGGGAGAACATTTAAAACGTTTGTCTCACTGGAACTCACTTTGTTCCACAAAGTATTGTGCATTTCTATAGCTGGTTTTATATCAATGTCTTTGCACAGGGAGCTTCAAGTCTCTGAACTTCTACATCTTACTGACTTATATTGTTTCTCACTTCCACCAAAAGCAGTAGTTGGATCGTATAAAAACTCTTCCTAGGCGATCACCGATCATCCTTGCGATCAACCAGCCTCAGCAGGTTCCCAGCAAGTGAGTTGTGGGAAATGGCCAAGAAAGTCTCCGATGCTGCCTGGGCACGACTTGATTGATACCGAGACCACGACTCCTTCGCTCCTCGGGTCTTCGTCGACAAGGGTCGGTTTGAACATCGCATTCTTGCGATCAGTAAATTGGATACTCCTCGTGCTGGGACGCAAGAACAGTTGTCGCATCGATGGTGTACCAGCAAATGAGAGTGGTGATCTAATTTTGCTTGCTTTGGTAGGATATGTTTCAGGCCACGATACTTTCGCTCCTTGGGTCCTTGTCGATATGTTTTTCGTTAGACATCGTCTTCCCACGGCTGTCGACTGAATCCCTCGTGCTGGGACGCAACGATTGTCAGACCATATTGAACCGACGATCCAGATGGGTGGTCTTAGTTTGCTTGATTTGATGCAATATGTTGTCAATGAAAGCCCCTAAAGACAATGTCTTTCTATAGACATCGTTACGACTCTCCAAACTAAGGTCATGTACCCCATTGTATGTTGCCTGAAGACCATCTAAACTGTTCCGGCATTGTCTTGCAACTCGACGACGAACAACAGAAACTTCCGGAAACCATGATGTCGTGGTGTGAGATGTCTTCCGGCTTTCACAGACCTTTTCGATATTTTTGTGCAATGTCTCCTTCTCTCTGCTCTTTCTCTCGATCAAACTCTTGTCAGATATAAACCCCTGTTCGCTCCTCAACATCCACAAGACATCTTTCCTGCCTTGACAAGGTCAACACAAGCCAAAAACCATGGCTAACAACGAACACGCCATGAGAACCAGATCCAGTGGAAAGAGGCCGGTCTTAGCTGCTATTAAACCCACCACTACTACCAAACCTTCCTCCAAAAAGACGTCGAAAGCCCCTAGCAAGAAGATCGATCCTCCCTCTACTTCAAAGTCTACTGGAAAGAAACCCCGGGCCGATGACGATGATGACGACTCCAGTTCAAGTGCTGAATCAAACATCGTCGTCTTTGGACCCGGCACCAACGAGCCTGTCGGTTGGAGAGATGAGACCGGAGCCCCTACCTCACCGGGCACCATCGGCGACGAGGAACCGGTATCAGCAGCTGAAGAAAACGACATGACAACCGACAAGCAAAACACTGTCCACAAAACCAATGTCATCAAGCACAAAGGCAAAGGCAAAGCCATTGCAAAGAAGCCCGTTTCCGTTGAGAAGCAGATCCCCCTGGATATCACAACTCTCAATCTTCAGGACACACCCAAGCCTTCCTCTCGTCAAGCCCCTGGAGCTCGTCCAGAGCACCCAGATTATCCAGACCTACCCCTCGATGTGCCCGTCGACAGCGAAGGCATCCGTAAGTAATCTTCCTTATCTCCTACCCCAATCACAACCACAACTAACCCTCCCTCTCACAGCAACATCCTACTACTCCCGCCTCCACGGCCGCGTCCAAATCTGGTCCCACAACCCTGCATCCTCCTCTCCAAACACCCCCTTGCCTCCTCCAACCAACCCACCCCTCCCCAACCTCCCACCTTCCCTCCACAAACCACCACATCCTCCCCCAAAAGTATAAATCCTGCGACTCCTGCACCTACTCGCGTATCGAATGCAAACCAGGCACCGACACCGCATCCAAATGCAAGGAATGCGAGAAAAAAAGAATTGCAATTTCAGCGCCATAGGATAGGGACCTGGTGATCGTGAGGAGTTGAGGAAGAAGATTGGTTTGTGATGGGCTGCAGAGAGTCAAGAGGGTGATGGAGATGTGGAGGAGAGGGTTTAGGGGTGGTAGAAGATGCTTCTCAAGAGTATGAGGTGACATGGGAGGCTGTTGTCGAGATGCACGAGGGAGGTTTGAGGTGTTGGGTATCCAGTGAGAGACCGGACTCGATCCTTGTGTTAGCAGGACTTCCAGTGGCAGAGCATGATGACCAAGATTGATTCTTGCATTTTGACAACAGGGCAAGTTGCTGATATGCAAACTGAGAGACAGCTTTTACATGACAGGTATGCTCCTTCCTTGGAAGTGCGTCTGCATGAAAGAATGCGCTTTGCTTAGCGATAAGAAAAAAGTTCCATCGATTATTCAAAAAGCAAATGAATTCGTCACAAACATAAACACATAACCCTGCTACCCATCCCTCAAGTAGAGTTCGAGTTGTCAGCACAAGAAAAAGCACTTCCAATCTGTCCAGAAGCGTATGCCTCCTTGATCTGCACCACAACACCATAAGTGCCGCCGATACAAACAAATATACCCAAGGGGATAAACAGCGCATGCATCCAGAACAAAACCTGCTTTCCAACACTACCCTTACGATGCTCCCAGTGATCGTAAATCCACAGCCAAGCAGGGAGCGAAATGGCCAGAGGAGCGAAGCAAATGCTACCGGCGAGGGAAAGCAGGTACTCAAAGATGGGGACTGCTTCTGCTAGAAGGAAAGATACAATTGCAAGACCGAAGGTGCAGGAGAGCCATGTGGTCCAGTGAACGATGGTGTTGGACTGGAGGTGACGCGAGTCGCGAAGAACACGGACGAAGATGTATTTTGCGGCGACGTGAAGGTACAGGCAGGCGCTGACGACTAAACTGGGCAAGGCGATGCCATAGCATACCATCTTGATGGTTTGACCAGCACTNNCTGTAAGGATTGTTAGAGATGTCAGGTGAGATTTGGAAACAGTATAACTTACGCCTAGAGAAGGGCTAGCCACCCATTTTCCGCACCAGCGATAGACAACAAGACTGAAGCTAAGATATGCGGCTGTGACGATGGCCATACAGATGAGCAAGGCCTTGCGATAGTCTCTTGGGTTCTTCATCTCGGAAATGACAGGGAGCATAGCACTGGTACCAGCGCCAGACACGAAGATCGTGCAAGAAGCAACCATACCAGCAGCAAAGCTAGGATAGGCAATGGCGTAGAAGCCAAACTCGTAGTCGCCGGTCTGAGGTGCAGCGGCAGGACGGTCTCGAGTGGTGACTGCGATGACAAGGATAAAAACGGCGATGAAGATGGAGGCAAACCCGATCCAAGTAAGGAAGCCGATCTGGTGGAACTTGCGGACTGAGGCTGCGAGAGCCACACAGACAGTAGCCAGCACAGCCCACCAAACTGAACAGGCAGCATGATGCGATAGAGCGTTGATGCCAATGGATACACCGACGATACCAGAGCCAGTAAGGATGACATATGCGATAATGAACAAGGCGCCTGTAAGCTCCTTCATGATAGGTCCTCCGACCACTCCAGCCATATCGGCGATACTGTGGCATCTCGGATGGTTGTTTCGGAAGTCTCCTTGTAGTACTGCGGTATAGGTGTTGAGGGCTTGCCATCCAATGACACTGAGTGCACCGCCAACAGCACCTAGCGAGTACATTGCTGCTGGGATCGATAAAACACCAAGGGCGAATATAGTCTTGAGGAAGATGACGGTAGCCATTGGCCATCCCACGGTTCGGAAGTTGACTCCACCCTCTGTCTGCTTGAAGACTTCAAAATCTTCGGTGATGCCTTCGAGTCTTTCTGCATCTCCTGGTCGTGATCCTACGTGGAGGCCCTTCTCCTGGATTGATGCTGTAGAAGACATGGTGGATTGTGTCGACAATGGACGAGATGCTGATCGATGGAGGTCAGGAGGAGCAGTGGGCACTCATACTTGAGTAGTACACGTTGGAGATGCTAGTCATGAATTACCCCAACACCGATTGCGGCCACATCGTATCTCGGTGCACCACGCGAGATGATAAGCAGGGACCACGAGTTTCCCGCAATTGTATCAGAGCCCATCGACAGGGTCAGTGACGATGTCTGAGCGTGATTGGACGAGATTGCTTCTTTGCTGTTCCGAAGGTTGTCCAAAGGCGGGGTATGACTTGGGGTCGCGAGTAGATAAGGGTCAAGATAGGCGATGTTGGGGTTGTTGTTCCGTGGGGAAGCGACGATCATTGGGGTCCTTATCACATTGAATGTGTCCTTACTCCATGTCTAACCACACCCTGACCTGGCGAAACGACAAGCGATGCGAGCAAGTCATGACTCGAGGACGTGACGAGAGGGCTTCGAGCTCATCTATTGCAATGCACTTTACAACAACAGCCCTGCATATGCCGGAAGAAAGACGGCAGACGGAACATGAGCCGGTTGTTCGCTTCGGCGACGAAGGCTTGGACCTTCCATGCTTCTCTCAAGGCTCTTTAGCCGGCGCGTAACTGACAACACGACAGGAAGCTAGATAGAGTGCAGAACAAAGAGGGCTTTCGGATAGTGTGTGCCTTACAGTCTACCGTGAGCTCGGTAACGGAGTCATTCTCGGAGAGACTGCCACATGCGTACATGCATTGCCCAGACACAGTTACACCTTGTGTAGAGCAACGGCATATCATGGTGTGAGACATGCAACTCAACCATGAATCTGCAGTTAGGGTCTCACGCATTCCCCGTCCTTCCAAGAGTCGAGGTCTGCTTTGGCGTTTAGAGTTCAGGGCGATGTCGGGATATCATGTTGCCGGCACGGGCACGATCGGGAAGGAACAACCCCGCGAAACCCCGCCGTGTCGATGTGAGCTCTGGACTCTGTCATTGACGTGCTTGACTTGATACCACGAAACCGCAAACACACATCTCTACCAAACATGCCCATCTCCTCTGGAGCACCCGCCCACGGCAACCCAGCACACCTGCTGCCACCATCCTGGACCGCCGTCATCAGCGGCTGGCTAGCTGAAGACACACCCTCCTTTGACTATGGCGGTTTCGTTGTAGGCGCTGCGCCCGCCACTGCCCGCCTGCTCGCCAAATCGCCCGGTATTCTCGCTGGTGTACCTTTCGTGGACGAAATCTTCAAACAACTGGACTGTAAAGTGGAGTGGTTGGTCAGCGAAGGCGACCTCGTAGGCCAAAATGGAAAGCAACACGTAGCCACCGTGACAGGACCTACACGGAACCTGTTGCTCGGCGAGCGCGTAGCCTTGAATGTAGTAGCCAGATGCTCAGGAATTGCCACAAAGTACAATCCCCCTCTTCTTGCCCCTCGTCTTCACCACCAAGACACTAACACACCAAATAGATCCCACTCCCTACTCACCCTCCTCCGCAACGCCGGCTACAAAAACACCCTCGCCGGCACCAGAAAAACCACTCCTGGATTCCGCCTTGTTGAGAAATACGGCATGGTTGTTGGTGGCTGCGATCCCCATCGTCAAGACTTGTCCACCATGACCATGCTCAAGGACAACCACATTTGGGCTTGCAACAACAACATCGCCACCGCCGTTGCTGCAGCAAAAGCAGCAGGAGGTTTCGCTATCAAGGTGGAAGTAGAATGCCAGAGCCTCAACGAAGCAGAACAAGCCTGTGATGCAGGTGCTGATGTAGTAATGCTCGATAACTTTACACCAGAGGAGATGAAGAAGGCAGCGAGAAGCCTCAAAGAGAAATATGGAAGTGGGCCTAGNGGGCCACTTGTGGAGGTTAGTGGTGGCTTGACCGAGGACAATGTGAGTGATTATGTTAGTGATGATGTGGATGTCATTTCGTCGAGTAGTATCCACCAGGGCACCAAGCATGTGGATTTTTCGCTAAAGATTGTGCCGAAGGGCCAGGAAGTCAAGGATGGACAGGGAGAGAGCACAGCTACTTAGCGAGACAAAACAGCATATATAGAATGTACAAAAAGGACTCATATGCAAAAGACTACTTTCATGAGAGGCGATTAATCTTGCGATAAGACCAGGGAAGCGCGATATCTACACAGCTATACACACGTACATCTCCATCTAATCCTTAACACCCCACTGTCCAACCATCCCCATAGCCTCTTCACCACCTTCAGCAAGTCTTCCTTCTTTATCCCCAAGCACACCAGCAACACAATGCCACCCATCCCTACCACCACCATGCCTCAACACCTCGTCCCTAAACCTCGCTCCAGCCTCTGGATCCACAGCCCCCGCTGCACTCCTCTTGAACACATCTTTCCATATCTTGCCCGCAATAGCGCGATCAAATAGATACGAGTAATAAGTAGCTCCATAACCGAACAAATGCCCAAAGAAGCCTTGCCAAGATGTGCCTACTGGTTCAGGCAACGAAGAGTATTTATGCCAGACATCGTGATACGTTCTTGTCGAGTCAAAGCCTTCACGCAACGGCAATTTAGAATGATAGGTTTGATCCAGCATTGCCAACAAGATCTGCGCTTCAGTTTCTGTGCCTTGGGAATGCGTGTCTAGATTTACTCTCTCGGCAACTCTGGTCGCATCGAGTGGAGCATCGGTTTCCCAGTGCCGAGCATACAGAGCAAGTACTTCGGGGGCAGAGGCAAAGTGCTCCATTAACACCGAAGGCAGTTCTGCGAAATCGGTGGCGCAGCGTGTTCCGCTCACATTTTGGAGTGCGGTGCGTCCGCAGATGGAGTGTAATGCATGTCCCATTTCATGAAACAGTGTTTGGACTTCGCGGAAGGTGAGGAGGGCAGGCCGTTTAGTGGCTCCGCCTTGTGGGATGGCGAAGTCGCAGATTAGGGCGATGGTGGGTAATTGATACAATTCGTTGTTGTCGCGGTGGGATTTGTTTGTTGACAAGCCATCGGTGGCGGCTTCTTCGGCGGTGGAGAAGAGATCACCCGTTGCATTTCGTAGAGCTGCTGCTTCTTCGAGTTCGTCGGGGAGGATGCGGCGGCTGCAGCGCAGGGTAAAATGGGCTGGATTGGGAGACTTTCCAGCTCGCTCGAAGAGATCACAGTATATTACTGCGACGTGGCCTTCGCGGTCGTCTATCACATCCAGTCGGCGCACGTCGTTGTTCCAGGTTTCGCCAGGAGCAGCTTCCTTTGGCACTAGGCGGATGCCATAAAGGCGGTGGAAGAGGCGTGATAATCCTTGCATGACGGTGCCGAGGGAGAAGTAGGCTGAAAGCACATCCGGAGTGCGAGTCTTTGATCTCATCGAAGACAAGAGGCGCTGTTGATAGTAATCTCTGTCCCAAGCATTGAGCTCACCTGGGAAATTATCACTACGAGCATCCGAGTTCTTCATCTCCAGCAATTCTTGCACCTCTGATTGCACACGTGGAGCATTGTCGGCGGCCAGCGCGTCCAAGAACTTGACCACGGCTTCAGGGCTCTTTGCCATCTTATCAGACAAAGCCATATGTGCAAAAGAATCATGCCCAGAAAGACGAGCAAGCTCAGCACGTCTATGCAGCAAATGTTCTAGACGTTCAATGTTTGCTCTGGCTGATGTGCGGTTGGCCATGTAAATCTCTCGTCTGGTGTCTGCATCTTCTACAGTACGTAGAGCTAGAGAAGCGGGCATGCCAATTGTAGGCAGCGAGACACTGCCCCATCTGGTCAACTGCCGCACAACCAGAGGATCCATGCCCTTCAACTTGCTGCTAGGAAGCTTAAGAAGCGACGTCTCTGGTACCATTTGATCAACAAACTCGGGGCCAATCTCAGCAATCTCATTGGAAAGTTCGACAAAGGCCTGACGATCGGTATCCGAGAGGTCAATAGCCGACTTTGCAAAGTCTCTGGCCAGAATGTTGGCGACAGTCAATTCCTCCTCGCTCCATGATGTGGTAACCTCAGGGATGGCAAGAGCAGCTTTTAATTGGTCGTTCAAGCCAGTAGTTGTGTTCAACACATTCATGTACTCAAACATTTGGGCATATGCCTGAGTGGCAGCAATTTGTATGTTGCGATCCGGGTGTGTGGAGCGAACAAAGTCGCAGAGATCAATGACTCGACATAGCAAGTCGCTCAAACGGTCCAAGTCTTTTGCAATGCTCTTATACTGTTCGACGCTGCTGTATGCCAGGACCTTCGTGACTATGCGCTTGCATTTTGCTAGTGTGATGGAAGCAAAATGCTCGAAGCCTTCGGGTTTGGTGAGGTAGCGGTTCTGAAAGAGACCTAGAGATTTCCTTGAGGAATGGGTCTGTCTAGCAGAAAAGTCCTTCCAGAAGGGCTGCGAGTCGAAGATTTGGCGTAGAGTAGCATCCTGGTGCGACGTCTTTGGGTCCCGATGCGACACAAGCGGCGGCGGGGCGGAAGCGGATTGTGAGGCTGCGGAGGTAGCGGCGGTGGCTAGACGGCGACGGTGTTCATGTCGAAGACATTTGGCGCATGTCCAAGGCCTTATCGNGGGAGGTTTGAGCATTCTCGAGTGCTGTCAAGAAAGCTCAAGGCATCTGTTGTCTCTGGTGGATGTGACGACTGTCGACCGGGGACTTGTGCTCCGAGGGTGGAGAGAGGCAGCCGCAGCCGGCGCAGCTCACACTTCTGCCCTTCGTCTTGTCTGTAGATACGCACGTCCAACCCGCCGTCGACTCCCTCACAATGGCCTTCCAGCCCCTCCTACGGCATGTGAGTGAAGCTTGTGAATATGCGCATGCCAATTGACCTTCACTAATCTTCTACGCAGTCGNGCCGCGCCCGTGGCAGCCCTGACGATGGCTTCGCTCGCTCTCTACCCAAGAAGCGCCTACGCCGAGGAGCTCCAACACGTACGACCTTCTTCAAGCACCCAACCTTCAATCATGTCTCACACCATGCTGCAGCACACGCGCAAGCCCATCTACGACACTCCCCTCTCAGCCACTCCCTCCCCCGCCGCCATCCACGCGACCACCCTCAACCCCGAGCCCGTCACTCCCCCGGTCCGCGACAACCAACCCCAATCCACAAAAGTGACTGCCGAGACCGTCGCCGCCCGCGTCCTCGGCCAACCCGCCTCTCCCACACCCACCCAGCGCCTCGCTGAGCAAGTCAAGCGCGCCCGCGTCTTCCTGCACGCCCAGGCCGTCAAAGCCGAAGACAACATCGACGCCGGCCTCACCCGCGCCCTCAACCTCGAGCACTCCTTCATCTCCACATTGCAATCCCTCGCTCCNCCCAGAGAAAGCGGTGAACGTCTTTTGCCTGGTGGAGTCTACGTGTTGGTGGCTGCAATGGCCGGCAGCATCGTTGCCCGCAACCGCAACATTTTGCTGCGCGGTATCGTGCCCGTGGCTACTGGTGTGGGTGCCTCGTATGCTGTTTTGCCCATCACCACCCGTAATGTCGGTGATTTGGTCTGGAAGTACGAGGAAAAGTACCCCGTTATCCGTGACAACCATATCCGCGTCCGCGACGGCGTTTCGCACTTTGTCGAGACTGGAAAGGCGCACTCGCAGATGGGTTACTACCAGGCTGTCGACAAGGTTCAGGGCGTGCGTGAGGCCGTCGAGGAGTGGGTCAGAAAGGGCAAATAAATCACAAGAGTCTTTCTCCCTTTGTTTTACCCCCTCATAGACTTTTTGTTTTTCTTTTACCTATTTCCTGCTAGCAGCTGTCGAAGAAAAAGTCTGTATATTACGATACGTTCAAAGCACAACTTGAACCCGTGTTTGGTTGATTGTGAATACTGGTTGATACTGGTTGATCCACGCTTTTCAGTTTATTGGCTCTACAAGAAGTTTTGAGATATTGCTAAAGATGATGTATCCTATCCTAGGAAGTATCTATTTACTAGCCAGAAATAGTCACGCCATGCCTGTGACTGTCATCCTCTAGATCAAACCACATTCCTTTTTCACTCCTTCGCCTTTGCAGCAGCAGGACTTTCATACTTGCTGCGCAGGAACTCTTCAAGATTTCTGTCACCCATGGCATCCACTCTCGGATCCTCGGGCTTCTTGGGAGCCTCCTCAATCACTTCCTTATTTTCCTCCTTGGTGCCATAGCCCACAGCAGCCAACGCGCTCGCGCCCACATTGGCAGCAGTGCTATACGCATTTCCCGCAACCTCCTTGGCTTGTTCCACATACGTGGGCTGCGGCACCTCTGCCTCGGGCATGGGGTGTTCTTTAGGCGCCTGACCGATAGTGTTAGGTTCGTTTACGCCATAAGTGTCGCCAAAAGTGCCTTCGCGCTTGTCGGGCGTGCCGTCGGCGAGGGTACCGTGGGCGTGCGTGTGGGATTGCGCAATGTAGCTCGTACCTGAAGTGCCTGTTCTGTTTGTACTGGGCTGGTTTGCAGATGTCTGCGTGGAGGAAACTTGGTGGTGTTCGCGGACAGGGAGCGTGGTGGTGGGGGTTGCGGTAGCGGGGGTGCCGTCGTAGGAGGGTTGGGGCATGGTGGTTTCGCCTGAAGGGGGACTGGGTGGGTGTGTGTGTTCGCCGCTGGTGGTTCTGTAGAGTTCGGCGTCTTGTCTGGCCTGTTCGCTTGCGGCTGGGGCAGCAGGGGCGGGTTGCTGGGATGCCTTGACAACGGCAACCTCGCGGTCGCGAGGCTTGCCGTTCTCTGTGCCTACTGCAACTGCAACTCTGTCGCCATTGGGTTCTGTGACCCATCTGATGGGACCGCTAGGGATTGTGTCCATGCCGTTTAGCTTATGCGGTGCGGTCCACTGAAGCACATTGTGGAGGTCTGGATCAATGTTGGGCAGATCGCCAAACTTGTACTTCAACTTGCCGCCATATTGCTCGGGGATGTTCTCCGGTTCGATGTACTTGGAGAGTGTCGGGTACATTTCTTGCTTGGAAAGAATGAAGATTTTCGACTATTCATCGGTCAGAGATTTGTCGATTCTGTGCAGGAAGGTGATCCGAAATCAGTAGAACGATAGGGTTGAACATAGTGTTGCATGGCAAGTTAGGACAAGACTTACGACAGTGATAGGATCGAACCACTTCTTGATCCAGCTCCAGACGGTCGGGAAGAATGAAGGAGCTCCAATGATGAAGATTCTATCCAGAGTTTCTGGGTAATGTGCGGTGGCCAGCTGACTGGCATCCTGCATGTGGTTCTTCAGATTCCAGAATTGTCTCAAACCAACGTTCGAAATGTCAACAATGTTGCTCGACTGCGATACGGGCGTCTCTGGGAAGGGGCGGTTGGGCATCTCCGAGCAGAGAGGCAGCACAAAGTTGGTGAGGTTCTCGTACAGGGCGAACAGACGGAGCATTTTGGCAGGGATCTTAGACTGCACGGATTGGTTCTTAGACGAAGTCGAAGCCTCGTAGGCCGAGACAGCCTTACTGTTCAGGTGGGCGACTTCGAAGATGTATACAGGGATACCGCGGCGGTCTTGTCGGCCAGTCCATTGGGGGTACTGCAGCTTGTGAGCGTGTGGACAGACTTCCGACGGTATGATCAACCAACCAANGACACGAGTCTGCTCATACTCGCCAACATCGATGGTGTCGTAGAGCTTCTCGAGTTGGTTCTCCTTGCGCCAGTCTTCTGTATCCTTGAACTGGCCAAATGCTTCGCTAGGTACAAACTTGCGAGCGCGCAGATACCGCAGCATCGTCTCGTCATCGTGGCTGGGCAGTCCATTGGAACCCCCTGTCGGGTTGTAGTAGCCCTTTTCCTGACATAGCTCCTTGAACGCCAGCAGTGCCTTCTCTTGTCCAGGGCTCAAGTGTCCCACATGGGTGGCCGGGTACTAAGTCGCAGCTGTCAGCTTTGGCCGGCCTATAGATTTAACTTTGGCGGATATTCTGCTCACTTGGTACGACTCGATGCGCTGCAAGTCGGCTCCAGACATGATATCTTCCGGCTTCGGCTGTCACTACGAATATATGATAGGTCCTTAGGAAGCGAGTTAGATAAGAGTCAGAAGCAACAGCAATCCTGCACCGATTTCCAGGTCATCGTCTCTCCTGGGCAGCGTCATTGTTTCGGTCTGCTCGGAAGCCGCTAACCACTGCCACCCCACGTACCTTCCTAACTCTATGCCAAGCATCCTTCTTGCCTGCTTCCGACTTCGACTCCTGGACGTGGACAACTCCCAATATGGCTGTCGCAGCCTCTCTCTGAATCTAATGCATCGTCGCGACATGCAAGCCAGATTGCATCGACACGCTATCACAGCCGCCAAGCTTTGTTAACGAGTCCCTACGTGTTTACTCGTCAGAGCTCTTCCGAGATGACTTTGGTCCATGAATCGCGAGCCTCCTAGGTGCAGCCTGTCTAGCGAGAAAACAGACCTGTATCGTATATGACCTTGGGAGATGCGCCCTGTCTCTCCCCACAACCTTTGCGGCAATCTCAGGTCCGACTCAGCAGCGCTTGCACCTCCATCCATGCCTTCTGCTGTTCCACGAATCAAAAGTCTTTTCATAACAGGGGAAACAAGGTCTTGTCCACACATCTCTCACTAACTTGCGTACGCGCATGAGATCGCCCTGTCCTGGCGTCTAATTGTTGACGCGGTACTGCGATATGGTGAGATCGTATGACAATATGGGTCCTTGGTTTTGACCCCGAGGGTTTGGCATGATTCCCATGCTTAGATATGTTCATCTCATGCCATCAACAGCATCTGCTTCACAATGGATGCTGGTCAAGGATAACGAGTTCATGACTGCGCCACGAGTCACGACTCACAAACGGACTCACGACTGATGGAACCGCGTGTCGTGCATACCATCGGCGCGGGCCATAGCGTTCACCGTGCCACCGATCCACGGCACCGACGGTATTCTGCACGATCGACGGCTATCGGATCGTGCCTATCCCTGGGTTTCACGAACGTCCATTCGTCCACCATCACATCTCCACTAATAGAGAGAGAGACATGAATTAATCCGCAAACAGTAAAAGGTATTCTGTTAGACGATGGAAAGCCAACAACAGCATGCAGTATCCACGTCGCTAGATCACAATGCTGACCAAGCTCACAGCTCCGACAGATCGCAAGGCGTGTTCGAGCAAGGCGCAAAAGCGAGCCGCCCATTGCTTCGTGTCTTCCGTTTCCTATGACGGACGGGGGCGGATCTTTGGTGGTCCGAGACTAACAACCGTCCTTGTGTGGTCAGATTGTGAAATGGTGACAATCTCTCATCAATATTACGACCAGCTACCTTCGCGCGGTTCGAGATTCGAGGACAGCTATACGCACTCGCCAAGCCTACGTATCTGCAATGCAATACAACAAATAGCCTGATCTGCAGGAAGAGTATCATGCATCGGTGTCTCCGACGATTCAACATAGGCTTGGCGACCTTGCATCACTGCCTACAGGGTGTCTTCACATCCATGCGTCTGCATATTCAAGGATTTCAGCAAATCGCGAGTGTTACCAAGGTCGAAATAGGCAGTCTGCAAGCCACACGCTATCCATCGGCTGTAGACACACGCTGTACACGTGCTACACTTGCTCGGACTCGGAGCATGATTTTTCGCAATGCAGAACGGCTGCAATTCTCTCCAAAAACGTGGCTCGTATTGAGCCGCATTATTTGTATTACGCGAAATTCTCCAGTTTCGGCTTCTACTCCCGTCTGTCGGCCACCAATTAGGGTGGACTGGTTGTCATGAAACCGCGACATATCCTGACGTATGACAAACAGCGGAACAGAAAACCATATATCTACCTCGAGCTAAATAGCCACTGCAGCTGCTGCAGCCTTGGAACTGAAAGGTATGCAAGCCTTGCTTCCACTACCTCCCGGCATCCAGTAGCTATAAGCCATATCTGCACTCAAGCCTGTTTGTCAATTTTCATGGTCCGACTGGTTTTACTCGGCCGACCAAGGAAGACGTGATTCCGAGGTGGCCAATGAACACTGATTGGAAGTCTCCAGCTACCCAGTCGCTTGTCTGGCATCAAACCACTAAAACCGCGCCCCGTCTATATCCACTTTTCTTATTGCTTGATTCATACCGCGAATCAAAACGACGACCTTGTGCTTTCCAGCGCGCCACGGCAAACGCATGATAGTGCAGACCAAACACACAGTCGCCTTGAGTTTGCTGTTACCTAACCCAATGAAGGAAAATGCATTACCCAGCGGCAGATAACGTGCTTCTTGACGAGGCGGGGAGTTTCTAAGCTTAGTTTTAGATAAGGCAACAAATAAGGGCCGGTTGGTATGCGGCACGACCATGCCCAGGGGTTTCTTGTTTCTGTCTGCAAATACCAATGCGGTCTGTTTGCCTACCAGAAGATACCAACAACAAAAAAGACTCGAGACTGTCTAACACAAAACGTCGCTGTCCCCTGCAGAACGAATTTTCTCTCTTTCTCCACACACTTGGACATGGGTTCACGACAGAGATATCAAATTTGCATCAACGACGACCGTGATCTGTACGTCTGGAAGGAGACATGGAAAGAAGACACGGTTGCAGACTTCTTGACGCGTCTGTCCAGTTCCACAATACCTCGACTTGACCGCCAGAGGATACATTTGAGCTTTGACGGCGTTCGTCTGGGTGAATCCACAACCATGAGAGAGGTGAGTTGTTGTCAATGTCCTGTCCCAAAAGTGATCCCCATTGCAAACCTCTGACTCGGAAACTAGACTGGTCTGGAAGAAGGAGATGAACTAGCTCTCCATTATGGATCCTCACACGCATGCAAGCTATGCACCGGATCACGTAGGTTTATCTCGATTTCACTTGGGTCTTTTTGTCCAGAAAACTGACAGGAGAAAATTCACAGANNCAATGGTACAGGGTACATGACTCGTCAGAACGGTTGATGGATTTCCCTGGAAGCTATTCGAGTTCTTCCTGGAAGAAAGCTCGACAATGACGAATCAAGCAACGAACAAACTCCGAAAGCAAGAAACAGAAGAAAATGAACGGCAGGCAGCACGATCCCAATGCGGTCGAGGCTATGAGCAACGAAACAAAATCAATCGGTATAGGTATTTGAGCGGCACAGCGCTTGACGAGACGACAACTCAGTATTTCCAGTGGAGGTTGTCAGGAAAGAGCTTCGGGAAGCCCGTTGAGCCGCTCCCGAGAGCCATGCCGGTATATCTACCGACATTGGGTTTTCTACTTAAGGAAGGAGAGAAAGAAAGCATAGATGCTCGAACAATAGCACGTCTCATCAGTCTGACGTAGTGCTTCTCCGTGTACGATCGAATGCTATACCCACCCCCAAGTTCCTGCACCTGCTTTCTAAGAAAAGCATCCGCAACATACCCAACATTGGCATGCGCGGGAGGCGGCAAAGCCTCGGACAGCGCTACGAGCAAAAGCATTCGTCAAGGCAACTCGCGGTGACACAGCCACTCGCTCCGGCTTCTTGAGACGTTTCGGTCGAGTTTGCAATATTTGTGCACATAACCGCAGCTGCGATACAGACATTGCAAGACATCACGCCATGGAAAGCAACTCCGGCTGCGAGATGCTTACCTCAACACAGACGATCAGCATGATTTAATATCCGGGTTCTTTTGCGGCTCAAGCGCTACTTTGTTTATTGAGGAAAAGGAGTGGGATGTCTAGCTGGTATAGGCAGCACCGAACTTTAGCAGCTCTCAATGCTCCGGGAATGCTTCCGGTTTCTTTGATGAGGATGGATATATTGATTGTGCATGTGAGGTTCGATGTGCGATGCAGAAAATTATGGCGGTTAACTATTGGAAAAGCAGACAAGAATACGACCTTTATGCGACTGCTAAGTAATTCTCATTGCAGTAAAATGCTAACATGCATATTTACACATAGCTTTCAACATCGTATAGGCTACAAAAGACATCACTCTCAGCTTCTCCTAATCAGCCTGCCATCTTTCTTCACCGCCTCCTATACGCCAAAACCTGATACTTTACATTCTCCAGACTTCCCGGGTACCTCAACTTTTCATCCAATCTATTGATTTTCATCTCCTCATTGACGATTCTCTCCCATCGCTGTTCAGGGATCTTTGCTTCTTCTTCCTCGATTGCTTNTTTGCCTTTTCCTTGCGTGTTGACGGGTTCTTGTGGTTTGCCCAGTAACACGCGAGATAGTAGCCAAGAAACACTATACTCGGTAACCTCCTCGGAATCAGGAATTGGAGTAAAAGTGCTGGCGCCGATCGAATCGATGACAAGCACCACACTGCCGCTAGGCAACAACGAATCGAGTCTGTAGAGGAAAGCTGTGGTTTTGGGGATGGAGGTGTCGTAGAGATTTGCCAGGGTTAGGAAGAAAGTGCATAGGACTGGTTGTTCTCCGAGCATTTCTTTGACTTGGGGCGTTTTGAGGGTGAAGATGTCGTGGTGGGCAAAGTTGAGGGAGAGGGTGGAGGGGGCGAGAAGAGCTGTGTTTGCTGCTCTGGCAGATGCGGATGCGTATTTTGAAAGTGGTGGTGGGGTGGTTGTTGCCTTGACTAGTTTGTCGAGTACAGAAGACCAGTCTGCAGAGTCAACGAGTGTGACATCCAGTAATGAAGTGATGTTTTCGGGAGCAGAATCCGAAGTCAAAGCATCAAGCTCTTGCTGCTGTTTTCCAGAAGCCGTAGGTCGTAAATGTCGAAGCAATCCCGCAAATGCCATGATCTCTGCAGCGCCTCCGCCAAAACAGATGGCTTTTGCCGTGTTACTCGATGAAGCATTGGATATGCGAGAAATCCAGTCATCTTCAGGCCTTTGCTCACACAACGAAGCCAACACATTCGCATATGCCAGTGCCCGACTCGGACTCCACCTCACAGCATACGCCTCCCTCTTCTCCTCTACCCCCAACGCCTTCTCCCACTCTCCTTCCAAAACAGCCTCGTTAACTTCCCTCAACAACCCCTTCATTTCCTCAAAATCCATCAACTTTTCCCCAAGAGCATCTTTCAAGATATTCAAACACAATTGCTGTAATTCTACAGGCAACAATTGGTCTTGAGGAAGAGGCTGGGTTTTAGGTGCATCTAGATGGGGTTTTGGCTTTGCTTTTGGTGNTAGCCACTTCCCTCGCCATTCTGGTTTTGCGATTGGTGGAGGACGGGAGGGGGCTTTGGAGGTGCTGCTGCTGAGGATGGGGCCGTGTTTTCGTTGCGATTGGGCTTTTCTGTCGTATTGGCCCATGGTTGTTTTTGTTCTTGTTGTTGTGTTTTGATCGTGTTACTGTAGCAAGTTGGTCGTTATGTCCTGTGATTGGATGCTTTGTCAATGATCGATGGGTGTTGGTGATATGAGAAGTATTGGTTTGGAACGTTGGAAATTTTCGTCGCGAACATTTTGGGGTTGCGAAGTCGCGGGGATATCACGGGAATAAGACCAATCATAAAGGTACGACCCTGTCTTGCTTGTTCACTTCGATGTTCAACACACGAAAGACATCAGTACTTAGCTTTTACGAGTCGAGTACGACGTCGGTCGTCCGGTCTTTTCATTGTAGCCTGTACTTGTCGTTCTCCAAGAAAAATACCAACGATTGTTATTTCCGAAGGATATGGAGGCGAAGTATGCAGGCATGAGCCAGGCATAAGGATGGCTTCCATATTGTACATAATCAGTTGTCTAAGCATGTCATCCGATTGGCAAAGTAGAATGCATGACTATTTCCAACCGACATAGCAAAAGCAAGAATCGCTAACGAGATGCCCTGACGTTGAAGCCGCATGTGCTGTCTCTATAGTCGATGGTATAAGAAAAAAGAAAAAGGGTATCTCTGAACAAAAATGCAATGCTTGCGATACTTGCCGTATCATTTATCATCCCAGCTCTTCGTCTAACAACGGCTTGAGCGCTTCGTTGTCTACTAGCGCCTGCATCCATGCCTTGACGAACGAGCCATAATCATGTCTGCGGTGCATGGACTCTTCTGCGTCCATCATCTCTGCTTGTTGCGAGTCGCGTACCTGTGCTCGACAACCAGCCTGGTTGATCATCAATTCTTGTCGTACCTTCAGAAGACTGTCGGGGCAGCTGGATTTCAGCTGCTGTGCCACGTTCTCATGTATAACAGCCTGGGCAATTATCTCGTTGGTCAACCCATACTCCTCGCTTCCGTCAAACAACGTAGACTCCTCACGGTCAGGGGAAGCGTGACTGCCCCAATCCTGAGATACTTCGTTGAGTCGAAGTTCAATTTTCTGTAGTGACAAAACGTTCTGTGCAAGAATTCGGCGGTCTTCGATAACCGGATCTTGTACCACGGCCATCAAGCTGAACTGAATCTGGCCTTCCTCGTACTGAGCCATGCGAACGCTGAGCGAGGTCTGAACGACGTCCAACCAGTCCCGACCAGAAGCAAATGGAATCTTTCCGATAGTTGTCGGGAACGAATCGAGACCATCGAGCTTCCAGACGTCGTCACCGATTGGCATATAAGCAACAAAATGGAAGCCTGTTTCTTCTGATTGCTCCTCCTCTTCTTCAACCACCACTTTGCTGGTTCTGGCTCTGCGTGAGGGGTTAGATCTTACTGCGGTCGTGTTTGATTCTGTTTTGGCAGCTCTTTCGGCTGCCTTTTCGGCTGCTTTGGCCACTCTCGCAGCAGTTGCGGCTTCAGTCTTTTGCTTCTTGACCAATCTGTCGTTACGGTCGTGCATTGCAGAGTCGACGATGAGCATATCAGTATCCCGCGCAAAAGAGTTGTGTATCTTGCGAACAAAATCAAAGCTGTCGATGGCATAACCTCTTGCGACAGGATCAAATGATTGCGTATAGTCTTTGAAGGACTCTAGAGGTTGACCGAGCTCTAAGTTCGGAATGTTGTTCACGATGTTGAGCAAAGCCACTGTTCCACAAGCATATTGAGGAATNNCTTGATGTGTTAGAATCAGAGAAGAAGCACAGAACTAATGGCTTACTTGGTTGGCGAACCAGACGTGAGATGGACATGACTTTTCTTGGCTCTGCTCAGCAGTTTCATCCTCCTGATATCTGAACAAAAAGATGACTGCGTGTACTGGTTTTGGCAAAATGGCAAGAGCATCGTCATCAACGCCAAAGACCTCGTGGACTCTGAGATGGCGAACACCTATGTCTCTGAGGATTGTGGTGAAGAAAGCCTGCGAATGTTAGCCTTATAAGATTTTCCGAGGCGCAAGATGCCGACAAACTGGCTCAGATTCAATCTCACACCAGCCTGGCCATGATTCTAAATTGGGCGTGGTTGGCTCAGGAGGGGAAGAGCTTTGTGGTGTAGCTGATTCATTCTTGCGCCTCTTCTTCTTAGGTGGCATGACGACGAGGTGGTTAGCTCAAAGAACGAATTGGCGGCTTCTCGAAGATTGTCACGGCATTGTATTTCCATGAATTGAAGACATGAGTGAAAGTGTAGTTGAGGCATCAGTTGGAGTAGGACAGGGTGACGACGCGTTTCGGTCGCGCTTGCGCCAAGAGTGTGACGAGCTTGATTGTTTTGTACATGTTTTAGAAAGCAAACCAAGCGGATACTTTTCCATTCTTAACCTCGACAGACAAAGGTTCGCAGCATGCGATGAACGGCACACCTCGTCTTCGCTCCGGCGCCTTTCCCTCGACGCCGCAGTCGACACGGCGCAACAACCTCACGCCTCAGAAGCTCCCCGACATCACCCAGCTACGGCCGGCTGCTACGCGACAACCGCCAGACAATGATGGCCCATTGATCCCCGTCGACACTTTGGATGCGCCGACGCAGCGTCTCTATGTCGTCGGCTTCTACCTGGCCCTGGTGGGCTGGAAGATGTACGACCACTTTTACCTGAAAGAGGAGGAAACAGAATCGCTATGGCTGTTTATGAAATGGGTCGCCTTCGATGGCATTTTCCTGTTCGGTCTGCCCGAGTTGCGCATTCCCTGGCTCGAGTGGTCTTCGGCGACCATGCTGCTTCTTTTCCTGGGTCACGCTGCACTGGACGCCGTCCTCATGTTCCGCATCCAGCTGCCTGTTGGCGCTGGTCTGGCCGCTGTTGGTAAAATCTTCTACGATCGCGAGCTGGGCGTGTCAGGCCACCATGTCAAACAGTCCAGCATTCTCCACAACTCGTCCTTGATTCTGGGAAAGCAAATCATCCACATTCTGCCCGAGGGCTCTGCTATCCTGAACCCTGCCAAAACTTCCTTCTGCCTCGACTCGTCGAACCCCCATATCTACCTTCCCATCCAGATCAACCAGACCACTCCTGTCAGCATTGACTTGTTGCGCTACGAGTTTGACGGTGCAACGAACGAAACCATCCACATTTCGGGCAAAGAAATAAAGAAGTTGATGAAAGAGGCGGCCAGACAAGCCTCACACCCTCCTTCGAACCAGCCTCTGCTGTTGCGCTACCCGACCAAGAAGACTGGCAGATATATCCTAGGCAAAGTCATGGACGAGTCCAAGCTGGAAGTTCAAAGAAAGCGCGTCGGCGACACCATTGTTGTGACCTGTCCCCAGGCCATCATCAAGTCCACGACCCCTGACGCTTGCAAGGGCGATCTTTCAGGCATAGATCTCGAGGTCACCGGAACTCCCCCTTTGCGCATCAAGTACAGAAAAATCACCAACCAGAGAGAGCAGGAGGCCCATTTCCAGAGCATCCAACCCGACGACTTTGTTTCTCCTCTTATACAGCAATCTTCCGATGCCCTGGCTATCAGGAATACCAAGGACATCTCTTGGGCACGTGCGCAGACTGTCACTGTGCCTCTCAGAGAGCATATGGGAGAAAGCGGGAAATGGGTTTACTCCATGGACGAGGTTGAGGATGCTTTTGGCAACATCGTCTCTTACACTGAACGCCAGCATGACGACCAAGACAGACCTTCCACAAAGGCCGCACATCTTCACCAGGTCGTGACTGTTCATGAACGCCCAATCGTTGTCATGACAGGCTGCGATTCTCAACATCCTCTCAAGGTCGCCAAAGCTCAACCCACTCCGCTGCCTGTCCAGTATGGTTCTACTGGAGGCAAGGGCAACGGACGTTTCCTCGAAACTCCTTACAACCTTGAATACAAGTTTACCCCTGAAAGTCAACTTCTGTCTAACGGCGACCACAGCGAATTCGCTCAAATCAAGTCCATCTCGATCAAGAATCAATCGCAGCGACCCACGGTTCAGGATGCTGGCTTATACACGCTACACAGTGTGTCCACCGGAATCTGCGCAGGTGAAGTTTTGGAGCCCGCATCTTGTCTGCTGCAGAATCCTGCAGAGCCCAGTCTTCGCATCGAGAAAGAAGAAATCTTCGATAAATGCGCCAACAAGCCTATTGGCCTACGTGTAGACTTCCACCTCACGGGAACGCCTCCGTTCAACATCCAGTATCAAATCACCAAGAAGGATAGTCCCCATCATGTGACACATACCGAGAAAGTCAACGGCTTGCGTGGACAGATTGAATTGACTCCTCCTACTGCCGGTCACTACACCTACCGATTCTCTGAAATCAGCGATAACGTCTACAAGGGACATGAGCTCAAGGGAGAGGACATGGTCATTGAACAGGACGTCAAACCTTCAGCTTCCGCGAACTTCAAGGAGTCGTCACCTTATCGTAAGGTCTGCATTGATCAGGCAGTCTCTTTCGATGTCGACCTTCGTGGACAAGGGCCATTCACTGTCGAGTACGAACTCGTTCGTGGTAGTAGCAGAAAACGCCTTTCTCAAAAAGACATTGAAGGCCATCAGTTCACCATCAAAACAGACCCTTTGACTAAAGGTGGAGACTACACGCTTGCCCTGGCTAGTGTGACTGACAGAATGGGCTGCAAAGAGTTCTTGAAGCAGGAGGCCAAAATCAATGTTCGTCACCAGAGGCCGAAGGTCTCATTCGGACAGATCGAAGGCTCGCGCGCTATCAAGACCCTGCAAGGCAAGACTATGAGATTGCCTCTCAAGCTTACAGGAGAAGCGCCATGGACGGTTCGTTACCGCAACCTTCGCGATCCAGAGCACTCGCACAAGATCAAGGTGGATAGCCCTAACGGTCTATTTGGTACTTCCGAAGAAGGCACGTACGAGCTTCTCGAAGTCAATGATGCTATCTGTCCTGGTGCTGTCGACGAAAACGCCAAGAAGTTCAGCATTGATTGGATCGAGCGCCCACAACTGAGAATACCTGAGACTTCGTACGATAGAGTTGAAGGTGGCAAGTACATCAAGAATGATGTTTGTGAGGGCGAAGACGACTTGATCAACGTGCACTTCTCCGGAGCTCCGCCGTTCCAATACAAGTATGATGAGAATATCGTGAACGAACGTGGCGCAAGGTCAAAGCGCAGCAAGGCCGTTACTGCTGCACTTGGAGTCTCATCCATCAACCTAGACACCTCGCAAGCGGGTGTTATTGATTACGTCTTCACCGAGCTTGCCGATGACAACTACGATCACAGCTCCAAGCATTTCACTCCGGTCACTATCCAGCAGCGTGTCAACGCTCGTCCTTCTGCACGCTTCACCAACCCTGGCAGGACATACAGCTACTGCTCTGTCGAGTCTGCCGGTGAGGAAGTCATTCCTATTACTCTGGAAGGACAGCCTCCGTTCGCCATTGATGTTGAGATCAAGCACCACGGCTCTGCTCGTCCTGAGATCTTCTATGTCAAGGACATCACCAAGAACACGCATGAGCTTCGCGTTCCCCATCAATCCTTGCACCTGGGCAACTCCGCTGTGTCCATCCGCAGAGTGACTGATAGCCGTGGCTGCAGCCGTATTCTCGACGCCACCTCGCCCAGAGTTCAGATTGCTGTCCACGACGCTCCTACAATTCGTTCTCTGGAGAACCAGGAAGACTTCTGCGTTGGTGATCGCATCTCATTCGCACTCTCTGGCCAGGCTCCCTTCCAAGTTTACTACGAGTTCAACGGCGTGGCCCGTAAAGCCAGCTCCGGCTCGACAACTTTCAAGCGTCTGGCAGAGAAGCCTGGTACTTTTGTCATCACTGGCGTCAGCGACTCTGGCTCTTCATGTCGCGCCTCCACCAACATCGAGAAGAAAATTCACGGCATGCCCTCAGTGCGCGTGGGCAAGGGCGTCGAATCTCAAGTCGACATTCACGAGGGCGGAGAAGCCGAAATCACTTTTGACTTTGGCGGCACACCACCTTTCGAGTTTACCTGGACGCGCAGTACCAATGCTCGTCGTGGCCAGAGATCCGAGGTGCTTGAGATGAGAAGCGAACTCTCCCAAGACCACCATATGGCTATCCGGGCGAGCGAGGAGGGTACTTATGAAGTTGTTTCCATCAAGGATAGGTATTGTGCCTATGCCAAAGAAGGCATTGATTTGACGAAGAAGAAGGGCAAGTTGCTCACATATTAAGCGGTTTTGTTTTGCTTGTTTTGGGCACTTTCCTCTTCATGTATAGTTTATACCTTGTTTCTCCATTTGCGACTTTTTTTTTGGCGAGTACAATCAAAACAACGACATGTTTCATCAACCATTTCACTAGATCTATCACGCGACCATGAAGGATAATGCATTAACGTTGATGTGGGTTACACTTGAGTGCCATTGGCCAGGATGATTCAAAGATGGCGTCGAGCTATCGACAACACCTTACAATGACTGACGCTGTAGGTGATTATGAAATGGCTCGTCTATTCATGAGCGAGATCCGCGCGGTAACAGGGTCATCCGTACGTTCGATTTCCCGTGTGCAATCGGCAGACCAAGGCCAGGGCGATACGTCGACGTCTGCTCAGATGCTTATCCCGCACACCTCGACTAGAACAGTCGCTGACTCTTCCCCTCAATAATGGTATCTCATCAACCACTCCAAATCTCTAGTCATCATGAACAAAGCTTTGAGTTGAGCTGAAAGATTCGATTAGAACTCGAATCTCGAGTCTTTTATGAATCGCTATCGTCCTCATCTTCATCTCCTTCCAGTCCATGATGTGTATAACCACAAAGTGGCGCATACCAAAACTCTCTCATGCTTCTCTCCACCTCCATCAATGCCCTGCAAATCCCTGTATAGCGTACAAACAGTGGGTATTTGTCTGCACAACCAGGTTTATCCATTTCCACTGCAGTGTTTGTGAGAGACAGTGTCCAGTGGCAGCAACAAGCTAGCCCTGTATACTCCTTTGGCTGCAAGAAACTCAAGATCTTGTGAATTAGTTCGATAGAAAGGTTGCTTATGAACATGGGTATGCCGACCATGCTGCTGCCAATGATCTCAACTCAAGCAGCAGCAGCGATGGATTTGACATCCTCTCTATGGTCGCCGGACTCGTTGCGCGGTCTTGGTGCTACATACTATCAAGAGCTTCATGTAATAGCTCTAACACCGGGTCTTGATAGTAGTGTTTACACAAATGCGACCATGAATACGGCCACACCCACGACAATATCCAGTCAAACCTCAAGCACGAGCCCAATTATTCTTTCATCCCCAGCCGATCATGTTATCCCTTACCACTCCCATGCCGAGGTGTAAGTGTTGCCATTCTCCTTCTGATCTATCACTCGAGGTCTCCTTTGGCTGATGCATGACAAAGCTTGGTGAGGAGTTGGAATGGAAAGACTGTTCCTGTATTAGTGAGCAAGGAGTCTGGGAAATCGGATGCGAGAGAGGTAGTCTTGATGGAAGTCAATCAGGGAGTTCCAATAAAATACATGATGAAGATCTATCGCTTTATCTTGAAATCGATAGCGATGTTACTGGGGCGGCGGTTACGGCGCCGCTTTTGGATGAAGGTCATGATGGAGACTTGGATACAATGAAAGAAGGACCGAGTTCAGAGAACTTGACAAGTGGTGTCCTGGAATCCTGGAAACAACGATGATATCGCCGATGAGTGTGAAAGAAGAAGAAAGCGCTCCCTTGAGTCTGATCGGACGAAAAAGGAAGAACGATGGAATGGCGAAGGAGGGCCTGACTATGGTAACGGAGTCGAAGTCGCGGAAGAAGGGTGCATCCCGGTAACGATGACCGCGAGGCTTGTTCAAATAACGAAGATAATCCCAGGGGCAAAGGACAAAGAGAACGATCGCAGGATCTAGAAAGGGATCGCGGGGAGACTCTCGAGAGGATGCCGAGGTCACGGATGCTGACAGGTGAGTTGTCCCTTCCTTCTGCTCTCAACCCGTCCTGTTGTTTTGTTGTTTGCCACAAACAGGTAGCAGGAGCTGTGACGGAAGTCACGAGCTAGGTGCAGTAGCATCTCAGTCGTTCCTGCTTCCATCTTGGCCAGTGTATCTTGTGAAAGCGAAAGTAGCAACAACGTAATCCGCATCTTTGGTATCAATTTGAAGTGTCCGCGCCCCAAATGGGTAGATTCGCACACTGCAACTCGGATATATTGTGACGTCTCGATCGACTGCAGTTCGGACGAAAGCACTTGATATGCCTCAAACCGTGTTGGACATGTTGAGCGAGATGCTCTCACTTCCTTGCATCAAACTTTCGAAGAATGCTGTGTCCACCCCCAAAACGGACCAATCGTCAAAGGTGACATCCGATAGGTTCTGGTCCGGTTGGATGAGGAAATCGTGCTGGTGTTGTTGTAGTGATTGTGAAATAGTTGGACAACTTGCGTTGTCCGCGGTAGTGAGATTACTTGAGCTCGGTGTGTTGACACGGATTGATCCAATCCCACCAATGTTGATGGCTCCTGAGAGACCTTGGTTCTGGTTCCTAGAAGGAACCACGGCTGCGATGCCTCCTCGAGATATTCTCATACCACTAAAAAATGGCGCTCCTATGATCAACATATCGTTGCCATCCTCGGTTTCGAGCCCATCCTGGCTCTGTTTTCGGGCAGCGCCCTCTTCGATCATTAGCAAGTCTTTGAGCATAGAAGCGCACCTCACTGCAAGCTGGTCCTTTTGAAGCTCAGAAATGAAAGTCATGCAGTCTAGAGCTCTCTGCACCATGGCTCGGTCACCTAGCCGCTGATGTGCCAGCACGTTTCCTTCTGATTTATCGCAGTGACTTGTAGCGTGTGCTAGCATCAACGTCATACCAGCGATTAGCGCCATGAAGTCGTTCATACGACAACAAGCTGTGACGAGGTTGAAACTGCGTAACGCAATCTGCCGCGTCAGGATTTCGCGGCTAGCATTGACACAAGCCATCTTTGAGTAAATCCTCTGCGTGGGATGACTTGGACATAGCATATGAGGCGTATGGAGCTGGATGATCAAGGTATAGTAAGAGCTGTGGTCGAAGACACGTCTGATCTCGTTGAAGGCCTGCAGAGAATCTTGCGTAAGTCCTGAAAACTCTGGTGGTCGCCAGAATGTTGGTGACAAGTTTTCGGCGATTTTGAGAAGTTCATCGTCTATGCCTTTTGTGATATTCAGAGCTTGCTGTGGTAATTCGATCTGATTCCGCTGAAGTATCTTCCCAGCTACATTTCCGAGATTGGTGAGCAGACTCGAGTCGTTGATAGCGTTGACTGTGTCTTCCTGTCGGGCCAGGACCATATTATCTGTGCTAGTAGGCAGTCCAGATAGCAAAGACACGACTCGCTCCATATACACAATACTGCTCCAGATGGTCTCAGGGTCGATAACATGGCGATCACCAATGATATTGTATCGATAATGACCACGTCGGTGTAGTCCTAGCAGCTGCGCAGCCATGACGGCGCGGCGCAGAGTCANCCAAGCCTGCCGGATATCACCAGAGTCTGTGTGGTAAAAAGCTTCCAGGATGATGTTTTCTAACCCTTCCAGCGACCCTAATAGTGAATCGTTCGTGGTCACCTTACTGATTGCTGTTCTGGCGAGTTCTTCCATGATCTGGTGATGATGTTTATTAAGGCCAGGAATCTGTTCTGTTGGAGGTACATATCGCAGAGCTGTTGCGAAAAGTAACATTTGTTTTGCCAACAGTACCGGATCAGACTCTAGAGATAGGAGATTTGGTTTTGAAAGGTCTCCAGCAGGCCTTTCGTGAAGCGTAGAGAGAGGAGCTTTGTAGTCGAATTGGTAACATGTTGAAGAAATGCCGTTGACTCTTTCCTGGAGAATTCCAATGTCTGTTCGAGTAGGGAAGGAGCGAAGAAGTTCTTGCGTGATTGCCGAACTTGATTGCATTCCCGCAGGTGAAACACCGTTCGAGTTCGGAGTCGGTGGCATACGCTCCATTATCTGCTGTTGAAATCAGTATGAACACAATTCAAAGCATGCCTCTCTCTCCCGATTTGAATCAGAGCAAATGAGAGACGGGACCTAAGTCGATGTAGTTTCCTTCCCGAAATCGTGATGAATTTTCGCAGTCGGGTTTGTTATATGGAGAAAAAGAAGAAGAATGTTGTTCACCGACCTCTACTCTGCCGTGAAACGCCAATGCTGGCGTTGCCGCTTGCAGATTCACATCCTCTTCAGTGACTCTAATCATCTGATCTCGCAGTTCTCCATGCCCTCTATCCCGAAAATCGTTGATCGAGGAGTCAAGAGCTGCCTGGCTAGTGCAAGTCGAACCTCGACGCTGACATGGAACACACCTGGCATCAGTCGGCGATGTGAGAATGCACTTTACTTTCCTCCGTCGGCATTCCCGGCAGCTATGCGTTCCTTTTCTGACCCTGCCTTGCTTCGGCATATTAAGGCGTCATTCAGCGTGACCTTCGCTCGAGAAGAGAGATGGCTACCGGACAACAGACATCGGCCTGCTACATCGCTGCTTACAGACCTAGAAGGCGCCGCCTGCCTCGGTCGAATCTCATAATTTCGGACGAAGTCTCTTGGCGCCAAATTTCATCGTTGTCAACACATAGACAACAAACTGACAACATCCAGCGGACGAAAACATCAGCTTTATATTCGAGCAGCGAGCTGTGTTCATCCCTACCTCTGTATCTGAAGAGTTAGTGAGGTGAAACATCGCAACTCAACATGCTCTGTCGTTCGAAGGTAATCTTTTCCAGTTCACGTCATGATTTTTGCGATGAGGAGGATGGTAAAGCACCCACCTCAGCAACCTTCGGACGAACGATCGGACATGTAGATGCAGTATTTCAAGCAAGACACTCGGTCGGCCATCTTGTTCACCCGTGGCCGAATTCTTGTTTATAAGTATCCAGCCTCATCTCTGTTACCTGTTCAGCCTACCTATCGGCAACTCAATTCTAAGCCCCACGACAGAAAGACCATACTAGATATAGCGACCTCCGTACAGTACTCGGATCCGAAGCTAGACATGTCCGAATCAAAAGGCGACTCCATTGAGATTGACAAGGCCGAGAAAGATGAACCCATCCAAGACGACTATCTGCATGGCACCCGTTTGATAGCACTGACGGTATCACTTCTACTGGGAATGTTCTTGGTTGCGCTTGATAATGTTCGTATACACCAATGGTCCGGGCAGAAAAGAGAGCTGACTGATCTCGTATAGACTATCATTGGTACTGCGATTCCCAAGATCACAGACGAATTCCATGATCTGAACAAAGTTTCATGGTACGGCTCTGCATACTTCATGACCTTTGGTGGTAGTAAGTTCTTCCAATGATACTGAAACTCCATGTCACTGACTATGATAGGGTACAGCGTGTAGACTCGTCGAGAGACTTGTACTTTACTGATGGTTTCAGGTTTTCAATCAACATGGGGAAAGGTTTTCAAATACTTTCCACTCAAGCTTTGGTTCCTCATCGCCTTATTGATCTTCGAGATTGGAAGTCTAGTTTGCGGAGTAGCACAAGATCCGACAACTTTGATTGTAGGTCGAGCAATCGCCGGTCTTGGTGGATCAGGTGTTGCTGTCGGCGTGTTCACAATGCTCGGCTTGGCTGCCTCGCCTGAGAAGCGTCCGCAACTCCTAGGATTCACCGGAGCAGCCTATGGTATTGCTGCGGTTTTGGGCCCCCTTATTGGCGGCGCTTTTACTGACAAAGTGACATGGCGTTGGGTAGGGCGGCAAGATGTATACACTTAATTGATCAGATACTGACAATGTTACAGNTGCTTCTATATCAACCTACCAGTTGGAGGACTGTCAGCTATCATCATCTTTTTCTTCTTCAAGCCACCGAACAGTGCCAAACCTACGCAGGCGCCGTTGAAAGAGAAACTGCTACAAATGGATTTCGTTGGTGCCACCCTCATGATCGGCTTGATCATCTCATTCATACTGGCTTTGCAATACGGCGGACAAACACATTCATGGAAGAGCAGTCAAGTTATCGGATTGTTGGTTGGCTTCGTCGTTCTCGTTGCAGTCTTTGTGCTTTGGGAGATATACCAAAAGGAACGCGCCATGATCGTTCCTCGGCTGGTATGCGACATGAAGCTTAGCATGTTTACTTGAGCTGACTATGTCGCANNGTTTCTGGAGCGCTATGTTTGGGTAGGCTCTGTGTTCATGTTCTTCTTCGGTGGCGCATACTTTGTCCTTCTATACTACCTTCCGATCTACTTCCAGAGCATTCACGAGGCCAGTCCTATCGGGTCCGGTGTCAGGATGCTCGCGTTGATCATTCCCTTGACCATCACCGCTATCGTTCAAGGCTTTGCACTATCCAAAATCGGCATCGTGCCTGCGTTTTGGATCTTTGGAGGTGCATTGGCAACTGTTGGCTGTGGGCTGATCTACACTATGGATGCCAACACTTCTGCTGGTAAATGGATCGGCTATCAGATCTTGGTCGGCTTCGCCACTGGTCTAACTTTCCAGGTCGCTATTGCAAATGCACAAGTCCACGCTAAGTTCGAGGACTTATCGCAGGTCAGTGCCATTATCAATTGTAAGTCGGTTTTCAGTGATGCATTTGCCATATCTAACCCTGTCACAGTCTTCGTCACAATCGGCGGCGCTTTCTTCATCTCTGCTGTGCAATGCGCATTCAACAACCAGGTCATCAAAGAGCTCATGGCGAATCTTCCTGGTATCGATCCGTCAATTGTTCTCGGAATTGGAGCGACACAAATTCGTCAAGAGTTTACGAGCTCACAGGTACCGATTGTTCTTGATGCTTACATGGTTGGCTTGAAAGCTGTTTTCGCTATTACCACAGCGGCTTATGGTATCTCCGCCATCGTTGGCTTGTTTGGCAGCTGGAAGAGGCTCAACGAAGATGAGATAAAGCAAGCTGCAGGCGGTGCAGCTTGAGGAGTTGTCTGCAATTGTCTCCTTGCAGGAGTCATGGCTGCTTCTCGTGTAAGTAGTTTCAGGTGCAGTCAAACCAGCAAACACGCTTACTTGATGTTTGTGTTTGTCTGTCTATGCGCCATTACTGCGTCCACTGCTAACAACCCTTTCAGCCTCACCTTTATATCTCGTGTTTTTGCGCAACAGGTTCTTTCTGTGTCACTTAGCAACTGTTACATCAAACAACACTACTACTAGCAATCATGAACAGAGAGAGATCTATTTTTACCGCTCCTTCCATAGAGCGCGACATCTCTGCACCCACGAGAACCGGGCACTTACACACTCAAAGCCCTTACCCTGGCCGACCTTGACAAGCCTTCCATCCTGCATCGTGGCAGAGATGGCAAGTACATGACCACCGAGATTGAGCGCAACGACGAGAGAGCCCACCACCCTCCGCTTAACAGCCCGAGGGAGTCTTTCCCGCTTCGGGATGGCCCACTGGCCCCTAGCCTTACGTTCTTGCATTGCCAGTGATAGATATATCGAGGACGTTTAGAATCGCATCTCATCCGTTACGATGATCACAAGATGCATATATCGTGAACTCTCGACCTACCTAGCAATCTGCCTTTCTTGCTACCACCATCCAAGCCTCCATTTTGATGCCGCCATAATTTGCCTTTTCCTCTTCAATAGCGGCATCGATGGCAGCAGGCCACTTGGCCACCTCTTATTTTGTCCAGTCGCTTCTCGCAGATGCCGTGAAATTGCCACACATGAACTCCCGAAGGCCCTCAATCGCTTCGTCTGTGATAATGGTCGTCTCCACATNATGGTCAGCCTTGTCGAGGCCTGCTTCCAACATCAGATTTCTCAGCACTCCATCATCCAAAAACTCTGCTCGCGGCATGTTGAACAGCTTGGAGTCTGGCCGGATGCTAATTTGAGCCTTTTGAATGATGTCTTTTACGGTGAAACGCTTCCACTGCGAGTTGATACAGACTCCGCCTGGCCGTAAAGTGCGAAGTATCTCCTGCATGCATTTCAACGGGTCTTTGAAAGTCGACGTGCTAATATTGCAAATAGTGAGTGTGAACGTATCATCTGGCAATGCGAGTTCATGAGAATCCATGACGGAGGCTGTGATGTTTCGCCATTACTCTTGGTCAATCCTTGGTTGAATGTTGTCGATCATGCCTTGAGTGAAGTCTGTCACTACGATTTTGGCTAGCTCTTGCTTGAGAAGCGACATGGCAGCAACAGTGGCTGTACCTGGTCCTGCGGCATTGTCGTGAACGATTGACTGTTCGTTTGAGATTACGTCTGGTGGAAGATGCTGCAAGAACGAGTATATCAGGTTGAATGTAGAGTCTCCGGTCTGCCTCGAGTATGTAGTCGACAGTTTCCTGAAATACTAAGGGAAGTTCGAGCTTGGGTGTTGTGCCGTCAAACTTGGTTGGTTACCTATTGATAAATGATGATTTGGAGAGGAGATGCCCCAGAGGAGATACTGTGATGTAAGCTGGGGCACACCACGAAGCCACAACCGAAGTGCGAAGATCCTTCGGGCGCTTGAGTAGCCACACTCATTGGCTCATTGTTCTGTGAGCTTGCTTTGAGCTCAACCACAAATGGCGCCTATGGACATCTTTCCAGACGCAAGCTCTCCTCTGCAACATAGTTACCTACCTTGACATCCCGCCTGAGGTTATTGCAACCAAGGTCTGATGGCAACGATATCTGTGCACAGCTAGCAATATGCAAGTTATCCTTGAAGCCATAAGCGACCACTTGCATGTGGCTGGAAGGATTGGGACCAGCACCTCGGCCTAAGATATCCTAAGCAGCCTTCTGACCATATTGACTTGCAGCATCTGACTAAGCTATGATGCGTTGTATATATAGGCATCGCCTGCTACTTCTTGGGAACTACAACCCTGACCCGCAACTCTACTTTGCAGACGGAGAACATGACGCGTCCAGTTATAACACTGTTCGTTGTGGTTACGGTCAAGCATGGCAAGGAAAATCGGGTAAGACTATACGCAGACTTGTGGCAACGCGGACACAGGACAAGGATAGCAGGGATGCTTCACGGTAGCGTCGTGACTGGTCGATTCGATCAAAAACTGACACACATCATGTGGAAACAGTGTGAAGAGCTCTGGCGAACAGCTGTCGATTACCTCGAAGCAAACTGGAAAGACAACGTTACCTTCCGTGTGTTGCAACAGCCAGGCACGACGCCTAGCAAATATGTCTTTATCGAGGAGTAAGTTTCTATGCCTCGATTTTCCTGGTTCGCATCTTGTATCTGGAGGGCTCCTCGCTCATAGCCAGATCTGTGCTGACCATAGTATTAGTTTCTCATCAGAGAAGGTCCGCGACGAGTGGATGGTTGATCCATGGCATGTTGCGTTCAATAAGCAAATGAGGACAGAGGAACTGGTTGAGGAGAAGATTGATGTCGAGAACGGAGAGTTGAGGTGGTTGAAAGAGCTCTAGATGAACTATTCTCACAAACCCTCTGCCTGCGTTTGACAGAATATTAGCAAGGGAGGTTCAAGAGTTGCTCGTAGGAGTCTGGCGATGCCTGTGGTAAACAGTCAAGGTCTGACACCATTAAAACTCGCCTTTCAAGAAGATCAATCCGAAACTATTGTATCGTTGCAGAAGTTGACCACATACGATAGCCTGGGAAAGCATTGTCACCCGCGAAGGTGACCTTTCGAAGTCGTCTCAACCATCTCCATCGCAATCCACAACTGACATGTCGTTAGTAAAGCAGTGTGTGCTGGCGATTCTATTCCAGCGCCTGCTAGTGTTCTTCTAGTTTCTTTCATCGACTAAAACGTAGCCTGAATCTAAAGTGATTCTCGAGTTGTAAAATAGTGCTCAGGATGGAAGACAGATGATTGTCTTCTGCCGAACTCGTTGTTGACTGCGCGGAGCATTTGCTCACTCCGGCTTTGTGGATAGATCATCTCGAAGCTTTGGATAGATGGTTCAATGTGAAGGAAGAGAAGGGATGTATGCAGTCTATGATCTATATGTCGGTATGGTACGTGGCTAAACCTTCCTCAGCTCGACATCCTCTTCTGACTCTCTGGCTTCCAGGTCGTCCAGCTTCTCATACATGCCTCTGTTATCGGTCTTTTCAGCACGTTGCTTGACTCTATCTTTGCCCCAGGCATACACTGCACTACCACCCAGGATGCAGACCATAGCCCAGACTCTGCCCATAGTGACAGCTTCGCGAAGAATCAGCACCGCGAGGGCGCTCTGAGCGACTCCACGCGCAGCTGTGACGATCATGTGTGTTGTCGGGCTGGTGACGGAAATTTGCAGGAAGGTGGCCAGAGTCAGGAGGAAACTTGCACCACCTGTAGCGGCAGCGGTATACAAGAAGGCGTGGAGCTGAGTTGAAGCATCGGCAGCAACGGCAGCGTTGGCGACATCCAGATCCATAGCGCTATTGTAGAGACCAGAGAAGACTGTGTATTCGCCGGAGATGATGAAGAGAGGGAAGTAGCAGGCCAGAGCCATGCAATTTGTCATCCACACCATCTGCCACATTCCTTCGTCGCCTTTTGTGAGGAAGCGCTTGACTACGACGCTTTCGACAGCAGTGGTGAAGCTGGATCCTACGCCCAGCAGGAGGCCCTTGATGCTCGTGAGCATGGCGCCCAAGTCTGTAATCATTCCGGTGGCGAAGCCCATCATAATCATGCCGCATCCGAAAAGAGAAAGAGGTGGGTTGTATGGCGGCGGGTGGAGGAAGAAGTGCGACAGGAGCAAGGTGAATGGTAGAAGTAGGCCTCGTGCAATCTGATATAAGGAGGCATCGACGCTAGCAAGGCAGAAGGTCTTTGCAAGGATTCCAACTAGACGTGCCAGCATCAAGGGTATTAGCCCCTTCCAAGNCCTGCTTCTTGTTAGCAAAGTTCCACTACACATCAGAAAGCAAGTACTTACAGAAAGTGGACGACTGAACTTGATCCATCCAAGTGGCTTTCCAACAAGCGTCAAGAGCACCACTTGTACGAATGTCTGCAATGCAAGCAGAGTAACAGGTGCCTCAATGCCATTGAGAGCAGACTTGGAGATCAAAGTCACCGAGACAGCGCAGCTTGAATGGAACAGCACTGTCAAGGCGACCTTTGTTCGTGATGGTGACGATGATTCAGACATCTTTGCGACTGATGGATTTACTGGACAAGCTTCTGGGATGCCGAGGGGAACTTTCTCTTTTACTTGCCGACTCGGTCCCACTCATGTCATTCGGCTCCGATGTTCATTTCTCCTTTATCAATACACATGATGACAGACGAGCTGATCAAGAAGGGGCCGGTAGACTAAGTTAATGAGGATTGCGGCAAACCGAGACCGGACATAGGCAAGATACATTCACGGCACGCACATGCAATGGCAGCCGAGACTGACATTAGCAGGATATCATCGGGTAAGTCTCAGCATGCACCAGAGCACTTCAGGGGAGTGAAGACGTTCGACTTTCAAGCAAAACTAGAGAGGACCGTTGGCTGGATATGCCCAGGTCCGACTTGGCAGGCACCGACTGAACAAGGGTTCGAGATTGGAGAATCGATTTTCCTTTGTTTTCCGCCTACGCGGGGGAATCGTTGCTGAAACAAATGTCTCCTTTGCGCCTGCGGCATGGCAAACGTTGGAGGTAGGATCAGATGCGGCGCCGGCCACGCGAAAGAGCATCGGATATTGGATGATGCTTGGTGTAACAAGCCCCTAAAGCGGGTCGTGGAGTGTTGAACACTATGCAAGCGTTTTGAAGATCGATTCGGGCCATGGTTGATCTACAGGTCTTCTGATTCAGGTTATGTCAATAGACTGGTGGCGAAGATGTTGGTTGAATGGTAACAGGCCGCGAAAAGAGAGACGATCTGGCGACTCTTTCTATACCAGCCTTAATTCTCCGGCAATGAGCAGACAGAGCATACTTGCTTTCAAGAGTCTGACTGATTGGTACCCTCATAGGGCAAAGCTGGGCAGGAGGTGCAAAGTGCAGGAGCGGAGCGACGTCTGGAGAGATCGGACGTCTTGGCAACGACTAGGGCTCCTCTGCCGCAGCCACCCGTTTGAGAAGACATCCACCGCCGTCATTTCGCTCTGTTATCACCTACTTTGTATACTCTCGCGTACTCTCCCCTTCAAATTCCACTCTATTCGTGTCAGACCACTCGGCTGAGATCCTACTGTCCCATCGACCGAATCTTGACAGCAAACATGTTCATTCTGGAAAGCCAAGCCTCTCCTATCTCTGCCACAGTGGATCATCGGCAATATAAAAAAAAAAAAAGGCACCATGTGCCTGGTGGACATCTATCCATCAACGGCCATGCACACCACCGTTTCTTGGCTCATCAGTATCCGCCATGCATGGTAATCAGATTGCCCAGCTGCAAACGTCTTTACTCGGCGGCATACCTGTTTCAGCTGTATTGTGTTGTAGAGATTGCCCTTGGTTAGGGGACGGTGAGTCGAAAAGGAGCGTCATGGATAGTAAAAGGCCGTGTTATGAGCAGGTAGGTGGAACATTGATTTCAATCTGACACTCATCTTTCATCGAAGCAAAAATGCCTGTCCCTAGTCGATGCGCGTACATCGCCATAGTGGTGGTTCTATTCCTCTGTCTGATCGCTCTCTTTCAGACTGGCACAGTATCGACGCCTTCATCATTACATCTCGATGATGTGACAGACTTCGTGTCATCTCCATTCTCATCTTACAAGGATGAGGCCCAAAACAACACCACACAACAGACGCCATCACCATCACCATCATCAACGTTAGCAGCTCCTTCAGTAACATCCACCGCTGTTGTCTCGAGTGTGCCAATCTCATACGACAAGACTACACCGCCATCAACAGGCTGTGAGGCTGTGGTCAATGCTGCTCAACACCGTCTGATATCAGAGTACCAACAACTTCTCAAGGGCATCCGCTATGTCAACGTTTGGGGATATCTCGAAACCGAGAACAAAGGCGATGCTGCCATCTGGTCCGCACAGCAGATACTCTTGAGCATGATGGGCATCGAGACCATGGAAGCCTGCCGCTTCATGGACAGAGGCTGCAACATGACCAAGTTCACCCAAGCACTCGACGACCACAAGCCTAACTCTGCCATCATCATGGCTGGAGGTGGCAACTTCAACGACTATTATTGGGAGGACCAACCGTCGCGAATGGAGATGATCAAGCATTTCACCCAAGTGCCTATCCGTGCTTTCCCTCAAAGCATCCACATGACCCACGACAACCGCATCAACGATACAAAGAAAGCGTTCCTAACGCATCCCAACCTGCAGCTCGCCGCACGCGATGCACCCAGCTACAAGTGGCTCGCAGACACCTTTGAGGGCGAGAAAGTCGTCCCACCATCTACCGACCTCGCCATCGCTGACGGCATCGGCAAGGGCGAAGTCAAGACTGTGCTCACTCCTGATATCGCATTCATGTGGGGTGACCGCTCAGACTTCCGTATCAACACACCCAAGGAGTACGACGTCCTAATCCTCGCACGCGACGACATGGAGATCTCTGACGGAAACTCAAAATCGATTCCCTTCGGCAAGGGCAACCTCGACCTCGGCGGCAGCATCGGCAATGTCAGCTACTGGAAAGTAGACTGGAAGTTCACACCCACNCCCGAAATCGATGGCGAACACCGCGAGTCGGGAAAGAACCAGCGCGCCTGGGCAAAAGCAACAGAAGGCTTCAGGATGCTTGGAGCTGCAAACTTCGTCATCACCGATCGTTTGCATGGACATATCCTGAGCACTCTGATTGGCACACCGCATGTTGTTATGGACTCAAAATTGGGCAAGAACATCAACTACCATGACACATGGACGAAAGATTGCGCTTGCACGAGAGTAGCAGACGACATTGATGAGGCACAAGAGTTTGCTAAGATGTTCTTCGAGAAGGAAAAGTCGGAAGGAAGATGGAATGGTGAGCTCGTCCTTGGTGCAGAATCACAGGACACTGACGCATGATAATTCTTCCATATACCCTTTTAATTTGTCTACACGTTCTATACCAACTTGTTCCATCCATCAAGATATCTACGACTCGAAGAAGACCCTCGTTTGCTTCCTTGTTCAATCATGCTCCGAAATGTTTTCCTAACCTCATGACAATTTCCCTGATGGTGAAATCGATTCTCCAGCCCATCGCTCTTGCACAACTGCTGACTCCTTCAAGCCACTCAGCTCTACTGGTTCAGCTCTATACTTTGTACTTGATCGCACTTGCTCATCTGTCTTCGGCTCAGCTTGTATGCCAAGACATTCCGTGTCGCTTTTTGGGGTTTGTTCCTTCCGCTCTTCACCTGCATATGCACCCCTGAGAATCTCCTCTTTTCCTCCGAATCCGTCTTTCTTGGCCAAATCCTCCTTTCTTGACAGGAGTCGGAGTAGGAGTTTGAAACAAAGTACTTTGTATCAAGAGACTAGCTTGTCACAGCAGAAGAACTCGACTCACACAGCGATGCATTTAAAGTCTGAAGGATGAAGAGGATTATAATGGAAATAAATGGTATATACATGAATATGATTAAGAAAGAAAAGGGATCGGAAGAAAAGGACAATCTACTCTTCTTCTTCCTCAGATCCACCTCGACAGTACATCTTCGTAATGCCTTCTTCTAACCACTCACCCACCCTTCTGATATTGCCTTGGATGATTTTCTGAGCATTTTGCTTGGCGTGCTTGCTCTTCTCTGCTCTTTCTTCAGCAGAAGCACTCAACATCCTGCCTATAACATCAAACTCATTCTCGCCATCCTCTTGCAACCACACTGAGTCTTCTTCTACGTATGCGTAGGCAGCAAGAAGTTTGCGATCAGCAACAAGAGGTGTGCCAGCAATCAACGACGCAGGAACCGAAGACGAAGCCTTGCGATCCAAATACTCAGGCGATGCAAACCCAGGCAATACAGCAGACACCTTGGAAAGCAAGCCATAGAAGTCGATGTAGCTAAGTCCTTGGCCAAAGAAAACGTGACTGGCCACGTTCTCAGGGACAGTGGGTCGTTGTCCCTGTCCAACCAGATGCATAGAAACATTTCTATCGCCCTCTGCAGCAGCCAAAAAGTTGCCCAGACGCTCGAAAATGTGCTTGTAGTCTCTGCGGTGAGGATCGTAGTCTCCTTGCATGGCGAAACTCAAATCCGAGCTTTCTGTTGCCGTGACGTTGGGGGCAGCAACAGGGAACACAGGCACGAAAACGCGGATAGGAGGTGAAGGAGGATTGTCCCAAGGCTCGCCGGCGTTAGAATCCCAAGCGGCGATTGTGTTGGAGAGGAAAGTAGCCGTGTGGGGAGACAGCGTCCAGAATTCGACCATGTTGGCATCAACCCAAGGTCTAATGTCGGCTTTGCGCTGTTCCTCGGCCCACCAATCCGCATGGTGGGCAATACAAATCAAGCGAGTTTTTCCTTGGGCGAGCAATGCCTCCAGACGTTTGGGTGCTCCACGCAATCCCAACTCGCAAGTTGTGAGAACCAAGAAGTCAGGGATAGTGGTGTGCTTGTCTGTTCCCATAAAGTGGTCGGGGTTCAATGGACCTGTGTAGTTCAAGCCAAATGCATGGAAGATCTTCTCGCTGCCAAAGCGGGGTTCTTGTTGGTAGAGGGTGAGGTTTACGTTGGGCTGAGAGGCGATGGAGTGGACGAGAGCAGCGTCGACTTCATCGTGTGCGCGTACGTGCTCGAAGATGGCGACTTGAATGATTTCGGGTGTGTTATCGCAAACTTCAGGTTCGGGTGTGGCTTCTACCTCTTCGTCTTCGGGTCTTGTGTTCCAGATACCAGATTCGATTGCTGCGTCAGTTGGATCGGTGGTCTTCCACCATTTCTCGAGTTGCTCTTGCCTGATTGATGCCGTCGTGGAATCAGGAGAGAANNCTGTAGGGTGTCAATACTGCTGTCGCCATGTCCATTTCAGAGAGTTTAGAAAGCAACTTACAGCCAAGAATACGAAAATCATCAACACGGAAACAATTGAGCCAGCGATGATCCTCTGCTTCATTCGCGAGCCTTTGGTTCTCAGAGCATCGAAAGCGCCTCCTAGCGACTCGATTTGATGGTAGCTGGCCTCTTTCCCATAGCCCATTCTCTCCATAGCGCTGGTCTTGAACAATGACAAACCCATAATTCGCTTCTCTTCTACAATCCTTGCTCTTTTGTCCAGATATATCTTTTGACCTCGAAATCTAGCAATACCACACCATTGACCAGGATCGCGTATACCAGAACGGAGAATATGATCAAAGAAGCAAAGGAAGGAAGAAAGCAAAAGACGGCGACGGTACAACTCTACAATATCTTGGAAGGATGCTCCTTATCGTCCATAGTAGCTAGCGGGCCAGCCTCAGCCGCTGCTCGTATATTGTCACCTACGTTTTTAGGGCGGCCATCTCATCAGCAAACCACCAACATCACAACATCACAGACTCCCTCCTTCATCTTACCCCCTTTCATCCCGCAAGGCAGCAGAAGATCTAAAATCTCACCATCATCAGTGGCTTATCCACCATGCGTTGGCTCGAACGTGCGGCTGAATCCAACAGGAAACAAAACACCCACGGCTCACGCGACAGGCACCTCTGCTTCTCTCGCGCAAGCCACGCTCATTTGGCAAAACCCACGGCAAATGTATCACAAATGCCCGCCCGTTGCTTGCTGCGCTGGCCGCAGTCCAAGGAAACCAGGGGAGCATTTCGGCAAACAAAGCCAAAAGGTTGACAGGGGCGGATCGTTGCCAGAGACCGAAGCTTAAATTTTCCCGTGCTATCGGTCAATCGGAGGTTGACGGTTCATTATTATCCCTCTATTATCGCAACGTCGTAAATCATCTCTCTTCTTGACAATGACTCGCTTCACTTTAAAACAGTATAAACGTTCATATTACATAGGGAGGAGTGCCAGAGTCTTGGTATTGTTGTATCAATTTTGTGAACCAACGGCGCCATGGCAAGGAGGCAAATGTGAAAAGGAAGCTGTTTTGTTGATGCCGATTCGAGGGGCTGTGTGTTGGAAGCAAAGCAGGCAGAGCAAGCCATCGCAAAAGCCGTCGTCGAATGGCGGCGGAACTTGGAAAGAAAGTGCCGGTGATAAGGCAATCCACCAACTCGTCTGCCATCTGCTTGCCGCACGCCTGCAACACGCCCGGATGTCATGAACGTCTCGTATCTTCTTCTGGCTCTAGGTGTGGCTTCCCGAAGGAGAATTTTATACCCAAAAAGTCATGCGAGGCTGGATACGAACTTCAATCGTGTCAGCCCGAATGATTATGTCCTGTGTAAAGAGCCGCGTCGGCAATATACATATGCAGCAGTATCGCGCGCAATCTATAAATGTCGCATATCCCATCGTCATCATCAAACAGGGCATGGACAACAGGACTGAACCAAGGAAGAAGGGAAATCAAGAGGCATTGTGTGAGTGTTTTTATACCACTAATTCCCATATGCATAATCCGGTCAATGTTTGTGTCTTCTTTTTTGGCCAACTTCTGTTTCTTTACTATGTTTGTTCATTCGCTATGCTGCTCTCTGACACTCATGCGGCCGCCATATCGTAAAGTTTGCACAACAACTTCAGGGCCACTTTGTCCGCGTCTGGCGACAGTAGAGCGCCGAGAACCGTCTCCCGCTGGGGAGCCGGATTACACCTTACTATCCAGCTGGGTGTGGGCTTGTAATGTTCATCAAACTCATCTTGGTCTTCCTCGTCATCGTCGTCATCACCACGAGCGCCATCCTCTCGCGACTCGTCGTCTTCAGAGGCCGTTCTTGCCTTCTCTAAGGAAGGCAGTCCGGCCTTCTCCACCAACCTTGCCAACATACCTAGCCCGCGATGTGTTATGAGACCGTAGCTCTGCATGTCTGGTTCCATTGGCGGCATGTGTGGGTGTCCGGGCTGTAGCCTGTGTGCTTGTGCAGTGCGGTCGACCGAGAGCACAAAGGCCATACGCAACAGACCTCCAGGCCAGCGGTCATCAGACCCAAGCCACGCGCGAGCAAGATTCTTCTCGTCGTTGTCCTCGGACGATTGTGCTGTCGGGACCATTGACGCCAAGATATCAGCAGCCAACATGCCCTGCGTCAGCAAAGCCTTCCTGGCTTCCACCATCTTGAGTTCGACTGTAGTGGAGAAAGCTCGTTTTGAGCGCTCAGGCAAGACGGAGATGCTCAGAGCAAAAGCAGAGGTAAGCAAATCTGCTGGTGGCACAGACTCGGACGAGTTGAGCGCTTGTGATGAAGTGAAAATGCTGCGGTACAATGATCGATTAGGTTCTTGGCGAGCCAAGAGTTTTGCAAGACAGTCAACTGCCAGCGGAAGATGTCGTTGCGCCAAAGGTATGTAAGGGCTGAATAGTAACGGAGAATCGGAGGAGATTGTAGGCGCTGGCTGAGGAGCAAAGGCCAAAATGAATTGAAGGATGTGAAGAGCATCATCGCGGCTCGGCAACTCCAGGACACCAGTGATATTAGAGAGGAACGTGATGATATCTTTGTAGAAGTCTGCGACGTTCCTCGAGGTCCGGAGGAAGGTGTTGCGAGTGCCCAGCAAGCGGATTGCGTTTGAGACAAAATTGACAACAGAATTGGATGATAGAAGGCGGTGATTTGCTTCGTTAAAGGAAAGGTTCCGCAGCAGTGTCGTGACGGCAATGAGGCGATCAGCAGCACGATCCAATTCATACTCCTGAGTGCCAATGGCAGGGATGTCCTGCAAGGATTCGTTCTCAATGCGACACAGTTTGACGAGATCTTCATAAGATGGCAGGTCGAGGCCGTCCGAGACTTCGGCAGCGCCATCGGCAAGGATGTCAAGTTGAACTTCCGCGCAGTCAACAAGCACGTCTGTCAAGTCTTCGCACTTGTCAAGATCTAAGTTGATGCGCGGTTCTATCGAGATCAACGTCAAATGATCCAAGGCGTGACGGGTTTCAGCATGGATGCCAGACTGAAGACTCAAGGTAAGAGCCCGGATGTCGATCAGCCCCATCTCGTCAACCATAGGCACATCGGGAACCAGGCGAGCAATCTCACCACCAAGCTTGGCTAATGGGAGGATGTCGTATCCACCATAGTAATCCAGGCTACGTCTATGGGGCTCATACTCTGTCTCCTGGCCAGTAATGTGTTTCAACTCAGTAGTGCTGGCTTCGCGCTTGATGCCTGGGGTTCCGCCTGCTTCTGACTGAGTCTTGACTGCTGGTGATGCAGAGACTCGAGCTAGCTCTTGGTCTGGTGGTGGTACAGAGTCGAGCTTACCAACACTCGATGTACGACGGAACTCGTTCAAGGCCGAGTGCTGCATGGCATTCTGTGGAGTGGCCATTCCATTGACGGGTGTAGGAGTAGGACGCTGCATTGGTGTGGCTTGGGAATTCATCATGGGCACGGGGGTCGAGTGCTGCTGCTGTTGCTGCCGAGCGGCTTGTTGTTGTTGTTGCAGCTGTTGCTGTTGCTGAGCCTGTATTTGTTGTTGTTGCAACTGCAACTGTTGTTGTTGCTGAGCTTGTTGCGCTTGCTGCGCTTGTTGTGCTTGCTGCTGCTGCTGCTGCTGCTGCTGCTGCTGCTGCTGGGCTTGTTGCTGTTGCTGTTGCTGTTGCTGAGCCTGTTGCATCTGCTGCTGTTGTTGCTGGGCTTTTGCTGCATCTCCATCATTGTCTGNCTGCTGTGCAGAGAGCTGATCGTTGGGACGGCCTGGTGAGCCTTGAGCGGGATTTGGAGTGCCTAGCCCAGCCAACTGGCGCGCTTGCAACGAAGCTTGCTGCTGACGTTGCTGCATTCTAGCTTGCATGAAGACGCGCTCATATTGGCCGAGGTTATTTTCGAACAGTTGTTGCAATTCTTGTGCGGCCGTAGGATATTGTTGAAGGTTAAAGCCGACCTTTTGCGCAATCGTGGGCCAGCCTTGGAACTGAGTAACGCGAGTGGAGCCACCGTGTTGCAGGACAATGACCCAAATAATGTACAAAGGTAGTGGTCGTCCGCAGACTTGGGGCTGAGGGTTGAAAGGTCTGTTGTTCTGTTGACAGAACTGCTGCAACGATCGCATCCATTGTTCCTGCTTTTGCTGACTTGATTGCGCAGATGGCTGTCCAGGGGTGCCCATGCCATTGGCGCTTCCAACACTAGCATTGGCCGCAGCAGCTGCTGGGTTGAAGCCAGCAGCTGTCTGAGCAGCATTGGCGCGCACCTGAGCCATACTATTGGCCTGCAGGCGCTGTTGCTGCTGTTGCAGGCGCTGCTGATAGAGCTTCTGCTGATATTGCTGCTGCATCTGAGGCACAGAAGTGATGCCCTGAGACATGTTCATAGCTTGCGACGAGGAAGGGTTGAAGTTTGCGCCGAACGACTGCTGCGGAGTGAAAGTGCCGGGCTGCATCATGTTGTTGGACGCGGTCGGGGGCGCGGGAGACATGGTCTGTGCGAAGGTAGCAGGCGAGGCCGTCGACATGCGCTGTGGTGGCTGCTGGGGCGGACGAAACTGCTGGGGCTGCATGGTCGGTGACGGGGTAGCGTTGGTCGAGGCCGAGGGGTTCTGCTGCAGATGTTGGTAGGGAGTGGGTGGAGCTTGGAAGGGTTGTTGTTGCTGCTGTTGCTGGGAGTTGAATGCGCCAAAGGGAGCACCGGCCTGCATTGGGGTTTGCGATCGCGACATGTCTAGTGACTGTGACGGGGCATGCGGCGAGTGATGCATCTGGTCTTCAGAGGGACGCGGACGCTTCGAGGGCACAACCGAGTTGACGTTGTAAGTCTGTTGCGGAGCGCCAAAGGCCTGCTGGGGGTTTATGCTGCCATTCTGAGCGAACGAGTTGAGGTCGATGTTTGAGGAATTGGGATTCGCATAGAGCGATGACATGGATGGGTTCATGTAGACGCCATTGGTCTGACCAGGCCACGGCGCGCTCATGGTCGAAGGCTACAGCATGGGGCACACGCCCTAGAGAGGTGGGTTAGCTACTCGTTTTGGATGCCGACGTGTGACGCGTCCCTACGCGACCGAGCATATATGGGGAGGACGAGCGATGGACGACAACGCGACGGTGCTATGGCCAAGACATTGATATGGGAGCTTGGGTTGTAAAGCGAAGGTCGCGTCCCGATAAGGGTAGTGGAGATGTCGGTGTCGGATGGTGTGGGCGTGGGTGTGTGACGGTGGTTGGGTGGGAGATGAGGTGTCTCTCTCTGTAGGCCATGGGGGCACTGGGCCTGGCGCAGATGGACCGAGCAGAGGTAGAATAAACAAACGTACCTGATGCAAAACAAAAAGTCGGTCTCGAGTCGTTGGAGCACGCGCGTATTGATGCCTCCTCGCGGTGCCTTCTGTCTGGAAAGAACCACCAAGCCGCGGTGCCAGAGCGTCGCGCCTGCCTTCTCCTCATTTTCGGCCAACACTGACTTAAGTCCCGTGATCTCTCCGCAGGGCTGTGCTTGTGCTTGCAGCTGCCCACCGTCCGTCAAATCCACATCGCTTTTCTGCATTTCTTTGGGAAACAAAATCAGATACAGACGAGAGATGGGGAAGCGTAAAAGACTCAGGCGATGGCCAGGCCCCGTAATGGGCAAGATATGACATCTTCGGNCAGGGCACACCGTGCCTNTCAGAACGCGGATCTAGTTCTTGGTTCGCCGGCATGCAATCACACTGCACTCCACAACCACGACTAGTGATACACTATCCAATCTANCCTCTTTTCAGGTCCAAAAGACCTTTTCGAATTATAAATTGTCACGCCAGATCTCGNTTGAACGTATATCTCTCAAGTCACCCCTTGAGCCCCTCTTTCCTGGTCGTCGTGTTCCTTCCCTACCCTTCCTCGATACCGACGACATGTACCCCAGCTCGTTCACGCTCTCAAAACCCTTGGCACGAAATCCAAATCTGCTCGCTTGTCTCACATGCCACGAGCTGCTGCTTCCAATCCGCTCATTCGCGCTGCTCTGGTGATTGTTTTCGCCTGTCGATGCGCCCTTGCTCTGTATTGAAAGGGACTGGGGCGTCCCCCTCCAAAACTCAGCTGTATCCGACATCGTTCCGCATTTCTCAAACCTTGAATGACTACGAGAGAGTTTCCATTTCGATGATCTGCCACCCGAATATTTGTGGTGATGTCCGTTTCGCAATGGGTCATTAGCATGCACAGATCTATGTTTCTGAACCAGAGTGCCTCAACAAAAGCGCTGGTCTACGAGGATAACCTTCTTAACGGATATCGGAAGCACCGAGTCTAGTAGGCCCGGCTTCTAGATATAACATGCCGAACTATCAACTCCCCAGCAAAACCACTAACTTTCTCTCCTGTAAAAAGTCACAAACTAACACAAGCACTAGGTGTGACCATTGAGAGCTCAATTTCTACGCTCTCTCGATGGTCAAGCTTAGCTTCAGCACAAGTTTCTGTATTTCTACAGCATCACAAAAGTGTACTCGGCACAGGAGAGAACCTCACACGAACATCACTATCATATCAGATCTCATCTTACCAAGGCAGTCGGATGCCTGCTATAGAAAGTCACAAAGGCTTGGAAGATGGACAACATGCCATTGAGAGCAGCGACTTTTCATACTCTCGCTGGACACAACTCATACCACAACAACTCCATGCCTTTCCATGGACCTAAAATCATCGTATTTACAGCTCGAAACGATCACAATGCATAAAAACACCAAGGCACAACACAACAAACACATTAGGCACAAGAAAAAAGGAGATTTGATTGATACTCCTACACAAAACGTCATTTCCACCCAATGACCTTGCGTCAACTCAAAAAAGCCATCAAGCCTACACAAACATTAGTACGAAGTCACTGGATTCTCATCACCAAATCCACTAACCTTAGTGCTTGCGCACATAGGGCGGAGGGGCACCAGCGATGGGGGGCCTCATCTTCGCCGCCGTGGCAGGCGAGCAGGGAGAGAAGTTTCTTGAAAAAGCCTTGATGGCAGACATGGTGGTTTGTTATAGGTGGTTGTGGAAGGTGAGAGAAGCGGCAAGTGAAGGCTTTGTTCAATGTGCCTGTATCTCTGTGGTGCACTGAGCGCGATTAGTCGTCGTCCTCTCCTGCGGCCTATACCTCGTTCGGCGTGAAACCGTGATTTACGACAGGTTACGCAGGCAGGCATCGATTACGCATAACGGCCGTAGAACTCGGCCAGCAAATCCAGCAGGCACCCAGGGACAGGTCAAGTCTCCTTCAGACACCCTTCATGCAAGTCAACTCTCAGCACGACATCAGAACTATAATTCCGTCCAGATGAGAGTCAGCTTTACTAGATACAAGCCTTACACCTACCACATCCGGCGAGATGAGCCCTGCAGTCCTGAACACGACAAGCAGCAGCGATGGTTCTGACAGACCCTTATCCAAGCGGCGTCGAGTACTCAAGTTCGACCACCTTGACGTCGACGACGCACCTGAAAACTCTGAATCCGAGTTTGAGGGAGCTAGTTCGGATACTTCAATGTCAGAAACACTTTGCGCATCCAATAGACGAAGGCGTCAGAATGTCCGAGTCATCAGAAACTACATTCGATGCTATAGTGTCTCCGCCTACTTCTCGCTCTGGGTCATTACCGAATGCTACTTCAGGTACAGCTACTACAACAGTCCGTCCTCTGAGAAAGAAAAACTGAAAGCATCACTGCCCTCGTTGCGTTAAAAATACGCCAGAGTCACCACTCTTCGGGCTCAAATACACAATGTGCATGAGAAGACTACCATTCTCGCGGGACGCTTGAGTACAAATACCCTCGAAGCTGCATCAGTCCCTACCCCTGCAAGCCAAACCAATCCTAAGGTCCTCTCCAGAGCCGGAAGTACGACAAGACGCAGACATCTCTGAAACCCTGCAAAGATGACAGCAAGCACCAGAGCCAAAATCCTATACCACTCTGAACAATAAAGAGCCAGTGATCATATGAATTATTGTAGACACATACATACAAACACCAACAGTACATTGCTCATATACAAGAGTACATATATCTTCCTTCTCCTTGCTCTATTTTCTCTTTTTTTCCTTTCATGACAAGAGTATCTTAAGTCTTCCTCTTCAACAGCCCCCTAAAGAAATCAAAACTATTGCTATCACTCTGCAACTCCCACTTTCTGCCTGTAGGCCTGTCTTCCCAACCCAATTCCTCTGCAACCAATAACCNCCAATCACTCGTAATCCCCTTGATTCTAGCTCTTGCACCTCCTTCTTGCTCAAGAGTGACGATTTGATCACTATGCAGCCAATGCTTGTAGTAAGTATCTAGTAAAGGTGTAAACCCAGAATGGCAGAAACGGAGATACAGAGACTCAAAGCAGACAAGAATGCTAGCGAGCAGTTTTTCGCCTTGCATGGGGGCAAGTTTTGCGGCAGTGCAGAGAGCATTCAACGAGGTTGTGGGGGCGGTATTGGAGACATTGATGCCAATGCCGCAGATGAGTGTGTAGTCGCCTCCCGAGTAACTGCTGTTCACCAATATGCCGCCGATTTTGACGTAGTTCTTGGGGTCTGAGGTGTTGGCGTTGGGGCCGGCGGTGGGGGAGAGGGCGTAGATGTCGTTGGGCCATTTTAGCTTTACGGGCAGCGAAGTGTAGTTGCGGTCGTAGGTGTGGATGCCTTGGACAATGGCAAGGGCGCAGAGGTATTGGATGAATACCACGGGGGCGGTAGAAGACAAGGCCATTGGGTGGCGGAGCAGAGTACTAAACATCAAAGACCCGGGAGGAGATACCCAGACATTGTTGCCTCTGCCTCTTCCTGCTACCTGTGTAGTAGCCGTTGCTGTGGTGCCTGTGGGCAGTTTCTCCAGCAGTGTTGGGTTCTTTTCCAGCAGAGTATTAGTGGAGGTAACGACTTCACCATATAGAAGCATGTTTCCGAAGGTTTCGGAAATGTCGTGGTGGTGTTTGGCTTTGTAGTGGACGAGGTTGGCAAAGTAGGCGTGGTGGTTGAAGTAGGNGGTTTGTTTTGTGTCGGGGAGGGAGGTGTCGTGGACGAGGAGGGTCTTTGTGATCTTGTCGTAGTCGACTATGCCGGTGTCTTCTTCGGTGGTTGAAGTGGAGGTTGGGTTGCTTATGGCGGTGGGGAGGATGTCTTTTACCACTGCAGGCAGAGCATCGGCGACTTNTTGGAGACTCAGAGGGCTAGACTCCTTGGCCTTCCATGGTCCGCTCTGCTTTTCGAGGCTGAAAGTGTCGTTCTCGCCTTTGATCAGGTGTTTGCCGTCAACTTCTTGGACAATATCAGACCACGATGATACGAGTTCTGAGACTTCTGAGGCTTCGAGAGTGGACAGATGCAGCCGAGATAGAGAAGGTACACCTTGATCATCCTGGCTAGGACTCAAGCCGAGCTTGGCTAAACATGCCTTCATGAAATCGACACGTTGCTTGTCATCTGCAGCAAGAGCCTCGACAATCCTTGGGTAGGCAGGGTTGTCACCGCCCTTGGTCAGATTGACTGCAGCGANACCTGTGACCGGTTAGCTCGTGATGCGCGAGATCTAGCATGAAACCTACTCTGGGTGCGGGCCAGTCAAGACGACAGAACCTTCGCCTACTTTGCGATATACAACTGCAGCAGTGCCCTCGCCAGAATCAACATGCAGACGCTCGGTATAGCTCGCAAGCACCTGGACGCCTTGATCCTTGTACTTTTCAGCATCGACGAAGACACCACCACCATTGTAGTAGGAGCGGAAAGTCTCAGGCACAGCTCCACCAGCAGTAGTCAAGGCTTGCTTGTTGACGGTCAACTCAGTCGCTCTAGCACCAGCCTCGCTATGGTAGACGAAGCCAGGAANAGCAAGACCTCTGCAGGTACCGGGATAGAAGCCAAGTTCTCTGTCACCGCACACCTCCATCCCCTTCTTACCGGTTTCAAACTCGCAGCGCTTGCATGCGTAGTAACCGCCAGCACAGAGACCGAGATAAGCACCTCCCTTGTTGATGTAGGCGGAGATTTTACGGTTGCCTTCACCATTCAAGGTGCGACAGTAGCCTACATCTGCTCCACCGGGCATGACGAAGAGAGCACAAGATGCGGTCCATGGCTCCTTGAGGACAGACTCTCCAGTGATGGGGATGACAGCATAGTTTGGACCGAGCAGGCGGCGCAAAGACCAGAGACAGTGACGGACAGATTCGACAGTAGACCCATTGCCNNTATACTGAACATCAACAAATGCAAGAAAAAACAATCATCAAAGATACACACCCGAGTAGACGAGCACATTGACTCTTTTGTCCGACATGATGGTGTATTTGTGGCAATTACTCGATTCGTAAATGGCCGAGAATCCTCGCTGTTTCTTCGATGATGACCAGCACTTCTTGACTCTCTTGATACCCGACAGAAATCTGGAAAATGGCGGCGGAAAGAGATCCCAAGCAAAACAGCGCAAGTGCAGTCGTGGACGACGATGAGCCAGATGATTGGTAAGTTTTACTCTTCCCTTGGACTCTCTGGTATGACTCGAGATGCTGAACCAACGCTTGCAGGGACAAGCGTATCTTCAGCACTGGCTGCTCTGGTAAGCAATTGAGCGAGTCTTTTCGGCGCAGAAGTAAGGGGCTGAGATGAACGATAGTCGAAAACACACGTCTGAACGATTGCTTCTTCGAAAAGAAGGATTGGAGACAGTGCAAGTCAGAGGTGAGTTGAGCGAACAGCGACCTCGGGATTGAGAAGTCTCGGACTTGGGCTTCGGTTCTCGGAACTCTTGTTTTGCTAGCAAATACTAATCACCGGGAAACANNGATGGAGGAGTTCAAGCAATGCTGGAAGAAGCAAGGCAATGACCGTAGAACCGATCAGAAGAATATCTGAAAAGATTGAGAATTGGGTGGAAGTGGCAGCTCAAGCTGTTCATTGCACTGCATGAGCTTGATGGCTCGGACCTTGATGAAATGCAACCGCCATGATCTTTCCGCCGATACACTACGCAATTGTACTATATACTGTTCTATCACCTGAAGCTCTTGATGGTTTCGCATGGCAGTGATATTCAAGTCATCAGATAGAGTAAGTGGACGATATAGACGGTAAGTACCATGGTGGTTTGGTGACGAAAGCAGCTTGCATCTCTCTGCGTTGCCACGCCATCTGCCTGACCATCTTCTGCCTGAAATCTTCCACGCACAACAGACCCAAACACATTTCAAGATGCGCACCACATTCGTTCGTGAGGTCGTCACCGGCCTCGAGTCGGCCGTCAGATCTTCTTCGCGCAACATCACTCGCACTCGCTCATCGCATCTTGCGCCGTCAACCTACAGAAGCTTCCACTCGCAAACTCGCCGCTACGATGGAAACACCCCAGCTACGACCACCGCAAACACAGCGGTTCCTCGCGCTCCCGCTGCCCAGTCATCATATACACCCAAGCCCGCCGCTCCAGCTGCCGCCGCACCAAGTGAGCCCATGCGTTCGCTCACCGATGGCCTAAGCGATCCCCCACCTACTCTCGCAGAGGGTGAGAAGCAGGTCGACTGGACCCGTTCCTTTCACGGCATCTCTTCAACGCCCTTCAGCTCCGAGGCTGCCGCCATTCTGACGCAAGAAATTGACTTTGACGACATTGAGATCAAACCCGATGGAATCATTTACTTGCCTGAGATCAAGTACAGGAGGATCTTGAACAAGGCTTTTGGCCCTGGTGGCTGGGGTCTTGTGCCACGTGGCGAGACTATCGTTACGCAGAAGCTGGTCACCAGAGAATATGCCCTTGTTGCTGGAGGACAGTGAGTGTCTCGACTTGGCTTCTAAGTTGTCGCGTGTTGCTAACATATAATTTCCTAGNNACTCGTCTCAATAGCCCGTGGCGAACAACAATACTTTGACCCCGACGGCATCCCCACCGCGACCGAGGGCTGCAAGTCCAATGCTCTGATGCGCTGCTGCAAGGATTTGGGCATTGCGTCTGAACTCTGGGACCCGCGATTCATCAGGAAATACATGAAAGAGATGGGCAAGGAGATTATTGTCGAGCACGTCATGACAAAGAAGAGGAGAAAGCATTTCATGAGAAAGGATGATGAGCTCAAGTACCCCTTCAAGGAGGTCGTTATTCCTGGTCAGACTTCTGCTAGAAAGTAGAGAGCTGTGTACAGATAAAGGAGTAGTGCTTGGGTTGTACGATATTGTAGAGAGATACCACGACATTGCATGCTGTTTTCGACCAGACATTCTTCTTCTAAATGTGATTTGTACAGTATATGATACATGGCTAAAAATACAGTTCATGTGCTCGTCTCTAGATGCGTGCCTGTGATATGACACGGCAGCCGGTTTGCAACCTCGCGATGCTCAAGCAAGACCGCGATCCCTCTAGACCAGAGCTCGAGAACCCAAAGCATCTGACTCGGGGCAGACAAGCGCGGTTATGGCACAGGCAGAGTATTGTGGCGACGAATGACGAGGAATTCCCTCGTCGCCAACGGAGAAGTAGTCTACCAGAGCTTCCACGAAGAAGACTTGGCCTCGCTTGCGCCTGGCGTAGCATTGCCCGAGTTCAAATCCGCAAACTTCTGAGCATCCTCTTCTTCCTTCTTTTGGCGGCGCAACTCTCTTGCTCTCTCCAGACGGGCTTCCTTTTGCTTGCGCTCCACTTGCTTGCGGTCGATAATTTCCATGGCGCGTGTCATGCCTTCCTTTTCTGCCAGACGCTTGTACTGGCAGTATTGGTACATGCCTGCGGAGCCGATGACGAAGGTACCAACTGCCCAATTGGTGGCAGATTGGATTGGTGCNNTGCAATGCTTTGTTAGATAGTGCAATTGAAGAGAACGAGACTCGTGTGACTTGCCCCTCCAGATGGCCCTCGAACTGCCTACCACAAAGCCAGCGGTGATTCCTGTGAGCAGCGAGTCCCTCACACAAGGCTTCTTGGGCAGAGCAGCAAAGTCCTCAATCTTGATTGTCTTTGCAGCGTCGGTGATTGTGACGTCTGCGGCCGAGCCACCGGCGGTATGCTGTGATGCTGCGGCGGCGTAGACATTGGCGTTCTCGGGTTTGACTGCGTGGGTGGCTTCGGCGCCCTTCCACTGGTCTGCTGTAAAGGCCTTTTCCGCGCTTGCGGATTGCCGTGTTGGATCGTCTGACATGGTTGTGTGTGTGTGATTCAGTGAAGAAGAAGAATGTCTGGAAGTCGATGAACACATGCGGCAAAGCCACAGGGCCAGACCCTGACCAGCGCGCCCTGCCGAGAGAGCCGAGATCGAAGGTCTGCCCTAACCATTTAGATCTGTTTGTTCGCGTGGCACGTCGCGAGTTTCGTGTGTCGAGCGCGCCTGCCCTTTCGTTTACCGCTGTTGTTTTTGTATGTCGTCAATTCCATATCCAATCCTCGTATACCACTCCTGCTACAAACCTCACGACTCATGATTCTCCATTCTGAAAGCACATAACCGACATTCTTCACAACTACACCATCATTAATTCGAGAGCCACAACATACATCCCCCACCATGGCGAGACAGAACGGCCAGAACTTCCGCCGCATGGGCAAGAATGGCAACACCTCGTACGGCTCACGGAAGATGAAGACGGCAGACATATCTACGCTACGAGGCTCCGAACAAACGTCACAGAATGAGAAACTCGAGGCCACACGGCTGGCCCACAAGATCGATGAAGCCATGGGCTTTGAACGCTTCGAGGCTGGCAAGAAGAGAGAAGGCTGGCTTATCAACATGCACAGTACCAGCATAGAAGACAGCAAGAACCAAGGAGGTCGCGCGGGCGTCGACTTTTACTTTCTCCAGGACGATGGAAACACTTTCAAAGCCACCGTTCAGTATGACCCTTATTTCCTGGTTGCTGTCAAGAGGGGCAGGGAGCCTGAAGTCGAGGAGTGGTGCAAGAGGTCCTTTGAGGGCATGGTCAAGACAGTTCAGAAAATAGACAAGGAAGACTTGTCAATGGTACGTCGAAGCCTTCTTCCACAACAACTGCAGCACTAAATTGACCCATTTCACAGNCCAAACCATTTACTCGGACACCGACGAAACTTCCTCAAACTCACATTTGCCAACGTCGACCACCTACTACAAGTCAGGAGGGGCATCTCGCCCATCGCCGAAAAGAACAAGAGCAAGATGAATGCCATGGACACATACGCCGAGGTTGCAACTGCAAATGCTGGGATAGACATGTTCGACGACGATTTCGAGCAAGCCAACAAGGCCAGCATCCATGACGCCAGCGAATTTATTGTCGACATCAGAGAGTACGACGTACCCTACCATGTGCGAGTAGCTATCGACAAGGACATCCGGATAGGAAAATGGTACACTGTCGACGCAAAACACGGTCACATCACCTTGACATGCATTGAGGAGAGGCTACAACGTGCAGATCCCGTCATTTTGGCCTTCGATATCGAAACTTGCAAAGCACCGCTCAAGTTCCCTGATGCTGCCGTCGATCAAATCATGATGATTTCGTACATGATCGACGGTCAAGGTTTCCTCATCACAAATCGAGAAATCGTCTCAGAGGACATTGCCGATTTCGAGTACACGCCTAGACCAGAATACGAAGGACCTTTCCTGATCTTCAACGAACCGGACGAGAGAGCTTTACTGGAACGATTTTTCGACTGCATCAAGGAGGCTCGCCCAACCATTATCGTTACATACAACGGTGACTTTTTCGATTGGCCATATGTCGAAGCCAGAGCTAGTATCCAAGGCATTGACATGTACCAAGAGATCGGTTTCCGTAAGAACAGCGAGGACATCTACCAGTCAAACTACTGCGCACACATGGATGCATTCGCCTGGGTTAACCGTGACAGTTACCTGCCTCAAGGAAGTAGAGGTCTCAAAGCTGTCACTGTGGCCAAACTTGGCTACGATCCCGATGAGCTCGACCCGGAACTTATGACACCGTATGCCCAGGAACGACCACAGACTCTGGCCGAATACTCCGTCTCAGATGCCGTGGCGACATATTACCTCTACATGAAATACGTCCACCCATTCATCTTCTCGCTATGTACCATTATCCCGCTCGGACCTGACGATGTGTTACGAAAGGGTACTGGTACGCTTTGCGAGATGTTGCTCATGGTCCAGGCTTATCAAAAGGAGATCGTTCTACCCAACAAGCATCAAGCACCGCGAGAGTCATTTTGGGAGGGCCATCTACTTGAGTCTGAAACTTATGTTGGTGGCCACGTCGAGAGTATTGAAGCCGGTGTCTTCCGCGCAGATATTCCATGCAATTTTGCGGTCGACCCAGCTGCAATTGATGAACTGATCAAAGAACTCGACAACGCGCTCAAGTTCAGTATCACAGTAGAAGAGAAGAAGTCATTAGACGACATCGAAAACTACGAAGAAGTCAAGGTACAGATTCTGGAGAAGTTAATGCAGCTCAAGGAAACGCCAAACCGCAAGGAGAAACCTCTGATCTACCATTTGGATGTCGCGTCCATGTATCCCAATATCATGACAACCAATCGTCTACAACCAGATTCTATGATTCAAGAGGCAGATTGCGCTGCATGCGATTTCAACAGACCCGGAAAGACTTGCGATCGAAGATTGCCCTGGTCATGGAGAGGTGAATACCTACCTGCGAAACGCGATGAATACAATATGATTCGTCACGCTTTGGAGAGCGAAAACTTCCCGGGCAAGAAGGCGAACAGTTTGCCTCGAAGCTTTCAAGACTTGTCTCTCGACGAACAATCTGTACTAGTCAAGAAGCGATTACAAGATTACAGCAAGAAGATTTACCACAAAATTCACGAGGCCAAGACCATCGAAAAGGAAGCCATCATCTGTCAACGAGAGAACCCCTTTTATGTCGATACTGTCAAGGACTTCCGTGACAGAAGATATGATTTCAAGGGCAAGCAGAAGGTCTGGAAGGGCAAGACTGAAGATTTGAAGAAAGCTGGTGCTTCGCAGGCTGAAGTTGACGATGCCAAGAAGATGATCATCTTGTTCGACTCTCTTCAACTTGCTCACAAGGTCATTCTGAACAGTTTCTACGGTTATGTCATGAGAAAAGGTTCTCGTTGGTACTCCATGGAAATGGCTGGTGTCACTTGTTTGACTGGTGCTCGTATCATCCAAATGGCACGTCAGCTGGTTGAACGTATCGGAAGACCTCTCGAACTCGACACTGACGGTATTTGGTGTATCCTTCCTGCAACCTTCCCCGAGAACTTTGCGTTCAAGATGAAGAACGGCAAGAAGATTGCCATGTCATATCCTTGTGTCATGTTGAACCATCGCGTACACGACGGCTTCACCAACCACCAATACCAAGAGCTGGTTGATCCTCAGACTTTCCGCTACGAGACGCATAGCGACAACACTATCTTCTTCGAAGTCGATGGTCCGTACAGAGCTATGATCTTGCCTACCTCCAAGGAAGAAGACAAGAACTTGAAGAAGCGTTATGCTGTGTTCAACCACGATGGCAGTCTTGCCGAGTTGAAGGGTTTCGAAGTCAAGCGTCGTGGTGAGCTCAAGCTGATCAAGATCTTCCAAACACAAATCTTCAAGTTCTTCCTTGAGGGTACCACGCTAGAGGAGACGTATGGAGCAGTTGCCAAGATTGCCAACAGATGGCTGGACGTGCTGGACTCTCATGGTTCGACTCTGGCTGATGAAGAACTTATCGACCTCATTTGTGAAAACAAGAGTATGACCAAGACACTTGAGGAGTATGGCGCACAAAAGTCGACCGCCATTACCACTGCAAAGCGTCTTGCCGAATTCTTGGGCGAGCAAATGGTCAAGGACAAAGGCTTGAACTGCAAGTACATTATCTCGTCACGACCCAGAAACTCTCCCGTCACTGAACGTGCCATTCCGGTCGCCATCTTCTCAGCTGAAGAATCAGTCAAGAAGCATTACCTTAGAAAGTGGATGAAGGACGACCCGGGTGACATGGATCCCCGTACAGTCATTGACTGGAACTACTACCTTGAGCGTCTGGGCTCGGTCATCCAGAAGCTCATCACGATTCCTGCTGCCCTGCAAAAGATTCGCAACCCTGTTCCTCGCGTTGCTCATCCTGACTGGCTCGAGCGCAGAATTAGAATCAAGGATGATGTTTTCAAGCAGAAGAAGATGACGGACATGTTCACGAAGAAGCCCCTTGAGGCTGCGGACATCAATGAAGTCAATGGAAGGATTGTCGGGGACCTTGAAGACTTTGGCTCGTCGTCGTTGACTGTTCCGAAGAGAGCTATTGTTTCAAGAGTCGCCTCTTCCCAGAAGAGAAAGGCTGCCGAAGTCGAACCAGCTGCGCCGATCGACCCTTATGCTAGCCTTCCACCGAATATGCCTTCTATCACTGAAGATTACGAAGGCTGGCTTCAGTACCAAAAGAAGAAGTGGAAGATTCAGAAACAGGCACGCAAGAGGAGACGCCAGCTCTTCGGTGAGAAGAGAGTTGACAACACTGATGCAATTGGTAACATGTTCCGCAACCAGAGTGAAATGATGTACAACTCGACCTGGCAGATCTTGCAGCTCTGCGAGGGCGAAAGCCCAGGTGAAGTCAAGGCTTTCGTCTTGATCGATCAGAAGGTACATCAACTCAAGGTTGTGGTGCCACGTCAAGTTTTCCTTAATCTCAAAGGAGATGATCTGCCCGATGTTTCTGTGGATGGCGTGCAAGCTGAGAAAGTGGTCAACTACACTCTTCCAAATGGCCATCCTTCAGTACATCTCTTCAAGCTCAGCATGCCTGAACAAGTCTATATCAAGGACGCAGACAAACTTGCAGCACTTTTCAATCACTCCAGTGTTGAAGGAGTGTACGAGACGCAAGTGCCGTTGGACATCAGAGCAGTTCTGGAGCTTGGCAGCACTTGCACCTTCGACGAGACGCAAGCAGGTGTTCTCGGTAGAGGTATGACCCATGGTTTCGACTTGTCAGCACTGCACTATGTGCCTCCCAAGCAACCTTATCTGTCTTCTGCTCCCATGAGCTACCTTTACCTCTACCATGTTATCGCTGGAGATCGCCAGATCTTCGCAATATTCTGCTCCTCAAAGAAAGAGGCTCAAATTGTTGTTCTCAACAGATCTCGTGCTGATCAAGGCATGCCCAACGTCGATCGCATCTATCAAGACAT